TGATAAGGCCATCGGACTCGACAATGTTAGCCACGTTTCGGCGAGCTTCTTCGACAGCCTCGCGATCATGACTCTTGATTGTGGCTTGATCTCCCGAAGACAACCATGGTACTTCACCATTGTGTATTTTGTACGGCTCGATGTTAAACATCATCGGCGTCTTCTCCACAATCTCGCGGGCCGAAGGAACGTGGTCCCCTCCAATGGTGGCAAGCCGTGGTGGATGAGGCGGCGTTGCTTTGGCAGGGCGGCCAAACATCAAGTATTGGTCATGAGTGGAGAAATATAGCCGCTTGAAGAACGCCTTGCCTAGTCTCTGCTGAGTACCCTTTTGTGAGGTCAGTCTAATCAGAAACCCCTCAATAGGAGGAGGTTCGTCGTGTGGCTTGCCCTTTCTGCCCCGGGTCGACGTAGGGAAATGCTTCTTTGGTCGAAGTTCCAGATCGTGCGAGTTTTCCATGGCCATGGAGCCGTACATCTTCTGCTCATGGGCACCATATACCCATTCCAATCTGTCGTATCTCTTCCAGGCAAGACCCATCTTAGCAGTCTCATTCCATAGCTTCATGACGCTGGACCATTCATGGTCCCTCTTCAGTATGTCCATACACTGAGATATGATCTGGCCAGCAACAGCCTTCTCGGCCGCCGCAGCCCGAGCAATTGCTGTCTCTTCGTCTGTTGCATTGGATCCAGCGGCTTCCAAACCTTCGAATGGCCTGTCTAGTTTCAGCACAACATCCAAATCCGGTACGTTGATGTGTAACGTTCTTGGTCGTCGCCATCCCAAGGCATCTCGGAGAAAAGTATACCATTCGACAGAATGAGCTGTCGATATTGGTCGCATGACAAATATCCGTGTCCCTGACTTGTAAGGATGCCAGATGACCACCGTCTTGTCTAACGACGAGTACAGGTTGACTCTGGTGGATTTCGGATCGAGCTTTATCTCATGCGTTGGTTTTTTCTTGGTCGAAGTATCATCATCGATCTCCGGAATGACCCTCGTCTTGTATACCTGAAGTCTGAAGTCTGCGCCGTCTTGGTTCTTACTCTTTCTGGCCACAATCATGAATTCACGCCATTTCTCCAGCACTCTGCTCTCGATTTTCATGCTCTCGTTTTCATCGAAATCGTCCGGGACTTGGTTCATGGTGATTTCGCACCTGACCAGCATCCTTTCCATCTTGACAATGGTCCCTTCACGTAATGTGTTCCTTCGTAGTCGCTTTACCCGGTTTCGTGCTCGTCCGGCCCTGTTCTCAATCCGATCTCGTCCATGATGGACTCCTTCCGAAAGCTTGAATCTCACGCCAGTTTCGGATCTTCCCAACTGGTACGAGCTCCCATCTTGCATTGGGGCTGGATCCTCGCGTTGAAGACTCCTGCCCGCCGAGGTTTGACCCTCTTCGGCGAGTAAGGCTGTTCTCGAGCTTGTCTCCACATCATCGTGCGAACCGGATGGCGCAATAGAGTTACGAACCGAGGACGGGCCTTGACGGTCGCCTTCTTGTTCAGCCAGAGGTTCCAGTTGCTGGGTCATCGGTCTGGACGACATCTCCGACAGATGTGTTTGGGCGGTCTTGGAGGATGCGCGACGAGGTGACCTGGCAGACTGCATGCCTCCCGCGCGTCTTCTGTCTTTCGTTCCGTCTAGGCCAATGTCCGAAGAGACTGGTAAGATTTTGGGGATTCTGTTACCGTCCTCATCCTCGCCTTCGATACCTATGATCCGAGGTATTTCATTCGTTGGGACTGGTTCAATATTTCGAGTCTCGATATCTTGGAATGGGTCTTCATCCTCCGCAACATCTAATGTTTCGTCTGCACTCGAGGCGCTATCAAAAACGTCTTCCGGCTGTGGGAAACTGAACCCCATCCTTGCTGCGATCGAAGGACCGTCCAAACCGGTCAGAGTCCTATGGTGGAGACCAGCATCCGCCGCCGCGATGAAACTCGCTTTCTTTGAAGAGTATGTGCTCAACTCCAGCCTCCGCCTGTACCAAGACTTCCTGTTGCTGTTGAGCCATCCTTCGGGTATGGGACCGATGAAGAATCGGCGGGAGGTTTGGTGTAGATGGTCGGGAAAGGCGTGCTGTAGTCGGTGAGCCGTGTAGGACTCCGGGTCGAGAGCATCGAAGTCATGGGTGTTGGTTGAGCTGCATGCGGGCATGACTCTGGAGGTTGACATTTTGCGAAGGCGAGAAGGTCATAATAGTTCCACGATCGTACACACGTTGCAAGCCATCTCGAGGAGTTGGTCTACAGCCGTGGAGCAGGCAAGCAATACTACTTGTCCAGTGGCAGTTGAGTACGAGGTAGTCATTACGCGTTGCCTGCTGCTGCCATGGGAAACTTTGCGACGCGGCATGACGTCAACAGGCCCGGCCTCTTCGGGGACAGGTGTCACGCCGCTTTATACATACCCCACTCTCGTGCCACACGAGGCTGCCAAGGAGAGAGTGGTGGGGCACAGGAGGGGGTTAAGGGAGGAAGGTCTGCTGCTCACTTTCCAACGACAAGAAGGTGAGTAGCTCCCCTGGTGTCGAAGAACATGCTCTAGGGCGGGCTTATGAAAGTCCAATGATCGGTCCAAATCTACAGGTACTCACCGGCGGTATGCTGGCGGCATGGCCAATGCCAGCCACATATGATGGCAGCTGGAGCTCTTATCAGCATTCATTACTCAAGGACTGCATATCTCTTATCTTGCCAGACCTCCAGCAAAAAGCAATTAAACTTTAACCAGTTCAATCAAAGGTCACAGCAAATCACATGGGAATTTCGGATCTCCCTCATGCCGGGTCTGCTACAACACTAGGGCCCGGAGATGCGGCGGAAACTGTGCTCGAAGTTGTTGAGCTGCATCGAAGAGAGGAAATCCATGTCATCGACCATTCCGGAAAAGTGAGAGGTCGCTGGAGATCTCGGCGCAAGCATCTAGCCCCCTACCACCCCTAAGCCAGATTGGTAGGAGGGCCGAAGAGCGTCTCGTTGTTTCTTTAAAACCGCCCCTTCGAAACTGCCATGGCTACAAGAGGCTCCAATGAGACTCTGCCAGCCAGGAAATATCGATCCAGAAAACAGAAGCCATGCGACAACTGTCGACGTCGCCGGGTCTGCTGTGTACGTGATGCCGAAGGTGAATGTGCGCTTTGCAGTCGACGATCAATTCCATGCACATTCAGCTCGGAGCCATCCCCGCGCAAGCGTCGAACCAGGTCCAACGCTGCCGTCACTGGCACTGGAACTGTTCGGCCCGTGGAGGCCAGCACAGATCGACAGGGGCCGACAGCAGATGGTGTTGGCGACCGTGACGGCAACGCCAGCCAAGACGAGAGCCACAACACAACTGCAACGTCGTTCTCGGAACGGCAGAACGGCGCAGATGGAAAGTACATCGGCTTAAGTGGTACGGACGACGTGTATTTTGTGACGGACCGGCTCCAGGGTGTAGGGAACGATCCCGCCCGCGAAGCGTACTTTAAGGTAAGCATAGGGGAATGACTTTATTTGTGTCTAGGGGAAGAAGCCTCACTAATTACTTCACCCCTTACTGGATGTAGGAACGAACATCCCCTACGCCATCTGTGTCATCGGGGGCATCTAACCATCGTGCTCGCTCCGTCGATCCAAGTGCAAGTCTGGTCCGATCTATCTTTTTCGAACGGTCCCATCCGGTATACCCTTTGCTGGATGCAAACCTGGCCAGGAGCGACAAACAGTCGCGGCTGATGGCTGTAGCGATTGCCATCATCACGAAATACACGTCACCTGAGTTGGAGGGTCTGCATAACAACGTGCTCATCGAAGAGCTCACGGCGTCTTTACTTCTCGAAGCACGCTCTCCCAGTCTCGACACAGTCGAGGCTGCAGTCTTGTTCACACAGAGAGCACTCCGAGGGCGAATGTAAGCGGTTCCCGAATTTCATTCTTTGCAGACGGCTGCCATATTTGTGCTCCAACTGACTGACCCGGCGACACAGGAGTACCAGTGCGCCGGGCATGTGGGCGGTCATAGGCACCATGGTTGGCATGTGCCACGATCTGGGCCTCAACATCGATTGTTCGGCGTGGAGCATCCCGGCGGCAGCAAAAAGGAGAAGAAAAAGGATATGGTGGGCCGCATACATGCAGGATAAATGGTACGTACACTTCCGGGGTGGTAAGCCCGCAGTGTGCCGTGCTTTCTGACGGAACTAGGTTCGCCATGGCTCTGGGTCGACCATCATACCTGCATGATGCCAACACGACCACCCTCATGCTGACGGCCTCGGATTTTGAAGACTGTAATCCAGATTCCGGCAACGATGCGGCTGGGAGACCTGAGTTGGTTACAGGGATCCACTGCTTTGTCGCCATGGCCGAATTGACTGTCATTCTCAACGAGGTCCTGGCCATCTTTTTCACAATCAGCTCCGTGGTCAGCCTGCGCGACGCCACGGGCGAGCACATCATTGCATTGTCCGACAGCATCGAGGCGAAGCTCGAGAGTTGGCGTGCCGTATATCTCGACCAGATCCTGACACAACGGTTTTTCCCTGATGTGACTGGTGAGAAATTACTTGATATCCGTCGTTTGTTTCTGCGCTCTCGCTCGAACTGACCACCCATCTGAATAGGTAGCTTGGAGCTCGCCTACATCACCGTCCGGGTCATGTTGCTTCGCGGTATATTTCCGAAGCTGTACCGACGGAATTTACCTCTGGATAATCAAGACGCCCGGGCTGTCGAAGTCACGTCCCGCGCGATATCGTTGGTGGAGACTCTGCAGATCAACCGTCTCAGTGCGTTCTGGTGGTCTTGTGAGTGCCCTTGCAAACAAAAAGCCTTTTCTTATGCAGGACCCGCCCGTCCTACCATGTCATGTCTCTTCAGTTGTCTGACTCAATATCCCTCCGTTCTCTTCCCAGGCTCGGGCTTCAATTTTGCTCTCGTCGGTACCTTCATGGCCAGCCTGAAGCGACTATCGACCGATCCCATACGCGCGCGTTACTGGGAAGAGCGACTGCAGTATTATCGAAAGCTTCTCACGGCGCACGGGGTGAGTTTCTGGCCTGCCAAGTTCGCCGCAACCGCGTTGGAGCTCATGGCGAAGAATCTGAAGAAGGCCACCAGTGGTGTTGTGACCGAAAATGCCGATGGCGGTAGTACCAGCAATGGCGGTGCCGGGTTGGACGGGTTTCTCGACGCGTTTACATCTCCCGGGACGTCGTGGTCAGGAGTATCATATGATTTCTTTCCTCATAATCTCACCGTGTTGAACGAGGCGGATCTCTCAGCAGATTGGGCCGTCGGCGGCGGAGAAGGGTTTCAATGGCAGTCGATGAATCTCGGATAGAGACGAATGCAGTCCTATATGACCATTGCCGGAGATACTCTTGTACTTACCACCTCACCTGTCCTATTTCGGGCGGCCAACACATGCGAAGGAACATACCGCGTTGGCCAATACACCCATTGGCTTGTAGGAATATATATGGGTGGAGTATTTCACCCCAATGGGGAAGCACTTGGCCAACGGCCAACGACATGCGGCCAACTCTGGCCGCCGCCCCTCTGGCCCTTTGGCCACTTCTCTACCAAGTACTCGCTACGACTTACTGTTCAGCTTTGACAATCTCTTTCTCCCGCGGCCAAGTCAGCCTGCCTGTCCACACGCCGTACCATATGTCGCCTATACTTGCCGTCCCTGCAGTGGAAGATGTCTCTGTCTGTTGAGGACCGCGAGTTCCCTCTCCCATCTATGTTATGGTATGTTCGTGCAGAACCTAAATCTACAGCACCGAGACAATACATACTCAAGCGCCGCAAACATAGACAGAAGCGTAAGCGACTTTTCCTAACCAATCAAAAACCAATCAAAAACCAATCAAGCACATCAATAAGTATCCTTGCATTTTTCTTGCAGCAACTAAGCCCTATCTCTGATCCTGATTGTCAATATCAACACACACCTCTTCCATCTTCAAAGTTCAATCAGTCTCCATTGAGGAGGGGGGCTCCTCTGCTTTCTATGCCGCAAGACCTCCAACTTGATCTTCTCTGTGGCCTCTGGCTAAGGGAATCCGGCCTCAGATGCGGATCAGGACGGGTCGCCCAACAAACTGTCCCTGAGCTACAAGGCCAGGATACATACAACACGAGGATATTGAGTCGTACAAGACTACCACATAGTGAATACTAAATCAGTTGAAGAACACTGCCTGTAGTTTGGCCATGATTCCAAGTTTGAGACAAGCTCACCAATCCAAAGCAGAGCCCAAAGGACGATGGTCAGGCAAGTGCAGAAGAGAACAGTGGTAATTGACAACATTACTGTCGTCCAGATGGGCACCAGATTGCTGGAATCTATCGGAAAATGTCACCAATAGCGAGGTGTATAAATAGTACTGACTTTGGTCGAATTCTGTGCAGCCAACAGGAGACAGTAGGAAACGGAAAGATATAGTCATTCTGTGAGATTCAAGTACATTTTACAATTGCAACATTAAGCATAACTCTACGAAAATGTTCGGGTCAAATGATAATAGTGAGCGGAGGAACAAAAAGACATGCTTTAACTATTGCTCGCTCGTCTTATCAAGTCTATACAGGGCATTCTCATTGCATGGACGCCAGATAAGTCCAAAAATCATTTCAACATGTTTGATCATTCGCTCGTCTCATCACTTTCCCATGGTACCAAAGAAGTTCATTCTATATCAGCAGCTGTGTAAAAACATCTCCAAGACAAAGGGTATTGACAAGCAAGGAGCGGCGAAACATCAAAACGAAACATCCAAGATAACTTTTCTCATCGTGCACCCAACACGCCTGGCTTTCCATCGATCTAACTCTCTTTTTCTAGCTCAGATGTCCTTTGCTTGCGTACTCATCAGCCACAGCCATATTCGCGTCCACCAACATCTCTGGTCCAGCAGATTAGGTCTTTCAATAGAACCAACGATACTGAGGGCTATTCGGCCCTTCAGCAAGCAACTCGGAAGGAATGTCGATGGCTCTGATCTTCCTTCCATCGCGTCGATCGCGCCTCCTGTTGTCCACGATCATCCACGCACCCAACAACAAAGTCAGAAAGCAGCCACACGCGCCAAACACCGCAGTGGTGATCAAAGCCGGCAGGTATTTCGGCGCATCTTTGCTCTGAAAGATGTTGCTGGACACCACGCCCATCAGGTTCGCCACCGGGACGCCGATACTGGTGAGCATGATGCGTTTGTTTTCGTCGGCAATGTTGTTGTTATACCACACGTCGAGGATGACACTGGGAGCACTGGTTCCCCAGGTCATCATGAAGCAGGCGAAATAAGCCACGTTGAGCTGCGACACGATGTCGACGGTCGCGAAGATGATGAAGCCGATACAGGTCAAGGCGAACCCCAGCGCGACGAAGGGGAAGCGCAGGCGGGTCAAGTCCGAAGCGAAGGACAGGATAAGCAGCATCACTGCGCCTGAGACGTTGGGGGCGACAGTATACAGATTTGTCTTGACCGTCGAATAGCCCAGTCGTTTGATGATGACGGGTAGGAACAGTGATACCGACTGCAACGGTACGCCGAGACAGATCTCAATGCCCAAGATGATCCAGCTGGTTGGCTGCTTGAAGATGGCCATTGCCGAGCGCAGATTGAACTTTTCGCCAACGACCGACGACGAGTCCACTTGCATGCGGTAGAATGCTAGCTGTTTCTCTTCCGCCGTCAAGAACTTGGCGCTTTGGGCGTCATATGGCAGGTACCAGAATGCAAAGATGGCGAAAAGCATGGAACACGCTCCCTCGATGATGAAGAGATATCTCCAATCTGCCAGGCTGCCGGACTTGATTTGGAAGACGCCGTAAGACAGTAGGCCTCCGAACGCCGATGCGATGGATTGAGCGGCATAGAAAATGGCCAGTCGACGGGCAAGCTCTCCTCGTCGGTAGAAGGTCGTTTGGTAGTAGATGACCAGTGGGAAGAAGGCGGATTCTGCCATGCCGAGAAACCAGCGCAAAGTCATGAGACCGGCGAAGTTCTGCACCGCGACAACCATCAGTGTGAAGAAGCCGAAGGCCAACATCATGATAGGCAGGACTCTGCTCGGTCCATATTTTTTGCCGGCGATGCCCAGGAAAGGGGCCGTGAGGACGTATGGGATGAAAAAGATGGATAGAATCAGGTTGTAGTCGTCTCCGGTGAGATTCAATGTCTTCTCAAGCCCTGCCGTTTTGGCGTTTCCAAGGTTCGACTTGTCCAGAGAGTTGAACAGATACATGACTGCAAGCGTGGGAAGGATGCGGAAGTCGAATTTCCTCACAAGTCGGCGCTCAGCAGCAGGATCGATGGCGACACTGGCTGAGACCTGTCGCGTCTCTCCGCCTGGAGATACGGCCATGACTCCATCGTCGAGGACCTTGATGTCCTTTGAATCCATCGTGGCATCAATCTCGGCATCGTTGCTGATTCTGCTCGCCATTTTGACGCTGAGAGGTGAGGATATTCGCTGGGTCCTTGGAATGAATCAGGCTTGGGAGGGGATTGCAGGACTGTTGTTGAATTGCGATGCTCTGATGTGAGAGATATCCCGGTGCGAAACACGAGGGTTCTTATACATGACCCTCGTCGCATATATTCGCCTCGCCTCCCTCTTTGCTGCGCTGATCTATCGGCGAGCTGAGGCAGGGCAACGATAAGCCGATTGCATTTCGTACGCCAATGGTCATACTCAGGCTGTACGCCGCCAACGGCCAAGAGATATGGCCGCTGGCCACGGCAGCAGAAGCAACTTCCCTGTCATCCGCTCGGCTTTTGAAGGAAGCAATTTTGTTGGTCGCGGTGCTTGAGCGGCGATGTCAAACTCTTGTCTCCAATTCCTGAGGGTCCAGAGGGTCCAGAGGTTCCAGAAGCCTTGCTATCGAACTGCCTGCCCAACGCGCAATGGTGTTGTTTTTCTTTCGCGGCCAAGTGCTTGCCCGCAATCCTCGCCAATTTGCTTGCCGTGCAATAACGAACACGGCCAGATGTTGTAAGTTTCCTCGAGACGGCCGTTGTGTTGCAAAATGGAAGTTAGTTGTCTTACAAGGCAAGGTAAGTCGTCCCTTTTCTTCTGGTCGAAGAACATATTTAGTCCGACATCAGCTCCGTTTTGGCTGGACATGCAATCTTCAAGAAGACATAATCCAAAACCCACTCCGGTGCTGTTGAATATTCCCACTTTGCATTGGTTCCATCGATATCCGCTTTGGTCTTCCAGGTCTACGTGGGCCGATACTGGCGTTCACGGCGGAGCACATGGCGCCGTCATTGCTACCGAGCACCGGCGACAACGAACCGATAGAGGGAGGGACTCGACCACCAGGCGATGAGACGCTTCGCTTTCCATTTACCCTTTCCCTTCCAACACCCCACTTCCTAAGCCGCAGGTCTTCATCCTCCTCGGATCCCGATGATGTGGACATTCAGGAGTTAAGCCGCAGCCTTGCCCAGGTGGGATCATTTACGTCAGGCACACTTTTGGATCGAGGAACTTCATGCTATGCAGGCATCGAAACACGACCACAGACAATACAGAAAAAGCCTCTGTCTTCGACAATTGAGACTCCAGTATACGGCACCTTCGACGAAAATGTCGACAGGACTGGCGAGCTTGAATCCGCCGACGTGTTTGAGGACACCAAGTTCATAGGAATCAGTCCGAAGCGCTTCTGGCTGATCTTCGTGGTCATCACTCTGGGCTATTTCATTGCTTGCTTTGACTCGACCCTGATGGCTTCAAGCCATCCTGTGATCACGTCCTACTTCGGCGCCTCTCAGGCGGCCTCATGGCTAAGTACCGTCTTCTTGATCACAAGCACGGCCTGCCAGCCCCTGTTCGGTCGTCTATCTGACACAATTGGAAGGAAGCCAGTCTTTCTGCTGTCGTTCGCCATCTTTGGGTTGACTACAGGTTGGTGTGCTCTTGCGGGGAGTATTGAGAGCTTTATTGCGGCAAGAGCGGTCTGTGGTATAGGAGCCGGAGGAACAATGTCGATGAGCCTGATCATCATAAGTGATCTTGTTCGCATCGAGCATCGTGGCGTTTTCCAATCTCACATCAACCTCGCTTTTGGACTGGGATCAGCATCGGGAGCTGCTCTTGGTGGCTGGCTGTGCGACAGTTTGGGCTGGAGATGGGCCTTTGGGATCCAGGTGCCCTTCATCGGTGCTTGCCTCGTCTTGGCGAGCATGTTCACGCCTACCGACCTTGGGCCAATGCTCATCAATGCTGGCGAAGGAGGCGCCTGGATCGCCCTCAAGAGCTTTGATTACCTTGGATCGATGTCCCTGATCATCACAATCACCTCATTGATCCTTGCCCTTAACCTCGGGGGCAATGTGTTTCCATGGACGTCGCCAGTGATCACAGCATGCTTTGCCGCCTCCATTGCGGCGGGATTCGGGTTCGTCTATATTGAGACCCAAGCCAGACAGCCGTTGATGCCACTGCACTTGCTCAGCAAGCCGCCGATTGCGAACATGGTCTTTGCCAATTTATTGGGAGGCATTGCCTCCAATACCGTTCTATTCAACCTGCCCCTGTTTTTTCAGGCCGTCTTGCTGACATCCGCCTCCAGCTCTGGCTTCAGGCTCGCCCTGCCCAGTCTGGTAGGTTCCTTTGCGGGCATCTCGACTGGATACATTATCACGCGCACACGACGCCTCAAGCCGACTCTAGTTGTTGGAGCCTTCGTTTACCTCATTGGATCCATTGCAACTTGCGCAATCACCAAAAATACTTCCGAGATCGTGAGTCTCATTCTCATCACAGGCGTACCGTTGGGACAAGGGTTCGTTTTCCCCAACACCATGATGAGTGCTTTGGCAGTTTCGGAGCAAGCACAGCAAGCCGTGGTGACGACCACCATTGGCCTGTGGAGAAATTTGGGAGTAGTCTTGGGTGTCGCTCTTTCCAGCTTGGTCTTTCAGAACAGCTTGGTTGTCAATTTGAGGCGGCACGTCACCGGTGCAGGGAGTGATGAAGTCATTCGTACGGTCCGTTCAGCGGTTGAATCGATCAAGCTCCTCCCCTTACCCGTGCGAGATCAAGGTGAGTCAACGTTCCTGCCCTACCTTAACTCCCCTTGCCACTTGGACTGACATTTAGTAGTGATTGATGCTTACGCTCTATCGCTCCGGACAACGTTCTTGTGCGCCATAGCAGCTTCGGTTCTGATGGTGATTCTGATTGTGCCAATCAAACTCCCAAAATTGAGAAGAGGCACACAGCCAGTCGTGAGCACCGGGGAGTAATAGACAATAGTATTCGAGGAAAAGCAGCCACTTGTGAGTTACGGGAGTGACTTCATATAAACTCAGCGTGCAATGCCTCAGAGAGGCTTCTCAGACCAGCATCTTGCAGTCGTTTGTGACGAAAGTTCCAACCGAGGTCGATGTACAGTTTCTATAGAATAGTAGCCAGCAGATTGGTTGTAACAGGACAAAGGCAAGATATTGGAAAGGAGTTCATGTTACCAGGTACCTGAGGTAGTCAGTATACGAGGCAGTTGTCGGGCCATCTTTCGACCCAGGCTGGATGACGTCAACCAACTCAGGGGTAAATTTTGCACAGTTTGCCATGTTTGCACCATTTGCACCACTGTCAACGAAGCCCCTCGACACACTTGACACCAACACCACACCGCATGGCCCGAATACGACTAGAACGGGAGACGTACCTACCGTAACTCCTTGCGAAATTCCCAACTCAGCCACCGTTTCCATACCATACAAACAGACCTCCGTCCTACTAGGTTGTGTTCATCTGCATCAACATACTCAGCGACAAGCCAGCCCAGCCCGTGTAACCCACTTTCCTCACCGCCAACATGTCCAGCACCCAAATCCCTGCCGGCAAGACCTGGTTCGACACTCACAAAGTACACTTTAAAGATGTCCCCATTGGGCCGGACAACGGAATATCAACAACAGAGTTCCTCGACGCCTCCGAAGCGACGACGACGCTCTTCGATCTCCTGGGGTCTGTGGCCTTCACCCCCGTCAAGAACGACATGCTGGGCAACGTGACCAAAGTGCGCGAGAGACAGAAAGCCGCCCCCGAGGGGTCACAGACACTTCAGAGCCTGTGCAAGACCGAATTGGCGTCGAAATCCCACAAGGCGACGGAAGGGTTGCTGTGGTTGGTGCGTGGGCTGGACTTTACCGCGCAGGCGTTGCGGGCGGATCTCACGAGTAATGCGTCGGTCGCGGTGACGGAACAGAAGCCTACCAAGGAGCTGGCGGACGGGTTCCGAACGAGCTACAAGAACACGTTGGCGCCGCATCATGGGTTCTTGGTCAAGCCGATCTTCAGCGCGGCCATGAGTGCCACGCCCTACAGGAGGGACTTTTATGCCAGATTGAGTGGGCAGGGTACGGATCCGGAGACGACGAGGCAGGCGCTGGAGGCCTGGGTTGCCGCTTTGGAACAGAGAGTTACTGTCATCAAGACCTTCTTGGCGAGCAAGGAAGCCAAGTGGTAGATATCAACTTATGAAGGCCTCAGCGGGAGGATATATCTTGCGGCAAGCAATCAGAGGGCTGTGCGATGCTCCGGCCCCTGACGACCTATGGAAGCAGCAAGATAAAGCTCGCTGGTGTTCTTAATCTAAGCGATACATGAGATATACCTACCTTCAACAGTAAAAGCGCTTTTTGAGGCCGAGGGTTGATTTCTGGCTTCTCATTTCTTGAGTGCTTCCATTCATTTGTTCCGTCACTCCCAGCGATCAGTTTGGCCGTAGCCTGCCAGGCCATGATTGTCAAACGTTTGACTCCATGCTCAATCTAAATAACTTGAACGCCATCGCTATGCAGCTTCACGTCCATAACTCAACACTACTAGAGTCTAATGTTCTTGTGCAAATCAGGCCACGCCCCAAGTCAGCAATTCAGAACTGTCATTCCGAACATCGGCCGCGTCTTTCTTTTGTCGTTCCAGATAATCTTTGAGTTTCTTCTGTTTCGAAGACTGCTCCGTGTTTCCATCCTCATGTTCGTCGGCGACATGATTACTGCCTCTCAAAACTGGCGGAAGCGTCTTCCCTTCCTTAGACAACCCGACAGCCTCAAAGGCAGCTTCTAACTCATCCACTATACCTTGCGCAACCTCCTTAGAGTCGGGGTTGTCTTGATCCAGCTCCAACCTCGCATGCGCGTACATGGTCCGTAATTTGAGGAACTTCTGCGAGTCTCTCATCAACCTCGGCAATTCGTTCCGGTTTCTCCTGATCACTGCCAACTCTCTGGCAGCCAGCCCGTTGCTGAATGCCTCGATCATGCTGGTCTTATCGGGATCCAGCTTCGCGGCGTGCACCACATCGTTCTCCACCCGTCCGCTTACTTTGGCCGGGTAATCGTGCTCTCTCCAATCGATCACGCTGGGCGAATACCATGGGCTCAGAACCATTGTGACGAATCCTATCACGAGATTCTGGCTGATAGGTCCGTACCAGTTGGAATCAATACTCTTTTCTCGACTGTTGGCGTCACCCTCCACCCAGATATGGTTATATGGAATCACAACGGGATCGTCTCCGCCGGGGTATCCTGGAAGCGGCTTGACTCTGTCACCTGGGACACCAACCACGCGCTTGACCGCCAGCTTCTCGGGGTTGTGTGGTGCATAGAAAACGATGATTTGCCCTCTTTGCAATTCGAATTTGGGGAGTCGTAGGCCGAACATGGGTCGGTTCTCAAACATGACCTTCTGCACCAGGATGGCATCTGACGTCTGTGGAAGCTCAGGAGACAGATTCACATTCAGGAGCGGTGACATGGATGGGCCAGTAACCCACATGACTTCGAGAGGGAACTCCAGAAGGACAAAGGCAACTGGTGGTGCGATGTAGAAGAGGCGCCATATCCAACGCCGCACGGAGGGAGAGATGAACTCGAAAGGTGGCTTGCGTGGGTTTTCTGAAGACTCTCCGTCGTGACCATGACTTGAGTCTTGTTCCGGGGTTGGATCTCGTTCCCGCTCTTGTCCTGGTGCTTGTGCCTCTTTATTGACGTCCGATTTGTATTTCTCAAATTGTTCCTTCCTGGCCTCGAGCTGGCTCTTGTCCGGGAGACCAAAGCGTGGTTTATTGCTTGTAGTCGCCCAGCGCAGCTGCGTTACCGGTGTCCGGGAAGCATACTGGAAGAGGCGCAAAATCACGAGGCCTCTAGAAGTCGGAGGCATGGCTGGATGGGATCGGAGTCCCGGGCGGGATGAAGGGATGGTGGGTTTGGATTGCTGTTGCGCTCGTGGTTGCGCCCGTCGTCATAATCGCATGGTTAAGACTTGACACATCCTAAGTCGGCCCTTCAGAAAGCTGGTAAGGGCAACATCTACAGGACATGGCAGTAATGTGGTGGACTCGCATTGAAGAATTGTTGATACCGAGAAAACTTGAGGCAGGTTTGCCGAATTGACTTCATATCAATTCTTCACCCCGAAACCCCTTTAATCGGATCAAGTACTGCATATATCGCGAGTGTCCCACGGTGCATATTGCTGAACTTCAGCCATTCAGAGTATGTGCATTCGAATTAGGCGGGTCGAGCTTGTTTCGGGAATGTAAAGTCTCCAATCGACCTAGCAGCCCGGTGATGGGCGGTCACTCGCAAATGAACCTTTGAGTTAGGAGAATGAGATATCAATACCGAGAAGCCTCTGGAGAACATGCATTCTCTGGAGAACATGCATTTTGATCTCAGCCTCTTGTTGTTTGGGCACCAAGCAGTGCCACCATGAAATTCGGTAGTATGAGAGCTGTAAGTCGATATGGATATATACGGTGCCCTCCCCAGATCCATGCACTGGCAGTGAATGCACACAAAGATATTGTGCCGCACACGAATCACGCAGGTTTGCAAATCAAAACGACCAAAAAAGAAATCTGCGCACCTACCTGGAATCGAACCCACGCTCGCCTCTTTGTCCAGTATGGGGATATTTGTCAACGAGCAAAAACTCAAGTTTCGAAGATCATCGGCGGTCTTGATGATCCTCGCACCCGAGAAACCCCCAGTCGTTGGAAGGGGTTTTTTCCGGTTATCGTCAGGTTGCTCTCCTACCATATGCACTCACGGTTGAGCCAATAAGTGGTAGGGACCTTCTTCCCTCGTCCGCAGTCTCACCACCGCTATACCGGTAAAGTATAGGAGCAGCGCTTGAACTCGGAGTCAGTCCAGTCAGGGGTCCACCTCTAGGATTCGTGGCTTCGCCCAAGTGCAAACTGTCTCATGCCTGGCGTGTACACCCTCACGCCCCAACTAGCCTGGCTCAAGTCGTACCGCTACGACTATCAAGGCCAGGGTTGGGACCCGGGATAGACATAAGATTGTTGGAGGAAAATGCGAAACAATAATATATCACTGCACTATTTCATTGTGTCATGTGATTGACTTCCTAGGTGAGGGTGAAGTAAAGGTAAGGTCAGGTGCAGCGTCCTCCAGTGATATTCACAGAACGCGTACTTCCTGGAAATGACTACACGCAATAGCAGAGGGCATTTCGAGCGTTCGCCGACTCATCAATCATCTACAAAGGCCCTCGAGGAGCGGAAGGGGGTGTTACAGGACTTCCTTTCCTTTGCTATGGCTATCAAGATTTTCTGATACGCACTGGCACCAGGGGTGAGCGAGGATGGGTGCCACAGAGCTACAGGTGAGTGCATCAAACGTGCAATCACAGCTTCTATTCCAGCGCAGCTACAGAAGTCTAGTTGGCGAATTTACTAGCAGTCACCCCCTTGAGTCTGCCACGCGGGACGAACAAGATGCAATTGAAGAGAACGGAGACGCCTCAGACGGGGTTAAACACAAGTTTCGGCGCGGGTGGAATTCAGGACAAGATACTGACTCTACTCTCTGCACTATGCTCTGCAGCGCTTATCCATGTCTTCCAAGTCCAGTGGATTCCTTACCACAGTTCACCGGTGGACTCACAAGTCCCAGAAGACTTTTGGACCCGTGCCTGATCGGATCGATTGAAGAGCAACCATCTTTCTTCGGGTCGACTCTTGTATTATTGCTTGTCAGCTTGTACGCTTCATACAAATAGTGGGCCTGATTGCCAGTTCAGGGAACTTTGGGCGTCATCGCGCGCCCAGGTATGGATGAATACCTACTTACCCAAGAAAAATCTAAACCATGTGGAGTCAATGGAAGACGAATATAGAGAAACAGATCAGAACGTAACAACAGAGCATAAGATATTTCCAATGTTTTCGGTATTCTCAACAGCATCCGCTGTGAATGCTATACTATAGTTCGCAATGCTATTTTGAGCAAACCCAGAGTATACTCCCCCGGGATTATATAAAAGAAGCCCCCGGAATCCTGTCCATGATATCCCACCCAATCCTGTCCTGTAATCTTTACATGGTTTCTCAATGTCCATGTCGAAACCCCTTTCCATTCCCAGCACAATGCAATGCAATATATGCTGTACCCGAAGAGTTATGATCCTATGCAGACACACATAGTACTCCAAGTATTTTTTTAAGGTACTGATATTTCCCCGTCATCCAGTCTTCCATTGTAGGAAGTCTCCGACTGGTGCCTGATCTCACTTTCGTTGGAAGCAAGACGGGTTGTGGAGCTCATGCCGAAGAAGTGGTCACGAGTCTCGCGTCGAGGCTTTGTTTTCGTGTCACGGTCATTAGCGGTATGATATGCTGGAAATCGATGCAAAAGTGCCGGAACTTTCCGGGATCTGCACGTCTGTTCTGTGTCGTGCCGAAAGGTCGACACACAGTAGTGCGGAGATCTCGAGGTTCCATTTCCCGGAAGAAGTCGAATCGAAAACCAAGAGGTCGCGGCCTGTTGTTATCAAATGGACTCAGGAGCCCATTTACAACATGGCAGCGACCATCATGGCGGCGGCAAGAGCAGCACCGGCGATCTTGAACCCGGCCGGGGGCAGAGCTGCAGCGGCACCAGTGAAGACGCTGGCCACAGGGGCCACTGGTGCTGTCGATGACGGGACGACAGATGTGGTGATGACGGGCGCCACCGGGGTCGTCGACGGAGCTGCGGTCGTGATGGGAGCAACCGGGGTAGTGGTCACTGCAGCAGGAGTGGAGCTGGTCCAGTCGACCCAGACTGAAGAAGTCTCGATGGGAGCTGGAGCAACAGTGGTGCTGTTCGCAGCAATCGGGGCCGGGGCCACAGAGCTGGTCCAGTCGACCCAGACCGAAGATGAAGTCTCCACGGGCGCCACGGGAGCAGGGGCCACGGACGAAGTCCAGTCGGCCCAGCTGGTTGTCTCGGCCGGGGCAGGAGCCACGGCAGCAGAGGAAGTCCAATCGCCCCATACAGTGGAAGAAGTTTCCACGGGAGCTGGAGCAGCGGAGGAGGTCCAGTCAGCCCAAGATGTTGTTTCGGTTGGGATCGGGGCGGGGGAAACAATCTCAGAGGAGGAAGTGGTCCAATCGACCCATTGGGAATGGGTTTCTGCGGGTGCTGGTGCCTGAACTGGGGAAGGGGAAACGATCTCAGATGAGGAAGAAGTCCAGTCAGCCCACTGGGAGTGGGATTCTGTCGTTGTGCTCTCGGGGATAGGGCTAACAGCAGGAGAGGGAGTGGTTGTCGTGGATGAATTCCAGTCTTGCCAGACGTGGGTAGTTTCAGGGGCGGGAGCAGGGGAAGGAGTAGTGGTTGTTGTGCTCTCTGCGATAGGGGAGGCAGCGGGGGTTTCTGTTGTTGTTGTCTCTTCGCAAGACGACGTCGACTGACCATTTTCAGCTTGACCTGACCAGTCTCCCCAACCTCCACCAGATTGTCCTCCTGGACCTCCGTGACCACCCCATCCTCCTGGACCAAATGGTCCGGGGGCGGCGACAGCCATTGCCGCAAGAGACATGATAATAGCCGACTTCATGTTGACGATGGCTTGTTTTGAGATTAGTTTTTCAAAGACAGAAGAGAGAATACTTTCTCCTCACGGGACTTTTGTTGAGTAGTTGCAGTCTTTATAACACTGGGAACGAAGGAATCTCGCGTTCTGACAGCAAAGAGTATAGGAGTGAATGACTTTTTGCAATCTGAAGGATGACAGAAGAACAATGTCAACGAGGAGTGGGAAATGGGTTCAAATACCCGTCAGGAGCAGCCATGGCACGTCATGCAAGGCGAGAGGTTGACATGATGTGCTGTGTAACTGGGTCTTAAGCATTCGCTAGTCACTTGATTCAGGGGTGGCAGGTCAGTCAATGAAGTACTGACCTTCAATAGTACTATTCACATAACGACGAGGTCGTTGCTGTGCTGTGAACACTCACCGGCTTTCAGTAGGTATAGAATAGGAGAACGGGCCAGGCTGGGGGCTGGGATCCGCAGCAAGCACGGGGCTCCATAGGCTTGGTCCAGCTGGGAAGAGAAGGCTGGCGACAGGAACGCAGCCAGTCAGGCGCATAGGATGCCCGGTAGAAACTGAACTGACAAGCGTCAGGAAGTTGGTGGACGAGCACTGGCCCAGGGGGATGTGGTCAAGGCGGAGCGAATGAGGAGGCTGGCTTCATGGTGAAACGGCGCCAACCTCGCCGGGGGCCCGTGAAAGATGGTTGGGGATCGGTTGGCGGCGCGATAGGCGCGATATAGGAGAGCACGGGTTCTTCCCTAGCTGGAACATGGGCGGCTTCGATCTGCCACAGGCCCATCACCGGGGTGGCTTGGTGACTTGTCTATCCCCTCAGACCTTGGGGAAGCTGACCATATCACTAGCAGCTTTGTCCTTTTGCCCATTTCTTCGGTAGTGTGACCAATAGAACATCCCCAGCCCTTCAATTGGCCTCTTTGGGACTTTTGTTTCTGGTCGATGCTGGAGAAGCTCGTGTGAACTCGTGGCAGATGGAAGTTGCCCATGGCCGGTTTGCTTCCATGTCGTAAAGGATGCTTTGATTGAAGGATTCAGACTCGCTTGCTGTGCTGATGATCCCCTGCTTGACACTTGTTGAGGCAGTCTGTGACAGACGTTTCTTGTTGGCTGAGCCTTTTCGCGGTCTCCGCATCGCTCAAACGGCGAAGACCTGCAACTGGACGAATGATCTCTTCCTTTGGGCCCTGCTGACAGCGGGGGAATCCAACTTCAACCGAGGACTGCTAGCTGACAGGCTCAACAGAGAGTCAAGTCGCATTTCCAAGGTCACTGATGCAGGCCCAGTCCATCCATTCATCCATTCCTTCCATCAGTCAAAATCAATCGACCATTGACGTTCAAGGCAGGTAGTAACGTGGTCGAAGCCGTCGTCGACCTGTATCTTCGAGCGGACTCGACCTTGGAATATCGACCAAACAACTGTGGCACAAGCGACTCGGATACTCGCAGAATCTGGATTTTGGGCCACCTTTCCCAGGAGACAACATGACGTACAGTAGTGAAATATCCTTCACGCTGGACACAATCTGTCCGTGGTAAGACACTCACCCCTCCGCGCGCCCTGGATCCTGGTTTCGGGCGGCGGACTGTTGGGATTCGGGCTGATCCCGTTGCACAGGACGTATCTGGCGAAGAAGAGGTCTGTTTGCTTTCTTCTCGCACAGCATCTGCATGCTATCAGCAGATCCATTCTGCAATTCGAATCGTCGGTGGTACTGACACGCGTTGACTTGCATTTGCAGATTGGACGAAGGTTTGTGCGCCCGTATGACGGCAAAATGCAAGCTGCAATCATACAATCCTGCAATCAGTTCTTCTGTTCTCTGTCTCCTGCTCCTTTCACATATCCAATCGGCCCAGCTGTGGTCTGGTCCTGTCCGCCTGACACTCGACAGCCCTTCGTCGATTCCGACAGAGCGATGACGCCAAAAATACCACGTTTGTCGTCAAGTATCTTCCATACCAACTGGCCCCCGAGACTTCCAAGGAAGGGGAGGACAAATATGAGTGGTATAAGAAATCCAGATATGGAGACTCGGAAGAAAAAATGAAGATGTATATCACGTTGATGACGGCATATGGTAAGACCGCAGGCATCGAGTACAAGTTTGGCGGTACCGTCGCAAACACGCTGGATGCGCATCGAGTCGTCCAGTATTTTCAGGAAGCGAAGGGCCCTGAAGTAGCGGATAAGATGATCAATTGTGAGATGCTTCCTCTTCCCTAGCAGGCACGGGGCTCACTCCCGGCAAAGCGCTGTACTCGCAGTATTTCGAACAGGAACAGCATCCCTCCAAGGACGAGACGTTGCTCAAAGCGACAGCAGATGCCGGCATCCCTGAAGAGGAGGCGAGGCCCGTCATTGAAGATAAAACCGAAGGCTTGATGGATGTCAAGTCGCTAATCGGCGACCAGGCTGTGAACGGAGTGGACAGTGTGCCGACCATCGTCTTTGAAGGTAAGAAACGAGATTTCACCCTCATTGGGGCTAGAGATGTGGAAGAGTATGAGAAGACTCTGCACCAGGTAGCAAAAGAGAGCGTCTGAGACAGAGACATAGGTAGTTACTAGGTGTAAACAATGGAATTGACGATACAATGTCTGGAATGTGAACCATTGTTTGGCCTTCACTCCCTTGAGTCGACGACCATCTGATATAGTGTATACTACAAACACGTAGACTCATCTTGACTGTGCCTCCCATCTGTGGATCTCTATACTTCGAAAATCTCACCAAAGCCAACGCCAGCTCCAGCCCTTCTGGCATCGACCAGATCCAGTCTCCAACCCACCCATTGCTTCAAGCCTCGCTTGACCTCTCTGACGTGTTCGACCATCTGGCGTGCCTCTTCCTCTCTTTGGGCTTGGACGAATGCAGTTTCATCAAAAGCGTCATCATCATCACCAAACTCCTGGAGTAGAGAATCATTTCGAGGTCGAGTCTGATGCTGCGCCTGTGAAGTAGGGGATGCCGTGCTGGCCCGGAAAGCGGCAAGGCCAGAATTCAGAACCTGTGCAAACCCAGAGTGTCGAGTTTGTTGTTGTTGTTGTTGTTGCAGAGAATTGGCGAAACTTCTCCTCCTGCTTCCCTGACCTGTGCCCGACAAATCGACCTCATCAAAGTCTTCCGCAGGATCCAAAGATGTCCTCGACCCTTCATCGCCACGGGGTTGCATTTGGATCCTCTTGTCCCTCCAGATGCCCCGTTGCAAGTCGGATACCTGGCCCTCCAATTCACGGATTCTGTGTTCGAGCTTCTGTCGTTCTTCATCCTCCAATTCATCAAGACCGTCCCCTCCTCCATCGCCACTCATTGTTCTTTTGTGTTTCTCTCTCAGCCGGGTGATTTCACCCTCAACCTTCTCCAGTTTGGCCCGAAGGCCTGGGACTTCCCTGGCAGCAGCTTCAGCAGAGGCAAGTTTCGCAGCGTTCCTGGCTTCCGCTTCTCTATGCAGCTTATTCATGGCATCAATCTTCTTCTCCAGCTGCTCTGCCTTCTTCATCACTTCATTTCGCTGAGAGACAGCCTCCTGGAGCTCCCGCTCCAGCGTACGGATCTTTGTCTCTTTGCTCGTTTGCTCCGTGCCATCAATAACAGCCTTCTCACTCGCCTTAGATAATGCTTTCTTCACATCAAATAGTTCAGTCTCAAGGGCCTTAGCCTTGCTCTCTGCCGTAGACAGAGACGCTTGCAAAGCAGAGATCTGCTCCCCATGGGTTTCACAGCCTTGCGTCTGGCTAGATAACTGGCTCCGTAATCTCGATATTTCCAATTGCATGTCGGCGATCGTGGAGTCTTTGTTTTCCAGCTGCACCTTGAGGGACTCTAGGTCTTCTGCACCGCCATGTGCACTGTCTTTCCGCGCAGTGCTGTTCCTGCGCCGCAACGTTTCGATTTCGGCTCTCAGCCTATTCAGCTCATCCTGTGTACTTCCACCGGCGGACGCTGACTTCTCGGCATTCTGTTCTCGGAGCTCCTCCAGCTCCTCTTCCACGCGTCTCCATCGCTTTTCATGATCCTCTGCTTCCTTGGCCAACCGTCTGTTCTCCTTTTCGAGTTCTTCGATTCTCGACAACGATGCGGCTGCGGCTGCGGGGCTTAGGGGTCCACCGTCTCGGAAACTCGTGCTTCGAATCTTGCTCTGGAGGCTGACACTTGGCTGGCGCGCGGAATGTCGTGACGCTTTCATAGAAGAAGACGTGTCCTGGTCACCAGAGGCAGGTGAGGGTGTAGGTGGCGACTGGTCCGCCTCTTGGTCCGGCGATGCTTCACTGGCGGCGCGGATGGCGTCGTTGAGGGCATCTTCATCGGCATTCGACGGTTCCGCTGTGGCTTCATGGGCAGGCTCTGGCTCTTCAGGAGTAGGCTTCGCTGCTTCATCGACCTCCGCCTTTGCACTCTTGTCCTCTGTATCTGGCGCCGAGTCGCCGGCAGCGGGTTCGTCTTTGGCAGGATCTTCGGCGGATTTAGCTTTGGCTGTTTTGTCTCCGGTACCGACCGCCGCCTTCTTCTTCTTCTGGAGCTGGGCAACCTATGATGTCTGTTAGTAGTGTTGGACATGGTTCGGGCACAATGCTCATTACTCTTTTCTTAGCGGCGGCCAACTTCTCGGCCTTTTCCTTGTCCTCTTTCTCGCCCATGGTGTAGATGACCGGGATGGTCACTCAGTGGATGGAGAGGGTGAGAAGAACGAGCCAACGCTGGGTGGGAGATTTGCTCATCAGGATCTTGAAGTTCAATGTACATATGGCGCAGGCTGCGTGTGGCATGGTCAAACGTAGGGTACGCGACGTAGGCAGCCAATCGCAAACATCGAACAACATGGTCACAATTCGTGTGGAGAGACTTCAAGTTCTCCAGCATTTACCTCCACCAACCTTGATTGATCTCACCAGGGACTCAATCGAGCCCTTATTTGCCTGCCATAGACGCCTTACCATAAGGTATATGAGCACCTCTTACTATACGCCAGTGCGTAGTCCAGCCCCGCTTACGACATGCTAGAGGAAGCAAGCTGACTGTTGAATACGCTTATGAGCTAGCCTAATAACGCATCAAACAATGCCCTGGAACTTGGAGTCGAACAGCTCCCCTGCTTGGTTCGCTCGCCAGAGAACCTGATTTCCCCCATCCTGTCACGGCTAAGTCAATATACCATCCTAGACAATACTCCAGCCTGTCGACAGAAACCGAAACGCGTGCTCTCCCAAATGTCGTATCCGGGCAGGCAGATTCCTAAAGCCGCTCCCACCGGCCTCGTTGGAACGCCCTGAACATTCTGGGTATCATTAGTAGTACAAACACAGAATCCCTTCCTTCCTTCCATCCATGACGCCATCCAGAAAGCAGTAAAAGCAGAGAGCGAGACAAATATAGTTCAAACCTCCATAGCTCCCACAACTTCTTCACTCAGAGCACGCACCGTGCTCTTGCTGTTACTCCTAGCGCTTCGCACTTCTTCATCACTGAGGACGTAATTATCGTGTTCGTCGACCACAGGGCGGGTTGGGGGTGGGAAGTAGTCGTCTTCCATTCGATCGACGAAGGGTGGTCCCTCGCCCTCTTTCTCAATCGACGGCATTTCTGCGTCGTCAGGCTCGACATCGATACCGGTCCGATTGCCAAGCCAGTATTTAGCTCTTTTATGGGCGCCCAAATCCGGGGTCATCCAGCCATCGGACTCGTCCTCGGCAAATCTCTTCGCTTTGATCGGGGTACGAAGCCCGTCCATCGTCGACATGGCCAACACGCTGATGCCCCTGAGATATAGATAACACACGCGCTTCCTGGCCTTGTTAAAGAAAAAGTAGTTGATTGACCACAACGATCCTTCATCGTCCTCCTCAAAGGGGTCAAAGTCTTCCGGCGCGTATCGGTATATGCTGCATTCGCGCAGGCTCATTTGTTGATCAATAAGTCTCCACATACCTGGACCCCAGTGGGTCTGACTTGACGGGGGGCAGGCGGACTCCGGAGCCAGACCAGGAACGTTGAGGAAGGAATTCAGTGGTCGAGGACGCAGGTTGTACAAAGTGGTGTCTAGAGTGTTCATCACCTGACGGAGACTCTTTTCCCGCTTGAAGTCCGTCGGCCGAAGCATGTGGGAGAAGTCGTAATCTGGATGGCTCGCATTAAGCGTCGCAATCAAATATGCGTATGTCCTCCTTGAACTGGTAATTCCGAGGTTTCCAAACGGACTGCTTCGGCTCAGATTCAAGCTCGAGGCCATCATATGTGCTTGCGGCGGAGAGAGCGAATGGGAGAATTGGAGATTCGATTTATATTGTTCTTCCAGGCCATGTTCGATGTTCTTGTACAGCTTCTTGTCTCCTCCTGCTGCCTTGGTCGTGTACAAGTCGCATCCGCCGATGACGTGGAGATCAGGAGTGGTGAAATTGAGGGAGGAGGTGACAATGTCAAGATCGCGATTGGGTACAAACTAAAAAGAAACGTCAGTCTGATGGAATATGATGGGAAGGATGCCTGATCTCACCTTCATTCTGACTAGATTGTGCTGGAGCGCAATGAGTCCCACCGCGGCGCACTGCGTACCGTGAGTAATAGACGAAGAGTCGCGCGGTGTGCGCCTACTGATAAGATGAAATCGGTAACTCGCAAGCGCCCGCCCTGCTCACGGACAGAGTTCGCGCTGTTGTGCAGGCGGTTGGAGTGCTGTGGATGAGTCGGATCGCCTGAACGTGCTAGGTAATCGCAAACGCGGAGATATCCAAGCTGGCTGCAAGACCAGCTCTCGAGCCGTTGAGTAGCCAGACGTCAGACGTCTAGCAGGTCACTGATTGATGATAGAATCCCATGACAGATAAGATGTTGTTGATGCGATGGAATGAGGTGAGGTTGGCCTGCGGGCGGAGAAACCCAGATTCAGGTTCAAGTTGCGCGGCACAGGCCAATGGTACGAAGTGTCACGTGAGCGGTCCAAGCCAGCCAATGAGGTGGCACACCTCGCACATGCATCGAAGCGAGCGACGACAACGGGTTCATACTCACACCATCAGGGTTTCGCATCATGATAAGGGCGAGTCGTTGCCGATAGGACGATATGTAAAACGTGGAAGGACAAGACTGTATGACAAGGCTCGGAGGAACCGCTGTTCATGTTAGCTGGCAGCCAGGGTGGGTGATCTTAACATGCTTCAATTTATAGCAACGCCTCATAACATTGTACATGATGCTTCTGCTGCGTCCTGGCAGCAGAAGGAGTAGACCTTGTTTTCAAGGTCCATGTATGTCTCCCTGGGTATCCTTTCCCTCAACGCCTACCCCTTACCACCGGTGGTACCACTGATTTCCAGAGAGGACGGGCGGGATCATATCATACCGCTCTCCTTCAGCGCTTTCTCGGCGTCCTGCGAAATAATAATGTGTCAATTCTTCCATGTTCTCATCACATTGCATAATCATGACACGTTGCAAATGTTCGTGGCACGGAGGTCGATGGTGGTATCCATGTGTGCTCCTAGACAGGATATGTCACAGAAGCGGCAGGGTTTTCAGCATCATGTTCTACATGATCTTGGTGACGTCTTCTTCAACCTGAATGCGAGTAAATCTCGCGGTCAGTTTCACTTTCGCAAGTAGAAAATTGAGGAACGAAAGCATGTCGCAGTCAAGTTGACGCTGTAGGACAGGAACAGGAAACGAGAACGCCGGCACACGATACCGCAGACCGGCGAAGCAAGGTGATCCATGGCTAGGCGAAGCTGGAGTGAGTGTGGAAACACATACCTCCATGTCCTCGAGGCTGTCTTGTTGGCTTATGCATCTCAACACATTTTTCTTACTGCTCTCTTGCATTTCACCGGCAAGGAGGAGTTCATCCAGAATGAAGTATGCCTTCTGAAAGTTGAAGATAATGTCCAACTCGCACACATTGCCGTAGTACTTGTCCATTTGTTCAACGTATCGGTGAACGATCTCGAGGGTGATCAGTTCATTGTCTGTGGAGGCACAACCGGCGATGAAGAAGAGAGATGCATAACGACGGTAGACAACCTTGGTGTCTGATAGGAAAAGACTGTCAGCCTGAAATGGACGAAAACGTTGGAGCTGTGGTCGAACGCGCAGTTTGGATGGAAAGGAGCAAAACAGCGTGGACGAGCGCACCCTTGTATTCGAGAAAATTGCACATTCGAGTACGCCGGGAGAGAACAAGTTGAGAGACATCCTTAATGATTTTGGCCTTGTCTTTGGGCGACAGCGTGGTAAACCATTTCGCAAGCCTCTATTTTCAGATTGAGGTCAGCTAAAGAACACAGCGGTGGGCAACCGTGGATAGTATCATCGTACCACTTTGCCCTGCCGGGACAGCAAGATGAGATAGCTACTCGTTCATTAGTATGGTTCTGACTGTCAGAGCCCGTATTGCCTCACTTGATGGCCATCTTGCCGCCACAGGTTGCAGGTACTTTGAAAGTAGATGCGAGAAGACAGAAATTCGTAAAATGGAAGACGGAGGAAATTAGGTCGGTGCAGTGGACCACGACTTGTCAGCCAAGTGGTGGCTAGGATTACAGTGCTTTCATCTCGGAGCAAATGCCCGCGCGGAAGAAGCCTAACTACCCAATTTAGTCTAGTCTGCAACGGCTGGAGCCGCTTCTTCTTCGCAGGCCTCTCACGTAGTGGCATATTGCAAAGCACTGGATTACTAACTCCAACCACAGTGCTCTAACAGTACCCCGCTGCGGCAAAGGTCTAATGCTCCCCATGTCGTGAGACCTCAATTGCTGCCCATACCATCACGAACGCTGCGGCGATTACGCCTTTTTTGAACAGACAGAGCGACTTGAAGCCTCATATATCTCAGGACGATCGTATAGTCACGCACGGGAAAAAATCTTTTCCTGTCAGAGGGCTTTCAAGATGAAATTAGTACTCTCCACCTCGTGCGTACTTTCTTTCTCTCCATCTCTCGGCCTGGACTAACATGAGTCCATTCGCGCAGGAATATTATGTGCTCAAGTCAAGCAATTGTGCGGCGGCCGTTATTCTCGAAATCTAATATCGAGCTCATCAATGCGCTACGAGCAAACTTTGTTGCCTACAAGCACCATCACCACAGCGGTGCCAACCACGAAGATTTCGACTACCAGCAGTGGACCACGCAGGAAGATGATACGCTATATGTACCGTCATGGCGACCAACGCCACTAACCGAACCTCGCGACTCCTACGATGTCACGGCGAAGCTATTCTTTCTGCCCTCCATACCGTCCGAGCGGCGCTGCAAACATACCAGAGAAGCCATTGATCTGGTGTTGAAAGAGTTGGGCATCGACAGCATTGATCTTCTGATTGTGAGTTATCCCGGCGTCAGCTTTGATGCGGATGACGAAGAGGATGGTTCTGCGGACGAAGACGAGAGCGCTGTCAGCGATGAGTCTCAAGGGTTGGATGCGCAGGTAAGGACATGGAAAGTTTTGGAATCGCTCCATGAACAAGGAGTAATATCACAACTCGGAGTGTCAGAGTTCAGTTCGGAACGCCTCAGCAAATTCTTGCCAGAGGTGAAAGTGCGGCCAACGGTGGACCAGATCAATGTCAAGGACTGCTGCGTTGTGCCCAAGTCGCTCATCATGTATGCCAAAGAAAACAACATCGAGCTGTTGACTCATGCCGACTGCACGGATATCCTCCCGCCTGGAACAACGAGGGAACTGCTGGGACCGGGGAAGGACGGCGCCAAAATCATCGCGGCACGCCCAGATGCTGGTCCCGAGGAGCCTGGTCTGAAGGGGGATGTGGAGCCTCAGTGGGTGATCAAATATACGGCCGTGGTGAAGAACCGGGGCGTCATTGAGAACAAGGGATATTTTGCTGTTGCGCAGTTGGGGCATTGTATTGAGGCCAAACCGGTTGACTCAATATAAGCATGGTGGGTATGATAGACAGATTTTGGGATTAGCGCGGCGCAGGTTGGTCAAGTTTGGGCTCTCTTCACCCGATCATGCTTTTCTTCCTGCCTCTCATCCTGACGTCTTCAAGTCTTTTCAGCACGATATTGGAGCCCTTGAAACTGCCTCTGTAACCATCCTGACTTTGTAGCACTTCGGCGTCGAACCAGGCTTCTTGCCTGGGATGAGTCGATCCAAAGGCCCGCTCGAGGACATACAAATCCACGGCACGGTCTTCGTCTTGGACAGACTGAGTGGCCAGCCCGAAGTCGATCAAGACAATTTCTCCGTCCAAGTTTGGCGGCACCGCTAGTTTTCGTTCTGTCTTTGCATTCTCGTTATCCGTCATAGCTGCCGAGCCGTTCTGCACAGAGGTATTCGTGGGAGGACGGAGCATGATGTTACTGCTCGTCAGATCACCATGGACAACTGCACCTTTACTGTGCATGGCGCCCACTGCCCTCCCAATCCTTCGGAGCAACTTCTTCACTGCCTCCTCTTGAGCTTCAACCTCGTCTGCTGGCACAGTCGAGCCGGGTTCTTTGAGCCACAAATCCCACTCGCGTAATAAATCTTTGACACTTTTGCCGTCGATCCACTCCATGAGTAGCCATGCGCCTCCGCCGGGAGTCCCTCGCGCACCTCGCTGCTCGCCAGTCAAGCCTTTGACTTTCCTTGAGGCATCCCATTCCAGACTCAGGACAGCGGGAACCTTGACTTCGTTGGCTGGATCACTTGCGAGCGCAGAGAGTTTGACAAGTACCCTTGCTTCAGCGAGGACGCGCTGTTTTGTAAGTCGGGCATCGAGGGTGGGATGCCGGTAGGGTTTACTGGGGCGCGCTTTCAATGCGGCAGGGGTAGATGGTGTAAGGAAATGAGTGCGGTAGAGGAGCGCCTCAGCGCCCTGCGTGATTAGCTCCGGAGGAGGCTGCGTCTCGGTGAAGGGATAAGGAAGGAAGTGTTCCTTCTCACGAGGAGGAGTGTTCGTAGGAGATGTCATGGTGAAAGAAACGACATGAGGTGACGGTGGAAGCGGCGGCGCAGGAAAGATGGAATGCCTTGGTGGTCTTATAGTATCCGGAGAGCTTTCTCCCCTGCGAATTGACTTCGGTCGCAACTACCTATCACAGCAAGAGACTCTTTCTTCAGTTACTCCGTTTCCCGCCTGCAGCAACTGCCATGATGAATTGCGGAGCGTTCGGTGTAAGATATTCGAGGCTGCCGCGAGTCATGAACCCTTGCGCCTCCACTCAGAATGGGTCGTGCACCTGACTCGCTACACGTCAGTTCATTCCCCTCGAGCTTCCTGAACTTGAACTGCTGATACACTCCTTCTCTACAGGAATCCTCTGGTCTACCAAGTGCTACTTGCTGCAACTTGCATGATTACAATATTATGACACTCGATGGACAGAGCCATCAATACTGCTGATGTCCGGCTGGCTCAGGCTCCAAAGATTGGCTTGAAATAAGCACTGCTTTTCTCAGCCTGACCGTCTGTGTTCATGTCTGTCTTGCGCCGGCCCCCTAGCCCTGCGCGGACGACGGCCGTCCAGCACCGAAAGGTCGAAGCGAAGGAAAAGCATGCAGGTAAACGTCTAGCGCCAGTTTCTGATCCTGCTCATCTGCACAGGTAGAAGCTGCAAATCGCGATGGCTGACTGCATCTTGCATCTCGGCATTGAGATGGTATGCAGCGTTGCACAAGGCACCCAACGATACCTTGTTCACTCTTCTCAGCCGCACTTTAGTTTGGACTCGATTGTACGCTGCACTCCTCAGACCAATATGCCCCTTGCCTTGCAGTGAGTGATATGAAACGGGCAGCCTCCTTATTTTGACCCTGAGTTCGGGGTTAGAAAATACTACTTCGCGGGGCAGGTAGGCAATTCCCTTGCTACAGATGCCCTGGGGAGCGGTTGAGAGAACCGCGCAGTCAGAGCTCCTCAGCTTCTGAGTTTCAACGGAATTTCTCTTGAGCTGTTCACTCCGGATGATCTATCTCGCGAGCCCAGCCTTGTTCTGGAAACTAACCAACGACGGTGCTGGACCATCTATCGAGCCTCGTTGAGCAAATTCGCAAAGCACGACGTCTTCGAATGGCAAATGAAATGCCGCGCTATACAACTAATGAACCATCTCAGCCCTTTAGCTATTGGATTTGTCTCGTCCGTGTTCTCCTTGTGGTTGTTTATGGATATACCTTCCGACGACCTCTAAAGCGACAGACAATCGGCATTCTCGTGGCTTTGATGGTCGTCCTTATCCTGGGACATGTCGATTCCACTGCGCAGCGACAGTCAACGGGCTCTAGCACCCAACGAGATGCATCAATTGTCTCATTTGCTGTATCGGCTGACCTTGCCAACTGGTGCTTAAGTATCTTTATAGCGTCCAACCTTATCTACTACCTCCACCGGTTGCCTCTCCATTTCAGTATATATTCGGTCACATTCTGTGCAGTGATGGCACTGCTGAGTACTTCTAACCGCCGACGACTGCATGATGCAATGCCACAGATGTCTCCCTCTATTGCGCCCTACCTTTGGGGCTTGCTGGCTTGTTCTATGCTGCCTTTGTACCGTTCATGGAGTGGTTGGGAAGACCTCCAGTCACACTTGATCGATATCCTAGTCTTCGTTCAGGCAGGGAGGCAAGCCATCCGGGAGAGGCCCAATCTTCCGGATCAGACGAGGATTCAGTCATCCAATATGGAGCCACCAGTGCCCTCAATGCAAGGCTCAGAGGAGACCGACTGGAGCGACTCCGAGCGTTGGGAGGCTTTCTCAGAATGGTCAACGGGAATCGCCTACAACCACCTGACTGGTGATAAGATCCGGATCCTTCAGAGGGTTCATGATGAGCCCGGTGGGGCAGATGAACTACGCTTCACGTTGACTGATCGTCCGCTTTCCGACATAGAGGGCCAATATGTCGCGGTGAGCTATTTTTGGGGGAAGCATACAGAAGAGAAACGGTACATTTACATCAATGGGCACAGAGCCTTCGTCACACGAAGACTTTACGACACTTTGCTTGAGGTATGTCGAGTATGCGATATTCCTTTCTGGGTGGACGCTCTCTGCATCAATCAGAGTGACTTGGCGGAACGAAGCGCTCAGGTCCTCCGAATGAAAGCCATCTATGGGAAAGCAAAAGAGGTTGTTGCCTGTCTCGGCAGTGAGGACGACGATGACCATTGCTCCCAGATGATGCGTTTCCTGAATTCGACATCGATCGACGGGCCAGAGAAAGTGGAGTTTCCGGTTCGGGGCAAGGCTTCCTTTGATGACTTGAAGGCCTTGGTGCGACGCCCATACTGGCGCAGGGTATGGATCATACAGGAGATCGCTGCTGCTAAAAAGGTATCACTGCTGGCCTGTGAGGAGCAGGCTCCGTTGGACAAATTGTCACATCTTTTGGTGCACGTTGATAAACAGCCTCCCCATCAGACAGAGTGGCCAGAGTTCAACAGAGACTTGTACCTAGTCAGGCAAATCTTGGATATACGCGCCCGGCGGATTAACGATCAACCACTACGGTTGCTTCAGATCCTGGTCAAAACGCAGAGATCACTTTCGACAATGCCGCACGACAAGGTGTTCGGTTTGCTCGGCTTGACCACTGATGGACAAGATTTTGTGGCCGAGCCAGACTACAAAGTGTCCGAGGCCGAAGTGTGTAAAAGGATGACTCGCTCGTTCATCGAATCCCGACTCAACCTGGATATTATCCTAGCAGGAAGCCAAAACCCGGAAGACTCACTCTTACCATCGTGGTGTCCAGACTATCTGAGAATTGCGAACACACCTCTGGCGGTGGAGGACGACATCAGCTTCGTTAAGTATATCTCGGGCGAGGATAAATGCCATCGACTGGGAAAGGAGGGCACCATGTGGGAGACGACGGGCGGCCGCACTGGCGAACGGCGGGTGCACGTCGATTTCCGGGACGACGAGCTTGGTCTCCGCGGCCTCCGGATCGGGAAGATCGGCGTCCTCGGAGCAAGCGGCCTTCAAAGGACGGCCAGCGACACGGATATGGATGCAGAGGACCATCAGTTCGTGCTCATGAAGCAAGACACGGGGTTCGCGAAGCGCAAGTCCAGACCCAAGCCCAACAAGTCCAATAATAGTGAAGGGCGACGACCATCCAGCGAGCCGAAGCGAGGCTATTCGACCTACGACGGAATCTGTCGTATGTTACTCATCTACGACCGTCACTATACCGAGTTCACCAAGAACCCAATCGTGCTGGGGATGCTGTACAACATCGGATACCTGGCGTACGCTGCGTTTGGGGGCTCCAAGGCGGACATGGTGTGGCACTGGCTGCAGAGGAACCGCAACCTGTCCATTCACGGCAAGACGTTGCGCGATCGGGCCTTCTACTCGTGGGACCGCGTCGGGCATAACTACCTGGCGGGCTTCTTCAAGCTGAGCGCCAGAACCATGACCGTGTGGCAGTACCACCACATCACCGAGTCGGTGGCCCGCATCATCGGCCAGCATGTACGGCTCATGTCCACCGCCGCCGGAGAGGTGGGCTGGGTCCACCTAAACGCCAAACTCGACGACGAGATCTTCCTCTTCGAGGGATGCAGTTTACCTATCGTGCTGAGGCCGTTGAGTAGTCTTCACCCGCGCATGTCCTCGGCACAGAAACTCTCGGCTACTACACTAAACCTGGGGATGAGGCACCGACCCAGCGATCCGTCTGTCACAGTCGTGGCACCGCAGCCGCCACCGCCGCCAATGTACCGCGTGGTCGGACATGCCATTGTCGATGGATATATGGATGGTCAACGCTGGGCCAGTACTGATAGTGATCAGCTTGTTGATATCACCGTTGTGTGAGGGCGGCAGTTGGCCACTTTCTCACCCAGTCTGTTTGAACTCGACGGGAGTGTATTTGATCGTTGTCTGCAGTTCGAGTTCCTCGTCGGCACCACAAAAGTATGAGGTTATTGATATTTGGTTTGACCAGCACATATCAGTGAGGAATTTGCCATTCAGAGTTAAGGATAGTGGTGAGGTACATATATATACATACATACTCTCTGGTAGTCAATACCCACCACTCATCATGACCATGTTTCGAAGATTTGGTCAGTATAGCGAGTGGGTTAAGGCGTCCAGCTGGGCCAGGGTTTGATGCAGATACGGACATGCGAAGGAAACACATAGAAGTAGGAAATGTGTCATGTTGTTTCGACCTCTGACTTTCTTCAAGCATTGGATATAGCATGCCACAACGGGAGACTGATTTTATATCAGACCTAGAAGTGGAAGCTGGAGGTGTTTCATTACATAGACTCGACTTCCTCTCTAGTCCAGCTCGGATTGACAAGTCTGAACAGACAACTTTTGTAAAGTAAGGAGTACACGACGCCAACCATAGCCTCGCTTGAGGCACCCGGACGCCTGTGCTCTTCAAGTTGCATAAGATTGCACGGATCGATGCCTCAAGACAAACGCGGGCACCAAGCACCAAATAGAAGTAAGACGAAAGAGCTCAACCACCATTTCCCTCAATTACCTTTTCCGACGCCCAATAGCAAAACACCATGCACGCCATGCATACATGTCAATCACTTCCCGTCAGCCTTTCCCTCGACTGCCGGGCTCAAAGCCCTGATCATGTCGCGAAGCTCATTGACCTGGAGCTTTAGCTCTCTGATCTCCTGGACATCGGCATCGACTTCGACGATGGGTTTCGTGCTGCGGACTTTCTTATTCCAGCCTTCAGTCTCGAAATCGATCTCGTCTTGCAGCTCTTCCCACTCTTCGACCGTGTCGTCATCCTCCTCGCCTCGTTTGCGGTTGTTCCGCACGGTATTGGCCTCCCTGGCTTCGAGAGCAGCCGTGACGACCAGCAGAGGCGAGTATATGACGCCCATGACGTAGTCGTTGAGTCTTTCGTAGCGGTGCGGTTCCATCCACCACTCGAAAGGGATGATCAGGAAAAAGAGCTCGATGAGATTGAGGGGGGCGATGAACACATTCTCATCTGGCGCCCGGGTGAACTGGAGTGTCTTCTGCGCAAACATGGCCATGTACTCGTCGATGGCGTTGTCCGTAATATCCTCGTAGGCGCTGTTGTAGAGGGCAATCAAGATGTTCAATAGGATCACCATGACCACGAACGTGAATATGTAGTACAGAATCAAGCCGAACGGGTGAGCGTAGTCGTCGAACCCGTCAAATTCAGGCGATTGCATGACCGAGTTGGCCATGGCAGTGATGATGAACGACGTGATGGAACTGTTTCCTTCCACCTGATTCAGCCCGATAAACGCCTGCAAGAAGCCGACACAGACCACGACCAACAACGCAAAGAAGATCAGGGATTCGCGCATCATGACTTTCAGGACCACCAGCATGGCTCCGAAGAAGCGGAAGGTGTCGAGGTACAGCAACAGTCTCATCCAGAACATGGGGGCCGCGAGGCAGAAGAAGTGGTAACCCAGCTTGTTGAGCTCGCCTCGCCGTTCGTCGCTTTCCTCGGGAGAGTGTGCCAGGGCCATCATGCGGATGATGAAGGACGCCGTGAGCAATGCGTACAGACAGTTGTTGAACGCGTTCCAGAAGCCAAAATACCACAGGCCGACTTTCCAGAATTTGGCGATTTCGTCGCATATGAAGCCCAGGGTCATCACGTACAGGATCCCCTCGACCACATCGAGGTCGCCATCCTCGTTGACAGTGTTCACGGCCCCGGTATACAGGCCCAGATAGATGATGGAAACGGAGATTTGCACGAAATTCTGGTAGATAGGAGCACGCATGCGGTCCGGGTCCAGATGGGCCCAGTAGCTGGTGTTGTCGCGCTGCTCGTAGAAGACATAGTTCCCGGGGTCTTCGTCGTCTTGATGGATCCAGCCGCGCCACAGATACTTGATGCATTTTTGATACCCAGACGACCCGATCACCGTCAGGCAGTGCAGATCGACGGCTCGCTCGATGACGTTGGCAGGCTGTGTTTCTTCACCCTTGCGCAGCACCGAATATCGCTTCAACAGCATCTCTTGCAACAGGTATTCCTGGTCCTCTTCTCCCTCGATGATGCGCTTGGCGAGAATCTCGCAGGCCACTGCTCGGACGTGGTGCAGGTCGGAATCCCAGAGCTCCAGATTGGCCTGTCGCTTGAACCAGCGCTTGCAAACGAGCAGGCAATACACGACACATGAGGCATGATCCTTTCCGCCTGCCTGCTTGGCTGTTTCGACGACTTTGGGCGTGATGATTGCGCTATTGGCCGCCGTGATCTTCGCCTCCGTGATTTCAATTGGAATCACTTCCTCTATCTGGTATTTCAGCCGCAGCGCAACTTTGGTCACTTCTTTGGCAGGAAACGCAGACGGAGGAAGGTCATGCGTAGAAGTCGGAAGCACTGGGCCAGGTCAGTCTGCAAATATCCAGGAGGGAGAGGAGGCTTTCCGCTCACATCGTCGCATCTCATCTCGAACATGAGGTGAATCCCTCTCCGTCACGCGCGCGAACAACTGCTGCCATTTCACCATCGCTGATGACGTAGTTTATAGACTCTGGGGAAGCGTCAAGATGATTGCAATGAGGAGACCTGCAAAGACCGTCGGCAGACAAATAATTGGTACCGCCGGAGGAAGAACGCATGGGCGGAAAGGAACTCGGTGGTTTAAATAGAGAGGATGCCTCGCTACTGAGACCTGAATTCACGTACAACACACATACTAGTACGTAGGATATCCAGTTCAGCTTGTATGGAGCTCGAAATCAGGTTCTCGAAATTCGTCTCCCCGCATCGCCAGCCACCCCCCAGTTTGGCCTCCTGGCCCCCTCTAATCTCAGCCTTGTCCAGGCAAGCACCATATCTACCTCAGGTACCTGGTAATGAGTGACACCGCATCAAACAAAATGAGATGCGCTAAAACATGACATTTGGCTCTGAGCCTCACTACTAGGTAGGGTGTCACAGCTAGGGCATGGCTTCATCCCGAAAAGCGTGTCTGGCTTTTTTGATCTCTCACTACTCCCTGACATTAATGCATGCCATCGTGAAACCAGTCTCATGAACGGAGAAAATGTGCTTATGCAACCTCCGGGCCTTCGTCACTCTCGCTGATGTCTTCATCGCCGCTGACTTCCTCATTCTCCTTGGCCCTCTTGTCCATCAGGGCCTGCAGCTCAGCATCATCATGCTCAGTCACAGCTTTGGGCGCCATCTTGGTCACACAGCTGCCACCGGCCTTCTCAATCGTCTCCTCAATATCCTTGATCGCCTGCTCCAACAGCTCAATGCCCTGGTTCTTGTCTAAACATTGACTTGTCAAGACGTAATGGGGCGGAGACACAAGCTTGACCCGGACTTGCGTGGTGGGGTTGTTCCTGGCTTCGGCTTTCCTCAAAGCTTCTTTCACAGCGTCGATGCCGTCGTACTTGAAGCATGTCACCTCAACATCGGCACGTACCTTGGTCGGGTGCGGCGTCAGCTTCTTGCCAATGTATGAGTGGAATTCCTCCTTGACAACATCGTTCGGGAAGGTAACATCGTTCCAGACTTCTGGGTTGGTGATCGACAGCTTGAAGGCGTCGTAGGCGTGTCCGTATTTTCGGTTGAGCGGCCAGCCGATATCTTCATACAACTTTAGGATGGGAACTTTCGTCTTTTCGGCGACGTGGCGCATAATTGAATGAACCGACTTGCTTTTGTTGTATCTCTCTTCGCATCGGACGATATCTTCGGCGGACACTCTTCGTTTCGACAGATCGATATACCCCTTCTCCTTGTCCACTCTCAGCACAACCACCACCTCATTTCGGCCAATTCTGATGAGTTTCTGTATCGACCTAATACGTCTTCGCGAGAGTTCTGAGAGGAGGATCATGCCGTCGATGTTATCGTATTCCAGAAGCTTGACGTAGGCGCCCATTTCCGCTATCTGTACGCAGCCAATGTCAGAAGCCATTCGTTCTAGATTCCGGGAGGGTGCCATCTTACCTGCTTCACGTTCACCATCACGAAACTGTCCACTTCGGGATATTTTTCTTCATAGAAGCGGCAGTTGGTCAACGAATCCGGGTCAGACATGATGGGCAACGGTGAATAATTGCTTGCTTAGTAGACCGGTTCCGATCTGGCTTCCTTGGACTATTGAGAATCTGGGAGTCGTAGAAGAGTCAGGAAAGCGAAGAGGAGGGTGGTGACTCCGACTCTGCAGTGTGTCCACGAACTGGTGGTGACCATGTGCGGCGAATGCCTGCGGCGGAACTTTTTGTCTGCCAAGGCCCGGAGAAGATACGGTGGCGCAAAAGAGGCAACTATGCAGTCACATGCGCTAACTGCGCCTCTGTTCCGCCGCAGCCAGAACACTGCAAACCGCGACCGTGACCGGGATACATCCGTAGTGGTCATAGGCCAGCGCCGGTCGTCCTGTGGCCCTTGATATATTCTGACAGATTGGGGTCTCCTTTTCTATTCTGTAGGTGGGCTGCACTTCACATGACTATCCCCGGATCTCTGATTGGGTGTGGGGAGTTTATATGGCATAACAGATTCACGTCGACATCATTCGAATTCTCACGCTGCATATTGTCTTTAATTAGCCGATCGTCTGTTGGCCACGGGTGAAGGACTCTCTTCAGAGAACACACAATTCCACCAATGTACGGTGGTGAGTGTGCGCAAGTCATGGAAATACAATAATACCAGTGTTGCTACCGCCACGCTTTTTTCCAACCGCATCGAGATCATGACAGATCGTCCCCCGTCCTCCTCGTCGAGAGGCTCGAGTCCTCCTTTACAGCCACGCCCTGTTGCGCATTCCCGTGCCTCCAGCCAACATGTCCCCATATACCCAAGTCGTCTGCGAGAGACCACAAACATGTCTCCTGAGGAAAGAATGGCGAGGTCAAAGTCGAGTGAAGAGATGGGCAGCCCCGACGCTCTACCGCCGACAATATTGCCAGGGACGGACGCGCCCATTATATCAGAGCCAGAACCTATTCTGGATGAGGAGAGCGAGGAAGCTCAAGCTCTGATTGAGGAGCCATCTTCCCGTTACGTCGATGCGAGGACCAGTCTGCTGGGGAATTACCATCATCACCGAGTCTGCGGGTTGAGGGATTGCAATCACGGTACATTCTCTCCGAGGGCGCCCTCCGTCCGTAGCGAGAGAAGCAGTGCCGGCAGCACTCCTCGAGGAGGCTTCGGAGGTCCCTATCCGGAGTCCATTGGCGACGATGATGAGCCGACAGATCCAGCTCGTGGAATCCTGGGCGACTCGTTGGCCGACTCTTTCTTGGGCAGCAAACGCATGAGCACCACCAAGTGGCTAGCCCAAAAGCATGGGATCAAAAGCCCGGCTTTGATGTACTTCTCTTACTACTTCCCCTTCATCAGGTGGATCGGTCAGTACAAGTGGCAATGGTTCCGTGGTGACCTGATTGCTGCCATTACCATGGCGTCTTTTTACATCCCGATGTCTCTATCATACGCCTCCAACCTGGCCCATGTACCACCTATCAACGGGTTATATTCATTCGTTTTCAATCCTCTGATATATGCATTTCTCGGAACCTGTCCACAGATGGTCGTCGGTCCTGAAGCGGCCGGATCTTTGCTAGTGGGCCAAGTTGTGAAAAGCTATATTGACCAAGGAAAGTCAGGAGACGACGACGATGTTGTTAATGCTCAGATCGCAGGCATTGTCACCGCCATAGCTGGATCCGTGATATTCGTTGCCGGTCTATGTCGCCTTGGATTTCTGGACAGTGTTCTGAGCCGACCTTTCCTCCGAGGCTTCATCAGCGCCATTGGCTTTGTGATCTTGGTCGACCAGTTGATTCCGGAGTTGGGGCTATCTGAAGTGGCCAGGGAGGTAGGAGGTGTCTCACACGGAAGCAGTGCTCAGAAATTGGTGTTTCTGGTCAGAAACATAGCGCATTCCCATGGATTGACTGCGGCTGTATCCTTGACCAGCTTCGCCATCATCATGGTATTTCGGTTAGTAACCACCGTACTCAACATGATCTGGTTTCACCGATCGCATTTGACTGACACAGCATCTTAGAACTCTCAAGCGAACACTGCAACCGCGGTATCATTGGGTGGCATACTTCCCCGACCGCTTCCTCGTGGTCGCCCTCTCGGCCATCTTCACCTGGGCGTTCTCGTGGGACAAACAGGGCCTGAGGGTTCTAGGCGAGGCCAAACCACCCGGTGGCTCACCGCTTCCGTTCCAGTGGCCATTCCAGTTCCGACACTTGAAACACATCGACAGCGCATTGAGCACTTCATTCTTGATTGCATTGCTCGGCTTCTTCGAGTCTTCGGTGGCAGCCAAGAGCCTAGGCGAGGGCACTCACGGGTTACAGGGGATGACGCTCAGCGCGAACCGCGAAATGATTGCGCTCGGCACGGCCAACATCGTCGGCGGCTGTTTCATGGCCCTCCCAGCGTTCGGCGGGTACGGGCGCAGCAAAGTCAACGCCTCAACAGGCGGCACGACGCCGATGAGCAGCATTCTGCTCAGCTTCATCACGCTGATCTGCGTACTCTACCTCCTGCCCTACTTCTACTATATCCCGCGCGGGGTCCTGTCCGCGATGATCTCGGTGGTGGCGTATTCGCTGGTCGAGGAATGTCCGCACGACATCAAGTTCTTCCTGAAGATCCGCGGCTGGACCGAGCTGTTCCTGATGAGCATCATTTTCCTGGCGACCGTGTTTTATTCGCTGTCACTCGGCATGGCGTTGGGCATTGGTCTTTCGTTGCTGCAGCTGATCCGCCACGCGACGAAACCGAGAATCCAGATCCTCGGCAAGATCCCCGGCACGACGAACCAATTCGAGAACGCCGAACTGACGCCCGAACACATCGAGTACATCGAGGGCTGTCTGATCGTCAAGATCCCGGAACCACTGACGTTCGCGAACACGGGCGAACTCAAGACCCGCCTGCGCCGCCTCGAGCAGTACGGCACGAACAAGGCACACCCGTCCCTCCCGCGCGTCCGGTCCGAGGAACACAACCGCAACGTCATCTTCGACGTCCACGGCGTCACGTCGATCGACGGCTCCGGCACGCAGGTCCTGAAGGAGATTGTCGACGACTACGCCAAGCGCGGCATCCGCGTCATCTTCTGCAGGCTGCCCCATCGCCGCAGCAAGGTGTTTTTGAGTTTCGAGCGCAGCGGCATCGTCGACCTTTGCGGCGGCCGCTCGCATTTCGTCGGCAGCGTCGAGGAGGCTCTGCGCCTGTCCGAGGCCGAGGATCTTGAGCAGTTCTTCGATGAGCGCTTGAATAATGGTTCTGCCGCGTCACAGGACAGATAGTGAGATGACTATAGATATAGATATATCATATACCCCTAAATAGTGCTTTTCCATTTTCTATTGGACGTTTCTTGTTTTGTTTCCCGGAATATAATGGAATGAAATAAGTTCCGCCCATATTACCTACCTGGCATTTCAATAATAGAACGTAGTGCGAGCGCTTACAGTGTGATCCATAGCGACGCGGAGAGAGGCACGACGGGTGAGGTGTGAACTGAAGTTGTACTTGGTTATAGTATCGTGCTTGCCCAATAGACAGCCCCTGGCAGTAGTAAGACACCACGAAGTGTGCACGCTAGATACGTGGGTGCTTTCGGCAAAGTATGTGCGGAACAAGAACGGTCAATACGGACGCAAAGCACAGGACGAGCGCCCGAACGGATACGATTGAATGTTCGTGACACCCAGAATGCACTGATACGAGACCGGATATTCGAGGATACGACTGTTAAGTACCTAGTGATACTACCTAGTCACAACAAGGTCCTCGATATACTTACTTGCTAGTCATGTATGGCTTTCAGGTAGCATGTAGGCAGATACAGGAGCCGGAGCATGCGTCGCCGATATATTCACACAGCTGGTCAGAGGGCTCACATGCAATGATGCAAAGGAGAACAGACGTCACAAGTCAGAGCACAGATCTATATACGGGCTGCAATGGTGGTATGGGGCAGACATAGACATCGTACGAAAAGAGTAGACTCCTAAGGGCAGAAGAAGCCACGATGACATCCAAAACGGTTGTGACATTGATGTGGAGATCGAAATTGTGCATTTCGACCCGGGAGAAAGTCTTTTTGCGCCTGAACAGCTAAGATCCTTGTGTAGGTAACGTAGGTAACCCTCGGATTTGGGATAGCAGCAGCTTTGGGATGTCGGATACGTACCTGGAACATCCATACTGGAAAGCTATCGTAGGTGCTTTAGACTCAAAGAGCAACGCAATTCCAATCTGGGAGGATAAAGCATATAACAAGAACACTTGGACGTGGGACGAGACTTGTATTTTTCTCGAAACCCTTCAGAAACAACAAGTCCCTGTCCCAAGTGCCCGAGTGGTAGATGACCCTGACCTCCCAAACACTCCTGACTGACCCCATTGTTGTCTGTCCCGGTGTGCTGGAGAAAAGAAGCTGCTCGGACGTTTTGCGGCTACGTCTCTGCCTCCTTCGTACTGGTACCCCTGCCATTCGGCCTTCCATGTGGGTTTCACGATACATGCTAAATATCATATACGTGGACTTGATATGCCACTTCACAGGGCCAGATGCCGGTCATGGCTTTGGACTGTGCGACCATGAGTCTCGGTCATTGCCGCTGGTAGAGGCTTCTCATAACCATAGATTCACCAGTCCGACAACATTCGGGCCACGACGAGCGTGAAGCTCGACCATTGGTGGGTTGCTGATTAGTCCAACCGTGCCTTTTCAGTCCTCGTCCACAAGAGCTGTGTTCGGCACTACACTGGCAACCATGCACGAGTGATTGGATTTGTGGCAGTAGACCACGAAACGGGTTTGGCGCTTGACTGTCGTTGGAAATCGTGTGAGCCGTACGCATTGCGCGGTGACCAGTCTCTCCAGTCGAGCAGCTGGGACGACTTGCTTGCGTAATGATATAATGCAGGTCATTCCGAACCCCGTTGGACGTATTGCCCCCTCGCTCTCGGCATCCGACAAGGCCAAGTGGGAAAGAGATGTATCAAAGTCCGGACAAACACAGGCAACAGAACCCTGATGCTGTCTTTTCAGGTGCTGGCTGCTTAGAGGCTCAGCGAACAACCAGTGAAGTCAGCGACCATGTGGTAACGCCAGAGAGGACTCCTAAGAGGCTTGGTAGACTCTGAAGCTTCCGAACTCCCAATAGGCATTTTTGTACGCACTGCCAGGTTGGTTGCTCACGTAGTCGACACATGTGCCCGGACAGCCTGACTGAGTGTTGAAGTACGTCGACTGCCCAGCCCACTGACCACATAAATCAATGTCGACAATGATACTCTGGTTACGGAAATGGTCGCCGATGTTACAGTTGGTGCTTGGGAAATCAGCCAGAGCCTCGGGCCAGGTAGAAGGATTGGGAATGACGTCGGTTGTGTTGGAGGTCGAGGTGGTGATATCGGAAGGAATGCTGTCACGGTCAAAGTGCCAGACTCGAATGCCAGCGTCGCGCAGTTCCATAGCATAGACACCGCCACCGTTGCTGTTGAATTCTTCTCCATAGCTGGCGGTGTTGCCACGGACGCCACACCCACTGTCGCCGTCAGTGGCGTTGAGGCAATTTGACTTCAGAGCCTTGCCGGTCTCCTTGCGCTTGACTCCCATGCTGCAATGGTTGGTCGTGTGGAGGGTGACTTGATTTCCGACAGGAGCGAGGTTGGTTGCCTCCATGATGTCGATCTCGCCGTTGGTGGGCCAGTTTGAAGGATCTGATAACCACAAAGCCGGCCAGGTAGAGCAGCCGTAGGGAGAGTGTAGAACATCAAAGATAAACAGCCCACTGTCGTAGGTCTCCTTGGACGTGATTCTGGCGGATTTACGACCAGTAGTCGTATCTGTATCTGAAATATCGACGCGCAGCACTGCAGACGATGGACTTGCATATGTGAGATTAAGAGCGGCAGAACCTGGACCGTCGACATAACTTGAAGAAAAGAGTCAGTCAATTTGATCCATTGACGACACGATAGAATGGTAAATACTCACTGCACAAATCCCGCGGCAGGATCATAACCCGTAAAGTAATCGAACTTATCGAAAAAGGTCGTGCCAGAATATGTTGCGGCCAAGGAATAAGTCAGGGCAGAGTAATCCGGATAGCGACTATGGCGAGTGACAACGACCGGGACAACGATCACGATAATGAGAATAATGACGACGATGACGGCTAGAATGATCCAGCATTTTCGAGACCAGGTCTTCGGATTGCGCTTCGACCGTGGTCTATTTTGGAAATCGCGAGGTGTTGATGTGTTCACGGCGGCGTACTTTGGCGGATGCGAGGCTCTGTCGCCTCTTGCATAAGATGGAGAGGAATATGCAGGAGGTCGTTCAGCGAAGGAAGCCGGGCCTCCTCCGAAAGCGTTGCGATCGTTACGGTAAGACATGACTCCTCGAATCAGATAGACGTAGCGAATGGACGGGCGGTAAGAACCAAAAGTTTCAACGCCCAACAAAGCCTAGATTTCCAGGTCGATATTTAATCTGGGGACAAGAACACCAGAATCGACGTTATCATTGAGGTTTGATAACGGAACCCGAGTGTCAAGGAATAATATATAGCAGGAACACCCAAGGAGTCGGCAACAACCACTGGCATCCACGTAGACAAAAATGGGACCGGCGGTGGTCAAACCGGGCCTAAGCAGGCACTTACAACAAGATTCGTCGCAAGAGTGACGCAGCTTTCGTTCAATCGTGGCGGAGCATGTTTTTCGAAAAGGGGAACTTGAAGGGAAAGACAACAGGTGAAAGGGCCTCGAACCAAACAACAAGTCTCAGACGTTCAGGAACGACCGGGGTGTATATCCATGGGACACGCCACGCCACCACTGCCTGATCAGCAGGATTCTGTAGCGAGTGAGAAGTGATAGACGCAATGCGAGCATGATATCCATGGATCCCAGGATCCGAGAATCCATATCTGTAGGCGCACATGTCGCAGGTGGATAATGAGACGCGTAAGAGAGCTCAGACACGATGATAATTTGATAAGACTTTGATAAAACTGGATAAAACTGATGACTTGATACAACTTCCGTCTGTTGTTTCAGACCATCGCCGAATCAAAGGCGGAGGGAGAACATTTCTGGTCAATCCTAGTGCCCCGTCTCTTTAAGGTTAAGCTTATTGTGCTAAATGTGAAGCTACTCTAGTTACAGTTAGTTCCCGTCCACCAAACCACTTAAATTTCAGGCTAGGATATATTTAGTATCCTGAGCTACGCAGTACGTACTGCAGTGTGTCCCTATTAGTTTGTGATACCGCACACTGGATGAACGCTGAGGCATCAGACAGGTAGATGGCTGCTCTATTCTCAGGGCATCTGACCATATTCGTTACAACCGACATCTCCGGGAGATGTAGACCATCCGGCATCTCGACACTTTCGCGTCCTTGTTCGACAACCCGATCGCCCAGAGGTAAACTCAACTGCACTCTGATTGTAGATCAGACATGCCATGGTATATACGGTAGTAGTATACAGAACTCGTTGAACCGTACCAGAATGCCAGGCATTGCTGGGCCAGTCCCTTTGACGCGCAAGTCACTGAATTGTAGGCACTCGTTCGTCTATCATCTTCTTGGTTTTTACAATGCATCTGCCCCATCTATGCCACGTCGAGTCTTCAGGCCTCTTCTATTTTCTTCACCGAGTGGCACAATCATCCGCCTATCTCCGCCTCGCAGGAGGCGGAGCCGTATTGTTGGCGACACCTCGCGCTCTCTCAATTGCTTCGATCCTCTCTCGCTCTGCCTTCTCCGCCAACTCCCGCTTCCGTCTCTCGTCCCTCTCCATCTGATCGGGTCGCTTGAGCGCAATATCTTTGGGTTGGAAATCACTGAACAAGTGCTTGAAAATCTGCTCTACCACCCAGCATCCACAGAAGTCGACGATCATGAGGGTGGTCAGCGTCCATTTGAATTCGCTCGTGAAGGGCACAAGCCGCAACCTCTCATTGAGTTCGGGCAGGAACTCGGTACTGCCGGAGAAAGCCACAAAAGAGCAGGCTAACAGTCCCCAATACATGCCACGGTTCTCGCGGATGCTTTCGCGGAATGGGCGGCCTTGATAGTTGATCGCGAAGGTCGAGACTTGTTGGATCAGCTGTATCAGATAAACGGCACTATTGAGGAGAGAAGGTTCGAATTCACCCTCCAAATCAATCTCATCCGCGGGGGGCACGATGGAGTAGACAAATCTGGAAAGATAGATCAACGTCCCGCAGTGTATGGCGAACTGACCGAGCACAGATCCGAGGATATACGCGTTCAGGATATTCGGTTGAGGGCGTTCCCGCGACAGAGCCTCCACCGGCTTGGCTCGAGAAATAGAAAGGAAGCAGACCGACATCAACATGCCACTGATTGTTACCTGCCCATCACCGAACTTGATACCAGCGAGGTAGATGACAGAAAGACTGTAAGCACTGATCAAACAGTTCAAGGCCAAGATCTTGTACATCTGAATGGTGGCCACCAGAGTACATCTGCCCTGGCGGATGATGTTTGGAATGGCCATCACATTTGCCAGCTTGCTCGTGAAAGGCGCCGCCACCGAAGCGTCACCCAGCTTGATCGTAGGCGGCTCACTGTCGTCAAGCTCATTTTCCATCAACGACGAAGTGAACTTGTCCGCCCAGCTTGCTGCTTTCTGCTGTGCTTCGGTCTGTCGTCGTTGCTGGGGTGTAAGGCTGTCGGCGTTCGACTGCTGAAGAGCTTGGGCCCCCGGTGAGGTGATTGTCTCGATGGCTCCGTTTTCTGCATCGGCAGCCTCCAGGCTAATTCCCTTCCTCTCAGCCAGAGCCTTGATGGCCTTCTCATGATGAGGATTGCCGGGACCAGGTGGGTACAGATGTGCAATACCAGGCGGTACAGGTGGTGGCGGCTGATTGAACCGTTTCATCAGCTGGACCTGCTTTTCGTACATCTCCTTCATCTTAGAAGTGCGGAAATGTTCACCAATCTTGTTCAGGTCTTCTTGCGAACCGTTCAGAAGGGCAACTCCAACGTGGGCCTGCTTGAGCGCGCCGACATCATTGGTACCGTCACCACACATTAGGGTGGTGTAGCCAAGGTCTTTCAGTCCAATCAGAATCTCCTCTTTTTGTTTGGGCGACACTCTTGCATACACCCACGTATGCCTTAGCAACGATGGCAAAGCCTTTTGTCCAGTGAATTTGGCCAAAGCATAACCGGTAACGCAGAGATCCTTGGTTTCGAGAATCTTAGGATCGAGATCGGCGGAAGGATCAACTGGGATAATGGTTTTCTCGTCAACGCTTCGCCAGACCAGCTTGCTACCAGTATCATCATGTTCCGGGGCATCAAGGATCAGACAATCTCGATCGACAATTTCCACCGCTCTGGCCACATGCACCGCTGTTAGAGGATTGTCGCCAGTGATCATGACAACTCTGTGACTGCTTTCGTTCAGCATCTGGACAGCGCGGATGGCATCCTCTTTCAACGGCGTCTGCAGTACCAGAAAGCCGGCAAAGTGGAGACCAGCTTCGACTTCGTCACGCTTCAAATCATTGATGCGTTTCTGGCCCAGTTCGGCATCCGTGGAAAGGTACTTGTAACCCAACGCCAAAACTCGCGCTCCGTTCCTGGTGAAGTATTTGAAGGTTTCTTCGTATTTGGCTGGAGTCTGCACCAACATCTTTTGAATGGTTTCCGGAGCGCCCTTGACACCAACGAAGGTGCCCTTTGCTTTCCGACCAGTCTTTGGATCAGTCGTCACAACAACCGCCACCGAGCTTTGACGCTTGAGGGCAGAGGAGAACTGGAATCGTCTTTTGATCTGGACAACATGGGAGGCGCCTGCAGTTGAGACATGCTTCTTCTTGGACTTCGGCGGTGGAGTGCTGGTCAAGGTGTCATGATCTCCCAGACTCCAATTGAGAGCTGTAAGAGTGGCCTTTTCCATGGGGTCTCCGACAATGTCTCCTTCATCTAGCTTGACAAGGGCATGTGCTGTTGCTAGCACAAGGGTCGTGAAAATGCCACAGTCTGTCACTTTCGTCACGGTAGATTGAGCGCCGTCTGGTTCGGTTGGGACGCCGTGTTTCCCTAGCCCAAGACCCGCAATCCCTTCGACAACAAGGTCTTCACCTGTAAGAGTTCCTGTCTTGTCAAAACAGGCGACATCAACGCGTCCTGCATAGGGGATCCGAAATGGCTCGGTACAGAAGATGGCGAATTTACTGAGCGCTGCGAGACTGGTGTTGACAGCCAAAGACAACTCCATAGGCAGCTCAGGAGGGACAACGCTAGTGACGATCAAAATGCAATCGAGGAGCAGTTTGGATCGTTTGCGGTTGTTCTTGACACCTTCCTGCCACACGTACCACGAGGCCGCAATTGCAAAGACAAGCAGGAACAGAATGAACCACAGTGCTTCAGCGTTATTGGCCGACACCCGTTCCGTGGAGAAAATCATGGTTCGCACCAGGCTGCCTTGACTGGTTTCGAATCCGGTCTTCAGTACAACAGCCATAGCGCCGTTATCCGGAGGTGGAGGTACACCGGACTTGACAGTCGGGACAGTCTCCGAGGGGTCTTCGCTGGCAGACGGATGAGTGATCTGAAGTACTTTGGTACCTCCCCAGAGTAGTGCGTTCTTGTCCAGACCCTCTGGATCAACCGGTGCATCTCCTGGTCGGAGCATAACTGACTCTTTCAACAGGGGCGTGCTCTCGCCGGACAACATCGCCTCGTTCACGATTACTGTGCCCTCAATAAGAAGCATATCGCAGGCAACACCAGAGTCATCTTGGGTTCTCCCCACGGACACTAGATCACCGGGGAGTAATTTGTCGCTCTTGATCTGCACCCATTTCCCAACGCGGTACACCCAGATGTCGTACGGTTTGATGCTCATTCCCATGAACTCGTTGAGAGTCCGTTGTCTCTGCCAGACCACGGTGCTTTCGAAGGCAACCAGCATGAATAGCGTGAATAGGGAGTAGTACCAGTAATCGTCAAGCAGCCAAAGACCCACACAGAAGACTTGGAAGATGAAGAAAGGCGCCACAGCATGCTCCTTGAAGAGTTCAAGAAATGTCGGCACGGGGATATCGAAGGTGTTGTCACCGTAGTGTTTCTGAAGTGTCTCGATTTCGGCCTCGGAGGATAAACCTTTCGTCAATTGGAACTCTCGCAGCAGAGGTTTGTCATCTCTGTCCAGGGTATACGACAAGGGTGCAAATGTGCCTTTCTCCGGAGAGTACAAAAACCTTCTTTTCTGGAACACAAACGATATCCGTCCATCTTTCTCCTTATTCAATTTGCAGATTGCAGGCGCTCCTGAGTTGACGACAGGAACGACCTTGATGAGTTGTGCATCCTCAACACTTTTGGCCTTGGTGGTGGTGAAGAGGGTATTTAGATTGACGCTCCAGTGCGTGGAGAGCCATGTCAGGGATTGGAGAGTCACGATCGTGGTGATCCAAACAAAGGTCCATTCTTGACCGTCAATGTACTCGTCGTAAAGATCCTCGTTCAGATAGAGAGCGAGAAACACAGGCCAAAGTATTGTGTAAGGCCATACATAAGCCTTGAGGTAAAGAGGCAAAGGATTGTGGAGGCTTGCGTCGCATATCTGCTCGTTCTCCACGAGTTTGGATCTGTAGAAGGTTAGCATTGATGATACCACTCGCAGGCTGGCACCTACGATTTCTGCGCCATGACGAGCGTCAGTCAAGAGCTCGACTGCGAAATGAGCAGTGTAGTAATATGGTCTTCCCAATGGCGGCGACAAACGACCATGAACAGAGTGTCCTTAGAAAAAGCTGGCGCAATGGAGAGCGATGGAAACAATTGCGCAGTTCATAGGATCATGCCCTTCGGAAGAGCGAATCATCCTCCGACTGGCCAGTAATGAATGGGTAATGTCAGACAAGAAAGTATTTGGATGTCTGCGGCTACTTTCTTGGGGAACGAGAGATAATTGTTTGTCAGACAATATCACTTTCTTCACCGCTGCAGTGGTCTATCAGGCTTGGCGTGTTTGTCACCGAATTCAAGTTGCGATCAGGATTTGAGTCACTCAAAATAGTCTCTCAGCCTCGAGAGATATGAATGAGTGTTAGTTGATAAAATCACTGGGTTGCCTGAATATCAGCACTCAAGTCACAGGCGTTCAACCGAGAAAGATTTCCAATCACTTGTGGAGAACATTCCGGAACCCGCCACTGGCTAGCACATTCCTGTCTTCTGTGGTATCTAAGAAAAACAACGACACATCCTCTATCGGTGGAGCACAAACGCAGATCACTCACGAGTCAGAGCGCCCTGATGGCCGAAACAACAGAGGCAAGCAAGACCTTGCCTGAGCGTGTGAAGGAAAAGGTCGAGAATGTGGTGTCCGACAAGAAGCCAAAGAAAGACAAGGCCCCAAAGCAACCCAAAGCGCCCAAGGAGCCAAAAGCACCAACAGTCAAGCCTCCGAAACCAGCAAATGCTGCGCCGTCAGCTCCCATTGATCCCGATGCTATGTTTAAGGAGGGCTGGCTAGCAGCTGTGAGGAAGGAAAGACCGGCGGACGAGCCGGTAGTCACCCGATTTCCTCCAGAGCCAAATGGCTATCTTCACATCGGTCATAGCAAAGCCATTGCCATTAACTTTGGGTTTGCACGATTCTACGGCGGCAAATGCAACTTGCGATTTGACGACACCAACCCTGAGGCCGAAGATGAAGTCTACTTCACCGCGATAGAGGACATCGTGAGGTGGCTGGGCTTTAAGCCCGCGCGAATTACCTATTCAAGCGATTTCTTCGACCAGCTCTATGAGCTTGCCGAGAAGTTGATCACTCTGGATGGCGCTTACGTCTGTCACTGTACAGATGATGAGCTCAAGGACCAGCGCGGCGGGACCGACCCTAAGAACAAGCATGAGCGATATGCCTGCCCTCACAGAAGTCGACCAGTCGAAGAGTCTCTCGCCGAATTTCGTGCCATGAGGGATGGAAAATACAAGCCGAAAGAAGCTTTCTTGCGCATGAAGCAAGACCTTAGCGATGGCAACCCACAGATGTGGGATCTAGTCGCCTACCGTGTTCTGGAGAAGCCGCATCACCGCACGGGTGACAAGTGGAGGATTTACCCGACCTACGATTTCACCCACTGTCTGTGCGATAGCTTCGAAGGTATTACTCACTCACTGTGCACGACAGAATTCATTCTCTCTAGAGTGTCTTACGAGTGGCTGAATAACAAGCTCGATGTGCCACACAAACCCATGCAAAGAGAGTATGGTCGTCTTAACGTCACAGGGACAGTCTTGTCGAAGCGCAAGATCAAGAAGCTGGTAGACGACGGCATTGTGAGCGGCTGGGACGACCCGAGGTTGTACACACTCGTTGCTCTTAGAAGGAGAGGCATCCCGCCTGGAGCAATCCTTTCGTTTGTGAATGAGCTGGGGGTCACAACAGCAAAGACCAACATTCAAATTGCACGGTTCGAGCAATCGGTTCGGAAATACCTGGAGAGCACCGTCCCGCGCCTGATGCTAGTTCTCGATCCAGTGCCGGTCATCATCGATGATCTGCCGGACGATCATTACGAGGAATTCGAAAGTGCTTTCGGTCCCAAAGACGTCGACATGGGAACCCACAAACTTCCTTTCACCAAGAAGGTGTACATTGAGCGTGATGATTTTCGGGAAGTCGATAGCAAGGATTTCTTCAGAATGGCTCCAGGAAAGCCAGTCGGGCTGCTGAAGGTTCCTTATCCGGTCATTGCCACGAGTTTCAAGAAGGATGAGACTACTGGTCTGGTTACGGAGATCCATGCCAAATTCGACAAACCAGCCGAGGGGGAAAAGGTCAAAAAGCCCAAAGCCTACATCCACTGGGTTGCGGATGCTCCTGAACATGGATCTCCTATCAAATGTGAAGTTCGGGTCTTCAACCCCTTATTCAAGTCCGACAACCCCGATGCCGTGGAACCCAGCTTTTTGGCGGACTTGCGGGAAGACAGCCTCAAAGTCTATCCTAATGCAGTGGCCGAAATTGGATTGAAGGAAATTCGCGCCAGAGCGCCATGGCCGGAAGAGGCTGGAGAGAAGAAGGATGACTGTGGATTCGAGTCGGTCAGATTCCAGGCCATGAGGACCGGCTACTTCTGTATGGACAAGGACACTGATGAGGCCGGGAACAAGATTGTACTCAATCGGATTGTGAGCTTGAAAGAGGATGCCGGAAAGAGTGCTTGAGAACGAGAACGAGGATGAGAATGGGTTCAGATGGATTGGACTACTGGGGTGGATTGTGAGGTCTCTCCATAATGTGCTTCAGCTTTGTTAGAATAGGATCGAGACGAACGATACAACGAATTCAGACGATGCACGTCCGCAGGTGGACTTTGATCTTGGAATATTTCACTCCCTTGCCGAGTTCTCTGAAGCGGCAGCCTTGCTCCCTCGAATTGGCAGCACAGGCTGCGTTGTCCATGGATGACTAAGCGGTGTAATAGCAGCAGATCGTAGTGCCACTTCTTCGCTCACCACCAACCAATTCACGCCCCTCCGCCTTGCTCCGCTCAACGTCTTGACGGTTGCCTTCCTCTACTCTGTAGATGCTCATCTCAGAAAGACTGGCTGTCTTCACCTAATCCGGCTTCATGGAAGCCAAACTACTGCGCAATGTCCCGGCGCACCATCGGCGGCGGAAGGGTTTTGGGAAGCGGTAGAACCCTGGGACCGCCTGTTCCTCCGCCAAAGTCGACCTCTCCTGTTCCCGCCCATGTCCTTTCTCCGTCCGCCTCGAGCCTATCCTTGAACACGTCCCCAAGTGAGGCTTCCACTCCCCCTTCTTCCGACACACAAGATATCGCCGCTCGAATATCGCTAGATCATGGAGCTCCGGGTTTGTCCATGGCAGCCGCCGCTGCAGGAGACCGTTTGGTCTGCCCGATATGCAACGAAGAGATGGTCACTTTGCTACAGTTGAACCGACACCTGGATGACGCACATAAGGAGATAGAGGAGGAGCAACAGGATGAAGTCAAGGACTGGTTCAAACAACAGATGGTCAAGGCGAAGAAGTTTCAACCATTGGCCGTGCTGAACCAGAAACTCAAGGGATTGGACGTCTTCGAGTCGAATCATGATCTTGCCAGAAGTATTACTCCTACCCCGCGCAGTGACTCCGTTGCAAGAGAGGTCAGAGACCTAAGTACTCCACCACCGCTACCCCCACCAAAGCCCGTCGCGGCCGTCATTGATCCGGACGACGTTATCACCAAGCAACACTGGCAGAAGAGAACCGGGCATGATGTCTGCTCGGATCCAGCATGTGGGAAACGGCTGGGTGCCACGACGACAGGAATCGTCAATTGCAGGCACTGTGGCAAGCTCTTCTGCGAAGAGGACACGATGTATCAGATGAAACTGTCGCGGTCGGCCCAACATGAACCGGTCCGAGGTCTATGGTATCGGGTGTGCGAGACGTGCTACAAGAGTCGGGAGGGGTATATGGACAGACATGGTCTGGAGCGAGACCGAATGGGCGACTTCGAGGCCGTGAGGCGGAACAGACTCAGCCACAAGGAAATGGAGGTCTCCCGGTTGGAAAAGAGACTGTCAAGGCTCACGCATCTGTTGGCCAATCCGCCGGACGAGATTCCACAACCCACTACTAACAAGAGATGGTCACTGAACTGGGTCCAACCGGATCCCCGAAAGGCACTGGAACAAAGTGTCGTGGCATGGCAAAATGACGCCGAGATCCAACGATGTCCATACTGCCAGCAAGAGTTCACCCAGTACACATTCCGTCGACACCATTGCAGGACCTGTGGGAAAGTCGTCTGCGGCGATCCGGTTACCGCGTGTTCGGTCGTCGTGGGCCTCAATGTCGCAACAAGTATGTTTTCTTTTGGAGGCCACTATCCTTTCTAACCCGCCCATACTGATGTTTTGCTTAAAACAGCTAACACCCGCCTCTCTCCAACAGAAAAGTCCCCACTGGGCAACACCGTCGCTCTGGACATACGGCTCTGCAAAGACTGCCATCACACGCTGTTCTCCCATCGAGACTTCCAAGCGTCCTTGACTTCACCTTCGATAGAAGCGTTCGCACGCGCATACAGCAATCTTCTGCAGTTCGAACGCGGGATACGGTTATTACTTCCGAAATTCCAAAGACTCATCCAAGCTTTACAAGACCCCGACCAACCTCCTTCCTCATCCCAACTCACGGACGCCTCGCGCACGCGCCGACGGCTTATGGACGCATTTACGCAATACGACATTGCAGCGCGTCGGATCCGCGACATGCCCAGCCAGTCGGCGACGCAGCTCAAACTGCAAAAGGCCATCTACCAGAATGCCACTCAGTTTCTTCATCTGCACATGCTGCCTCTGAAATCGCTCCCCAAGGTGCTCAAACACGCGACCCCACACGGAAGCGGAATAGGTAGCGGTGTGAAACCAGACGCCAGCAATCCACGCGCCTCTCTCGCCGTGCTCAACCGCAACCACATGCGCAACGATAGCAGCTCGAATATCTCCGTCACCAGTTTCGCCTCGTCGCGAGTCAGCGAGCTCGAAGCCGAAGAGAAATCGCTGCGCGAGCGTCTGATCGTGCTGGAAGAGCAGAAGTTCATGGTCCAGGAGATGATCGCCGACGCCCACCGGCGGCGCAAGTTCGACGAGGTCGCGGCTCTCGCGGGCAACGTCGAAGATCTCAGCGCCGAGATTGACCGGGTGCAGAAACTGGTCGATAACCTGCGCAGCGAGTTTGAAGGCGTCTATACAGGTTTGTCTCCTGCCAATGGCCTGGGCAGTGGTGTCAACAGTCCTGTACGGAAGGCTTCGGATATAGGCACGAGTAAGCTGAGGGCTGGAGCCGAGAATGGATGAAGCATGAGGCGTGATGCAGTGACTTGGTAAAGAAGATATCTTATTACGATATTGTATGACACTCTAGTGACCTGGTCTTCTCACGCCATGGCGCTGGACAAAGGAGACAATTAACGAATTGGCGTTTGCTTTCGGCCGCATCTCTGTTCACTCATGAATTGATGTCCATACTTCAAGTTTCTCTGCTCTGCGCTTTGGGATGAAAGCTTGAAGTTTGAAAGATACGTATTTATCGTAACTGCCAATTGTTTCAAGTTCGGCTTCATCATCATCATCATCATCATCAACCTCCCTCTCCAGCCTGCCTGATCGCTTCTTCCAAGACAGCTTTCAACAGCTCATGATTCGCTCCACGGACCATGTTTTGGGTTCTGGCGTCGTCTTCGTCTTCGTCCTCGCCCCCGCCTTCATCTTCACCCTCTCGAGTTATCCCATCAACCATCTCCACCGGCTTCCACGCGAACTTCAACCGTCCTTCAGTCGAAATCGCATATGCGCCAGTAGAGATTCTGGAGATGCGCATTGGCGGGTGTTGGGGTTGAGATTGAGTAGTAGTGGTGGACTTCTTCGCTGGGGCCTGGTTTACTTGATAATCTTCCTCAGATTCCTCTCTTTCGTCTTCTTCGCCTGCTTGGGAAGGATCGTCGTGGGTTGAGGTTTCATTGTTCTCTTTATTATTATCATCGATAATTCGGTCTGTCGGCGGCGGCGGAGGATCAATATTCAGCCCAGTCCTATCCAAGATCCAAGATGTCAACGTGGCCATGAAGTCCAAGTCCGTGGGTCTATCTGACATATTTTGGTCCTGTTGGTCTCCTCTGCCACGTGCCTGGTGTTGGTGCTGGTATTGTTGTTGTTTGTCTCCTCTGCCACGCGCCTGGTCTTGGTCTCGGTCTTGGTTTTGGTCTGCTCCATCCAATCTCCTCCGATACAGCAGCCCAACCGTACGCGAAGGGACATTAACATCGAGACTTTTCAAACTCGGCGCCACAGGCGGTGCGAACGAAACAGTAAGTCTGACTGTCCCGATGACGGATTCGAAAACAGAGCACCTCGTGTCCGCTGTCGCTCTTCCTCTTCTCCCCAACAAGACGGCGATCGACGTGAGATATCTCTCCAGAGTCGTCTGGATGAGCAGTGAAGGCAGTTTGAGCGGAGTGATGGGTTCCGTCAGAGCGAAAGTGTCCGCAAGGTACCTCGTCAGCGCTTTGAGAGCGGATGGCGAAGACTTGGAAAGTAGGACAGCACCGTTTCCGAATGAATTTGATGTCATTGATGTCGTTGATGTTGTCGTTATTGTTGGTCTTCTCGACATGTCTTTTTTCGACGGTCGGCCTCCTGTCCGCGTACGAGGACGGGTCGGGGCTTGTTGGTCTTCACCGCCTACGAGATCTGCAGTGTATATGATGAATTTGTACGTAGCTTTGTCGTAGACGAGTGATATGATCAGTCCATGATAATCACTCGAAGTCGAAGTCGAAGTCGAAGTCGAAGTCGTTGGCGCATCATCTCGTTTCCGCTTTCTGCCCACGACACTTCTCCTCTTTCCGGGGGAATGGTCGTTGCTCCACATCCGCAGTCTTCGCCAAGTACATTGTTTCAGACCGCCTAGCTTTTCTCTTTCTTCCTCTTCTTCGTAGCGCGGACGGTCTTGGCCGAGGGATGCGCGGAGTGCCTCGGCGTGGGCGGAGAGCTGGGTCTGCTGGTCGTCTTCGTCTTGATCCTCGTCCTGATCAGAGAGCGATGGGGTCAAGAGATCGTGCAAAGAGGGTGTGAGACGACTGATATGGTGCAAGAGCCAGGAAGTGTCGTATAGCGAGTCGTCCATATTGTCATTACATAATATTGACGGCGTGGGTGGTGTTGGTGTTTGATTTGCGACGAGTTCAAAGACGCGCTGCGTGGGCTTTTGAACGCGTCGAGGCGCGATATCTCGTGACAGGAGACGCGCGATCACGTGAAGATTCGCTACTAGTACATTCCTACCTATCCTTATCTACATTCTCTAATGTGTTCGCTTAAGTCACCCATGAGCATATAAGCATGTGCCAAAGATTCCTAGTCGGCGAAGTAAGAGCCCCAAACACGCATTGTATCTGCTGCAGTGCTTGATGCCAATCACATCAATCCACAAGTTCTCTTCATCAATCATTATACACACATAATCCGACAACGTTGGCCCAAGTCTCTCATGCCATGACTTTGACATAGATGAACAGACAATTGCCGAATCTCCGCCGCCATGGGGTCCTGACCAGTTATATATCCAAGTCGATCCTCCTGGAGAAATCAAATACCAGATCCTCGCCAATCCGTCGGATTTCTCGGCATGACCACAGCAAACGCACACATTCCATCCGGCTGTTATGAATAATAGGGTGGCCCTGTACACCCAAGATATTGACTACAGGTCCAGGAGTCCCAGGCACGAGTACCTGGAAGTCAAGTCCTCTTGGAGGCGGCCCCCTAGCGAGCGTGGACCTGTTACATCAGTTCCATCGTCTCATCTCGTATCCGGTTCAATACTCCCCAACCGTGCCAGTGATTTGTGCTCATGGATGTGCCATGTATCCGCTTGTGAGTTGGCGCAAAGATATGACACCGGTGACTCCGGTTCCGAAATGGCTAAATCCATGTGTGCTGTCTGCTTCCAAGAGACTGGCCCATCATTAGGCGCACGGGCGTCATTTCTGCTTGCTGCTGCTGCCGCCGAGCTCGTCAGGATGCATACGGTCATTGCGGTCCTCAGTAGTTCTTTGATCCTTCACCTCTGCATCCCATTCCGGCGCTTCGATCTGCTCCCTTATGTTGATGTAAGGAGAACTCGATCCTGAAGCGGTCGTCTTCGGCCTGACTGCTAGAACTTTCCCATCCGGCAACGTGACTTGCCGAAGCGCCGGACGGCTGGTTTCGAGGTACGTGACCATTGAAGCTGTCGAAACACTTTTTGAACCATGCAAGGACATTGTCTCAAGTGCAGAAGTTGGATCCCGGTGTCCTCGATCTGAGCCCCGGAGTTGAGCAATGGAGTCCTTGTCGGCGTCAATGTCAAACAAGGAGTTCAGCCACACGAAATCCTCCACATTGGTGAGCGTCAAAGAAGCACAGTGTTCCAGTGCAAGAGTCTCCAACCTGGCAGATCTCGACACCCCTCCATTGGCCGTCCAGTCCCTGGCTGCACCACCGAGGAACTGCACAAACCCGACATCCACCCCGGCGACATTTCGTAACGTCAGATGCCGTAACCTGGGATTCTTCTCCACCCATTTCTGCAACTGCACACTCGTAAGACCCGCGCGCTCAACCGTCAAGTTCTCCAAGTTCCTCAACTTCAAGTTCGATTCGTGTTCTTCACCAATACCTGCCAGAGCGTCCCATATCGGACTGGCCTGAAGGTAGTGGGACGATGTCCAGTAGTGGGCCGGTAAACATGAATCGTGGAGATAACGATGACTGAAGTTGAGATGGAGGTGCCGGAGGCTAGGGAAGCCGGTGGCGAGGATTTCAGTCAGTGATGGCGAAACAATGTCGTAGATGTGCAGAGTCAAAGAACGGAGATGGCCAAGGCTGGGCGTGGACAGAACGGAGCAAGCAAGAGCATTCTGAAGCTCAAAGAGTCGCTCGCGGTGCTGAGCAGGGGTGACAGGAGGTGGGCCCGAACTTTTTCGTCTCTTGGTGCCGATCAGCGGCACCGGAAGCGGAGACGGGACCACTATCTGATTATGAGCGGGAGAGTCGTAGTCCAGGTCTCCATATATGGCGTCTGTCTCCTCAAAAGTAGACGAATTCAAGAAGGCCAGCACACCATGGATGCGTCGAGGAAGAATGGCGAGCTGAAGGTTCTGCACGGCCAGACCGGCGGCCAGGTAATGTCGTCGGGAAGTTTGCCCGAAACCCAGCAAAGTAGAGATGGGAAGATATGTTAGGATGTGATGAAGGATCTCTGGCGGGAGCGCCGAGATATGCGGCAACGACCAAGCCATTTGTGTTGAGGCGCGGATCTGGGGGGTTTTCAGAAGACCTGTTGATAGAATGGCAGACAAAATAGTAGGACTAAGACAGAATAATAAGACCTGACAATCAGACTCACAAGAATGCGGAGGTCAACAGTCACTGATGACGATGTACAAGTTCCACACTGCTGGACAGCGGGCATACTCTGTAGGCACAAAGCTAAGAGGAGAGTGTGAGCGATGAATCCGATAGTGGTGGCGCAGGACAAGGTATCGAGTACCACGAGCCAGCAGAGTCCTCGAGATGCCAAAGGTCAAACCGCCCGTGCCTCACATATTGACAACTGCAGCTGGCAGAAAGGGAGCCCACACAAAGTTCGTAACCAAACTGCCGGGACGTTGTGAGAAGTCAAGCTTGGGATGTGTCAGTCGTGAGCATCGCCATGGTTGGTTCCTTTGCAGCTCGAGACGACATAGCAAATGATAGCCTTTCACAAAAGGGGGGGAAGCTGTGCCAAACGAGCCCAATCGGCGGGCTTCAGCAGACGATGGCGGTGCAGGTACCTTTGCAAGGGTTGGCTTGGTTGGTTTGGGTTTTCCAAGGGGAAGGGCTGTATATGAACCAGCATGTGATTGAACAGACCGGAACGCAATTGCTGGCCTGGACGATTGTACATGCTGCCGTCCGAATCACAATGGTCAAGTCTTGTCAAGTCTTGTCATATGGCATATGCATATGCATCATTTTTGACAGCCCGAAGAGACCAGTCGCAGCAGAGGGGCAACTCTCTGCCAGTGACTTGAAGCGTACAGAACCGACCCGCGGGGGCGGAGAGGTGTCACCTGTCGCCGAGGATATCGTCAAGAGCTCCAGGGACCAAACACGTCGTCCGCGAGGCGCTGAGTTGACAAGAGTAATACAAGACGTGTTTTCCGCCTTCGTCGCAATAGTACTACATTTGATTCAACATTGCATATGGCCACCAGAGACGCAGTGGTTGGATGCCTCGGTGCGCCCCGGACGGTCGGGCGGTCAGGCGGGGGACACTTGGCGTGATCTGGCGGGTTCAAGTTTGAGACGAAGAGAGCGAAGGCCCGTTGTGGTGCCGGTAAGCGTGGACCGTCGAGCCGTGTAGGGAGCAACAAGTTGGGAGAGCACTCTGTAGTACTGACAAAAGGGGGGTTCTATTGGCGGACAGCCATCTCCGATTCAATGGGCGATTGGGTTAAGGCTGTCCTCCGTTGGGGGTTCTTCAGCCGCTGCTGGCTTAGACTGAAAGTTGGCAGCTGATTGACCAGACCAGGCTCTGTGGTCGATTGCACACGGTGAGAGAAATGAATGACCTTGAGATGTAAAGAGAGAAGAAGATCCAGGTCAGAAAGAAAGAGTCAAGTAGTTCAAAAGATCGCAGGCAGCAAGCAGCATTATGGGAGTCGATGCGGTCACGGGAATATGAACAAGTCACGGGACTGCTCTGCCCCTTTTTCCCCAGCCACTGAGGCAATACCTTACCACATACTCACTCCTCTGTAGGACTGCAGTACATACTCTCCGTGTACCCAGGACAGCCATGTAATCCTTTCAAGTGATCGTTCATCATTCAGTCATTCACTCATCATACTCGTAAAGTCGTTGACCATGCCTATCTAGAACTCCCGTTGCCAAAAGCCTTGTCAGACATTACCATATGCTTCACCTCAGCAGCTCTTGAACTCGCCTCCCTGCCCAAAACGCCAGACACAACATACACAAAGACATGTCCCAAAGGAGTGGGAAGTAGTGATACCATCCATCATCTCCTGAACCACAGGACCACTCAGTGTCTCCATGCCGTGCAACTCCGTCCTTCGACCTTTGTGTCAAGTCACAGAGACAACCAAATATCCTCCTCATCCGCATCTTGCACACTTCGATGTACAATGGCGTCAGATTCCTGCTGAATTTGGGCATTCTTTGCTTTCCCATGTCTCATCGTGTCTCTGTCTCTGTCTCTATCATCGCTGGACGGCACCAATGATTCACGGTCTTCGTCGTCAGGCCGAGCAGCTTGTTCATGGGATGCCCCTTCCTCACCAGGCTGAACGAGTTGCTCAGAGGCGATCCCTCTCTCACTCGGCTGCAAGAGCTGTCTAGGGATTTCTCCTTCACCTTCGTATTCACTCGGCTGAACAAACTCAAGTGGTCGACGCTGTCGTACAGCCTCAGCACAACCCACAGCCATCATTTTCAAACGACACTTCCGCGCCTCGACCACCCTATTCCAGTGCCGTTGCCAGGCTCTCTGAATGACCACGGCCGCTCTGGGCCCCCTACTCGGCTCCAGCAATCGTGAACAGAGAAAGGCAAGCGCCGCCAGCACGAAATCCCGGTCGAAAATCCGTCCACATCCACGACCGCCGCCAGTTTGCGAAGACGTGTCAGATGTAGTTGTTGAAAATAGACCAGCAAACTGCTCGCTGCAGCCAAGCTGTCGTAATCGTGCGCTGAGAGGAAGTCGTCCTCCACCTTGGGTTTTGCTAGACCTCGCGTCACCGTTCTTACTGCTGCTGCTGCTGCTGCTGCTATTGTTGACAATAATGTATCCCTCATACTCGTCCACAATAGCCTCAAACACCCGCGTGCCGGCAAAACTCGTGGTCAGATTCGTCACCACCAATCCATTCTTGGCTGCGATGGCTTGAGCCCACGACTTCAACAGCATCTGGTAGCGCGCAGGTTCATCTTCGTCCTCGTCATCATGCCACAATGTGTCGAAGAAGTCGTTTTCGTAGGTGTTGTTTGCATCTGCATCTAGACTTCGACAGAGTCTCTTGATCTCTCGCTCCACATCATGCCAGTCCACGAGCCCACCTAGGCCCCATTTGCTGGTCAATCCCCAGAGCAGTCTGACCGTCTTTTCTCGATAGCCATCCACGACATCCTCGGCTTTTATCTCTTGGATCACCGACGTCATTCCCCGGACCCCTTGCAGCGCGCTGAGGGCGATTTGGACATTGTACAGTTTCGTGGCTCGACCAATGCATGGGAGCTTGAGATGTTGAGACAGGGGCCAATCCTGTTGTCCTTCGTCAAGAGAGAGCAGTTCTCCGGTCGGCAGGAGCACCGTTATAGTGGAGTTGGGGTCTTGCGAGTACTCAAGAGACTGCGATGCCGATGGATACAATAGCAGTTCCACCAGCCTCGTCAGTCGCACCCCATCGCGTAAATCGACCGCCAGATTGTTGATCTTGTAGTCGTATTCCTCGAGAGGGTATTGTGAATGCGTGACACGGTATCCAATATGGCTCAAAGCTCGGATGGGGTCTCCAGCACTCGGGTTCAGTAGCTGAAACAGAGCTTTGACGACATCGATGGAGTCCTTGTATGGCGACACAGTCTGGAACAGACATCCGCTCACCAGCTGGTCTGAGGTGCTTTTGGTGATATCCAGAAGTCTGATGAGCATTAAACTCCGAAGCATTGTTCGTTGATAAGACCGTGCCGCTCGATCTGTGCCGTGCTCATCAGGTGTGCCATCCTCATTTCTGATCAAGAATGTCTCGATGAAGCGTTGCAATCTCTCTCGCGTCGCACTGTCTCCTGTGCTTCGCCTTACGTCGGCGACTCGCATTTGGCGACCAACCACTACCTCCAAGGCAGCTTGAAGATAGGACAAATTGTATGTCTCCAGCCACAGGTCCGTGAACGCCTTTCGTCTGCCGATATCGCTGCTCAACCGTCCTGCCCCTTTGAGAATATCTGACGGAACGCTCAGGGCGCCGAACATCAACGCGGCTTGTAGTCGCCTGTAGAGCATCGCATGTTCGGCATTGCCGTACCTCTCCAGGAGCCGGATTCTCAACATGCCATCTTGCAGTGCTGACGGTCCTGGAGAAGACGCTTCGAACAGGTTGTTCACAAGCTGAGTGATGGAGATTTCCTGGTGATTTAACCAACGGTCCTCATACATGGAGGGAGTGGCCAGGTCTTCTGTGAGGATTGGATAAGCGTCAGCGATCGGTTCTGTTTTGACACTTGGGACGATGAATCGGGTAGGCACAAAGGGCTTTTTGAAGCACACTTGGTCCTGGATTTGCACACGTGGGTTGACTGTCGGACTTGTTTTCTTCAGCCCGGCCGGCAGAGAGGGTTTGACGCGGGACCCCGAGTTCCAGGTAGGCTTGACGCCAGCGCGTTGGGAAGATTTCCTGTCGATAGTCCTTCCCATAGAGCTAGCGGTGGGCTCATGTAGCTTGGACACCTTCTTTTCTTCGTGGTCCCGGGGTTGAAAATGATCAAGTACCAAGCCAGAATCGAATCGTTGCGCGTGACCACCTCTTCCACCATGGTTGATCGGGATTGTGTGGTCATGTATCAAGTCATGTTCGAAGACCTGTCCCTGCGCCTTGCAAGTAGAGACGTTCCGACCAGACTTCTCATTATCCACACCGTCGTACCCAGGTGGGATGTTCTCCTTTCCACCACCCTGCCCGAAGCGATCCTCAATGACAGTACTGCCCTGGACATTCTTCCCCAAAGCATGTAAAGGCACCCGCTTTGGAGACACCTCCATCATCGATCTCCGGGGGTGTCTCTTCTTCGCCATCTGCGCCGCAATACCCGTCATCTCAATGTCCGACTCCGCTGACATGGAGGTCGTCATCCTGGCATCCAAGTCCTTGATCGGACTAAAGATGCCCATGTACATGCTGGGCATCGTGGTGTCGTCAATGGGGATGAAGATGGTGCCCCGCCGAGCAGGCTTCAAAACGGTAGTGGGAGCCAGTGCCAGTGTCAAACCATGCTCTTCGGGCAAGGATGGTAGTGGTCGCTCCGTCTTGATGGGTGGTCTTCGTGGTACGCCGCTCAGTCTGCGAGAAGTATCTGGTAATTGTGGCATCATATGACCATTGTGTAGCTGTTTCACGCTCACGGGCGTGGCTGTTTCCCGCGGCGCATGACGATTTCGGCCCTCATCTTTCAACACAAGGGAGGTTCCAGACTTCGAAGCATGAGGCTGCCGCGAAGCCATCGTAGAGGAAAGGTCAATATTCTGAGCAACAGATGGACGTGCCGCGGCTGCCCTCCTCGCAGGTTGCGCCAGAGCGATCTTCTTCCTACCGGCACCGGGTTCACCATGACCACCACGCCCGCCTAATTCGGCATCCTCGTGAATTGCAAAGTCCAATGCATTCTTCTGCCCTCTCTCCTTCCCAGGCGCGATATGTTGTCTCCGTGGCCGGGTGTTTCTCAAGGATCCTCCAAAATCCGCAGTGAATTCGATGTTCGCAGTCGTGTCATCACCGGCCGTGCTCAGGATGGAATCGCGAGGATGAGTGGGTGGTAGCGGACACGGCGTTGCCGTTGTTGGAGGATGTCGGTACATCTTGCTGTTCCGGAACTACATCAATGTAGAGTGGTTAACCATTGAGAAAATACGAAGTCGTACCTGCTGATATGTCGAGATCAATGCGCTGGGAACCCGACGCGTTGGTGAAGAGAAAGTCGGGGAATCTTTTGTTGACGGAAATGGTTGCGAGGGGCAACGCCAACAAGTACAGAATACGTATTGAACGGAGTAACACAAGAACATCTGCCATGTTCGACTCGAATTCACAGTGCTACAAAGATGCGCCAGAACTGGCGAAGGCGAGTCGAGTCCTTAGATAGTTATATCAATATTTCTGGATAAATTTAACCCTTTCTATCGCCGTTGACCTGAGCAACACATGTATCTTCTAGACATCTAGAAACCCAACGCCATCGCTATGCCATATACCATATGCTCGCTTGAAGAAGTAAAATAACTCACAAATAAGATCCTCCCCACTAGCTCAACGTCACATTCAGCGTTGTCGGTGGTATTGTCAATGTTGTTACAATTCATCTCTGCTCGGAAAATGGAAATCCCAGGATCGGTCAGGAACAGGGATTCCCAACCAGTAGTTCCACAGCCGGTTCATCTCCATGACAAAAATGGCGAACAGCTTGAACGGCATCTCGATCCAGCTTCGCAGAACCATCCGGTACGTCCGCCAGACCAGGTCCCATTCCATCCAGAATTCCTCCGAAAATGTTCGCTGCGGCAACGAGGTTGGCTGCTCGTCTAGATCGTCATCGTCCAGAAACTCAAAGTCTAGTGTATCCTCTGCAGACGTTGTTCCTTGCTCATGAGCCTCCGCCTGAGCCTGAGAGTCTCCGGTGACGGGGAGAGGTCCCTGTACATCCAGCACGCTGAGGTCGCCGGTGTTGACAGCGACACGGAACTTCTGAATCGCATCCACACTGTGGCTGACACGGGCAAGAGTATTGACAAGTGCCACGAGCTCTGTTCGTCGCAGGTGCGGATTCTCGCCATTCTTGTCCTCGTCGAACTCGAACAAGATCTTCAGCGCGGCACCGTAGCCCGCTGTCTGAACTTTGCCCCAGAGCCGACACTTGTCACAACCCACACAGTCCATCAGTCTCGACACGTTCCTGAACCGGTTCCGGAAATCCTCCTTGAGATCCATGACACCTGGGTCCTGGAACATCACACTCTCATCAAAGGTATGTGGTCCTGCCGCCGCTTTGTCGGCCAGCGCTAGGACTTTTTGCTTTGTTTCGAAGTCCTGCTCCGGATCCCCCGAGCAGAACGTATACGATTCAAGATGCTTTCGTGCCTTGGCAACCGCTCGCGTGAGGAGGGCGTAGTTGAAATAGATGTTGGATACGCGCTCCGGGTGGGTATGCAGCCGCTCTTTGTAGCAATCGACGTTGTGGAACCAGGTTCCGGTGGTCTGGTTGAAGTACTCCCAGCACAGATGGGTCGAGATCGAGGCATGCATTCCACTGACGATGCGGTAGAAGGCACGTTGCTCCAGACACTCATCGTCCAGCGGGTATAGATCCTCTCCATCGTCCACGTGCTGTCGTCCATACTCTTGAAACACATTCTTCAGATTCTGCGCCGCCTGCAATGTCTTGGACCGCAGTGATCCACGAGGCGACTTCGCTGAAAAGCAGTTTTCCTTGTATATGGCGTCCCAGACCTGCCGGGCACCCATGCCGGAGTAACCAGTGTACCTTTCGGTGTTGTTGACCAAGCTCACATAGTCCCCCTTACCGGCGGCACCCTCGTCATCAGGGATGCAGTAGTCCCTCTCGTCACATTCGTCGTCCTCTTCCACCACGCAGCTCTCGTCCACGTTCTCGCCTAGCTGATATTGCAGAGGCCTGTTGCTCGGCCTTTCTCGCCGCTGCGCTCGCCCAGGGTGTTTCGCCCGCGCCCCTTCCAGTTTACTCAGCTCTTCTGCTCGCCATATCGGCGGGATGGCACTTTCATCTTCTATGGTGTCCACGGCGCACGCACGGTTGCCGCACATGGAGTTCTCATCATTCCAGAAGGGACAGGCTTTATTGTACAAGTTTAATCGATAGTAGGCGAAAAAGTCCGTTTGTTGCGTTAAATCGTCCAGCGCCGGTTCTAGTTGGGCGTGGAGTCTTTCGAGATCTGAATAAGATGTGCAGGCATCGGAAACGATCGAGTTCGGATCTATGGCACACTGAGACTCTGCCGTTACGCAGGATGGGTGTAGGAAGAGGTAGAAGGCAAGGAAGAACTGAGAGGCGTGTCGGAGGCGCATGTTGGCGACGTCGGTTGATAGCAGTACGGATGACAGTCGACAGGTCTAACGAAAGGAAGGGAAGAATGTACAGAGAAGAAGCATCGAGGTGGAGGAAAGATGTAATTGTAATCAGGCTCCGAACGGGTGAAAGTGAGACAGTCAAGAACAAACTGGCCACATTCTTTCGAAGGAATCCCGCACCGCAGCCAATGATATCGGCAGAGAAATCTGTTCTGGGATCTGGTTGAACCACTTCGAAGAGCGAAAGGTTTGCTCTGAACAGGTGGCAGGAAGACGGAGACAATAGCAGATACACTGTGTTCTCTGTCAGGCCATCATATACTCTTTTTATTGTACATTGATTGCATCGTCACTAATCATAAAAACAGATCTCACGCCACTCATGTCAGTCAGTCAGGATCTCAACGGTGGCTGTGCTGCCTACAGCCTACAGCATTCACCCTCACAATCCCCTACTGTCCTATACTTTCTATACCCCTGAACACCCTGAAATACAATCACCAGTCAATCCTTCTCTGCGCTGCTACACCCACCGCCCGTGTTGCAGTCACGTTGCCTGTTCCTGGCATTGCACCAATCGTCTTCGTCGGTCGCAGCCCCTTGTTGAGTCCCAATTTCTTGTCCAGACTGGCAAACGGGTTCGGTTCCTCTGCCTGCTTCACAACGTATTTGCTGGTTCCAAGCACATTGTCCAGCTCTTGGACCGGCGGCAGCTTGAGATAGACCCAACCATCGTCGCGGTCCTCGGCCTCGAAGGTCGCGATGGACATGCTTGTGTCGTTGGAGCAAGATCCGGCCCCGACATCCTCCTTGTCGAAGTTGACCTCACCGTTGAGCTGGAAGTTTCGCTTATGGTATGGACAACTGACGTAGAGTTTGCTCTCCTTGCAGTCTGGTGCGGTGTTCTCGCCCACCAACCCGTCGGACAGCCCAAATGTCCTCCGATGGGGACACATCTGTTGGCTGGCATAGTATTTACCCTTCAGCTTGAAGATGGCCAGTTGCGTATCCCCACGGAGGACTGTTTGTGAAGACCCAGTCTCGACATCGGCGAACTTCTTTGCCTCGACCATGGGTTGCCACGTTAGACTGGTCCATCTGGTCCCTTTGAAATCCTCATGCACGGACTCCTTGGGCCAGTATGCCGGTCGGGATTGGCCTCGCTCTTCGACCTTCTCGACGGCCGGTTCCCGGTTCTCCGCAGAATTGGCAAATTGCTGGAAAGCCTTGCGTTTCTCCGGATCATTCAGAGTCTCGGTCCATTCGCAGAAGAACGTGCCCACCAGTTCCTGCATCTGTCTCTCCAATTCGGCGCAGATGCCGAGCTTGTCTTCCAGTATCACTTGTCGAAGATATTGAATGCCGCCTGGTAGTTGTTCAATCCACCTTGCCGTCCTCTGGAGCTTGTCTGCTGTCCTGATGTAGAACATGAGATAGCGGTCGAGGATGGGGATCACATCGTCGGGAGGAACATCCTTGGCCAGCAACTCGGAGTGCCTCGGTGTGGCTCCGCCATTGCCGCCCACGAAAACGTTGAAGCCCTTCTCGGTGGCGATCAGGCCAAAGTCCTTGTTTTGCGCTTCGGCGCACTCGCGAACGCACCCGGACACTCCTCCCTTGATCTTGTGGGGGCTCCGGATCGATTTGTATCTCTCCTCCAGCCTGACAGCCATACCGACCGAGTCACCGATCCCGAATCGACACCAGGTCGTACCCACGCACGATTTGACGGTTCGGAGGGATTTGGCATAGGCGTGACCCGACTCCATACCTCCCGCCACCAGTTCGGACCAGATGTCCAACAGATCTTGCTTCTTGGCCCCGAACATGTCAATCCGTTGGCCGCCGGTGATCTTGGTGTAGAGCCCATACTTTTTGGCGACTTGGCCGATCACAATCAGCTTGTCGGGGCTGATCTCTCCTCCAGCCACCCGCGGGATGACAGAGAAGGTGCCGTTCCGTTGGATGTTTCCAAGATAGCGATCGTTGGTATCCTGTAGTCCGTGCATTTTCTTGTCCATCACATGCCTGTTGAACATGCCGCTCAGGATGGATCCGACAGCTGGTTTGCAAACTTCGCATCCCAGGCTATCGGGGTTGTTGCCAACTTCCCGCATGACCTCCCCAAAATCTTTCAACTTCTTGACGTAGATGATGTTGTAGAGATCTCCCCGGGAGTAAGAGAAATGAGGACACAGATGGTTCAAGACTTCATTGCCCATCTCTTTCATCGTCTTGTTGAAGATGGATTGGACAAGAGGCATGCAACCGCCGCAACCCGTCCCGGCTTTGGTGCAAGACTTGACCTCTCCGATCGACTTGCAGGAGCCGTCCTTGACCACTCCAACTACGTCCCCTTTGGTGACATTGTGACAGGAGCAGATCTGGGTGTCATCGGTTAGATCGTCGGCATCTTCATCGCCCTCTTTCGACGCGCCGATGATGAACTGCGAGGGTGGGACGTCCAAGGCTTTCTTGTTCTTGACCATGGGAACCAATTTGACATAGTCTCTGGTGTCACCAATCATCATGCCACCGAGCAAATACTTGCCGTCCATAGTGAACAGGTATTTCTTGTAGACGGATTGGAAGGGGTCCCGATAAGTCAGCGCTTTGACTGCTGGGGGTGGCGGACCGTTCGTGAGGGTCTTGACCTTATCCTGGCCGACAGGATCTTTCTTTTCTTCACGTTTGACGTGTCGCTTTGGCAGGTCCTTCGGCCCATCTCGGTCAGCGAAGAAGTCACCAAAACTGGCCACTTCCACACCGAGCAGTTTCAGCTTGGTGCTCAGGTCCGGCCTTTTGAAGGTCCTAGGACTGTGCACCTTGGCTTGTGTGAGGTTGAAGGATAGGACATCGGCTTGCTCAACCCCAGGTGCGATGAGACCGAATGTCTGGTTTTCCCAGCTAGCGCATTCTCCGATGGCATAGATGTTTGGGTCGCTCGTTCGCAAGGAATCGTCAATGATGATGCCGCCGCCTCGATCAGCACATTTTAGTCCAGCGTTTCGCGCCAGATCGTCCCGGGCTCTGATGCCGATCGCGAACATGATGCAAGAGCACTCCATCTCCTCACCGTCCTCGAACACGATGCCCTTGACAGCGTTGTTGTCATCGGTCAGGATCTTGCCCACCCGTTTGCTCAGCATAACATCCAAGCCAAGCTTGCGAACCAGTTCAACAACCATGCCGCCAGCATCGGCATCCAGCTGTCGCGACAGAACCCATCGATTTCTTTCGATGAGCTTGACTTGGTTGAATTCTTCCAGGTCCATCATCGCCTTGGCTGCCTCGAGGCCCAGAAGGCCTCCACCAACCACACATCCCGTCGTTCCTTTCACCGTGGCAGAGAAGTCGATCAACTTCTGCAAATCTTCAATAGTCCGGTAGACGAAGACACCCTTGGCGTCATGTCCTGGTGTGTGCTTCGGGACAAGAGCATCAGAGCCAGTGGCAAGGACGAGCACATCGTAAGGGACGGTATCTCCTTGTGAGGTCGTGACCACTTTTTCCTGTGGTTTGATCTCGGTGACCCGAGTGTTGAGGTGGTAGCTGAACGAGCCAGGCGGATGCCCCTTGTACCATGATTCCGGATTGAGATAGAGAGACTCGACCTGTCTGTGCTGGAAGAAACTGGTCAAACCCACCCGGTTGTATGCCAGGTGTGGCTCCTCGCCAATGACCACGACATCGTACTCCCTCCTTTTGGCGTCTAGCTTCAACAGTTTTTCTCTGCAAAAATCCAATTAGCTATTTCTTCGGTATGAGATTGAAAGCTACCACCTGGGCACTCACACGAAGGCTATTCCAACCATCCCCAATCCGACGACAACGACTCTCTTTCTGGGGCTGTCTTTGGGCGAATCCTCCCCAATCACCTCCGCCCCTGGAGGTACCCGGCTGATAGCCATCCCCGGTGAAGATGTTGACCACGACATGTCGCTGTGAAGCGTTAGAGAGTGCGATTTCACACGATATGCAGGACAGCCTGTGGACAGGTTACTGGCAACACAATAATGTTTACGGGTATTTCATGATGCAGATTTACGACAACCGGGGAACGCAGAGGGCCAACGACGAAAGTGCGAAATGGGTAGGCAATAATAAGATTGGTAGATGAAAAGCCATATCAGTCCAGCCTTCGAGGGCCTCTGACGCCACCGCTGGACAACATGAGTCCGCGGGAATGAAGCAACATAACATTCTTCGACCAACAGCAAAAAAGTGTTTGCTTATCAGGGGAGGCTCAAGACCGCGGGGACAGGCTAAGCATCTTGAAGCATGCCCCGGCAGTGTAGGACCAATGGATATGGTCGCATTGTCATTTCATGTCGTCAATTCAGCTGCCAGAGAGTACCAAACAGCAGAGGACTCGATCTCAAGCCGGGATGGTTGAAGATCAGTATTTCCACGGGGGTCAAGGGACAAGAAGTGGAGCAAGCAATCGAGATGACCTTTCTCCGAGATAAGGAGCGTAGATGATTCAAAGAAATGTAGTCTTTCAGTCTGAGTGGTGGAAAGACGTTGAGATAAGATCTCGCCCGACCCACCACCAGCGTCACGTATCGTATGCGTGTATTTTTGGTTTTGGCACGTGACTTGGGTCCACCGCGCGGGTTGATTTTTTACTATCCAGATTTGTTTCGCCAACGACACGCCTACCAGGTGGTTGGCAGATATAGCTTGATCCCAGAGGATGAGCCAAGGGTTGTGCCCATACCACTCGGGCCTGCTTCCGCATCGCAAGGCCAACGTACATAGTCATCAAAAGAACATCAGTTGGTCATCGCTCCATCCTTGCTCTTTCAGAGCTTTATGCATGGCCTTTTCCATCGCTTCAGGACCGCAAATCAAGACCAACGCATCATCCGTGCGTGCACAATTGTCCTGAACCAGCTGACCTGTAACCCGTCCTCGAAGGCCGGTCCACTCATCGGTCGGTTGTGTAAGGGTGTGCAAAATGCGGCACCTTTCTTCATTCCCACTTGAAAGTGCGTCAAGCTCTTCCTTGCAAAGGATATCTTCAAACAATCGGTTCCCATCAAAAATCATACAATGTGTGTCGTCGTCAGGGTTTCGAAGAACCGCCCGGAAGACCTGGTAGATGGGCGTGATTCCGCTCCCACCGCAGATCATCAGAAACGATTTGACGTGTTTTTGCTTGCCTTGGATCAGGCAGTCACCGTTCCCAAGATACTCGAATTTTCCAATGGGCCCTTTCATCTCGATGAAGTGGCCAATGGGAAGCGCATCCATCGCTTGGGACATCTTGCCCCCCTTGCCTCGGTCGTCGGCGAAGTAGACCTTGACCAGCATCTCCATGTAGCCCTGATCGTTGATTTCCGAGATAGGCGTGTAGCTGCGGATGATGGTTTCCCGGGTGGCAGGGTCGCGAAGTCGGACCATCAGATGTTGTCCGACAGGTAGTCCAAGCCGCTGTTGTGGATGCTCCAGCCTGTATGTGAAAATGCGTGTGTCCCAGGAAACGATCTTCTTCGCATAGAGAATGGCTTTTTTCCATGCCTTGGGGTTGAGAAACGTCTCCGAGCAAGTCCCTGATTGATCAGGCTCTGTCTCGCCCTCGGTGAGAGCGGTTCTGGCGGCTTCGTCCAATGACCCAATATGATATTTCGGCATCATCGCTTTGGCCGTTTCGCTGTGTATTGCCATGAACTCTTCAGTGGCGTCGAGGCCTGCGGCCGAAATGATGCTCTGTGCTCCACCTGGGTGCTCGTCCAGGAATGCCGTGCCGTCGTACACTTCGCCATTGACGACGAACCAAGGTTGTTTTTCAGTGTCATGTTTCCTGAGCTCGTCAATGGTGATGGGATTCTTCAAGCCTTCCTTGACCATGGAGATCTCTTCGGGTTGTGCCTCTGGCGGTGCCTCTTTCTCCTCACCGTCAAGCTTCTCGCCCCAAAAGCCGTTGGCAAGATTCCCTCCCGCCTTCTTCACCCTTTCCATCCAGCCACCCGGGATCAGCGCCGGCTGCGTGGGGTGTTCAAAGCGGAGATGGTCGCCTTCCAGCGTCACAGTCACACGGAACCACGGGTTGTTCATCATTCCCAAGACGGACCAGTACATATCTCGCGGCTGCACGTTCATGCTTTCGTCCATCGCGCGGACAAAGATGTCCTTTGATGCAGAAAGCTCGCTGATCGAGAGGTTGATCGACCAGAAGCACCAGCAAAAGCACGTCTCTCGCCACGACATATCGAGTTGACCGCCGAACAGGGTCCTGTCCACCTGTCGATAACGGTCCTCGGGGTACTCAATGTCCGCCAGTCGCCAAGTCTTCCCCTTGTCCAGAGTGATTTCCACTCGCGTTATGCGCCTGCCTCCACCACTATATGCATAGCCCCTCGTTTTGTAAACCGGAGGTGTGTCAGTCAGGCATATCTTTTCCTCGTGCTCAGGATAGCAAATCGCTGAGTTCGGGTTGAGATCAAAGATGGCATATCTCTCGTCTGTCCACCACTTCGGATTATTCGCCGACTCCTCGGGTGACACCATTGTTGGCAACACCCGGTTGTCATATATATGATACCAGTTGTCGCTCGGGCCGTCCGTGACAATCAGCTTCTTCAGCCACTTGACCGAGCGCCCGCCAATTTGTCCAGGAATCACGGCGCGAAGAGGCTTTCCGTGGTCGGGTCTCAATGTCTCGCCGTTCATTTTATACGCCAGCATGAATCCTCGATTGGCGTCCAACGCCCAGTTCAGTTTCACCGATGTCCCATAGTATCCATTTGGTAACTTATCGGCGCCTTCCATACAGATGTACTTGGCCCCACGCTTCGGCTTGGCTCTCCTGATCACTTCGGACATAACCACACCGGTGAAGAGGGCTGTCGAAACGCCGGCAGCTCCCCAAGAAAACCCCTTGGTCTTGCGAACCACGTTCTGCTCTTTGCGCCGGTTGCCTGCACAGACCAGTGTGATCGGATATGTCACTTGATCATAATCCGTCATGAGCTGCTTCAATGATATGGTCATGGGCTTTTCCACCAGTCCTTCCACTGTGAACTCCCAATCCACGATATCTTCATCCTTGACTTGTGGCACAGGTCCATGGTTTCGGACGTAAAACAACTCTGGGCTGGTCAGAAAACCTTCGTTGAACAGTTCCGTAAGAGGAGCTTCGACATTGAATGGATGGACGCCCGTCAATCTGATCAGCCTGGGATCTCGCGGTACATGGTGGTCTGGTGTCTTCAGGTCGACATCTAGTATCTGTGTGGGGATAGTAGTCGGTGGTGGGAGTGGTATTTCAACATTGTCGTCCTCAGGATTGGAGATGCTGTCATCAGTTGGAGGAGGCGTTGGAGGGAGGATGTCTTTGGGCTTTTGATTGTCTAGTTTCTCGATTTGTTCTGGTATTCCCTGGCTATCGGTCTTTGGATCCTCCATGGTGTCGCAAGAAAGTCAGGGTTCGATACCAGATCTATGTTAATGGCGAGTTCTCTCCTCCATATTATGGGAATATGCGCCTGCAAACCAGCAGAACACGACAGCGTAGGGGAAAGAAAAAGGAACAAGAACAGCAAATACCTTTCAGTCAGTAACTCCAATGAAGTGGGCTATGGACCCCTTCAAGCGGACAGACATGATGACGCTACACTTTCCGTGTCGCCTCCAGCAGCAGGTCAAATCGAAGTGCAGACGTGTGAAGATCCGCGGGTCGTTGTGCAACCAGCTTTGTGTGTTGTTGCGAGGAGATGTTGCATCTTCCGCTTATCTATGCCCCCATTCCCATTGCGGCTAGTCTCGTCATGTTGTAATCTCCTTACACGCCAATACGACAATACGTCGCCTTCATCATCCAACATCAGTTCGGCGGATAGGAAGCGTAGCCTTGCCATCATGGGTGGTGATCACTACTGCCAATCTATCACCTTTTGTGATAAATCGCAGCTTTCCATCAAAGGCGGCTCTGCGGAGCTTCAATGAAGAGGGATCGCTGAGTACCCATGTGTCGGTTGAGAGACTGAGCTCTTTCATGCCTGTTAGGCTTCCCAAAATGTACATGACTAGGTCAAGCTCTGCAGGAGTCCAATTGAAAGTATTGTCACGACAGCGTTGTGATGCCACGTCAAGTAGTGATTATCACTGCTGCTGGTGTAGTTTGTACCTCCCGTTGGTCTCCTAGTAATCAGTAGATTTCTCCAGGGCTGACGGTCACGTGACGCCATTTTCTCAGAGAACTTTGCGCACGTGACCTCCCGAGAATTTGGAGACTCGGTGCAACTTTTTTTGACCCTCGAAATCACTTCAAGTTGTCACTTGTCACAGTCTGCCCGAAACTGACTGACTGCCTTTTGAAACTGGTGCATCTCTTGAGACACAAGGGCATCAGTCAACATGCCTCAGAACGAGTATATCGAGCGGTGGACCAAGCAGCACGGCAAGCGGCTGGACCATGACGAGCGAGTGCGGAAACGAGAAGCCCGAGAAGGCCACGCTCAGTCCGAAAAGGCACAGAACCTTCGTGGACTAAGAGCGAAGTTGCACCAGAAGAAACGACATGCCGAGAAGATACAGATGAAGAAGGCCATCAAGGCCCAGGAAGAAAAAGATGTCAAGTCCGCGGCACCGAACGAACCCTCTTCCACCCCTCTCCCCAACTATTTGCTCGACCGGTCACAAGCGAACCATGCAAAGGCGCTCTCGAGTGCAATTAAGAACAAGCGGGCAGAGAAGGCGGCCAAGTTCTCTGTGCCTCTCCCGAAAGTCAAAGGGATCAGCGAGGAGGAGATGTTCAAGGTGGTCAAGACGGGCAAAAAGACGGCGAAGAAGAGCTGGAAGAGAATGATCACCCAGCCGACGTTTGTCGGTCCAGACTTTACTCGACGACCGGTCAAATACGAACGCTTCATCAGGCCGATGGGTCTTCGATACAAGAAGGCGAACGTGACACATCCCGAACTGGGAGTGACCGTGCAGCTTCCCATTATCAGTGTCAAGAAGAACCCCCAAAACCCTCTGTATACGCAGCTGGGCGTATTGACGAAAGGAACTGTGATCGAAGTCAATGTTTCAGAACTCGGCCTCGTCACGACTGGTGGAAAGGTTGTCTGGGGCAAATATGCTCAGGTCACGAATGATCCTAGTCGAGATGGATGCTTGAATGCTGTTCTCTTGGTTTGAGAACACACATCGTTCGCTTTTATGAGAAACATACCCTGCTTGCTGCAATTGTTGCATATGGTATGTGGTATTCGCCACTACCAGACCCAAGTCATATCTCCCGAACCTGCAGCCTTCATATCGCTGTCGACGGTCCTGTTCAAATGAAACTTCCAGTGATGGCATACCCAACACTGACATCTATCTCACTGAGCTGCCGACTGGCAACTGACGGCGGAGTCATGCCAGCATTTTACAACTTCTCCGCGAAAATGCTATGGTCCGCATACCCCATGGCCTTGACAGCGATTTTTGCGCTTTGCAGCACCCTCTGCTTCAAGCTGAGCGTTTGGCCGGGTTTCTCAACTACATCACATTTCTTCCATCAGCACAATTTTCTCGGAACGTCGCCCAGTGTAGCTGATGAGGGCGACTTACAAACATTACTGATTTTCGCCATGACGCCATACGTCGCCTTGAACTCGAACGGTTTCAGAGCCTTCCAGATCTGCATGACCGTATCTGGCGGCAAGGGGATCATATTCGGAATACTCCAGAGGAACTGGTACGACATGGTATCCTTCCGTTTCCCCGGATCTGGGTTCTTGGACGAAGCCACTGCGAAGATCGTGTCTGCCACAAACAGCGTGGGCAGGGAAGTATTCGGCGGCGCGGAATGTAGGACCATGCTACCTGGGAAATGGCCTCCGCAGATGACGGCGGTGAGGCCAGGGAGGAGCTGGGTCGTGGGATCTTTCAGCAGCTTCAATGTCGCTGACGGGGCGTCTTTGCGGTTGGCCCACACGGAGTCGACTTCGGTCATGTACACGGGACAATTGAAGGTTGCCGACCAGTCTGCCCATGTTCTGAAATAGAAACAACGGTGCCCGTTAGCAGATATAATGGCTCTGGAAGAACTTTCATCCTCCTTCTTCTGATCGTGCTGGACTCACGTGTAGAAATGTGGATGAGAAATGATAATGAACTTCAACCCTCCCAACTCGGTGATCTAGTCGCGCATCAAATCCGGTCATTGTCAGCCTTCCAATACTTAGGTACTCATAGGTACTCGGCAAGCACTGAATAGCAGTCGTGTAACACAAAGGGATCAAAGATCACGAGGGCTAGGCTTCTGGTGAAGAAGCATGGTGTCTGGACACTGCAGTGTGATGCTTAGCGGTATCACTGCCGTCTCTTGTCTTGTCTTGTCTTGTCTTGTCTTGCTGGTTCAAGAACCAGTCCAACGCCGAGTACGGCGTACATGTAGTGATCTCACAGGGGCAAACTTTGTAATGCTGGTACAAAAGGAGTGATACTTAGGTAGGTAGGCAAATATCACCAGCTCTTTCAAATTCATACCTTGTCCACAGTATCCTGGTCCAAATAAGCCACCAGATCCCAAAGAACATTTCCATGCGGCGTCCGAATCAGACATGCCCGTTGGCCGATACCGAACTAGAACAACACCCATACCCAAACGTTAGCACGGTAGGGTAAGCTGGTCGAAGCGTTGTTTTTGTGATCAATATCGTGAAAAGCACACACAGCAAGGACACAGCAAGGTAGGCTTCCTGGCTCGTTTGTACGGATTGATGGATTCTGCCATTCAATCAACCTTGTATCCCGACTCCAATCCGATTCCCTTTCACAAGAGATTTCCCCCGGAGCGCTTGAGATCACTCACACACCATATCCGCTCCTGCCTAGTAAGCACGACGCTGGAGAATCTCCCTTGTCTAGGCAACCTGAAGAAGACCGAAGTATGGGAAGTGGGCTATAACCAACATATATCTATATCTTTGTTTCTGTCTGTCTTACCTTTGGTTCCGTCCACACCTCCAAAACATTTTCGTTCCGCCTACACGGCTCAAAAACATTCCTGTACTCGCCGCTGGCCTTGAGTTTGCCGAGGGTCGTGAACGACTGGCCTGGTTCAGGGATGAATTGTCTGGGATCCTATCATGTCGAAAAAGTAAGCGGTTGGGGGGACAAAAAGGTTAGTTCCGTTACAATATCCATCAGTAACTGCAACGGAAGAGAGACATAATGGTGTGTCTGCCATTGATAAATGCAATGTTTGTCCATTAGGTATCCCGACCCGACATTGAGTGACAGGAGCGCCGTCCTCACCCTGATCCAACCAGACCCTCACAATAACAATTGATATTCTTATTCTTCACGATAAATTGTAGACGAGTTCAATACACCAGCATACATGGTAACATACCTCACAAATCCGACATTCATCCTTCCCTGATTGCTCGTCGACGTCGTATTGTGCTCCGCAAGCCGTGCAGATGAGCAAGTCATCAGATGTCGAGAGCTGCGGAAGTGGTGTTGGAGTTGACATGATTATATCTCACTGATGATAGTGGGAATAAATGCCACGGTATAGATAGTGTAATTGGAAGGTGAATAAGGACACGCAAAGGAAATGGTAGGTCCGGTTCACAAAAGGTGAGGTCTGTCTTTGTAGATAAGATGCTAGTACCCACGGTTCGGTTTTGGTTCGGGCAATCCAGCTCGAACGGATCGTGGGTGTTCTACCCCTTGTAGAGTAGAAGAAATTTGAGAAGCAAAGTGGATTTCGTGCAAGTATGCAGAGGAAAGGGAAAGGCAGGGAGATGTTGTTTTGGATTCGAGAAAGGATCTTAGGTATACAAAGTATATATACCTTAGGGAGGTTGGGTCGAATCCTCGGAGAGCGGGGAATGATATCCGGGTCTCATATTTGGTGACCATGACCATTCGCCTGACTATTACACACACGGTCACAGAGCATGCAGGATGAGAGCAGCGATTGTTCAGAAATACACAAGAACGGAGGTGACTCGTTGTTTGAGTACCTGGTATAGATTGACAACTAGGGACGAAGTCACTCAGTCTTGTGGATTAAAAGCTCTGAAAACGGGTGTCCTGTATTGACAGAATGGCTCTTTGGGCTTCCACAAGAAAAGGAAAATTGCCAGGACTTGACTGCCATGGATGGACGTTTCATTTCTGCCTTTTATCTTCTCACAGATGATCCATTGTGGCATCAGACAAGACACACTGATGCATGCTGCACGATGAATGGCCGCGGTCTTGATCAGCCATGTTCTCTTTCAAGTTCATTCAGTCTTCGATCAACCTCCAGCTAACCTGCATAGTCGAGCTGGGTATCGTACAAGAACAAACGGCAACCTCTCACGCTCGTGTAGTCTCATTGTCAGGCACCGTATCACATGTACAAGCTGGCGGTAAAGACAACATCCCGTCGAATCATCTCCCGAGCCTTCTCCATCTTCTGGTACAGACCCGGATCACCGATTAGTCTGGCGGCGCTCATGACCTCCCTACACGTCTCATCCAGCCTCGTCACCACCCTCACAATCGTCCCTTCCATGACGTCTGTAAGATCGGTGATGCGGTTGAACGACATTCCCCTGGCCCACTCATACACGACTTCGACCAGACCAAATCTGGGTCGAGACACAAAGTCATTGGCGTCGTCGGAGGACAAGATGACCTGGTGCAGGATCTGGTAGTGGTTGACCCGCTCGGCAATCTCGATGATGGCTTCTTTCCCTCGCTTCAGATTCTCGTTGAGCTGTGGCTCGCTGTCGGTTTTCTCCTGGAAGACGAACGCCGACAGAAGAGCGACGATTTCCTCCGGTTCGAACCTAAGACGCGAATTAGTATCGTTAAACATGCTCTCCGCAAACCGACTTGGTGTACTAACGATGCCAGAACGTTCTCCAGGATAAGTTCGGTCAGAACTAACTCGTCAGCAGAATGGATTTCGCATGCCACTTTCCCCTTGAGCAGCACTCGGCTTTGCTCGTCGATGAACCCGAGATCTTTGAGCACTTCAGTTCTCTGCTGGTAATCCGGCAACAGGGCCAAGTTCTGGTCGGACATCAACATCTTCAACGACTCGATGTTCTCCTTGATCAGCCACTCGTCGTGTTGCATGCCATAATGTTTCACGAAGTTCGGGCAATCTAGACACTGTGCATTCTGCACAATCTGCGCCATCTTCATCCTCTCCAGAAGCAACTCGCGGACCTGCAGTTCGTGAACTCTACTCCACTCTTGCTCGTCCCAAGCCGTGGAAATCCAGGACGAGTAAACGTTGACGAACTCTTCTTCAGCAAATCTCTTCTGCACTGCGTGGGAGTTTAGTAACGATCGCAAACCGACCTATTTGCCAGACAATAGTAAGTATTACCTTTCGCGACTTTAATGTACCAGTGGGGGCCTCTGACCTTGACAATCGTTTGGGTAACACATTCCACATCGTCCAACGGTACCTGCACGGGACCACATTTTACTCGGGCAGCTTGGTTCGGCAGAGGCGTAAACATCATTCGGAGACGTGGGAGGTAGGGTAACAGGTCTCGCGTCGACCGTGTCGCGTCGACATCGGATACTTCCAGCACATTTAGATGCGGAAATGGGCCTCCTCGTATTCCGTCCTCCAGCAACACCCCGACCTTGCGGATGCCGTCCTACACAATTAGCATGGAGTCCTTACGTTCGGGGACATCGAACCTCTCTACCTTTTTGTACACAATCAATCTTCGAGCTGTCCATAACCGTCGGCCAACTGGTGAAGACAGTAGGTTGATGTGCAAGTCCTTGGTAAGCTGTTCGTATCGCATGGCCGCTTCATGGCATGCTTCCAAGTCAATGTCACAAATGTCGCAAGGCTCACGTTTGATCTTGTCCAGATTTGCTTGAGATAGAGCCACCTCCTTTTCGTGCTGTGGGAGCAAGGCTTGCGTAGCATTCTCTGAGAAGCTGCGCTTGATCATTTCCTCAATCTTCAATGCTTCCACTCGCATCAGATTGAGGATCATGTTGTAATGTAATCTAAACTGGCTGCGAAGCTTTGTGGCCGGTCCCGTAATCATCTGAATCAACTCGGCCGCAGGAGGGGCTTCCGACCTGCCAGGAGTGACAATGATGACCGTACCTACAGTGTCAAGACCACGACGGCCCGCACGACCGGCCATTTGCGTGTACTCGCCAGGCAGGAGGTTTCTGAAATCGCGACCATCGTGTTTGCGATATCCTGAAAACACCACTGTTCGCGTAGGCAGATTCAAACCCATAGCAAAGGTTTCCGTGGCAAACAGCACTTTCACCAGCGTCTTCGCGAAGAGGATCTCGACAATCTCCTTTACAATCGGTAGGAGACCCCCATGATGGACTGCAACACCTCTTCCCAGCATTTCCCGTAGTCGTCTGATCTGAGGTAGCACGCGGTCTTCGACTTTCAGTCGCGCAAGAGATCTTTCAATGGTCATATGGATTGCACTTTTCTCGGTGGCCGTACAAAAATCCTGATTGGAGAGTGAATCTGCATTTTCTTCGCATCGCTTCTTGGAGAAGACAAATATACAAGCAGGAAGGAGGTTGTCTTTGCGCAGGTGTTGGACAAGATGAACCCAGAGATTCCTGTCTTGAGCGGCGGTCGTTCTGCCACCTCCTCTACCGGTGCGCGCAATATTGCCTTGGCCTCGGTTAGCAACTTGACCGCGCCCACGCTGTTGTTGTCCGCCACGTTGATTTGGCGCCCCGCGCTGGTTTGGTCCGCCACGGGCTTGTTGGCCACGACCTCCTCTGTGTTGCGTTCCACCACGCGCCGTCGTTTGCGCTTCGATGGCTTTCTGCTCCTTGACTTTGTCGACACCGGACAGAACGTCGTTGGCCGCCTTCCAGCCCTGTTGAAGGAACCGCTTCTCCGAATCAACAATCTTGTACATGTCCTTTCCTGCCCAAAGGTAGTGTTCCAACGGCACGGGTCTCTTGGGTGTCGAGATGACGTAGATGTTCTTCTTCTTGGTCCGACCGACCCAAGAAGCAAATTCGTAGGTATTGGGTACCGTGGCAGAGAGGAGAATTAGGGTGACATGCTCTGGTAGCATGATGATGACCTCCTCCCAAACAACGCCGCGTTCAAGATCGTTGACATAATGCACCTCGTCGAAGATGACAAACTCCACATCCCGGATGAGATCGGCACCCCGATAGAGCATACTCCTCAGGATCTCCGTGGTCATGATCAGGCAACTAGCCTCGGGATTGATCTGTACATCCCCTGTCAAGACGCCAACGTCGTCAAAGACGGTCTTGAAATCTCGGAACTTCTGGTTGGACAAGGCTTTGATGGGAGAAGTGTATATCGCCTTTGTCATATGTTTTGCAGCTAATGCAATAGCATATTCGGCAACTACAGTCTTTCCAGCCGATGTATGTGCTGCAACAAACACTGAGTCACCACTTTCGAGATGATACACAGCCTCTTTCTGAAAGGTGTCCAATTCAAAGGGCCACGTCCGAGCCATATCTGGCACCAACTCGTGGAAGTTGGGAATGTCTTTGTTCACGTCGACCACATGAGCCCATTCCCTAGTGGGTTTCATGCTAGACGAGGACAACAGATCGCCACGAGGCTCGAGAGACGGAAACTCGACAGGTAGAAGATCATCCAGTTCGGCATCTTCATCCTCTTCGTCACTGTTGGAAGCGTCGCCGTCCAGCGGCGGGGCGTGCTCTCCGTTCGGCTGGGCATTCACAAGTTTGGCGGGTCGTTCGGCGTCTTCCTCTTGCAGGGTCTTTTCTACGTCTTCGGCTTCCTCTTGTTCCGAAGCTTTCTTTTCGGCGAATTTCATACCCCGCGTGAAGCCTGGTGGGACCTCCAGGAGGCCACCTGGCGCCCCAAAGTTGATGATTTTGTCAAGGCCGCTGGTCTTCTTCCTCGAAGATTGATTCTCCTCCTCAAGTCGTGTCTGATCCTCATAGGCCTGAATGGCGTCGACTCCATCCAGTCCACCAGGCGCAAAGGGCATGTAGCCAGCAGCTCCGCGCACAAAGTCCGCTCTGTTTGCTGGTCTGCGCAGAAGGGAAGTCGAGTTCTTTGCAGTAGCACTAGACGCAGGAACTGTAACTTGTCTGTAGCCGGTGACTCGACCTTCAAGACCTTCCCTTGTGAACCGGGTGATAGTCCGTGTCTGAGTAGGGGCTAATTGGCAGAGTTCGGTGTAGCCTGGCGATTGATAGTCCCATCGTTGTTGGAGTTTGTTCAGCCATTCTGGACTAAACGTGGTGGGTGGTGACAGGAATTCTCGCTCTAGATCCTCCTTGATTTGCTCTGGGGAGCGTTTGGAGGATACAGCCGTAGCCATTACTGATGTTGAAAGCCTCCCCAGGAGACACTCGGTACCAAATCGAATGGGGTATTGAGGAAAAACGATGCAGTATGAGGCGAGTGAGTGTCTTGTGGTCGTTGAAGGTGAAGAATGATGCCAAGAGCGACGTCATTTTGTGTATTGAATCTTACAGAACAAACATGTATTCCGTATTTCACGTCTCATTACAACAATAGCAACCAGGAAACTGCCTGCTTGCGGTCTTCTACTACCCCTGAACAGCTGAGCCTTGAAAGCAGGCACAAGTTGAAATCGCGTCCGAACTTGCCCTGGAACCAACACCAGTTGAAGGATAAATACATCAATCCTCGACTGAGAGCAAGGCTTTGTTTAAAAGGACTACACCGAGTCTACTCGTCTGTCGCGTCAAGAACCTTGTCGCGAACATGACAACTGACACCGAGGTCGTCCTCTTACTCTGTGAATAGTTTCTCTTGCTCTCTCGCAAGGTGATTTAGTGGTGAAATCGTGACTTCTCCCAAGATGGATATTCAAAGCGATTCAAAACAGTCCTTCGTCTTGCCGAAGTTGAAGTACAAATTCAAGACTTCTCCCGAAACCGACCGCTTTGCATTCTACGATGTCAAATTCTTTCCCTATGCAAGTCCCGACACGGAAGAGCCCGTTTTTGCGGTTGTGGCTCAGAGAAAGGTCTTGATCGGCCGGCTGTCAGCCGAAAACAACGCCGTGGTGACAATGCTCCACGAACTGGTGGATCAGCAAGAAACCGACAATCCAGACTCGCCCGGGTTGAACTCATGTTCATGGTGTTACATCGACCCGCAGTTGCCCTTGCTCGCTGTGGCCGGGGGATCTGGTCAATTGAAAGTGATCAATGCCGTTGACGGGGAGCTATTCAAGACATTGATTGGCCATGGACATGGGACCATCAACGACATTGCAACTCACCCTTTGTATCCCTGGATTGTTGCTACCGCTTCGATGGATAAGAGCCTTCGAATCTGGGATATAAGACGACATTCAAGCCCACATCAGTCGCCCACCATAATCATCTGCGGCCAAGCAACAGGACATTGTGAAGGGGTCTTGACTGTATCATGGCATCCCAGTGGTCGCTATCTAGTCACGGGAGGCCACGATCAACGGGTTTGTGTTTGGACGATCCCGGATCTGGCCGACGAATCATCCTTTTGGCACCAGATCTCTTCAGAAGGCAGAAAACGCAGTGCCCATGAAGTCTTCACCATCTACTATCCTCACTTCATCAGTTCCGGAGTCCACTCCAATTTTGTGGATTGTGCTCGCTTCTTCGGCGACCTTATTGTGTCGAAGGCAGCAGGTGAAGACAAGATAGTCCTGTGGAAAATCACAGGGTTCGACTCTTGGGAACCTCCTCCCGACTCGACCACGGCGCCTAAGACGGAAGAGTTTCTGGACACACGGAACGGGTTTATGCGCAAGATATACCGAGACGAGAGGGGCGTGACGAAGGTGAGAGTTGCCGAAGAGTATGAAGATCAACCGCTATATGAAAGACTACTTGAGTTTGAAACTCCTCGGGTCGAGCAGTTCTATCTTCGCTTCGGCCTGTTAACGCCATCGCCCGATCACCCTGACCTACATCCGGTTCTGGCTTTCGCCAATGCATCATCGGAATTACGGCTTTGGGACCTTGAGCGACTGTCACTGGGACATGCTGGCGGCCTTGACGATGGTAGAATCATGCAGACGATCAAGAAGAAATTGCAAAAAGGCGTTGCTCGGCCGGTCAAGCCCCAAGAACGTCTTCAGCGAATGCGCAGCAGCTCCCACAGCTTGCGCGACAATGATTCTCCTTTGTCTACGGAATCGAACCATAGTTCTGGAGGCTGGCCGCGACAAAGCTCGACGGAGGCAACCAGCGAGATCTCTGACCCAGTGTCACCCGCTACCCCTCAGATTCTGATGCCATCCCGTGACCGGGAAAGATATCCCATTCACGACGCACATGAGCCCCTGAAGCCTCATGCGAAAGTCTCATTAGGTGAAATGCAATTTAAGAACGTTGCATACTTCAACGCCAGAGCAGCTGATTGGAGTCCTTGTGGAAGATGGTGTATCGTGGCTGGCGAGTCTGCAAAAGCTTCTCCTACAGGAATGGAAGGCATTGGAGGGTTTGCGGTCCTGCACCGGTGATGGTCGTCACACAAAGGTCATGTGTTAAATGGCACGGGAGGAGTAGGAGGTCGTTGAAGTGAAGCAGCCACACTGTACAGCCTCGTGGTTCATCAACACTGAATCAAACAGAACAAGGCTGGGAAACGGGGTTGACTCGTACGGCGCAGAGTGCTTCTGGTACAGTACAGTACATGTGGTATCTTTCATCTGTATAAGGTTCTCGTTATTACTGTACCAGGCAGGTATTTGACTCGGTACCTTGCAGAACATCACTGTAACGGGCCGTTGCGGGGCATACCACCTACTAGTACTGTACATATCTAACAAACAACAACGACGAGCAATGCAGCGGAAGAATGAGGAATTCCACTTCTCAAGTACTATCTTATGTGCTATTTGCTCAGGAATACAAGTCCTATGTTTTTGACGCGTCCACGTCTTCTGAGCCGTTCCGATAACGCGACATCTGCTTCTGCCAACAACTTGAACTATCGATACCGCATGTAGAGAGGTTCCGGCGATGGTCATGGTATCTGACGCGACGCTTTGAACAGCGTGACTCCCCGCGAGATGATCCGTGTTTCTCAAGACGGAGCGGAGCAGACAGCGCAACCGCAGAAATTCCTACGGTATAGGTCACTTCGGAAATCCAGCGTCAAGAATTCCCCATCCGAGCCTGCTCCTCCGTTGCCGCAGCCGTCCCCGCCGTCACAAACCTCCATCACGCGCGTGCCTTCGAGATATCGTCGCAAACCCAAGCCGGAAACTACGCCTCCGTTACCTCAAACTCTTCGCAATCATGACACAACCGCGCAATCCGAACCTTTGCCCGGAGAGCATCACCCTGCGGCTGAAGGCGGACAGGTGGAGACTCAAAGCAGATCGACGAACAATGGTTCCCACGCCATGGTGTCTAAAGGCAATCACAGGCTTGGTGCTTCGGAATCGCGGACTAGGGGCACATCCCACAAACATACTACTAGCATAGACTCAACGGCAGCGGAAGGCCTTCGGAGATCATATGAAGTTGCGCGGGAAGAAGCGCGACTGATATTGGAGGGCGAAGTCGTCCGACTTGCGGAACTGAGGGCGCGAGAGGCCCAACGACGACTTGGACAACAAGGACAGCGGGGGGCAGATCGAGATCGAGCGCGGACAAATGAATCTGGTGGGCGCGACGCCGAGCATGTCGAGAGCCACGGTGAAGGGATAAGTGGAATTCAGGAACGGTCTAGATTGGACGGGCACCGTGGTCAAGTTTCCCGTGAGAAGGACCCAACTGAGAGAAGACCTGTGGAGGACTCGACTGACAAGAAAACACGGAAATTGATCATTGGAGGTCCGCCCCTCTTACGAAGATCAAACCGACATAGTCGCGCTTCATCGGGCGAGCAACGCCGTTCACCACAACGAGGGGATGCCGGAACCGACAGTGTTGGCACAGTGGACGAAAGTCGCCGAGCCATACCGCCTATGAATGCCCAAAATTTCTACGCTCCAGTTTCTGCCGTCAATGCTGGTGAAAGAAGGGTTAGCATTCAACATAGAACGACATCCATCACGCTTCCAGTCACCCCGTCGACCACCACCAAGGACATCTTGAAATCTGCATCGATGACCATGTCCGAGCAAGTCGACCCTCGCACAGCAGTACTTCTGGAGTCATACTCACAGCTCGGCCTGGAAAGGCCATTGCGCAGGTACGAACGAATACGTGATGTGATGAACTCGTGGGACAATGACAACCAGAATCGCCTCTTCCTTGTGGCGGAAGACGAATATGCTGCCCAAGGTCTTGGATTTGGAGATGCTCCAAGGCAGCAACCGGCCGCTACAACGGTGCAAATCTACCATTCGCACAAGCCGGGTCGGTGGGACAAGCGCTGGGTGAGACTCAGAGAAGATGGGCAAATGACGATCTCCAAGAAAGAAAATGGCCTTGATTCCACCAATATCTGTCATCTATCAGACTTTGATGTTTACACTCCCACCGCAAGTCAGATGAAAAAGCTCAAGCCCCCCAAGAAGCTGTGTTTCGCCTTTAAGAGCCAGGCGAAATCGTCAATGTTTCTTAGCGGGGCCAACTTCGTGCACTTCTTCTGCACCAAAGACAAAGCAACTGCGGACAAATGGTATCAAGCGGTGCACTCATGGCGGAGTTGGTATCTCGTCAACATGCTGGGGGAAGGTCAGCACACCCCATCAGAACCGGCAATTAGCAGGCAGCAACTAGGGACCCGATTGGGCACCGGTCAACCTCAAGAAGTGTCATCTTACGTACGTGGTTCGACCAAACATTTCCATCAATCTGGACCTCCCAGGAGCAGCGTGGAGGGAAGCAGGAGAACAACCTCTGGTATTTCACGCCGGCAGTCGCAAGATGTTCCAAGACCATTGATTGATTTCGTTCCGGAGAGACAACTCACCCCTAGCAGACCTGGTACTCCGACGTTTCATCCTCCCAAGCCCCCAATGTTCCCCCCTTCCGCCTTTCCGACCAAGCATATCGCGGAGCCTGTCCATTCAAGCAAGTCAGATGACGCAGAGGGACCCTTCACGGGCACAGGACTTCTCGCTCGAAGTGCGAGTCGTCGTTCACAGGGAGGAAGCCGCTCCGGCCGAGGAGTGCAAGGTGTCGATGGCAAGCCTTTGGTTGACATACATCCGACAAGCGAATTCACGGACGGGAGTCTGCTTCGGAAGATGGAAGCCATTGCTGCTCAGCAGGGCGCAATGAAACCCAGGATCGATCGAGAGAAGTGGAGGGAAATGGATGTACCAGTAGGCGAGGGGTTCGACTGAAATCTGTGGCAATGAAGCCACAGAGCTTGGGGGTGTCTCAAGCGTCCCCAGGCACCAACGCAGACGTCTTTGTGTGTTTTCGAGTGAGCAACGTTCAGACGATTTTTGTATCATGTACTCATCTACAGGAGATCTGGGCTTATGACCGGCACGACTTTACGGTTTTTTTGTTCTCCTCGATGACGGTCAATGGAGGAGGGTTTGCGTCTTCGGGGAGCGTCTTCGACGGCGGCAGCTGAGGGACCCGATTTGATGATATATGAGAGTAGGGATGTTTTCTGCTTCAACTCAGAAATAGTACCACTGTACGCACTATCGTTTCCATGGATGGAAGCCTTCAAGCGTCCAGCAAGATAGATATGTGATCTCAGCCTTGGTATCAAGATAAACATCCACATTACCACATTACATCTTATCCTGCGGCATAACACGGCAGATACAGTTGCCAAATGGACACAAGCAGCAGCGCTAATACACTGCAAAGGCTTGCTGCTGGCTGAGAATGTTCTCGAGGATAGTATTCAATACAGAATAGTACTCGCCTCTTCCTGCAGGTGGTGGCTTGTAGTAAGACGAGAGTGAAATGACGTTATCGTCAAATCAGAAAGAAACATCCATCAGAGATACCAGGTACAGGTAGATACCGTATTTCGCGCCATAGAAACGAATAATATCCTGTTTGTTACGGGTTGGCTTTACCACTGCAACTGAAATCCTCCACCACCGAGCCGTCACAAAATACAGAAGTCAGTGAGACAGTGCGAGAACCTGAAAAGTGCCCACAACTTGATCCGCATCTTGATCCGCAACTTGAAGGCGTTTGCGCTGTTTACAGAGAACAGCGGACCTTGCTTGCCAATAACTGGAGAGCACAGGTGGTACATCGATAGACTTGCCCTCATCACTTTGCTTCAGCTTCCAAGTTCCCACGCTTTCCGACTCTACACAGCGCAGTCACCGCAACCCACTGGCAGTTCAGACTTCGATCCTGTTGGACATTATCCTGTCCCCAGCTCATTCATTGATCTTGCTCGAGCAAGAGCAACAGACCCTGTGCGGGCACTTCATCGAAGAACCAACGTCCAACTCACCATCTCTCGACTGACCTGACTTTACTCATTCCGTCTGCTGCCTCACCTCCTCGTTGTCAGCCAGCCAAGATGGCGACTACATCCTACTCCACAGATCCGGCGTTGTATCTGTTTACATCGCTGACTGCGGGGTCGTCTCATATCATCACCGCGACGTCAAGATTAGAGACCATCCTCAAAGCCAACAAGATCCCTTTCCGGGCCGTCGATTGTGCCACAGACGAGAAGGCTCGGATGCTATGGGGTCGAAGATCGAAGGGAAGAAAGCTGCCTGGACTTGTGAGATACGGAGAAATCATTGGGGTACTTAAACCTTTCCGACATCTCTTGACCGCTAGGTTTCTGGCATTGCCGGGCTAATTCAGTTTGCAGGATCTCGAGCAGATCGAGGAATGGAACGAATACGGCGAACTCAAGGACCAGGTAGCCGCCTCTCTGAACCTGGGCAGCTTGACCACCAGCAGCGCCAGTATCGTCCCCGAACCGCCTACCACCACATCCACTCCTCAAAGATCCGGACCTCCGTCTCGCGCATCCTCAGAAACGCGCCACATCTCGATCTTCGATCCCAAAGATAAAGATAAGGATGGCAGTAGCAGTGGCACGGAAGCCACCTCACACAAACCAACAGACGCGCCCATCAATGTGGCCTTGCGACAACTCGGTGTCGAAGCTGCCGCCAAAGCAGGTCAGAAGAAAGCGGCCGCAGCGCAGGCCGCCAAAGCAGCAGTGGCCCCGACCAAAGAACCCAGCACTACAGATCAGATCCCCGTTCCAGCGGCTACGAAACTGAGTGCCGAAGCCGCAGTCGAATCACCCGAGACCGCGCCCAACGTCACCGCCGCAAAGACTCCTGCTCAACTGGCCACTGAAGGAGCGAAGCGGACGTCTGTCGACAAGATCGCCGACTCGGAAGCCGAAGCAACTTCTCCTGTCCACAACCAAGAATCATCCTCATCATTGTCATCATCACCATCGTCATCGACGGAAGCGAAGATCCTGGAACAGCGACGAGCAAGCAGTGTCACGAAGACGAAGTCGAGATTAAGTGAGTCGACGCCTGCGGAACAGAGCGAAACGGTGCTCTCGGAAGAAGCAAGCCCGACTGCGCCAATTGCCGTGCCGGAATTCGAAGTGAGTGCTACCATGTCGCCGCCGTCGGAAGGTCGGGCTCGCCAGCACCGAGGGAGTGATATAGGAGAAGCCAGCCCGGAAGAGATTCGAGCATTGGAAAAGAAACTGAGTATTCAAGAAGAAGATGAAGGAAGTGATGACGAAGATGCTGAAGGGTCTGCTGCTGTGGAAGACAAGAAAGGGGACAGCGTTGTGACAAAGGAGAAGAAGACAGAGCCAAACGAGAAGAGTCTTGTGTCGAGCACAGATGAAGCAGAGCAAACCGCCACCAAGGGCACTGAGCCGCAGAATGCGGACGCCAAAGACGCAGACCAGGCTGGCGTTAGTGTTGGGGATTGATTGTCCGATAATCGATATAGAACAGACAACCAACCAGCGCGAGCTTGGGGTTGGGGGGGCAGGGAGTGATAGAAACTGAGGCGTGTTCGCACGGGGTGAGTGAATGACCTCGGAGACAAATACCATTTTCTTTTTTCATGTCAGACGCTTCTGGCTACTTAGTTATTGTTGATGGGTGGCCAGCATGATTATATACCTACTAGTACGGAATTCCAGTCTCAGCCTTGGAGGTCTAAGTCCAGATTTCCGAATACAGGCCGTTCGAATGTCTGACCTCCAGATTCTTGGTTACCTCCAAAGAAAGAAAAGGAAGGCTCGGAAAGAGAGGGGGAGAAAGTGGAACGTGGAGGGAAAGGGTGAGCAATTCCGCTTCCGTTTCTAGATGTCTGTCGATTTTCATTTTGGTTGCCTTCGGCTTTGGCTTTGGCTCCAATCGCGCGGTGGCTCTCAACATCCATTTCCATTCGGGTGATATCTACAATCTCGCTCTAACTTTGGCATCACCGTCTCCCTTCCAGCCGGCCTCCTCAGCCACGATCTCCGCACATCTCTCCCCGATGCCCAAAACTGTAAGCATAGGATTGATGGTGGTCATGGCGGGAAAGACACCGGCGTCAGCGATCCTGAGGCCCTCCAGACCGCGAACTCTCAGCTTGTTGTCGACGACGGCAAACTCGTCCTTCTGGACGTCGCCCATCTTGGTCGTGCCGGCGGGGTGGTAGACGGTATGGGCGACGCGGCGGGCGTATTCGCTCAACTCCTCGTCGGTCTGGACTTTCGGGCCCGGGGCGACCTCGCGCTTGATCCAGTCCTTGAAGGGGGACTGCTGGGCGATCTTGCGGGCGGCGCGCAACCCAAACACAAAGGTGGCGGCATCGTAGCCCTCGGGGTCGGTGAAGTAGCGGAAATCCAAGGCGGGCTTGACGGACGGGTCGTTGGACGTCAGGTACAGCCGTCCCCTGGAGCGCGGGCGCGGGATGTTGGGCGTCATGCAGAAGGCGTCGATGGGGGTGTCGTAGCCCAGCCGCGTCGTGTTCAGGCAGAAGGGGATCTGGTAGCAGTGCATCATGACGTCGGCGATGTGGTCGTCCGGGATGGCGGCGGGGTTGGTCGGGGTCGGGCCCTTCTGGGCGGCGGCGTTGGGTGGTTCGCGGCGCAGGAAGATGCCGGCGTCCGAGTCCATGGTGGTCTGGTTCGGCGGGACCGGCCGGTTCAGTTCCCAGATGATGATGGTCTCCGGGTGGTCGAGCAGGTTCTCGCCGACGCCGGGAAGATTCTTGACCACGGGGATGGACAGCGACGAGAGCTGCTCGGCGGGACCGAGCCCGGAGAGGAGCATCAGGCGCGGCGTGTCGACGGCGCCCGCGCAGAGGATCGTTTCCGTCCGTGCGGTCAGAGTCAGTTTCTGACCCGATTGCAGCGTCAGGTTGATGCCCGTGACTCGGTCGGTCTTGGTCTTCGCGTTGTGCGCCACGTTGATTTTCGACACCCAGGCGTTGGTGAGGATCTTGAGGTTCGGCCGCTCTTCTTCGCCGCGTAGGATCGGGTGGATGTAGGCCACGCTCGCGCTCGACCGCCGCCCGTCATCCGGGTTGTAGCTGACGGAGAAGAAGCCGACGCATTCCTTCAGCGCCCCCGTCGTCGCGATCTCCCGGTTGAAGTCGTGCACCACGGGGATGTCCATCGCTTTGCTGCACGAGTCGACCCAGTCGAGACACAGCTGGTTCCGGTGTCGTGAGTGCACCGGCTGCACCGTGTTGCGCAGTTTGTCCAGCACCCGCATGAACGTAGCAAAGTTCCAGTCTTTGGCGCCCAAGGATTCCCAGATCTGGCAGTCATATTCGAACGGGCGGAACGAGATCAAGGTGTTGTGGCTGGAGCATCCGCCTAGTACTTTGGCGCGGGAGTGTCGGATATGAGAGTTTCCTGGAGACGAAGAGTGAGGTGTTAGTTTATGTTGGAGGTGAAGAGTGTTCGTGACTGATAAGAGAAGAGATGTTGGGGTTCATTCTTTCCCCAGAAGAGACATCCGTGAGAAAGAGATATGTACTAGGGCCGAGTAGATGGAAGATCCTTACCCATCGGTTGCTCTGTGGTTCCATAGTCATAGTCGAGCTCGCCGCCGAGGAGAGTCAACCATTGTTTGAGATCGAGGACCCGGTCGTCCATGAAATCGCTGGGGCCGGCCTCGATCAACAAGATCTTCTTGTGTGGCAGGTATTCCGCCAGGCGGGAGGCAATGACACAGCCCTGTTGAAGGGAGGGCCGTCAGTCAGTACTAGTACAATGGTTCGGCTTTCATTCAGTGGTATTTGGTGTTGAACGTCTTTCTTGTCTTCTCTTTCATCTTCTTCTGCACCTCTATTTCCGGTCCATTGTACACGAAATGGTTGATCATATAAAGAATCGGTCCCTCAGGGTCAAGGACTTACCGCTGTGCCACCGCCCACGATGAGATAGTCATAGCTATCGACTTCCGAGACGTCGAGATGAGTGGTCGTCATGATGGCTGTCGTAGCAGGATGAGTGAGAGAGACCAAAAATCAGCCGTATATGCCGCTCTGGCTTCTGCTCTTTGTCTTCTCCTCAGCAAGGCTGCGTGGGTATATACACAGAGGGGGTAAGGCAAGGTGTAAGTCAAAGTGGTGTCTATGTTAGGCACCTAGCCGTCGAGAACAAAGGTACAGGCAGGATAGAGGATATAGGATATGTATCAACACAACAGTAATTAGCAGATCAGGCTCTGGATCCACTGGAATTGTTCATATTAGTATCAGTTTCAGTATCAGTCCACACCAGGAGGCATTAATAAAAACAATATGAATCTTGTAAACAATCTAGACACAAAACTGACGGAGCCAGACATCTAGCTAAGGTTCTAGTATCTGCACGCAGTAGAGCAACGTAAGGTATCTGAACCTCTACGTAGCGGAAAACCTTTTACTCTGTATTTTCTTTAGCGTCCCATCCTCTCGCTACTCGGACCACGGATGTAGCCACTGCATCTCGCCATCATTGAGCCGCGGCCAGTGCCATCGACTCGCGCACAGTGCCGGATGGGGTCGTGATACGGATCGTGCAATCGCGTGCTGGCTGGTGCACCAGTGAGAAAGAAGCCATGACCAAGAGACCGGACGCGGACCGGGATCAAGGGGAGACAGGGAGATCCTTTCCCTGTAGCATCGTGCGTGGCAGGGATGTTGGGAGGGAAAAAGTTTGCACCCTGCAGTGTTCGGCTTGAGCGGTGAAAAAAGGGAATAAAATGTGGAGGCGAAAAGACTTTGCGTCAGTGTCAGCAAAACACAAAACAGCGCCGCGAGAGAGAGAGGAAGAGAGATGAGAGGAAAATCTCAAGGTGGCGGCGGCGGCGGCGGCGGTTGATCAAGGCATGTTCTTGCACTGTGTATGCGTTCTATCTCTGATGACCATCCCAGCTACCGTACCTTACCCACCATTCATCCCTGCGGTCAGGGAGATACTAGTAGTTGGTGGTAGTGATGATAGTAAAGGTTGCAATTACTGAATAAGGAGCGGTTTTGCATGCCGTCAGATAACAGCTTCAGGCATTTTACGTAGGGCTGTATACTTCCCTAATCACAATTCAACCCACCTGTCCTCATGTTGGGCTGTTTTGATAGAGCTGCTAAAGCATGTCAATCGATGCCTGGAAATGGCAAAAAGATCACTGGATATGATATCGGCAACTTCCCCGGCCAAAGGAGCAGGAAGACCGAACGAACTTTAGGCGTCGACTAGGTAAAGAATGTTCGCTAGACGCCTGAAACGACCCCCGGACTGGCCGATAGGAAGAACAAGCCGCCTGCCATCCAGCTGAAAGTGGTCTTTGCTTTACCTAGTAGCAATTGCCGGCGGATGGGGCACCTTAGGCTCATTAGGCTCCCAAGGCTGCACTAACACCTAGACATACCCTAGCCTATAGGTGCTCAGGATTTAGGGATGCAGGGGTCCAGCATAGATGAAGTCACACCCGCGCAAACCTCGTGTCGACGACCTTCACTGTATGTATGACTAGCAGGATACAGAAAGGCACCGAAACCAGGAATCAAACTTCCTCACAGCAACACAACGACTGCTCGTCCTATCCTTCAAACGAATCCAAGTTGGAATTGGCTTTGAACTGACCGACTCTGTCCCGCCAGCCTATCAATACCAGACACCCAAGGCGAAATATCGTTTCAGAAGAAATCTAAAGCCGCCAGGCTCAGCCCTCGATTGAATCGTCGGTGACTGGAGGGCGTATCACGAGGCTGGCAAGGACCGGTCGAGGTTCATATGAAAGGAACAGTCCAAAGAAAATCAATTCCGACTGCGTGATCTCAACATCGCTCCCTTACCATCCAACGTCGCAAGACACACCATCTACTAAACTTACCCCAGCATCCAACATGTCTCTCCCAGACCGACATACATTTTACAATGGAAAACCCAGATCCAACGGCTCATCCGGCCCAACATTCCAATCCATCGACCCGTCGACCAACAAACCAATCTGCACCATCCACACCTCATCCGCCTCCGAAGTAGAACAAGCCATCAGATCAGCCAACCTGGCGTTCCCATCATGGGCCAGCACACCCCCCGTCGAACGATCACGGATCCTGCTAAAAGCGGCATCACTCCTCCGGGCGCGTAACGATGAGCTGGCCAAGATCGAAACGCTGGACACGGGCAAACCCTTTTCCGAGACGTCGACGGTCGACATCGTCACGGGCGCCGACGTGCTCGAGTACTTCGCGCACCTGATCGCGTCGGGCGGGCTGAACGGCGAGGCGTTCCACCTCCGCGACTCGGCGTGGGTGTACACGGCCAAAGAGCCGCTGGGGACGTGCGCGGGCATCGGCGCCTGGAACTATCCCATCCAGATCGCGCTGTGGAAGTCGGCGCCGTGCCTGGCGGCGGGAAACACGATGGTCTACAAACCGTCCGAGGTCACGCCGCTGCACGCCCAGTTCCTGGCCGAGATCTACACGGAAGCCGGGCTGCCGGATGGCGCGTTCAACGTCGTCTACGGCGACGGCCAGGTCGGGTCGCTGCTCACGAAACACCCCGGCGTCGCCAAGGTCAGCTTCACCGGCCAGGTGGCGACGGGCCGCAAAGTGGCGGGCGCCGCCGCCGGAGAGATGAAATACGTCACCATGGAACTCGGCGGCAAGAGTCCCGTCATCGTCCTGCCGGACGTCGACGTCGACCAGGCCGTCGATGGCGCCATGATGGCCAATTTCTTCAGTACCGGCCAGGTCTGCACCAACGGCACCAGAGTCTTTGTGCCGGAACAGCTGAAGACAAAGTTCGAAGAGGTGCTCGTGCGCAAGATGCAGTATATCAGGCCCGGCGACCTGATGGACCCAAACACAAATTTCGGCCCTTTGGTCAGTAAGATCCACTACGAGAAGGTGCTGGGCTATATCAAGCATGGCATCGACGTCGACAGGGCCAGATTGCTGTGTGGAGGTCCTGGACGGCCCGAGTCCATCCCGCTTGGCTTGAAGGATGGATATTGGGTGCGTCCGACCGTCTTTGCCGATTGTACCGATGATATGAAGATCGTCAGGGAGGAGATCTTTGGGCCCGTCATGTCCATCCTCACGTATTCCTCTCTCGACGAGGCTGTGCAGCGTGCCAACAATACCGAGTTGGGCCTCGCCGCCGGCGTCTTTGGTAGGGATATCAACCAGTGTCACCGTGTCGTCAAGCAGTTGCAGGCCGGTATCACCTGGGTCAACACCTGGGGAGAGTCTCCTGCAGAAATGGCTGTCGGGGGGTGGAAGCAGAGCGGTGTCGGGGTCGAGAATGGACGAAAAGGTCTCGAGGCCTGGGTGAGGAATAAAAGCACTCTGGTGGAGATGGGCGGCAGTGTCCCAACTGTTTTCGCGAAGCTATGATCATGACTAGACATCGTGGGATCGAAGATGAAGGACATAAAAGTTCAGGATTGAGCTCTCACAATTTTTAAAATGAGATTGAAGCAAGTTCACTGTGGATATCTTTCATCGCAAAACGCCTCATGATACCGCATTCCGGTCAACAACCAATACGAAGCATTTCCCTTTTCCGTAAACCCCAAACTTGGACAAGTGAACAGAGCGGACGCCGGTAGATCAAACATCAGGCTGCAAACGTTGAGACTCTAGATCCCATCCGGTCGAACATGAGATCATCCGTCTTCTTGTCGTTCAATCCAATCGCTGAATCCACCAGCCTCGATGACATGCTGTCGGGTGTCAGTTCTCCATCTTCTTGCTCTGCTTGCTTCTTGTCGGTGTCAATCCTCAGATCCTTCAAGGCACCTCGCCAGTTGTCTACATTTGTGTGCGACCGATGTTCAGAAGTGGCTTGGACCATTTCTTGTTCCAACGAGACCTGCTCGATGCTCTTGAAATACTGTTTTCCCACGTTAGCGTGCTAAGGAACAGCGAAAGGCGCGTCCTGGCGTACCTTGACCGTTTTCACCAGCATCTCATCTGTAGCTGCATCATCGCAGACGATTGTGGCGTGCTCGTGCATCTGGAGGGCACTGGCGGTCCATAGCTGACTGACACTGCCCTCAACGGTTTTGGCCAAAGCAACAGCCTTGTTAGCCCCGAGAACAATCAGTACGACTTCCCGAGCGTCCATCACCGTCTGCACGCCCACAGTCAAAGCTTGCTTAGGCACCTGACTCAGGTCGCCTCCGAAGAACCGCGAATTGGCACGAATTGTGTCTTCAGCCAAGGTCTTAACCCTCGTTCTGGACCGTAAAGACGAGCCAGGCTCGTTGAAAGCAATATGTCCATCCGGCCCGATTCCGCCCAAGAACAAATCAATTCCACCCGCCTGCGCAATCTTCTGTTCGTACGCGGCACATTCGGCCGCCAAGTCGGGTGCGTTGCCGTCGAGGATGTGTACATTGGCCGGATGAATGTCGATATGGGCGAAGAGATGTTTGTACATGAAGCTGTGGTAGGATTCCGGATGGTCTTCCGGTAAACCAACGTATTCGTCCATATTGAAAGTCACGACATTTGCAAACGAGATCTCGCCGGCCTTGTGCGCCTGTACAAGGTTTTTGTATATCAGCTCGGGACTGCTGCCTGTCGGCAAACCTAGTACGAACGGCTTCTCGGGAGTGGGCTGGAAGGAGTTTATGCGGTTGATAATATATCGGGCTGCGTATTGAGATGCGCCATCTGCGTTGTCACGGATGATGACCTTCATGGTGGTCTCGGTACTTTGTCGGAATATGCGGAATATGAAGCAGCAGAGGGAGTGTTGGCAGTGGGCGTTCAATGCAGGTATAGAGTCAGTCCGCTGAAGGAGAAGTCAGCAGATAAAAGATATCGTCAAACCTTTGACCTAACCCTGGCTTTTAGCAGGCCATCATGAGCGATTACAATAATAGACTGAATGCGGAGAAAGGCACAGCAGCGGCCCTCTGGAGAGTAGCAGGCTATGTCAGGCAGATATGGTAGGATGCCTCTACGACGGTGTGACAGTCGCGTGTCATCCAGGCCGAAGAACCATCATCGCTTGAGAGAAAGACGCAAGTGGTCGCTCTGGGCAGGCTGGGGACCTTATCAGTGGCAGAAAAGAGACAGGACGATGTCGGACACAGGATGAGATGATTGGCTGGCGATTGGATGGACAATGAAGGGTCGGCGTCGGATGAGAAAGGATGGTAGAGATAGCAGGTAGCGTAGCAGTTGTATCGCTCGTGCTCCTGGTACATAACGCAGCTAGCTGGTTGTGTGATGGCGGGGCAGCAAGCGACAACTGGAACCGATGGGCGCAGGCAGAAGAACGGCGCAGTCACGTGCTACCGCAGGCAGAGCGCAGCTGGGTGCCAGTGTAACGTAACGCTGCTTGGATCCAAAACCCTCTCCAAACTCTCCCATCCATTTCTCTTAACAACTTGAACTTCATCCGAGTGGCAGGGTGCCATCCATTCCCATCCATTCCCATCCCTCTATCCACCAATCTTTTTCTATCCACTGACCCATCGTTGCTCCATTCCTGCTCTCCTCTTATCAAATCTCCTCTTTGAGATACTCCCGTCCAGCCCACTCTCCCCTTCGTAGCATTACATTTCCCTACTACCTGCCACCTCCCGAGACCGAGTCCCCCGGCGTAACAACAAATGCAACATCACCTCATCTTCCACTTACCACGTTTCCAATTCCTTCGGGTTCGCCAATTTGTTGCCTAATGCCTTGTGCAAACGCCAGTGCCAACCTTGACCACCCCCGGAACGCCCGAATGACTGCACCACTGGCCACCTCCATGCGTCTAACATCCGCGGCTACCTGTACCGGCTCCTGACCGAATCTATGCTCCATTCCTCCCTCGTATAGCCTACTTACCTGCTTTTTCATCCAATCACCGAGTACATGGGCGGAACTCGTGGTCGCCAGATACTCTCATGGCGGCCGCCAACGGGGATGTCCCATCCCTGTGGGACGAATCGAGGTATGAAGCATGCCGTCACTCCAAAGTCTGGCTATAGCTTCCCCGGACTGACTATACATAACATGACAGGCAGCTCGGCCAGCTGTTTATGATGGGCTTTGAGGGCACCACCATCACCGATCAAGTCAAGACCTTGATTGAGAAGTACCATGTAGGCTCAATACTACTCAAGGCTCAGAACCTCAAATGTGCAACCCCTTTTTCACCTTGTCTTTAGCGATCCCCTGCTTTTCGTGCATACCGTCAATTGACACTGACAAATGGAACAGCGGCCGAGCAAACCACTCAGCTTGTGCTTGACCTCCAGACTTTAGCCCAGCAAGCCGGCCATCCTGTTCCACTCCTCATCGCATTGGATCAAGAAAATGGCGGAGTCAACAGCCTATACGATGAAGTCAACATCCGTCAATTTCCCAGCGCAATGGCCGTCGCCGCCACTGGATCCAAGAGATTGGCCAGGGACATAGCCAGAGCGACGGCACAGGAGCTGAATTCTTGCGGCATCAACTGGATCTTGGGTCCTGTGCTTGATGTTCTCACTAATGCCAGAAACCAGCCTCTTGGGGTGCGGTCAATAGGTGACGATCCACATGAAGTATCAGCTTTTGGGGTTGAGTCGATAAAGGGCTACCAGGAAGGGGGAGTCGCTACCTGTGGCAAACACTTTCCTTCTTATGGCAACCTCGAATTCTTTGGTGTGCCAGATGATGTGCCTACCATTACGGATTCGCTCGAGCACTTGAGCCAAAGCGCACTGGTTCCGTTCCGTGCCGCAATTGCTCAGGGTATCGACTCGATGATGGTTGGAGGAGTTGCCATGGCGTCCTCTCAGGTCAATGTAATGCATGCTTGTCTCTCGGAGCAGCTCGTCCGAGATCTCTTGCGTCATGAGATGCAATTCGAAGGGGTTGTTGTCTCGGAGTGCCTGGAAATGGAAGCTCTTAGTCGCAATATCGGGATCAGTGGCGGCACCGTCATGGCTTTTAAAGCCGGCTGTGATCTGATATTGACGTGCAGGACATTGTCCGTCCAAGAAGACGCCATCAACGGTCTCAAAGCGGGCTTGGATAATGGAATGATTGAACGCTATCGAGTGCAAGAGTCTCTGCGCAGGATTCTCAAGATGAAAGCGAAGTACACATCTTGGGAAAAGGCATTTTCCCCCGCTGGGATCGAGAATCTTGCGCGATTGCAACCTCTCCATACAAGCATTTCTAATACTGCATACAACAAATCGATCACCGTCGTCCGAGACGAGAATCATTACTTACCATTATCTAGAGTTCTTCAGCCCGAAGACGAGCTTCTCCTGCTGACTCCTCTTGTCAAACCTTTGCCCGCCTCGGCTCTGTTCCACCAGATGCAAAGCGAGATGTCATCGGTGCCGACTTTTGGAAGGAGTCCGAGTGTCGACACGAACACCTCAGTCATGAGCGGCGAACAGGTCTTTCGAGAGCTTGGAAGGTCTTTAGCCAGATATCGGAACGGCAAGCTTTCTCATACTTCATACACCGCGAACGGCGTGAGACCGTTGCATGAGAACTTGCTGAACCGAGCACGTGGCGTGGTGGTGGTAACGGCCGATGCCGGCCGCAATAAGTATCAAAATGCCTTTGCGAAACATGTCTCTATGCTGTGCAAGCTGGCTGTTGGAAGAGATGGGTCGCGCAAAGAGAAGCCATGCGTTGTGGTTGCCGTCAGCTCTCCGTTTGATTTCGCGTCGGACACAACGATCGGCACGTACGTATGCACGTACGACTTCACCGAGACTGCCTTGAGAGCCCTGGTGCAGGTACTGTACGGCGAGCTCAGCCCTGCAGGAGTGCTTCCAGGATCGTACAGTCAAAAGCCTCCGACCAGTCATTCTCGGCAGCAGTGGCTGGTGGAGAGTTTCAATGAGGAACGTGACTCCGCGGCACTGGACACGTTGCTTGTTCTGGCTCAAAATGAGCCATCAGTCAATGCCAGTGCGCTGAAAAATGCCACCACCAGCACTTTTCTGCTCCACGACCCAGATGTGGAACAGGCTCATTTCGTGGTCAGAAACAGCAGCACGAAAGAGTTGTTTGGGTTTTGCACAACGTACTATCTCAAAAAGACCGCCGTCGGTCATATTGGAGCGATCATCGTCGACCCTGCACGCCGAAAAATGTCGATAGGTCATTCCTTGCATGATCGTGCTGTGCGTGCATTGCTCCAGAAGAAAGGCATCACCAAATTCCAACTTGGTGTAAGATTTCCCAACGTGTACTTGGGCATCCCCCGGTCAGATCCTGTCGAATACAAAAGACTCCGTCAATGGTTTGCCAAATTGGGCTGGAATACATCGCTGTCCAATCCTGTCGCGATCATGGCATTGCAAGATCTAGCAACGTGGTCAGCCCCTGAAGGACTTGGACAGGCATTGGCCAATCCCGAGGTCAAATATGACCTTGTGTTCGGCGCAGAGTACGCCGACGCCATGATGGAACACCTGACCAGGTGTGCACGTAGCGATGTGCAAAGCATCTATCAATTGGCGTTGAGCAACAAAGAAGGCGCCGGTATCATTCGGGCTAAACGAGCCTCAGATCATTCTATTTTGGGGAGTATTTTAATCTGCCGGTCGGAATCCAAGATCGCTCGATTCATCCCGTCTCTGTACAAACAAGCCGGCATGGCTTGCATATCTTCACCTGTGATTTCGACCATGTTTAGCGACCGGATTTCCATTTTCCAGGGGCTTATGTTATTGGGACTGCGTCAGCTCAAAAAGCAAGGGTTACGGACCGTCCTGCTGGATTATGTGAGTTGGGATCATTTTCGCCCTGAGCTTTCACTGACCGTCTTGCAGATACGTGAAGATGCCACCGCCAACAGTTTGGCAGCTCTAGGTTTCACCGCCGCCAACAGCTTTGAGGAAGTCTCGAGCGATCCCGTACATTGGACAATGATGTCGGGAACTTGAATGATGCATCACCGATGACGGTCGATCATTGATCCTCTTGGTGCCGTTAGAACCAGGACCCGGAGCTCAACTGAGCAGCTGCTCAAGGCGTCTTTTACGGACTTCACCATCCATGCTTACCAACTTCTTGCGATGTTATCGCAAGGATGGGTTGATCACCACCGAGGAAGGATGGTCTACCTGGATCTCCGATGTCATTGGATAGTAGAGTGCACCGGTTCTGACGTGGCTAGCCCCCTGGTTCGGAACTGAAACTTCCTGGACTCCTGACAGGCGCTCGCTTCGTAAAGCCTATATCACCACGAAGCAGTCAAGCGCATGATGCGCATCCAGCGCGGGACGATAGCATAAGGACCGCGCCATATCAGGAATATCTGGCGATCAGTACAAGCATCTCCAGTCTGGAGTTGTGAGCAGCAAGTGGCTATAGCAAGCGTGCCGATGTCGACAGACCATAAGACTTCACTCGGCTCATGGTTGGTCTCCTACCCTCTGTGTATGGCAGATGCACCATTGTCCAAGAACAAGTGATGCTGGCACGGAGGGCCGAACCGTAACTTGGCCATCTTCATCGCCGATGATGGCACGAGGTCAGGATACGGAACATAAGACCCGGTCATTGGACCGCATATTGGACCCGTCGGTCCCCGGATAGCTATGCAGTTTGGCCTGGCGAGCGATTCAATCAGAGGCTAGCTTCACCGAGACTTACGGAAGCACCAAGACCACCCCTATTAGGGAGATGGTGCGATTTCTTCTCTCGCCTGGAGAAGCGCCTGTGCCGCAAGGTGGTTCGTCAGATAGAACGCGTAGACAAATGGCAGTAGGTAGGTACCTTAGGTAGGTAAACGAGCTCAGCATGGGCCTTGTCCCTGCTCCAGTCGAAGCGAAAAGCAATCTTTCCCGATTGAGGCAAATGGAGCGATTCTGCCAAGCGCGAGGACGATTCGCTCTCCTCTTGTTGTCTCAGTCCACTCTTTGGTTCCGCGAGTCAGTGGGCGAGATGCGAGCAGTATGCTATCCTTGTTCGGGGATGTTCTCTCCTGGCGCAATCCCCGGAAGTGCCATCTCACCGCCACATATCTATTACTGAGGGGAGGCTTTTGCCTGATAGATAGCCTAGGTTGGCGTTAGTCTGTTTGAGCTCGCGAACCACAAGGAATCGCGGTTTGTATCGGATACACGAGGTTGTGTGATGACGGAAACCTGCGAAAAGATTGGCCAAAGAGTCGCACTGTCGCACAGGAAGGTTGACCTCTGCTTTTCTTTTCTTTTCTTTTCTTTCTGTCGCAGGGATAAGCGGTATCGGTATGAGGCAATCATGCAATTAGGCAATCAGGCATGACACTACTGGTATGCCAGGGCCAACAGATGACGGATGGCAGGATGAGGATGAGGAGAACGCAGGCGTGATCGCGGGATGGAGAGGATGGTTGGGCTTTGCCGTTGTCGGCAAGCGCATGCGTGACAGGAGCTATTCGTATGCATGTCAGGCCTTGGGCATAACGATGATCAGCAATTGAGACACGGGAGGATCAGACTAGAGTAGTGGACAGATACCTATAGTACCTAGTATACCTAACATTCCTCTGTACCAGTTGTGCCTAGCACAGATACGTGGTAGTAGTCGAATGCACCTCGGACAAAGAAACCCTTCGGGAGCGCCGACTGGTTCTGGGGGCCGGAGGAGACCAGGGACCCGCATTACCTGTCAGGGTTAAGTTCGGTTTCTAGCAGAGTTTTGAGGCTTCCAAGGATGCTTCGGTGCAGGATTCGATCCTCATACTAGTAGAGCAGGTGGATTCGCAACCCAGACATTTCAGCGATTGTGGGCACGGCGCTGACTTCTCAGGTCGAACCCAGGGACGTTACTTTCTATCTGGTCTGTTTCCAGTGTCTGACTGGTACGACAAAAGGACCAGGGACATAATGGTAGTGCCAATGGAAGTGAGGAGCAAAGTATCGAGGGTTGAGGATCGAGCAATTGGCGAGGTCAAGGATTGAGTGAGTGCGAGAGTTTTGGGGGAGGGAGTGCCTGCCGGGTATGGAACGGGTCCCCTAGCTCTTGAGGTGGTCTGTTCCACGCGCCAATCCCTGAAATCATCAATCAGCTCGCTCTCACGGCGTCGGCCGACGAGCAAGAAAACAGGAGATGAACTGAACTGTACTGAATTGAACTGCTGGAAACGATGATGATGAATGGTCGGGCACATCAGTATTGATCAGGGCTGCCACTGACTAGTAGCTGAGGCCGTCATGCCTGTTGGCTCCTGCATGCGCAAGTTCGTCCCCCTAGTGTCGCCTGGCAGCAGCAATGACGCCTCCTGAGCCCCCCGAGCCCCCGTTTCCTTCTAGAAGGCCGCTATTCAGTCTTCCACCGCCCAACGAGCGCCCCTAAAGCGGGTTTGCCCCGAGGCCCACGCACCCACAGTTGTTGCTGCCGCCGCCCCCATCGCACTAATAACTGGCAAGTGCGCCGCGACTATCGGTAGCCGTGGCCTACCAGACCAGCCACCGCGCAATCCAAGTCTCTCTTTCTCCTGTAGTTGCGGGCTGGCACAACGTCGATGGTAGCGACAGCACATGCAGCACCCAACCCAGGAGAGGCTCAAGTCTCACTCCAATTGCGAGTGCGAGTGCGGGTGCGGCACTGCCAGCGCCATTCTTCCAACCGGGTTTCATTGGCGCCGGCAGACTGAACCGGTAGGGGACGTGTTCAACGGTGTGGTGCATAGATGCATGGATACAAGGACATGGATTTCACACATAAGAGGAGGAGCATGAGCAGTGAGCATGACCCAGGCAATAAATGGCACGATCACCGCATCAATTGCAAAGCTACCTAGACTATTGTTATATCGTTGGACAAACTAGTATCCATTGCCGACCTTATATTTTCGCGTCCTTATTCACTGCTCTTCATGCGTCAATACAATCACCGTCATCGACATTCTTCTCGTCCTGACTTTTTGAGCCTCGTCGACGTCGTCGACGACTTCAATCAAATCGAGCGAATGCAATCCAGAAGGCGCCAGTGTCGAGCAATTTAGTTATCAGGCACTTCGTTCGGCCCCTAAAGCGCGATTCGACCAAGCCCTAAACTTGTCCCGCTCCCGCCTCCCAATACCCACTCCACTACTGGCGGTGGCCTCCGGCTGATCGTGCGGCCTAAGGAGCCCCGAAAAAAGCAGCCACAGGCATATTGACTGCCAACTAAACTGCATGCACCGCTGTTTAAACTCACCTGTCCGTGCTGATTAACGACCTCCCGTCCCGCCTCATCTCTATTTCCATTCTTTTTTCGCTCTGGAGCCGGTGGCGCACATTACCTCTGGTGAGCAGACTCTTCCGTTGCTCTTGAGAATGCAGACGACGACAACGAGGACAACGACAACAACAATCTTTCCTGTCCGGCAACATCTCACCTCGAAATACGTCCCCGTCCTTTGACGTAGCATTGCGTTGCACTTGATCTTCTCCTCCTGGACTCCAAAAGTCCACCGCCTCCACTCGCATATGGCCACCACCATGGACGGCTACGATCCTCTCGCGATGCCTTACCTGCATAGTCCCATGCCCTTTACGGGCGGAAGCATACAGAACTTGGACTACATGAGTGTGCCCTCGGTGATGGACCTGCAAGATCAGTATTCCAACTTCGACTCGGAACCATATATGAGGTAAGGCGCTTGGAAGCCCAGTGTTCTGTGTGTTGTGTCATGTCTGACTTGAGGTCCAAGTGGTGATGAGCTGGGGTTTGCGCCGTCCTCGAGCTTGCAACATCCTGCTATGCTGAAGCGCTACTCTTCAGGGTTCGAAGACCCATTCGCCGAAAGTACTATGGCACAGTTTGATCAAGTGCCCGCTGAAGGCGTGCCCGAAAGCCCGTCGATCGATCGCGACAGCAAATATCTCAGTTTTTCAATGCCCCAGTACAACTTTACGCTACTTGACGACTCTTTCCGTCGGTCCTCGGTCAACATCAATGCTCAACTGCATGGGATGTTCTTTCTAGCCGAGTCGCAATGGCCCGCGACAGCCGATACTCCACCGCCTCCTCCTGAATTGACTTGCTACAGACGCAACCTTTTCCAGATCACTGGATCAGTTACATTACCCCGCAATCTCAGATACGTTTTCACGGATGACGGCTCGCGGATCCCGATTTATGAACTCGAACTGGCAGTGTCCGCGACCGAGTCGGTGGAAGGCAACCCGGTAAAGATCATCTCTGTACCGTGGAAAACACCGGCCAGTGGAGAGACGGCGAAACCAGAAGACAAAGCGGAAAAGGAGCCTCCTACGATAGCTTTGGACAAGATGTCTGGGCAGGATCTGGACACCGACTACACGACATTTCCCATCCAATGGAAGCGACTACAGTTCCGGATAGCCACCGCCAACAACGGCCGAAGAAAAGAGCTCCAACAACATTTCACCCTCCACTTGAAGATCATGGCGTCGTTGTCCACCGGCGGAAAGATTTCGATCGCCGAGGCCCATTCGGGAGCCGTCATTGTTCGAGGAAGAAGTCCTCGGAACTTTGCCGCGCGGAAAGACATGCCACTGAGCAGCAGCTCGACGGCTCGCAAACATCTGCCTTCTACTTCACGGGCCGCTGCCAGTCAGACATCGGCACCTCAAGTCACCTCAGCTCCCAAGGTCAAGACTCCGCCTGAGGAGCCTGCGCAAGTGATGATGCCATATGACAATAACAATGGTGAATTCAAGTCAGCAGAGCCAGACACCAACAACTGGATATCGCAAGTGGTGCCTGATCCTCTCCCTACGCCGTCATACTCGGCCTCAATGAACCCACCTCCGATGCCTACGTATTCTCATGATGCCACCCCCGAGCTTGGTACACCGGGAACTTTCCCATTTACGTTTCCACAAGAAATGGTGCCGACGGTCAACCGTCCGTTGAGCTTACATTTTGGAAGTGATGATGAAGGTAGTCCGTACCCTCAGCAACAAGGATCAAGACATTCATCCCGACCTCCCACGTCGAATCCGTCCCCATCTCTACTCAACAAAGGTCCCGGTCCGCCTGGGGCATATACGAACCACACCTCCCCTGGACAATTGGCCAATACCAACCAGGGGAAAAGTGGTGGTGGAAGCCGGCCTCGACTACAATCTCACGGAGTGTCAGTGACGAGTGTGCCCATGAGCCACCACTCACAGACCCCGATCCCCGCCATCTCGTCGCAACGGCCAGACCTACTCCCCATGAAATCCAGCCATTCGTACCCCACCGAGGGCGAGAGTGCCGATGAACTGTACGAGTATTTCCCTCTGGGGCTAGACGATTGGATGCCACCGGTGGACGCGGTGTTCCGGCCACACGTCGTCCACCATAGCGGACCATTACCTCCTGATCCACGATCGCCAGGGAGGCATACCAGCAAGCGATATTTCAGCGAGGTGGTATAGTCTACTAGGCTGGGCCGTTTGGAAAAGGGCCAATGTTGGCCGGACACTGGCCATCATACATACATACATACGTACGTACGTAACTAATTTATGCGTACATATAAATGTACAGTATGAGTGCATGCTTGGGGCAAGTCGATGATCTATGATTCTAGGCATGTACCACCTCCGGGAGGAGTACGCTACAATTCTCGCCGGTATATGTTTAATCATCTCAGCTTGGAGAGAGCTTTCACACTCTGACGCACCCACCCATATCTGTATCAGTGTATATGACACCGGTATGCAAGTAAAGCAGAGCAAATCGGGTTTACATCAACACAACTTCTGTAACGTCGACAGTGCCGACACGTGTTGTATTCTCCTCCAGATGAGATGAGATGTGCGAGCGAGCCGGAACGAAATCTACGTAGTATGGTATCCATGAGTCGTCCCTGTTCACGTACAACGAGTACTCTGTAATGTACTCTGTAAACAAGCCTTGCCGGGCGAGGGTCGATATGTGGCCTGCAGTGAGACGAATCTCCGAATCGCCTCGTCGTTATCAGTCGGCCAGCTTCGGTTAGACGCGGGGGCGAAGCAGGCCGGGCAAAGACTAGCACTGCAAGACGAGCAAGACGAGATTGGAAGATGTGTTGTGTTGGCAGTGCCACAATAGTCTGGACTCTGTAAAGTACCTCTTCAATGCGCTGTAATCTGTAGGTAGGGAACTTTTCTTTCCCTCAGTTAGTATCTTACAGATATGGGCAAGTTCTGTGGATTCAAAGTTTGCGATTTGGCTTGCAATGCAGTGGTGGAGACCAGAGACCATCGAGCATTTTTGTCCTCGGGACTAGTAGTGCCGGTGGTGGGAATTGTGGGAAGCCGGAGATGAAGGTAAGTGATACACAATCTACAGAGTAAGTACACACACACCGCTGCACACCACACCACACCACACCACACCACACCACACCACACCACACTTACCTCCTTATTCTTATGTGTCTGCGACCTTTGGACAGAGAGCCAGACTCAAAGTCTTGTCTGTACCTACAACTCTGTTACTCAAGGTGTCAAGTGATAGTAGGTAGGTATCTAGGGAGGAACGTGATGGGGAGTAGGGATGGAGGGTGTCAGGTATGGAGTACGTACAGTACAAGTAAGTTGAACACTGGCAGGCTGATATTGTGGGTGTGGTGTGTGTGTGGGACTTCAAGTTGAAGAACTTTGTTCCCGAAGCTTCCTTTCCCTCACTGTAACCTTCTGGTGCGCTTCTAGTGTCATTCTAGCTTTTCCGGCCATGCCAGTGCCACTCAGGCCGAGTGATGGGGCATGTCTTTTTTTCACTCTACTGCAATGCAAGTCTGACCTGACTCAGGAGGGTCGCTAACTTAGGGTGCAGTAGTTAGTGCTGCTGGTGGATCGGGTAGATAAAGTAGATGATGGTGGTGTTGATGGTGTCCTACTACTACTACTAGTCGTGTCAACGCAGCCGTTTCGAGTCCACTGCGGTTAGATAGGTAGGTAGGTGGGTAGATACAGAGTAGTGCGGTGGGCGGCGAAGGCGGTGGCGGCGCTGACGTCGATGGCAACCCATACAGAGTACAAGAGCACAAGACGTAGATACTGGCGAGTAGTTCAGGTCCTAGGTAAGGTACCTAGATTAGATGGTGAGTACGTTAGTAGGGAAGCTGTACCACCTGCATTAGAATTGAACACTGCTGAACTTCGTAGGAGATACTCTGTAGATGGACGGAGGGAGGGCTATGTTAACTGATTTCAACCATGTCAATGAATTGTGGTGCAATGCAGTGGGTGTCGTGTGGTATAGTACGATGGGGGAGGGACGTGGGAGTGGGTGGGTGTCTAGGTAGGTGATCGAGTGATCGAGTTGATCTGATGGATGGATCGACGGGATCGGTGATCAATTGTACCTGAATCATGCCATGCATGCATGAGATAGTGGTTAGTATATACCTATGTAAGTATGTATCTAAGGTAGATAAAGATGCAGATAGCTACAAGCTTCGGGCAAGGTACCTTACCTTGCCTTATCGAGACAGTCGTTCCCGGTGCCTTTTAATAGTACGGACTACTTACTACGTAGTAGATCATGTACCTTGCAAGCTACAGATAAACAAAAAGCCAAGGACAGGCTAGGAAAGACAAGATAGCACGAGGAACTAGGCGGTAGTAGTATGCAGTGGTGGTATGGCCGGGTAGATAGGCAATTGAGGAGTGGTCGGAGGGGACCGAAGATTACTCTACTACACTAGGAGTCAGTAGTAAGTAGTAGGAGGAAGTGATGAAGATGAAGATGGTTCTTCAAGTTCCCACCGATCCAGTAAAGTCAATGATGTTCACATATAATAGACCACCAGATATCACAGTACAACTAAGTAGTATAGAATTTCAGGAGCTGATGTCGATGTATGGGGGATGGATTAAACCCAACAGCATTACGACAGCCTGGTCGGCATTCGGGGTCCTTTACAGAGTCGACGTACCCTGTACCTTATCAGGCATTCAAGTTGTGTCTGCTGTGCGGTGCATTATCGCAGGTATCTAGGGCGCCTAAAACACTGACTGTATCACTAGCACTAGTAGGTAGTAGGTGAGGTCGTCTACAACCTGACCTTCACTTCAGCATGGAGCTTGGATGGGATGATAATTCTAGACATTCAAGTTCTTTCCTCTACAACTTCTTCATGCAGACCACCAAGGTGCTTCAGGTAGGTTCATTACGAGACTCTCCTTGAAACGACCTTCAAGAATGAGAAGAAATGAAGCTCTACTGCAGCCTGCAGCTTCCGCCTCGCCTCCCCTCGATCTTCAAACTCGTGAAAAAGACCTGGTTCAACCTGGTCTCAAAATGCACGCAACAGTGTTCTACCCTTACTCCCCCCTTTTCTGTCTCCAGCCTCAACATGACATGTCCAGAACGCACTGTGACGGGTCATCTGCACATTCAGCACCAACAACACTGAACTCCGAGTCTGCAACATGGAATCGCCCTCTCTTTCGAGCGACTGAAGCTTGTAAGGAGGACTGTCAGTCTATCAGACGCTCTTGTTGACGAGACCAACATCCTCGAAGAGCTGACCTGACGACACAGCAAGCTTGACCTGTTACTTACACGTTGTTCTTCTAAATTGATGAAGATATACTTTGTATCTTTGCCCGGCATCTCAACGTGCCATATGTCTTTCGATTCAAGTTCACATCAACCACAACAACAGTCTTTTCCTGGGTCATCTGCCGTGGTCCTCTCCTTGTCGAACTGACGGCAGAGACATCAACTATACACAATCTGGGTCGGGCCACGTGTTAGTGACGTTGGTTGAGTTCGCTGCAACCCCATGCAGGTGGCGCCTCTGGATAACCAACCAAAATCTCATGTCTGAGGTGTGCTCCAGGCCCACCGGTGCCTTTTCTCAAGGTCAGGGAGAGGCCATACCACGGGAGTGTCGCGGGTGAAATAAGAGCGTTGACCCGGACCGTGCGGCATATCCTGGGGCAGTTTGAGGTAGGGCATCAGCCAGACAGATACAAGTTAGCGACAGAGCGGAGTCCAGTGAAATGTAAAAGGTGGGCGACGTGGGGGATATGTTTGCTCGTGTAGAACTTGGACCCCACGACACATTGGCAGCCTAGGGAGTGAAGGTGGACTTGAAGCGAGATCTCGGCAGCCAAGAAGAGTGGGAGAAAGACCCTGAGAAGAGAATGGTCACGGCCACGGCCACCAACTGGAGATGAGCGGCCGCAAGAAAAGCGGAAGATGGTGATCAAATGTGAGGCTGTCGTCGGCTACTATCGGAGAAGACAATCCCGTATTCCTAAAGAGCCGACCAAAAATGTATAATTCTCGTATAACTCTCGACATGATTAATAACTGTCGGGCTGGCTGAACTACTAGTACTCAATTCAATTCCTGGATAGTGACAGCGAGCAGGATGGTGTGGGTTTGGATACTCTGTAGTAGTTGTCGTCGACAAGGCAGAATTCAGGCGGGAACGGGGCACATCTTTACTCCCGGCCAAGGGGTTGAAGGGGTTGTCAGCCTTGTCATGACGATGATGGAGACGGGAGAAATAATGGGGAAAGTTAGGTAGGTAGACGGGAGGTTCATGTTGACCGGTGAGAAGTGCTCATGTTGAATTACACCACCCCCCTATACTCTCACCAACCATCCGGCTGTATCTCCCTCCCTCCCAATTATAAGGCAACCATTCAGAGGTTTGGTCGTTGTTTGACTTCCACATCCCTTGCAATAATGGTGTCACCGGGGAAGTAAATGACGGACGCTGTTTGTTCTCTGTCCCTGCATCTTGCATCTGGTTGTTTGTCTTCCGACCGGCTTTCAACTGCCATACTACACAGCCCTACTACTCTGTAGTGATTTGATCTCATCTCACAGTTCTCTCCATCGGGTTCGGGGCCCCGACACAACCGCCTCATCGACGGCGAGATCGACACTCTTCACGCGTGACCATGTGATTTGATGACTCCGTCTTCAGTCAGCCCTTCGGAGCCCTCCGTCAAGACTACCTACAGAGTCGTACCAGTCAACCTGCTCTGAACAGCCTCTAATGCCCCGCCAGTTCGGCGGGACGGTCACGTTGCCATACATCATTCTCCATCTCATTCATCCATTTCGGGCCCTATACAAACAAACGTCACCTCTTTCAACCTCGGCTGTGCCATGCCGCTGGGCGTGAACGACTTCCGAAGAATCCAATCCATCCCATCCATCCCATCCACCTGGTCTACCATTATTCATTAGAGTTCCTCCCTCGGATACTTGACCTGCCCTGCCAGAACCCAGTCATGGAATTATGCAGCCGCGCCCTTGTCCCCGCTCGCTGTCTCCTCCCGTGGAAAACCCCCCACGCTTTGCTTCGACTGGTTCTCATCATCTCATCTCGTCTCAGCTCATCTCTCTTTCCGCCCGCTCGCTCGCTCGCTCACTCCATCAGGTAGGTCCCAAGGCTGTGCTTCCTCTCTCTTCCCAATTCGAGAATGTTTCGTGTCCATCCCTTCGCATCACTTGTCCTGGTGACACATCTGCTGGATACAGCTGACCTGGGCGCCGTCTTCCTACATCGCCCTAAACACATGGGCCACCTCCAAACGGCGGTCCCACGTTTGCAAACAGGTAGGGAAGAACAAGATGTATATTAGTTTCATTCAGTCCACGCCCTTTGATTGTATTCCGCTTCACTTGAACGGCCTGCTACATCTGTTTCCCCTTCCAGCTGTCTCCTCTTATGTCCTGTGATATACTGTACTACTACTACCACTGCCAGTACTACCATCTATTGTATTGATACGAAGGCGGTTTCATCACATCATCCGGGCCCGGCTGTCTGAACATTCTTCTATACCTACAAACCCAAACAAAACCAGCATCCTGCTTTATCCTCTGCATTCTGCCCCCTCTCAGTGCCTTCTCCTTTTGTTCGGGCTCTCTCTACTATCGACATGGCCCCCTGCCGCTCTCGGGCCGTCCTCTTCGACGGTGTCACTGTCACCGAACATCACCACCGACGCGACGGCGCTTCTGTTCCCACCACTACCAGCACCAACACCACAGCTGGCGCTATCACTGGCAACACTACCATCACCACCAACACCAATGCTGCTGGAACCTATGGTCCAGGTAATCATTGCCAGGGCTGCACCTGTCCACGTCGCACCGTGCCTGTCGAAGATGAATCAAACAGAGAAACCTACGGTCGACAAGGTGGTGGCGGCTGCGGCTGCGGTTGTGGCTGCGGCAGTCGACCCATTCCCAGCCCGGAGATCGAGATGCATGACTATTTCAAACCACACCTGTCGTCCGTCAACACTGACGACACCTACGGTCCCAATGGAGCGAGCTTCAACAACAGCTGGGAGGTGCATGATGATCTCAATACTCGACTGACGAGCCGGAATTTACGGCATCATGACAACGACAGTGCACGAGCAGAGCATACTCGACTGGAATACACCATGTCGGCCATCTACGATGATGACAGCGATGACGATAACAACAACAATGAACATCCATGGTCGCATTTCATCAGTCGTGGCGACAGTCCGGAATACATGGCTCCGCCGACGACGGCGGAAGATTCGTCAGGCATGATCCTTACGGGCCACATGGATGATAGTTGTGGTTCCATGTTCGTCGGGCACGGGCAGAGCGGGCCAAATAGTGGTGATCTCTCCATGTTGTCGAGCTATGAAGCATCCTTCTCCAGAGGAAGTGTCACTGCTAGCCAGATCCTGAGAGGTGCTGGGGCGGCTTTTGGCAACTGAAAGATCAATATCGCTCGACTTCTGACTGGCACATGCCGTAGGTCCAAGTTGGTCGAGTGCGGTTGGTATATGAACAATTGCATTTATGAGAGACGAACGAGCAACACGAACATTTTCCAGGCTGTTGGTACAGGGGTATCATGCATGGTTTTTCTTTTCTTTTTTGCTTGTCATCTGTACTTGGTGTTTGTGATGGGGTCTGTCATGACCATACTTCACCGATGGATGTGTGTTTGCTATGTACTGAAGAGCCGGATCTGTCATGTACAATACCTCCCCGATTGCTTTTGGGTCATGGGGGCTGGCTTCTTGACGAGTTTCAGTCGCTGTGCGTACATCGTGGTGTTGGCTGCTAGTAGTTCAATATTTCATATCAGTTCTCATCTAGGAAACGCATCAAGTTCCAGTTGCCTACTGGTAATGAAGGACAAAGAGTTTTGATAACCTCCTCAAAGATCGTAGGCATCGTAGGCCATCGCAATGTGACCGTTTCCAGCAGCAGGGTCTGAAGGCAAGATTAGACATGGGAGTTGCTAAGAACGTGGTCCATGTACTAGGATGTAGAAGGAGTCGATCCGTACAGATCCGCCTTCCATCTTCCATCAATATCGATCAAGAATGATATAACGTGATATAGGGTGCCTAGAGTGGGTACCTAGGTATGGTGGTTTAGGTACCTTGTATGAGAAGGTAAGGTAGGCATTCTAATTCCGTCCACTACGAACGCCTAAAAGACGATGATTGATTGATTGATGATATCTCCCTAAGAAGACCTGCCCCTCGCCAGGATCCAGAAGTGACGCAGTTCCATCCCCAACTTTTTATTTGCAGACAACGAACTAGACACTGACTGGCATCCATCTGTCTAGCACCCCTCACTACATCTGGTATATGCGGTACAGCATAACATTTATTTGATTTCCGCAGCTCACCTCACGCCTCTCCTCCTTAAGGTATACAATTGAAAACGACACGTACTAGTAACTTGAACTCCCACGCACATACGCATACAACACATTGAGCCTACTCGATAACAAGAACCAACCACCAAGAGCTTGACCCGACCTAGGTCGTCTTCCAAAGTCCCTCCCTCCTATCAAGCTGGAACGAGTTCGGATTCACCTCGACGTTAACGTTAGACCTCGACTCCTCCTCACCTCCTTACCTCCACCCCTTGGACCTCCAGAACTCCGAACTCCGTCCGACAAGACTTTGTTTTCTCTTGTCTCTTGCCAAAGTCGAACGAAAAGAGATGTCTCCTCCCGCGATCATTGCTCCGTCGATCCTCAGCGCCGACTTCGCCGCTCTGGGTGAAGCATGTTCGACAACGATGAGCCAGGGTGCAGATTGGCTTCATGTTGATATTGTACGTTCCGTCGCGCCGGTTTTTCTCTTTTCCTTTGTATTCTTGGTTTCCGGGGTTGGGTTGAGTTCGGGAAAAGAGGAGGATTGACGATTGATGATTGATTGATGATGAGGATTGTCGGATATATGCGTGGTTGTGGTTGTGGTTGTCCTGAGGAAATAAATGGTCGTTGTGAGACAGACAGAGAGAGGCTCAGAGGAGGAAGAGAGGGAGGGAGTCAATGGCATTCTTGCATCTCTTCAGAGCAAAGTGTCGGGCGAAGGAGATTAACATCATCTTCGTTCTCTATCGGGCTATATCATGGAAGAGAGAGGTGGGTTCTCTGTTGACCAACGTCAGGGAGGAGGAGAGGACACAATGCCAGAGCACTTGCCTCCGGAGTCGAGGAAGAGGACGAACAGAAGAAGAAGAAGATGATGGACAACCATCCCCAGAACCACCTGAACCACCCGAACCTTTGGCTTGCCTGCAGAATACAAGTCTCTCAATGGTCTATGCTAATATTTGTCCTTCGCGAGGGAATAGATGGATGGCCATTTCGTGCCGAACCTCACTTTCGGTGCCCCGGTGGTTTCGAAGATCCGGACACATGTCGATCGACCTAAGACTGCTGCTGGACGAGGAACTTTTGATTGTCATATGATGATTGCGGAGGTAAGATGTCTTGTCTTCATGTCTTGATTCCTTCTCCTTTCTACCTGGCTTGTTGTCATCGAACCTGGAGAGGACGAAAAACAACAAAACACCACTGTCTCCATTTCTATTCACTCTGTCCACACTCCCTTTTTTTCCTTTCCAATTCCGGATCCGAGCTTCATAGACTAACCTCTCCACATAGCCACACCGCTGGGCCGCGACGTTTCGCGACGCCGGATGTGATTTATACTGTTTTCACTACGAAGCTGCCGTCACCAGCGTCGCAGCCACCGATCCAGCCGACAAAACGACCACCCGGCCAACCTCTCCGAAAGAACTGATTCGGTATATCCACGAGCTCGGCATGCAGGCCGGCATCGCCATAAAACCCGAGACCAGCGTCGACGTGCTATGGGAAATCCTAGAGACTGATGTTGCTGAAGAGCGGCCTGATGTACGTTTCCCCTTCACTCTCCAGTTTCTCTCCATCTCCTACAATGCCTTCGGTTGCAACCCTCTTATACCGTGCATGTCTCGCCATGACCAGTACGAAGAGAGGTACCTTTTGCGAACTCTGATGTGTTCATTGATTCCATTCGACGGTTCTACCTGCTGGGGCTACAACGCTGACCTCCATACTCAATAGATGGTCCTCGTGATGACCGTCCACCCTGGGTTCGGCGGTCAAAAGTTCATGGCTAGTGAACTCCCCAAAGTCACGGCCCTGCGTCAGAAATACCCCGAATTGAACATCGAAGTCGACGGCGGCCTGGGAGAGTCGACGATCGACCAGGCGGCCGACGCGGGCGCCAACGTGATAGTTGCAGGCAGCGCGGTCTTTGGCGCAAAGGATCCAGCACATGTCATCCAGGTGTTGAGGGAGGCAGTCGAGAAGAGGAGAGCAGGGAAATTATAGAATCGTGATCCCTTGTGAATTGAGGAGGAGAGAATAGAATGAAGAAATCAATTCTCTTGCCTTCCGTCCTTATTAAGGGCCCACTCTCCAGTATTTGATCAAGTGCTTCAATGGTGGTACCACTAGATTGATACCTAGATACATTCTTCTCGTCCGCGACCTTATGTCCAGGTCCAGGTCCAGGTCCAGCGAGAAAGAGTAGGCCCTTCTCTGCGCATTATGATCCACCCACTCATCCTTTGCATCGTACACTGGCAGTGAAAATGACTTGTTCAGGCAATACGTAGTAGAGTACTACTAGTAGTAGTAGGTATGTAGTACGTAGTATATACCCACACCCCTTTACACATCCTTCGCCCCGATTAGACTTCAATCTTCAGCTGGCTGTTGTCGACGAGGAAGTTCATTACAGGGGCAGAAAAGCCGTAGAAAGAGAGGTAAGATGATCAGATGGTCCGGCGTACTTTTCATCCTCCTCCTCCTCCTCCTCGGCCTTCGGTAGCGGTGTTGCTGTCTGTCCCCTTTCAACCCCGATTGTCTGTTATTTGGCCGGTCTCCAGGCTGTTCAGCCCGCTTCCTTCATTGCTTTCCCGGGGTGCTCTGTTCGCATTTCCAACAGCAGGGCGGCGCCGCTAGTCCTCCTGGGCTCCGGAAAGGTGGAGGGGTGTTTATTAAAAAAGGGGACTGAACCATGGGTGGTTATGCGTATGGGATACACAGCCTTCTGAGCTGGTATGGTATAGCTACCTATATCTTGGTGTTTTCCAATCAGGATATCACATTCGAATTAGTCTGGGGACGCCTGAGGTCTCCCTTTCTGTTACTTGGGAGTTGAAAGGTTCTTCGTAATGCATTCGGGATGACTGGACGTTGTCTGTCACAGGTTCAGGGATCTAGTTGGGTCTGGTCTTATGTGCCAGTATGTTTACAACGTTGGCCTTTCGTTCCTTCCTGGGCTCAGCCCTCCGAGGATTGTCCTGTATTGTTTCATTTTGTTTCCTTATTGGTCAAGGTCTTTGGACATGACCAAGCTGTTTTCTTTGCGCGAGTGACCCGCCCACTTCTTCCTGTCCGGTGTGTTCAAACCTACACATCCCACAAAAGACAAGACTGTACCCTTTCTGTCTCCACGTAGCTGTTCGTCTTGCTCCCTCCATTCAATACCCAGTCAGTCCCTTCACCACACCCGCAGCTCCACCAGTTTTACCAAACATATCCCTGACATCGCGAATCAAATGGTCCGGCCTCTCGTAGGCGAAGAAATGGCCACCAGAATCGTAAGATCTCTCAAACACCACGTCGCCCTGTGTCCGGGTCCACACCGACGGCAGAACCCTCAACTCCTTCGGCGAGTGCGTCAAACCCAACTTCACCCCTCCGCCGATATACTCTCTGGTGCGGTCCCTGGTGACGCGGGTGGCCGGATCGTCCCAGTCATGCGTGGCTTCGTAGTAGATGCGCAAACTGGCCGCCGGGCCCATGGTGCTGAACCAGTAGATCGAGATCCACGTACACACTTCGTCGTCCGTCCACGGGTAACTGTCCGTCCAGTCGTGCAGTTTCTCATAGATCCACGCCAGCAGGCCCACCGGACTATCGGCCAACGCGTACCCGAGGGTCTGGGGCTTGGTGCTCTGTTGGGCGCGGTAACCCGAGCCTTGTTCGAGGAACCACTTTGTGCGCGCCAGCCCGGTCTTTTCGTCCTCGCTGTACGGCCGCACTGCATGCTGCAGGGCCAGTCTGGGGTGCGTCGCAAACGACGGCGCCGCGCCTTGGTCCATGTTGATGTGCGTCGCCTTGCAGTGTGCAGGGTACAGCAGGCTGATGGCCCGCGTGATGTAGCACCCCCAGTCGCCGCCCTGGGTGACATATTCGTCGTAGCCCAGCCGCTGCATCAGCGAGTGGCATGTCTCGGCGTATTGGGCGAGCGCGAATCCGCGTTTGCGTGACCCCTGGCTGAATCCGAAGTTGGGTAGGGATGGCGCGACGAAGTGGAATGCGGGTGCTGCTGCCCCTGCTGGGTCTGCTGGATCGGTGTCTGGATTCGCCAGCTTCTCCCAGATCTTGCTGGCTTCGATGAAACTGCCGGGCCAGCCGTGCACGAACAAGAGCGGGATGGCGTGCGGGTTGGTCGAGCGCTGGTGGATGAAATGCACCTGGATGCTGTCGTGGGCGGTCACCGCGATCGAGGTCGTGAATTGCGGCATCTTGTTCAGTTCCTGCTCCGCGGCGCGCCAGTCGTGCTTGTCTTTCCAGTACTTGGTCAGACGCTGCACGTCGGCCAGCGGCGCCCCATAGTCCCAGCCGGCGGAGTCGATCTCGTCGGGGAACCGGGCGAGAGAGAGACGAGTCTTCAGGTCAGATAGAGCAGAGTCGGGAATGGAGATGGTGAAGGGTTTGATGGTGGTGTCTGCCATTGTGGCTGCGTGTGGCTGGAGAGAGACAGACAGAGAGAGAGAGAGAGATGTGTTTGAAGACTGACGTTGATATTGCTTCTTTACCGAAGAGGTATAATACTGCTGTCTGCAAGAGGATAGTGTAGAGGAAATAGAGGGGATATAGGGATAAAGAAAGTCTGCGTCGGTCAGCTTCATCAACTATGTACTCGACTTTGTGCTTCAGCAGTGTGATATAGGATAGATGGAGGTGTAATAAAGATGCATCATCACCACCGTCAGCATGTAGCATGTAGCATTGTCGATCCCTCGGCAGTCCGTCATCAATACGCGGAGGGCGTGGAGATGTCACCAGAGAAGGACAGCCGGGAGGGAGAATCGGTGAGATGATTGCCTGTTCGGTAGCGTGTCGGGTTCAGCTTTGAAGTTCGCCCTTTGGACAACAACATCGTCGAACGAACCCCGCAAACAAACAATCATTGATTTATTCGTTCATCTTTGTCAGCTACTAGAATGATTGGTGTGAGGGTGTGATGAGATTTGGACCGGGGATTGTAGACTCCAGCTGGATCCCAGGCGGTCAACTCGCCTGTACGCTACGACCAATGAGAGAGGAGGAGAGGGGAGATACAAATCATGCAATGATCCAAGTCATCAATCTGGAATATTTTGGTTCAACTATCGTGGTTGACTATTATGGCACCAAAAGAAAGACTGTTCTCCAAAACATACATCATCAACACAGGCAAAACCTCATCCAGAGATCGGATGCCACCTCAAAAGTTGAGACCAAGAGGGTTGGCTGCGGCAGTCGAATTACCTCCAACCTTTGACCGGGCGGCAGACTTGGGAGCGGTGGTGCCGTTGGGCTTCGCGGGCGTCGACTTCTTGACTGCTGTTGGCTTTTTGGTCGGGCCTGTCTTCTCGCTGATCGTCTCCTTAGGCTTCTTCCTCATCGCGCCTGGGTTTGGCGTTGAGGAGATCTTGGCTCCTGCCGATGCAGACTTGGCCGAGGCCGTGGACGCATGCTTCTGAACAGGAGCAGGAACAGCAGAGGTCGACTTCTTCATTGCACCATTTGCCTTGGGCCCGGGTGCTGGCAAGGCCTTCCTCGGCATGCCTGCTTCAATCTTCTTCTGAGGTGCGGCGCTTCTGCTCGTGGTCATCAATGTCTTGGAAGGACTGGACGTGGCTGGTGCTCGGTACAGCTGAGGGCTCGTCACTTGTCTCTTTCCGCCCGTCACCCCTGAGCTCAGTCCCAGGGGGTTGTTCGCTGTCGGGGCCCTGACAGCATCTGCCCTGGTCCAGTCCATGATGGCATTGCCATAGTCCTTCACTCCGTCTCCATACCTTCGAATCGAGCTGTTGATCCCCTCGCCCACTCCATTGATGCTGCTTCCTACTGCACTGACTGCCCCTCCAGCGAAAGAGCCCGCACCAGACACCGCACCAGACACGGTCGGAGCAAGGGCCTCGGAGACCTTGCCTAAAACCCACTGGGTCGCCATTGTTTAAGCCGACGGTGTAGTGGTCGACTTCTTGGGGCCGAGCTTGGGAGGCTTCCTCTTGGGTTTGTCACCCGATTGAGAACTGGCAGACGAGATCTCCTCGACCTTGTTTTCACCCTTCTCGGAGGCCGGGGCTGGCTCCAATTGCTTTTGGTGGGCTGGTGGTTGACGACTGTGTACCAACTTGTCTCTCGGTAGTGGTCGAGGGGTGCTAGGGTCTTCCGGCTGCGGTTTAGGTGCAAGTTTGGGGAGGGTGCGGACTTTCCACTCGGGTTTGGCCTTGGGGGCTTTGTATCCTCGAGTGGCGGTGACGTTGATAAAGTCCTTGTCGAAGAAGATGTCAAAGGATACGTTAGGCATTGGGAAGAACACTCAGTCTATAGCAGTGACTGAGCGTGGAAGGATAAAGACTGAAGTGTATAATTGAGTCAAGTAACAGGTACTAGTATCATCCAGAATATACAGAAGATAGAATGAGATATGTCGAGAAGATATTAGAGAACAGAATACTAGTAGACACTTCAACTGCCCATCTTCCCTTCAAGTTGGGATTCAACGTCATCAAGGGGAATTCGTCCAACTTGAACTGGAACTGGAACTGGAACTGAATTGTTCGCACCGCCACAATCGGCACTGCACGTCGATATCTTGCCATGTTCCCTGCTTTTGCCCGGCTTCTGCACCCTTCACCCCTGTCAAAACAATCAGTCTGGACACCTGTTGACCGGGATGCCCTTCTCCAAACGACCTCTCACTGTCCTTCGATCGCTGATGTCCCCCGAAAAGGACGATCTGTCTGGGATGCGCGGAACCGGACATTTCTGCCATTCGCTTACTCTGTACGCTCCTCACCTGTCCTACTACGCCAGTGGGTTGAACTGAATTGTGAATGAATGGCTTGAACGCCACAATGGATACAAGCTGTCATCCAGACATCGATCAAAGAACGAAACCTCTCCCCAGATCATCCCTGTCGTCCTCGACCCCTTCCTTCGTACGTCAGAGGTGGCGTTCACAGATTCCAGCCTCTCGTTGCAACAATTCCATTCTGAACAGTTGACTGTCATCACTACAGTACAACGAAGTGGGCAACATCTGCGGTGGTGAGAATGCTTCTATGATCCGGTCACCACAATGTAAAACACCAACAAGAAGGTTCGCATCACCAGCAACAATATGTCCGTGTCCAAACCAGGCCTCGAGCCTGCTGCGGGCTTGTCGCTTGAGTCCAAAGCAAACCGGCCTGATCGTGTGCCTCAACAGAAGGGGGAATATTCAATTGCCTCGCGTGCCCTGGCATTATCCACGTACTTTCTATCAGGGGCGCTAGCCATCAACCTCTCGCAGTTCTTGGGTACTCCTCTGTATCTGGTCAACCAGGATTGGTACAATGCATGGATTGCCTTCACCAAGCAGTCCTTTGGGCTGCTCACAATGTCCTTGACCCAGACCTTTGCACCAACCAAGGTCATTATCTCCGGCGACGCTACGGTTCGAGGTCAACTGTTGCAATCGACCGATGGCAACCTGGTCCTCGACTTCCCCGAACGGCTCATCATGATTGCAAATCATCAGATCTATACCGACTGGTTGTATCTGTGGTGGATCGCATACTGTAATGGCATGCACGGTCGGCTATACATCATCCTCAAGGAGTCCCTCAAGAAGATTCCTGTGCTAGGATGGGGGATGCAACTCAACCAATTCATTTTCCTCAAACGGAAGTGGGAGGAAGACAGGCCCAGCATGGCTAGTGCTCTACAACGACTCAACAACCCTACAGATCCAATGTGGCTGCTGTTGTTTCCTGAGGGCACGAATTTAGCCCCAAGTACCCGGGCGACAAGTGCGGCGTGGGCGAAGAAGAACAACATGCCCGATATGAAGCATGTACTCTTACCACGAAGTACAGGGTTGCACTTCTGCCTAGAAGAACTCAAAGGAACAGTCGATTATGTCTATGACTGCACCGTAGCCTACGAGGGCGTTCCACGCGGGCAGTACGCACAAGACATCTTCACACTCAAGGCTGGCTACCTCGAAGGTCGACCCCCAAAGTCTGTGAGCATGCACTGGCGTCGCTTCGCTGTCAAAGATATTCCCCTACACAACGATAAAGCCTTTGAGCTCTGGCTCATTGCCCGGTGGCGGGAGAAGGATCTTCTCATCGAACAGTACCTCCAGACAGGTCATTTCCCTGCCGACACGGGCGCGACAAGGTACAAATCTGGCAAGATTCTACGAGGCTGCGGACATATGGAAGTTCCTATACGAGCGAGCCATTGGTACGAGTTTCTGCAAATCTTCGCTCCAATGGGCATCCTAGCTATGGTTCTGTATATCTTCTACGGCGACCTCCCCCAGCGATTCTGGAAGAGTATCAACAAACAGGCTCTCCAGTCTGGAACGCAGGACATCAAGCAGGCCGGGTTGAAGGCCGGCAAAGAAGCAAAGTCTATGAGCACAGCCGTTCAAGGGCTGACACTTGATTCCTTCTTCGAGCCGACCCAGCAGCAAGAGGCATTTAAGTCCGGTGCCATGGCGGTTCAGAAACTCCTCAACTCGCCCTCTGCACAGACTCTGCTAAACCGGGCCGATTTCATCCAACAGTTTCTTTCTGATCCGCAGAAAATGGTTACCGATAGTATCACCACCCAACAAACAAATTTCATGCAACAGCTTGCATTGGAGGAAGCACGGAGGCAGCAGAGCAAGATATCAGCTCCGTCGAGCGGGACGTTGCAATCAGTCACCAATGGGATGGGGGCCAAAAGGAGCACTTTTTGGAATGCATTGGAAGCAGAAGAGAAGAGCAGACAAGGCTTGGTGGCGTCGACACCGGGTCCCAAGGGATCAGGAGGTACATTTTGGCAGGAACTTAAAGCTGCCGAAGAGAAGAAGAGCGCTCCCAAAGTGACGGAACGGGCGATGAATACGTTAGGAGGCCAGAGAGGTACCTTTTGGGACAACTTGAAAGCGGAGCAGAGTAGCCGATATGGCACGGTGAAGACTTTGTCAAGTAATGCCTCGACGGCCGTGGCGTCTGAAACCTCGACGTCGACGTCGAGCAAAAGAACCGCACCCAAGCTTGGGACGGCAAAGCCACCTTCAAGGACTGCCAGTGCACTGGGCACCGGAAAATCAACCAAGAGTTCTTCTGTGAAGTCTCCTTCAAAGGTCCCAAATCAACAACCTCAACCAGCGGTGAGTTCAATACCGGCAACTACCACAAAACCCGCGAGAGGTGGCAAGTCGACCGTTCCAAACCCGAAACCGGCGACATCAGCGTCGTCGACTGTATCGACGAACAAACCTGCACCGTCAAACCTGAAGCCGGCCAATGCATCTCACCCACCTTCGACCCTGAAATCATCACCTGCGAAAACAGCAGGTTCAAAAACGGCTCCGCCTCTAAAGTCCGGCCCCAATACCACCAAGAAGGATATTGCTCCTGTCAAGAAAATAGGGGCGCAACCCTCATCAACGTCCGCTGTTAAGAAACCAGCAACTACATCAACATCCAGCTCCAAGGCGACACCTCCTTTAGCGAACCCAAAGGCAACGCCTGGTAAGACGTCATCACAGACCCCTGCTCAGATTAAGTCGAAGTCGAATTCGACGCCAACGACGAAGACGACGACCAAATCTATCGCCTCTGGACCACCGAAACTCAAGTCCTGAGACTTAGCTTTGCTTTTCATTATTGAACCAGAAGTTGTCTGGGCAAGGCCTGACGCGGATTTCGGTGACTCTTGATATCATACCTCATTTGAACCCTATGATCAGCCACTTCGTTCAATGAGAACGAACTTTCCAGATCTCAAAATAAGGAGTGGATCTGTGTCATTGCTCGTGGAAATGCTACTCATCCATGCTTTTGGTCGCTGTCTACGGCGATATGTTTTGATATTGTTTCAGCGAGCGGTGTATTTTATGTAGGACCTCTTTACCTACTCAGGTAGCCTACTGTATTCTATTCTACTGTGCTTAAGGTATCTATACATATGTATAACTAGTGCATTCGATACGAATTGATCTGATCATCACCGTTTCGAGCCTTACCTCTGCGCCTTCAGTACTGCCGGCTATCTGTATGTACATCCCAGCCTTGTTGCTTCGTTTGTGGATCAATGATACACGTTAGCCCCTGAGATTCACTCAGCCTTGCATGCCTGATATATAACATACATAGGTACGGGTGTATATTCATGTGGATGCATATCGATCACTACAATCAGGTAGTATTGTGTCATCGGAAGATACTAGATAGATGGCTTGAAACATAGCCATTGATGTATATCTAGATGCCTCAGATCGACCCTTGGTAGATTGGTAGATTGGTAGTTCGAGAAGTTGTTCACATTCACAGACTCAGAATCACACACAGGAAATCCAAACACAGATCGACTCTATTGTAGACTCTATTGTAGAGGAGTGAAAGACAAACATCAACCATGGTAGTCGTCGTTCACAATCAACTTGTCTCATGTTTGTATTACTTGGCGACCAGAGCCACTTCACTACAAAGTGAGTTGCTCGTCAATTGTGTATTGATCATATTCACTTCACCTTCTCTGTCACTGCTTCTCCGTCACTGTCACTGGTCGTGACCCACTGCGAGGGAGTGACAGTCCCTCGTGCTGAACGAGCGAGGTCCTAGAGGTATAAATATCCCCTTCTTTTTCCATTCTCTTTCTCCTCCTTCCCTCTCCTATACACATTCGACAAAGATATCTCGTCTGAGCAGTCCTCTTCGTGAAAATCTTTCCAAGAACCGTCAAAGGAGCAAGACAGACAAGTTGCTCATCGTCCTTTGCTGTCGCGGTTCGTCTAGTTCCCACTGTGCCTTGGTTCTTCTGCAATGGTTTGGCCAGGGCTAATTCTTCGGGAACAGTCGATCTGAACAAACAATCAAGTCATCAAACCGTCGTGGACTTCAAGTCAACTCACTTACTTGTCACGCCGTTGCTTCTGTTGCTGTGCAAAGACATCAAACCAAACTTCAGACATCAAACTGCAACACTCCATCCTCGACAAGATGGTTCAGACTCCATCCCTTGCTTCTTTGTCAGCGACAAAGCTGAGAGCGTAAGTGCAACAAGCAGTCACCCCATATACCCTACCTTGTCCATATCTTTATGGCTTGCCATGCTTGCTTGCCCTATCCATGGGTCTCAAGTGCTGCCGATCTGAAATCATGGACGCTGACATAAAGACCAACTCTAGTCTTAAGACCCCAGAGACCATTACAGTCCTATACAAGCTGACCAGCGATGCCGAGCCTCTGATCTTGTGCGAAGCCTTTCCAAAGGGTGTTGCCATGACCTTCTCGACCAACTGGAAGATCGACTTCCCACCTGTGAACAAGATGAGCGTGGCTGAGCTTCAGAAACCAGCAAAGAAATCAGTGACCATTGTGGGTGGACGGTTCAACATTCACAAGGACATTATCGGTTGGATGTTATCATGCTGCGACGGAAGAGGCATGCAGCAGTTCCCACAGCCTAAGCGCAAGACCTTCACATACCTGTATCATGCTCGGACCTGTGCTGCCATCATCGGATGCGAGTACCTTGGGCAGGAAGTGACCAGATCTATGCAACGAATTGCAAATGCTCAAATCCACTCTGAAGATGTGCGAGCACTATACCTCCTCGACCCTCCTGACGCCGAGATGAAGAAGTTCCTCGCCGAGCATGTCGCGGTCCGGATCTGGGAGAAGAGACTCAAGGCAAAAGGGGCATACGCGACACTGAGGGAGGAACTACCAGAATTCAATAAGGCAATTGACGAGATTCTGGATGCGAAAAAGGCGGCAAGACAGGCAGAGAAGGACGCTTTGGTGCAGGCAGGCACCAAACCAACAACAACACCTCCTCGTCGTCGTCAGCAGAACTGGCGCTCCCCTAGAGCACCAGGCAGCCAAGCGAACATGGGACAGAAGAAGGCGCCAGAGCCAAAGGAACCAAAAGTCAAGACTGTGACGATGAAGGCAGAGGTTGTCCGGCGTGCATCACAAGGGCGGCCGACATTCGCACGTTTGGACCTGGGGGCAATGGGAGTGACCAAGGATGCGTTTTGTGGTCTGAAGTAGGGAGATTTCGTGGCACAAAGGGGCTCAATCGAGTGTCGCATTTCTGGTCGTCGCTATGGGTTATATATCTGTGTGTGTTTTAATTGCCAAAGGCGACCAGAGCGAAGCAGACCAGCGCAGGGATGTCCGTCGACAAGGTCCTCCACAAATGGATTCTCAGCCATTGCTTGACATACTCGATGGTCTGACCTTTCTTTTCCACCTCTTCGTCACACGCCCACTTGATTTTCTGGCTGATAGGGTAGACGAATGCGAAGTGTCCCATAGTGAACGCGGCGCCGGCTAGAGAAAGCGTTCGTTTCGAACTGTCTGCGGGGAAGTATCGAGAAGCATATACGCCGCCGATGATGGAGGGCAGGGTGGTGGCAAAGACCGTGGCGATCCTCAGGGGCAGAAAATTGCTCCACCACAGCCGAACTGCTTTGCTGGTGGTGGAGAGCTGGTCTTTGGACTCTTTCACGAACGGGTACAAGATGGTCGGTTCGACGAGCGCGTAGAAGACGGTCAATGAGGATGAAATGAGGGGAATCGCGACGGGTATGCCCACGCCTAGTGTGTTTGTCGTTGCCATTATAGAGTATCGCAGGGGGACAATTGGGAACTTCTAGTGAATGTAGATTCGACAGACCTGACTCAGGCCTTGAGCACCGGGTTGGGATGTATGCAGAAGTTATATCCAACAATCTTGGAATACTAGTAACCAAGGCTCACCTGATCGACCGGGCTCGGAGAATCCGAAAGAAATGGTGAAGGGTGAGGAGGATACGCGACTATTAGTAAGATATCTAAGGAACTACGTGGATAACCCGGGCGTACACAAGGCTAAGGAGGCTAGATACCTCTGCAGATAGATACCTAGCATATCTACTTTCCTATGTTTCCTGCGTCGATATCGTTAGAGAGGTTCAAGACTCGGAGTGCAAGGTGTGGGGGAGAGCAACACAGAAGTACTGGATCTGATGCTGCACACAGCCTGATGAACCTGTAACTCGAGTCCTGTTTGTGGCAGCGGGACTTGGTTGCGTGTTCGCTGCAGTGCATGACTTCCACACCACCTGATGCAGCGGCAGTGTGTCCGGAGAATTTGTGACAGACCTGGATAGATTGTCCAATGGAGCATGCATTCTACACTGTCTCCATGCAAGCCAATGTGATACAAGCTGCAAGTCGACGGTTGTGTAGATAGTATACGAGACAAACTCATGCCCTTACCGACCAGGAGTAAGTGAAGAGATTATAGGCTAGTCCTTGGTAAGCTCCAGGGGGGAACAGGCGTAGTCGGCCCTGGAAGGGGAGTCAATGGAACGAAACTAGCTAACGAACAAGCCTGAGAAGCCCCCAGTGGCTGTGGTCTTTAACTGGACCAGCGGCTAAGAGGCTCCTTAGGCTCCTTTATCCCCTAGCAATCTACTAGTCTTCTTGACGCACTTTCGATCCGCAGCACTAGACGAGATACACTCACTGACACCACTTTACAGAGTACACAGTGGTGTACAGGGCTCTCCCCTGAAACCCACCAGCTCCCCGTCCCAGTCCCCAGAGATCCATCCATCGTTCCACTGCATTGCAGTCTATCATCGCTCAAACGCCAAAGAAGAAAATTCCGCCACTATGCGACGCGTCCAGGTCCTAGTCCATATATGGGAAGTTCACGAAGGGTATACCGTTCGCTGAAGGATCGTGCGCCTCACTTATGCCAGGTATGGGTGGAACGTGAGATTTGTTGCCATGTTTGATCCCTTCGCTGCGTTTAACACACACCTAATCTTCATCGTTAACTCTCCCAGCGCTTCCCCTTTTCTACGCTCCGTACTGCGCCCGCGAACACGTCTGGGTTAACTATTTACAGTTCACAGATCCTAGAGACATCCCTGACAGATACCACCTTCGTCCATCGATCCTAGCAATCGCCATCGCCATCGCCATCAATTGTGGCGGAACTGTCACTAAACTTGCATCAAAAGACCCTCATTCTTCACTGCCTAACAAGGCTTCACATCCCTGCGGTAACCTCTTCTCCTCGTATCTCCAGATTTCAACACGACATCCCCGTCAGTGCAGCTGCCACTGGTTCACTTAACCTCATTCGCTTCTGTTCGCCTCAACAGATCGAAAACTTTGTCTTGAGCGTCGCTGTCAAGCAGATGACTGTTGAGGTCACGGGCATCTAACCCGCCTACCTGAAGTTTGTCTCATCGGTGGCATGGTGGAATTTCAGGTCCTATTTCTTTGCTGGTAAGGGAATCAAAGAACGTCCCGAAATCAAAGAGACTTCGAGCCTGCTATTCGAGAGGCTCCTGCAAGGAAGTTCCACAAGGGTTCGTTCGTCAGGGAGCATAGAAACCATGCGACGATAAAGACCATTTCAAGAAGTCGATTTCTGCGGACCTTTTCTGACGTCCAGCCATGCCGCCATCAGAATCCTCCGAGCCGTTGCGACCTCTGGCGGATTACTTCTGGATCGCTGGCTTGGATACTCAACAGCTACTCGATGCCTTCTCACCAACAAGATGGTCACACCAAACTCCGGACAACAACGCGGTCGTCGAATCTGCGATCAAAGAGGAAGTCGCTGCCGAAAATGACCAATCTTCAATCCTACAATCCCCTCGAGCCTCTGTCAATCATTCAAGGCATGACTCTTATCAGCGACTCTCCCAGCTTTCCGATGAAGCTAGAAGCACCATCGCAAGCCTCAACGATGCGACTCGTCCACACAGCAGTCGCAGCAGTGTCACAGTTCGGCCTGCTACTCCGGGCCAACCCACTCGGATGTCCACTGCGTTCAGCGACGTCGATTTCGAAAAAGCCATGAAGAAGTTTACCAGCGATCGAGACACGTTCTTTCTGGACCTCACATTCAACCCATCTGGAGCTGCAAAACAAACGCGTCCCCAGTCCCCAGTCCCCCAACCAGCGATCCCTCCACCGACGCGGTCCAAATCACATCCGAAGGCGCAAAAGATTGTTGTCGCAGATGAGCCGAGTCCGGATCTGAACCGAAACTTTGGAAGCATGCGTAGACATCTATCATTCAAAGATATGTCTAGTGCGAAGCGCCAGCCATCTGTGGCCCGACGGACGTCCACTAGGACCACTCGGAGGATGAGCAGTTACAACTCAGTCATACCCGCCCCAGAGACTCTTGTCAGCTCACCAAGACAGCACCCTTTGACGCGGAAGTTCGAACCTGTACTGCTAGACAGATATCCTCGATCAACCACTGCCGATAGAGCTTACAAGAGGAGTCCCTTTCCGGACTATGTGCCGATGTTTGCTTTCCCCAACGACATCAAGGTTATCTCTGCAGATACCAAACCAAGGTCTACTTGGCATGAGTTCTCGATGACCGCGGGTGATAACTCAAGGCTTACCGGAGTGTGCGTTACTGTCTGGGTTCCTGTAAATCGACAGGTTGCTTTGGACCTGGAAAAGAAATGTGACGAATGGAGAAAGGCCCATATGTCCGAAGCAGAAAGAGAAATGGCCGCCTCCCTCGCGGACAGATTGGCAGTGGAAAGCGCAAAGTTGTCCCGATTACTGGCAAAACTCCCCCAAGTGTCTCACGATTCAGCAGCGAGAGAAGAGTTGGAGGATGAAATCAGCGCGGTCGAGGAGAAGATCGGGGTCATGTCGGACATGCTGCGACCGTTACGGCACGGTTCCATTTCGGAAATCCAGGGGTTGGCCAGCAGTGAAACTCAGTTTTGGATCCCGAGAGCTTACGGTATCCTGGGCAGAGATGGCACAATGGCCAACTTCTGGAGACAATGGTTACGAGCTGTTGTAGTCCCCATGGCCGACGGTAGTATACTGCGAGTCCCAGCGAGTTCTCCGAAGGTCGGTATGTGGCAACCATTGGAGCGATATGTCGCTGCGTTGTGCCTCGAGGCGCCTTCACCAACAACATCCAAGGTTCAGATACAGACCTCTATCCGGGAATTGCATCTCTACGCCAAAAAGGAAGCTGCAAATGAACTCCCAGGAAGCCGAACCACAGATCTCTATCCACTCTTCAGAACACTCACTATTCCTAACATCGTTCTTCTCTTTGAATACGCCATGGCCGAATCCAGGATCATCTTGTTGTCATCTCATACCGCATTGCTGCAACTTGTCGCCAAAGCCATTCTGGAGTTGATTTGGCCTCTAGAGTGGACAGGTGTGTATATCCCTGTGCTTCCCTCAAGACTGGTTCAGGTGCTTGACGCGCCGTGTCCTTACATTTGCGGCATCAATCGGAATTACGAGAAATATGACCTTCCCGATGACGACTATGTCCTGGTGGATCTAGATAAAAATGAGTTGCACAGCACCTCGCCGCCTCCTTTCCTGCCGAAACAGCAACGAAGGAAGCTCATGTCTCTATTACACCAAGCTGCACCACTGCACCATAGTTTTGGTGTACCCCCTGGTGCCCCAGCATATACAGTTGAGACATTTCCGTTTGATGCATTCTCTGGGGAACTCGACTCTGTGTTTACTGCCATTGCCAGGTCGACAAATCTGGACAAGCTAGCCAGTCTCAGTTCATCTTCCTTCGGGCCGCATGCGGCTTCAGACACGATCCGGCGTGCTCCATTGCTGAATGTTTTCCTTTCCTCTGGGCCGACACAAGGGAAGAGCTTTGACCGTCCACGGACATCTTCAACCACCCGGCAATCGAGTCACACAAGTTCTGATGCTTACTCTCCTGTCGGAGGGAGCTTTGCTCTTCCAACTTCGCTACGGAATGACTCCGGCTATGCTCTGCAGACTTCCCTGCGAGAAAAACGATCCGGCCACTTCGATTCGCTATCCAAACGCAGCTTCTCCGGCTCTAGCCACATGGTTCGGAAAGCCAGTCTTCCTTTTGTACGGCACAATGCAAGTCCCTCGACAACCTCTGTGTCAGACATGAGGAATGGTTCGATATACGCACCTTCTACATATGCCCAGTCGACGCTGGCAGCATCCACAATCATGCCTGGCATGCATGTTCAACCGGCAGTCAATTCTCGAGGAACGTATTGGGCCGAGGGCCATTGTCTCCAATGGAAAGAAGCAGATGGTCCCTCAACATGTGTGCTTTGCGACGAGAAGGCACAGGATGGCTACTACAGATGCGCAGGGTGTGGCTTTGTGATTCACGATCGCTGTGCGAATCAGATCACCATCGTCTGCTCGGCTGCATTCTATCCAGATCAAGTTCGCGCAGCATTTGTCAGATGTTTGGCAAGCCTCTTCTACACCTATCGGAAGTTCATGAACCCAGCGCCTCCGGCTAAAAAGAAGCTCGGAGCGGTGTATGCTTTCGACAATAGAGCCTTCATCAACAGCCTTTCTCCAGACCATTCCGCGTATATTGAGATGCTCCAACAAACTCAAGCCTGGAACGAATTCATCATGGAGCGCGAAGAGACGACTTCCAGTCCAGATATTGCCTTGTTCGACGCAATCATCATGGCCAAGCGTGGCCGCGCTGGCTTGCTGCGGTCCAGTCTGCCAAACATTGGTCGCAACCGCAGAAGCCTTATACAGCGGCCGGCATCAGCCGGTGCCCGAGCAGATATTCTGTCAGACACTTCTCAGCATCAATGGCGCATCGTTTCAATACCGTGTAGTTCAGAACGGTCAGATTTGGGCACCGCAGCAAAAGGACGTGACTACCATACGATCATTACACGGACGCCATCGAAGCTGGAAGAAGGCCTTTTCAAGCAGGAAGAAGATGTTCCAGACTTGCCCACCATACGAAAGAAGTCACGAGCGAGTATTCTAAACAGCAGAATGAATGGACTTAGCATGAACGCACCGTGAATTGTGTCGCAAGCCGAGCGAACATGTACAAGAAAAGAGCATTCGTTTTTGATGATCTAAGGACAGTTACACCACTCTGCGTCGTGACAAGAGGCTGCCAGTGCTCAAAGAGCCGCGCTCCCCCATGGAAGTGCGCCACTTGATGGCAAGCTGGCCAAGGACCACCCTTCCATCTAGTTTCATGCTGTTCTTCAGATCCTCTACTCCTTCCTGCACGCCATCTGCCTGTTCAACGAGAAAAGCAACTTGAAGAATATCTCGAGGGTTGACAATCGGGTTGTCCGGCTTGTGATCACTGTCCTTTTCAGCATCCCAGTTCAGAGAGGTGGACTTGAACGGCGCTTTTGATAGAAGCTTGCTTTCTTCGAGAACAACCATCATATCGGAAACATTCTCCAACTGAGCCTCCAACACATACCGCATCAACGTTGTTCTGCCGTAAGGTCCACCAGTCTCGTCGGGCACCTCGATTGGTCTCAGCTCAGTGGCTTTGGTCCGAACACTCAGACAGGGCTGAGCAAGAAACTGATACAACTTTCGAAAAGATCTCACTCTTCCACCGGTTGCTTGGCCATCACCCGATATCGTTTCGGTATACGTTACGTTGACAGCCAGAACGTGGTTGCCTTCTTCTTTCAGATCGAAGCGGATGATCCTTTGCAATGCGGATCCAGGCCCGATCTGGTTGTCTTCTTGGGTGCCAGCCGAGTGGAGATCCAAAGGAATCGACTGAGATGGCGTCTGCATTTCGGCGAGGATCTTGGTCCCAGAGACTGTTTTGGATGCATTACCCGGCAGGATTTCGTTGTTGGCACACAAGACACAAGAGAAAGTCTCGCCGACATGGGCGGAACCAAATGAAGGTGGCAGAGCAAGATTGTTGGATAGGATGAATTCCTGGTCGACCGCTTCGGATGGGTACGCCAGGGATGCTACATGTGGAATTTTGGCATCACTTTCCCGCGGTAGAGGGTGTTGTAGCGCTAGGGATGGACGCGAGAGCCTACACAGGTTGGATGAGAACGATGACCAGGATCCTCAGGGTGCCAGACACTCTACCTTAGAACTTGCACACATTGTATTAGCAGGAATGATTATTGGATTGTAATAGACCACATGGACTTGGTCGATGTGCCTACCTTTCAAAGACACGGAGTGCGGCTCCTTTGGGAAATTCCCGGTATCGGCTCGAGGCCGGGCCATAACTGACGACGAGGCTCAGTTCCCTTGCTTGGACAAGTTTTGGTCTGTGTCAGATGAAGCGCAGAAGGATGAGCGTCTGCCGAACCGCCGCTCTATCTTATGTATGACAAGGAGCGGTTCCTCGTGAGATAGATCGCTCCCGCCGCAACTGGTAGCATCTCGAGTGGCCACAGAGCCGAGGCTACAACAACATCAGGCCCGCTCAGGAGTGATGAGATCTGATATGGTAATGGAGCCTCGCGTTTTGGGGTCTGGGATGGGAGAGGTCTATATATGGCTCTAGTTCTGTCAGTGACTGAACGAGGCTGAGGCGATAAGGTGCGGTGATTTCTTGGCATGTCACGTGAATAGAAGAGTATTCTAACCGTATCGGTAAGTTGTTAGGCGTTAATTGCTTAGGTTGAAACCGTTGCCGGGCAACATTATTTCACTAAATACAACGCGTCCCGAGCCACAATTCGGCCTTGAATTCCATCACTCAAAGAGGACCTTATGTTTAATAACGCCGGACGAGCAGTGTCAGTACCAACAACTGCAAGAGTCTAGTCACCATTACCCATTTTGCTGCCGCATATCCTCTACTCACAATACTATCTAGCTGCCAACATGCGTATGACTCGCGCTGCTTTGCGAGCTCAGGCTCACGACGATTCGGACCTGCATCCCACGAATATCCACGAAGACATCGACGCGAATGCGTCGCAGAACAACGACGACGACAGTGAAGAGTCTGGCGGCGACCTCGATCTGCACCCAGCGCGTCGAGCCCTGAAAGATATCACGTACGAAAATAACGCCAATTCCGAAGACCTTGAAGACCCCGAGAAACACACCAGTGCCGATCCTACCGCTCAGGATGGTAACTCAGACGTCAACGATGGTGTAGTGGACGAGCAGACAGTTCCTGCGCCCGCGAAGAAGACCAGAAACAAGAGGAAGGGGAAGCAAAGCAGAAAAGTAAAAGATAAGCTTGACGAAGATTCCAGCATCAACCACGAAGGAGACGAAGAAATTGAAGAAACCTCCCCGACAGCGATGGAAGAAACACAGCCAGGCGACACGAATGTTTCTGCTGAAGCTACGACTCACGGCAAAGAGGACTTGGCGGAAATCGGGACATCACAGGTTGTGACCGAGGAAATAAACTCGACCAAGTCAAGTGTCTCATCTGAAACGCTCGACATCCCTGAGAGTTTCGAGCAACCACCACAAGCAACACCTGGAGTAACAGAGTCCCACCACACGACATCTTCTGAAGTCGTCGACGGTCCTGTTACCATGGATACTGAGGTCAACAACCATCTCGCGTGTTGTGAAGAAGCCGTGGACGCAACAAAGGCGGAGGAATCGGAGGGACTGCAGACTTCGATTTCGACACCCGAGAATATTCGTTGTGATCCGCCCAAGACACCCAAATTCGACCCATCCGTCCATGCGTTAAATGAAGACGTCGCGACACCTGCTGCAGACACTGCTGAGGATTCTTTTGTTGACAAGATCAAATCTAGGTCTCCTACCAAAATGCAAAGCCACTCAGAACTCAACCACTCCGAGTCGTTTGTCGAGGGCATGATGACACGTACACCGCGGATCGAAGATTCTGTCGAAGCCATCGATGCTCTAGAAGACGCCATTGAAAAGGTCTCAGAAGACTTGCCAGTCTTGGATGGACTTCAAATCGAATCCCCTGTGAAATCGAAGAAGAACATGCCTGCTCGCGTATCTGCACAACCCACCGCCCCAGTACCAAGTACTCTTGAAAAGACACGTCGGAGCCCAGCGAAGAAACCCCTCCAACCGACGAAGACAGCTCCTGCAAACAAACCTGCGGGCCAGCCAAAGTCAACTCTTGCACGAGCACCAGCTCCAGCTCCAAAGCCAGCAACTAAGACAAGCGTCGTGACAAAACAGCCTAAGAAACCCATCATTGATGGCCACAAGCCGAGGGAGTCCACCGCTTCCACTCTTCCGTCACTGTCTTTCTCAAATTCCCCATCCAAAGCTCTTCCAAACACTTCGCAGAAACGAGTCCCTAGTGCGAGACTGTCCACGGCCAGACCTGCATTTGTCCCTACCAAATCGGCAAAGCCACCAACCAAATCCACTTTCTCTCTACCCGGAGAGGCCATCTCAGCGAAACTCAAGGCTCAGCGAGAAGAGCGCCTGAAACGCGAAGAGGAAGCCGAGAAGGAGCGAAAGCAGTTCAAAGCCAGACCTGTGCCGACCAAGACATCTCGACCCAGTGTCCTACCTCGAGAGAATAAAGCCAGTCAAGCAAGAATGAGCCTGTACGCCACGGGAGTCAACAAGGAAAACATTGCGCCGAAACGAGCCTCCGCTCCAGTTCCCACCGACACCAAAGTCCGTCCGTTGTCGATCGGTGCGAAACCCAGTTCCGATCAGACGAGAGCCAATTCGAGCGTTCGACGAGCGACAAATGTCATGGAGAAACCGAGACTGTCCACTACCACGAAACCCCGAGTCTCTTCGCTACAGTTGACCGCGGGGCAAAAGTCCACAGTCACGAAGGACGATGTGGTCCATCAGAAGGCCAAGGGCAGGGAAGTCTTCAGTCGGAACAAAGCCGAGATGGAGCGTTTGGAGAAAGAGAGGAGGGAAAAGGAAGAAGCGACACGCCGAGCCCGTGCCGAGGCCGCAGAGCGCGGCAGACAGGCGAGTCGGGAGTGGGCGGAGAAACAGAAGAAGAAGATGGCTTTGCAGGCTGGCGTCACCAGCGGCACGGCGAACGGCAGTGGTAAAGTCGATGCGCCGTCACGGCCAGAGTCTGCTGCGGTGGTTGCCTGATATTGATATTGGTATTGATATCGACATTCAACGCCGGGAGCGGGAGACAAGACTACTAAGATGTCTCTGGGTACTCGAGGTGTCGAATTGTTAAAGTGATATGGTTCACAGACTGTTGTCCTGCTGTCCTGGAGTCTTGATTCTTTCCGCTTGGTCTACAGCGCAGCGCAGGTGTTGGATGGGAAATCGTGCAGGCGCAGGCGACATGGGATGCCCGTGATGGACCGGCGAAGCTACACTGACTAGTACCTGGTACCTTAGGGACACACATTCAATGAGTTACTTACTAGTAAGTAGTGTATGAAAACCCGTATCCAAATACGAAGGAGAAACCAGATCCGACACTTTCGGAGCATCAAGCGTTCAGTGAGTTCGAAGAGGGGTTTTCCAGTTATCTAAGTTTAGGGGTAAATTTGAGGTTTTGGGGGACTGCTAATCAGCAGATATTCTTTGAAGGACATGCATGGATCGTTCGTCCATATGATTCAGCCAGCCAAATAGGTAGAAAGAAAAGATAGTGGCCCATCTCGCATTGATTCTTCTACTGATTCCAACAGTCATGTCTTGCTGTAGTCTGTTCATGTATGGACACCCTCAACGGAATTACTCTTGAGAGGAAGAGGAGGAGGCGGATATCTTGTGATCATGACATAGGTCAAGGCCCTTGAAAGGATCTTGCTCTGTTTCGCTTCGCTCAGACACCAAAGATTTGCCTGTCCAACGTACCTATCATTGGTAGGTACCTATATGGCTGGTCACATCCCTGCTTTTTCTGGGGTCGGAATATCAGATTCCCGGCCAAGGGCGAGCAGTAAAGAGGGACATTGTTTCTTTTTACTGATCCTAGTCAAGTCGATGCATTTCGACCTGGAATCTCGGAAAGAATCAACTCCCACTCGGCGACAACTGTATCGGCCATGCTACTACGTAGTAGCCTTTGACAAACCAGAGCGAAACCGAAACAGATATCGTGATCCGAACAGACGGGATCGACTGCGGTTGTTGGCCCAGCAGAGCAATCATGAGGCTGAATGCCGCATTGCGCTCAATGAGTCGGACTCTGTTCTTGTCCATCTCGAGCACTGTGCGAAGAGGTAGCCCTGGCGAGGTTAGCAGTGACGACGTTGGTTCGTGTATTCGTGGCCTAGGAGTATACCTACCAAGTAGGTGTCGCATGTCCTATTTTGGGTGTCTTTGAACGGCCTGTTGGAAAGGGAGGAAGGTCATGCAAAGGTGACTGGTGATCAATGGCATTGGATTCGAAAGCGGTGATCTTGATTTCGTTGCGATCGAACCGACTTCTTACTCTCCCCTTGAAACAGTGATGGAGACTGGATAACATGCTTCATTTTCGGGCGATGTTGGCGTGTGTACGGCTTTGTTAACCCGTCCCTTCAGTCTTTGGCTGTATCGGTATCCGGACAAGTGGGACAGGGAGCTCTTGCGTCGTATTACTCTTGGGTCTTGACTCGTCGTCCGCTCTGTCTGTTTCTGCTGCGTCATCATTCTCGTCGTCAGCCGGTCTGGGGACTTTCACTGTGAATATTTGCGTTAGCATCGTCATACAGATCCCAGAACGACTCTAGCATTGTCATACAGATCCCGGAACAGAGTAGACTTGGGAAGGTCTTTGGAATAGGACTTCGTCCATCGAGACAAGGCCACGAGGCAGGTGAGATCCGACGTAATCAGTCCTCAAAAGGAGTACGTCTGGTTGGGGGACCACATACTTGCAGCCATATTAATCGCGCGTAGCACGTTCTCCCAATTCGCCAATACCAGCGCAACGCTTTGCGCTCCGTCCTTCAGTGTACCGAGTTTCTCTTCAAGTGTGGATAACTGTGTCGCCAGATTGGCGCTTAGATCACGCAGCGCTCGGAGGTTCTCGAGTTCCGCACGTTTCGCTGCGATTCGGGTTTGAAGGATGGATTGCGACTGGGAGGTTTGACGCAGCATGGATGTGTTTCCTGCACTGCCGCTGGCGTTGGAGTGGGAAGTGGAGGACGTCGAGGGGTACATGTTGGTGAGCCGATGAGGGTAGGACATGGCTTCGTATAGTTCGTGCGATGACCTAGCGACTGTCGTTGTAGACAATCCGCCAGGAGGGGAATTGATCAGGTTGGGAAAATGTTGCTCTGTTGCCGTGCTTAATTCCACAGATTCGATTCCGGCGTCCTCAATCAGACAGAATCAGACACTTCCAGAAAGTTACGCCGATAGTAGTGAGTGGCACATGTAATCTTTTAAGTTGGGAGAATCGCGGAACGCGGTGCGCGCATTGACGCAGTGGGTTAGGCGGCCATTTAAGAGGGGAGCCAAGGTCACGCTATGCCCGAACAGGTGATTTGTTGATATGTCTTCAATCGCTCAGGCTGCGAATGAATTGAATGACTGACTGATTAACGTCGAATCAACACCGCTCGAGATCTCCTTCACGACTATCCCACCCATACTGCATCTCTACCTGTGTGTCTTGCTCACAATCCCCCACGCGACTGTCGCTGGGCTGGGTATGAGACCTGGTATGAAAATTCGGTGCAAGAGCATAGGTGTAAGGCGTGACATGATTTCTTGACCTTGATATGGCAAGACTCAACGATGTTCCTGCTCCTCCCACTGAAAGCATCGACGCCTGTATGTGCCTTACCTTTGACGATGTTCTCATTTCTTCGCTAACAACACTTAGTGAAAAGGCGCTTCATTCGCCAGAACCGCGAAATAGCACGTGTGAATTCGACCCAATCGCAGCGCATTCGCAATCTCGAGACTGAAATATCTCGCCTTGTCGCCGAGAATATATCCCTTCGCGAGCAAACCATTGCAGCACAGGCCGAGGCGGAACGATGGCGCAATGCGAACAACGTGAACCGGGAGATTATGGAGATGAAGGAGAGAATGGAGAAGAAGGTCACTGAACTGACGTCGCTCATCGTAGAGATGGGACATTTACCCGAAAAGGCGGCGGAGAAGAGCAGACGAAGGAGTGGTGTGCAGAAGCAGAGAGACTCGACGGAGCAGGGATGGTTGAACAGGCAATCAATGAGAGAAGCTGTCGCCGGTGACAGGGAGTTATATGATGGGAGACTGCCTGCTATTCAGGAGGACAAGCTCTATCCGCGACGGACGCTGGAGAGTGCAGAGATTATGGCCATAAGAGACGAAGAAGCTCTGCAACAGGCTTCCGAGTCGCCCGAGTTGGGACCGCCACCTGTTGCACACTTCGACGTGACGGAGCCGATCGCTTTCGACTCGTCGACTATCACTGCCACTGCCACTGAACACAACAACAGTGAAGATCTGATGCAATTGCATTCGACGTTGGAAAAGAGAAGGAAACGCCGGACCAGCTCGCTTCTACAAGATATGCAGACCGAGCCCGTTTCAGAACCTCCTGTCCCCGAAGAACCCGTTCCGCAACTGTTGAAGTCGGGAGCGAAACGGAAACTGGATGTCACAGAGCTTGAGGACGCATCGCCCCGTGACCCAGGCGAAAACGACGAGTTCATCTTTCAACGGAAGCCACAGATCTGGAACAATCCAGCTGCAGTCAAAAAGGCGTCCAGATTCACGAGGGCACCAGGCCGCGAGAACGAGAAGCCGATCGAGACAAGTGCCACCTCTCCCCAGAAGACGACGGCCGGATCAAGGAAGATTCTTGCCCCGAAAAGCACCAACTCCCCCACGAAAAGAAGAGTCCACGTCTCGGAAAAGCTTGGGGACCTTAAAGATGGCCGAGATGGAATGCCCAAGCACTCAGCGAATGATTCACCACGCAAAATACCAGAGCGCGAGATTCGTGATATTGTCTTAGACCCCAGTGGGGCAGTCGAGTCAGACCGTCTGCCACCAAAGACTCCGGCTGCACAAGGGGACCACATACTATCGCCAATCTCCACCGAGCCCTCAGCAAGGAATACTCACCTGCCGCGCGAGGCTGCGGTCTTGAACTCGGTGGAAGACGTCCTGAATGGTAGTATCGGCAGGGGGTCGCGCCGCGCACGTGCGGCAGTCAGCTACGCCGAACCGAACCTGAGAGATAAGATGAGAAGGCCTGGTAAAGAATTGGTTGGCGCCGTCGAGGGTCTTGCGAAGGGTAAGGAAAGCACTTCAACCTCCCGCTCGAGGGGCCCAAGTCTGGACCAAACAAAATCAGAAGGCATGGGCGGAACTGAAGCCAAAGACGGTGCGACCACGGGAAAGCGAGAACAAGGGGCTGCGGGAAATGACAGGTGGCAGGGACTAGCAATATCGGGTTCAGGCAAGAAAGAAGAGCCTCCGAGCCCCCTGAAAGACAAGGAAAGGAGGGACATCATACGCGATAAGGGAAACCCCAATACTGTGAACGACCTGCAGGGACAGACCAACAGAAGACAACGTTACAGCGATGAGCTGGAAAAGGCGGTGGATCGATTGAAGATATTTGACCCTCCAGTTTCTTCTCCCATCGGAGAACCCAAAAGCCCAAGCACAGTTGAAGACGACACACCCGCAGCGACATCAAGACGAAAAGGTCCTGGGACTGCAGTTCGGAGGAGGCATTCCACCCAACCAGCTTCAGCTTCAGTGCCTAACCCTGCAGCTGGCGACCCTCCAAGAACATTGCGGACCTCAGATTCGACGTCGAACCCCAAGGCACCAGTCCCACGGCCCAGCTCCGCCGCAAGCGTGCGGCACCACGCTGGCATCGATGTTGATGACAAGCATCTCAAGCGTTCGAGCAGCGTCAGCTCTAACTTGAGGGCTAGCCATGAGACGAATAGGCCCGACCTGACCATGACCAGTTCAAGCAAGAGTGCTGCTGCTGCCGATGGTAGAAACGAAAGGATGGCCAATCGGCGGAGGAGTATGATGGTGTGAGGTGTAGCGATGCAGCCGGCCTGAGGGGGCCGACCATGCCTCGTTCATGAATATTTCTGTTTCGTGTTCAGTCTCTCTTTGGAAGGTCTTCTGTGATATGTGTTTTGGATAGCCGTGGTAGATGTGGCATTGAAGTTGTCCGTGTTTGAGCAAGCGTGGTGTTCGAAGAGGTTGAAGATACCCCACAGACGAGAAGAATGAATCTGCCCTTTCTCTTGCTTCGTCAAGTTCTCCAGATCGGCCTGCTTGGGTGGACTTTGTAAATTCCGAAGTGCATACTTTTGTATAACTTTCCAAACGGCGATGCGTCAGGTCTCTTGCCCATTGGTATGAGAGTCATCGATGCTGCGCGACATCCCCATGATGACCTCGTCTAATCGCTTCACGTATTCTCTCATCTCCCGTCGCTTGGCCTTCCTCTTCTCCTCCATATCCCGTACCTTCTCCGCCAGCGCCCTGATTTCTTCCGCCTGTTGCTCCTCACCTCTGCCAATCCCCGGTAGCCGTGAAATTAACAGCTCGATTTGCTGACCCTTCTGCACCAAGTCCTCCGCGAGTTCGCGTTGTGCATTGGCAAAGACCTGCGGTGTGACGGGACGCAAAGGGTAGACGGAACGTTCTGTGTCTTCAGGTCCCGGCTGTATGCCTGAGCCTTGTGGTTGGGAGTGATTCGCACCAGGAGTTTGCGACGTCGCGGCTCTTGCGGAGGGTGGGTAGGTGAACGGGTCGCTCGGATCTGGCTCAGGTGCAACTAAGGGATGGCGCTGCGATAGGTAACTAATGGTCGAGAAGAATTGGGTGAGTAGTTGGTCGTAGCAGGTTTGTAGCTGGGTGAGGATGTCGCTCGACATGGTGAGGACGGTTCAGGACTCCCAGGGTTTGCAGGATATTCACTTGTTCATAAATAGTCCGAGTTCTGTGGAAGGTATTGTTCGCGGCACTCTTGCTACGCTGTGACAATGAATTGCGCCGGCGGGGACTGCTCAGGGCGGAACATCAGAACGTCGGTGAGAAGGATGGCTAGCAATGTTGGAGAACGTGAAGAGTGTCAGAGGTCAGAGGTCAATTGTGGACAGCGTCAAACAAGGCTGCAGTGGGTTGTACCAACTAGTAAGTGGTGGGGAGGCACGCCTAGGAAGCCCGGAGAATAGGCGGCTGATCTCCGCAGGCAGAACGGCACTGTATTGCACGGGCATGATAAATCACAAGCCGGTGGCCGCTTGAAGTGCATTAGGTCAGCCTGGTCAGCCTTGCGGAGAAGCGGCATTTCCTTCTATTTGCCTCTTGCATGTTCGCCGTGTTGCGGCTCGACATTTCAATTCTCTCTCAACTTCTGTAAACGCCTACACAGTATTCTCCTCAGAATTCCCTCTGGAGCCTGTGGGCATGTCTCCCATATCACCAATAACCCCAGTCTCAGCGTCAAGAAGTTGATACACGAAGCCGTCCTCCCGAACTCCAGTATCCATCCAAGCCGAACGGCACCCCTCGGACCAGGACACCCCTCTTTGACCATGCATCAATCCTTCACGGGAAGTGCCCGTAAAGCACGACAGGTCAACCTTTCCGGCCGACAGACATTGAATCCATGGGCTTCATTGTCAAAGACGCAATCTGGCGCCAACCCTGTTGCTCAGGCGCAGGCAGAGCGGTTGAAGAGACAGCATGAAAGAGAACGACTCCAAGCCGCCCGGCTTATACAGAAACTCTGGCGGGGTCATTCAAGTCGGAGGCAGCAGAAATCGATATGGAAGCAATTATGGGACGATAACGAGCAGCAGAGAACAGGGACGACTGAGCCTCTCAACTACGAATCCCTGATCGAGCGTGAACAAGAGATCCCCGCTTATCGAGATCCTACTCTACTCCTCTTTCAGATGCGCCTGCTGCTTAGTTTCCAAGAGTTCAGACGTGAACGGGTCCGGGACAAGAAAGACACACTCAGATTACTATACTTTGGACAGGCACTGCAGCGGACGATCGAAGGCCATCCCTCGCGGCCTGATTTCGACGATGTTTGGACATATAATCTCTCGGCATTGGCATTGATTGTGGCCCAGCATCTCAAGAGCACGATATACGACGACTCAGCTCACGCAACGACATCCCATGGACCCCGACTGTTGAAGATGCTGACATGGCTTGCCGAGATGGTGCCTGATGCCATGGCCAGGGAAGCATCGAAATATTTCCATGTGATAGAGAGTGTGCTGCGGACGCAAAGTGCTGAAGTTTGGCGGGAGTGCACATTGTCGGCAATCGTGACCCTACTTAAATCTCCTTGCCACGGACAGCAGTCGGCATACATTTCTTTTGCCACGATCATCCTGAGTCACGATTCTTTTGCTGGCGATAGGGATGTATTGAAGCACCTAGCGTCAGCCATCGACTTGGCGGCACTCTCGAAGGCCATCACAAAAGAGGTGGAAGACGCAGAGGAAGATGAGAAGCAGACGCCAAACTCCAGCCAACTGTTATGGCAGTTGGCCCATCTTATCTATATGCATGATTCTCTCGGGAAAGGATACGCCGGACAAGATTCATACATCGAAGCGTTGTCGGCACTGTTGGGCCAGTGCGCGAATGATATTGCGGAAAAACTGGATGCAGCAGACCAGCCGATGTTTGACAATGAGAGCAACACCTCTGAACCTTTTCCAGCATTTTTACGGGAGATGATCATGAGAATACCTCAACAAGACAATGTCCGAGCGGTTCTACATGAAGTGAGCACGCCCATATCTCCCAGAACGGGTGAGGAGTTGTCGGAATTCGAGTCCGCAAAGCGACTGGCCAACTTCGCTGTTTCCTTGCTGAGAGCTTTTCCTTCCAAAGCGCAGAACATCCGCATGTATCTATATCAAGGTTCAGTCTCGTCGGTTGGGGATGCAGATGTTTCCACAATCCAGTATTTCTGGAGGACTGCCCGAGCCACAGGTGTCTTCAAAAGAGCTGTTCAAGACCACCGAAATGTGCTGTCCCTGTTGAAAGAGGCGGCCCCAGAGACAAATCAGATCGGTCGGGCTCCTTTGTCCAGGGCGGAAGTTGCTCTTTGGCGGGATGAGTGGCGCATAATACTCCTCTTTCTCGAGCTTTATACATTCGTGCTCAAGTTCATGGACGACGACGATTTCTTCGCCCTCGACAAACGTCGTGCTTTTGGAGCGACATCTCCTACTTCGACGAGTTTTATGGCGAGACAGGGTGCTCTGCCGCTGGAAGATGTTGCACTGATGACCACATTTTTGAAGAACTTGGCCTTCACCCTATATTGGCATGCGGCCGACTTGGTGCAAAACCACGAAGTCGAGGAAGAAGCTGGTCTGTCTGCCTTGTTTGGGAGTCCAGGTCAGCGATCGAGCAGGCCAGGGGAGAAGAAGCCGCAGACATTAACTGGAAACGGTGTCTCCCAGGACTACCTGAAAGGTTTAATCACTGGCCTCTTGCGGATGCTGCATGAGAGAGACTCCCGACGGTCCTTTATGCCTGCGGACCACTGGTTAATGACAAGCCAAGTCAACATGACTGGCTTCATCCCGGCTGTGGTGGCGGAAGAGGAAAAGAGGCATGAACTTGCCGATGCAGATGGGACCGAGGAAGATGATGATCAACTGGACAAAGGCGCCGAAATGGACCTCTCCACGGGCTTGGGAGCATCAGACGCTATATTGAGCAACATGTTCGGCATTCGCCCCTCACATATGCCTCGGACAAGAGCCTCGCGAGCGGTCGAACGTATGGAGCGCCAACGACAACAGGCCAGAAAGCAGAGACAACTCGAGTCTCTGGCTCCTCGTCTAGAGATACTTCGAAATCTGCCATTCTTCATCCCATTCGAGACCAGAGTACAAATCTTCCGAGAATTTGTCTACCGCGATCAAGTCAGGCGGCGTGATGGTGCTGTTGATCCTGATAGCTGGCGCATGCAGGTGGCCACCAGCACCCAAGGCAGAGATATAAACGGCAGGCCTCGTGGACTGGACATCATAGGCCGACACCATGCCGAAATCCACCGAGATAGTGTCTTTGAGGATGCATACGAGGCGTTCTACCCACTGGGAGAGGCCCTCAAGGAGCCCATTCAGATTACCTTCATCGACAAGTTCGGCAGCCCCGAGGCCGGAATCGACGGCGGTGGCGTGACAAAGGAGTTTCTGCTCAGCGTCACAACTGAAGCGTTTGACCCGGAGGCTAGTCTTAGCATGTTCAAGCAGAACAAGCAGGGTTACTTGTACCCGAATCCGTTGATCTACCAGGAAACGGCGGAGTTGTTGAAACATGCAGGCAGAAAGCCCGGCACAGAAGGCTTCGATTACCCCATGTCGGAATTCCTTCGACGCTTTCAATTCCTCGGGCGAATTGTGGGAAAGTGCCTGTACGAGGGTATCCTGATCGACGTCAACTTTGCAGGATTCTTTCTCCTCAAGTGGGCTTTGACCGGCGGCACCACTGTCGGCTCCAACGAGTCTGCTTACCGAGCCACCATCAACGACGTTCGGGAGTATGATGAAGAGCTGTACAGTGGGCTTTTGAAACTGAAGAACTACCCTGGCGATGTGGAGACCGATTTTGCCCTCGATTTCACCATCACAGACACAATCACCATAATGGACGCGCATGGCAAAGAGATCACGCGTACCATCACCACGGAACTGATGCCGAACGGAGCCAATACCCCAGTTACGAACACGAACCGATTGCTGTACATTGACCGGATTGTCCGGTACAGACTCCAGCAACAACCGAAGGCCGTCACCGACGCCTTTCTCAAGGGGCTGGGTCAGATCATCCAGCCTATGTGGCTTGCCATGTTCAACCAAAAGGAGCTGCAGAAGCTGGTGGGCGGCGACAACTCTGAGCTCGATATCAACGATCTGCGCCGAAACACCCAGTATGGTGGCGTTTATGCGATCGGCGACGACGGCCAGGAGCACCCAAGCGTTCAACTCTTCTGGAAAGCCATGCAGGAGTTCTCGGACGAGGACCGGAGGAAAGTCCTCAAGTTCGTCACGAGTTCCTCCCGGGCGCCCTTGCTTGGGTTCAGCCATCTGAATCCCAAGTTCAGCATCCGGGATTCGAGCGAGGATCAGACCCGGTTGCCGAGTGCCAGCACCTGCGTCAATCTTCTCAAACTACCAAGATACGGAGACCTGAAGACGATGAAGGAGAAGCTCCTGTACGCGGTCAACGCGGGGGCAGGCTTTGATCTGTCATAAGGGAGCGGTCAAGAAGAGTTGTTTTAATCCATTGCTTCCTTATTGCGAAACCTAGCATTCAGCATTTTACCCTGACGACTTATGACATAGCCGGCTATTGCAGATGGGGTTGGTCGCAAGCTGAGCGAAGGCTTTGCCCTTGCTTGCCAGCGTACCTTTTGTGTTTACAAGTCAATAGATTTAGATCTTGAACGAATGACAAACTCCCACCGAGAATCTTACAAAACAATCCATGGTGCGCCGCTTTCTGACAGATCAACGATGCCATTCAGGCGCTTGCTTCTGGCAGGAATGAGTCCCAGAGCCGCGTGCAGGCAAGGCTGAAGTACGAAAAGGGGGCGAGAAGAACCCCCCTCCTCCGGCTCGCCCATCAATTGCTTTGAGCGAGAACCTGGCAACCAGCATCCAACATCCAACATCCAATAATTGAACGATTCATGCAGTTTATCATGAGAGATCCTTTACTGTAGATCAGACTTGGTCTTCTGTCTGCCAAGTGGCGGTTCGGCATTGGCGTAGCAGTTCGCTGGCCTGGCAAGGACCTGATTGCGCGGAGCAAGGGGAGGAAGTTGGAATTCCGGGCTTTAGGCTCCTAATGCTCGAAGACCCCTGGAATTCGAGCTCGTCAACGTTAGGTACATATGCAGATACGCAGCGAGAGCCTAGCCTTAGCTCTTGGGCCAAGTGCGCAACTGGGTCAAATGGTGCGTTCGCAGGTAAGGCCAGGGCAGGGGCACCACGGTCATTTAGAAGAGAGTTATACCGCCTAGAAGTGAGTACAATCAGGATGCCGCCTGGACGCGAGGACTAGGGGACATCGTAGGTGGCTGGCGAATGGCGTGGAGGATAGCATGCACGCCCCCCTCCCCCCCGACTACCCGAGGCCTTGCTCGCCGCATCCCGCGGGTCAACGGTTGATAGGCGCGGTGTTAGGGGCTTGGGGGTCCAGGATCCTCCCTAGTAGTCCTGAAGGCGCCTAATCGTTACTACGTACTACTACCTCTCCCCCTGTAGGTACGCATGCTCTGTAATACTCCCTGAGCTCGCACCACCCTACCTAAGGCTACCTAAAGTACTATTGTTGGCACCCTGCAGTGCTCCGCGAAGACTGCTGCTCGATCGATCAATCACGGGCGGATGAGCATCCCTAGCACTGAGCAGCACCTCCGCCTCCCATCGCTACCATCTACTGCTAACGTTGCTCGCTCCACCTAAACCGTGCACTTTGGCACTTTGGGCTGCTGCTGATCGCCTAATGAGCCATTATTATTTTTACTATTGCAACTCGTTCGGCCCGTGATGCCTGATGTCAAGTCCGCTCATACCTAAACCAGTACGCTTGCTCTGACTTTCTCTACGAGCAGGGACGCCATACAACCCCTCTACGTTCTTTGCCCAAGCTCAGGTTCGGGCCCCGCGTCTTGCTCAAAAGCGCTCGCTTCGTTCTCTAGATGTCGAATGCATGGGAGACAGCCTTGCTCCCATAGCCGGTCACCGCTCCTCTACTTCTCGTCCCTTTGCTTCTCCCAGAGCGCCACCATCTGCTCCCTCGATCGAGCTTGAGACCTTTGACCCCAGTCACCCGTTTCCTTTGTATAGCAGTGAGAAGGGCGCACAGAGATTGTGCAAGCGACTTCGAAAACTCGAAGAACTCGCCGAAAGAGAAGAGATGAAGTTCTCCCACAGCATCCAGTTCAACGCTGTTCCGGACTGGAGCAGCCACTATATCTCCTACAGCAACCTCAAGAAGCTCATCTATACTCTCGAGAAACAAATCAATAACCCTCCGGGCGAGGCTCAAGATGAGGAAAACACCTCCCTGCTCGGCGGGTCGCTCGACCCCGACCCCATCTTCAAGCGCATGCTTGATTCCGAACTCGACAAAGTATGCTCTTTTTACCGTTTAAAAGAGTTGGAGATCTTCGGCGAACTGGACCAGTTCCTGAAAGACGCCGAAGACTACAAGGCCGAGACACAAAATGTCAACATGGACGATGTTGTCGCGACGGAAGGGCAGCGCAGGACGTCCCGGTCGCAGAGCGTCTTCAACGTCCCGTTCCGGCGAAAGAGGAGGGCCTCTACCATGAGCGTGAGCTTCGAGGAGCCTGTCCAGGTGGACGACAGCGATAGTGACGCGGAGGACAATGCAGCCATGCTGAAGAAGAGGCCTTCAATGAAACAGAAGAGCAAGAGTGCATTTCAGACAGGGCCCGATTATTCTGGCATGGCCGAATCACGCGAAGACCTCCGAGCGCCCGATACCACACCCTCGTTCCTGAGAAGGAGACCCAGTCTGGCACTCGAGCTGGACGCCAGCGATCCGGGCCAAGTGTCGGCATTGTATGATACAGGGATTAACATAAAGAAACGAGCAGTCAGTCTGTACGTTTCGTTGTGCGAGCTGAAGTCGTTCATCCAGCTCAACCAGACCGGCTTCAAGAAGGCGACCAAAAAGTACGACAAAGTCTGCAACCGCAATATCAGGAAGGACTATATGGAAAAAGTGGTCAACCCCTCATACCCCTTCCAGGAAACCACGCTGGCCCACCTCGACGAGAATATCGCAAAGGTGGAGAAGGTGTACGCCGATGTTGTGACAAAAGGAGACCAGGATATGGCCAGACGGGAGCTTCGCCTTCATCTCCGTGAGCATGTGGTCTGGGAGCGGAACACGGTGTGGCGGGAAATGATTGGAATCGAACGCAAAACCCAAGCTGCCAACTTCGGCATCAGACAGACGCTCCTTGGTGCCCCGGATCCTTCACAAGTACGACTGCAGGGAGACCGGGACACCTCTGAGACGAAGGAAATCGTAACACCTGTGGGCCGATACAGGTGTCCCAGGTGGCTTTTCAGCTCGACCTTCTTCACCTTGATCGCGATTCTCGCAGTGTTCCTGGTCCTGCTGCTCGTCCCTATTCTGAAGAAGCCGGAGCAGCAGAATTGCCTCGCAATGCTGGTCTTCGTGTCGCTACTTTGGGCCACAGAAGTCATTCCTCTCTTTGTCACCTCATTGCTCATTCCATTCTTGGTCGTCGTCCTCCGAATCATGCGCTCTGACGACAAGCCTCACGAAAGACTCGACTCGAAGACGGCGACCAAGGCCGTCTTCGCTGCCATGTGGACCCCCGTCATCATGCTACTCCTTGGTGGCTTCACTATAGCCGCCGCCCTTTCCAAGTACCATATCGCCAAAATGATGGCTACATTCGTCCTCAGCAAAGCCGGCACCAAGGCGAGGACTGTGCTCATCACGAACATGTTTGTCGGCATGTTCTTGAGCATGTGGATCTCGAACGTTGCAGCACCTGTGCTGTGTTTTAGTATCATCCAGCCCATGCTCCGGAATCTCCCTGCCGACAGCAACATGTCCAAAGCTTTGATCTTGGGCATTGCATTGGCGTCCAACATCGGCGGGTCAGCCTCGCCGATCGCATCGCCGCAAAACATCATCGCGCTGCAGAACATGAAGCCCAGCCCGAGCTGGGGGGTCTGGTTCTTTGTGGCCCTGCCGGTCTGCATCATCAGCATCATTCTCATCTGGCTCTTGTTGCTCGTCTCATTCAAACCGGGCCGAGGCACGACCATCGTCCCCATCCGACCCATGAACGACAAACTCAACGGCGTCCAGTACTTCATCATCTCTGTTACGCTCATCACCATCGTGCTGTGGTGTACTTCGCATCAACTCGAAGGCATCTTTGGCGATATGGGCGTCATCGCCATCATCCCTATGGTCCTCTTCTTCGGCACGGGCATCTTGACCAAAGAAGACTTCAACAATTTCCTCTGGACGATCATCATCCTCGCCGCCGGTGGCTTGAGTCTCGGCCGCGCCGTCTCCTCGTCCGGGCTGCTGCATACCATCGCCAAAGGCATCACGGAGAACGTGCAAGGTCTGTCAGTCTACGGCGTCCTCGTGGTCTTTGCCGGTCTTGTACTGGTCGTGGCCACCTTCATCTCCCACACGGTCGCCGCTTTGATCATCCTCCCCCTCGTCCAGCAGGTCGGCGCGAGTATGGCGGAGCCGCATCCGAACTTGTTGGTCATGGGCAGCGCGTTGATGTGTAGCGCTGCCATGGGGTTGCCGACCTCTGGGTTTCCGAACATGAGTGAGTCAACTGTCCATTTTGATTTCTTCCAGTAATCCCAAAGTCAATCTTGCGACCCTCGAAGTCCTTGGAGTATCTCATACTCATGGCTGTATCCCGATGCTTCCACTTCTAAATGAGATGATAAATGCTAACATGTGTGTTTCCGAAATTAGCTGCCATCATGATGGAAGTCCCCGAAACAGGCGTCCGATATCTCCATGTCAAACACTTCCTTACACGTGGCATCCCGGCATCCATTCTAACCTTTGGCGTTGTCGTCACAGTGGGATATGGTTTGATGATCGCGGTAGGGTTATAATTAGACGGGTAGGCATTGTCGAGATCCAATGTCAATTTTTCCAAGTTCCGCGAAGATACATCTTATTTACAATTTAATAGGAGTTTGAACTGCATCCAAAAGAATGATATTCACTAATAGAGTACGTAAGTGGTGTACAATATACGCCGTGAGATGTCTTTCCGTGGATATCTCTGCCATGCGGGTCCTGACCTGATACGGTCTGTCATCGTAATAGTGGTACACTGGAGTTGAGCTCGATGGGGTCATGGTCAATGGCGGCCTGATGATTTCTGTACCCACCCTGTTCACGTAAAATAAGAGAGCATATAAGTTTGAAGAAGCCCATGTTAATCGAGGCTTCCGCTTTCGACATGCAACTAGTCAAAAAGACAGTGGGGTTTTCTGCTCGTCGCCGGCTTCATGCAAGCAGGACCGTCCTGAGCGGGAGCATCTCATGTCAGCGGCAATCCAAGGCCCCCAGAGCCAGTGCGTCCGGGAGGGAGATGTCGTATGGATGGATACAGGTGTGGAGGTATCTGCACCGCATGGAGTCGACTGCTTCATGCTTGTTCGCGGAGCCAAGAGTGACTTTGTGACAAGCAGCCATGGGATGAAGATTCCGGATATGGAAGCTTGCTCGATGCTCGTTCAGACGAACGCTTGCTGCCAAACGCCATCAGCTCGGCTAGCCCGATGTGCTACGACTTCCGGGTTCTGAGACCGGTCTTCGTCAACGGCAGCTGTGCGAAGCGATTCCATTGGACACCACCATGAAATTCTTCCGGTATGAGCGTTTCGTTCCTGGATGGCAAGTCGCACAGAGTTCCATCCTCAGACAGTACAGAATCTTTGTGGAATCCAGCATAGATCTCTGTCCCCGGCCCTTAGGAGAAAGAGTGCCATTGGAGGTGGTAGTGCAGCCGCCGTAGCATTGTTGGCTCAGCGTCGATCACCACGTTTCAGAAACCCAGTTCAGCTCAGAAGGAGGAAGCGTTTCTTTCTTTCTTGTTCAAAAGATTTCATCCTTCTCCCTGCGTCAAGCCCTCATCCTTCTTACTCCTCTTGACAAAGAAGAACTGTCCCCTCTTCCTACTGGCATCACCCTCGCCCATCTCGAACGGCGCGAGGACCCGATCATCCTGTCTGTCCGGCACACCCTTCTCCGGGTTCGGGTTCAGTCTACTAGAAAACTCCTTGCTCCAGTCGACAGGCATCTTGCGCCTGCGTATGGTTCCATTGACGCCCACTTTCTCTTCCATGCGCAAATACTCCTGTAGCGAATCGAGGGTGAATCCCCGCTCTTGCCGCGCCTCCTGGGTCTCGTCACGCAGCGCGACCAGCGGCGTCACGCCCGTGGTGTCGACTTTCTGGATCTCCTTGACGAAGTGCAGTTGTTGCTGGAGGGTTCGGAGCATCTCGGTCTGTTCTTGCGCGGATTTGGGAGGGGGCAGCGCGGAGAGACGGAGGAGGTGCTGGAGTTTCGAGGGCGTCACTTCCGACTCTGCGTCGGAGGAGTCTTCCGTCTTCTCTTTCGTTTTCGGTTTCACGTTGGAATCCTTCTTCGCACTGAGTCCGGGGTTCACGTTTTCGCTGGTACTGGTGCTGGGTTGTGTAGACGGAGATGTAGATGTAGAGGTTGGCGGCATCAGAGAAGCTACCGACCATGTAGGCTTTTTCAGGAGAGATGCGATCTTCGGGTTGATCTCGATCGATTTGACCAACCGTAACAGTTTGTCTCGTTCAGGACTTGCGCCTGGGCCGGACAGTTCTGTTCGGATGGTCAATGGACCCCGGGTGATTCGAGGCATGGTGACCTGACGCCTCTGGCAAGATAAGGCTGAATCTGACCTTCAAGTTACATGTGTAGTAGAGAGGTCATTCATTCATTGAACACATGGGACCAGTCGCTCGGAGCGTGAATGAACTCCTTGAACGAGGAGTGGTTTGTTTTATAGAACTGAGGAGTTGGGAGCGAGTTCAATTGAATGTCAATGAGTTGGAGAAGCCCAGCATCACTTTTGTTTAAAGCGGCATGGATCTTAGCCGGCGCGAGCCTCCGCTTGTGCCTTGCCTGATTGATTGCCTGCGCAAGGCTCGACTTTATTACTATTCGCAGGTGCATCTTACTGTCCACATCATCCCATCCAGAACAACATACAGCGAGAACAACCGCCAGTCTGACTTGTCCTTGTTGCTGTCTTCACACTCGACCCATTGACCATTGACCATTGACCATTGACCCACGACTCCGTCCGAATTGACCGCGTCCAAACTCCACAGTTTCCCACCCTCATCAGTGATATCCCGCCTCTCGTCCCATCGGCGGCCGTCATCCAGCCATGGCCCAAGATCCTCGAGCATTACTACAGAAAGCCGACAAGGCAGCACAAGGAGCCTCGGGCGGATTCAGCTTGTTCGGCGGCCGGGCAGAGAAATGGGAGAACGCAGCCGACCTGTACACACAAGCCGCGAATGCCTTCCGGGTACAGAAGCAGAGTAAGTCCGCAACCTGCCGTCCGCAACATGGCAAAGCATCCTATCTACATTCTGATCAGGAAATATCTGGTCGATACCTACTTTCTTTGCTGAGACCGCTGACATTCTTCGTTCTCCGATCTAGACTATGAAGCGGGCCAAGCATTCGAGAAAGCAGCATCGATACAACAAAGCAAACTCAACGAACCGGACGACATGGCCAACACCCTGACGGAAGCGTTCAAGGTGTACCGCAAAGACTCACCACAGGACGCCGTGCGAGTCCTAGCGACCGCAATCGCGCACTACACGACCAAAGGCAACTTCCGGCGCGCGGCGACGCACCAGCAGAACCTGGCGGAAGTGTACGAGATGGAGCTGGGCGACCAGAAGAAGGCTCTGGCCGCCTACGACACGGCCGCGCAGTGGTACGAGAGTGACAACGCCGAGGCGCTCGCCAACAAACTGTACCTGAAGGTCGCCGACCTGGCCGCCCTTGAGGGCGACTACCAGACGGCGATCACCAAGTTCGAGGCCGTGGCCAAGTCGTCGCTCAACAACAATCTCATGCGCTGGTCCGTCAAGGATTACTTTTTAAAAGCGGGCATCTGCCATCTCGCCGCGGGCGACCAGGTCGCCACGAAACGCGCCCTCGAACAGTACCGGGAACTGGATAACGGGTTCGCCGGCACCAGGGAGCATATGTTGTTGACAGACTTGGTCGCCGCGGTCGAGGAGGGCGACCAAGAGGCCTTTGCGGATAAGTTGTTCCAGTATGATCAGTTGAGCAAGCTGGATAAGTGGAAGACCACGCTGTTGCTCAGAGTCAAGAATGCCATTGAGAAGGAGGAAGAGGATTTCTCGTGAGGCGCTAGCACCAGCAGCAGAAGAAGAAGAAGACGGACGCTGGTCGGGTCTATAGGTGCATGTGGGCCGCATGGACAGGGACCCGGGGCTGCCTTCTGCAGAGGCTTGGGCAATGACTTTATGATCGAGAGGTTGTGTGTCATGGCGTTCGTTGGTTGGGGATGTGCTGGCTGGCTGGATGCATGTTACTGCCTACTATACTGCGACTTCGGGTCAACTTTGTCCCAGAAACTTTAGAGAGCGAGGATGGAAATCAAGACACAATTCGCACTGAGCGGCATTCTTGAACACGCTTCGTTTTGCTCGCAGGGCGAAGTACGCGCTGCTGACCATATAGAGTGCCATCTCATCCAATCCACTGCCCTGCCCAATGCAATCGAGTGCTTTGCTGTACATGTTCATGTCTCCCTGGTGTGTATGAGCATACGCGTTGAAGCGCCCGAACAATTTCTGTTCTCTCCTCAGGCCTTGGCCCCTGCTGCAAAGTGCTATGAAAGCAAATCCATACCTCCTATCCCATCCCATACAATTCTATTTTCATGCCATGACTCCCCATGCATTGCAGGAAATACTTTTTTAACACCACGTAAAGACGGGTTTCTTGCTCTTGACAGTCTCCAGCCTCTCAACAATGACCTTTCGTTTATGTGATTCCATATCGCTTGCGGCAGCATAGCCCAGATCGCCCTCCAGATCATCGCCTTCATAGAATATCACAGGGTGTTTGCCGCTGCGGGTCGACAGAGACCTCTGTCGTCGAACGGTCGATTTGGAATGACCCTCGCGCCGGGGGAATTCAAAGCTGAACCGGTTCTTGCCTTTGGCTGTGGGCCGGGTCGGTTGCGCGGGGCCACTGTTGCCCAGGCTGTTCCTAGCCTCTTTGGCATAGTCGGAGGCGTCGAAGAGAGGACCACTGATGCCGGGACTGCTAGGTCCTTCTTCGCCCGGCGGCGAGGCGACGTCGATCGTGCCGTCCTCCCGCGTCAGGTCGAAGCGATTGGGATTCGGCAGGTCGGGGGTTATCGAGCCTAGAAGGTCGTGTTGTGGCGATTGTCTTCCGGGAGGGGCGGACGAGTACGATGCTCCAATGTCCATCTCTTCCTGCTGGTCGTACCGATGCTGTGCCTTCCGACTCATCTCGGTTGAAGGCATCCGCATCGGGATAGCCACGGGCACATCGACGAGGTCATCCCAGACACAAACTCTTGTCCGTCTGGTCAACTCGAGTGGTCCATGATCATCCTGCTTGAGGGTCTCAACGACGTTCCATGCCTGACCTTTCATGACGGCTATTTGCCGCGCAAACATGCTTTCTTTGAAATCGGCATCCAGTGCAAACACTCGGCGTAATGCCAACTGAGTCTCACTCCACCATGCCGTCGACGTAAGTAGCGGAAGAAAATGTTCTCGCGTCCTTTTGGAGAAGGGTTGTCCGATTAAAGATACTGGGAGGAACAACCAGCCAAATGGGAAGCTGCGCCACTAGATGCGATATTAGTAAAGCTTTTCTGAATAGAGGCAGGGAACAAAAACTCACGGCATCCGGGTGCTTCCAGGGCCAGGACAAACTATTGTCAATGGCCCCGATCTGTATCGTAAGATGGCCATCATCCCTGGCATTGGATGGGGTCCCTGACCGACTCTCCATGGTTTCATACCTTCGATACGGTCTGGAGGTATTCGACTCCGGTCGCGCGGGGCTCACGGAGGTCGGTCGATGATTGGCATCTCCGTCGCGGGCGGTACCGTTGGATTTTGGCAGTTCTACAACGAGTGAGACTTCTTCTTTCTTCCAGTCGATTTTGATCATCCAGTTGTCTAGTCCGCGATCCGTGTTCCTCATGATATAATCCAATATAACAAGTTTTTCCAGCTCTTCTCGGAAAGCCTGTTTTATCCTCGGCGTCCAATGGAATTTGGGGATCTGCTCTTCAGGCTGAGGTGACAGTACTCGCGGGGTCTCGTCGTCATCGGATGGATGGCCTCGGAGGGGAAAACAATTCGACAGAGGTCTCCTCTTCCGCGTATGTTCCAGATCTTCTCGGAATCCAGTGGCCTGATCTGGCCAGGGGTTTTCGCGGAGAAATATGTTGGCGTCTTTGAACCCTTTCAAGAAAACTTGGAAGCTTCCCACTTTGGCGGGCAAGCTCTTCTTTCCACCCCAGGTGCTTCTCCGCTCCCAGAAGTCGTAATAGAAGGATTTTGAGGAAAGCCATACCACGTCCGTACAAGGCACCAAGTAGGTTCTCAACTGGCAGTCGAGAACATACGCAGCTGCCTCGGAAACGTAGGAAAGGTTGGGTATGAGACATGCTCGACCAAAAAAGAAAGGAAACAAATTTCTGTGTATCCATTTCGTCCATTTTGGATTTCTTGAAGCATATGGCTCTTCGTCTTTTGGCTTGAAGACGCCGACCACCTTCCCCTGACTGTTTCGTGCAAAATAGCTGCCAGAGCTGCCCTGAGATATCATTTTAGGATGGACTCCTTGTTCGATTGCAATCCTCACACTTTCCACAATGGAATCAAACTGTGCTTTGCTCATGCGTTGGGTGTCCGCAGCTTCGTAGGCAGCCAGATCTTCGGCGGTATATGGGCGAACCCCTGGAGGTGCCTGGAAGACGGAATGATGTATTTCCAGTTGTTCCTCCTCATGGGTCTTGCCCTTGACGGAATTGATCTTGAACTTGGAGGCGATTTCTTCGGCCCATCGTTCCAGTCTTGCATTTATAGCTTTTATATCCACGCCGGAGGAATTACTCCTCGTCCGTCGGTTCGGTCTTCGTCGGTCGTGGTAGGGTCCTGCGCGCATGTGCTCCCGGGGGCCAGGTTGAATCGAGGCATAACGAGTACTAAATGAGGGGTTGTCGTAGGTCTCATTCCCATAATCTTCGTCGGCGAGCGGTCCATCGTCGTCGTCTGCTTGTGCAAGGCGAGCATAGCCTGAGGTCGCTCTATGACGAGGCATGGTGGGCGCCGAGCTGTGATGGGGGGCGGCTCTGAGGATTTGGAGAGCTGCTACATGCCGTTCAAAACATTCTCGATGTCCGAGAGAAGCTTGCCCTCCGCCAATATGCAATCACAGGCAGAATGATGACATACAGCGCTTGGTGCCACGTACGAGAAATCACAACTTGAACGGTCTGGACTTGAAGATTCCGGTAAAGGAGGACAGGGGCATGCTAATTGGGTGATTAGCCTGGTACTGCGGAGCACAATGTGTGATCTCATTATCGATTATCATGTACGGAGGGGCATACTACATATTGGACCGCCCCTCGCCCCTATCCCACTTCAAGCATGAGAGCGATCGAGCAGACACTGAAGGCGACATCATTCGTGTAACCGTCTGCTGGAGAACGCATGCTCAGCAGTAGTTAGAATTGTGTTTCAGTCATTGAACATCCTCCAATTGCAACCAGCATTCCAAGCTTGGTGGCGCGCGATGAAAAGCAGCATGTAAGGCCCAGTAACAGGGAAGCCAACAGCCACGCCAGCCACAACTGAGGCGCGTGTCTGATATCCGAAATCTCGAAGGAGTTCGAGAAAAGACGTGACAGTGGCTGTCAATCTCGGAACTTCATGTCTTGATCTGCTACTTTTGACGCGTGACAGCAGTTGATACCACTGGCACTTTGTGTCAAGGGATGAGATTGTCGCTCCGGTTGTACCACGTCAGACAAGACTGCTGGCATCGAGCGGGAAGGTACCTGGTTATCGCGACAGCTGCCACAAGGACTTCACCGGAATCTGCGATCATCCTGTCGTATAACGCTTTGCGTACCTACATGGGCCAAATTCCGTTAGGTCAATCAATCACGACGAGATCAATACGAATGATAGAACTCCAACAGCAGATGATAATGTCGATGGCACACGGTGGCCTCCCTTCTCACCGCCGCTCTTCTGATACCAGTGTAACTTGGCCTCATCCATTGCGCTCTTGGCCTGTAGCACGGCCAGCAGCTGCTTGACGTAGACCGGGCCTAACTGAATGTTCCTTCGATCAGCTATCAGCGTTCATTGTTGATTCACTTGGGCAGGCGTGTGGCATCGAGTCTTCTGCCACCATTCTTGATTCTGATGGTCACCTTTCCATCCGAGTACCAGTTGGCTTCCATACCGATGGTTAGGAAGATTTACCTACGTCACCGTGGTCGAGGTGGAATGGTTGCTCTTGAAGACGTGAGTCGTGTTTCCTGTGCTCGCGAGGCTATTACCCCTGATTAAAGCGGCACCGCCTGTCTGTATGCCCACCGGCTAAAAAGTATAAGGCGGCGTCATCTTTGTTCCCAGCGCAGTAAGCCGCGGGTAAATCGGGAGTACGTATTTAGTACTGTGGTAGAATTCTTAGACCTTCAATTGGCTGTGCAACGACCACGGAGGAGGGCGAAAAGGAGGCGCATCAGAAGCCACGCCTCCACCGCGAGATTGGACAATCTCTTTTGCTTCCCCAGATTTTCGAAAGGCCGAATCAGCACCATACGACGATCGCGTGTCTTCCGTGCGAATCCTTCTTACAGAGACCAGATGCTGTGCTGTCCGATGAGCCTTCCAGACCTTTTCTCTACGGTCCCGGCATGGGAGTCAGGGAGACACCCTCCAGCAGCCAGATGTCCAACTGGCCTGGCAGACCCCGGCCCAAATTGCATTTCTGTTACGTCGTAGAAGGGTCCCATCTTTCTCGACAGACGCGTGGAAAATTAGACACAGCGCAATTAGACATTGTCTTTAGCTTGACGGGCGGGACCAATATTCTCGTGGGCTTAGCCTGCTCCATTGTATGCCCCCTGGCTCCAAGATACGTATTGGGTCCAGAGCAAAAGCCTCAAGGCTCCCGCCTATCGATACTGGATAAAAGTCGATTTGGATCTTCAGTCGTGCGACAACTGCGTGCTCAATTTCTATGAACAGTGTCTTGGTTTCTTCAACTGCTGTTAGGTGTTCGTGGCATTCATATCAGAAAGAACCTGAACATCTCTGTCACCTGCGTCCGGCCGTTGCCCTCCATCCTCGCATTCTGCCAGTGAGACCACGGTCAGGTCTCAAACAACATTGAACACGGCGTCCGCAGTCGCACCACCGCTCTTTCGGGCCTCAGGCCTTGACCCTACCTACCGACCCCTATCCACCCCAGTGAGGGATTCCAAATTCGCCGAGTATAGCACGTCAAGAAGGGACCATACGGCGCGACTCTCACCTCTACCGCCAGCGGCGGCGGTATTGGGTAGGGATATCCCGCGCCCGGCGACCGCTCTCCCTAGCACGAGGGACCTTTTCCTTCATCAACCCGAAGTTCACACGCGAGGGGCGAGTTCGGGTCTTGGGCGGGAATATTACTCGGAGCCTCGACCGGCTCTGCCAGGACTGTCGACCTTGACTTCTCTTGCGGCCACGGCTCCACCATTCAGGTACTCACTGCATTCACTGCACTTTCTGAGCAGCAATTTGCAACCAAGAAATGGAATAGCATGTTGACGTTGGGCTCAATCACAGGTCATTTTCAGGCAACCATGCTTCATCGCCCACCCCGATGGGCTATCATGGCATGATGGCAGCAATACCAACTCCTGGTATTGCAGGAAGCGCACCGGTAAGTCCATCTGGCAGTCCTCTTTTTCTGAGCATCCATCTCCGGAGTGCCACACTACAGTCCGATTACCTCACATTCAGCGGTGGCTGTCGCGTCATCCGTGGCATCGACATCAGAGCAGTCATTTGATTGATTGAATGATTGACTGATACAATTTCCCTGCCACTTTGATTTCCGATGCCACCGCTAGTGCCAAGCCACCCACCCACACACGATCACGAGACTGTCAAGCTTGCTACTGGCTGTTATCGCTGCGCTGCAGTGAGAGCTAGTGAAAGGCTCCACCACGCCGGCAGCCAGCCGTCGACTTGAATGCAACAATCTCTTATCTTATCCCTTATCCACTGTACCGATAACACTAACCTCTAGTACTCTGGTATCCACCAAAGTAGTACTACGGTTACTTTATCGTCCCCCGTCTATATCCGCACAATCTCTCTTCCTCCTTCCCACTTCTTTATCTTATCGCTCTTCCCTCTCGCAATCGCAATCGATAACTGAATCTTCCCATCTTTTTGTCGCTTCTTCACCCCCAGCGCAATCGCAACGCAGCGCGAGCGATCCTCAACCATGGCTGCTTCATTAACCGGCACTGACCATAATTTACCCTTTTCACAGCCTGTTTGTCAGAACTGTCAGACATCAACCACCCCATTATGGCGACGCGACGAGTCCGGGTCGGTCCTCTGCAACGCCTGCGGACTTTTCCTCAAACTACACGGCCGCCCACGCCCAATCAGCCTCAAAACAGATGTCATCAAGAGTCGCAATCGAGTCAAGACTTCCAACCAAGGTCCTAAGAAGAAGGTAAGCGTTGCAGACAGCAACGATGCTCGCATCCCTTTGCCGGACCAAGGCTTATCAGCGCAGTTGGAACAAAATGGCAATTCTACCGGGCAGGCCGAGATGGCCACTCCGCCGCACGGAGCGAATGCGCATCGACGCGTCTCGCAGATGGCTACGTCTGTAGCCTCTGACCGGTCACATTCTCCAGTTTCCCGAACAGGAACACCGGGTGTTACACACGATCCCAACATTGCACCGCAACACGTCTTTGACGGTGCATCATCACATCTGCCCGAGCATCACTTTGCGAACGGCTCTCCTTCTCTTCCTCCCCTCAACCAACCGTCCCCTAACACAAATTCGGTCGTCAACGACCGACACACCGAGTTGCCCATGTCCTATGAACAGTTGGTGACCGCCAATGCCAACCTACGAACTCGAGTGTCGGAGCTGGAAGTCATCAGCATGGTATACTCGGACAATGAAAACAACATCCGCAAGGAGCGTGACCGAGCCGTCCGCGAACGAGACGAGTTGAAACGGAAAGTCGAGCAGTTGGAAAGGAAACTGCAAGACATCCGCGAAGCGAAAGAGGAACCACCCTCCAAAAAGCAACGATTGTCCGATCAATCTTGAGAATGGAGGATCATTTTGTTCGATGGAGTTGATTTGTCCCGTCATCATCCATGATACCCAAATCCACGATTTTCTTTTTCGGTGTTCATGGGGAGAAGGTTTCGACGTGTTCGGGTTTAATTTAATTTGGCTGCTGCACGGCCACGCCGGGACGGCCAAGGCCGGGCAGGGCGTTGACAAGTTCTACAGGAGGCGAGATGGTCGGGATGGCTTTGTTTTCCGCGAGATCAAGCCAACAATGGCTGCGACCGCACATGTCGGTAAAACAAGGCATGGCGAAGAACGGGAAAGTCTAGGTATGCAAGAGCGCGCTTTGATGACCAGATATCGATTGAAGTGCTGGGATGGCAAAGAGGGATTCTGTCATCCGGACATGGCCAGATCAATGCACAAACGGTTTCCGCGAAGTCTTGTTTCTCCGTCCCTACCCGAAATTCTCCAAAGGTGCCTGACCGCGGTTCATTAACCAGGGGTGCCATCAGCTCTCTCTTCCTCTGCCTTTGCCTCTGCTCAATGTGATTCTAGTTGTCCCTTGTTCTCACGTCTGATCTCCCTACAACAATTGAGTCGACCTCATTCCAATAACACGCTCCATCGAACGTCCTTTGTGATGTGCTGAGTGTTCTTCCCCAACCCATCCTCGGATCTGCTTGAGATGTATTAGCATATCCCCTACAACGGCCCCAGCGGTGGGGATGGAATAGGTACCGTGGGTTGCTCGCTCCTGACTATCACCAACTGATCTCAAACGTACCTCTTGATCTGGACAAGATTGCGCATGCCCGAGGAGCCGCCGGTCCTGACTGAAGGGCGAGCGTCCCCGCATCGGCCCCCGGTCCGGCTGCGGTACGGTTCGGCTATCAATATGGAGAAACAAGTTGAACCCCAGCCTTGCCCGCGCGAGTATGGGTATGGTTCCCTGAGAGCTTGCATTCAAATATCCCCTTGGGTTTGCCTGTCTCTGAATCCCTGCTCCTGTCCAATATTCTGTCTCGAATGCAAGGGTTTATATCTGTTTATTCAGCGATATTGACACGAAAAGGGCCAGAGCGCAGGGACTGACTGACTGCCTGAGTCCCACACTTTACCCCGGATTTTTCCAACCAAGTGTCTCGACCTCGTCGACATGGCCCGCCTTCCCTCGCCTCCTCACGCCGCCTCGGTCCCCGTGTCTCCGCTCCAACTGCCATCGTCATTCAACTTCGCCCGCGATGTCGTCGACTACTGGGCGCAGAAAGATCCCACGCTTGTCGCGCTGCATTGGACGGACCAGCACCTCAGCACGTCCAGACAATTCACGTACAGCCATTTCTCACGCCAGTCTCACCGCGTGGCTTCTCTCCTGTCCTCACTTGGGATCAAGCAGGGCGACATCGTGGTCATCATCGCGCCGCGGGTGCCGGAATGGTGGGAGATCGCAACGGCATGTCTGCGCCAGGGGATCGTGTTGTGTCCGTGCACCACGCTTCTGGTCGACAAGGACATCGAGTATCGGCTGCAAGTGTCGGACGCGGCGGCGTTCATTGGCGACGAGGCGGCGGTTGCGAAATGCTTGAAAGTCCGGGAGAGCTGTCCGAAATTGAGGATCGTCGTGGAATTAGATGGCGGGTTCAACGGCACCGGCAGCAACAAATCCAAACTTACTTCTCTGTCCGGAGTATATTCATTCTCTGACGAACTCTCCAAAATCCCCCAAGACAGCGTGGTCTCTGTTTCTAGCACATTGACACCCACATCTCCGGCCTTGATCTTCTTCACGTCCGGCACAACCGGCCCGCCCAAGATGGTTCTGCACAGCCAGACATCCTACCCCCTCGCGCACGCCCTAACAGGGATCCACTGGCTACAGCTATCTCCGGGAAAACTGTACTGGAACCTGTCGGAGCAAGGCTGGGCCAAGGCGGCCTGGTCGTTCTTCTCGACCTGGAACTGCGGCGCCACGCTGTTCGTGCACGACGACCGTCTGGCCTTCCACCCGCTCCGGACGTTGCAAGTCCTGCACCGCTTCCCCATCACCACCCTGTGCGCGCCACCCACCGTGTATCGCCAACTGGTGCTCGACGAGAGCAGGGAGTTCTTCGCCAGCGACGCCGGCCGCCCCAACGCGCTGCTGCATTGCTGTGGTGCCGGCGAACCGCTGAACGAGAGCGTCATCCGCACCTGGAAGGAGATGACGCGCGGCATTGAGATCTACGATGCCTACGGCCAGACCGAGACCATCGTCGTGTGTGCAAACCAGAAACACATCCCGGTCAAGCCGGGGAGTATGGGCAAGCCGGTGCCCGGGGTGCCTTTGACGGTGGTCGACCCGGAGGGAAATGTCGCGAAAGATGACGAGGAGGGGGATATTGCTATTGCTATCGGCATTTCAACATCGGCTGACAGTGATGATGGTCATGGTCATGACGAATCGGCCTTTTTCGGCATCTTTCAAGGGTATATTGACAAAAAGACAGGCAGGCTCGATACCAAGATCCGAGTCTTTCGCAATGGGAGAAAATACTTCATCACCGGCGACCGCGCGAGGCGGGATGCCGATGACTATTTCTGGTTTGTGGGCAGGAGTGACGATGTGATCAATTCGAGCGGGTATAGAATTGGTGAGTTCAAGTTGTCAACGACCATTGACAGGATCGACTATTTATGACGATGATGTTTCTGTCCATCATCTATACATTTATCAAGTACCTCACTAACCTCTTATCTCTCCCTTTCTTCGCCAAATCCAGGCCCCTTCGAAGTCGAATCTACTCTCAAACTACACCCTTCCGTCGTCGAATCCGCCGTCGTCGCCTCCCCTGACGCGCAACGCGACGAGGTCGTCAAAGCGTTCGTCGTCCTGACCGAGTCGGCGGCGTCGAAGATCTCTCGGTCACAACAAGCATACGACGATCTAGTAAAGGAGTTACAAGAATTCTGTAAACAGAACGCCGCGCCATACAAATACCCCCGCAGAATTGAGTTCGTCGACGCCACCTTCTTGCCCAAGACTATCAGTGGGAAGATCAAGAGGGCGGAATTGAAAGCCTTGGAGAGGAAGAGGTATAATGATAACAACAACAACAACAATAACGGCGTGGCGAAGTTATAAGATATCGAGATACCTACATACCTAGATAGGTAACATCTATGTAACGTAGTGCCTTCTCTTCTCGGTTCGTGTCATAGACATGCATAACCTTGTCCACAACTTGTACGCGAGATGTCCGAGACAGCTATTCATTGATCTCATCCTTCCCGCCATTGCCGTAGAGCGTATGCGAACTCGGCGTCGTGGTCATTGCAGAATTCAATAGATCTCATGGGCAGAGAATGTCTTTGGGCGCAACTGTGTGGGAAATACCCGCGACTCTCAGTCACTTCGTCGGAAGTACGGCTGTAGTAATCCAGTGTTGTGGTCTGGAACCATTCTGACAAACCTTACAGCTCAGTCCTGCTTGGTGTACCAGCAATGGTGAGTATGACCATTCCCGGACAAGCTGTGGGCCATGGCGTAGGCGAGGTGCTAGCGGTTGCAACGGCGGTACTCTTTGCTTCCACAGTTGCGGGATTTCAGACCGTGCGCGAGCCGAGCCGTGTTGAGGACATGAAAACAGAGCTGTAGAGTGCGAGCCCTGGCACTGCTTTTATGTGGACTGTTCCTTGTGTATAGCAGTACCAGGCGCTAAGGCTTTTGAGGAAATGCCGTCAGTCAGCTCGAGCAGTCGGATGCCTTGTTCGTTTGGCTGGAAGAAAGAAAAGAAACCATCGATCCGTGATTACAAGAGACCCTCCCAGACGGCCACGTCGTCAACGGATGCATCGTCCTCCTCAAGCAGCGGATATGCTCTTTTTTAGTCTTCCAGGTCGTGAAGTGGCATCTTCAAAGCGATTCTTCTTGGCTCTCCTTGGCGACAGCCCCTGGAATGCAGGATGTATCATGCGCAACGCAGTGGAGTCAACAGAACGTGGTCCTTTTGGTCCTCCTGCTGCCCGTGATGCTGGTTGAATTGCACAGACCAGCCCGGGGACGGGATGCCTTTTAGACATTCCGCCATTTTTGGTTTCGAATGTTGTCAGAAGCGCTGGTCGTCTCATATCGGAATGGCTACGATTTCCTCTCCCTCCTTACCGTCCGGCACCAAATCACCATAGACGGTGAGTGGAATGACAACTTCAAAAGTCTCACAGTCAAGATTTTCCACCGCCACATTGATGGCACCCCTTTCATCTTTGACCACCTCTTCCAGCAGATCCGCCATGGCCTGTTCTTCTCCGTCCTCAAACTCCACAGGCTTGATGGTGCCAAACTCGAAACGAAGGCTCCATTCGAGGTTGACACCGGAGGTCATGAATGTCGGAGTTGCCCCAGCTGGTATACTAGGTGCGAATATGGCTCGCTTCGAGAACAAAATGGTATCCGACCGTCCCCAGTAGACCTTCCGAGTGACTCGATTGATGGTCGTGGCAGATCGAACTGCCAGTGCTTGACTTACTTTCTCGGTGGTTTCGAGCGTCGACCTGAGAGATGCACAAGGGACCTGTCCTTCCGAGAAGTCGACCACAGCGGTCACCGTTTCTCCAAGCCTGTGAAGAGGGCGGTCGATGACAATGACTGCCACCTTCTGGCCATTCCGGGTAATTTCGAATCGATTGGGACTGGACTCACCACCGGCGAGCTGGTTGCTGAAAAGGATGGCGTGGTTGATGGCTTGGATTGCAGTGCGATCATCTCCTGAATTCTGGTTGCTCAAGAAAGCCTCCATCGTACCGCTACTCGATTGACGTCTCCGGCTACGATCGAGCAGAGTATCCACAAACTGGAGGAACTCTACTGTAGACCTCTCATCGGATTTCAGGGTCGGTGTTTCCGCCTCTTCCTGGCTCTCTGGTGATGATATGCATTGAGTGAGAGCCAGGTCTTGAAGGACGACATGGGGTTGCATCAAGTCATGGCCAAAGATCTCGCCGTCATAGTTGACACCGGAGAAGACGCGGATAGGAACATTGACTTGTCGGACTGCATGTACATCACGGCCTCCTGGTAGACCCTGGACGCCGACAGTCAGATTGTATGATATCTTGATGGCTTTTCCTCGATGACTGGAAGGTAGCCCCCGGGGTAGTGGGTAGACGTAGGAATAGCTTCGCTCTTCACCCGGTTCGAGGTGCATGTCGACGAAGAGAAGCGATTGTGGAGTCGAAAGCAACGGGATCGCACGGGAGTTCTTTACAGCGTTCATCTCCTTGACACTGCTCATGTTGTCTCCGCTGATCAGACTGTTGAGTGAGTCCCCAATGTTATTCAGACTAAAATTCCCTAGGAACCCACTGGTCGGACGAGGCTTCTTGACGCCGACGACACCACCGCCAGCCTGTCCACCAAGAAAGCCTTTGCTCTTGACTTCTTCGAAATGAGCCTGATCGATCAAGGAGGCGTCTAGAGTGAAGGTCGCACTCAGTTGAGCATATCCCATGAGAAGATTGACCGCTTGAGGCCTTCGTTGAGGTCTCCCTGGCACCCTCCGAGGCAGGGGGTTGGAGTGGTCGAAAAGTGGTCTAAGATCTGACAAGACGGATGGTAGCTCAGACATGACGGTCTCCTGTGAATGGTTGCTGAGAGAATAGAAATCGCCACTACTGCGTTCGCTGGCAACTTGGTTTGCAGTCCCTGAGATAATGCGAGCCGTGGGCCCGGTTTGAGTAGAGCCAGCGTTGAGGGCATCGTCTGTGGTTGAAGCAGAAGGTCGATCTTCATCTTTGTCGGGAGGAAACTTGAAGTCTGGGGTAGGTTCAGGGTTCTGGTGGGTGGGATCCCGAAATATTGGACTCCTATGTCGTCCTTCTGGAGGATTCGGCGAGCCGGAGGGGGAGTTTCGACGATTCTGGCCATTCCAGAGCGGCGCAGCTAGACACATTAGTGATCAGAGATATCACGGCATAAAAACAGAATATGTGTCCAAACACACCTTGCTGTGTGGCGACTGTGGATGATCGTTGATGACTCAGTCTCTGTTGTCTGGCCCAGCTGCCTCCATTCTCCGACAGGTCACCGGCGGCTATGGGAGAGGTGACAGAGATTATGGAGACCGACCGCTGCTGTTGATGAGTTGGCCTCTGCGGACGTGTTTGATGCTCGTTTGGTGAGCCTGGGCTGTATGAGGCCGTAGCTCGGTGGCGGTCAGGGGGTTCAGGCAGATGGTCGTTATTGTTGCGAGCGCGTCCATTCTGACCCAATCTTGGGGAGGCATTCGTCCGGTTCACCTGAGCTGCGATCTGGTTGATGCTCTCTCGCCGACTTGTTCGTCGCGTCTGGGAGGCTGGAGTGACGGGTTCAGACAAGGTTGCGACATTCTTGAAGGTGATGGTGCATCGGAGCTCTTCGCCCGCAAACACTGACTGGTCATGGAAGCGGACGACTACATGGAGATCCGAATGCATCCCCCGTCTGCAAGGCCAGATAGTCAAGGAGACTGAGGGACCTGATATTGCTAGGGGAGGAGGGTTTATTGGTTCCAGGAGAAATTGCTGTGCAAAGAGGCTGATGGTTGATTGTCTCTACTCTGTAGATGGAGTGCCAGTCAGTGGTTGACGTTGAGCGCGGAAGAACCTCGGCAATATCGTCTACAGACTTCAAGTCTATGATGCGCAGCCAGAGATGAACACGACAGGGACACCAACACTATATCACTGCATCTGTACTTGAAAGAATGGAATATGGGCTGTAACATGTCACTGCTGATATACAGCATCGACATTTAGTATGGCTACTAAGGCTCAAACAATGTCGAGTCGTGATTGTAGCCTCTGGCCTCCGACCTCCACACCGACATCTGCGCTGCCTTCAAACTATTTGGTTTGGGTGCATCATCACGATCCCTTGAAGCTCACTTCATGCACGCTTCCATCAGAGGTGATGTCCTGGGAGTGGTTCCACGGGGATGCACATTGCTGCGACAGATATGTATGCCGTACTGCGATCAGAGATGGTCAGTAGAGTCCTCATTTCATAGAGAATTGACATACCCTGAGCGGTACGCTCTGCGTTGCCTGCCCAGAAGGGCGAGGGGATTCGTCCACTTAGCCATTGCAAACGGCATCGTGATAGTATCTTTGACCAGTGCTGGTCAATCGGATATCTCACAGAAGCGATCAAGCCTGGAGCGGCAGTTCCTGCTGAGCCTCTGACGGCTGTTGTTGCTCTTCTTCACATCAACCATTGTTGTATCGACGTGTTATTTCACCCAGCAACATTCACTTGTGTAGCCAGCTTTTCAGTTACCCTGCCCAGACCATTGTTGGCATAGAAATCCATCGGATACGTCTCACCCTCTTCTTCCCAGCTCCGTTTACCGCCCAGCGCCACCAACGCCTCATAAGGCGTCAACAATGGTCGAGGGAAGGCATAACCCCAATCAATGCTTAATCGAGGACATGCAATCTGCACCCAGCAATCCACATCCTCAAACATGGCCAGCTTTCCCGGAAAGATCTCGCTGAGCAGAAGATTGACGTACGGTATGCCCTGTCTGTCAAGGTAATTTTCAATCATGGTCATGGTATGAGGATTTCCCTGGCGTCCCAGAGCGCCCAGGATCAACCCCCATTTTTTGGCTCTCTTCGCTGTACTGATGGCAGCGGACCGCATATCGAGCATCTCCTCGTGTGAATATGTCTCCCGGGTCAATTTCCGCGAGTATGGATCATATCGGTACGCAGGAATATCGGGGTTGGCAATCATCGCAGCCTCAAGATGGAAGCGACCATCACCGAGATACAGAATCAAATCAACATTCGCATCTGCTGTGATTTTGGGAGCCGTGCACCCCAACACTTCGCCCTTGCTCAATGGCATGACCTGGGGCACCACCAGCTTCAACCCTTCCGCCTCCAGCGCAGGCCTAATGGTGTGCAAAGTCGAATTGAATTGGATTGTACCAACCATGGCAATGGTCTTCCCTGGCGGAATGTTTCGAGACAAGGTGGTCACCAGATGTTTTGTATCTATGGAAATGTCGACGAAGATATAGAGGGTGGCGATCTTGCTGACCGACACCGGTATCAGACAGCTGTGGGCGTAGTGCACCAGAAGATCACATCCCAATGCTCTTGCTGTGTAGTCGTCGATACAGCATGCACCATATGTGACATCGCCCATGATCAGCGTCTCCGTGCCGGGACAGAACTGCGTCAGGATGTCGGATATCGTGGTTGCGAACATGAGGAGACCCTCGGGGAATTGCAGAGCGACCCTTTTAGCCTGCAGCGTCCGTATGCGATGTATAGTCTTGGGTATCTCGAAACTGTAATTGTGAGGTAGCAAACCGATGGCCGCCTGGATATCGGGATCATCGAGGATCTCGGGAGGGACTTGGTTCAGCGCCCGTGGCGTCCTGCGCTGGACTATCTCCAGTCAATATAGCCCCCGGGGAAATGCATATGAATGGCAGCATACTCATCGGAACCACAGCGTTCGTCTCTTCCACTGATGACAACGCATCTTGTCTGTGCTGTGCCTGCGCTTCAGCAGTCCTCCTCCCGACGAACCGTCTCTTGGGGGTTCTGTTTATGGGGCTACTTTCGTCCAACGTAGGAAAAGCGCCAGGCATCAGTGTCTGCTCAGAGTCCATCTTCAGCCTTTATGATCAAGTCGCCTTCAGAAGACAAGAATCAGTAACAGCAATGGAACGAGCAATCTCGTCGGTGGCATCATTTGTATCCGCATCTACACGGTAAAATTCTCGCCTCGCCATCATCTCCGAGTTCAAGTTGCAGTCACTGCGCGAAATGCGGGGAGCAGAATTTCTGGCCCCCGGTCTGAGCCCGATGCGGTTAAGTGGTGACGCCGCCCTGAACGTGGTCGAGATTTGGGTAAGCTGCACTGCAGTGAGTGTGAAGGAGCTCACTACCTGCTACTTATCCCTCTCTGATGTGATCAAGTCTGTCTCTATTGAAGTGTACGCCATATCTCAGAAATACGGTGCATTTCGCCCGGCACGTCGGAATTCCGTTCCCTCCGAAGGTCTTCGAAGTCACAGCGTGTTGGTTAGTTCCGCTGATGGTGACGGAGCGTGTCCAACGAGCTGGATTATAGACCTATCTCGAAGCCAGTCATCGGGTCACGCGGCCTGGCCAGTCCTCGACCCCTTTGTGAACATTTCGGATCTGGAAAAGGCCTACTGCTATATGGCGAAGATACTGAGTGATCGATACAAGTGCCATTTCGCGCACATCGGCAGCCCTTCCGAGGATCAATACTGTGGTACAACAATTGGCAAGTAACGAATGCTCGTGAAGATGCTGCTCCCATGCACTCACCTAGTCAGTACTCTGTATTGAGCTGAGCTACAGATTCCTGCACCGTGACATGTGATATCCAACGACGACTTGAACGTCTTGACTGCTGTGCTTTTCTTGACCGTACATTGGAGTTAACGGAGATAAGGAATTGAGCCGACTTCGACACTGTAGGACGGTACGGAGCACATACGGAGCACGGACTGATTGACTGTATAATAAAGCTGGCGCGATGATGGAAAGGTCTGCTGGTGATGGACAAACACCAACTGACAACTCAATCCAGCAGCTGCTTGAACTCACTTGTTCCCCAGAGAGTCTAATCATCACCATGTCTTTCGCAGTCCCCGCAAAGCTGCCCGGCCTCACCGACCGCGAGGCTATCGCTGACGCAATCTATCGCGCGGCCCTCGCCTTTGACCACGCCGATAAGGACCTCCTCCGGTCGGCCCTCACTGAGGATGTCGTGGCCGAGATGCCCGGCTTCTCTACCAAGGGCATCCCGGAACTCAAAGCCGCTGTCTTTGACCGAGTCTCGAAGCTCGACACAACTCACTTTCTCTCCAACGTGCGAGTCAGCATCGAGAGCGCAACCACAGCCAAGGTAACGTGCTCAGCATTGGCTCAGCACGTGCGTCCCGGCAAGGGCTTCGAGCCGGGCCCCAACAAGATCACGACCGGGGGTTTCTATCTGGGCGATGCGGTCAAGGTTGGCGATCTCTGGAAGCTCAAGTCCTGGAAAGCCAAAATTCTTTGGGTCGATGGCGACCGAGCTGTCATGGCTGGGTCGTCATAGGCGAATGCTTGCTATTACTGTTTTGATAGTCTCAGGACAAGGCTGGGGGACCATGGCGCAAACAGTGCAGAGACATCGAAGTTCGGCCCAAGAGAATTAAAGAATCTATACAGCACATTCTCATAATCCGGCAACTCCATTGTAAAGTGTTAAGAGGGTAGAGCCTAGGACTCTGGATTATAGTTCTTACCAGGGATAGTACGTACTACGTAGGTAGGGTAGTTATCGACCAAAAGCGGCGGGGGGCAGTAACTTTTTAGGTGAGAAAATCATACGTACCAACTACGCTAGTACGTACCTCATACGTACTCACTAAGACACAGTACGTACCTGGACAGTTGCGGAGAAACATATTGCAGCGTCCAACTGCCGTGTCACAGATGAAGATCAATTTACCTCAGGCAAACATCAAGACTCTCTTTACGATATGCTTGCCTTGATATGAAGTGACCACATGCCTCCAACCCGTCCGCAACGATGGTCGCAACCTCAGGCTTCTCCAACACGCCGGTGTCACGATTCGTGATCCTCAGCTGCATCAGCACCAGCATCCTCACGTCGATCCTCGACATCAAACACCTCCTACCGATCAAACCGACGCCTCACCTCTGGCCGTACTTACAATTCTCACGCCTCCTGACATTCCAGACGGCATACACCTCCTCCACCGAAATCCTCTTCTCGGTCGCCCTACTGTACCAGTTCCGCGTGCTCGAGCGATTATGGGGCAGTCGCAAATACGCCAGCTTCCTCGTGGTCTGTTTCTGGCTTAACGTCGTGCTTTTGCCGGCGTTTTGTCTGCTGCTGAAAACATTCACTCTCGGCGTCTACAACTACATTCCTTCGGGGTTGACTGCCGTGGTGTTCGCCGGGCTGAGTGCCTGGGGAGACGAGATCCCACGGTTATACCGATACAAGATCGTCACAGGGGGCAGCAGCCCGACAACCACAAGAAACACAACAACTTCTCCCTCTTCTAGTAGTGAGAACGATTCGTCTGCTTCACAAGCACAACAAGAAACCCCGGGGATCGTGCTGAGCGACAAATCAACCACCTACGTCCTGGCCGCGCAGCTGGCCTTGAGCCAGTTCCCGTACCAGTTGATGCCGGCTGCAGTGGGCTGGATCGTGGGCAGTGCGTGGATGGGAGAGCTGTTGCCGGGCAGACTGAATAGATGGAGGGTCCCGGCTTGGATGGTGGGCGAGACCAGTAAGCGGAAACAACGCGGTCAGTATGAAGGGCTGAGAAGGAGGTTGGAGGAAGAAGGCAGCTCGGCCGACGGCATGAGAAATGTTAGTGACAATGTACATTCGGGACAAGACAACCCTAGTGAACGGCGGGGGTTTGGGAGACAGATCCTCGGATACTTCACGGGGTCTTGATGGAGAAAGAAATGAAATGAAATGGAAAGACGAAAATGCGCAGGGCTATCTACATAGGTACTCTGTACGGACGAATAACTTGGATCCGAGCATGGATCGATATAAAGATCCACATCAGCAAAGCATCACCACTAAACTGCTGCTCTAATACCAATCATCTTGCTAGGTATTCTTACACTCGCGATATTGCCTACCTAGGTAGGTCAGGTATCTACATACAATAGTCGTGCGCCCGCCAAAAGGAGCTTCCTCCCCGCGATCATTGCAGAGCAGGCTCCCCTGTTTGCCTTCTGTCTGGCTGCGTCTCTGTTCAGAGTGTGGACCAATTTCTCATCCATGGAGATTGAAGACTCGGGTGACTTCTCACAGCGGAGGTTGGAAATTTGGGAACGGCACGTTCATAGACAAGCCTCGAGACGGGCAGCCCGGCAGCTTGTCCATTTTATGCATTCTTGTGGCGGCTGCCCAACCTTCGAAGCTCGCAGTTGATTGCCTCGGTAACTCTACCATTCCCGAGCCGGTATCTTTCAACCAGTCAGGGAGACTGGGCTGAGGGTTGCCGTGCAAGCAAACCCTGGGCCTCGCAGACAATGGGAATCAAGGAATATGGCATTCTCTGGGGAACGGTTCCGGTAGAGTCCCAAGGAATAGTCCCTTGTAGCATCGTCCTCGGCACCATCCTCGGCACCATTCCCTCGTCAAGTAGGTCGAATGGTGCTAAACGATGGGCAGGTTGGAAGAGAGCATCCTCGTGCTTTTCTGATTCCCAGCCAACAGCGTAAGCTGATAGTCCATTTCAGCCAGCCGTCTTTCGTTCTGTGCCTCTGAAAGGTTCTTTCTAGTCATGGTATGTCTTTTTTATCCGTCGCCCATGCCGCGTGTCTGCTCCTCGTAAGCCTGCCTATACCTATCGACGGCATTGGCGAGACTTTTGACAATCGGACCGAGCAAGTCTCTCACGACTGCGCCGCCGCCGTGAATGGCGCTATGGTCAAGCCTATGCCTGCGTCCGGTCTTGCGGAACCTTTCTTCAAGACTGCGCTCTTGGGCTCGAATATGTTCCTGCCTCTCCTTCTCGGCATCTTCGGCAATGACGTTGATCCGATCAAGCGCACGGTTGAGACTTTCCACCAAAGAGGCCACCTGGCTCGCGCGCGACGCGTCGCCAGACAAGAAGGCATTCCAGAACTGCCGCAGGAACTCGATCGTCGTGGCGTGCGTCAGGGTGAGGCGGTCGTAGATGGCCGTGCTCAGACCCGAGGCCTCAGGGATCTCTTTGGTCTGATTTCGATGCGCTTCGATCAGAGAAACGATATGTTTCATTGCCACTGACGACCCGGACTCAGGATGGGCCGAATCTTCGTCCATCTCCATTTCCGCGTCTTCAGCTTCGTATGCTTCGATAGGGATCACGCCAGTCCCTGGCTGTGGAAACCGCCCTGCAACGTCCCTGTACACGTCTTGGATGGCTTTGGCAGGGTCGAGACGTCGAAAAGGGTTGCTGTCCACTCCATCGGCGCAGCCGTCTCGGGCGGATGAACGGCTGTCGGAGAAAAAGCGGCTCTGGTCTCGGATGTTCAAGATGATCCTGTGCTGTTCTGGGTCGCCTTCTAGATCGCGGAGGCGGAGTCTCTCATATTCGGCCTCCGTCATGCCGATAGGCGCCGAGGCCTCCGCGTCCGACGGTCGGACTGTAGCCATGAGCTTCTCGCTAAGTGCATTCAATTTGCGGATGATGGGTGCCTTGTCGAGTGCTGTCGCTCGCAGCTCGCTGTCCGGCCGGTTGCCCTTGCGTTGACTGTTGTCTTCTTCATTGCCTTCCAGATCAATGAACTTTGGGATGTGGAGGTCGGTCGAAGTTGGTCGTAGGCCTGTCAACTCCGGGTGGTTGAGGAATTCATCCGTGTCGAGATATTTGTCGCGCGATTCCTTCGTCGGGTCAAACTTCAGACCGCGCAGTTTCATGAACAATTGGCTCTGAAAGAACCGGGACCAGAACTCGACTTCCGATTTACATCGGTGCGGCACCACTCGGTCGTAGATGGTCCGCATGACTGGATACTGTTCGAAGATGGCGCGCACATGGTCCTGTGTGAGGCTGAGCTTGGTCCCGCCGTCTTCACGTCGGAGCTCGGAAAAGACATTGTACTTGCCTCGTCCCTGGCTTTGGGCAATGGCGTGGGCGCGCAGCAGATGGACACGAGACGACCAGAACTGTCGGGTGAACTGCGTGGTAGATATGGTCTCCGGCTTCAGGCTCAAGGCTTCCATGAAAGTTCGCTGTAGATTCGGATCTTCCTGCATAAGTGACTGTTGGAGTTTCACGTCCGTAATCAGCCGGTCATCGTCCTCCCAGAGATTGTTCGCTCGCCCACCACCTGAAATGGCGTTCGCGATTGTCATGGCAGCCGATTGGCCCTCGGAAGCAGCAGCCGCGGCATTTTGGGCGGCTTTCTGTGCTTGGATGACGCTCGCCAACGCGTCCTTGATTGCATTTGCTTCGCGTCTCGGGTCACTGGGCGAAGTGAACGTGAAGACATAGGCCACCGGTTCAGACTGGCCTGGAGTCTGTGCAAAGATCTTCAGCATCACCTTGGCGGCTGATTCTGGAGTCTGTTGTAGGTTGGTGATGTTGGCTGCAGATATCACCAGCGTTGGAGCGGCGTCCGGCGGCTGTGCTGGAGTCCATGATACCGATTTGCGGTCTTTCGATATAGCCAGGAGCCCAGGCTGTTTCTTGTACGACGCTTGTCCCTGTGGCGGCGCCATCGTACTTTTTTTTCTTTACCTCTCCACCACGGTCCTTGTGAAGAATCTCGACCCGCCAAGAAGACGGATCGACTGAGAGCAAGACCGCACAGGCGAACTTTGCATCGCGTTCACGGTGGCCGGTGAGTTTACCCCTAGACAGGCAGCAGCATGTCGGTAACGAACGGAACCTTGTCCCTCTGGCCCTCTAATGAGCGATTCTGAAAGTGCGTGATAAGTCCTTCAGAGTCTGCTTGTGTGATGAGGTGATTCTAACGTCTATATGGGATTTGGGTGCGTCGGAAGCAGTTCAAAACAAAGGACGAACAGTGAAGCTGGGATCTTCCATCAGCCTGTTCGCCATCCATGATTGATGCCAAGGGAAGTTAAAACGGCTCGCAGTTCATCCCTCTTTGGGACAAGGGTGATGCCGCCCTATACTCCACCCCCTGTTTGCGCAAGCTGGAGGAGCGATCTTAGCGCTGCTACTGATTAGTATTACTAAGCGCCTCTCTCTACTAGCCGATAGGATAGCGCACTCGATAAGTCCTGGGGTCGCCCCGGAATCGATCCGGAGTCGACTCCTAGTACGTATCCATACCTATGTAGGACATACCTAAGGTACCCGGTAATTAAGGAGTCGGAGTCGGAGTCGTTAATTGACACCGCTGGAGAAAAGTGTGCCAAACCCGAGCAGCGGCCTTCGACAGCAACTCCTTCGTCATAGTATCAGCCACCCAGGCGGCGTGCACTATTCGACTATCAGTTGGAACATCATAACTCACAGGTGATTCACTTACGCTCAGAGTCCAATCCCCAAAAATGGGCTACTCTTCGTGTCTTGACTTCACAAGTGTGATAGCCATCGAGAAGTTGTGCAACGTAAGTGAAATTGGCCTGCTATTCCGATGTTTGTGGCGAACAGGAGCACTGTTCCGTCTGATTCAAGGTTCAACTCCAGCCCATATGGGCCTTCCACTAAGGCCATCATCCCAGAACTGTCACTCTTAGAATCTTCACCCACAGGATCGTCCCCGGGCGGAGCCTGGAGGCATGAAGATGGCCTTTCGCCAATACAATCGTTGTGAAGTCTTGCAGCCTGGGTGAATGGCAGGGACAAACACCGGTACAAGTACAGCGCACAGGCACATATAAGTGGGCTCAAAAACAGGCTCGTTTGAGATAACTCTCAACTTGTTTCAAACATTGTGCGCGCATGTTTTTTGGGATGATACACCTTTTCCCGAAATAAATGTTCCGGACAAGTGCGCTGGTATATCATCCCACTCGCACCTACACAAGATCTTGCCGAAAGAAAACCCTCGGCGACCAAGCTCCTCAAAAATCTCCTTACACCATTCCATCTCCTGCCCTTTTTCGGTGCTCGTAAATACGTGCATGGCTGTGCGCAAGGCGAAGAAGACCTTCTGCGGTCCGAGAATGTGCATATCTTCCGAGAGTAGATACTCCATTGACTGAGCGATCATTCTGGCCAGCTCCAGCGCCTGCCTGTGGGGGAATTCATTATCCACCAACGCGACAAGGCCAGAAGTCGGATTCACGTCATTCAGAGAGGAGACGGGGATGGTGAGGATGCTGCTGTAGAGCAAGAGGAGAATGGTCCAGTAGGAGATATGTAGCCGTGCAATTTCGAAATTCTGGAAGTGTAGGGCCTTAGGGAAGACAGATGCAAGGTGCGAAATAAACGGTGCTGATGAAGGCCGCTCGTAGTAGAGCGGGTCAGCATGCTTTCGTAGGAGTCCCTGGTACCAGTTCTCAAGTTGGGCATGAAACTCCCACCCCTGCTGTGCAAGTTCTATTCTCTGTGCATGGAGAACGTCGAACGCGATGGTGGTGTTGAGTCGTGCCGCCTGCTCGATCAGGGTGGTGAGTTGAGCCATGATATCGAGCAGCTGGTCCAGGTCCGACTTCGGTTGTATCTTCCACGGCACTGTCACCCATTCCGGTTGTGCAAGGTAGGTCGATTTGCGGGTGGCCAAGGCGTGGGTGATCTGCTCGAGGTGAGCTGCTTGTTCAGGCAAATGTAGGGGAATTCCACACTCACAGCCGTGGATCTGAAGTCCGAGAAGAGACGATGGCTCAATCCAACAACATGTAACTCCGGCCCTCGAAGCTGGATCAACCTTGCGATCCCTTCGACATGGCTGACCCATCCGCCGGTATTCTCGCCTGAAACTTCGAGGAACTGTTTATCGGTCAACGACAGTCCTATCCGTATTTCGTGTTCCGAGGGACGCTTGCCTCAAAAGTGGATAATGCCATACAGCTGGCAAGAGTCTGCTCGTCTAAAAGCAGACTGTGGTGTGAGAGAATGTCTTGTAGTCGGTGCAAAGCTCGGCCGTAGTTTGCCGTGCCTTCACGTCGGAGCCACTCGTCGCCATGTTTGCGACCCAAACAGACCAGACTCAGCGCCAAGATGGCGGAATCTAGAGAGGCGTCATTGACTTGTGACGAGTCAATGGCTTGGAGCCAGGAAACTTGGACCTTGTGCCCAAACTGAAGGTCGCCTTCTTCTCTGGGAATGTAGTTGTCGAGGAAGTTGACGAACAACTCCGAGAGACTGAGCGCGTGTCTTGGGCTCTGAAGCTTCTGGCTTTTCGGAGTTGCGGTGTCGTCCGTTTCGGGGGTGCTGCAGGGCGTACGATCGTAAGCTGGGCGGGTGTTGATCGTGCGCAAGTCTGTGAGCGAAGCCAAAGGCTGGGTTCGGGTCAATAAGGTCTCCCGATCCAACGCACTCAGATTCTTGAAACGTCGTTCACGCTGATATCCTCCGCATATCCGATTCCCCTTCCTACATCGAGCGCAGGACGGCTTGTCTCCATCACACTACCACCGACTTAGCCCCTTTCCCACGAGTTTGAAATCAGACAGCAACACGAATCTCGATACGTACGTGGATCTTTCGCTTCCGGCAGGTGTTGCAACCCTTTGATTTTCCCGCCACGCCCACCATCACTGTAACACATGAAAAGTCCGATGTAGACTCTGATGTTTGCGCCCATGAGCGTTGGCCAGTTTCGACGGTGTAGTGATGCTGACGGAGCGTTGACGCGCTACGCGACCGGATCTTCGGGATGGCAATTTATGCCTGGGCACCGTCTTGCTGTGAGAGCCTTACCATATCTGCCATCTTTTATCGATCGACCTCACGAGCAAGAATACCTGGGATTCGGATTGCAATTTTTGAAAGTTGTATGAGTAGATCCCTGGTCCAGGTCTTCAGTTTCGGATTTTAGGACTTCAACCATCCTCGTATATGCCAAGGAATAATAGTGGTGCCGGTGGCATTGCTTATGTACAGACTTACTGCGGATTGGGCGGCAAAGTGGATCTGAAAGTGGATACTCAATAACAGCACGAAATAGATTACAGATTATGGCTGCAGCCTGCCAGTCGTGACGCGTCGTGTCGCCTCATCCATATGAGGACTTCTCTCTCTCCCTAGTAGTACGTGGTAGATGTGAAGCACCCCTGAGAGGGTTTCTTACTAAGGAACACGTTGCTGAATACTATAACAGACAGTCTGTATATCTCAAGTAAGCTTTAAAGACCAGGCCGTAGTCAAAACTCGGATTGCGTAGGTAGTCTTCCTACTGTAGATTCTAAAAATATCAACATCTCGCGTCCTTGAGCGAGCCTCCGGGTTGACGGGTTTGCGCTGTACTGACACACATCAAGAATCACCCATCGACGCTTGGGATACAGATGTACTTGATCGCCCCAGGTACTGCACAAATACCTACTAAAAGGGATCCAATCACGATTATCATTACCCCTTTCTCAAGCCTCATCCTTAGAACTCCTTCCAGATGCTCCTTGTTATGCCGCTGGAAATTCTGACTCACTCCAAGCCTTTCCTGGGTACTTTCGTCCCTCCTTCCCTCCTCTGTGCCCAGTCATTTACGGCAACTAGTGCCAAACACCACGCCATCAGAACAGCCGTTATGCCCATTGTGACAGTGGCCACTAGCATGGCGTTCAGATGATTCTCAATCATCGCATCGACCGTGTCTCTATTCTGCATTTCTCGTCAGTATCAGCCGTCTTGGGGATCTATCAATGGCTTCTTACACTAGCCATGAGCATCAGACCTCCCGACATCAGACCGAACGACGTGACAAGCTCAGACGGAGGCCGAGACGGCGATATAGATTTTGCTGGTGCAATGTAGAGCAGCAGGTATGTGAGACTCCTCATTATCGATGCTGCTGTGAGGAAATTACCAAACTGCGCGAAGCGTTAGTCACCATGGCTCCAAGAAGCACAACCGCAAGAAGAGCTTACCCATTTGTGCATCATTGTAGACTCCACTGTGTCTTGATGGTGGCCACCGAGGATTGTGCCCAGGAGAAATATAATCATGGCCGGTACGGGGTTTGTCGAGTATCCGGGTATCAAAATCTGCTTTTCGTTCAAGGTGAGAGAGTCTTCCGACGCTTGTCTTCTTGAAAATGAAGCCCGGGACTCAACCATCAAGCCGCACTATAACGCAGTCAATATCTCGCGCGGCAATCAGAGACAGTGAAACGAACCAAACCACCCCCAATGAACAAGAGCGATATGGCGACATGTTCAAGATCCTGTGGTGTCCACGCCCCTCCCCAACCTGAGAGATGTTCTAGGAAAACATTGGTGATTCCATAAATGAAGATGAGCAAACATTCAACCCCCTCCATGGTGACAGAGCCACTCCACTTCCGAGACGGAGAACTTGTCGAGACTTTGAGATTCCACGCCCAGCCACGCCCAGAAAAGCAGCCGCTGCAGCGGAGCATAGTTATGAGGCCGAGGAAGAAGAAAACGCCGCCCTTGATGAAATGGGCTAAGCCATTGAAAATTTGAACTCCATGCTAGACGTTGTTAACGGGTATCCAGGTGTAGTAGACGGGAACTGCTCACAAATATTCCAGCCATAGTAACTATTCCAGTGCAGAAAGCAACAAACGCTAGGACGATCATTACCATGAGGAAAAAGATAGATGTGGACGCCACAAGAGGGATGAAGCGATCGGCTGAAATCATTTTGGACCGGCTTTTGGTCCAGGAGAGGGGTCGTTTATACCGTCCATCGACTGCGGCGAGGGATGGAAAGAAAGAAAAGTCCCACCGAGCGCGGGAGTCGGTTCTCATGGGATTCGATCGATTCGATCGACTCTCTCTCCGAAATTGGAAATATGTCGGGTCTGTGGCGTGTGTTTGGTCATCGCCAAGGGACTCCTCGGATGATTGAAAAAGTCTGGAAGACGAAACTAGCGGCTGCTCTTCGTGACTGGCTTCAAAGGTGGGTTTGATGGAGTGGGATCGCGAGAAGCTTCTCAGGATGCTTATAATTGATTCCAAGATAGCAACTGCAGTCAACGTCCAGGCCAGTGAATGATGTGAGCTATTGGGATATAAGTCGGGTGTTCTGGCGTTATATGCTAGACCAAAGACAGTCCCAAGGGCATGCAGCCCGAGAAGTAGTATTCGGGCAGGATATGCAAGTTTGGAGCGGGCGATCTCCAGGGACGCCACTGGATATGTTAGTGTTTGATCCTTAGGTGGATGGAAGCTACTTGCGGATGGGAAGGGCTCCTATCCAAGCCAATATCATGAACCCAATATGCAGATATAAAATGCTTGACGAGATAGGTTCTCTGAAGTAGTTCTTCGCCGGTAAAGAATCGGACATGGTTGCGTTGCCTTGGTCAACACGGGCTTGAAGGTGCTGTGCCATGGAAGTAATGGCTCCGGAGTCACTCGCAGTGAGGTGCTCGCGTTCGTGTGAAGAGCCTTTCAGATGCGGTGCACGAGAAGACAATATCTGTGTTCAAAATCAGGAAGCCAGGATGTTGTTTCCCATGTAAAGGAATGTCTTGAAGCATGCTTGTATATATTTCGGAGATGACGCAGGAAAATATCGCATTTATACGGTGGCCTGAGTTCCGATGACCCTCAGACCCTCGAACCCATCAATAATGACAGACGATCCCAAAGCCTCGTGAGATCGCAATTTGTAACCCTAGAAGGGTACAAACATTAACGTGCTCTTGGATACTGGATACAGCGGAACGGCAACATGTGGGGCATGCTAAGGCTGAACCATGCTTAGCATAAGGCTGTGACCGTACTAGGCTGAAAAGGGTAGCATCTTGCGAAGTTGTCTACGCACTCATCTGGTCGGGCTTGAGGCTCGGTTTCCACATTGAGGTGTGCTGCTGGTGGTTGTACACACCCCGTCATGATCCGTCGAACTTGCATAAAGACGGCTTTGGAACGAGGCTGCATTTGTCATGATACTGCACACAGCCTCTCAATCTTCTTGTTACATCGTGAAATTATTTACTAGGAGGCCCAAGGTTTAACCGCTTTAGCGCCCTCCAGCGATGCACTAATCACTCGGCTGACCTTCTCTGTTGGTCTTCCGCCGTTTAATCGGCGCCGTTTAATCGAATGTCGGGTTCGGACACTGTCGTTCTCTCATGGCATCTTCGATCTTCGAGCCCCCCGGGAAATGAAAGTCCGACAAGCCTGTTCCCAATGTCGCTGCCGCAAGAAAAGATGCTATCGGGTAGATAATGGTAATGCGTGCGTTCGTTGCGTGGAGGGAAAACTTCAATGTTCATACTCGATCAAGCCAACGCGGCCTCCTCAGCAACAAAGACTGCAGCCTTCGGCATGGTCTTCAACGACAACATCTCCGTTGGAACTTCCGAAAGACGTAGTAGAAAGCGTGGTGGAGCTCTACCTCCGTTACATACATGACAGACCACACAGTCTGTTTCATGGTCCGACCTTGAGACGTCAAGTGCGTGATGATCGACTGGGCAAGGCTCTACTTTGCGCCGTGTGCAGCTATGGCAGTCGATTCCATGCAGACGCCTCGATCCAGTCATTAGCATCGCCGCTCACCGCAGAGGCAAAGCGGATCTTGAACATGGACATCGAGAATGCATGTCTGGAAAATGTCAAGACGGCCATCTTGGTCGCCAATCTGTCTGCTTCAGAGTTGAACTCGACTTCGGAGGCAATCTACTGTAGTCTGGCCAACCGAATGGCCTATATCTTAGGCATCAACAAGCCGGACCCACGGGACAGCATTGTCGTCAAAGAGACCAAGCTCAGGGTTTGGTCGAGTTTGTTCATGAGCGACCGCTGGTGTTCTACCAGGCTGGGCCTGCCGCGACAGATCAGCGACTTCGACTTCGAGGGTCGCCACGCTCCACATCTGCCCATGGATGAATCTGTCTTTCACCGACTCGGTCCCGACGAGCATGCCATGCCGGAACCCTGGAAACCAGGTCTATGGGCGCACATGATTACCCTCGTCCGGGTCTTCGGTCCCATACAAGACTTCAACCAGCGGCTCGCCCAGGATGGGGTCATGGACGATGAGCTCGACCGTAGCGTTGAACAACTTGCCCAGGAACTGGACTTGTGGGAGCAGCTGTTGCCAGTCGACATCAAGTTGACCAGAACGAATCTGGAAAGTCACAGGAGGAACGGCCAGGGCGGTCCCTTCGTAGCGCTGCATCTGGGGTTTCATCACTATTCTACACTTCTCTACTTTCATTCCCTGGATTACCCTCCTGCCACAGCTGCCGTCGCTGCCAGGACAAGCTTTGCGGATCGTTGCAGGGCGCACGCCTCGGCATGCAGCACGCTTCTTCAGACCGCTCGCGAGACCGAAGGCTGCGAGGCAGTCTATGCGACGGTTGGACAAATGACCATGGTCTCGTCCGCTGTGTTGCTTCATACTCTGTTGTTCGGCAATGATCATGAACTGGCAGACGCGCGAAGCAGCCTCACCTCCAACTTTGAGGCCTTGATCGAACTCAAAAAGTACTGGCCTGTCAGCATAGGAAAGACGGTACGTCTGTGATATATAACCTTGTATTTTTGCTGACTGGCTGACCTGCCGGAGATCGAACGCCTGTTTGTCTTCCAAGACATGTGCCTGATGTCAGCTGATGCCCAATCGACACACAAGATCGATCGGTGGATGGTAAGATTTCTGCTGGAGCATTCACTGCCGCTGCTCGATGAGATACCGCCAGAAATCAATGACGCTCCATCATCTGTCGAGTTTGCAACCCCGTCCAATCACGATCGATCGTTTACCGAACGTGGTCTCATCACGAAGCATGTTCTTAGTGGACTTCTAGATGGAGACATGTAAAAATGGATTGGTGAGTTTTACTCAACAGATCCAAGATCAAATTCGAGGCGGTATACATGTCGGCACCCAGATACAGTCCTCCGGAATGCAAGTCCTCTCAATCCGGCAATTTTAGGCACAACTCTGCGATACACTATGCTTGCTCGATATGGTCGCTCTCCTCACGCGCCTTCATGACCTCGCCCATTGTCCCATGTTTCCCGGCAACGTTCGAGTCCTCTCCGTCAAAGAGAACAGCCAGCTCCTCAAGAGAAGATCCTTGAGATCTTTGTCAGTAACTGAACAAGCGTCCTTGCAGGGACTTATGGTACTCACCTCGAGTTTCCACGTAAAAGAAATAGATGCACAAGCACTCAATCACCAGAATAACGATATACACAATATAGAATTTCCAGGCGAGGTGCTGCAATCCAATAGGGTTGACATATTGGTTCAGGATCGATGCAACAGCAACACCGGCGAATGTCAACGAGAGACCTTTGGCGCGGATATTGTACGGCAGGATCTCGGCACAATAACCGATCGTCAGGCCAGGCCAGGCAAAGCCTGCCATACCATAATAGCAGAAGATCATGGCAATGACCGTACTGCCAGCGTTGGTGTTGCCGGTCTCTGCATAGACGGCAGAGCATGCTGTCCAGATGCTAAACGTCACCAGCATGCCAATACCCGCCGACAGGAACAGCTTGCGTCTGCCCATCTTGTCAACCATGAGTGAGAAGCTGACGGCAACGATCAAAGACCAGATCTGCAGGCCACCGTTGATCAGTGATTGATCGGTGGAGCCTTCGATCCCGATGGAGGTGAGGATGGAATGGATATAGTATGACACCAGTCCGTTACCCGAGCATTGCGAGAAGAAGGCCGTCATGAGGATCAGCATCACACGCTTGCGGTTGCCTGGTGTCTGGAGCAACACCATCCAACCCTGATTCGAGTACAGCTTCTCTAGTCGGATGGCCTCGTGGACTTCGAGAAATTCGTCTTTGACGAACTGGCTTTGTTCGTCACCGTTGGCATGGTACTATTTTGCGGGTCAGCGGGCTTTGTCCACCACTGTTTTGCAACAAGGATGGGTGTGTACCTTCGCCAATATCTTGAAAGCCTCGCCATCCCGATCTTGTGCAATGAGCCATCGCGGGCTTTCAGGAAGGAGCCAGCACGCAAACAATTGAAAAGCCGGCAAAGCGGCTTGGATCCCAACGGGGATCTTCCACGAAGCAGAAGTCTTGTACTTGGTGGTCCCAAAGACGGTCCATGCGGCGATGATGCTTCCGAGAAACCACAGAGTATTGAACATAGTCGTCACCTTGCCACGGTGCTGAGGATGGGCAAGCTCACTGATGAGGATTGGGGCGCATGCTTCGCTGATGTTGGACCTGTGCTGCATCAGCCAGACCGCCTAGAGATGTGTCCTGGAACTCTTTTTACTCACCCCAAGCCGACCAAGAATCTACCTCCGAGGAACATGCCACGATTGACGCTGGGTACAACTGTTCAAGGACACATGAGACTGTGTGACGGTGGAGGAGACCGGCCGCAGGACTGACCTTGCAGTATAGCACCAATAATGATGACCACGCAACCGACAGCGACACCAAGTCTGCGGCCGAACTTGTCGGCAATATATGGAGCTATTGAATAAGGTCAGTGGAAAGATGCATAACATTTCTTCGGTTCTCAACGAACAGACGGGAAGTGCAGAGAAAGATCCAATCTGGAGGATGGCGGTGAATAAGCCAATTGTCGATCCCTGAGGATGGCCGAACTCTTCAGTCATTGTCAGCAGACTGTTTTGAGTCCGTTTCTTCATCAAAGGGTATCTCACGATCTCTCCATGGCTCCATGGTTTGCAAACCGTTCAACAAACTCCCGTCATATCCTTTGATTGTCGAAGCAATGAACAAAATGGGAAACATGAGATAGAGTTTGCGAAGGCCTGGATCCTTCCACCATGTTACTTGAGGGACCTCAAGTCTGAAAACAGTATCCTCGGCAGGCATAATATGTTGCACAGTCTCTTTCGGAGGCACCACGGCGACGCCGTTGTCCTGAATTTCGTTCCCCATGATAGAGATGGGAGTGTCGAGCAGGCAATCTGAACTTCCAGACATCTCCTCAACGGGCGAGACTTCTGTATCTTTTATGGATCTACCGCAAAAGGGGGCCCCGGCCTCCAGAAGGCTTTTCTCCATCAATCCAATTGTGGGGTATGGGGCAGAGAACCTTTTCCAACCAGCCTTCATTCCCGTGTCGGGATATCGTCCAATGAAACCTCCCGCCCGCCGCTCCCGTGGACTGAACTCACTCCAATCCGGGCAGTGGACGGGGTCCGCCTTACTATCTGGAGAAATCGATCTGAATGTGCGGGTTACGAACCGGTGATGTTGTCGGCTTATGGGCCAATCACCCGTACTGGATGCCGCTTCTGATCCAGACCTCATCATATGACGGCGCTGTCAAGCCTCTTCTATGGGCTGGAAGTGCCGCGCAACCGGAAAAGGGTGGTGCTTGAACTCCATAGATACAGGACCTATGTCGGAGCACAGCCCGAGATGACCGGTATCCACGTTCTCTCCCGTGTTTTGTTCAACAGATAAATCCCCTGTCTGTCACAGCTGGAAGAAACAGAGTCCTACACGCATACTAACCGACCTGAAAGTTCACCGACAAAAGACTTTCACCAGAATGCCGATTCCACACCTCCAACCCACGCCCACGGGCAAGCAGCTCATAGTAGATGACAAGCCCTTTCTCATGCTCGCTGGCGAGCTGCAAAACTCTTCCATGTCATCTGCCGAGTACATGCGTACTGTGTGGCAGAAGCTGACCGCGGCCAGCGTGAATACGGTCTTGGGCGCCGTACAATGGGAGCAGATTGAACCCGAGGAAGGTAAATTTGATTTTGCTGAGTTGGACCAAGTCATCTTCGATGCCAGACAACATGGTCTTCGGCTGGTCCTCTTGTGGTTTGGGTCTTTCAAGAATGGTGAGTCGTACAACTGTCTCAGCTTGCTCGCTACAACGTTGTTGACAGCAACATTGTTTCCTTACAGCCACGTCCATTTATACACCTGGATGGGTGAAAACAAATCAGAAAAGATTCCCTCGCGCGAGACTCCGACAAGCCGGTGGAAGGATAGAGATAGCCGACACGCTGTCCGTCTTCCAAGAGGAAGGGCCCGCAGCCGATGCCAGAGCCTTTACAAAGCTCATGGAGCACATCATGGAGATAGATGAGCAGCATTCGACAGTCATCATGGTGCAGGTCGAAAACGAATGTGGCATCCGTGGCGACTCTAGGGATGGCAGTCGATTGGCTGACGCCAGGTACTATGCTCCCGTGCCTCAAGATCTGCTTTCATTCTTGAGCAACGACTGGGAGAACCTGCACCCATCGCTGAAGGCCAATCTGCAGCATTCCAAATTCAAGACCACAATCTCCGACAGCTCAAAGAACAAGTCATGGGAGTCGGTCTTCGGCACAGGCGCGCAGACCGACGAGCTCTTCATGGCATACCATTACGCGCGATACGTCGAGAAGGTCACAAGCGCCGGCAAAGCGGCGTACCCGCTCCCGATGTACGCCAACGTGTGGCAAAACTACAAGGGCGAGGACAAGGACCTCAACTTCAAAGGCGTGGTCGTGGCCGGCGGCGGCGCGCCAGGCGAGTACCCGTCCGGAGGCGGCGTGGCCAACGTGCTCGACGTCTGGCAGCAGTTCGCGCCTTCGTTGGACTTCGTCGCGCCCGACGTCTACCTCAACGACTACGTCAGTTCGTGCCGCAAATACCGCCACCGCAACCAGCCGCTGTTTATCCCCGAGCAGCGGCGTGACGAGTACGGTGCCCGGCGCGTGTGGGCGGCCTATGGCACGTACGCCGCGCTCGGGACCGCCCCGTTCGGCATCGACACCCTCGACCCGGCCACCAACCCGTTCAAGCTGCATTACGGCCTCCTGGCCCAGATGGCCCCCTACGTCCTCGCCGCACAGGCTCGCCCGAATGCCAGCTTCGGCTTCTTCTTCGACGAGCTCGCTGCCGACGGCTCCGACCCGAGCCCGCCCATCACGACGTTCTTTGGCGACTGGGTCGTCCGGGTCGAACGGTCGTTTGTCTTCGGTCGTCCGGGACCGGGCTTCGGCATGATCATCCACCAGGGCGGTGCGCGCTTCCTGTTGATCGGCTCCGGCTTCCAGCTGGTCTTCTCGTCCCGCGACCCTGGCAAGACGTTCACGGGCATTCTGCGCTACCGGGAAAAGATCGTCGTCGGCCCCGGTGAGCTGGCGGACGGCCGCGTGCTCAACGGCGACGAGACCCGCACGGGGAAGTTGGTCATCATGCCGGGCGAGGACCCGGACTATGGCGGTTACCCTATCTGTGTGACCATCCCGGCGAGGACCCGCGTCGCCGAGGTCGAGATCTACGCTCTGGGAGAGGAGGAGAACGACGACGACGACGACGAAGCCGGACTGAATGGAGTTGATGGACCGGTTGATGACGATGACGGGTTCTCCTTGGTGGAAAGACTGAAGAAGCAAACCATCGCTGCGGTCAATTGAGGCAGGAGCGACCAGGCTGTAGATTTCTTGCCGCAAGTCAGAATCTGGTACCACTTTCATAAATCTATAGACAGGAAGAAGATGTCACGAATAGTCCCACGTTGCCTAAGAGGCCGCCCTGGTAAGAAGACTTGAATTCTAGGCACTTGTACCAATAAAACTGGGCCTGCAGTTAATATTGTAGTCGGGGCGCCCACCGGGTTCATGCCAGACAGATGAAATTTGTCTTATCAAAACCATCATATATGTCAAAGAGCCCGCGACTTCGACGTTTCGTCAAGTTCATGCTCTTCATTTAGACGGTAGCAAACATCAAGTGCCGTGTGGCAGAAGGTCTAAGCATCTCATGAGACCGTCCATGAGATGATCCATCTATCCAACAAGCTAACCTCCGAGAACGGCTAATCCCAAACACAACGCCAGACCGTCTATCGTCTATCGTAACAAGTCATTAGAGGTTTCTCTAATGCAAGAGATCTCTGATATGCGAGCCTTGAAGGCGGTCATACCGACATACGCTTCCTCTCTTCAAGAGACTGCCGTCGCAGTTCTGACGTGGCCTTCGGCAGTCTAGCAAATACGGCCCAGACCAGCAGAGCCAGAGCGGAGAGGCCGAGAATCATGGTGAGCAGGTGCTTGATGCCGAGGCTGTCGGCCATCTGGCCCACTGCAAAAGGCGCGATTCCCGCTCCCACCTGGCCCAGGGCGCCCACCGCTGCGACCGCGCCGACTTGTGCACGAGAGGGCAGTTTGAGAGACAGAAGCAAGATTGCAGAAGGGAAGATGGGCCCGCAGAACAGGCCGCTACCTGCCACAAGAAGCAACGAAGCAGTGACGTTGGTCAAGAGTCTGAACAGGACCTGCAGAACCATCAAGGCCAGCAAGTATCCTGCAACTGCCATCCTGACGCCTATGTACTGGCTGAGCGGACCGAGCGTGAAGCGGCCTGTGGACATGCCGATCCAGAACATGGAAGTGGCCAGTGAGGATGTGGTCGGGTCGGTGTGTCGCGCGCGGCGCATGTAGACGGCAATCCAGTCAGTGAAGCAGCCTGGGTTGGATGTTAGTTCAAACTTGAAACTTCACCGGGTGGCAGATCCAAGATTGTCCGGAGAGTGAGAGCCAAAGTCAAAAGTCAGAGTCCAAGTACATACCTTCAAGGCCGACGTAGAAGAAACAGAAGGCGCCACAGATCCAGGTCGCTCGATGCGTCAGAGCGTTATGGCTGTGCGGTTCAACTTCATCCGAATCATCATGGTTCGCAGAATAGTGATCTGCGTCATCGAGACGGAACGCGATACCCAGGACCACGAGTTCGATGACCAAGAGCAGTCCCTTTTAGGTTTGACCAGATCAGTGGTGGTCGCTTTCTGCCATCAATTGGCCCGAGACTGAGAACTCACCGTCATGCGATAGAACTCGAACCATTTGAATCCTTTCTTCAACATCAAATTCGCCACTTGCGGTCCTAGGATGGAGCCCACGGAAAAAGATCCATGCATGAATCCTTGGACGATGCTGGCGTAAGGCACGCTGGTGGCCCATGCACAGAACCCAGCGTCCGACAGTCCTATCCCGAAACTGCCGAGGAAGTAGCCGGCCAAGGTGACGTGGAAGGACGAGCCTGTTGCTAGGAGAGACATTGCGACCAGGCGGATCGCGGGCGAGAGGAATGCAATCCCTCGCCGACCGAGACGGCCATGGATGAGCTCGACCACCACGGTGGAACAGACATAGCCCGTCACTGCTGTGGGGAAGATAAGTGCCGTCGTGCCATCTTTGAGACCGTAGAAGGCGCCAATCTAGACAGCATCCGCGTCAGTAGCCGTTGGGTTTTAGGTCAGTGACTCGAAGAGAGCCACGTGGAAGGGAGTCGGACGCTGCCTTACCTCAGGCAATAAGACCTGCTCATGTTAGCAATTTCACACAAGGTGGCTCCAGGAGATGGGATACTTACACCAATACCCGTCACAATGACACCACAGATGAAAAAATTGAGCATGACAGCCAGCTGTTTGAGGACCGTGAAAGCGGGATGATGGAGTGCCTCGTGCTTCAATTCCGGAGATGATGCCAGGCAGAGACTCCTCTCTGATGTCTCCTGAAGACAACCATCTTGCGGGAGGAGTGGTTGCTGCTCTGTCTCGTCTGGATGCTCTGTGGTTCGTCGCAGCCATGAGAATACCATGTCGACTGCTTTTCGTGATTACGAAGGGTCGGCAACACAAGGGAAGGGGTCTGCAGTCATGTGGAAATGCCTCTCACTCCCAGCTTGAAGGCCAATGCAGGATATACCCAAACCGTTGACACAATGTTGTCTGTTTCTTTCATATACAATGATTGTAGTTCTGGGGTCCTGAGAAGACCTGGGGCTTGTACATCGTAGAGACAAAACAATTGACGAGGTACCTCTTTGGTAGTCGCCGTTCAATCTGTATCTGTCTGGATCTGTGCTTTGACGTCTTCTCTTATCAGCAAATGTATATCTGACATCACATCACGCTTGGGGAAAGGGGATGGTGTTGCCGATTGCCAGATCCACACCTACTGTACATGTTTCGAGATAAGGCCAGCGATAGGATCACGGTTTGTTCCATCCGTTAATCCGTCAGCCATCATTGCTGCTAGCGAGGAGCTGTGACATGTCTTCTTGATAAGATAAAAGGCCAACAATCTGAACAATCCCGCGTTCCCAAGCTCGGAGTTGAAGGTCACAATGTTCCAGATGAAGGTCATAGCTGTCAAGGTTTGAGGATTTGAACCGAAATATAACATCAGACCAGAGAGGTGGAAGATAAAGTAACAACCAAGAAACATGATCCAGCTCATGGTCCACGCAGCGTATTTGCAACCGGCATAGCACGGAAGGAGAGTGGGTGCAACTTCCACGCCTCCATGCTTCTTCTGAGAGACCTGAATGTAAGTTCCTGGTGCCATACTGTCGAAACAAGAACAGGATGTCCTACCATCTTCTGGAACACGGACCGGAGAGCGTATGATACTTCCAAGGCCGCAGATGTGTTCGCGAAGTCTGGTGGGCAATGGCAATTGATCTGGATGTCAAGCTGTACCGCCTGAGTCAGGAAACAGTCTGCGAGGAGACAGTAAGTGGGAAAGAAGTCGTGCTGTACAAGATGCTTTCTCGGGACATCTGTCTCTATCTCTGTCTGCTCTCTCTGTCTCGTCCCATCCCATCCTGAGCTGAGATTGCACTGGAGCAAAGCGGTGGACTGCACAAACCCTCCCAACGACACGGCTCTGAGCTCCTCATGCTGGACCTCATGGTCTCTTGATCACCCAGAAGGACCACTATCCTTGCCATCCCAGCAAGAGACATCTCCTTTCTCCTTTCTCCGTGGAACCCGGATACATATCACAGCCCAGATGCAATACGTCCCGACGAGGACGACACGAACAGAACATACTCCTCAATCAGCCTCATCCAAAGGGGTTGTTACCACAGCTCCAGCCCTCCATCAAGCACCAACCTCGCCCAGTTGAACTACCAAAGCATTTCGATACTGGGATCCTTCCACCCTGATATCTCCCACTGGAACCCTCCACCATGTCTGAGACCGGCGCCCTCCAGAACTTCAACTCAACACAGCCTCCCAACTCTTGGCGAACCCGACCACACACTATGGGGTTCATATATCAAATTCGCCGATTTTCCTCCAAGAATTCAGAAGCCCCGGTGGCCCAAGTGGTCAGACGCACACTCCAGCCTAGCTGTCCAGTGTAGCGGCACTAACCACTGCATCAAGTCGCCGGGGTTCGCATTGGTAGGGGGGTCTCTTAAGGATTTCTTCCACCCTATTCGTGCCTTGCGGCCAGGACTCACGCTTTCTCTGCCGGTAATGTCTGAACTTTCCTGACTTCGAATTTCTCCTGACTTCGGAGATTTTCGATGCATGGATGGCGATGAAACTACCGGCAACAGGGAAGGGCCATGACTCCTGGTCACCCAAGCAAGAATCGAAGGTGGAAGGAATCTCGAGACCCCCCGCCCCCCAAAAACCCCGATGGTAAAAGCCCGATGGTTCGCGTTTCACTTCTCCTATACCAGGCCTCGCAAGGGGTACTGGTGTCGGGAAGTGTTTTTGTCAATTCGACTTCTGTAAGTTAAGTACTAGAGACTAGATAGAGTAAGGCAAGATATTCCCGCCATAGGGATTACTAGACATATTTCTATATATCATTGTATTCTTTTTGCTAGTTGTCTCTGGTCAGATACGAGTCCGACTTAGTCAAGATCTTTCTGCTGTCTTTTCCCTGTTCAGCCTTTGTCTGTTTTGTTCTACTGACACCTTTTCAACACCAACCTGCAGACCTATATACGAACAGTTGTCTGCGCACGTCGTCTATACCCTCGCTCCAATCTTAACCTCGATCATCCATCTATCACGTAAGCAATCTCAGTCTTCATTCCTCACTCGTATATTTCGACAAAAGCCTCCACCGCACACCATACCTAAAGACCAAGACAGGAATGGGGGCCACAAAGAGACTAGCAGCAGCAAGGACCGTGAACCCCCAACCATACCCGAACCGATCGACCAGTGGCTGCGTAGCCAGCGGCAGAAACGTGCCCATCAGACACCGCGTGACAATGACGGCAGTCATGGCCGAGGCGGCGTGCAGCTTGAACGCATCCACCACGTACGTCAGCAGCGGGATGAAGCCCAGCATGGTGGTCATGCCGAGCAGGGCGATCGCCAGCACCATGACCCAGAGGGGGAGCTGGGCTTGGGCGGTCCAGCCGTAGAGGGCGACGACGAACGGCACGGTGAAGCCGCCGATGATGACAAGAGGCAGCCGGAACTCGGGTTCGCCGATACCTTTGTTGCGCGTGCGGAGGTGGATGTAGATGCCGTCGAGGGTGCGGTTGATGACTGCGACGCTGATGGCGGAGCCGACGCCTGAGAGAGAAAGACAAAGCATGTTAGTCAGGTTGCACAAGACCGCGTTTTCCTGGTCAATATTCAAGTTCGATTTTCTTGACACGCATGAAGAGGAGCAAGACAGGGGGCCGAAACAAAGTCAGAGCGTGCAGACGAAATCGGGTATTTGTTTAGGGGTTGGTTGGTTGCTCGTCAATCCACTTACTTATACTAATGAACGTCGAGCCCGTCTTGGCCGGCGACAAGCCGTAGATCTGCTCCAGAATATCCGGCAGCGTGGTCGAGAAGATGTAGAAGTAAGCGAACAGGAGAGACCCGAACAGTGACATGGCCTGCAAGACGGCGGAGCTGTAAAACACAACGGCAGGTCTCATGATCGAGTCCCAGAATTTATGCTGTGTTTCGGTCTTCATGTCCGCGTCGCCAAAGACCGTCTTGAGCTGCGGGTTGCCGGACTCGGCCCGCAGCCTGGCAGCACGGCGCTTGAGGATGGCGACTTTGTAGGTTTCGCGGAAATAGGTGAGGAAGACGATCTCGCCTGTGCCGGCGAGAACGACACTCATCCACAAGACATTACGCCAGCCCAGGCTCTGCGCGACTTGCCCGGCGATGGCGGGCCCGACGGCGCTGCCGACCAGCGGCGCCAGCATCACCATGCTCATGGCGGAGCCGCGCTGGTCAGACACAAACATGTCGCCGACGATGGCCGGGTTGAGGACATTCGACGCCACGGCCAGGCCGGTCAATGCTCGCGCGGCAATGAAGAGCGGCGTGCTCTGGCACAGTGCGGCGAGGATGGTCGCCGCGATGAACAGCACATTGGCCACATTAAAGACTGGGTACCGTCCGAATATCTCGGACAGGGGGGCGATCAAGAGCGGTCCTGCCGATTCCCCGAGTTCCCAGATCGTGACGAGGAGGACACTGGCCGATTTGCTGCCGTGGCCGTGGCTCAGCTCGTCCACGATGTGAGTGGACACGGGGACGACTGATAGGCATGTGAATGTTCTAAGACCGAAGAAGGGGTTGTTAGTATCGTACAGGACATATGTCACACAGTATATAGACAAGCTTCGTAACTCTGGAACTGAGGAGTTTGGAGCATCCTTACACTGTAAAAGAGATGAAGGAGAGCAGGGCGACGATGCCCCATTTGTAGGCTGGCCGCCAGTCCAGAGGATTCTCGTCGTCGCCGTCGGCATCGAAGTCAACCACCACATCGTCTTGGGTCACGGATTTGTTGTCCACGCTGTCGGCAGTTCTCTGGCGCAGCAACGGCTGCGTTTCATCTGCTATTGTAGTCATTGTTCTGGTACTATCGCATGGCTTGAAAGTCCAGTGGACGAAGTGGTAGTGTCGTGACTCAAATCTCCTCTATGATATATAAATATGAAGTCAGGGAGGTTTGAGCTCCCAAAACTCGTGAGCGTCTTGAGTAATCACGCAAGCACCACAGATCTCACACCCTGATTGGTCTCGATGGACGCTGGCTAGACTCGAAGCCTGATCCTGATCAACCTCTTCTTCCCTGTTGCCCCGTTGAGTGTCAGCACAAGGGCGCGAATGTAACAATGTAACCTTTGAAGCGACTGTCATCCAGTCGAAGCTCCCAGTTGGTCAATCAACAGATGCTATGGATACGCCGCGATACCGTGATACGACATCGTCGCAGCCACAAACAAGAGATGAGGCTGGCTAATGAATCAGTCTCCTAAAAGATGTGTTTTTATTGAATGATTGACGAAGGCACCACTAGACTTCGCAAGAATATAAGTGTATAAGACTCGAATACCACTGTGGGTCGGCGGGAGTCACGCCAATAGTAATACAATGAATACAATGGATTCAATGCCGAGCTGCAGAGAGTTTTTTAATCTTTCAAACCCGGTCGCCACGCATTCCTTTGAACCTGGAGCGTTTCTGGCCTTGTGGTAGTAGATGCATGGGTCATGCTCGAACACTCCTCCACCTCTTCGTAACTGACACAGTCCGCCGATGTTCACAGACCTGCCTCACACATCTGAATAGATATGATGACGCCTCATTAAGGCCGGCTGGCACCCACACTGGGATCTGAAGCCTTCAGTATGCTCGATCTCCCAGAACGGGTATATTGTGTGAGTTTGACAGAGGGAGAGCCATCGTTTCAGTTGGACAGTCTTGTCTCTGGAGCCTGAGGAGGCGCCGATGGTCGTCCCCGAACACAAATTCCACCAATCGACCGTTATGGGACAAATCGTCTGCGGAGGCCATGCTGTAATGGAGTGTCTCCAGTAATGTCTCCCTGGACAGCTCGAGGCAATGGCAAGTGACGCGAGCCCAGGATAGCCAGCGGCTGCATGCCTTCAGCACATATTGACGGCCAAGAAGCTGTTGTCCACGCCGGTTTGGTATTAGACACTCAACTTCAATGAGCCAGTTTCCGCGCTTCCCGGGCGAGAGAAGATTCGGCAGTTGTGTTCAGTGCCTCAATCTCTTCCCTGGCCAGTAGCTGCCGCTGCTCCTCGTCCGACCTTGATCGAAGCTCGACCTCCAAGCCCGCCTGTCGCACCATGGTAACAAACAACTGCGCCCTGATCATTCTCCTCAGGGCCTTCTTCATCGGTGGCAAGCCTTCGTCTTTCCGTCGCCGACCTTCCGCCGTCAAGGTACGCTCGGCCTCCTCGCGTGCGGAGTCTCGTATCCGTTTCAATTCGCTGCGCAGCCTCTGGTTAGCAGCCAGACGGTTCCTTCTCTCTTCTTCGGCCTGTGTCCGACGTTCCTCCTCTTCAGCCTGTAGCCTTAGCTGCTCTTGTTGGGCCTGGAGCTGCCTTTCTCTCTTAGCTTCAGCTTGCAACCGCCGATCTTCTTCCTCCTGGACTTTCCGCCGTTGTGCGTTCTCCATCACTATTTCCAACTGTCTCGCCTCATCCGCGGCGATCTCTTGACGCCTCTGCTCTTCTTGCTCGGCTTCTAAGCGCGCTCTCTGCTCTTGCGGGATCGTGGACCATTCTAGTTGAGCCTCTCTTTCGGCCGTTTGATGGTCGACAACCGTTTCGTACTCGGGAGGATTAAGCCGGGCCCATTGTCTCAGGAATTCCACGCCGTCCACTTTCTCCGGTGTGTATGTCGTTCCATCGGGACGATCTTGGACTCGAGTCGTACGTTCCATCTCCAGAGTCACAAAGGGTGTAAGCTGTTTCGACATGTTAGCAAGGGACACCGTCTTTCTCACTCAGCAACCACGGTGGATGTCTGGCCATGGGGACTGACCGAGAAGTCTTGGGCGCTGGGTGCATTGTAATGCGGTGTCTTCCGCCAGTCAACGACATAGCCGCCGAATTCGGTGTGCGAACCCATCGAGCCGGTTCGGTTTCCTCGATAGAATCCACGCCCGACATCTTTGGTGGTGAACCGGAGACGGGCGCACAGCTGGGGGGAGGGTTTAAACATTGTCATGGCTGGAACACGAGCAGGACTCCCAGCGTCCTTGCTGTGTGCAGAAATCTAAGTGGTTGTGAAGCGCTGGAGGGAAGTGAAGCAGAGACGCAGCACAGCCTGAGGTTACCGTGTATTGTGTACAGCCAACATCAACTTCAACTTCAATGTCTCAATGGAAAAGTTCGGCCAAGCTGATCCCGTTTGGGAATCATTGTGACGCCGCCCTGTGCAGCTCTTCAGCATGTCATTTGAACTGCGCAGCCTCGTCATAACGTAAGCAAAGCATGTTTCAGCCTTGCACGGACAAGGCTGTTGCCCCTCGGGATTGATTTGCTATTGCATGCTGGCTGGATGGACAGAGAGACCTTGTTATGCATCAAAAAGGCCAGCGAGTACATCTGCAGAAGGTCTGTGGACTGAACAGCCCCTTTCATCCTATTACTTTATCTTCCTTCAATGGCACCAGCTCTTGAATCGTGCTTTTCGTTCGACACTATGCGTAAACGGGTTGGAGTCTACCCTATATGGACAGTCTTTCAGGCAAGGAAACCCACTGCCCAGTCACCTGACCTGTTAGAGAGCGAGTCTAAGCATTCGCAATCCGACTATCAATCTTCTATCTAAAATAAATACTAAATAGAGCGACAAACGCTGCATAGTGTCGATTAAGAGTGGGCGAACTTGCTCTTCGCCCTCAACGTCGGCCCGAACTTGTAAAAGATGAACCTGAACGTGGTCAGCAACCTGATGTTTCGCGATAAGTTTCGGAGCTGGCACATACGGCCATGGCGCCATGACCAAAGTCAAGAAAGCAACCAGGGCCGAAGCCCATTGGTAGCCGAGGTTGTTATACACTACCTTCCAGTCAGCATAGCTCGAGGCTCTCTCGTCGACAGAAGCTTACTCTGATTCGTGAAAAGCGGAAAGGCCGCCGCGAGGAGACAGCGGGTAGTAGTGTTCACTGCCATAGCACTGGCGGCATACGTGGGGTACGCAGCAGCCAGGAAGGTGAAGATACCTTGAAAGAGGAAAAAGAAGCTGTTGGACCAAAGTCAGTGAGTCTCTCGTCTGCCCACAAGCGATTGAGGGACTTACGCAGTGCTGAAGAACAGCGTCGCGATGATGGGCACGATCCAGTGTACTGACGCGTAAGTCGTCCAGGCGAACCAGAATAGTGCTGCTGTCAGCATGGGGCCTCCTACAATGGCAGGAGGGAGTCTCAGTTCAGGCTGAGGCTTATAGTCTGCTCCATACTTGGCCTTCTCTTTCGCGATCGACCGTATCCACTGCTTGTGCCAGAGCGGGTTGCAAAAGCAAGCCACCACGTTTCCTACCGCCAGACCGAGGAAAGTCAGGCCGATCTGCCAGAGATTGAACCCGTGGTTGTTGCCGAAGACCAGAGCGAAGGCCGAGAAACACATGTACAGGACAGCCTGGAGCAGCGAAGTATATGTGCTGAGAACGGCAATCATCGGGTCCCGGAACAGGAGCTTGAATGGGATGTAGAGGGACGCTAAAAGGGCTCCGGAGAGGGACTTTTGTGCCCGGGCTTTCTCGGAGGCCGAGTAGTACCTGTTGTCGCCGGTATCTTTGCGGAGCTTGGCCGCTTTCCTGCTCAGGAGGACCGGATGAAAGGTTTCCGGGGTGAGCAGAACGCAGAGGAGGATGACGGCAGCCCAAATGATCTGGACATAGAAGCACCAGCGCCTAATCAATGTTAGCAGATTCCAATTGTGAGCATTGGAGGCTCCTACCAGTCCGTGAACGAGTTGATGAAGCCACCCATGATGGGACCCAGAGCTGGGCCGACGAAAGGAGCTCCAGTGAAAACTGTCATTGGAACCAGGAGCTGTTGAGGGATGAACATGTCGACCACAGTCCCGGCAGCGACACCAAGGAATGCGCTTCCGGAAAGACCACCCAGGAAGCGTGCTACCAGGAGAGTCTGAATGTTCTGGGCGACGGCGCACGGAATCAACCAAATGAGGAAGAAAAAGGTCGAGGTGAGGTAAATTGGGCGGCGTCCATAGAACTGACGCTGTAGTCAGCATAAGCTCGAAGCAGCTCGAAGTAGTACCCCTACCTCCGACATTGGGCTAAAGAGAAGAGGTCCCAGAGCCAGGCCAATCAGGTACAGCGACAGTCCGAGGTTGCAGATTTCGAGAGAGCAACCAAACTCGTCCATGAGCTGATCGTAGGTCATGGTGTACAGGGAAGAGGTGCAAGTCCTATCTTCTGTTGGTGCGCTGGGAGGCGAGTAGATGTGGAAGTACTTACACCATTAGAGAACCCATGGCCACTCCATTCACGTAGAACCATTTCCTGAACGGCGAAAAGGTACGCGGGTCGAGAGGGTCATTGTCACCGTCCCATTCCACGAGAAAGGAATGAGGAGCTTCCTGGGCTTTCTCTTCATCACCGTCACGCTTTGAAGGACTCGAGCTGCTTGGCGACGATATTGCCTCGTGCTCTTCGTTGTGCGTGACCATAGTTGTGAGTGGGATTCCTTAAGTCGAAAGACACGTCGAGCTCGTCGATGCGAATGTAGGTATATTGGGACGAGATCACGATCCAGGGTATTTGAGGACATTGAGCTCCTTGGTGAGGTCTTGCCGGCGCCTTATAAGGTTCGAAGAGAAGCACAAGCAACGGAGAGGGCGTACAGACGGACACCGCAAGGCTGTTTCCTCCGCTTGACCAATTAGACGGACGGACGGTACGGCCTCGATACATCCCGCAGCCTTGCGTCTCGGAGGCCGTGTGCTTACATGAGATCTCCGTGTTTTCGACCGTGAGAGTTCGATTCTTCGGTTTTTGCTCCGTCCGCCGTGTTGTCTCTCATTGGAAACAGGACCCGACCGCAAGTGCCTCTGGCAATGAATGTCCGGGATATGAAAAGCTCCTATTGACACACGTTAGACGTGCTAATAAGTCCGCCATGACGTGTGCTGTAGCTCCGTGACTCGATCCGAAGGCGTGCTTGAGTATATAAACCTGCTCCGCAGAGTGAATCTCAGAGCGCCGCAACCTATGATTTTCCCGCAAGATTCAGACCCTAGCAAGACAGACCGTCAGTCCTCTCGCATACGCCAAACATGGCAGAATCGGCAGTCCAGAGACATGATGTTCGAACGACACTCAACTTTTACAAGCCAAATGCAGATGGGTCGCCCCCCGAGCCAGCTTACCTGGCACGACCAGAAACATTCGAGCGTCCCTCAGAGAGCCAACAAGTGATCATTCATGATGTGTCTGGAGACGAAAACACGTACACTTTGGACAGCCACGGATTCCAATTTGTCACATCTCCCAGCAAAGAGAAGGACTTTGTGGATGCGGACCGAATCAAGGACGTATATTACAGGGAAGTTGAACAGCTGCTGAAAGAATTGTGCGCCTCGCCCGCGATCACGAAATCGATTGCAACAAGAAAAATGGCAGGAACAGAAACAGACACTGACCGGGCGTCGTAGAACTGGCGCCACGCGTGTGCACATCTTCGATCACACGATTCGAAGGCCGTCGAAGAAGGAGAAAAAGGAGACCCAGATTAAGCCAGCTGTAGCACATGATGCAGAGAAGCAAGGTCCGCCTCCTCCGGGTCCGACATACTCGGTCCACGTCGATCAGTCGTACGAATCTGCGCTCTCACGCGTACGATTTCATCTGCCAGAAGACGCCGAGAGGCTTCTCCAAGGCCGAGTGCAGCTCATCAACGTCTGGCGGCCCATCAGAACGGTCAGACGAGATCCCTTGGCCGTGTCGCCATCGGAGTGCTTTTCCGAGGACGACCTTGTCGTGGCTCCCGTCATCTACCCTCATGGTAACCGCACAGGAGCGACGCTGTTAGTCAAGTACACTGACCGCCAACTGTGGTACTACAAGGCACATCAGACTCCAGAGGAGGCGCTGGTATTCAAGTGTTTCGACAATCGTGCGGGTGCACATAGTGCGAAGTATGCGAAACGTGCAGAGCGGGTGCCTCATTCTGCCTTTGAGATTCCCGGAACTGAAAAGGAGGAAGAGCGCGAGAGTATCGAGGTGCGATGTTTGGTTTTTCACGAGGATGATATCGAACAAAATTGACCGTGTAGTACTAGTACCTGATAGTACTACTACTAGTAGTAGTACGTAGTAGAATACGGAATCCGGATTCTAGCCGGATGACCAATCATACTAGTAGATCACAAGGCTGCACGGCGGACGAAAGGCTTGGCACGGTCTCCGTAACCTTGACTTTCAACCTCCGTACCGCTCTTCTTCTGACGCTCATCCTAGGGCCTTCAAGTCCCAGGCAGACAAATGTCGCCCAGAGCGCCTCAAGCCAGCTGGCTGCGAACGAAAACGAGCCACGACTTGGACAAAAGATGACTTGGATGGTAGCATGGACACCGTCCCTTCTCCACGCGGCGCGCCGCAGAATCATGCCGCCTTCAAAGTCCGGCGGCGGCAGCTGCGGAGAGGCACGCACAGCTGCTGGGAATGCAAGCGGCGGAAGATGAAATGCGTCTTCGAGCCCGCCGTCAACGCCACGGCTTGCTGTGGCTGTTGGCGAAGAGGGTCTCGGTGTCTCAGCCAGGAGTTTCCCGAAGCCAGCGCGATTGACATGGAGATGGTCGCAAGACTGAATGACGCCGGTAAAACTGGCAGTGGCACTGGCAGACCAAAGACGGCGGCGGTGCCACTATCAACGACCTCAACCTCAACCTCAAGCCCTCGCACTCCATCATCAGACAAACCTCTTACGCCTACGTCGTCTACGACGTCGGAGCCGCCACGAAAGCAAGCATCTCACAAATCCGACCCTGAGAGCCTGTCTCGATTCCTGTACGAATCGCTGCCTTCTCAGGAAGATACCGAAACGATATACAAGGCAATTCCTCAACGGCCTGTGCATGCTCATGAAATGATGACCATGCCGTACACCTGTCTCTCTCAGCACGACCGGTCCCCACCGTCCCACTCGCTCGAAGTCCCATTACCAAACCCAAGGACACATCCCGTGCTGATTGCCAGACATATGCTTCTGCTGGCCAGCCTCCTGCAACACCTCCACCCCGAGGTCCATGCCGATATCAGAAATCTTTCAGAACCACCACGGGCTATGTCAGAGCGGCTAGCCGACCTCGCCGTCAGCCACGTCACGACTAGGGACGAGCTGCTCGGCAGTATCGAAGGCCTGGACTGCATCATGATTGAGAGCGTGTACCAGGCGAACCTCGGCAACCTCCGCCGAAGCTGGGTCGCGGCACGCAGAGCTCTCAGCGTAGCACAATTAATGGGTCTGGACCGCTCGAGCAACCGCACACCACAGTACGAAGTGCTTGACGCTCGGACGAAACACGACCCACGCACCATGTGGTCTCGGATCGTCTTTCTGGACCGCTTTCTCTGTCTTCTGCTCGGCCTCCCGCAGGGCTGTCACGAGAAAAGCATGAGTTGTGAAGCGATCCTGGCAGCGGGTCTCCCTATGGAACGGCTCGAACGCATCCACTGCGCCGTTGCGTCGCGGATTCTCGAGCGGAACGAGTCGGAGTCGGAGCTGGGCGCTCCTGACCTGACCAACATCACTACCACTCGAACGTTGGATCTGGAGCTGCAAAAGGCGGCCCGGAGCGTGCCCAGCAAGTGGTGGTTGACTCCCAAGTTGGACCGTACGGCAACAGACCCGCGCGCCACCTTCTGGAACACAGGCCGCCTGTTCGCCCAAGTCCTGCACTACAACCTCGTCAACCAGCTGCATCTTCCGTACATGTTACGTTCTTCTTCGCGGGGCGCTCGCCAGGACGATGAGTTCTCGCGGATCACCTGCGTGAATGCCTCGCGGGAAGTTCTCACGCGCTTCATCACCCTCCGCGGCTTCAACGGCATCGCCTCCAGCTGTCGAATCATCGACTTCCTCGCCCTCATGGCTGCCATCACTTTGTTGCTCGCCCACCTTGACAGCCACCACTTGGGCCCCGGGAATCTCCTGGCTCACCAGTATCACAGTGATCGCGCCATGATCGAGCAGGTGCAGGACAGTTTCCGAGAAGTCAACAGTCTAAACTCAGATGCGCTCAGTGCCCATAGCGCCGATCTGCTACGGAGATTACTCGCCATTGATGCGGATAGCACACAGGGTGCCGGAAGAGTGAGCGTGCACAAAGCCGAACCCGGGTCGGCGCAAGCCGGTCTGAACGATGAAGGCGCCGTGAGCGTCCACATTCCTTACTTTGGTATTATTCGGATCACCCGCGAAGGCTTGAGCACGACGCGCCCCGAGTCGCAATCCAATGCCCAGAGCATGGCCGTGGCTGTTACTACTGGGAACGCCGGAGTCGAAGCACCAGTCGCGTTGCCGGAGATCTATATCACGACTCAACTCGAACCCGGCGCCTTGTCCACATCGACCTCTACCGCAGATTACTCTGCTATGCACTTCGCACCACAGCACATTGATGACATGGATGACATGACAGATCCTCTGCAACATGCCAGTGGAGAATACCCTGGATTGGCGGCCGGGATGGAAGACTGGGCGTTTCAGGGCGTCGACCTCGCTTTCTTTGACAGCCTGATGCGGACTACAGGAAATGGGTCATGACGGAAGGAAAGGCAAGGTATCTAGGCAGTGTATATATTTTGTAGGGTGAGTCTGTGCGACTGGTCTAGATCGAATGGAATCAATTCGCGTCCATTCTTCGATCGGCCCATCACCATGTCTGTTCATTTCTTCTCTCGTAGAGCCGCGATTCATAAACAGTGTCCTGTGCCCTCAACTTCCTTCACTCTGCCGGTCAATGGACCAACAGCGGGCCCTTGCCACCGTGGTTGGACATGGGGAATAGTCTCGAAGGCCTCCTCGTCAAGATGGTTTCCTTGTCCATTGTAAGTATCGCCACCAACACCACCACCATTATAGTCAACATCATAGACGGCATCGACATCGTCATCGCCAGTATCGTCATCGTCACAATCACTCCCACTATCGTATTCCCCCCTCATATTCCACCACCACCGACTCGCGCGCCAAATGCCATCATGATCGTCTCTGTCCAACTCCTCCTGCTCGGTACCGATCAAATGGCTCCACTTCCTCAGAAACCACCTCTTGGCCTCCCAACTCCGCGTGCTCCAGGCCACACTCTCACGCATATCGCGCCTGGTTTTCCTCGCCGACGTCCTATTCGAATGCCGATGAGCCACGCCCGACATGCCACCCCAGCAGACCATGCCGCCGTGCATGATATCCATAAACAGGGCGGCATGATCGAGCGTTCCCTCGGCAGACGCGCGGACGGCGTTGTCGCGGAAGTACGGGAAGACAATACAGTCAAGGTAACTGGGGTGAGCGTGGAGGAGCTGGGTCGGCGTCGGGCGGAGAGCCGGCCGTAAGGCTTTGATGTGCTCGAACAGATCGGTGGTGACGGAGATCGCGGTCTTGAAAAAGCGGTAGCTGACTCTGACAGAGCTGGGAGGCCACGATGAACACGCACTAGTGTGGTTTTGCAGCGCGACGTAGCAGCCTGGAAAGTGTGACGGGTGGTCGTTCATATAGGCAGTGCGGCTGATCTTGAGGGCCAGCCCGACCTCTATGCATGCTTCGATATTGCCTTCGCCGACGAGACGCATGTGGTTGATGTAGGGGTCCGCCATCGTGCGTTTCGGTGGACGGTAGCAGTCCATCGCGAAGTTCTGTTGAGGAGAGCTGTGGTGACTCTGCTGGGGCGTCATTAATGTCATCGTCATGTCGGCTTTGGACAAGGGATTCGGTCGAATTCTTGTCGAAGTCACCGTAGTGAGGTCTCCTTCTGGACTAGCAGTGGAACGCTGATCAGGAATCGCCCAAATATGTCGGAGATCTATATCTCCATATTCCTCGTGGACGTGCTCGACCACTTCCGGCTGGGGCGACTGGAGCGACTGTGCACCAGCACCTAACTGCAAATGAAATCCTGTACCTGAGGTCTGGCCGATCGGAAGATCACCCGCAGCGACGAAGGCATCAGCTAGGTCGATGATGTGTGGGTTTGTGGTCGGGATTGTGGGCGGAGTCGTCGCCTGGGAAAGACCCAAGCCATCCCTATCAATATCGGTCGAGGCTGCATGCTGGGGAACGTCTGGTTGGACCACACCAGTCTGTTCATCCAGGGCGTCGAGCTTTTTCTTCAGCCTCTCGCGGTATGCTTTCTGAGCGCGTCTATTCTGCTCACGTCGTTTGTCCGTGAGAATCCGGACATAGGGTTTGCGAGAGTCTCCACTGGCTGTGGTAGACTGATTAGTTGAACCTCCGTGCTGTTCGACCATGTTTGGGCGTTTTGGGGGTTTCAAGGGGGCCGAAGAGAGGTAGATATTCGCATTGATGTGTCAGTGTGAGCCATTGCGGCAGGCTGAGGGGATAGTCTTATGATTATGGCTGATGAGCGGGAGGAGGCAAACCGTCTCGGCCGATAAAGAGAGTAAGCCAGATAGTAAGCCAATGACTAACCACAACGGTACTAGTGTCCACAGAGCCAGGCAGCAATGCTTCATTAGCACATGTTGGATTCTGATTGGCAGGATACTCCCGCTGCTTTAGTCTGATTCCGGCATGGTCTGAACCTACCAAGTGATCGGCGAGATACACGTCATTGCAATCATTTCGTCGATATTTCAAAGTATTGAAACTTCATAGACAATAACTAAAGAATCACCATGTGTATCTGGAACCAAAAGGCTGTAGTAAGATGCCTAAGTAAGATGCCTTGTTGGGTGCTTCCAGAACCCATCCTCACAATGCCTTCGTGAACCCTGGAGATCTCGTGCCTAAGAGCCCACCTCTGTGTCACGCCTGGCCCAATCCGAAGGCAATGTATTCATCGAGACAATTAATGCCTATGCTCGTCAAGTCCCAATCGTGTAGTCGTTCCATTTCCTTTTCATCTCATCTCGAGTATACCCCAAAGATGGTCTGCCATTGCACCAACTCCTTCGTCAGTGCTTCCATCATTTCGACACTGCCCATATTGCCAAAATCCTTGTCATCAATGACGCCAAGTGAACCCTGTTCCTCCTGCGAGTGAGCTTCCTTCAGCCCAGCTTCCACAGCGCGAACCAAACTGGACGTGGGGAGATGTATCGACCCTTTGACCCCAGTGGGCGTGCTGGTTCCCTTGGAACTTGCACTCCCGCTTGACTGATGGGAAGGTGCTGCTTTTTCGGTTTGCATATGTCCGACAAATTCCAGAATCGCCGCAACACGTCGCTTCATCTCATTCAAACTTGTTCGTGCGGGATGTGTCTTGGCCTTGGAGCTGCGTCCGCTTTCACCATGGATTCCATTCATTCCTGGCGGTGATACACCATGACCATTGATATCGTGCGAGCCGTCTCTCGCAGGAGTCCCTCCTTCGTCGCCATTGCCGTGGTCTCGAGTGTATTGGTTTCTTCCAAGTCTTCCCCTTCTCGCAGTCGGTCTGCCCGTTCTCCGAGTGGTATTGGATCGTCCCGAAGGAGGTGTATCAGCTTTCGCTTTGCCGTTGACCTGAGCCATCTTGGACGGGGAGAGGCTGGGGGTAGCAGGGGGGGAGTCTAAGCGGTTAGCCGGAAATTTATGTCTGAATATCATGGATGCCATACCTTCTCCTCTTCTGCGTTCGGACCGAGCATTTCGTTTGTTGGCAGCCTCGGCACGTTGCACTGCTTGCTGTTCTTTCTGTTTGTCTCGTAGTTCTTTCTCTCGATTGTTTCGTGCAGCGGCCCCTCGAAGTTTGAGTGAAGCAAGCCTGCCAGCAGCAGTCCCTTTGCTGGCCGTATCGTCTCCAGCCGGATCAGGCGATTCACTCCGCTTAGACATGGTCGAGGATGAGTTCGACCCTGTCCGTTGACGTTTGTTTTTCCCTCTTTGACTGTGTCATTGTGGTTAGATTTTGCTATGGTCAAGTCGCAAAGAGGAAGCTCACTCTTCTGAATCATCCCGGGTACGCTTTCCCAAGGGACCCATCTCTCTGCTCTCTTCAATGGCTCGCCGTAGCATTTCGTCTTCGTCATACGCGCCGCGACTGTTCATGGTGGCTCTTCTCTTGGTGCTTTCGCTTTGTTTATTCTTGCCATCCTTCTTCCGAGGTGGATCGGCCGTCGATGGCAAAGGAGAGGGTAGTATAGAGGAGTGGTCAAGGACTGGAAGGTAGCGAGAAGATTTCAGGCTGGTGTAATCTGGTTAGCATATTGGTTCCAGTCGAATAGCAAGTTTCTTTGCCAACACCATGCGCAAAATGCACAGCGACAGAAAACACAAAGCATCTGACACCAATCGCTGTCGTTCTCTTGTGGTTGCAGACAGACTTTCAGGACTGGGAAATGTCAGACTTACCCACTGGGAGACTTTGTGACCTTGTGATATTCTGGCTTGCACAGCTCACAGTAATACTCGTCGGGTAGCATGGACTCATCCAGCAAGCCCATACAGCCACCATGCTGCCAAACCCCACAATTGTCGCATTGAACAAAGAAGTTGCCGGTGTCGTCACTGAGGGCTTCCGGGTTGGGTTGTTGCTGTCGTGTGGCGGCCGAGGGGCCAGGATATTCGGCCTGCCCACAAATACAACGAGTCACCTCCTCTTCGACAGGGTCAGGATCAAGTGCACTTTCTTCTTCATCTTGCTGTCGCTTGCCGGCAGGTTCCTTCTCGACGCCGTTACGTCGACTGCGACGTGGTGGGAGTTGCTCCCCTTGAGGGGTAGAGTCGGCGCCATCGACTGAATCGGATCTTTGGGTCGACGGTCTTCTCGGGGAGTTGGTACGGTTAGTTGCGCGAGGGTCTCGCTCTGGTCTCGAAGGGTTGGACATGTTGGAGTTTGTGTGGTTGAGGCCAGCAGGAGGTAGTTGCGAGGAGCGGGCACGAGAGGAGCGTCGTGGGCTCATCTTGGTCTAGCAAGGCACGCTTGGAGTCTTGTGAGCTCGAAAACAATCGAAGCTCGTAGGAGACGCAGCAGCCAGCATACGGTTTTACAGCAAGCTGTCGTGATCGGGGTAAGAGGCTGCGTCGCCTGGAGTGGAGGAAATTCGCGGGCAGTCGATCGAGAAGAGGCGGGTGGAGTAAGGACAGGGCGTTGAAAACAAATCAACTGGACAGGACGAACGAGAAGCAGATCGCCAGTAGTGTGAAATGGCAGAGTTACATTGCTGATGGTGTTGATTGATCTGAGGAGGGGAGACAGCGAGATCGAGGAGAAGAAGAGGAAGGGGTGTGTGTGTGCTTTCTCCCTCTCTCTAGCAACGAGCAAGAACGAGACTGCGGTGACTGGTAGCACAGCGGTGAAATCAGTGAGTGAGTGACTTTGCCTGCGCTTCTCTCTCCCACCGAAAGGCCGACGGCTGGAGCATGCAGCGCGTGTTGTGACTGGCCACAGAGAGAGAAGCGGGTCTTTCAATTGAGGCGTAAGTGGCACTCCATACATGGCACTTGTTAACAGAGCATATCTAGCCAGAGTCCCCTAGTAGCAAAGCAAGCAGCTACCCGGCAGGCTGGCGGGATCACAGTCAGGTACCTCCTCACTAACCCAAAGTGTGTTTCCCTTTGGAGATCTCCAATTTTGATCAGACAGACATTCGATGGCTTGACTCTCCAACCTGGCAAGGCCCTGGACGACACAATCCAACATGACTACCTGAGGGCACAGAGGGCACCTGGAAATATTGGCGATCTAGACAGTCCATATTATCAGCAGCCATCAACAAGTTTGTCAGACATCACTGTCGAGTAGCAGTATGTAAGGTTGTCGTAAGTACTAGGTAGTACTGACGAGTCGGCTACAATCCCAGCCTCCCAGCCTGCGATTTCGATTTCGATGCTTACATAGCAATAACGAGGAAGGTACTCCGGGTACTACATAGCGCTTCCCCACACCTGGGAGCTCGATCACGTGCACTCCAAGTAGATGCCAAGTCTTCTCCCCCACTGGCACTGCACCCACTTGACGCGTCTTCCACCAAACCGCGCTCAATCTACGCGTCTAGCTGTGCGCCGTCCCACTACAAGTCATACGGTGCGAGGTGACAATCTATGGCTGCAACGCGAGGGGCGACAGCGTCCAAACTGAGACTCCCATGGGAACGAGTAGCTGTCCAGAGTTTGCAGGTATAGAGGAGCAATCGTTGGTGATCCGTAATCGAACGAGGAGGCATCAACAGGTCAGCTTCCACGCACAAAATATATAGCTTACACCCTGCCCCCTGGGTGTAGTAGTTCAACCTCGACCATTAATCTACCTTCTTGACGATTGATGTAGTAGTATAGAAGCCATAAAAGCTTGTTCAAACGCAGACTTTCTTGATGGTTGTACAAATTATTGGCCGCTGTCCTGTCGTAACTTCATGTCATAATACCGACGTAATCTTGAAATGCGACGGTTCGCTCGAGTGTGGTGCTCGTTCCGCCGTCCTTCAAAACAACGGCTCAGGGCTGGAAGATGAGATGTACCCGGGGTCATCACGTTCGCTCAATCGTTGCGGCTTAGGAACCTGCACTCCACCAGCCTTGGTCACTCCGCCTCTATGACCCATGGACAAAAGTTCATCCTCTTTGGATTGGGCGTTGTCTTTGCCTTTGCCTTTCTCGCTGGACTTCCCTCTGTCCTCCGAGCTTGGCGACCTGGTTTCGGGCCCGATGTCCTGACTTCCTGTCTCGCCCCGTTTCTTCCGGATCAACAGACTCAGCTGGCTCTTCGTCCGTGAGAGTCCAACATGTTCATTCTCGGAAGAGTCGTCTTCATCAGTAAGCGCGTCACTTGCAAGGCTGGACCGAAGTCGGGCCGGGCCTGTGCGGTCGTCATGCAGCATTTCCTTCTCTTTGCCTTTACCGATGTCCTGGGGGATCTCATCTGCAAACCGGACTACACTGCCGGTTTTCCTGATGCGTCCCAAAGGCGCCAGACTCGCCGAGCTGGATAGTTGCTTTTGTGTCTCGACGAACTTTCCTCGGAACCCCCGATCAACCAATGCGGATGAAGCAGAAGGCGAGGAACCGGTGGCCACTGGGCCAGGATACTCGGCCGTCGAATCCACGCTTTGCCAGGAAGAAGCAGAGGGAAGAGCGAACACGGGACCACTCGTGGCTGCTAGCACCGTCATCGTCAGTGGAGGAACAGCAATGGGACGTGTGTACTCACCTGGAACAGCAGGGAAGCCTGGCGGTGGCCCTCGAGGTCGCACCCCAGTACTGATATCTTCCGAAGTCTCTCCTGCTCTCATTGAGATGTCCTCAGGCGACCACTCTGGGTTGGGAACTGCTGGTGCTTTGGTCGTGCTCGATTTTCGTCGACCGATGTTTGGCCTGGTTCGTGACTTCCCGGCAGAAACCTGACCTGGGTGTCTTATTCGTCCGGCACTCGAGGTTTTCCCTAGAGAAGGTCGCGAAGACGAGCCAGGACCCGTGTGAGACGGAGTGGCCGGATTGTGAATGGCCGGCGGCAGTGCGCGTTCGCCTGCTGGCGCGATTGAGGCTGAGGATTGTCCATGTCGTGCCTCGTCGCCCGCGGCAGCAAATCTGTACTCTCGTAACGAAGATCCGACATCCTGGCTCGGCTGGTGGCTGCTATCCGAGATTGGGCGGAGTTCAGATCTGGGCGACAGTGAAGAGGATCTAGTTCGAATCTGTGTAGAAGCAAAGTCGTCCTATTTGAGTTCTATCAGCATACATCCACCTGATGCTGGCAATTCCAAACTTACATGTGATAAAGATCCTCGAGGCGTGGCCGGATGGGCTGCAATGGGAGTAAGGTTGAATTCTTCACTGCACTGGCGCCATAAACGCATCAAGCGATCGCTTGTCATGGACTGAGAGAGATTCGGACTGCCCCAAACCCTCCAAAAGAGGTTGCGTGCTCTTGGGCTCGCATGATCTGAAGTCACATTACTTTGGGTATCAAAGACTGCAATCTCAGATCAGCCACTTCTTCTTTGCCTGCTCAGCAGCAGGTAGCATACCTTTCCAGAACTTATGGAGGACTTCCGAGTTCGTGATTTGAGGACTTGTATCGTCGAAAGAGAGCTGCTCAGAGGTGATTGTCGCATCAATCAGGCCTTCGGGTAGGACGGCCGTCATGACATGCAGTTATCAGGGTTCCTGCCCTTCAGCATCCCCAAGCTGACAGTCGATGTTAGAAGATCGCAATGACCAGTACATGTCCTTTTGCGCCAACTGTTCGGCCGTACGCACAACTGTCAGTGGGCCAAGGGCCAAGGCAGGGACGACCGGCAAGAAAGTCCAGCAGCGATACCGACGCAGTTGCAATAGCAGGCAGCGCACAGGCGCGCCGCAGCAGGTGCAGGCGGTCGGAGGGAATCCGAGGATTGAGAACACCTGCGATATGGGCAGAGGGCAAGGCGGGAAGAACAGGTGGATGATTATTATTTTCCCGCTTAGTATCGCGAACGCGAGAATCGTAGTTGTGCGGTCCGGAATTCTAGCGCTGGTGGGTTTTCGTCTTAAGAGGCGTGCAGTGACGGGAGGATGCAGCGGGAGGCCAAGGCCGGAGGTGGTGCAGTGGTGAGTGCGGCAGTGGCTGCACACCGGTCGGATGACTTGTCGACACCCTTCATGGGATCGCACGGTGGAAGGGATCAAAGGGGGAGGAGAATTGGCAGAGAACAGATGAAGCGGTCACTCTTCCAGTGTCGGTGACAGTTGTCAGTGTCAGTATCAAGAGGGTCCTTGGGATCCGTTTCCGGAAGCCTAACTCAACGGCAGCCAGTCAAACAGACGCGCGGATCACATCCGTTGGGTGATGTCGGAGCCTGACAAGTCGAACTAAATACGCCACGGACTCGTCTGCCAGCTGGGGTCGTGGAGACTGGACACAAAAGGTTGAACGGAGGAGGCTCTGGGTTCGGATGGAGATGTTGCGGAAGGACACCAGGAGTAGAGGAGAGGTTCCGAAGACGAGTCAAGCGCAGTGTCCATAACCTGGCGGGGGACAGGACGTAGGAGGTTGATCGGTACTTGGGACTGTACTATCTGGCAAATAGAGGTACAAGAAGGAATAGAGGGAGAGAGAGTCGTCAGTCCCGGTGAACAATCAGAAAAGGTAACAGCCGCAAGTCACCCGACCACAGAGTGGCAGGGTGACAGGGTTTGGATGCGGACTTGATTGACCTTGGGCACCTCAGACGGCGGCCGGTAAGCAATGCAGGAACACGGTTGGACAACGGCATCACAGCTACGGGAGAGGAGTGACAGGGAATGGAGCTGCATGGAGCTTGTCGACAGCGGATGGAGACCGTAGGGTCGGGTCGGGTGAATAGAGTATCGAAGGGTCTGGAATCAGGTATGGGACATGGTCAATCTGGGACCGGGTACGTTGGTAGTTCGTAACTGACAGACATCAAGTGGGATGGTTCGTGACAGGCAGAGGAGGAGGAGGAGTAACGGTTGGAAGGGAATTGCACACACACATCGGCGGGCATTGGACGTCCAGGAAAGGTAGACTGGATTGGGCGGCAATGAGCACGGCCATGAACAGGGTTCATCAGTTGAACCTGACAGTCAATCCTCCATCCGTCAATAGTCCCGATTTATCCATCCATGGACGGATAAGGTGGAGTTTTGACAGGACCAGGGGGGAAAAGCAGAGGGAAAAGGAAACAGAAGGTGGAGTGGATAGGTACTAAGAAGTGTAACACAGTATAGACTGAAGGAAGAAGAGGAGAGGTGAAGAGCTAGAAACAGGGACAGCGACAAGCCCGAGAAGCTAACGAGACAGACGGCATACAAGTACGGCCACATGGCCATCCGATATCATTAGCCGCGCACGAAGTCGTGGAGGAGAGTGCGTATACAGAGTATAAGAGGAGGCGGGAAGAGGCGCAGAAGCGAAGGAAAAGAAGGAAAAGAAGGAAATCACAGGCGAAAAGGACCACCATCTCGATGTTGTGGTTAGTACGTAGTTGCAGTAGCAGGCACTCAGTGGAACGAGGCAGGGGGAGAATGACCAGGATCGCATCCGGCTCCGGATGTCAGAGCCTCACCGCCGAATTGACGAGTACTACTAGTAGTATGTAGGTAACTGTGTACTCTGTACCCTGTACCCAGGTATCGCAGCATCGACAAATTGGAAGTTGCTGACACTAGACAGCCATGACCAACAGCACTCACTGGCGGATGGAAAGAAAACTAGTAGATGAGTCCATCGACAAGCCACCGATGTCCTCGGAGCCTCCATTTCCACATGTGGCAGCAAGCGATTCAAGGTACTACTACCTGAGAAGGGCAGGAGGCACTGCAGTAGGCGACATAAGTACTGCATTGTGTGTGCAACACGTGGAAATATAAGTTTGCAGATTAATCGAGGATCATACCTTACTAGAGGAAAGTTAAGTACCTAAGTATGAGATCCAGGCCATACTAACATGCAACTCTCACTACTGCCAGGTAGATAGGGGGTACCTAGTGTACCTTATTACTAGCAACGCGTCTACCACAAAGCGTAGTAGGCTTGCCCACCACTCTCTCCACACACTGCAGTACGAGCAGTAACGAAATATGCCTTCAGAAGCGAAGCATATCAACCTACCTACTACCTACTAGCAGTACAGAGTATATCTAATAAGTCCGTACATGTACCTCCCGGATACCTTTCAGGTCACCACGCTAACCATTCGCATCTTCCTTCTATTGCCTGGCAGCAGTTTCTCCCTGACGCCGGCTCATCACCATTTCCACGCTTGGGGATACATATACCTTACACCAGCATCCATCTGCCATCCTTGACACTGCCATGCCCATTCCAACCACCAGCCATCCACGCCCCTGGCTCCGACTTCACTTCTTTCTCGATTCCAAGTCTTTGGGTCACCGACTCTAGTAGAATGTGACTCCAGATTACTCCCTGCAGCAGAATACGAACAAGCTACGGAATATGACCTGGTATCGCCGCATATTCTCTCCCTGGATTCAGAATGAAGTGACATCGTCAGAGGTGCTCTGTATGGTTGCAGTCAAAAAATGGTTACTTCTGTCCCTGTCCAGTCTGGCCTTTCAGTAAGTACAACGCCCTGAACAGTGGGAAAAAATACCAAACGATCGACTTGGGTGGGGGTAGTCCAGAGCATCCACAGTCCAAACATCCCATGTACTGTGCATGGTTATTGAGCAGTCCCATGCCATGCCATTCTCCCAGCGCATCCTATCCACTCAATCCAGGGGTGGACGCCCGATGCCCCTGTACTGAAGGCTCGCGCCGGCGAACCCCAATTCCGACCTGCCCAATTAGTGTCCCTTATCCCAAGATCAACTGCACTGCATGCATGTTCTAGCATGCCTTGCCCTGCCACATGGACTAGGGGGCCATTGCCGCCCGAGCAGGCGCTCCATCTTCCTGGTAAGTCACCACTAGGTAGGTACTACGGACGGGCACTCGAAACGAGAGTCCCGACCTCTTGTCAAATCCCGCGGAAAGGGCGGTCTGGACTTTTCTACCCTTGGTCCCAAACGAGCATGATCGTCGGTTACCTGATATCTGGGAGGAGGGAGATCCATTGGAACCTGAAACCGTCCACACCACAACCAGGATGCCACAACAGCATCGTGTGATCCAAGATAACTCTTCCATGTCGAAATGTGCAACTTGATTCTCACTCTCCCCCGATATCAATCCCACGCAGAGGCTTCTCCTCGGGAGAGTCTACGATCAACAGACGCACCTGATCACAATCATGGCTTATCAACTTGGGAGAGCCTCTTACGCATTGTCAAACCCGTGTTACGTGGGAAGTGTGATGCATTCACCAACGTTCAACATCCCACGCCATCGTCGATCACATTTCAAGGCTACTCTGTACGTACTTCCTGGAGCCGTGGTTGGTCACTGTGATTAAGAATGGGATTCGGCCCTGGTAGCAGATGCTGCCGCACCCAGGCGATCGTGCCGTCCCAGTGCTAGTTGGTGCCAATGTGTGTCTATCCGATTTGTATCTGCGCCTTGAGTACCCCGGCTGCATGTACTGCAGACTGATCTATTTCCTTAACCAGTTGCCCCGTCTATATTATCGAACATCCCAATGATCCAATAGGTGTCTCGCGGACGAGCTTGCCAACCTACCCCAGCCCATTCGATTGTACACAGACTGATGGAGTTCCCATGGACCCCCACCACTGTCAGTCTCTCTTATCCTGCTTGAGGTGGTGGCATTGTACCAGAACGAGGATTATGTGCATGTGTATCTGCGGTCATCCTGTTAGCAAATGGACCAAAATGCAAGACACTGGGACGCAAGGAGAGATGCAATCAACTTACCCTCCATCAACACGCAATTCGGCGCCCGTCACATAGCGACTCGCGTCGCTAAGTAGGTAAACCACAGCGCCCTGCAAGTCCTCGGGCGATCCCATCTTTCCAACAGGAATCAAGGATGTCCAGGTCTTGTTAAGCTCTGGCTTCTCGTCAAGGATTTTGCGGGTCCTATCAACGACTACACGTCAGTATAAAGTGTCGGGAAGCTAGGGTCGGGGCAGGATGGGGGGTGGAAACGTACAATGCTGTCAACATATATCCTGGACTGATACAGTTGACTCTGATATGGGCATGTGCCCATTCCACAGCCAAACTGGCAGCCAGATGCCGGACGGCCGCTTTAGCCGCATTGTAGGGCGCCTGGGGTTGGGGCACATTGACAATGGAACCGGACATGCTGCCAATGAAGGCCATGCTGCCGTGAGTGATGTTTCTCTCCATCAAGTGCCGTGCGACACCAGTCGCGAACAAATAGGTTCCATCGACGTCGACGCCCCACAGTTTCTTCATGCGATCGTAGGGATAAGTCTCTGCGGAGAAGTTCTCGGTGAAGCCGGCCGAGGTGACCAGGTGGTCGATCTTGCCATGCGCCTCCAGAACCTCCTTGATGCAAGCATTGACGCTGTCGGGATCGGATACGTCGCAGTAGTGCGCGGTGATCTTGGGGATGACTTCCGGGTCATGTGGGTTCTCGCGACGGAACATCTCGACGAGCTCTTTGGCTTGTTTCTCACCTTCCTCCTCTACAAGGCGAAGTTGTTAGTTAACAATGTGCATCTACTGCAGTTGACGAGCGCGGTCATAGCGGGTCAAGCTTACTGTTCAAGTCCACAATAGCCAGGTCGGAGCCGGAGCTGACCAGAGCCTGGCCCATGACCAGACCAAGGCCACGAGCACCACCAGTCACAACGGCAGTGCGGCCCTCAAGCGAGAAGGTCGGCAAGGTCCGCACAAAGTGCACCCCTCCTCTGCCTCTCAGGGGTTGTTCGTGAGCAGCCAGCTCGGCCTCATCGTCGGGGTACTCGACAACAATGTCTTTGTCGGTACGCGAGGCCGAGCCTTCGTGTGGGCCGGCGGATTCGCCGACCGCCTCCGTGCTGGATTTGTGATACGGGTCTGAGCTGTTCTTTTTCCGCTGAGTGTGGGCGATCTGCTGAGCGGAGATGGTGCTCAGGGGTCTCGCGCCGGCTTTGACCAGCGGAGTCGTGGCTGTCACCGCCGCAGGGCGAGAGGCCAGGCGGCTGGAGGTGTGCCGGAGCAGGCGGAGTGCTGAAGATGCGTTCATCTTGAAAAGAATAGGACAAGGATGGTCGGAGAAGATTCTATCCCTGCTCGTTCAATGTGTCGATGCTTTGTAGGATCTTTCTCAGATGCGTCGCTGGTGATGATGGGAATCCAACCAGTGACGTGTAGCAACCAATCGAGGAGCAACTAGTATTCGAAAGTGTGTTTGTTGATACTGTGTTCTTCCGATGATGCAGGTCTCCTTCCGAGTTCTTGTTTCTCCGTGTCTCCTTTTCTGTGTGTATAGCCTTGCGGTGTTTGAGCAAATTCCTCAACTGCGTGGTTGGTGGTCGAGAGTGGCTTGTTGAGGGGCTTCTCGTTTCTTTTGCCTTTCTCGGTTCACAGTAGAGGGAGGTTTGTTTGACCGTGCAAGTGGTGTGGTGACGTCTTGTTATGTTACACTGCTCTGATGCGTAGCACTAGCAGCAGCTTTCCCAATGCCAGAAGCTCAACGGACGATTCGATTTCGAGCTTGGAGGTCGCAGCTAAGCAAGCTGATGGAACGACCGAGGTGTCTGGTAGAGGAGGTGAGACAGCTATCTCTTGTGCAAAGAAAGTGTGGAAGATAGGTAGGAGTTGACTGCTGTGAGCTGTCAAGTCGACGCTAGGTGCTGTATATGGGGGTGACTGTCCGATGTGTCCGAATGGAAATTTTCAGGTCAACAAAGCTCTGGTAGCGAGGCAGACTAGGTAGCTAGATGGCTGAATAGCAGGGTATCTTGTCCAGGGTAGTGGAGGGACTTTGCAAATATTACTGTCACTGTTGCTAGGTGTAATGTGTTTCCTAAGGTACCTCTGAAGTTTTGTGAGGGAAAAAGGGGGACAGAATTCTGGCGGGGCGGTTGATGTCATCGTTTAATCGCGCACTGGCACAGCGATATCAACACGTACACACCGACTTTCGACCTCGACACCGTGTCCAGTAAGGTGGTAGTCTTGTGCAGTGGAAGCTATGGAAAGTTATGGAGCCTTGTAGTGATGGACAGCTCTATTTCATTCTTTCGTTATTTATTGGGGCACTCCTGGGCTTCAACCCCACCGAAGGCGAGACCCTGGCGGCCCAAGTGGCACCTCAGGCATCTGTACTGCATGTGGGCGAGAATTATAAGAACGATGCGCAGCTGCTTGGGAGTTTCTGGTACCAGCGGAGACTGAGAGGGAAAGTCCTTACTAACTGGGTAACTAGTTAGTCCTTTAGCTACTGATTGATCTGCACCCACATCCTTACTGTGTACATTTTATGGAACCGGCTAATAAACGGCTTTAGTAGTCGAGCCAGACTTCTACGATGCGAAACCGGAATCTGCATTCAGATTGGGCCTGGTATGTACTTACTAACCAGTTTGCAGCATGCTAGTATGGTAAGATCTGCCTGCGCACAAAGTGGCCGGAGATCATGGTACCTATGATAATACGTATCGTCGTCTATCGCTCTCGGTAAGTCCCGGTCTCGGACCAGCTCACTGTACCAGATACCTACCTAGTAACCTTGGAAAGGTACCTACCTATAGACATGTACTACTAAGAGACTGCGTATCTCCAGTTCTCGCACGCTCTCTCTTTTCTGCATATCCAGCTACTGCAACTAGTCATGCTCTCCCACGAGGCTCAGTTTGTCAGCCTGATTCGGATATAAACGAATTCAGGACTCCAGCCTCCTCATCGATGGTTGTTGTCGAGTGGGAGTATCGTCTTAAGATTGATGGGCTTGACTTCAATTCCTACCGAATCTGCCAACAGAGACGCCATAACCGCTTGCTAACAGAAGCCACTGGGGTATCCCTTTGACGATTAACACTAAACACAGCAAAGGAAAAAGAGACCGTGGTCCTAGAAGAAACTTATGCCTTCCCCGGTCTCGAGATCCGACCACCCCATCTCTCCCTAAAGAACCACAAAGACCCCATCACCGCCGTGACAAACCACAGCACCAACCCCGCCAGATCAAACCCGACCGCGACCTTCATGCGGTGGATTCCTGCCTCCATCTCAACCTTCTCATTCAAATACATGGTGCCGAAAATGCCCGACAGCGCGGCCCAAAGCACCATCAGCACCCAGTCCCAGGCGAACAAGAACGTCAGACTGCGATAGTGCATGAACACCGAGACGAATGCGTACACGACCGCCGTGGCTGCCGCGATGGACCCGACGGTCACGGCATAGACCTGCAAGATGAAGATTAGTCGGACGATCTCTGGAGCGGTCGAGTCATGTTAGGAGTGTACCCATTTGCCGTCGCTGTATTTGTCCTCCTTGCGCGCGCGGTTCAGGTCGATCCCGTACAGACCGATGACTACTAATCCGTCGACCAGTTGCAGGGAACGCAGGAGGAGATTGACGATGTTGGAGAGGCGGAAGTTGCTGAAGAAGGTTTTGGATGGGGCCATTGTTCGTCAATTTCAATTTTGGAGGGGTTTGGTTTGGTTTGATCTGGTTCGCGGCTTAGGTGCTGGATATACGTCGCTGTGAGGGTCTTTTGGCCTGGTCAGCTGGAAGTAGGGGGGTGTGCAAAAGAGATGTTTCTCATCCGGGAGCAGAGGTGTTTTGGAAGAGGGAAGATGTGACTGATGAGTGGTGAGTGGTATATCCAGAAGAAGGGGCATATCATACCTGAGGTAGGTAGGTAGGTACTTCTTCTTTGTAACCCGAGAAGATCAAAGGGGGCGACGGAAGTCTGAAGCAATGAGACAAACGGGTATCTTAAGAGCCTCAAACAATGATTTGCCCTCCTTTCGTTTGTCACTGTGGCATTGTCTCACTGGATGACAAGCGGTATAGGAGAAAGAAGCCCTTTATTCTCTTTGTATGAGTACAATATTGACAATGGTGTGCACTATTCATGCTATCCAGCACTATCTCAGGCAACAAACGACGGGTTGCATAGTTGCCCAAGTGAATCAGGTCTTTTGGTTGACAAGTTCAGACAATCAATCTTTTTGCGTGGCACTGGAAATAGTGACAACCAAGAACTAGAGAGCGACGACCAGAGGAAGACAAACCACTGGGGTCATATATCCATCCTTTGTCACGCTGCAAGTTTTAGGTACCTTATGGACTGGTTGTTTGCCAGTACAAGATTCACGTAGACTGGAATCGGATGCAGATGAGAGAATGTAGTCGTACGTCATGGGGATCAGGCTACGGAGTACTACTACCTCCCACACTCCTCCACGATTGATAGTCGATCATGACAGCCAACTAGTAAGTAGTATGCCATCCAGACGGGTGGTTGGAGATGCCAGTGCCTGTAGCATGCGGCGGCAGCGAGGATCAAGGTTACCGCTTAGATGCCTATTGGGCAAACAACCAGGGAGGTATCTCCATGATCGGCCCCTAGACTCTTGGAACTTGACTTGGTCGTCTGTCACATCAAGCCACAATCCTGGTTCCGTTGCGGCCTCACGAGTCACTGCGACTTGATCTCCCAGAAGGGTTACTACACATTCTTGACTTACTACCTGGATCCAAATGACCGTCCACAGGAAGAGTTTACTACTTGGAGAGGAGTATGTGCAGGCTATGCTAGGGACTAGGGCTAAACATATGAAAGACGACTAAATACACAGACAATGCGGAAGATAAGACCCCAACCCAAGGACCAAACAGATCCGTGGGGAATGCGAAAAGACCAAGGAGCAAACAGAAGAAAGACAGAAGGAAACCACGGACGGAGCACTCAACGCTCAACGTCAATGTGTCCCTCCGCCTTCTTCTCCCGCCCCTCCTCCAGCTTTGTCCGCCGCCTTCGCACTGGACGTTGTGGTTGCCGTTGCTGGTGGTTTGGCCGTCTCTTGAGGCGTCGGGGCCGGTATTGGAACTGGGTCATCGTCGTAACCATAATCCAGATCGTCATCACCAAGTTGATCTAACGGCTGATTGTCGTATGTTTGTTGATTCGTTGCCCCTGTCCCATGGTGGGCCCCTTTGGCGGCATTCTTGGTTTGCTTTCGACCCTTTCTTCCTTTCAGTTTGGCCTTTTCCAACAGACGTCTCTTTTCGGCTAATCGACGCCGTTCTTTCCGGTCTTTGATCTCGTACTGACGGATGAGGGCATGTGGCGGCTCGCCAAAGATGCTCTCATACTCACAAAACTCACAGATCCAGATGTCCTCAGGGGCTGGTGGATGCTGCAGATTGTTGTACTCTTGTTGAAGCTTCCTCTGTCGAGCGGCCAAAGCATAAACATCTCCTTTTCGTCTTCGGGGCTTCTTCCCTTGTGAATTGGCTTGGCCCGCCGCGGTGGGCGTGCCAGCACCTTGTTGAGGACCCGGAGGTGCATTGGTAGCTGAGGCTGGCCCCGAGGCGCCCTTTTGGTAGCCTGCCGGTTGGGACGACGGAGCCGGATTGGTGCGCTGACTATATCCAGGCGAATATAAACTCTGCTCTGGAAAAGTCACCCCCTTTGCCTCGGTTTCGCAGGTGAAGGTAAATTGTGAATTGGTGTGTGCGTCTTTGACTTGTTGGTCAAGAACGCCCATGTTTTCTTGTCCTTTGCTTAAAGGTTTGCGCAAAAGGGCGGTGGCGTTGGCAATGGCGGCGGAGATGATCCCTTGATCTTTTGAGTCCTCGGCTTTTTCGAGTGTCAGTCAATTTCATGCTTCCTCAAGTCTTCCACGTTGTGATTTACCTTTTGCGTTCGCGCTCATGTTCAGGTCGTACTTGGACGGACCACTGCGAACGTTGGAACCGTTTACCGAGACACCGAGCGGGTTGCGACCCTGGAGCTTCCTGTTGCCCCGGCCTCTGCCAGCACCTTGGACCCCAAGTCCGGAACTGCTTCCTGAATGCTTTGGAGTATGGTATGAATCGTCGGCTGAGCCATCCTTACCTCCACTAATACTCAGATGCGCAAGTTCATTGGTCATTGCTGAATGGTGTAAACTGAGGCTCCCAGATATAGGGATTTTTCTCTTCTTTTTATTGTTCGTGTTCTCAAAAGCTTCATATCCATCAGGTCCAGAAGTACCACTTTTCGTCGAATATCTCGCATGGTGCGGTGACTGGGGAGATCGTGGCGAATCAACAAAGTAATGGGTCACAGGGACCATACCTTCAAGATCATCTAAGTCGTCCTCATAATCATCATGGTGACAATGATGATGATGGTGGTGAGGACAATCATGGTGTTCATGGTCATCCTCGTGATGATCATGATCATGGTCATGTTCGTGGTCGTGGTCGTGGTCATGGTCATGGTCATGTTCATACCCATCGCTGTGATGGTGGACGAGGACTTTGCTGTCATTCGGATATTCTCCGTTCTCCCCGTAGTGGGTGTACGTAGGTAAACTTGACGAGGGTAAGGCGGGAGGGTAGGTGATGGACTCGGCAGCCTCTTGGGACAATCGACTTTTGAGCGATCGTCTGGGTAGCGGTCGAATCAATCGTTCGGGGAACACTGTTGACGGCGTATCGGGGGAGGAGAGGTAAGAGGTGTCTGAACGACCGAGTCAACTTTTCCGAACACACGACACTGTGATATATTCGAAGGCCTTTTCCCTTCATCGGAGCACATACTGTACGCCATCTTGACTTTCTTCCTTCTCTTCTACTAGACCGACAAGGATTTTCCAGACCCCATCCAAGCGTGACTCTTCGGGCTAGTGATCGATCCTGTGCATGACGATTATGTGTCAGTGATGGACTTGTCAGACGCATCTATCCGGGGCCACCGAGTGGGTGAAAACATCTCTCAGAGCCGACACGGATGAGATTCTGTATCTTGTATCTTGATTGTAGACTCGGGAGACCGAACATACCCGTCCGAAGGAATTATTCAGCGAGATCCGATCGACTTCTGGCACGAGCGTGCAGGACTGATATCTTCCGGGTCGGTTTCGCGACACTCTATCGATGTGGAGAACGACGGTTCGATATCCAAGGGATTCACACCAACTTTGAATGAAGGAATGGCAAAGTCCAGTGGTCACGAAAGGGTCTTCGAGATGCAATGACTTTCGATGGACAGCTAGTTCTAGCGGGCGCAGACAGTGTCCGTTTCACTTGCCAAGGCATGTAAAATCGGGCCCGAGGTCACCCCCTTTACGGGTCAAGGGTGATGCCGCTCTAAGCAGAGCCACGAGCTGCTGGCTGGGGGGGCTTAAAAAGAACTCGTCTTGTGCTACTACTACCTACTCAGTCGAAATCCCAATCCCGTAACTTGAAGACGGAGGGAAAACCACAGGCTTGGTAGACTCCATAGAGGCAGCACGAGCTTGGTGCTGCGCCATGGACCGTGGACGTCAGTTCTGCGAATGGAGAGAGAGAATATGCATTGTCTGTTTTGCAGCTTCGTTCGTTGTCTTATATCGCTGTTTCACCCATACTTGTTTTCCCTGGAGACAGGAGACTCAGATCTATTACTACTGCCAAATCGTACCTGTGCCTATGACAATGTTTTGAACCAGCCGACCTTGCCAGGACAATCTCTGAGCTTGCGCTAGTCACCGGTCACCGTCATGGCCTACCTACATCTGTCTCATCACAAGTGCGTAACTGAACAGGATGACATCAACCAGCATACATGAGGTATCTCTAAATAACCAAGTCTCATCGAGGCACTCCCGACATTCGAGCCTCTGGTAAAGCCACTATTCGGAGGTCACATATAGCCAGCAGCCAGATCAGCAGCACTAATGCCTCATGACTTATGTGCCTCTTGAGCAGGCACGTGGAAGACTGCCAGAGTCTTCAGATCCTTCGCACCCCTCAACCAGTGGATATTATCCTTGAACGATTGTGTCTCTCTGAAGTTGAGGTGAGCCTGGACGCTTTCCCAGCCAGCAAGGGCCACAAAGACTTTAGCCTTTCCAGAACCGTCAGGAAGATCGAGCTCCTCTACGACCCAGCCGCTCGCCGAATCTTTGAAGCCCTTTGCATTTTCTGCGACGGCAGCAAGAAGATTCTTCATATTGACTTCCCGGAAAGTCTTTTCGTCTTCTGCCGAATAGTCTGGTGGGAAGTAGACGGTAATGAACTCCGTCGCAATGGGACCGTCATCAACCAGAGCCACAGCTGGCGGATGAGGATCAAAGTGAACATGGTACAGACGAGGCGGGCCGGTCAGGTAGGTGCCGAGCTCCTCGGTGAATGGCTTGTATGTGCTGTGTGACCTTGTTAGATTCCAGATTCCCATCTGACAGCGTTCGATCGGCTTACGCTGAGGCTATGAACTTTTCATGATGTCCGACGCTCTCCCAGTCAATGAAGAGGGTACAGATGGATGGGTGCTCGACTTGTCGGCCCCAATACAGTCGTTGACAGCCGTCCTGGGCGAGAATTGTGTTGAAGAACTCCTTGAACTTCTGGCCGACAGCGCCGGTAGTATCCTCGGGATTAGTCCCCTCCTTGAGGGGTAGAAAGCAGATTTCCGTTGCCGGGGCCATGTTTGCAGTGATGCACTTTTGGATCGGTGCTTGCTGTGCTTTTTGAGGTCGATTGCACGGTTGGAAGATTTCGAATTGAGCAGGTAACAGTCTTATATATATACATGTAACTGGCGACACGGCGGGTTTTTTGATAGTCCCCGCTTTATGTAAGCGCGGCACCAGCTCAACCGGCGGGACGCTGTATGGAAATCAATAAACAAGGCCTGGTGGGATCTGGGACGCGCAATTCGATCGACAGCAACGCCGGATTCTATGGCAACATGAACATGCCTATCCAGTAGCGAGGACTTGGTTCAAAGAGTCTCAAACATCAGCTCTTACTGGATCACCATTGCTTATGCTGATCATCCGATCGTTAAAGGATTTGGAATCAATCGAGACCGTGATCATAGCATGACATGCAGTGTCAGTGAGTGATAACGTACGTGCGTACAAGGTATTTTGCTTATTTTGCCTAAGAGCTCGAATGCACCACCGTATTGCTTGTCCTTTTCCTTCTCCAGGTTTGCGCCTCGGTTATTGACGGCATGCGGAGCCCCCTCCGCGTTTCAATCTCTCCCCCAGCCGCATTGGCAGACATGGACGAAGGGGCTGAGGGGGGGCTCTCAGAGCCTTAGGAACTCCTACGCCCTTCAAAACCAGCATCATGTCCAGGCTATAGAAGGTACCATCTTTCGAAACCCGCAGAGGAGGTGCCATATACACGCAACCATGCCTCCAGGCTACACTCCCACTCCCCTGCTATTGAGGAATCTCCGCCATGTCCTCAAAGAACAACATTGTGGCCGCCCTTCCATCAACCCTCCGCGTCCACGACCGCACCACCAGGCTCGAGCGGCTGCAACTTTCACCCATCGACATTATGCACAGGCCATCTCGATCCTGCCTACCCTAGTGGACAGATCCAGCGCCGACTTCAAGGACAACGCAACCCAACTGACCGAGGTCATGGCCAAATACGCCGACCTCCACCAGAAAATCATGCGGGGCGGACCGGACAAGGCACGAGAGAAACACGTCAAGAGAGGGAAGATGCTTGCACGGGATCGGGTCACTGCACTCATAGACCCGGGGAGCCAGTTCCTAGAACTCTCGCCTCTCGCCGCACACGGGGTGTACGACGAAGATGTGCCCGCTGCAGGGGTGATCGCCGGAGTTGGAACCGTCGAGGGCGTCACTTGCATGATAGTCGCCAACGACGCGACGGTCAAAGGAGGCACATACTATCCTCTGACGGTCAAGAAACACCTGCGGGCCCAGGAGATCGCGCAGCAGAACGGACTGCCCTGCATCTACCTCGTCGACTCCGGGGGAGCCAACCTGCCGAACCAGGCGAACGTGTTTCCCGACCGAGACCATTTCGGCCGCATCTTCTTCAACCAGGCACGCATGAGCAGTCTGGGAATCCCACAGGTCGCCGTCGTCATGGGCCCGTGTACCGCTGGCGGAGCGTACGTGCCCGCCATGTGTGACGAGTCGATCATCGTGGAGAATCAGGGCACCATTTTCCTGGCAGGCCCGCCGCTGGTCAAGGCGGCCACTGGCGAAGTGGTGTCCGCTGAAGATCTCGGTGGCGGCCAGCTCCACAGCTCGATTTCCGGAGTCACGGACTACCTCGCAGTGGACGACGCTCACGCCCTCGTCCTCGCCCGAAGGTCAGTCGCAAACCTCAATTACCCCAAGGAGGCGCCGTCGGTACCGCAAGAGGTATGCGAGCCGCTGTATGACCCCGAAGAACTGGCTGGTATTGTGGGCACGAATCTGCGCAAGCAGATCCCCATGCATGAGATCATTGCTCGCATCGTGGACGGCAGCGAGTTCGCCGAGTTCAAGAAAGACTACGGCACCACCCTGCTGACAGGGTTCGCAAAGATCCACGGCTACCAGGTCGGTATCGTCGCCAACAACGGCATCTTGTTCTCCGAGTCGTCTCTCAAGGGCGCCCACTTCATCGAGCTGTGCTGCCAGCGCAACATCCCGCTGGTCTTCCTGCAGAACATCAGTGGTTTCATGGTGGGTGCCGACGCCGAGAAGGGTGGCATTGCCAAAAACGGCGCCAAGCTCGTCACCGCCGTCGCGTGTGCCAACGTCCCCAAGTTCACTGTCGTCGTGGGCTCCAGTGCTGGTGCGGGCAACTACGGAATGTGCGGCCGCGCCTATTCGCCGCGATTCTTGTGGATGTGGCCCAATGCGAAGATCGGGGTCATGGGCGCCGACCAGTTGACTGCCGTCATGGAGACGGTCGGCAAATCCGTCGATCCAGAGCTGCGGGATCGCATCGAGCGTGAAAGTGATGCCACCTTCTCGTCGGCTAGATTGTGGGACGACGGCGTCATCCCGCCCGCGCAGACCAGGAACATGCTCGGAATGGGCCTGAAGGCTGCGTTGGGCGGCCGAGTCGAAGAGACAAGCACCAAATTCGGGGTGTTCAGGATGTGATACACCTGTTGGCTTCTGTCCTACACAAGACACAAGTTTCATCAGGCCGCAGCAGAGCATAGCGCGCTCAGAACGTTAGGCAAAATAATGATACGGCACTGTGGGCACTGTTGGCCAATAACTCTTTATTTCCAGTTCGACGCGAGTCGGTAAGTCTATTCTGCTCCGTTCCACCTTTGGCCGTGGTCCCTTACGCCTCCCCGTATGTTGAGACCAGGCGAACGCCTGTTGATTCCCAAAGTCCCACTGAAGTGTTGATGTCAATGCTGACGGGTAGGAGTCACAAAATGACACAGCGATCGCGGTTCCGAATTCTCCTGCCTCGACGGTCTTGTCTATTCGGCCGGTCGTGGCGTCGACTAGCAAACTGTTGTTCGAAAGTTTGGGATCGACTACTGTCTTTCTGGATAATCTGGTGGCACAGATTGAGGAAGACCTCGTCGACGTTTGTGCGCCGTCGCGCCGAGGTCTCGTAGTATGGCTTCTGGCCCCATTGCTGGGCGAGCTGGAAGGCTCTGGCGCGGGGGACGACGCGGTCGTCTTCCATGTCGGCTTTGTTGCCTACCAGGACGAGTGGCACATCTTCGTCGTCTTTGATGCGGATGATTTGTTCACGCAGTTCGGCCAACTCGTAAAAGGAGTTCATGTTGCAGATGGAGAAGACGAGAAGGAAGCCCTGTCCCTGTTTCATGTACAGCTCCCGCATGGCGGTGAATTGTTCCGTGCCGGCCGTGTCCAGACTGTCAAGGTTAGCCTCAGACTGTCCCTAAAATCAGGCGTGCAGACGAGGCGAAGCGATTCCTGGCGGAGGTAGAAGGTGAGAGAGTGGCCGGAGTTGTGGTACATACATCTCAAGCATAACTTGTCGGCCGTCCACATTCACCTGTTTGCGGTAGGAGTCCTCGATGGTTGGGTCGTAGCTTTCGATCCATACATTTTGGACGAATTGGGCCGTGAGACAGCTCTTCCCTACACCTCCTGCTGGGGGGAGAAGTGATAAGACACGATCAGTCTATATCCCCTCACCAAAACAGAGCTAAAACTGAAGTGCAGGACAGAGCTTGTATACGTACCGGCACCGAGCACGACGATGTGGTACTCTCGCCTGTGGAATTCCCAAAAAGGATAAATTAGCACACATTCTGCTCCTACAGTCCAAAATCATGCCAGGTCGACACGGCCTCCATATAAGGCCACATCCTGGACATGGCAACACAGTCGAATCTCCCGCAGATCAAACTTACCTAGCTTGTAAGCTCATCTTTGCAGGACCTCTTGAATCTGAGAACTTCTTTTCCCCGTGACTGCCGGACCGGCTGGCGCGTCCACAAACGGCTTCAGATGTCGCACCGGTATGGGGTCGAGCGGCGACAACCCTAACTCTTCGTCGTTGTATAGCAAGAGAACTCTTGAGCCACTACATTTCAGTCGAGTTTCTGTCTTCTTGATGTGACTTTCGAACAAAACCGAGGCTCGAAATGCTCGCAATTGAATCTTCTAAGCCAATGCCTGACGGCTAAGGCACCGAGACGTGGGGTGGTCGTGTACCCTCGACTTGCAGTTCTTCTCCAGTCCAAGTTCCAAATCAACCTGGTTTCACCTGCTGGTTGTGGTGATGGTCACACCCAGGAGAAATGCAAACCAACAGGAAACAGCAATATTGATGGTATGGCGATGCTGGACGGTGCTCGCCAGCAGCTTTAGTTCGAGGGGAACTCTCAGTGGAGGTCTGGCCTTTGCTCCTTTATATAACTGCCAGTGCGCCGTCTTGTGTCGTGTCCTGTCGTTTCTTGCTGCGCTTTGCGGCACGACTGATGTGGATTTGACAGGGTTGCGGTGACAGGGTGTTGACACAGCTGGACGATTGATCGGCTGATGGATGGACGCGGCAACAAAAGTAAGGCGAAACAGCTCCAACCAAGCAGTCAAAATTCTTTGGGTGTTTGACGGGATGAGGCAGAGCAAAACCGGTACCAAGGGCCTTCGTGGTTCCAGTCAATGTCGAAGACGTGGAATGCTTCCTGATATAGTGTAAGGTGACGGTCAGGAGTTGTGCCGTCGAGGTTGCTGCATACCTATTGTCAGGGAGACAAAGTTCGCACAGAGCCCCGGGATCCAGATGCCCTCCAGGTATGAATGATCCTTCTCGTCAGGCCAAGCTTCAGACGACGTCTACAAATGAAACCGATGAGCTGTGGACGCAATGGTATTTACGAAACTAATGAGTCCCTGTGTCGCAGCCTTGGATTGGGCGTTGGTGAGGCAGGTAGATTTGCCGACATAATATTTTTTCTTCCCTTTCTTCCCCTTGTCCGCATCGCATTTCCCTACTGTAGTGTGGTTGACTAGGGCCTGGCTTGTCATAGGTGAGTCTAGTCTGCTCCGGGAGAGTATGGTTCTGCTTCGATTCCCGATCGTGCTGGACTTCTCGAGACTTCGAGGCTAGTGCCTAGGATGAATGAGAGATCTTACTGAGTATAGTAAGTGTAGGAGGAGTTGGGGTCAGGGACCGACAATTAGCGACAAGGGGGTTGAGGTTAGGGAGGTCTCCATTTGTTAGTAGGATCGTTAGTACCGATAGTAGCACAGGTAGTAGAAGTATACCACAGGCAGGGATAGGGATAGGAGCGACAATCACGGGCCGCGGGAGGAAGTGACAGACATGAAGGACGTAAAGAAATGCTCATTGGTTGGATATGGGCGAGAGACTTCATCCACTACTATTGGGAGGATGTATGTACTGTCCATACGCTTCACCTACAGGCAGTACCTGGTATCTGACAGCCGACAATCAACAGCAAGGCAGAATATGATGCATGGGTGGTGAACAAGACGGGGCGCAGGCACTGGCTGTAGGTGTTGGTTCCACGGTCGAGATGCTAAAAGTCACGATGCCGACGGGGCCGAATCCTAGGGATCCCGCGGCCGCGGACTTGGGTCGTAGGCTCCTCCACTAACCACTGCTAACAGGGTGCGTCTCCTTAGACCTCCAGGCACAGTCTCCGCCTCTCTAGGGACCTACCTAAGTTCTAGGTACTTTCATAGTGGGTACGAGGCACTTGTCCAGCAGGCAATCAGGCGAAATGGTACCTGCCCAGCCGTCGTAGTTCTGGCCTGGACGGTTGTTCTCCGCGGCCTGTAGGCGGGGGTGCCCTACGCTTAGGAGATATGATCTCCGTACCCAAATGTCAGTGGACTGTTCCTACCCAGAGTAGTAGTAGGTATCTTTGTGCCTGCTTAAGGAGACCCCTGTGCCTGTGCCTGCGCCTACGCATATACTTCTCGCTTGACGGACTTGCACTCTTCCCATTCTGCCATGCCATCCATCATCAACCCAGCATCGACCATCACTTAATTCGCCATTTGACATGGCCACTCAAAATGCACGCCACCTAAGGCAACCTCAGTTGTCGCTTCATTGTGCGTCAGGATCTTCGAGCCCAACATCATCCTCGTCCTCTCACGCACCAGCTTTCCGCCTCACGACGTTCCTGGTCCGAAGCTACCGGACGCCAACAGGTGATCCGGCGAGCCTCCTTCGGCCTATATCTCAAAGCCTGCGACACTACCGACCGCCTCCTGCCATGTGTTGGAACAAAGTCCCACTTCGTTGCCGTCGAGCCGTCTAGAAGATCGTCTTTACACCCTCCCAACGAACTCCTGCCATTGTGGCAATCATGCCCGACCCGATGGTCATGATCCTTTCATCCTCGAGCTCCCTCAACCCCGGACTCGGGCCAGCTATCAACAGAGCTTTCTCTGGAGAAATTCCGATATCGTCATGTTGTACGCTGTTATATGAGGAGTGACTATCTGTTATGGTCTTAGTCGACATTGATCCTATTCATTGCTCATTGATCGAAATATGCCCGCTGCCGTTCTCTGCTCTCAGCTCTCAGCTCTCCGCACTGGGCCCTTTCACAGTTCGACCATCCTCTAGAGCCATAGCAAAAAGGACGCGTCTCTGCGTGCCCTACTTGGCGGGATCGAGATCGGCAGGGGCGGTGTTTGACTTTCACCATTATGCCATTGATAGGTGCGCCTCGTGGTAAACATGCACTGATCTCTAGCGAACTTGCAATCGCCGATGGCGAAATTGCTTGAACAATGGAGGATTGCCCCAAGGAAGAACTGCTTTGGATCGGCGAGTACTACATGGGTTTCCCGGGTTGGACAATCCTTTCATGCCTTTTTGCACTCGGAAGGAAGTTAGCATAACCCTCCACACTTCCGCGAAGATCGTAACAACCTGCTTGGACATTTTATGACCACAATGCAGTGGCAGGGATCACCGTTCGCAAAGAGAGATCCCGGATGTTTATGTATCTGTTGCCCTCGGCAGTCAAGCAGACATCTCCCAGGCTAGAAGCAGACCCGTCCGTGGCACATTCAAAGGAGAATAAAAGGCGGACGGCGTCCTCGGTACTTGCTCAAGAAGAAATCGCTCTAACACAGCAGTAACACAAGACAGGGTGGCCGTTCCTACGTATGCGCTATACAATGGATGATAAGACACGGACGGTCGCTCTCAAGGTCGGTTGTGATCGAGACTGGATCAACAGACATGTGGGACTCAAAGGAAGGATGTTATACTATTTCATGATCGACGGGGAGGTCTATTCTATGCTCATCGCCGCTTCCATACTTCCACGGTCACAAGGCCATCGTATGTCTCTCGGTCAGTGGCCACCATCCTCTCCTGTCGCAGGGATCGACCATCACTCTGCCTCAGAACTTCCCACTGGGTCACCTCATCCGAAGACGGTCAGAATTCTCCATTGCCGACATCCTGACGATCGCCATCCCAATCGCCGAAGCCGGGGTTCATGCCCATAACACATGCTCCGGTGTCCCTGGTGCTTGGGACTCACCTCATGACGAAGCCTTTGCACTGCAGACAACAGCCTTGCCCAGCTGCCGAGTCACTTCCGATGCAGTGTTGCTTGGAAGTCGGATCCGTGCTCTGCAGTTCGACGAGCAATATATTCTAAGCCAGCGTGGCTTATATAGCAGCCCCCCAAAAGACATCACTAGAGCATGAATTGGCTACCAAGTTTGGTTTGTTTGATGACATGGGCTCGCGCTGGAATGCCTTTACACTTGGCCAACTCCACTATCTGCATCCGCTCTCAGTCTCGGCCTCTTCTGAGCTTGAGTCACGCTTCCATCAAAGCTGCTGCTAGCAGTTTGGTTCAGGAGGTCTCCTGGCACTCATAGACGACAAACAGTTTGGACACCATGGTGTGATGTACTCTGTAGAGACGCCTCCTGCGTCCGTACAGGCGCCCCTCATCTTGTTGCTGGCGTTTAGAAGTTGTGAAGCGAGCTCAGCACGTTCTCCACACAAAAAGTCTGCGGTTGAATGACCATAGTTTCAATGGGGTGGTCGTCGATATGATGCATTGTAGGGTTGGCAGGAACAGGTCGACGTTCAAGCGTTCGGCTCTTGTGCTCGTTCCTGTTCGAACTCCACCAACTCAACACCACTGCGCACGACTTCGCCTTCACCATGCACAACTCGCTTCACCACGGATCCCTCGGCGGGACTGCGGATGACAGTTTCCATCTTCATGCTTTCAATGACTAGGAGCGCTTGGTCCTTATGCACTGTATCGCCTGGCCTAACGAGCACCCGTAGTATCTTCGCCGGCATGGGCGAGAACAGTGAGTTGGGCTTCTCAACCACGCCGAGCGCTTTGGACAGCCAAGCCGGCGACGGAATAACAAGACGAAACAATCCTTGAGGCGTAAAGAGATGGATGATGCCAGCGTCCGACGAGCCGAGCACAATGCAAGACGTCTGACGGGTATGGAAAAAGTATGTGGTCATGGTATTGGTGGACCGATCGAAAGAGGCCGATACCTGTATGGCCTCCGCTTTGGAGGGTATGCTCACCGAGAAATGGCCCGGCGTGGTCTGCTGAAGCTCGATGCTGTAGGTTTCTGGTGTTTTGCCAGGTCCCGGTGCGGAGTCGGCTGCTTGAAACTGAAATATCCGAGGCTGGAAATCGGATGTTGTGCTGAGCCAAGAGGGCGACGAGGGCGGTTGCCATGCTGCGATGTCTGATGCCGGCGATTGTGGGGATGAGTGCAAGAACGAAGCTATCGCCGCCTGGGCGAGGACTTCAGGGGTCACGGCTGTCTGCGAGAACAGTTCCTCACGATGTTTGTCGATGTAGCCGGTCTCGACTTGGCCAGCCACGAAGTCGGGGGACTTGCATACTCGTTTGAGGAAATCGATGTTCGTCACTGGCCCAGCGACCTCGTAGTCCTGCAAAGCCGCGGCCATCTTCCGCAACGCGTCTTTCCTGTCCTCCCCTCGAACGATCAACTTGGCGATCATGGGGTCGTAGTGGCTTGACACTTCGTCGCCTTCGACAAAGCCACTGTCAATGCGGACATCGGTGGTCTCTTTAGGCAGCCTGACATGCAGGAGTTTCCCGGAATCTGGGATGAACCCCTTGTCCGGGTTCTCGGCATATATTCGAGCTTCGATGGCATGACCTCGCCGCGCGATCTGCTCTTCCACCTCCTGCTGGGTCAGCGGCAAGGCCCTGCCCTCTGCGACCAGGATCTGCCAGTGGACAAGGTCAAGTCCAGTCACCATTTCCGTCACGGGATGCTCGACTTGTAGCCGTGTGTTCATCTCCATGAAATAAAACTCGCCAGAATCGTTGTCGAAGATGAATTCTACCGTTCCAGCACCCTCGTACTTGACAGCAAGGGCGGCGGCTCGAGCCTTTTCCCAGATGTCCTTGCGTATCGCGTCGTCCAGGTTTGGTGCCGGCGATTCTTCCAGGATCTTCTGGTGCCTCCGCTGAATCGAGCAGTCTCGCTCACCAAGCGCGACGCAATTGCCATGCTGGTCAGCAAACACCTGGACCTCTATATGCCGTGGCGTCGTGATGTATTTCTCCACTAGCACGTCGTCGTTGCCGAACGAGTTCCGTGCCTCACTCCTCGCGCTTTCGAGCATGTCCGGGAAGTCCTTTGCGCTCTTTACAATCCGCATGCCTTTCCCACCTCCACCTCGAACAGCCTTGATGAGAACCGGGTAGCCAATTTGCTCTGCTTCTTCAGCAAGAGTTGTTGGATTCTGATCTGCCCCGTGATATCCCGGCACGCATGGAACCCCAGCCGCGTTCATGATCTCTTTGCTTCGTGCCTTGTCCCCCATGTCCTCGATGGCGCTGGGCGGAGGCCCAATGAAAGTAACACCTTCATCGGCACATCTCCTTGCGAACTCTGCATTTTCCGATAGGAACCCATAGCCTGGATGAATTGCCGGACAACCCTGCTGTTTCGCTATGGCGAGTATTTTCTCTTGGTCCAGATAAGCCGCAGTGGGACCGAGGTTAAATGAGAAGGGCGAGCAATGGGCATGCTGTGAGAGAGCGTCCGGATTTGTGTAGAGAGTAGTGGTCCGGATTCCATGCTGGGCAGCAGTTCGATTGACACGAATCGCGATTTCGCCTCGATTTGCGATCAGAATCGAATCAAGGGATTTGGTAGTCTGAGAGTGGTTGGCCCTCTGCTGGGCGTGGGAAAGAGAAGAAGAGCAGAGGACTTGGCTCGCTCGCCAGGCACCAGCCCGTGACAATCGATAGTTAGGCATCGTGGGTCAGTCTCTGCGAGAGAATCACATTGGGAGGGAGTCATTCTTTGGGCGAGCCCCTAGCTAAGTACTGTAGGTAGGTACTTATCGAGGGCAGTTGATTCCCCGGACTCTCGGTTGTCATCGCATGGTGTCGGCAAGGACAAGAATGCGGGGGAACGTGCTGCCATTGTGATTCGGGATGGGACGCGTTGAATGGAGCAGCGGAAAACACATCTTTCAGCCCGACGTTGTCACACTCGTACCACTCCCACCACCAACAAACCTGCGATGCTCGTGGGTTGAGGGCACAGAATAGACATTATTGAAGCTTCGGTTCGCAGCACGAGTGCAAACTAACACAACTGACGTTGGCGCTTGTGGATATTTTGACAAAGACGACTCACGACATTATCGCCAACGCATCTTCGGTCACTTACGTCCCTCTGTTCCCTCCACCACCTCCTGCCAGAGACTCTTCAGGCCCCGGAGAATGTGCTCATGATCCCAAGCCCGCAACATGTCCGACTTCGAGGACTATGCATACTCACCCTACGATGACTTCGAAGATCTCCTGTACGACGCCGATCCAGCGCCAGAGCTGGCCGACGACCTTGCCGAGCATGCCGTCCACAGTCCCGTCTGGGAAGGGGAGATTGCAGGATCAGAACTTCAGGACTACTTCAGCGATTGGGAATACTATTCGGACGATTACATGGACGACGATCCTGTATTGCTGAAGGCGAATCCTCAAGTCGGAAGTCCCCCCAAGAATCCATTCAAACGGACAAATGATGAGAACCAACGGGCGAAACGAGGGAAGAAGAGGAAACTGGCCGAAGCAACAGAGAAGCCATCCCCGGATGCTGAAGATGCAGACTTGATAACGCGGTGCATCAGAGGCACGGTTTGGGCAAAGCCAACTGCGCGGGGTCCGCCGCCTTACAAGGCAGGCCAGGAAAGTAGGGTGGCTTTGATGAAGAATTGGAAGGAAGCATTTGCCATTACTGACAACGGTTGGCATCGGAACAAATCCAACATGAATGACGATGAGTCCTGGGCCAAAGATATGAGCTTGGAGGATATGGGGTTGAAGAACGTCCAAGGACCGCCTATTGCACAGGAACGAGAGCCTCAAGAGGCGGTATCCGACGAGGGCTCGCAGGACGAAGAAGATGACCTGCAGAATGAGATGGAGGAGGTTTCTCTGGAGGAGTCTCGCAGCAACGTTCTCCCTGTTGGGTCGGAAGGAGTTAGTGGGGACGAGCTCCCTCGAAAACGCCGTCGGATCAAACCAGATGTTCCGTCGCCGCCACGCACGAGCTCAGCGGAGGTAATTGAGTCGGAAGACACCCAGACCGGGTCTACTCACACAGGGCAATCTACTGGAAAGGCCACCGACAAAACGCCCTCTGTGGAAGAAGCAGACGAGAACCGAACTGCACCGGTGAAAACACCGGCGTTGAATGGATTGAATTCAAGTCGAAGCAGGAAAAGGAAGGCCGAGAAGGACGATTACAATGGGGAGGCAGGACCTCTCAAATCCACTGCAAGCAGCCGCGCGAAGAGAGTCGCATCGACGAAATCGAAGACCATTCCAGCGCCGGCTCCCAATCCTCGACAGACTCGACAGACTCGAAACGGCAAGAAATAACCACTGTTGCGTTGAGTATGCTTTTCTTTTCGGGGAGCCTGTTTGGCCTCAATGCACAGCAGCACAGTACGAAAGGACGCAGCTCACGGTTGGCTGATGCTTCATACTTCTCTCATCACCCCTTTAGACATAACAACTAATGGTTGAATGTCATTCATTTATATGGTAACTCAGAGCTACTACTACGTACTTCTAGTACATTATCTATGACCCGCGTTTAGTTAGTCATCCGAGTGCCTGGTTGAACAGCAACTTAATCAGTACATGAGATGGAGAATTCAAGGAGACCAAATCTTTCCATATCTGCTACCACTCCACAACTCTAGCCGCCTACGGTCTTAGCTTTCCAACCCGACGTCCTCTCCCTGCACCTCTTCACTCCCACTCTCGTTGCCAGTCTGCCCTAAAGGCCTGATTCAGCCACGATGGCTTCTTCAAGCAGGCTTCACGGTTGCAGCATTGGTATCCTTCTCCCGCGTCACGACCGGCTCCCTGACCATGACGTCCATGCGAAGCTGCTTGCCTGGAGCTCTCTGCAGATAGATGTGTTTCCTTAGCTCAAAGCCCATCTTACCGTAGATGATGATGTTGATGTCATGGGAGCTTTCCAGATAACAGGGGACGCCATCCGCATCAGCCTATAACGACCATGGTTAGGCAGTACTCAAGAGAGGGTATTCGTGCAGGGACTCACCATCTTTGTGACGGATTCGATCAACTTGCGTCCATAGCCCTTCCCGCGGGCCTCAGGCTTGGTCCCGATGTAGTTGAGATACCAAGACTGGTCATCTCTATCACCCAGAATCTCCTGCTTGGTATAGTGCAACAATGGCAAGAACTCTTCGAAGAATCGGATCTTCCCCTCCTTGGACAATCTATAGCTGAGACGCCACATACCGCTCCGGAGCAAGGTGTACCAATCGTCAATGTTCTTGCCAGGTGGCAACCACAACGCAACGCAATCATAGTTGTCCCCAACGGTCAACACCAGACCCTGAAGACAGTGGGCGTAGGTGACATACTCCATGGCGGCTCGGTGCAAGTCAAAGCGTTCCTCTTCGGAGAGGTGCGTCTGGTCGGGGGTATCAATCGCATAACGCACCACGTTGTCGAGGCGGAATGCCTCTGCAAGACACGCAGCAGCCTCCTTGTACTCGTGGGGTGCAACGATACGCACGCCGTCCTTGTTGGGGGTGGTCGAGGCAAGTTTATCGATCGAACTTCGTTTCTCGTGGATCATGGTGGCGTCCAAGACTGGAACGGCAGCACTAGGAAGAACCATATTGGATGTCTGGTCGTGGAGCAGTTTCTAATTCTGCTTCTTTTTGCCCTTTTCTGTGCTTTAGTCGCCCGAGTCAAACAACGGCGGGCCACCTACTGTTTGAATTTGCCTGGATCAACCTCTATCAATGGGTCTGGTAAGATCTCCAGTATGAACTGAAGAAAGCTGAGCTCTCGAGACGGTGACGACTCGAGATGGAAAGCGCAAGCAAGTACGAGACGCACGTAGATCAACCGACATCAGAGTTCGATCGTTTGGGGGGTTATGGTTTGAGAAAAGGAAGAAAGTGTTTGCAACCGTGGTCGGTACAAGTTGTTTGCCCTGATGTTCTCGTTGTACAACGTTCTTGGACTTTGTGGCACTGCTGGTGATGGCAGGGCTCCTGGTGCCCAGCGGCTGTCAAGGCTTCGGTCGATACAAGACTAGAGTCGTCGAATTCACAGTGACTGCAATTTTTCGGGTGCAATACTTCGCGGCTTGGAATGGAAAGGAAGACAAGACGAGCGGCTGTCCGGCGTGAAGAGTAAGTAGCTTTATCGATCAGTCAGAGGAAACAAGATCTGGCAAAGATGATATGGTACTGATTGTCAAGGTCGGAAGACAGCAGGCAGGGCGTAAGTCAGTGTCAGCAGTCAATCAATCGGAAGGATGGGATGCAGAGATGATTCCCCACGCTATTGATAGCATTGCATTAGTTGGCATCACCTCAGCCCGGGTGTGACGAGTCGTTCTCTAGGTAGCCAAGTCTGGTTACTTAGGACGCCGGTCGTGGTTACAGATTGCGTTGCGTCTGCTCCACCAAGACCAACAAGAAAGCGACACGAGGAGGAGGAACAGGAGGAGAAAGAAGTTGATCTTGTTTGCAAAGGAGCCGCCGCGTCGAGATGCTTACCCGGGAATAGCCCCAATTGCGGATTCCTGATTAGCGAACTGGAAGTGCCGCGAGAGTTTGGCGCAATCGACGCTCATTGGTTTAATCGAGGCTTCGGCTTATCGCGCGTCGATCATCCCTTTATCGTCACGTGGAGACCCCCCTTGGTTATCACAGTCACGTGCAACGGTCTAAAAAGGGTTGAAGTGGTCCTTGTTCAGTCATCGTTGTCTTGTGACGAAAGAACAGAAGTTCGTGGATCATCTTGAGAGTTGGTGTGAGGCAGTATCGATGGGACGACAGTGGGAGAAACCTCGAATATTATACCGCCTAATGAGGGCGCTGTGACTTGAGGCAGAAACGTATCAGTGTCACATTATGCCATGCCGAAGCTGCATGTCAGTGAGGGGTCGTCCTTACGATAGGACCGACTACTAGTATCGCTGCAGCGATGTAAGTGGGTCGAGCAGATCACAGGCACAATCTGCGGAAACAGTTTCCTTTGCTATCATTTGACTTGAACAGGAACAGAGAGAGAGTTCACAGTCAAACATTCATACTAAACATATCGAGTACTCAACTTTCACCTGGCCGCCCATATTAAAACGCGAACAAGTGCTCTAGAAATGCAGTTATTCAAAGATAGAGGTTAACGGCGTGGGTGTTGAGTACTACTAGTAAGTTGGTAAGTACTAGTGGATTCATCCATAATCACTCTAATCATTCCGGCCAATGGCAGGTCACGTTATGGTTCTCCACTGCACGTCCTCATCCCGCGACTTCGGCCGACCTGCCTTCCACGAGACTGGCGGCATCACACATGAAATACTCCGTGCTGACTTGATTCGTCTTGTTGCGAAAGTACCCTTGGTCATCAAAGCTCGTCACTCATCAGCGATAGCGTACTCGTACTAGTACTAGTAGTAGCTTTGGCAAGCTCGAAGCGGCCAGGTGTGGGCCTTGGCTACGAATCACCTGGGACTCGGAGTCAAGATATACAATTCAGGCCCGCTACAACGGGCATATACGACCCCGATATAGAAGGCCTTGGATCGTCGTCTTGTTACAGGCAATGATGGAGAATGCCTCACGGACTTCGCGAGCAACCGCCCGGACAAAGCTAGCCTGCAAGCTATGCCACTCGCGACGGGTCAAATGCGAGATCGCATTGATGGCGCGCCATGTTCGGTTTGTCGGCGAGCTGCAGTGAACTGCGAACTCATTGTCTCACGACGTGGAAAGTCAGCTGCTACCTTACTGCCTGATGTGATTTTCGATCCGAGGACGCTGATGCCGTCAGTAGACACCCAAGACCATTGCTGGATGCACCTCTAGCTCAATCGACGGACTTGAACAGCGAATTGCCTGGGTCAATGAAAGTGCCCCCTTTGACGAACCCTTATCACAACCTTGAGCAATCATCGAATGACCTTTACGATAATGTGCGAAGTCCATCACTCGAGCCTGTGTCCAAAGGCCAAGGTTATGAAGCTGGAAGCGTCAGAGGTCGAGTGGCTACTTCTCCAGATTCGGTCAACTTGACTTCCAACAATGATGCGCTCGGCAGTAATGCCGATTATCAGTCATGGAATGAGAAGCTCCATCGCTTCGCGGCCAAAGGCTTGGACCTAGACACGCAGCAGTTTCTACAAAAAGGCCGTCAAAAAGACTTCGAGGAACTTCAAAAAATGGGAGCCTTTGTGAAACCCTCTGACGAATTCAGCGACGCGCTACTGCAATCCTTCTTCAGATATGTGCATCCAGTGCATCCGATTTTATGTCGCTCAACAGTCCTCGAGTCATACAAGTCTGATCAGCTTTCACCTCTGTTGCTGAATGCCATATTTCTTGTGGGCGTGTCGCATGTTCCCGAATGTTTATACAAGGCTGCTGGTTTCAAAAGCCGGTATATTGCGAACGTCACTTTCTACCTAAGGGCTAAAGCCCTCTACGATGCAAACTATGAACAGGATTCCATCACCACCCTACAGGCTCTCGTTCTGATGTCGCACTGGTGGGGAGGTTTGACAGAGCCGAAAAGCTCATTGTATTGGTTGGGCGTTGCCGCGGTCCTGGCAGAATCGTTGCGGATGCACAAAGCGTTCGTGCTCCTACTTATCGCTGATGAACTTCCCCTGGCTGATAGGTTATTATCTAGTGAGTCATACGTCAACCTCAGTCCCAATGTACGAAGGGTCCGGCGACGCCTATGGTGGGTCATATTTGTGAGTTATTCTCTGTGACCGGTGTCTCATGAACGTCGAATGTAGATACACGGACTGACCTTCCATTTGAGACCAACGACACTTATACGGCTGCTGTCCTAAAAAAGCCACGTCATCTTCACGAATCATTTTGCAACGTCCCACCATTGTCGGAGGACGACTTTGTAGACACGACTTTGATGGATTCGCCCTCGGAGGTCGTGAGCTCGACAAGTATTGCCTACTTGATTCACTTCACCAGTTTGAACCTTAAAGGTACCATTGCATCTCATTGTTCTTAGGTATGTTTGTTGACCTTCCATAGTGAGCAGATATCTCGATAGCCAAGATGCGAGCGGCTCCTGGCAACATGCCGATACGCTTTGGCAAGACGCCTCTCTCTGGGAGGCGTCTCTCCCACCCGAGTTACGTTACCGCAGTCTCCATCGTGTGACGCCCGAGGATCCGTGGTGGCTCTTGCTCCATTTGTGCTACAAGTATGATTGCTCTAGTCAAACGTGACGTTGCTGCTGATGGACATATTCCAGTACGTTTCAAATCGCCCTTCCTCGGCCACAAGCCGAAACCACGAGTCACTTTGGTGTCGGTACAGCTCAGTTTATTGCAGCCGCCACCATCACCAGATCTCTGGAAGATATCCACGCCTTCGACCTCCTTGATACGTTCCCTATATTTGTGTATGCAAAGTCCCAACACAATTCCATCCTCAAATACCGTAGATGCTGACTGTCTCAGGGTGCCAGCCACAATCTCGGCCCTGATGGTCCATGTCGTTAATCTTCGCGGAGGAAATTCACATGTCAAAGCGATTTCGAAGCAACGAGCTCATTCGTGTATGCTGATCATGGACGAATTGCAAAAGAGTTGGCCTGTTGTAACGTGGGTCCAGCGGCTTTTCATCAGTCTTTTCGACCGAGAGACTGGTATTACACCAGCAGAATCGCGCAGTTTACCATCCAGTCCTTCCCATACTACCGCAGAAACTGGATCGAACCCGCCAGTCAACAATCACGGACCACGCCAGTCGTCTCACACTGTCAACGATTCCCATGCAATGAGGTCTATGCTTCCATTTAGCAGCTTGCTCGAAGACGCTGGTTTGGATATTTCCAGCGACATCTTGGACTTGGATTGGCCATAGTCCTGTCAACATAACCTTCGGGAATCGGGACCAAGCCCCCCTGAGTTGAATTACTTCGACACGAGCCTAAATGCTGTCTCTCACCAATAAAACTTTCCCCGCTGTTGGATATGGAATCTTTCGCCCATGACTCGCCTTTATACAGTGCTTTGATTCCTTCTTGGCTTACTTTTCGTCGGAAGATCAAACAGAACGCAAACCCCGGGCCATACTCCCACATAGGACATGCCATCGTGGATACGCTCATGTGGTAAACGAACTATCTCTGCACCTGTCTTATTCAGCGACTAGGAAGGAGTATAACTCAGACGCTGCTCGGCCGATCTATTTCCGATACCACATTCTTGTCACCCTGGTCTGTGCTATCTTCTTCTGCAGAAGAAAGATACCTTGCAGCAAAGCTTCCGCGGTGGGCGGACAACCCGGTACATAGATATCCACGGGCACAACCCTATCCACCCCCCTCACGACACTATAGCTGTAATGGTAGTAGCCACCACCATTTGCGCAGCTTCCCATTGAAATCACCCATTTGGGATCCGGCATCTGATCATACAGCTGTCGCAACGCCGGAGCCATCTTGTTTGTCACGGTCCCTGCCACTATCATCACATCTGCCTGACGGGGAGATGCCCGAAAGATGATCCCCAACCGATCTTGGTCGTATCGTGGCATGGAAGTGTGCATCATTTCTATACCACAGCAGGCCAGTGCGAATGTGAGGGGCCAAAGAGAGCCCTTACGAGCCCAATTGACGAGCTGGTCGGTCTTGGTACTTGATTTTCCATCGAGGTTAGTTTCAAGTCTGTTGGATCTCGGGGGCAACAAGCGTCTGCTGTTTGGAGAATTGGGGTGGAAAGGCTTACAGAACGTATTGCAGCTTTGCTTCTTGCCCTGTCTCCGGAGGCGAGAACCTTGCAGTCGAGTGTGCCTTCCATTTCTCTCGCCCTGAAAGGGCAGATTGTGAAGAGGGTGCAGTGTTGGCTGAAGTCTGCAATGCTCGGACGGCGGAAACTGGGTATATGGTGGGTTTTCGGAATGGAGGTGGTCTCATCGCCAGTGAATGCGGTCGACGTGACCGTTGAGAATCAAGACAGGAGCTTTTCACACGTCGAAGCATTTTGCCTGCCAAAGAGTGTGTTGACCGCCGGAATGGGTCTTTCTTTCCCACCGATGCCTCGAAAACTGGACCTCAGATATCCTTTCTCAGGAGATGTCAGTGTTCATGTGTCAGCCACAAATGGTTCAAGAGAAAAAAAGAAAGAACAAGCACGGTTTTGAGAGCGAAACAATGAAGGAAGAACGAGAAGACATCCTGACAACCTGAACAGTAATAGGTGATGGGTGCACCTCATCGGTTCTCACGTCGGCGATATGGTGGGTCCATATCGGCGACCTTGGAAGTGGATGCCCTTTCTCAGTCATCCAACAACTTGCTCCTCACCGGATGGCGTGGCCCCATTGCCTATAGTTCTTGACGGCCTGCCTTGAGGCCAGTTTGATTCCATCTTCGCTGGAGGAGTCCAGGTCCACGGTCAACCGTCCAGGTGGACGACACGCTCGGTATCTAACATCGTCGGCACCTGAAGCTCCAAGAGTCCATAGCACTTTACCGTCTACGGCACACTTGGTAACACTTCAAGGACCAGGCCAATTCGAGTCCTCGCTGGTCGAAATATCCATGGTTCATAAGTTAGGAAGATACGCTGTCCAGAAGAAGGGAAACAAGAAGTACCAACATCAGTCAACAAACAGGCATAGGATCAGCAAGGAACTGGACCATTCACACCGCCAAACTGCCATTAGTACATTGTACTGAAGTCCCTCGCATTATTCGAGAGATCAGATGCAGGCCTGGCCTGAGGCTGGCTGAAGCAGCAGCGGAAATGTTGGCTGGACTTAACCGGTGGCTGGCTGGCTGGATGGATATGCCAGTCTATCACACAGGACAAAACCAATCATGGGGGTCTTTCGTTCGTATCCCATATCTCACCGCCAAAACGTGGCGCAACCGGGCGCTGAACAAGGTCCAGGCCTGGCCTCTTTTTCACATGCTTTCCATGCCACGCCATGGGGATGGTTGACTGAATTGGCATTAAAGGCTGGACGTTGGGACAAGCGTTTTGTCTTCTCCTGAGGCTGTACCTCTATTCTTTTCTTTCTCCTTGAACAACTTGTTTCGAGCTGTTGTTCTGATGGAAGCCAACCATCGGATTTTCGTGTGCCTGGGGAGGACGGGCACAGGGAAGAGTACCTTTATTCGTGCCATGGGCGGCGATGTTCCAAAATCCGAGCTTGTCCATATCAACACCGGCGATTCCATCACGTCCGCGGTCAAATTCTACAAAACTCAACTTGATTTCGGGCACAAGAAGCCTGTGTACCTCGTGGATACCCCTGGATTCGGCGATACCCGAACACTCGATACAAAGCCTTTTGGCAACTCCAGAGACTCTTCGGCGGTCCATAGTGAAGATCACACAAACGTATCCCACGCGAACAAGTTGATTCTTGCCTTCCAAAACAAACAGATCACTAAATTCAGCGGTGTATTCTGGTTCGTCGGTACCTGCAAGGCAGAGGAAGGGCTACGGGAAGAAGCGGCATTCATCAACAAGCTAGCCAAGCCCGAGGACAATGGACATGGCTTCTGTATCTGGGATCACGTCGTGGTCATTCTCAGAGGCGACTATGGGGTTGAAGGCGCTCAAACAGCTGTCTCCCATGTGATCGGTGGTAATAACCACAAAAAACTGCATGGTGTACAGGTCTTCATATCGAGGAAGGCTGCAGGCCTCACTGGATTCGGAGACGGAGTCGTTGTTATTGAGCAAGATGAACGTCTTGCAGTCCGCGGAAACCCAACTCATGCTGGGGCTCTACTATCCTCCGGCAGCTTCGAGGCCACGGCGTCAATCAAGGTGAGTCGAACGAATCTCAATTCCCGTAGACCGGGCACAAGCTTACCTTTGGCATAGTGGATCAATCAAACAATGAAATGTCAACGCTGCCTGCAATCCGGCGATCCGCGTGCTTTCTATGCTTGCCACCGCGAAGTCGAAGCAATTCATTGCCCTATCGATGAACATCCGGGATACCTTTTACAGATTCACGGAGAGCGAGAGTGGAAAGATTTGGCCAAATCCGTGGGTAAAAAGACGGCCGCAGTGGTTGGGGTCGCGGCAGGAGTGACTACAGTTGCTCTTACAGTTGTTGCGTCTCTTGCAATCCCAAATCCCGTCACACCCGCGCTTGGACTTTGCGTTGCCCATTTAACTATCGGAATCGGCGCCACTGGAGCAGTAGTACCGATAGCTCAAGCTCTGGGGAAGGGTGCTTTTCCAGGGAACAAGTCGCGTATGCCTCTCGTTCACCTCAATCCGGCCAAGATAATCGAGGAGATATCCAAGGAGATGCCAGAGGAGACGTCCGAGGTGTTATCCAAGGAGCAGCTTAGGAAACTGAGTTCGAAGCGCATCACGCTAAAGGGTAAGTGTGAGAATTGCCTTCAAAAGGCCGAAGAATCAGAGGGATGTCTTCTTCTCTGGACATGCTGTCAGGAACAGCATCCGGCCAACACTACAGCGACAATTGATAGGCAGCTGGGGCGATGTTGTTCTCGAGGTTGTGCAAGATGTGGCAACTATACAGGACCAGCGTGCACCATCTCTTGTAAGAAGTGCAAGTGGACGGACGAAGAAGACAACCCGATAAAGACCAATGGGGCTCCGCGCTGCGCGGATTACGGAGTTGAACATGACCTGGTAATTCAGGAGTGAATTAGTGGTACGTCAACTGCAGTGTGACTATGGCATTGGCATAGTATCCGACTGACGACGGAGAATATAGATAGTACCTAGGTATGGTTCCTGAAGTGTGGACTTTCGCAGAACGGAATGTGGCCATTGATCAGTATGAGACCAGGTTCGGTCATTGCCGTGTAGGACCATGTTCATGTGGACAACGCCAAAGCAAGAAAAGGTCGGCAAGATCTCGGCTACAAACTCTTGATTGTTCAAAAAGGAGTCTCCCAGATGAATTCCGTGTTTGAGGAGTCAAATTTGAGTACCGGTCGCGTCGGCAGTGGCCGAAGAGTTAGTTTTAAGCCCACCAAGAATGAACACTGGCCAGATAATCGATCCAGCTAATCGCCATGATTCGACATTCATTCATTTCATTCAGCATCTGCAACCTCTAGGCATGTTTGAGAGAGCCATGTCTCGTATCGTGGTAGTAATGTACAAGTCATAGCAGGCTGGCTCTGTCCTGTCCTAAACCGCGCCATTATGTCAAGGAGACCTGGAGACTGGATCAATACCACCCCAGCTCAAGCCTCTAGAACCGCCCAGGTGTTGTCGTCGACCGTTGTGAAGATGATGCCAAGAGACAAAAGTTCTTCGGCGCCCTTGTAGACCTCACTCACAGGCATTCCCATCTGAGAAGCAACCATCTGGACGTGCAGGCCTTCATTGCTTTGTGCAGAGTTTTTCAAAGTATTGAACACCCGACGGGCAAGAGGCGAGACATTGGAAAGCGCACCATCTGTAGCGCTGGTGAACTCTTGCCGTGAGACAGCCGCGCCATTTGTGTCACCGGTTTTCTGGCCGTTTGCTTGAGCAGTTGGCGGCCCTCTTGTGAAAAACAGATGTACCGCGGTGGCCTCGAGTAGATGATAGTTGATTTCGTTGTAGTCGGTGATGGGCCGGATGATATGTGCTCCAACATGCCGTTTGTTGTTGAACGCCTTTAACTTCCCCCAGACACGACAATAGCCATCTTCAACTAGTCTCGGCTTACTCGATTCCAGGTCCATCTTGTCTGGGTTCGCATCGCTGTCAATCCACTGCTTCACTTCAACGATCCCCGTGCCGTCGTCGACCTTGTATGTGATGTTCGTCGGTTGAGTGCTGATGCTTCTGATTTGGCCAATGAACGTTACCTGACATTAAGTTAGTATATTGAATTCATTCATCTCGTCCTGCAAGGCTGCGGGCTGCGGGCTGCGCACTTGACCAAATGGTTCTCCATCTGCTCGAAAATCTGCGTCGGGATGTGGTTGCTGCGCATCGAGGATCTGTTTAATCGTGACAGGACGAACTGTGTCTTTTCCATAGCCGCCCTACCATACAGAGTCAGCCAGAATGTCTTCCAGGCCATCCTTGTCCACCTACTTTTCCGCCCGCCGGACTGCTCTGTGGCTCTCCTGCCACAAAGCCGCCACCATCTGCAGCACCGTTCGCACCGTACGAGGTCGAGGTCGAGTACTGGTTGTTGTATCCGTAATCTACCATAGTTAGCAGTAATCCTCAGACGCAGATCTGTGGCATACGAACCCATTGTGTAGAGTTGAAGCCTGTAGTTCCTCAACACTGCAGTGCGAGATGAATATTTGTGTCATGCAGTGAGGCAGACGCGTCGTCCAAATCAGAGACGCGTTAAGTGTTTTCCACTCGCCTCGCCCCACTATCATTATACGGTGGACTATTTGGACCATGTGCAAAAGGCGGTGACACAAAATTTTGGAGACTTTTTGACAGTTCGGGTTTCCGCTTTCTGCCAGTAGGCAATTTCACTGCGACATAGAGAAATTCTCGGCTTTCTCTGAACAAGTCGCAGAATGGGTAGGGTCGTGGAGCAGGTCACCAAACTATTTTGAATCGCTGCATCGCAGCACTCGAACGGTACCATGGGCCGCAGAGCAGGCTCGCCTGCACGCTCCGAAAATGAATTCGACATCGGAAACGCCCTGATCGGAGACGATGCGGACTTTGACATATCTTATACAGATGGCCAAGATGGGGGTCTACGAAACGGCGATCTGGATGTCATGGCGGAAGACTCAGGCGTTGATGACGAGGCTATCATCGCCGCCCAACAAGCCACGGCGAATCGCAAGGGCGCCAACCTCAAAGGTCGAACGGTGAAGAAAGGCGGTGGCTTTCAGGCCATGGGTCTCAATGCCAATCTGTTGAAAGCTATAACAAGAAAGGGGTTCTCTGTCCCAACACCGATTCAACGCAAGACGATACCTCTCCTTCTCAATGACAAAGATGTGGTGGGAATGGCGCGAACGGGATCCGGCAAGACGGCGGCTTTTGTTATACCCATGATTGAAAAGCTGAAGGTCCACAGCGCCAGGGTGGGAGCTCGAGCCCTGATCCTGTCTCCCTCACGAGAGCTGGCATTACAGACGCTACAAGTGGTCAAAGAGCTTGGACGGGGATCAGACCTGAGATCTATCCTGCTTGTGGGCGGAGACAGCCTGGAGATGCAGTTCTCAGCCATGGCCAATAATCCCGACATCATCATCGCCACGCCCGGAAGATTTCTTCACTTGAAGGTTGAGATGAACCTGGATCTTTCGAGCATGAGATATGTCGTCTTCGACGAGGCCGATCGGCTGTTCGAAATGGGGTTTGCCGCCCAGTTGACGGAGATTCTCCATGCGTTGCCGGCTTCCAGACAGACCTTGCTTTTCTCCGCGACACTACCAAAATCCCTTGTTGAATTTGCCCGTGCTGGTCTACAGGAGCCAGTGCTGGTCCGTCTGGACGCTGACAGCAAGATCTCGCCTGATCTGCAAAGTGCGTTCTTCACTTTGAAATCGTCTGAAAAAGAGGGAGCCCTGCTGCATTTGTTGCAAGACATAATCAATGTCCCTACGAGATCCCAATTGATTTCATCTACTACCTCCACCGACAAAGGCCAATCAGGCAAGAAGAGGAAAAGACAAGATACGGAGGATGGCAGCGCTCCTGGCTCCGACCCCTATTCAACGATTGTCTTTGCCGCAACCAAGCATCATGTCGAATACCTCGCACAACTTCTCCGACTGGCTGGATATGCCGTATCATATGCCTATGGCTCTCTTGACCAGACAGCTCGCAAGACCCAAGTCCAGGCATTCCGCGCCGGCCAGACAAATATTCTTGTCGTGACCGATGTTGCCGCGCGAGGCATCGATATTCCAGTGTTGGCCAACGTCATCAACTACGATTTCCCCTCGCAGCCCAAAATATACCTCCATCGAGTAGGCCGGACGGCGAGAGCCGGTCAGAAAGGATGGAGTTACAGTCTGGTTCGTGACGCGGATGCCCCTTACCTGCTCGACCTGCAGCTCTTCCTCGGCCGCAAATTATCAGTTGGACGAGCCAACAAGGACAATGTCAACTTCGCCCAGGACGTGGTAGTGGGCACTTTTCGGCAAGAAGATTTGCAAACAGGCTGCGAATGGGTATCAAAGACCCTTGAGAACGACACGGATCTGTCGGCCCTGCGCTCCGTGGCAGACAAAGGCGAGAAGCTGTATCAACGGACCCGAAACTCGGCCTCTGCAGAAAGCGCGAAAAGAGCGAAACAGCTCGTCTCCGCTCAGTCGTGGTCGGAATTGCACCCTCTGTTCAACGATCAGGCCGATGACCTAGAGGCGGAAAGAGACAAGATGCTTGCGCGGGTAGGGGGTTTCCGACCTCAAGAATCGATTTTCGAAATCGGCGCTCGCCGCGGCGGCCGCAAGAACAATGAAGACGCCGTCGACGCCATCAGAAAGATCCGTTCTAACTTCCAGACACGAAAGCAGAAGTCTATGGACGCAGCGCAGGTGCAAAAGGAAGCTGATAACGACAACGACGACGAACCTCCGTCCAAGCAGAGACCAGAAGAGGCCGACGACAGGAATGACGACGAGATAGACTTCAACGACGCCATGTCTGAAGCGTCTTCGTCGGATCTCGAGATCACCTTTTCCGAACCACACTCGAAGAAGCGAAAATCCAACCGACTCAGTGGCGGCGGCAACGACGCCAACGACACCAGTAACACATTCCGCGACCCGGAGAACTTCATGTCCTATCTGCCCACATCGACGAATCTGACCGACGACCGCGCCTACGGCGTCCACTCCGGCAGCAACACGAACACAAACTTCGCGGAAGCGGCGCGCTCGGCGACGATGGATCTGGCGATGGACGAGTCCGGCAAGAAGTTCGGCGAGGCGCGCTCCATCATGCGCTGGGACAAACGACACAAGAAATACGTGCGGCGCGACAACGACGACGACGGCTCCAAGAACAACGGCAAGCGCCTGGTGCGGGGCGAGTCGGGGGTCAAGATCGCCGCGAGTTTCCGCAGCGGCCGCTTCGAGCGCTGGAAGAAGGATAATCGCGTCGGCAGGATCCCCCGCGTCGGCGAGACTGAAGGCAAGAACGGGCCAGTGGCTATGTCTGGAGCAGCGGGTGGTGAGTCTGTCGGTCATGGAGGAGCAGCAGGCCTGGGAGGCAAGCGGTTTCTTCACAAGTCCCAGAAGGCGCCCAAAGCTCCTGACAGGTTACGCGAGGATTACGAGAAGCAGAAGCAGAAGAGCACCAAGGCCAAAGAGCGTGAAGCCGCCATGGGCATGCAGGGCAGCAAGAAGGAATTGAGATCGGTCGATCATATGGTCAAAGAGAGGCGGGCTAAGGAGAAGAGACGGGAGAAGAATGCTCGGCCTGTGAGACGAAAGGGTCGAAGTTGAATGCATAAAGGGGGAGGAGATCGTGTAGGTCAGAAATAGGTATAAGTGGGATTGATCGCATCCTTGCTTGCGTGTTACTTGTGTACACTTGAAAGGATATCAGCAACTCAATGCAAACCATCAAAGATGGATAACTCAAGCGACAGTGTCCATGCACTGGAACCATCTGTCGTGCCTCCAAAGGACATCCACTGACCCACAATGGTACTTCGAAGCCCATTTGGGGGTATATGGAAAGCACACTTACTTAAACACTATCAGAGACAATCACTCGTTCAACAACGTGCACAACAGGTGCATAACAGGACGGCGGCCACAACCGGTCAGTAGATTGTCAGGTCCTGCAAGCTCCTCATTCATAATACCGAAAATAGTGTCCAGTCGTGTGGTCGTAGTAGATCGGACGTGAATCTCTCCGTTCTCTCCTGTCTCGGTCCTCGTAATAGTCCATTTCCGGCTGCCTTCTCAACGACCGTATTTCTTCTGCTCGAATGTCCAGGGCTGCTCGCTCACGTTGCTTGAGAAAGTCCTCCTGCACCCTTTCACGTTGATAGTTTTCGGCCCTCAGACTCTGCCTGTCAATATCGTCATGGAAGTACGAGTCGCGCTCCTCGTCTGGATAGAGCAGGATGGGCATGCCGGAGTCGGCGGAGACGAAACGACCAAGCGGAACATCACTCAAGCGATGGACAGCCACAACGTCCTGAGACCGGGCCGGTAAAGGCGGTTCATGATACAGGATTCGTCTCCCTTCCAAAATGGGGTCGGTTGCCTGTCTCACAGGTCGCGGAGGGCGTTCATATCTGGCTCTTTCACTGGGCCGCTCATATGCGACAAAAGAATTACGGTGAGACCGTGCTGGCGTGATGATGTGTTGTTCGCCATGATATGGTCTTTCTGCATATGACATGGAGCGAGTCGGCCCTGGATGATGCTTCTTGTAAACTGTGTCAGGGCGTGGTTGTGGGTGAACCAGACTTCCTCGACGTGGTACGCCTCCTGGACTGCTAAGCGAGGTATTTGAACTCTCTGCATATTCATTTCCGTAATGACTAGGCTCACTCACTTCAGATGATGAGCTGCCCGGATCCAAGTACTGTTGGGCATTCTGAGTTGGGAAATGCACTGAGCCTCTACGGGACCGAGACTTGGAGCGTGACAAACCACGAGCCTCAGCCTGTGCTCGCCGTCGAGAGTACGATCTGGAAAATTCTCCGCCAACCACTTCGGGATGCTCATGAGCGGACTTTCCTGTCCGGCCCCGCTTATCGGATGGAACCTCGCCAAACATGACTTCAACGGGGGCATCCAAGCCATCATCGAAGTCAACACCATCACCAACAGCGAATATGCCATCGTCGGGTGCGTGGCCCTTGTCTCGTGATTTGCTGCGCTTTTGACTCTTGTCACGTTTCCCCCCTTTGTCTTCCTTTCTGCGTTCAGGCTTCGCCCCCAGAGGCTTTTCTCGGGGAATTTGGGGAGGTAGACCGGCATTATCAAAGTGAATCGCACCAAGCTCGTCCCTTGGCCTGCCGTCATTGTCAAATAGTGGCAGATTGCCGATTGGGTCTGCTAACAAGACCAATCCCGAATCTTTTCGTGGTTGAGTATAGGTGTCCTCGGCACATTTCTTGTCGTTTCGACTTGTCGACTTTCTCCGATCAACGACATCCACAAGTACGCCGCTGAGAGGCTTGACACGTGCTTTGGACTTCTTCGTCCTCGCGAGAATAATGTCCATTTCCGGGACAAGGATGCGGTTCCTTCCGAGAACTTTCTTGGCATTAATGTAGACGACCGTCCAATGGGCATCACCAGCCTCATGAGTGTTGGCGTCCTGCACCGCTCTTTCGATTTGGTCCCGCCGTAGCTGGGACATGCGAGTCATCTGATCCAAGACTGTGCCGTCGCCATTACGCTTCCTGGCTTTCTTCTCAATCTGCTCGATGGGTGCGGATATGCTGGTCTTGTATGCTGAGCTCCAGTCGTCGCCATCCTTGATGAACCGGTAATATAAATAGTCTTGTGTTATGGCTGGAACAGCAAACGATCTCCGGTGCTCGGCTCGCGGACGATGCTCTGGGATATCGTCGTGAAGAGACATTTCAGAAATGCGTTGGTGGATGGCAGGCCTGCGCTCCTCGTACTCTGCTGAAGCCTCGAACACTTCGTCCATCACCCTGGGGCTAGGATGTATGCGAGGGTCGATGGGAGCGAAATGGTGATCTGGAGGAGGTGGAGGCTCCATCAAGCCGGAGAATCGCTCTATCAGACTGGACAAGCCAAATGCTGTTTGTTTCTCGTGCGATTGCGTTGCGACAGGTGAGAGGCAGGGAGAGGCGTAACAAAACTGCTTGGTGCTGGTGGGGCAGAGAAAGATGGGAAAGGTCAGTGAGATCAGGTGGGTAGGGCTGCATATGCAAAATGTCAATGTCGTGCCCGGGACCTTCCAGCTATATGCCAGTGAGCCCGCAAAAAGCCTTTTGCCAACGTGGATCTAGTCAGTTCAGAAGAAACCCATGCGGGCAAATGGTGTGCTGAAAGTGAAACGGAGTCATAGTTGCCCTACAGTATTATAAAGCACTGGGACCGGCTTGATCAATCGCCTACCAAAGCAGATCCACGACGGTTGCCTCCCAGGCAGCCAGCCAATTCTGAAAAGTGGTCTGCGAGGCCAATCCTTGGGGAGGGAGGATCAGGGCGCGCCTCGCCCAGTTGCGGGGCATGGGACCGAGAATGTAGAGAACGGAGGAAAAGGACAGGTAAAGACAGGGTCGAGCATGAAACGGCGGTGTACAGGACAATCAACGTTCGTTGGAAGGTGAGGCAAAGGTATGGCCTCGCCTGGCCCCTGCATGCAGTAGCGGAAGAGGACTGAACAGTCGAGCAAATGGGCAACTCCCTTGGCGTCTTTATCACAGACAGTACATTTCGATTTGTGGCCTGCCATACCTTCGGCACAGGAGGTTGTCATGCAGCCGGGCGCAGGGCAACAAGAAGACAGTAGGCGCGCCAGCCGCAAACAAGCGAAGAAGACATTGTTGTGATTGTATGATTGAGATGGATTGAGATGGATGGGAGCTGGAGGGTGTGGATTTTAGTGGAAGACGCAACGCAGGCGACCACGTGACCAGAGGCCGGCCGGTACTCTTCACGTGACTACACGGTTTCCTCCCATCTCTCCCGGCCATCCCCCATCAAGACCGCAGGTCGCACCGACTGGCAAATCTAGATTTCCATCTCTGTTGCACCACATCTGTCTCAAATCGACACCTCTATCCCGCGCGCGTAGCTGTGCTTGCTTCGATCTCATGACCGAGCCTTCAGTGGCAACGATGAGAGCATAAGAGCGGTGAAGGTCACAGCAAACTACTCTTGCCGTCCCAACATCCAATTAAGCCCATGCAGTGTGCACGAGCCACTCAATATAGCCTCCATCGATCGATGTTCCTGGTCGCTCCTGACAGCTAACCGTATGCGGCAATGAGGAGCAATGAGCTTGGGAATGGCTTACCAACGAGTTGAAGATGTTCAGAAGCGCAGATTTATTTCGGTCAACAGGAGGTGATTGGAAAATCTGTAATGGAGCACTCGTTGCCCTGAGATACGACTGGATGAATCGTCTAGGCCGTGCTCAATCGCCGAGAAACGAAGAGGCGAGCCGAAGAATAAAGAGGGATGCCCTGTGTAAGGTCGATGAGTCCCTGAGCCTGTACGGCTTAGATCTAGATCTCTTTTCTGATCAAGCAAGCAGCATGAAGCGATCCATGTGTGCTACGGGACACTGCACCGATTATGGCTAGCTTTTGAGTGGAAGCCTTGCTGGGTTCACTTGCAAAAGCTTTGCACGCAAGCGACGGGGCAAACTTTAAGGTGCTGTCGACAACGTGCCCCGCCTCGTCTCGCCATGCTTCGGGACGGGCCCGCCTAGGTATGGGATCGTCGCCTCACTTCCAGATCACGCATTGCAGTGGCGAACGCACCCCCCATCAGCCGGAGTGGAAAAGAGAAACATGGGTAAAAATGTGCGCATGTTGTGCATTACAAGATATTGATGGTTGAAATCTCCTGAGCAAGCCGGCCGTTTCGATGCAGGTAACCCTTAGAACTCCTCGTATCTGTATACCGAGGTGCCATGCCCTTTGAACGCGTGCTTGCTTTGCCCTCTGAAAATCCATATCCCATGAATACCCAAACTCCATTTACGCTGAGTCCTGCGCCTCAACCCTCGTACGGGGTATTCCGTCTGTTGACATTTGACATGGACAGCTGCCGCAACATCCCAATCCCGCCATGTTGGGTAGATAGATGCAGGTCGCGTCGCACAAGGAAACCAGGCAGAGATCACTATCGTAAAGGAACCTTGACGTCCTGGACACCGCGCTTAAGAACTTCCTCCAAGTTCCATCGAGGGATGTGGACAAGGGACTTGGCAACCTTGTCATGCTTTTCCAATCGTTTCCGGCTCTGTTCCATTTCCCAACTGATTCCTTCAGCTAGAGGAGGAGCACCCCCGGCGATACCACTGGAGAACTTCAGCTGGAGGACATTTCCAATCTCGTCGCAGGCGGCCAGGAGGCGGTCGAGATCGTCCTTGTTGTGGGCTGCCGAAACACAGAACCGAGCACGAGACGAAATCAACGGCGTAGCCGGATAACCCACTACGACGACTGAGATCTTGCGCTTGAGCATCTCATGAGAGAAAGCAGGCATTTTCGCCGGGTTGTAAAGCATCACTGGAATGATAGGTGAATCGTCATGACCATAAACGATGAACCCAAGTCGTTTCAACCCGAGGCGCAGGTAGCGCGAGTTGAACGCAATTCTCTGCAGACGTTCCTCGCCTTGCCCCGGGATCAGTTCTCCGTTCATGAGCTTGAGGGCGGCAATGATCTGTGCCAGTACGGCCGGGGCGGGGGTCTCGCCATATACCGTACCCGCATTGGAAAGACGTAACTTGTCGATGGCAGCCTTGTCGCCGGCAACGTAGCCGCCGTTGGCGCCAAAGGACTTTGTGAGTGTTCCCATGAGGATGTCCACTTCCGACGGATCAATGCCAAAGTAATCGCAGACACCTCTTCCACGGGGCCCCAGGGCACCAATCGAATGAGCTTCGTCGACGAAAAGGTTAAACTTGTATCGTTTCTTCAGTCTCACCAGGCCTGGCAAGTTGCACATCGTGCCCTCCATGGAGTAAAGACCTTCAACCACGACCAGGATTTTCTTCCAGGGACGATGGGTCCGAGGTTGGCCCTGGGAGATCGCCTCACGAAGTTTGGTCTCCAGCTCGGCCATGTCGTTGTGCTTGAAAGAGGCAATCATAGCACCGGAGAGTCTTGACCCGAACCGAATTGAAGCATGGTTAAGTTCATCAGAAATGATCAGATCGCCCTTCCCTACAAGAGCCGGAAAGATTGCAGCGTTGGTACCGAATCCCATGGAGAAGACCATGGAGGATTGCTTTCCCACAAATTCGGCAACGAGTTCCTCGCATTCCACAGCAAGCTCGGAGGTACCAACTTCACTCCTGGCACTGCTTGTGGACAGGCCGTACTTCTTAATTACCTCCTCCACGGAATCGGCACAGGGACCTTCGGACTGCGCAAAGCCAAGATAGTTGTAAGAACTCATGTTCAGGGTTTCGGTGGTCGTTCCCGTCAGGGTGAAGTGGACATTGCCATCGTCAGATGTGCGATCCAATAAAGTGATGTAGCGTCCCGGAACGCCGGTGGTCGGTCTGTTGAAACAATCATTGATGCGCATTTTCAGACGACGGACATAAAAGTTGTCAAAGTCACTGTTGAGTGCAGCATAGCCATTCCGCGCTTTGAGGTGTCTGTAGTTGTCCTCCTTGAGCCTCATACCAAAGAAGTCTCGGACGTGCCCAAATATGATAAGGATCAGATAAGAAATGTAGGTGGTCAAGAGATAGTAGTAGGGTGGTTCGTCCATGATAGGATCGGGAAACTCGCCGCCAGGGTGTCTGCTCATGTACCGATGCGACTGAGAAATCAGTGGCCCAAACTGGGCATGTTGTTTTGCCATTTTTCTGGTCTCGGCCGGGGATGGTGGTTGAAAAAGAGTGGTGGGTGGTTCGTCCATGTTGGCTGAATCGGCACGAGCGGTCGACAGGGAGATACTCGGTAATGAAAGCGATGGTACACTAGGCATAGGAGTCCCAGAAGCTAGAAAGGCCTGCTCTTGAGCTTTGCTTGCTGCGAGCAGCGCAGCTGCGGCTGATTGTGCTTCTTTTGTCTTTGGCGACGTGGAAAAGAATTGAGCGATCTTGCTAGCTTTCTGCGAAGTTTTGCTAACGAGGCTGCCGCCCTTTTCCGTCGGCGAAAAGGACGGCCAAGGGGTCGGAGGTGAACTGCTTAGGGGGGCGTTGGACACACGACGAGGCATGGCCAAACGAATAATTCAACGTGATTAAGAGTATGAAGACAAAGTCCTCGACACAATCGCCGCCGGCAACGTCTTGTGAGTCGCGGGTTATGGAACCTGTCACCTCTTTCGTCTCTTCTAGCTGTCTCTGTCGTGGAAGTGCGCGTAACGTCGGTGGCGGTGCAGACAAAGGGCACTCGACGGTCTGACACCGGTGTTGTTGAGGGCGAGGAACTTGCTAGGGAGCTGGAAAGACGTCGATTTTTGTAGGGTGGAGGATCGAGGATCGAGGATCGAGGATCGAGCTGCTCGCACCAGTCTCGACAAACTCGGGTCGGCAGGATTGGACCGCGAAGAGGAGGAATATGAACTCTGTGTATGACGAAGGGAAAAAGAAAGATGGCGGTTTGAGCGGATAGAGGAGGATTCCGCTTTGATCCGGGGCAAGCTCTGGTTGGATCGAAGGAGCGTGTCCCTTGCAGCAGCCGCCCGCGCTCAGCCGCACCCTCTTCCACAAATCGTTGCGAGGTTTTGCGGAGAGGTCAAAGGTCAAAGGTCAAAGGAAGAGTGATGGCGATGAAAGGAGAGGAAGATAGAGAGACAAGTCGCTCTGAAGAAGTACACACACTGCAGCGGACACACGAAGAGGACGCGACCCGGCACACGAAGCAATTTAGAAGTATGCTGACAGGATGATTCGGCGGACCACCAGTTTTGCGGATTTTCACTACTAAGTACTGTAGTATTTAGCAGTAGTGGACTTCCAGGGGTGAAAACTGAGTGGCAGCGGCTTACTAGTACACAATAGAAAAAGACCGAGGTTTGTTCAGCGTGAAATTGGCTCTGGGTCTTGCGGTGGCTCCAATAGGCGGCCGTAACCGAAGAACCTCATTTCGGGGGGCATTGTTAGAGGCTGTGGTCACCCATGCGATTGGCGGCAAGTGCTTAAAGAGGGGTTGTCAGGGGGATACTAGGAAAGCCTAGGGCTCCTTAGGCCGCTTAACGAGACGGAGCCATGCCCCTGTACTACGGTACTTTACCACTGCATGGCACGCTGTGCTGTGCATGCTTGGCGTAAGGTATCTTCAGCATTATTGAAAACTTGAAGTGCCCGACATACCAATTGTCCGTGGCTGGCACGACGATCGCAGAGGCTCGTTCATCAAGCTTTCTTATAGCTCTAACCCTGTACACTCTTATCGATAGATGTGCCAATGTATTGCCTGTCAATATTGGGGGTGCAGCGGCATCACCACCTACTATGTCCAGACATGGTGCCATCATCTCTGCAATCAGGACTCTTGCAGTAGTAGTATACTGTGCGCATTGGCTACACGCCTAGGTACCTACAGAATTCACACCAGGGCAGTTAGGAAAGGTTAGGTACCTGTAATTAGGTAAGATAATTAGGTGACCATGCCCGGAAGCAAGACTGGCGTCGCCGACTCGGAGGTTGCCCTACAGTTGCACGGTAATAATCCGGGGCTCCATGGAAAAGTAAGGTACTGGCTTCCGAGTCATTAGCAGACACCATCCGGCCGCAGTCAACTGTTCATTCTAATAGACCTCAACACCACTCCCATGATGTGTTTAAACCAAGGTCCCTCGATCTCAACACACTGCACGGATTGAACATGTCTCCAAATGGCGTCAACGGCGAGACCACCGAATCTATCGAGCTCTGGAGACATCCTCATCCCGAGTCCACCGAGTTCTACGCCTTCCAACAGCATGTCGCAAAGAAACATGGTATCTCTACATCCTCATACCACGATATCTGGCAGTGGAGCGTGGATCATCCCAGCGCGTTCTGGGAGGAAATATGGCACTATACTGGGATAAAGGCTAGCAAGCGGTATGATTCTGTACGGAACACTTTATCCTTGGTAAATATGATACGACTCAACCTGACATACTGTCCGGCCGTACTAGGTCCTTGACGAGTCCGCTCCAATGTTCCCTAAGCCCACTTTCTTCGCCGGCTGCGAGTTGAACTTCGCCGAGAATCTGTTGTTTCCCTCTTCCAATCCTGACCCAGACTCTGTAGCCATCGTCGCAGCTACAGAAACGACGCGCGAACACGTAACGTGGTCGGAATTGCGGGACCGTGTCCGGATATGCGCCGCTGCAATGGAGGCACATGGCCTGAAGAAGGGAGAGAGGGTTGCCGGCTACTTGGCTAACCATGCCAATGCCGTTGTGGCAATGCTCGCGGCGACTTCTTTGGGTGCATTATGGTCCGCCGTGAGCCCTGATACAGGTGTTCACGCGGTTCTGGACCGACTCCTTCAAATCGAACCTGTTCTCCTCTTCGCCGACAACACCGTGATATACAACGGCAAGACACATGAGACGCACAGCAAAGTGTCTGAAGTTGTTTCTGCGCTACCGTCTGTGCGCAATCTGGTCATCTTCGAATCAATACCCGGTCACGCCTTTGATCTTTCATCAATAGCGAAGCAACCTGGCACGACGGTCGAGACATATTCCTCATTCTTGTCCAAGGGCGACTCCGCCAGACCTCTCCAATTCGTATATCTGCCGCCCGAGCATCCTGTGTACATTCTATATTCGTCCGGCACCACGGGTGTACCAAAACCAATTGTCCATGCTGCTCTCGGTACCTTGATCCAACATAAAAAAGAGCATCTAATACAGTCCGACATCAAGCCCGGTGAGAGACTGTTCTATTTTACAACAGTGACATGGATGATGTGGCACTGGCTAGTGTCAGGGCTGGCAAGCGGCGCAACCATTGTGTTATACGACGGCTCGCCCTTCCAGCCACATAAGCAGATGAGCATGCCGCTTCTGATTGACGAGCTCCAGATCAACCATTTCGGCACATCGGCCAAATACCTGTCTATCCTAGAACAAGCACAAACCTTCCCGCGGGAAGAATCACCTCGGAGCGCGACACTGAATTCCCTCAAGTCCATCTTTTCCACGGGCTCGCCTTTAGCCCCGAGCACCTTCCAATACGTATACAAGAACCTCTCACCACCATCTCCACACCCGGGCATCCTGCTAGGCTCCATCACTGGCGGCACGGATATCATATCCCTCTTCGGGGCGCCATGCCCAATCTTACCTGTTCACACAGGCGAGATCCAATGTCGCGGTCTGGGAATGGCCGTGCGAGCCTTCTCCGCCGACGGTATCGACATCACGCAGACCGGGCAGCCCGGCGAGCTTGTCTGCACAGTCGCATTCCCCTGCCAACCATGCATGTTCTGGCCGCCAGGCCCGACAGGCGAAGCGCGCTACCGGTCATCATACTTTGAAGTCTTCAAGGACCCGAAGACGGGCCACCCGCTCTGGCACCACGGCGACTTCATCCGCTTCAATCCCACAACAGGCGGGATCTGGATGCTCGGTCGCTCGGATGGTGTTCTCAACCCGATGGGCGTACGCTTTGGATCCAGCGAGATCTACAACATTTTGCTTGAGCATTTCGGGACAGAAGTCGAAGATGCCCTGTGTATAGGCCGCAGACGTGAACAAGATACCGACGAAGTGGTCGTCTTGTTTCTCAAAATGGCGGAGGGCCACCAGTTTTCTGCCGATCTGGCCTTGCGTGTGCAGGATGTCATCAGGAGGGAACTTAGTGCCCGTCACGTGCCCAAAATTGTCGACGAGTGTCCTGAAATCCCTGTCACCACAAACGGCAAGAAGGTCGAGGGTGTCGTCAAGCAGATCCTCAGTGGCACGCGTATCAAGACCAGTGCCAGCGTGGCGAACAGTGCCTGTTTGGACTGGTATAAAGAGTGGGCGAGGACTCACTGAGATCTGTAGGTCGGTAGGGGTCCGGGACGAAGATATACAAAACAATCAACAATCAACAAATATCTCAAAAGTACAGCAGAAACTCCTCTACTCGAAGCCACTCCTCATCTCAGCCTGACGAAATCGATAGTTTGGTCGTCTGTCGCAAAGAACAAGCCACACAAAGGAGATTCCATGACATGGCCCATGTATAATCGAATTTCGAGCGCTGCATGAACCAAACCCTCCAGATACTAGTAGCAGGATGTTGTTGGGCTGAATGCCACCGGACGGCGGCCAATATAATGCTGATCATGAATCTGATAAATCTTCGTAAAGGACCCTGCGTCCGCGTCAGTGCGTGACTGGAGATGAGATCTAAGCGAGACTGTCAGAGCACTGTCATGCAGTGATGGGGGTTTACAAGTCTCTGACTCTGCTCAAGTGCCGAAATGCATGGAGCACTGACTGGCTGACTGAATGAATCAAGTTGACTTGGGTCCTGAGTTTCTGACAGCTGGTTAGACACGAAGGCATGTGCTAGATCATCAAAACACTAGACGCCCCAGATCGTCGACATGTACAACAACAGGGCATGGCCTCCGCGGGAATGCTGGATCGGTATTGTCTGATTGGCTGTTTCTTCTTGTTTGCGAATCTGAAGTACGTACATACTGTGTGCACTGTACAGCCCAGATAGATTGATGGCGAAGCAGATTTGACACCCGACGATCACCATTCCGGGAAACCACAGACCAGAAGAAGAGCGGAGCTACAAGACTCTATGCTCCATACCTGCTGGTCTTGCGTCCCGGGACTCCTTATTATCTGTTGCAAACTGTCTTGAAAGTCAAATATAATGTCGTGGGATGAGTGAAACATCGAACCAGTAGTCCCTCGTTCCAGCTTTTGTTGGTCCAAGGTCGTGAGATCCAAATTCTTTTGAGCTTGAAGCCAGCATTTCCCTCTCAATGATATTCAGTGCAGTTCGGGAAATGTCCGAATGGTTGGAAATCTGAAGTGTCTATAAACGCTCCCCATGTGAGAAATTTGGATCTGCAGCTGCGACATATGATCCAAGATTCAATCGGGCAGGGTGGCGCACACAAACAGCATGACAATCTTCGTCAGCTGGAACCAGACAACAGCTCTTAACGTAGCAAGGAGAATTGCTAATCGCTTCAGTATTAACCCCTTCCACTGAAGCCTCAGATTCAGGTTCAGAAGCAGTCTAGCAACTAGACGTATATAGTCAGCAACCGGTGAACTGCATCAGTCTGCATTCAAGTCGTTACTGACGTTGTCCGATTCGCATCAACGAGCTTCTCAATCCTCGTCGACGTCGTCGCCTGTACTCCTGTCGTACACATTGTTTTGGCGGTGTGTTCCATAAACGTCGACGTGGCCGTTCAGAGGTGGTGCCGGAGAATCTGGCACTGAACTGCACAAGCAGAATCGGTCACAGAAGCTTTCGAGATTGGCGTGGTCGCAGAAGCTGCTTCGCAAGCAGGAGACGAGGCCAGAACTGCTGCAGCCGCAAGCGTTGCGACAGACTTCGACTGAGAGGCGGAAGCCTGAACCGCAGGACATGGTTTCGCTTGTCGTGACGCACAATAGCCGAGCAGATGCTGTTTTGTGCCCATGGTTCAGGCTCTGTTCGTGCTGCTTGATAGAACCGCTGAAGGGAGACGGAAAGGCGTGGCCATGCTGAACAATGACCCAGTCAAGGACGAGTGCAACGAGCAAACAGGCGTGTTTCATTGCAAGGTGCAGAAGAAAGATAAAAGGGCAGTTCTCTTGGGAGCGTAAAGACTACCCTTGCAAGATATAGGTGGGAAGGAGGAAATCTTGACTGTCAAGAACCTTCCGCCTCTCCATAGATTCCCGGAGTCACACTGTCAAAGCATCAGATGGAACACTGGAGTGTGAGAAAGTGTGCCGTGGTCGGCCGGAGAACGATGCGATGGCGATCGGAAAGGGTGCTCAACCACCCATGTTGGCAGGGAACAGACCACATCGGATCTGCAAGAAGAAGGAGAGCTTTGAGGACCAAGTAGGAAAGGTGTATGGCGCTCTAGGATGTGTATGATCTCTTGGGAGTGGCCTTGCTCCAGCCTCCAGGGATTCTTGCAGATTGACAGGTTTTAGCCTGACGCACTGTTTGCCGGCATGCAACTTGCAACTTGAACGACGAGGTCCTGACAGTGCAACATTGGCAGCTTGCGGCGATGAATGGGTTGCTGCTTTGCTATAGATATCAGTAGTCTATCATAATGAACTTCTGTGTAGTAGTGATAACAAGATCGCTGAAAATATCGTGATTGTCGTCCAGTCTGACTTTCCTTTTGACGATAAGCGAGTGACATGCTCGGGAGTGGCTCGATCACCCCTTGACAGGCCAGCCTCGGGATCGACCCAACCAATATTGAGGGGTTACTCGAGGTACTTTTTCAGACGATAGCCATCCAGTGAGGCATTGCTAGATTGGGGACAATCTCGGCAGCCGTGTCGGTCAAGTCGACCAACGCTGTACAGACACCCGATATCTCTGGTGTTGAGTTCTGCTCCTCACTTTCTGAGCGGCTACGACAGTTGCACATTGACAAAGCCCGAGGGTGACCCAAGAACAACCTGTTGGTCAGACCTCATACGGTCCCCCGGCCCTGTAATAGCAATCTGACGGGTGCGCAAGAAGTGGAAGGTAGGCACATGCAAGTCCATGAATGACATGACACATGACACCCTTGAAGCCTTGCCATCCCCGTGTGACACCTCAAACGGAGCTGCCTGTGAGCGTTCACGAGTCAGCTTTGCGTCTCTGTGGTGTCAATGATCCAGCTCTGACATGCTTCAAATGTCATCGGCTTCGAGCTGGTCCTGCGCCAATAGCTTGATTACAGGCGTTGTTCGAAGCCACCAAGAGGTATGGCTTTCATGAGAAGAGACACTGTACAAGTCCAGGAAGGCAGGATTGTGCTTCACGTTTGAATCTTTCCCTAGTAGCCGCTGCGTGAATACAGAAGATCTCTCCAGCTCTCCCTCCCAGGCATTCCTCGACTTGGGAATGAAATGACGAAGGCCTTGGGGCGTCTGGAGGTTGAATAATACAAGCTTTCGCGAGTGCTGCAGCGGAACAGACCAACCACTTGACACTGCGTGAGTTGATAAGAGGTTCGAAGCATGCCCGGCAGTCGGTCAGTTCAACGTTGCAGGACTGGGACACCCTCCTTGAGTAACAGGCGCCCGCCGACTCCAACGCAAGGTCCGCGCAATTGTTTGCACCTCCGACCTCCAGCAAGCCAAAAGCAGTGCCGCGTTCGCCGTGATCTCGCGCACATGACCCAAAGGGTTCGAATCGCGCCGTGGACAGAACCCAGAAATACTTTTTGGCCGATTCGCGCACAGCGGCAAAAACTCTTATCAGGAACTCAACCACCGGTTTGGTTGAGGTCCTGATCAGAGAAACCATCTCGTCGTGTTGAGAGGTTTTTTGATCGAATCGTCAGGTTGTTCTCCTACCATAAGCACTCCGATGAGCCAATAAGTGGTAGGAACCTTCGTCCATCGGCCCAGTTGATCTTCCGAAGTCGTGAGACCACGGTCGCAAACTACCGCTACACCGGTAAGGTTGTAGGAGCAGCTCTCAAGCTAAGATTCAGTCCAGTCAGGGGTCCGCCTCAAGGATTCACGGTTTCGCCCAAGATCAAGCTGTCTCACACCTGGCGTGCACACCCTTACGCCCTGACTAGCCTGGCTCGAGCCGCCCAGAGGGCCGTCATTGCCAGGGTCAGAACCCGGGATAGATATGAGAATTGTTGGAGGAAATTCGGGACTTTAAACATATATCCTTTGTTTTTTCGCAACACACGTGAAGACCCGGTCGGCCAATCAAAGCGCGTCGTCACGGGCAACCAGCTTCACTGCACTTGGAGCGGCGGCCACTTGGATCTTTTCTGATGTGCCAGTGTCTGGCATTCCCGTTCTGATTGTTGTCTGATCACCTTTGCGGATTGCAGCGTTTTCATTCCGCCGATTGAGAGGTGCGCCGCGCCATACATGATAAAAGCTCACCATCGAGTCGCAAGCCGAGGAGTATAGGAGACTTCATGGCAAAATTCAACGCTCTCAATCTTCATGCTTGGTGTCTCGAGCTTCGTCCCAATTGACTTACAGCGTCAGTGATGCCCGCTTTCTATAACCATGGCTAGGTGAGCGCAAGGCTGATGCCCAGACAAGCCCCCTCAACCGAGAGCTCCGTACACGGGTATGGGCTGGTTCTCAGGGCTCATTCCAGACTTGTATGGGCACAGCCGGACTGAGCTTCTGCAAATGCTTGCACAATCACTCTGCTTTCCCACCGAGTCTACGAGCTTATCAAAAGGCAGTTGAACATGGAAGTCGGAAAAGGATTTTCTAATGACTCAGGGGACCGAGCTTCTTCGGCTGAGAACGAGTCATATTGTGATACCACAGATACCACAGCAATCTTAAGACGGCTGCGACCCGCGCATACCCACGACACGGGAGACTCCGACTGAAACAGCTGACGGGGAGTGTATGGTGCAGTAGCAGAGAATGACTAGCATCAACGAAAGCTGCAAATGACGGCTTCTACACTTTCATTCCTGCTTCTGCGTCTGCACCCGCTGCTTTCTGATCCAGGAAACGCGACCATCAATTTCTTGCCTTGATTACAGAGACATTCTCCTCGTTCCCTAGAAAGAATATCGGACGGCGACTACGGTCGAAACAGATGCGGAAGTTAAACAATATCACGATCATGGCTACGCAGTACATTGCAGGGACCGTTCTAAATAGCACCTGTGACTGAGAGGCATGTCTGTTGGGACAGGTCGGAAGGAAAGCGAGAACATCCCAGCGAATGTTATAACACGTTGAAGGCGGCTGACTGTGGCATGACCAAGAGAGGCCATGATCAGATTGCGAGGCTGTTATTGTTCTGATGGCATGGCGGGAGCTCATCGACCTCAAGTTCGAGGTGTTGAACACACAAGCCTTCTGACAGCCACTACCAGTGCAGTCGATGTGGCCTCTCTCGACGTGGCTGTCTGGGCAAGGACTTTCGTGCACTGTACCGCAATAATGCATCCACAGACCACGCCATCGATCGTATGACTGCGCAAAGTATAGCTTTCACATCATTGGCTGAGCCCAAGGGCACGCCTTATGCTTATTGCGCAACTGGCCATCTTGCCGCAGACTCGGACATCTGCCCAGCCGACGAGCATGAGGAAGGAAGTCGAAGTCTTTCGAGCTCAAACCTGCACACCGCATACTAGTAGGTACCTGTAGCCACTATGCTCGGTGCTCCGCACAGCGAGCGAGCACTTCAGTCCAATGAGAGTGGAAGGGGCTCGGTGGTCTGAGGGGAGCTTTCTCGCTATGTCTAGCCTTATACAGAATAACTTCGTTAAGAATAGCCATATTGGGTATCTCACAGCGAGGCCGGCGCGGAGGCTCCAGGCAACAAAGCGGCATATGCTCTCCATATTCCCAATCGGGTAAAACGGGCAACGAACCCACGGTTCTTGCCGGTCACTATTGCTGTTTCCAGTATCGCGTCCTCCACTAGACACGTCGTAGCGTGAAATGTCAATCGCGCAACCGGGTCAATTGGCGGGGAAGCGAATCCTCTCCTTTCAACCTCGTTCCAGATGATCCAGATCGGTTACTAGTGCACAGAAGATACTGGGAAAATAGTCCTCTGTCCAAGTGTAGCACAGCAACTACCGCTTTTGCAAAGAGCCTTTACTAATTCCTGCTCGGTCATTAGCTGCCTGAGGGGCGATTCCACCGAGACAACTTTATAAGGCGCGGGGTATTCTTCCTGTCTGATCTTTTCCTTCAAGTCCTCAATTACCACCACCTACCTCACCTTCGCTCTTCACACATCAGAGTGACACCAGAGGATTTTCATTGCACATCCTTCGTCTGTTCTACCTCCCCTCCATACCACCTCCCTCATATCCCACACACAGCCAGATCGACCGAAACCATGGGCGAGTGTCCAGTTCACAATACCCTGCGGACGGCCAACATCGGCGGCGGTGGCACCAAGAACACTGACTGGTGGCCAAATAGACTGCAGTTGGGCATTCTGCGTCAACACACCGGCGTGTCTAACCCGCTGAACCAAGACTTTGACTACGCGGCTGCCTTCAAGAGCTTGGACTACAATGCTCTCAAGAAAGATTTACATGCTCTGATGACAGATTCACAGGACTGGTGGCCAGCTGATTTTGGTCACTATGGTGGTCTGTTTATCCGAATGGCCTGGCACAGCGCTGGAACGTATCGTGTCTTTGATGGCCGTGGCGGCGGTGGTCAGGGCCAGCAGCGCTTCGCCCCTTTGAACAGCTGGCCTGACAATGTCAGTCTTGACAAGGCACGGCGCCTGCTCTGGCCCATCAAACAAAAGTACGGCAACAAGATCTCTTGGGCTGACCTGATGCTGCTCACCGGCAACGTCGCCCTCGAATCAATGGGTGTCAAGACCTTTGGCTTCGCTGGTGGTCGTGCGGATACCTGGGAGGCTGACGAGTCGGTGTACTGGGGCGGTGAGACCACCTGGCTCGGCAACGATGTTCGCTATTCAGAGGGCCACGAAGGTCTTCCCAAGGGAACGGGCGTGGTGGATTCCGACCAGCACAAGAAAGAGCACTCCGACATCCATACCCGTGACCTGGAGGAGCCGCTGGCATCTGCCCACATGGGTTTGATCTACGTCAACCCTGAAGGGCCTGACGGAATTCCCGACCCTGTCGCCGCCGCAAGAGATATCCGCACCACATTTGGTCGCATGGCCATGAACGACGAGGAAACCGTTGCTCTGATTGCCGGTGGTCACACCTTTGGCAAGACACACGGTGCTGCCCCGTCTGACAATGTCGGCCCCGAACCAGAAGCCGCTCCTTTCGAGCAACAGGGTCTCGGCTGGCAGAACAAGCACGGCTCTGGCAAGGGCCCAGATACCATCACCAGTGGTATTGAAGTGATCTGGAGCAAGACCCCGACGAAGTGGAGTCTTAATTATCTCGAATACCTCTTCAAGTACGAATGGGAGTTGGTCAAGAGTCCTGCTGGGGCGAACCAATGGGTGGCGAAGGATGCTGGAGATATCATTCCCGATGCCTACGACCCCAACAAGAAGCACCCACCCACCATGATGACGACGGATCTTTCGCTCCGCCTTGATCCTTCCTACTCAAAGATTGCGAAACACTACCTCGCGCATCCCGACGAGTTCCACGATGCATTCTCGCGAGCGTGGTTCAAGCTGTTGCACCGCGACATGGGCCCACGATCTCGCTGGCTCGGCCCGGAACTGCCAGCCGAAGAATTGATCTGGGAGGATCCAATCCCATCTGTGAACCATCCACTCGTTGACGACAAGGACGTTGCTGCGCTGAAGAAAGAGATTCTGGCAACTGGGCTGGATCCTGCCAAGTTCGTCAGGACCGCATGGGCTGCTGCTTCCACCTTCCGCGGCAGTGACAAGCGCGGCGGCGCCAACGGTGCGCGCATCCGTCTTGCCCCTCAGAAGGACTGGGAGGTGAACAATCCACAGCAATTGAGTCAAGTGCTGAGCACGTTGGAAGGTGTGCAGAAGAAATTCAACGAAGCCCAGACTGGTGGCAAGAAGGTCTCCCTGGCTGATCTCATCGTGTTGGCCGGAACTGCTGCCGTGGAGAAGGCTGCTGGTGTTCCCGTTCCCTTCACACCGGGCCGCATGGATGCCACGCCAGAACAAACCGATGCCCAGTCGTTCGAACACCTGAAGCCCCATGCTGATGGTTTCCGTAACTACGGCAAATCGACGCACCGGGTTCGCACCGAACAGTTCCTCGTCGACAAAGCACATCTGTTGACACTCTCGCCCCCTGAGATGACGGCCCTCGTCGGTGGCCTGCGTGCTCTCAATGCCAACTACGATGGATCCTCCCTGGGTGTCTTTACTAAGCGTCCAGGTCAGCTCACCAACGACTTCTTTGTCAACCTTCTGGACATCAACACCTCCTGGAAGGCAACGGATGCGGAGAAGGAACTCTACGAGGGCACCGATCGCAAGACCGGCGAGAAGAAGTGGACTGGTACCCGTGCCGATCTAGTGTTTGGCGCGCATGCCGAGTTGCGGGCTATTGCTGAGGTCTATGGCAGTGTCGACGGCCAGGAGAAGTTTGTGAATGACTTCATTGCAGCCTGGGACAAGGTCATGAACCTGGACCGTTTTGAAATCAGCCCCGCAGCCGACCCGGCCAAAGCGCGACTTTGAACTTGTTGACGCTGGCGTTGAGACCAAGAATTGATACTCTCCCGTAGCTAGATTTGATAGCATCAATAATAACGACAATCCAAAAGACTCGATAATAAAAAAGATTGCGGTGCCGAATATGGAAATACAAAACCTAGACAGTGCAGGGTATAGAGATTGTAGTTGTTGAGATGCCATTTCACGCACAAAAGACTGCCGCCGTGTGATTCGTTGATTTAACTCTACTTTTGTACGTACTGTGAATGGCAACGATTTCATTATTCATCACTTTTATTATATATACTAATACTACGTATTAGTTGAATGCGTCCAACTTGACTGCTTCCTCCAACCGCCACACCACCGTAGGCTGTGGCATCATGTACGAGTATCTGTTCTTTACAGTATCCTAGTCCGCTATGAGCTCTTCTACCGCTTCTCTGGCCGACTCCATCTCCTTTTCCTCCGGGTCGGAGCCCGAAGAAAGTCCTCCTCCACCCCCCACCGCTACCGCTACCGCAGCGCAGACGTCGCCACCAAACCAGCAGCGACAAAGACCCGCTCAACCACCACGCCTTCCCTCTCCCAGACTCTTTCGCGATTTCTTTAATGCCATGTCAGATACGGCCTCGCGCAGGCAGGCAACTCTCCCACGCACAAACTACCAAGACCCGGTCCACGACGTCAACCGAGCGCTTCAGAGCGCGAATCGAGCCCTGCAAACCGCACAAGAAGCATTTCACCAGGCTAGAAGACTGCGAGCAGCTTCTGGGCCGCAGCCAGAGGCCAACAGCCAGCCGGTCGATTTGACGAGTAGTCCGCCTGACCGGTCCGCCGAAGCTCGCTTCTTCTCGCAAACCACACATCCTCACGACTCGGCGTCCAACAGCCAGCGATCGAGACGATTCAACGCACTTGACGAACCCGTCTACGGCCCTCCTCCGAATATCCCCCTCCTCAACCCGTCCGATCCCTTGACCCTCGTCAGGCTCTGGCCTGTCTCTGCCCCGAATCCGCCGCGGTTGCCGCATCCCGACCAGACCGTCAGACTCCAGTCTATGGTGGACGAAGAAGCGATCAACCGGCAGCGAGAAAATCATACAAACTGGGAGCGCACACAGGCCAGGAATCAGCAGCGTCTACAGAACCCTGCCTCCACCGCCATGTCTCCTCCGTCGTCGTCGGCCTCTTCCTCGAAAACGACCAGACCCCGCCCGCTTGGCCCCAGTGCAGCCTTGAATCCTGCAATTGAATCTGTCGATCTTACGGGTGTCGACGACAATGCAACACTCTCGGCGGCGCTGGCCAAACAGCGCCAGGATGCCATTCTATCACAAAACACAGGCAACGAATCCGGCCGAACGCCATTAACGGCCTACAAGTGTCCTGTCTGCATGGACACGCCGACCGACGCCACGTCCACGGCCTGTGGCCATGTCTTCTGCCATCGCTGTATCATGGACACGCTCAATTGGTCGGTCGAACAACGCCGTGAGGGTGCACCTCCCAATCGAAAGGTGAAGGGCGTCTGCCCCGTCTGTCGAAAGCAACTGGATGTCAAAGACACTCCTGGGACCGGCAGGAGTCTGATACCACTAGAACTCAAATTGATGGTGCGGAAGCGGAAAAGGGATGACAAGGGCAAGGCGAAGATGTTCAAGGCCGAAACCCTGAGTGATGACGATGACGACGAGGGCCGCGATGATCGACTAGGCAGTGGGAAGGAGAATGTTCGAGCAGGCAAGGCTAGGAAGAGGGAGTCGACAGAAGAAGCGCTCTGGGGACAGTTCATGGCTGATTGATGGAATCATCGAAGCAGCGGGCTCACAAATTGCGGCACGTCGAATTCGCCTTCAGCCATCCGGTTCTTGCTTTTCTTTTTCTTTTGCCCTTTTCAGCGGCCATTGCGAGGGCGACTCGTTACGGGATTGATGATACCCAGGGAAATGATACCACGACAGCATTGCCACGGGCGGTGAATGGCTTGCTTCTCCTCTGCGAGCTGCGGTCTAATTTGCATGGGAAGTCAGCGCGGCGTTCGGTATGGTTAGAAAATGGGACTGGCACCGCTTCACTTGAAGGTTTAATAGAGTATGAAATTAGAGCATACATGGGACGGAAAGAAGTGTTTTCTTCCTGTCATGCGTCAGGGCTTAGCCTCGTATGTGCTCAAGCAATACAGTTTAAGAAGCGGCGCGCTCTTCCCTAATCCAAAGGAGAAGAGCACCAGCACCAGCGTCAAATTGGGCATGGATCAGAACGCTCCCCCAGTGACTACGGTTTCCTCTTTCCCCTTCTATTCAACTATGTCTGTGTGGCTACGAGATGTATTGTGAAACCAGTTTGTCCGCATCAAAAATACCCCCGAGCTCTCTCTGAGTTCTCATGAGTAATGAAAAGTAACATCGAGTCCACTTCTCAATATGTGCAATATATCAGCATCACTATGCTATGTGCAGAGACAAAACGACTTTCGCTTGTATTAGCGTGCACCGAGAAAAAAAAGAGCCGTCCAACGCCCTCGCTGTATCAGAGATGCATGTTTCATGAAAGAGCCACCAGTTCCCGCGGAGATTTTGTCATCCTAGCCCCGTCCAGCCAAAATCATGCAAAGGTGGTGGTTCAGAAACCACACGTAGAACCTTAACAAAACCACACTGCCATAAAGTGTAGTGTATATACAAACCCAGAAAATAGGCTGGAGCGACCATCGTCATTGTCATCATCTATCTTTCCAGCCTCCTCTTCCTCCCCCGCGCGATGAGAGTCTTATTAGCCCAGCGCACGACGGCGCGGATCATGACGTCGCGCATGAGGAGCAAGAAGACGACGACGCTGACGGGGGCGGCCAGGACCCAGAAGAAGGCATCACTGTGCTCGCTGACGCCGGGGAAGGTGGCGAAGTTCATGCCGAAATAGCCGGTCAGGAAACTCAGCGGCAAGAAGAAGCAGGTCACGATGGTCAGCTGCTTCATGCTCTCGTTCTGGTACGCCGACACGGTGTTGAAGATCAGGTCGACGAGATTGTCTGCGCTGCGGCGCATTTGGTCGTACGAGTCCTGGATCAGGAGGGCATGATCCTCCACGTCGCCGAGATACGTGATGGTCATGGGCGAGATACTCACGCCGGAGGTGATGAAGTTGCCGGGGGAGGACTGTTGGCGCATTTTGAAGGCGTAGTGCGGCCGCTTGTAGGTCTGGGTTTGGACGGGTTGGCTGTGATTGTTGGTGTTGGTGTTGGTGTTAGTGTTGCCGTGGCCGTCCCGCTCGGGAGACGAGCTGGGCATCCGGGAGAATGCTGGCGTGGCGGCCTGGGCGTCGGCCTTGTGGTCTTTCAGGGCGCCGATCAGCTGGACGATCGGGGCGATGCCGTTGCGCAGAATGGCGATCTCCGAGGTCAGAATGTACAGAGTGGTCGATTGGTGGATGGCCGGGTCTGTCAGCACGTCGAGTTCCAGGTCGCCGATGGCGTCTTGGTAGGCCGTCGTGACGGGGAGCGCCATGTCGATGATGGCGTCGAGAATCGCTTGTGCCAGCATCGACGCGTCGGCCGACTGGCGCAAGATGGTGCCGGGCGATTGCAGTCGGTGGATGATGGGCGTCTGCACGTCGTTCGCAGAGTACTCGAAGAAGGAGATGACGGTGTTGTCGGCACACAGGAAAATGGACACTTGCTCGATCGATACGCCGATGCCTTTGGCGCGCAGCACAGCGTGTCGTTCCATGTATTCAATCCGGTCCTGGTTGGGTCCGGAGTGGTAGCGCTGCATGGTGCGGACGTGTTTCGGCCCCCACCGGGCACTGGGGTCGACCTTGCTGGAGAACCGGAGATTGTTGGGGGCAGGGTTGCGGTGGACAATGTCCGGTGCTCCCGCTTGGAGTTTTCTCTTTTTGGGCTTGTAGATGTCGTCCCAGAGAGACCGGAGCGCGCCTTTCCTTCTTTTCTGCTCGTGCCGCCGCCTTTGACGCTCGGTGATGATCTTGGCGCCAAATTCCGATTCATGTTCCTCGCCCGCAGCGAAGTCCGAGTCGTCGTCGGACGAGGAGGAGGAAGACTCTTCTTCATCCTCGAGGCCGATGAGCTTCTGTAGCGGCAGAACCATGTATGTGTGGTCGCTGTACCAGTCCACTTTCGTCCGGTTCTTGGTGTTGAGCAGATCTTCAATGGCCAGTCGGTGCAGCCCCTTGTAATTCCCCAACAACCTGATCACGTCCCACGACAGTCCGTTGACATTGATCCATCGGACATCCGCCCAGGGGGCAGGCGCGGCTTGCAGGAATTCTTCAATGTTATCGTTGTCCAGGTCATACGTCGACACTTGGTCGCTGCTGAAGTCCACCACGGTTATTTCACATCGCTGCTTGAGGCTCTCGTGCGGCAGAGGTTCCTGCGGCCCCTCGCTGTACGGTGGCGCTGGCTTGCTGGTGTCGATTCCGGGTTCAAGTCCGGGCGCCCAGCCAGTAGTCCTGCCCAGCTCTTCCGTGCCGTAGATGACATTGTTGGCTGTGTCGGAGCGGCCCCTCCTGCGTACCGACTTCGCCGTCGTCTTGGAGGTGTTCGTGTCTGTGCGATGGAGATCTTGGTCACCATCATCTTTCTCCTGGCGGTGACTTTGATATTCTTTCACCTTGGGGTCCTCCTGGATGTGGACGTGTGGTTGGGTTGGGTTTTGCGCATTGGCGGACGCGGGAGAGCGGTCTTGCGCTTCGACGTCGGACTCGTGGGTCCGTCGGCGGCGGCGTCGCGAATGACGGTTCAAGGACTCGCGTGAAGGATCTACTGAGGAGTGGTCCTCATGGGACACAACATGCGTCCCATGGATATGCGGCATTGTTGACATCTTGACTCGAGGAAGTGGCGCTTATGCCCAGGCGTGTCGTGGAGGGCGACGCCTCGCACATACAGAGGGAGACGGCGTAGACTGCCTAGCAACGCAAGACATAGAGTGAAGAAGCAGGATGCAGATTGAGACAAGGCCGACTACATTGTGTGCGCAAATGCTGCAAAATCAAAGGTCAAGGGTCAAGGGTCAGGGATCAAGGATCAACGCAGCTGAGCCGCGCGGCGGCCGAAGTTCATCTGATGCGAAGTTGCTGTCAGTCATTGGAGCCGGAGACTTTGACCGAAAGCGACGAGGTTGAGGCCAAGCTTTCCGCCCTCATACAAGCTTCTCTATTACTGAATGCGCTTCTCTACTAGCTGTGCTAGCTCCTTGCTAATCGCATCGAAAGGCGGAATCTCGCCTATTGCATCATGTTTTCCTTCCGCCTGTCGCTCCGGTATTGTTGGCTGAATCCGTGGAAAATACTCTGTCTGACGAAAACGTTTCTTTCTCTTTTGGTGGCGGATTGTTCCATACCGCCGATATCGATATCTGAAATACATCGTCAGACAGCTGACACATTGGGTCGGGGACGAAATTCAGCATGGACACATGTCAACATCCTGATCGGAAAGGACATGTGGCTTACAAGGAACAATACAAGACAGACCGTAAGTCGCTTCAGGTATGTAGATAGGTCCTGAAGACAATTCTCATTCATAGGGCAATATACTTGAGGCTGCTTTGCCTCGAACAGCCCTTCAAAAACCCCCCACGTCGCGATAACAAAAGCTGAAGCGGGCGACATCCCAAGGCTGTGGACCCAGCGTCGAGGACATCATAGCACGGTGTTGACTCAGACTAAATGCACAACACAAAGGGCGTCGTGGTCTTCTCCGGCGGGAGCGCTGCCAATAGTCTTGTCGACGTCTTCGAAGCCGTGCGAGAGAACAAAGACTGCCCTCTGAGCTACATCATACCGATCAGTGACAACGGCGGATCGTCTTCAGAACTCATCCGCGTGTTTGGCGGGCCTGGAATTGGCGATGTGCGCAGTCGCCTTGTCCGGCTGATACCGACGGATCCTCCCTCACCAGAAAGATCAGCCATCTCGTCCCTCTTCAATCATCGTCTGTCGTCGACCTCTTCCGTGGACGCGGCCGCCGAATGGCAATGGATTGTGTCGGGGACGTCTGATCTCTGGAAAGGGATTTTGTCGGCGAAGAAGGAACTGATCCGGTCATTCCTCAACCTCCTCAACCTCGAAATCTTGAAGCGATCCCGGCCGTCGTCTACATTCGACTTCACCTCGGCCAGTGTGGGGAATCTGTTCTTGACCGGCGCGAGGTTGTTCAGCGGCAGCTTCGAGTCCGCAATCTATCTGCTGAGCAGCATCTGTGCCATTCCGGACGGCGAAGTACAAGTCATTCCGAGCATAAATTCCAACTTCTCCCACCATATTGCGGCAGGCCTCGCTAATGGCGATGTTATTGTCGGACAGAACAACATCTCACATCCTACAGCGGCCACAGCCTTCGACATGCCACCTTTCTTTCCTGACCTCACGCATGAACAAAAGAAAGTCCGCGCGAGCATGGAGACTACAGAAGATGTCGAAGACGCCAATGGTCCGGGAACACACCCCAGCCTCCGCCAGAATAATATTAAATTTACAAAGGAGGAAGACGAGGATCTCCCGGCGCGCATTGAGCGGATATGGTACATCAACCCGTACGGGCAGGAAATGCTCCCACCAGCCAATCCTCGAGTCATCTCGGCCGTCAAGGAAGCCCAAGCGATCATCTACTCCATAGGTTCCCTTTACACGTCCATCATCCCTTCCATCGTCCTCAAAGGTGTCGGTGAAGCGCTGCGCTCCACTCCAGCTCGCCATAAAATCCTCATCCTGAATGGCTCGCTGGATCGTGAAACAGGACCCAGCTCGACCCCATTCACGGCATTCGATTTCGTTGAAGCCATTGCTCGTGCCGGCGAGCAGTCCAGAGGCAACATTTGGAGGCCGATCCTTCGTACGTCACGCTCGGATGAATCCATGAATGCATCAGCCGCAACGTCTCCGGCGGCTCGCAACGGTGACTTCCTGGTTCCAGGAACGATAGCCCATCCCAGCGCTCACGGTCCGGACAGGGATTCGATCTATCGGAAGTATGTGACGCATGTCATTCACCTTAGTGGAGAAGGGGCGCCACAGGTTAATCGCGAGCAGCTTGCATCTCTCGGCATCGACTGTTTGAAGTTGTACGGCCGGAAAAGTGCGAAAGGCGTCATGCTGTACGACCCTCAAGCCCTCATCGGAGCAATCGAGGCGATCCTTGGAAAGAAAGGGGATGCCATGGCGTTGACCAGGAGTCGCAGAAATACCTATGACGGATGAATCAGACGGTCCTTGCTGCAGACAGCTCTCCGGGTTAGACAGCCCGACGACCGGGACCGGGCTGAAACATCGGCCACGAAGAAGATTGCACGAGCCTCACAATTGTCTCCTCTTGTTGCGCCACCACGCAACAAAGGGCAACTTCCACTCCACTGTGCGAAGACTGGCGTGGAAGATGTCGAAATCGACCTTTTGCAGCCTGTTGAGCCAGAGTTGAGTGCTGACCGCGGGCCCCATCACAATGCCGAAGCCCTTGTCGAGCTCGTCTTCCACCTTTGCGGCAGAGGCTTTTTCTCCACTGTCAAGCTTGCCATATTCATGGCCTTCATCGTCCATGTGCTCGAATTCATGGTCGGGATCTCGGTGTTCCTGAACACTTCGCAACATGGTTCTCGCGGTGATGAGGTGGTCGGAGGCTCGAGTGGCAACAGCAAAGACCGCGTCCCGCAGGCCTGCAGCATTCGGCCCGTTGCGGAAGAGGTCCTCTTCTCGCACGCCGCATTGCGACATGATATCAAGGGGCAGGGTAACGACTCCTTGCTTTTCCCTTGTGGAAGGGAGTCCCATGCCCGCAGGATTGTTGGAGTGTTGGTTTGGCGGTCCTGGAAACGCGAGTAGTGGAACTCCACGGAGCACCGCTGCAATACCGGCAGCCTTCCCAATATGAGAAGCCAGGTGATCCATTGTAAGTGAGTTCAGTGGAAGTGCCGAAAGAGTCAAGTAGAGAAGGGAGGAATATGTCGATTCGGCATAAGATTCGAGCTCGGCTACATTCGTGAAGCCAGGGTGTGTCAGCTTGCGATCTCTGGCGGTGATGACCCGCTGGAACCAGGTCTTGTTCAGCTTCATGCCTTGGTGAAGGTACGAGGCGAGGAGGATTGCCACAGGTTCCGACGGAGGAGTGAGTTTGAAGGCTTTGTCAATCGTCTCCCTCCAAAATTGCATTCTCATGGCGCCTATCTGCGGCATCGACACCACGTCTGGGATCCGAGCCAGTTCAATGTTGAACGCCCGGATGGCCAAGTAGGCGGGGAGCATATGAGGCCGGATGAAATGGGCCAGTGTGTAGGATGGCGAGTCATAGTTCCTACAAGACTGTTAGACTCAAGATCCCGGGAGCTCTATATTTGTTTTTGAAACAAGGGGACCCTACCGAACTAGATTCGAACAATAGGCGTATGCCTTCTTGACGTCCGGTGAGTCTCGATCGAGAGACAATGCAGCCCTCGGCGTTGAGGAGAAGTTCCGCTGCTTTGTTCGGGAATCGAGTCGAATTCCTGCCTCTGTCTTGGATAGTAGTCCGCGACGGCACTGGCGGAACATTGGTCCTCTGGCGTGTAACATCTCGAGCTTCGATGTCTCTCCGCTCGTGGTGCCCTCCGTGCCCTTCCTCAATAGTAGTTATTTGCCGTAGGTCGAGACTAGGCCATTACAATGCGAAAAAAAGCAGTCTGAGACCTATAGCTGATACTCAATGACGGGCACCGCCATCGTATGTAAAACCCACAAGACTATGAGGATCGAGGATCTCTGGTACGTCTTCTAGGATATGGAACTCTTGTGACGTTGGGCATACATCATGCACCCTTCGTCTCCATGGAATCTTGGATCCTTGGAGGAGTCGGAGTTTCCCAAGAAGTCAATTTAAGTCGCAGTCACGTGGCGGCGCGACATTTGCCTAGCGTGTCGTCCAAACCGCGTCGCTCGTGGCAAGATTCTAACCGTTCATCACTTCACGCGCATGCATCTCCAGGTCAACGAAACACTCTATGGACGTCGACGTGCGCCCCAGGAAGAAGAGGCGCTTCTTCGTCGATGATCCTGAAGATGTCGCCGACCCCCGAGTGTCGACCTCTTCCGCCCCTGCCTCCAGTAGACCAATCTCCGCAACCTCGTCGACAGGAGAAGAACGCCAGAAGTCCAGCCAAACGGATCTCGATGGTACAGGGGCCATACTCGATGGAGATAGTACCCTAAGGTTCGATGCGGACACATTCCGAACATTCGTTGGTGAAGATGTCAATCAAGATGTAGTGAACACAGTCCAGAGTGTCGCGCATGGAGATATGGAACGAGCTATCAACATGTACCTTGACGGATCCTGGAAGAACCCCGTGGTTGCGAGATCGTCGATACAACAATCACTGCCTTCAAAGGGTGTGGATGTGTGGCTCACCAACTCCGAGAAGAACCGCAGCCCGCCTAGCGCCCTTGAGCCCTCGACCGAGACAGATGGCAGTCCAAAAACACCCCTGCTGCACTCGATGCCAGCCGAACGATATGTCGGTTCGTTTGGCGTTGCAGCATGGATGACAAAAAGCGGAACCAACCTGTTGGCTCATGGCGAAGCCGTCCGGATAGAAAGATCCAGGATCACGCCGCGGACCAAACTTGGAAGAGGTGGAAAGCTGGTGCCGATAGTCGGGAGAAATCAAAAGGCGGATGTGATCACACGGTTCACAAATTCTAAAGGCGAGGAGCTGGGTCGTCTTCCCGAAGAAACCGCCGCCTGGGTGTCGCCGTTGATAGACCAGAAAGTCTGCCGGTTCGAGGGCACATGCGTGTATGCGCCTGACCGCGTTCGAGTGAATGATACGGTCTACCTGCAACTGCATGCTTTTTTCCTCAAGACTGCATTTGAAGCCAGTGCGTTCGTCAAACCAAAGGACGACAACCGAGCTACCGGGTTCTTCGAAGAGAAAGAGAGCAGTGAAGAAAAGGATCTGCGTCTTCGACAGGTTGCCCTCATCAAACTCTTCGAAGAAGTCAACCTCAATCCGACGTCGACAAATGAAACCACTGCAAAACACAAAAAGCAAGGACTGTTGAGAGCGGCAGAGATGGCCGAGCAGTACGACAAAGAGAAGGATCCTCCGAAAGGAAAGGCGGCTCCATCGACTCCAAATTCCGAGGACGAGGAAGGAGAAGAGTTGGAAGAAGATCAATTGGACACGCTGTATCAGAAAGCACAGTCCTTCGACTTCAATACGCCTGAAGCTGAGCCCGCGTCGACATTTGCTCTTGACCTCCGAAAGTACCAGAAGCAGGCGTTGCACTGGATGCTCTCGAAGGAGAGAGACGAGTCATCCAACAAGCAGCAGTCCATGCACCCGCTCTGGGAAGAATACGTTTGGCCTACCAAGGATGCAAATGACTTACCTCTTCCCAATGTCGAAGGTCAAGACAAGTTCTACGTCAACCTCTATTCAGGAGAAATCAGCCTTGAATTTCCAGTGCAGGAACAGCACTGTCTTGGAGGAATTTTGGCTGATGAGATGGGGTTGGGCAAGACGATCGAGATCTACAGTCTCATCCACTCGAACCGCTCAGATATTGATCTTCAGACGGCAGACAAGTCTGTCACATCCGTCAACAACCTACCTCGTCTGCCACAGTCATCAACGTCCGTTGAGCCGGCGCCATGTACGACTCTGGTTGTCGCCCCCATGTCGTTGTTAGCACAGTGGGAGAGCGAGGCGGTGAAGTGCTCCACGCCGGGGTCTCTTCGAACGATGGTGTATTATGGCAGCGAGAAGTCTGCAAACCTGCAAGTCCTATGCTCAGCCGCAAATGCAGCTTCAGCTCCCAATGTCATTATCACGAGTTATGGCACGATTCTGTCGGAGTTTGGACAGATCACTGCCGCAGGTGGTGATCGTGGCTCTCTCGGCGGGCTCTTCTCTGTGGAATTCCACCGGGTGATCCTTGACGAAGCTCATACGATCAAAAACAGACAAGCAAAGACATCAAAAGCATGCTACGAACTCAAAGCCAAGCATCGCTGGGTCTTGACTGGTACACCTATCGTGAATAGGTTGGAAGACCTGTTCAGCTTGGTCCGCTTCCTCAAAGTCGAGCCCTGGAGCAATTTCTCGTTCTGGAAGACGTTCATCACCGTGCCCTTTGAATCCAAGGAAATTGCCCGGGCACTCAACGTTGTGCAAACAGTGTTGGAACCGTTGGTTCTCCGACGGACAAAAGACATGAAAACTCCGGATGGCGAGGCTCTCGTACCATTACCTCCCAAGACCATCACGGTGGAGGAAGTTGAGCTTTCCAAAACCGAACGAGAGGTATACGACCTCATTTTCACCAGAGCCAAACGAGCCTTCAATGATTCGGTCCAAGCGGGGACGTTGCTGAAGTCCTATACCACCATTTTTGCCCAGATTCTGCGGCTACGGCAGTCGTGCTGTCACCCGGTCTTGACCCGGAACAAAGACATCGTGGCAGATGAGGAAGATGCCGCGGTCGCTGCTGCGGCCGATGGCAATGGCTTCGCTGATGATATGGACCTTCAAGACCTCATCGAGCGTTTCACCAATGACACCCACCTGGCCGAGAGTGACAGTGCGGCAAACCGAGATCCGATCACGACATTCACCACGAACGCGCTTCGTCAAATACAGGACGAGTCCAGCGGCGAGTGTCCTCTGTGTTACGAGGAGCCGATGTTAAATCCCGCCGTGACGACCTGCTGGCACAGTGCATGCAAAGAATGTTTGGAGAAATTCATCTCACATCAAAAGGACAAAGGCGAAGTGCCGCGCTGCTTTTCGTGCCGCGAGTCGATCAACCCTCGAGACGTGTTCGAAGTGGTCAAGCACCACAGCCCATCGGCCTCCTCCGACCCCGAGGGAGATCTGTACTCTGCAGACGAAGTGGTCTCAAGACCGACCAAGATCTCTCTTCGCCGGATCCATCCCTACTCGCCCACAGCCTCGACATCCGCAAAGATAGCGGCGTTGCTGAAGCACCTCACCACACTTCCGAGGGGGACAAAGTCGGTGGTGTTCTCCCAATTCACCGCTTTCCTGGACCTGATCGCACCGCAACTCTCCAAACACGGCCTTCACCACCTTCGATTCGACGGGACCATGTCGCAGAAGGTTCGTGCTCAGGTGATCCGAGCATTCAACGCAGACAATGCGTCAGACCCCCAGGCACCGCATGTCTTACTCCTCTCACTACGTGCCGGCGGTGTGGGCTTGAACTTGACCGCCGCAAGCCGGTGTTTCATGATGGATCCCTGGTGGAGTTTTGCTGTCGAGGCGCAAGCCATCGACAGGGTGCATCGGATGGGCCAGACGGAAAAGGTCGAAGTCGTTCGCTTCGTGACCAAGGACAGCATTGAAGGAAGGATGCTGCGTGTCCAGGAGAGGAAGATGGCTGTTGCCGGCTCACTGGGGGTCGGACAATCCGGGGCCGGTGGCGACACGGAAGAGGAGAGAAAGAAACGACGGATCGAAGAACTGGAGATGCTGCTCGGTTAAGAAAGAGGTCTCCGGCAATCAACGTACAAATGTGCACAGGATACGGTATGGATGTCAGAGTATCGAATCGACATATCAGTCGTCAGTGGGCCTGGCCCCATCCTATAGAATGTTTGCCCGCTGGTACGAAATCGACGGGCCCCTTGTAGTCTAAGGGTAAATACAAGTACTGACGGCGTGACTGAAACATATGTTCCGTCTCACTATCAGGGGCTTGTTGCTCGAGTGTCTCGTGCTCCAACTTCCGTATGCATAAAGACACATAATTTGCTGGTCTGCCGTGAGATCAAAACCTGACTTACCAGAGGTGTGAAGAGACCAGTGAAGCGTCGGCGAAGGACGACCTCATGTCGTTGAGAGGTCAGACATATCAGGCACAGGGAGCGTGAGGCGAGGCCTACAGCTAGAAGGTCGACATAGCGAGTTCACGTCGCCACATGATGAGCTCTCGAGCCCGTCCGGAGCTGGCTAACAGCTTGATCTCGAGTGTGCTCCAAGACCAAAGCGGTAAAGAGACTTCGTCATCATAAACGGTTCGGCTAGCTTTTCTCCCGCTTATACAGGAGCTCTGTGGCGAACATACCACTACCTATTGAGAGTGTACCCAGGTTCACGTCGACGTCCTGCAACCGGTTGGGGTCGAACCACGGTAAGGTATAGAACCGGGAGCGATATTAACATGGACGTGAGAACAATCTGCCAGCGCTGTCCCCACAAGTGTCCTCATTCGGGATGCATCGTGACAAAGGATCGAGCATGAAACGACTCCTCATGACCCCGGTCTAGGCTCTTCGCTTGCTCACACGTCAATAGAATCCGTCCTGATCAGCAATATGCATAACCTTTCGATCACTACCAGGAACCCATACGAGGCGGCAAGCGCTGTAAGGAGAGAGGAGTCGAGGAGGAGTGCCTATCAGCTACAGACGGCGCTTCGTATCGGCGTGGTCTTTGAATACGCTAGCATTCGTATGTTATGTAGGGTTATTCAGGACGGGGTTCGAGGTACTAAGCACATTGCGAGTGGTGTGGCTTGGAAACTTGCGGACTCAAGGGCGAATTGCCGGTGTACAGGATTGGACATCAAGTCGGCTCGTCAGGCACTGATTCAGCATCAGGATGATTAGGATGATTACACAGTAGAGACGGTGGAAGATGAGACACCAAGATTGATGTTGAAGGTCAAGATTGAACTTGAACTGCGGCTGAAATATACGGCGACGCTAGACCCGATGCGGTGCAAGTGCCGACAAATCGGGAACGGGAAGAACAATGATCCGTGGCACCTTCCTCAATCAGCCGAATTCGCCATTGGCCACGTATCCAACATTATTACAGACGAGTTTCATTCGACGACATCACATCATCACATTTTGTTCAACAGGGGATTCGGTAGCTGGATCCCTCTCTTTTTCTCTTATCATCATTACATCACCTCCCCTGCGCCAATCCCCCAGAGAGCGATGATGCACGGCTTTTGAGATTTGTCCATGATCTTCACTGATGCTGGCCATCATTGCCCACTGCATATCCACGTTGTCAAAGCTTCTGAGAGTTCACTAGGCGGATATCCCGGCCATTGCTTCTGTTTATTGTTTCGGGGTCAATGCTTGTGTCGTTATTTCAATGCTTCATCGTTCCCAATCTGTCTCTGGTCTCTGGTTGCCAGAGTCATGTTTGGATTGGAAGCCGGCTTCACACATGGTTGGTTCGTGGAACCGCCACCACCGACCGTTCACCTTTACACCCCGGCAAATGGTTCAGCAAGTGCTCTGTGGTAGTGTCACACAGGGACTGTCTCACTACCAACAGTAATCATGCAGTCCGCCTGGGCCATGAGCTCCGACCGATGACAGGTACTTACATCATGCCTGTACCCACCATGATTGGATTACTCTCGTTGTCCAGTTGGCCTCTCACAACAGGTCGGAACTTCCAGCGGAGCTAAGGTATGTTCCATGGTGATACAATTGTTCCTAGGTCGTATCAGCCTCGGCAGATAGATGCATATCTCTAGCAAGCTATGACATGGCATTGAACTCGATCCAGTTTCCGAGTTCGAGCTGAACGTGCATTGTGTGGGGAGCTCCTGCACAACACGGTGATATACCCAGGACCGCGTCTCCATTAGTCCTCAACCTTCTGCCGCCTAAGTCAATCATTGTTTTTCCTCCTCAGGTTGCCATCGTTGTTAAACCGACGCAATCCCACGCTACTCCAGGGTCTCCAGGCGGCAACCGGCCAAGCTAGAAATTAACAGATATCGCCAGAATGCATACTGATGTGCGCATGAGAGAGATTGCTCATCATCTCCAGGTTGATAGCCCGACCACCCACGAAACAGAAATCCAATTGCTAACATGAACGACATCCAGCCTGATGAATGGAAACTCGAACAAGGGCTAGCGGCTGCTGAGCTGCCCATTGACGACCAGACTCGCACTGAAGGAGACGAAGTTTCTTCTTTCCAGGAGGCTGGCAAGTCAGGGCCCGACGACGATGCCAAATCAGAGGACCTCGCGCCAGAAGACGACCCTGATGTTGTGTTTGCCGAGGAGCGAGAAGGCTGGCGCGGGTAAGCTTCTCGCAACACCACTTTAAGACTCACTTTGTGCCCCCATCATGCTAACCAAGGCAAAAGGTACGTTGAATGGGAGGACTACCCCGAAAAGAAGGCCAAGGCACACAAGATCTTGATCAGCAATAAATTTCCACCACCACCAGAGTTCCAGTTGGGCCCGATCCCGGATACCAACCCTGTGCTCGAAGGCGTCCGCTGGAAACAATGGCACAAAGCCATCGGCGGGCCGCTGACTTCGGTGCCCGAGGAATCATGGCTCCGCGTCATCCAGGAGAAGCATCCGGACATGCTGCATCTGCTAGAATTCCCTTACAACGGCGAACCCCCCAAACGACTGGTGACGGCCAAACCTGTGACGCCCAACTCATTGCATTTCATCCGAAACCACGGCGGGATTCCGGACATCGACGCCGACAAGTGGGAACTGAAACTCGACGGCTTGGTCAAACACCCTCGCACATTCACACTGGCAGACCTCCAGAATGAGGAATTGTTCCCACGCATGGAGAAGCTCGTGACCATCCAGTGCAGTGGTACCCGGCGAGTCGAGCAGATCCAGTTGTATGCAGGCGAGGGCGACGAGATGATCAACGCCCCGTGGGCCGAAGGGGCCATCGGCACGGCGCGGTACGTAGGGGTATCACTGAAAAAGGTGATCAAGCAGTGCGGCGGCATGGCGGAGGGCGGCAAGCACCTCGAATTCCACGGAGCAGACACCTATTTCAAGCAGAACGAGGTGCAGAACTATCTGGTCAGCGTGCCGTGGTCGAAAGTCAAGGCCAACGAGGTGATGCTGGCGTGGGAGATGAACGGCGAGCCACTGCCCAAGATCCACGGCTACCCCGTGCGGCTGGTGGTGATGGGATACATTGGCGCGCGATCGGTCAAGTGGGTGTACCGGATCCGCGGGCTGGCGCACCCGACGCGCGCGCCCGTGCAGAGCAAGGAATATCTGTACTTCAACCAGCAGGTGGGCAAGCACAACCAGCTGCCGACGATGGGGATCCAGATCCAGGAGATGCCCGTGTCCAGCGCCATCATGTCGCCGTGGAACAAGCAGGTCGTGGTGCACAACGGCGCCATCCACGTCAAGGGCTGGGCCTACAGCGGCGGCGGGCGCTGGCCGGAGCGCGTCGAGGTCTCGGCCGACGGCGGCTTCAGCTGGTACGCCGTGCCGCCACACAACATGTCGCCCAAGCACAAGTTCGCCTGGCGCACCTGGGAGATGGACGTGCCGTGCGACGTCGAGGGCTGGATCGAGATCGTTGCCCGCTGCTGGGATAATAGTCTCAACACCCAGCCGCTCGAGGTTCGGTCCGCTTGGAACTGGAGTCTCCATGTCACTTCCTCCTGCCACCACGTCAAGGTCTACAGCGTCAACAAGGCCCATGAATTGACCCGCAAGCGCCTCGCCCTGTTCGCCGAGCGTGGCGAGTCTTTCATCCCCATCACCCGCCCAACCGACTTTCCCATCATGTCGATGGACGAGTATGACGAGTTCTGGGAGAAGAACGAGCCTAGAGATGTGGACGAATAGATTGGACGTGTTCGCGCAGGAAGGGGGCGCAGGGGGGACCAAGTCAACCAGAGATATGGATGGTCCGTAGAGGGATTGAGTTTAGCGATGTCGTCTTTGCGGCAGATGTTTGTGTTTCTTTGCTTCCGGTTCCGCACTAATCAAGACGCAAAGGAACAGTATGAGTACGGATATACATATAAATATATTCTTTCAACACGGTGACTGCTCCAGGTCTTTTAGAAAGCGTCCAGCCCGCGGCTGGTAGTCAGTATCGAAGTCAAATCAATTGATGACGACAAGAGACGATGATAGTATACCTATGTCTAGACATAGAAAGGGAGGAGCATGTATTCTTGGACAAGTGCCAATAAGAACTATGTCATACATCAATGTGAGTTTTACGACAGTAATGTGGGAAGAGTGAAGTTCTGGTGGTATAATTTCTCAATCAATCAATTCTATGCCTGTCAGCCATCATGAAGAGGGAAGGCCGCTTTCTGGAAAGGCTCTTCCTGATAATTCCTCGCACCGGAAAAGGAATTAGTATGAATATCAATATGCACTGTTTCTTTGCCGTGATCATTCCGTGGCTCCATGCCCTCCAAGGGCGGCCGTGAAAAAGCCCCGTGACCATCAAACTCATATTCCAGCAGAAGAGGACCCTAATGCATACCCGTTACTGCAGTACCATTCGAACCGCATGCTGAGAAGCATGCCGACGTAAAAAAAAAGCATCTCGCTGTTACAATGGAGGGTATCAATTCGAAAAACGTCGAAGAATCCCGCCCATGTCAAACTCCGGAAGCCAAGGTTGTTCGTGATTGTTCATAAACATGCTCCAGTGTGGAAGGAAAATCGGTCGTTTCATCGTGGCAGTCGCCTTACCAGCCTCACGGCGACGGTGAGGGGTCATCAGTGTAATGCAAGGGCGGCGACGCCTTCGCCAACGTCCTCCCCGGGAGCAGTCTGGCTGCTAGTCGTCGAGTCCTCTCTTCCGCGCAGGGCATACTGAGGCGGTTCAGCACCTAGTTCATCGTTGGTGAGACCAGCAAGCTGCCTGATTGCTGCATTGGGTCGTGAAGGTCCCGCGATGGGGCTCTCGGCCCGGCTATCAGGTTGACCACGCATTAGGAAACCCCCTGTCCGGTTGCCCATCTCATCAAGGGCTTCGTATTCAAGCTCTGGTCCATTGTAATCTTCCATAACGGCACCGCCCCAGGCACCGTCATTTTTGTCGGCACTACCGTAGCCAGGTGGGCTTGCTGGCACATCTTCGTACATAGGAGGCATTTCTTCGTCCCAACTGATTCCCATGCCTGCTCGTTCCGTCACGACGAGTGCGAACTGCATGCGCAATACGCGGGCAGCGCCAGTAGGGGTGACCAGTTGGGTATTTTTGTTGGGGCAAAACTCTTCCGCGACAATCAATTCAAGCACGAGATTGTGCTTGACTTCAATCCCGGAAGGTGACTCAACGTCGCATGTTGCTTTGTGATTGGATTTGGTTGCCAAAGACGCTTCGAATTCCATATAGACCTCGCCACCAGTAGTGTCGAAATCGGTCTTCCAGCCGCCTTTGAGCTCATCGTTACCGAGAATTCTAGTCTCGGAATGTAATATCGACTTCCCTTCGCTCACTTTGTGGGCGTGCTTGGGACAAGGAGTTGAAACCACCTTGCTGTGCTCCTCGATACGCCAGGACAGCTTTCTCAATCGCCATCGAGTCTGACTGTCGCCTTTCTTCTCCACCACGCCGCTCAAAGACATGGTCACTGGGAAGGTGCCAATTGGATGAACGACAGGTGGCAGTTGAACCCGGCCGGTCAGGTTGGTTGGAGGGAAGATCCGGATGCTTGACTTTTCCGGTCCAGGTTGAATGGCTCTCTGAAGAGTCAAGGGATGGTTCAGGATGAGCTTCTCGCCTTGAGATGTCACTCCGACCGCATGAAGGGAGTACTGTATTGAGGCGAGCTGTGACTGTGTGGTGGCAGGAAGATGACCGGGAAAGAGATAGGAGTAAGGAAACTGGTTATCCTCGCCTGTGCGGAAGGTCTTTGGCTCGGAGAGGAAGGTCCACGTCTTAAGCACATCCGTCTTCTCGATGCAGTCTCTGCACTCCTTGCTGACTGGTTTCTTGGTCTGCACGGTGGCCTTCAGTACCATGGTGAATTCCTCAAGCCGAACTTCGCCGGTTGGGTCGTCCACGTTCAAAGTGAGACGCCCCGAGAGCAAGGCTCCGGTGGAATTGCTCGCGGCTCCATACATCACCAGAGGAGGAGACTCGATGATCATTTCGAATCGACCAGGCTTAGCCGGCGTCACTCTGGGAGAGTGTGCCGAACTGCGGTCTTTGGATTTGCTCGAGTGACGCATGGTGAGCGACTTGCGCTTTTGGCCATGGTCACGATCTTTGGAGTCATCCCGCTTCTTGTCTTTCTTTGGGTGCAGTAAACTGTCCATGGAGAAAGACGGGCGCCGGGTAGAGATGGGTGGATGATAATCCGCGTGGTTTGCTGACAACTTCTTCTGCAAAGCGCTGACTACGTCGTTGACTGTAACTGAAGACTGTCTGGAGGAATAAGAGGCACCGTTGACAGTGAGACGAGAATGCATGATGTCGCCCGCCAAGTTAAGAATTGATGAAAAAAGTGACGCGGGGGGCGTGAGGCGCAGGCGCAGGCACAACCCACAGTGGCAGGCACCTTTAGGCGAACGCGCAGGGTGCCACTGCAATGGTGTAATAATGGGTACAGAGCACTGTAGCACCAGAGCACACTATCTTCAGTGCGTGGTGGGGGATCTCGGCCCCGTCCAACCAGAACCTCAGGTACCTAATTTCACGTAGTACCAGGCCTCTTAGCCCAAATATCGTTCAATCGACCGCCTATTGCCTCGCCGATGGCCGGATAGCCTGTGGTCCTCGCGTAGCCGGAAAAATGTTTGCTGAGTACGGGGGTGGCGGCCACAACTGGTGAGTGACGTTGGTTATGTGTTCAGTCGGATCTTATGGCGACACCCGTTGACCTGTGACAGATTCGCAGTGCGATTCGAATACTGATTCCCTGTCGACCGGTGAAAACATCCGCTGGCTCTCGTGATGTCGAAGGCTTTGCAACTGGAAGAGAAGGCAATGGGTTCTAATGTATGGAGCACATCGAGGGGGAAAATTCTTCTTATGGGCCGGTATGAGCAGTGTTTTGTATGTTTCTGGCGATGCTGGCGTGATGCTTGAGACAACGCACGGTGTGAATAATGGAAACTCGATCGAAACAGGGTTACTGCGACTAGGCGCCCGGACAAAACCATTCCATTTGTTCGCACAGACTTGCAATGGAAGGGCGTCCGTGAGCATGACAGACACATCACCTAAGAGCCCGAGGCTAGCGTTCAGGTCGGGGAATTCTTGTACGAACACTGGCACTCCGCTTCAAAACAAACAGCATGCACCATGCGGATGGCGGCATATTGGGCTGACATTACGAGATACAGCTGACGAGGAAGAGATGTCTCCGTCTACACAGTCAGCCCGACCTTACAGAGAGGTGAGCATGCCAACAACCCTCGAGCGAGTTGCGTCGTCAGCGAGAACACTCAGCATTACTTTTCTACCATAGCGAAGCCAAATCTCCGGCTGACTGCGTACAACCCAGCAACTGGTGTTTCGCTGGCGCAGGGCTGCGGACTCGAACAGCAATCCATGTTGCGCCGGGCCGCAAGCCAAACCCATCGAGATGAAAAGAACTAGTGGGCCAGCTGACACACTATCACAGGTCCTCAGAAGTCGAAATCGGGCATCGAACAAGGATGGCATGGACCAAGTGTGCGCCTTTGTCCAGCCAGACTTTTCCCAACTGGCACTCGCCTCGATCGATCAACGCTGGCCCAGAGCCCCAAATGCCCAATGAAGGCTTTACGGAACAGCCACTCGTCTGCACCCCGCATTCTAGAGATTTCACTCTTTACATCATAAGTTTGACCTTCCGGTCCCGGATGTCGATCCATGCGATACTGTATCCGCGGACACCACGAGTTTTCCTGGGGCAGCAGGGATGTCGGCTTTTCGCTGCCTTGGTTGTGGCTTTCTGGCCAAGCAGACTCCAGGAGTCCCTCGCTGGAATACTACAGAGTACAGCTGTCAGCGGTTCAAGACAAGGGCACACTAATGGTGCAGACTGAGGCCGGGAATACGGCAAGGTGTTATTGTGAGTCAGAACATCGCTATGAATTTCCACCGGCGCTGCGCGTCCCGTCGCAAAATTTTCACACGTGTTACGGTATAAATCATCCGCTGGATACTTGCGCATTTCCCCCTCGCTACGGTACCGACCATTACTCGATCATTACTCGAGAATATCCACCGCCGGCTTTTCTCGAAGTCTCCATATTAATTCTAGGACACACTGCATACCACTCCAGGCAGACTACCTCGCCGAAATACCAGGCCATCGTACCACCTACTAGTACGCCCATTGACAAGATCGGCCTTCTCCGATACACTCCACCGTTTTGGTATTTCTACCGCTGTGCGTACCACCACAGAGCATGTCTATGCTCCGGTAGCCCTTTTGGGAAGTCGATCAGGGCCTCGTGGCCAGAAGGCTGCGTTACCGTGCTGCGACAGGATTTATAGCGCTTTGTCCACTATGGCACCATAGTACGACCCCTTTTGCGGACCGGAAACGGCTGCCGCTGTAGTGGAAGCGGGAGTCTGGATTTTCTTGTACGAGTATCCACAAGCTTTCCAGGGGTCTACCAACATCATGGGTCGAGAATGTCTGGCTCAAAGTCAACACAAAATGGGCTGACGTCTCTCTTCGTCTCGGTCCATCTCCGGCTATGAACCTTGCTTGCTCCGACCTTCTCCGGTTCCTGAGATTTAACTGAGTGCGGCTCCGGAGCTTCGTCTGATGTTTAATTTTGCGCATATGATTTCCGAGCCAGAATACTGACTTATAAGTAGCCTGATGGTGGACACAAGCCACTTTTAGAAGATACCATAGCCATTTTTCCAGGCATAAAGGCCAGGCCCAATCACCCCAGCCAATGCGCCCAGCAGTCCTAGCTCGAGAACTGTCCAGACCCAAATCGTTCCTATACTCGGAGCGTTCTTCATGACCGCGTAGTAGCCCTTGTCGTTTGTCAACTGGATCAGATAACAGCCCGCGACATTGGCCACCACCAGGTACGCCAGCTGACGGAGCGCAAGGATCCAGAGCCGCACTGGTCCTGGCACCTTTTGCGCCGAAATAGGCAGTAGCAGGCCGTGGAACAGGGCGATCATCAACGTGAGCGTAGGGAAGGCCACGAACAGCGTGCGACGGATGATGGGTGGGAAATGTAGCTCCTGGGCGTACTGATGTACCGTCAACGTCTCAAGCGTGAAGTGGATGGCAGAAAGGGACATGGCTAGCAGGATCGCGTCGAGCCACGGCGTCTCCATGGCGGCATCTACGGTCTGTGATTCTGACGAGGATGCATCGCTGTCACGAGTCAACTGCCCGTCCTCTCCGATTTTGAATTGTACCACATTCTCCGGATCGAGGGCGTCCGTGTCAACTCGCTGGCCGGGGTTCAATTGAGCTTGTCGCTGCGCTGCGATCTCCAGCAACGTCTTCCCTTTTGGAGCTTTTGAGCGGCCCACGTCGGGTCTGACCAGCGGAATATCATCTGCGGTGTGGATAGACGTTTGACTGGGGTGGGATGAGGAATCTTTGGCTCGTCTCTGTCTTCGACTCATCATCAATTTGGTTCCAGGTCGTGATAGACGGGAAGGGCATCGCAGGGAAGGCCAGAGTGTCTACCGGGAGGAGTTGTTCTAATGATGTAAGGCGTTTCGATGCCATCGAGGTTTATAGTTTGATCAAACGACAGGCTTATGATCTCCGAAAAAGGGGCCTCTACTTGATTGGCTGTTTAACGTCCCGGTCAGGTGATTTCAGCCGCCAAGTCACGTGACTACCAGAAATCTGGAAACTAACAAACCAGCTTCAAGCTGAGATGCATTTGCTCCTTGATCTTAACGACAACCGTCATACGGTGTTGCCTGAGCGCCGCCCACGATCACTATTTGAGGACTTGTGAGCTTCGGCGATCTGCTTTAGGCTCAGACATCCTATGATGTTCGTCCAACAAGTAAGTGCGTGTCTGTTCGTCGCCGTCAATGAAAGGGGCTCCTACGCAGCGTGACATAAGGACGACCCTCGCTGTAACTGGCAGAAGGGACCTGGTTATGACATCCAATCCCTTCGGACTACCGCCGCCAGGCGCTGCGCTGTGTGCATCCCGCCTTGGGACTCGAGCGTTCTCGGAATGCTGCAAGAACAATATTAGGAATTCCCCTTCGGCCCACAAGAACAATATTAAGCTGAGGCTTTGTCTCCGACACCTCTCTTTCCTTTGCTGGCCATTTCGGAGCGTCTCCAGTTATTGTTTTCCCGCCAGCAAGGTCTAAGGAAATGCTGCACTCTGGAAGAATGGCGGCTTGCACTGGCTAGCGATGTGCTTGTCTGAACTGGAAATGGTCCTTCGAAGTCGCAGACAAAGATTTCCTTTCTCTTACCTCGTGCAGGGTCTCTCGTCTTGTACATATACTCCTCTAGAGGTGATCGGCGGCCATGTTCCCATCTAGATCGACATAAACACATCCTTCAACATTACAATATTTCGCTGACTGACAATAAAGGTAGCTATCAAGAATTCGGTCATTCTCCTGGCCTCATTGGCCACACTCAGCACCGCCCTTCCCGGGTTTGGACAATGGCACAAGCCCAGTGGAGCACCAACTGACATTGCCCAAGGTGGCCATGACGGGTCGGGCGGCCCTCCCAGTTACGGAGCCGACGCGGGTGCAGGCCACCCTTCTGGCTTTGGCAAGTATCCAGGCGCTGGAGCGGATGAAGACCATGATCACCCATCTGGTGACGACCACGCCGGCGACGGCGACCACGAACACGGATTCGATGATAACAGGCCTGCTGCGCATTCCCGTCGCGGCGAGGCGGCCATGTACAAGGCTGGCAACCAGGCAGAGTCCAAGTACGAAGGCACCAACGGAAACCACCAAGCACAGCACAAGAACAACGGTGGCGCATCGGACGGCCATACCGGCCACGTCGCCGCCCCCAAGGGCCATCCGGCAGAGCACAGATGGTATGACGGGTCTAAGCAGAGCCATCCCCGAGATGTTCACCACGAAGGGCCCATCGCAGCCCCGGCACATGAGGAGCCTGAGAAGAACGAAATCGCAAAAGACATTAGGTTCCTTCATCTCAAGGACGGCCAGGGGAGCGGAGCGGTGCACACCCATCAGGCTCGTGCAGCCACGCGCGGTATGTACGAATGCATGAACAAGAACTTTGTGATGCCGTGCACCTACACGCCTGTCAACGACGGGCAGTGCTATAACAGAAACTACGGCGACCAGGATCCATGGGCCCGGACAAGGGCCTGACTTGCACCTTGTATGAGCGATTCGGTTGCAACGCCACCGGCTGGAACAAAGCTAAACCTTTCGTCTGGCCAGGCATCGTTGATTACCAGACCAGCTACCTGCTGACCAGAGCTGGTTTCCCTGATGATGGACCAAGGAGCTACAGATGTACCTATGTTGCCGCCGAGAAGGGTGCATGAAGGTCTGATAAATTGTGACAAGCTCGCCGTGAACGCGAAGAAGAAAAACCAGAGGTTGAGTTGTCATGGATGCATGACAACTTGTAAGCAAGATAAGGTATGTATGTATCTATATACCAAGACAGAAAGAGAGATTCAACGCTGGAGATGACTGCTACTAGCCGACCTGGCAGTCAATAACGGTGCTCTATTTCTATATTACCTACCTACCTACCTAGTACCTTGATCATATATATCCTACGCCTTCTGAATCATGGCCATAGACTGCGTGGGCCTTTTTTACACATATATATTCTGTCATAAAGTTGTTCTCCTTTACATTCAGCCTTGTGATCTCCTCAGGCCTCCCTCCACTCCATCTTTACTGCCAGGCTGAATGAAGGGAGACCCCAGCCTCCCTCCAACCCCAGACACTGCAGCTATGACGTACAGTGCACAGCAAGTCTATCTATCTCATGCCTTCCACGCTTCCACACCATAACCCAACTCCCTCAGTGTCTTTCTTTCTTCCACTTACTACTGTGTAGACCATCTCCCTGTGTGCTGGCAGGCTTAGTACTGTACTTCATCTAGCGTGTACCTAGCCAGTGAGCGGTTCCTACCTACCTAGTATCATTCCACCATCCGTCATCGGTCATCTGCCTCTGGCCCAAGTGCCTCGTGAAACCGGTTTCGTTATCTTCCCTTCCTTTCGAGCGTTGATAGGACCTCCTTCGATTTCCAAGACGGGATTCCATTCGGTGTATCCTCCGCATTCTTTTGAGGTTTGTGCCCGATGTCCACACCTAGTAAGGTCGGTAGGCTGTGCTTTATCTTAGTTAGTATTCTGGCAAAGGGATGCAGCCAGCATGAGACTTGGTGCGTTTCTTTCGCCATAACCAAGGCAAATGATGACTTCCTGGTTTGGCTGGAGCAGGCCTGCTGTCAAAGGAGCCCATGAAAGGGATATACCTTACATATACTCTGTACTCCTCTGACCAGGAAAAAAGAATTGAAAGATCCTCCCTCCTTAGGTACTACTCTTCAATCCAATACTTGGTTCCCCTTCATTCTCGTCTAGGTACTATATCCCATCAACCCTCGACCCAGACAAGCAATATCAACGTACACGTACCACTCTGTACGAGCTATCGCAACAATGAACTCCCTCCGGTCCGCGGGAAATTATATTTTCAACAAAACCAAAGGCGCCGGCCACTCGGCGAGCAAGGAGACCAATAAATCGTATGTTACCTGCACCTTGTTTCATTCTCGTTTTTTTAGTTCTCAAGTGTAGTCAGCATCTACTATCTACTCCTCTTCCGTCCTATTTCATGTTGTGTTGCAAGCATGATTTCCTTTCTCGAACACAAGTGCGCTGACTCCTGGTGGATTGCAACCGTGACGCACGCAGAATTGCCAAAGACCCCAATGTTCGCACCTCTACGCGTCTCAAGGCCGCTGGCGATGCTGTCAAGAATAAAGTCCACGAGACGAGTCATAATCGACAGGCGGATGTGAACAAGCAGGCTGCGAAACATAATTACTAGATTATTTTACCTGGAGAAGGAGTCAGATAGTCAGGGTTAGGCCACGGAGCCATGGGAGATGATTAGGTACGATGGCGATGACAACGATGATGGATGCCCTTGGTTAATGTGCTGTGCTGTCTGGATGCGATGAGACGGCGGATGATATCCTTGTACGATTAGTGTTCGTGTTTCATGGGCTGCAATCACTTCATAATGTTTTGCTGCGGAATGTCACATGGTTAGTTGGATGATGTTCATGAACCCTGCATCCGACACATTGTTTGCGTACGATTCGATGTTGTTCATGATCGAGTATGAGGCTTGTGAGTCCGTACTGTTTTGGCTGATAAGTTGAATCACATCCATGTCCATTGCTGGCAAACGAATCCTATCCCGGATATGATATCCCTGTAGGAGGCGATAAGTGTTGATCGGCAGTATCAGACGGCTGCAGGGAGCTGCACAAGTATTCTCTCAAGTTGTCCTTTAATTGTGGGTTTGGGTCTGTCAGTTATGCTGGTCGGTATATACACGCCCGCCTGCTGCAGCGTTGGTAGCATGAAAACAATGCCGAACGTCCTCCAATACCGCTTCTTGCTTCCCATGGGTTCGTCTTCCGTCATCGCCGTGCACCATTTCGAACGCATATTCCTTTCGTCTTGCAAGCCCAGGCCTTCTGAATCAGCTCCGCCTGGCTCCTTACTACACTCTGCGTCTTCCATTTATTTCGTCTTAATGTGTTTCAAGTGTGGGCCCGGCTCATGGAGGAAGTTGTTGGCGTAGGCCTTGGGCACAAACCGCCGTTCGTTCGGTTCCTGGACGTACCACTCGTAGCCCTGCTTTTCGGCGAAAGCGATAGCGTCGTCCTTTGACTTGAATTTAATATGGGTGCCCTGCATGAAATCGTCTGACGACTGCCAGCCCATCAGGGGATTCTCAAACCGGTGGCCTTTGGACAGGATATCCCAGTCCATCCGCCAGGCGTGGGAACCCCATGTACCGGATTGCGTTGCGGGTTTGGCTTGCTTGTAGATTCTAAAGAAGACAGCGTTTAGTCAATGAACATCATCCTTCACTTGAATACATGTACAAGGTCCATCTTCTTACCTGACTGTCCGAGCTTGCAAATCTATAGGGGCGCCGGACAGGATTGCTGCGGGTAGGGACTCCCCGGGTTCGCTGCCGTCCATCAATCGTCTTGGGACGGGTGAGACTAGCGAGGTGCCGTGGTCGACAGGCGCATTGTATTTAGGTTGATGGTGAGGATGGTATGTGTCGATGCTGGCATCCAGCGGGTGGTCGACTTCCACGAGGGAAGCTTGGTCTTCCGTTGCATGCATGGCCTGGGCATCTGGGATCGCTTTCGGGTCCGGATCTTGATATCGGCGCTGTGGCGTTTGAGATAGCCATCTTGTAGACCTAGGCGCTTGTATACAAGCTCTTGAGAGCCGCATGGAGCTCTGAGTCCGCAAGAACGACATGGCTGTGTTGTTTCTGGCTGGATGTAGACGATTGCATCGAGCTCGAGGTTCAATGACCGCAGTCGCTTGACGCCGTCGACGTCGCCAAGATCGAACTTCCATATCGGGTTTGGCGCGGAGTGACGGATTAGGGGGGCTATGATTGGTGGAGCATCAGCTGGACTGCGGTGCGTTGTCCCTCACTGACAACCTCCTCTCTCTTCACTCACCTCTTCTTACTGTGCCTGACTTGCCATCGAAACTGATAGCCTGCGGAGTCCGCCTGCGAATCAATGTATCTCCGATGGCGTCGGCGGTGCAGAGACGGTCAGGCACTGGCAACAGGTCACTTGCAGCGACTGAACACATTACCTCCCAACCGTTTTCACCGGGCTAACCACCTTCATTGACGCCTCGCTATTCTGCTTGAGGCCCTTGCAGGTGCCGAGTTCCTTTACACAACCCTGTCCGTTATTAGGTCTCGCGGGCTGACATACGGCCAACGGCGCCTCCTCGATTCCCTTCGTTCTAACATCGATTAGGCTCACTACTTGGAAGTCTTCAAGTTACAGCGTTGAACCTTACAAGCAGCAACAATAGCATCGAGGCTTCATCCTACGCATGACACGGACTCTTCAGAAGTGCCCCGGCTTCGCGATGTCAAAATATACGATGCGAGGCTTGTCTGCGCGTTGCATGGTCTTGAAGCACTTGTATCCTTCCATCTCTGTGAACTAGCACATGCTCAACGCCCGTCTGTGTTAGTACTGTGCCGCAGGGACAGTTTCGCTTACGAACTTATCACGGAGAATTAGTCGCGACAGATATGCCCCCCCAGGATTTGCATAAGACTACGGAAGCAGCCATCTGCCGATGTAAGCGGAGACTGAATTTTCTCCAATGGCTCAAACCCATACAAACCGGTGAGGAATTGAAGTGCACTAAACATGCTGCGCACCCAACGAATGTGAACAGTATTGGCCAATAATGTCGTTGCTAACCTATCTTTCCGTGCGATGTGAACGGCCTACGATGGGCTGTAGCCGAAGCAGCTCTCGTGTGCTGTCTGCAGAGCCGACTTCTCTGAGGTCCCTCCGGTAAACCCCGGCTCAACACGCGAGCCTTTATCAATGCGGCTGTACGCATCAACATGCCTTGGATTACTCAAAGGTTTTTTTCTTCTCAGGCTTATGGCCTACAGACCACGACATGGCCACAGGCCTGGAGGTTGGGCCTGCGGCTATTGCGATATTGCAGACATCATGTCAACTATTGAAAATATGCAAGCAATCCTATCGATCTTTCAAAAATGCTTCAAAAGAGGTCAAGCGTCTTCAAAGAACCGTGTCTAGCTTTTCAAGAATCCTATATTTCTTTTCTACGACTATGAAGGACTTGCACCATCGCAAGCTACCGATTGGCAATGACCTTAAAGCAAGAGAACTGCTATCCGACATCAAAAAGCAGATTGATGAAGAAGTGCAAAATATAAGGGAGGCTTTCCGAAGGCTGGAGCCTCTTGAAGACGCAACCTCCTCGCCTCTTTCTCGATTTGGCGCCAAACTAATGTGGGTCATTTTGGATGAACAGGATCTGAAGGAGCTTTTGGCACGGCTGGAGCCGATGAAACTTAGCATCTCATTCCTTCAGGACACATTTAGCTTGAATATTCAGATGGCAATTTGGGCTGAGCTACAAGCCTCGGGTCATCGCATCGACCACGACAGAAGGCACGAAATGTGAGTATCTGAAAATATGTCTTCATACATTTGTCCACTAAACGTTGTGAACCAGTAAACAATTGAAGAAACGCATCAAACTGCTGGAGCGGGAATGCAGAGAGGCCCAGCGCGATTACGAGGCTCTACGAGCAGTCAAAGCAGCCAGTAATAATACTACTTTCCATGACCGAGCCACGCAGGGTCAACTCATCCGGGCTTTGATCGAGAGAATGGAGGATTTCGCAGATGAGCAAGTAGTTGCCTCTAAGGCCATCATCACAGACAGCGAAGAAGGCACCAGTGCTTCTACCGCCACGACTGTGACCAGCAACAACTCCAGCAGGCATCCTCCAACACCAGGCGCAAATGAGATAGCGACTCCTTCAGTTCCGGAGGCTATCTCAACATCAGAGACCTTGGAGTCCTTTCGCCTGCCCCGGTCTCGTAGGCCGACCCCGACTCCTGGCTCGCCAGCGGAGGTGAGCACAAGAAGCGTTCACAACGCAGAGTCTCTTAGGTCCTGGAGCTCTGTCGTTGCAGAGGTCGAAGCTCATGAAGAGGTCGAAGCCGGTCCATCGACCCAGCTACAAACAATAAGAACCTCTCCCGCGGAGTATATCGGCCCCCGGAAGACTGGCCTGCCCTATCCTGTCGCACTTCATCCGCAAGTCGTACCGGGTGATACCGAGGAAGCTGGGCACGAAGCCACTCCTCAATCGGAGTACATGTTCGTTATTCATGACGACGGGAACCTTATAACAGAGGAATGGCGACGCCCACGGAGAACAGCCTCAACGGTCGGCGGTTCGGAGTCGATAATCTCAAGACATAGCTCGGCCTCTGAACGCAGCCATCAAACTGGGGGACGATCTTGAGTTTCCATCTCGACTCCAGCCTCTTCCTTGGCCGGGCCATTATGCTCCAGAACGAAGCTGCGAACGCCTGAACAAGCATTGAGGCTCGTTCCAGAATGCCAATGCTACCACTGCGGTCGTGTGCCCTGGATAAACTGAACTGTCATTGTCCTGCCCACATCGAGACACTGGTAGCGGGGCTGCTCAGGATATTGAGATGCGTGCCCATCCGACTGTTCCGGACATCAATTCATTGCCTGTCGTTTCTATAGGTGCAAGCTGCAACCGACGGCGAGCTTTAAACGAGTGGCTGTTTGGATGTGCCGCTGCGTGGGCGTCGGTCTCAGTGGAAGCTGTAGCCCCAGCACGCGGACCATCGGTCGGTTTCTGTGACTCCGGAATGTCCAAGGTCAGCGCAATGACAGACCTAACAGTGGCCACTAGCTCGTTGGCCAAAGACTGCGATGTTGTTGCGTCAATGTTGGTTACGTTGACCGCAAATGCGTCAATGTCCTGAAGTACACCTGCCCTGTCCGCGCCTCCGGTTTCAATGGTGAATGGAGCGCTGCGAAGCTGTGTTGAACCTCGATCTGGAACGAAGGTCAGCCAGATTGGATTGAACTTGTCCAGCCAGATCTCCGCTCTTTTCCTCAGGCGTATCACGACATATGTCCCCGTTAGAGTGCCGTCATCATCCAACTGTACATTATACGAGTCAATTCCCTTGGGCGCAGCTATAAGGCCGAGCTGCCTGCCTGCGTTGAGGAGGCTACTCGGTGCCCAGCGAAGACCTGGAATTGGGAGTCTAGGGGTGTTCAAGAAAATAATATTCATCGGGATGGGCACCTTGTCCTTGAGAAACATCCAAAACAGGGCCATTCGTTCATCCATGGAAGTCTTTTCCAAGATGGGTCGGGTGTCCATGTCAAACAGGGCAGCGAGAGCTAGGACTTCATCTTCCCGCTTACTGGTTGTGCGATAACACAAAGACTGATGTATATATCGAAGTCCATTCACCTCTTGGGAAAACAACCCCCACAAATGTGGGTCCAGGGCGCCAGTGACGGGGTTATGGAGATCACTCGAGTCGTCCGCGAGACACTGCTGCAGAGGGACTGCACCGTCCTCGAAAGCAATGTATGGAAGGCGAGACAACCCCCCTTCGGGAAGCGTCCACATTCTCTGCATCCAGGCCGTTGTTGTGATCCACACCAGCATTCGACGCGTACTGGGTGAAGGGGTGCGCATCAGCTCCGGGTCAAGCACCAGCGTCGTGTTCGCCTGACTGTAGACTCTGTTGATGGTATGGATGGACAGCTTTCGCAGTCTCCTGTCGCGTGGTATGCAGAGAGAGTCAATCCAGACAAGCTTGGATCCTTTAGTGGCTTCCATATAGCCGCTGAGCATGTCGACAGCGCACTGTGGAAGGCCTTCCTCTGAGGTACTTCCCAGGCCACCAGACCACACGTGTGAGATGGCACAATAGTTGGTCTTACCAGGCTCGAACGGTACAACTTCCACAAGTTTCCCGCGATCAGCATCGGAGATCTTGTTCAAGTCCATTAGGGGGATTTGGCCATTGTCAAGAATGTCGCGTATCCGCTGGAGGCTAGGCCTGACCCAGGCGCACTGACAGTCTGGCCGCGTGTGGAGAGGCCGGTAGGAACTTTCGTCGATATTGTGTCTGACGCAGCTGGCGGCGGAACACGCATCATGGCGAAAGCGAGTCCACGGCGGACCTATGATGGCGGCATACTCCTGTACAGTCACGTTGAATGGACTCAGCATGGTCTGGATATACGGACACCAGCCTCGTTCAACCATGCGTTCCTTGAGCCGCTGTTCCCATGCGTCGGTGAACCTCCATGGATTCTGGAGTTGGGAGCGGAAAGGGACTCTCACCCACATTGCCAGATGCTCAGCCGTGTACTGTAGCGTCACGCCTAGCAAGGTGAATATCCGCATCACAGCGTGGAAGGTGTCGTCGCAAAAATCAGGGTTCGGCTTGATGAAGAGTTGAGTCTCGCTGAGCATTCTGTTCCACAGGCTTGCCGCCTTGAGGACATGCATGAGGCGCTTCAGGATCTCGACCTTGCCAGAGTGATCTTCTGCAGCGATGCTGAAATACGCCACAAGGTTTTTGACTATCAATTGCAGAGCCTCGCTGCTGAACATGAGTTCGGAGTTTCGAGATTTGATGAAGCTGTCTTTCTCCAGTCCTTTACCCAATGCTGCTTCCCACAGACCGATACTGAACCAGCTCTGCAGAAAGGGTTTCAACGATGTCTGTTGCATCGCTGTGACTCTGCCTTCTTTGAGGTCCGTCAATCTCTCCGCTGACCAGCCACGTTGCAAAGCATAGTCGTCGAAGGAATGTGTTGTCTCTGAGGGTTTGTGGTCGTACCCTAGCCATGGTATCGCAGGGATGATAGCCTCATATTCCTCCAAGTCATCTTCGGATAGGATATGATCCATATGGCCAGAGTCAGATGGTAGGATTGAATCGATGTTTGCCTATATTAGTATGCATCCTCCGAGGAAGTACACTGTACTTATGACAAGGACTTCGTCGACTCTCTCGCTGGACCACTCTACCTCGCCCAGAGTCAAAGTGCAAATATAAAGGTTCAGCAAGGCTCGTGGGCGGACCATCTCGATATGGGGGATCTCGCTGACGGCAACATCGTCCACTGCAGATTTACTATCCCCAAGATGCACGATGACCTCATGGTTCGCAGTTCGGGCTGTCCTATTTGGTGCCGCTGGATTCAGGCCACCAGCAGAGGTTGAAGGATTCCCTGGGCCTCCATACCATCCCTTGCCTGATCATCAGAATGGTGACCGGTGTCCAGTTTTCCTTCTTCTAGTGGAAGTTACTAAGAGAGAACTAGTACTACTAGTACGAAGTTGACGGAGGGCGGGAAGGAACGCCTCTTCCCGACCCGGCAGACCATCCAATCAGTGTTGATTACTACGCCCTATCGGATCCACACCGGGGCATCTTTCACGATACTAGTAGTTTCGCAAACTCGGCCTAATTATGTTCAGCCATGATCACGACCAGTGAACTGGTGACGAGGAGATATGTGAACCGTGGACAAGTTGCAACGCCGCTCTTGGTTTATGTACAGAAAGTGCATATTCAATGTCACGGACCCGACGCTGTCTGGTGATACCTACCGTGGGGAGGAAACCCTCGAGTCATTGACGAAAAGTCCAGATATCGAAGATATACCTTTGCAGAGTCACCAGTTGTCTGCTGCAAGTGTTTTCAAGTCAAAGGTTATCGAAGATGGCATTTAAGCAAGGTCTGGGACCTGGGCTACTAGTATTCCCATCTGGTGTTCACCGTCACCGGTCTTGGATGAGAAGGCCGTGCCAGCCTCACTCAGCCTCTTCTTCGATCGAACAGTATCTGCAACTAGAACCTTTCGCCCAAATGACCTGACTTCTTTTCCCTCCTGCCTCTACTGACACGCGAGAACCCCGTACTCAGACAAGACGAGCAAAAAAACTAGTCGTCTCCACCGTCACGGTCCAGTATTCAGCCCCAATTGGGTTTAGCTTGGGATGAGTCACCCAGATCGAGCGAGTTCACAGTCCACACAGAGTCCTATATGACCGAGAGAGATATTCAATACTGGCCACGCCGATGGAAGTGTTCCTTCTTCTACCTACCTGACGTATTTATATATCTACATAAGAAGGTAAGGTGAGGAAGAAGACCTTCACACTCCCCACTCCTACGCAAGAGCAAACCATCATGACTCAACACCTCTCCTTCGTAACGCTCGACGTCTTCACGGCGACACAATACACAGGGAACCCGCTGGCCCTCATCACCGTCCCACAAGACACGGTCCTCTCACAGGCCCAGAAGCAGCGGATCGCACGGGAATTCAACCTCTCCGAATCCGTCTTCCTGCACGAACCAACGCAGCAAGACCGCGCCGACCAGTCTGTGCGGATCGACATCTTCACGACGCAGGCCGAGATCCCCTTCGCCGGCCACCCGGCCGTGGGCACGGCGAACTATGTCCTTCGTCTACTGAAGAACAACAACAACAACAATAACAACAACCACAATCAATTCAACGACGTGAAAGCCCTGCAAACCAAAGCAGGCCGTCTCGGCATCACCCTGAACCCCGCCGTCTCCGGGGTCCAGATCTCGCTCGCACACAACCTGCACGTCCACGCGGCGCCGTTCGCGGATCGTCCCTTTGGAGCGTATCCCGTGGTCAGCATCGTCAAGGGCATGACGTGCATTCTTGCCCGGCTGCCTGATCTGGCCTCGTTGGCTGCGCAGTCGGCCAACCTGCTGGGTGCCGATAACACTTACACTGCGCGGAACGCCCTTGATGAAGGCTGGCGCGAAGGGCCGGTTCTTTCGTACTTTTATGTCGATATGGGCACGGAAACTGGAAGTGCTGGCAGCACCGGGGGAGAAGAAGGTAATACCACCACCGCCACCACCACCACCACCGCCACTCCATCTGACGGCTCGGACTGACAAGAAACAGCCACAATCGTCAAAAAACGCAATCTACGCACACGCGGGTTCTTCACCAGCGAAGACTCGGCCACAGGCAGCGCCGCGGGCGCGTTGACATCCTATCTCTCCCTCCAGGAGGGCAAGCCCGGCGTGTACCGCTATGTGCTTACGCAGGGCGTGGAAATGGGCCAGAAAAGCGAGATTTTTGTCGATGTCAAGGTCAAAGCGAGCGAGGTTGGAGAAGACGACGACGACAATCAGCCCCCTAGAGTCGAGATCGATCAAGTCCTTCTCAGTGGGTCGGCTGTGCAAGTTATGCAAGGGACATTGGAGATTCCCAGTCTTGACCATTGATTCTATAGATATCGTTCATTTGACCAGATGCATACAGTGTTTGGGTTAAGGATCGATCATCTGAACCTGTGAACACCTTTGTCAATGCGACTAGCACTACCCCTGTACAGATGATGTTCGTGTTACTCAAACCAAAAGGAGGCAAAATTAATGAGAGCATAGCAGTCACACTAGAAGGTGACCTCGAGTGAGCTTTGAATGATTATTCTGACAGCGTCATTACACTATACAAGCCTGCGCCTCTCCAGTAGACCTTGTTGAATCGACAATCATCCGCAGATACTAAGATCATGCAGAAACTTGATCAGCAAGTCCATCCAGTTCTCGATCCCAGTTTCTGTGTTGAGAAATGTGCCAGAAGAACTTGCTGGTAAAGTCTGCGGCATCCTTGACAAGCTTGATGCTATCCTTGACAGCAGACCCCGTGTCTGGCTTCTGAGCCGTAACAACACCATACCAATCAACAATGTCGGTGGAGCCTGCGGTGGCTAATTTGGCGCCCTCTACCTCGCTGAGAGCAGCATCAACAAGCTTCACACCCTCGCCGCTGGCTGCAATGGGCTTCAAGTGTGCAAATGCCTCGCGGACCCAGAATCTGGCCAGACCAAGGCTCATGAGCGTCTTGATTGATTGTTCGCCACCAGGTACGAAGATTGCATCGAACATAGTGGACCGCTGACCATTCAGGAAGTGGTCGGGCTTAGTAGATGATGTGCCGTTTGAGGCCTTGACTTCCTGGCGCTTGGTCGAAATGGTGAATGGTAGAGCCAGTTGGCCCAAGATAGCCGCCTTGATCGCGTCATAGCTGACTGCATCATACCCATCAGCGATCAGAATGGCGATACGTCTGGATTTGATGGTTGGTGTTTCTGGCATATATTCCAGCTGACTCAGACCCTTGGCCTTGTTACCAGGGTTCGCCACAGTCTGCTTGGTCGGGGTTGGGGCGCCGGCCTTCTCGGCAACGGCGGTTGCCAAGGATAGATCAATCTCGGTAAGACGGCTGACCAGACGTTCGTAGACGATGGGGTCATCACAATGGTCAAGTTCGAAAGAGAAGGCGTTGATGATGTGCACCTTCTCGATCGGCGTCATGGAATTCCAGAACAGCTGAGCCTGAGAAAGATAATCCGTCCACTTGGGTGCCAACTTCCGCTGTTTCATGCCTAGATCTTGCGAAGGGTACGATTCAAACCCTCCACCTCCATGGCCCGTCGGGGGATTGGCTTCATAACGGTTCGGCCAGTAGTTGATCTTGCCCTTGGTGATGGTATGGCGTCCCTGCCCATCACGGTTGAAGTTCATGACTGGGCAAACCGGACGATTGATGGGGAGTTCCTGCCAGTTGATCCCGAGACGAGAGAGCTGCGTGTCAAAGTAAGAGAAGTTGCGGCCCTGTAGCAGGGGGTCATTGGAGAAGTCGATGCCCGGGACGATATGACTGGTGCAGAAGGCAACTTGTTCGGTCTCGGTGAAGTACTCGTCGACGTTGCGGTTGAGTTCCATCTCGCCAATATAGCGGATCGGCACCAGCTCTTCAGGCCAGACCTTGGTGGAGTCTAGGATATCGAAATCGAATTTGTGCTCGTCCTTCTCGGCAATGACCTGGAGGCCGAATTTCCACTTCGGGTAAGCCTTGTTGTCGATGGCTTCGTAAAGATCCTTGCGGTGGAAGTCAGGATCTTGGCCAGCCAGCTTGAGAGCCTCATCCCAGACTAGTGAGTGGACACCGAGCTCGGGGGTCCAGATGAACTTGCAGAAATGTCGTTCACCTTTGGCATTGATCAAGCAGAAAGTGTTGACACCGAACCCTTGCATCATGCGGTAGGATCTAGGAATGCCACGGTCCGACATGGCCCAGAGGAACATGTGAGTAGCCTCCTTGTGCAAGTAGACGAAATCCCAGAAATTGTTGTGGGCTGTTTGCCCCTGAGGCACCTCGTTGTCTGGCTCTGGCTTGACTGCATGGATCAAGTCTGGAAATTTGATGGACTCTTGGATGAAGAATACGGGAATGTCATTGCCGACAATATCCCAATTGCCCTCATCAGTGTAGAACTTGACAGCGAAACCTCGGACATCCCTAACAGAGTCCGCACTGCCTCGGCTGCCTTGGACAGTCGAGAAACGAACAAAGACGGGCGTGGTGCGAGAAGTGTCCGTCAACACGGGAGCAGAGGTGACATCCTCAGCGCTCTCATACAGCTTGAAAGTTCCGTGTGCCGCTGCACCTCGGGCATGCACAACTCGTTCTGGGATTCGCTCATGGTCGAAACGCATAATCTATGAACGATGTCAGTAACTGTTGCTGCCCAATGGGAGATATGTGACAAACCCGTTCTCTGGCAATCTGGTCCTCAAGCGCATGAGGCCCGATGGTGTTGTTCTTCTCGTCCACCGGCTTGAGCCAGTGGTCGAGATCAGAGATCTTGATTCCATAGTCGGTGGTGTTGTGCTGCTTGCTGTGGGAATCCTTGATGTTCCGCTGGAGGTCGGCGACCTTCTTGTTCTCAGTCATGGCTGTGACAGATTCGACGACGGACTCTCCTAGGTTCTTGACACGGTCTGTAACTGAAGATGCCATTTGAAGAACTCGAAGACGGGAGGACGAAAGAAGAGCGAGACGCGAGTGTAGGGCATGATAAACTTAACAGCAGATCTTCACCAGGACGAACGCCTCCCACGAGTGGAACGCAGGCGTGCCTCCCTCGTCCGCTCCTGCCCAATGCAGTAGGAGTTGTTGCCCGGCATCTGCGTGTGACGTACTTGGTATGTGGCATTTCGTCATGCTTTTGGGCGGGGACGGTTTTGAGACATGGGAATTCCAGTGGGCGATCCGAGGATGGCAGAATCACGGACCTCGCGACAGTTACAGTTACTACGGACAGAGCTACAGAACTCCCTTAACTAGCAGCAGAGCCTCGAAGAATCGCGGGCGGAAGTGAAAGCCGGGGACAAGTGGATTCTCTCACACACACTGCAGGCCGCAGTTGCATCACAATTGCAAAACGGACAGCGTTGATTGGCTGCATGGACACCCCACCCCCTTTTTGTGACATCACGATCCAGGTGGACCTTGCAACGTCCGTTGTCATCTGCCGACCGAAAAACAGGCCATAAGGACAGATGGATGGCAAACGATGGTGAGCACCAAACGGATGTGCGTGGAAGTGATATGGCGAGTTATTGGGCCAAGTGAAGGAGGTGTAGGAGGTGTAGGAGGGAGGGTGTTGTCAGAATGCTATTGGCCGATCGTTGGTCGACGAGGCTGTGGTTCGATAAGAATGTCAAGTTCCATGAAACGCCGGGAGAGTCTGATGAAGCTTCATCTTCACCGCTTGGGAAATGCCTTGATTACTCAACGCCAACGCAAACCCAGACCATCGTCCCCCGATGTGGGATATCCTTTTGCCCATGCCAGGATTGGATTTATGCTGGCGTCGAACGAGGACCCCTCCTGCACGCCACGACTGGAGCACAAACATTGTGATAACATAGGCGACTTCAATACCGGTGTTATCTGGTCAAACTGCCTGCTTCGAAGATGTTCTGCTGTGGGTGTCATGCGAAGAGCGCAGCATCCCACACCACGAGACATCCCAGATTCAGTACCTGTGTTAGTGAGCTTGGTGCCCGGCTTGATCTGGCACGAACACGGCACGCTGTCTTCGTGTCAAGACGGCAAACACCCACCCTCGGAGCATTTGCCTTCTTCAGTCCACATATGTTTTCGTTTCCTGGGGTTGTCTCCCGCAATGTTTCATTCAACTCGGTCCAGCTATATTCGCTTCCGGCAAGAATCCATTCTAGTGCATGGAAATGCGTGGGTCGCCACATCCTGCCTCATGTGCTTCCATCGTTTTCTGGCAACTCCTGTCCAACAGGCTCGCAGGCCGGGGTCTGGAATCGCCCAAGGACCGACAATATTGTTGTGTGACACAATAACAGAACCAAATAACATCAGACAGGATATTTTGAAGGCTGGTTCACCATAAACATTCTTCCCCCTATACAGTGAATACTGTGGTAGCCTGACTAGCGCTCACGACCATCAGAAATGGTCAACCAGAGCCACGGTTGCTATTCGCTTGATGATAGACCATGATTGAAACATCGACCGCATGATCAGTAGTGGGATGCTGGTTGGTTGACTGGTTTCGATCCTGTCTATGTTCGCTCCTAGGCAGGGTAGCAAATCAACATGGTATGGAAGAGTCGGGCTCTGGCTGAATATGTTGGGATTGTTAGTGCCAGAAGCACTGGGAAGTCAGGAACATGTTCACTCAAGTCGCGCATCAGTGAACATACACGGCTTGTCATCAAGACTCTGCGCCCTGTTCAAGGTCATACCCACCGATGTCGAGAGCCGAGGGGTTTCATATGAACCTGTGTGACACACAAGGTACATGTATGAATCCCCGATGTAGGAGCATCCCGTGGCGATGGGGATATTACCTTGTTGTTATTATTATTGATGATTGGTAAGGTCCTGTCCTCTGAACTCATCCGTCCTGGACAGATAGACAAATTCATCATGTAATACTAAGCGAGACTGGGGATGTGGGCGGGGTTGGTGCCTTTGGTTGCATTTATGTCAGTCGGTTTCCACGTGGGGACCCCCAGCAGTGTCCAAGGCAATTTGATAACATACTGGTACCTACTAATAACTCTTGAGAAACAAAGCCAGCCGGCAGTTCTTGCTGGCATCGTTAACAGGAAGATTCTCTGCCCATTGGGTGATTGTATAGCAAGATGACAAAACAGAGCTTCAGGCGTCAAGGAGCACAGTGGGAGTGCAGTTGCAGTGTTATTATTAGTAGTCAGTCGGGCATCTCCTCCCACGCCAAGAGATCGAGATAAGTCCAAATGTGGTCTTCGAACGATTGGATGCCGCAGCAAGCATCAAATATCCTTATCAGTTCTCCTCTCTTGAATCATCAGTCATCAGCCATTCAACCAGTGCAGTGGGTGGCCTGTCATGTCTGCATCCATCGTGTGCTCATTTCTTGTTGTCCGCTATCTCCTCAAGTCTCGCAGGGTCGTAGGACGCAGCCACATGAGCAGTCTCTGCCACTGCTAACCAGGTATCTGACCAATTCGTCTGTCATACTGCAAGTCATCTGCACAATACTTCAAGCTATCCTCGGCTCGTCCCATCGTCCGCTCCGAATCAACCTCTGATATTGATTGGGTCGCACCGGTGTCTGAGCTTCCAATCTCCGCTGGGAAGGAGGGGGATGTGACTGCCTTATCGGGTGGTTCTTTGTGTGGGATGACCAGGCGGCCACCTGCGCATCAACTCCCACCTCTCCCATCCCACCTCATGTCTGCATTACTCTGCTACTCTCTTGTCCCTCTATACCACATCTTCCTTGTCCTGGTTTGAGATAACCCTTGTCAGCGTATTTATGAGCGTACAGACCGCCTCTGTTACAGCCAACATCGCGCATCCGCATCCTCGTCTCGGGAACGACCCGGCCGCCGAAAGACACCCAAGCCTGTCACGATCTGTCCAGAGAGAACATCCTCCACCCGTCTTCGCCGTCCTGATGCAAAGTCAGACCCGAACTCGTTGACTGCGATTCGAGCACAAGTTGCCTGTGCAAGGTACCGCCTTTCTTTGTCTGGTACAGACGTGCACGGCGTCAACAAGGATGATAAGAGCAGAATATCTCGACTAGCGTCCCGGTTTGGTTTTCAAGAGGCCATATAGACCCAACACATCATGGCTCTTCCATATAAGCCGTTTATATCGACACCGCGTCTTCCAGATCACTGTTCCCCGATTTCTCCTATCCTCACCGATGTCTCTACGTACTTTGGAACTTGCGTACCCACGCCTCTCGCGGCTCTGTCCACATTGCTGGGGACACTCTCAATAGTATCGTGGCTGTTCGCACAGATGCCGCAAATCTTCAAAAACTATCATATCAAATCTACCGCCGGGTTGTCCATATTCTTTCTGGCGGAGTGGCTGCTAGGTGACCTGACCAATCTATTGGGCGCTTTGTTCACAAAACAAGCTGCATGGCAGATTATCATTGCAAGCTACTATGTCTTTGTCGATATGTGCCTTGTTGTGCAATACTTCTGGTATACTTACTGCACGAAATGTATCTATCCCGAGAGCCTGCACTCGAGTGGGAGCAGCGAATTCGACGATGTTGATAGTGCCATCATCAATGGCCTTTCTCCAATCAACTCGAACTTTGCCAGCGACGAGCCGCACTTCAGTGACTCGGAGGAAAGTCCTCAAAAATCAGCTGGCCCAAGGGACGTTGAAGCGCCCCAATTCTCCCGCGTCAACTATGGCGAGAAGAATGGTGCAAATGCACAGCTTTGCAAGCCATTGTACCAGGACAAAGCCTGCTCCAGCTGGATGCCAACCCCTTCGCCGCGTACGTTAATGTACGCAGCAACAATGTCTTCCCTGGCTTCAAAGGTAGCGGCGGCTCCCATACCGTTTCCTGCAAACAATTACCGACACGGAATCCATCTCTTCCGCGTCGATACTCCGCTTGAGATAGTTGGCACGATCCTGTCTTGGTGTTCAACGTTCTTGTACCTCGGATCACGACTACCTCAACTATTCAAGAACTGGCAACGCCAGTCAACTGCTGGCCTTTCGCCGCTGTTGTTCTTTGCCGCTTTCTGCGGCAACCTTTTCTATTCGGCCTCACTTCTTACTAATCCGAATGCCTGGGATGATTATGGTCCTTATGGTCACCATGGATGGGTTGGTTCCGAAGGTTCACAAAGGTGGGCGTGGGTCGCTCGAGCGGCGCCCTTCTTCCTTGGGGCTGCAGGCTGTTTGAGTATGGATGCCTTGATGGGTATCCAGTTCATGATGTATGGAGAGGCAGAAGAGCGCATTGTGAAGGTCAGAGATGGTCACGGATACAGCCATTGGGAAAGAGTCAACGGGTGGATGAGAGGATGGATCCCGAATATGGCGGGAAAGGATAGAGTGGTAGACTTGGCCCAGAGTCAAAGACTGTTGGGCGAAAGCGGGCATTTGAGCATGAGTCGAAGGAGCCACCATCATGACTATGGAACGATAGAATCTTAGCATTGATAGCGCTATAATGAACACTTCTTTCCGATACACTTCAATGTTTATACGATTCTGTTGATAGTTGCTTGTGGACAGCGTCTCTCCGAATTGACGTCAATCTTCTCCGCAGTTCTACGCGTATTTACTGTTCTCGTTGCTGACAATTTATCCTTCCATCATCATTTGCACATTCAACACCTTCAAGATTGCTTTGAGCTGGAATATCCCTGACAGTGTACTCCTTCAGGGCGCCTGATTCATGATTACTTCGCGTCTCATCCGACCGATAGTGACCACCAGCGCCGCGTTCGCATCGTTGATTCGACCTGTGGCTACCCCGCAGCTTCACGGAAGCCGAGTAGGTGTTGGATCTGGATCGATATCAGGCCTGGCACAGCAGCCATTGAGAAATATGCATATCCTCAGCATTCCCATGTGTACGTGTCCCTGGTTGTGATTGAACCGACTTGCTCTTGTGGTGTGGCTGTTTGTTCGGGAACGGCGAAGAGGGGAGAACAAGGGGAGAACGAACACCGGGCTCGAGGATTAGTTGTGCGGCATGCATTACCGCGGAGACTGGATGGACGCGGATACCTAGGGAAGATGGGTGAGAGACCGCTGACTGAGAGACTATTGTACAGGGGTTGGTTCGTCCAACAACTACGCCTACCTAGTGAGCGACGACGAGACGAAAGATGCGGTGATCATTGACCCGGCCAATCCTCCCGAGTACGTGCCAACCAACCCAGCCCCAACCCTAACCTGCCTAATCCAACCCAACCCAACGCTCAGCGACCCAACGAGGCGTGTTTGTTATACAAGCACAACGACATAATCTATATTTCAGGGGAGGGAAGAAAATAACATGGACAAAGACAACAGTGACTAACAGTGTTCCATTTTTCCAATGCATTTAGAGTCCTGCCCGTGCTGGCGGAGAAATCGCAATCCCTAAACCTCACGGCGATCATGAATACCCACTACCACTGGGACCACGCAGGCGGAAACAAGAAGATCCTGAAATCGCTGCCGTCCGCGGTGCCCGTGATTGGCGGCAAGGGCTGTGAAGCCGTAACAAAGACACCCGCGCACGGCTCGAAATTCAACATCGGCAAGAACATCCAGGTCACGGCGCTGCATACGCCGTGCCACACGCAGGACAGTATCTGCTGGTACATGGAGGACCAGAGCACGGGCGAGCGGGTGGTGTTTACGGGCGACACGCTGTTCATCGGCGGATGTGGCAAGTTCTTCGAGGGCAATGGGGCCGAGATGCACGTCGCGCTCAACGAGATCTTGGCGGCCTTGCCGGACGACACCAAGGTCTATCCGGGCCACGAGTATACCAAGTCCAACGTCAAGTTCTTGAAGAAGGTGGATCCGTCGAACGAAGCCGTCAAGAAGCTCGAGAAGTTCGCCGACGAGAATCGCGAGACTCAGGGCAAGTTTACCATTGGCCAGGAAAAAGAACATAATGCTTTCATGCGCGTCCATACGCCCGACATGAAGAAGGTCACGGGCAAGACTGATCCGAGCGAAGTCATGGCTCAACTGCGGGAGCTGAAGAACTCAAGTTGAGAGCCAAGTTTGTAAGGGAAATCGCCGGGGAGGGAAGTCCCAACCACACAAGCCGAGATGGGAATAGAGTACGGTAAGGAGCACTGGCTCATCTCGAGTGGTTGGAGTAGAACCATGATAGGGGATGGAGGAAGCCTCAGTGTTCCGCTACTGTATATGTGTGAGCTCGCTGTGACTTGGGTAGGAGCGCGTTGAGATGACGAAAGATTCTACCTGGTTTCGAAGTTCTCAATGGCAGATAGGATCGACCGACAGGGCTGCTGGTTCGCAGGTTGAGCGAGCAGACGAATTGGTAATGGAAGTTGCTCAGGACAGAACAACCCAAGTAAGCCTATATTATACATACTCACTTACATATGTATATATAAAAATATATGTATATCTCTGTCTCTCTCATATCACACCATCGGAGCCGCAAGGAGAAGCGTCAAACTCTGAAGGCCCCAAAGAATGATACGTGTTCGTGTTTAATGTGTCTAGGTAGTTAACTGATGCTGGGGAAAAACGAACATCATAACGATACCAGTACGTGCATGACCAACACCATTGATCATGGGAAACGTAGGGCATGGCTGGCCTGTCTGTCTCGCAGTATCTCACAGTTATGTTATGCTTGAGTTCGTGATGCGCCGTCCAGTAGCAACAACCTTGACCCAACCCACCTTGCTCAAGACACCAGAAATTGTTGACAGAGGAGATAAGATAATGAGCTCAAGATCCGTACTCCGAATCTCGCTGCTCGATCTGGGACAAAGGGAGGGATGGTCAGAACTTGAAGCCGACACCATAGTTTCTGTTTCGCCTCTGAGTTTGCATATCCCCCCATATCCCCCCAAGGGAGACGGACGTTTCGAAAGTCAAGGCTCAAGCCAAGTTGTCCGCATCCTCTCTGCCCTTCTCCCTCGGCGCCGTATCACGGGTCTGGTGACAAAGCGTACAGACCGGCCAACGCAAGGCTAAGACTAGCATTAGCATGCTCTGAACTCGGGACCAGCATATCCGGAACCCAGGTCATACCTCTGCTGTCTGGACGACCGTTCTCACCGATGTAGTCCACTAGTGCCTAAGTCGGGTTTGAACTTGGGAAATCCCCAATATATAATACCAACTCACGCAATATACTTCCGCAATCGACCATAGGATCAAGAAACCAGCGCTTCCCGTTCGCTCAGCGGTACTTAAGCTTGATACCGGTTAGTTAGTACTAGAGTGGGTGACCATCTGGGAATCCTAACTGTTGATTGTTTTTTGCCCCTTCCCTAACAATGTGAAGGGTTGTGCCCCAGAAAAAAACATTGGCCCATAAGTGGGTCTACCGAATCGGGAAGGATCAAGGATATCACGTGCAATACTGTCAAGTATAGATGCTTGAAGTGCAAGAAGTGAGGATATCTTTTTCTCCTGGAGTGGATCACAGACTCTGAGTTTGACGAAATCCCCTGTAAGGTGTGCTCCTCTTTCAACGCGCGGTCCATGGTCCATGAAACAAAAATTGGGACGGTGGTGGAGAAAAGGTGAATCTTGCCACTGAGCATATTATTATTTCTCCTGGACCAAACCTTGCTTGCGGAGGCTTCTTCCGCGACGGTGTGCTATGGTGTGCAGTGGGTAACGTTACGTGGAGCTGAAATGTGTCCTGTGTACAGAGTACCTTACCTACTACGCACGCAATCCTGGGTAAGAACATCTCGATGGAGTTGAAGGTTCTGCCCGAGCGGGCCTCATTCTTTGATTATTGCTCATTTGATGCGTGGTATTAAAAACAATAACAATAACTACCTTCCTAGCTTGTGCGATGGATGTCCGAAATAAAGCTTATGATATGTGTTGGTGTTGATAGAAGTATCCGCATGCAATACCTATATGAGCGGGCCTGCCGTGATGGATCGTCTGATTTCCAAGTGTGGCAGAGACCGGAACTTCAGATTGCAAGAATGGATGTAACTCAACGGAATTCTGGGAAGCAAGCCATCAAACTTCCCTTATTAGTACGTACATCTCATATCCTTACCCTTCGTATCTTACTTACCTCGCTTTTCTCAACAGCCCCTACCTCCCTAGGTAGGTATATAGAAATACCTTGGTCAAAGTTACGGTCAGTGGTCTGAGGTGTGGCCGACAGGACCCGCAAGCAAGCAAGACATCGAGATATCGTCGAGGCTACCCTGGCCAGCCAGATTGGATTCATGACGATGTGCCCGTCCGTTTGGCCGACAGCCGGAGCAAGGTACAGACAGATAGACTGGACAACACACTCTCCCTGGGAGATGTTGCTCTCTGAAGCCTGGCTCTTGGATAATACACCAACTTCCAAGCCATCCTTGCTCTGGTCTTCGATGCTGCCCCACGACGTCGGTCTGGCTAACAGTGGCCTGGTACATGAACATGAAAGTGTCGTCGAGGAGGTAAGGTAAGTGCACATCTGGGACATGGTCGAGGTGACGCCCCTTCATTTGAAAGTAACTGTTACCCTCTTCGTGTTCCGGATCATCTGGATGCATTGAAACATCAATTGCAGCTCGCTGGCCCTGCAGGAGGTCTGGTCCACTTTCCATCTTCCTGTACCCGTTTCTTGCTTCGCTTGCAATCATCGCAAGGATGATTCTTCTTGACCAAGAAGCCCTCCAAATGAACGTTCACCTTCAATTTGAAGAGAGGTCGTTTGCCATTAGAAGGCTCCGATCGCCGTTGTTCAAAGTCGTCCGCCAAAAATGGTCCAAGGCCGCCCGCAAGTGCCTTGCAGCTTTTTCTGTTCGGTTGTGGTTCTTTTCTGACATTGCTATTGCCCTTTCCACCGTAACGACTGTTTATAGAGTGACAAGTTCTCCCTGTCCCTTTCATAGGCTTCATTCTGTACTAGTGGTCAAGCATTTTCGTCGTGGCGCAGTGATGTGCAGTCAGTACGTAGTCGTATGGAAGGCATTCGATCATGGCCAGAATTATGCCAGTGCTTTGTCTGGTCTCCAGTGAAGTGTTGAGATGAGGAGAAGAAGCCAAATGCTTTTTTGCCAGAGGATGGAAAGGAAAACTACCTCAACTTCATCGGGATCGAGTCTTGCTCGAGGCTGAATATATGTACCATGTAGCTCACATGTCTACCGCACCATAGGCGCAACCTTCATACCGTCCGGAGGGTCCATCCTGGAACACATCTCTTTTGCCTACTGATCACCATCAAGGGGATGCGACTCTGAATAGGAGATTCAGCATGCAACCCTCTTCTCGCGATTATCAGCAAGAATGCGTCCTCCAGTCGAATGCTCGAACATGGAACTGATAAGGGATCAACGCCAATCATTCGTGCTCGCCTCCCCTCAGTCCCCTCACCACCCAAAGGCGTGATCGCTTGACCAGATGTCGCAACCATAAGGTAGAGTAACATAGGGAACCCGACGATATAACAAAAGGAACATGTGCCCAGGAACGGATGGTGCACACGCGCCTGTTCTGTTTGACTCTTTGAATTTCAAGAAACAAGATTGAAAAACCAAAACCAAAACCAAAACCAAAAGTCATGCCGGTCGAATTCATCAGCGCGGCGTATCTCAACGCGTCGACCGAGTTGCACCCGATTCCGGAGCTCACGGGCCTCGCCGATCCCGATTACCTGGAGCGGTATGCACGCAACCTGGACGACTATGAGTACAACTACACTCTGGTGCCGTACGACTCGTCGTACTTTGACCCATGGACCGTGGCCGCGACCATCGCGGCGCACACGCGTCATTTGAAGGTCATTGTTGCCCTGCGGCCAAACACCCTCTATCCGACCGTCGCGGCCAAGGCCCTGGCCACGCTCGACCAGCTCAGCCGCGGACGCGCCGTCGTGCACTTTATTGCGGGCGGCAGCGATGCCGAGCAGGCGCGCGAGGGTGACTTCTTGACCAAGCAGCAGCGTTACGCCCGCCTCGAGGAGTACGTCCGCATCCTCAAGCGCGCCTGGGCCTCTTCGGACCCCTTTGACTGGGATGGCGAGTTCTACCAGTTCAAGGACTTCCGCACTCTGGTGAGGCCATATGGGGGTAAGGCCAGCATCCCGGTCTCCGTCGGCGGGTCTTCTGAAGAAGCCTACCGCATCGGCGGCGCTCTGGCCGACATCTTCGGTCTCTGGGGCGAGCCCCTGAAGGAAACCAAGGAGCAGATCGACCGCATCTACGCCGCCGCCGAGCAGGCTGGCCGAGCCCCCACAGACCGCCCGCGCATCTGGGTGACGTTCCGCCCGATCGTGGCCGAGACCGAGGAGCTGGCCTGGGCCAAGGCGCACCGGACGCTCGAGGCCCTCCAAACCAAGCCGTCGCCTCGGCCGATGCTACTGGGCGGGGGTACCACGGCGCCGCAGAACGTCGGCTCGCAGCGGCTGCTCGAGATCGCCAAGCGCGGCGAGGTCCAGGACCGCGCGCTTTGGTACCCGACCGTCACCGCGACTAACGCCCGTGGCGCCTCGACTGCCCTGGTTGGCACGCCCCAGATCATCGTCGACTCCATCTTGGACTACGTCAAGCTTGGCTGCGATCTCATCTCCATCAGGGGTTATGACAACCTCAACGACGCCATCGACTATGGCCGCTTCATCCTGCCCCAGGTGCGCGCCGCTCTGGCCGAGGGGAAGGTGGCCGCCGACGCCAACGGAGTCAAGCCAACCAACGGGGAGAATGGGACCAACGGCGAGGCCAAGGTGCTGGCGTCTCGCTGATAACCACTGCTCTGACGCCTTTTGTCTCGCGTAGTGCTCGAGGTGGGCTTTTGTGGCCATCGAACATTGCCTTTGTCACAGCTTGATTCAGTAGAGGAGAGACAACCAGGTCGTGGCACTGTCTCTCAGGGCTTCGGGGTATACATTCGTTCGGCCTGTCCATGTCATTTGACCAAGAGTTTCCACGACAACAGACGTGGCAAGGGACTCGTGAAGTATGCGTGGGTCACTGTTCTGGGTAGAGAGGATTTCTTGTCCGGAGAAACGTATTTTATAACCCCAAGATGCAATACCAAAATCTTGCTGAGGTGGTATGTTTCATAGACGCTGCAAGTATCTGTTAGTCAATGGATACGATCCGACCACTGTAGGCCCACCGAGTCACCCCAAGGGCATTGAGGTAGCCAAAAGTGTAGACTATGATGTACTAGCAGCCCGAAACGTCACATATGCCGATGCAGACAACAGGAAAATAGGGCCGTATACCTAAGGTTCAGGGGAGAGAGAGAACACTGGTCATACGGAGAACGACCAAGCCAGCCGCGACCTTTGGAGCCAGGACAGTGACACTGCCGACATCTGAAGGTCGGATTCTTCTTCCATTGTTAATAACCTCACTCATAGATAGACGGCTCAGGAGCATGCCACGATCTCACCTCTTGCGGAGGCATGAGGGCGAAATGTCATCGTGGGATTTGTAAAAGACACACAAAGAAACAAAGACTCCTCTCCCTTTCCGCGTGCCCTTGAGAACGACACCTTCGTACGTGCATGTCACCTCTTCATGGAGAACATGGGCGTGGCGGGACCAGCACTTTAGAGCTCTGAAATCGGAAATCCAAAAATGCCACCGTCAATTACGGAGCATTGCAGAGGCAGAGAGTGCATTTCGTAGCCTGTCCCCACACTCCGACGTACTCACTTCTGTCCTCTTGACTCCCTCCAGAAGTCGGAACATGTGCTCAAACAGAGCAACTGAGTGATCGAGGACTTGCTGCCACACGTGAATCGAGGAATCGACGACGACCAAAATGCCGCCACGAACAATAATAATGGGATTGGGATAAAACGAAATAAGAAGTCCATCGACCCATGCGCGATCATGGACCCTATAACCAAGACCCAGGGGTTGGTTCATTGGGGCGATACTCTGTACACTAGTGCATACCAATGTCAGCAAAACCGATCCAGGACGTTGTGCCAGTGTGCGTGGGTACAACAGTAGTTCGTCTCGCCTCGACCCACCCCAAAAATTGCCCAAAGCTGGGGTCTGCAGCAGGAGGTCGGGTGGCGTAGAGCGGTACGTAGTAGTAAGCAGCCGGCCCATCGCAAGAGTTTCCCAGAGTTGGCAACAACTTAACATCTGAGTGGACTTTCAGTGTGAAATCAGGTCTTCCTATCTTCCTGTCATACTCTCGTCATGAGTTGCTGGTAGAAGGGCAATCCTCGAAGGCCTGGAAGATATCACAACGTGGTCTGTGGAGCTGCAAGGTAGCCCCTGCGCATGGCTATGGCTGATCAGGTGGATCGGTGACATGGAGACGCACCGCAGCATTTCCACTCCACCCGAACCTTTAAATAATGTGCTCTGAGTCTTAAGTTAGTGTGGTGCTCACCGTACTATGTCACTGAAAGCACGCCGGTCCTGCCTCAAGTGGCTGATCTTTGATGCGTTGATTTTAGACCGTATGATGCGACAACTTGCCACTGGGATTGCATGAATCAGATGCAGTGGGACTGGCGCGCTTTGGCTAGCTGTTTGATGCTGGCAGGTCTGGCAGCTGGCCACTCTGCCCCCTGCTTTAGCCGACGGGGGTGAATCATCCTGAGATATACAGGATGTTATGGGCTTCAAAAGGCAGACCATCGACTGTAGGAGATCGTCACCGTCCAAAAGTGTTTTGTGATCTTTCGGTTCGACTGCATTGCCGAATCGATTCATTGCTATGATCCGCTATGATCCGCCCTGTCATATATGGTATTATCGTCTTGCGAGTGTGTGGGACTCCTTCGAGACTTGCACCGGAAATTGAAGCTATCGTAGAGAAGCTATACGGCCCGTGGTAGTCGTTGAGCATGATGATCTAGGTAGCGCTCAGGTCACGCGCACCAAGACCCAAAGGTATGGCGGGCCGAACTGCCGCCATCGCTAGCTGTCAACGCACCTAAAAGTATGTTTAGCAGAAGACGCCGAGGGAAACCTTGACCGTGGACAGGGGACAAGGAAAGTCTAGGAAAGTCTAGAAGCGAAGAGCGGTGGCGCCGCAATTCGGCCTGCAAGCTACGGTGTAGGGTTATTAGTGGAAGTTGGGCCCGTCCTGCCAGCCGGAGCTGGAGCGAGCGAACTCCGCCCAACGCGCACTGTCGGTAAAATTCGCGTGCAAACCAAATCACTGACTTGGAACATCCAAGCCGGTGGAGGATTGAAGCTGATAGCAGCCCAGTAACAGTAAGAGCGAGTGGCCGATTCTTGGTGGGTGAGATCTCCTATACTGGTTATAGTACGTACTAAAGCTCCCAAGGTAAGGATTGTTGGTAGAGCTTGACATGCGTCCCTCACCGTCGTACAGTACAAAGAGGCAGCCACGGATCGAGATTCTCAAGGAAGCATCAGAACCCTGTCGCCATGGTGCAAGCCTGGCCGTGCTAGCTTGCCCAAATGCCAATTTTCTGAGTTGCTTCTGCAGTATGATATTCATGATGGTGCTAACGTAAATCACGGATGGATTGGCAGAAGCAGCCTGGTCAGGATCGACTTGCAGCATGAGCGGCGAGCGGCCTGTGAAACTGAGGATCCGGGTGCTCTGAGACAGCGCAATAATGGCACAGTGACACGGGTTGGCGGGACATGTGTCATTCGATGAAGGCCATCTCTTCCATGGTGGCACAGGTCGTGTCAAGTCCGAACAGGGCTCGGGAATTAAAGGGATGATGAAGGTTCGCGGCTGGACAGGATACGGCTTTTGAAGTGACGCTGTGATGGATCTAAGGTCCGGCGATCTTGTGGGCGAGAAGTGCAAGGGCCGTTCGTACATTCTACCTAACGTCAAGTGAAGTTAGTACCTAGTAGTCAGAAGTATGGAGCGGATAGGATTGAGGCAGGACAGGGGGTGGCAGAGCGAGCCAGGTATGCCCAGCATGGCTGTCGTCGTATGTGCGGTACTAGTAGGAGGTGGGAATTTGCACATCGGTTGCAAGTTGGACCACTGGCACCTCAAAGCGCAGGCACAGGCGCAGGGGGCGATACTCAATTCCCAGCAGGCCGGGGGCTAGACACTGCAGTACCACTAGTAGTCGAGGATGTCGACGGTTGGAGGTTTGAGAACTTGCATTGGTTGACGACATGTGTGGAGGGATGCCTACAGAGTAGGTGCACTACGACTACGACTGTGGAGTGCCAGTGCTTCAGCGACGCAGTCAGTGCCCGATGCTCGATGCTCGTCGCTCGTGCCATGCTGGCGCTTGGGCTGATGTTCAAGTTGGCGTGGGCGTGGACGTTAGGGGCGTGAGGGGCTCGCCTCGCTTACTGCGGCGAAGCTAGCCGGTAACCATCCTAGAGACGTACGGTAGACTCTTGAGGTGACTGCAGATGATAAAGCTATACGTACTTTGTACTATGCGGTTGGGGACTCGGCGGGAGAGTGTGTCATCAGCCACTAGTAGTAGTAGTACGCCTCATCAGCCGCTCGCCTTCTGATTCCAGACTCGGAATGGGCATCGATAATACTCTGTAACAACAACTTGAATGGTGAGGCGACAAAACTGACGGGCAATTTACTGCCCCAGTGTGACTCGACTCGCCTATAGTCGCTGGCTGAGAAGACTACCTAGATACCCTATACTACTAGTACTACGTAGTATGCGGACCTGTTCCCGGCTGGCCATGACTTGTGGAAGAACGAAATGTGATGCTTGCCTTTATTGTCCCGGCCTATCTCCTAGTAAGGTATTGAGTCCAGTTGCTCATAGAATTATCTCCGAGTAGGTATCTGACTGCGCTCTACTCTGGAGGTACCGTACCACAGAAAACCACCACCGTGTCGGCGTCTACAGAGTACCTAGGTAGTAGTAGTAGAGGCGTCTCTTCGTACTACTAGTATGAGGAGACATCCCTCAACTGACGTGACACGGATCTCCTGTTGCCATGGCGCAAACCCCATCACCACCCTAGTAGCTGGTATGCAGTGGAGAAATGGAGACAGAGAAACGGCATCTCCCTACTAACCCGTGATGCCGGTATCGTCGTGTCGAGAAAAGATGGAATCCATTTTGAATCCATATGACCTGCTAGTAGTAGACGTTCATTACACGCCCCTGGTCTCTCTGAATATCAGTCCAACTCTTTTTCCGCCTTTGTATCTCCGATCGGCCAGTGAAGTGGTGAGTCTTGACATGCCTGACAAAGTGACAGCTGGAATTCTCTGATCCCATGTCTCCATCTCTCCATCCATCCACCCATGTATCCTTGTCTAGCACCTCCCTTGGTTAGGTACCTATTGCTCTCTCCACATGGCAGCCAGCCAGCCATCCAACTGCCGCCGTTGCCTGAGTCTGAAGCTTCCTTTTCTCCCTGCTTCTATGGCGCCGTCTCTCGCTCGCCTTTCACCGTTTCGGTGAGAACAAAGCTACGGATCCGGTCCCTTTGCGTGCTTCATCTGTTGATGGGATGCGTTTGATCGCCGGCTATTTCTTTACTCTTGTACCCGGTCCAAAGCTTACTACTACTGCAGGGTGATACATCCCGTATCCTTGTGACTCCGCTCCGCATACCAACCTGGCCTTACACATGCTGACCACGTAACATGTTACATACCTCCTAATCACTTTATCCTTGTACGGATGCTGCTCGGCTCGGCCTCTCAGACACCTACGCAGACACCCGCTCACTTCGATCGTACAAGTGTTTATTTACTACTACTAAGGTTACGCTGCTCCCTTTCCTGATGAGGCCAGATCTCGCCTCTGAGGATCCGAACAAGGACACACCACTCCATTCTTCTGAGCACCGGCCTCACCCGCTACCCACCACCCACTCACTACCCACCCTGACTATACTTGTACGCCCCGTGCCTCATCCACAGCGTCTACATGGCTTCTTTGGGCCATTCCGGAGAGACATGAATATCCTTTTATGGCCTTAGGCTACGTACGGATGCGTAGTGTCTCCGTCGTCAGCCACTCTTACATTTATCACTCACCACTGTGGTACCTTTGGTATGATTCTCTTTGCAGACAACGTGGGCCGCGTCAACACCATTTTACTGCTCGACAGTGGCATATTCACTGCGTACTGCGTCTTCCGTCGGCCTTCCGGACGCGGGTTTTCCCTTGATTGATGCTCTGCCTCTCATCCTCTGCAGACTACCAGGTAGATACCTTATATCTCCGTCTCCACATCCACCTCTGCTGTTCCTCTCACCCGACGGGCCAATCATTCACACCGATAGACCAACCCTGGCCCTGGTAATTGACCATGCAATGGGAATTCGGCAACCGGGCTTTGACACACTGGCACTCCACCATGGCACTGCAGGTATTCGTGGCTGATGGATCCTTCCTCGGGGCGCCTCACGCTAAGCTAGACACCCTGCTTGACGCTGATTTTCACGCTTTTGAAGACCTCGTTCACATCTCAGCCGCTTCCCTGTTGACAGCCTGGGTTCCAGGCGGCAGCAAATTCAGATCGATAATACGTCAATCGATCGCTCGGCCAATCTGCAATCAAACTCTCTTACTCGCCTACCCGTTACATCCTATCGGAGCTTGTCGCAAAAATCTTCCAACCTGATCCGGAGAATTCTTCTCCCGCCTACCGCTCTTTGCTTCTCTCTCTTTCCTCCTTGCTGCCCGGGCACTACATTCCATGATCCAATTCTTCCAACTCAGCAGACACTCTGCCATCTCATTCGTCCAAATATGCGGCTTCTGAAGTCTGATCCATTCCTTCCCCAGTTGCCATTATTTAGTATGGCACCAGTGCGACGCACTGCTACCCGCTGAACCCCAGTTCCACGTCTCTTACCCGCTCGCTTCCATCCTATTCTAAACATCACCGACCAGGAGTGTTTTGTACGATCTAGAGCTCCTGCTGCCTGCTCCCTGCTCCCTTCCCACTGCCTGTCATGATTCTTGATCCACGCCCGACCCTGGTTCTGGGTCATTCCTGCCCACCTGGCAGCCGGTGGTCACACACCCTGTTCCACCACGCTTGTATACACCAACCAGTCACCATGGCCTCCTCCCAGTCTGCGCCTTGCCGCGACTGATGTCCCAGTTTAATCTCATGTTCTTCCCCTTAGCTGGGGTGCACCGACCTCACCACTTATAGCCCTGGCCCTCACTCCTCGAGGGAAAAGTAGATATGGAACCTGCCGCCCTTCCAGCACAGCTCTGTCTGCCGCCTCTCTCACTATTGCGCCAACTACCCCAATCATGGACACCTCACAGACCTGGGTACCTCGGCCGGAACCCTTATACAACCCAGCAATGGCGGCCAGCGTCTCTTCCTACTTCGCACGTTCGAACAAGGTGGTGAAATCGGGCAGCCGCAATAGTAGTCCGCGAGACTTGGGGAGGAGGAAAACTACAACAGCAGCTACGATTTCGTCGCGAGCGAGATCCGTCGTTGACCACCTTCGCTCTGATGCCCACACCCAGCAATGGTGCAGTTCGCAGGAATCCCCCTCGCGGCCTCTCAGTTGGCACCCAGCATCCGTTGAGGGCTATACTATGCCTTCCAACCTTTCAGTCAACGGAGAAGATCTGTCCGGCTGCAGCTTTTCTACTGTCCAAGTCAATGGACTCTTCACACCTCTCTCATACCAGCCCATCAATGATCCACAGCTGGAAGAACTCTTTACGCCGCTGGACGAGCTTCCAGGGCCAGAAAGGGACACAGCGTACGAAACTCAACCATTCGATGAGCACTCGTGGCTAGGCCACGGCCAATCAAAGTCCCCAGCCTACTCTTTCGATATGTGCCCTCCACCCCTGTCAGCCCAGTCTTCATGGCATTTCCATCAACGACCGGCATCGGTCGAAGTACAGACGGCGCCCTCCTCTCCAGACTTCCTTCAGCATACCAACATCGACACCGATGTCTCATCACTTGACAACGCCACCGGTACCACCGAAAATGCGGAGGAGTTGGTCGCCATGGGCTTGTATGACTCGCCTGCTGAAGTCCAGTCTTCTTCCTTTCTGTTTGGCAGGGCTTCGTCAGAAAGGAAGGCGTTGAAATTGGAGGAATCTTTCGAGCCCGCGGATCGGGACGAGGGAGAAGAGGCAGGTGGTGACGATGCTACATCCGAGGCAACCTTTGAGTACGATGACACGCCTCAGGATGTCCTTCGGGATCATGCTTTTCCCGCCGCCGATTACACCTCCCAGTCCATCGCCAGCCATCTCACTTACGGGGCACAGCCAGAAGTGAATCCCATGGCGTTCCAATACCTGGCGACTTTGTGCCAACTCAACAGCCCCTATTACCCTACGGCATCCCACGGCTACGGGTGGGTATGAATGACGATTGATGATATGCGGTGTCGCACCGCCGCTGCACTTTTGTGCTGTGCGCTGTATATATTTACGAATTATGCCTTTGGTCTTACAGCCATGATACCCAGTTAGCGGGCCCATGCCAGAAGAGAAGGCGCCCCTGATTAAATTAGAGATTAGAAGAGCACTGTCGCAAAGACTTGATTATCACTGTTCGTGTCTTGAGATGTCTTCGGTGGTGCCGAACGCTCGCTCACGCGCAGAGAAAGATCCCTGCGTGACACATTTGGCCTCCGACCAATATTATTGGCTGCCGTTCAAAAATAATATTAATTGTTATAAGACAAATAAATCCCTTCTTGTCCTTCCACCACGGCTATGTAATTCCTGCATCTAGCATGCCATGATAATCATCCGGCCGTTCTCCTACGCGCCTTATCACACACACGCTCGGAATTCCACCTCGGGAATGCTTTCGGACACTCCGCCGGCGACCACGTCTCACCGAGGAGCTGCTCCCAACCACACATGCAATGAGGTGAAGCCGGTGTCCCAGTGTCGGAACTCCTGACTCTTACGATTGCATTCCCAGTTGCAGGGGCCGACTCCACGATGGTCTTGCACTTCTCACCATGGCGACACGAATCTGAACTGGCCATGGTCCGGGACTGGTTCTTCGCCGGTCATGTGAAACACGACGATGGGTTTTCGGACCCGATGCCAGACATGCGGCAACGAGCCGTGGACCGGGTCAACCTGTGGCTCTTCAAAGCCGGTCATCTACCCCCGGCTCTCATTGCAACCGCTGGCCTGACCGAAGCATTGCTGCACGACGAGGCAAGTCGCACAGAACGTGGCATTTCTGACTTGGCCATGCAGAGCATCTATGCGATGGCGTTCGCGCGATTTGTCAACGGATTCGTTGATCGCGACGTGGCCCGTTCCCAGGCCGCCGAACTGGCCTTGGATGGCGCTGATGTCGATAATGTGGCCGCGGCGACCTCGACCGCCAAGGGGGAGAGTTCGATGTATGCCCATGCAGCCACAATCGGGATGCCGCCTAAATTCGTGGATTTGCGGCACGAGGTTACACACGGGCACATTCCTAGCCTGATATACCTGAAGCGAATGACTCTCCAGGCATTAGAGTGGTTGTGGGATAGATGGTGGCTGAAGAATGCTACGGGAGATCCATCGCGCGCCTTGAGGGAGCTGGAGGAGCGGACATGGCTTTGCCGGCAAGCAAGGGAGGCCGATGAATCTCGGGCTCTCGTTGCCCAGGGTGCAGCCACTGTCGGAATGAGCACATCTGATCAAGTCTACGATGCTATGGCCGTAGATGAGTCGAACGGTAGCCATGGGATAGTAGAGGACAACCCTTCTCGTCCGTCGATCAAGGGAGGCAAACCCTCTCGAAAACGCAAGCAGGCCGCATAAATCATGCGCATGACATTGATTTACAGACACAAACGCAAGAGCCAGACGACATATATCACAACGGCACTCTTGAATGCCAGTGCCATTCTTCACTACTAGTATATTATAGTAGTGTCATCGTTAATTTGGATCGTGAGTTCTGAGGTTGAAGTCGATCGCCAAGCCTGCGCTCATCGACTCGAGTTCGAGTTGCAGGTCAACGACTCGAACTCGGAGTCAACGAATCCGAATGTCATTCCATCTCTGTTTGCCTCCTTCACTGCTCTGTTCGTAATCTACGTAGCCTGCCAGTGGCCATGAGAGGTGAAATCTACCTTGCACCATCTGTGGTAGTCTCATACCATTCTATATATTGACATGCGTCGAATCCTCATCAGTCCTTATGCCAGATTTTCGCGTCGGTATCCCGGTCCTCCACCTTTCCTTCCTTCGCCATGCACAACCTCCCGATGAGGGCCAACGACGGCCCAAGTCATGAATTTGCGACACAGAAACCCTCCTACACTACTGCGAACAAGCTCATCTCGACACTTGCCCTACTCATCCTTGGGTACTACGTGGTTTCGTTCTTCGATGTCTGGCCCTCCACCATTAAACGGTCCATATACGAACTCTTCGTCTGCTTCGTCCCTTCGCCGCTCATCTACGCCATGCAGTGTGGACTGCTTCGCCTTGGACTGATCGGACCCGAAGAAGCGGTATTCACGAGAGACCAGTTTGGAGACGTACATGCGAAACAAGAGGCAATCCAGCGGATCTTTGGGCATCCGCAGTTCCCCTTAGCTCTGCGCAAGGTCAGGAGTCTGTCCGGTGTAAGCAAATACATCTCGCTGAGCAACGACACGGGGCCACCAGGCCTGGGCAATTGGGACAACTCTTGCTATCAAAACAGTGTCCTTCAGGGACTGGCTTCTTTGCCTGCATTTCTTGACTTTGCAGAGCGCAGTTTGGACCAGTGTGAAAGGCATGGTGTGTCCGCAGACACCCACAGAGCATTAGTGAATTTACTCGAGCAGCTTACGGATCTCGGCCCCCGAAAGGCTACTGTCTGGACCCCTCACGTCCTCAAATCCATGGATAGCTGGCAGCAACAGGATGCACAGGAGTACTTCTCTCGACTGCTCGAGGCCGTCGAAAAGGAGGCGGATGCGTATATTAAAGTACTAAAGCGTTCTTCTGTTGCTGGTCTGGAGTGCCTCGTGGCAAACTCGACCCCTCCTGCTCAGATTGAGGCAGACAACCCTGCTGCGAATCCGGAGTTGTCCTCTTGGCCGCCCGAAAAGGAAGTAGGCTCACGTCTACTACGTTTTCAACCACGGAATCCCATCGATGGCATGACTGCGCAGTGTCTTGAATGCAGGACTTGTGGGTTTACGGAAGGCTTTTCCTTCAACGACTTCAATTGTCTTACGCTAAACATGGGTCTCCGAGGCCCATCCGATCTCGAGGACCTCCTGGACGAGTACACTGCCCCGGAAGAGATCGAAGGGGTTGAGTGCGAGAATTGTACGGAAAGGCCAAACGGCACCCCTAAAGAAGAGCTTGCGCAGGCGGCCGAGAAGCCGGCAAAACGCAAGCCGGTCTTGAGGACGAAAACGAAACAAATCACCGTGGGAAGGTTACCCAAAGACCTGGTTCTTCACATCAATCGGAGCATCTTTGACGAGTACGGTAATCAGCTCAAAAATAGAGCTGCGGTTGCAGTTCCTTTCAAGTTGCACTTCCTCAGCCGGTGGTGCGCCCCGATCGTGCGCAACAATGCCTCGGTCGAGGCCGTCTATGAACTCAAATGCATGGTGACACATTACGGCCGGCACGATAACGGTCACTATATTGCATTAGGCCAACGTGGCAAGGAGTGGTATTCCTTCAACGATGATCTGGTCACGAATATTACCGAGGAGGATGTGCTCAACACGGGGAATGGGTTCATGCTCTTCTACGAAGCTGTCCCCATGCAGCCGAATGCGCAGACTCCTCCGAGCACTGCGGACATGGCTGTCTCATCCGAAACCAGAACTTCCGACCTCGAGCCAGATCTCATTCAGAGTCAACTCAAGAATGTGGCCGAGTGGCCGAGCCCTGATTCAGGCATTTATCGGGAGGCATTCACATCGAATATCGCATCGTCGACCGAGGGTTCAGCAATGTCTGCTTCACCTTCGTCTTCTACATCGTCCGCAATCGACGAGTCCGCGAAGCAACAAGGTTTCGAGGGGCTACCCACTCAGAATATGAAGACATCCAGCGGAATCGATGGCATGCCCCATGGGGCGCGCTCAACTGGTGCACCTGTAGCATCTTCACTGTTATAGACAGCTCCCGGGCAACGAAGTTATGATTTAACGACGAATAAAAGTGATACCCGGCGTGTTTGGCTTTGGTTGGGTTGATAGCATTTAGGCGGGTGGTAAATAGAACTGGACGAGATACGCTCCGAATAATGTTATTAGGGAAATCGGACCTGGTATCCTTAGTTCTCATGAGATTCTACAACTAATAACGGCTGGATGATCATTCAGCTGCCCTGGTGAATTCGAACCTCTGTGCCTAGGTATGTCTGCTGTTTCGTGACTTGATGAAAAGGGAAACCGTCTGCATTTCCGATCGGATCCGATTAGTCATCATGGCAAGACTGCGGCTGAATTGACCCCGGCCAGCGATTGTCGTCATTACGAGTTGATGGTCTGCATTCCCACGAACATCATTTATTACACAATATCTCTTACTCTCTTGGTAGACATGGCTTCGGGTAGAAGCTGCTGAGGCCGACCTTCTCAGCAGACATCTCGACGGTTGATTGCTTGTCGCTCTTTGTTCTCACCTCGCCATCATGTCCGGTTCCAATGGCGCTCCGCGCTTGAGCAGGAGGATCAGCGAATGTTTACCAGAAAATGTACGTGTAATCACGTCTGAACACCAATTCCAATGCCTGCCTCTCGCTCGCCCTGCTTGTATGGGCTCTGGGTGGTTCGCAATGCCGGCTCATTCCACCCACAACGCTGTTTATGCTCAATGCTAACGTGGCCCCCAGTTCCAAAGTGATTCGAGCAGCGAGGACGAGTTCGGACGCAAACTCGAAGTGAGTCCACCCAGACCATGAAGACATGGTAGAGCGAAATGAGACTAATCTTCCACGGACAGGTTATGTTTGATTCTGACCCTCTCCATCGCCGCAAGTCCTCTGTCGTCCTTTCCGAGCAGCCCGACGTGGACATACCATTAAGGCGCCGGTCGCAGCGAATGAAATCGCAATGCCTGGTCCACAATATGGTAGAGAAGACATCTCTCGGCCAACAGCCCAAGGTTGAGTCGAAGCTGGAACAGATTGACGAGGTTGATCACGGGATGCCATCCGGTGCTAGAAATGGAGATAAGCATTCCGCAGATGAGCTGCGGGCAACAGAGTCACGACTCCTCACAAAGAAACAACTAAGCGAAATGGCGCTTAGTGTAAGATCTCTGGCAAAGAGATTGTCGAATCTCAAGGTCAAGCTCAAGATCCGCTCGATTTTCCTGCTCACCAAAGTGTACGACAAGACTCTGATCGTCAAGACGAGAGATGTGGCTCGGTGGCTGCTGTCTAAGGATCGGTCGGTGCCGTACATCGTCTACGTGGAAAATACGATGGAAGACAGCAAGGACTTTGACGCCCAGGGCTTGATCGCCGAGGAGCCCTCGTACAAAGACCGACTGAAGTACTGGACCGTCGACCTGGCGCGAAAGCACCCGCAGACATTCGACTTTGTGATCACGCTGGGCGGCGATGGCACAGTGCTGTATGCGAGCTGGCTGTTTCAGCGGGTGGTACCGCCGGTGCTGTCCTTTTCACTGGGTTCGCTGGGATTTCTGACCAAATTCGACTTTGGGGATTACCAGAAGACACTTTCCCAGGCGCTCAAGGACGGTGTCACAATTAGTCTACGGTTGCGATTCGAGGGCACCGTCATGCGATGCTATAGAAGAGACGATGACGCCGAGGTCCGAGATATCGTGGAGGAGCTGATTGGCGAAGAAGTGGACGACCGAAACACCCATAAGCCTGATGGGACATTCGAGATCCTGAATGATATTGTCGTCGATCGAGGGCCGAACCCGACCATGTCGACGATCGAACTCTTCGGCGACGAGGAACATCTGACCACTGTCCAGGCCGACGGCATCTGCGTGGCCACTCCCACTGGCTCCACTGCCTATAACCTTGCTGCTGGCGGCTCCTTGTGTCATCCTGAAAACCCGGTTATCCTTATCACGGCGATCTGCGCGCACACTCTTTCATTCAGACCGATTATCCTTCCAGACACAATTGTGCTGAGGCTGGGAGTGCCCTATGACGCTAGAACCAACTGTTGGGCTAGTTTTGACGGGCGCGAGAGGTAAGTTTGAGCCATCTGATTCGTCGAGGCATTTTCTAACATTCCTAGGATCGAATTATATCCAGGCGATTATGTGACAATCTCGGCCTCAAGATATCCCTTCGCAAATGTGTTGCCACCCGGTCGAAGAAGCGAAGACTGGGTCAACAGTATCTCGAGAACGCTCCAGTGGAACTCCAGACAACGACAAAAGGCGTTCCAAACATGGGATACCGATGCGGAGGATTCGAAGACTCAATCGAAAGACGTGCAGAAAAATTAGGAAGGCGAAAACGAGCAAGCTCACAATTGAGACCAAACACGGCCGGGAGTTTCTCGTGCTACGAGAATTGAGCAATTCATGACCTAGAGGGATAGAAGCATACCTCACGAACCATGCGAACCTTGTAAATACTCGGCAAAGAGGCTGGAGTATACTAGCGTTATTCGTTCTGTTAACTTTAAGGATAAACTCCAGTTGTTCATGGCATCCTAGTATTATTCTGTTGAGTTTCAATAAGATGCACAAGGCTGAGGTCCCCCTACAAAAAGGGGTTCGGAGAACCTTCCCCAAGCCCCCTCTACTTGACTGCGTAATTATTTCTGGCTGCGACGTCGTTGCGGACAATGCCACCACAAGATACAAACCTACTGTGAACATGAAAGCAGAACACAACAGTATCTACGTGTAGTCCCTTTCCACGGGGACCTTCGACCTTGTCGAGCGATGGCCGGCGCGCCTCCAGGGCACACGATACCCTCGTACGCAGCCTCTCACGCGGGCTCACCGTCTCGACACATGTCCCAATACCCCTCCACCACCGTCACCACCACCACTACATCCAGCAGTGCTCTCGTGAGCGGCACGCCCGCGCCCACATCCACGCTCTCCAGTACGCTCCGGTACCCGTCGACGCGCAAGACGATCTACGACCGCAACCTGAACCGGTCGCGCAACGCGGAACTGTCCCGGTCCAGCTTCGCGTACCTGTTCATGGAGATGGTGTCGTACGCGCACCGGCGGGTCAAAGGGATCCAGGATTTCGAAAAGAGACTGAACGAACAAGGGTACCCGCTCGGGCTGAAACTGTTGGATCTGCTTCTATACCGCGCCGGGCCCGGCGCCAGTTCGACGTCTCTGACCTCGTCTTCCTCGACCAGTTCCTCCGGCGGCGGCGCGGCCCACCGTCCGCTGCGCCTGCTTCCGCTGCTCACGCTGCTCACGACCAAACTGTATCCTCTGCTCTTCTCGCGGCCGGCCGATTCACTGGAGCAGTCGACGACCAACCCGGCCGAATACATGATCATCGACAACACGCCGTTGACGAACCAGTATATCTCCGTGCCCAAGGAGATGAACCAGTTGAGCGTCGCGGCCTACATTGCCGGGATCATCGAGGGGGTCTGTGACGGCGCCGGCTTCGAGTGTAAGGCCTCGGCGCATAATACGGGGACGGATGTCTGGCCGAACAGGACCGTGTTTCTGATCAGGTTCGAGGACCATGTTTTGGAGCGGGAGAAGGAATTGGAGAGGCAGGGGGTCAAGTGATTGGTGGACCGGACACGAATGGATGGTCTCGAGAAGAAAGACTACTGACCCAGATATAATATGACATGAGAAGAGGGGTGCTGATGGAACAGGGAGAGGGTCCAAGAGCACATGGGTGGTACAAAATTGTCCACAGAGCTGAGGGTGCTCTGGATTGCAGTGTGCTATAGCCGGATGATGCCGTTCATGGGTGCTGCGGCACAGTTTCTTCAGCTAGAGCTGGCGTGCATGATACATTGTGCTGCCCTGACTTTGTCATGCCGAGCAGGGACACCCTCTCCGAACTATACCAACACCAGCAAGCACACGCAATGTGCGATACTCTTCTTGCAGGGGAGTCGTGCTCCCACCGCCACCGGTTTCACGCCTCACCCATCGCAACCATGCTGGTCTCACCACGCTCACGTTTCACTTGATCCCATGGCTCCGACGGAGGCGTTTTGGCTCGGATGGGGTCGTGGACAATGACGCCTATTTGATGTCAAGTCAGCCAGACTCGAGTCTGTCTCACGAGATCCTTCATCTGGATAAAAGGGCGAAATTCTTACCAGGAAATGCACTGGCCGGCGCCTCTGGAGGACCTGGATCCGGGATCGGTTGCGCATTCGGACGTGTACCGTGTCGCTCTATACAGGGGACTTGTACAGGGTCGACGAGAAGTACTGCATTGAAACGCATCAGCTGCATTCTTATTCTTCCCTGCATGACACAGAATACCGTGCAACGCTGACGGATACTTACCTGAGACCTCCATCTTGATAACTGAGGTATGAAAGGGTCGATATGATATATCTTGAGGATCGGTTCTCCTAAGGGAGGGGTTGGTTCGATGTTTGTGGGCGAAAGGAAAAAAGAGGCTTCATGATGTCAAGATCGACGCTTCTATAGCCTTTCCTCCAAGGCGAACGGAACCTCAGTGCTGCGCGTTTAGTGTCCAAACGACGGCTTCATCGCGGACTGCCAAACCAACCCTAAAAGTGATTGGGCCAGTGTCTCAGCATGCCCAACAGGCCTAGCCAGTATGAATGCTTTGTCCGGACGAGATATCATTCAACTCAATGATAAGAGCCTGTCTGGATGACCAGATCTCGTTTGCGGAGGAGGACAGGTGTGTCAATTGTGGTTCTGAGGAGGCAATCGCAGCGTTATTCTATGACTCCTTCGTCTTGGTGGTGGGGTCCAGAGCGAGCCGTTCTGCAAGAAGCACAAACACTCGCGAGAGAGCCTGTTTGACAGCCAGCCAGACGTTGGATATCACCATCAATAACACCATATCAAACGCACGGTCCGGTTCTCGCAGACGTGGATTGTGATTCCTTGAGGATCGGAAAGACAGGTCCCGTAATGTGGTCGAGGGCCTTTTGCAAAGTCGAGTCCAGTGAGACTGAGTCTACAGTAGGGACGGCGAAAAGAACGAGGTCATGGTCAAGTCGGTCAAAGTCGTAGGAGGGTCAATTAATCGAGAGCAAGGATCCTAGCATAAGGGTGCTAGCGTGGATTCGACATCTTTGTCTGAGTCGAAGCATAGGATCCATGAGTGGTGGATGTGATGCTCTGTCCTTGGATTACGCTGCTAGGCATTGGACACGACAGGCAGGGGGCTATCCAGCAGAGCCCAGAAAAGACTCTTATCTTAGATACCGGTAAGCAATCGTCGAGCAATCGTCGAGAGAGCCCTGTACCCTATTCAGTAGTAGTACCGTACCAGGCAGGAACCAAGAATGCAGAAACTTTTGTGGTCATGATCATGATTAGGTAGGTAAGTAGGTAGTATACTGCCTATTTTCATCAGAGATTCCCGATCTCTCTCTCTCTCATGCGCGTTCTCGCTCTTTTTCTCTTGGACGCTCACCGGCCCAATACCTGTCATCCGCATCTCTTCTTCGCCGTCGTGGCGAGCGAGACCTTGATCTTGAAATGGATCTCGAGGCAGAATACGACCTCTTCCGCGAGTAGCTGGTCCTATCCCGGTCGTAGCTTCGATCGCGCTCGCGATAGCTGTCCCTGTCCTTGTTCCTCTCCCTGTCTCTGTTCCTCTCTGTGTGCCGGGCACGATGATCATCGTCCTCATCATCATCACGATACCTGTGCTTCTCACGATCTCTTTCTTGCCTGGGAGCTACTGCAGTGGCATTCGCGCCAGAGGGACCCTGCCTCCCCCCACCACGCTGGTCCTCAGGCAAAAACCTCTCATCAACACCTGCAAGACCTCCACTGCCAAACCCTGCGTCACCTGCACTACCACTGCCCTTCCAGCGTTTGACTTCGTCGCCAAACTGGCCCGTATCCTGACCCTTGAGATTGGTGTAGCGCGTGCGGCCTTTCTTGCCCAGCTTGGTCATGTCTCTGAGACGCATGTATTCCGGCAGAACGGATTTATCCGTGACCTGGTCCTCGAACTGAGCCCCCATGACATTTCGGCGCTTGAGGATCTCGGCGGCCTCGTCGCCCTGGAAGAAGGCGCCCTTGTGGTGATACCGAGCGAGGAACTGGGCCTTGGGCCGGTCGGTCTCTCGCTCCTCGCGCTGCTTCTCCAGAAACTCCCTGTCTTCCCGTTCGCGTTCCTCGGCGGTCAAGTGGCGCCGGCGTTCGATCTCTTCGAGTTCCTTCTCGCGCGCGATCAGGGCTTCACGGTCGCGCTTCAGCCGTTTCAGCTCGCGCACTTTCCACGCCGCGTATTCCGCCTCCGGGTCGACCCCGTCCGTGTCATCGACCATCGCCTCCGGGAGTATCTCGTCGTCGTCGTCCCACGCTTTCCTCCCCTGTGCGCGGGCCAGTGCGTCGCGCTCCAGTTTGTCTTTGATTAGTTGCTCGGCTTGTGCGCGACGCCGTGATTGTTCGTCCAGTTGGGCGTCCGCGTCAGCTGCATTGCCAGGGCCGGTGCCTGCTGCTTGCGGGAATCCGTCTCCAGGTGTTTGCTTCCGTTCGGTCTTCTTGATGAATGTAGGTCGTTGGAATTTCTGTCGCGGCTCTTCCTCCTCGGAGGAGCTTTCCTCTTCTTCTTCAGATTCTTCAGACTCCTCTTCCGATTCGTCTCCTTCAGACTCTGGCCGTGGTTCTTCCCGCTTCACAGGTACATTCCTGGACTGCGCTGACGTAGGCTTTGCCGAGGTCTGCGGTGGTACCGTGGCACTTGTGCCTTCATCTTCGTCTTCCGGTTCCGTAACGAAGCCTTCCTCGTCCTCGTCTTCATCTTCGCTTTCTTCCTGTACCGCGGTCTGCGGCCGTCTGGGTTGAGGCATTGTTTGGGGCTTCCGCTGTGGCTGAGGGCGGCGTTGTTGTTGTTGTTGTTGTTGTTGTTGTTGTTGTTGTTGCTGCTGCTGCTGCTGTTCCTCCTCGGATTCTTCTTCTTCGTCAGACGACTCTTGGCCCGCAACTGGTTTGCCGGGACGATACCTTGCAACGGGCCGCGCTGGGTTGGCGGTCATCCGCTTGGTGGGATTGGGCATGGGGGGCGGCATTTTGGAGGGTATTCTTCGCGAGATGACAGAGCGGGCTACACCGCGAATTTAGTTGTCAAGCATGTGGTATGTTCCTTCCAGAAGCCTTCCAGAAGGTGCGCAGACAGCGAAAACCACGAATGCGTTGCGGCGGTCGAAGTCGTGGACTGGTAATGTTTTGGAGAGAGCGTACTTGGGTATAAAGTTCCCCGGTTCAAGTTCAACTTGAAGTTGACGTCGATTCGTCGACGGAAAATGAGCCTTGGCAGGTGAATATACTTTATTGGTGGTACTACTAGTAGTACGGTTAACTTGGTTCTATATATAACATACTAGTATATAAGGGTTTCGATGTCCGCACCCTCTCTTCTTCTTTCCTATCTATCAACGCAGTATAGTAGGGGTGACCAACAGATTAGCCGCTACATGCAAGAGGGTCAGAGAGCTCATGCTAGCGATGTTATTAGGCATTCTCGAAGCCGTTAAGACCTCCCTGCTTTGTTCAGGAAGCTTACCAGCTCATCAAGCGAATTCCTTTCTGAAGCACATCCTTCTTTGAGGCCATCTTTGCAGGACCATTACAGTGTCTATGACTACTTGCTAAAGTTGAACCCGTCAGATACCAGCCAACATGCTCTGGGATTCCCATCATGGGAGGCCGCTATCATGGGGAGGAGCGAACCGTGCAATATCGCTCTTTCTGTCGTATCTTCACTTGTCAAACCAGTGAAAAGTATGAGTGCAGGGTTTGAGTCTTACATCGGTTTGTTCCAACACCTCCTCGCTGTGTGCCATCACGGTTCGTTCTCCCTCTCGCTCCTCCGACACAACTACAACGTGGGTCTCCGAACCCCTTTCTATGATTGTTGTTACCTCCACTAGTACAGGTCTACTCTCGCCATCCAACATGGCGTCTTTCTACTCTCGACTACTAGGAACCTGGGAACTTCTGTCCTTCACCGCCGCCAACATTGACAATCGAGAGGACGTGACCTATCCAATGGGGTCAGCGTGCAAAGGGCAGATCATGTATAGCGAGGATGGCTACATGGCAGCTGTGCTACAATGGGGTTATGTTGAGCCTTACAAGACCGATTGGATTCGAGCCACAACAGAAGAGTTTGCCGACGCAGGAAGGAGGACTATGGCGTATTCAGGTCCCTTCTATCTCGACGAGCAGTCGAGAGACAGTCAGGAAATCCTGCATCACGCCAAAATCAGCATTCCTCCCAACTGGGTCGATACTGTTCAGCTTCGGCAGGCAGAAATGACAGAGGAGCACGGCGAGACTATTCTGACTCTAGGTCCCAAGTTTCCCATGGAGCACGATGGCATGAAACGAATCCTGCGACTGCGATGGCGCAAATGCCCGCGGAACGACACACGCAAGGCACCAGCTGAGGCAGGAATGTGAGACTGCAGACCAGCGATTGAACACTGTACATTCGGCACAGTCGATTCAGTCGTGGCTATTGGTAAACGCTATCTTAACATGGGGATTGCAACATTACCTACATAAGGGACAAGACGTTGGCAATTGCTGGGCGCAGGACCTGCTGGTCAGAACGAGCTCCCCGGAATATTTGGCATATTGGGGGCACAGAAGTGAAATACTACTAGTACCTGAGAAAGCAAGGCGCAAGCCAGAGTGTATATACGTACATTAGTACTAGTACTAATGACAGCCCTGGGACAAAGTTCCCGGTCGGTACCTTATCTTAGTTCTCATGCGGCTCGCTTCGTGGTGACGGCATCAATAACGGTATGTACTACTATGGCGTATGTGGCTCCATCATGGCCCGCCGGCAACGAGGAGTTCCGCGCAGTCCATTCTGCACTTTCCAATCCTCACCTGCAATCCTCCCAAAATGTGAACCAACACAACCAGGGTCTTTAGCGGACCATCTACTTCATTGATTCCCTCTGGCCTTGACCACTGGCACTGGCACTGGCAGGTCTACCCCACAGTCAGCATGGCCGTCAACCCAAGCCGTGATTCCGCTGTCGCAGACAGAACGACAGATTCTGAAAAGGCGACCACCGCACTCGCTTCGAGCCTGGACCAGGTCAAGATCAATGGCGAATCTGCGCAGTCCGAGCCCGTGAGCATATCTACCAATCCCACTTCTGGCGTCACCCCGGCCGTCTCGAAAGAGGTCGTTACAGAACCTCAGCCTACTCCCACCCACAAAAACCCGTTGAACCTGCCACGCTCCGCTGCCGACGGTGTCATCAGGACACCCCTGGCCGAACCTCTAGAGACTGCGAAGCCAGTTCCAAGACCACCGTTGACCCCGGAACAAAGGACAAAATATGCCACATTGCTTAAGAATGTGGCAGCATGGACTGAATTACCGGAATCATCTGCTAAAGGATCGAAGAAACTGTCCCTGACAGACTCGGAGCGCTTATTCCTTACTCGGGACTGCCTACTGCGGTACTTGAGAGCTACAACATGGAACGTGGCACATTCTGAAACGAGACTGAAGAACACACTGGTATGGCGTCGTGAATATGGGCTGGAGAAGCTCACACGGGACTATATCTCCATCGAAAATGCCACGGGCAAACAGTTGATCCTGGGCTGGGACTATCAAGGAAGGCCCTGCCAATACTTGAGACCATCCAAACAAAACACCGAACGAAGCGAACGTCAAGTCCAGCATCTGGTCTTCATGCTCGAACGTGCCATTGATCTGATGCCTGCCGGACAAGAGAGCTTGGCCCTGCTCATCAACTTCGCAGAGACAAAGGCCGGACAAGGCGCAACTCTGTCACAGGGGAAGCAAGTCCTAAACATTCTCCAGAATCATTACCCGGAACGTCTTGGTCGCGCTCTCGTGTCCAACGTGCCCTTCTATATCTCTGGCTTCTTCAAGCTGATTACCCCCTTTATTGATCCCGTGACACGAGAAAAGATCAAGTTCAACGAAGACATTGGCCTGTACGTGCCTAGGGAGCAGCTATTGAAGGAAAGTGGTGGTCTTGTGAACTTCGAGTATGTGCACGAAAAATACTGGCCCGCTCTCAATGACCTGTGTGAATTGAGGAGGTCTGAAGTCTGGGAACGCTGGGTCAAGGGCGGCAAGAGGGTTGGCGAGTACGAGGCTTACCTGAAGGGGGCAGAAAAGAGTCTGGCTGAGCGGGAGAAGGAGGACATTGCTGCGACCGCCGAGACTGGCAATTCAATCTCGAGTTGATGGGACGGGGTCCCGATGGCGTCGGATCATGCATTATGGATCAGGTAGTCATGTACTATTACCAGTTGGCATGGCAGGACAGGTATTGAAATGAATTGCATTATTGGGTACACCGTCTGTAGCCCTGCCCCCAGCCGGGCTTGCGTTCAGGTGGGAAAGAGCATGAACAGACCAATAGATGGGACAAACCACAATGATGGTGCATAATAGAAATGCGCAATGGATGTTAAATAGATGGTACATAGCATATACCTACCAACAAGGCTCCCTAGTACTCTGTAGACGCACTGCAGCGTGTAAAATCACATGTTATTTCCTCAGCCGGACTCGTTGTCATCCCGCCAAATTTGCGTCCCAGATTAGCATCAACGCAAACGCAGCCTACCATCCATCCCCCATCATTATTGTCATTATTGTCATCATTATTATCATCATCATTCTTCAACTTAGGTACAAGAGAATTACTCGTCATTCAGATTCACATTTCATGGTACATCCAACAAGACATCAAATCTCGAGATCCGTCGCTTGATCCAACAGAGGATTGACTGCCATTGCGCGCACTGGCTGCCGGTGTTGAACAACTGGCCTCCCCAGCCGACTCGGACCCAACAATCATCATCGATTGCACCCCGTTCGTCACCCGTCTTTCTCGTCTCCTCTCTCGCCCACAATCAGCCGCGTGCTGCCCGCATTCTCCACACTTTCGCACCGTCACGGATCCCTCTTCCATTTCAAACCATCTACCACAGTAATACTAAGTAACCCAAACCTGTCGCAGTCTGCGCGAAGAAGAGAACAGATCCAGCCTCGCAGAGATAGAAGATGCCTCTTGATCCGTCGCCATGGCAGAGAACGCTGAGGTGACCCAATCACCCTCCCCGTCAAACGATAATTCGGCTCCGGCGGACCATCCTTCTTCCACCACGGCGCATGCGCAGGCAGCCCACCACCACGGCCACGAGGGCACCTTTGTGCGACCGTCAGACTTGCTTCGCCCCAAGACAACATCTCGACCGAGTGCGCCTACGCAACCCGATCGACCCATAGACCGAGATCAAAGAGCTGGCCTGGTGAGGAACCATCTCTGCCGCCATCTTCGAGTTCGCTTGGAAACTGACTCCCTCCTAGAAGGCGATCCGAGACTTTCTGCGAATCCGCAACTGCTACGATGTATTACCCTTGAGCTTCAGACTCATTGAGCTGGACGTTGGGCTCACGGTCAAAGAGAGTTTGAATATTATGGTACAATGTGGTATGTCGGACACGCACACATACACGGGCAAATGACATGGTGCTAATGTTGCAGGGATCGTTTCTGCCCCGTTATGGGATTCCTCCACCTCCACCTACGCCGGCCTGCTCACGGTCAACGACTACTTGAACGTCGTGCGATATTACAACCTGCATGCCGACAAGCTCAAAGACGTGGACAAGTTACTTCTCAGCGACTTGAAAGGTGTGTATATGGCGAAATTGTCCGACATGGTAGCTCGAAACTGATCATGGACAAGATGTCGAGAAGTTCCTGGATGTCAAGCCTCCCGAGACAGTCTCGGCTTCTCCAGAAGCAATTCTATTCGACGCTCTACGCAAACAACTCATCTCTCGTGCTCGCCGAATACCGCTGGTCTCATATGACAGCGACACCCAGCGCACAATGGTAACCAGTGTCATCACGCAATACAGAATCCTCAAGTTCATCGCAATGAACGTGAAGGAGACCGACATGCTGAGGAAATCTCTCGCGATGATCAAACTCGGAACATACGGGAACATCGTCCGTTGTACACTGGACACAACAGTCTTGGATGTAATAGACGAAATGGTCATGAAGAATATATCGAGCGTTCCCGTTGTCACGACCGAAGGTGAGTTGGTTACCATGACTAGATGCAGACGGCGCACTAATCTACCTCAGGCATCCTCCTGAACGTTTTCGAAGCAGTCGATGTGATTGAGATTCTCAAGACCGGAGACTATGGCAACCTTACATGGACCATCGGTAGGGCGCTCTCGGCGCGTTCGCCCAATCACCCCGGAATATATTGCTGCTCGTTAGACGACGGTCTGGACACTATCTTCGAAACGATCAAACGATCCCGAGTCCATCGATTGATGATCGTGGATGACAACAATTACCTTAAGGGCGTTTTGTCACTCAGCGACATTCTGCATTACCTGCTGGTGGAAGGACAGGAGGAAACGGATCAGACTTGACGACAACAACTTTCAAACAAGTGGACAGCATAGCCTGGCGTTTGCAATGCATGGACTGGCGTTAGGTTCAACCACGGTCTCGAGCTGGATAATGATGTCCGGGAATAGAGAAACGGCCAAGGGCACAGGGAAGCAATCAGGTCGGCCTTAAATCATCAAAGAGAGAGATCGGGACCCAAAAATATATCATTCTGTTGGAGCTCCTGCCTTGTTGTAACTGTGAGCGTATACCGGAAGGACAGGGGCGGCATGGTGAAGCGAGACGCTGTGCGGATGCCCGCGCCCCAGCTGAAATCTTAACAATACCTAGATGTCATAGCATCTTTCACCGTCGGACTTTTATGGTCATGCCATTCACTGCGAATACTTTTTAAATGGAATAAGCCTGGCAGGGTATTCTGTATCACGTCATGCTTCCCTCGCAGATACCTACCTTCGTCCATCTGGATTCCAGAAAGTCGATGAATATGGCGCATCTCTAGAGCCTAAAAGTCAGCCTCGCGTAGTTGGACCTACGGGATCATAAGGTCAATCGCAGAGTGAGGGAGATGTGCCTGCTGGTATGTAACCCATGGTGCGTCTGGATCTACATCCTACGACGTACCTTAAGGTGTTACAGGTGAGGAGGCCTCGTCGGCCGCGACTGGATGCCAAGCCCACTTAACGCGATAACAGCGCGCTTTAGCGCTATCGCAACTCCAAGCATAAGTTGGACGCGTCGCGCGCAGTTTAACGTGTCGACACTTGCGGCCTCGACAACGAATGTTGCTATAACTAGTACCACAATCGAGCACCACCTCGATCCTCGGACCTGGCCACAAGATTCATACTACAGTAAACACAATGACCGACGCCAAAGAGAACCTCAATGCGGTCTTCGACCCCGCCGGTCGCGGGCTTTCGCCCGATATCCTCGGCGTCCTGGAGTCGACGCTGCGCTTGCACTCAATGACGGCCGACGAACTGTTCATCAAATGGGAAGTGTACTGTCTGAAGATGGGGGGCGAAGAGACAAAGCTCGATCTGGAAACGGCACGCATGTTCGCCAAAGACGTACAGGACGGGGTCGAGCGAGGAGATCGATCGCACAAGTCGACGGTCAAGCCAGAGAGGAAGACGACGGTGCACGCTACACCGAGGGCGACTGGCAACGGGGACGTTTTCGGGATGTAAGTGATGCTACCTACACACGAACATGGTGTCGTGGAACAGAACAGGCCACAGCGTTCGACCCGAACAACACGAAAGACTGACGAGAGAACATACAACCAGGCTCGATGAACTCACGCCCAATGCACTCCCGCGGCGGAATGGCAGCGTCAAGAGGAAAGCAGACTTCGACTCCCCAGTGCCGCGGAAAGTCAGTCGACCGGAGTCTACGAGCAAGGCACAGGCCAAAGGAGCGAAAGTGGCTGGACTGGCGTACGTATTCATGCGCCGTGGCTCCTGCAGGAGCATGACATGTGGTGGTTGCTAACTTGAGACACCAGAGGCATTCCGTTCTCCGAACGACAGAACGCAGGCCATACTGTCGAGATCTTGAACGAGCACCTCTCGTCGGCCGAACCGCCCATTGCCCCGTTCTCAGAAGCGCGCCTTCACATGGTGCTTCGCTCGGATTATAAAAAGTTCGCCTATAAGCCCATGGCGATGCATTTGTCGGAGGCGTCGGAGGTCTTTGACGACCGCATTGACGACTTCATGGCCGTGGTCCAGCAGGCTCATAAACTGGAAGATTCGTCATTCGGCAATGCAGCCGCCCAGAGTACAAGCGAAATCATTGCCGTGGGCAGGATTGCCTCGGACACCGCAGAGGGGAAACTCAACTCGGCATCGTTGGTGCTGGAGATGTCGAGGCGCATGGGTGCCGGGTTACGTGTTCCCTTGAAGGTCGACGGCTTGTCTTCCTACCAGTTCTTCCCCGGACAGATCGTCGCCGTACGAGGAACAAATGCTTCGGGGCTTTATTTCACTGTTACGGAGGTCTTGTCCACCCCCAAGCTTCCCATGCCCTCTTCTGTCCCGACACAAATCGACGCAATCAACCAGAAACTTGGTGTCTCTGAGGATTCGTCTGCCTCGTCACCTCTCAACATCATGATCGCCTCAGGCCCATACACCGCCGACGACAACCTGGACTTTGAACCCTTCCAAGCACTCTGCGAAAAGGCCGCGGACAACATGGTCGACGCCCTCATTCTCAACGGTCCGTTCCTCGACATTGAACATCCCATGCTTGCGTCGGGAGACTTCGACTTGCCCGAAGTTCGGGGTCTAGACAAGGAAGCAAGTATGGCCGCTTTGTTCCGTCTCTGGATCTCCGGCCCTCTTCAACGTCTCTGCTCAGCCGTGCCGAGTATCACGGTCCTCATCGTCCCCAGTGTGCGGGACGCAATCAGCAAGCACGTCAGCTGGCCGCAGGAGCGGCCTCCGCGGAAAGATCTCGCATTGCCCAAGCAAGTTACCATGCTCCCAAATCCATGCTATGTGTCTTTGAATGAAGTCGTGGTTGGCATCTCCTCTCAAGACATCTTATACGAGCTTAGCCGAGAGCAATTGGCCCACGGCGCCGGGTCTGATCTCCTGACCAGACTGCCCGGCTATCTGATCGATCAGAGGCATTTCTTTCCACTGTTTCCGCCAATGTCCAGAGACAAGCTGCCAAGTAACGGTGTGGTCAAAGCCACGGGATCATGCTTGGACGTCGGATATTTGAAGCTGGGTGAATGGATGCAGGTCAAGCCTGACGTGCTCGTCCTACCCAGCATATTGACCCCGTCTGTCAAGGTATGGCTCTTTTTCCTTGCGCTATCGTTGTAATGCCTTCCAACGCTGACGTGAATGACAGGTCGTCGACAGTGTGATGGTGATCAATCCGGGTCAATTGTCCAAGCGCAAGGCCGCAGGAACATACTCTCAGATCTCGCTGCATCCCAGGATATTAGCCGAGGACGAAAAGTCGCAGAGGAGCGTCCCCCACAAGGTATTTGAGCGTGCAAGGGTCGAAGTCGTAAGGATATAGATATCTCATAACAAAGCCCTTCTTTCAGGGCTGGGTGTTTTTGCCGTGCTATCCCCTGCGCCTTGTTGGATCGCATTGAAAGGAGACAGTCATCTCATCATACATGCCTAGGCCATAAGTCGTGAAACGTTTCGTTTTAGGCCGGCCAGAACCTCATCGTAAGAGTAGCACCCCCGTCTTTTTCCCCTCTCTTCTAGGTCCTGGCCGCTCGCCGATTCCACTGGATCTCACGCCCGCCACGATCCCCGACAGACCAAAATCTCTCCAGACCGGCTCCCTCTGTACACCGGCATTGCTCGCCTCGCCGCCGGGCTCCGCGGCTCCCGTCGCACCTCCACTCCCACCGACTCCCCTCGCTGCGCCCGCTCCGCCGGCCTGGTTCTGGCCCAGCGCGCGATTGATCCCGAACGCGGCATGCATGTCCGGCACGACGTCGTCCTCGTCCTCCGGGTTGAGCGGCATCAGGTGCGGCGGCAGCGCGATCTCCTCGAAAGGCATGAAATGCCCGGGCAGCTGGGCCATGCCGGATCCATCGCCACCGGCCCCGTTCGGCTGATGGTGGTGGTGGTGCTGTTGTTGCTGGGCTTGTTGAGCATTGTTGGAGGCGCCCAGAGGTGAGAAGCTCGTCGCGGACGGCGGCCGACAGAATTCTTCGAAGAGGTCGGCGAGCCGGGAGGAGGCCATGTGCACGTAGGTTGCGGAGGAGTCGCGGGACTGCGTGATCCGTTAGTTAGTTTTTGAAGGGGGCCCACGACGGCACGTTGTTCGTTGTCCCTGGGATTCAGGTTGGAACAGACTCACCATGATGATCTGAGACAGGGTATCGCAGATACTACAGTGTCAACCTAATGGAAGATATGGCTGACCTGGGGCCACAGAGTGATGTATTAAGGTTGGCTGCGTGATTCGGTGACTGGTACTACTAGTAAACAGATATTACCCAATAGGTGCCAGTACTAGGAACGGAGTAAACAATAACGCAGCGGGAGTGCGGAGAGGATAACTTGAAGGATGCCGCCACGCTGCTAGCGCCATGCAGCCTAACGGTTATGCGCGACATCGATTGAGTGCGCGACCCTAGTACTTTGCTTGGAGGTGTCTACGGTGGAGGATGAAATCTTTGGGCAAATCTTTCCCCCTGAAGAACAACACGACTTGCGTCCTCCTACTACCTAGATCCTGACGATAGGACCGGACTCCTACCATCACTCCTTTCGGCTGCTGAACAGTGCAGAATCAACCTGTGGCGCCCGGTTGTGCTATCCGGTCGAAATGCAGCACTGCACAGAAGCATTACCTAGAAGTGACGTATATCATATCCGTCCGGTGGAACTCCACTGCCTTTGCCATCTCCGTTCGATCGACGTTGTAACGGCTTTTATCCCGAGTTTCCTCCCTGGCCTTACATCACAAAAAGCACAGAAAAGGAGGCGCAAAAGGTAGGTACCTAAGGTAAGGTCCACTCATACAGTTGAGTAAGCCGATCATCATAGCGATGGGTCTATAAGACATGGTCACCTGGACCTACCACTGTGAATGCTGGACGATGTGGCGGCAATTTTATCATTGTGTCGTCTAAAGGCGGTCTGCTGACGTCAACATCAATATCATCTTGGTTGTATGGTTTATATTGTCTGTCTCTGTCCAGAGATATTTCAAGCGGTTTATAAGAAGAGACTCGTGTTCCGTTTCCTACTTACCCTCAAACTGTCAAGATCCTCTTGAATTGAAAACGTTGTGGACAATTCTCACCGGACGTCGAAACATATTATTACGAGTAACACAATGGCGCAAAAGATCCTTCAGGCAGGATTGTCCTCTGGGATGTCAGCGGTCTCGGGGTTTCATTCCTCGAAACCAGAGTCCCTTCCAGAGGACTACGATGGACTACAGCACGTTATTGCCGACTCTGTTGTACCCCAACTGGACACTAGATATACGCTCCGCGGCAAAGACGGGAAGGATGTCCAGGTGCCAGTAATATGTTGGGGAGCATGGCCTTGGGGTGACTCCAGCACTTTCCACTGGTCAGACGACGAGCTGCCCGCTCTCCGAGCGGCATGGAAAAAGTGTCTGGAGAAAGGAATGACGTTTGTGGACACGGCGCAAGTGTACGGGAGCGGGCGAAGTGAGGAGATCCTCGGGGATTTGATCAACAACCACAGCCCCGGTGTCGACCGCTCGTCCATCATCGTGCAGACCAAGTGGCTGCCAAACATCACCGACTCGGGGACCAATATCATCCACCCCGTCGAGGCACCTGTCAAGGAACTTCGCAATACCTTGAAACGCATGAACCTGACGTATATCGACTGCTATCTTGTGCATGGTCCTATCCATATCAGCTCTATCAAGCAGGCTGCCAAGGGTCTCGCACAATGCGTCGAGGAAGGATTGACCAAGACTGTGGGCGTCGCCAACTACTCGGTCGAAGACATGTTGAAAATGAAGGATGCTTTGGCCGAGTATGGTATCCCCCTTGCCACCAACCAGTGCGAGTACTCGATTCTGCGGCGACTCCCCGAGACCGAGGGCATGCTTGAGGCTTGCAAGAAGAATGGCATCGTCTTCCAGTCATACTCGTCCATCGGCCAGGGCCGTCTGTCAGGGAAATACTCCAAAGAGAACCCGCCGCCGAAAGAATACCGGTTTAGCAGTTATGACATGGAACATGTCGAGCCTCTGCTCGAAGTCCAACGTCGTCTGGCCAAGAAGTACAATGTCAGCGTGGCCGCCGTGGCGCTGAACTGGAACATTTGCAAGGGAGCGATCCCTGTGGTCGGTATCCGGAAGGAAAGTCAGGTTGTCGACAACATGCAGGCTTTGGGATGGCGGTTGACTAGGGAAGAAATTGAGGAGCTGGACAAGCACGGTTTTAAGGGCAACACAACTATGCTGTGGCAGCAAGGATAGATGGTCTATCTCACATAACATTTAATGACAACAATTCAATAAACCAACCAATATCTCGTGTCAGGACTTTTTCTTCTTTATGTGCTCGCTTTGTTACCGTCTACCTCGGAGGTTCGTCGATCTCTCTGACCATGAACATTGTAGTTTAACGCCAGAGAAACTAACTACTAGTATGGCTGTTAGTTGGAGCAAAGTTGGCTCAGAGTGCTCGTCGTCATGGCAGATTACGACCGAATATAGTTCAGCACCCCTGATCTGATTAGATAATACAATTTGCCTGATTATGCGTCCTCCCCTGGCCCTCCGCCTTACTAGTTAACCACAGCCTTGCCAACCCACCGCTTCCTCTCCTCGCCTCTCACCACTTAGCGAAAACAAGTTTATGCATGCTACGTTCTCGGCACGGCTGATATCCAGGTGAATCTGAGTGATCGTCATGGCTAGCTCTTTCCTACGTTTGGACCGCACGTTCATTGATACCGCCGAGCGCGCAACCACGCTTTGCGGCTGTCTCGTCCTTGCACATTTAACTGAATCGATAATGTATACTAATAATGCTCCATAGGCATCTCTTCTATTTGAATACTGGGCCAAGATCTACATGTCCCGGAGCAGTCTGCAAAGGGTAGGCATTGGTTTCCTCGGACACTGATGGTTGATCTTCACTCTTGAGCCGTACGCAGCCGCCGGCTGCGTCGTGAGCTTGGAGCATTGAGAAGAGCTTGTCCTCCGACAGAAAAGCTTCTTCTCCAGTCTTGGCTGTGCTTAGTATGCACAAGCATGCTTGGCTACCGCACCGAGTCTATGCCAGGAAAAATCATGAGAGTATTTCTCGGACATTCGTGGCTGCGACAGCTACCACGACCTCCTGTACAAGCCTCTCCTGGTACTGGACTCTTCCTATGAGGTTGGGCCAAGGCTGTTGTGGTGCAGCATTATCGTTGCAAGCGCGGGCCAACCGCGCATTTGACATGCATTCTTTGTCATGGGCCTATACTCCGGCCGGTGGTCGGAATGTGCCATCCAAACAAAGACCAAGGTAAGGACTACGACCTTCATTGTGATGCTCTCGGTTTGCCGGAGATGGGCTCAACCACCACTTAACAAGTCCTTCATCTTGGCGAGCCTAGTGGGAGATGTCTCATCGCTGGTGCGTCTTCGAAGGTTTATCTCTGTACATGTTGGGGCGGTCGGTCTCTGTCTGATAACCTCGTCCCGGCCGTCCAGTTCCTGGTCAGAATGGACAGAACCATGCTGTTCTTCGCTTTGGCATCCATCCTGGGGTTAGGCCTATGTTACAACCCTGAGATAGAATGCGTCAATGGCATTCGCACAGATATCGCTGAGTTCACGTTCGCCGGGAGTCAAGCAGACGATTATTGGGGTAATCTCTGCTCAAACAATATCAGCGTCCATTCTATATGGGCTGCTACAAAGCTGTACTGCACGGGACGCGAGATTGAAGCCGGTTCGAAGATGTTGACCGACTATTGCATGGAGTATGGCGCAACGAAACTGGCGCCGTATGCCGAGATTTTTCCTGTTCTGACGGACGACTATATCGCCTCGCTTCCTGTGGTTGAATACTTTGACATCAATGGCACTAAGATATGGGATTATCCTGTTCTTCTATCAAGAGACTTCTATATCGCCGGCATGAGGACCACGGTAAGAACAGACATAACAGTAACCCTACGCGACTAACATACCTCAGAGCGTTTTCCAAAAGGAGTATATCCTTCACCAAAGATATGGGTAAGACTCAGACAAGGCCATGGTAAGTCTGCTCTCTAACCTCGCCGCAGGTGGGCTGTCTATGGATTCTGGGGTGTCATCCTGTTGATTGGCATTGTCAATCGTTTCATCACGCACACTCTCCATGCTCGCCGCACACCAGCGTATGGCGACGTCGAGGAGCCCGGCACCAGGCTTAAGGCGCGAGGGATGCCATCCATCTTCAGTGTCGCTCACCACTGGGTTCGGATGAACCTGATTATCCCTGCGGCATTCGGATCTCACCATCAACGACTCCTCCATTGGTGCACTATCCCCACGCGAACGGAGACGGTCATCGTTGTCTCATTCTGGATCCTGAATCTGGTACTTTGCTGTGTCTCCTATGAGATCTTCATTCCAAACCTATAGTATGTTTGAAATACTGTTGATACCCTTACAGCCGCAACTGACAATGTTGGCAGCTATACGGAAGCCATCGAGACATGGCGTTACGTCGCGGACCGGTCAGGTGTCATCTGCTATGCCAACCTGCCGGTTCTATGGATGTTTTCTGGACGAAACAACATCTTCCTGTGGCTGACTGGTTGGAGCTTCTCAACATTCAACAGCTTTCACAGGCATGTTGCTCGTATTGCCACCGTCCAGGCAATAGTCAATTGACTGGCATATACTGCGCTTAAGCTCAATTGTAAGTCGAGGCATATTTGAGATGCCCTACCCATCCTCAGATCGCTAATTATGACAGTTGGGCAACTTGCGGAAGCCTGGCGTGAGAAATACTGGTATATGGGAGGCATGGTGGGTGATAATGGTTCATGGATGGGAATAAATGACAAACTAACGTCTTCGGCAGGCGACGGTCACCATGAGTCTACTGCTACTTTTCTCTTCCATCCATCTCCGTCGACATAGCTATGAGATCTTCCTACTCTTACATACTGTCCTTTCAGTGGTCACGATCGTTGGTCTATTCCAGTAGGTTGAGCCATCCAGAGTTGACGTCTTTGTACTGACCGTTGCGAACAGCCACACTGCAATCTTTCAAGGAGAATATGACCCATATCTATGGCCAGTAGTTGCTATTTGGCTCTTCGACAGAGTCGCCCGCATTGTCCGTTTGGCGTACTGCAATCTTCACGTTAGGTTTTCAAAAGAAGCTGTGGCGCCAACGACGACTACAGCGAGCTATGATAAGGCAGCTGATTTGATCAGACTGGAAGTCATTCCAGGATCGAGATTGCTCAAACCTGGCCCGGGTCAGCATTACTTCATTCACCAATTGCAAAGTGGAGAGGCTGGGAGAATCATCCTTTCACGCTGGCAGCATCCAGTGTGCTTGACGGCGGCAATGAGACCGTCGTGGAGGCAGATTTATCTCAAAGTCCTGACGAGAAGGCTGCCGAAACAAAAATCCATGTTGTTGCCAAAGATTCGCCTTCTAAAGGCTCGTCACCCGCTACCTCGGTCTCGTCGGGAAGAGGTCGGCCTAGGTCGAGTGCCAGCGGTGGTCGATACAAGTTGACATTCTTTGTCCGGCCGTTCAGCAGCTGGACCATGCGACTACGAGACGAATGCCTCAAATCTCCATCCGGGACAACCAATCCTCGAGTGTTCATTGAGGGTCCCTACGGTGAAAGGGGACCTCTGCATATATACGAGAATGTGATTTTCATTGTGGGAGGCACGGGCATTTCAGGGGCACTTCCGTACCTGCAGGATCATATCATCCGAGCGGCTTCTCCGCCGTCAGCAACGTCACAATCGGAAGGCACTCGGACACGAGATATCACTCTTGTATGGACGACGAAGCAATCAGCCATGATCCGTGACATAGCGTCCCCGAGGTGCAGCCTGTCCTAGGACGAGAAGACATTCACTGCAGGTTTTACGCGACTTCCAGCAAGGACTCGTCTGAGACGCCCCAGACGGTTGAGATCGGGAAGCCCTCACACCTCACTGCCGAACTCGGTATCAAACAGGGCCGGCCAGTTATCAGCGAAATAGTACAAAGCGTTATAAACGAAGTCCACATAGCCGGCTCAGCAGGTGGTCGAATTGCAATTTTGACTTGTGGCCCGGCCGCCATGGCCGACGAAGCACGGCTTCTAGTGCACCAGGCTTTGAAAGACGGCAAGCGTGGAGTGGAATACTTCGAAGAGACCTTTGGGTGAGTCTTCCTTCCGTCACGATACAGATGGTGTCCAGCTTGCAAGAACTAATGCTCTTCAGATGGTGAACGCTATCAGTCCATCCAATTGTCCGGTGTCGCTCGTGACTTTTGCGGCAGGAATCCTCTCGCTCTATCGCAGCGACCCTAGCAATGCCGGCTTTCTCAACCTCACTATGAATGCAGAAGACATAGCACGAAGTCCGAGGGAACGAGCAGATCTCTTTGATCGTTGGATGTGCTATCGATCTGTCCAAGATCCCATTTTGGTCGACGACTAGAGGTAATGGACAAGACCTGTACATGGCAGTAGATGCAGAGTTCATCTCCCAAATGATGATACACATATCAAGATATGTAGATAGAACTCGAGCCTTTGAACGGGAAGCACAATCTCGAGACGTGCAAAGCAGTCAAGCATACGATCCACATCTGATAGAGTGCGCAACCACCCAATCATACTCCAAGTACAATTCGGTCACATGACAAGGCTCCAATTTGATCACGTGAGACTAATTCTTGGCACTCCAAGCCCACATTCTCGAAACGCCCGCGACTTTGGACTTCGCGAGCGCAGAATCGAACAACCTCGACACATTCTCTCGACGCCCTCGACAACCGACCTTTGCGCTCTCGAAGTAAGTCACAGTCTTACCTGCAATTCTTCAGCTGCCTGATGTGACCACTACCTCATCAAAAACCAAACCATGAATAACGAGCCTGAGCATAAATACTGACTTTCGACCTTTCCGCAGTCCGAGAAATTCTTTCTCCTTTCGCGCAACCTACAGATCCTCTGTAATCATGTCTCACGAGAGTGTTTGGTACTCGCGCCCGCGCAGCTTCGGCAAGGGAGCTCGTGGCTGGTACGTCCCACCCCTGTTTTCCTGAACTGCGAACCTTTTGAATGCACATCTGGATGTACACGGAATTCTTTGGTGGGAAAGGGAAAAAGAGAAAGAGGAGGACACGAACGAGACCGGACAAGACTGTTTTAAGGAAGGAGAAGAAGAGGAGGATGCCATCTACCCACGATATGAATTCCGTCTCAATCTTTTGAACACACTCACACTATGAACGAAAGACAAGAGAATGGAACCTCCAACTGACATTTCAATCTCTACAGCCGTGTCTGCACACACAAAGCCGGTCTGATCCGCAAATACGGCCTGAACATCTGCCGTCAATGCTTCCGCGAGAAGAGCCAGGATATTGGTTTCATCAAGGTATGGCAAATCCTCTCTTACGATACTTGACACACCATTCCGGGAATGGATTCATGTACAACAAAAAGAAGGCGGAAGGATTTAATGGAACCACTGGTCCAAGGCGGCGATGGCTGACATTTTTGATTTTTCAACAGCACCGATAAATCACCACACATGGCGATCGTAAAAGCGAGTCGAAGTGGAGTCGACAACAACCTTGATGCATTGAAATCCGCTATGTGTCGTGGTTGGAGAGAGGAGAGTTGACCATGACTCGGTTATGGTGGAGGGGTGTGCGCGGAGCAGAGCAGCAGACAAGCTTGAACGGTGGTGATGGAAAGGTTATTCGCGGGTTTGCGTCCCACTACTGCAATGCTACGGGAGGGAGTCTTGAGAAAGAAAGAGCGGCTTTCAAGGACGATGACCATGGACGGTACTTTTCTCGGAGTTGAAAAGCGAACCTGCTAGACGATGGGGACTCGAATGACAGTTGTCCCTGGATGTCGAGAACGGAAAAAAGAAACCCATTTTTTCAACCTTCACACGGTGTGCGTTCCTGTTTATGATTCCTTTCTATGCCTGTGCTTCAAATCGAACCCTATGGACCGCTCGTACCGAATTTAGATCATTGCCCTCTGTACGGTCATCGCAGTATGCTATCATTATAGGCGGGATTCTTCTATGGGAAAGTCTACACCCGCGGCAATGCTGGTCAAGGATGGGATTCCCTATCCGATCGTTGTTGTATCAGGGGTATAGGCCACTCAAGTACCGACTCATAAAACCGAACCATCGTCTGCACTTCGCATAAAACCTGAGAACGTCGTGTTCATCCTTTTGCCATATCTGAGCGTTGTTCATGCAATAGCTTGGTCGTCTCCGTGCACGCCATTAACCACAGGAACCGCCTCAGGCGGTAGACTTCCAAGCTCACATATCACCAGATCGAGATAGTCGGCCGGTGTGACATCGTACATGATGTTCAAGAGGAACAGTCCTGGCTGATCCTGCCAGGCCTCCAACCCAGCATTTGAGAAGTCCCCTTTATCGTCTGGGTCATCATCATCTTTATCCTTGCCGCCGGGTTTCTTACTGCCTGCTTTCCCTGTTGTGTCTTTATCCTTGGAGCCGGACTTCTTACTGCTGCCTTTCGATGCCGCCGCCGCTGCACCAGGACCAGAAAGATTCGTCGAGGAGAAGACCTCGGGTTGGGCAGAGTCAACCAGAGCGTCGGCATCACCCAGCTCGTTCAAGATGATACTGTCCAGGACAGCCTTCGCGCTGAACTTGACTGTCTCGCACAGCACAATGACAGGGACATTTCGACTCTTGTTCTTCGAACACTCCTTAGCCATCATGGCGACCATGGCGGAACCGACGCGCGACAACAGCTTTCCATTGCCCAGCATTGCCGAAGCGCCGAGAAAGCATTTTGTGACAGCTTCCTGATCCACAATGTCTGCAATCGCGGTGAGCAGGGCGTATTGCACTCTCAAACCTGCTCGGATCAGGCTTCTCGCATGGTTTTTGCCCTCGAACATAGGCCGCGAATCGACCACGATGACTTTGAACTTCTTGCCCTGTCGATGGGCATTGATGAGCGTCTTCTCCACAATACTACTCTTCGCATACGTGAGGATGACGTCGCCGTCCTCGATGCGCTCAGTGGCTTCGCGCGCAATGACTTCGTCCGCCAGCGTGATTCGTTCGCGAATGTACAGGTCGATAGCCTCGCAAAGGCTTTGTTTGGCCTCGCTGTCCGCTGCTTCGACCGGCTGCGTCGAGATGAGGTTCTTCAACCATCGAATACTGTTGCCTTGACTCGTACTGAGAGGTCGAGCGTTGCGCAGATACGCGATTTGATGGTTCAGATGAGTGAGCAAGTGTCTGGATAGAGCGACACCGGAAGGAGTCGTATATGTCTGTATGACCTTCTTGAAAGCAAGCAATGTGGCCACACAACGAGCGTTTCCACCACATATCACGTAGTCTCGTAGCTGTAGACCAAGCGCCAGGACGGCCGGATGGATTTCCCTTCCAGCTCCTGCAAGAGTTGCCCTTTTCTCTTTCGGGTAGAGATGCGAGAACATTCCAACCTTCTTGGGTTCATGGTGCTTCTCTTTCTCGGGAGGGGCAGAGTTGAGAGTCTGCTGCTGCTGCTGTTGTTGGGAGCCTACACGTATGGGTAAAGTTCTTGAGCCAGAAGGAGTCCTTCTAAGCTGAGGAACCGAGTCGCTTTCTCTCTTGGTCGTGGACGGCCGTCTCGGTATTTCCACTTTCGTTCCTGACGGCCCTGGCCCGCCTTGGGTCTGGGCTGGGACCTGGGCTTGCGCTCCCTTTTCAGCCACCTTCTCTGCCCTCCTTGCTGCCTTTTCTGCTGCTTTCTGTTTCTTCAACTGTGCACCAGTCAATTTGGCCCCGGCACCAGCCTCCGCCACGTTTGGGTCTGTTGCTTTCCCAGCTGACTCGGCTGTCCGTGGCTGCGAATTGACTGTAACCTTCGACTGACCCTCTCCATTCGGTGCAGGCTGAGCGTGTCCATTCGTAAGATTGCTGTCGCTGGCGGATGGCATGGTAAAAGACGCGGCTGTTGGGTTGAGGGACGCACCCCCGGCGGAGGGGTCTGAGGAGTTTGAATCGGCCATGACTCGCAGACTGCCACGCTGGGAATCGATGAGAAGGTCAGGCACTATGTTACTGAGAGACGAGCATCAGGCACTCGGAATTGGAATGCAAAAGTATTGTGAAACGTGACAGAGTCATCTCTATTTCTGACTAACTTTGCGAACATCGAGTTGTAATGCAACCAACTGGGAAACATTTTTGGGTTTCAGGCACATCAAGCTGCGCCAAGCATATTACATAAGCCATTTCAGGAGGCACGAGGCTGTCATATGTACCTACATGTATGTATGTGCTTTACCCTCCTGCATGCTACTTCCTGCCTACCGCTTACCCACGATAACAGATTTCTGAATGGGTGGAGACGAAGCACGACTCAAGAGTAGGGAACAGAATACGGGCTCGAAGTATCTCATACACAATTTCTGTCGTCCTCTTCTGCCGGTCAAAGCTGGAAAGAGGACACCCGAACGCCTCGCTACCTATGGTAATCAATCATTCAGTCGTCAAACTTCCTCTTCAAAGATCCAAATGCCTCCTCGGCTCAATGCGATCGGAGCTCCTGAGACCCAGCTGGAACAGTCTCCTCGGTTCATCACAGTTATGCCGCGGCGCTGAGACCAAACATCTCATGGTCAGCAGCAAGCTTCTTCTTGAAGAAGGCGAAGTCGGAAATCAAAGCCTCCATCTCCGCTTGCATTTCCACTGCCTCCTCGTCATAGTCGGATTCGGTCTCGACCTCGTCACCAGAAGCTGTGTCGTCTTCATAGATCATGTCTGGCGTGGCGGCTCTTGATCGCTCGTCCGATGATACACTTTGCTCCTTGTTGATGATGATTGGGTTCTTGAGCTCCTCAAGCACCAGCTTTAGATGAATGCTCAAGGCTTCCTTTTCTTCCTCGAGCTGCCGGACCTTGGACTCCGAGATGGCGAGTTTCTCTTCCATGATCTGCAACATGTTCTCATATTTCGTGGTGAACTCGCGAATCTTCTCCGATTGCACGTCGGCATTCTCTTGAACAGCTCTAATGACCGAGACATTACCGCTTTGCTGCTGTTGACTAAGGGTCCACCGCAAAGTGCGGATTGTGTCTTGCATCTCGGCGATCTGAGCATCCTTCTCTGCTGACGAAACATGATCCTGGTTGACGATGGCTTTGGTGCGGATGCGTTTGGCTTGATCGGCGTAACGCAGAGTTGACAGAGTTTCGTCATAGTCGGCCGGAGCAATGCACGCAATCATGGCTGTCTTCGAATTTCCACCCAGCGAATCCTTCAACAACCAAGTAAGGATTGAATCGCGGTACGGAACAATGTCGCGGGTTGATCGCCTGGAGCCGTGCGTTCTCCCATTTTTAGGGTCGGCCAGTGCAGCAATGACTCTTCCGAGGGTGGTCAAAGATTTGTTGATGTTTCCACCTTCCCTTAATCTCTGACCGGTGGCCTCGGTTGCTTTTGCACGTTCCGAGCCAGCCAGATCGACGAGGCGGATTCGGGCTAGTCTCTCAGTGGTCTCATCTGTTCGGTAGTCGTGGTGGATCTGCTTGAGCATGATGGTGAAGACTGCATGGGACCGCGATGAGGTATCGTTCATCTTCGTCGAAGCCGTGGTTCTGGAACTGTCGCCCATACGCATGTACTTGAGAATCTCGGTGTAGTTTTTGACTTGTATCTCCGTCAAGTCCTTGACGTATGGCCCTTCGGTCGGTGACTCTCTGATTTTGAGATACTGCGGAGGGTCTGTTCGAGGCTGGAAGAGATCACGGACATGCTCATTGTAGACTTCGAAATATGAGACTCGTACGCTGTAGCTGATGTTGGCGCTCTCATTGGACTCGATCCGCTGGAAAAGGTCTTCGCAAGTCCGTGGAATCAGGCCGGGCTGGTCTGCGGTACCCATCATAGTGTAACTTTTGCCGGACCCGGTTTGACCATATGCAAAAATGCAGGTATGGTAACCCTCAAAGTTATGATCCAAGAACTCTTCTCCCAAGCAGTTGTAGACATCTTCCTGTGTAGCATAGTGCTCGTCTTCTGTGTCGTGCGACCAGAATGAGTTGTCGAATGTGAAGTTTTTTTCCTCCACGACTTTTCGAGTCTGAGCTCGGGCATTGGCTGGATCAGTCCCGGGCGGCGGGAGTAGTTTCGTGGACTGTGTCTGCGGATTCATCTCGATAAGGCACTGTGCTCCTCTCTCGACCTCTAAGATGAGATGTAAGCCGATACTCTCATTGCAACATGGTGTTCAAATTACCTCGTGGCAGAAAACCTCGGACTCTCACCACGACCTTCACATTTCCTCCCGGGTTCACATTGCCATTGAGAGACCCCATCGGTAAAGTGACAGGCGTTCTTGACCTCAATGACGGACTGGAGGCCGAAGAAGGCGTGGGAGTGTGGGTGCGGCTGTTGTTGGTGATACCTTTAGCTGGCGGCACCATCTCTGTCGCCTGGTCCAGAAGTTGCATACACTCTTCAAGGGCAACACAGTAGCGATCACGCAAGGAGACGTACATGAAATAAAACGTGGTAGAGGGAGGAGTCAGGGGCAGTGCACGATAAGCAAGGTGAGCTGGGACCAGTCTTGCTAAGTGATTGTTGCGCAGGCGCAGGCACAGGCGGAGGTGATAGTGTCGCGAGGTGAGGGCGACAGTCCGCTTTGGGTTAGATCCAAACAATGACGTCCATAAGGGGAAATTCATCAATTTTCACATGCATCGATCTGACTACCAGTTACTAGATACCTTAGAATGGGCAGCTTTAGATTAGTACCTAGGTGTGTACAGATTGACACTCACTCCTCCTTCATCTATACCTTTCCGCCATTTTGTCACGTTCGACCCTGAACCCTGATAAATCAAACCATCTCATGTTCAATGCAGGGTAACACCTGGCCCTTCTAGAAATGTGGAGTGTTGAGAGCCATGACACACATCAATCCAGAAATCAGTCCAGCGCATGGCAAGGTCAAAACCCAGCCCATGAAGATGAAAGCCAGCTGTCGCCAGTTCACAGCCCCAATATCATAGTTCATTAGTGCCACACCCATCGTGGCACCAGTGAGGCACTGGGTAGTGCTCACTGGAAGAGACAGACGAGACGCGAGCAACACAGTGACGGCAGCACCCAACTCGGCGCTGAATCCTCGAGTCGGCGACATCCGGGTGATCCTGTTTCCCATGGCGCGCATAATATGATAGCCATAGAACCAGAAACCCGCGCCCAGCAAGAAACCAGCGATGACCAGGAACCAAACAGGAGTATCCGAAGTGGTGTCAACCACGCCGGCCCGGAAAGTTTCATACGTTGAAGCCCAGGGACCGACGGCATTGGCCACGTCGTTGCTGCCATGAGCAATTGACATCAACATGGCAGAAGCAACCTGACAATAAGTCCACAGATGCTCGATGCGCACATCGTACTTGTTGGCTCGGGCGTGGATTGCTCGCAATTTCGCCGAGTCATGAGTGACACAGTCCATGGTAACGCCTCTCAGGAAACCGAATTTGAAGTAACTCCACCACCGTTGGGGGTTGGTCCAGCTGAGTTCTTTGACAGGGTCGATCCATCGCTCTCTCGGCGTCAAGACTCGCTTTCGAGCAACGACACTGGGGCCTAGATCGCTTGCGCTCTGTCCTTCTTCCAGAGCCGAAGTATCTGCGATGACTGGCTCGTCATTGTTCATTGGAGAGTGCTTCTCGTCCTTGAGCGAATTGACCGACGAGGTAGATTGCTTGTTGTCGGCATATGGATCCTCATAGTAGTCGATCACATATTTACCGTCGTCCTTGGCTGGGAAATATAAAGGTGGGTTTTCTCTGCGCAGAAGTGGACCCAGGGGTATATGGTAGGCTTTGACACGAGAATCTTGCTTCACCAGGCGGCGTTCGAAGTAAGGCATGAAGAAAATGTAACAGATGACCAGAACCCCGGCCCACACGCCGAGGACTATACCCACAGCTTTGCCTGCGCCAAACTCTTCAAGCGATGGTGCAGTCGGAGCCTCCACGACAATGAACAGGGCAAGGATGGCGGCCGTGGTGGCGAAGTAGAACGGGATCAGTCTCATAGCCCATTTGAATGGATCTCGCCGCTCCAGAACAGCGTATTTGACGGTGCCAAAGATCAATGCCGAGAAGCCCGCTGCGATCAGAGGTGCGATTGCCCACGACGCCGCGGTTTGGGATACACTGCCAGAAGCCCAGGCCCATTTGATGTCTGCTTGGGATGCGAACCCGACGCCGATCAAAGCTCCGATGACGGTCTGAGTGGTGGAAACGGGCCAACCCCAGCTTGTTGCGAGCATCAACCATGTGGCGCTGCCAACCTCGGCGCATCCCATCGCCAGCATCAATGCTCCCGGGCGATCTTGGAAACGGTCAATGCTGATGATACCGTTCTTGATTGTACTGGTAACGCGAGAACCAAGGGCAACGGCACCCACGAACTCGGTGATCATGGAGAGGAACCCGACCTGCGGCATGGTGAGAGTTCTGGCTGCCACAGACGTGGCGTATGAGTTGGCGACATCGTTGGCTCCGTTACCAAAGGCACTGAAAACGAATGCAATCGAAGTGATGGCCAAGATCCAGTCATACCTGGCTGTGATCGGAGGCGCCATGACTGGTTCACGCGGTGGGCAGAAGATACAAAAAGACCGCGGCAAATGATGTTGGCTGTATCCGAATGAATTGCAAGAAGAAAAGGTCCTAGAAATCAGTGATCACCTTGAGATATATAACTTGAAGAGAAAAGTTCGGCGGCAAACTGAGTTGACATGTCTAGAGCATCACGCATCGTACTAGGTGGCTCTATCATGACATTCGCTCCCTCCACTCGCAAGCATAAACCGGAGAAGAAACAGAAGGAGGAACAAGATCCGTAGGCGTGACTGAAGCACATGGGTTGCGACTGAGCTGGCGATAGGGTGCTCGAGCGAAAAAGTCCACCCCTGTCCTTATATGCCAAGACTGTTCCGCTCGGCCAAGAATTCCGCCAAGGGCTTGGGGAGCGGATCTTGCCTGGGCGGAAAGGGGTCTGCGTTGTGCTCTCCTGTCTGAGGGGCCAATCATCGCACGGGGACAATGCACGAGGGTGCTATGAAGAGCTTGATTGCGTGCATCTTCGTCAACAGAAGCTTGGGCAATTGCCAGCAACATTTCACTTCAAGATCTTATACAGCTCGATGAAAGAGGTACAACAACGGGAGTAGGCCATTACGCGAAAACGTACCACAATATGCGACCCAGACCTCACGCGACAAGTCTCCTTCTTCCGTGGCTTGAAATCGATCTGAAGGGGTCCATGGCAGCATAACTCGACGCTTCTCACGGGTGGAGCCACATTGCGTACTGGAGTTTTCTCCATTGCTCGTCACTAAAGGCGGGTTGGGCACTGGCATGGCAAGTTCTGGCCGCACTGTCGACGTATAGGACCAAATGACATCTCTGCGGGGGCCGAAGCCGCTGACTGACGCGACCTAGTCACTGTCTTGAAGTGACCGTTTCCTTGTTCGGTCCGTGCAAACGGTTCTTGTCGTCTCAACATAACCTATAGAGGTGAGCCGTATCACCACGTGGCCTTGGCAGATCGCCAGACACAGTAGCAGGCTTCGAGATCAATGATGGCTGGAAGCTCAGTTTGTGACGGAGAGGATGTCAAACATGGTGGACCTCACAGTACCGATGCAGGGTGAGCCTAGGTAACGAAATCACTTTGGCAAAAGGAAGTCGGGCCACTGCATCTGTATCCGCTGAGCACGTTGACGACCCTCCCATCACGCGTGCTGCTGTATCAGACCCAAAGCAATTCTCAATCTTCGTTTCCTCCAGTGCAAAGCAGTTGGTCGTCTTGCAAAATGGCTCAGCGAGGTCCGCTTGCACACCGGCGTAGGGCATGCAAAACAGGCATGATATGGTTTCGATAATGACAACGGGATACCTAGTGGCCAATCATTCGAGCCCGATGCGGCCGTCACGCAGTTGAAGCACACCTCATAGATTGGAAAATCGGAACTTTCAAACATACCAAGGTGCGAGAAGAACAAGGGGAATGGAAAGAACGAAAGAAATCTCGCCGCTTTCACTGGCCAATCATTGCAACAGCCTCGTTGCCAAGGTCTATTTCCTCTTCAGGGTTAGCGTAATTTACCTCTGTTTTCCATGTTCAGCATTTCAACATACAGACATCTTAGAGTCTCATTGACTATCTTCCGCTAAGACACTTGGGGTGTCTCCTTCTGCAGAGCATGGCAGACGCGCAGAATCGGAAGCGGTCGAGATCCGCGGAGGGATCTGGCTCCGACAATGAATCATCCGACGATGACTTTGGGCCAGCTTTGCCTTCTTCAGTGCCGCCCAAGAAAAAGCGAAAGCTGCCGTACGAGTCGCTGTATGTGGATGCCTTGCCTAAGGGTATAAGGTATTCCAGATCGTTAATGCACCGGGATCAGGTATCCACCGTGACCATTGCGCCTTCGCCTGCCGATTTTGTCATCACCACCTCGATTGACGGGGTGGTCAAGTTCTGGAAGAAGATGGCCAAGGGGATTGAATTTGCCAAAGAATATCGAGCACACGAGAGCCAGGTAGTGAGCTCGAGTGTCAGTGTAGATGGGGCCCTATTTGCCACCACAGGCGACGAAGGTGACAACACCATCAAGATCTTCGATGTCATCACCTTCGATTTGTTGACAATCCTGAACCTCGAGAACCCAGCGACCTGCCTCTGTTGGGTCCATCGAAGAGGAGCTGCACCTATACTGGCGGCGGGCATTGGGAAGGAAATTCACATCTACGATGGCCGTGGCGATTCCCAGACGCCTATGCATGTCTTGTCATCTCTGCACCGGGCTCCTGTCGTGGCTATGGCTTACAACCCGGCCTTCGACTGTGTGGTGTCTGCAGATTCCGGTGGCATGATCGAGTACTGGCAACCCAGCGACAACTATGAAAAGCCCGACAATGTGTTCAAGATGAAGTCTACCACCAATCTGTTCGATTTCAAGAAGGCCAAGTCTGCACCTTGCAGTATCACGATATCACCATCCGGTCATCAGTTCGCTACAATCTCTTTCCCGGACAGAAAGATACGAGTGATTGACTTTGCTTCCGGCAAGCTTTATCGATCTTATGACGAATCAATCGAGACCATTACAGCAATGCAGCAAGCTGGGACCGCCCTGCAGAAGCTCGACGAGGTGGAATTTGGTCGGAGGATGGCGGTTGAACGCGACCTTGATAATCCAGCTGTGCGGTCTAGAATCAATGTAATCTTCGACGAGTCCGGCCATTTCATCGCCTACGGGTCTCTCCTAGGCATCAAGGTCGTCAACACTTTGACCAACCGGGTCGTGAAAGCTTATGGCAAAGATGAACCGTTTCGAGCACTGAACATAGCGTTGTATCAGGGTGCGCCGCAAAAGAAGGAAGTAGTCACTGTCTCCATGGCGGCCAGCGCAAATCCGCTCCTGAACGAGGCTGAAGAAAGAGATCCCATGCTCTTTGCTACCGGATATGGCAAGGTCCGGTTCTACATGTTCACCAACGAGGAAGACATCAGCAAGTCGTCCCGGGATGTACAGAACGAGAAACCGCGAGCGACGGGAGGGAAGAAAAAGGAGACGAAGCAGGCCCAGACAGGGACATCTGCAGTTCTCCATACGACTTACGGCGACATCAATATACGGCTGTTCCCGGACAAGGCACCAAAGGCGGTAGAAAACTTTGTCACACATGCGAGGAACGGCTACTACAACAACACCATCTTCCATCGGGTCATCAGGAAATTCATGATCCAAGGAGGAGATCCGCTCGGTGACGGGACAGGCGGCGAGAGTATCTGGGGGAAGGAGTTTGAAGATGAGTTTTCCGATCTCAAACACGACAAGCCGTACACGGTGAGTATGGCGAATGCAGGGCCCAACACGAACGGGTCACAATTCTTCATTACAACCGAGAAGACACCTTGGTTGGACAACAAGCATACCATTTTCGGCCGAGCGTACCAGGGGTTGGATGTGATACATCAGATTGAGAATACGAAGGTGCGCAAGGAAAAGCCCGAAGAAGACATTAAAATCGTCAACATCTCGATCAGTTAGAGCTGTATATGGGTGATCTGGGATAGAATGGCGCTGACATTACCTGGGCTTTCTTACTCTCTGCTTCTGGGTCTGACTGTCGACGCCATACTTTGCACCGAGCTGGCGCCAGCGCGGTCTAAAGTTTGCCATCATGGTGCGGGCTGGTTGGATTGAAGGTAGAATCTCGATAAAGCGGAAACGTGCAGCGCTTCCACGCGCAAGTAAGACTGTAGTGAGCGTTCTCGTGGTCTGAGTCGACCCTGGTGTTCTCTCTCTCTTTCTCTCTCTCGCAATAAAGGATACAATCACTGCCTATCCATTGTTGTCCATGAGTTGATGTCGTTGTCCATCATGTAGCCGTGGATCCTAATAAATCTTGTCAATCTCGTTGTTCTCCGCCCGTTTCGCTTCTCCGCAAATTGCGAGATCTTCATTCAATCTCGAAACTTTTTCTCCCGCTTCCCAAATTCCCTCTCTCGACGCGTCTCATACCTTTCAGGCCAATTGCGCCTGCCACTCGCTGGTCGCAATGGTCAAATTACGTGTAGTAGTCAGGGTCATCCCAGAAGACGACTATCTCAGGAATCTGGAACGACCTGCGGGTTCCCTCATCCCCCACGAGAGACGGTTGATTGTCATCGTTCGAGAACCGCACAAATGGCAGGTTGGCACCCTTGCGCTTGAGGTACAGCGAGCATACAAGAGTTGCTATCAGCAGTAAGTGTATTGTTCCGCTCGGAATGCGCCAGCCATAGTACTGACCGTGCTTTAAGGGAGCTGCCCACCATCAAATACCTTAAAGACAACGAGGACGACTGCGACCTAGACCCCCAGCTGTACGTTTCTGATCTCCTACTCGACGAAGGCAAGGCCGCAAGAGATGGAGCAGATCAACGTGCCACGATCAAAGTCATACTCGAGCAAGGGCGTGCCGTGCGTGAAGGGTCGGTTGCAGTGGGCAGCTTGTTGGACAACCCTCAATTTCAGCTTCAACACCACAAAACTTCTCGTCCGCCTGTCCCAAGGTTTCCTGGTGTGTCTTCTTCGCTAGGGAAACGTTCGCTTCCACCGTCCGACGTCTATTCATCCGATCTGAACGGGAGCAAAAGGCCGCGACAGGTTGAGATACTGGAGACGCAAAGAGAAGAAAGCGTGGTCTCGTCTATTGAAAGAGACGCACTCAGAGCAGGATCACCCGAACTCGTTCAAGCAACACAAGATGCAGAACTTCGACAAGACCAGGTATGGGAGCAACAGCAAGAAGAACACCAACAGTCGCATCTGGAGCCGAAGACAGAGTCCCCCGAGCTATGGAGGGCTTTCCACAATATACCGGCAGCGACTGTGGATGAATTAGAGGAGCTGTCAGGCCAACCCCAGATATTTGCGCCTAGGCAGAGAGATTCAAGAGAAGTGCAGAGATCTTCGGAGTCCCGTCGACCGAATGGAGTTGCGTCAAGTGGCCAGATCGAACATTCCCACGCTCCCCTGACGCCGCCTACAGATGTATCTACAGGGCGTCTGTCGTCGGCGAAGGTGCGCTCTCAGAGCAGACGGGATGCTGCAAGCATTCCTCTTCCACATTGGTCAACCTCGGCCAGCAAATTCAAACGTCGAGACATCTATGATTACCCAGAGTCAGATATTGACGACACCCAGATGTCGCCTCGCTCGAGGCAAGCGCATCTTGGATCTCGGAAGTCAACAGACCGCTTGTCTCGGATTGAGCTTCTGCGATCTCCTGACGAGGATCGCGTCGAAGAGGATCGTCACCGGCTCGGCGTCAACGAAGCTCTGGATGCCTTGGACAACGAGTCTGTCTTTGACAACAATGGAGCCGCTCAGCAAGAGTTTGTTTCTCCCCAACTACCCAGGAGAGATTCCGCTCCGCTCGCGGATGAATACGAAGACTCTATCTATGAGGATGCTCCAACCAACGGCGTTCAAGTACAAGATGTCCATGGGGGATCCATTCTGCACACAAATCCATCGCCAGGCATGCAGAGAACAGAAGACAAGAGAACACAGACCCCACCACCACAATCGTACGGGGAGACCGACGATAAAGAGAATCATCATGAAATCCCCACATCGGCTCAACCGGTCTCCGGACGTACTCAGACGGAAGCCACTATCAAATTCGCCGGTAAACCTCCCACCAAGATACATCCTACGCCGACTCCTGCCGAAGCAGGTCAATCGACCGAAGCCAGTCCTGCAAAGAAGCGAGCACGGAAAAGAAGCACGGCCCGGGGAGGAGAAGCGTCCATCAACGGCGATGAACACTCGAGCCAGGTGACCGGCAGTACAAAGCAATCCCCTACTGCAAAACCGCCTGCCAAAGCAGCGCCAAAGCCAACTCCAAAGACCAATAAACGTCAAAGGACACCTAGACACGACAGCCCTGGAGCACAGTTGTCACAATCGCTACAGGAATCCGCACGCAAGCAAGTGTCTGTGAACGCCAACGTGCCTGGCGAAAATCTTGCAGCTGAGCAGAAGAAAGCACAGGCCACCGCCGCGGTCGGAAAGAAGCATAATGCTAAGGATACCACGAATGCCAAATCGGATAGGGAGACTGAGCCGTCCAAGGAGCCTGCAGAAACCCAGAAGGAAGAGTCCGTCACTGCGCCCAAAAAGACACCTAGGCAGAGAAAAAGCCAGGAACAACCGAAATCAGCAAAGGCAGTTGCCAAGTCTGCTGTACAGGAGAATGTTGCTCCTAGTATCGTCGTGCAACGCTCGGAGGAGGCAACAGCCCATGCTATACCTCTTCCCAATTGGGGTTCGAGTCCAGGTATGGGCGTCGACCCACAGAAGGCACCGACCCATGACCAGACAAAGTCACTAACAGCTCAAACCGCGGACGGCTCGAGAAAGAGCTCATCTATCCCGCCAGGCTTTACTGAAGAAGATATCAAACTCTGGAAAAGCCGAGAGGGCATGACCAAGGAGCAGTACCAGGCTGAAAAGAAACGTAAACAGCGGGAGGCGGCCGCCGAGCGGAAGAGGCAGGAGGTTGCAGCTAGAAGGGAGAGCGCGGGCAAGTCATTGGCAAGGGAGATTCCCAAATCCGAGGCTGAAAGTCCTGCTATTGCCGTGGAGAAGGGCCCTAAACCGAGTGCGAACGCGAACAAGGCTCGGAAGAGTGCTTCCGCAGAAGATGCGCCAAACAGTCTTTCTGCCGAAGATGTTTCCCGGCCTCCTCTCAAAGGTCCATCAGCCAAGGCGAAGGCGAAAGACGATGCTGTCTCTACTCAGGACAAATCGGTAACACCAGCAAAAAGTGCCACCTCCTCCTCGAAACCGGAAACCTCTCGGGATGCGTCATCAACTACAAGCTCCTTGAAACAGCCTGAATCTGAGGCTGGCCTGACGGCTAAGACACCTGCAAAAAAGACAACCAAAACACCTTCAGTGAAGTCCGCTACTGCTGCTACTGCCAGTAGTCCTGCTCCTACCACTACTACAGTCGCCAAGCCAGCAAAGACAGCAGCCAAGGCGCAAAGCAAGACAACGAAGAAATCAACGCCTGCTCCAGAGAAGAAACCAAAACCTGTGCCGGCAAAGAAACCCACACCGGCTGAAGCAGGCAAATCATCCACACCTGGTTCCAGAGTTGAGACAAAATCAGCATCCAAATCCACTCCAGGTTTGATCTCGACTTCTTCAACCTCCGCCAAACCAGCACCCACACCGACCATCGCGACAGCAAAGAACCTGACCGACCTCCGCACGGCGATCCGTTACGCAGCTCACATGGCATCCACCACGGCCTCGAGCTCGCTGTCTCGCTCTCGCGCTTCTTCTCGACCAGATCCAAAGCGATCGGTGTTGAATACATCGAGCTCGGATGATGATGACGACGACAGCAGTGACGATGATAGCGACGATGACAGTGATGAGGAACAAAAGACGGAGACTGCCAATTCTGCCAATACCGGGGTGAATGGGCAGCAGACGAAAGTTAAGGTCCGGAACCCAACCAAAAACCAGAATGGAGCGCTCACTTCATCCTCGGATTCGACCAGCGATGATGACAACGAGGATGAAAGCGAATCAAGCGAAGCAGTGCCGAAGTCTAAGCCGGTCATCAATGCAAGTGCCAATACGAAGACACCGACAGCTGGCAAAACAACTGCAAAGACACAAGGTCAAGATCAAAGTCAAAGTCGGGCTCAAAATGGAAGTGGACCTATAGTCAACAGCAACACCGCAAGCGTAAGCAAGCGCATAACTTTGAGCCGGCCAGATCGAAGTATTCGCGATCCGAGCGTTGAATCAGACGATTCTGACGACTCCGACTCCGACGATGAATTGTGAGGACGAGATCCAAGAAAGAAAACGCACTGAAAGGGGCATGTCTTGTTTGATTGAGTGTCACACATCACAGATCACTCAGCCTCGGACTACCAACACGTCTGGACCGTGCGAACGAGATTCGAGGGCTTATGAACCCCTTCGAGACCCCTGGGGCCGCTCGTCGCCCGCTTTGTTGGGTCTGGTTCGCTTCATTGTCAGCCTTAATGATGCGGCTGCCCCCTTCCACCGGGGTCTAGCCTCGTCGGGTCTGCTGTTTGCCCTAGGAGTTTTGAGTCAGATAACTACCCATGTTTCTTGCTCTTCATTTGAGTAGCTCCCTGGTTAGCTCTGGGGATGGATGGAAGGATTGATAGCTGGCTGGATAGTTGAAGGCTAGGCAGTTGGTTGGTTGGGTAGTAAGATAGTACAATCATCGTTCACTTGGGTTCCGGTCACCTAGGTATTTGCAAGTCCTGAGTCCACTTTGACCTACTGACCTAATCCCATCGAGCTGGTTGTCCAATACTTTCCAACCCTAGTAATTTGGGCATACAATGGATAAACTTGCATAGCGAGTGGATGGGATTGACGCACAAAGGGAGGATGGCAGAATTTTGTACGTCGATGATTGGGGTTTGAGTGCGTGAATAGGTGTAGTCGAGTCAATGGACGAATCCCGTGTGCTTGTACAGATAGATATCTTACACCGAGAGATATCTTCCACCGAGAGATATCTTCCACCGAGAGATATCTTACACAGAGATACGACGCCCCAATTCTGGACACAAACACCAATTCAAAGTCCGGAGACAGAGAGGGCCGGGAACTTGACATGACTGTTCATGGTGTCTTTTATTTAATAAAGGTCTTCAAGTTGCTACTTCGTGACTGTGGCTTTGACTAATCAAGGGAATTGATGTCTGAATAGAGTACAGTCTCTTTTCTTCCCTTTTCGCCCTCTCGAATCATGCAGGCTGTCCTCGTGCTTCATGCTGCATCCTGTATCTGGTATCATGGTCCCTGCGTGCTGAGCGCTTGCTTTCAACCTCCGAATCTGGATCCAGGGGTCATCGTCTGGTCAATTTGACACAGAAGGCCACCCCCAGCAGCAGTGCTAGTCGTGCTAACTAACCCGTGAGGACGATAGCCGAGCAGTCTTCGACCACGACCCCGACCACAACCCTCAAAACCTCCAACCTCAAATCGTCGAAGCTTGCTGGAGCTTCTCACTAGGAAGCCTCAGGCGCGATGGTGTTTCCCGCGACGATATTCGCCCAGCCAATAAGACGCCAATGCTTTTCGATTCTGCGACTGAGGGCGATCTTCTCGCCGATGGCGGTGCAGGCCGGGGTGGTCAGGGTGAGTTTTGCGGCGTCGGCCTTGACGCCCATGACCTTCGCACCGGTGGCGGTGCTGCCAATGTTGACCATGAGGACCTCGTTCTTGGCCAACTTTGCGACCTTGGCCTGTTTGCCGTCGGCGGTCTTGACGCCCAACAACCGTCGCAGCAGGAAGTAGTTAACTTCCAGCTCGATGTAGATTTCGGGCAGTTGGCCCCTGAGGCCCAGCACGTGGCCGACCAGACGATCGGCTCGGCACAGCGTGGGATCGACGCGGGTCCCGACACCGATCAGACCGCCGGGAACGGCGAATTTCAGGTCGTTGTGTTCGGCGAACAGACTGACCACGCGAGACATGATGGGGCGGCAGATGGTCTGGCCCTTTTCGTCCTTGGTGATGATGCCCGGCCGGATTTCCACTTCGTCGCCGAGTTTCAGGACCCCGGTCAGGATCGACCCTCCTGCGACACCACCCTTCAGGTCTTCAATCTCGGCGCCGGGTTTGTTGACGTCGAACGATCGGATCACAATCATGTGCGGCGGGGCGGTGAAGTTGCGCACCGGCACGGGGATCTTGGTGACCAGATACTCGTTGATGGCGTCGATGTTGTATTTCAGTTGTGCGGAGATGGGGATGATGGGCGATCCGTCGGCCACGGTGCCCTTGATGAATTTCAGGATGGACTCGTAGTGGGAGAGCGCGCCTTCTTCCCGCATCAGGTCGACCTTGTTCTGCAAGATGATGATGTGGTTGAGCTTCATGATCTCAATGGCCGCCAAATGCTCCGACGTTTGCGGCTGGGGGCACGTTTCGTTACCCGCGATCAGGAGAAGAGCCGCGTCCATCACCGCGGCGCCTGATAACATGGTGCTCATGAGAATATCGTGTCCTGGGCAGTCAACGAACGACACGTGTCGGAGCAGACGGTATGTGCCTCCACATCCGGGTCTTTCACACGGAGGATCTACTTCCTTTTCACTCTTGTAGCTCTTGTAGCAGGTTGGTCGTGGACACTCCTGGTTGTCACACTTGTAGATCTTGGCGTTGGCGTAACCGAGCTTGATGGTAATGTTCCGCTCCAACTCGTTCTTGAATCGAACCGTCTGCACGCCGGAAATGGCCTTGACCACCGTCGACTTTCCGTGCGCCACATGTCCTATCGTTCCAATGTTGATCGTCGCTTGTCGGGCTATGATCTCGGGCGTTAGAGGCGTGAGCGTGGATATATCTAGGTCTTGAGGTTCTGGTTGTTCGGGAAGGACAGGGCGAGCGACTGGAGGCTCGGGAATGGCTGCTGTGGTGCTCTTTTTCAGCGCCGATTTGGGAGGTTGGTTGCTTTCTTCGATTTCGTCCACGTCGTTCTCGTCACCGGGGGGAGTGCCGGGCTGCGAGAACTCGTCGTCGGAAGGGAGGTCGCCGTTGGTAGACATGATTGCGGCTGCTGCTCGAGAGTGAAGTAGGAGTTCGGTGCGGAAAGTTGGTCTCGTCAATGGAGGCGACGAGGGCTGCGGTAGATCTCAAACGGTAGGTGTCCTGGTCCACGAGCGGGCTGCTTCGAAGGAATCAATTAATCTCGCAGGGGAGATATCGTGAGGTTGAGCTTCTGAGGCCGCTGTTCAGGAGCCGCGGACGTGGTAACCAGAACTGAGTGGCAGCGTGGAAGAGTGAGTTGATGTGAGTGTTGATATCAGCGCCGGCGGAGGGGCGGGAGGTTGTGAAATTTGTGGCATCGCCTTGCCAAGAGCTTGACTCATGGAGTCCGTCTAAAGCGGCGGGTGTCAGTCGCCTCAGCCTCGTCACAGCCTGACTAATGTAGTAACCCCCTAACTCAGCCTTGTCGACCCATCTTATGGATGACTGTTGGTGAGTAACCTCTTGATAGATATTATTCTATTATTCAGCACACATCTCCATCCCGGATGCACTCAAGAAAGCTTATGGGCGAGGCATGGAATAACTTCAGTCACATTGCGTATTCAAAGGGACGTTGCCTATAAGACTATCCAGTCACTGAATACTACCTAGAACACTCAACACCACGATGCTCTCTTCATCTTTGGTCTTGCTCTTCGCCTACCATGTCTTTGCAAAGACCTTGGACCGTACACTAGACTGAGTGCCAGTCCTGTTAGGCCTCGCGCCTTGCCCTACCACGACTTTACTATTCAAGGCCCTGTCGAACAGAGACTTGCTCCTCTGCCTCCTCCGCCGATCCGCACGGTATCTACAAATCAGCCACACCGCCCATATTAAACCCAGCACTAAGGTCAAGAGCCCCGAAACAATCCAGTAGACCTTGAAAGGCTCCTTGACAATGACGCCGTCATCTTTCAGTTTCCAATTGAACATGGGCGTCGCAAACAGGTTGGCAACGAACGTCCAAGGCAGGAAGACGAAGCCCGCCAGAGCCAACGCCACCATGGCCGAATTGGACCACCTTCCCTGCCAGGCGAGAGTCAGACCGATCCGGGCATCATGTTGAGCCACCTGATAGGTCATGATAGCCACTTGCTTGTCGAGACGATGTGATAGTGTCTCAGCATCGTGCAGGTAGACTTTCGTGAGAGATTGCATCTGGTACAACTTCTGGTCCAGCCGCTTACATTCATCCTTTGTGGTGTCATTGTCCAAGGTCTCCGCGTAGGCCATATTGCAGCCCTTGATCCAGCCGATCTGATCCTGAAATACTCGGAGGCGGAAAAGAACGTTGGTGAGCTTGCCACTCAAGACGTGAAATCGGCCAACGGCTGCTTCCTGGGCCTCGGCGATCATATGGGTGCCTTCTTCAACGTCGGATGCATTTGGAGGATCAATTTCCCGATCGAGGACCCAATCCCAGGTGGCCAGTCCAAGCGTCATCTCTATCGCGCGGGTATCCCAGTTCATGGTGTCCAGGAGTTGAAATGTCCATTGTAAACTGATCGTGATCTTGATATACGCGAGAAGCATTGGATGTGCCAGGTGTTGTCTGAGTCGAAGGATCTCGGCTTCGAGCTCTTCTCGTCGTTCGTCACCATCCCCTTCCCGATGGAACATGACAGCGGATGTATGTCGAGTCGCATGAAAGTATGACCAGGCTATCGCCCATGATGTGCCGCTGGTGTAGAAGGATGTGACCGCCCCACCGTCAGCGCCTTCCTGGCCGAGGACTTGATAGGGAGAATCATCCCAGAACGTGATGTGCGAGCGGATGTAGGCACCCAGAGCTGCGAGTGGTAGTCTGGCATGATCGAAGATCTCTTTGACCATGGCCCGCTGTTCGGTTCGTTCTGGAAGAGGCGTCACTTCCGTGTGACCCGGGATTGTTCGATATGTAGGGTTCTTCTCCGGGTCTTTGCTGAAATCATTGTGCGTTTGGATGAATAAGATCTTGAGGGCGGGCTGTCCACTCCAGCGAGCAATGTCCTCGGTGTTGACGTTACTGGGTCGAAGCCACTGTTTGATGCGGTTGACGTCCGGTTTTTCTGGTAGTATTTCTTTGGAAGGCTCCGACTGCCCTTCGATCAGATGATACTGTTCAATCTTGTGGTGACCGTTGTAGCTGCTCAACTCTCGATCGAGCATAATCAACCCAGCCTCACTGAGAGTGTTGGACGTCATCGTGTTCACCTTGTCGAACGATCGACGGTGGCGGGTGATGGACCAGGATGGTTGGTTATGAACCCTTCTCACACACGATGGGCACTTCTTCTAAGAAAGGGTGGGCGGTTCTCGAGAAGTTCCTGGATGTTGCGAGAGACTTTTCAGAAAGACCATCTCAAACGTTTCTTTTATGTGTTTATGTGCCCGTCTGGCTGTATAGTCCATCCTCGTCAGGTCGAACATTAGAGTCACAAGACAGCGTCGTTCGCATCCTTCCCCCTCCTCCCAAGCACCAGGCTGTGGAAGGTGGACGGTTGATTACTGGGTACCTGATTCGACGATAGTGGTTGTTTGCCTTGAAACAAAGGGGGTTAGAAGCATGGAGGTCGCCGAAACAGTACGCGGACCGGGCGAGGCAACCTTCAACAGCGCTGGCATCCAAGTGTTGTCCTTATCGGACGCTTCTGGGCCAATAAATGAATCTGCAACTCTCATGGATCTTCTTACGGGATTCGCTGCATTTTCCGGGCGTTGAAACTGCTGGTATTCAGCCGCCTTTCAGTCATGTAGATCGACGTGCGAAGTCTTGCTGCCTGGCGCCCATGTCGAGGATATCTCCTTGATTGGTAGCATAGCATCTGGGGTCAAGGTCAGCAGACCATGATATAGACACCCGTTTTCTATACAGACCTGTCCTTGACTCGGCTGGCCTAATCTCTGCTTGTTCAAGAGTTGGGATGTTTACCAGGTAGGTACATCCCCGTCACCAGGGTCTGCATCTTCATGCGTTTAATGCATTTGTCAAACCGGTCAGGTAAGAAGCTCTTCTTCAACGAGCTTCGAATCGATTAGCGGTAAGAAGCTGGCTTGACTCACTGGCACATGTATGAGATTGCCGTCTACTGCGTCAGGAGCCCATCTCAGTCACATCGACTCTTGGGACGACGACGATAGCTGGCGACGTTTAGATTCGACAAACATCAAGGTGTCCTATACTAGTAATGCTCGAAACATCCTCTAGGATCTAGGCGAGCCTGCAGAAATACAGTATGCAGTAACGACGCCGCCACATGCTCTCGGAAAGCCTTGAAAGACGACAGTTACCTTTCTTTACACATCCTCGTCGAGATCGTCCTCATTCCCTTCCACCATCTCATAGCCTTCACTTCCTTCAATGCCATCCGAACCATGATCACTGTTTTTGTCGTCGTCGTCCTCGTCGTCATCATCGGCGCCGTCAATCGGCTTCAAGCCATAGTCGTCCTGGAAGAAATTGAGATCTCGGATCTCCGGGGTGAAACCCGCCTGGGCGAGTCCGTCTGAAATGGCCTGCATCACCAATAATTAGCACCTGATCCTGCGTGTATGGAGTTGGGACGTGAATATTTTTACCTCCTTCAATCCAGGGGCACATGTTACAATGATATCAGCCTTCCCTGGGGTGAACACGTTGTATACGACTGTCTTGAGGGCGTCCTTGATATCCTCGACCTTGATGGCTCGGACCTTCTTCAGTAACCTCTCCATATGGTCCTCAGGCAGACCTTTCATGACCGACCGAATGAAACTGGCACCTGCAGCGCTGGCCAGAGTCTGCTGCTCGTTGGCAAACGCGACAACGATACTGCTAATGGCGCCTTCCAGCATCAACGAGTCGAACTCGATGTCTCCCGTCATGTGACCCTCGACAACTTTCCGGCTGGCCTCAAAGGCCTTGTAGGCATCCGGAGAACGATAGACATCAAGGTAGACATAGCCGGACTCCAAGTCGTACCCCATGTTCGTGCCGTAGGCGAGGCCGGTCCCTCGTACAGCGGCCCAGAGTGGACCTTCCACTGCATTCATGTAGGCCATCGCAACCATGACTGCCGGCATCTTGGGATCGTCGTAAGAAGTCGGTCCGCGTGCCGAGGCGTACGCGAACGAAGAATCGATCGTTGGCATTGGCACAACATATGCTAACTCCCCGGGGTTTCTCCCTGCCTCGCTGAGACGATCGATTCGGCGGCCAATTGGTGTGAGCTGCTCCTTCGTCTCCAGACCTTTCAAGAAGGGTTTCCAGGTGCTGACCGGCTTCTTGACCTTTTCAAGGTCCGTGATGACGAGGACTCGGAAGTTCTCAAAGCGACAAAGATTCTGGCGCAATCGTTCAAATTGCTGCACGACATGCTCGGGACTCGTTTCCAGCAATTGCTTGATGCGTTTCAGGTAGAGAGCCTTAACAAGGGTACTGCGTGCACGGCCGATGGACTTGGGAGCAAGGTGGATCATGCGGTTTACCGCCACCAGCATATCATCACCGCTGCGTTTCGAGTCTGGCACATCAGCGAGTAGTCGTGCGTTGATGGCCTTGAGCCGGTCCACGTCGAAGATGGAGTCGAAGAGGAGTTCCGACAGCCACCTAACGGCGACACTATACCGTTCAATCTCCACTTGGAAACTGACTCTGATCCCTTCAACATTGCCTAGATTTGACGCTGCGTCGATGGAGTATCCGACCGTATCTCGTTCCAACTCGGTCACCACTTGTTCGAATCCAATTGTCTGACCATTTCTCTTCACGGGCAGATTGAAGAAAGCTTCCATGTAGATCGACAGCAGTGGGCGCAGTTCATCAGGAAGTGTCTCGGTCGATATGATCAAGTGAATCCGGGCAAAGTTTGATGGAATGTGTTGGAAATCAAGGAACAAAGGCATGTCCTTGGCGTCAGTATCGATGATCTGCTGATATCTGCTCTGCGGCTTTCCAATCTCCAATGCAAGGCCTGCGCGAGCACCCGAGGTGTTGACGAAATGAATGGAATCTGGAGATGGGACTTTGAATTGAGCAAGCAGATCTCGAGGGATCTCGCGATCATTCTCCGCTTTGGCTTTGTCGAGCTTCTCCTGCATGTCCTTCAACCCTTCAGGCCCAAGCCTTTCTTTTTGCTGCTCGATTCGATTGGCCTCATCCGTTTTTAACTTCTCAGATAGACGCGCCGAAGGTACTCCAAGGATGGACACGTGGGGAGCGTCTGAGATGTACTTCTTGATGAAGTCTTTCCACTGTTGTTCGCTCCAGGACGTCAACGTGTGTGTGTACTGGCTGAGAGTTTTCACGTTCTCCAGTGTTGAGCCGTCTCTCTGTCCATACAGGTAGTCAGAGATGATGTAGTCAGCAAAAGCGGTGGGTGACCCTTCGGCATTGAATTTGTACGTCCGCACTTGTCGATCGATACAATCCTTCATGAAATCCATGTCCAGCGGCTTGCCCATGGCTTCCTTCAAGACCTCGAAGAACCGCCTCTCAACACGCTCCAAGCGCTCGGTTTCGACACTAGACATTGAGAAAGCTATTTCCGTCCGTGGACGGCTGTCAACCTGGTAGTAAACACCACTGGCCAACTGCTCCTTCTCTACAAGAGTGTTGTCAAGTAAGGCAGCTGGCGAACCGGCGAGATAAAGGAGTACCACATTTAAAGCCGCCGTAGACAGTGGATCTGCGCAGTCAGGGCCCAAGAAACGGATGTCAATTTCTCCAAATGACTCATCTTCCTCCGGGAACTCGACACGCTCCAATGTTGATGTTGTTAGAGGCGGCGCCTGCTTCGACTCAATCCAAGGCCGTCGGAATGGGGCGTCGGGACTTGGAATGTCCTCCATGATCGATGTCTCGAAGTCGTCCAACACGGCCAACAACTCGCCATGGTTGACCTCGCCAAAGAGGGCCAGACAAAGGTTTTTCGGCTGGTACATGTCGCGGTGGAAGTCTCGGATCCGGTCGGCCGTCAGCACGCGGAGTTGCTCCATCATACCTCCAGTCTCGTAGCGGAAGCCGACGCCTTCTGGATAAAGGATCCTTTTTGATCGCAGCTCAATCAGCTCCGCGGCCGTATTCTGCACGCCCTGCATCTCTGAGTAGACAACACCAGCGTCGTGGCCATTTCCGTCAATGTGATGGACTTCGGTTATACAGCCTGCGTCAGTCAACGTTGGGAGGATGACATGCTCCAAGTAGACCGGTAGAATCTGGGCAAACCCAGCCCAGCCAGCGGTTTCCAACGTATAGGCCGTATGATCCGTCGCCGTCCAGGCGTTGGTGCCGGAATAAGCACGAGTTGCGAGTTTGTCGAGGAAACCTTTATACTTGTAGCTCTTTGAGCCCATGAAGCACAGATGTTCCAACGTATGTGGCGCGCCCGAGTCGTCGTGGATTTCAGTTGCTAACACGAAAAACCCATGCAATTTGGGTCCCTGTTGGTCGACCACGACCACTCGCATTCCCGTTCGCTCTGATTCATACTGGGTGATCTTGGTGGGAGAATATTCAGGTACAATTTGTTGAAGCTGCCGAAATCGCGGGCCCGACCTTGATGACACCATGTTGGCCGAGCGCAGAATGGCCTGGCAGAGTTGGTGGAATGAATTGACGTGTTGTGACTCTAACGCCAGTCTCACATTAGTCCACAGTTCTTCAGCGTGAAATAACAAGCTGGTCAAAGGCTATATCGGGAGAAAAAGGGCGAAGAGGCAAACGATTCCGGCTATGAGATACACAGCAAGCCTCATTTACCAACGGAAAGACCTGCCTGATTGTAGTAATGGCTTGAGTCCAAGGCTGACAGGTGCTTACGTGGTGTAACGCACCTTCTTTTCAATTTGATAGCAAACCGTTTTCGACGTCAGTAATGTTTTCCCAATAGGTGCCCACCAGCCTTGGATCGCAATTGACCAGCGACAAGCAAATTCCAGCACTGGCAGGGAGAGATTGTGAGGCTCGACGGCAAGGAACGTGCAGAGCCCAGTCGAAGACTCGAGCAGTCTGTTGATCCTGGATATCCCGTTGCGATACAAGAGTCCAGTCCCGCGAGGAGACTCTGTGAAGGAGGTGGGAGAGAGCGAAGATATTGCTTTAATCACCAGGACTTCTAATGGCCGTACGAGATGTGAAAACGAGATGTATTGTGTACCTTGGTCCCGTCCCCATGCATTTTGGTAGAAGTTGAAGTCCAGACCACATTCACTCCCCGTTTCGGCACTAGGAATGCCTTGGCGTCAAAAGCAGTGTATTGTTAAGATGCTAGCATGTTAGAATCCACGTGACTCGACCGAGCCTCGCCGCTTTTGTAGCTACGGCCATTGCGACGGTATACTAGTACAGAGTAGTAGTCCTGAGGTACCTACGTGGAGGTGATATTTGCGACAGAGCAGTTGCAGGGTTACCTCACAAAAACAGAAGAGAGGGTGGTTCAAGTATTATTCCGGACCTAAAAGATCAAGTATTATCTTGCAAATGTGCAAAGGCCCAACATATATTTCCCTTCGGTGGTCCAGCCCGTCGTCTATCCAAAACATGCACTGAGGCCCTCTCAGCACGATACAATTACCCCCAGACTTTTGATAAACCGCTTTGCTAATGCCTGATGATGACGTGCCGCGCCTGTTTCCGAAACCGACCAGAAATATGCCGCTTATCATCCGCTTCAAGTATGCACAGGAAATCCGTGTAAAATGTCCACTGTCGTTACGGGGCGTTGGTGTAGAGCTCTTGAAGAGGGTTCTGTCCCTTCCGAAGAGCCCTGTTCTTTTGCTTCTTCTCTTTCTGCAACTTCATTTCTGCCCATCCCTGCTCTTCGTCGTCATCGTCCTGTTTTGCCAGCGGTGATCTTCGGCCAAGAGTATTGACCGACGGTTTCGCTCCATGCATTGATGCTCGAGGTACATTGTCGCCTTGTGACCATGGTCGGTAGGTTGATGTGGTAAATGTAGACGATCGTCTTGTGGAGGAGGCATCTGGCTCGCCAACGATCGACACCGGTCTATATCTCGGTGCAAGTCCAACATTGCTACGCTCTGAGGGCGCAATCGATGGGGTGTAGTACCCGCCGTTGATGTTGATGGCTGGCACAAACGATGGGCTGGAGTTCCATGGCGCCATCCCCGAGTGGAGAGCACTCATGGTCCTCGACGCCAGCTGAGGGCCTGATGATTGCTGCATATGAACAGACTGTGGCCGTTGCTGACCAGGCTGAGGCGGCATGCCTGGCGGAGGCTGTCCCTGTCCACCCATCATCTGCTGCATTTGCTGCATCCATTGCATTTGCATGTGCATCATTTGATTCATTTGTTGGGACATTTGGATCTGCGCTTGCTCCCCAGGGCTCACCATTGGAGGCATCCCTGGCATCCCTGGCATGCCCATGGGATATCCCATGGTAGACAAATTGCCAGCGATTTGTGACCTGGGTAGCATTCCCGGGGGCGGCGCAGGCATGTCATAAGTGCCTGATGCATTAGGGCTACCTCTTCTCGCCGCGCGCGCTCGTTCCTCTCCAGCAATGACTCCAACAAGACCTGCTGGATGTACAGGGTGAGCGGTCGACGGACCTGCTCCTAAAGCAGGGCTGGCAGGGTGGATCGACAGAGACTCTCGAATGGAAGAACTGACGAGGCCAGCTCCATAATAAGGGTCTTGAGGCAGATGCCGTGCAAAAACGGGCAGGTTAGGCCCTTTCGGAGCTTGACTCACCACAGATGACGCAGCTTGGCTCTGACTTACAACTCTGAGGTTGGGATTTGAGGGCAATTTCGAAAGTTGAGTCGGTGGCCGATTCTTGTTTGGAAATCCATGCGCCGCTAGGATGCCCAGTGGAACGTCCTCATCTTCATCTTCATCCTCTCCGCTGCTCCTGCCAGGTTGTTTCAAATCCATTGACAGATGAGACAATTGATTGTTAAGGTCATTGGAGCTTCCGTTTCCGAGCTTCATTGTGCCCAAGCTACTCTCGGTTCCAGATGATAGCTTTTCACCCGTCACTTTCATCATCTGCTGACGGTAAACAGCCAAATGAGCCTCCTGCTTCTGCCGCTGCTTTGTAGCTCGACGATCACGCTCAATCTCGTCATCGTCCTCATAGTCATCGCTTACGTTCGAGTCACTGTCATCAGACAAAGCACCCAACCTTCGGTCCATTTCCTTCTGCTGTTTGTATTGTTCCCATTGAGCCGGCGTCATCACCTTGTTAGAGGAGACTGGTTTCGGGGGAGGGACTTTGGTCTCTTGGTACATATTGGCGAGTTGGGCATCGGCTGCGATGGCAGGATCGAACGTTGCGCTATGCGTCGAGCTTGGCGACAATGCTTCAGTCGCTTCTCTGATCGGACTGGTTGACATCAGGTTGCTGTCCCTCGATCTCGATTGCATCAGTGCCACTGGTCGTTCATCCTCCTCTTGTGCTGGGGCTCGTTGGCCGACTGGCTTCCTCGAAGGAAGGACAGACCTTGACGAGAGAGGACTATGACGAGACCTATGTAGACTGTTTTCACGCTCCCTGGCAGGACCCCCTTGAGTGATAGTCTTCGAAGGGCTTGGAGATCGCATTAAGCCATCCTGCGAATCATGCGAGTTCCATGAATAGGGGGAGGACTCGACACCTTGGGCGCCATCTGTCCGGATAGGAGAAGGTACAGGCGTTCTGCTGGAACGCACTGCAGCTGCGCCAGGGTAGCTTGTAGGAGGGTAGCTGGTCGAAGGGGAGGACATAGGTTCCTATGAATGGTCAGCCTGTGGGAAGAGAATGAAGTCTCAGGATAGAGTGGTACCTCTTCCTGTATCGGCCGGACAGGGGCAGAGCCTGGGCTAGACCCAATATGGTCGAACATGTTGCCGAAGCCATCCAACTCGGAATTCTCCAGTGCTAGGTCAGAATCGAAAAGTCGCGGAGGTGTCGCGGTGCTGGCAGTGCTGGCAGTGCTTGTTGTGACCGCCCTGCTTCTGTTGTTATCGATCACTACATGGGCACCCGGTGAGCCCGTCGGTGACCCTCGACTGCCTCTCACAATTCCAAAAGAGAATGTCCGGCCTGGACTGCGCAAAAACGCCGGTTTGGCTGCCGAGGGTGGCGGGACAGGAACGTCGTTGGGTGACCTTTGTGTAGAAGTATGAAGATTTTTATCTTTATCCGACCTCGTGTCGACGGATGATGGATTCGTGGAGGAGATGCTGAGTCGAGTAGAAGATGCACCGCTGTCATAGGGGGCAGTAGAATGGGAACGTTCTGTCCCACCACTTCCACTGAACATGGTCAGTTTTCTCAATGGTGTATACATGTGCAAGTCCTCGCCTACCGATTGCTCACATCCTGGCGCGCTCCCACAAATATGTCGTCTTCTTCGTGATCATCATGGTCTTTCGGTGGTGGCCTTGGTGCTCCACCCGAAGCCATTCTCATCGAAAGGCCACCATCAAAGGACTTTTCTTTGCTGCCGGGCCGCTCCAAGACCCTGAAGGAGGAGTGAGAGTCGGGAGGATTACGGACTTCATCCAAGGCATTGCCTGAAGATTTCCGTCGCTGAAAACCCTTGGGCAGCTTGATTGGCATGAAGGTGGTTTAGAATGACTGCGACAAGCCTGACCAAGGACCAATGGATATGTGACTGTGTGTCTGACGGGCTCCGGTCTGTAATCGAAGAAGTAAAGGGGTTTAAGGACACAGGACTAGGACGAGGTCATGGAATAAGTTGGACGCGGCCGGCAACCTGCATGAAACGATGTGGTCAGCAACAACATCCCCGGTGAGAAGAAAGTTCACAGAGCCTACATACTGTGTACTCCGTACAGCCTCCTTTGACCTTTTGTACCCACTTGTCGTCAGCGGAACGATCAGGAACGGTAGACCACACACTCGGACCTCTAGAGATGCTGGATAAACCAACAAGTGTAGGAGGTGGTTGGACCGAGCGTTATGTCAGACTGCGGATGGACACTATTTTTGTACAAGCGAGGGATGTGAGCGGCAGGAGGACGAAGGAGCGATGGACAAGGGCTGGACGGGAAATTGACGTTCTTTAATACTGCCACACTTTGAAGTGAAGAAGCTGGAGCATGAGAGCTTGTGAGTAGTGCAAAAAGCGAGTTGTCATCAAACATATAGAAAATGAGACGAAGATGGGCAAGAGTGTAGGAGCAAAGCTGCAAAGCAGCAAGTTAGTGGTGAATCCTCCTTGCCTGCTCTAGGGACCAACCAGTGCCTGTAGTGCCTGCACTCGCGCGGTTTTTGAGACATGCCCCAAAACAACGCCGGGATCCATTTTTTAGGCGACTTTACTTAAAATGTTATAAACAGTATGCCCCTCCCCAGGTATGTTCCGGCTTGATTGTGGCCCAATGCCATGTTTAGTTGGTCCCCTAGCCTACTACTACTTACCTGGTATGCACCAAGGAGCCCGGGAGGACGCAGAGTGACACTTTCTGGGCAGCCCGCAGTACGTAGTAGCGGCGACATCACTTGTTCCGCATAGGTACAGGCTGTAGGTAATCATCAAGATATACCTAGGTAGGTAGGTAATGCTTGACAGTCTACTGACCTACGTACAATTACTGTTCATGCCCAATAAGGTAGCAACTTGCGACATTATCTCGATGTGAAGAACCTCTCATACAGCCTGCGCCTATACGTTGGTAAACGAGTAGATACACCAACTAAATATCAGGTAATAATGGGGGGGTTTCTTCTCCTGCAGCGAGTGATTGCCCTCCTCACGATGCCAATCACAACATCCGCCAGCTGCCGCTGAAGACACACACAACTGCAACATTGCATTCAATCCACCGGCCCTCCGGCCAAGGGCGGGATTCAACAATAAATAGTCTGGGTGTTTACTCCTCGTTTTGTGCCGCTTTCGGTCAATTTCATGCCCTAAATCAACCCAAGGTGCTTACCATCAAGCCATCTTTTCCATGCAGGTGTTGACGCATCGTGCACCCCCAGCCAGTGCCTTTTATTGTGGCGCTCTCGCCTCCCAGTCTCTTGCCCGTACTACCAGGGACCGGGGCGACCGTAGCTGTGCTGGACTCTTGTCTGCCCCGTGGCAGGCTGTCCTTGCTCGCTGGAGCCCCGCATGCACTTCGCCTCCTCTTGGCTTGCAAGATGCGTACCTGGGAACCGAAATAAGGAGGCGGGAATCCGGGGAAAAGACCAGTCCATCTAACATGTTGCTACCGGGCCATATTGTGATATGACACACCTGCATATCATGCCCTGTCTGTGGCTCGCACTTGCACGAACCCCGACCAGGGCTTGCGGATGGAACTTTGGTGGAGTCTCCTGCGAAATAGTTGTTATTGCCACGGAGGTTTGCGCGTCAAGCAATACGAACCGCGGGCTTGATCCCTTCAAGACACGACTTCAGGTCTGGTCGTTGCCGCGGTTGATCTGGACCACTTTATCCTCGCCAGTGCTGAGAATTCCCACCTCCTTGTGCCAACACACTGCGAACACCTTGACACCGTCACCAACGGCCGGACTGGGCTTGCCTTCAAGGCTTGCTCTCGGCAAGGTGTACAAGCTTTGCCCGACCGCACCCTCCTTCTCCTGTTGTGTGCTTCTCACATCCCACACTCTGCAGGTACCATCGTGACTGCCACTGACCAGGGTGTACTCATTGGTGGGATCTCGAGCCAGACTGACAACGGAGTTCTTGTGTCCCTTGAGCGTCATGGCGGCAACAGTAGCAGCCGACACTCGCGGATCTATCAGCTTGATAACTCGGCTGATCGAGCCTGCAGCAATCAGGTGAAGCGACGGCATATGCTCGATACTGAGCAAGGCACTCGATATCGGTCTTGTGTCCACCAAAGATGCCGTCACCAGATCCCACGTTCGAACAGTCTGGTCCCAAGAACTTGAATATCCTACCGTGGCGTCGTTTGAGTCAAAGATCGCTCCCGATACCGGTCCAGTATGTTGTTGCATTAGGGCAAGTGGCCCTCGTTGCGACAGAGTTGTCTCACTCAACTTCCTCCTTTTGCCATCCTTGGTCCTGGCACGAGGCACGAGTGCTTCCGGCGCCGCAGGTGCATCGGATTTTCGGGTAGACCACAATCCGACAGAATGATCCGAGGATGCAGATAATATGCGACCTGAACCGGAATGAGGGCACACGGAATCCACCGAGGATTTGTGACCGTAGAGTTCAAGTTGTGGTGTCAAGCTGGCAGAAAAGCCATCCTGGTCCTCCGTATATCTCCACAGCCTCAATGTCCGATCGAAAGAACCCGACACAATCTGATCTGGCGAGACAAACTTAGCGGACTTTATAAAAGATCCATGCCCACCATGTGCTCTTCCCGGAGATGTCACGAGAACCTGGGCTGAGGTATTCCAAACTCTTAGGAGCCCATCGTAGCTGGCTGAGAGGATTCTGGGTGACTGGCCTGATAGGACATCGACATCGCTGACCCAGTCGTCGTGTTCAAAGGAAGTGACATATTGAGGCGGAATCCGCGCCCGCGCGTACTCGACGGTGAGAGTGGTTTCCGGGGACAGCCCGTTTTCGGTCAGGTATTCATCAATCGTGGTGCGAAGATATTTGCCATTAATGAGAAACTCCAAAGGAACCGACTTCTCGCTCTTGAGGAGGCTGTTGACAAGGGTTGAGAGGGCATAGCGGCGGAAGGACGTGGGAATGAGGATTGGCGCATTGTCCTCGAGGACGAGATCGGCGTCTCTGGTGGTCAGTCTCACCCGCACTTGGGAGTTCTGTGAATCCGCAGACGTTGCTGCCATCTTGATAGAAAATGACACGTAGTTGGTAGGTAGCCAGAGTGCTGGCAACAGCGACGGGCTGATGCGAGGCCTGGTTGGAAAATGTTCTGCTCAACCCGCATCTGCAAAAAATTTGAGTGGAGAAAATGGTCCGAGTAAATAAATGGCCTAGGGAGCCCCTTAGCCCCTCTACTACTACTAGTACTAAGGTACGTACCTAAGTAAGCCCCCCCGGTCCACCAAGCAAGTTCCTCGCAGCCAAACCGCAGCGGGCCGCAGCCTGATGTGTTTGATGTCACTTTTGGGCTCTCCGCGTCCCTGTCTATTTTGACACGTCGACATATTAATCTTCCTCCTCACGAAGGCTCGTCTTCGCCCTGCGTCTGCCCGCAGACATGCCAGATGAAAGAGACCCTTCAGTGTCTCTGTGCGAGGCCATCGTGAATGGCACTTTTCCTCAGTCGGAAGACCTTCTGACCTCCGACCTATCGTCTGAAGTGCGACTCCTCCATGAGATCTCCGAGACCCGACGGAAGATCAGTGACGAGATCAAAGCTGCCAGCCAAGATGACTCGGGAGACGTGGGTCAATGGATTCTGCAAGCCAAACAGGTCCAGGAGGACATTGCAAGATGCAAGCTGGAATCTAAACGCATCGTCGAGGAGCATCAGCACGTGCAGGCTTTGAGGGACGAAGCTATCGACTACCAGCGGAAAGCGGAACTTCTCGAAGCAGAGATTGAGTTCACAGAGACCTTGGGAAGAGAACTGCAGACCATATCTTCAGCGACACAGTCTTTGAGAGAGGTTGAGGATGATTTGGCTGCGCAAGATTTTTCCGCAGCCGCCTCAAAGTTGCAGCAACTGGACAATACTACCTCAAGCATATTGAGATCGCGTACGGCGACCTTGATTCGAGATCTGAAGGATGAGCTGCGTCTCAAGACACGCGTCCAATTGGAAGCAAAACTATATGACCAAATCACAGTGCGAAGGGAACAACAAAAAGCGAGCATTGAGGTCCTGCCGACAGAGATTGATCCAAGCGCAGTCAACTCTGACACTCTTCTACAAGCTTTGAGCCAACTAGGTGATCTGCAGGAGTCACTGGAACCCTTGATAGACAAGCTCAGTGCGGTTGTGCTTCAGCCTCTTCGACAGTCGTCGCGACTGAAAATGGCCTCTTACAACGTTTCAAAGTTCAGCATCACTGTTGAATTTGACAGGAGTGGCGCACCACTCGACGTGATTTTTCGGTTTGTGCTTGACTTCTTAGACTTCGTGCATTCCTCGTTGTCCAAGGAGATACAGCCTATAATGGTCAAAGCCATCCTGCCGCAGTTAATGACGGTATTGGTCAATGACTGGCTCAATCCTGGTCTCCCCACGGACCTGTCGATGCTTGAGGGACTTGATACAATGCAAGAACAAGTAATTTCAATTCTGGGAACATTGAAGGCCCTTGGTTGGGACGGTCAAGCACAACTTGAGGACTGGGTTGACGACATCCACCGGGCATGGTTGAACAAGCGGAAGGCAGCCACCCTAGACGCGATTCGAAAAGCTTTCGCGTCGTCCAGAGGGGTCCTTCGCCAGGTCGAAAGGGTTGAAAGGCAGGTTATCTCAACAACGCAGAAAGAGCCCATTCAGACCCACGATGACGCGATTGACTGGAATGCAAGTTGGGACGATGAAAGTGGGGAGAATCCAACGAACCGTGAAGCAGCAAAGACCGAGGACGATGAGGAGGTGAGCGGATGGGGCTTTGAGGACGACGAAGAGGAAGCGAATGGTCGCGATAAGAATACTCAAGCAGGCCGGACCAGCGGTGCAGACAAGGACAAGCCTACAGATAGCAATGAAGAGCGCCAGGAAGAAGTAGAAGAGGCAGAAGAGGCCTGGGGTTGGGAAGATGACGGTCCTGTCGAGAAGCGAGACGATCCGAGAAACAACATCCAACAGGCTCCCACAAATCAGACCAAACATGCCGAGCAGGAAGTTACTTTGACCGAGGTCTACAGCATCAGCGAGATCCCCGACCATATAGTCGAAATCATCGGACGAGACGTCTCAGATGCGCAAGCTCTCCAGCAAGGAACAGAACACAAGAGTCTCGACGCGACCGCTGCCTCGAGAGGCCTTCTCGCGCTGCCTACATTAGCACTTGCCATGTTCCGCGCCATAGCACCAAGCTACTACGGCGCCTCACCATCGTTGACGGACCTCCACCGTTACAACGACTCGCTATACATCGCCGAGCGGTTGCGCGACATGTTGCAGTTAAACAACGTGTCTTCGACAATGCCTACACCACCAAACGTCGAGGCGGACATCAAGGCAATGGAGCGGTTTGCGCGACTAGCATATTCCAAGGAAATGGAAACGCAGCGCCTCATCATCTGGGACCTGCTCGAAGGCGCACAGGGGTTCGTGTCAAGCACTCAATTCCCTTATTCCCAAGAGATCAAGAACGCAGTGTCGGCCGTCGTCGACCGCATTCGCACACTGCATCGCGAGTGGAAGCCGATCCTGTCGACCTCGGCGCTCATGCAGAGCATCGGCTCACTGCTTACCATGGTCGTCGCCAAAGTCATCTCCTCCATCGAGGACATGGACGACATCTCCGAGCCCGAGTCGCAGCGCCTGACTGCTTTGTGTCAGCAGATCTCCTCCCTGGACGACTTGTTTCTCTCCAATCCGCCGCCGCCGAAAGCTGATAGTCCAGACAGTCAACCTCGGCGCTCATCCTTACTTGAATCCCTCGAACCCAGACCTGAATCGGAATCCGGCCTGGAACCTGGTTCAGAATCCGATTCGGTGCCAATGACCGCCGTCTACGTCGGCAACTGGCTCCGTTTCCAGTATCTGATCAACATCCTGGAAAGTTCGTTGGTCGACATCAAATATTTGTGGACCCAGGGCGAACTCAGTCTGGAATTTAGTGAAGACGAGGTGGTCGACTTGATCAAAGCCCTCTTTGCTGAGAGCGCTCATCGGAGGAACGCTATAGCGGCCATCAAGGGCTCGAGGCGGTCGCAGTAGTCAACTTCAGGATCCGGGGACGTCTGCGCAACTGGAATGCAAGTGTCTATCTATGCATACTTTGGAAATTGAATAAATACCTGGACGCATTCAGCACTCACACTATCAATGCAAAAACTGATAAACTGAAGTCAAGACGTCGCGTTCATATATTAATAAAAGGTGAGATCATCACCAAGCTGTGGCTAGCTATGTCTATCAACTAAGCGCGCTGGTATTGTCCAGAGCTACCTTGCTGACCACGTATAAAGCCAGGTAGTTGAGACAGGTAAATGTACTGTACAACGTACAACATTGGCTAGTTGGCTAGCAGAAGAATTTATACAGTTTCTTCCAAGTCGGCCAATTCCTGCGATCCGCCTTCTCCTCGGCCACCAGGACCTTGACATTGAACTCCCTCTTACCCGTGAACAGATCCATGTCCCTGATCTTGACGACCTCCGTCCTCAGATACAGCTTGTAGCCGAGATACATGATGACGACGATCGGGGCGGCGAGATAGGCCTGGAAGAAATTGATGACGAGTTCCTTGGAGCTCATGGACTGCCAGCCTACGGGACTGAAGCCGGTCCAGAACTGGGCGATCAAGACGAGCATGTTGAAGATGAGCCCGATCCACGACCCGATCACGCCGACGGGGGAGCGGAACGCGAGTTCGTCCAACGTGTGGCCTTGAGCGAGCCAGGCGTGGCGGAAGCGGATGTGCGCGAGGCAGATGCTGGACCAGGTGAAGATGGAGCTGAGGCCGGAGAGGGCGACCATCCAGTTGAATGCGTCTTCTTGTCTATGGGAGGCGGCGAGGAAGGCGAGTAGGCCTAGGACGGAGGCGACGATGATGGCGTACAAGGGGCGGCCGGTGCGGTCGATGTAAGCGAAGAAGGAGGGCGCTTGGCGCTGTTCGGCGAGGGCGGCCAGGGTTCGCGACGATCCGTAAATCGAGGAGTTGCCGACGGAGAGGACGGAGATCATGATGACCACGTTCATCACCGACGGGAGGACTTGGAGACCGGCGTTTTGGATGGAGATGACGAATGGGGATGCTCTGCAAGACAAAAACATATCAGTAACCAACAAACTTGTCCGGGATTGTTGTGTTTGTGGAAAGATGGGAACTTTGGGTGCTATGGAAACAATGCCAGGGGTAGGACGTACTTTGCATCGGCGCTACTCTTGCCGTTTAGGAGCCGTGGATCGTCGTAGGCCACTAGGGTTCCGACAAGGAGTAGACTGACGATGTAGAAGAGGGTGATTCGCCAGAAGACCTATACGACCAGTCAGATAGGAAGGAATAGGATATTTTGGTGTAGCAGAGGGACTCACTTGCTTGATGGCAGTCGGCAAGGCTTTGCGTGGGTTTTCCGTCTCCGCCGCAGCCAGGCCGACCAGCTCAGTGCCGGCAAACGCAAATGCCGCCGTCACAAATGTACTGCATAAGCCTTTGAAGCCATTGTGGAAGGCTCCCGGGTGATGCCATAACCGAAACCCCATATAGCTTCCATCGGGTCTGCCAAAGTCGTCGGTGCCGCCCATGATATTGATCAGGACACCAAGGATGCTGTAACAAGCATCAGTATCGAAGCCCAAGATCTCTTGTCGGAGAAGGCTTACATGTATCCTATCACAGCGGTGACTTTGACAATAGAGAAGATGAATTCCGCCTCGCCATATCCTTTCACGCCGAAGAAATTGATCATCACAATCAGAACCAGGAATATCGACACCCAAGCAGCATTGAGGCTGAGCTTTTGCACCTATAGGATTCTGCGTCAGCCATTCGACGGGCTCAAACACACAAAGACCAGTCCACTTCCGACCTACCCAGTAATCGACCGTGATGGAGGCCGCGACAATCTCCAACGGCAGCACAACGAGCCATTGCATGGCGTAATTCCAGCCCATGGCGAACCCCCATGCCGGATCCAGAAACCGGGTGGAATATGCGGAGAAGGATCCTGCGACCGGGAACAACACTGCGAGTTCACCCAGCGCCTGGACGGTACAGTACATCATGACTCCCGTCAAGCTGAACGCCAGCAGCACCGAAGCTGGACCTCCGTATGCGAGTGCCTTGCCGCTTCCGACAAATAATCCTGTTCCGATACTGCCGCCGATCGCGATCATCTGCAAATGTCGTCCCTTCAGCCGGCGCAGGAGAGGCGACATCGCCGTCGCCTGCGCGGCAGCCTCGGCATCGTAGTGGTGATGGTGAGGATGGGCAGCGCTGAACGAGGCCGACCTGATGACGCTGGCATTGGGATCTCGTCGGAAACTGTCGGTCATGCGCCGTGACCATTTCCGCTTGACATGGGCCATGTCTCCCTCGTACGCCGACGGCCCTGGGGAGGAATCTGGAGTCCAGCTCTTCTTATCGTCCATCTTGGGGAAGCTTCGATCATGGTCGCGCAGACGCGGAAGATCTGTCTGTTGTCGGCGCGGGTGCGATACTGACTCTCATAGCGAGCGACAACGGTACGATAGGTAGTAGAGGTGGCAGAGACGACGGCGAGGGAAGATGATGTGCTGAGTGCGTTGCGTTGCACCGCAGACGCCGGCAGTGGGAGGATCTCAAGCCTTGCTTTTGCCAGTGGTGAAGCCACAGATAGGATGGTCCCACTTGATGACCCTGGTTCTTTGATAACGAACGAAACGCTGTGTTGAATGAAGATAAAGACGTGTGATTGAAGTCGGCTGGTCACGTGATATGAGGCTCGGCCCCGATTTGGCAGAATTGGTCTATTACAACTAACTGTACTGTATCAGAAGAATAAAAGCTACCTACCTTATCCTACAGCCATCATTACTCCAGCCAGGTATATATACCCTGCAAAGCACCTGGTAATCATATCGCGCTCTGGCGGGTCAAAACATAGAGGGAATTCCCTCGGAGTCGTCAAATCGTCATAGACCACAAGACAGCATTTGAAGGGTGCTGCCCGTTAATGGGTCTGTCTCATGCCTTCTCTTTTGTACAGATGCCCAGTGTGCATAAGTAGGCGCTTCTGTCATCAACACCAAGCCGGGGTCGAATATTAGAAGACGATAAGGATGGGCGATACCATCGTTATGGTTTGTGTCCGGAGAAATAAAGGGTTGGAAAACCGGCTCCCTGCCTAGGTAGGATCTGCATCATTCTCGGATTCCCGATCACTGGGTCCAGATGGGCCAAATGGATCCGAAAGGCGGTTCGTCCTCGTGAAGTGATCGTCCGGCCGCGACGATTCCCCCTCCCCCTCTCCAGCGTCCAGCTTCAACGATGCGTGTCCGACTTCGTCGGCATCAGGAGGAACCGATTTCGACTCTGCACTAGCCAGGCCTTCGACATCTCGCGAGTTTAATCCTCTTTCGAGCGCAGGGCGTTGCGCGGCTTCTCGTTTTTGCTTGACCTCTAGCTCGTCTTCCGGTTCGGCTTGATCGTCTTGTCGTTTGAAGTCAAGCATCATTGGGGGCTGGGATTGCTCCCGTAGGGGGCTTGGCGACACTAACGCCAGACTTTTTGCCGACGAGGATCTTTGACTCTTCATACTGGGACTGGCCAGAGATTTGGAGGATGGGGTCCGCGTTGCCCGACGTGAAGCCCGCGTCCGCCTGCCGCTTGAATTTCTTGACTTGCCACTTCCCTGATCCTCATTCAAGCCCTGATTCGTCATGCGCCGGGTTAACATCACTGCAAATTCGTCGTCAAGGGGAACGGCGTCTTCTTCCTCATCACCCATAATAAGATCTCCTCTAGAGCTGAGGGAATTCATGGTCGACCTTGAACCGGCAGTATCGCTCCTTTGGCGGCCGTGACCCTTGTCCCAAGGGACATCATTCTCCTCATTCTCCTCGATCAAGGGTTCCCGTTCGGAGTCCCTTACTCTAGCTCCTCCGGGGTTCTCTTGCAAGTCTGCTGCCGAAGGCTTGTACCGCAACTTACGCGCCCCTATTTTCCACGGAAGGCGTTCTAGGAACCCCAAATAGGATGAGCCTGGGATAATGGTCGGGTCTTGTTTTGGGTCTGGCTGGATCCCAGGGGGGTTTCGTTTCCCCCGAGAACCATAACTCATGGCCCGTTGTCTGCGTGGCTGCCCCGAGCGTGGACTTTGACCGGCCAGGAGACTGTCCAACTCATCATTACCCCATCCTAAAGGAGTGTCGGCGAGGGCCTCATCATCGTCCCAAGCGTCGTAGAAGTCGAAATTGTATTCAGCTCTGCCACGCGATCTCCCCCTCTTCCGGCGCAGATTGTCTTCTCGACCTGGGAAACATGGCCGTGTGCAGTCATACAGGCAGGATCTCAGTCCAGCAAGACAAGGATCGATGTAGAGTTGGGCGAAGGTGTAGATGTTCTCCTGGGCCGCTTGGTTGGCGGACTCAAGATTATGGGAGATGTTATGGAGGGTTTGGCGGAATTCAGGGTTGTTCATCTTTATGCGCCGAAATGTCGTCAGGCCGATGGTAGAGGTGCTGGAGCAGTCGTGCACGCGGGAGGCTCTGATCGAAGCGCTGAAATCATGCGCTCAGATCTCGCAATTGCCATGCTTAGAACAATGCGGTAGTGGTAGTGGCAGTGGCAGTGGCAGTGACAGAGTGAGATGAGTTGCGCAAGAGGAGAGGATCGTGAATTGGTGGAATTGTCTGGCGGCGGGACAAAGGCTGGGACGGAGATCGTTACAGCCCGGTAAACACGGGTCAACAGGTGACGGTAGGGAGATTATGTAAGCTGCGGTGGCTGATGCCGTGCAGTGGGGGGTTAGAACTCCACCGTAGCATTATATCCAGACCGTCTGCTCCACCGAACAAGTCTCGCTTCACGTCCACTATCCAACGGTCCAACATTTCAATTCCTCGCAGAACAAGTTTCAACGGAGGTGATCAGAAGCAAATTATGCAGAGTCCGGTCTCAGACGACTAGCATGGCAACCTAATCAGACCTCTGCAACTTCGACTTCACACTTTGACCTCCCAGCCTAATGCTGCCAACCGTTTCGTCTCCTTCGAATGGTTCACTATATCCGCTTCCTGCGCACGCCGCAGACTGCAACGGGCAAGAAGACTGTTGATATTGCAGCCGTTGTTGCAGTCACCACAGATCTGGGTGATGCCTACTACGCCCAAAATATTGATCTTGTGGTGGAAGTCGTAGAAGCCAATCGTCCTCATGGTATTCTTCACACGCAAGTCGTGACATGGCAGGCCTCTTCCAGAGCTCTCAAATTCACGGCGAATTGTCCTGGCAAATATACTTCTAGGTCTGCACGGCTCCATGTGACCACCAGAGCCACGCAATCTGCGTCTGGCATTATGGCGGTGCCCGTGATCCTTGACGTGTGGAGTGATATCTTTACCCTGTCTGACAAGCAGCGCACCGAGCCCATAGTGGAACGGCAGCTTGTCCTCCCGAACAAGAGCCGCATCCGTATGTGGGAGGAGACGGGTGACAGCATTGCCCGTCACGTCTGGTACGTACAGCGATCGCATTCCCCTGGACTGACTGACAAGATACTTCAGGGACGCCGGCTTGGGCTTTCTGATGTATTTTTCGCAGGCTCTATCATCATCACCTGCTGAGGGAATGTCCCGACTGGCATCTCTGATGAGGTCTAGTAAGGTGAGGCGACTGAAGGTGCTGGAACTTGGAGCTGGCTGTGGGATTGCGGGTATGGCCTTCGCACAGCTTGCCAAGTGCGACATGCTCCTCACCGACCTGGAAGATGCTCAGGAGATTTTGGGCAACAACATTCGCTGTGCTTCGCCATTAGCGGGATCGACCCTCCGATCCGAAGTTTTGGACTGGTCTACAGGCGTTGATGATAGCTGCAATGCGAATTACGATCTTGTTCTGGTTTCGGACTGCATCTACAACCCAGACAGCAGTCTTCACCTGGTAGAGACTCTCAGACAGTTGGCCACTCGTACCCCCGGCGTGTTGATTTTGGTCGGGTTCAAACGACGACATGAAGCAGACACCATCTTCTTCGACCGGATGCAACAGACCGATTTTGCCATAGTCGAGCAGGTCAATATTCCTCTTCCGCACACCTTCACCGACCATGACGCCGACATACCCACGAGCGAGTTTTATACCTATCAGTTGCAGTCCGCTCTGTCCCCAAGAACCTAGACAAGAAATTGACTCCCACGCACTCTCAGACGAGCAGAACCATACGCATCGCAGAATCCCCGACCTTCGGACCGTAAAAATGCCGACATATTCGACCTGGTTGACATGGTTGACATGGTTTGATACCCCTGCCAGGGCAAGCCTGGTCACGTGCCGTGTCACCCCCTGAGGCGGTCAAATTCCCGCACACAACGAAAAATTCCCTTTCTCCTCCGCCTCGATTGAATTGTCGATTCGATTCGATTTGTCTCCCTCGGCGAATTAGACGCGTCGAAAAGAACGGTCTCCGTGTATTATTCAGCCTTCGATCTTGCCGATGTATACTATTATTGGCCGCCCACCAACTTTGTCGTCAGTCCAGTAAATAAAAATCCTTATCGACTGGGGCCAACACACAGCTCGTCCATTTCTCTACTACCTTCACCTTCATCTTCCCCTTCAACTTTCACTGTTCGTAACCGCCAACAGCTCCGCTCATCACCTCACAGCTATTTATTGTGTCCCGAATGAGACACAGTATCCCCTGGAAATTTATCTAGCCTTTGGTAGTCCAAAGGCACCTCAAGACGGCTTCAACGTCGTTTTGCCTTCGCTTTCAAACTGCATCGTCTTGCAAACACCGACATATTCTCAACACTCGTCCACCGCCTGCTGCTGAAGTCTTCAACCGCCACGCCATTGTCGTCCTTCCAGCTTGACGCCCCGGACCAGTCACTTCCCCAAACTAAGCTGCCGCATAGGTCGTCACTCGAGGTTCTTCCTCTTCGTGAGGGAGAGTCGCTGAGGCAAAGCCAACGTCCCATTGGAGCGGAATCCAGGAAACCTCCCTAACACCAATTGGAGATTTCTAGAACTTCAAACTACTGCTTAACCTGTTGCATGGTTATGGCACCTTCTGCGATCGCCATTGATGAAAAAGAAACTACGATTATCAACGACAGTAAAGTCGAACTCATCGACAACAATCATGGCGTCGAATCCGATGTGACTGGCTTTGCCTCCAAGGCGCTCGTGCAAAGAGTCCTCAAAGAGCAGATTGCCCGTGTTGATGTTGACACCTGCGAACCGGGCGAGGAAGATGCCTTCTACGTGGCGGATCTAGGGGAAGTCTACCGCCAGCATCTCCGTTGGAAGCTCAACCTCAGTCGAGTCAAGCCGTTCTATGGTGAGTTTTGCATGTGTATTTCGGTGTTCATCAAAAGTTCAACTAACATTTGTGCAGCCGTCAAATGCAACCCGGACCGCGAAGTGCTTCGTCTGTTGGCGAAAATGGGCACCGGCTTCGATTGTGCGTCTCGAGCTGAGATCGACCTGGTGCTCAGCTTGGGCGTGCCGCCCAGCCGTATCATCTACGCTCAACCATGCAAGACCAAATCGTACTTGCGATACGCTCGCAACGTCGGCGTTACTCAGATGACCTTTGACAACGGGGACGAGCTTCGAAAGATCAAAGACTGCTTTCCCGACGCCGAATTGGTGCTGCGCATCTTGACCGACGACTCGGCCAGTCTGTGCCGTTTCAGTGCGAAATACGGCGCCAGCTTGGAAGACGCGGCAGAATTGCTCCATCGGGCAAGGGAGCTTGATTTGAATGTCATCGGAGTCAGCTTCCACATTGGCTCCGGAGCGAGCGATCCCTGCTCCTTCGGAAAAGCAGTCAAAGATGCACGCTACGTGTTTGACCAGGCGGCCGGATTCGGCTACGATCTCAAATTGCTCGATGTTGGAGGCGGCTTTGTTGACGAGACGTTCGAAGTGTTCGCGGGCAATTTGAACGAGGCCCTCGAGGAGTATTTCCCCCACAACGTCAATGTCATTGCCGAGCCTGGTCGTTACTATGTCGCAACCGCTTTCACTCTGGCCACTCATGTCATCGCCCGACGTGAAGTTTCGGTGGATCGTGAAGGTGGGAAGGGGTACATGCTGTACTTGAACGATGGTGTTTACGGCAATTTCTCCAACATCATCTTCGACCATCAGCATCCTGTTCCACAGGTTTTGTCGGCTGCAGCAGGCGGGGACAAGATGGTTGAATACTCGATCTGGGGTCCTACTTGCGATGGGATCGATGTCATTGCCGATCGATACTTCTTGCCTGGCGTTCTCGACATTGGGGATTGGTTGTTCTTCGAGAACATGGGAGCATACACCAAGTGCTCGGCCACCAGGTTCAATGGATTCAAAGATGACCACGAGGTCATTTACATTTCCAGCGAGCCGGGTGCTTCAGCATTGCTCGGGTACTAAAGACCATGAACGGAGTACGAAGAACCGGGAGCATCTGAATCCCGACGGGACGGTCATTCCTTACGACAAGGAAGAACGGGACAATCTTTCGTTGCGCAACACTCATCACGCCCTTCCGCGGTTTGCGAAGCAGGCGAGAGGATTTCTTTTCTGTTATCACACACTCCTTTGACCATTTTGATCGAACAGATTAATTAGTGACCTCTCTCTGTATCCCACGGAGATGATTCAATTCATTTGACCAAGACAGATGCTCTGGTTTATCAAACATGGCATCTCCTCTTATAAGAAAGCATTTGCCCTATAAAAGCCCCAGCGTCAGCTCCTGACAGAAGCTGGTCTAGTAATGAATGAGGTGTAGCCATCAAAGTGTCCATCTAAAATACCTAGAACATACTACGTACTGCTAACAAGTACTTGCACAGCTTGCTGCTATCAAAATCACTTTCACTTAGAAGATCACGTGCCGTGTCCAGTCTCCAGGCTTTTCTGTGTCTGTCCAGCGCATTTTATTGAAAGGTTGGTACAGTATATCAATCACTCTGTTGTATTGACGCCAACCATCTCAATAACGACCCATAACATAGACTCGTCCGATCCCAGCTGGGAACAAGGATTCACACCATCTAGACCGAGACCGTCCTTCTTTCCCTAAGATCGAGACTCCCCTTCTTTGTGAAGACAGAAGGCTCTCACAGTATATATACCGTCATCTATTCTCCTCAACACCTCCCAACGGCCCGATGGCCGAATCCAAAATGGCACCGACCCCCGTCACAATCATCACGGGTTTCCTGGGGAGTGGCAAGACGACGCTGATTCTGAACCTCATTCCACAATTACCAAAAAGCTACAAAGTAAGTCATCATGCCAACCATGACCCAAGACACTGCCTCAAGAAATGTCCACTACTATGTCAATGACAAGAACAATGACATTGACAATGACAACTCCTCCCCATTCAAGAACAACATAGAAAGACAGAGAGAGAGAGCCCCTAAGCGCCGGTGTACATATCATTCTCAGGACCTCGATATTGCTATGATGTGACTAACGCAACCATTGAACCAACGCAGCTCGCGCTCCTCAAGAACGAATTCGGCGACGTGGCAGTCGATTCGCAGCTCGCCGGGTCCGCATCGATCTCTGGCGTGCGGGAGCTCTTGAACGGCTGTATCTGCTGCAACCTGGTCGGACAGCTGGAAGACGCGCTGTTCCAACTGCGCGACTCGGTGTCGCCTAGCCGGATCATCATCGAGACGTCCGGGTCCGCGTTCCCCGCCACTCTGGCCATGGAAGTCAACCGGGTGGCGCGCGAGCATCCGGGCACGTTCACGCTCGACGGCGTCATCAGCGTCATCGACGTCGAGAACTGGAAGGGCTACGACGACACCAGCTACACGGCCAAAATGCAGGCCAAGTACACCGATCTCGTCGTCTTCAATAAATGGGAGCTGGTGGACGAGCGGAAATTCGACGACGCGCTCGACCGTGTGGGCGACTTGGATGTGCAGGTTGCTTGGGTCAAGAGCGATCGAGGCTGGGTTGACGTCGATGTCATCATGGGCATTGATGGCGCTATGGTGCGGGAACAGGGGTTGCGAGGAGCCATCGAGATCACTGACGAACAGCATCAACTTCAAGAACAACTTCAACAGAGTCACGAGCATGGACACAGCCATGGCCATGACCATGACGTGCACGTGCATCACCAAGACGAAGTGGAGGTTCTGAGTGTCGTGGTGCGCAATGCAGATTCGTCCCGACCGCCGCAAGGGGTGGTGCTGCAGTCCTTCGAGGACTTGCTGCTCTCGGCGCCCAAGGATGAGGTCTACCGCATCAAAGGGCTCGTTTTGTCGTCGAACCCGCCCCCCGATTCGACGGGAGATTCCAAACCCAGTGTTGCCGTCGACGCCGAGGGGCTGGGTCTGTATGTTCTGAACTGGGCGTTTGGCCGCTGGACCTATACGCCACTTCCGAGCTCGGCGTTTCAGGCCATGGAGGGGGCCAGCGCGAGACTGACTTTCATCCTGGCCAGAGGAGAGTCGAATAAGTGGATCAGACGGTTGGAGAAGGGTGATTTTATTGCTTTGGAAAGCGACGACGGAAAGGAAGAGAGGGGAGAATTGAAGATCGAGAAGATCGGTTGAATGAGTCGTCGGTTGGAGGACGTGGCTTTTACTAAATGTCCGCGGCGAGCATCTACACCATTTCATTCCGTTGATGACACTGAAGCGACCACGACGATATCATATCAATGGCGATGGACTACCTATCAAAGATCTTACTGTGGACAGCAGCAATACCTGAGGGAAAAGAACGTTAAGTGACCAACAGCAACGACCAAGCCAGAGGTCTAAAAGGACTGGCACGGATCAAGGCAGCGCAACGGCGACAGATGACCGCGTTTCATGATATGGAACGCCAAAGGCCCGGTCAATGCCAACTGACCAGTCCGGGGAATCGATCAAATATTTGATATGTTGGTCGTGGAACTCCCAGTCATTCATGTGGCAACGATCTGGTTTTTCCAGGTCGACGACTACGGGCTCGTGAAAAGCGGAACGGCAGCGATACTGTCGCAAGAAAGGATGCTCCGACATTCTGTCACCGGCTGTGCTGATGTGGTCCTGTTTAGCTTCATTACTAGGACCTCACGTTATGACCTCGGAACAAGAGTCAGTTTCCTACGCTGGAGGAAACAAGGAAGCAGCCAAGGAGCAACGAGAGAGCCCGACACGAAAAGCAAAGAGGAGGTACAACAGCCACAAACAGAACCAGATAAATAGATCAACGACCTCGTCGGGGAGGACAAAGGGAAAGCCTTACGATGAATGCTTCTTAATATTCACTTATGGTGTCACACGAGACAACCCTCGATGGAGGACTCTCTGCTCTCTGCTCTGTGCTTCCGTGCCACAAAAGCCTTAAAGCCAGCTCTGAAATACCTTGAGTTCAGTATTCCGGCCATGCTCTCAGCAGCCTCTTGCACATCAAGACTGTCTCCATGTTGTTTGTAAGGATAGAGTCAGGTAGCTAGGTATGATGCAGCACGTCCTGCTGTCTTCCCCAAACACCTCAGGATACCATACCATGCATTATCTGATGTCTCTCTTGTTGCATGTCGATCAAGCACTGCAGTCCATGGCAGCCTAATAGGTCACCATAGACTCGATCCGCTATGGCATGGCGTATTTCGCAGGTAGGTTCACTAGAACTTGGTTTCCTTGTCTTTGATGGGGACCTCTTTACCGGTCACACTCCTGTCTGTAATTCGCCGTGTCAGTCAAACTTCAGACAAGAAGAGAGACAGTCAAAGATACAATGAGGACGGAGGAGACTAGACATGGAGGTGTAGGTTGCCCCCAGGGATATTGTCAGTACTCACATTGGTTACGGAGGAAATCACTGATCTGTTCATCCTTGGCTTGTTCAAGGGCACTCTCGTTGTTTTGGGGGCCTTGCCCCAGGAACTTCTCTTGGACGAAGTCGACACCTACACCGCCAGGGTCATGGTCAGCATGTTGTGACGACAAGAAGATGAGACAACCCGCACCCTTGTCAACGTAGTCTTCGTTCTTCTCGCTCTCCTTGCCTCCACCAGCCATCGAGTTGAATTTGTTGCCGAGTCCTCCAAGGAAGCCCCCGTCACTCGAGCTACCTTGTTGTTGACCGGGCTGCTGTTGGGAGTTTTGTGGGTTTTGTGGGTTTTGTGGGTTCTGCTGTTGGTTGCCTCCAGAGAAGCTGTTGAAAGCACCCTTGAGTTGATCCATGATGAGGTAGAAGGAGGTGGGAGGATCGAGTATGAGGACCGAGACAGGAGTATGGGGTATGCTATGGTCCGGCGGAGACAGTAGAATGAGAATGTTTTGTTCGTGAGTTGTGAGTTGTAACTAAAGGCTGAGACTCGAGGAGGGAAGATGGAAGAGGGAACAGGGACTTTAAAAGCAGTTGAACCAAACGAAGGAGGTGTGAGTGAACGATTCACTTTCACGTTTGAAACACCGGTGAAGGGAGGAGGGGCAGAAGGCCACACCGCAGCTGGAGTGTGACGGCGACACTCCGCTGTTCATCGTTCAATTGGAAGCTGACAGGCGCAGCCAAGTTGCTTGGACAGTCTCCAGCCAGGCTTCGTGTTACCTGCGTTTCGACCCTGAGGCTTCGCGTTGGACAAGAAACGCAGAGTCGAGTCCTGGTCGCAGCTGAACAGATACTAGGAGGGCCCTGTACGCAGTAAATAGTGTCACTGACGTTACGTACTGCTGCACCGTGTAGTAAGTGAGCCACATCTTTCCCCACCAATGATGTGCTGACGTTGCTGTGCCACCTGTGCCACAGTTTCCCCAATGACGTCGGCCCAGCCGGTTTAACCGAGATGGAAGAAGCGAGATGCGGCACATCATTCTATTCGTCTATTCGTCCCTTCGCAGCCTCGTCACGAACACTCTCCTTTAGATACCCCTACAACTTAAGGTAGCCCTGGCCCTTGCCCTTGCCCTAGCTAGACGGCCCCATTGGCGAGGTGCTGGCCACCGTTCCAGTCCTGGGCCTCTTTTGCAATGCCGTGACAGACAGCGCCAGCCGAATCTTGCAGCCACTATCAAACTAGGTGCACAGTATGGGTATACTAGTACTGTGTGAAAGCAGCCCAGCCTCACGCTGTCAAGTCTCCCTATTCCTCCACTGTATCAATCTCATCACCAGCACCAGCACCATGACTGGTCACACTAGTCTGACTGGCTCTCCTGTCCGCCTCATCATGTTCTTCCCGCTCAACCTCCTGCTCCCAATCATCCACCACTTCCTGCTCCTGAGCCTTCTGCCGTAGTTTCTCTTCATTCTCCTGCTTCTTTCTTCTGGCTTCGGCTAGTCGACTGCCCAGGACCGTATAGACTGGCCTCTGCCCAACCGGCTTGACCTGAGGTGCTTGAGCTGGTGCGGCTTTCCTCGCTGCCACCTGTGACCACCCGTTCGTGGCCGTCGTGCTCGGTTTACCTTGCTGCTCAAGCACTATCGGTCCAGGTCCGGATGTGTCAAATTGACAGAGCACCACCGAGCTTGCTAGGTTATGCTTGCCAACCTCACCAGCGATCGTAGGTTGCAAGCTCGTCAGCATCGTTACCACTTGTTCAGACGTATCCCAAGACATAGATGGGATGAGGGCGACACCTTCGTCGTTGGGCAGGAAGATGATATCAAATTCCGTCGTGGGGGCCGCCTTTTTCACCACCGGCCGCACTTCGTCTTCAGTCAACGCAAACTTGGGTTTCAGTAAGAGTAACCCATTGTATTCGTGCTTGACCTCATCAGCTTTTCGCTCCGCTGTGGAATGGACTGGAGCAGACACATTCAACTGTCCTCGTTTGATCCGGGCGGCTTGTGCCAAAGTCTTCATGGGAGCCGCAACAAATTTCGGCGTCTTGAATAATACGACGTGTCGGTGTGGCTCAGGATCCAAACTCTCTCCATCGAACCCGAAATCTTCGGCAATGCTGTGGATGAACGCTCGTTGTCGGCTCTTCATTGGCGGGAACCGATAACGCTTCACGGTGTCGTCCGCAGCAAAGAGCCTTAAAACGTCCTCCTGCTTATGAGCCCATGCCACATCTTCCAGATACATCTTGAGAGTCGTGGTGGAATAGGGAACATGCTCATCAGTGTGGTCGTCCGAGATATGTAAGGCAAGTGCCAGGTTCCGGTTCCTCTCCAGCCTGGCGCACTCCTCGTCGCATTTGAGGGATGTCTGTCGACCCGGTGGCTCAGGCATATTCGCCCGAGCATTGCATCTCACCTCTTCTTTCTTTCGCTGACAATCGCACGTGATCATGATTTTCAACGGGCATGGTTTGTTCTCCTTGCAGGCTGAAGGGGCATGGCAAGGCTGCTCACAAGGATGTCCACAAGCCTTCTTTGCTTTTCCACATTCTTGTTGGCAGTGTTGATGGGCGTCCTCGCATTGCCCTGGCTTGTGACATGTCTTGCGGCAAGTATGCGAGCCACATTTCAACACCTTGCCACAGACTAGGCCACAAAGAACGTCCGACCGCCAGCAAGGCTGGTTCTTCAGGGTTTTCTTCCCGCAAAGACACTCCTTTTCCGTCAAGAATGGACACTTTGGGCACCCTTCCTCCGCTGGGTGGCAGTTATGCGCCACCTGCGGATGACCGCACTCCTTCGTCCGGGTGCAGGGGAAACTGCAAGGTGGTGGTTGTGTGCCACACGGAAGAGGTGCTTGAAGCACGGTCCTGCCGCAACTGCACGATATATCATCGAAGATGGCCTCTTTACAGCCGCCACATGGCCCACGGTGACACAGATCGGTACAGGTATGATTGCCACACTTTAGTCGACGGCCACATGTTCGTGTGCAAATGTGTTCTGCCTCGATGTTGTCGTCGAAGGACCTTGGGATTGCGCCCAAAGGCTTGAGTTTGCGTCGCGTGGCTTGCCGTTCTGAGGCCTTGCGTTCGCCGGTGCAGCATCTTTCCCCACACTCATGCCGGCCGCAGTTCAAAGTGGCCTTGCACAGACGTGTACACTGTGGAGGTTCTTTGGTTGCCTCATGACAGATGACGTCGAAGGAGTTCCGACCACATCGACATGGAAGCGAGATCTTCAGGTCACAAGGTTTGCACTCTCCTGCGTGACAGGTCTGCCGGCAATTATGGCCACAGGGCAATGTGCGTCCGCACTCCTTGTGACAGCTCGGAATCGGATCCGTACAGGATGTCCGCGGTTCGACATCGAGCTCAGTCAGGGCTGTCTTGCCGCAAGGACAATGTGTGACAACATCTACTGAGCTGGGACAATGTGGAGGAGTCGACTCCTGAGGATGACAATGCTTCTCGCACTGATGCAGTCCGCAGTCCATCGACCTCCCACACGGCTGGCCACAATCAAAACTTCCGGTCCAATTTGCACTTTGCTTCTCTTCTCCACGTTCATGGCATTGTATCGTTCTTTCCACTTTGCCACAATAGCAACGAGCATCAACCTCGGCCGTACAAGCACCGCAAAGCCCCTCGTGACAGGGCCTCGGACAAGTATGCTGACCACAAGGCATCAAGTCGCCACAGATAGCACCACAGCTCCAACCTGCTTCGTAATTTGTCTCCACGCAACGTCGCGTGATCTCTTCTTTTCCACAAAAGCATGGCTGCTTCGTGCCCATGGCTGTACAAGGAGGACATGGCCCGGCATGACATAGGAGATCACAAGGATGTGGACATGGTTTGGGAAAGGTCCTCTCTCGCCCACAGGTCTGTCCACAAGAATGCGGAGGAATACCTGTGATCGGTTTCGGATCCAGCTCCTTCTCGCACCAACATGTATATGCTGTAGGAGCGGTATCCTTGGGCAGATTGCAACCCGGACACCTCCATTGTTTTCCCACTGGTGTCTCGTTGTCGTCTTGCGTCGCAGGTCGCTGCACAGCCGAGCCTTCGTTCTTCGACCACCTCTTTATGCAACCAATATGGAAGACCGTCCAGCATGTCCGACATGACCAAATCTTTGAGTTGCGACCGACCTCATTGGTACAAATCGCACATTCGTAGAGATTATGCAGTATGTCTTCGTGTATTCGGGTGGCAATATCCGGCGCTGTAGAGCGGGAGACTGATGGTTTTCTGGGCCGCTGCTGTTGTTGAGGCGGTGGGCGGGTCGGTGGTTTCTTGGTGCGAAGATTGTGAGGTTTCGATGTCGGCGTTTGAGGAGGACTCGAAGGGCGTCCTGGCGACACCGAAGCTGGGATAAAAGCAGGCGCTTCCGCGTGTAGTCGTGTAAGCTGGCCGCCGAACGATCTTCCACCAGCCGTTCGTACGGGATTTGTCGAGTCTGAAACAGAAGGTGGGTGTGGTTGCCCTCGTCTAGGGGGTCCTCTCCGTCTATGTCGTTGGCCTCTGTTATTTGGTTCCGAGGGTTGCTGCACCACGGGTGCCTCCATGGTGATATTATGAAAAAGGAACTGACTTGGGAGAACAGCGAGGCAAGAGTGAAAGCGGTAGGTGAGTCCGGAAAGAAGAAAAAGAAGGCGCCTCCGAAAGAATAGCCACCGCCAACAAATCTAAAAAGAAGAAAGGAAAAGTGCTACCTACAAGCGAGAGGATGTGAAGTAGTGATAGGGAGAGATTCAATTTGATTGTGAATCGTGAATCGTTCGTTGTGCCCAGTGGCGCAGGCACTTTTCTCAAGGCTCTAGATTTCCCCGAGTTTCAACGTCATGTCCGTCCCCTCCAACTGACTCACCGCAAGGCTGACCAATCACACACGGCTCAACCCCAAGAGTCCAAATTCCAGTTTCACCGTCTTACCAATGCCATTGTGTGTTAAGAAGAGATGTACATCGTAGCAGTCGGTCTTATTCACAACCAGGAATGATTGTGCGTGTTCAATCTCATCGATTTGGCATTCAAACGCCTACAGCAGGACCCTGTTGCCCTAACTCCATGCGTGTAGAGAATATGTCATACCATACCACGCCATGCCATTCTGTCTAATTGACCTGTGTCCCATAGCCTCGAATTTGATCAGCAAATGCCCAGCTCTGATTCTCCAGCTTTTCGTCTTCCTTGACCTCGACTCCGTCTTTGGTCACCACAGCGATACTGTACTTGTCCAAACTTCGGGCATCTCGGTAGAAGAGGACTTTCATGCATGCCTTGACGGCCTCGACGGCCTGCTCTTTAGTCACATCCTTCACACTGTCTTCGTCATGAGGCATCAACTTCCGTAGGAGAGGCTGTGCCAGATGCGCTCCAAACCCTGTCGCTAGCGTAGGGCTCGAGAAGGTGGTTCCCAATAAGTCGGCGCTCGCCAGGAATGGCTTGTCGTCATCGTCCATACCAGCCACCAACAGCATGTTCCATAACGGATTGAAATCGCTTCTTCTCTTGTACAGGACCTTCGACAGGTATGTATGCAGATTTTTGGCATTGAGGGTGTGTCCGTGAGCAGAGAGATAGTTTTCGCGAATATCCAGTGACATTAGAAGTCGGTCCAGGTATTGCATATCTGAGACATCGCCACCGAAGCCGATGACAGTGTTTGGGGGGAATGTCCGTAGACGCCTGACATCGGTAAATCGTGCCAGTGATCCGTATGAAGCTGATTGAGCCGTTAGTACAGGAGAGGATCAACCGGTATGGGCTGAACATACCTAGATTGTCTGCAGCGATGACAACTCCATCTTTAAACTTGACTCCCAGCACCGATGTCCCTGTAACGGCCGGAGATTGTGTGTGTGTCGTGGGCGCAGATGTCTGGAGGTAGGAATTGTCGTAAGGCCCGTAGACGTCGTCTCTGGGCTGCGTTGGGGTTAGCCATTGTTCTGTCTGATGCGCCCGAATCACTTACCCGACCCCAGGCTTCAGGGTAGTGGTTCATCTTGGGAATATTCTGGTGAGAGGATCGAGAGTAATTGGTGAGTGAGAGTTGTTCCGTCCGTCAAGTTGAGCTTGAGACACGGTCAAGACGCCGCGTCAAAGAGGTGAAGCCTTGATTGAGCTTGGCCAATCATGTTGCCCTGCACATTTACGGAGGATCACTTAAGCACTTGATGTAGTTACAATATCTCTCCAGGTCATAATAACTCACTGTCAAGGCTGTAGACCACAAGCTACCATTCTACCTCCTACTAGGAGGTTACGTCGTTGATGTCAACCTCGACCTGTTCACCAGCTCGAACATACCGACCACAGCAGCCTAGATACAAAGGTCATCCAGGAGCTGACATACTCGCGCAGGCCGAAAGGCATTCCAGCACTAACTACCAATGGCGCCGACCCCTATAAAGACCAGGACGAATGAGTGATCTCTCCTGTGAGCAGGATCATGACATTATACTCGCTTTCAGGAGACCCTCCGGCAACTGCGATTCTGGTTTCGACGAGCGGCCTTTCTTCCAAAGCTGACAGCTCGCTGGTTGACATTAACGAGTTGCAAGCTGGGCAGATTGGTTTCGTCATACCCCTGTAAGAGGCGACCTGCGAAACTTGTATCGTGGGAAGGCATACCTTACATAACGTTGACGATTATCTTTTTCGAGGTTATAGGAAAGTAGAAGAGGGGGTTTTTGGTTACCGGCTGATCGATCTAAAAAGTAAACGGTCGATGGTGCGGTTGATTATGGAGATGAGGAGGACGAGAAGTAGGACGTCCAATCTATGATTGCCATAAGATAGCTGTCTCTTTTTCCTGTTTCAAGCGTGATCGGCCTGCTTGCGATGGTGGGATTCAAGTTGAACCCACTTCGAGTCGGCCAGTTAGCCAGTCTTTATTTGCCCGTTCCGCGCAACCGGAGACAGGTAAGAAGAGAAAGCGCTGCATCAGTTTGAATTGTGCATGGCAGGGAATGGATGGTAGACATGATGAGATGTAGAGATGAAGATGGGCTGCCACGAAAGTTGATATAAGCCTCAAGTTTGATGTTGTGCGACGTGACAGAGACTCCTCGCTGCCAGTGAATTCTGCTAATCGTACATACCTTACTCAAGTAGTCAAAGGTGGCCCTGTCTGACGAGAGAGGTTTCGTAGCCTGAGGCGGCATTCCATTATACTGCCACATCTCGACTAGACCCTGTGTAGAAGTGCATTGTTGCATTGCAATGTAAATGCCACGAGCTTCGCCGAGATCATGCCTGGCGGCCCATGAGACTGGTAGATGTTCACTGTACTGTATAGCCAGATGTATCTTGTTGATCTACTCCAGCAGTGAGAAGAGTTGAACTCTCTCGAAGATGCTTGTCTCTTGACCCTCCGCACAGCGTTTTTCAAGGCAGGAGAGCTGTCCCAGGCCACTATTCCCTGCGAGGGTGAAGAACTGGACCCTTCGAAGTATTCGGAAGATGAGCAACTGCTAATAAGACTCGACAGCTGTGCTCAAGGTATGACACCTTCACAAGACACAGTGGCAGGTCAAGAACGACTTACCTGGAGGTTAAATAAGGCTCATGTGAGATGGCGAGGCTCAGATCTGAAGACGGCAGTGGAAGATAGACAGATCAGGATCCTTCATCAAATAAATGCGGTGTCTTCTTTTTCATCCCACCGCAAACAGGAAATAAGTCTGGTATCTGCAAATGAACCCCGATGGCGTTACCGTTACCCGATATCGGGCCATTCGACGAGCGCAACCTTTCGCAGTTCTCCGCGAATTCGCAATTGCAAGTCTCCTCAATCAAGTCTTCCCTTTTGCGGGAGGCCCTATGGCGGTGACGAGTCATACGCAGCTTGTTTCTAAGACGATGCGATGTCTTCCTTCTGCTTGGTATCTTACCACCTGAATGAAGTAGGGAAGCATCTCCCCCTCCTCCATTCACGCGAGGGTGGTCTATCCAATGTCTGCTCTCGTACGGCCGTTGAAATGGTTCTATCATGAATTCGGCCTCAGGTCGATCCACGAAACCGGCCGGGATGCATATCTGATTGTGTTGACGCGGACGTTGCGGATGTTCGCATATGGCACCAATTCACTGATCATGGGTACGTACATCCATCATATATCTGATTATTGCATGATGCCCCCGACTATACTGTTGCGAGCATACTACGCAACTGTGCCAAGTTCTCGCTCAAGAATGGATCTATCTACGGTTGCTTCTTGCCGAAAGCAATAAGGAACATACACATCTACCACTGCTGCCTCGAAGATGAGACCACATTGTCTAACCTACGTTCACGAGGATAGCCATATTCTTCTCAGCGCTCGGATACTCGGATCATCGGATCGGTGCATTCATGACCTTGACGCTGCTGGGCGATGTATTCCTGGGCACCTTCCTCACGCTGATTGCTGACCGAGTCGGGCGCCGAAAAGTCCTAATGGGTGGATCATTCTTGATGGTGTTCAGTGGCATCATCTTCGCCCTGTTTGAGAATTTCTGGATCCTGCTTCTCGCGGCAGTGGTGGGTGTCATCAGCGTGACGGGATCGGATTTTGGGCCTTTTCGAAGCGTGGAGGAGTAAGTGTCCTGGACTCCCTCGGTGTCTGGCCTCAAGCTTGACTAAGAGAATGGAACGACTAATCGTGTTTGCTCTTTTCTCCTGTTTCCTAGGTCTGTCCTGTCGCAGCTCACCACGCCTTCCACCAGAGCTGATGTCCTGTCATGGTACGTCACGACGTCAACGCTGGGTTCGAGCATTGGAAGCGAGGCCTCGGGTAGGATCGTTCATTCGCTCCAGTCCCGCGATGGCTGGACAGCCGTTGATGCATATCATGCTCTGTTTTGGGTCTATACGGCCATGGGACTCGTCAATGCCCTCCTGGTCCTCGCCCTGACTGACGCTTGTGAGCTGCAAACCACGGCGGAAACTTACTCACAGGTGCCACAGGACGAGCATGATCATTCCAATGTGGACCTCGGGGAGCATGACCACGAGCAACAGCCGGATGTCGACGGCCTCACAACCGCGCCTTCGTCCCCGGGCACCTGGATCTCAAAGATCGGACTCTGGTTCAGCACGCGGTTCGCCGAGATATCTGCACCCACTCGCTCAATCATGTACAAGCTGTGGTTTCTGCTATCTGTGGACTCGCTGGCGGATGGGATGGTTCCCTACACCTGGACCACCTACTACATGGATACCAAATTCACACCTGCCAAATCGACCCTCGGCGACATCTTGTCGGCCAGCTACCTTCTTGGCGCGGTCGGGGCCGTCTTTGCAGGACCACTGGCCCGCAAGATCGGACTGATCAACACCATGGTGTTCACGCACGTGCCGTCGTCTTCGGCAGTTCTGGTCTTCCCGTTCGCGCCTCGACTCTGGATGACGGCCGGACTGCTACTGTTACGCGCGGGCTTGAACAATATGGACCAAGCGCCCCGAGCGGCATTCATTGCGGCTGTGGTCAAGCCGGACGAGCGAACAGCTGTCATGGGCATCACAAGCATGTTGAGGACCCTGGCTGCCATGGCGGGGCCTTCCGTGACCGGCGTTCTTGCTGCGAATGAACGGTTCTGGATCGCTTTCGTGGTCGCGGGCATCTGCCGTTTGGCGTATGACTTTGGTCTGTACGCCTTGTTTGTCAACATGAAGCTGCATCAGCATGAAGACACATCCAAGGTGGATGAGTTGCCTAGTGGACACGGCCACAATCACCGGCAACGACAGCGTGACGAGGAGGAAGAGCTCGAACTGCATAGTCTGGCTGACTCGGACAGCTTGAACTCCGGCTCCGGCTCCAGCACTCTGGAAGGAGATCCCAAGAGTCATGGAGCCGGTGCTGGTGCTGTTGGGAAGGACTCCTTTGCGAACACTGCTCTAGAGGTCACCTCTCAAAGTGAGAGGCTTCGGAGTCGCAGTCCTGATCGGTGGAGCGCTGCAGAATGATTCGTCCATGCATTGCTCGGTATACGGGCGCGCAGCATCCAGCCAACCGAGGTTACCGGGACAAGCATGATTCAGCAATACCTCGTCCTTGTCGGGAGCCTTCAACTGGCAAACCGCGCCCATATATGCGCAGGCTTCACCATCGCCCGCCGCATATGACGATCATGCCATGCTATGATCGTGTGCTGGAGACCATGTTACGACCTGATATGAGAAAAAAGGAGTTCTAGCATATTTTGATGACCGCCAACACCAATCATATATGTCAATCTGTTTAGACATGTAGGTAGACATATAGCCATATGGACAGCGAGACAAATCGGGCTGTTCAACCCGTATTATTGCATGTGCACACCATCCCTGCACTAAAGGTCGATATATACCTTGCCCAGCGCAATAATATATACATTCCATTCCATTCCATCCCCAATCCAACAACTTCACCACCACCAATCAATTACTACGACGCCACCATCGACTATTCTGGCTTTTGACCATCTTTTTCAAGAAACTCCTCCAACGCATCCACAATGACCTGATGATCCTCCCATGACTTCAGCCCACTGACGACAATGACTCCCACAATGCCCTCTACGCCCTTCACCCTCACCGGCATCCCTCCACCATGGATCGCATACTCGCCCGCCGTCTCCCCAAGCGCATATCTCGTCTTAAAGGCCGCCTCATCACCTTGCATTTTGTTGTGCATGAACCACGAACTCACTCCCCATCGCTGCACCGTCTTGCGTTTGCGCGCGACCCAGATGTCGTTATCCGGCTGGATGCCGGGCCGCGACACCGCGTGGAACAGGAGGTTGTTGCTGTTGGCGAGGGTGATGTTGACAACTGCCGAGAGTTGTGATAGGGTCCGTAGTCGGTTGCGGATCGCGAGGCCGATTTCGAGGGCGTCGTCGGCGGTAAAATGAGGGAGCATTAGGGCTTCTTCTTGTTTGGCGATCTCGGAAAGCTGGAACACAAGGGGAAACACAGCTGTAAGTATGTGAAACTACTGAATAAATGGACGCACGAGGGAGGAAAAGGCCACCCGTGTAACAGGTCAAGTACTGGGGATTAGGGTAGATGTAGAAGTTCTCAACATCATTCATGGTACTGCATACATCTCGGGGCGCTTCGCGCAGGGTTGTTGATGAGGCCATTTCTTGTGCGACCCTGGTTTCTCTCAGTCTCGGCCTGAATCTATGCTGGTCGGGGCGTGTGGCTTTATTTGTGATAATCGACGGCGTGTAGGACAAACTCGGGGAAAGGTGTTTGTATAGAGTCTTCAAATGAAGGAGCAGGGTACCAGGTACTACTACTAAGGTACGACGTGGATGTATATACTCTACGGTAGAACCACGGTAGAAATATGTCAACGGTAGAAATGCCGCCTATTGGCGGTAGGTGGTATGAGTGAGGGGTGCGCGGTAGGGTAGTAGTCCATTTGGAGAAGTCGTTCCTCGCATTCCAATTGGCGAAATGACATCGGCTAAGCTTCGCACATTAAAGCGGCATGACTAGCATATTGTTCCAGGCATCAATCCGTTCGGGGTTATAGCTGCCAACTTGAACTACTAAAGGTACTTTCCACTGTACGAGGCTTCGATATCTGTATCAGTTACAGCTGCCCTACGTTACAGGAATGGCCGTGGGCCTTAGATTCGACACCTCTTGAGTACTACAATTGAAAGATCTGGAAAGGTCTGGAATAATGACACCACGCCAGCCTTCAGGCCACCAATGGCGACACTGGATGCATTTCCGAGTATAACCGAGTCCGAATTCGTCAAAGCATGCAGGGCTTTGGAGATGCGCAGTCTGGATCGACTAGACGGTACAGACTGGACGAGTATCAGGTGGTCTGGTGATGAACTTGTGATCAAACAGAGGCGAAGGGTCAATGACGGTGACCGAGAAGTCTGCAACGGTAATCCGAAGGAGGAAGATGGCGATGAAGAGAACATGGACCCTATCGAAGAGGCATGCCATGACACGGTATGAGACTTCAGTCTCTAATTCGGTTATTGGACTTTATATGCTAACCGCCTTTGCTCAGCTTGTTCGTGGCAGGGATGATTTCGGTGCCCTCACGATCGACTTCTCCATAACTCTGTCCCCGACATACTGTGTTCCTGTCCTTTGGTTCTCATGCCCACCAATTGTGGACGGGAAAGTGTTCAGTCTCGACCAAGTATATAGGATTTTGGTGCCATTGGCATTCCAGCAGTCACTGCGAAGTGTGGGAGTGATGGGAGGGATCAGTATGGCGGTGAGTCGACTCATGTCTGAACGCTCCATGGATTGCTGACTCTCCCTCTTTTTGTCCCAGCATCATCCAGTATCAGATCACCCAGCTTTCTTCGTTCATCCGTGTAATACCCATGAAGCTCTTTCGGCGCTCTGCACAGACAAGTCCTTGACTCCGGAAAGGTATCTCATACTTTGGTTGGGTCTGATTGGATCTTCCGTCGGCCTGCACATTCCGAGTAAGCTTTTCGAGACGGACGGGTCGTGAAAAGCGAGTTTCAAGATTCTCGAAGGGTTGGATGTATGGGCCAGCGATGTCAGAAAATGCAGCCAACAACTTCATCCAATCCGACAACCTTGTCCAGCAAGAGCTCGTTGGCGCGTGTCTCTCACAGACTACGGCGAACGCGCATTGATCGCTCGCATCCGATGCAATCTGGGACCCGGACACTTAGATAGAGCCCATGCCTCAGTCATCCTCGTCCTCCTCCATGGGGGCATCGTCCTCGTCTTCATCCATCGATACTTCATTTTCTTCCTCCTCTTCCTCTTCGTCTCGAGTCCTTTTCGTTCCGTGTGGCGCGCCATCTGTCCTCTCCGCGGGGTTTAGACCATTCTCAACAGTGTGACTAGAATTTGCTGAAGGTGGCGCATTGAATATTGATTTCTGTAATTCTGTGGTCTCGGGCATGGAGACTGCAGCAGTAGGAGGAGGTTCAAAGGTACCCCGTAGTTTCGGAATGATTTGCGACTGTCCTTTGCCATACACTATCACCTGCACAGCCAAAGCGGTCAACAACGACACCCATATTTGCTGTAACATTGAAGTATTCTAACGTACCATCTCCTTGCCGAATAGATCGAACCCTTGCAGCGCACGCATCGCTTGAGTACTGGTTTGGATGTCGCGGTAGACAATGTGTGCCTGGCCGCGCATGTTCTGGCCTTTGGTCCCGACTCGGGTCGTGACGATGTCTAGGACTGGGCCGTAGGTGGAGAAGAGCATATACAATGCCCGTTTGAGCTCGTTCTTGTTGACCTTCTCGTTCAGGTTCTTGAGGTACAGACTGGCAAGAAGTGTTAGAAGCCACAACAGTTCAAGAGCTACACAGAGGATGTACAACTCACGTTTGATTCGGGGTGCCCGCGTTGGTAGCATCTTTGGTTTTCGACGCCAGTTGCGTTCCTTTGGCGGCCATGTTTTCTGGTCGCAGGTCGCTGTTCGACGTGTTGAAGATGCGGAGATCTTCCCTCTCACAGCCGTGACACCCTGCAAGTTCGAACTTTCTCCGACCCGGTCATCCTCCTCGTGCTTGGCACAGGTATGGTAGAATGAAGCCTTTGGTCGCAAACTGCCGTGTTGAAATCATGCGGCTCTGTCAAGTCACAGCCGATTAATGGAAAATTCGGCTTGGCACAATGATGCATTTCTACGGGCGAGCAGATGGACACCCCTGCTGCCGCAGCCTTGCAGCCTTGTGTTCTACAGAACATCTCATTACCTACCTGACCTACCTACGTACTGCTGCGTACGACGACGTGTGAGCACATTATGAGCATGTATCTGTTTTATGTTGTCCTTTTTGGCATCTTCTCCTACAACTCATCCCTCTTAGTCTTTCTGCTACCGTGCGTCTCATCCCACTCGTTCATCCATGTCTGAACCTGCCGAATCTCCCATTGATGCGCCGCCTTGATGAAATCAGGCTCCGCGCTGATGTTGAGGATTCCAGTAGAGTCCCAGTGATGACCACCACCGGTGATTAGCATTTGATACTCACCATATCGCTCGCTGGCATTGTGTCCATGGTAGCAAACGTCTCGCCAGACATCGCTTCCACCATCGATCAACGCCAGTCGCGGCGCCGAAATGTTGAAGTCACCGTACTGATTGTACCATGTCAGATTTGGCCCATCTGGAGCTGGTACCGCTTGTGGTGAGAGAGGGCCAGGAGGAAAAGCCCAGGTGCACCATTGTTGCGTATAGTCTAGACCGATGACCCGCGACAGGAGCGAAGGAGTTCCGTAGGGCTGTGGAAGCTGATAGGCGCCCTGCTCCGTGCAAGTACTGTACAGGTACGAACGAGAAGCCGAGTTGTCCGTTATGGCGTAGAATGTCTCTGGATTTGTTTAGATCAGCATTAATATAATCAAGGCTTTGCAATCGCACTCACGGTTTTGAGTAGAGAAGCAAGAAGTGGTGCCGATCAAGTCTTCGCTGGGGCAGGTCGAGACAATGACTTCTTTTACGTAGTTGGCATACGCTCCGAGGCCTGTCCATGCCGATCCGTTGGTGTAGTTGGCCAGCTGCATATCAACTGCGGTGATGTTGGCTGGTGCATTCATATCTGTGATATTGTTGCAAAATGCGAAGAAGTCTGGAGCGTCGGAGGCTTCGTTCCAGGACAGCTCCTGCCAGGTATTCGTTGGGTAATTCATTGGCCCACCGAGCGGGAAAGCGATCTGTGGATTTGAATGGATTAGAATGGGTCAAATTTCAGCTGGAAAGACTCGTACTAACCGTCATTGCGAAATCTCTGAGGTCCTCCAAGCCACCGAGCCCGAAGATGTCCTTCAACTGCTGAATCGCTGTTGTCTCGTTATTCTGGATGAGGTAATCCATCTTATCAATGATCTTGTTGATTCGCGTGATGCAATCCTGTGGTCCATTTTTTTGTATTGGATTGTACCATTCAGGGTAGCCAAGGACCGCATGAATAACACCTGATGAAGCAATGCCGCCCCAGAGATGGCCTGAGTATTCGACGAGCGAGAAAGCAGTCTGTGCACCTGCTAGACTACCACCATATAGGATCCAAGGATGTCCTGGCGCGGTAAGATTGTCACCGCCAGTAACATTGGGGAAAGTGGCATGTTCAGCAAAGTAGGCGTTGTCCGCTATCGTCTGTTCCGTTGTCAAGAATCGAAGGTTGTCGGTGGTGCTATTCTCGAACGGATAGCTTTCGCCATAGTATCTGTTCTCCAGAATCTGACGGACGTCAGCCAATGACTCGAAAAACCATGTCTTGGATTCATTGTAGTCGCCATATTGGCGAAAGCTGATGTTCGTGCGGGCGTCATAGACAGGAGCAAACACGGCCAGCTGTGCGCTTGTGCACGTTCTTTCAAAAGAGAGAGTGACTTACAACGCCTAGACCACCAGTCGCATTCATGAGGATTTGAATGATGCCGGTCTGAAGGTTGGAGAACCGTGACGGTCCTGATGTCTCACCGCTAATGTAGAGAAACACCGGGCCGCCAGGTTTGTAGTAAGTGTTGTCGAAATAGTACCTCTGTGTAAAAGTAGCATTCGTGTTAGGCGCATAACGAGGGCTGTCTTGAAAGTGGTCGATGAGTTGATCAAAGTAGTATGCTGTATAATTCGTGGGTCGACCATTGTCATCCAATGGACCGACTTGTGCTGCTACAAAGCCTGTAAAGGCTGTAAGAGAAGTGACGATGGTTCCAAAGAACTTCATGTTGACAGCTAGAAATTCAGCAACACAGTTTAGAAGCTCCAAACCGAGCAAGTGAGGGGAGCATCATGTATAAAGTATTCTGAACCTGGAGCTAGTCGAAGCTCTACTGCATTGAATGTCGCACGCAGGTACGTCAGGTACAACCAACCTGGTGAAGCATGTACTTACCATCCACGTAACGGGTGACTCGGTGAGGCGGGGCTGACCTCTCGCCATATGTCGCATTAAAGCCCCTCATTGGCCTCCATAAGAGCTCGTGGACTTCCTCACCATTGAACAGCTGATCTTTGCCACAATGGTGGTAACGAGGTTGCATTGAACGCATAGCTACCTTGCTAACGGTCGATGATGACAGACCAAAGCCGTTCCGTTTCCAGAAGCTGCAGGCACTATGGAAGCGTCGGCTAGGCTAATCCAAGTGTCCAGGCAGAATGTGGCAGCCAGATGTCCCGGGAAGCGGGCATGCCCTGGCTATATTCTGTACCATGTTACCTGCTTATCGGGCCCGCTCTTCTGGGTGGAGTAACAAGGTATTTATTGAAGCTGGGGCGGAAAACGGCGACTGCCCGGGGTCATTTATCCCTTCATTCGGCGGTGTCGTCTTTTTGGCCACGAGGTGAGCTCGACAGCAGCGATTTGTGCCGACAACGGGATCAATATGTAACAACTTCGGAAGAGAGTATCTCTAGAGGAGAGACCAGCTTGCAAATCTGCCGGTGAAGTACGTAGGTCTTCCCTTTGTTGTGGGCCGTTGAGGGAGTTGTTATAAATAGGTACCTGTCGCTGCTGTCGCTGCTGTACCTACTTGGATCAGGCGCAACTTCCGATTAAGCTTAAAATGGCGGGACTTGGCGGCTGGGCACAATCTCACCTGGAAGTCCTAATGTGGCACTACAGAAGCTCCCTAATGCGAAACCACATTATTAGTAACGCCGTACTGCACCGAACTGCTGACTGATCGCCTGACTGACACCTCACCGCGCTTGTACACAGTAGACTGCGCCCTCATTCATACATTCCTCCTGTGGTCGTTCCCGCCGCGGTTTCACGTCGAAGGTGCAGCAGGTCATTTTTTGGTTCTTGCAACATGCCAATTGCTGTCCCTTCACAGTCTCCACAAGTCATTTCAGCTCCGGCGGTCCAGGCAGACTCCCGCACATAACTCGTTTACCTTGATCATCATCCTCTCAATATCAACCATACCAACATCGCCATCCTAAGTATCGACATCCACACTCCCCTGGCGCACGACCCTCAGTCTAGACTGCACAATATACTGTCTGCTCAACCTGGCGCATGTTAACCTTTGGGCCTGGATGCCAGGCTCACAGTCATGGGCAATATTGGTAGCAGAGTTGATGAAGGGTCACTCCTGTACCTAAAGGATCAAACAAGGTGTATGTGTTTATTCAACTTTCTCGACAATCGCTGACCGTGCCAGTCTTCATTAATTCCGTTGTCATCAGCAACAGTCGCGGTAGAGTTCTGCTCACTGTCGCACCGAATGGGTACCCAGCCTCACGTCTTATTGGCAAACCTGACGCGACAGACTATCGACCGATCTCTTACATCCAAGTGCGTTATCTGGCACGTTGCGCTTGAAGCCTTGCTGACCACTGGACCAGGACCCTGATTCCCCAGCCCTTGTATTTCTTCCAAGACTGGATCTTGAAGATGAATTAGACTTTCGATTCATATTCGTCAGTCGACAGAATTCCGCCCCCTTACCCGCCACACCCTCTACGGCGACTGCCGCTGTCGATACAACCATCAATGGCCTGACTTTTGCATACGCCCCGAACGGCAAAGAATTGGATACACTGGTTACCCGGGAATTCCATGCAGACCCTAATCTCCACAAGAATTCAAATGTACAATTTATTGGCGACTTTGGAACAAACGGAAGCCCTTCCGTGACATACGAATGGAATTGGCGTTGGAAACCTCCGAAGCCCTACGAGGACCGAGGCGGTGGTTGGCGCAACTGTTGCAGTTTCCTCGAGTACGACTCCAGAGCGCACAGACTAAACACTCTTGCGTCCTTTTCCTTTTGGGTGAATAACGCTACTCTGCCGAGTCTGACACCGCTTGCTTCCCCCAATGTTGATCTTATGGTTCCCCCGCCAAAACAGCGCCTGCCGTCTTCTCAATCGTACCAGTCTGCAGTCAGTGACTCGGAGGGACCGTCTGATCATGCAAATCCGCCGTCCCCACATGTCTATTCGACAGACTTCAGTTCTACCGCCTCAACTGTGGCACCCCCAGTCCCAGTGATCGACGTCCAGTGTCAGCGGCCCGGAGGGGACGTCAGCGCAGTTGAGGATGGGCCGTTATTCAGAGCCACGATGAAATCGTTAGAGCAGAAAACGGGTACCATGAGGGTGCAAATCAAGAAGGTCTTGAAGAAGGCAGAAGCCGCCCAACAGGCGCAAGCTGAGTGCAATCAAGCTATGTCCGCCTTCCTGAGCGCTCTCCAAGAAGCATCGGCCTCAAACGCCACCGCTTTTAAGCCCGCCCTTGACCACTATTTCACGAACATTGCGCAGAGGATCCTTAAGTATGAAAAAGAGAACAGTGTACTCTTGCAGAAACAGATCATCGAACCCATCTCCAAACTCTACAACCTCGACATCAAGCAAGCCGAGGCCAAGAAGAAGGACTTCGAAGACGAGAGCCGGGACTACTACGCCTACGTCAGTCGGTATCTCGGTCAGAGGCAAGATTCGCTCAAAGACAAGAAACGCGCAGAAAGCGATTCGAAATATCAGACCAAAAAGCGCAATTTTGAGCTCAAGAGATTTGACTATTCAACTTTCATGCAAGATCTCCATGGAGGACGCAAAGAGCAAGAGCTTCTCTCCCAGCTCACGAAATATGCCGATGGTCAGGCAAAGTCGTTCCTGGCAGCGGCCAAAAAGGTGGATAGCCTCATGCCACGACTGGATGCTCTGGTGAAAGAAGTGTCCGAGATTGACAAAGAGTACAATCTACAGAGGACCGAGCGAGAGGAAAAGCGCAGAAACTTGGAGATGAACGGACCTATCCCAGTGGAGCCAGAGCCGGTGCACCTTTCTACGAGCGTGGCGAGCCACACCCCAGCTCAGAACGGACATACAGGGTCTACTTCTGACACTGACCTGAGTAGGGCGGACAGTGCTAGCTCACAGTTCGGCCGCAGTTCGGTCAAGACTCTATCCCCTACCAGTAGTTCAACATTGCAAGGTCCGCCGAACGCCATTTTGTCAACATCACCGGGGAGCTCTTCGATAATGCCGACGCCAAACAAGTTCAAGGGTATTCGTGACCTGGATGAAAACTCGGTGTTGACGACTGATAGATCAACTGTCGGGAAACACCGGAAAGAAGGGTTGCTGTGGGCACTGAGCAAACCAGGCTCACATATAGATCCAAAGGGTATCAACAAGCAGGCCTGGCACAAGTACGTCGTTCCAACCTCCTGTCTTGTGGCTGCTGACTGACCACTCCAGGTTTTGGATCGTGCTTGATCAGGGCAAACTATCAGAGTACAGCAATTGGAAAGATAAATTGGATCTACATCGGGACCCTATCGACCTGCGGATGGCTTCAGTGCGGGTCGCACGAGACGCAGAACGACGCTTCTGTTTCGAGGTGATTACTCCTCAGTACAAGCGAGTTTACCAGGCCACGACCGAGGATGAGATGAATAATTGGATTAATTCCATCAACAACGCTCTTCAAAGTGCGTTCGAGACTGGCCCTCGCACGGCTCAGCAACCACGAAAAGAGCCCAATGGACGCGAGTTTGGAGCTATGTTGACCGGGAAGAGCTCATCTCAGTCTGGGCCGCACGGTTACTCACATCGCACTGATACTTTCGGAGTGTCGCGGCGGACAACAGTCGGTTCCAGACCCACGTACATCCGCTCAACCAGTAACACCTACGAGGAAATCCCTTCCAAACTCCTTGATCAGCTCCGAAACAACGACCACGGGAACAAGTATTGTGCCGATTGTGGTTCTACTTCTAAGGTTGAGTGGGTTTCTCTGAATCTGGGCATCATTTTGTGCATTGAGTGTGGAGGCATCCACCGCTCCCTGGGAACTCACGTGTCAAAGATTCGATCCCTGACTTTGGACGTTCATTCCTTCACGGTCGATATTGTCGAGCTTTTCATGCTGATCGGCAACCGAATCAGCAACATGGTCTGGGAATCCTTGTTGGACAAGTCCATCAAACCCGGGCCTAATGCCACGAGGGATCAGCGGCTAAAATTCATCACCGCCAAATATGTTGAGAGGGCTTTTGTCGAGCCAGTATCTCAACATGGGACAGCGGACGACACCTTACTGACATCGATTAAGAAGCACGATATTCAGGGGGTTTTACTAGGCCTCGCCCAGCGCGCCAACGTCAACGCTCACGACCGGTCGAGAAACACGCACGCCGTCTTTCTAGCCCTTGCGGCCGCCGACCCTGCTCGGCCAGTGTCCTCTCATTCTGCTACACCCTCACCTGGACTGAAAGCATTCCCAATGGCGGAACTATTAGTACAGAATGGAGCGGAAATCCCGATCGAGCCACCCCCAATACCATTATCGCCAGCCGCACAGCTCTACATAGACCAACGCACGTCTCGAGCGCCCAGGAATCATTCCGGCCACGGCGACACACTCGGCCCTCTTCCAGCCATGTCCAAGGCACCACCGTTCCCCTCCTTTGATGGCACCACAAAATTGCAGAAACGAGGTAGTGCCGGTGCAAGATTTGCTGGGAAAGTAACGGGACTGGGTGAACGATAGTGCCGTTATAAAGATATGGTTGAAGTCGACATTGCTGCACCAATACTTTGTAATACCGCGAGAAGCGACTAATTATTCAGGCGTCCGACTTGTATACCTAGCAAGTGACGCCGGTTTATGATAATGACCACGAAAAAGAAACATGGTGTCCTCCATGTACAGGACAGGATATCATCAGACTTGGAGGAGAGAAGGGTGATAGGATTAATCATCACATTGGCGCAAGGGTGATGGGCCTGTGCAGGAGTGCAGAATGAAAGGCATGATTGGAAAAATCGAAGGGCATGCATCTGGCAACCGGGAGGAAGACGGGCAGGCCTGGTCGTCCAAGAAGCTTGGAAACAGAAGCACACCTTAATGCTTTGGTTTGTACTCAGAATTGGGCTTTTGAGCCGGTCGGCGAGTTGCAGCCCTAATCAATCCATTGTATGTGACTATTACTCCGGACTCCAGTACCGCAGGCAAGTCTGTTCTTTACGGAATCAAATGTGATTGGAGACTATAACGTGCAGAGATGCTTTTGTCGCATGTTTCTCTTGAAAGAGTAGATCTGTGGGAGATAGATCTGTGGGAGATAGATCTGTGGGAGGTATCCTGACCTGGGAGGCGAAAACAGCGCTCGGCGGCCTGACAAGTGTCCATGATTAGTGAGATGAGCACCACGACTAGTAAGAGGAGAAGAGACGGAGGAAAGGAGAAGAGAAAGCAAAGCAAAGAACGCCAGGACCATCAAGAGACCAAATAGGAAGTCGAAAAAGATGTACTGCGAGGCCCGAGGGAAGAACAAGGGAGGAGGGAGGATGAAATGTTCAGTCTATGGCGAAAGGAGGATGAAAGCAGGTGATAGATCTTGTGATAGATTTATCTGGCTCTGGCTTTTCCGAGTCCTATAGAGAGATCTTCTTGACCTACCATGCGTCGACCTGTGAAAAGGAAACCCCAGGAAGAAGGGTAAGGGTCGACTGTAAAATGATGGGTAGTGGAAAGAAAAGCTGAGTCTTGACTGTCTCAGCAAAGATTCGGAAGAGTGTGTGTGTGACAACACATCAAGGAGCACAGGCCACTCGGATGATGTCTCTCTCTTTCTCTCCCCCCTTAATATCGTTGTCTCGTCTTTGATCTGCTGGACGCTCCTTTTTGTCTTCCACTTGTGTCTCGTAGGTGTTGTTTTTCGTCCGTGTGGAATCGGTAGACAGGTATGCTAAGCAGTCCAGCCATCCAGCGATAACGCTATACATCATTGCATTATTCCTCTGTCCTTCTTGCCTCTTTTCTATTTTCTTCTGTAGGTGTAGTCGCTTGTTCCCTGAGTGTTATTTCTTGCAAGTTGCAATATTTGTCATGTTTTGTCGCTTGTTCCGTCTTTCCAATGATCCTCCATAGGCTGTGTATTGTTTGTTGTTGCGGTATGAATCTGTTGAGTGTGCGGCTTCTTCGTTCCTATCTACTGAAATTTTTCGAGAGTTTTCTGTTGCTCCAGGTCAGCTTGCTTTGGGCGTCTTCGTGTTTCCATGTAAACAGGGCGGTGTGGTCGCGGGGATTTCTCGTGCTTATAGGATCTGAGAATGACAAAAATGGCGGTGGTTAGCAGTCTGAAATAGCACACTGGCGCGTCAGGCCATCCTCAGCAGAGAGATCATGTCACCAAGACAAGATTTTCCATATTTCTCTGTGGCTTGACTCTTGAGGCCAGTTTTGATAACAAGAAAGATTGCAGGATTGTAGAAAAGGACTTTGTTTGTAGCAAGACTTGAATAGGCGGTAGTCAATGAGCAATTTGCTAATACAATCCAGCATCTTCTTTCAGAAGTCGTGCTGTAAGAGATGAGCATGCTCGCTCGTGCCCTGTCCATAGAAGCTCGAGGTGTTGAAGGGGAGGCCAATTGCAGCTTGCAACTCTTCAGAACGAAGCGCTGTTGTCGAAAGGGTGATAGCGGTTCATGCAGGGGCGCCGAAATGCCGACTCGAAATGCAATGAGACGCACACGTAGGCGAATTGGAGCCGATATCGCTGAGCTCGTGGAAGAAAGGGGTGGAACAAGACGCATTGTAACACAATAGCAAGTGGAGCTGGGCTTTGGCTATTTCATCGATGAACATGAGGGCTTTCAATTTCATACCGGAAGCGCCCATACCACGGTCCACGGCTGATACCTACCTCAAGTTTGAAGAGAATACGAGAGACCGACAGCTGCCGGTTCGTGTCTTCATGACTCCACGTAGGAACGTACGCCCTTCATTCGAGCAGGATCCACATGGATCAGGTCTCTTCTGCAGAGGAAGACCAGGGAGTATGGCAGATGAGATGGAGGCCTAGGTCTATGATTGGTTCACCAAAAAGAACCAACAAGACATCGTCACAAGCGAGATGTATAGCTCGGTAGTGCAAGGAGAAGGGGATCGAGACAACGAGTGCTCTGAAGAATGGCCCCCCGTGATATTAACTGCTCAATATTGACCATAGCGCTTCGAGAGGTGATTGTAGAATCGAGGTCACAGCAATAAGATCGCCAGGCTTTGCCTCTGAATCCTGATCGTTGCGGAATTCCCTGGCTCAGCTCAGATCGTGAAAGGGGACGATGTGCTGGTTGGAAGACATCATCAATAAGGGCCCACCCAAGACCGTCGCGAGCATATCGCTGGTGTATCAGAAAGTAGGTCATATTTGTTGTGTAATCAGAAGATGGTTCTCCTGGTAGCCACAGGAGCATTTGACGCCCGTTTCTATCTCATCTGCCAACACTCGTAAGGTCCTGGTACCAGCTGTTCGTGTATGATTGGCTTCATGAGCAGGTCACCAACATTTACTGGCTGCAGAAGAGGCTGAGCGAACAAAGAACTCGGTGCATCTTAGCGCAGGCTTCAGCGTAGAGGTTGGATAAGTCTTTTCGCCTCAGATGCTCGGCTCCAAGTTGGAACCGTCTCGTTACAATTAAAATCCCGGTAGATGGTTGTAGGTTCGATAGAGTCCATCACAGGCAACATCAACTGATGATCGGGTTGGCCGCTGATCAAGTGGGAGTCTCCTGGGAGGCGATGCGTCGCTTGCAAGGAGCACTTCTCCCCGAGAATTATGGATGCTGTCCCAGATCACCAAGCATTCTCGTCGTGTTCATGTCCGAGTCTCAAGAGCGTCTCTTAGCGTCGGAGCATCTTGGGGGATGTTAGTGTTCAGCAGCATCGCCACTATGGTCTGGCCAGGCTGCCAAATCAACACGAATAATGAAGACAATAAAACCAAAGATAATAAATGAACCACATGTCAGCACTGGGTATTGACATCTGTCGCACCGACCCGCTCTGGGCCTTGTGTCAGTTGACAGATCCTCCTGCCGTATTGGCTAGTGTTGTACTGGCTGGAAGATTGTTCCTGGCGTGTCTCCTGTGTGCAGGCGCCATATTATATCGAAAGGGTCCTCAATGTGTACACTCATCATTTACCAGGTGAGCAGGATAAGACCGCCTGTCGGACGGTGTCGGCAAGATGGCTTCTGCAGCGGCGCCCTATCATCAGTTCTGGACCCAGTGGTATCCCGGGGTGGTCTTTCTTGTGGTAATAGTGTTCTAACATGGGGTTGGCTTTAGAGACTCCAAATCACGAGCAGCGAAGGCCGCCGAGATCCAGCTGCCCAAAAATTTTCTCTTCTGTAAGAAACCACTTTTGGAGACCGTCAACGCGTCTAGAACCTTTAGCGCAGTCGTCCAAGCCACTGGGTTTATTCGACATGCGTGGATGGTTTTGACTCCACAGAAATTGATGTTTCCTAAAGCGTACAGGCCTTAACATCCAATCGGCAGCGAACCAGGACCTTCCGGTCCGAGGTAGGGCAATCTGTCCCAGCATTTCGCGTCCATCTGAAAATCCGTCGACAAATCTTTACCTACTCGTGATCGAGTTGGGGTTCGGTTCGAGCTCGATGAGGTCAAGGTTCTATATTTGGGTGGCGCCACTAAGACACACAGGGAATGGAGACAGGGTTCGTTTTGGGTCGACTACGAGATCGACGACAGCGACGACAAGAGAAGGAAGAGACAGCCATGGAGCAAGCATTGAGGCAGCGAAGCGCAGGCTGTGATGGAGGTACTAGCAGGGCCTCTAGGCTGTAGGATTCGTACACAATAGAACTATTAATGCCAGGCGTCTGAAGCGCAATACCTACCTAACTACGTACGGAGTTAGTAGTAGCGCAGCAGTAAGTGAGGTTGGAACAAGGACCGGCGGGGCGCCAAGCTCCTCTGACGCAATTGCCTTTTAGGGAAAAAGTTTCTCCGTTATTCGACGCTAATCCTGATACGGCATTTCCTCTGAGCATGGGGATTCGCACAATTTCCATCTTTCCCAGAGTACAAATCCTCCATTCTTCTCTCGGCGCCCCACGATGTACGATGCAACTTTTTCTCGGAGAACTTCTCGACAGCTGCTCAGCCACAATCTTGGTTCAGCCACTAGACCCTGCAGTGGACTACATACTACTAATAAGACCCCGGTAAAGATGCCACGACAGAAGGACATCCTACCGTGCTCGCGTGAGGCCTCATTGTACCTCACACCTCACACCTTGACCTCTGGCACTGGTCTCTCTTGCTTTGTGTCACCACTCTCAACACTGGCATATGTGTTGATCTTCGACTGATGATGAGACAGCATAGAAGACATTCGCCACTGCGCTGGTCACATACATTCTAAGAGCTTCTTGACTGTCTCTCGTAGGCGCCTGCCTTGGGACAAAATATAGAAACACATCGTCATTCATCACACCTGAGCGTGGGATGTCGCTCGAACGGTTCTTTTGTCGTCCCCAAAGCGACGCTTGGCTCGACAATGTCTCAGGAGAAGCAATGCCTGATCTTCAGAAGCAGTGACTAAGAACCATAACCGACAGTCTGGCACACCAACCAGATGGCGAGTCTGCACCAGTATCGTGGTCGCAGCTCGCATCTAGGAATGTTGAAACGTTCATGTCTCAAAAGCGATCTGCAACTCGTTCGACGCCCGTTGCCGGTCGTTCCTTGTCAGTACATAGTCTGTACTCTGCTTGAGCACCTTGCAGCTGAGCAGCTCGCCAGTAGTGGCACTATTCGGCAACTGGCGGTAACAAGTCCAAAATTAGCTCCACGGTCATCGCTTCGTCAGCGGCACCAGGAATTAGAATGTACGACGTTGACCCTGACCCGAGACAAGCATGGTATAGAGGCGAATGACGACAGACCCTTTACCTACTGCAGGCCAGCGACTTTAGATGCATACTCTATATAACGCAGTACAGGATGTCAATGGATGTTGGCGCAGGTCGATCACATCTAGAACGCCGCAGAAGCCGAGTAGTGCAGAACCCCCCTGGCTGTCAGGGGTAGTGTGGCTTGCATATCCCGGCAGTGAACGCCACAGCCTAACCATGAGAGTATAAAGATCAACAAGTCCAGAACATCATATCTACGTTCGCCTCCTGCCACGAGCCAGTCGCATTCGAGCAATATATCGTTTGCCGGAAGAAAGCTGGCCGCAGCCGGGTTCCGCAGATGCGGCCAGGCGGATTGGCAGAATTATGGGAATGTTCCCCTGGGCCTCGTACCTGCCCGTTCGACACGTGCTGAGGTTCGACACTTGCCTTTCGATGTGGATCTGCCATTGTCTTCGAGTTACGCAACCCTGGGCAGAAGGTGACCATAACTTGCGCGACCAGTGGAGACTTTGCTGTAGGAGTACATCGTCTATCAAGCCGGGTACCATTCGGGCGAATTGGACACCCGGCAAGGAACCACCTTCAAGTTGTCCGCCACCGGATGATATGGGAGACCCTGAACCGAACAGTGTTGTCGCCACACATGGGGACCGTGGCGCAGCGGAGCCATACGCGGACCTTCCACTACCGGACAATGGTTCATTGTCCCTCTCCTCACCCACACGCAGACCAGACCCCCTTTCGGAAGGAGCCCAACGTACACAGTACGCTGAAGGGACCCATTGGCGGGAGGTACCGCCTTCTCACACAAGGAAGGGAGGAAAGCATGTAGCTCCTGAAAGAAGCGACGCTCGCCTCTCGCAGATCCTTATGCCTCTCTGTGCAGCGGTTTCCAAACTCTATCCGGCCCAAACTTCCGGAAGGAGGACGCACACAGCCACTGCTTGTTGCATCGACCCACCAACTAAATTTCTACAGAGAGCGAGGCCTCCAGCAAGATCAAGTGCGTGTTTTACACTTCCTCGTGCTTGCATGGAAAAGAGGTCGATCCTGTGGAAGGCTGAATCACATCAGAGTCAACGATTGCTAGCGAAAGAACAGATCCCTCCCTCAGCCACACATACCACATTCGTCTCGACTCTCGCGAGAAACAGAACACTGGGGTCAGATCACTTCTCCATCCGACCTTAGTTTGATGCCATCTGCCGCCGTCTTCCTGATCTCCCCGCTTACTCGTTTTGGGTCCTAGAGGTCGCATCTAAGATCCGTCCAATGGCACTGCTGGCCTTGACCGTTCTTCAACGAGCCAGCGAGGGTCGGCAAAACCGAGCGCGACTACTACAAAGCTATGGTGCTGTGGTGCTGGTATTCTGTTAGACCGTCAAGCTTCCGGGTTCGTCTAGCGGGCCCTGGTCTTCCTTGTTTCCCGCAAACAGTTTGGCATCTCTCCGAATCCTGATCACCTTGAGGCCGACAGGGGGCACTGTCCCGGTCTTTCCCAATCATACATGCTCTATCCTTTTGGCCACTGGCTCTCCAGTGGACCCTTGTACTGTTGTCGAATTTTACTTGTTGTGTCCCACAGGCTCTAGTATAACGTGCATCGCTATCGCCGCCAGTCGTCGACTCCCACCCCGGTCATGCCACATTTGAAGACACGGTTGGATGCGAATGCCGCTCTTAAACTACTACTGTCGTTCCCTTTGCACGCATTTGTTAAACCAATCGTTCTTCAAAACTCACTTTCGACACTGCCACGAGAGAAAAGCCTTCCTCATCTAGCCCTGTGAAACACAAACCGACCCTGGCCATACACGTCCATTTCCAAATTTGGCGCCGACCTGCTTGTTTCATTTCCTTACTCGAACACAAAAGACCGACTGATAGGAACATCACCTCAACGCCTTTCCTCAGAGTCAACAAGGTCACTCGGATAGGGGCGATCCGGGCGCTCAGCCTCTTCAGCTTCTCAGTCGGAATAGGATTCTCTTCTTCCTCTTGCAGACGGTTAGCTGTGTCTATTTGAGGTATGCATTCTGTCTCAGCCTTTTGTCTTACTTTTGAGCAACATGGGTTGACTGATGGCTGTCATCTGGGTCAAGCATTATTACCCTCTTCCCGTTATATTTGAAGGTTTAGGGATGGGTGATGAGCCACCATTAGCACGGAATCCCATATCCCAGGAGACTGAAGACAGCTTGAGAGGTGTGTTCCTGTTGCTAGAAAGCCTCGAAGAAACGTGGACACTAACCTTGACAGAACAATCTCAACAGCATTCTGGACCTGCCACGACGGCGCATTCAGCACAAGCGACCAATATGGAGTTTGAATCCTACCCTCGACAACACTTTGGCGTGGGCCACTTCCCTGGGGGAGCACCACTCGATATGTCCAACCTGGCGGCTGCGTTGCCAGACTATCAAATGCGACAATCTCAGCAACAATCGTTCCCTCAACATTTCCAATCTGCTGGCCCTGCTAGTCAGACCATGATGTATCAGTACCACCATGGCGCACAGTTTGCTGGTCAGACTGCGGGCCATTACAACCAGACTTTTGCTCAACAATATCCGTCACAGTACGTCCAGGGCCCTCAGGCACGTCAGCCGCAAGGAGTATTTCCCCAGTTCGCGGGGGGTCCGCAGGCATATCAAAACCCAAGCTTCATTTTACAGCAGCCCATGCTTCACAGCGCCGGTACAGCTGCGCATCACCAACAGCAACATCAGTCACATTTTCCTCAGTCTCAAGTCGGTGCAACGTACATGGGGTCGTACCCTAACAGGGTAACCACTACGTACCCATTACCACAGCTGCGCGTGGACAGTAGTCTGGCACATGCGCAGGCACAACAATTTTATCAGCAGCCGCACCCTCAAGGTACGAGACAACCCTATACAGTGAATTGGAGCGAAGAACTAAGTAGAGAAGCGGTGAGGAGAACAAGTTCGAATTCATCGCTACAAACCTCGGTTCTCAGAGGTCCTCCCAGAAAACCTCGACAGTCTGGCCACGCCCTTTGGGTGGGCAACTTGCCGCCTTCAACTAACATAATTGACCTGAAAGATCACTTTTCGAAGGATGCCACCGAGGACATTGAAAGCGTGTTTTTGATTTCCAAAAGCAATTGCGCTTTTGTCAACTACAAGACCGAGGCCGGCTGTGCTGCAGCCATGAGCCGCTTCCATGATTCTCGCTTCCAAGGCGTCAGATTGGTTTGCAGACTTCGTCGTGGTAGTTCTTCTGCTGGGACCACACCGCAACCTACCGTCGCAGGTTCTGTGGATGGTACAGAGGCAACGAAGCAACCCGATGGCGTTCCAGCAGAGCAGGTTCTGGTTGTAGATGGCTCAATCACGGCCGAGCCCGAATCCACTGAAAAGGTCAAGGAGAAATTCTTTGTGGTGAAAAGTTTGACCGTCGAGGATCTGGAACGTAGTGTGATCAGTGGCATATGGGCCACCCAGGCGCACAACGAAGAGGCACTGAACAAGGCATATCAGGTCAGTTTTGCTCTGTTACCCTTATTTGCTGGCAATAACACTCTCTGACTGATGAGCAGACTGCCGACAACGTGTACTTGATCTTTTCTGCAAACAAATCCGGCGAATATTTTGGCTACGCCAGGATGGAGTCGGCCATTGACGACGAATCTGCCTCCAAACTCGACTATCAACCACGGCCAGAGGCGCCCGTCCCGAGCCCTTCGGATCTGCCCCTGACGATCCCAACGCCCGCAACAGCCACGGCTCCCAAAGGGCGCATTATCGACGATTCTGCGCGTGGCACGATCTTCTGGGAGGCGGATGCGGACAAGAAAGAAAAGGAAGAACAAAATGTGGAGGAGGATGGGGGTAATGTGTCTGGAGAAGGCTACGAGTCAGCCAGTCCTGCGACGCCCCAAACTTTCGGCAAGCCATTCAAGATCAAGTGGATGTCCACGGATCGTCTACCTTTTTACCGGACCCGAGGACTGAGAAATCCCTGGAACTCCAACCGAGAGGTTAAGATTGCTCGTGATGGTACAGAGATTGAACCTACCGTGGGTCGTCGCTTGGTCAGCATGTTCCATCGGGCCCAGATGGCGCCGGTCAGTCCCAATGCCGCCAGGCAACAGCTTCCTCCTCAGGGACCGATGGTTGCTGGATTCATGTCCCCAGATGCGGCAGCTCCCGGTGGTATGTACGGACGGGGATATTGACAAGAACAAGAAACAACACATGTATGATGGTGCTTTTGTTTCCGACTTTATCTGTGACTTGAATCTTCAACAGCCAGCATACAATTTGAGCCTTATTGTCGCAGCATTACCATTGATGTTTGGACGACGATATGATATCATGACAACTGGAAAATAAAAGAGAACATTAAAGAACTGCAGACATATCCGAGCAACGACTGGAGGATGTCGAATTGCGGAGCTATTTTCTGGATGCGTCAGTCGACCCTGTCTTGAGGCGGTCCGGGATTGTCAATTTACTTGCCTTACTGTTCTACTGCCCTACATTGTCCTAGTGGTGGCGAAGTAACTACCTGCACGCAAAAATTCGCTAGCGAGCTTGGCTGGCCGAGGCTCGTTTTCAATTCTTCTTGTACAGGATTCTCGATTGGCTGGTGTGTGACGAGACGGCAATGGAGACGTTGAGTTGAGGCGATTGCAAGGGAGGCAAGGAGCACGCTGTTGAGGACTGAGTGGGCGAGTAGGCCATCTTATGTTAATTGTTTTTGTTTTTTTGATAGCAAAAGTAGGGGCCAAGAGCCTCTCAAGTCACTGTGTGTATATCTACCCTTCTCAGCGAACGGAGTGCTGTTGGCTTCCTTCTCTCTCTTTTTTCGCCCTCTAACCCCGATCAGACCCTCTGACCCCCGACAGAGTCGCCCTCTCCGGATACAGCCAGTCTTCGGAATCCTCCTACATTGTCTTTGGCCGTGGGCCCTACTCAAAAACATCGTGACATATATTCAGCTTGGCATTTCTTCTCCTTCTCCTTCCCTTCCCTTCTAGCGCCTACTCGCGCACCTCTTGTCGGTTCTATTGGGACATGATTTGCCACGATATACCCTACATGGAATGCAATGATGTTCTTATAAGTTACTTACATTCATATACTCGCGTGGCCTTGTTGTTCGAGACAGAGCGGCGTGATGTGCTCCATGTCGTATGAGAGCATACCTGGGCACATGGGAATCGATTGTTGCATGGTTCAAGTTGGGCATCCAAGAGCAGGAGATACCTACTAGTGTCATAGTCTAGTGAAAGAAAGTGTTCATCGATCGCCTGAACATACATAGGTACCTTTGTGCCTTGCGACTCAACGATATAAGAATCCTCTTAAAGTAGCGAGATATCATGCTAAACGAAGCTAAGCTCAATACCCACTGCAGTGATACAATGAACGAATCACACTGCAGCCAGAGGTACTATCAACATTCCCCTTTTATCTCTCCACACGCCTTGTTTTTAAAGATACACAACACCACGACCTTGGTTGGTACCTACCGTATCGAAGCGATATCCAAGGACAGTGGTTCACACTCGACCCCATCCGACAGATCATCCATAATCTCGACGTATATTCTATAGCTAGGCTGCCCTAGATATCGTGTCCAGACTCCAGACAATCCAACACGACGTCCTCCCATCCAAAAAGCACCGGGCGGGATCCCAACTCCCAACTCCCAACTCCCAACTCCCAACTCCCAACTCCCAACTCCCAACTCCCAACTCCCAACTCCCAACTCCCAACTCCCAACTCCCAATTCACAGCTCACAACCCCCATACTACAAATTCACTAAACCCGCCCACGCAAGGTAAATGGGGGATATATATTAAAGTCGACGATTTTCTTCCCAATAACGCAAAGACCCCCGGTTGGTACACTGGGCGAATTTCACACCCAAGTCTCCCCTGACTCTCGAGTTCGAGTTCGATTCTCGCCGTTGTCTCCCCGTCCTTGATTAATTAATCCTGCGAACCCGGGTTAACGCCAACCAGCGATGATCGACGACGACAACGACAACGTCTTCGGTTCGAACCCTGCGAACCCCCTACTCCCAGGATTAATTGGCCCAGTAATCGACAGCGAGAACCACGAAACCCTGCGAACCCACCCGGGTTGACGCCAACCACCGCACCGCACCGAGCAATTCGAACGAGAAATGGGATAACGGAAAAACCTTCCCGGGTTTCACTTCCTACAACCCTTGTATCAAGAAAGATGCGAGGCTTGTAGAAAAGTTTTTGGCTGCTTTTGACGGATGCATGTCAGGCCTAGTCCACTACGTATATAGGATTCACTGTATATGATAGGATGACTTTGAAAGGCTTTCAGAGATGGTAAGACGTAAGGATTTCTCTTAGGCTTAGTGATAATAACTGATATATTTATTACTACCCGTCGCATCTATCTATAGCCGGAAAATCGTATTCAACCTACTATAATATATACTGTAGTCGACAGTTGACAGTCGCCAGTTACCATCTCAGCCTTGGGGTACGCTGAACCAATTGGAGGACGAGTGACAAACACTTGACTGGCTTCCTAGCAGCCTAAAAAGTCTTTCCACGAATTAAGGCAGGACACCCTCATTGAACGGCGCTCACCTTAGGCTGAGGCAGCGGTATATAATATATTTCCCTATTCAGGATACGGCATTAAAAGCCAAGCCAGCGCGGATAATAGTACATTCTTAATAACAAGTAAGAGTACCATTTGGCATCATGTCGCAATATCAACATTAATCTGAAGATGAAGATCAACTTGGTCTGAGACTCGAAAGAAATATAACAACCTGAAATCATCCCAGATTATATCAAATCTATAGTTCCTACGAGGCTGAGTATCACTAATTGCCTGCCTCCGTCACTATCTACATGTCCATGTCGTTAGAGTTATCAATTTCAAGACTGCATTGGGAAGCATCCCAAGGAAAGAAGGAAGCCGTGTCACCGGAGGAAAAACATTGTATAACACATAAAAAAGTAGAAGGCAAGACGCCTATTGTAACGTGAAAAGCAATCATTAAGTCGTTACAGTCTCCAGAACCTCCGGATTCAGCTCACACCTTTCCTCCAGATAGATCAAAGCAGTCACGAGTCCTCTCTGCCTATCTCGCCACGCCGCAGTCAGATCTCTGGCAGTATGCGACTGCTGTGTCCTTGTTCAATGTCGAGACAGGTTTCTTTCGTCATCAGGGGTATCATTTGAAACAATGAAGGATATGCCGAGCACATCTTCCTTTGCAACAGGAATTGCGAGGATATCAAGGGATCAATGCCGAGTGGGCTTGCCCGTGTCCGCAGCAGGTTGTGTTTTTGAAAAGTCGTATGAGCATTTCGGCTGGTATATGCAGTCCCTTCGAAGACCTCAAAATTTCAATCCGTTAAAAGCACGCTCCAGTGCATCGGCCGCCACAGCCCACTAAGCCCATTTACCAAGTAAAGCCATTAAACCAGCGCCAAAGCACATGGTGACAAATGCACCAAGCACTGTCTTGATTCCGGCCTTTTGCATGGATCTACTGAACATGAACTCGTGCGCCATCAACTCCACCAATCCGGTATAAATGAGAATGCCTGCTGAAATGGAATCAAAAACACCGTTGACCACGAGGGTGGTGGCAGATCCGGGGGGATAGGAATTACGCACACCCAATCCAATGGCAATTGCTATGGGTGTGCTCAACCCGAAGGCTAGAGCGAGGATGTAAGGGGTCCATCTTCGGTGTGTGGGCCACGGCGTAACTGCGAGTCGAGAGCCCAGACCAAGCCCTTCAAAGGTCTGGTGGAAGATCAAGACAACGAAGAGGGTGTCAAACTCTTCTCCCGCCACAGCAAGGGTGAGCCCAATGAAGACGCTGTGGAAGATGATGCCGAACTCGAGGATGAAAATGGCCGTCATCTGAGCCTTGTAATCCTCAAGGCTGAACGGATTGTCCGAGTCTTCAATCTCATTGTGATCTTGGGAGTGTCCCAGATGGTCCTCTCCCGGGAGCTGAGTGCTGTGAGAACGCACTTGTCCGGAGCTTTCTGGTTGGAGGATGGCGGGTGCTTCGTCTTTGTATGGGGAGAGGCGTGAGGTGTTGCCCAGCTCTCTATCTTCCGATTGGTCTGAGTCAGAGCCGTGGGTGTGGGTAGATGCATGTTCGTCGTGGCTATGTCCGGAGCCAAAATCGCCATACCTCATGACCATCAACTCGACGAAAAACAGAACAAAGATTGTCATGAGAACGATGCCTTCCACCCACGAGTATTCGGTAATGGGTCCGGTGAGACATGGATTCGTCAATGCTTCTTGGGCAGGCCCCAGTAAGTGTATGAACGCCGTGGCGACAATGACGCCCGACCCAAAGTATTTGCAGATGAAGAACACCCATTCTGGAATCCTTAGTCCGCGATGTCGAGCAGCAAATATGGGAAAGGTCGCGCCAATGGAGGACGTAGCCCAGATTATGAAGAGCGCAGCTACCCGCAGGCCTATTCGACCGTTGTACGAATTGCCCGCCTCACAAGCCGGAGCAGCTTCGGCGTCATCTTCGCGAATAACAAGACGGGCCAACGACTCAAGACTGGCCATGGCGTTCCGAGACGTGAACGCAGGAGGAGAGTCGGCTACCGGCAGCCTGAGAGGCTTCCTTCGTGGCTCTGGGTTCGGAGGGAGTGGGTGGACGTTGTATACATCACAGATCGACAGGGCAGGGTGGTTTATGAGGGTCTGAGACTGGCTCTTATGTTAGATTGCTAATCAAGTGAAATACTTTGACATCAAGTATCTTACCGGTGGGTGTCAACAACAGCGTCTAGCTGGCAAAACTTCCTGGCGTCGAGTCCTTCAACATCGACATGAATGAAAAATGCCAGGTAGGGAGTCAGAATGGAAGTGAAGGGTAATGTAGGTAGGTACGGAGGTAGAGAGGTAGTATATTGATGGGTCGCTAAACAGGAGTACGTAGTCGAACTGGGGAGAAAAGAAGGAAGGAGCATCCATGAGTCTCCATCCATTCCACCTTCCAGGAACTGTGGGAGGAGGAGAAGGAGAAAGAACGGACATCGGTAGCAGATGGACACAATACAATTGGTCCTTCAGGTCATGTCCTCAATTATTAACAGCCACTGTTAGCAATCGCAACAGCAATAATAATCTCTGGGTAATACCTTAGGCAATAATCTGCTCCTGCTGTTTCAATGATACGTGCTTTCTGGATGAATGCGGCGAGGAAGAAAGTGAGGACCTTAAATGCTCGAGAGTCTATATGTCACTGCAGCCAATGAGAGGAAAGGCGATGAACGAGGCTCGGCACTACTGCGCAAATCATTACGATTCCATTGGTCAACAGCAACAGGGGAGGCAGCGCCAGGTACATACGCAATAAGATTGGTCTAGATGCGTTTAACTGCACGTCATGCTCCACAACCTTGAAAGCAGCTGGAATTCAGTCCAAACTCGAACTGTCCAAATGCAGAAGGAACCACATCAACTCATCTTGTACAGAAGAGAGATATCTACCAAATATCTTCCACAGGAGATGTGACTATGCTGCAGGACAGGTCCGTCATTGTACAACACGCGTCCTCTGGTATATTACCCAGGTTCAGCACAAGCGTCAAGAAAACTGTCAGGTTACACCGCTCCATCTGCAAGGCTGTGATCTCCTTGGCATTCTTTAAGGTCCTCAATTTAGTATGTCAGCGACATGTGCAGCAAGGATTCGTCTCGGGACAGTCCAAACAACACCCCTGTTCATCCTGCACGGTTGATGATAAGAGATGCGATATGTACATCTATTCGTTGGCTATGGTACATGCCAGAATCGACATAACTCTGGCTTACACTGGATAGCCGGTCTGCAGACGGTGGGCAATGATTGCGCCCAGTTGCGAAAGCCTGACATGTCAGTTCACTCGCCTCGAGCTTGCCAGGATCGGTGACTCGTGACTCGTGACTCGCTTATCCCAGTCCAAAAAGAGCTCCCGCTTCGCCGAAGCTGCGTCCTCTAGGTGGTGTCGGCGCTCGACGAGGCAGCTGTAACATGCCCTTGTAGAGCAGCCAGCCCACCAAACCCGTGACGGCACAGGTGGAGGCTAAAACCTGAACATAGACCTCTCGTCGCCGGCGAAGCTGCGCCAGTGTCGCCTGCCTCGCCTGGTGACGGTCGAGATTTCCTGGCCGTGGCCTTCCGATATCCGATATCGAGAACCAAGAACCGAGGACAGGAATAGGACTAATGCAGCTCTCCAGAACCGCCTGCATGACCTGTGGCAAGCTTCTTTTTCCAGGACTCCGCCATGGTAAGACCATTTCTGCTGAAGCGGAGCCCTCCTTCTGGTGCAGCACCATGGCGACATCAACCGGCGCTCCATACACCTCCACGACACGCGTCCGGATCCAGTGATCCAAGTTCGGGTATTTGTTTCTGAGAGCCTCCTTCAACCATCCTTGCGGTAATTCGGGGCACTGCATGAGAGCGAGGTACCCAGTCGCCAGACAGTCCACGCTGCTTTCCTTGTCTCCAAGGAAGAACTCCTTGTCTCCCAGCATCTCCACCAATGGTTCGAAGAAATCCGAGATGATGGCATCCAACCGGAATCTGTTCTTCTGCATGTTGCGTCCGAGAAGGCCACTGACCGTCTGCCTGGGTTTCCTCAACGACTTGGGGATATGTGCTGTCAGCCTGGCATCCTCGCTCTTGTCCTCCTGGGCCGCGTCCACGTCCAAACTACTGAGGCCCAGATGTTCCGATCTCTTCTTCGCCTTCGCTCGTAGGTGGTGTGGGACAGTCCAGCTGTTCGGCCACGCCAAGATCTCGCCCAGAGCTTGCCTGGTGCTACCCAGGTAATTGTCGCTGCTCACATAGAGACATAAGTCGAGAAGAGGCTGTCCGCGGGATTCGAGAAAAGACGTCAGTGCCGTGCAGTCGGCCCGTTGAGATTCATCGAGGTGCCTGTCGAGATTCCATTCTCCGTCTGAAACATCCCGTAAATACCGGACTATGTTATCGAACCCGGCTACCCAGCTATCCCCATCGCGCAGCGCTGGAAGTTCTCCAAGAGGGCTGACGGCCGGGTCGCTCGAGGGAATCAATGCCCAGGCGTCCACGGGCAGACATTTTCGCAGGTAACAGACAGCGGCAAGACACTGAGCGTCGATCGAGGGCAGATCAAATGCAGGGCCCCATATGTGCAATTCCAGCACCATTTCTTGCCTTGAGAAGGACAAGTTGACGGACTGGTGGAAAAGTAGGATGTATGCTGGCTAAACTGCGAAAACACGTACCTTTCGAGATGGCATGTGCGGCGAAGCATTGAGTGCTCGTGTACAATGCAGTTTTTCTCCTGCGAAGCATTAAATCTGGTGGTGCAGTAGTTTCCGCCGTCCCCAAAACGCTTGATCAACTCTTCCACCCCGCAGTCATTAGTACCTGTTATCCTTCTTGTCCTCTCCATTCACATACCGCACTCTGCTGGCCCGTTTCTCCCCGGCTGCGCTCTATCGAGCAAGCGGAAGGTCCAGACTGATGCATGAATCATCTCCGCCTGGGCCAGTGCCTCGGCACGGTTCCGCCAGCAACATTCCGCCGAAGACATAACGAAAGCCTGATCAACAGCCTCGCGCATCAGAAAGAGATAACCTTCTTCTACAGCAGACCGAGTTCCACGGGTCGGAATGATGGAAACAACTGCCCGCCCCCGACGACGACAACTGCATCTGCATCTGCATCTGGGACGATCGCGCATCAAGCAGGCGTCAACTGTCTCGCCATTGACGGCAATGAAGGTCGCTACTTGTTCTCGGGAGGCGCAGACTCCACTGTCCGGTTGTGGGATCTTGAAGAACACACGGCATCCCGCACCGCACCAGCGGGCGTTCCACGTGAATATCACCCATCAGCAGCGCTCACACGCAGCACTCCATCATCGCATACCCACGCGCTGACATCGATCTCCATCTACCCGTTCGACCCAACGCCGTCAACTCTGCTGACGACCAGCTACGACAAATCGCTCAAAGTGACGTCCATCACACCTACTTCGCTGGTGCCGGTACACACTTTCGATCTCGACTTCCTGCCCTACACACATTGTGTCTCATCCGTCCCGGACTCGTCCCCACTGATAGCCGTCGGAACGGCGCACCCAGCTGTGCGGCTACTCGACCTCCGCTCGGGCCTCTCGACGCATTCCCTCTCGGGGCCCAATGGCGCCGTCTACACGCTAGCGTGGTCGCCGAGGACATCCTACATTCTCGCGTCCGGCTCGGCGGACGGACGCGTGCTGTTCTACGATATCCGCCGCGCCAATGCGGTGTTTGCCTCGCTCGACTCAGACGACGCGGTCGGGGTTGTGGGCGAACAGCCCTCGACCGGTCTAGGCGCGCGCACCGAACTGCTGGATTTCCATACGGCCGCGCACAACGGCCCCGTGACCAGTGTGCAATGGACGCCCAGCGGCGATCGGCTGGTTACCGCGGGCCACGACCAGCGCATCCGGGTCTGGGACACGGCGACGGGTCGCAACGAGCTTGTCCATTTCGGCCCGCGCATCCGCAACGAGAGACAGGGCGAACTTAAGCCGTTGATCTCGCCGCCAGGGACCCATGCGCCCGGTCGCGAGTCGCTGTTCTGGCCCAACGACGACGGCCGCGGTGTAGTGTTCCAGCACCATCTGCGCGAGGGCCATTTGCTCGGGATCTTGCGCACCGAGGGTGTCAAGGTCGCCGAGGTCCAGGCCGCCAAGAAACACGGCAGGACCGGCGCCGCTGGCGTGAGCACTGCCGTCGCCCGCTTGACCAGTGCCGGCCGCATCAATGCTATGGTCTGGCGCACTGATGCCCCCCTTGGCGACGGGCTGGAGATGTACACTGCGCATGGAGATGGCAGGATTTGCGCTTGGATGCCGCGCCCCAAGGATGCACCTGAAGAAAAGGATGACGACGACGACAACGTCGACGATGATGAAAGTGGCACTGCTGGCGATACATCGGCTGGTGGAGATGGCCGTCGGCAACTACCTCCCGGCTCTGGCGATGCCGACGATGCAGCAGATAGAAAGAAACGCAAGCGTGACCTCATGGCCGACTTGGTCGGGGGTCTGGCGCGGCGGCCGATGCGCTTCTCCTGAACATCCGAGCATCTGTCGGACGCAGGCAGCATCGAGCCATCGCAGTGAGCCTGATATCTACAGCAAGAAGATCTTCCATAGCCGAATATATGCTCAATTGACACGAGGATCCGCTCATGATTCGAGTATATAGCCTTGCCACCTGCCAAATTACACTCTGCCGCCCAAGGACGACATACAAGGCTACACAATACTCCTGTCCAAGGAGATAAACTTCGCGGACCGCTTGATGCTGAATGTTCCAAAAACAAAACTAGCAGCTCATCTGAAATCGCTGCTCCGTTAGAGAATCGTACATTGATTATGTCATCCCAGTCATTAACATTATTGGTCTCGGGTTCGCCGCCACCGCCTGGATCCCGTCAAGCTCCTGGCCGTGGTATGATCTTCTTCCTCACGTCCCAAGAGCACGTGCTACCGTTCCTGGACGTGGTCCTGCCGATGTCATCGCTTTGGCACCACAAAGTCATCCTTGGTCGAGATCTTAAACCTCGTGTTGATGCCCGCAACCATATCTGCAGGAGTGAGGGAATTTGGATTGAACGAATGCCGTTTCAATTGGTGCGGGCCTGACACGACGACCGCGGGAGTAGCCGTAGCGTGAGCGGGATCAACGCCGTACGCTGGGATCTGGCCCTGCAGTGGCTGTGCCACGGGATACATCGGCAGCATCCCTATGGAATAACTCGGGTATCCCGGATCTGCCTGGCCAGGAGACTTTGCGTACATCAGAGGAGAAAAGGTTGTAGCGTTCGGGCCTGAATTCGGAGTTGCACCGGAAGAGTTTCGAAAGTCGACCTTATAATACCCTCCGGGAGAAGGAGTCTGCTGGAAGTAAGGATGCCTCTGCGGCGTTGGAGTCGTATGTGAAGCCACCGAAGACGTAGGCATGAAAGAGCCTCGACGTGGTCCAGGCTGCGTGGCAGGAACGGACGGATTCGGTTGATGCTGTCTCTGCATAGCAGCCAGTTGTTTCTGAGGCATGCTTGTATTCGCCCCGATGCCGCCATGGTACATTTGGTTCTGCGGCGGTACCTGACTACGCTGCGGATGATCCGAGAAGAGCGGAGGGATTGTGACAGCTCTAGAGGGGTTCCGCGCCTCGCTGGGCTGTGACGCAGCCGGTCTCGCTGCATCCGGATTTTGTCCAACAGACGTCGGAGCAGCAGAGATTCTGGTGTTCGCTGTACTACCTTGATCAACCCCTTCCTTCAAACCAGCGTTGTCAGTAGCCTTTTCTAAAAATTCGGCCATGGGCGACGAGAAGGGAGATCCAAACAAGGAATCGTTCTCGCTCGCCAGCAGTGGCTTTGGAGTCTCTGTGTCCTTGGCCGACGCCTCTGTAGCAGGTGTAGATACAGAATCGGTGGCCGGCGTCTGGACCTCGAGGCGGGAGAGAGCCGGAGCATATGCAGCTCGGGGCTGCATCGGTCGGGTAGGGAGAGTGTTAGAGATGGCTCCAGAGTCTGGATTCGGCGCTTCATTACGGCCAGCCTCTGTGCTCAACTCAGTCGCCAACTGACTTGATGGGGACTTCGACGATAGGTACTCTGCCTGCCTCCTAGCCCAGATCTGTCGCATACCCTTTTGCTCGTTCTCTGCTCTCTTTTGGGCAATCAATGATGCTATCAGGTTGGGGTGGGTGGTCAAAGAGGGTGTTTCGCCCGGTTTGAGAGCAGGCTCCTCGCCTATAGAAGGAGTGGCGGCTGGGAGACCTTCCTTCTGTACTTGCAGGCTCATGGACGTAGGTGCGACAAGAGCTGAGGTTTGCGCAGGAGCGAATTGCGGGAAGCCACCCGCAACGCTTGGGTGTCTCCCGGGCTCGTCCCCTTGCCGTGAGGATGCCAGAGGGCGATTGTTTCTCTGTAAAGGTTCCTGCCAGGTCTGCCCATTCGTAGAAGGCTGTTTTTGCGGCGCTACATTCCCACCACTTTTAGGACCCGTAGAGAACGTCGCGGCGGGTTGTAACAACGCTTGAGGACTCGGTCGAGGCCGGGACTCGGCATGCGTGACGTGTTGTCCCGAACTTGAAGGCGCAGGCGTGTTGAGATCCTTGTTGGTTGCTAGTGAGCGTGAGATGGTAGAGAACTGCTGAAGCGAGGCGGGGATTTCGAATGCTACGCGTTTCTGAGGAGAGGAGGGTGACGGCGAAGGGGTGCGCTTCCTGCGCGTCATGATGGATGGCGAAGAGCCTCAGCAACCATTGTCTGGACTGCGAAGACCGTACAGCCAGACGTCGAGACAAGGTCTGTTGGAGGGTCGAGGTTGAGGCAGAATGGGAATGATTGCGCAAGGCGCCTGGTTGGGGGTTGGCTGTTCAAGTCGGTATTGGCCGGGGATGATGAACTGCGTTCAAGCTGTGTGCTTATGATACTCGTGCCCGTGGTGTTGGTCCCTCGATCCTCGATCCCTCGATTCCATAACTAATTGACTGACAAAATATTGTCGGGTTTATCACTGAAGGTGCAAAGACATGTGGTGATAGATCGGGATGTAATGACAATGACGTTGTCCTACAGCTCCAACTCAATGCAATCCCATTGACTGCGCTGCATTGCACCTTTTTACTACCACTCAGTCTCTTCAGCTTAACAAACATCAACACCTCAATGCTGCGGTCGGCGTACTCGCTGTCACAGAGCCGTGCTCAAGGATGCCAGAGTGTCAGCCGGCTTCCGATGTGCTCCTCGGGCAGCTTTCCACTTCAGACCTTCCAAAGCCGTTTTCGTTCTGCCGAAAGCACCACGTCCACCTGATGCCTGCCTAGGTAGTTTTAATTCCGCCCATCATCTATGCTCGCGCCTCCTAGGCATCGACCGCGAACTTGCCTTCTGTTCGATGGCTCTATTCCTAACCAGGCCTGAAAAATTATTAGGTGAAGTGGGAGCTGGCAAACACAATAAATAAATGGGCGCCCGAGCGGCGCATTGTCTGCAGAGCTTGTATTCATGTTCAGTCAATCAATGGATGCTGATGTGCCGGCTCGTCCTCCACTACGGAAAAAGTCACAAGACGTTGGCAGAGGAGGTACACAGAGTCCTCGGCTCTCTGCTGGCCTGTTCCCGAAATCCTTGAGCCACGGTTTGGCAACCCTCCTCCACCTGGGGTGGTGCACATAGAGAAGCGATACTTCTAGGTCACGAACCTAAACATGCGCCTCTGAGCAAGGTAGGTCGAGAGGAAACAGAAGAGACACTGCTGGTGTATCGCAGACGGCAGACCAATCAGTGAGTGAGAAGTATCAAAGCAGCTGCCACAACCACGAACTCCGTTTGAGATTGCCTCTCCCAGCTAACGCAGATGCATTTCTCTGACAATGAAGAGTGAGTTTGCGTGATATGTCATTTCTTTCATGCTTCACGGCCATTGACAAAACCCCCTGGTTTAGATCCAATGCGGGCTTGAAATTAATACATGAAAGAACTCAATCCGATGCTCGAGGAGTTAACCGAGGTCAGATCAGACGGCTCGCTTGAATTTGTGCAACAACAGTCTATTCTGATATCCGAACCCAATCCCTTTGAGTACAAGACCCTGTGTACTAGTGACCCCAGACTTCATTTACCCCGGATCAAGGCAATACAACACGATACTAATATCCATGAAGGAGAAGACTTGGTGCAATTTTGGATCCTTGTTCATTCACTTTTGAGCACTTTGATAATCTTTAAAAGAAATCTGTAGAGGAAGACTCAAGAGTCATGAATACACGTACGTAGCAACACACTACAATAGTCCAAATCGACGATCATGACAGCCTCTACGTACCCAATCGCTTCAAGCAAAATCCGCTATCCAGGGTGTCTCCCAATTCGATTCATCGTCGAGCAAGCCGACTTTCAATGCCATGGCTCGAAAAGTAACAGAAGTTTGTCGTCAAGCGTCATCATTGGCAAACATCATCCTCTTAGTAGCGACCCCCACCCCAGCTGCTGTTGGTACTGCTGTTGTGCTTCTTCTTCTTGTCCTTGAGGAAATCTTCGGTGATGCTGCCCAATATTGCACCGCCGACTGTCCCGAGGAAGCCATGGTTCGCCTTCTTGCCGAGCATATGACCACCGAACCCGCCGCCGATGGCGCCCAGCAAGCCCCGATCGGTTTCGGTCATGGGGGGAGCATTGGGGTCGTAGTTGGGGGCATTTGGATCGGACGACTGAGCTTGGAACTGGTGTTGGCTCGCGTCGGGCAAGTGGGTGCCTGGTTGCTGAGCACCGCCTCCTTGGGCCAGTTGGGCCTGGTAGGCTTGATTCTGGGCATACGCGTCATTGCCGCCGCCGCCGCCGTAACCCTGATGTTGCGGTTGCAATTGCCCGTAGTAGCCTGGATGGCCTTGCGGGTTGCTGGCGTCGTAGGCACCAAACTGGCCACCGGCTTGACCGTGCTGGAAGCCCCCGTGCTGAGGGGGTCCAAAGGAGTCCTGGCGACGAGGAGGACCGTAGTTTTGATCTTGAGGATATTGCGAGTAGCCTTGCTCGGGATATTGCGATTGCTGATAGCCTTGGTCGTAGCCTTGTTGGGGAGGATAGCCGCTACCGTAACCTGGCTGGGGAGGATATTGGGCTTGTTGGCCGTAGCCGGAGTACGAATCGTAAGGGCCCGACATTTTGGAGGATGATGGTGGATGAGGATGAGGCGTTGATGTGGACGAAGGCGTAGATGAAGCAGTTGACCTCGTGTGTGTAGTTAGTTGTAAGGATGCTTTGGGATGGTTGGTCTAGGTTGTGGATGAATGAGAGGAGACGGTTTGAGAAGTGGGCGAGGTTTATGAAGGTGAAAAATACAGGTCGAGGTCTAGGGCTACAGTGGCTGGATACTAGTAGAAGACTGAAGTTCTTCGTCTGTCGTAAGTCGGTCACTCGGGTCAGTCAGGCAGTCAGTCAGCAGCAGCTCAGCCCCGCGCTGGATTACAGAGTGAGAGGCGACGCAATAATGCGCAGTCATGAAATTGTGAATGATGAAGCTGATGAGGGCGCATGAGGGCTGATTGAGGGGTTCAAGTTCCATCAAGACGGGGAGTCGGAGTCGTAGTGGATGTACTTATGTCATCTGCACCAATCAGCTGGTCGATTGTTACCATAGCCGTGGCGAAGCCTAGTCACGTGAGAGTCAACTGTGAGGCGCAGCAGATCTCGGAGCATCAGCCACAGTTCAGATAACTGATAGCAAACTGCGCTGCGCTCCTGGATACGAACTTACCTTATCCATCCATCACTACTACTTCTGAGACTGATACCAACAGACCACCCTATTCAGCTTGAAACATGTATTCCCCAAGTTACTAACATCACGGACGTAGGCATTACTTCTTCCATGAGACTTATTAGTGGTAGGTCGAATGTTCAAATGTCTAACTTATTAGGCTAAATTTGATTGAACCTCCTCCTTCTACCTACTTCAACACTAGGTATTGTACTAACTAAAGGATCTACCTTCCTCGAGATAGCCAAAGTCAAGTACTCCAACACCTCGGCCGCATCGGTTGTCGGATTTGAACGACTATCATGCCTCCTCGCCCGATGGTATCTGACATCTGCTATCGTTCTCCCATTGCTGTCAAATCATCTTCATTTGCGCCCATAAACTCCCCAGAATGGACTCCTACCACAGACCATGGTGCTCCGCTCGCATCGAGCCGTTCCAACAGCACGAACTACCGTGGTTTATATGTAGTCCTTCGGTTTCTCGAGATGATTTATCGTTGACCGTCTTGCGTCTCGCTTCTTGTCCTCTCGCCTGCCAATCCATCGTCCTCACCGACCCATGCTAAATGGCGACGCACGATTACAAGGAGGCTTCGGCCATTGCCCGTAAGAGGAGGGCTGCCAACATTGCCGCATTCTACAAGACGCCTACGTGGAAGGAGGAAGACCTCCCCAAGAATTTGACCGAGTTTGCCCTGAACTCGGGGTACTATACGGACGCCGAACTCGCCATCATCCAATCCGAGGCAGAGGCCATCCTCGAGAACATCAAGACCAGAAAATGGACCGCGCTTGAGGTTGCACAGGCATTTTGCAAGGCCTCGGCTCTGGCCCAGGAATTGGTATAGCCACATATGCCTAGGTATCGATGATTAGCACAGTCTGCTCACGTCTCTCCAGACCAACTGTGTAACTGAAGTCCTTTATCCCGAAGCCATGGCGAGAGCGAAATACCTCGACGACTATCTCGCGCGGACGGGCAAGACCATCGGTCCGCTCCATGGTCTGCCCATCTCTCTCAAGGACTGCTTTGTCACCGCTCCCCACCCGAGCAGTAACGGAATGGCCTGTTACGCGAATGACCCCATGGAGAAGGATTCCCTGTTGGTGAACATCCTTCGAGACCTCGGGGCCGTCTTCTACATCAAGACGAACGTCCCTGTGGCCATGATGATGGCCGAGACCAACAACAATGTGTGGGGTGAGACGCGGAACCCTCTTCACAAAGGTCTGAGTCCCGGTGGGTCCAGCGGCGGAGAGGGTGCCATGATCGCCTTCAAAGCATCCCCCCTGGGACTCGGGACAGATATCGGCGGCAGTGTCCGAATCCCAGCTGGATGGTGTCACTTGTACGGCCTCAAACCGAGCTTCGGTCGGTACCCAACTTATGGCGGGAAAGCTGGGATATCCGGACAGGAATTCATCCTTGCCGTCAACGGTCCCATGTCGAGATCCTTGAAGTCCCTTCAGCTGTACTCCGAAGCCGTCTTATCAGAACAAGTCCGTCCTTGGGACTACGACCATAAATGCATCCCTATTCCATGGAGGAAGAATGTCATCCAGCCTCCCGGGCGCAAGCTCAGGTTCGGAATTGTGGGCATCGACGACGGCCTGGTGACGTGCCATCCACCCGTGGAAAGGGCCCTGAATATGACCAAGGAAGCACTAGAACGCCAAGGCCACGAAGTGATCCCTTGGTCGACCGAGGAGCATGAAGCCATTGTCAAGGTAAAGCCCTGTTACAGGCCACGGTCCTCATGAGCGTTGATCAGCCCTGTACTGACACTCCCGCAGAACCTGCAAGCCGCGTTTTTTGACCTAGGCGGCGCCGCAATCATGGATCTGGTCAAACCCTACAATGAACCCGTCTTTCCCTCCATGCAAGGCTACGCGATCGCTGCCGCCGCCGGGGAAGGCGAGCTCGGCCCGACCAGGTTGCGCATGATGGTCCTGCGCCGCAACGAGCTCCAGAAGGCCTACCTCGATCGCTGGAACGCGTCTGCAACGGACGGGAAACCGCGTATCGACGGTATCATCCAGGCGGTATCGCCTTGGGCCGCCCCTAGGCTTGGAGAAACACAGCGTTCTGGCATGTATGTTGGGTAAGTAACCCTGTTGCTATGAGTTTTACTTGCTTCGAAGCCCACGTGCAGCATAAGACATCCTGCCAGGGAAACGGCGGGCAGCAAAGAGAAACAAGAAAACAGAAACAAACCAATCCGAACGACCCCATCCTGTATCAATCAAGTACCTGAGCTAATATATATGCATATCCACAGATACACAGGAGTCTGGAACCTCCTCGGTACGTCAACGATCCCCATGTCCTCCCAATTCTTCCCTATTCCCAGTGTCACTCAAGGTCCTCTCCCAAGACTTTGTGTCGTGTCCCCGGGCCGAGGTCTCCCCATTGCCTTTTGTGTTCTTCGCATGAAAGAATGAATGAACGAATGAATGAAGCTGAAGCTCACGTTACAATCAATACAGATTTCGGCGCCTGCACATTCCCCGTGACCTTTGCCGACAAAACCCTCGACAAAGCGCGAGACATGACGACGTTCAAGCCACTAAGCGATATCGACGCCCGCATCCAGGCCGAGTACGACGCCGACTTCTACGACGGCGCCCCCGTCGCGTTGCAGATCGTCGGCCGCCGCCTGGAAGAGGAGAAGATCCTGGAGATGTGCGAGGTCATCGACAATGCCTTGAAGGCCTCTTGAAGGAAGAGGATGGTGATACTCTTGTTTGCTGCGTGTCCAGATCACAGTCAATGGATTCTGGATCTTCGTTACTACGTACAGAGGAAAAGAAGGCCGCGATATCGATTCTGCGTTGTGGATCGACCCCAGCACCAGCCCCAGTCCCAACACCACCACCACCACCACTGAATGGCCTTGCGCCAAGCAGCTCTTGCCGTTCTTTTCGTGAACATGATGCGCTCAAGAGCAGTTCAATCACTGGTCCCCTTTTACCACTGACCAGGGCTGAGACAGTCAGCATTGCTTGCATGTTTACCGTCTAAGTATACATACTCCTATAGTGACCGGAATCTTGCTTACCTAGGTGCTACTAGTAGGTCAATAGATAGATAGATCTCGAGGGATATAGAAGATTATACAAAATGTCCGCAATTCCTTATTTGCCAGGCGAACAGGGCCACTGAATATGTATTCTATCATACCGGCCCCTACAGCCTCATTGACCATGTCGGTCAGTATCTCGTTTCTGGTTTGAGAGAGTCTGTGCGCGAGTAAAAGGATAACCCGTGAGCCTTTACATGTGCCGAACAGTAAAGATACTGCTCCCTGGTCCAGTCATCCGTACTACTACGAAGTACATCGGCTCGCGTCCAGCCAACAGCCGGTAACCGATGCTGGAGCCACGCATGATCAATCGTCTTCGAAGCGCCACTCAACTCCAAGATTAGTTTTGAAGCCAGCCATAACCCCGCCGCGTCCACTAATACCTAGTAGACAATGCTACTGAAGCGTCTGATTTTACATGTGCACTTCAACCCGTCCCTCGGTCCCTGATCCTTTGGCAAGGGTTGGCAGGAGATAGGTAATATCGTCCCAAGGATGTCTGGTGGAAGAGAACAGTCAGTTTTTGATGCTTTCATAAATACTGGACCGGGACAACAAACCTGTAGAGACCGGTGCGAAGACGTTTCTGATCAAGATAATGGGCAATAAGACCAATCGAACGGCCCAGCACGAACAGTCCGTTGAGGACACCCATCTTCATGTAATCTTCCGCTTCCTCGGCAGAGAATACACCAGAACTTCTCATTAGGTCGACAAAACTAACAGCAACCGCTCTGCAATCACAAATCGTCAGTCTTGGGCACGTATACAGACTCGACCACCCTAATGGAGGCGCGACTTACCCGTCAACGTTCAGAATGAGATTGTCCTTCTTGGACGTCGTCACTGTCTCCACGGCGATGGCATAGTCAAGCAGTTTGTGAGAGGGGAAGTTCTTCATAACATATTCCTTGACTAGTTCCACACGGAGATCGGGGTTATTTCGAGACTTGATTCGGTGACCAATACCGGGGACTGCGGTGTTGTTAGTTGGATTCTGCTTACTCCGGCGACCCACTTACTCAGTTTGTTCTCTTTCCTCATGTTGTCGACGAACTCACGCGGCGACCAGCCCTTGTCGAAAGCCTTGCCAAACTCTTCAGCAGCACCATCAAGGGCACCACCGAAGCGGGAACCGATCGTCAAGAGACCAGCAACGAGAGAGGAGATCAGATCCTTGCCGGCACGAGTGGTGATGATGGTGTTCATGGCACCAGACACGGCCGGACCGTGGTCGGCAGTCAACATCAGAACCATTTCCAAGAATTTGCTGGCGTAGGGAGGGAGTCGGCGACGGAACCACAGGAGAGACATGACACCGCCGATACCGATATCCTCCTTGAAGACATCCGATATGGGCATACCGGCATACAGCAACTCCTGGCCTCTGTCGTCGGAAATCGTGGAGATAAAGGCCGCAGGCTTTCGAATCAGACCGAGTTCTTGAGCCCAGGCGTAATCCATGGGGATCTTTGGTGGAGATGGCTCGGGAGCTGGCTTGATGGTCCCTTGCTTGACGAGCTTCTGGTAGACCTCGGCCAACAGTTGTGGCATCTCCTCAAAGGTCTCTGGGACGAAAAAGCCTGCTTCTCTCATCGACTGATTCTTGACCACGGCCGTCTCAAGTTGAGAGTTAGCGGAGGCGCCAGCGTGACCGAACTGTACTTCGGTCTTGAACATGCTAGCGCAGGTACCGATGGCCCATGCGACGATGGGCTTGGTGATCTGGCCCTTCTTCACCGCCTCAATAACCCTGTATTCTTCAACACCACCGACCTCACCCAGGAGCAGCAGGATCTTGCATCCTGGCTCATTCTGGTATCGCATCAAGTGGTCGATGAAGGAGGTACCAGGGTATCTGTCACCACCAATGGCAATACCTTCGTAGACGCCATCCGTGTTTTGGGCGATAATGTTGTTCAGCTCGTTGGACATACCGCCGGATTTGGAGACGTAGCCGACCGAACCTGGGCGATACAATTTCGAAGCAACAATGTTGTCCATCATGCCGCCAGTATTTCCAATCTTGAAGGCACCTGGTTTGATACCACCGACCGTGGCCGGACCAATGATGGTGATTCCCTTCTCTTTCGACTTGACCATGATCTCTCGGGCGCGTCGCTCGGGCACACCTTCAGCAATGATGGCGATCGAGCGAACTTGCGGGTAGTTCATCAACTCCATGGTTGAGCTGTACACCGATCTAGAGGAGGCGAAGTTCACCACTGTGTCAACATCGGGGTGTTTCTCGAACGCTTTTTCAACGGACTGGTATACTGGTAGGAGGGTCTCGCTAGTTCCCCAGTACATCTTGCTGACGAATTGACCGCCAAAAGTGTAGATGATACCGGCAACCGATGGCGTCGTGCGCTTGCAGATAAAGTCGAAATCGAGCATGCCCTGGACAGCCTTTGGCTGCATACCACTGTGCCGCTTGTCAGCGCCCCTTCCTCTTTCACTCAATTGTTTTGTCCGCAGACACTTACTAGACAAAACATCTTGTCTTGTTATGGAAGAGAGCATGTTGTGCAGGGCTCAACACCCTTGAAGGAGGATCAAAGCGACGGATGTTGTCGTTGGCAGAGATCATATTGTCTGATCCGGGTGTGGACGTGCTGCTCTCTTGAAGATCAATCTTGGGCACTCCATTGGAGAGGGGCGCAGGTGCGTCTGTCGCAGAAGGCATGGTGGGTGAGCTTTCACGGTCTGGCAAACCCATATTGTTAGTTGAGAAACAGAGGTAAAGGCACGCGAGAACAATGGAAATGGGCGTGCTTTGGTGTATAACAGAAAAAGGACGGTTCAGAAAAAGAACGGTTCAGAACAAGAGGGCGAAGGGGTAAAAACGGACCTCACTTGGACTTACAGGGAACGATACACTTGTTGAGCGACGCGTGAAAGGTGAAAGAGTCGTCGCAAAGGTCGGTTGGATTTCAGCAAGGAGAGATCACGGCAATGCAGAAGGTGAGGATTCGTGTTGGATGGTGCTCAGTATGGAGTTGATGTGTGCACTGCAGTGGTAGGTGTGTGGTGAGAGCAAGGGACCTGAGTAGGGATCCAAAAAAATGCCAGAGTATGTTTCGCGCAGCTTCAATGGGGATGGAGCGTTGAGATTCAACTCCGGCTACTAAGCAGCTGAACTACCGTCGCTAGCATCATGGCAGGGGCCTAAAATAGGAATGGCGGCCCCCAATGTCTTTTGCACTGCAGAGATTCAAAGCCTAGGGGCCCTGTCTGGCCCTGTCTTCCGGGCGGTGAGATTTCCAGTGGAGTTCCAACCGTTCAACAGCCTCCCTCGCCCTTGAACCTGGCGCCCCTTTGCCATGTCAGGCCTGTTACACCCACCATTATTCCATGCGCCTCTGACGGCCCGCCTCCGGAAAGGCTGAACGCACGGATGTTAGCAGCGTACTACCAGCTGCTCAGGTGCACGCGGCGCTCAGCTTTGGGCCTGTTTTTGACGGGCCTAGTTGGAACTTCTCGCGTGCCCCTCGATTTCGGAGTCCGGTCTCGTAGTCTTTTTACACGTCGTATCTCGTAACGCCTGTGGAACGTTGGGCCCTTGTCGGAGTAACAAGTACACTGTGTACACATTATCATCTCAGGTACGTAAGACAGTACCTATACAAGAACGAGTCCATGGATGAAGTAACGCCCGCGGCTCCCAATCCTGCCCAACAGAAATTTCCGGTGGTCACGGTGGTTGGATTGGAAGCCCAGCCATGCTGTACAGTCCTTCGCAGTATCCCGACAGGCTACAACCACTACCTAGGCCTGCTAGTATAGTACCTTAGACTTTCCCATCCAACAAAAGGCATGGACACTGGGACAGCAGTAACGACAGCGTCACAGCGTCAGCAGCGGTTGCCGACAATTGCAGCGGCGGCAGCCTCAGTCGAATAACAGCACAGCGTGTAGCGACTATTCGGAGAGGCTGTCCCTGGCGTTGTGTCCCCCCTGCGGTTCTTTAGCTTGCTGAGGTCCCCGATCCACCCATCGTTTAGGTGGCTTTGCGCCCCTCTAGATATGTTTAGCACCCCTAAATAGGAGACCCTAGGTGCCAGACCCCTGCTCCCAACAACCGCGCTCCACCAAAAATTTGTTAGGGAGCTGCAACTCCGGACGCCAACATTATTATTGCTGGACACCATTCACTGCATTGCCAGCAATAATTCTGGCCCCAGCAGCTGCGCGAGTCTCCCTTGCTCTACACCACGCTCACCCCATCTTCTGTACAGCAGCCGGTAATCTTTCACATTGTCAACTGCTCTTTCTCTCTCCTCACATTTCTTGAACATAACCAAACCTAACTCAACTCAGACAAAGAGGCACAGATACAACAGTCCGCGTTTCCCCTGAGCATCATCTCTTACTCTACCCCACACCGCCGCGACAATGTCTGCAAAGTCCATTCTGGAGGCCGACGGGAAGGCCATTCTCAATTACCACTTGACTCGTGCTCCTGTGGTCAAGCCGACACCTCTGAAGCCCGCCGGCGTTCACAATCCTCCACCCAAACTCGCTTCCCTCCATTTCCCTGAAGATGAGTCGGTCAAGACTGTTTTGGACCAAGCTGAGGCCACCTATCCCTGGCTACTAGCCCCCGGCGCCAAATTTGTCGCGAAACCAGATCAATTGATCAAGAGAAGAGGGAAGAGTGGTCTTCTGGCCTTGAACAAGACATGGCCCGAAGCCAGAGCGTGGATTGAGGCGCGCGCCGGAACGGAACAAAAAGTTGAGACGGTCACTGGCTTCCTCAGACAATTTTTGGTTGAGCCTTTCGTGCCCCATCCTCAAAATACCGAATATTACATCAACATCAACTCTGTCCGAGACGTAAGTTGTGCTCCTATCAATGGCCAGGACCAGCATTGACGAGGTTTTTAGGGCGATTGGATTCTCTTTACACACGAGGGTGGTGTAGACGTGGGCGATGTCGACGCGAAGGCCGAGAAGATCCTCATCCCAGTCGATCTGAAAGACTTCCCTTCAAACCAAGAACTCGCCAGTGCTCTCCTGAGCAAAGTGCCCACGGGCATTCACAATGTATTGCTCGACTTTATCATCCGACTCTACTCCGTCTATGTCGATTGCCAATTCACCTACCTCGAAATCAACCCCCTGGTCGTTATTCCCAACGCCGCCGGCACATCTGCCGACGTCCACTTCCTTGATCTTGCCGCGAAGCTTGACCAAACGGCGGACTTTGAATGCGGCACGAAATGGGCTATTGCACGAAGTCCTGCAGCCCTTGGGCTGCCCGGCGTCAAGAGCGACGGAAAAGTGACCATCGACGTGGGTCCACCAATGGAATTCCCCGCACCCTTTGGTCGCGAGCTCAGCAAAGAAGAGAAGTACATTGCGGACATGGATGCGAAGACCGGTGCCTCGCTCAAGTTGACCATCCTGAATTCCCAAGGTCGCGTGTGGACATTGGTTGCTGGTGGTGGTGCCTCTGTGGTCTATGCTGACGCCATTGCCTCCGCCGGCTTCGTCAGCGAGCTTGCAAACTACGGTGAATACTCAGGCGCCCCAACCGAGACCCAGACATACAACTACGCTCGCACTGTTTTGGACCTCATGCTGCGAGCACCTAAGCGCGAGGAGGGTAAAGTCCTTTTCATTGGTGGAGGCATTGCCAACTTCACCAACGTCGCTTCGACGTTCAAGGGAGTGATCCGCGCCTTAAGGGGAGTGGCTCCCGCGCTTCTCGAACACAAGGTTCAAATCTGGGTTCGTCGTGCCGGCCCCAATTACCAAGAAGGTCTCAAGAACATCAAGGCAGTAGGTGAAGAGCTACACCTGGACATGCACGTCTTTGGTCCCGAGATGCACGTCAGCGGTATTGTGCCGTTAGCTCTCCTGGGAAAGAAGACCACCGTGCCAGAGTTTGGAGGCTAGAGGTTTAGCCATGGAGGCAAGGGCGAAGCGAATTTTGTTTGGCTGGTTTGAACTAGAGTGTATCAAGTATCAGATCGATGGCGAAGGGTCGGTATGCGTGTGGGCAGTCGGAAAAGGGGCTTACAGGGTTATCCTTGCAGAGTTCATTCTCTGTTGACTGTGACGAACTGAGCAGTGTGTGCGCAACGCCGTGACAGTGCTCTGCTATCTCACTCGCGACATGAGATTAAGCTCGCACACAATGAAGCGTTGCTTCGAAGACATATTTAGACCCAGCACAGTAATCACAGTGTTGATGCAAGCAAAATAGTCGAGCATTTTCTTCACTCGTGTCTACTTCCTGCAAGTGTAATCGAGTCTTCGAGGTAGCTTCGCAGGCCAGTTGGTGTTTCATACTACAGCTGCCATCCTTGTGGAGGCTGTGCACCAGTTGTACCCCTTGCGAACCGATATTTTGTAAGTCCATGACCTTTTCACGGCAATTGCAAGAAATACCCTTGCGTAGACTCCTGACTCCATTTTCTGCCTGCCATGAGCACAAATGACTTGCAAGATATCACGAACCCGCCCCGTTTTATCGCGGACAATACCACCTTGAAACTCGCAAACTCCGAATCCATTTGCGTCCTGCTTAGTTGAACATTCTCAGCCACGTCTCTACTCGACAAGGATGACCCTTCCTCCGGCCAGCTCATCGATGTAGGCGAGTTTCCCGCAGCCCTGACTGGTCTTCTTATCCTCTTCGCGCAACAGCACGGCGAGTACTTCGACGGGTGGTTCTAGACCGAGCAGGTTGGCCCGTTTCCAGCGCTGGAGCCGTGATATACCGATGCACGGACCGTACTGGGACGAGAGGTCGAAGTGGCGTAGGATCTTCTCATGGAGGGAGAGCGTTTCTTGATGGACTGCAGCAGAAGAAACTGTGGTTAGCGCTTGGGATCATAGACATATGTAACTATGTCGATGGTATGGGTTGTGTTTGACTAAGGCAGAAACATGCTAATCAAGGGGTTTTCGTGCAAGGTAGTCAGGGCAAGAGTCCGACCAGGATGAAGATTGCGGATTATACGAAAGTATGCGCACGTAAAAATCAAAAGAGTACACATACCTCTAGGAGCAAGTCGGCTGTCCTCCTCGGCCCGCCAGTACTTCTTGATCTGCGAATCCGTGACCTTCTCTGCCTCAAGTTCGCGCGCATCTTTTCCCCCTTGGACTCGTGTTCGCTTCGCCCTTGGTTTCAGTCTCTGCGTCTGCGCTTCTTCTGCCGGTGAATCTAGAATGTTGACTTTGATCTGACTTGGCTCTGCCTTCGCTGCTTCCACATCCACAGACCGGGCCTCCTCCTGTCCGGACTCGAGCGTTTCGATCGCCGTCACCTCCTCTTCAATCTGCGCCTGCGCTGGTTCTGATAACGATTTGGCTAGCGGGTTCTTCTTGGCTTCATCTGGTCTGGCGCTCGGTTTGGTCACTCGTGCCGATTTGCTGTTGAACGAGAGCGTAGATTGGGCTTGAGCGGCAGAGGAGCCAGTGCTCGCTTTGGTCTTACGGCCGCGAGGCATGATGGTTAGATACTGCGCTGACTGTGGTAAATATGTGTCCTTAGCCTGCTGTAGTCAATGTGTAGTTTTGTGAACGCTGTTAAAGTGTCTGGAATATCTGAAATATCTGTCTTTGATATTAGGAGGTTGAATGGTGGTGTGAAGTCCAGGCCACCAACGGCACAAGTGCATGACGTTCTTCAATTTCCGCGTCGCGCTGCCTCAGCAACCGCGCCTAAATGACATTTATCACGAAATCAGGTCGACTATCACGCCTCTTTATCCAACCGCTCCTGTCGTCCTTATCGCTGCTTTAATGCTCATCGTGAAAAGTCGGAGGACGATAACGATAAAAGCTCGGTAGAGTTGCCCTTTATGCGTCGAGCAATCGGGAACCGTCATTGGCAGCCCCCCGCGGTCAACAGAATGGATGCGGAAGTATTGCTGCTGCGAGTATTTGCTTCCTTCTTCCTCCCTGACTCTTACATTACTACTGCTGTATATTCCTGTGCTACACCTGTAAAATCGAGCTTACTATCATTCCCAAGCGCTCGCAAGGTTCAAACTATCCTTTTTTCTAGAAAGAATTCCTCTTCCACCGCCAAAATGGGGCGCAAGTTCTTCGTTGGAGGAAACTTCAAAATGTACGGCTTTCCAATGGAAGAACTTCTGCTCATTGCGAAGATACAGCCGCTGACATGATGCTGGGCTCAGGAATGGGACGATCAAGACCATCAAGGATATCGCCCACAACCTCTCGACGGCCAAGCTCGGTAAGCTCTGTCTTGCTCTGCCCTTCCGATTGCTTTTCGTGTCCAGTATAGCCTCTCTGCCGAGCAAGACCAGCAAGACTGGCCCTGTCCAGGGGAGAACGGCTGTCTGGTCGACAACATGGGATACAAGGACACCCGGGCTAACTCGGACAACCACTCGTTGCAGACCCAAATACCGAAGTAGTCGTCGCGCCTCCGAGCTTGTACCTCCTCCTTGCGCGAGAGCACTTTGCTCCCAGCATCGAAGTCGCCGCCCAGAATGTGTTCGACAAGCCCAGTGGAGCTTTCACTGGCGAGATCTCCCCGCAGCAGCTGAAAGACTGCAACATAAACTGGGTTGTCCTAGGTCACTCTGAGCGTCGAACGATTCTCCGCGAGGATGACGACTTCGTGGCGTGCAAGACCAAGGCAGCGTTGGATGCTGGCGTGAGTGTCATTCTGTGCTGTGGCGAGTCTCTCGAGGAACGTGAGAAGGGCGTCACCGTCGACGTCGTTACGCGACAACTGGCAGCGGTCAACAAATCCATTGGCAAGGACGGCTGGAAGAATGTCGTGATTGCATACGAACCGATCTGGGCGATTGGAACAGGCAAGGTTGCTACAACCGGTGAGTGACATGGTTTACTGTTTTGGGTATGTTGCAAACGAGCAATGTGGACTAATACAACCTTTCTTGATGCAGAGCAAGCGCAGGAAGTCCATGCAGCCATCAGAAAGTGGCTTGCCGATTCTGTCTCGCCTGAGGTGGCGGAGGAGACGAGAATCATCTATGGCGGTAGCGTGACCGAAAAGAACTGCGCAGAGCTGGCCAAGCAGCCCGACGTTGACGGTTTCTTGGTGGGCGGAGCCAGTCTGAAGCCTGCTTGTAAGTGCTATCTCATTCTATTGATCAAGCACGATTCAGGAGGCTAACCAAACAATTTTCAAGTCGTCGACATCATCAACTGCAACCTCTAGTTCAATACATATCAGGCGGGTGAAGATGGCAGTATGTTGAGCTTGATCGCTCGATTGTCAGGCAATACGTGCCACTCTGCCCAAAACTGTTGAGCCTACGAGTTGCCAACTACCTAGTCAGATCAGACAAGACTAATGAAAGAATGACCTTTCTCCTGGTTCGCGTGCACCACTATCCTTCCGTGGACTGAGACTACCACCAGTGCTAAAGCCAATGGATTGTGTACAGATTTAAATTGGCGGGTCTTTGTAGTCCCTCGCCTTTCCAGGAGTCTTGCTGCGATGCCGTAGATACGTATCAACAACCCTACCACCGAAACGAGGAAGTTGCCATATCCACATAATCATGTCTTCATTGAATTCTCGATTATTGTTACAGGATTCAGTGGCAAGGGCCCATGTGGAATCTCTATGGTCCCCGAGTCGTACAACATCTCTCATCAGACGCACATCCCAACAACTAATAACGCCAGATCCCAAGTCACTTCCATCCGCCCATACACATTCACACATCCGAAACGCCCTCTTCGTAGAAGAGTTCAAGCCTGTGATTGGATCTTATTGTCGCCCTTCACCACCTCAGAATAGCTCGGGGGTGCGCCAGGCTCCTCGTTGCCTGCGCCTACACTTGGTCCTGCGGGCTGACTTGGAGGCGGCGGCGCCGGTCTGCCACTGGCATCACCGGTGTTGTTATCGCTCCGCTGCGAGGGACGGCTCTTGGCCTTTGGTGGCGGAGGGGCTGGTCGACCGTGGCCTTCGGTGCCATAACTTCGTGGCGGGGCTGGCTCGGTGCGGATATAGTAGTACGTGACGCGCTGGGACTCCGCGTCCGGAATGGTCTCATAGTCCCAGTTTTGCTCGGGATTACGGGCAATGATATACCAGGCGTGCAGGAGCCCGGGCAGGTAGCCGAGAAGGCATAGTAGAATGTTGATCAGGGAGTCGCAGGAGCAGATGCCGGATTTGATCCAGACTGGAGCACAGGGAGTTAGTCATACGCACGAAAGACGTCGGTGAGCCAGAGCGAACGTACCTGCAATCGGAGGGAATAGAATGGCGATGAGCCCGAGGAAGATGTCGCCGCACGACATGGCGATGATAACGTGTCCTTCCTGAATGGAAGCCGTGGTGGGTGAAGTTGGTGGCACAGAACTTGTAAAGATGTATTCGGCCTTTTTAATGATGAGTGAAAGATTTTGCGCAGTCGAAGTTTGGATATGATCAAAAGCAAAGCGTGTTTTTCGCGGGTGCCTGAGAAAGGTCTGGATCGGTTGGTAGAGGACTGCCAGTCGGAGGCGGCAGGCTAGATCCTGGGGTCAGGCGAGGCTGAGCAATTTAGTAAGGGAAGAGAATAGGAAGACGCCGTAGGACACATGAGAGGGACCGATGACGTTGCGGTGGTCGCCGAGCGCCTGTACGACTGAAAGGCACGAGGCTCGTACAGTTTCAAGTGCGGGAATGGCTTCACACTCCTCCGTACTATGTCCGCCGGATCATACCAGCTTCAAGCGCAACGCCTTCACCTCATTGCCAATGCCTCGGCTATTGGGCCTTTGGGCCTTAGGTCGTCAGCCGGGAGCGCAAGACGGGGTTTCAACAGCTTTGTCGGTCTCCTTGTCCATTTCATGAACCAGGATGGAGGTACTGTATCTTGTTGAGTAAACTGGCAATCTGAAAACAAGGACAACCATTGGAAACGTGTCGCAGCCCTGAGCCGAAGGGACGATAAGAAGAACGGCATCTTGTTACAGTCCTTGCCGCACTTTTAGTGATTCATACACCTACGGTGCATCGTCCTGTTCCTCTTCCACTCTTTGCACACTATAGAAACGCTGGTGACCATGTCGAGCAACGAATCCGTCCACCCTGACCCCGGCGTCGTGCCTCACGATCCTCCCGAGACCGACAACCTGACGGGAGGGATGGAGCCTGTCAAACCTGACGAGACGCCAGCATTGGCCAAACTGCCCAAAGAGATCACGACGACACTGTCGAAGGCTGATGAGATTCTCGTGCGCATCAGCAAGTATGTGGCCCCCATGGTGATTTGCGGCGCATCATACGATGGATTCAAATGGAAGTACATACGAACTTGGACTGACACGCTTCACACTATTGCAGATTGATCAAAACCACTGCCGGGCTGGGCGCAGCTCTCTCAACTCTCAACTACTCCATCTATCTCGCCGCATACCTACATACCAACGCGCCTACTCGCGCTGCCGTCATCACATACGTTTCACGGCTGATAGGGCGGACGCCATCGAAACTGCCCGCCGGTGCGCTCGCCCCTGCGGCGCCCACGTCGTTTTTGACCCCGTTGGGCTCCCTGATCTCCGATACACGCACCACACTGCGCCTGACAGGTCTCGTTCCGTTGTATTTGTGGCTTAAGACGCTGCTATCCAAGAAGTCTGCGGCCGAGATGGACCCAGCGCTGCGCCGAGTCGCCCTGCTTCAATGCACTGCATACATGGCCTTTCAGGTAATCGAGAACGTCTACCACCTTGTAATCAAGGGCGTGGTACCGGCTGAAGTGGTGACAAAACGGGGCGGCGTCAACAAATGGGTCGCCTGGAGCTCCCGCGCATGGTTGGTCGGTGTGGCCCTTGACTTCCTGCGTCTCCAGCGCGAGGCACAGCTCGACAAGTCCAAGCGGACAACCAAGTCAGTCCAAGAAGAAGAGGACTTTGACCGTGCGTGGTGGAATGAATTTATGGTCGCTGCGTCCTGGATGCCTGTAGCTGTTCACTACAGCCTCTACCCAGAAGGTATTAGGGGCATGAACACGGGGTTAGTGGGCTTCTTTGGCCTGATGGCTGGCTTGAACAATTTCCGGAGCCAATGGGCTGCAACTGCTTAGAGTTGTCGGCGCAGGACAGGAGAACGGAGAGGCATCGTGCTGGGAAACCAGGCTGCTGCATTCCAAACTTATGCATCGTATGGACAGAACATACAAATCATCAGAATTATCCCACGGCTCCAAGCTCGACATCTCCATTCGAATATCAATATCGAGAAGGGTCTACATTGTACGGAGACAAACCTGGGATGTGGATGTCGTGGAAACTAAATCTCATTGGTTGGGCAAACTCCGTCGCACGTGACCGACCAGCTTCCTATTGGCTCCAGCTCGAAGTGTCTTTTGCCGTTGCGATGCTCCTGAAAATCCGCCCGATTTTGCCATTTTGAAATCTCTCGCTGTACATTGACTGACTGACTGACCTTGTATCACTACTCCTTCTTCATTCCTTTGTGTTTTTTACTCTGTTGGCTCGGAGGACATTCCGCTCTGACAGAAAGCCTTCGGCTTCTTTCCAAGTGCGGCTTGTTCTTCCATTTTGCGGTCGACTCGATTTCGATATCTTGGGCGCAATGCTCACACGAGCTGCTCGTCGAAAGCATGCGCTCCTCTACTTTCAACGAGCCGCCGAAAGGATCCAGTTACCATGGCTGTGTCCGGCTCTTTCACAATCCAATTATACTCCTCACCAACGTCGTTCCATAACATCTCGACCGTCGATATCCCGCTCAAAAACTTTGCCTGCGCGGATAAACCAGGCTCGACATCTTGCCTCTCCAGCCGCCGCTCCTGAAACCTTCGATCGAAGTGATGACTACATTCCCTTCGTCTATGCTCATTCAGACTACCCAACCTCTGACCACCCCATTCAACGAAATGCTGGGGATCTATCTCCTTTCGACCTTTCACAAATCCTTATGCTCGAGAACGCCGCAGACCTCGCACATGACCACAACGACCCCAGCCATGCCACGGGAACGAGTTTACGAAAGAACACCGATGAGATTGAGGCTACATTGGATGCCTGTCTACAAGTGCATCGGTGGGATCGAGCATTCACCCTCCTGTCACAGTTAGCACTCTGTTGTCAAAACAATCCCTCCAGGCTGCGGAACTCCTTCAACCGAGTGCTCGCCGCAATGATCGATGATTTTGTCCGGAACCGAAATCATGAGCACGAATCACGAATCAACAACTGGGTCGAAGTACATATGAGGCAAGCCGGCGTGGAGCCTGATGCGCAGACGTTTGCGTTGAAGATAAAAGTGGCCTTGGATTCATTGGTCGGCGGAAAGCGTGATCGCACCGTACGGAGATATTGGGAAATGACACAAAAGTATGGTTTAGAAAGCAGAGTGCTGAGTTTAAGAGAGATCCTCGACGATCGCGACTTGGGACGACTATCTCAAATCTGCCCGCTGGAAGTGAAGACGTTTCAAGCTGAAGAGTCCGCTCGCAGCTTGTCGGCACAGCCCCATGTACCATCATCTACGGCCAAAGAACAGTTTCATGTTCGAGAAACCGAGCAAAAGGGCTTGGGCTTGACCTCACTCAGGAAATCGTTGTCCGTCTTTTCTGGTCAGGTGGACACCCATGTCGATATGGGATTGCAGGACGATCCCGCTACGGCAAGGCAACGCAAGCTAGAAAGAGATGCCATAGATTCTGCCCTGAACCGGTGGAAGACGGAATACTACAAAAGGACCAAATCGGGCATCACGGGCGATCTGGCTCATGGAAAAATCGGTGCTTTGCTATGGCAATGGCACGAGATCCTCGCCGAGAAGATCAGCAATGAAATCAAGCTTGCACGGGAGGACGATGCCACAGGAGGCAAGATGTCAGCACAACAAAAGTTGCGGGCGGAATGCACACCCTTTCTTGAGCTGCTACCCGCAGAGAGAGTGGCCGCCGTTACCTCGGTTGCCCTGATGCAGATCATGAGCAAGGTTGGAGCCTCGAAGCCAGCAAAGCTAGTTCGACTGGTCACGGAATTAGGGCAAGCAATTGAAACAGAATACGACGCTACTCGAGTGGCTCGGAAAAGAAATGCCATGTTGAAGGCAAAGGAGAGATTGGCTGAGAAGGCACCTGGCGCTGCCTTTGAATGGGATGAAACGCTGGATACTACCTTGCACAGACGTTCCTCGCACCACGCCGCGACACCCTATGCATATAAGAAGAATTGGTCGAAGACGATCCACGCCAAGCTCGGTTCCGTCCTTTGCGAACTGATGTTCGACACAGCCAAAATCATGATTACTCGAGAGGATAAAGCAACGGGCAGGAAGGTCTCGATCGCTCAGCCCGTGTTTCTTCACTCCACCAGCTATCAGAACGGACGCAGAGTTGGCACTGTTTCCTTACATGAAGATTTTGTCAAGATCCTTGTTTCTGAACCAGCCGAGCACCTGATCGCAAAACAATTACCCATGGTGTGCCCTCCTCGGCCATGGAAGGGCTTTTACGATGGCGGCTTCCTGGAATCGACACAACCATTCTTGCGCATCAAGTATAACGAAACCTCTCAAAAGGATTATGGCAAAGCCGCTGCCGAACGTGGTGATCTGGATCAGCTCTTCGCTGGTGTTGACATTCTTGGCCAGACCGGTTGGAGAATCAACAGGCAGGTTTTCTCTGTGATGCTGGAGGCGTGGAACAGCGGAGAAGAAATTGCCAATCTGCCACCGCTCAACAAAGTATACCCAGAGGTCGAGAGGCCCGCCGAAAATGCGCCTCCGAAAGAACGCTGGAATTGGTTCTTGAAGATGCGCATGATCGACAACGAAAGGAGCGGCATCCATTCTAACCGCTGTTTTCAAAACTTCCAGATGGAAATCGCCCGGGCTTATCTCGACGAAACATTTTACCTTCCGCACAACGTCGACTTCCGTGGACGTGCATATCCCATCCCACCATATCTCAACCAGATGGGTGCCGACAATGCGCGTGGTCTTCTGCTTTTCGACAAGGGCCGCGAGCTTGGCAGTGACGGTCTTCGCTGGTTGAAAATCCACCTGGCCAACGTTTACGGGTACGACAAGGCTAGCTTGTCTGACCGGGCGCAATTTCCCATGGATCACATTGACGAAATCTACGATTCGGTGCAGAATCCACTGAATGGAAGACGGTGGTGGTTGAGTGCTGAAGATCCGTGGCAATGTCTCGCGACCTGCTACGAGCTCGCAAACGCTCTGGATTCATCCGATCCGACAAAGTACGTGTCCAGACTTCCCATCCACCAGGATGGCTCCTGCAACGGACTCCAACATTATGCCGCCCTCGGTGGCGACATTGCCGGAGCACGGCAAGTCAATCTAGAGCCTGGAGACAAACCTGCCGATGTGTACACCGGTGTTTGCGAGCTGGTGAAAGCTGACATCAGAGAGGATGCAGCCAAGGGAGATTCTCTGGCTAAAATGCTCGACGGCAGGATCACCAGGAAAGTGGTGAAGCAAACGGTCATGACGAACGTGTACGGCGTCACTTTTCTCGGTGCTGTTCGACAAGTTCGAAAACAAGTTGAGGCGTTGATCCCGGAAGTATCCGAGGCACGTCTTTCCGGTAAAGCATCAGCATATATCGCGCGGAAGATTTTCAAAGGCCTCGGTGCCTTATTCACCGGAGCGCATGAGATCCAGTACTGGCTGGGGGACTGTGCGAATCGCATCAGTTCATCAATCTCTCCTGCACAGCTGGAGCAGATGTATCGGAAAGAGTACGGCGCCCAATCTGTGCCTGACGAGCGGCCACTGTCACGGAGGAAGAAAGCCAAGAGCAAGGAGATCCTTGAATCCGGTAGGTTCCTGTCGACTGTGATCTGGACCACGCCTCTGAAGCTTCCTGTCGTGCAACCCTACCGCGTGAACAAGGGCATGAAAATCCAGACAAATCTGCAGAACATCACCTTGGCTCAACCGAGTGTCAACGATTCCGTCAACAAGCGGAAACAATTGCAGGCCTTCCCTCCCAACTTCATCCACTCTCTCGACGCCACGCATATGATTCTCTCCGCCTTGAAGGCCAATGAGCTCGGCCTGACCTTCTCCGCCGTCCACGACAGTTTCTGGACCCATGCTGCTGATGTGAACTCCCTCAGTGAGCTATTGCGTGATGCATTCATCCGTATGCACAGTGAAGACATCATTGGACGACTCGCCGCCGAGTTCAAGATGCGATACGAGGGTCACTACTATCTGGCTCAAATCAACAAATCCAACGCTCTAGGTAAAGCCATCATTGCATATCGCAAGAAGATGGTAGAAGAGGGAGTATTCAAGGCAGGCACAGGCTCCAAGGGCATTCAACAACGGAGACATGCCGAGCTGCTACGAGAGATTCGCAAGAAGAAATTAATGGAAAGCCAGGACCCGAAGGAGAGGGAGGAAGGCGAGAAGATGGAGACCGCCGCCACCCTGTTCGAACAATACGATGGGGAGAAGTACTTGGCCAACCGTGACTCGTTGGGTGAAACCGCCATTGGAGCGGTGCCTGAACCGGCCAAGGAGGAGACAGTGGTCGAAGCGATCAATGCCGCCGGGGTTTCCGATGATGTCGACCTGGTCAGCACTCTCGATCCACTGCGGGAGTCCGTCGCCAATGAGGACGACGTTGACTTTGAAGCCGAAAGTGATATTGTCACTTCTACCACGATAGAAGGCGGTCAAGAAATCAATGCCTTTGGCCAGAAGATCGGAAAGAAGAATGCGGCTAAAAAGAGCGTCAACAACCAGACTTGGCTGTGGCTACCGCTTAAATTCCGACCGGTGCCGCAAAAGGGCGATTTCGACGTGCGACGATTGAAGGACAGCACCTACTTTTTCTCGTGATTGGCAGCACCAATTTCCCTTTTACTTGTACAGACGGCTTTTCCTTCACCTGTACGTCTTTTCATATATTGGAAAGGCTGGTCGTCAAAATGGGGGACCACCATGTTATGATGAATTTTGTATTGTCAGCCTAAGAGAGCATCGGTGGATGGCGTTCGAAAGCACAACCAAAAGGAGGGAGTTATGCAGGGCGCATATTTTGCAAGGTCCTGTGGTGTCCCCGCGCGGTGTGTTAGGCTCCTTCCATGTCGGAAATGTGTGAAGGGTTATGGACAGGTGAAGCCAATCTAGTCGAGTTGTTCGCCAAAGTGGACTGCTCAGACTTGTGTTATATATTGTATATATTGAGATGAAGAGGATGTCCATGGCTAGTGAAGAACAAAGCCATGATTACCTTTGAAAGTTCTGGATTTATCTAAACATCATCTGTCATGGCAGACTGGTCTGCTGGTCTGCTAGTCTGCTGGTCTGCTGGTCTTGGTCTCGAGATGCGTAAGGAGATTATAGAGCGAGTCAGTGAATAGCGTTGACGGACGAGGCTCCGGCTTATTAAAGCAGCGATGGAAGGATCGCCAGCGGTAGAGATTAAAACAGCGCCCGTGCCCATGGAATTGGATAAAGCGGATTGGGTGGGTTCTTATAGCCTTGTGGCGTGACAAGGCTGTGCAATCAGAATCCAGTCCAACCCCCTTGACGTTGGGTTGAAGTTGGCGGCGCCCCTCAGCGCAAAATTAGGTGATTTATGGCACGAAACTACTGTAAAACACGTCTCACATTCTCATCTCAGGCGCTAGGGAGGCTGCGGGCGAGACCTTGACGGCGACTTGACGGGGAGGCAGAAAGGGGGTTCCCAGTGCACGAGGCTAGACCATGTTAGACACCCATCACGCGCGGGTTTCACTGTTTCCCTTGTGCCTCATTTGATCTGCCTTTACTCTCTGCTCGGCGTCCTCGAGTCTGCTTCTGTCGTTCTTTACAGCTGGACTTCGACTCATCCTTTCGCGGAAAGAAGGAAAATGTGCCTATCCCTCCTCACCGTCTCCCGCACGAACGAACGAATCTGATACTAGTCTTTTCACTGCCTGCGCCGCTGCCTCTACTTCTACGGGTGCCCCATACCAGTACCCCCGTGGTGGCTTGGTATCCTGTGACCATCGTTAACAATCCAAGACTGGTCCAATTGTTGTTGTTGTGGTTGCCGTCGTTGGTGGATTGATGAACCACCCCCTCGGCTCACAGCTTTACAACTCTCCCTCAGAACCTTCGGATGCCGGTATCCTCGATGATGCCTCGAATCACGCTCCTGCGCGTCCTCCTTCTCCCGCCAACATGCTGGCTTGCGCTGGTCGCATTGTGGATTCTTCTGCCGTCGCCCGCGGTGCTGTGGAATGATGAGCCTTCAGAGTATCTCTGGCGTGGAGGAAGAGTAACGAGGGTTTACAAGTAAGTGTGTGCCCGCGCGTGTGTGGATTTTGATCGATTCTTTCGATTCGTTCCCGCCTAAATGTTCTTGTGAATGCGCACAGGATGAAGAGGAAAGTTCTGTGTGCATGTGAGTGTTGCTAGCAAGAGAGGGGGCATCAGGAGAGGAATTGAGTAGATGGTAGAAAAGAAGGAAACACATTCGCTTTACAAAGGAGATGGTCCTTCAAACCTTCCCCCTTGAAGAGCCGATATACCATGTATGAAGTGCATATATAGCTTCTGCAAGAGAAGGATGAAAAGTACTATACCTGAACATGTTTCTCTGCTGGACAAGGATCCAGACATGAACGAGCTCCAGAAAGAGAAGAACAGCAACCACATTGATGCGACGAAATCTCATATTTGAGTCTCTACAGAATTTGCCTTCCTACGGTTCAACTGGATGCCTTTTGGAGGATTTCCTCGTTTATTGCTGGTTGATATTGGTTGGAAGTACTCCCTCATCCGGTCAATCTCTGACACGGACGGATTGATCGATTTACTGCATTGCACTCACCTTACGTACATTGTCAGACTGATGCTAATGACCCCCTTCTTGTACAGTTTCGCCGATTTCTTTCCCTGGAACGACCATCTCCCTGCCGTCCAGGACGCTCTGACCACCAGCCGCTCAGCCTTCGCCATCGACTACACCTACTGTTCACGGACGGGCGAGTTGACCATCAGCGGCGTGCCTGGAGGATTGGAAGGACCGAGGTCTATGTCCGAAACAGAATCGACATCGCATACATCATCAGAGTCACCGCAGACCATGCAAGAAGAACCGCTTTACCAACAGTCCGAATCCGGATCGGAGTCGCCTACGCCAGCTGGTACCTCACATACATCACATGTTTCACATTCATCGCATCTGTCGCACACCAAATATGCGAACACATACAACATCTCCGCCCTCCTCCACGCTTCGACGCTGCCTTACACGTCGGCCCCGTTCATCGTGCGCGCCAAAGCCGGCGATCAAGATGGAATCAATCTGCCGTCCTTTGCCGAAGCCGACGCGACCCTGTTGTTCTGGGAGATTCACAAGGACGTCGCCGAGATTCCGCTGAGAGTGAGGGTGGTGAATGAGAGTACGGTGCAGATTTGGCCGGAATCCAAATTCTGGGTGAGTTTGAAACAAAGCCATGGCGCGCATTGCATCTGTGTTTCTATCCCGTTATCTTGTCTCTTCTTTCTCCCGGCACCGATATCTCTCAGGAGTATCCCTCTGGTACCCCTAATCTTTCCAAACATGGCTATGTTGTAACACTGGCACCAACGTTACTCTGTTTTGCAAGGCTTGCAGCTAATACTCTTCTGTCTACCCTTCCAGGACGCCGACCGAGCCAAAGGCCTCCGCAAACCAAAAGAAACCCCTACAACTTTTCCTCCACTGCTTTCCATCACCTTCAACACCACAAAGACGAAACCGTGGGCTGATCGTAAAACCATCACCACCGTCGTCGACACCTTCGTCCCGTTCCGCATTCAGCTCCCCAACACCGAGACCGAGTCCAACTCATCACCCTCGCAGACATTCATGCTCCGCCGTGCCATCAGCGCACTCATCGTGCCGGTCGGGTTGTTTCTCAACGAGTATATCGTCAACTACGCCGATTTAACGGTCGTGGTTCTCCTGAGGACCGCACAGTTCCTATGCTGTACCGTCGGGATATACTTGGGTGTGGTTCTTGTGTGTTGGAAAATCAAGGGGTCTCCACCGTATCATCGCTTTATACGGAGTTTCTGGCTCACCAGGCCTATGGTCGTGTTTGTTGTCCAGAGAGATTCCGAATATGACCTGGACTCCGATCCGTTTACTACTACTGGCGGGAGTGGCTACCGTGGTGCTCGTAGGTATCACATGGGAAGTGAAAAGGGAGACAGAAAGTATGAGCATGTCGAAACGCGCAGCCAACAAGAGGGTCTGGCTACAAGTCCGAAACCGTTGACTTGTTTGTGGGACTTTGTTTCCAGTCGATCGCCGCTCGATGATTTGCTGGTCACGTTTGAGGCAACGAGAGGCTTTGTGCGGCCGTTGGGCGTGCAGACTAGGATGCGGCTCTGGAGGAGGGAGAGCCGCAGGGGGCCTATCGATGACAATGATGGGACTGAGGAAGAAGAGCGTGAGACTCCACGATACTCGTCTCCGTATGGGGATGATGATGATGATGAGGAGAGTCGGCTCGGCGGCATTGCCGTTGAAGCTCGTGCTCGTTCTCGTGCTCGTTCTCAACCCCGATCCCCATCGCGGTCTCAGACTCAACCTCAGATTCGGACTGCTTGTGATCACGTTCACGAGCACCAAGACAAGGGCCAGGCTGGCCTTGACTTGGGTCCTTCGACCATATCTCTTGCTGCACAGAACGGGGACCACAAGTCGTGAGAGCTGCATCCCCGGTTTGACCAGGATCAAAACTTGGATATGGACATGGCTTGATTTGAATTGAATTGATATACGCATTCGGGTTTTGGATTTTCATATGGGATCTCACGAGCGACAGGTAAACGGGAGTATATATTTCATCTGAGGTCGGCATGAATGCTACAAGACTGGATATGGGTCATGACATTGCATAGGGTCTGAAGACAGACTGCCGTTAGAGGGCTCGAAAATAGGAAACAGAAACGATCTATCTTGATTCATTTCTCTTTGATCCCGATCGATTATAATAACGGGTGTATAATCTGGGTTAGTTTATCCAGCTTTTGTGTATATCAAGTGTACATCTATACATTAACATGATGTATACCCACGCTGCTCTCCACACCCTCTTCCTCCTCCGAGTCTCGTTCAACAGACTCAAAAGAACGACTCTGCGCATTCGAAATTTTCCGCACGCCGAGGGTCGCCGTGGCCTACGTACCGCGCGACCAAGGGGTACATGCACACCGGGCGGGTGAACTTTTTCTTATCGTCGACAAACTGGTTCCCACTGATATCGACTGTTTCCCCGTCTGTTCCGGGGTAGCGGGTGTGATCTGGAAAGCTCTCGCCCTCCAAGACATCCGGCGCAACTCCGTATTCGACCCAATCGCGGAGCCTCTCCATCACGTTGATAGGTAGGGCGCCGGGGCCATAGCCGCAATGTTGGACGCCAGGGGCGAGGAAGAGACGGTAGTAATCTGTCACGTTGCCGAGGTCTTGTGTTGGAGTCTTCTCTTTGCTTTTTTCCCTGTCTTTGCCCGTGGTTTTGTCATCGCTCACTGACCCCTTAGTGGATCGACTCTTGTTTTTCCTCTCTGCAGCCAAAGCTACCACATGGTCATAATACAGACGCGACTGATCAGGCATGATGGCCTCGTCGCTCAGACCGTGCCAGGTGATGATCTTGCCGCCGCGACGGGCAAACAAGCCCAGATCCGGGTCGCTGGTCGATATGAACGAGTGGTACAGCTCGTCGGACTGATGGAACAACTGGACAAAGGTTTCATGGGTGACGAGTCTCGCCAGGTCCGCCAGGTCCAGCGTCGGGTCTTTGTACATGAACAGCCGGATCCATTCGTGGGTCAACAGGTTCGGAGAGCCCGTGCAGCTGCCGTTTCGGAAACACGAGGTCCCGGCGAAGATGGACAGTGGCGAGCCGGGCACTAGGCCAGGCCAGAGAGTGGTGTTGGAGGAATCTGCATCCACAGGGCCACGCCAGACTGACAGTGCGACATGAGCGGCGGCGTGGCTGATGTTGAGGGAGTGCGCTACTGGCTCTCCGTGTGCATCTGCATCTGCGTAACGCTCTGTACACGAGATGGACGTGCCGACCAGCTTGAACGGATCGAAATGACAGGCGTCCACGGCTGCCACGACGCCATCCCTGACACCATCCAGGTCGTCGCATTCGTCAACGAGAGCTGCGTTGATGGCATCGAGTTCGCATCCATGAGGGTATTTGCCTAGCTGGTTCATCACGACTTGCGCCCAGTAGTGGCTCATCAGCAGTTTGGGAAAGTAGATGGCCGGCGCTGCGGCAAGAATGCCGTCGTAGTCGTCCGGGTAGCGCTGCGCGAGCATCAGACCCTGGCGACCGCCCGTCGAACAGCCCTTGAAGTAACTGTAGCTCGGAGCAACGCCGTAGAAGGACTTTACTATCTCCTTCCCGATCACGGCCATATCGTGCAGTGCGACAGAGGCAAAGTCTTGCAGGAGATATAGATTGACGTTTCCTGGCGACACGAGCGCCCACGGCTCACTGGATCCGACGGTGCGGCTGTGGCCGCCGTCGGTGCTGGAGATGGCGTAGCCTTGGGTCAGGGACACGTGGGCGTCAATGTCGGGTGGGCCCATCACGTAGCCGCCTCCTCCTAGAGATAGAAACCTGCCGTTCCATGCGGGCGTTGTTAAGGGTACTGGTACTGGTGCTGGTGCTGCTGTCCAGTCGTCGGGAGTGGTGGCATTGGCGGTGGCGGAGGCGGAGGCAGACTCCGATACAGATACTGGCAGCCATAGATTCACGTTGATGGTATCGTTCTGGCTCGGGTGGGTGTATGCCACGGTAATGTTGCAGAACGAGAGGTCTGTTGCTGCGCCATAGCTAGGAGGATCCGAATTGGTGAAATCCGGAGGGGGGAACGAGGCCGTGTAGTTCGACACCAGGGAGGATGTGACGCTCAGGATCTCGGCGCCGAACAGAGACGGCTGGGGCAGATTGTTGGCGAGGCATTGTGCGCTTAGGTTTGTTGCCGTGGAAGCAAAGATGAAGGGCATCTGAGGCGTCGCAATGTCCATGGTGTAGAACTTCTATTCCTTCTTGCTCAGTCCAAGTGTCGGGAACAGAATCGAATATAAGCAGCTTAGATCCCAGTGAGTGTCGGCGACAGCACCTTAGACCGGCTACCAGCTACCAACTACCACGCTGCCCGTCTCCCACCTTTTGGCTGTGGTTTGTTCGATAGATCAATCAACGTCGCTGTCGTTGGCGTTGGCGTCGTCGTCGCGGAGAAGGGAGGCGGACGGAGCCGGCAAGGCTGCCGGGTGAATATTGTTCCCCCTCCGGCCCGGCTGACCAGTAAGGCTGCGATAGAGACGAGACGAGACTCGTCCATCGACGACACCAAACTTAACGATCCACGATGTCGATGTCATTCTTCCATATCTCTATATATCTCTCTCTCACTCTCACACACATACCTTCTACTGTGATATATGTCGTGTCCCGCTACTCAAACCATGTACACAGATACTCATGCTCCTCGGTGAAATCCAAGCAACAGCATAGATATCTTAGATCCTCACATCACACAGCAAGATGAGCACCTCATCATTCCTTCGCCCAGCCATCCTCATTGTCTCCGACACAGCCGCCGCCGACCCATCTACAGACAAAGCGGCGCCGACCCTGAAAGAGACGTTCTCCCAAGAGGGCGGCGGCAAATGGGCCGAACCGATCGTGGAGATCGTGCGAGATGACATCCTGGAAATCCAACGAGTCGTGCGCTCCTGGACCGACCATGAACCCTCATCCGCCAGCGACTCGGGCCCGATCAATCTGGTCGTGACGACCGGCGGCACCGGCTTCGCCCGACGGGATTACACGCCCGAAGCGATCGCGCCGCTGATCCATCGCCACGCGCCTGGCATCGTGCATGGCATGTTGGCTGCGTCGTTCCAGGTCACGCCGTTCGCCATGATGTCGCGACCTGTTGCCGGGGTGCGGAACAAATCTGTCATCATCACGCTGCCGGGATCGCCCAAGGGCGCCAAAGAGAATCTACAGGCCGTGCTGAAACTGCTGCCTCACGCTTGTCTGCAAGCAGCCGGGGAAGACTCGAGAGCCGCTCATTCCGGAGGAACCAAGAAACTAGAGAAAGACGCCGGTCTTGCTGCCTCGGGGTCTAAGCCTACTCCTGACTCTTCTACCGCGACAGGTCCTGACCATGGGCATAATCACGACCACTCCCATCACCATGACCACGACCACGACCACGCCCATGGCAGCCACGGCCACGGCCACGGCCACAAAATCCCAAAAGCGCACACAGTACCCTCCGAGCGACCCCAATCCAACGATCCACGACTGGGCGCCACCGCACGCGCACGCTCGTCTCCATATCCCATGCTCACTGTCCAGGAGGCGGTTTCCAAAATTCTCGAGAAATCACCGTCTCCAACGACCGAGCTGCGCGACCTCAGCCCAGACTTGACCGGCTACGTGGTATCCGAAGACATTCGCGCGGCAGAAGCAGTGCCCGCGTACCGAGCAAGCATCGTAGACGGATACGCAGTGATCATCGCCGACACGAAAGCAGATGACACCACCACAAACTCTCCCTCCTCTCCAACCTCGTCCATCAAAGGAACATTCCCCGTCGCATCGGTGTCTCACGCCCAAGCCGCCTCACTGCCCCCGCCCCTGCAACCCGGACAAATCGCGCGTATCACCACCGGAGCGCCGCTCCCGGCCAACGCCAACGCCGTGGTGATGGTGGAAGACACGACGATCGCCAGCACGACGGCGGACGGCAGCGAAGAAGCTGCCGTGGCGATCCTGACGGACGAGCTCGCCGTGGGCGAAAACATCCGTGAACCCGGCAGCGACATCGCGCTCGGGTCGATGGTGCTGAAACGCGGGACCATGATCAGCCCGCTCGGCGGCGAGATCGGGGTCCTCGCGGCCTCGGGAACGCAGAAGGTCCCGGTCTACCGCAAGCCGCGCGTGGGCGTCATGTCGACGGGCGACGAGGTGTGCGACATCTCCCACACCGGCCCGCTGACGGGCGGGATGATCCGCGACTCGAACCGGCCGTCCCTGTTGACGCTGCTGCGCGGCTGGAGGCTGTGTGAGGAAGTGGTCGACCTGGGCGTCGCCCGCGACACCCCGGCCACGGAGCTCGAGGAGAAGCTGCGCTCCGCGTTCCGCGAACACGAGCTCGACGTCGTCCTCACCACCGGCGGCGTCAGCATGGGCGAGCTCGACCTGCTCAAGCCCACCGTCGAACGCGCCCTGGGCGGCACCGTGCATTTCGGCCGCGTCAGTATGAAGCCGGGCAAGCCCACCACGTTTGCCAGCGTGCCTGTCAAAGACACGCACACCGGCCTCCGTGCCGGCCAGGAGAAGCTGCTGTTCGGCCTGCCGGGCAACCCGGCCAGTGCGTTGGTCACGGCGAATCTGTTTGTCTTGCCGTGTTTGCAGAAGATGGCAGGGTTACTTGTGGATAGCGGCGCCGACCACTGCGGCCTCCAACGCGTCAAGGTCAGACTGGCCGGTCGCGTGCGCTGCGACAAAGCACGCGTCGAGTACCATCGCGTCGTTGTCCACGTCGATCCCCACGATGGCAGACTCGTCGCTACAAGCACGGGCTTCCAGCGGAGTAGTCGGGTCGGAAGCCTCGCGACGGCGAATGCGCTCCTGGAACTGCCGCAGCAGGAAGGCTGGATCGAGGCCGGCGGAGAGTGCGAGGCTCTGATGATGGGCATGGTTCTAGGGTACTAAAGAGTCCAAAAACGACGAGGGAGTGAGGCTGAGCCGGATGTCAAGGAACGAAGCTTTGATCAAGACGAGTCCGCCCTGAATCCGGCTGAGTGGTGTCTATTACTATACTTGTTATGTATAGCCATGTGCTGTGTATTGCATGCATCCATGCAGGCAATGTATCCCTGGCCCAAGTTCGCAGTAGTCCACGCATCTGACAACCCGGTACTCCCGTCTCGAACAGTCCGACTCTTCCCAAGTCAACGCGCAAAGGGGGTATCAATGTCATAATATAAGAATAGCAGCGCCGAAACAATCATGATACTCGTGTCGTGTGGTGCAACCCAATCCAATCCAATACCTTGCAAATCCCCTATACCAGTCCCAATCTCAATCTATCCGCTCGCTGGCTGCATCGTCCATCAGCAGCAAAGAACAGTCCTCATATCCTGCTCGTCCGTGCCCAAGAACATGCTTTGACGCTGTAACCCCCCAAAAGCAAATCATTGACAACCATTGCCGCCTCTTTATGCAATGCTCCCCTTTTTGTACTCCCTCTTCTTGACTGCCCTCAGGGCCGGCAATGTATGAGCCTTGCCAGGCTCGCGTCCGATCTCTACAACCAGAAACCTGACAAAGTCCTGCAGGATCCAATAACTGCTATGAGCACTGAGCATGCTGAGGTACTGGATCTCAAGAGGGCCCCCGCCGGAATTCAGAAACCAGTCGACCTGCCCGTTGTCGTTGAGGAGGAACATGCGCTGCTCAGCGATTTCCTCCCGCGTGAAGTTGTGAGTTTCCAGCTCGACCGTGCTAGGCAAATGCTGGAGCTCAGGCCGCCCGGCTGGTGCGGCCGCAGTGTACGTGTCGGATGGAGAGGCAGATGCCCAACGTAGACTGTTTCCTATACGTTTGAAAAAGCCGACACTGGCGCTGGGGATGGAGGCGGGTTGAAGAGACGCCGCGTAGAGTTGGTCGACAGCCGCGTTTTGCAGGTACGAGATTGGGTCGTTCCGATGGCAGATGTTGTACAGATTGTCCACCGCGAGACAGCCATATCTGGCTTCACTGGCGATACTGGGCTGTCGGTCGACACCCTCCATGCCCGGCTTGTTTCGGCCCTTGCGTGGAATGAGACTGGCATTGTGGAGAAGCAGGAAGAACCCAGACGGGCTTCCACAGCAGAACAAGTTGGTGGTATCAAACTCGAACAATTTTTCACTGGGCTTCTTGCTGTCCAGCTTGATGTCCTTTCCAATACGGGTGGGTTGTTGACTCAAGATCTCCATGGCCATCACTGACCCGAGCGAGTGAGCGATGAGATGCACACGACCATAATCTTCAAACCCTGGATTATTCCGACACCATAGTCGGTAGACTCGATTGGCTTCCCGTATGACCGCCGAGGTCATCTTGTCTTTATGATGAGACATGTAGTAGGGAATATCCAACATCACATCACTGATCAGAGACCGAACGCCTGGAAGAGTGTCTGGGGTGATATCCTTGAGTGCATACTTGTTTCCTGCGTCCTCTTGTGAAGCCTTTACATCCTCGTCGAAGGATACAGTCAGGCGCCAGTTCACGGGCAAAACCATGATTCCCGTGCCTGTTCGCAGATTGCCTTTGACAGCTTCGGTCGACAACTCGACGTTGAACTCGCGTCTCAGGCCATTGACGGCATGAGTGAAGTGAAAACTGTCCACTCTCTCTGACAACTTCTGCCCAATACCGTGGATGACCAGAACAAGGTCGGATACTTTCGGTGCTTCGGTCTCTCCCTCACAAGCAGCGCATGACATGCGGCGACCTCGAGTCGTGGCGTCTCCAGATTGAGACATGTAGGCTCCGACCTTTGCGTAGGCCGCTTTGGCATCCAGCTTGGGGTCCGGGTGGATCTTCAACCACTCCTTACGGTCAAACCCACGAACAACTGCAACGCCGATCTGTCGGCCCTTCCTAAGGGAACTCAATGGTCGCCGGTTTTTGCTGACGGATGGTAACAAGCTTGGCCTCAGGATTTGAGCGTTTCTGGCGTCAGTGTAGACAACACTGTGTGTAGCAAACAACCGTCGCTCCTTAGGCTTTCGGTGGTCTGCCGCCGCATTCACAAACGCTTCTGGTAAGGGTACATCCTCCGCCTCCTGTAAGGCGCCTTGGTCCATTTCTTTGGTATCAGCTGCAGTCTCAGGTCGGCTCAACCTTGGCTCGTCAGGCCAGAGCCTATAGACCACTTTCAACTCTGCAGATGCGCCATTCTCGATACAAGCTGACAGCTCTTCCTGATATGACTCGGCGTAAGGTTTCATGTACTCGTATCCCACTTCCAATCGATTGGCAACGTCCACCGGCACCGGCAGCATAGTGTCCTTGTAGAACCAGGTGGCTCGAATGACGTCGGACGTGTCATTGATCGGAGACCAGTAGATCGGTTTCATGATGAGGTCAGGAATCTCCACCAGATGAAGACGGGACACGCCCACCGGTACAAATGCCTTTTCCTGACCTCCTTCTTTCCGGCGATGTCGTCCAACACTAGAGGACCGACTTCGTGCTTTGCTTAGGTCATCATCGGGTTCCTCGGAGAGTGGCAAGGCCCCTTGGCGCTTGGAAGCTGAACTGATGTCCCGTCCGCTGGGAGGTCTGGCGAAGGGTCGACCACTCATGTCCGAGTCAAATGCTGTGGTCGGTTGAGGGGGTGTCTGTCGAGTGAGATCGAACTTTGCAGATTTCGGCGAAATACTATGGCCGGCCTCATCTTCCTTCTGTCTATGCCTGAATGGAGAGAGGCGTCTCTTATGCGTGGCGGGCTGATCTTGACTGTCTCTGTTGTCATTCAACTCTTGTGCATCGACCAGTTTTGACTCAATTCCGGGGCCTGAGTCAGAACCCAGCATGACCTCTGCCTCAGCAGGTGGACGTTTCGAAGACCCTTCTCGTGTACCACTACAACCTGCCATCTTTTCGGGTCTTCCTGAATCTGTGGGAGGGGACCTGGCATTGGGAGAGCCGCCGGAGCCCGTAAACTCTGGGAAAGAAAAGATACCTCGAGCAAAATTCCACCTCGTCTTCGCGTCTTTGTTTCTTTCGGGACCAGTCTCCGGGTGTTGAAATGCCCGCCATGCTTCTTCCAAAGCTGCGTTGTCTCGAACGGAGAATGGTTGCGGGGGAAGACGCGATGCTTTGCCGGCGGACACAGGTGGTAAAGGGGAGAGCGGATCATCTATAGGCAGAGACGAAACATAGAAGAATTGAGCCTTGACTCTGGGTGGGTGAGAGCCGTCGGACGGCGGATCTGCCTCCTCCTCTTCTTCGTAGTATGCGCACGTAGGTCCTAAGGAATGGGCAGGATGAGCCATGATAATGTAAGTTAATTACACGCCCAACGGTTGCCAACAGCCTTTCTGCAAAATTGCGAGTCCAGAGTATTGATTCAGGGTCCCGGAGGTCGCAGTCGTGGAAGTAGAATCAAACGCGCAGGCATGAGTATGGGGGCTGTCACAGGGAATCGTTGCAAGAGCAGGCTTCAGCCACCTCCTAGACGTATGGGTGAAGAAAGGAATAGGATGGAGGTCTACCAGAAACCTCTTACCTGTCCTTAACACCCAGACCACATGGTGGAAGTCGGAAGCTGGAAGCCTGGGTTGTGGCGGATGCGAGTCGATGGAGGAAATTCAAAGAGGGAAAACGAACAGTGACGTCGTTGGTTGCGGTTCTCGTTGGTATCTATACAAACAAAGCCACAGAGGTAGGTAGGTAGGTATATACAGTACTACCAGTGGTACATGCCAACAATTCAACTTTTCATATTGTCTCTCGACTGTGAGACAAAACTGAATAGACTGTGTTCATGGCAATGACGCTGGAGCGCCAGCCGGTGTACATTGAATGTAATGAATTTATGCCCTCTCCCAAACGCCTTCCATCCGCAGCCTCGCCACCATTAAAGTGTGCTCCGGCCCCTGTCTGCAGTGAGCGTCAATCCATAGATGTACACATCTTGAGGTCATCCACCCTGTAAGCCTCCGCTTCTGCAAGCTGACCGTCTTGTCCTGTAGCCCTCGTAGTCAGTCACCGGATGGTGTACGATGGGCTCCTTGGAGCCACTCATACATCGTACACTGCTCCTTATGTCGCCGCTGTTTGTACAAGATTTAATCGACTTTCTCTGTGTTGTTGCTCTGTAGGCCGTGTAATTCCTGAGCTGGCCGCAGCTCTGAGTGCACTTGTTCTGTCTGATTGCTTCTCTTGCCTCAAGCAAATTCCAGTGCCTTTCCGCTGACCAACAGTCCGATGATCAACCCAAACAGCCCCAGCACGCTTGAGAAGATTTCGATGACCAGGACCTTGACGAATAGGCTTGCGTCGGCGGCATCGGCCAACGCCGCACTGCTTCCATTGATTCCAACACTGACACCGCAGATGAGGTTGCACATGCCCACAGTCAGGCCAGCCCAGAAGAGTGCATAACCAGTGTAATAATTGGAGCCCGTATACAGTGTCTCCTCCGGCACCATTGTCAATTTCGAGGAAAAGACGATCGCCATGATGACACCGTAGATGGCGACAACTTCGCAGAAGATAATCGAGATCAAGTTCTTCGTCCGTATCCGTGGAGCTCTTACACCGCCGCCGAGGATGGATGTGCCGGTGATGAAGATGCCCCTACATTGCAAACATTAGTATGCAAATGCCATTTCCCGCACCGCCCATGGCATGCACCATAAGGACGAGCCTCATCCATAGGGGTCAGTTGTGGTGTTTTCTTACCAGGCTGCACCCACGACAGACAGTCCTATACATAGAGCAATGCCCAAGTCCGCCCAAGCGTATGGTGATACGGTCTCGAGAAATTGACCGACCTACGTCCCAGCTCAGTCAGTGCCTTCCAGGATAGAACTGGTTTCTCTTGACAAATGCGTACATTGAATTGTTCGCCCTCGCCATTGAAGAGCATGTCTGCGATTTCCGTTAGCTGGGGGCACCATGACCGCATCCAAGCAGACTGAACGGGGACTTACACAATCCGACCACACCAAGGGCAGTAACTGCGCCTCCAGCAGGGTAGATGAGACTCATCTTGCACCCTCGCCGCCTTTTCGAATTTGAACCGATGCGACAGAGTTGGCGCTGCTGTGATGGCTGCTGTCTCGAGCACCGAAGCTCGCGCAGTTGCAGGCCGCAGCTAGAAGGGAACGTTTCCCCGAATCTGTAGGAAGGTGGCCCGAGTCACGAGTCGAGGGTCACGTGGAAGGCTGGCCCCCTCGTCATGGTTTCAGGGGGGCGTAGTGCAAGAACAACGTCAAACAGTATCACAGCAGCTATGATGGTAGACTCCTACTCTGGCAAGCAACTCCCGAGAAAGCAGACTAAGGCACATGTACAGACCTAGTCGCTGGCTTTCGGACCGCAAATATAGCGTTTTGCAGGCTTTGAAGTCAATACCTTATTCTATATCCGATCAAGAGGCAGGTCTCCCTGGCAGAGTTGCCCAAGGCCGCTCTTCGCAAAGGCATGCTCATGCTAGTCCTTCCTCATTAATCGTAAATTATTCCTCATGATTCATTCGATGGATTTCCAAATCGCAACGTTCCTTTCCATTTCCGTGCGCCTGTCGATCCCAGCCTTCTGGTCCATCTCGTACAACTTTTGCATTTCTTGCAACCGATGTTCCATGCTATACCTGTATTTCGCTGCCGTCTTCAAACTGTCAAAGTCGTTCTTGTTTACAGCTTCATAGAAGATCTTCCTCATCCGGTCGCTGTAGAGTTGGCAGCTGTTCCCTGACGCCAGCTGGCTTCGATGCAAGTTGGGCACAAGTCTCAATGTCTTGGATACGTCTCTTGCGATTGGCCGGTCCCTGAACGGCCAGACAACTTCTTCGAAGCACTCTTCACATATGGTCAGTTCGGGAAGCTCGGGAATGTAATGCCAGGATGAGGTTGCCAGCATGGTGTCTTTGGTGCATTCGCGATGCCGGGATATCCGACGAACGAAGTCGACAAAGTCCTGAATATCCTTCTGTCTGAGCTGTTCCTTTTCTCGCCGGTCCGCCAGTCGTTCCAATTCTATCATGATGGGGAAGAAATGCCGGCTATTGGTGTTCATATTGCACACTTTCTCTTGGCAAGGCTTGGTGGCGGGTCGATCGAACAGATGATACTGTAGCTTAGGGAAGATCAGATCTAGGTTCCTGACACAGGCCGAGCATATGTCAAAGCTTTCCACTGGTCTTCCGGTCCTAGGATCAGTCAGATGATACCATCTTCTAAGATCAGCCTTGGAGCCCGGACAGGGGCGCGTCTCCTGCGGAGGCGGAGTGCTGATTTTCCAGACCAGAGTGAGTTCCTTTCTGTCATGCTTGATTGATTGGACCCAAGCGACCCGGAGCCAGGGGAGACTCATTGCGCAGACGACGGGCCGCCTTGGGTCTTTCGGTAAGCTAGGGACAAAGTGGTCGCGGAAACGGGTGACACCAAGAAAGCTCATGCAGGTCGGACAGAAATCCAGATACGGCAAGTCTCGAATGGTGTACCAATCATTAAGGCCAGTGACAGGTCTCGAACGAGGGCATGGGGGCATTGAAGTCGGCCTCAGTTGTGAGTGGCCGAGGGAAGCCACCTCCGGCGTTATCGGAGCTGACGATGCGACTGGATGAGACGGAACTTGAATTGTCGGGCGGAATCCTTGGCTTGAGGGACTCGGCGTGCTCGAGTGCGCCCTGTATAGAGCAGGGGGTCGGGGCTGGTCAGGCGAATGAGTGTGTGAGTATGATGCCGCTCGTAAGCTTGGGCGTGGTGGTTCCAGAGTTGCCATGGGTGCATATGTTGCACTTAGTGGCAGCGTCCGGTTCTCATGGACAGTATAGGTCGTAGTACGCATCGATGGGGCGTCATCTTGGCCTGCCGTCGAGTTTGTCCTAGACATATTGGGAGACATCATTGGGGCCGCCCCAGAGACTGGAGAAGACTTTCGCGATCTCTGACCGCTACCAAGACGGCTTTGAGAGCCAGTACTTGGTGTTTCGCCCGAATGGGAGGTGGATGCTCTAGACAAGCTTGGGATGGTCTTGGCTGCAAGCGAAGCGCCCAAAGTCGCTGCACCAAGGAGTGACGTGAGAGGTTTGATGTCTTTGAAGTGGCTGTCATCCCACGAAGGCGGACGCGATCGTTGTCGTGTAGGCTTCAGGGTAGTGGAGGCTGCCTCGAAATAGTCTCTGGACGACCGTTCACCTAAAGGCGTCCTAGGCGGGCTTTGAGGCGGTGATGTCTTCGGCGACACTGCTCGGGATTGGCTGTCAGCATGGTTCATTCGCCTATTTTGATTAGTGGCAAAAGCTTTTGCAAAGTAGTCTTCCAGTCCTTTCGGGATTCCAGGCGTTTGTGACCGCCGATGAAGATGCGCCTCAGAGGACCGTGGCCCATGGCTTGCATCTTTATCGTATACTCGTTCTTGGCGCGTGGAAATACCCCGAGTCGGCCTCGCCTTGTCGTCATGCTCATGATGAGATCGCGATCCTCTTCGCGAACGACCTCTGCGGGCGGCCGTCCTGTCATCTCCTGACACAAAAGATTGACCATATGCTTCTTCAGCTGAAGATGTGTAAGGAGACTCATTGGTACCTCGTTCGGCTCCACATCGTCTATCAGGTGGTGTTTCGGACAGAATCGTCTGGTCCACCACAGAGGACCATGTTGACACCACCTTCGGACTTTGAGGTGGAGTGATATGATCTTGCCCTGTATAGCTGTAGCCATCGAAAGCTCCATGGGGAGGCGCAGGACTGCGCTGACGGCGCGCGCGACGGTTGAACGCATTTTCCGAATCGTGTTGTCTCGCTGACGACGTCAATGGTTTGTACCTCTCGGAGTCTGAGCGATCCGATTGTGAGAAACTCTGCCGTTCGCTTCTGCTTCTGCTGCGTTCAGCTCTCCGACTTGGCTTCAATTTGTGATCAGAATCAATGCCATCATGCCTCATGTAATGCGTCTTTGGGTGTGCCGACACTGGCCTCCGATACTCATGCGCATCCATGGGTGACAACAGCTTGTGGCCATTTTGAGCCCCCGCAGACAATGTGTTGGTCGCTGTAGATGACCTGTGCGCATACGGGGAGACTGCACGGCGATGTCCTGTGACCACTCCATCAAGCGCGTCTCCCAAGTCCGTTTGTAGTCTTGGAATTGGAGGTCTGCCTCTGCGAAGCTGCTGCTCAGCGAACCGTGTGGCGGACCTGGACCGTTGGAGAGACTCGGCTCGGTCCGCTGGTCCCATATCCGGACGCTTAGACGGGAGATAGACAAACCTCTTTTCATGGTTCGTAATAGCAGGAATAGTTGCGGCTTCCTCCCTTTGTGGCAGAGGGGCCTTGTCCGAGTTTCGATCTTGGTCCAGGTCTGCTGGTGATGCATTTTCGAACGTAGTGGCGGGAGCATGGGAGTCAAGGATTATGGGATATTGGTCCACCGACCCGCGACTGGAAGCCGGCTGATCATCACTCTTCAATTCATGTAGAGGCACGCCATGTACATGCTCTTTTGCCAACGCCACATCTTCGTCTTCCACACACGGTGACGGAGGCCACTGCGGGGTCATTTCACTGTCGCCAACTTGATAGAAGTATCATGAGGCATGCACTCATTGGCAGATGCTGCAGTTTCAATATTTTTGCTGGGATCTCAATGCTCTTGCGAACCGTCAACTTGTCGGGAGAAGCAGTGAGGTTTGTGCTTGTCTCGCCGGATTGAAACTCGGAGTCAGAGGGATCGTTGGACGAGGCTTGTTATTTCAACCAACTGCCAACCCGGGGCGTTGGCGGTTGGGGCCGAAAATTTCAAAGCGTGTTTGCAAAGGCACGGGCAAGGTAGGAGCGCAACAGTCCAGATCGAAATCAGCACATCATCGGTGACAGGGCCGGGCGAACTCGTGGGAAAGGTCAATTCAACCGAAGACAAGAAAGCGTGTAAAGATCAATCATGTACGTCTCCCTCGGGCCACAACCGTGCGGGTTGTTCACTGAAAGAAGAGAAAAAAGAGGAGTATCCGAGACGCAAAGTGCCAGGAGCAAGAGATGGGATGACAGAGTGGTTCGAGGACTTCAAGGTCAGTCGACGAGTGTACTGAAGACGAGGCAACCCACGCAGTCAGTAACACCGAGAGTGATGGGGATATTGCCTCCTACTGAGCACAGAGCTGAGGGGCAGGACTTGAAGTCTTGTGCGTACAGTGCGCAGTGGCATATGCAGGTCTCCCGTTGAATGTTTGAGGCGAAGTGCCAGTGGAGGTCAAGCAGTGCGAACTACCTTGCCTTACAGAAAGGCGGTGTCCTCGGTAAGGGGCATCTGAGTCTGGAGTTGTGGTCATGGACAAATGAAACAGAATGAGGCTATTCTGTGCTGCGGAGTGTACGAGTAAAATTGGGTCGAGCGTAGAGATCCCGGTTTGTGCGAGATGCAATCAATCAATTGGGCGCAGGGAAGACAGAGGTGGAATCTCGGTGAAGATCCTACACAGTATGGAGCGAGTTGGGTACCTAGAGGTAGTGATAAAAGTAAACACCGAATACCTTACCCTGGGCTGCTTACAGAGTATACCTTAGGTACTATTGCTATAGGTACCCACTGCCCCTGTACATGCTAGAACTTTACCTAAAGCTCAGGTATACGCAGCACCAAACCCCCCACACTGGCACACAGTTCTTCATCCTTCAGTCGTGCTGCCTGCGCCTCCATCAATTCCCATTAGCTACCTGCCTTATATAGCATATGCCTCACCCCTGCGCTGCGCCCGGCTGCGCCTAACGCAGACGCCATGCACCTCTTGCTTGCTTGCTTTGGCTTCCGCTTCCTCGATCAGCAACTCGGCTTCGAGCCTGGCAATTGCCGGTCAGCAACGATGTATGTGACACCCTAGTCCTGAGGAACCATCTCTCTCTCTCCCTCTCTGAAGTGAATGGCGTGAATGTTGATCCAACCACAGCGCCAACTTCTCCATTCTTCTTTCGATGACTGTCACACCAGGGGGCCACGATGTAGGGCGTACTCTGGGGAAGGTGAAAAGGAACAGACTCACGTTGCTATGCACGACCGCTCTCGCTCGACCGACAATCCTTTGGCTCTCTTAATCTCCTCGCAATCTTGGTGCTTACGCGGCGACGTGTTTCCATACTTGGCTTCGTTCCTGTTTAGCGAGCTCGCCTCCGATTACTGCAGCGTAATTCCAACACATGCTGAGGTCAGGTCATGCCAAGTGGAGTCTACACTACCTTACATATGCGTTTGGCAAAGAAATGGTGCTTGGACGGAGCAGGTAAGATATCGCAAGACCGGAACGCGCTGGCCACGAGTGTCAAGGGAGGTAGGTACAAACCAACCATTCATATATGCAGAGTCCCTGGCAGATCGGCGACTGAGGAAATGCCCACAAGTGTCCGACTGCAGAATAAGCTGCCACCCTGTTCTGCTGCAAGGACGGCCCCGGTGCCAATGGTGAGCCTCGCCATCGTTGCGGTGTCTGCCCAAGCCTGGTTGGCAATCGATCAGTGGCGGCAGTCCGATGCTGATCTGCCACTCGTGGTCTTTCTCGCGGTCTCTGCTGCCGAACCATACAGCCCTGCAACATTTTATAAGGCCACGGCCAATACTACGCACAGTGAATCGATCCACTGCTTCTCCATAAATGGTGTTGTCCCCTGAAAAAATTGCGATGTCTTGCTTGCCTCTTGCGCTCATGACACGCAATCAGTCGATACCGATTCAATAGCAAGAGTGTGGCATTTTTGTTGATTTACGAGTCGTTGGTCAGGGCCGACCGGTCTGAGTGCCTGGGAGATGGCTACGATGGCCTCGCATATGGGCTGGCCGATGATTGTACACTTTTCCCAGCCAGCCACGATTGCCATTCTGCCGACCACGCCATACCGTCAAGGATGTATCCCGCACTCTGGTCCAGCCGTTATCAACCCCGGAGCCTTGGACCGATGTGTTGACTCTCTTCCTGCTATCACGAATACGATGCCCACATGCCTCATGATCATCACGATCTATGAACCCAGGGATATGAACATTTACACCGGTCAGCGGCCAATATCTGCCCGTCGTCGGCTGGACCCCGCCTGATTTCTTCGGCTGCTGAAGGGACAACGGAGACAGGCAGCATAATTGAGATCGAGCCGGTAAGCTGGCGCAGAACAAAGTGGTAGAATGAAAAGAAGTCGTCTCAAAAACCTAGCAGCCTTCAGATCAGTTGGGCCTCGTCGTCGTAATGTACCCCTTCTGCGCCCCGTTTCTGTTTTCTCTAACTACAACCGATCCACCATGCATACCGGTCACAGGTTTCCAGCCCTCAACCAAGGGTTGAATAGTATGATAGTTTGAGGGATCTTCTGCTAGCGACACCGCGGGATACTGTCGACATTGGCCTGCTGTTGGGAAGTGGTGACACAAAATACAGGATGACCCATGAGTTCCGTAATGAGCAAATGGCCTGCACGAGGAGACGGACAAGAAGTCAAGAAGTGCTTCTCTTCGTCTCTTCGTTTCTTCGTCTCTTCGGGTCTTCTCGAGTAAGCTACTTGGCAGCTAAAGCAATGTAAAAACTGCTCTGGGCTCACCCTAAGTATATAGTACATGTTCTAATAATACAGATCCTGGCTCAGGTCGGTCTCTCTTCCTTGACTCCTGTCTTCTGCTTATAATTCATGCACCCTGGCGTTCAGGTAGAAGACCAATGTACTGCCTAATCCGTTTCTCCTCGGCTTCTCTTGCTCCGTTTGCAGACAGTCCGAACTCTGGTAGGAGGGAAACAAGCACCTTATTCTCCATGGTCGGAATATCACGAGATCTTAAGTGGTGATGTGGACGAGGCTTTGTGGAATAGCGTTGCCTTCAGCCAGAGTAGGGATGTTTGGAAACTTGGCTAATTCATCACCGATAGCGTGACAGCGCTGTACTATACGATTGGTACCTATCTGGCTGTAGACCGAAACGATTCGCGTTTGCCATGGTGGTTGTAATGGTGTGGTTGTGTTGCTTGGTTGACTTGGAGGGGTGAGTTGAGGTTGTATAAGGGTAGAAGAGACAGTTGGATCTTCCCCGCACTGCGCGGAAGAGATTCCACGCCGGCTGCGGCAGCACTGAGGGGAATGTTTATTGCCATAGTAGTACGACTAGTATATGCTTATCCAGTGGATAAGAGGAATACATTGCCAGATTCAACATCTATAGACCTGACATTCGAGAAGTGGTAGCTGGACATTACCCAAAGACAAAGTTGAGGGCGAGACAACAGTAAGAGTACCTAGCCATCAACATCATCATCCTCGATCAATATACGGCCGGTCACCGGCACGGATCATTGCACGGATTGGACTCGGGCTTGCTTACGAATCTACGACTCTCCATGTCGTTCGCTCCTCTCCGCACTCGACTTCCACTCTTGAACAAATCGACCAGCAAAGCAACAACATCGAGCGCGCTCCGGCTACATTCCATTGCCTCGCACCTGTCGCCCTCCATCCCGCGAATCCAGACATCAATCCCTTCCTGTGCTCGCAGCATGTCATCCCTTCCGTCCACCATGAAAGCCATCCTAGTGCCGCAGAACGGCGGCGCCGAGGTCCTCCAATACACCGAGTCGCAACCGATCCCGCCGCTCTCGGACGGCCAGGTGCTGGTCAAGAACAACTTCTCCGGCATCAACTTCATCGACACATACTTTCGCTCCGGCCTGTACCCGCCGCCCGGCGGCAAGTTGCCGGCGATCATCGGCCAAGAAGGCGCCGGCACGATCGCAAAGATCGCGGGCTCCAACCCGCTGGGCTTTAAAGAGGGTGACCGGGTCGTGTGGATCTTCCGCGGCGGATATGCAGAGTACACGGCGGTGCCGGCGGACCGGGTGATCAAGATCCCCGCGGGCGTGTCGGACGAGCACGCGGTCGGCGGGTTCCTGATGGGCATGACGGCCCTGAGTCTCGTCAAGGAAGCATATCCCGTGCAGAAGGGCGACACGGTCCTCGTCCACGCCGCCGCCGGCGGCATGGGGTTGCTGCTGTGCCAGCTCCTGCGTGGCATGGACGTCACGGTCATCGGCACCGCGGGCGGGCCGGAGAAGTGTGCTCTGGCAAAAGAGAACGGCGCGACCCACATCATTGACTACAAGGCCTCCAGCGGCCCGAGCTGGGTGGAACAAGTCCTCAAACTCACCGGCGGCAAGGGCGTCGACTGTGTCTTTGACGGCGTCGGCAAGGATACCTGGGAGGGAAGTCTGGAGGTCGCCAAGCGGAAGGGTAAAGTCGTTTACTTTGGAAATGGTGAGTCCATTTATTACCTTAAGGACCTTGCCTTTCGCATCTTCTCATCTACCCTGTTTGTCTCTCGGCAAGAAAAAGCCGTTCACTTCACAATGGTGGTCTCTTCTTGTTTGTTTACGGGTGTCGACATTTCGCGGAGTTGAGATGAGATGCTAACTACTACTGCTACTGTCAAACAGCAAGCGGAGCCGTCCCACCATTCAACATTCAAAAGCTCGCGTCCAAGAACCTCTCCATCATGCGCACGACGCTGAACAACTACATCGTCACCCGTGAAGAACTCGAGTTCTACGCCAACGGCGTCCTCGACCTGATCAAGGCCGGAAAGCTCAACATTCGCATCCACAAGATCTATCCGCTCAAAGACGCCGCCGAGGCCCAAAGGGATCTTGAAGGCAGACGGACAACAGGCAAGCTGTTGTTGAAGATTTAAAAACTGTATAAAAAAAAGCAAGGAAGAGGTCCGCATGATCGAAGAAAACAGGAGAGGGCCTCAATGACGATCACATAGGAGTGTCACGTACTACGTAGTAGCTTAGGCCGGCGGGACTCCTTCATAAAATAGACTGGATGTCCTTCCAGAGTAGTGGTTGTATACATTTGGTCTGTATTCACCAGCTGGATGGCGCCACAAGCGCTCTTCAGGCATGACACTCTCTTGTATTCCGTGTATCGGCATGTGATGTACCCCTTCAAGCTCTGCTCTGCAGGTGGTCTGCTCTGGTCTCATCCCACAGTACAGATAGCTTCGACTTCCAGCTTGTCAACTTTTCCCGACACAGCAACTGTTGTCCTTCCCAGCGATTCAAGTTTCTCATCTGTTGACATGATTCACGTCACTCTTGCCCATCAACGCACTGTACAAGGGCATATGAACGCCATGTCTCTCCCTGTCATATGGTGGCGTCCCATCAATGTCACTGTTTCTCGTAATGGTCTGCAAAACAAGCATGGAGATGCCACATGAGTCCAACGCCTTCAGTCTCATCTGTTCGCAAGACAGTTCCAGCTGGACCAGATCCGAGAGAACCAACAGCTAAGTTTTCCATGGAAGGACACGTTGGTCTGGTTGCACGCGGTCAAACCCGTACAAGGGGGTGCCCATCTACAGAAACAATTGTCAGCTTTTCCCTCCCTGATGGAAACCTTGAGCCCGAGAAGAGGAAAGGAGACAGGAGTCACTCACTCGGCGAAGAACAAAAACCACATCTTCGGTCGTCACAGTCTGGGATGTCAATTAGTACGAGGTTGTTGAAATGGCGGCCAATATCACAGCAGGCAGAGGTAGCAGACGTAGGTGAGTAAGTGAGTACCTTTCTAGTATTTGCCAGGGGAGCGAGTTGTGGACCTCTGAGTGTAGGGTGACCCATGGTTATGACGAGGCGTTCAATGATCTGGAAATGCACAGCGTCGTCAGTTCGTCTTGTTGCATATTATACGAAGAGAAAAATGGAGACGTTGCTGACGCCTTTGCATGTCTGGAGAAAGTCTCAAACTCACTTCGCGCAGACGTGACTTCAGAGCATTCCGGGCTTCGTCGTAGATATCAGTTTTGATTCTGAGGATTCCACCTCGTCGAGCAAGACGGCTGGAGAGGGGAGACACGTGTGGTTAGCCATGATCGAGATCTTTTTCCTGTTGAGGAGGGTCCAGGTCATCATACCGAATGGCTGGTTTCGCTGCAAGTCGATTGAGGTTAGTAATCTTCTGGGGGTCTAGGGCAGATAAAGTAAGTTGTGTAGATCAACTTACTGACGCCCATTATTGCATCCATCTCGTATCTCTTACGTCTATGGCGAGCTGGGATCCCTTTTCCCCGGCCAAGTCCTGAAGCATAGATCGGTGTAGGTACAGCCAAGTTCGCTGCTTGGCGACGATCGGTGAAACCCATCTTGGAGAGACTGATGGACAGTTGAGGAGGTAGCTGACGGGGTTCGAAAGAACGAACGAGGACAGAATGGTGATGGTGGAATCAGGAAGACGAGAGAGTGTTCGAGAATATGGTAAGTAGGAAGCCGAGACTGGAGAGGAAGAAGAGTGTAAAGAAGAGTGTAAAGAAGAGGAAGAAGAACGCTAGAAGGAGACCAATGCGGAAAAAGTGAGGTGAGTTGAAGAGTTCAGGAGGGACTGAAATGAAAGTGATGGCGGCTGTTTTCACACACAAGGCTCTTGTGTTGTGTTTCGTTCAAAGTGTAGAAAACCCAGAAAGAATGAGGAATAGGATATTAGACATTAACAGTTGCTAGCATATCCAATCATGGGTCATCCAGCCATCCAATCTAATGGAATATACGTGGTCTCGTCAGGCTATGAAGGTCGCCTCGGTGAAGATTTGACCAGGCTCCGAAATCTCCTCGTCACCGATCTTGAGCTTGAGGGTGAGCTGGTCTTTCGAGCAATACTGGTATGGAGTGTTAGTCTCACGTCCTCTCGTGGCTGTGGAGGGACTTTGCTCACCTGAAAGATATGTGGCCTCAATCCAGTTGCGCCACTGATAAAGGATTTGACGAAGCCAGGCAGATGGGCCAGCACATCAACCCGATCAGACCGAACTGGTAGATCACCTGTGATCTCGCCTTTGACGGGCTTTCCATCGTGCTCGCCTCTCCATTCAAAGGCAACACTTTTTGGTTCTGGCCAGTCGGCTTCGGTCTCTGGTTCTGCGGTGACATGTTTGGCCGTACATGGGCCAACGCACACCAACTCATTGTCCTTTGCAATGCCGCCGACAGAAACGACAGTCTTTCCATATGAGGCGGGTGTCGTGTATTCCATGAGCACGGCAGAGTAGGTGGGTGTTTGGAAGTTGACAAAATTCCATCTAACAGCCAAGTGATGCGGCTTCATACCCTGAAGCGCGTACACATACAATCCTCTGCCAGTCATGTCGTACTCCTTGGACGGAGTCTTTACGGTTCCGCTGACCGTACATCTCGGCCAGAATGCATGTCGCAGAGAACCCCACGGGTTTGCGGGATCGGTGCCGAAATAGCTTGTGCCATCGTTCCCCAATTGGAATCCCGGGGCTGTTCTTGTGAGCGTCACGTTGACAATGCAGTTGTCGTTCACGGCCGACTTGATTGTGTAAGTGTCACCCGCCTCGTTCAATTCCAACGCCAGATTCTCCGCATAGAATGAGGTTTGTGGCTCGTCGAACCCATAATCCCTCAATGGATCTGAGCACCAAAGATGTTTCCCGGGGCCGTCGTGATCAAAGATCTTGCTGTTGAATTGCGCAGTTGTATGGATTCCACTGTCGCTTGTCAGTAGGCAGACCCGGGTTTCTGGGGGCAATTCCTTACCCGACGTTGCTGTAGATAACCTGCAGCATGAGAGTAGTTCCATCGGGCAACATGAGATAGAACGTCTCGGTCTCGACATTGGTGCTGTCCATGGCCTTCCATTTGAGGTCGTTCTTGTTGAGGATGGAGTACGGCTTTGTCTCCATCTGTTTGGTCACAGGCTGGATGGCGTCGGGGCCATATTCGGGTTCCTCGGTGCCGACAACATTCGCCAACTGCTGTTTGAACCAATTCATGTTGTCTACTGAAAAAGTGATGCGTATGTGTATGAAGTGTCGTGAAAGTGAATGGATGTCTTGTGCAGTGCGTTATTGGAAAAACAGGTACTTTATTATGGTAGGATGCGCCTAGGCGATTAGATTATCGTTCAGACGTCACCAGAGGCGAATAACAATGTAGGTAGAGGGGGCAATTGTTTCAGGGCCTCTGGTGGTACTTCTTAGCCTCAGCAGCCTTCTCTTAACAGCGCAGTGGCTCCCTAGACTAGGGAGGCTAAGGGAGCCTAGAGAGCCTAGGGAGCCCCTTGCACAATGCCTCTAGGCGTGGGATGATCAGCGAGTCAGATCAGTTGTGGGTGCCTGAAATTGCGGATGCGGCTGCGTGGTGCACTGTACCTAAGGTAGTACTGTTGACCAACGTGCCAGACTGCGCTAATCCAGCACGGCTTTTTTCCACTGTCGTCGCGATTATTGGATGCGTGAGTATGCTGCTCTGAGGGTCGTTTCCAAAAGATCTTCGTGGTCCGACATTTCTCACTATTGCCATCGACGCCAGACCGAACGATATCCCATCTTCTTGAATCCGTGGCCTGCGGGCGAGCGTCCTATTGTCCTGCAGCAAGCCCTTCATTGGCTTCTACCTGAGGCGCAAGCTTCTCTATTGGTCTGCATCTCTACCGTAGACCATCCAAACAACGCCCAGCATGTCTCGAAAAGTGCCTGCTCGCGACCAGATCGTCAAATTAATTGTTGGCGCCGGTCAAGCAAGTCCTAGTCCGCCTGTCGGCCCAGCGCTTGGTAGCAAGGGAGTGAAGAGCATGGACTTTTGCAAGGTAGGTTGGATTGGTTGGACCAACGTTCGAAGCTAGCTGGCTAATACTCGAGAAGGAATTCAATGCCCGTACCGCTCATATCACTCCCGGCGTTCCTGTACCAGCACGAGTTGTTGTCCGTCCAGACCGCTCATTCACATTCGAACTACGGACACCTATGACCTCCTGGCTCCTTCTTCGAGCCGCCGGCGTGAAAGAAGTGAAGGGTAAGATACGAGGAGCGCAAAAGCCTGGCTCGGAAGTTGTTGGTACCGTGTCTCTCAAACATATCTACGAGATTGCCAAGATCAAGCAAAGCGAGCTGCGTCTGTCCGGTCTCAGCCTTGAGGGTCTATGCAAGAGCGTCATATGGCAGTGTAGATCGATCGGCGTCAAGGTCGTGCCGTGAAGCGCTACAAAACAACCCTACAACGCAATCGAGCTTGGAACCAGCACAAGCTCTGGACAAGAGATCAGGGTGAGCACTTTGGACGTTCGGACCACAGAGGCAAAATTTGGAGCAACATGCCGCATATGCGACCGACTTCTTCTCGAGCACTACAACGCAAAGCAACGAACCAGCCGATGGAGGAGAACAAACATAACCGGACGTTGACTTGCAACTGGAGGGCTCTCCAACTGGAGCGATCAATTCACCAGCACCTGGTTCCACGGACAAATCTCTCTCGAGACGAAGACAGGTGATCGTCTTCACCAAACACACTTTCGACTTCTCTTCCTACTACGACGCCGAGGCTACAATAGCACATGCTTGAATTTCAAGCTGTCACAGGTGCCCGAAGAAGTGGTTACCATTCAGGAGGCCGCCGTGCTTTTCTCGCAAAGCTGTGGCTCCCGGGTATGTGGTGTGTCGGTGAGGCCGAACGAAAGCCGAAGGTGGTTGCTCGATTGGATTTAGCCTGATGAGCAGGCTGGTCTAATTAAGGGCAGTTTCGAGCCCCCAACTTCTTGCGTCAACAAAGAAACTTCACCCACCAACCCCATGGGGCACGAAGTAGCAGTCGAATAAGCAAGGGAATCGATGTCTTGGTAGGCAATTGACTTGTGAACATGTCGCCAACACTAGCAGTGTTCGGCTGGCTGGATAAGCGGCCATCTGCAGTACCGTATGTCAGTAATCCTTGAGTGATATATTTCGCACTCTCATCAAATCAAAATGCACCTAGGTACAACGAGAATGACTCCTCTCCCCCTAATCGGACACTGTGGACATGACCTTAAAGATGACGTGGATTTCTCGGATAGGATCAGAGGATCTAACGGTCAGGCAGACAACGGCATCGATCGCATCGTAACCACATTTAATGGTAGGAAGCTGAGGGCCACGAATGGCAAATGTTGTCATCGCAGTGCTGCAGTCCGGGCGAGCCGGAAAGGCAGGTGAAAGGTCAAACCCGGCGTAAGCTGGGACAAGAAACTCGACAGAAGTGCAGGACAAAGGCCAGATGCAATGATCATAGGTATCAGGTATTTATCATTGCATCAAATGCAAATCCCAGGCGACTGCAACGGCGACTGCGACAGCGACAGGGATCTATTCGACCGGATCTGCTCAGTCCCATGTCAGCGAAGCTTGTCAACGATGGTAGCAACCTACTAATAGTCAGCCCATGTATTTTATTATATTGGAGTTTTGTGGTTTGCCTGGCTCGTGCGGCCGTATCAGCCTATCGAGATTTCGACTGTGGCTTGGGATCAGATCAGAGGTCGGCTTGTTCAGGGTTGCTGGTTGCCTCTAGGCCTCATGGGATGCTGGCGGGGCAAAGTTTGAACATCCCACCTTCTTCTTCTCGGCCAAACGAGGGTGGAAGGGAAAAGTGAGGGATAAGGGGACTACTACGTAGTACTATACTAGTAGTGTTCGATTCTGGCCGTCGGATCTAATAGCCTCCTAAACCCTGTGCCGCGGGTCAAGCTCTTGAGTTCGGGAATCTTACGGGCCCTACAGTCCGAGTCGCTAGGCATTATTGCAGTAGTGACAGAGCACCTGCGTGCGCACCCTGTGCTCTACTACCTCTACTACCTAGGTAGACCTAGGCACTTTACCTACCTACCTCCTACACAGTAACCCTCGCTGCCGGTCTTCATATGTCAGAGCAGCAGGTTCTTCCTGCTGTCTGTCTCACTTCCCTTTGTCATTCTCACTCCACAAGATCCGCTTCTTCTACCTCGTCGTTCGCCTCGTCGGACGCGTGCATCAAAATCTCGCATTCTAACACTGTACGTGAGTCGCATCGTCTCCACTGGCCCGACCAATGTTCGTCCTTCCCGCGTCACTTAGCTCATCGGATCCCGAAGACCCAGTTCGGTGTACAGGCAGTGCAGCTCTTTGAACCTTTCTAACGTCAAGTCATCCTCAGATTCTTCGTCCCCGTTTCTTACCAATTTACCCCGGGAATCGACATCGTGCGAACATATCACTCGTTCATGTAGTCAATCGCTGTCACTTCCGCACCGACCTCCACCACCACCATCCGAACAGCCCCCAAAATGACCTCGAAACTGTCTGCAATGTTTTTCCCGGGCGACGATCCGAAGAAAGAGGAAGAAGGTACTGAGGACTCGGATGCACAAAAGTCAGAGCAGGCGGCTGATGTGGGGGTTCTAGATACAAGTGAAAGCCAGGCCGAAAATCCCGAGAGACGAGAGACCGCAGACTCTTCCCAACCCAACGTGCGATTCGCTTCGGAAAATGAGGAGATAGACCCGGTCGATGAGAGCAGGCGGAAAGTGCCTCAAACAGGCGACCACAGAGACGACGACCTCAGTCCCGAGGCGCAACAGCAAATCAGAAGCCTGGCCACATCTCTCCAGAAGTCGAAGTTACAGGAGAACAGAATGGCCAATTTCGCCTATGAGGCCGTCTCGATGCCGCCCTCACGAGTATGATCCATTTCTCCTCTTCCAAGACGTTGCTGACCGTATAACTAGGTCCCGTCGCGAGACAGTGATGCGCCTGACACTCCACGTAGTTCAATACGACATGGGCAGGGTTCCATATCCTCTGCTTTTCAGTCTCCTCCATTGACACCACACGGCTCGAAAGATAGTCGAGCTGACACCACCGCATCTGGTCGTGGCCAGCATGCCTCATCCAACGCCATCACTCCGCAAACTTCTCCTCCTCCCGACGCTCATGGTCGAGCTCTTTCTCAATCGTTATCGCCGACACAGTCTGTGTCGAGACCGTCATCCTCCGAACAACAGACCTCAAATCCTGAAATCAGGCATCACAAAGTGGTACCTAAATTCGAAATTGGGCCCTCAGAGTCCGCCAGCCCAACAGACCAAAGCCCTGTTGGGACTCCGCGGCTTCGGCCATCGTCCACCCCACCAGAAATCAAACCACCCCAACCCAAGAGCGAATTGCCGCAATCGAAAGCAGGACTATCGGATCACAGGCATTTCGGAAGCACAGGCAAGAATTCTCTTGCCCCAGCTATTGCAGCAGCAGCAGAACGGATACCTCGGGCGGGCAGCAGTAGTGACATTGTCGGGGACAAACGGACCTCGATTTTCGGGACCAAGAAAGACCCCTACTCTCATCTCAGTGACGCTGCAAGTGAGAAAGGTGGCTTGGAGAAGAAACACGGTTCAATGTCTGAACTGAAGCGGTTTTTCAGAATCGGCGGGCACAGCCATAAGCACAAGGGTCACCATGGCACTCCCCGAGATCAGTCTCCATCCTCGGTTCCAGCTTCCCGGAAACCGACATCGACGAAGACTGGCACACGGACACCTCCACATCAAGCACCTCCTGTGAACGTTCCCTTCATGGACGAGCATAGCCTGGAGGCCAGGTACGGAAAATTCGGCAAAGTGCTAGGGTCTGGTGCTGGGGGCTCCGTCCGATTACTTAAACGGAGCAGCGATGGCGTGACTTTTGCTGTCAAACAATTCCGAGACAGACACTCGTGGGAGAGTGAAAAGGACTACAACAAGAAGGTCACCGCTGAATTCTGCATCGGATCCACATTGCATCATGGCAACATCATCGAGACCATGGACATTATCCACGAAAACAACCGCTGGTACGAGGTGATGGAGTACGCCCCTTACGACTTGTTTGCGATTGTCATGACGGGAAAAATGTCAAGAGAAGAAATTGCTTGTGCGTTCCTCCAGATCGTCAACGGTGTGAGCTATCTACACAGCATGGGCTTGGCACATCGTGATCTGAAGCTGGATAACGTGGTGGTGAGTGAGCATGGGATCATGAAGTTGATCGACTTCGGTAGTGCAACCGTGTTCAGATATCCGTTCGAGAACGAGATTGTCCTTGCTTCAGGTATGTTTTGCTCTCTGGGTCGGCGTCACAATTGCTGACCGTTTTCTAGGCATCGTCGGATCAGATCCGTATCTTGCCCCCGAGGTGTATGAGGAGAAAAAGTACGATCCGACCGCCACCGACATCTGGTCTCTCGCCATCATCTTCTGTTGTATGTCATTACGAAGGTTTCCGTGGAAGCAGCCGAGACTAGTCGACAACTCATACCGGTTATTCGTTGCTACACCTACTCCGGGCACGCCTGTCCCCGACTCCAAACCTCGGAAGTCCTCGCGCCTGATCACAGAACACGACGAAGGGTCGCGACGTCCATCAGAAGCCAACGACAGTTCTTCGTCGCATCATCATCAACATAGTTCGGAGAATACATCAACCGAAACCCGACCTTCAACTTCGGGGGGCGATAAACAAGAAGTCATCAAGGGTCCTTGGCGACTGCTTCGCATCCTCCCTCGGGAGAGTCGACATATTATTGGCCGGATGCTCAAGGTCGATCCTGCGGAACGTGCCACCATGGACGAAGTGCTGGAGGACGACTGGGTGCTGAGCTCACAGGTGTGTTATCAAGAGGAGACCGGGGTTGTTCATCGTGCACAAAACCACACCCACATTCTGGAAGCCGGATCAGGGGGGCCTCCGCCTGCCAAGGTGTAGGGGTCGAGACTGACCTGGTCGACTTGACTTGGGGTTGATGAAGCAGCACCTATCCCAATTATGCTTGATTGGATATGCTCATGTCAGCGCGCAGCGGTTATGGGTTTGATGATGTTAGATGTTTCCAAAAGGATGAACCAGCGACAATGCACTGAGGTTGACGGACTGAGGGTTTAGCATTGTGTTGTGTGAGGGATTGACTGAGTCGTTGGAGCAAAAGGTGGCCAAAGCCCCAATGGGGTTTGATATTGTAGATATTAGTGATCACGCATGATGCTTCGCAGCCTTTGAGGAATTGAGCCATTGTTTATACGGTACAACAGTTCTGGTAGTGGACTATGAAACGGCTCCAATTGCAGTGTTTGGACATTTGAAAGTAGGGTACAGACAATCTCCATGTAGCAGATAGCCTCTGATATAGGGATATAGGAAGAGGAGGAGGGTGAGGAGAGCGAATAAAGATGGCGTCGGCCTCTCACTTCATAACTCGGGCCAATCGACCCCGGTTCCGGCCCCGCTTTGTACTCTGGACTCTGTAGCATGCCACTGCAGTGGAACACCACCACTCCAAGAGTATCCTAGTCCTAGTAGTAGGATGTACCCGCGTACTACGTACTAGTATACCATGTTGTCCGCCGCCATCATCGCAACCTACTACTAGTCCCCCGAAGATACGACCAGCTCTCCCTGAGGGAAGCTTCTCACGAACCTCTGACCAACTCCCCTCTACATTGCCACCAGACCCGACCGTCAAGGGTGGAATCTCGACAAGCGGACCCGGCGCAATGGCTGGTTGAACTATTAGAACACGGAGAGAGGTATCGATCGGTAGTCTCGAAGATAGCCGCATATGGCCAAGAAGAAGCGCCAGAGGATCAGCTACGGTCAGTCCAATTCGTGTTACCTGTCGACGGCGAGCTTGCGGCCGGCTAACGAGCTACAGTCCTACCACTGGCCAGCACGCCAGGAGGTCACCGACTGGGAGTGAACGGATTGGCGTTCGATGACGACCGCAGTATCTTGTGAGCAGCCCCCTACACTGGGCTAACAACAACTACTGAGACATGTTGCAGATATACCGGTGGCCGCGATGGAGTCGTGTGCGCCTGGGACCTAGACCTCGAAGCGCAGAAGATCAGTTCCGGGACCGATGCAGCGAGGCAGAAAAAGAGCACCGTCACCTTCCGCAAACAGGTGCAGGCACATACACATTGGGTGAACGATATTGTTTTGGTCAAGAACAACTTGGGCCTGGTGTCAGCGTCTTCAGACGTTACAGTCAAACTCTGGCGACCTCATGGCCACGAGACCGCGCAAGCGTACACCATCGGCTCCCACAGCGACTATATCAAGTGTCTGGCTGTCCCGGATCGCACCTCTGACTGGGTTGCGTCCGGTGGCTTGGATCATAAGATCTGCCTGTGGGATCTCAGCGGAGCGGGAAAAACACTCGAGATCAATGTCAGCAGGGCCGAAGATGTGGTCAAGGGCTCGGTGTACGCTCTTCGCGCTCGGGGGTCCATGCTTGCCAGCGGAGGCCCGGAGGGCGTGGTTCGACTCTGGGACGTGAATTCGGGCAAAGGCATCACCAAGCTCGTCGGACATACAGACAATGTGCGCAGCATTCTGATCAGTGATGACGGAGACACCTTGCTCACGGCCTCATCCGATCAAACCATCAAGGTCTGGTCTATCGCGGCCGGACGGTGCATTCATACCCTGACCATGCACAACGACAGTGTTTGGTGCATGTACTCCAACGACCCCAATCTGGCCGTCTTCTATTCGGGCGACAAGTCCGGACTGGTGGCCAAGACAGATACTCGGAGGGCCATGGAAATCGACGACGGAGTGTCAGTTGCGGTGTGTCAGGAACATGACGGCATCGCTCGTGTCCTGCCCGTCGGCAACTCGGTCTGGACGGCGACTTCAAGCTCGAGTGTCAATCGTTGGCTTGACGTGGATACGGAACTCGACATTGAAACGCCACCGACATCGCCGCGTCAAGAGCGCGCCGCAAGTCTGGAGACGAGGACTCACTTGTCGCCAGAGCCTCCCGCCTCGCCGTATCCCACTGCCAATGGTAACAGTAACAAGCCGAGGATCCCACACAATGCAGTCCTGCGCATATCCAACACCGCTCCTCATCCGGGCCGGAAGAATTTGGGGCGACTTCCCAATGTATCTGCAACGAATGTCAGAAAAGCCTCGGAAGCCATGATCACAGATGATCTGAGCCTTGTCGTCCCACTTCGAGGACAGCCGGCGGAGACCATTGAAGGCCAAAACGGGCTGATCAAGCATGTCATGCTGAACGACAAGAAGAGGATCCTCACGTTAGACACGGCCGGGGAGGTGGTCCTGTGGGATCTGCTGAAGGTAGGCCACCTTGGTCGTGGCGACAGCGACTTCGCTAACAGCAGCAGTGCGTTCAGATCAAGTCCTTTGGCCGCCGCCATCTCGACGAAGTTGTGCCGGAGGTCAACACCACCGAAAGCGTAGCCAATTGGTGCGCGGTGGACACCAAGACAGGGAAAATCACCGTTATGTTGGAAGAAAACTATTGCTTTGACGCCGAGATCTATGCAGACGAGCTGGACCTGCCCAGTGACCTTGCTTTTCGCGAGGATCAACGAAGTGAGTATACTCGCAGAGTGACCGTGGCCGTGACCGTAGTCGAGCTGATATTCTTGTTTCTTCTACAGTCAATCTCGGAAAATGGGTACTGCGCAACCTCTTCGCGAAGCTATTAGAGGAAGAGATCGCACGCGACGAAGCCTATCGAAGCACTCTCCGAACCCATACGCCTCCTAGCCGCCTCAATCGACCCGGTGCGCCCACCAGCATCATGATGCCGGAGTCCGTGGGAAGCACCCCGATGGTGTCTCCTGGAACTCTGACCACACCCCGTGCATCCAACGGTCACACCTTCGTCCCTGCGACTCCCAGCTTGGCGATTGGAGCGGCGACACCAGGCTTCGCACCGCTGACTATGACATTGCCTCCGACAGCGGAAGAAGATACTCCGCAGCGATATACCAACGGTGCCTTGTCGTCGGTGCAGCCCACTCCCAGCGGCATCGAGGGACAGCACGACTACTTCTCTTCCCCAAACGCCGGTGCTGCCAACCACATCCAATCCGAGACGTCTTCAGAGAGCAACAAGGTGCCCGTGACTCCTGGTGCCCTCGAGGGCGCAGCCATGTCCACGCCGGCATCACCTACCGAAGAGAGGAAGAAGGGCCTGTTTGGCAAGAAATTCCCCATGGCGTTTTCCAAAAAGGCCACCACCCGGACATCGACGGAGGTCAAGCCGCCTGTAACGATGGAGGAGAAGTCGGACACGGCGTCGTTCAAGTCGTCGGAAAAGGAAGAAAAGATCATCGAAGACAATCTGTTCGGCGTGATCCAAAAGATCCGGCAAGAATATGATGACCACCTGGAGTCCAATCCAGACCAGCCTCTCCCGCCGGGCATCACGCCGAGTCTGCCTGTCGAGACGCCCGTGTTGACACCGCCACCACACACGACGGTCATTATCCAGGAAGACAACCCAGAGTCTGGTGGTCTCGCAGACCAGTATCGCGGCGAGATAGGCGATCTGGGCAACGAGGCCGACACGTTGGAGAAGATCGCACCCATGTGGTTGGGCGATTTGCTGCTGAAGGTGAGAACAAACATTTTCCCTAACCCAGACCATTCTTGCTCGTTTTTGGCCTTTTCGCAATACGTTCTTGTCATCCTAGTGTTTTTGTCACTTACTAACCGATACGGCGTGTGCCTATGTCTGTCTACAGAACCAAATCCCCTACAAAGACAGCGTCAAAGTCTCGTTCGTCCTCCACCCCTACGACAACCTCCTCCCGTCCATCGCCTCGCCCGACGGCAATGCTCGACTCAACGCCAACCGCATGCTCCGCGCCAAGAAGATCATGGCCTACATCGCCGAACGCATCGAGGCCCCTGTACATCACGAACACAATCACAATCACGATGCCGATCCTGATCAACCGGATCCAGATGCGGCGGCAGACCTCAAGCCCGAAGAGTATCTCGAGTTGTACTGTCAGGGTCAGCGTGTCGATCCGAACACCACGCTCGCCACGCTCCGAGTGCACGTCTGGCGCACGGGCGGCGATGTCGTCTTGTATTATAAAAGTAACGGGAGGAAGGAGCTGAGGTTGCCGCATCCGTCCGAGGTGCCGACCATAGAGGAGAGTGAGCAGCATACGGGGGTTGTGAGGTGAAAGATGAGGATGAGGAAGACGAGGAATTCGAGGAGACAAGGGCGAAGAGGATTGATGAAAAAGAAAATGGAAGAACGACAGGACAAGAGGTGCTAGGATGGTTGGGTGATGGGACGACGAAACGATGGAGGGCTTCTGTGAGCTGATCTGACCTACTAGAGCTGAGTCGATCTGAGCCAGGTCATGGGAGAAGGTAGGTGGCGCGGTTAACTTTATGACCTGGGCTGTGTTTTGTACGTTTTCAGATCTCAGATCTTAGAAAAAAGGGGAACAGGGAACATGAGGAGAGCCAACAACCCCTACCTAGGTAGGTATCTTAGGTATCTTAGGTATCCTGGGTATCCTGGGTATCATGGGTAAGTTACTAGTAGGGAGAGTCGGAGTTCAAAATGAAAAGGGGGTATTGATTCACTTTGAAACTCCGTGTGATGGGCCGAACAACCGCGACCAAAACTGCCTGCGATCGTAACTTGGTTGTTTGCTTGCTCGGTTAGCACTGTGGCGCGGTAGATTGTAGATGGTACATGTAAGTGATAGGTGGTAGTTTGCAGAAGGTAAGTCCTGTTGGGCGAGGAAGAAAAGAAAGAACAGTACCTAGGTCTAGAATGGGTGTTTGGTGATAACGTCTACATGTTTTGTTTTGGCTAATATGTACGTATACCATCAATACTATATATACACAGGTCTGCATCTTTCGATTGTCTTCTCCCGACCATGTTTGTACAGGTAGGGGTAGGGTATGCAACAGAGAGGTAGTGGGTAACAGGTGTGGTATATAGTACAGAAGAGTTTTCCAGACCCTGGGTCCAATTCCTCTCATAAGAGAGGCTGGCACATGGACTCGTTCGATGACAAGGAAACCGAGAGAGATAAAGAGGACCGGATCCATTATTAGATCTCCATGGAGATCCAGTCACATCAGTTCTTTCTCTCGTGGTCTCGTTGCGAAGCGCACACTTTCAAGGCTGATCCGAAGCCAACCTGTTCCAGACATACTGGTATGTGCCGAGGAAGATGGCGCCGCCCGTGCTGATCCATCCGATCCGCGGCACAATCCCACGAAACAAGCCAGAGGGGCCCTCTGTCCTCACAATATCCTGGAAGACCTTGAGAGGGCCTGCTCTGGTGGTCGTGGGAGTTGTGGTTGCGGTTGTGGTTGTCGTTGACCCTGTCCCCGACCCTGAGCTTGTGGTTGTCGACGGACTGGTCTCCTTTCGCGCAAGCATGATCCTCGTCTTCAACACATCTAACGGCGTCGTCAACCCGGCAGCAACCGCGCCAGCCATGCTACCGAAGGCCGCGCTCTCCGTGGCCGTAACCAGGCCCTCCTGCCGGCCCGTCTCTCGATGCTGTCTGGCGGAATACGAGGCCTTGAAGGACTCCCACAGACTGAACTGGACGATTGTGAAGGGGATTTCGCGCATGATTGTGACCCCACCACCTCGGTAGAGTTCGCGCACCATGGTCGCGGTCCCGTCTGTCTTGCGTAGGGCGAGGATATCTTGGAACGCGAGAAGCGAAGATCCTCCAAACAGACCGGCTTGGGCGCGTTGTTTGACGACCTCGGTCGGCACGCGGATGGCGCATGCGGCAATCTCGCCGAGCGAGGACGCCAGCATGTGTGCGTACGTCGGTGTCCGTGGTGGCGAAGACGAGGAGGAGGAGGAGGAGGAGGAGGAGAGTGAGTGATTCGTTTCCGTCAGCGACCGTTTCACTCCGTCGTAGACGAGGAAGAAGAAGGCCGCGGACGGCATCGACCCGAGCATCGCGGACGGCAGGCCGGCGTACATGCTCCGCAGGGTGCCGCGGAGGGTGTGGCGTGGGAGGAGATTCTTGGGTAGATGGCCATGACTATTGCTGCTGCTGCTGAGCAGGTTAGATTGCAGGCGTGTCTTGATTGTGTCGAGTGGATAGAGGGAGAAATCCACGGTCAGTCCGGCAATTGCGCCGGCCTAGATGTAAGACACAGAAAATGTTAGAGGCGTTTTTCTAGGGGTATGCAAGAGAGAGCAACAGAGGTAATGGGAGATGAATGTCACTGGGAGAGATGTTACGGACAATCAACGACCTCGTCCATAAGGAACCCACGAGTGATTGGGTTCCTGTAGCTTCGGACAGCGCTACATCTTGCTCGGTCATGCCTGGATTGAGGCGACGCCTTTGCCGAGCTTGGCCTCTCCCTTCTTCCCTCCTCTAAAAGAGTAGGCTTGCGCTGTTCGCGGTTGGCGAGTATTTGATTCTAGACGGCTGGTATTGTGGAAGGTAATGAATTCAATGGAGCAAAAGCATGAAGGTTGAATAATAAATTTGTATGACATCAACTCTGGCCGTCTCCGAAGTCGGCACAGGGGATAGATCTCTCAGCCCTGCTACAACAACTAGACATCTACAGAATACCAGTTCGAAGGCACATCTCGTCCCACCGTCTCAAGGGTGTTCTTGTTCCAACAAACGAATGCACTAGATATTGACGACATTTCCCAATGGTCGAGCCACCACAAATAGCTTTCTCTGGGCGCTCTCAACGGATGCAATCAAAGTGGCCGTCGAAGGATGCAGGGGAATCGCCCCATGCCAGGACTTTGTTACAATATTGGATGGCTTTGCAGTAGCCACAGCCCGTCAAGGTCTTCGCAGGAAAAGAATAGGTCGGACCGCAAGAACCTAGAAAATACTGTGAGAATGAATTCTATCGGGCCAACTTGTGAGCAAGTGTGGAGGGAAAGCATGCAACATTGATAAGTCGATTATGTGCCCTAGAAGTCAAGGTATAAGTGGACCTGGAAAACACTTTCACTGGCCTGGAAGCACATATCCTCTGTCCAGTCCACCTCCTAGGTCGGGTCGTTGTGGCAGGCCATGGTCGGCATGGGATGGATACCATAGTCTGTGAGGCCTGAGGGTGGCTTCAGAAGAGGCAATACAGGTCTGCAATATCTGGCTGGATATGGTCAAGCAAGCCACTGTGTTCCAGTGGAAGTGCAACAGCATATGATGTCTCGTAGAAAGAACAGTACAATTGAAGAGCGCAGTTTGAGGAAGAAGCAGACAATAGATTGTTGCCTGGCAACGGGGCGTGTGGGGTGCAACCCTCCGCATCTGGCAGGCGCAACAATCGCCCGCGAAAACGGCGGCGCATTTGTCCTCCACACGCTGATTAAACCACTGCATGAGCCTCTGAGGGAGAAACAATACAATCGCTACCACGCGTCGAACAAGACACCGACCACCACTTTTAATGTCCTTGCACCCTTCACATCATCCATAAGCGAGCCCCTCGCCCGTGGCCATGTTTAGATACAGCATCGCTTTCTTGTATGTCATACCATTATCGTGTTGAGTTGTCACATCACTACAATTCCTCAATCAACTCAGTGGGCGCGCCTCTTGCGGCGGCCGATTATCTTACATATTGTTTTGGTGACTCTGGTCACTTTCCCTGATACTAGTATCCCGCCCATAGTCGCTCTATCCTCACCGGTGGCTCTTCCGACACTTCCTCACCATGGAACCATGGCTAGATTCTCTCTCGGAAGACTGGAAGTCAGAACACCAATCGTCCTCTCCCGCACCCTTGCGCTCGAGCAGTCGCCAAGATGGCAGCATCTCCCTGTCTCGCTCCCAAAGTCGCATTCCACACCTGGCAAAGAACATGCGCAAAGACTCTTCTACCGGGAGCTTCCTCAGACATAGGTCTAGTAGAGGACAAGCACGTGCGAACGGCGATTCCATCCTCCGAGAACGCAGCGCATCAAGCCTCAACACTCCAGGGCAGTCAGCATCGCACAAACACACGAGTCTGCCCCGCCGTCCTTCAAGTCCCTTTTCAGATTCGCAAAACTCGGTTCAACATTATAGCGTGCATGAACAACCGGCCGTGGATGAGACACCTGAATGGAAGAGAAGGCTCGCCAAGGGTGAAGATGTAGGCAGCGACGGCTTCGATCTCTTCTCTCCGTCGAAATTGGAAGGCATCTTCAAGAAACCAACATCGTCCAAACTGCCAAGCGAGGACGAAGTGGAACAACCCGATGGCGATTCAAATGTGTGGAAACCTTTCACCCTGCCAGTCTCCAATTCCTTCTCAGATCAATACAACAGCATCCGACAGACCAGAAGTCTCCCCAACCTGGAGGTATTAGAAGAGGTGAACGAGGAGGACGAGCTATCTCTGGACGAACCATCGGCTCTCTCTTCAGATCCTGCTCATAATGGTTCAGTGAGAGGCATCGTCAGGCAACGAGTCCAATCTCTTGAGCGGGCTGGCGCGACCCTCTCTGTTCGATCATCTCCAGCAGGCTCTCGGGATCCGCGCGAAAGGGGCGAAGAGAATGTCCAAGACCCTCGCTGGAGGACGGTCAGTGGCCAGGAAGAGCTCAAGAATGAGCTTATTAGCCCCGTCACGGTGTCAAAGCAGAACTCCATACGTGCCACGGTTCTTCGTAATTCTCTCGAGGCCAACGTACAGCCCCTCGACCACAGATTCAGGAAGACCACGCCAGGCACTATAGAGCGCCCGACATCGAGCGCGAGCGATCGAGACATCAGCTATGAACACGGATCCAAAACTCAGACCATTGTCAATGATGAGCCACTGCCGGACTTGACCTCCCAGTCACTGCCAGATGACTTGTCCATGGGAACCCAGGACTTCATGTCGCATGGTGGCTTCATCAACTCGAGACGTGGTGGGCGATCGAATGAAGCTTCATTTCTGCGAAAGTCCCTCAGCATATCGCAAGACCACTCACAAATCGAGTCAAATTCGCGGCCTATCTTCCAATTTCACAGTTCACCTCCCCAGTCTTCTCGCCTATACGATGAAAGTATCGAAGAGAGCAAGACTAGCGCCAGTGCTCCGACCACTCCACAAGACACAAGCGTGGTGCATCACACCGAGTCTTCCAGCAAACCCGCCTCGTCTGGAAGTCCACTCAAGCTTTTCGGGAATCGCGACACCTACACAAACAACAAGTTGATGCGAATACTCAGCCATTTCGAAGAGCCCGCCGACCAATCCGAGAACGCAGACGATGACAACGTACCGCGAGACCAGCAGGAGAATGCGCATCGCATGAGCCAATTCGGCAGAGGAGAGCTTGACAGTTTTGGGTTTGCTCAAGATATCCCCAAGCCCTCGCCTGTTGGTACGGCTCTGGTCAGATCGGATGAGAGGATTTTCAAGCCGGTCACCATCAACGCTGGCAAGAATGTAGACCCGCCGAACGAGGCTGCGAGGTCAGGGACAGCCTTCGAACATGGACAGAGACAAGAGCAATTTGCAACCGCTGGAGTTGTATCCGAGAAGGATAGAACGACAAAAAGACGCAAGACGCTTGTCAAGGACAAGGTCAGCGTCGAGGGCCACGAGCTGGAATTCAAGATCAGCCAGTTGGACGAAACAGCCACCCTTGCTGGGAGGAAACGTAAAGACGCCAGACCCGGCGACGACGGTACATTGGCTGACCCTGAGGTCCTTGCTTCCCGGAGTCTGCTGAAACCCAAGTTGTCGAGAAGAGAATCCGTCGATCAAGCTCCGTCAGACGGGCAGGATGATTCGAGCGTGAGAAATGTCGTGTCAGAAAATCCTGGCGAAGGTCTTACGGAGGCCCTAGCTGCAGAACTGGCCTCTTTCGCCCAGGAGGCTGCGCATATCAACGACGACTCTCGCAAACCATCGCTTGCCACAAAAGACTATATGGAAGAAGCAAACAAGGTCATGCAGTTCATTCGTGCTCGAGGAAAGCCGATGCCCGCCCTGCCTGATATCAGCGAGCCTGGAAATACATCCGAGCTCAATCCAGATGCCATTCTGGACCTGGACGTCGATTTGGACTCAACAAAGGACGATTTTTCAAGACCGCCGTCCCGAGAGTGCGGTTCGAAACCATTGCCAGACCGTCGTCATGCTCGACATGACTCCCGAACTGCGAGCTACCTCCGACAATACCAAGATCAAGATGATATGGACGTGCTGACAAGCACATCGGTTTTTGGAACTTTGGCTGCTAATGTTGCTGAGCAAGGTCAACAGCAAGCACCAGCGCATGATCTTGATGACTCTCAAGAGAGCAGTCCTCCAAACATGCGCATACTGAACCATTCGGACACGATGAGAAAACGCAAATATTCCACGTCCACCGTGGATGCGGCTCAGGACTTTACCTTGAATCAACCTTTACACAGCCAGCACTCTGCAGGCAGTTCGACGCAACGTACATTCCCTACCAGCTCGTCCACTTCTGGTCACAAGGGGGTCATCGCCTGTGGGACCGTATCCATCCCGGATCACGTTGGCTTGATGACCTTTGATCACGAAAAGAAGATGTGGGTCAAGAAAATGGCATCCAAGGATGATGCTCGGCCATTCAGCCGAGTCGAACGGACTGAAGACGATCCTTTCGGAGACATACCTGATCTGAGCATCGATGAGCAACAGGAGATAGAGAGGGCGCGTCAAGCAGAATCATCCGGGAAAGAAAATGCGCCCACTGCGGTTGAGAACGATAGAGAGGCTCAGACACCAGCTTCCCGACAACCCCTAGCAGAGATGAACTCTGAGGCCGTCGAAGAGAGAGATCAAAGAGAACATGAGCCGGAGGATGATGAGGATGACGAGCATGTGAACCAAAGCTCTCTTCGCTCAAAAGCTTCCGAGCACGAGGCAAAGCTTCACGATGGTGTTGCGTCAAGGCCTCCTGGTGAGCTCAAAGAAGGTCGGAAGCAGGCCAGAGTTGTGACCATTGCCTTCTCGTCGCCGGTGGTCTCGGCTGTCAATTATGCCAAGATGTCGGAGGCCGACTTTGATGATCTACCTCGTGAAGATGATCTTCCACTTGATGACTCCGAGATAGACTTGTATGAGGAAGTCGTCGACAGAAGATCGCGACGGAGCCAGCCGGCCGAGAACATGACAGAGTCGTCGCCAAAGAAAGGCCAGGATGCGTTCGGCGAACACAAATTGACCGTCGCGTTCCAGCCTCGGACAATATCGCCAATAGCAGAGGGTGATGAAGAACACATTGATGGGCAGATGAGCGTGGCCCGGGTCCAACCGTCTACCGAATTGACTCCAGCAGCGCCGAGGACGGTTTCGAAACGTCAAAAGGCCACAACCAAGGCCTCTAGCATTCTCTGCCTGACTCCGCTTTCTGAATTCTCGGTCCATCAAGTCGACAGTGCCAAACATCCGGATCAGAGCTACGTGGAGGAGAGGCAACATCCGAATGCACTTCGACAAGCTCATGGCTCACTGGCTTTGGCGGTGGATGAGCTGGTCAAAGCCATCACGGACGCGGTGCCCGATGTACTGTATTGGGAACAACTTCGGCGGCTGACCATTCAAAAAGGGGGCCTTTCTTCCGTCCACGGTCTAAAGGAGTATTGTCCCACATTGGAAGAGCTCTTGGTATGCGACAACCAACTTACACAAGTTGGCGGTCTGCCGGAAACTCTCCGTGACCTCGACATCCACAGCAACATGCTCAATGACTTGACCTCGTGGGGTCATCTACACAATCTCCAGTATCTCGATGTTTCTGGGAACCAGCTTGAGGGTCTGGAAGGATTCAGCTCGTTGGTCCACCTGCGAAGCCTGAAGGCCAGCAACAACCACATCAACAATATCGATGGGATTTTGGATCTCAACGGTCTTCTGGAGCTCCAGCTTGGTGGAAACGAGCTTGTGACTGTTGACTTCGAGGGATCAGAGCTTAGTCGATTGAGGTCACTCGACTTGAGTCGCAACCAGCTCATTGCGGTACACAATCTTCACAGTCTTCCCCAGCTGGAAGAGTTGAATCTCTCGCACAATCTGCTGGAGGATTTCGCGCCATCAGACAGAGATCACAGGCTGGCGATACGCGATCTTCGATTGTCTCATAACCAGCTTGTTACGATGGAGCTGAAGTCCATGCCCTTGATCCAACGATTGGATCTAGACGGCAACAGCGTCACAGATATTCGGGGACTGTCCCAGGCCTACCATCTTGAAGTATTGTCATTGAGAGAGCAACGGGACTCGTCCCACATCATCGACCTGGTCCTTTCGACCCCGAACGAATGCCGCGAGATACGGCTATCCTCGAACCAGACCGAAGACGGGACGTTCAAGCTCCCACCCTCGCCGCAGAACAATTTGCGCGAACTCGAGATCGCGGCATGCGGCATCTCCGAGCTTCCCGCCGGAGTCGGAGCCTATTTCCCCAACTGTCGGTCCTTGAACGCCAACTTCAACGCCATCAACGACATCGCCCCGCTGCGCAAGATGGTCCGGCTGAAGTCGTTGCTGCTCGCGAAAAACCGCATCAAGAAACTCCGCCGGACCTGTCTGGTGTTGGCGCGGTTGGAGGCGGTTCAGCAGGTCGATCTCCGGGACAATCCTTTGACAGTTGGCTTCTACAGTCCTGTTGGGTTTTCCGACAACGTCGGCACCGGTGCAGAAGCTGCAAAGGAACAAGGGCGTTGTTGTTTGCCCGAGGCACGATATTATCTGCCTCCAGGCTCGCCCGTGGAGGATGTCACGTGGATGAAAGTGCTCGACGAAATGACTGGCCTGCGAAGACGGACTATCGAGCTGTTATTGGCTGACCATTGCAAGAACCTGGTTCAGCTCGATGGTCTGGAGCTGTCTCGCGAAAGGGTTGGCAATCGTGATGGCGTTTGGAGTCGGTTGACTGCTCAGGGCGTGCTGAAGAAACCGGCACCAACACCACTACCAGCACCACCCATGTCCACTGCAGCGGAGGAGCAAGCGGAAGAACAAGAATTAGAAGAAGAAGAATTCACCCAGACTACCAATGATGGAAGGTCTCTTCGGGAGTCTTCGATGAATCATCGTCATGGCTGTGGTCATGGTCTTGATGATGGAAATGAAGAAGCATATGAAGATGAAGACGGCGATGGCGATGCAGATGGACAATGAGGATCTGTCTCTCGGTGTCTTATGTTTCGGTTCAGTTTGGCAAGATGACGAAGGAAAAATTAATAATGGAAGGCTGTAATTGAATGACTTGGAAAAAGGGACAGACAGGACTGGCCAAAAAGGGGCGTTAATCGTTTTTGGGTTCCGAGGTTGATTGTATGTATCATTATCATATTGGTCAATGCCCTGGATGGTGCATGAGACGTACAATTCAATTCTGTCTGTCTCTCAGTGAAGTCGAATAAATCAAGTCAAGTCGACTCAGCCTTGTTTGTGTTTTGTTTCTTCCGTATGTGTCTGCTCCACGATGATGGTTGGCTGCAATACTCTCCTCGTGCCTATGGTGGTCGGGACAGACAGCTCTCTAAACGCGTCTGCCTCAAATAGAGACGGCTCAAGGCTTTTAAAAGCTGTTGAAAGCTGTTGCAGGCCAAGGTAGGCTCTCTTGTCCGACCCATGGACCAGAATACTTGCAACGGGGTACAGCAATAGTGCGTACTATGTAGTTAGTAGCCAGGCGAAAAGAGCCGGTATATGGCTTCTTGTGAGGTTGCCAAGGGTTAGGTGATTACTACAGCCTACACTCAGGGTACTTAGTAGGTATAAGGATGGGGGTCTTCAGGGCAAATTGGACGAGAAGAGAAGAGAAGAGAAGGAGAAAAGAAAAAGACCTATGTTCATATGAGGAAAGCCCGTTGCAAAGCACCTAAGACTGGTACAGCTCGGTGGGTTTGGGTTTAAAGACATGCCAAAAAAAAAGGGGCCAAAAAGAAAGTCACTTGGAGGATTTAAACCTTCTGGAGGGTGAATCATCTTGATAGATGGTCCATATGGGGGTCGAACCCATGACCTTGGCGTTATTAGCACCACCTATGTGTCTTGTTAGAGTTGTGATTGACCATTGTAGGTGTTGTGTATGCTTACGCTCTAACCAACTATTCAGAATTAGTATCTTGCTGTGAATGTGTGAGAGCCAGTGTGAACCAACCTGAGCTAACAGACCCAACTTTGGGATTGTGATTGTTGTCAAAATTTTCCTACTTTTAGATTATCAAGAGATTGATTAGGTGCCAAGACTTGGCTGGTGGAGGTGCGGAACTTGCAACGCTAAAAGGTATCCCTAGCAATACAACCTCTCCCTAGCACTCCCATATTATTTTAAGATGGTGGTATTAGTAGTAGTACGTACTACCAGTAGTATGGCCATACTCCAATCGCTATGCTGGCCTGACATTATTTCCCAATTCAATTGTTCACGTTTGTCTACAGGTAGCTTAAGCAGACGTCTGTCAGCAATCTGGACCACAGGGCTTGTGATGTTACCCTTTGGTCCAATGCTCGTCGTCCAAGACATACAGCCACGCCTTGGTATTCTAGGACACGGTGACCTACGGCCTGCCCTGCCCCGCCAGCCGTTCGCATTCCAGTCGAAGACGGTCGAGAATGACAATGAGAATGAGAATGAGAATGAATCCCACGCACGGACAATTAGGTAGCTTCGAGGGTGTCAAGAGGTGATCTATCCAACCATGCACAGCACTCGTCCTTGACCGGCCTTGGTGACACGGTGTCGGGTGCCTCGAGAAGGCGAACGTGTCCATTGCTCGCGAATGTTGGGGGCAGTGGGAGAATTGAGGCAGGGGAAAGACAAGGCTGGAGAACCGGCAACGGTGAGTGGATTGTACTGATCATAGTATATATACCTAGGTATATATATCTCACTGGTGAGTCTGGATGATCGGCGCGAATTGGAACATAAACCAACAAGACTACGACTTCGAGGTACTCTTCTCTATTACAATTGTCGTTGCTGTTCGATTCATACCCACGTTTACATTCGTGTTCGTGGACCAAGTTGCCGATACTCAGACTGTCTGCTGTGGGAAATCTGAGTGATTGACAACCGACAACGATCTTGACCGGCTGCTATACGGCTACTTGAATACTGCTCCTTTTAGCTACTGGGACTTGCCCAAAGCATTTCTCCACTCAACATGATCCCCATCCTTGGGTTGCCCCTGGGACTCTTGGTCTCCTGTGTCTACGCATCTCCCATCGCAATCGCACAACCTCAAGCTGTCACGGCGTCACTAGCACCGTCCAACCGTCCAAGGTCAGGATGTACAGGATCGTATGCCGGCATTTTCGGCATAGCGGTGATGAACATTTCCATCTCCATCTCCACTCCTCTTCCTTCAGCATCAGACTCTGGAATCGTCGATCGGGACGAGAAGAGACGAGACGTTGCATACCTTCAGAGGAGACAGGATGGTCAGGAGTCGGCATTATCGTCAAGGTAAGCTAAGCACTCAATGGCTGTGATTGAAGTTGCAAGTCACAAGATATGGCCTCTTCAGAGTTTCTAACAACTCTATCACAGTTCCATTTCGGCACCTCCACCGATAACAACAGTCTTCACCATGGCGGAAGTCTCTCAGATCGGAGACGGCCAGATCCAGGGCGGGATGCACACGATCACCATGACCATGACCATGACGCCCGTGTCGCAGATTGGTGACGGACAGATCCAGAATCCAGCCGAGACAACAACCACAACCACAACAGACTTATCCACCGTCTCGCCGCCACCGGGATCTTTATCGGCACCTTCTACTCCTTCGAGAGGTCCTGCTGCCACACGGAAACCTCCAACAGTCATCGAGCAAGCATGCGGCTTTGAAACGAGGCCAAGCATACCCTTTACATTTACTTTCCCATCAATCCCAAGCCCCAGCACGAGTGAGTCTCCAACAACATCACCGACAACGTCAATGAGTGATTCTTCAATGCCAACCCCAACTACATCCCCCAACACGAATCCAAACGTCAACTCATCTTCAGGATCAACCTCGACCTCTAACAAACTACCCTTTGTCTCCTGCCTCACAAACTCCACCCTCCGCCTCGCCCTGACCGACGGCACTCTTCTCGACTCGCGCAACCGAACCGGCTACATCGCATCGAACTACCAATTCCAATTCGACGGCCCACCACAGTCCGGCGCCCTCTACACCACGGGATGGAGTATCTGTCCTAGCGGTCCCGACTCTGAGGGGTCGACTCGGTCGTCGTCGTCGTCGCTTCCCACTCTCGCATTAGGCGGAAACACCACGTTCTGGCAATGTCTGAGCGGTGACTTTTACAATCTGTACACGGAGAACTGGGCGGCGCAGTGTAGTCCTGTGGAATTGAGGATTGTATCGTTGGTTGAGTGTTAAATCTAACTTACAACTGAGTGTAAATTTTGTTGATGCTTGTCGCTTGATTATTGATGATTGATGATTGCTGGACTGAGCGCCAGGCTACGGTGAATGGCTCATATAAGGCATTTACTTGACTGGGATTATAGTGGAAAAGAAAGCAGGGCAGAAAAGGAGAAAGGTGCTGAGAAGGACTTCAGGGGAGGTAAGTGGTATTGTGATGGGAGTTTGAAACTCGAATGTTGGGTTTATAAGGTAAGTAAATAGCATGAGCATTGCATAGTAGCCAGTAATAGAAGTATAGTCCTGTTTTCTTATCATGAGGATTGTCCCCTGGGATGACTTTTAGAATAGAATATTGCAATCCTCGGCCGACGCCTAACCAGGAGAACAGTGCAAGCTGGGGAGCTCGCTTGAGTCTTGACGGAGTTTGACCAGGATACCGTGAGGGCTGCAGGAAAGATTGTTTGGTTCGAGTTTGAAATAGCATAAAGAAGAAGAAGCAGAAGAAGCAGAAGAAGCAGAAGAAGCAGAAGAAGCAGAAGAAGAGAGGGACAGCGATGTGTCTAGGTTTGATACGTAGATCTACTAATAGAGAGTATGGTGTGCCACTCATTACTCAACTGCCAACCTGCTTGACTGCCATGTACCATACATGCATGCTGCGGCGAGAATACTATGGTATGACAGCCTCGTTCCGACGAACATCAAGGCCACTACGTATGAGGCTTCACAGTGCTCTGGAGAGCATTCGTTGGTTCCATCGCAGGTAGAGTGAGGTTGACCGGTAGCTCGCTGTCCTTTGTATTCTCGGTGAACTGTCCGACTGGAACACATCCGTAGTAGTGGCTGTACAGGTCGGATAGATATTCAAGTAGGTGTGCGTCTGTTCTGTGGTGCTGGCAGTGGCAAATCCTTTTCAAGTTCTACCAAAGCAAAGACTGACATTGTGCGGCTAATCATTCCCATGATCATAATGTTCGAATCCTCTTGACCCTCTCCTCCACAGAAACCCCCTTCCCACTGAAGAAAGGTTGACGAGGGACGCGAACAGACAGCGATGTCTGCAGATGGAAGAACTGCCGAAGGGATATTGCCGGCTCACTTGAGTTCCATCCGTGATTCGCGGTTCTCAATGGCGCTATTGCAATTGAGGACTGCTGAGCCGTGAAGGTGAAGGTGAAGGAGCTGCCATCAGTTTTCAAGACTCTTAGATTCGGGAACAGTTGTGCTTCAGTCCATGAAAGCCTTGCAAGGTACATGTAGAACAGGCCCTCTCGGATATCTTGACACCAGCACATTCCTTCATCCGTGTCGTCGGGTGTCATCGACGTTCCGGCTTCGGAGTTTCCAAGATCAGCATGCCCTTGGGTTGAAAGCCATCTACGGCCAGGTGCAAGCGAGGTCGATGGGAAGGTGGACTGACCGAAAGAGATCTCGGGGTGCCGAACGATTTATTGGTGCCGTCTGGGTTGGCAAGTAAACCCTGCGGTGAACGCCCTGATGGCTCAACTCACTCATCAACAGCGCTGGGGTCTTGGTTCTTCTTTGGACGACCTCTCTTCTTCGGTGTAGCAGTTCCTGTTCCCTGAGCCGGGGCTCCTGAAGCTCCAACGGTGGCTACCGAGGAAGTAGCCGCGGGTTCCTCTTTGATAGATACTCGGTTGACATTGTCGGCTTCCGTCATTGTGACATCCTCATCAGGCTCGCTCTCCGAAGCCTCCGGTGTACTCAGATCACTGTCTGAACTCATGTCGGGCAGTGTACCATGTCCGGCCTGCGTACCACCTGTGGCATCCTTCTGGCGCTGGCGCTTTTCTTCTTCCGCCTTCTTCCTCCTGGCCCGTTCTCTTTCTCGGCCGCGCAGTTTAGCCAAAAGTCCTTTCTTGCCGTCCTCTCTCGGCGCACTCATCCGATCAAGCCAGTCGCCGTTGCTGAGCAGGCTGCGTAATCGGACACTCGTCTGAGCCGTATTATCGGGCAGTTGCAGATGGGTTGTGAAGACGGTTTGCGAGTCCGACTCATCCTCATCAACCCAGTCGTGGTGGTCCCAATCCTCCATCTGAATGTCGCGCAACAATCTTGCATTCTCATTGAGACCACGGTCTTTGGCATCGTCCTTGTTGTCTTTGATCTTGATCTCGATGGCTTTGGACTCGACTTTGGGAGGGGGAGCCTCCAACCCTGGTTTCTGCTTGGCTGGCCCAGTCCCATTGGCCGCTTGAAGTCTTTTCTGGGCGAGCTCATCCTCTGCGTCAATGTGATGAAACTGAGGGCGCATCTGCACCACGGCATCCACGTGCGAGAGGTGGAGTTGCTTCTTTTTGAAAGAACCGACAAGATATATGGGATCGCGCGGACTTGGAGCGACGATCTTCCCACCCAATGTCTGAGTGGTCAGATATTGGACGGGGTTGTTGAGCTGGTCGTGCATGGGAATGTCCCTGAACTTCAACTGTGTTGACCCAGCTGAGAACCCCCCGGCCAGACCGTGTGAACCGCCAGCCTGCAGAGTCCGGCTCTCGGCCACGCCTTTCCCGAACTTTTCGCCAGCGTGCTCATTATAGTGTTCTTGCGTCAGGATGGGCACGTCAACCTCTAGGAACCCCGAGTTTGGCTTGAGCCGGAGAGAAGTGGGAGCCTGCGATCGTGCGGCATTGTATGGTTTCGAGTAGGGTCTATGTGATGGGTATTGCAGAACATATAGTCTCGAGGCCGCTTCTTTGGCAGTTGGGGATAATGGCTTGGTGAGGTAAACATCGTAGGAAGCAATGACAGGGTCATCTTGGTCGGCCATGGCTGAGGGCTGAGGGTCAATCTGGTCGGCTTTCGAGGTCAGCAAAATGTTTTTTGGAGCGTGGAAATTTCGCGCCAGTACGTTCTGACAGGGCGGTTCGAGCGGTAGAGTGCTCGCTGGATTTTGAGAAACCGAGAGAGAGCCAGGCAATAAGTACAGCCTCTTGGATCGGCTGGGGGATGTTGTTGTTAGATGGTTCTGCCGTGTAAATGCTCCCTGGTGAGAAAAGTGCTAACAATTATCTTGAGGCAAAGAGTTTCACTGCGGAGAAGCGATTTGAGCTCCGCATGACGCAGCCTTGAAGTTGGGTCAGTTTACGGCGTGTTCCACAGTAGAAGCATGTCCAGCATCCCAACGACCTCACTACTAGGGGCTGAGGAGGCTCCCTAAGCCATTGGAATGGGGATCAGCAGGATGTGAGTGAGCCTATAAGCCCCCTAGCCCCATAGCCAAAGGTCCCTAGGCGCAGTGTGCGTGAACCCCGAACACTGCAGCAGCCACAAGCCACCCGACTTCATCCCTCACCCGTCACCGTCACCGTCACTGTGACCATCATCGTTGTCGTTGTCTCAGCAGTGAAACAGGTACCAATAGTACAACATGCTGCGATCACTCCTCTCATCTTCCGGCTCGACGCCTTCCTCTCTACTACCCACAGAAGGCTGAGGCTACTACCACTCACCTGAACCCTTGTCGGTGCTTCTTAATGTCAGACCGCCAGACCCGTCCTACTTATTTCCAAGTCAACTGCATGCCAACCTTCCACAGCGTTCGAGCACCCGAGTTGTGCTGACTTCTAGAACAGCCTGAGCGTTACTTTCACGTGGTCGTTCTCGCCATGATGCTTCTGTGTGTGCAATGGTTTCAAGAGGCTAGCTTCGGTCAAGATGACGACCGTCAGCATAGTCGATTCACAGTCTGATGCACTTGTGCAGCCCTGATACCGGATGCGCGCTGGTCAGGAAACGGACCTAGAAGACCAGATGTGACAACTACCTACGAAATACCGGCTGTCCAGTAAGAACAGGACAGGTCGGTTGGAACTGGAAGCAATCACCATTTGTTCCTCCATAGGAGCACGGCCTGCGGTTCAGTGCTGCAATATCCCGACAACCGTCGTCCTTGATTCATGGCAAATGCCACAGTTGAGCGATTGTCAGTCTCAGCACCTTACATGCAGTGGACGCCTGTGTTTGCTACATCTTGTGTTGATGTCACCTCGACTCTCTACCTGAGGTTGCACACATCTGGCTGTTTGAGGTGTTCCCTTCAACATTCTCTCCGCCAGCGGTCTCCCCCACACGTGAAGCCTTTTCGATTGAAGAATAGTCATTGCTCAATGATTGTGGTAGGATGTTGTGCCTTGCTTGGTACAAGGATTGGATCGACCTCTCATGGCTTCAACCACGACGGCTCCATGCAACCCGAACCCAGCTATTGCAATCAGCTTGTGTCTCCCTGCAGTTGCCCTTTGCCTGCCCACACTCGTCGGCGGTCTGCCCAGAAGTTACAGGTAGTACGACACATGCAGCAACCAGGCAGTCTTGATGTTGCTCGGTCTTGCACTTTACAAATGCTCAAGCCGCCATGCGCTGGCTTCCTCGTCTCCTTTGAAACTCTACGTTGATATCCCATATTTGCCATTCACTGCCCAGCGTGTTCAATGTTTGCTGCTCGAAAGCGCACGTTGTGGTACTACTTGTGGCTCATCATCTTCATTCCTTCTGTGTCGTTGCTAACCTTGCAGCAAAGTTACTCTTTCCCTTTACATCCAGGTTGGCTTCACTATATTCAGTCAGCCAGCACACTACTTCGAAGAGCGGTTCGGCCGTTCGATTTGACTGGTGGTAGCTCTATTGAACCGCGTTCAGAGCATCTTCCCCGCTGCTTTTTGCTACGAAGCGTGGAAACATTCAATCATCACCAGAAAGCGTCATCGATGTCCGATGGGCTGCCAAAGAGGTGACATGTTGCTGCTGCAGCACCAACAACCAGAGCAAAATCTGCAAAACGACACAGGAGAGAGTTCGGTTGACGGAGGTGAGGAGCAACGCCCGCAATGTCTGCCGGAAGGAGAGGAGACGCCCATTCCGGACGGAATTTCATCTTCTGCGGAGTATGCGGTGGACTACACAAACGACCGATTGGCACCTGTCGACATGAACTACGCTCAAAACAACCTTAAAGTTCCAGATGTTGGCCATGCCGACACACTGGACACGGGTGGCAGTGCGGGAATGCAGCCCGAAACAACCACGCAAATTGCTCCAATGATTCTGCCGGACCTCGACATCACTGACGAAGCTTATGCCGAAAGCACCAGTACCAGCTATGTCACCTCGATCGCTTCGGAGATCTCAAGAGGGATCCTGGAGAACGAACGATTGTACCCACAGTATGGCCAGCACAGCTATGGGATGCCCATCGATGAAGCCGAAATGGACCGAATGGATCTGCAGCACCGCAAGTATGAGATGGTCCTCGGTGACAGGCATTTCCTGGCGCCTATCGGCGACCAACCCCAGCGTATTCTTGATCTTGCCACGGGGACGGGTATCTGGGCGCTCGACGTGGCCGATATGTACCCCTGCGCACAGGTCCTAGGAGTTGACATTGCACCGATCCAGCCCAAGTGGGTGGCCCCCAACTGCCAGTTTGAAATCGACGACATCGAGGACAGCTGGACCTACAGAAAAGAGAGTTTTGATTTGATTCACTTGCGGGATCCCCTTTATGTGGTCAGAGACTGGCCGAAACTGATGCGACAGGCGTACGAGCACACCAAACCTGGGGGTTGGTGTGAGCTAGCTTCGGTCTACCCGCTCGCCATGTGCGACGACGGATCGATGCCGGAAGATTCAATGTTCAAATTCATTTGTGATCGGTTCATCGAGGCCTCATACGGATTGGGAGCTCCTTTGGACTGCTGTCTTCGCTTTGCCGAGTATCTTCGCAATGCTGGCTATGTGGATGTGATGCAGCACATTTTCAAGGTGCCCTCTTCTCCCTGGCCCAAGGATCGACGCATGAAGAGGATCGGGGCACTGGAGTTGACCAATTTGGTTGCGGGAGCGTCAGCTTTTGGGCTGAGGGTCTTTTCTCATGCCTATGGCTGGACGCGTGAGGAGACGGAGCTGGCCATGGTTGGGTTTCGACAAGATGTCAAGAACCGCAACTACCATCAATATGTGCAATAGTGAGTATTGCCTTGCGAAAGGAGAAACGTATGTGCTAACCAGGACCAGTTATGTGGTGTACGGACGGAAGCCAGGACGGGAGGAGATGTAGAGCGGTCACTGCACAGCTGTGAAGAGGTAATGGGCAGTGAAGGGGATGGTATTCCCGAGTCCTTGCTCATGGATCTCAGTCTTTCTGTGTCCTTGTTGATCAGTGTCAGGGGCTATGAAGTCGAACTACGTACGTACCTACTATCATAAATCGTGAGACCACGTGACCGAACAGTAGCATGTCTTTTGATCCACCGTAGTCCTTGTGTTCCACCGTATACCCCTTCTAGCAGTGGTTAATTGTTTAGCAGAGCTCTCAGTTGACTAATTAATTAATTTCCTCTCCACTGCAGCCTCGAACACTGGCAGCCCCGATGTCGCCATCGCCCAACGACCAATGAACGAATCGCCAGTCCAAATGACGAGCTCGTATTTACCGACTACCGGGCGACTACCGTAAAAAATTGCACGCAAAAGTCACCGACGACGAGGCACGAGCGCCGCAGGAAGGGAACGATGCTAACAAATGACGGGCGGAGTAGCCATGCAGTAATATTTGGGGTATTAACTACCATTATTACCACTACACAATTCATCGCCTGGGACTTTTTCTACAGTCTTTCTCTCACACCCTCCGATTTCTTTATACGCTCTGCTCTCTCCTCTCTGGGGTTCTGTATAGCCTTCAGAAATCCTTCCACAGAGACATGGGAACGGTAGCGAGCCCCGCAGAGGCTGGTACGTGGAAACATCGAATCGATGCACTCCGCATCTTCTTCTTGGACCCTGTATACTGACTGTGCCTCTACAGTTGCGAGAATCGCCTACCTCGCCAGCGATGTCATTCTCTCCGTTCAGCCGTCGCTGAGCACCGATTCAGAGTTCTCACATCATTTATCTCGATTTTCTGCCAACAACGCAAAAAGTTTCGTGTCTCAGGCTCTTCCAGAAGTCATCCCAGTTCGCCAAAATGCGGACCCTCTCCTTTCAGCATATACGCCTCTCCAGGCCGGCAAACTTGTCTCCGTAACGACGCCATCTTCCATCCTCCTAAACTCGATTCCTCACCTCTATAAACTTGCCCAATATCCCGTGGTGCTGCACGTGGCGCTCGCGTCTCCCAACTCAGACTTCTCCGAAATCAGCGCCATCCGACAGTGCGGGTTTGCCTTTCTGCAGTCGGAAACCCTTCAAGAGGCGCAGGACATTGCCTTGACCGCCCATGCGTTGGCAGTCAAGAGTGGGAAAGGTGTCATCCATTTTTATGATCCGAGCAATTCTGTACAAGATGTCCCCATCCCGGTCGAGAGCCGGGAGCTGGTCCAGACTCTTATTGGAACGGGGGTGGGCTCACGACCATCGTACACAAGCACCGATGATCTGACGTTGTATGCCAACAATGGAAGGACTGCAACCGTGACTGAGCTCGGTTTACCGGAGGTCACCTCTCAACCAGCATCGTCCGGGGTGACCAGGGAGCTTTTGTCGCCTGTTGGGCCCGCGCCTTCCACGAACGGCACAACCGATGTTTCTTCAGTGCCATCATCGAGAAGGGACAGTTCTTCGGACGGCGCTGCTCCATCTTCCATAGCGACCACAGTCGAGACTCCAATTGCTCGTCCCGTGTCCGCGACCGACATTTTCACCTATGTTAGCGATATTTGGGCCAGCATTTCCAGGGCCACTGGTCGCAAGTATTCAGCCATTGAGTATTCTGGTCCGCCAGATGCCGAGGCTGCGATTTTCATCTTTGGCTCAACGGGGGTTTTCGTGGACGTCCTTGACTCCGATGACTGTCCCGCCGACTTGACCAGTGTTGGCCTGATCACAGCTCGATTATACCGCCCTTGGTTGGGCAGTGCGGTCCTGCTGGATTCTATTCCACGATCGATCAAGAAGATTGCGGTTTTGGAGCAAATCAGGCGGAAGACCACCAGATGGGGACCTTCCTTCCTTGATTTGCTGTCCAGTTTGAGTCCCGGTGCTGGTGGCCAACCTGCAATTTCCTTGGTGCAATACAGATTGGGACAGATTGACCAAGCCACAGCTCTACAAGCATTGCGAGGGATATTCCAGAATCTCGCTCCGCCGTCGACCCCCAGGAAACACTCCCGGCGCCGTGGCCATTCGCAGGTCACTGTTCTTTCCATCCAAAATCTGAGCATTGGCAAGGAGCTGGAACCGGCAGTTGACCCTTTCACGCCTGAGCAGCCCGAGCTAGAGAATGCCTATCTCAAGATTCTGGATCAATTATTCAGCAACAGACTGTACATTGCGAACCAGCTGAAGGAGAAGAATGCCGGTGTATCAGCAACGGTTGCGGCTTCGCCTGAGTATGGGTTTGGATCACTTCTTGCACGAATTGAGAGACGTCAACAATTCGTGAAGGAAGCAGAGACGGCTGCACGTAGCAACGAATTCATCACAGAGTCACCCAAACAGTGGCTGTCAAGATGGGCGTTGAACGCTGATGACACCATCAAGGCGAACGACTACGCACCGGAAGTGATTGCTCGCTTGTCCACGGATGGTTCAAGGATATCCACTCGGCTGCTCGACAACAAGGCTTTCTTCTTCAAAGAGTCTCACTGGCTCATTGGGTCCGATGCATGGGCGTACGACCTGGGCAATTCCGGAGTCCATCATGTCCTGGCTTCGGGCGCAAACGTCAACATGCTGATCATCGACTCCGAGCCGTATTCGGAACGAACAGCTGCCGACTCTATGCGACGCAAGAAGGACATCGGTCTCTATGCCATGAACTTTGGGAATGCTTATGTTGCCTCTGTTGCGGTGTACAGTTCCTACACCCAAGTGCTACAGGCCATGATTGAAGCCGAGAAATTCAATGGTCCGTCAGTCATACTGGCCTACCTACCCTACCACAAGGAAACCGATTCTCCATTGACTGTCTTGCAAGAAACCAAGAAGGCTGTGGACATGGGTTATTGGCCCCTTTACCGCTGGGATCCCTCAAACGATGACAAGGACGAGCCTACCTTCTCGCTGGATTCCGAACGAATCAAGCGCGAATTGGAAGAGTTCCTCCGACGAGACAATCAATTGACCCAATTGATGAATCGTCATCCCCGATTTGCCGCCAGCTTGTCCGAGTCTTATGGCTCAGAAGTGCGCAAACTGCAGAAGCGCAAGGCCAAGGATGCATATGAGCAGATGTTGGAGGGCTTGTACGGAGCTCCGTTGACCATCTTGTTTGCTTCAGACAACGGCAATGGCGAGAGCTTGGCCAAGAGATTGGGCAACCGAGGCAAGGCCCGAGGACTCAAGACTATGGTCATGGCGATGGACGACTATCCTTTGGAAGACCTTCCCAATGAAGAGAATATCGTACTGATTACGAGCACGGCTGGTCAAGGAGAGTTCCCACAGAATGGTCGTACCTTCTGGGAGGGGATCAAGGACGCGGCTGACCTTGATCTTTCCAACATTCATTACTCGGTCTTTGGATTGGGTGACAGCCACTACTGGCCTCGCAAGGAGGACAAGATCTTTTACAACAAGCCGGCAAAGGATCTCGATGCGCGTTTGCAGTTCCTGGGAGGCAAGCAGTTGACTGCAGTTGGCTTGGGTGACGATCAAGATCCTGATTCCTACCAGACCGGCTATCAAGAATGGGAACCGCGGCTGTGGCAGGTCTTGAACGTGGACAAAGTCGAAGGTGTCCCGGAAGAACCTCCGCCATTGACGAATGAGGACATGAAGATCGCCTCGAACTATCTCCGGGGCACCATTGCCGAGGGATTGGCCGACACGTCGACTGGTGCCATCTCCGCGTCCGACCAACAACTCACCAAATTCCATGGTACTTACATGCAAGACGACCGTGATCTGCGAGACGAGCGTAAAGCCCAAGGACTTGAACCGGCGTATTCGTTCATGATTCGATGTCGACTGGCGGGAGGTGTTGCTACGCCTTCCCAATGGTTGCAGATGGATGAGATTGCCTCGGCTCATGGTAACGAGACAATGAAGTTGACCACGAGACAGACGTTCCAGTTCCATGGTGTCATCAAATCTAAACTCCGACCTGCCATGCGAGCCATCAACAAGGCTCTTATGACAACTCTTGCAGCTTGTGGCGACGTCAACCGAAATGTCATGTGCTCCAGCTTGCCGACCATGTCTGGGTACCACAAAGAAGTCCATGCCATCTCACAGAGAATCTCCGACCATCTGCTCCCAGCTACCACAGCTTACCACGAGATTTGGTTAAAGGATGATACGACCGGTGAGAAGACTCAAGTGGCCGGTGATGCTGTGCAGGACTATGAACCACTCTATGGGCCAACCTATCTCCCGCGCAAGTTCAAGATCACGATTGCCATTCCACCACACAACGACACCGATGTCTACGCCCATGACGTCGGTTTGATCGCCATTCGATCCAAGGACAACGCCCATCTTGAGGGCTTCAACGTTCTTGCCGGAGGTGGTATGGGTGTGACACACAACAACAAGAAGACTTATCCTCGAACGGGTTATATGTTGGGGTATGTACCTGCGGACCAGGTCCATCTTGTGTGTGAGAAGATCATGCTCGTTCAACGTGACAACGGCGACAGGAAGAACCGTAAGCATGCTCGACTAAAGTATACCATGGACGACATGGGCAACGAAGTCTTCAAGTCAAAGGTGGAGGAGCTTCTTGCTCCCCTCAATATCAAATTCGACACACCTCGGCCCTTCAAATTCCAATCCAACGTCGACACCTTCGGTTGGCAGAAAGATGAGAAGGGGTTGAACCACTTCACATTCTTTATTGAGAATGGTCGTATCGAAGACACGGCCGACTTCCCCATGCGTACGGGACTTCGGGAGGTTGCCAAGGTTCACAAAGGCGAATTCCGTCTGACCGGTAACCAGCATCTCATTCTGTCCAATGTCACGGACAAAGACAAGCCGGCGCTTGTTGAGCTGATGAAGAAGTACAAGCTGGACAACACGCATTTCTCTGCTCTTCGATTGTCTAGTTCCGCCTGTGTTGCTTTCCCCACCTGCGGCCTCGCCATGGCCGAGTCAGAACGATATCTGCCCGTACTCATCACCAAGCTTGAAAACTGCTTGGAGCAGAACGGCCTTGCACAGGACAGCATCGTCATGCGCATGACAGGTTGTCCCAATGGTTGTGCCCGACCCTGGCTGGCTGAGGTGGCCTTCGTCGGCAAGGCTTACGGTGCGTACAACATGTACCTGGGTGGAGGGTACCACGGACAGCGCTTGAACAAGCTGTACCGCAGCAGTATCAAGGAAGAGGAGATCTTGGAGATCATGACCGGCTTGTTGGCCAGATATGCCAAGGAGAGGAACTCGGGCGAACACTTTGGCGATTGGACCATCCGAGCTGGTGTCATCAATGAAACGACCGAAGGCAAGTATTTCCATGAAGGCACCGCCGAGGATGAGAGTGATGGTGAATAAGTGAAAAACCGACTTTAAAAACCACCTTTCGTCAGCCAAATGGACTATCAAAAGGGTTGTTTAATTGATTCTGCTGGGAGTTCGCCTTGGATGTATGTTGGCATCTCGGGATATCACAATATAATTGCGCTCTCCTCTAGTATGTGAAGCAAGGCTGCGTGGTATAGCATAGCATAGCATGGCATAGCATGGCATTGTCTGGTTCAGACGTGGATATTGAAGATGAATGTCAATATTTCTACTCTCCTATTTTATGTCAGTTGTTCTGTATCTGTATCTGTCTTGGGAATTAACCCGGCCATATTACCCCTTTCTTCCCTTGCAGTCTAGTTCTGCGTCCTGTCCTGGTCATTTCTTTTCGACTCGTGTCGAAGTCTCGTTCTTGTTCTCGTTCCCGTTGTTCTCAGCCTTTCGTCCATCCCTAGTTTCTCGGCCCATCGACTCCACACCACTCGTATCCCTGATCGATAACCCGCCATGGCGAAAGAGATCGTAACCGAGGAGTGTTGAATGTCGAAGAGTGAGGTGCGAACTGGCAATCCCTCAAAACGAGATACATGATATGATGGTTTCTCGTGTCCTGGATCCCGCAGGTGACTGAGAAGAGTGATAATAAGGAGATGTTGATGTCCATGCTTGGAATTTCAAATCATCGATCTCCGCCGATTCATTTCCTTTCGTTGTTCTATTTCTTCTCAAACGCCATGACTGCATATCGGAACGTCCCGTTCGCATATCCTCTCCGCATGGCGCGGAAGGCTTGTAAGAAGGCGAGACCGTCGCGGCCTTGAGAGATGGCGAATGCCCATAGTGAAGGGGAGGAGATTAGGGTCCAGGAAATATCCCTAGGACATGGGAATAGTTGGATTAGTTTTTTTCTTTTGGGTATGGTATTGAGGTTTGTGGTAGGAGTGGTAGGAGTGGTAGTGAGAATTCTTGTGTTGACGCTGATCCGAACATGTCAAGGATGGACAGGAGGAGACTCAGATCCTTAGAGAAAAGAAGGCCTCGGATAGGCTAGAGACACCTCAGATAGATTGCAAGTGGTTTGCGACTCACCAAGTCTTAGCAACCTCTTGACTGATATCTTTCGGAGGATGTATCGCCTTCAACCCAGCCGCCTCAGCCATCGCCACGTATTCAGCCTGCGTGCACAGCGGGGGTAACAGCATCCCATCCTCGATCGGCTTGATGTCAGTCTCGACTTGTTGGTCTGTTAGCTGTTCGGCGCGAAACCAGTCGGCTATGACGAGTTTGCTGGATGGTTTATTGGAGCTGGTGTCAGCCTTGTCGTCTCCTCCTCGCAACACTCGAGCCGCGTTACGGAAGAACAGCAGTTTATCAGGGAAATGGCTCAACGCCTCGGAAATCCAGACACAGTCGAAGCTGGACGGCGGGAATGCAGATTCCATCTTTTCGGCGTCGAGTTCGATGTATTTGACTTTACCGCCGCGATGGCCGATCGGGGTGAAGCCATCGGTGTCAGTGTCAGTGCTGGTAGTAGTGTGTTCGTCTTGAGTTGCATTGCTGGCGGTGGAGGTACCCAGTCTGGCCACTTCTTCTCTAGTCAGCCGCTGGGCGATCTGCACTTGTCGTCCGCTGATCGTGATTCCGGTGACGGTGCATCCGTGTTCAACGGCCAAATGGCGCGTTGTGCCGCCAATGCCGCAGCCGACGTCGAGCACTGTGGAGCCGGGTGCGAGGCTGGAGATGTCGAGGAGCAGGTTGATCAGATTGGTCTGGCCTGTTTCCTTGGTGTCTGTGGGCGAGAGGAAGTAGGCGTGATGGATGTGTTGGCCCCTATAGGAGAAAGGGAGAGAAAGAGTGAGATATGAGATAGATAAGATTGACAAGATGGTGTGAGGTGTCTAGACCAGATATATTGGAGGGTAAGGTAGGTATGGTGTATGATCAAGAGATATCCTGGTAGATAGGTTCATGGGTGGTTATGGTAGGTATAGATAACGATAGGCAGGTGGGCAATAGTAGATACTGGGTGGTTGGAAGTGTGAGATAAGGCATATATGGAAGTTCTTTACCAGAGTGAATAGTAATAGTCCGAGGCGAGCTCGTAGTGATGTCGTATGCGTTCCTTCAAGGTCGTGACAGATGAATGCGGTTCGTAGGTCGGAACCTCGTACTTGTCCCCAATGTGAGTGTCAGACTCGGATACAGAAATGTCCGATCCCACTACTGGAAGGCTTGATGTTGAGGCCGAGGCCTGTGCCGGTGCCGGTTCAGCTGATGGGGTTGGATCAGGCTCACCCATCTTGTAGGAGCAGTAGGAGCAGTAGGCGCAGTAGGAGGGAGGTGGTAGACAAGATCAAGTCTGGGGTCGGCCAGGGACAAAGGGTTGTTGATAGACTCACTCGGCAACAAACCACGGACAACTAGAGTTTCAGAGTATCTTGCTTGTACCTTGCTTGTACCTGAGACCCTGAGGTCATTACTGGAGAGAAGTTACAAGGTTACAAGATGTTGGGACAGAGTAGTTCAGTAGTTTCGTGCTTAGCCCCCTAAACCCCAGCCTAACACGTGACCACGCGTCATGACAGCCAAGTCACATGACTAAAACTCAGCCTTGGCATGTCTCGTTTCTGATTGGACCATTTCATGTTGAATCAACCTTCGATGAATGCCTGTCTCATCTCATCTCATCTCATCTCATCTCCTCTCAATCGTTCTTCATACTTCAACTCACCGGTCGGTCGGTCAATCGTACAATCCCCAGCTGCAGCCTGGACAGAAAGAAGACTTGTGGTCGGTTGAGTGGAGGTGGAGCTGCACTCAACCAAACATCATCGTCCCCAGCCACGATCGTCATACATGATGATTAATTGACATGTGCTCTCTTTCCTCTCTCTATCTCTCTATCTCTCTATCTCCCCACCTGTGCAACCGTCGGAAGTTCTAGTATCCAGCCTGAGATACTCTGGTATACGACCATGACATGACCTACGATTTACGATATTGAAGAGCGAGACACAGACTCACTCACTCACTCACGTGCTTTTGCCTGTTGCCTTATCTGCATTTGATCCGGATCCAGCAATTCAAGCGGTGTATAGTGTGGTCAGACATACTAGTACGTACACTGTACTGCAGTGGGCTGATCCCCGGATCGTCTTTACCTCCAGACCAGACCCACGTCTTGACGATTTTTACTTCTTTTTCCAAAAGAACATTTATCAAATCCACCTACCTACCCACCGAGGATCCATCTCGTATAACCCCACGATAATGCCCTCTGCCACACTCAAGCAACGACAAACCACCGACACCCTCTCCGATGGTGTTCCCTCATATGCCCCCAGCACAAATCCCCCCACCCAAACCCAACAATCACAACTGACCGCCCTACAACAACACGTGCTCTTCTGGGACCGAGACAACGACGGCATCATCTACCCGTGGGACGTGTACAACGGCTTCCGCGATCTGGGCTTCAACGTCGTCTTCTCCCTCGGCTCGTTACTGATCCCGCTGTTCTTCTCCTACCCGACCACCCTCGGGCACAGCTGGCTGCCGGATCCGTGGTTCCGCATTTTCCTCGGCAGTCTGCAGAAGGCCAAGCATGGCTCCGACACGAGCGTGTTTGACGTCGACGGCCATTTCCACGCCGACAGGTTCGACGCCATGTTTGACCGCTGGGACTCTTCTAGGACGGGAGCACTGAGTGCGGACGACATGTGGGCTATGTGGAAGAAGAACCGCTGTGCCGCGGATCCGGCTGGCTGGAGTTTCGCGTTTATGGAACTGTGGACCACCTGGTTACTGCTCCAGGAGGACGGGCGGGTGGGGAAGGACGATCTGCGAGCTTGTTACGATGGTACGCTCTTTTGGAATATTAGTGAGAGGAACGGGAATGCAAAGGGACAGGAGGCCTGGCACAAGGGCTACGGTGTGGGGGATTTCTTCGATGGAGTGTGGAAAGGAAGGACCTGGAGGAACTGGGAGCTGAAACAAAATTAGTTCATGTTTACGCCGCATCTGGCTCTTGTTTCTTGTTTCTTGTTTCTTGTTTCTTCTTTTTGCTTTCTCACATCTGGATCATTAGAGACTGTTCGATGAATGCTCAGCTTGGCGGGGGACCACTCGGGCTGGTCATCCTGAGAGGTTACTCCTGACGAATTCCCGGTGCGGTCATCGCTCGAGACCCCAACTCACAGTAAGGAGAGACAGTAGTAGAACGTCTTGAAACACCGCACAGATTCTGCTCCTTCGTTCAAAATGCTCGATGTAAATCCGCCTCTTTACCTGGTGGCGTCGGCTCCGCATGCCGGGCAAACAATCTCCTCAGTCCCCGATACAGAACAAGATCCGCGATCCGAGCCGGCCTTGCCGCCAAATTGGCTATACTGACGCGCCGGACGCGGAAGAGATAGTAGAGCATGATACATGCGAAGATCTGATGCGACCAAACCACAAAATCGAATCAGTCAAAGGTTCCCGAAACACGAAACAGCATTTCCAGGGAAGGACTCGAGACAGGCCATCAGAGATGGCAGACGAGACTTACGTTGAATGCAATATAAGCAAATCCAATTCCGAAATTCCTCCACCGCTCGCTGTAGTAGATGTTGCTCCCGGCAAGAAACTGGTCGGCGGACGTCAACGGACAGTATTCGCATCCGGCCGTTGCAGAGGGATTGTACAATCGGCCTGGCGCTCCTCCGTCGAGATAGGCAGCTAGGTATTCTCGACAGGTCTGGCCTGATGGAGGATCGAAGACGGCGAGTTCGTTGCGTGCGCATTCGACGAGACGACCGTTGAGGCCAGTTGCGGCCCAGCCGGAGATCATGTATGTCATGGGAGAGACCCGATCTAGACATCGACAAAGGAATGGTTCGTTAGCGGGGATGTTATCTTTTCTTCCTGGACAAGCAGTGGGAAGAAAAGGAAAAGGAAAAGGAGAAGGAGAAGGAGACAATGCAAAGAGGCGAAAGGGGGTAGGTGGAGGAGATCGGCGTACGGGGTACGGGTATACATACACATGAAAATCCAAAAGCCAGGCAAAGCCGTCGGTGTTTGAAGCACACCGCAGAAAGTGAGCATCATGCTGAACAAGAGGGTTGCGATGTTGCCGGCCGTTTCGGCATCAGGCATCGCGGCAATGACCATGTGGGCGAAGGTGCTGGTGAACACCATGAACTGCACGACAAATAGCAGCATCAACCCTCGTGTCTGATCGCTTTGGTTTTTGCCGAAGATGGCGAAGTACCATGACACCCACATCAGAATGGCCAGCACGATCTGATAGGGAATCTCGACGAAGATGTTGGCCACGAGGAAGGCGATCCAGGAATATGCTTTCGATGGCCGTTCTCGGACTTCGTAGAGCGACCGTTGGATCACGAAGCGAGGCATGATCTGTTGGACCAGAGTGGAGAAGATACTAGACGAAGAATAACATGTCATGTCAGCGTTTGCTCCCTCGCAGGCTGAGGCTGGAGAGGTCAGGTCGACTTACCTGACAAGCATGAAAACGCCAAAGATTGTGTTCTGCAAACCCGACGATGTCCTCTTTTGCTTGTAGAATGAAAAGCCAATGAAGAGGGCCGCCATAATACCTAGGAGAAATCTGTTTCTGGTCAATCACTGATACAACAACGCGTAGATACCGGTAGCCATATACTCACTTTCCACTTATGTAGGATGGCGTTCGCCAGTACTGTTGGAACACTCTGATGGTAACATGGTAGATTTGAGAAGTCAGCGGCACGGCGAATTCCGAAGTCGACTCCCGGGCTGCTGGTGGATCGGTTCGTTTCGCCTCATGAATCCGATCGAGCTCGGCTTGGACCTCACGAGCTTCGGGGGTGGTCTTCCATACCTCGCTCCAGTCGCGATCAGCAGACTTGCCGCAAAGGTCGAGCATATACTCGGCCGGGTTGGCGGCGTCGTCACAACGGTGGGCTCCATTCCGCTCGAAGTAGTCAAGCATTGTCCTTGAATTCGGGCCGATCTCGCCGAAATAGATCGTTCTACCACCCTTCATCAAGAACAACAGCCGGTCGAATTCTTGAAACAGGATAGCAGAAGGTTGATGGATGGTGCATAGCACCGCTTGTCCAGCATTGGCCAGTTTCCGGAGGAATGTCACGATAGACCATGAGCTCTGCGAATCCAACCCTGAGGTAGGTTCATCCAAGAAGATGAGGAGTGCGGGTTTTGCTGCCAGCTCAACACCAATAGTGAGGAGTTTGCGCTGTTCAACGTTAAGTCCTTCTCCGGGGTTGCCCACAATTGCTTCACTAAAGTCCTCCATGTTGAGCATTTTGATGACCTCCTCCACAAATGCCTCTTTCTCTTGTTTAGAAACAGTGTTCGGCTGTCGAAGGTATGCGGAGAATCGAAGAGCCTCTCGGACGGTGGTGGTTTCCAGGTGAAGATCTTGTTGTTGGACGTAGCCGGTCTTGCGTTGGAACGAAGGATCCAACGGCTTACCGTTCACAAACTGGACAGGTCAGAAGAGCATTCGCCAAGGAGATCCCCCTTACCATGTCACCAGTCAGGACACCGATGTTAGTCCTCTGTGCGAGAGCATCGAGAAGTGTTGTTTTTCCTGCTCCCGAAGTTCCCATAAGGGCCGTCAACGTCCCGGGCTTCACCCAGCCTGATATGCCATCGAGCAGTCTTCGAGGCTCCCCTTGAATTTTGATATCTAGTGTAACATTCCGCCATGTGAAGACATCCTTCTGCGCCGGTAGAGCGTTGATCTCATCTTCTTGTTTGGCTTCGGAGGCGGCATTGGATGCTGTTCCCTTCTCGTGGACAACTGCTGTCTCTTCGTCTTTGCGATCACCGTGCAGCAAGTATACCGGAACACGGCCACGTCGAAAGACCAGAAACTCTGCCGTTGATGTCGAATCTGAATTCAATTCCGTGGCGATGAAATAGACAGCGAAGAAGAAAACCAGAAAGGCGAAGAGGAAGCCGAGGTTCCGCCAAATATGGCTATAGGAGTATCCGTAGGATGCTTGAACCCATGCATCGCCCGAGACATTGTTCTCCCCAGGAATAGCCCCGGCAACAGCGCATTCGAAGTTGCGGCCTTGGCCATATGGTGGGACAAGGCTGGCTGCCGCACAAGGAAACTCGCGGCCATGGACTTCGTTCACCAGGAGACCTTCGAATGCATACGAAACCGGATTTATCCATCGAGACCACTTGAACCAAGGATGCATATAGGAGTATTGTATGGTGAACCCGGTATAGATGACGATCCAAAGAACCATAATGCCAGCAATGGCCATGGCCGCCGAAATGGTTTTGGTGACGGCAGCGGTGGATCGGAAGATGGCAGACATGGTCAACATGGACACGAAGTTGAATAGGAAGAAAATGAAGAATTGTGAGGGTTCGGTCCTGAGTCCTGCAAGGAAATATAAGATGACGTTGAAAATTGTTGTCACACAAAATTTGATAGGCAAATCGGCCACAATACCGGCGACAGCCTCGGTGAACGGATGGTAAAAGGCGTAAGACTTGTGTTTGGCCACTATTGGGCGTTGGGCATACAATGTGTTGATTTCAACGATCGACTTCAGTGCACTCAGTAGAACAGCAAAGAAGAGGACGGAGCCCTTCGCAAAGAAACTGCCAGTCGACAGAGGTGTGCCATAGAAGACCGAACCGACGATCAGGGCCTGCGCAATCTGGCTGAACACGACGGCACTGTAGACGTGGACGTTAGGCTTGTCATGAAATGAATGGGGCATGGAGCTCACATAGTTGATGCTTTGTCATTCCAAAGCCTTTGATATGCCCTGGTGGTACATAAGCGAATCTGCATGGGGATGTTGATGACATAAGGAGATTTGGGACGAGTATGTTCGGCCTTCCTCCTTTGGTGAGACTCTCTGAAAGTTGCGAGTGCTTCCTTGCCATCGGCGTCCTCGTTTTCTGCACGGCTGATTTCTTCTCGGGCGCTCTTGAAATGCGGGCTTTGGAGCCAATACTTTTCAAAGTCTTCCGCGGTTCGGGGCACTCGGTTTTCGAAGCCTTGCCGCGGCCGCCTTTCACTGGCGTTTGTGACGGACCTGAATTCAAGGTGTCAGAAGATCGCGGTTGTAGTAGCTTTCCGCGGCGGAGAAACATACGTTAGGAAGTCGCCGGTGGTCTGCCTGGGAGGACAGTACCACCCCATCTCCTCAAAGTACGCTTTAGCATTGTTGGTAGGGCCGAAGTAAATTTGTCGTCCTTCGTAAAGGACAATTGCTTTATCGCAGAGATCATAGATGGCTTGTGAGGCTTGGTAGATGGCGATGAGCGAAGTTAGGCCACCTATGTCAGCGGCAGTCCTCAGAGACCGGATGAACTCCAGAGCAGTTTGCGAATCCAGGCCACGAGTGGAGTTATCCCATGCCGCGATGGGCGGGCCTGACGACACTTAAGTAAGGCTCCTTGATAAGACCTGGAGCAAACACACCTGCAAGAGCCATTTCGGCGAGACTGACTCGTTTTCGTTCGCCACCGCTAACCCCGCGAACAAAGTCATCTCCAACTTTGGTATTCCGAGTATGTGCTGTGTCTCGAAGTCAGCTTGAGGCCTTGCGTGTTGACGCGCCATCAAAACCTACATAAGCCGAAGATGTTCATCATGACAGACGCCATATGCTCTGCCCAAACCTTTCGAGGCACATCGAGAACTCGATTGGACGGTGCGCGACAGGCCGCAGCAAAGTTAAGGGTCTCTCCAACCGTCAGGTGAGGAAAGTGTTTTTCATTTTCTTGGTTGTAGATGGCCTCGCCTTTGAATTCTTTAGAGAACACATCTTGCTTGATACCGCTGTAGGTTATACTGGAGTCCTTTGACAGCTGCAACCCTTGAAGCTCTGCACAGACACTCTTGAGAAAGGTAGAGCAACCACTTCCGGGCCTTCCAAGGACGATCAACAGTTCGCCACTATTGACATGCCCATTGAAGTTGCGCAAGATATGTTTCTCGGGAGGATTGCTGAAGATCTCGCGAAGCCGGAATGGTTGCATGAAGATGGAACCAACCGTCTTTTGCAGGACTAGAGCAGATCCTTTGCCTGAGACACTGAGATTTTCGAAGGTAAATCCGCTCCTTCGGCGCTTGAAGTTGTGTTGTTCGAGAAGCTGCACGTACTTTCGTAGCCAGAGAAAGAAGTTGAAGGATGGATGATGGGGATTAAATTCTGGAGACTTAATGTCCATACCCGCAACAGTATCCTCTCTTTGAAGGCCAGTATCGGTGCTTGTGTGGCTTGGTTGCCCACCAGACAGGAGAGTAGCAATTCTGGCCAGCTCGCTGCGTGTATCGCCATCATGATGGTCGACTTGGTAGGACACCGAATCCCTTGTCTTTCTGGTGCGGAGTGGTTCGAATCGTGGCCCTTCGGAACTGCTGGTGGAGATTTCACGCTCCAAGTGCTCATCAACTGGCAGGGAGCCAGCGGACTCATCACGCTGCGAGGCCATGATGTCGAGAAGCAATGACAGGCCGATTCCTATATCAATGGCATGGAAGCAACCAAGTCGTGGTCAGGATGAGAGATGTGATTGAGAGCAGGTAACAACCAGAATTTGGACGAAAGTAGAATTTCCAGCGATACTAGTATCGGTCTGGACATGAAGAAGCGGACCCCGACTTACCGAGATCTCACTGCAGTGTCAGGAACTATTAATCACTGACAGCTGGCGACAAACAACACCTTGGCGAGATCCAAGCACGGTCAAGTTAACCTCCTACCTTTTGGGACTGATCTTCCCGGTTCCGGTCCAGGGATGATTTGAAGTGGCCCGTGTAGTTCGTTCAGCTCGTGTTGCTCGCATTTCGTGGATAGGCAAATAAGTAGTCCGTGTTGGTCCAAAGTTACCCCGAGCTCAAATACGCACGGGGCTCAGCCCCAGGCCTTGGCACGTAGTACGTATGCATCCAAGTCGACTTTGACCGTGCTTCCGAGGGCTAGAAAGCAGGAGATTGGGTCTCGGGCGCCAGATGGTCCTTGCGAGCCGAGCAACATCCTTGTAGTTTGCATGGTTGACTGTAGAAGAACTTTGATAACCACTCACATCGACCCATCATAATGAGTGACCAGGTCGTTGCTCGTCAGTACGGCGGCATCCTCCGCAGACGTGAGACATCAGAGAGGCCAATGATTGTAAGCCTGACAGGGTTGTTGGCCCCTCGCGCTCGTTACCTACCTAGGTAGTTGAGCGCGTCAAAAGTTGTAGCTGATAGATTCTCGACTCGTTGACTGGCGCGAGGTGTCTCGGCGAGTGGGATACGAGATGTAGGCGGAGCTAGGGGAGAGACTTCCGGGCGTGGTGTGATGAGCGCTGGCTCAGTATTCAGAATGAGAAAGGAACAGGGGGAAGCTGGTGTTCCTCTCGCTGCTGAATCGGCCGGCCACAGTTCATAAAAGAGCAAAAGTAGGATGGTACCTGCTGTGTAACTTGTATAACTTGTATAAAACTCGGTACAACATGCGGAGTTCGTGCTGACTAAGAGTCCGGGCGTCAATATAAGGATTGCGCTATTGCTATCTAGGCCTAGTGCAATCCGGCTAACCTTCCACTCTGGACGTGACTGAAATGACCTCACTTCCTGCGCGCGCTGCGAAAGTCAGGTACATGACAATTGTGTAGCGTCGACTGTTTACTGTGCCTCATCTGTCGAGATGAAATGTCTTTGCCAGGCCTTGGACTCGATGAACCTGAAGAGGTTCATGTGGCAGAGACAACACAGCATGAGCTAGCGAAAGAGCATGAGTGGCGCTTCGAGGTCGCCGTAGGGAAGTACATTCAGGTCAAGGTAATTTCTCCATGAGAACTACTTTTCACGTTTCCGTCTAACGAGTGTGTTCTACTTAGTTATTAAGAGGCACCGCCGAGTTGTTCGGAACGGAACTTGTACCCGGAAACACGTACACCTTCACCGGCACCAAAGCCGCGATCTACACCTGGCATGGCTGTTCGTTGGAAATCAGTGGGGATCCTCTCCAAAGCGAATACACGGCTGAAGAGACGCCCATGCACGAATACGTCAATGTACATTTCGCGCTGGAGACCCTTCGCGACCAAGCCAAGGCGGCCGGCCGTGAAGGACCCCGAGTGCTGATACTGGGTCCCGACAACGCCGGCAAGAGTTCGCTGGCAAAGATCCTTACAGGCTATTCAAACCGATCCGCTCGGTCACCGGTCGTGGTGAATCTGGATGTCAAAGAAGGAGTGATGAGTATACCGGGAACTCTGACGGCAACCGTGTTCAAGACCATGATGGACATCGAAGAGGGATGGGGAACAGCGCCCATGAGTGGTCCGAACGGGGCCATACCTGTGAAACTGCCGCTGGTGTATTTCTTTGGCAGTTCCCGACCCGAGGAAAAGGAGGGAAAGGTATACAAGGCTCAGCTCCGCCGACTGGCGCTTGCAGTTGCGGGCCGCCTAGCGCAAGATCCCGAAGCCCGAGAAAGTGGGCTGGTCATCGACACGCCCGGTAGTCTTACATCCAACAAAGCAGGCACTGTGGGCTACGAAATCATCCACGACATTGTGTCCGAACTTGCCGTGTCGGCCATCCTCTGTCTGGGATCGGAAAGGCTTTATAGTGACATGGTCAAACAATTCGACGGGCAGCCTACAGCGACGCGGTCCACGACTGCCAGCCAAAACGAGACGATCTCTGTGATCAAACTCGCCAAATCCGGGGGTTGTGTCGAGCGCGATGAGGCATACATGCAAGCTTTCCGTGCGGCGCAGATCAGGACATACTTCTACGGCAACCCACGGCTCAGCAACGGCATCTCACTACAACCACGCCAGCAACAAGTCGACTTTGCCAGCCTGACGGTCTGGCGGAGGATCTCCAGTACCCCTGATCCGACGTCATCTGCCTCTGCCGGAGGCAAATTCAACGACGAGGACGAGGAGACTTTCCTGCCTGGAGGGATGGTAGACGATACATCAGACACGTATCCTGGAGGCGCCTCGTCCAAAGTACCTCTGCCTGCATCACAAATCTACGAACGGGTATCTGCGCCCTTTGCCACTATGCGCAACGCCATCCTCGCGGTGATGAACTGCGAGCCCGAAGCCGAGCAAGAAGTCATCCGCGACAGCAGTGTCATGGGATTTCTGTACGTGACCGACACAGACGAGGCACGGGGGCGGATCAGTCTGCTGAGCCCTGTTGCTGGCCGTGTCCCAAGTCGCGCCATCGTTTGGGCGGGTTGGCCAGAACCAGTCTTGGGGATGGACAGATCTTAGCAGCAATCCGAGAACACTCCACAACGAGCCTGCCTACAAATGGACAGATAAAATATGGAATAGCTCTGATTCTGGACATCAATCAAGACAGAGAGAAGCAAATAATATTGAGCGCGTCTCAGCAGAATTCTTCGCTTGCATCGGTCGCGTTTCGCCCATTTCTTAGACCGATCTGGATAATCCAACAAAAATGCGTATCGTATCGTAATCTCGTAATGCGTTGCCTTGCCGGTCTATTCAACCAGCCCCTTCAGAAGGCGTAGTAAACTGCGAACACCCATGAGAGCATTTTCGTCCGGCCCCTGACCGGGCGTCCAGGAGGCATGGGCGAAGTCAATGAGTCGAACTTCAAGGACCTTCTGCGGTATCTCCTCGTCTTCGTCATCCTCCTCATCGTCCTCATCCTCATCAGCAGTTTCAACCTCTCCATTCTTTTGTCTCTCCCTTTCCCGTTTATCCTCTTCCTCTTCATTCTGGAGTCCAACCTCCATAGCCTCCTCATCGCCTTCGTACACCATAAGCACGCTCGCGCTGTACATTCTGCTCTCCTCGTTCTCCAGAGCGTACTGAATACTTTCAAGCTCACGAATGAGTCTTTTCGCAATCAAAGCAGCCCGTTTCCGCTTGAACACCGTCTTACCGGGCTGGTGGTCGTCGCTTCCCACCCCACCAAGATATGTCGTTAACGCGTCAACGACGTTGTCCTTGGAAAAGGATTGGCCGTAAAGCTTGTTGTAGGATTTATATCCATTCTTCCACCCGACATTGGCTTCATCTGACTCGTCCCCTCCATTCTGAACATCTCCATTTCCTGCTGTACGTTTCTTGTCTGCGGCGGCAGCAGTATTGGTTGATCTCTCGTCGTCTTCTAGGGCGGGGGGACACCACATTTTCATCCCGGCAACGCGAAACCCTAGATTGCCGCTCGTAGTGCGCTCCGCCACTTCATCCAATCTGCGCCGTTTCGCGAGCGGCGCGTCATCGTCCCAGAGCCGCGCGCCGAGCTTGACGTCGAGTACGTTTGGACGTTTGAATCCCCCCGCCACATTCTCCAGTACGATCGCCAACCCCGTCGATATTTTCTTGCCGCCCGAGGGTTTCCAGCTCGCGCGTTTCACTAGTTCTGGTGTAACTGTAGAGTCTGCGATGACTGCGTTTCCTGTGTCTTCGCTTCCCTTCCCGACTGCGGTTGTGCCTGCGCTGGAAGCATGGTCTTGTAGGAACTGGACTTGGGGTTGAGCGGCTTCCAGGAGCGGCTTGACTGCATCCTGATCTTCATTTTGGCAGAGCGATCCGATAAAGGTCGGCATGTGCGCTTGGAACAGAGGATGGTCTTTGGCGGATTCGTAGAAGTCGATCTCGGCCTGCGTGCATGGCTTGATGATCAGAGATCCCGAGGCGTTGGAGCTGATCCCTTCACTGCACAACACATCAGAGAGCGATGTCAGCGAGATGCCACAGCTAAGGGGTTCGTCAGGCCGCGGCAGCACTTACTGTCCTGCGGCGCTGTGGTCGAATGCGACCAGTTCAGAGCCGGAAGGCATCGCCGCCATTTTCTTGCTCGGTGGGATGTTTGAGGAAGTGGCCATATCGTTGCCGGAGAGTGAGAGTGTCAGGTCGAGGTATTGAGAGCCATCGCAGAGAAGGTGTTGGGCAAGTAGGATCGAATTTCTGGCTTGGTTGGAGTCTGTTTATTTATTTAGATCGTTCAACCACCAACCAACGCCATTGACATACTAGTAATGGTTGAGAGCGTGGGGTTTGCTTCGCGCCTGTTACAGGACAAAGGACAAAGGACAAAGGACAGAGGTACAGAGGTACAGAGGTACAGCAGGAGGAGGAGGAGGAGGAGGTATATACTGGGATAGGATCTCTGTGTATGTAGGCAGTAGTCAGGTACAAGCCTGTCATTACTTCCTCCAACCCACATCTCACTCAGCCTGATCAGCCTTGTCTCCAGCCAAAGGTCAAGACAGACGCACTCTACACCTCTACACCTCTAGGAGAGATAGCGACTATGAATGAAGACTGCGAACAAGCACCAGATCATACCGCGGACATCATCACCATCTACGCACTCACTTCATGCGGCCGGTATAATCAATAGTTTGTGTTCGCCCACTTCAACTTCACGTCTGCCGTCAATTACACCTTTCTTCCGTCTGGCTTCTCATATCACCTACCTATTCACCTACCTCAGGAAGTGAATCATGCCAGACCTCTCTGTCACTCTGTAAGGTTCTTCAATCCTGGTAGGCTTGCTTCACCACCAGCTGCCTTTACCAGAGCCAGAAATCCCCTCTTCTGTCTTACTTAAACCTCTACGCCGACCGTTACACCTATCTCTTTGCTTCTGCGCTCGCTCTTCGCTCCTCGTCCTACTTTCTGGGAGTTAGTTGCTCTTCTCGAGGAGAACAAATCCAGACCAGGCAAAAGCACAAGATGGCGGAGGCACCAGGACAGGAGGCCCACACAGTTCATACGGCCGACGACGCTCCTAATCCCGAATTCAATTCTCACACGCTTCCCTCAAGGACCAAACAAAACGGCGTTGCAGATGGCAAACCGGCGACCACAGAAGGCGCCGACCAAGAGCACGATCCAGTCCTTCCCGCAGAGACCAGAACAGGTGCCAGTCAAGATGGAGATGGACATGGGGACGCAGAAGATCACGATTACGGCGAAGTCTCCAACCTGCCACCAATGCAACCCAAAAAGAAGAAGAAGCGGGCGAAACGAAAGCCTCAAAGCCAACGAGGACTGGTAAGTGACTATCGGTATCCTGCTCGAACGTCCCTTTTCTACGGCTTGACACTTAACCATGCCCTTCGCAACTATACTAACAAATATACCGTTCCTCAGGGCAAACCGACCGGGTTCGAGGACTTCTTCGCCGACACGCCCCTGACTCCCGCCCAATATGCAGCAGAGCAACAACTGTATCAAGCGTGTGTCGAGATCCTTACATCCATATATCCCATCATCCCCTGCCCTGGCACAATCTCCCCATCCGGCAACGGGATCAACTAACATCATCTGTCTGGGAATGTCAGAGACCTCCCCTTCGTCGACCGAATCCTGACAGCAATCGGACGTTTCGAACGCACACGCAAAATGTCCAACGAACGCCGCGACATGCTGTACAAATACCTGATCCACGGCAGCGTCGAAGTCGGACCCAACAGCTTCCAGGGCGGCCAGAACACCGAAGACATGGACAAAACCCAAGCGGCAGCGACACTGACGCAAGCGTCTGTGTCGGACGACAAGCGCGACTTGCGCTCCGACACAAGTCTCTACGAAGTCGATTTCCTCGTCTGCATGAGGTCGTTTCTGAGCCGACGCGCCAAATACCTGTACGGCTTCGAGACGCGGGACCAAGTCAGCCTGCTGACCACCACGCTCGAACGGTTCATGGACTATCTGCTCCAGCACGACGTGTGTCCGGAATACCGCGACGACGTGCTCGCGGCGCGTAACCTGTGTCGCCAGGCGCCCGCGGAGCTGTGGGACGTGGCGGAATCCACGCGCCGGCTGCCAGGGGATTTCAACATCGCATGCTCGACCTTGTTCGGCGGCAGCTATTCGCAAAACTACGACGGCGAGACGTGGTGGGGTCCTGACACCACAGAAGACAAGGTATTTGTCGGCATGAAACCCGACGAGGCGTCTCAAGTCATCCACTTTGGCGTCGCAGGGGCCGCCACCGAGGATGTTTTCGCTGCGTATCTCGCCGGTCTGAATGACGGGACTTCGGAGCTCGAAACCGAATGGGTGCGAGAGCGCGTGGGCTTCGAGATCACAGAAATCGTCCCTCCCACGCCCGAGTGCAAGGAGATCTATCTCCAGAGTTCAGAGCATTTCCGGCCTGTGGGACGCGTCTATGCCAAACCGTGGAAGAATCCGGATTCGTTGCCGGAAGACTTGACCCCTGCGGAACGAGCAGCCTTGAGCGACGAACGGACAGACAATGATTTGGATGAGGATGGGCATGACACAGAGTATGTCTTCTTCCTGGAGTCGATTCTGCAATCATACCTCCGCGTCGGCACGCGCGTGGAAGCCACGGTCCGCAAAGTCAACTGCGGCATCATGTTCTTTGACGACGTGCTCGATGTGTATCCCACGTTCGACGAGTTCTTGCCCAACGAAATGATGGTGGGCTGGGAGAATCCGAGGCCTGTCAAGGGCGCATTTGACTACGTTGAGGGAGGGGATTACGAGGATGCCTTTGACGGCGAGGACAAAAGCGATGATGGTGGAGAAAGTGAACAGCGCACCCAAGAGGATGAACAGCGCCATGGCGAAGCCGCTACTGAAGAAGCCTGATCTTCGGCACAGAACAAGGCGCAAAAGCAAATATGGAGACCGACTTCTCTCCACGAACCATCGAATCCACTGCCGAAAATCACATTCATCCCAGAAATGGAAGACAGAAAATGCCAGAGTCGATGGACAAAGGACACTCCAATATGCCAGCCACATCCGCTGCCCGACAATGAAAGACATAAACGAGAATGGCGCAACGATGCTAACTGTAGAGATTATATCGATACTCCAAAAAGCACTACGTGCGGACCTGGGGCGAAACCAACCCAAGGTGCCTTCACAAACCAAGGTCTTTCACGCCTTGGAAGAGTCCCCAAACTGGCAGCGTAGAGCAAAACGCCTCAACTAAGCCTTCCTCGTTCTGGGTTCTGGGTTCCCCAGACTCGGTCCTGCTTACTTGCTGCTCCGGGGACGGGACAAAGGCAAAGACAAAGGAAAAGACCAAACAACACTTAAAATACATTGATATCACAGAATGTGACAGTAGTCACTAAGTAAGGCAAGGCTCGGGGACCCAAGATGTAAGAAGACACAACAGGCCTCGATTCATTGAATCATCCTCTGCGTCCACCCATCCACCCATCCACCGGCCCATCACATCATGATAAAAGAGTCCCATTCAACCCAAACTCAACCAAATTCAACTCAACTCAACCGGTGAAGTACCTTCTTCCCCAATGACAAAACACTCATGCGCCGGGTGGTTTCCGCGTCACTCTCCACAGCGCCATCACCATCACCATCACCAACACCACCGGCGGCACTAGCCTGACCCTGACCCTGACCCTGACCGTCATCGTTGTCCTTGGCTTGGTCTGTTTCCTGATCTTTATCCTTACCCCTTTCTTTCTCTTTATAAACACCACTACTGCTACTGCCTTTTCGCCCACCACTTTCTTTATGCCCGTCGCTCTTCATCAGGCCCAATCCGCCGAAATGGACACGACTCTTGACCGTATCCGGAGAGAAATGCCGGCCGATAGTATCTTTCAGCAGATTCCTGGGACTCGGTGAATGCGATTGCGATTGCGATTGCGATTGTGAATGCGAACACGCTGTACTCAGTGGATCGGGAGCTGCATCAGCTGCAGCTGCACCTGCCTTCGAAGCGGCAATGGACGACGTCGACTGAGAGCGAATGCTCTTCGCAGAAGGATCATCTTTCTTGTCTTTGTCTTTGTCTTTGTCTTTACCCTTGAGCTTGTGATTGTGCTTGTGGTTGGATGTTGCACTACCACCCGCCGAAAGACTTCCGGACGTCCGAGGAACAGGAGGCATCGGCACCAATAGTCCGGAGCCACCAGGACCTCCCGCGAGGTTGATACTGCTCGAATGCCATGATCCGCTGCGCAGGAGGGGTGAAGGGCCTGTGAAAGGTCCCGTTTTGTGCCCGTTGATGGCGACGGTCGGCGATTGGAAGGAGATGCCCGAAGCCTCAAAGTCGTCATCGCGCCCGTCTTGCGAGAAGCTGTAGAGACTCGTGGTGTCGGAATTCTCGGACAGATGCAGGCTGAACTCGGAGCTTGGGATCGTTGACAAATGGGCGATCTCCTTGAGTCTCTCGACCTGTCGCTTGCTCGGGCGATGGTGGGACAGTTTGTTGCCGATGATGGCGCCGGCGTGGGATATCAGAGCGCGGATGACATCTTTCTTGAGCCGTAATGCAAGGTCCAGGTTGGACCATGTCTTGTTGCGGTATTCCAGGGTCGGCATGCGGAAGACAAAGTCGTTGAGGTCTTCAAAGTTGCGTTCTCCTTTGCCCTTGTAGCTGAGACAGATGACGAAACTATCCAGCTTGACATGCGCCAGGGTCATGTAGTTGGATGCTCGGGATATCATTTGGGACAGATCGTCGGATGGCTTTTCCTTCTTGTCCTTGTCCTTGTCCTTCCTGGCCAGAGTGCGTTCTTTACTTGTCGTGCGGCGTAGCAGATTGCGTTTCTTTTCCTCGGCAGCGCCCACAGTCACGAGACTGGTGGATGAGGCGTTGGTGTTCTTCTTCGATCTCAGACTGCTAGCCGAGGCTTTGTGGGTCGGCCCCTTCTGCACAGTTCGTGCATTCGAGGAGTTGAAATGCAGGAAGAACCTATGATCACCCGCCAGTCCTAGTCCTCTTCTTCCTTGGGTCGTTGATGCTGGGCCATCTTTGTTGTTGTTGTTGTTGTAGTTCAGATGATAGGTCGGCCTGAGTCTTCGGGCTATGGCGCCTGGTGATGTTCCGCGTTGGGTGGCTGAGTTGGAGCCCGGGCGATCCGTTTCATTCATGAGTTCATGTTGTGCCCTTTCCAGTTCTTCGTCATCGCGCTCATCCAAAGGCGCCATATTCTTCACCATCAGGGGAGAGAAGCCCCCATGTTCGAAAGCATTAGAACCAACACCGGGGAAGATGTACTCAAATAGCCTCTTGCCCAGTTCTCGCTCCAGTTGCACCTTGAGCGGGAAGACTGTGACATGGAACTGCTCCAGTACCGGTATTCCAGCAATGGCTTCCAACATGTACCAATGGACTCGAAGCATTTTGGCTCCTTCAGGAAGGCAGCCACTTCGGTCTCCAGACTCAAAATATGGTCCGATGATCTCGGGATATATTGCGTTGGGAAGGAGATTCCAGCCTCGGATATGCTCGATTTCCATGGCATTGTGGTTAGAACCATCGCTGTTGTCAACACGCTCATATGCGGCATTTCCGAGCTGGACTTCGAGCAACGGCTCGTCTTTCTCCAGCATGAGATGCCACACAATCTCAGAGGCGCTCAGGTACCACCTAAGCATCGCACTTGATTGAGAGGATTTTCGGTCGTCATTCCTCTGTTGGGATGTATTGATGGCTTTCATGAGGAAGAACAACTCATCTTCACAATTTGCCAGGTCCTTCTCCAGGTTGATGCGGTCCTGCCATCCTTGCTTGTCAAGGTATTTGGCATTGATCTGGAAATGGAGCTTGATTTCTTCGAGCTGCCTTATTCGCTCTTGCAACCTCTCCGCCATCTCGGGAGCACCCCTCAAATCACTAAAGTCGGATGCCAGCATGATCTTTTCCAGTCGCTCACTTCTTGTCTTCTCCAATGGCTCACTGTACAGAAGGAGATCCAGGACGATGATGTACATGGTGTAGTACTGCGTGGAGTCACAACGGGCGCGGACGCGGGGAAAGTCGACCCAAAGATGATCGATACGATTCTCCCCAGCGGTCGAGGGGTGCTTGCCCTCGCCGGTCTCGTCACTCTCCACTTCTTCGTTGTACTTCAAACGATGGGGATTGTACTTTTGATATCGCAGGCTTGCCGAAGTCTTCTGAATGACCCTTTGGAATCCAAAGGGCTCCAACTGAAAGTCAAACATGGCCTCGAGGGACACCCATGGAGGCCATGACGAGCCCGGCGTGTTTCCATAGCGATTGCCCGAGTACAGATGCAGATATTGTGCAAGGGTCTTTTGACTGGCCACAAAGAATTGGGCGCCATCCATATCAAGGGCAAAACGCCGCTGTACCAGTCCGCTCACGTCGTCCGATAATCGAGCCTTGTCCATAATGGAAACAACCTTGAGTTGCATCCCCTTCGTGGCTATAAGAACGATAGACTTGGTATTCTTCTCGCTCTGTAACTGGATCTGCGGGGCAATGAGACGAAGATGATAGCTATTCATCGCCTGGAAGTTCTCTGCTATGTTGTCGCCCAGGTCGACCGTGGATGGTCTCCGGTCTGGGATGTCGCTGGTGCTGTCTTCTTCATGCGTTGCAGCCGCTTCCTCGTTTGTCTTTTCGTCGCCAGCCTGGACAAACCTTTTCGCGTCATTGAGAAGCTGCTGAATTCTGTCCTCAACCACAAATTCGTCATCTTTCTCTTCCGTGGGCGAAAAGACACTCGGCGTTCCCGGGACTTGCATGTCTGGGTTTCCCTCTTGTCTACGACGGAGTTCTTTTGCCTTCGCCTGTTCATCCACTATGTCGATGATGAACTTGACCGCACGGCGAGACATGTAGTAAACAAAGCCGCGACGTTGACTGACTTGATGACTATACCGAAGAATGATGTTCCGTAGCGAATTGTTCCACTTGAACTGGGCATTGTGGATGATGAACCGGTTATTGAAATCACTGGCAAACTCATCGTGCGGAGCAGAGTACAGCGCATCCATGTCGACATGAGACGGTGCGTTGACTTGAGCATCGAGCTCCGCCGCTGATTGGGCTTCACTCCCGCGGCGGCCAGTAGGCTCCTGTGGTTGAGCTTCTCCCGGATTACCATGTCCCGCAAGACGTCGGAGCCCATGCTGCAAGAATTTGCGTTTGCTCTCCAGCTCCTTATGTTGTGCCAGCAGCGTGCTATGTTTGACTTTGAGGGATCGATCATGGTCCCCATCACGGACCACAAGCAGTTCATGCTCTTCCATCCGTCTGAGATGAATCTGGAGCTTTTCTTCCAGATCATGAAGCCTGGTCTCGATCAAATCCATCTGTACCTTTCGAGGGTCGTTGTGACGCGACATGATACAGAAATGGGTGTTTTCGTCTCCGAAGGGGCTCGTGCGAGACTCGTCTCCTTGAATGCCAACACCATGGTCCGTTTGCCGGAAATACGTGAAGCGGGGAGTGAACGCTAGGGGCAGAATGCTGGTCTCTGGGTTCGGGTCTGCCGGGAGAACCCAGTCCAACTCTACGAAGTCGTCCATGTCGATCCAGGTAAAGTCTCGGTCGGGGATTGTGAACCGTGACATGTCGACATTTTCAGGCACGTCTTGCAATGAGGACATGATCTCATCCGTCGCCTTCTGGAGATCCTCGGCAGTGGTTCCAGCTATGCTTGCTGCCACAGCCCTCAGGTCGGCACGAATGAAATCAAGTTCTGCTCTATTGATCTTCATGGCACTCGTTCTCATTTGTTCCGACTTTCCCTTCGAAAGGGTGTCGAAATATTCCCGACGCTGGTGGAGATCAAGCATGAAGCTGTCAATCTTGATCTTCAGCCCAGTGGCACAAACGACGTCATCTTGATAGTCCTCGGCGTCCTTGTGCTTGTACACATGAGCGATAAATAGTGGTGAGAGAAGCAGTCCGTACTTGATGGTCGCCAGATGACGCCCGAATTTCTTGCTGGATTTGTCTGGGCCTCTCCATAGCCGGCCTTGTCGAATGGGCAAAGACATGACGCCTGAGAATGTTGACCACCAGCTGAAGAAGTGGGAGAAAAACCGGGGGCTTAAATGGACGCTATTGTAGCTCTCTGAAGGAGCAGAATCCGGCCCAACCCAGTCTCTGTCGAAAGGCGCAGCCAGAGCCACCGACAGATGAATATGATTGCTTCGGAAGCCGCGGAACGCATCATAGGTCTTCAGATCCAAGTTGTGCATCTGTTCTGGATTCTTGAGGACCACGTCGTAATGATGCTTGAAGTGTGGTGTACGCACCCCGTCTTCCGAGAGCCTTTCGAAGACTAGCCCGGCGGTCCATTGGACGTTGCCAGATACCTTCATGATCACCTTCTTGAATAGAGCAGCATTCTTCCGGGAACTGCTGCTGGACAGACTGTCCGAATCTTGACTCGCCTTTTGATCAGACGAATTGCGCGCTTCGTGGCTGTAATCTGGGATGGCCAACACGTATTCGCCGCTTCTGACGGTCATGAACTTGCGAGGATCATCCACGGAATGAATGGACCACTGTACATCGCTGCGCCAACACATCACGAACCCAGCTCCGTAGCCCGTTACGACGTAAGGGTCCCTGGAGCCTTTCAGACGCAGTTGGACGTCTCCATCTCCTTTCCAATTCACGGTCAAACGTGAATGAAAGCTCAGTCGGATTTTGTCCCAGAAGCCCACTCTCTCGGACGGGTCTATCTCAGGCTTGGTGAAACCCTCGATGATCATCATCATGTCTTGTATGACGGGCTGATATGAGGTGCCCCAGGAGATAGTGGTCGACTGGCTCGTGTTGATGTCTACCACAGGGTTTGAATATGTCTTGACAGGTGTCACCGTCCTTCTTACATCGATGGCGAAGCGAGGAATCTCCTCGCCCTTCGGTCCGCGCTGCCCTTTCGGAACAATTTCAACATTGATGTGCCGCATAGATTCCTCGTCTCGGAATTCCTCAGCAATGACAAAGTCCATTTTCAGAGACCAACTGGGTAGTCGTGGAGGCTGGCCGGGGCGGATGGCGGGAATATGGAGAAGGTTGAGTGGGTAGTCTCTAAGCAATACTCTGGCTTCGCCCATGTCCAAAGTAACGTTGACAGGAATCAACAGCGCATAAAGGGTATCGTATGGCATCCCCTTTCCGATTGTGTGGAGGAATTTAGGCAAGTCGGACTCCGGAAACGAAGGCTTATCAATCAAGAGATGTAGATCACTGATTATCACAGTCATCAGCCCGGGGCGATTGGGAATGGCAAGAACGGTCTCGTCTTCTGCGCTGTCATGAGGTGGTTCATCGGCTCCTGAGAACATCTGACGAATCTTTTGGATAGTGTTATTTTGCATGTGAAGCATCCAATCGATTCGCCTTTTCCAGCTTCTTGCATTATGCTCCTGGAGCTTTTCCCATGCCTCATCTGCTTGGATTTTGGCACTGGTGCTCAACGCGCAGACCCCTTCTCTGTCATACCGAATGTTAGACGACACCTTGCCCCGTCTGCCTCTCGAAGTGGATCGTTCTCGAGGAGTGCTATCAAGACTTCTTGACCTTCGAGATCGGGGGCCAGGACTGGTGCCAGGAGAGCCTCGTCGACTTGAACTGGCCCGGTAGCGAGAGGTTGACCGTGGCCGCCGTTCGTCTTTCATCCGTTTGACCTTTAGATGGAATGCATCGGCACGAGCAAGCCGCTGTTTCTGTTCGATGCGACCGACGCGGTAGATAACACCGAGTTTCCACTCAAAGGGGTCGTCTTCGAGCTCGAAAGAAAGGGCTTTGGATCGGAGCGAGACTCGAGGCACCTTTTTGGGGCCGACCGGTTCCTTCGCCAAGATGTACTCATTTGTCCGTGTCCTGAAACGGTGATGTAACTGGGCAATAGCTTTCGCAGCATTGATGAAGTTGTCAAACACTCTGTACATCTGCATACCGTGGGGAACGGCTACGCGAATAAAATCGGTGGAGATATCAAATGATCTCTCTTCCACTGTCCCTGCTGGCATTCTCCTCTTCGCGTGACGCAGGTCGAGACGTACGTTACTCGCGCCGACAATCCGGGCCCAGACACCCTTGAGGCGGGGTGGCTCGGCATGGAGCCGAACAAGCTGAGCTCTGAGAAAAGGCGCCGACCATCTATGCCGGCCAGCAGAGACCTGGTAGATCTGCAGCAGCATGGGAGGATCGGCGGGCATCTTGGCTTTCACTTGGACATAGCTGGCCTTTACATCAATGACGAACAGGTCCAGTCCTGACTGCGCGGCAACACGCGGTTCCTGGATGATCTCTTCATCAGGCGGATGAGGCGTATTACGTCGGAGATCGACTTTGCCAGATGCAGGACCAAGGAAAGAGTCCTGGATGATCGAGCCGGCAACGCCCAGGGAATAGAAGTGATACAAGGAGAACTGCAGATAGAAGGCACGAATTGCAGAGTGCACATGGAAGAGTGCTCCTTGCTGGTCTCGAGATGTGCTGAAAGCAACCTCAAGCCTTGGGACAGTCATGAAAGGGTCCGGCTCCCATCGGTCAAGTGCCTCGATAATGAAGCCTTCCACTCCCTTCAGATGGAGAGAAAGTCGGCGCCCATCCGTGGGGTCAGAATGATGGCGCCGTGGAGGTGGTGGAGGTGATGCAGGCGGCGAATGGAGATTATCCGCCGAGAATGCATCCTCGTAACGGACGGAGGTGCTCATTTTTCTCCTCGCAGGAGTCTTTCGCGCTATCTCTGCGTTCGAAGTGTAGTGGGCAGTCCAGGACTCAAGTTCCAATGCAAGCCCTCGAGTCTGGCTGGAAATGGCCGAATCCACGCCAGCAGCTTCGACACTCCAGCCAGTACCTTCAAGTTGGATATCGACAAGCCAGGATGGGAGCCGTCGTAGGAACACCGTGGACACAGGTCTAGAGCCACCCGCGACAGGAGTATGACGCTTGAAATGCTTGACTATGTTGTAGATGGCCCTGCTCACTTCTTCTCGGACCATCAAAACGGAGAATGTGCGGAGATTTCCAGCTATACTGACGGATATGTCGGTCGAGGCAGTAACCTGGATCTTCAGCTCCAAGGTGTCAGTCAGGAGAATATTGTGTTTGACGCCCGTGGAGGCCTGATAATAGAGCTGATGTGACATCACGCGGAAGTTCGAGGCCAGAGAATATAAAAGTACACCGCCCGCGGAATGGGAAGATTCGATATCCAGCGAGATGGAAGATATCGAACTTATGATCATGTCGTACTCGCCCGGCGCCGCCTTGGCGGGGTCCGCGACAGGCAAAACAAACCTCACGACTGGCTCGTGTATAGAGAATTTGATACTTGCTTTAGGAAGCAAACGCGAAATGAGCCGGTGTCGATTGTGCTGACGCTCGTCGGACTGGGAGGGGCGAGACTGGATGAGTGCCAGCAGTCTAATCAGGTGTTGCGGTACCAGATCTAGAGAAGGGGAGGTGACAACAAAATTGGCGAATAGAATATTCGTGTTCCTCTCGGCAACATCTCGGTCATGAGAGAGGCTCATTGTCTTCGCGGGGAAAGTAGTCCTAATGGTCGTGGTGGCCATCGGTATGTACATGAGTTTGGTGGGCGAAAAATCATCCTCATCCAGACTGACGGAGATTGAGACGGCAGCAAGCAAGGCTTGGTGGGCGATGTCTTCCTTTGAGAAATACATGCGATGGACTGGAGCGTTCTGATCGAGACGGTGGAGGTCAATGCCGATTTCGTGGATGACCATGTTGGCGATCAAGGGTAAGTTGGCCTGCCTCAACGATTCGACCTCCTTCGATATCCGGACGAAACTCATTCCGAGTTGAATTTCTTGTACGCTTTGGAGGATCGAGCTGAAGAACTCTTTGGAATCAGCGACAGACTGGACGATGGACGCTTCCCGACTCCCCGGATTATCCAACTCCTGCACCACATCTTCGAAGGAGACTTCTTCCGCGGGACCATGGCCAAAAGGCTGTCGCGCCGTTTGAGCAATCTTTTTGCTCCGACTTGAGAACTGAAGCAACTCGTCGACCGGGACATAAAGACGGCCTGCTTTGATGGCGATTGAAGTGTCGCGTAGCCCTTCTCGTTCCCTGTATAGAAGTCCATGCACATTGATCGACATCGCGTCCAGAATCTCGGTCGGGTCACGGCCACCCACTCCCATCAATATGCTTCTTACTGAGAGGACCCATTCCACTGGCTGCTGCCCACCAAGGGGATCCTTCTTATGCCTGAATAATCGGCCACGGTCCAGGAGTTTCCGCCTTGTATGGACAGCTATTGTCAGGGTGGACGCCTGGACATATCCAACGCCCACGACCTCAGCAGTGGTGTTGAAGGCGCTGATTTCGAACATGCGTAAAATGTGGATTTGACGGTGTATGCGTTTAATGCGTTCTTTGATATTGGTCAACCGCTTCCATAGCTTGCTTCTTTCGCCCGAACGAGGGTTGCCTCCTTCGCGCTCATCCTTGCTCGCCTCGGGCTGCCCGCGGGCTCCGCTTGAGCTTCTCGGCTTCTTCGAGGGTGAGCTCTCGTAGACCTCCGGGTCCAGGGTGACCTTTAAGTCTTCGAAAACCAGACTTATGCATGACGGCCGAGCGAAGGTAGGTCTGTGCAGACTCAACCTCAGGCTGCGCAGGTCCACTCTCAGTCCTTCTTTTGGAGTGTAGGATATGTGTCTCAGACTGAAATAGCCCACTCTTTGTATGGAGATGCCGGTCGCAATGCGCAGGATCGCCAGGAGGACGAAAGAGGACAGGTATAGTAGCAGGACGACGGCCGCAACGGAGGTTGTATTGATGAGAGGCATCGTGGAGGCTTAGCTTCGCACAGTAGGCCCTATTCCCAACACCTTGGAGGAGAACAAGAGGGCTGATCGAATTCAACGTCACCTCTGGCGGCGAACAGGTTTCCCGCAATCGAGGATGCGACCGCGGCATGGGCCGGCTATTGAGTCGGTTGCTGCCATTTCCTGCTGCAAGGTGTATGGAGGAAGCGCGCCTCGTTTATGACAACGCGACAGTATCACCACAGATAGACGGTAGGAGTTCTGCAATGTCTGGATTGGAAATCGCGTTTCGAGGTTCGAGGGACAGGTGTGGGAACAATTGCGCTGTGAGCAATGGTTCTTTTGGTTCTAGCGCATGCCGCCCTCAGAGCCCTGGCAATTGGTTGATGCGACAGTCGACCAGGGACAGCTTCCCGGCAAGCCCGGTCCATGCGCAGAGGAGCGAAAGTTGGAGTCGATTAGAGGAATGTCGGCGCGCTGAACGGGCTGACTCAGATATGAGGGTGACAGATTTTTTGAATGGCCGGCTTGGAGCCTCTCGATACTGCAGAGTGAACTTCCATGGCAATGCGGTGCTTGCTAGTAGAGGTCGATAGCGGTGTCAGGTGGAGTTTGATCTAGCAATAGCTACAATCCCAGTAGTAGTGATGATGGCACCGCAGACGCGAGCTTGAGAAAGAAGGGGACCTACTACCTAGGTACCTCCTTAAGTGCGTACTAGGTAATACTCGTAATATAAATCTCAACTAATGGACCTAAACAAGTTCTGGACCTCCTAGGTTGAGGCTTAGCGAGTGCTAAGAAACTACACAGTAATGATATCCTCCTCTATCTACCACTAGTTTCTAAACTATACAAGTAACCTTAAGTAACCCTAATCACATACTAGTATCTTACAAGCTAGTTACAGATAAAATACCTGACTAGTAACGCCTTCAATTGTCGGCACTATCGGTCATAAGTAGTTACCTCCGGGTCTCTGTAGTGCTGCTGATTCACTATCAAGTGGCCGACAAGACGATCTTCTCATAGTCTCGAAGGCAAGTGTCGGTGGAAAGAAAGCATTTGTTCAAAAAGTCGGCTGAGGGGCGAACAAGGCTGCAGATGCTTATGTGCAGGTGATGAGGGAGACGGATTATGATGCCCAGGGTGACAGTGAATGACTCCCTAAATATTGTCTTAGTAAGTCAAAATAGAGTAGAGGAAGAGGGTTATTAGGCGACAACTTAAATAGCTTAGTAGCACTAAGCTTCGGTAGCTAAGCAGCAACTACTGCTATCGCTAGTACTAATAATACAGCGGTGTGTTATCTACCATGAACCCGTTTTATATAAGACTTTGAAGAACTGTTGGATAAGATGTGTATTTATCCTAACGAGAGATTGTCCATGCTTAGCTGTTGTTTGGTCTTATGCTTGAGAGGTCTCGCTTCCACGTAGGTAGAGCTCGGCCGAACCTTGATTTCCGACGAATGGTGTTATAGAGGATTGCTCCTAATCTTTGCAAACCCTAGTCCTGTGGGGAAATATCGTATTAGACCATGAATCAACACGCCCTTAAGACCAAAAAGTCCGTAAGACTTCCCAGAATTGGTGTGTTGCCCCCTGTTGCGTCGTCTCTGATATAGGTGCCTACCTAGTAGATAAGCAGTCTATCAGGTTGATACAAGAGGCGGTCTCCTACAACATAGGTATCTACCGCCTCTTGAATGTTTGAAGGGCGCCCCTACCAAGATGAGACCGCCTGTTGTATCAACCTGACGGCCTGATTACTTACTAGGTAGGCACCTATATCATCTTGTAGGACCACTTGTTGGGCAAAGTGGCCCGCTAGGTAGCAGTAAGACATGTTCAAGATGAATCCACTTGGGAGACCATCAACACGTTCAGACACTACAGTGACCACACCACCTCTGTCCTTAATTGCAAGGAAAGTAGGCAGCGTTGGTTTCGAGATGCATCAGGTCCTGTAAGCCATCGAAATTGACGCCCATCCAAGACGGTTGGTCTCTGCTGGTTGAATCATCATCAAGCAAGCCTCGCACATCCACGCCGCTATCCCCCGTCGACCCATTGGCAGCTTGAGACTGAGGCTCAGGCTGTTGTTGCGAGCCTCCGCCTCCTTCTAGCACTTCCCAGGCCACCTTGCGAATCATCCTGAGGGCGTTCTGCGCCAATGCCCAGGTCTGGGTCAGGGACTTCAGCACCCCGATGATCAGACTGACGCGGTCGCGATGCAGTTGATGGCAGTGGCGCGGATGTACCAAGCAGGCCGAGAGTTGCACCATTGCACTCAAGACGACGGCGCAGATGAAGAACGGCGTGTGCTGGCGGACGGGAGTGCGCAGCGCGGCGAGACTGGACAGCTGCTTGGAAGCGTCAGTGGCGATGACGGCGTGCGTGTGTTGCGTCGAGATCGGGGAGGTGTGACAGTCGCTCTGGCCACAGGAGAGCTCTACCACTGCGGGGAGGTTGAGGTCGCTGCGAGGACAGTGCAAATAGATGCTGGCGTACTGGATGATCATGTACGCCTGGAAGATCATGGGATCCAGCTCGCCAAAGGCGTTGATGATCTCGCTCTTGCCCGCTGGCAGGTGATGAATCCAGCCGACCAACGCATTGTCGACGGCTTGCACCTCGTCCGGGTGCGGCTCGTGGGTTCGGGCGATTGAGATCACCCGGGCCAGGATCCGCACCGCATCGATCCGGTAGCAATAGGAGGAAAACTGGAGCTCGTCCTCGATGAACAGGCGGGCGTCGAATTGAGCTAGGCTCAGCGGCTCCGGTATGCTATCGCCCTGGGTATACGCCGACTCTTCACATGGCAGGAGCACGTCCGTCGAGACCGACCGACTCCTAAACGTCGTTTTGCGATGCAGCGCCGCCATGTACCCGTCCACAATGAACAGCTCCCACCACGTTCTCCGGAGCGATTCTTCCTCGACAGGGTGCCGCACTCTGTTGATGACGCAGTAGCTCTGTTTGTGAATCCCAAGCTCCAATGCCAGCTCGACGGTGCGAGACAGGCTGGCCTCGGCCTCCGAGATTTCAAAGCGGGCATGCAGAGCGATGGAAAACAGCAGCCGCGCTTGGACCATGCTCGCTGCTCTCTGGCTGTCGTCTGCCAGCGCCCTTGCAGTCATGCTTCGAAGGGTGTCGCTGGAGAGCGTTGTCGAGTAATGGCTGCCGATGAATTGCACGGTGAGCCGGAGATACCTAGGATAGTTTTGTGCGTCGTACAGATGCCTCGGGACCAAGATGGGATGGGCGCGATGGAAGAAGGTGTAGTATAAGTTCACCAAGGCCTCGTCATCGACCCATGCGGAAGAGCCTTCGGCGACAGATACAGGCTGTAACATGGATTGGATATTGTAGAGGTTGTCGAGTCCAAATTGGAAAGACTCCAGCGGTTCTGATTCGCCGTGGAAGGGGGCCCTCACATTGGCATGGCCGTTGTTCTGTCCAGAGACTGAAGCGTCTTGGTTGCCCGGCGTGCGTGCAGAGGGCTCGTGCTGGTGCTCTGCCTCTGCTTCTGCCTCGCTCGAGATTTGCCGTTCGTGCGCCAGCCGGTTGAATTCTCGATTGGCGGCTGGCTCATCTTCTCGCTGCCGTTTGCGACCACCGCCACGGCGGGACGATGTGTAGTTGCACTGCAGCCGAGCCGTCACACATCGTGCGCATGTCGGATACGTTGCATCGCACCGAAGATGCTTTCGACGGCACTCCAGGCATGCTAAGGGAGAGGGACGTGCAAGCCCATCATGACGAGAGGGAACGGCGGCGCCATTGTTGTGTATTTGAGCCATCAGGTGGGATGGCATGCGATGGTCGTAGATAGGGTAAGTTCCTAACGGTTCTCCCTCCCTCGCGATGCTGATTTAGAAAGAGAAGTCAAGGGAGAGCACACAAGGTGGGCGGTTACTTAGCTGGGACCGACCTAGTGATCATCCGCGTGTTCGATTCGCTCCACTCTTCCTATCGAGACGCCGAATGGAGACCAAGCTAGAACCTACATACTGATAAGACGCATCGCGCCATCCAGGCTAGCCAGTCATCAGAGTCTTCAAGAGACAGCGGCTCACTGGAGAACGTCCCGGTCAGTCGATTCGCTACATTTCCTTCATCTACACAGTAGTGATTGCGTCCCGTCCAAAGCTGACTCGAAAGATGAGTACTTAGGGCGAATTTTGATCGCCCTACAAACCTATGGTCTGAAGTCTTTACTATGCCTATACAGATAGACAGAATGAACATAGATACATATATATTGTGTGTGACATGATCTCGTGAGCCATTGTTGCCATACAATAATTGGATCAGTTGATGGTCTTCCTTGCAGTAATTTTCACATCAAATTTCCTCGGCTTCACGAACCACGCATTGTGCAGATCCCAGTCCTCATCGGTGGTGAGTTGGATCTATGGTAGATTGTCAGTATGCGTATGCTAGATGATTCGAACGAGATCGGAAAGAGGACTTAAAGCCATGCCGAAGAGGAGACCATGGTGGGACTCACCTCGAAACGTCTCAGAAGACTCGGAATCAGTTTGTACATCTCCAGGAGGGCAATGTGCTTCCCGAGACACGTCCTTGTACCTTCCCCGAAGTGAAACATCGTCTTACTCATCTCTTTCACCCGCAACTGATCCGAAGGAGAACTGGGGTCCGCCAACCAGCGTTCTGGCCTGTAGACCTCGACGTCGTCACCGAAGATCTCACGTTGGTAGTGGAGGACCCACGAGTTGCAGCCCACGATCGTCCCACCCGGGATGAACTGACCGCGAATCTCAAGTCCCTGAGGGGGTGTCAGTCGTTCAAGGATAAGGCCAATCGAAGGATGGACACGGAAGGTTTCTTGGATGCAAGCGTGCAGATAGGGTAACTTCTGTGCATCGCCCCAAGTTATGATGCCTCCTTCATTGGAGATCGACCCGGTCTTGACGGCACTGTCGATTTCCTCGTTTAGCTTTTGATAGCACCGAGGATTCTTAAGAAGGTTGTAGAAGACCGCCGCCAAGCTGATGGCCGTGGTGTCTGATCCAGCCAGCGCGATTGACGTGGTCATGGTGAGCAGGCGGCTGTCGTCAAAGAACGCTGGATCCTGCTTCTGCGCCTTCAAGAACATGTTCAAGAGGTCCATGCTATCGGTCGCCAACTCGTCCTTGCCAGAGGCTCTCTTCGCCTCCATCTCGTGCAGTCGTTCAGCCATTCTCGCTTTGGAGAATATCGCCGTCCCGGAAGAATTGTCAATGAACCCATATTTGCTGAGCATTGTGCGGACCGGGTTTTTGACGAACAGCTTATCTAACCAAGGCATCTGGCCAACCTGCGATGAATGCGTCAGCTAACAAACTCACTGGGGTTGTAGTGGTATATCAGCATACAGGTGCCTGATAGTCAAATATCTTGCCCAGCCAAGCAATGATCCCGTCTACATCCTGACATTTGTCGATAAACCCGACCCTCCTGCTGTATGTGATTTCTGTGATGACATCAAAGGCAAAGTATTGCAACCAGAGGATGAAATTGCAGACATTGCCCGGAGCTGCATACAGCTTTTCTGTCTGCGCCAGGAAGACTCGCACGGTTTCATTGACCCGGGGCTCATATTGAATGAGTGAAGTCATCGAGAATGCATTGCTGACGGTTCGTCGGAGTCTCATGTGGTAATCCTGGTCTTGTGTCCCAAACAGAGACTGAAGCACCTCGCCTCTCGAGATCTGCATCTGAACCGGATAAAAGCCACTCTGTCCATTCGGTCAAACCTCTGTCAAACAAAACCACAGATAAATGCGACTGTACCTTGCCGAGTTTGTGGTTGATCCCATAGATTGCTTTGAGGGCATCTGGGCTGCTGAAAGAGAGTGAGTTGGGTCCCACCCTGACGATGTCGCCATGCTTTTTATGCAATTCTCTTAATGTGAATTGAGGCTTTCCATGCATCACACTCAGGAACCTCCAGATATTCGTGAAAGAAGCGGGAAACGGGGCGGGGTATTTGTTGAGACCATGATTAAAATGATTCCTCCATAATGTTACGACCGGAATCAGGACGAGTAGAATACACGCCAACTTGGTCGTGAGATCGCTTGGGACATTGTCTATGATCATCTTTGAACTGTTTGGATCTGAACCCAGGTCTGTATGAGAAGATACCGGTTCAGGAACTAACTCTCGACTTGGTGCCGGCGCCCAAATTGGTGTGAGATATCAGAGACGTTGGACTTATATGATGAAAGCAGGGAGCCCGCTGAGGCACACAGCATCGTGGACTAGGAGCACAGGTCGGCATGGGCAGCAGGAAGGGAAATGATGCCACCGACCAGCATCGACCAGCACGGGATTCACCTCCCAATGGCTGGCTACCTAATCAAAAGTGGTGCGATGTGGATATTGGCGGTGTGGGTCAATCTCAGATAGGAGTTGTGTCCCCATAAAGCGCCTCTTGATCTAGACTCGGGGATTGAAAGATCTCAACACTGAACAGACCACAACCCCGGAGCCCGATGGTGGATCTGGGTATTGGTGTCGGCCTCGTCTGTTTGCCTCGTTGAAGTCGCTATACCCGATCGACACTGTGTACTGCCCCGCCTCACACAGCATTCGTTCGTTTGTACCAAGGCCGCACTTGTATCTATGTAGACGACTTTCATTTTTCTAGGCCTTGAAGATAAGGCTTTGACGCCATTATTGATGACTGTAATTGTATTCCACTTGCTCACCACCAGGGCGCAATGAGGGTGAAGGCTCGACGGGTGGCCGTTATTGGAGCAGGGCCTGCCGGCGCCATTGCCACGGATGCCTTGGTCAAAGAACAAGCCTTCGACACTGTTCGAGTGTTTGAGCGGAAGAGTGTTGCAGGAGGAACATGGTTAGTCAACTGATATCTCCAAAGCCATAGACACAAGTAATGTCGACTGACTGGGGGCGTCGTAGGGTCTATTCACCGGAACTTTCGCCTAGCATTCCTTCGCTTTGTGCTCTTCTCGAGCAAAAGGCAGACCAGCCAGTCACCATCCCAACCGACTTCCCATGCGACACCAACAAGACCGAATCAATCAACTCCTATCAGATCCGTTACTCTGACACGGGGATTCATGAAAACCTCCATAGCAACCTTCCCCCGCAAACAATGTCATTTACCCAAGAGCCAATTCCCAATATCATTTCAGAGCGAGCATTAGCACAATACGGCCCCAATGCTCCGTTCCGTCACAGAGAGGTCATTCGTGAATGGGTGGAGGAGATCTTCAACCACGCCGGCCACCAAGACCTTGTCGAGTTCAATACGACGGTTGAGCATGCTGAGAAAAGGGGAGACGAGTGGGTGTTGACTCTACGAAAACTAATCCCCGAGAAAAAGAGAAATCACTGGTGGCAGGAAGTGTTTGACGCGGTGGTGGTGGCAACAGGCCACTTTTCCTTGCCGTATGTGCCTGATATACCAGGACTGGTAGAGTACGACCAAAGGTTCCCTGGGACGGTCAGGCACAGCAAGCACTTTCGCTCCACAAACGAGTTCAAAGGAATGGTAAGAGAACAACGCACCGTTCTGACCCGTCATTATTTGTCCCTTGCGAGCAAAAACAAATGCTGACGAACACTCGTTTGGCTCGCAGAAAGTTGTCCTAGTAGGAGGCTCTGTCTCTGCATTCGACGCATTACACGAGATCAGAACAGTTTCCAAGCGTCCAGTCATCGCATCCCTCAGAGAGCCGCTACCAGCCTTCGGCTGGGGAGCTTTCACCCATCCACATGTGGTTATCAAGCCACCTATTGCTCGGTTTCATGCTGACAGTGGACAAATCGACTTTTCGGATGGAACTTCGATAGACCATGCTGATGTCGTTCTTTTTGCCACGGGATACGACTTCAGCTTCCCTTTCCTAGACAAGTCCAAAGTAGAGATACGGAACAGGAGAATTCGAGGCTTGTATCACCATGTCTTCAGCATTTCAGACCCGACTCTCTCATTTATAGGAATGGTAAGTTATCTTCCCATTCCAGGAATTGCGCCCTGAAAAGGTGGGTTGTGAAGGAAGATACTTCGACTGACTCGAATGCTCTCCTAGGTTGCCGGCGGTCTTACATTTCGTGTGTTTGAATGGCAGGCTGTGGCGGTCGCCCGTGTTCTGGCGGGACGAGCTACGTTACCCCCGCAAGAAGACATGGAGAGATGGGAGGCTGAAAGGATAGCCAAACGTGGCGATGGTGTTGGGTTCTTTTCGATTGCGCAAGACCTTGAGGACTCTTTTGAGGAATTGGGGATGCTGGCCGGCGAGCCAGCCGCTGGGACAACTGGTAGAGTTCTGCCAAAGTATGAACAGAGCTGGATCGAGGCATTTCAGGAGATTGTCACCCTGAGGAACCGGTGGTGGGCACAGGAAAGACTTAAGTCTGAGGCATGTTCCAACCCACTGGTTGAAGGGAAGTTATAAGGCAGGCAAGACAGGCCATCCACTATCAGCCTTGTTTCGAAGCATTAGCTATGTACGATCAGCAAAAGGATAGACTGAGACGACTCGGCTTCCACAATGACGCTCAAGTCTAGGCATGGCGACGTTGCTCATCGCGTCAAGTATCGTTATTCAGCAGCAGCCAAAACGAAGTGCTCTGCTCCATTACACTCGAAGCTCTTCATGGTAAGAGAGCACCTCTCGACGAATAGGGCCCAGCCTTAGACAACAGACTGGAGTGGCGGGATACACTCGCCCCATAGAGAAGCAAGGTGCGATATACAGGGCAATGTTCCCGCAGTAACCAGGCAAGCCCCCTTACAAAGCAAATTTGATATAGATGCTTGACTGGTAGGTAAGCAGTCCGTAAGGTCGATATAACAGGCATTCTCCTTCAACGTAGATCATCTACTTCCTATTAAAGCTTTAAAGGACGCCTCTGTTGAGACCTAATACTACTCCTAGCTGATAGGGTGGTTATGGGCGACTTCGGTGCCTGTACCCAACTTCGACCTACCACCTTTTGAGCTTTTGAAGGACGGCCTTACCAAGATCTGGCGGTGCTGCTTATGTTGTAGGGAGGCTAGGGAGGCTGGCCAGGATGCCCGAGGAGATTTGCCATGCTCGCCGTCCATCAGCAGTGAAAATGGCCCATTTTTACATGCCGAGTTATCTACACCTTATGGGAAGCAATCTTGTGCTAGCAACAGACCGGAAATGCTTCAGCCTGCTGCCCTTTCGAGACGTAGAACTTCTGGACTCGCCAAACGCCGTCTATCTGTGGTCAACTCGTGCAGCAATACCGTCGATTGTACATGTGGGGCGATAGGGGATGCAGCTCCACCAACTATGAGAATCGTCCCCGGCCCAGCAACAAGCATAACATATTTACAAGAGAAACGTAAAGGGAACACTGCCATACCCAGAAATAGATTTATACCCAGGTCTGTTGATGCCCTGCTTATTCTAAAGTCCTCCCACCATCCCTGCTCGGAGTTCTGAGCAAGAACCATGGCGTCCCCGACTATCACCAAAGTCTCCCTCGACGTGCCTGCCCTTGGCAAGGCTACTGGTCTCTGCTTCGACGGCCAGACATGCCAATACTACGGTGTCCCTTATGCCACTGTTCCAGGTCGTTTCAGGCGGCCTCAGCCTGCTCCCAAGCCGTGGACCGGTAACAAGTGGGATGGTACCAAGCTTGGGTCAGCACCACGCACGTTACCCCCTGAGCGACAGGTAATGTTCTAATCACGGTCTTGTAGAGCCATGTGCCCGCAACCTCCAAGAGACTATCAGTATATTCCCAACCCCGAACGGCCATGGGTTGAGAATGCGCCAATATCCAGCACGGAATGCCCAAATCTTCACATCTCTGTCCCCGCACCCCCAGCCGAGGTCGCTGGCAAGCCTCTGTATCCTGTGATGGTCTTTGTCCACGGTGGCGCTTTTGTCTACGGGGCTGGATCTGCCGCGATATACGACGGGAGAAGATTGGCGCAGATATCACAGGAACAAAGCATGCCGACCATCATTGTCACCATCTCGTATCGAGTGGGCGTTTACGGTTTCCTTGCCAGCAAGGAAATCAAAGAATACAACCGCCAGTTTGGCGAGAGTGGTGTTGGGAACTATGGGATTTGGGATCAGATTGAGGCATTGAGGTGGATTCAGGACCACATTCAGGCCTTTGGTGGTGATCCCAGCAGAGTCACCTTTTTTGGCCAGAGTGCGGGAGGAGGTGAGAGGTTTCCCTGCAACTATTGCTGAAGTACGAATCGCTGATCTTCCCCATCGTCAAGTATCCGCAAACATCCACATGCTGCGAGGCGAAAAGCTGTTCTCCTCGGCCATCATACAATCCGGTCTGCTGCCCGTGTGCGGCGTGCTGTCTGAGGAGCAGTACCAAATCATTTACGACAAGCTTCTTGCCGTGCTCGAGATCCCTACAGCCCTCGCACCCGAACAGCGTCTGCAGAGACTTATCGAGATGGACGAGTCGAAAGTGGATCTTGCCCTGATGTCCGTCGGCGTCATCCCCGTCCTCACTCTCTCGCCCTGCGACGACCACTGTCTCCTACCCCAGGCGATGCCCACGTATTCAAGCTACTCGACTTTCGAAGCACCATCTTGGTGCCCGCGCTTAATGATCGGAGATGTAGCCCACGAAACACTGATCTGGAACAAATCCTTCAGATCCCTCGATGCTGGCGAACTCATCTCTCGGATCAAATTGTTCCTCAAAGACGATGTCAAGGCGCAGAAACTCATGGACTTGTATCAAATCACCCCCGATATGGATCGCAATAAAACATTCTACAAGATCGGGAAGTTTACCACTGATGGCTTGTTCCTTGCCGTCCACTGGGCTGCCCTTCGCGCAAATCCAAAGATGTATGCTTATCGCTTCGATGTGCCGTCTCCGTTTGAGACAGACTTCCAGGCACAGGCGCATCATTCCTTGGACAACGTTTTTGTGTGGGGTCTACTCAAGGAGTCGCTTCCACCCAATCAACAGCGTATCTCAGAGAAGATGTCTGAGTCCTGGTTGCGGTTTGCCAATGGCCAGGAGCCTTGGGATCGCTTTGACAAGAACAAAGAGTTCATGGTCTTTGGCCCAGATGACTATGGCATGAGAAGCATATCCGATGATGCTAAAAGGGGTTATGCCATATGGGAGGAGATTGAGCGGGAAGGACTCATGCAAGACTTTGGAGAACTAGCAGATGAGTTGTGTATGAGGCACTCAGAGGTCTGCGATCCCAATGTGCCACCGAAAGAGCTTGTCACGGACGATTTTGTGACCCTGGGAATCAGTACAGGAAACCAACTCGGTGGGTTGCGGATGGACTTTTGATTGAGCTCAAGATTCTCCTACACCATGTTTTGCATCGACTCTGAACTCTCAATCAGGGTCTTGATGTTATCTTAGTATGATGCGAGGGGCGATGGAATAGCGTAGGGCGCTATTTTAGAGGCGCGATAGGGGTTTGGATCACCGGGGTTCCAGACCCATTCTTCGGGCATCGCGCTCTTCACTTTGGTAGTCACTAGGGTCGAGAAATTCTCGAATTGCACAATTCGCCATCCGAACCATTATGGCGAATTCTGGGCCGGTGTAAGAAACGTGTCCACTTTCGGTACCTTGAACTACATGTCCCCTAGTATCCACTCTTGACCCGAGGTTGCCGCCTCACGATGGCCTCCTCCTGGGAGCGACTACTGTGGACGCTTCAACGACATGAACATCCATCACGACCCTCTCGTTATTGGCGCCAGAAGCTTTGTCGACGAGGAGATGCTATGGTAATCAGTAATCATGCCAACGTCAATCATTCTTCGTATGTCCACATTGTAGGTAACCAAAGTGTTTCTAGACGCTGAGGAAATCTTGCAGACAGTGTGCTTGAAGCCATCTGAATAGATCAAGACAGACTCCCCAATTTGGTATATGGATTCAATACACACTTCCTCTTGAGACCAACCTGACAAGCATTGTGGAAGGTTCAATTAAATTGATGCACACCTTGACGACCATGACCTTCATAGACTGCCCATCGATTGTTATATCCCTTCCCGACGTAGATGATCCTCTCCTGAAAGAACTCAAGCCACCCGTTGAGGACCGATGTAATTCTTCTGCCGCCAGAACCAGAATGCACCCATGAAGATTGTCAGCCCCCCTGTGATCAGGCAGGTATAATTCATGTTTTCGGCCGTGACTGGTAGGGAGAAAGGAAAGCAGAAGATGACGACGAAAGCGATCATGTAACCACACGAAAAGGCGTTGACAATATACCCAATGGCGCCCTTCATCCAGAACCACCCAGGGGTGACGTTGGACCTCTTAGTCAACAAGTGCGGCAGAATGGCCGCAATGTAGGAGAGTGACGACAGCACAACATAGGAGTCGACAAACGCGGCGAAGGCCGTGGAGGATCCCACGTAGATTGCGCCAAAGATGATCGTAGCGACACCGACCACCAGAATGGAGTTGAATGGATTCTTGAATCTCGGGTGGATACGATGCAGGGTCTTGCTGAAGGGCGTTGCGTTCTCACGGGACAATGTCCACAGGATACGACTGGCGGTGATACACGCACCGACGGTTGCCGCACAGGCGGGCAGCAGGATCAGGATACTCAATCCGAGGGCTCCGCCAGCCGATCCAGTCGCTTGTCGGTAGATTTCAACCAGCGGCATGGCCAGTGAACTGTCCAGCACATCGTCGAGACTGTCGATGCCGTACAGAATGGTGATCAGGTAGGTGAAAGCGGTGATGAACCCGACAATAAACTGAGTCAGGACCGCCTTGGGAATATTGGCGCTTGGTCTGCAACGCTGGCTGTTAGAAGAGCATAGATCAAGATGGTTAAGGAGGGGAGATCGCACTTAGGGATTTCTTCGGCCAAATGCGAGACGACATCGGGTGTGCCGACGGAGAAGGCTCCGTTCAACATGCCAGCGACAAACACGAAGCCGTTGCTGCTGTAGCCGGTGGAGTTCACCCAGTCACCCCACACAAACCGATGCGAGGCATATGGTCGTCCGTTGACAGCTGGCATCACAGCACACACGATGATGGTGATGAACACCCCCGTCAGGACCAAGAAGCCACCTACGGCCTCCACCATGGGCAGGATTCTGTTCGCGAACAAGACCAGACTGCACGAGATGATCGTGATGAGGAGGTAGCTCACAAAGACATGCCATCTTTGAAGCTCGAAGTCCGGATGAAACAGGGCGTACATGGAAAGAGTCAACTCGGCAACGATTTCGGCCGTGCCCACATATGCGAAAAGCCAGGCGAAAAAGTTCCACCAGCCGGCAAACCAGCCACTGACTCGACCATATGGCCCCGCAGCGACTGCAGCCCAGTGGTAGACTGTCTGCCATCAGCATGAGATCTTGCAGAAGAGAAAGGCAAAGACTCACCTCCACCAGAAGATGGGATTGCTGAAGCAAGCTCGGCAATCGAGGCGGCAACAAACCAGTAGCATACAGACACCACGATGCTGCTGGGGTTAGCTGAATTCTGGGTTGTCGTCGCCTGCTTCACTCACAACTCGTATAGCACACCAGGTGGTCCACCGTTGTAGATGGCAACAACCTAGGTTTTGTCAGCAAACTGATCCTGGTTGACGTCTTGCACTGACATACAATACTACCCCCAATGGTGATCCAGGTGTTACCCGTTGTGACTGCATAGCCATAGAGAGCGATTGGGTTGAAGATTCGCTCAAGCTCTTGCTCATGGCCTGAGGCATTGATCTTGTGCCCGTCGCTGGTTGCCGACACTTCCGCTTCCTTTGAGTGTGGCGCCGCAACCAACTCCTTGGATTCCGGCGTCGTACTCGGATCGGACAGCTCAGCCATTGTAATGCTGGGCCACAACCACTATATCTCCTGACAAGATGGAAGTGTCTGTAATTGACAATTTGCAGCCGTTTAGGCAGTGAAGGTGGTGCCAACTGGGGGAACTTAAATTTATAGAAGCCGAGCGCAACGTGCGAGATTTGAGCAATCAACACATACCAAGTGGCTCAGATAGTCAGTATGGCACAGTCCATCCTAGTCGCGAATAAGAGTCGCTGTTAGGACAAGAAATGAGACTGAGAGCTTGTCCATGCTTAGCTACTGAAGCGTTGATGGCCGGGGTACTTTCGAGTGGAAGGCTATACCCAACAGGGTATTGTGTCGTCTTGGCAGGCCCCATCGTAGATAGGGCACCACAAAAGTGGAGCTGCATTAATTTAGCCCTCTATATTAACATCTTAAGGACCCCTATCGCGACCCACATCTGATAAGAGATTCATAGTTCCCGGCAGCCGGGAATCTGGGACCAGCCTGGATGGATGAACACGGGGTCCTCTTATGGCCCTCGATCAGCCAGGGCCAGACCACTTCAAATGATCTCGGCTTTGGATCATACTGAGAGCACAGCTGTTCGGTGAAATCGGTTGTCGCTTCTCCTGGCCTCGCAAGAACTGCACACGGGTGAACAGCGGTCTTGGTCGACAAGCATACATACATACATAGTCGCCTCGGAGTCTACGCCTTGTCGAGTGAGTCCGGATCGTGAGGTGCGAAGCATCAAGAGTTCTGGAACATGGCGGACAAATATTACGACTATATCATCTGCGGGTATGTTCAATGTCTGAACTCTCAGAAGACTGACTGGCTGATCATAACTAGGGGTGGCACGTCAGGCTGTGTACTGGCCGGGAGACTGGCTGAAAACATCGATGCCCGCATTCTCTTGATCGAGGCTGGGCCAGATAGTGCGGACTTGGAGAATGTGCACATGGTTGGCGGGTACGTGAAGCTTCCACAAGCGACGGTGACTTTGTAACTGAGGCCAACCGCAACTCAGGTGGTCCAACAACTTCGACTCAGAGACAGATTGGAACATCGTGACCGAGCCACAGTCAAGCGCAGATGGTCGCCAGATCAAATGTAGTCGTGGGAGACTTCTTGGTGGGAGCAGTGGTGTCAATGGAACATTGTGCATCCGCGGCGTCAAGCAGGACTTTGATGATTGGAAACTGGATGGTTGGACTGGAGAGGATATGTGGAGATGTATGAACAAGGTTCGTTCTGTGCTGTACCACTGTCAGTCAGGATTGCAAACTAACCGAACGCAAAGTCCGAAACCTTTCACAACAAACCGTGGTTTAATCCAAGTTTCAAGGATCATGGCTACGATGGACCACTTCACTTGGAGCCTCATGATCTGGCGCCAATCTCAGAGTTGGTCAAACAATCCATGATTGAGAAAAGCTTGCCTCTGCACGAAGACATGTTCGCCACAGGCGAGACCTCCACGGGCTGCGGTCATGCTCTTCGAACGGTCTATGAAGGCATTCGGACAACTGCAGCAGATTTCGTAAGTAAGGGATATCGTCGCGACAATGTCACTATCCAAACAGATGCTACCGTCGACAAGGTCATCATCTCCGAAGGTTCCAATGGGCTTCGTGCCACCGGAGTTGAGATGATTACGAAAAGCGGTGAGAAGATCACAGCCCATGCGCGAAAAGAGGTCATTGTCAGCGCTGGTGCCTACGGCAGTCCCGCGATCCTCCTCAGATCTGGCCTTGGTCCAAAGGAAGAGCTTGAGAAAGTCGGCATCACCCCCAAAGTGAATCTGCCAGGCGTTGGGAAGAACTTGCTCGATCATCCAGTGAGTACAACGACAGAAGAGAGAAAGGGGTGATTTTACTAACGTCGGTAGGTGTGTTGGTTCTTCTACGAGGTGGACAGACCAGGTCTCACTCTTGACCATCTCGTCCACCACGACCAGGGGTTTGCATCCTCATACAAACTATACAAAGAAAAGAAGACCGGGGTTTTCTCGACGTTTCCATTCGGGATCTTTGCATACACCCGTCTGGACAAGCAACTCAACGGTGATCCGCTATGGGAAAAGGCGCCTCGCTGGGAAGGTCGGGATGCAATGGGACTGACACCATCCCAACCCAATGTTGAGTTCTTCAACACTGAGATGTATGGGGGTCCCAAACAGTGGGTAGATTTCCCGACCGACCACCGGTACGTGGTGGGCATGTGTACCGTTCTTTTCAGCGCTCGCTCAAGAGGGTCGGTAACACTTCGGTCATCAAACCCCTTGGAGAATCCCATCGTGGATCACCAATACCTGGCCGACCCGCTTGACCTCTTGGTCCTTACGCAGGGGTGCCAAACCATCAACAACATCATGACTACAGGAAGTGCGACCAAAGATCTGATCAAGGGAAGTTGGCCTCCTCGGCGAAGTCATCATCAATATACCTCCCGGAAAGAATGGGAGCCTTATGTCAAGGAAACCGTAACAACGTGTATGGCAAATCTTCTGTTGGTTTATTGATTCATGTGCTAACAGTCTCATAGGCTATCACCCTGGTGGTACGTGTAAGATGGGTCAAATTACAGATCCTATGGCTGTGCTCGATGAACAACTTCGTGTCCGTGGAGTCAAAGGATTGCGAGTCGTCGATGTCAGCGTCATGCCAGAACTTAACAATGGCCATACCCAATCTCCTGCTTATGGTATTGGGGAGAGAGCTGCCGAGATCATCAAGGAAGACTCGAAGAAGGCTTCCAAGTTGTAGAAGTTGTACAGTAACAAGATTACTTGCGGCGTCAGATCTTGTGCAGTCGGTAGGAACAGTTTACAGCTTAGGCAATAAAGAGTCTTTAGTTGGCAGAGAATTTCTTTCGGAGTATTTCTTCCCAATTCGAAAGCCTTCCAAATCAAGGGGTTTAATGATAACACCAAGATCTATAATCTGGAATCTAGTAATGAGAAAACTCATACAGCTACTCCCTCCTGAAACTCCTTGCTGAACTTATAGTCCGTGTATCCCTCCGGCTGTAATACCTCGTAGAATAGTTCCCGGATGTACTTGGTAAGTGGAATACCTTTCTTGATCCGAAAAGGGAGATCCGGGTTCGAGATGAAAGGTCGGCCAAAAGCAATCAACACATCTTTATCCACATATTTGCCATCAACGGTTTGTTTTGCACTGTCCGGAGTGTAACCGCCTGCAATGATGACCGGACTGGTGTTGTTCCATGCATCCACAAACAAGTCAATAGAATCTGTCTGATTTGTGTCGAACAAGCCTGCCACCCTTGCTTCGATGATGTGCAGGTAGGCTAATTTGAGTTTGCGCAGTTCTTGCAAGAGATACGTGAACTGAGGTATCGGGTCGTCCATTCTCATTCCGTGATGTCTATTCCAGGGGCTGATGCGAAATCCGACCCTGTCAGCCCCGATGGCATCTGCCAGGGCTTTAGCCACTTCGATGCCGAACCTGGCTCTGTTTTCAATGGTTCCCCCCCAGGCGTCTGTTCTCTTATTACATACGTCCTGGGTGAATTGGTCCACCAAATAGCCGTTTGCGCCGTGTATCTCGACGCCGTCGAATCCTGCTTCAATGGCATTGATACCGGCTTGACGGAAATCCTGGATGAACTGCAGGATCTCCTCTTCGCGCAGAGGTCGGGGAACCGCATCATCCTCGCTCCATGGAATGTCACTGCTCGAAACCACCTCTGCCCCTCGAAGAACTGCTAAAGGTCTGGCAGCACGCCCCGTCATCCATAGTTGCATGAAAATATATGACCCTTTGTCGTGCACTGCTTTGGTCACAGGTTTCCATTTCTCAATCTGTTCATGCGTGTATATTCCAGGAGTGTTGGGCCAGACAGCGGCACGAACACATACAGCGCAAGCTTCGGTGATCAAAAGTGTCCCTGGGGTTGAAGCTCTTTGAGCATAGAAGTCGACTAGCAAGTCCGTAGGAATAAAGCCATCTTGTGCGCGACGGCGTGTCATCGGTGCCATCGCAACGCGATGTTGCAACTGGCATTGGCCGACCTGGATGGGCGTAAAGAGTCGAGACATGACGAAGATTGGTTTTTGGCTCTCAAGCACAAGATGCAAAGAAAATAAAGGTATTGATGCCTATTCGAATACTCCGTCTATGTGTGTTGTCTTAGTCTTAGTTGAGAGGAGTGCTTTAGTTGTCCCCGGCCTTGTTGCTAAACGAGGCTCTAACACGAGGGACCCAAACAGGGAGATGACAACATCGTCAATAGTCAGATATTAGCGTTTGCTACAAGCACTACGAGAAGGCCTACTGGCACAATATTGAAAGCCAATTCCAAACCCCGACAAGGGGTTCTAGAAGTAGGTGCGTACCGTTGTTCTGATAGTGTTGAAGCTAAAGGGGCAGAACAGAGTATCAATCGCCGGTTATCGATAGGATGATAGGGGTTTAAATAAGCTTGATAAGAGATAGGAAATCCCGATAAACAAACACTAGCACTACTATTACTGTGTCTCTGACACTGATAGGGGTGTAAAGGGTCTAGGAGTGGGTACGTTTGGTTCCCCGGAACTTGCAAGGATACTGAGATATTGTATGTGAAGCCGCGTTTATCTAGCCAAGTGATTGACACTTTAGACACCACTCATTGTCACGCCATAGTAGTTGTACATGACATCCTGTCGCCCACCCGTCACTTCATCTCTTGATCGAACTACCTCCAACCCCGGACGTTGATAGGGGATAGAGGCTGGTCGCTTTTTTGAAGCCTCGTGCACTGACTCGGACAATGACTTGCGTGCTTTTGACTACTCTCTAGGACGTTCAGCTAAGCTTCTGCGGCGACAACCTTGAGGGATACTGTGTACTCTGCCAGACTGCCAGTCAGTGCCCGCCCCGTTCATATCGCACTGTAGGGTACCTCTTCATTGTCACATCTAGATCGCCTAGACCGTTATGGATCGGTACCCACCGTGGTAGGGGAAAAGATCCTCTACCATCGCCGAAAGTCTCTCCAAGCTGAACAGCAATGGACCGCTCGTTGGAGATGGTACTTGCCCGAGGCTCTTCTGGGATGGTCGCTTTCCGTGTCGTCAGAACGACACACCTTATACCCAGCTTGAAGCTGCAAGTCCCCTTGCGGCAAAGTCAGGTCTCAAAACGAGATGAAGGTTAAGGCAGTTGTTGTTGGTGCTGGTCCAGCTGGCATAGCCGTAGTAGGCAACTTACTTGAGCAGCAGAAGTTTCCTATCCTATGGATTGATGACCAGTTCGACGGCGGACGATTGAACAAGTTCTATAGGGAGGTTCCAAGGTATGTTGGTGAACGATACCACCAGTCCTGACAGATGTTATCTGATTCTGCCACTCTAGCAACACCAAAGTCGGGCTGTTCGTAGGCTATGCCAATGGCGTCTCCTCCTTTCGCAGTATTGCAAGGGAGATCCCAGAGCCGAATGCCATCAGCCTTATGAAAAGTCTACCACAGGACAAGACATGTCAGATTGCCAGAGCGGCGGACATGTGTGTGATGCTCACTCAAGGTCTTGATCAATCCAAAGGTGTCTCCAAGGAACTCGGTATGGTCACTGAGGCATCGTGGTCAAAGGTAAGCGGTACTCATCCCATGACCTGGGGAGACGTTATTGATGTTGAATAGCACGACAAGTGGAATGTCACTATCAACTCGGTCAATGGAGAATTCCCGCTTACAATCTCATCTGAGCTCCTTGTTCTGTGTACAGGCTCGTCGCCAGCCACGGTGCCGTTGCCCGTGAAGTTAGAAGAGATCAGCCTAGACACGGCACTCAATCCGCCACTTCTCTCCCGCATGGTCCCTTCCGGCAAATTTTCGACTGTAGGCGTTATTGGCTCCTCCCACAGTGCCATCCTCGTTCTCCGCAATCTTTGCAACCTCGCCAGCAGCACACATCCTGATCTACGCGTCAAATGGTTCACTCGTCACCCTCTACGCTACGCTGAGGAGCGCGACGGGTGGATCCTCCGCGACAACACAGGCCTGAAAGGAGAAGTTGCCTTCTGGGCCAAAGCCAACCTAGAAGACGACATACTGCCCACGTCGGTCGTTGCGGAGTATTTGCAAAAAGTGCCAACGACACTAGAGCATGAAAACATCATTTACCAGACACACCTACCAGCCTGCACCCACGTTATCCAGGCTATTGGTTACCATCGAAATGATATCCCCGTACTCACGGTCAACGGCGTCACTATATTGGGCGTATGTCATAACGCTACGACGGGCGGCTTCACCGATAGGCATGGTGTCACTATCAGAGGCCTCTATGGAGCAGGTATTGCATGGCCGGAGAAAACGGTCGACCCAGAAGGAAAGATCCAGTATGCGGTGGGCTTAGCGAAGTTTATGAAATTCTTAACACGTGTAACACCGGCATGGACTGGATAGATATTAGTTTCGATTGCTATGAATTAGTATTTGGTGCAAGATTGTGAGTCTGAGGGTGCTTGCGCCCTATTTATATTCGGGTTTAGAACCTCGAATGATCGACTCCACGATCAATAAGGACTCGTTTCCAGACGATACGTTTCTCGCCAATCTTCTGAAGCGACAGATTTGCTCACGATGTCAGGACAATGTGTTGAGTTCAGCAGACAGCAGAGATGAGGCGGTTGAGATATATAGATAAAACACAGCGGGAGATTTCACTGTGTCCTTGAACATCTCTCGGCTTGGATGGCATATGAGTTGTGAAGTAAACATGATGCCTGATCTATCATCAGCCAAAGCCCTTGATTACGAAGCATCCTGTCAATATGGCTTGTCTCCCGTCCGGGCTATTAGAAAGTATGTGATTTATTTCCCTATCATTCCCAGTCTCATCCAGGACTGAGAACAAATGGAGCGAAGCTGCATGGCGCATGAAAAATATAGCCAGAGGTCAGCCACCAGGAGCCTCCGCCTGCGAGCAGAAACTTGGCAGAAGAGGGTCCTTCGTAGGTACGGCGGCGCAATAACAAGTTAAGTCCAACACCAATGTCTGCACTCCCTGGTGACCGACGTTGCGTAGCTTGCCTCGCTGTATGTCACAGATGGGGGCCGGGGTCGAACCGAGCTGGACGTCCAAACCCTCTCAGCTGTGGTTCAACCAAAAAGAGATTCGGCCGCCAGACTTACGTCTCAGGTGTCGAGATCTTTTTGCCCGTCTGCGCACGCTGTATAGCATCGGACCCCAGCCGGTGGCGGTCTCCTCATGTTTGGTCATCAACTCCGGCCAATGCATGAGCGTAAAGGCTTTCCTGCATAATCATGTGCTGGTCAAGTTGTTGCATCCTTTGGGGTCCCTGATTGGCTCTGCGCTTGCTGCTGGCTCGCTGCTTTAAGATTCGCGATCTGATCATCCAGGATTGCAATTTCCACGTCCAGTTTGAGAAGCTTCTCCTGCAGGAGGCTTCCATACTCCTCGTCTGTCAGGGACTTCATCGGCATCAGGCCTGCCAGCTTCTGTTTCCAGCCCGAAGACACACTTTGGTCTGGCGTAGAGTCGTCCATGGTGTTGACGACCGCTTGGGAGGCGGCCGCAAAAACTCCTAGCATAATGCTTCCTGGAATAATGCTGCCTCGGGGCACTGATACAGTCAGACCACGCTTCCTGACTTGGTGCATGTCACTCACAAAAAGCTGAAACCACTGCCCCGGTACAAGCTCCCGCAAGACCGCTTGCAGCGATTCGCTCGATCCCTCGATCCCGAGACAAGGGGCCTGCAAGAAGCGCATTACGACAGTCTGGGAAGAAGTCAGATTTGTTTCGGAGTACATAAGTAGGGAACGGACAGAAAAAGGCCGTTCCTCCGCAGAACCATTGTATCCCGGTCAAGGTCGTGTAAGTTTTTGGCCGCGGCGACTGAATCAAGACTGAGACTATCCCTCCATATGCAACACCAAGGGCCCCTAGGAGGACAAGTCAGCAAGACGGCACCAGGAGATATTCCTCAAATAAGTACCTGTAGCCACGCCGACACTCAAGGCAGGGTAAAATGGGCTCACCAAGGCCCTCTCAAGGGTCTGAGACTGGCCCTCTGCCATATTGGCATGGACACAGGAGGCTGTTAAGGCTCCTGCCGGACCACAACAGGCAACAACTCTGATGGCGCAAATCAGATCACTGACCGCGAAGAATCGTCATGGACCAAAATACGCTCTCGTCACATAAAGGTCCTCACTGCCGGGCGCGGTCATCCGCGGCTAAATCTGGTTGTACGCGAGGTTTCCTCCAAACTTGAAGTCCGCGCCAAGCCGTATACACGCGATACCCGATCTGGAAGCGGCTTGGGAAGAAACTTGAACTTCAACTGCAAAGAAGCAGGCCCTCGACACTTTTCAGGCGTTTGCTCCAGCTGTGCCTACCCTCAACGCGCCTAGATTCTTACTTGCACACGTCCGACTTGCTCGCCTTTGTCCAGCATCAGTGCATCTCTGCATTTACCCGCATCCGAGTGCGATCCCCGACAACACTTCAGCCGGTCGCACACAGTTCAGTGCGCCTGCTGAGATTTCGCCATCATGGGTATGCCCACATCTCAAGATGCCGCACAATCTTCGGGCGGTCTCAAGATGTTTGGAAACGAATGTACTAACTCTGGCCAGGTCCAAAAAAGAACCAGAACCAGAAGATGTCCCTAGGGACCTTCTTGCAGGATGAGAGTGAGTAACGGTCAGATCGGTCGCAGCCGATCTATGTCGCTGACCGGTCACAGATTTTGGCTCATGGGCTGATGAGATGGAGGACATGCCCTTGCCTTGTACGTTCACACTTTGTGCATGATGCCGCAATGCCCCTCGTGGTACGGTTCCGATGGCTGACTATACTCGTGAACATAGCCTCAGACAGTCGACCTAGCTACGGAGGCGGAAGCGGCCCACGAACCTTCGGCCCATCTAGTGGCATGGGCAATGGATATTCGGGTGGGTTTACTTGCGTCCACATCGCACGGGGGAGAGAGCTGATATAATGGGAGAATAGACCGACGAGACACATACCAGACCCGCGAACAACTCCCGCTTCCTACCCAACCTCCGTTTACCGCCCACTTGGCAAATCTATCATTTGACGCCACTGAATCAGACGTCAGTGACTTCTTCAGGGAGTGCCAGGTTACAAGTGTCCGGATCGTTGAAGACAAGCTCGACCGCAAACCCAAAGGTTTCGGTTACGTTGAGTTTGCGACACTCGATGGCTTGAAGGCTGCATTGGACCTGAGCGGCAACAACTTGGCAGGCCGTCAAGTTCGCGTCAGTGTTGCAGAACCTCGTAAGTCGTGTAGAATGAAGTTCATGCACGGGCTAACACCTTTCTAGCGAAAGATAGACAGGACACCCGAGACTTTAGCGACTGGTCGAGGAAAGGGCCTCTTCCGGACCTGCCAAGAGAACAACGCAGAGTTTCTGATCGACAAGGTGGATTTGGCGGTCGCAACTTTGACAACACATCAGATGCGGGAAGCGACCGAGGTGGCCGACGTGGATTCGACCAAGGAGATGGGAAGGTCAGGGACTTTTCGAACTGGGAGAGAAAGGGCCCTTTGTCACCTAGTGCGGCTGCACCAACCTCTCTGCGTGAAGGAGGTAGACAACATAGCAAGGACGGTCCCGGAGCCTTCCGCCGGAACTCACCTGCTTGGGGTGAAGGGCGATCTCAGGATGGCTCCCGGCCACCGAGGCGTGAGTACACTGAACGGCCACCCCCGGACCGGCAACCTACAGCACCTGAGCTCGACAACCAATGGCGAGCAAGAATGAGACCAGACCCTCCGGCCAAAGCACCAACTCCTGAAGCCAGCGAGCCATCCTCTCCGGGCCCGGCCGCTGCTCCAACAACCAGACCGAAATTGCACTTGCAGAAGAGGACAGTCTCTGAGGCAGAGCCGTCGCAGTCTCCTGCATCCGGCGGCGATGCAAAGGCTAGTCCCTTTGGAGCGGCCCGCCCCGTCGATACGGCTGCTAAAGAGAAGGAAGTTGAGGAAAAGCGGCAACTTGCCCTTCGGCAGAAGAAAGAGGCAGAGGACAAGGCCAGGGCCGAGAGGGCCGAAGAGAAGCGTCAGGCAAGGGAAAAGGCAGAGCCTGAAAAGTCCAAGGAAGCGCCTAGCAAGGAGGCCAAAGAACCTAATCCCGTGAAGGAGGAGGGTGAAGAAACAACGCAACCCCCTGCTCCCAAATTTGATATCCTCCGTCGCGCCGACAGCGGTGTCAACGACATGCTTGCAGAAGAGGAAAATGAGGAAGAGGGCAACGTTCAACTCCCGGTCGATGACAAGGCGGTCAAGCCCAAGGAGGTGGTGCAGGACCCCGCTTCCACCAAATCGAATGGTTCTTGGAGAAGTGCTCAGCCTCCACAAGCACCTGAGGGAAGCACAACCGCGGCATTGGAAGAAGATGGCTGGAGCACGGTGTCAAAGCCGAACAAGCAGCGTAACAGCCGTCGGAACGTGCCTCACCGAGCCATTGCGTCATGAACGACAGCTGAGGTCCAGTCAACCTACTGCCGGTCATCTTTGATAAACGAAATCAGAGACCGATGTCGTGTTCTGTGTACATCTAGTGGGCTTCTCCCTTCAGAGTCTGGCCAGCCCATGGCGGACTCGGATCACAGTATGTGGGAGGCCAGATTTCAGCGTTTTCTTGGCTATCTCTCTGCTCGGCCTTTGACTGCTTCTTCGAACCAGCCATCGCAGGGTTTGCTCGTTTCCTCGTTTCCTCGCTTCGTTCAGCATTCAGGAGTTCGGAAAAAGTGCGGGCGTTACGACGGACAGGGTTGTGGACAGGGACGTAATTCGAAAAGATTCGATGGGCAGTCTCTCTGCTCGTAGTCTGCCACATGTCACTGGCCCTCGCCCGAAGGTAGCAGAGCACAAACACTCCTTAGAAGAATAGAAACAGATTGGCTTGTCCGGGAGATCAAGTAATAAGATTGTAAGAATAGTTCTATCGTCGGGGCGTACGGGAAGACACCCTCTACTACTAGTACGGACGATGGTAGCGTCACGGAGTGCATTAGAACTTAGCCAATCATTACGCCTGCCAAGATTAGTGTTAGTCATCTAAGTGTCCTATCACGTGACGGTCACTGTCCCTGCGGTACTAGTAGTACATAGTGGTAGCAGGGCAAAAAGTGAAGGGCGGGCGCCCGCCCAAAAAAACAAATCGCTTGCGCCGTCACTGATTCGAACCTCATCACTTCTGTCTCATGTCTTGCAACACTCACTTCCTTCCACAATTTTGACATGGAGCATAAACGATGGCGAAGAGCCTGGATGATTTGATCCAGCATCTGCTTGAGGAGATCGCCCTTAGCGGAAGTCAAGGTCAGTAGCAGCCCTTCAGCGCCCGCGCAGATGAGAGATTCGGGTTTCGTGGCTCAGTGGCAAGGCATGGTCGATCCTGCATCTTCCTTCAGAGCTGCTCCTCCGCCACTGACCATGCCATGCCCACCCTTGTCTCTATCCACTCTGTCAGCCCCATTTCTTTGTCCTATCCCCGTCGCGTCCTCCTGTCCTCAGACATCAAACAATGCATTGTCGACGCTGGAAAGATTCTCGTGTTGCTGACAGATACGCTCATCTCTAGGTGTGACCATCAACGATATCGCAGCCTTCACCTCTGCCTTCTATCATGAACCCAACAATGACCATCCCTCCGGTTCGGCCGCCGCAGAACCACTCCCAACCGACGGCCTTGCTGTAGACCCACCCTTTCTGGCTAAGATCTGGACATGGCTCAGACGCCATCCAGATGTGTCCATTGGGCATGATAGGGAGTACAATGGAATACCTCTGGCCGAAATCGAGCGCCGGTTTCCTGGTTATCTCAGTGCCAGTAGACGAGAAGGGGACCCTGCGAACGAGACTGACCATGATGACTCGGACGGTCCACGACAAAGCGACTCATCTCCAAAACCTCGTCTGGCCACCAAACTTGCTGATGTAACCAAGGGCCCTCGAGTCCGTGTCAATGTTGAGCGCGTCTACGAGGCACTATGCGGTCATCCCCCAGACTCTAGCAAAGTGTCACCCTTAGAGTTTGATCTTCTGTCGCTGATCGCGCCAGCACGGTCGAACGGTATTCTTCAGGGTGATCTTCGTCAGGCGTCAGGACAGGACAAGCGGTCCGTACCCAAACGAACTGACGCCTTGCACAAGAAGGGTTATATCGTCAAAGAAACTGTCTACAGAAAAGGTAACAGGACAAGCCGATTGATTCTGAGAAGGTTTGCCCCCGATGTTCTACGAAATGCAGACTCACCCGTCCGAGGGTCCACTGTACGGGACGTGGTGCGAAGAATCTGTGACGTACTATCCCGCCAGAACCTCATTTCTCAGACCAAACTTGCCGAAGACCTGAATCTAGAGTCTGCCGCAGAGTCTGCCGCGCTGGTGAAAATCCTTCGCCGACTAGAGCACCTCAAATGCGTCAAGAGAGCGAGGACTGCCACCGGACCTTCTGCCACTGTGCGAGATCTCCAACACTTCGTCCAGCTTCTGCACCTTCCCACGCCTGAGGACCTAGAGCGGTTTGATACAGAAGACTTGACCCTTGAGCAGCCACTTCAGGGGATACTTCCTACGACTGGATCGGCAGACTATGGCGGTGACATTGTCGCCTTTCCTGCCACAGAAAATCAGGAAGGAGAAACCGGGACAACGCGCCACATGGCACGATGGAACCCGGATCGTCCTATGCCCAACGTCGTGGTTGATGCTGTTCAACTCATGGGGATGTCGGGCTTGTCGAACTGGGTATGTCGGTAATCTCGAGTGCGTCACACTTGATTCTAACCTGAACAGGATGCCAGGCGAATGATAACTGGCGTTTTCGTCCGTCGTACATTGGAATCATTGCTAAATCGGATATCGTCAGGATCGCTGATCGTCCAACCACCGCATTTTCGCCACCTAGCGGTTGTCCGAGTGGCTATAGTCGTGGATGGCGTTGCTCAGTACAACCATTACTCCTGGGACGTGTTCCGCCAGATGGCAGAAAAGGGGGAAGTGGACATCTCTCAGATACCAGGTGCCAAGCAAGCCCTAGAGGATGTTGTGCCAACTGACCCTGAACGAACACCCGATACAACTTCCGTCACCTCTGTCATCAAAAATGATCAGTTCGGATTTCCCCTTCAAGCCTCCCCACCCCTTCAATACAGAAATGGTGAAGCAAGTTTCGAGGACCTCATCCGGTCCGTTGCGCCTGGTGATGTTGTTCCTCGTCTCATGGAACCAATTATTGTTGAGAAAGACGGAGTGTTGTCCTTGGCATATCGCGAAGGGGTCACGGCCCAGCACAAAGCCCAGCACAAGGCCGGGAAACGTGCTTCGATCCTGTCAACTCAATCACCTCTTCGAACGTCTGAAGCGCCAAAGAGTATCGTGAAGAAGGAAGATATCCCGCTTGGTCGTCCTCGCAAGTACTTGAAAGGCACTGAAAAGTTTTGGCGATTGCAATTCCAGCAAGCCAGGATCAACTCAGGTGCATCGTCTACTACATCTGCAAACAAGAGGGGATTGATGCAGGATCCGGCCGGCCTTGCTCTGTATGCACGTCGGCCTGCTGATTTTGACCAGACCTTGCTCCAGGCTATTGAGGCCGGTTTACCGATCCCTGGACGGCCTGACGACATCAGCGATGCTTGGGTTGTATCGACAAGAAACGTTCTTAACCGCGACTTGAATGGCGTGTTTCTGACGCCCCAAGGCGTACGTTCCGACTATGCAAAATTCAAATCTCAGATCATGATCATCAAAACCCCGCGTCTGAAACAGGTTGACCTGCATGATCGAAGCAAAGCGCATCCATACCAATTCATGTCCTCAATGGCAGCACACAGTTTTGCATACCGGCGCTTTTATCCTAGTATGCATATTACGAAACAGTCGCGTCAAGGCAGAGTGGCCTTGACCAACAGATCAAGGTCACCGCGGAGGGAGAAGAAGATGTCCGCCCCACCACTCGGTGTTTTTTCCGAGGGCCCTGCATCCCAGACGTCCAATACGTCTTTGCCAGGAGACCTGGAGACTGAGCCCATGCTCACCGATACCGCCATGGAAGCCACCGACGAAGAGCCGCTACGGAGTCGGCAACCCACCGAAGACGTAAAGTCCTTCGATCGGCCATCCATGATTCCAGCGGAACCCCGCCGAACGGCACCACACAGCCCCCTATCCCTCAGAGAAGCAACTTTGCCATCCGAAAATGACCTGAATGATCTCGCTGAGCAAATTTCTGCCCCGGCAGCTCGACGAGCTTCAAGCCCGCAATTGGAACCACCACACTTGGGCGCAGACATGATACAACCGTTGGAGGCTATGCACTCTCCGTTGTTGCACGGTGTGTCTCCGGCCAAATCCACGACTCAGGGTGATGTTATCGAGTTAAATAATCAAGATCTTACGGATGCCGTTCCTCCTGCTGTAGCGATTCGACGACAATCTCTTGCGGCAGCATGGGTCAGTCAAGATAGTCCTCGATCGTTGCCGGCTTCACTGGAGGTTGATGAGGCGAACAACCCATCATCTGCTGGTGCGAAAGCTTCAATTGTTGAGATGGGAGACAGGTATTTGAGCCAAAATTCCCAGGTTGGAGAGCTCAAGGAGAATGAGCTTCAGCCGTATGACCCGTCCGGGGCACCGGTGGTAGGTGATGCCCTCGCTCGTGCGAGCAAAGGTCCTTCGAGAAGAGGTGTCAAGAAGTGTGTATCACGCCATAAGGCTCAAGACGACGACGTCTCACAAATGAGCGGCTCAGAAGTGGCTGGAACTCCTAGGAAGCAGAAGAAATCGGGTACAGGCAAATATACGGCTGGGGCGAATGCTTTATGCAGAAGTATTGTCCTACAGCTCGTCACTGAAGCATCTGGGATAGTGCCGAATGACCCGTCCACCTTGAAACGCATCTCAGCCGCTCGGTGGCAGGAAGCTGGGGCAGAGGATCGTCCATTACTCAAAGCCGTCAAGGCGGCGATAAAATCTCTTTGCCAGTCAGGCAAATTGAAACAACTCACATTCACGTTCCGTGGAAAGAGCGGCAACATGATCAGACGGGCGGTTTTATTCTTGCCGACGATTAGTCCTCTCTCCAATCTCGTTGAAGATGTCAAACAGAAGATGATCGATGCAGATCCCACTGATTACATCCCCCCAGAGTGGGTGGCGGAGGGTTTTCGAGCCCCTTTGATAGGAAAGAACGCTCCACGCATGTTGATTGAGGAGGAGGACGTGCCCTCGCCATCGCCAAGAAGACGACGGGTATCTTCTGCAATGACCGAGACAACCGTTAACTCGGAGTCTTCAAGAGGCGCTAGAAGAGATTCCCGGAGCAGAACGAGAGAGCTTAGCCAGTCGCCGCCTCCTCGGGTGACCGCTGCAACAGGCTTTTTAACACTCAAGGTTCCTTCACTGGGTAGGCTTTCATCTGTGCAAATATTCAATTGGAGGACAGAAGCACCGGTAAAAGCTTTGCAATTTGAGGCTGTCACTACAAAATCAAGGCAGTCTAGGTCAGCGGCTGGTCGAGCACGAGGAAGAACTGGTCGGAAACCAACCACGCGTCCAGCAGGTCGGAAGGTCATGTGGGCGAACCAACAATGTCAGGAGTTTCCGTCATCATTGGAGGATATCCTCCGGCTACCCGATCTCAAGATCAGCTTCGACGACATCCAGTCTGGCGACTCCGAATGGCAGCGATTTGCTTGCGAGGTCGAAGGTGTTCGTGCCTGGGAGGGTCAGGAAGCAGAATCATTTCAGTTGGATCGCTTTCAATACGCCTTTATCAACCACACGGTCCCTCCGGCACTCTACTCCGCTTCAGTCCAACCCGGGACAGTTGAGTTTGCGAGCTTGATCTCGTTTGATGAAGATGGCTCTGAAGTTGAAGTACCATATCCTCCCGAGGAGTCTTGGGCAGTCTTCGTATCAGCGCTTCAACAACCCCCCGAGTTGACTTCGCGGATTGCAGGTAGGCATCCACAAGAACCAAGTACAGCACCGCCACCCGCAAAAGCAGGCAGAGTCCGACGAACGATTCGACCTACTAAGCGTAAGCGATTGGCGGATGGCGAAGTTGGCGACGAGGATACCTTCGTGCCCCAAGTCAAACGACGAAAAGCAGGTGTCAAAGGGTCCGGTACTCCTCGTCCCCGACGTAGGCTTCCACCAGCCAAAAGTGACGCTCCCACGACAATATCCCGAGGTGTCCAATACCTTCGAATCTTGCCGGAGGAGACCATCTACCGTATTGCTGTCTCCGTGGTTGTAGTCCGCACCCTGGCAGGAGGAATTGAGAGTTACGTTGATTGGCCCCTGGTCATGACCCTTTTCCCAGACCAGGAGGAAGAGTTCATTCGGCGTCGCTGGAAGACGTTGTTGTCCAGATATCGCAGTGACATCCGTGGACTTACAGAGAACCTTCAATGGAAATACCTGGAGGCGTTGGAAGCCGGAGACGTACCTTCTGTCAATTTCCAAGACCTCAAGGCGACAGATTGGCGGGGAATAGTCGACTGGGCACTCAACAACCTCGACAAGTTCAACTCGAGACATGCTGATGACCTCCCTGCTACGCGCGACAGATTATCTGAGACGGTTCAGATGGCGTTCAATGAGCCCAAACGCTCCTACCATCTCCTTACGTACAACGCCAACGTCACCAATCCTTTCAAAGAAGACGTCAGCTGCTCCATTGTCTTTGGAACAAGGTCTACTCTTCCACCTTCCGCGACAGTCGTACCAGGTCTTCACTATGCTCCGCGGTACGAGCTCGGAAATGCAGACGCAGACCTCCGTCTTGCGAGATCGTGGGTCTTCGCCACGAGTCTTACTCCAGAATCAAGGTTTGACCCGAGTGCGACCCATGCCAAGCTCTCGACCCTTGCCTCGACACCTGAAGAATGCGAAGCCCTTCTCAGCCGTGCCGTTAGGGTGCTTCGGGAAGAGAAGCTTCTTCAGCCTGCTCACCGGCCGTCGGGACAAGTTTCCAGCGTACGCGGCTGGGAAGGAAGCCGGAAACTATTTGAACTCTTTGAAGAACGAAGAATGATCAATGTCAATATGCTTCGGCGTGCTGTCACATACAAGCTAGCTATTCTCGACGAGGCCTTCCAGAAAGGTGAAAGTGTGGTCGTGGAAAAGCAGAGCATCGTGGATGATGGCGACATGGTGGCTATTCTAAACCTTACGGCTGCTGGTCAGATCACGGCCAAACCTGGGACTGATGTGCCTGACTCGCGATATGGCATAGACCACGAGCGGATTGGGTACCGGACACGAAACATGGACAAGAAGTTGCTCAATTTTAGTGCCGTGCTTGTACCAACGGAAGCATACGTCTTCGGCAATCCCAGACACGAGCAAGGCCGGCAACCCCCGATTCCACGGGGTCAGGCGGACGAGCCCAAGGGTCACATTCCGCCGTGGATTGACATCCATGGCAATGTTCAACCTGCGCTGTGGGAGATGTTCCTCGTAGGCGTCATTGGGTTGATAGTGCAGCTTCCCGGTGTCACATCTGTGGACATTTCGCGAGCGCTGGGCTATGCACTGGACCATACCGAGGTTGAGCTCATTCTGGACTGGTGTATACAAGAAGGGTTTGCCCAGATGGATATGAAATCGAAAGGATATGAGACGACAGAAGATTGGTGGTGGTGTATTGCTACTGGGCACGGTGAACATGAATTTCATGGCGAGAATGAGGCGTTATTGGTCTGAGACAAATTCCATACAATGGAGCGATGTGATCACGGAAGGCAGTCCCAGCTCCCTGGGTTGGGGTTCTCGCAGGTCAATGGCGCAAAGGTGTTGGTCTTTTTCGGCGCTTCACGGTTGGAGGCATACTGTTCGGAGTTGGCGAGCGTTAAGGGACTGAGAACCCCAGCGATATGATTGACGAGGCGTCACTGCACATCTTGACTCGGCGATCCCTGGCGCGTGGTCGCATAGACAGGCAGGGTGCAAATGCATATTGATAGCAGAGATAGCCGTGATGGTTATCAACATGTTTCAGTTGACTATGTTCGCATGTATGATCATGGGCATTTGATTGTTACCTTGATGATTGTAGGCATTGTAGAATAGTGGCAGGATAATGCGATGCCACTTCGATTTGATGGTCGAGGTCCCCTTTGGACCCCTGATCATCGTCAGCCTTGTCGCAGGGGCACGTGATAGCTTATGTAAGCTAAAGCTTCGACCGACCTCGAGCAAACCTCTTCTTGTCATGATGGCAGCTCTGGTCTACGGTCGAGATACTTCGTCCACTCCGTTTCCATGCACGGCGGTGCCAGACCATGTCTATACGAGTCGAGCATGAGACATGCCCAACGATAGGAGCAGCAGCAGCAGCAACGATATTCTCAAGCCTTCATCAATCGGCTCGAGGGTACACTCAGCTCCGCGCGCATCCTCAGGGACCATTTACTCCAAGACAGTTTCTGGGGCTTCCACTGGATCAAAGGCTACACAATCACCGCTGTCCTGCGTCGTCCTGGACCAAACACAACACCAAGCGCAAACCTGACTCCAGGACCAAGACAACAACAGCAACAACTCCACCAACTCCACCAAATCGTTCACTCTCGCCCCCGACGTCCTCAACATCGTAAGCTTGTGTAATCCGTCCGAGCCGGCCTTGATCACCCCGCCGCCCGACTACCCTTCCGGGAGCGACGCTTTTGATGACGACGCACCGGGGTGCCTGGACAACGAAGGGTTTCTGTGCTCGACCGACTGGTCGGATGTTTTTAGGAAATACGACCTCGAATACGGGTGGACTATATGGCCATCGATGCCGGGTTGAGTTGTGACGCTTTACAGTTCTCTGCGCCAGGTTCAGTCTCCCATCCCCTATCCCCTCTCCAAGGTATTATGGCAGGATGTGCAAGTCAAGCCAGTCTGTGTATGACTTTTCCTTCCCCTCAGAGAAGGAAAAGAGAACGATAGCCTATTTTGCTCTGCGGTACTAGTACCTCATACGGCAGAAGTACCCTACCTCGCAGGGAAGGAAGGAAGAAAGAAAGAAAGGGAAATTGGTGCAACCCCATGACCAAAGGCGTACTTCGATGGCTCTTGGACAAGAGGACGACGATACAGATGCGTGTGATACTCAAGTCTACCAGATGGAAAAAGTGGTAGTTCTCGTTTCTTTGTAGCGTTCGCAGCGCTTCATTTGTCCGGAGCAGACGTTTTCAGACTAGGCGTGTTCTTGGTATTGACATTCGGAAGATTTTTGATCTCGGAATTGGAGAGACATGCAGATCCCCGTCAAATATGTATAAAATGGTTTCGGGATGGCTTTAGGTCTCGTCCCCTCTGCATGCCTTTGTCGCCGAGTGTGCTATGGCTGGTTGGGACTAACCTTTCCGAGTCTGCTCGACTCTTGAACGGTTCCCACCAAGGATCCGGGTCTCCAAGCCTAGACCTCGCTGTGAGTGATGACGCCACCAACGACCACAAAGAGAAGGGAAGGCTATAGACCGACCTGCTCGGATCCTGAAATGTCGAATAGAGTCTACGCATTGGTACGAAGCGGGTGTGCTTGGGCTTCCACCAGAGTCGAGGGCCGGTCCTAGCTTGGGAAATAGACCCCGGGCTCAGTCTTTAAATATATCCCAGACCTTGTGCTTCAGTGATCGAGAATCCTTGACGTCTTGTCGCGCCGGGGCGACCCATTCTCTGCGGTCCGAGAAATCGACTTCGTGCAAGCGAACCCTGGAGACACGATTAGCACACCGAGCAATTCATGGAACAATAGTATGGCTCTGTGCCATAGCATCAAATGAGAGTGTGTCCCAGCCACGACCGAACAACGATGAAGCGTCGAAGATGGGAAGTGTAGCCACAGAAGAGGCAAGATGAAGCATCAATAAAGAAACGAGAAACTCGAAGAGGTAAGCAGGGGGGTCACAACATACCAATGCGTCTTAAAGTAGTACTTATATCCAAAGAACAGGATAAAGAACGTCGGGATCGTGATGTAGCACGCTATAAAGGAGCGCCAGTTGAATGGGTGTTTGAACACCACATACCCCTGGATCAGCAGCAAAAACACGTTGAAGACGAAATTGGCCCGGTAGATCCAGATGCTGCCGAACGCGCGGTAGGGGAACGTCTTGACGTCGATGCCCTGTTTGTCGGCGGCGGCGCGGATGCGCAGGTGCGTGAAGACAATGCCGGCCCAGGCGATGTAGGCCGCCGTGCCGCCCACGCTGGTCATGTACGAGAAGACTTGGCCGGCGCTTAGTTTGCGGTTCATCAGGCAGAGGAAGCCCCAGAGGTTGGAGGTGAGGATGGCGACGTAGGGGACTAGAAATCAAAAAGTCAGAAGAATGTCCATACAGAGACCGATCAAAAAGTATCGATGAAGATGATGGCGTGGTATCTGGTGTGATGATGATATATCTCGAGAGTGATATGGTCAGAGTTCAGTTTATGACAGTGCGTCTCATTCCCTTCTTTCTGCTTACCTCCACGGGACGTGGTCTTTGCAAAGATCTTGGGCGCTCGTTTCGTCAGCGCCAACGAGTAAATCGTGCGAGACTGGACGTAGACGACGCCGTTGGCGGCAGACACAAACGCGACGGTGATCAAGGCATTGACGAAGTGGCCGGCTGTCTTCCATCCAGCGGCGACAAACCCAATAGTAAAGGGCGACGATGCGACCACCGAATCTGCATTGAGAAGTTCCGGCGAAGATGATGGGCAGATCAGGCCCTGGAAGAACGGCATCCCGATGTAGACGACAAGAATGCGGTATACCACGGAGTTGATGGCCTGTAAGACATCGACATCAGCATGACATGGACCACTAGCTAGTCAAAAGAAGCAGGGACATACTCTTGGAACATCCTTTTTGGGATTCCGCGACTCGCCTGCAGCCAGAGAAATGATCTCGGTGCCGACATAGTACGCGGCTGCTAGCACGAAGACCTGGCCGAATCCGTCAATGCCGTGGATGATGGGACCTGATTGACAATTGTGTCTGGTTAGCTAGGTAGGCAAGAATGCAATACACGGGACTCTGCCGTACCGTTTGGCTTTGTCCAGTATCTGAATCCGACGTAGCCACCACCAAACCCGCCTACGTTTGCCACGATGGAGAGGATGAAGAGGATGATCAGGGACAGAAACTTGAACATGCCGAAGAAGTACTCCAGCTCGCCGTAGACGTTGACACCGAGAAGCGTGATGACTGAGAAGACCGCCCAGAAGATCAACGCCCAGGCGTAGGACGGAAAGGATGATTCTGGGACCCAGTAACGGAGGATCAAGATTGCGGAGTTCCAGTCTGTGGGAAAGTCAGTCAATGGCTGCGGCGCCGGTGTGTTTCTGTTTCGGGGCATTTCAGACCTGAAGCAAGAAAGACGCTCCACATGATATAGTACAGCCAAGACATGGCAAAGCTCAGTGCCGGGTCGACGAAGCGCCCAGCGTGCTGTGAAAGGAAGAGTCAGTCAGACGCTGCACTGAACCAAGCTCCCGCAAAATACCATGTGAATGTGTGTCTCACCTCAACGAATCCACCGTGGATGGGGAACAAGGTGGTGAGCTCGCCGACGCTCTGCATGAGCACCCATACGGAAATCCCTGAATACCTATCAGTCTGTATGGAGGGAAGCTCCCTTGGGTGTTTCGTACCAACGATGATGAAGCCCAGCAGGGCGCCCAGCGGACCAGACAGGAAGATGGCATAGCCCAAGCCGTAGAAGGTGCCTGGCCCGATGATGCTGCCAAGTGCAATGATGACAAAATGTCTCCCCTTCAACCCTCGCCGTAGCCCGTCGTCTATCACGTCGCCGGAAACATCGCGACCGGGACCATTGCTGTCGGGCGGCACATCTGTGGCCTCGAAGGCCGACAGATTCTTTTCCAGAGCCCCTGCAAAGGTGCCCAAGGGCACTCCATGAGTGTGCGCGACCGACGAGGAGAAGGAGTCAATCGAGGTCGGCATGTTGATGTTGGCTGTTTTCGTTTCCTGCGAGAGGGTGAGGCTGGGATTACCACAGTTCAAGAATGGTCCTTTCCTCTAGGTGCCAGGGTCTCTGCTCTTAAAAGGATCCCACGCCGACTTGGGGTCGGTGTCCCAGCGTTGCGGAAAGCCCTCGCCAGTCCCCACGTGGACCGATCCGCCTCTCGCGTGAAGAAATCTTGACGATGGAAGCGAGATGAATTTTTGGGGCTCGCCATGCGTGACTTGCAATGAATCTTGCACCATCGTAGTGGGCAACAATAGCATCCAGTGTTCAGGGACGCCTATTGCAGGAGACGTGCACCTCGAACCCCTGTTTTCCCGACTACTCGGGTCCCACTGTGAGCACCGTATCGTATATGGTTATATGGCCAAAAACGGTGGCGCAATATACGCTTATGCTGAGTGATCTTGTAGAAGGTAAGCCTCGCTCCACCCCAAGGAGGATGTCGGTTGCCATGGATTCATTGAATGGCAGTATTTTGTCTGATGATGGCCGCTGTCAACCAGTCACTGATGCTTACCACTGGCAGAGTCCACAGAGAGCTAAGCACTGACGGAATCTTGATGAGCTTCAGCTGATGGTTGAGCATGGCATCACCAGGTTCTTCCATGAGGGAGTCCATAAGGATGCCCAATTTGACTGAGGGAAAGGCGACATGAGGCTACAACTGTCAACGGTAGTGACAGTAACGCGCTGGCTCGATTGAATTTTCCGTCGATTTCAAGCCTGAACAAGCAATAGATGTGTCATAAGCGTGGTGGTACACTCCACGGACCTGGGCGCCAACATATGGTTTAGTGGTGCCATCTCAAAAGGGTTGTCTGAATAGCTTCATCTCTCCCTGACGACTGGAGGTTCCAGGTTCGAGATAGGTCCGATATCCATTGCACGATAGACGCCATAAATAACACCATCGTTCTAGCAGACGACATGATCTCCGAACACGTAACGAGAACCGAGGTTTCTCTCTTGTCAACATGGCTGGTATGATTGGAGATATCCGTCTTCTCATAGTATTCGATCTCTGTCAGATGCTGAGCTTGTGGAAAAGAGACGGTCCTCTTTGTTCTTGCAAAGAAAAAAACGCACTGGTTGTATTGTTGATCTAGGAAGAACTCCAGTACTTAGGGTTAGGGTTTTATGGCGACCATTCCTCACCCCGAAGCCGTGCAAGTCAAGGACGAAGCCGATGTCCTCAAATTCGCCCAGGTCATTGCCGCGGCTTTCTCCAATGACGCTCTCAACCGATACATCTATCTAGGCCGCGAGTCGAGGCCCGATCATCCCGGGTTGGCGCAACCGGAACTTCGTGTCCAGTATTGGCTGCCGCTTATTAGAAGTCGTTTGGAGGCTGGCGGTATCCTGCTGCAGATATATGACTGGTCAGCAGTTGCTTTGTGGTGAGTAATCAGTGATGCAATTCATGAAGGAATGAATGAATTGCATCAATACATAGTGTTAATCCCCCGTGATCAATATGGCATGACCGCACTCTGGCCGAGATGCTGACCTACTACTATCATATAGGCTCCCTCCTGGATTGAAAAAGCCCGACAGCAATGATCCTATTCCCGAAGGCGCTCTCGAGTATAGAGAGAAGTTCGAAGCAGTCAAGAAGAAGCACCTGGGTGACCGGCCCTACTGGTATCTGAACCTCATCGGCCGGGCACCGGGCCGGTCAGAGAAAGGTAAGACGACAATCAAACTCGAAGCTCGCCGGCAGAAGGCAGCATTGTCCCGGCAAGCCCTCTTGGAGAATTCCTCCATGGCTCATTGTCAAATCTAATCTAGGAGCGATCCGAAACCTCGTCGAGCCGTTCCTGAAGAAAGCTCGAGAGGACAACCTCCCGGTGTGGCTGGAGGCGACCAACACGCATGCCAGGGATGTCTATGCACACCTGGGATTCCGGGTGGTAGAGGAAGTCTGGATCGGAAAGGGGGTTGTCAATTCTGAAGGATGGGCAGAGCCTGGCGGAGAGGGTGTCCTCAACTGGGGTATGGCCGCCAACCTATAGCCCTTGCTCATAGAGTCGAGACATTACACTGGCACAGGGCAAAATCAAGGCGGGTATAGCAAGCGAGGACACCGGAATCGGAAAGCGTGAAATTGATGACATACTAGTATGGGAGAGCAGGGTCTAGCAACCCCAACGAACAGAGCATACTAGTAACAGTTTCACAGGTTTTTCTGTCTGTCCAGAAATGCACCGCAGGGTTTAACCATCCAGAGCTTGAACGACCTGAGCCCAATCTTGCGTGCCGTACGCGCCAGGGACCTTTTCTCCGTCAAACAGACTGGCCAGGACAACCCGGTCACTTTGCTCGCCCTCCCACGGTTGACGACCATGTTGAGCAATGATATTGTCGTATACCAACACATCACCACGCTGCCACTTGTGAAGGACACGGATCTCGTCGGTGATCTTCGCCAGATGTCCAAGGTACTTGTCTGGGATGGGCGTGCCATCCCCGAAGAGCTGCTGGGTGTTGTTTCTCCTACCCTGGGTTTCGCCCGACTTGTTGTTCTTCCAGATGGCCGCCAGCCCGGTGAAGAGCGTGGGCAGGTTCGTCTCCGGCTGTGTGCGGATGGCTGGGAGCCGATGCGTCAGGGTGATCGAGCCGTCCTCGCTCCATTCCCATGTGGTGTGCTTGCCTCTGTTGTACCGGACAATCTGGGCCTCGATCTTGGCCCGCCTGGTGGCTTCGTCATCCCCGTCTTGGATTTCCTTTCCAAACGCTTGTTTGAGAGTTGACCCGCCAGCATATTGCTTGTCTACTTTGTAAGCGACCTTGCTAAGAATGCCTTTCTCCGCCAGCTCGGTGATAAACTCGGGGATCTCCTGTTGTGCTCGGTGGAACAACTCCAGCGACGACGAAATGGGCGTCTCACCACCCTTCTCGGGCGCGCGGTGGCTGTAGAAGAAGATATACTCCGGCGCGTGAGGGACCTGGGGAGACTCATTGTGGTTGTAAATGAGCACTTCCTTGGGCGCCTCGTTGGCGGGTGCCACGTTGGGGGCCAGCAATGGTCTGTCGACGACTATTCCAATGATTTCATGTGGCTGGTATCCAAAAGCATGCGCGAACTTGCTAAAGTCTTGGGCGTTGTGGATGGGCAGCCCACGGAAGAGAAGTGTTCCGTGACGCGCAAGTAATTTGGTGAGAGTGCCGTCCCGAGCCTGGAGGGACTTCATGCTGTTCACCACGGTATCCAGGTCAACTTCGGCATCGTCGTGAGTGGATGGCTTCAATGCCAGAGGAATGACAGTGTCCTTGGGGTGAGGGGCTCCGAGGATACGTTGGTTGCTCCAAGGCAGCTCAAATGGTTCAAAGGCGATCAGCGACGAGAATGGATCGTCGAGTTTGAGCGATTGCAGCCCTGCCTCTAGAACTGAAGCTGCCATTGCTGTCAAGTATGGGAATGTCGAACAAAAACGTACCAGTTGTCTTGGTCTTGGTCTTGCCGCTGGAGAAGTAGTATGTGCCCTTTCTTGTCGACTTGGTGGTGGACATTTCCGCAGCGTGTAGCAGATATAAAGTAGTCCTGGTTCTATAGATGTGGTACGATCCCGCAGGTCTGTGGTGTCATCTGTTCTAAGATCACGACAGCAGCCTTCAGCCGTATCATCTTCTTCCTAGAGCAACCGAGCGTGGCGCTATTGGTTGACGGATATGCTAGAGGCATGACCGGGGTCTTTAGTCGATATTTTCCCTATGCATTCATACAGTATCAACACTTACCCGTGTGTTATGACATCCAGCCTGTGTCTTTCAGTCTCCCAGCTCTCGGAACCGAGGTTGGGTTTGTGAACATTCTCTCACGCTGCCCAGCGGCCAAGGATGAGCCTAGAGAATAATAGTGTTGGTCGGGATGTCACCAAATATCAGGCTTCTTGCGTGCTCGTCGGAGGTAGGTGTACCAGGGTGGTCTGAACTGAAATTTGCCAGAGTGCGAACGATATAAAACGTTGTCCTCCGAAAGGTGGGTGCGAATACCTTCACGACCTGTTCTTTGTCAGTCTCTGTATTCTCGTTGTTCAATACCTTTCCCCGGTCGCTGGTCTACACCCGCCGTTTGCGCATTGTTGCCAGCATGTCGACCTTACCCGCCAACGAGAAGTTGCCTGTGAGCAACGGGGAGGAGCTTCATGACGCTCCAGCCCCAATTCCGCTGTCAACAGATGGTCCCGCTCCCGTGAACAGTCGACATCCATTCTTTCGAAGAACGCTCTTCCAGATCCTGGTGGTTGGCATATGTGCCTTCTGTGCGCCGGGAATATGGAGCGCCATGAACGGTCTAGGGGTTGGCGGATCCCAAAGCCCAAACCTTGTGAACGCGGCCAACGCACTTCTCTACGCATTCATGACGGTGACGTGCTTCGCAGGTCCCTGGCTTACCAATGCGATCGGCTTCAGGTGGACGCTAGCCATCGGATCACTGGGATACCCGCTGTACGCGGCGGGACTGTATCTCAACAACCGCACTGGAGCCACTTGGCTGGTGTATGTCGGTTCCACGACTTGTGGACTCAGTGCCGGTTTCTTCTGGAGCGTTGAAGGCGCCATCGCCACGGGATATCCAGAGCAACATAAAAGAGGACGGTACATTGCCACATGGTTCTCCTTCCGCAACTTCGGCAACATCATTGGCGGAGCAATCTCACTGGCGATCAATCACAAAACCAACGTGCGAGGAAAGGTCGGCTATGAGACCTACCAAGCATTCATCGCGATCCAGTGCTTAGGCTTCTTCTTTGGCTTGTTGCTGTCCAACCCAGAAAAAGTCCAACGGGATGATGGAACCCGGATCCAAGCACCCAGAGGTATTGCATGGCGCACCGAGCTCGCGCATATGTTGCGGTTGATTCGAAGTAAGCCTATCCTCCTTCTGACGCCATTGTTCTGGTACTTCGGCTGGATGCAAGCGTATCCAGGCACGTACCTGGCAAGATACTTCACAGTCAGGTCACGAGCGCTGGGAAGCTTCTTGTCAGCCGTTGTCGGCACTCTCGCGACCTGGCTAAGCGGTGTCCTGGTTGATCTGCCATGGACAAAGAGCCGAAAGACCCGCGCCATCGCCACCTACATCCTCATCGCTGTGCTCAATAGCGGCACCTGGATTTGGGCAGTCTACATTCAAAATGAGTACCGGCACACAAACCCAGTGTTGGACTGGGCCGATCAATCTAGTTTCGGCCGTGGATTTGGGTTGTATATGTTTGAGCGGCTCAGCCTTGGGATGGTGGAGAATTACATATATTGGTGCATTGGAAATCTCTCCGACTCACCTGGCGACCAGATCCGGTACAGCTCGCTGCTTCGAGGAATTGAAACGGCTGGGGTCGCTGTCGGGTTTGGAGTTCAAGCTATACCGACGGCTCTGATTGCCACCGCAAGCATCAACATGGGCTTGTGGTATTTGGCCCTGCCATTCAGCTACTACGCAACGCTGCAGGTCGTCCGCAAGTTCGACAAGCTGGAAAAGAAGCAGCAGGAGGGGGCGGTCGACACAATTCAAAAAGTCGAGGTCAAATAGACGCGCAGAGAACAGACAAGGGACCACCTACCTAGTAGACGATATAGAGCAGCTCGTACCTGGGATATTGTAACGGTAACGGCATTGAAAGACACAGTCTCCTAGTGTTTAGATACAAGCTAGAACTGACAGTGAATTCTCTGGCCATGAGTTTATGGAATCCAATCTGATGCTTGAACTCGTGATTAGTAATCATGCTCGTGGGCAAGACTAGACCCAATCCAATCTAGCCTGGTCATGTGATCTTCAGCTCCTTCGACTTATGATTCGTCAGCCTCGTTGTAGGGCACGTGATAGCTTATATAAGCTGAAGCCTCGACCGACCTCGAGCAAACCTCTGGTCTACGGTCCAAGTCGAGATAGTTCATCCACTCCGTTTCCATGCACGGCGGTACCAGACTATGTCTATACGAGTCGAGCATGAGACATGCCCAACGACAGGAGCAGCTCAACTCGGCACCCAAGGCTTATTCGTGCCTAACCCGTACAGATTCTGTCCTTGCTGTCGTCCAACACATGCATCTGCCGGAGGTGACTTCCTCGTCGCCGGCATACACACTCCTGCTGTGTCTTTCCATTCTCCGACTTCGCCATGATCTCAACTGCACATTGGCCACTAGCATGGCCTTGTCATGGCCTTGTCATGGATGTCGGTCCGGTTCAAGTATTGTTAATTGTCTACGGCCTTCCTCTCCCATCCTTTTCACAATCTTCTGCATTCCTTGGTTCCTGGCAATGGCTCCATCATCAACCTGAGTCCTCGGACAGTATATATCAGCCTGACTCACTTGCACTTTCCCAGTTGCTTCTCTTCATTTGCTATCTCGTCCCTGGTCAGTGCCCCGAGGTACGCACCTCCCGACAGATGGGCGAGAATGGAGACTCTCCTCTTACGCCAATATGCCGCTACCATCCAATCTACAAACACTGCAGTGTCATATTCAGCCGGCCATATAGTCCTGTCCTACGTGACATCGCTACTAGGATGCATCACCACCTTGGAATTGCTGCAGCGTCGAACCTCGACCCGCGGCGCATACAATGGGTACGCCGACTTTCTGCGGGTGCTATCTGCTGCTTACTGTACCAAAATATTGATACATGACAGATTCCTTCTTGCCATGTCAGCAGTCACTATGGGCGGAATCTCCATTTGGGGAATGCATTTTGTCGCTAATGGAGCCGTCATCCTCGACCACGGAGCTCCTGACCGCCAGATTGTGTACAAGCCCACTTTCACCGCGATCTCCTTCTTGGTACCGATCGTCGTCCTCTTGATGGCCTTCTACATGGTCGGAGTTTGGGCCAGAGCTGGGCAAATCTGTATCGCAGTCGCCTGTCTGCTCACGGGGGCGGCAGTTTGTGGCATGCACTCACTGGAACAATACGGAGTGGAGAATTACACATGTTCATACAAGGTCAAGAACCTGGTGGGCTCTGCCATAATTTCGGTGATGACTAGTTTTATTGCCTTGAGTGTCTTCTTCCGCCTGCGGGACACATGGACGGATTGCTGGTGGAAAAGATTCATCTGTGGTGCAATACTTGCCGTTGCCGTCTCGGGTATGCATTGGACGGCGGCTGTGGGAACCATGTACAAGTGGAAAGGAGACTCGGCTGTCCATAGCCGCCTCAATTCCCAAACCACAATTGTTGCTGCTACTCTAGTGGGTCCATGTCTGGCCTGTCTGCTGGTATGTCACTGACAATCGGAAGTCAATGGGCGCATGCATGGTGCTTCTAGTCATCGCTTTCATTCGAAGCCGCCGCATGCGGAGGGCCAGAATCAAGGCACAACGTCTTGTCCTGGCTTGTGCTTATTTCGACGAAGATGGCAAGTTGATGGTCACGGAAGAAGGCATCTTGCCGAGCGAGAAAATCACCAACCATTACCTAGAAAAGGTTTGGGTATGCCCTATCCCGGTTTGGCCTAGCAGCTAACGTGCCACTTCAGACCTTTGGAGAGGACGAACTGAGCCGGTCCCAGGCCACTTTTCTCTGGGTGTATAGGGCGTCTCGGAATTGGGCAGTGCTGAAGGAGCTCATCCCTGTCATGACAGAATACATCAAGACAGATCCAGCAGCGAAGAGGTACCGCCCCGGCCACACCGCTTCCAACTCGCTCGATGACGCAAGCGAGGTTTCGCTCCATTTCTCCCCTGTCTTCAAGCAACTGTTCTGCATGGCAGCAGAACGGCTAGCAAATCGGATTCACGAACCCCTAGAGCAGCTTGGGACGTTATTTGAAGAACCATTGGAGACGGGAGCACTCTTCATATTCGTACAAAGCAGGACCGCTCTGACTGACCTTTCTCCCCAGACTGGAAGCCAGGCAGACGTTGAAAGTGGCCACTCTGTTGCGAGAGGCAAATACCTTTTTGTCACCCGCCGCCTTGATGTTGACGAGACGTTCAAGTTTGCGGCTCTTGGGTACCGGTTTGCCGCTGTGGCACGAATTGCCGAACCCATGGCTAAGAGGATGCAGATCAACCGTGATGACTTGGTGGCTCGGATGAGACGCATGCAGATCAGTGTTTGCCTTGAGAATTTACCAGCGCCGGGAGTCCATCTGGCATGTTTCATGCTCCGACCGAGCATCTGCAAAAGCTTCGACGTCTTAGTCCCCGAGTCGAGACAAAACCAGCTGCCTCACGTCAGCATCCAACCGGATGACCTGACTCTAGAACAATGGACTCAGATTGGCCGTTTGTTTGACGAATCCACTGTCTCAAATGTTCTCGGCATGCTCCTGGACCGATGTCATGCGGTGGATCTGGACGAAGACATAGCCTCGCGACTTTATGAAGCAATCATGAAGCTGGTCAGCCTGATTGGAAGCTCCGATACTGTGATGCAAGCCAAATTCTCGGCCAGAGCAGTCCATGTTCCCTGTCAGCAGGCCCCAGGGTGCCCCGGGACAGCGACCTGTACTTTTCTGACTGTAAGGATGATAAGAGATGTGCGCACCTCCTCGCCCAGCACAGAACTGGTATACGTGCCGCTTTCCTCCTTCAGCCTGCAGCAACAGTATCAGACCGTGGGATGGTACGACGAACAATTTGCACGCGAAGTCAAGGCGGAGTTCGGTCACCTTCTGCAAGACGGTGCGAGACGAAGACGATTCAACAGTGTCCGGGTTGGTCGGCTGTCGACGTCGCCCGGCCCAAGCAGTCATCCTCCAGGATTATCGAGAGCCAGGATCCGCCAAAGCCTCGCAGAAAGATGCCATCCCAGTCGCAACCGTGGCAGCGACCGGGACCGGGACCGGGACACGAGGACGCTTGTCAGTTTAGGATCGGATCAACCTAAGAGATTAGATGGACCGGGAACGCTGGTAGCAAACCCAGAAGGAGAAAGTCCTCCACTCAACGAGGACAGCGCCGAAGGCCCGCCGGATCGACGAGGATCTGTTGCAACGACAGTTCGAACAGGGAATTGGGTTGCGGAACTTCTGGCTCTTTTCCAATTGCGCACAGAGAGCTGGAGATCAGTACGCTCTGCAACGGAAGAATCACCTGATTTCAACGTGCTGAACACAGGTGTCCATGGTACCTCTGAGCCTGTTACCAGGAACAACACCCGTACTCGAGTTTGATATGATACCTTCTGATAGCAATGTATACCATCCTGCCTTTTTATTCCTTGGCCACCTTGCGCAAATGGAAAGGCGTGCGCATTTTACTCCTCGTACAGGAGAAGAGTGTCTCTTGCGACGCTAGGAGGCGCCGTGAGGCATGGTTCCAATCAAGATACAAGTACCGTGCATAGGTTAGATATCTATCGAAAAAGGGGCTCGCCTTTGGACCGTTTTGATGTTCTTGAATCTGATTGGCGGATTGCTCGGAGGAAAGAAATGCCCCGTTTCGGTCGAAATTCTGCCGCCTTCCGCCGTCACCGCCTTTGCCGCCTGCAGTTTCACGCTTGAAGTCGGATACTTTTATGTCGGTAACTTCAGATCGATCTTGCATTTGCCAGATCTTTTCCCACTCCGACCTTGCCGACCCTAAGAAAGAGACGATATTGCCCGACGATCAGCGCAATATTCAACAGATACATTCCCGGGAGGCCCTCAAGCTGCAAGCAGCAAGCAAGCACAGGCCCCGCGGAATCGAACACCTCGATCACACAGCCTTCCATTTCCATCTCCAGTTTCAGTCACTTCCTTGGTGCCTCCCCTTTTTCCCGGGCGCGCTGGAACTTCTATTCCCGGAAAACCGTCGACCGGAGGCGTTGCGCGTGCGGGTTGTCGCAAGGTCGAGGAGTGGAAGGAGGAAGAGCGGCGAATAAAACGAACGAACGAACGAACGACGAGTTCCGAAGGACGGGCGACGAAAACAACGGTTCTGGCATTCCGACGCGGCTTGATTTGACTTGACTTGTCTACTGGGGATACATTATTACATACTGCGCTCTCGTCCCCTTCAGCTTTTGGCCTCTCTCGGCCTTTAGCGACCTTTGTTCCGTCCGTTTATCGACCATACCGCCCCTCCCCCTTTCCCCCTCTCAAACAATGCCATTCGCCCAACTGGTCATCGGCCCGCCCGGCGCCGGCAAATCAACATACTGCAATGGAATGCAACAATTCATGGGCGCCATCGGGCGGAAATGCAGCGTGGTCAACCTCGACCCGGCCAACGACGCCACGTCATATACCGCGGCAGTGGATGTGCGCGAACTCGTCACACTCGAGAGTATCATGTCACCCGAAACCGGTGATGGGGACGACGAGGGTGATGCGCCGGGCCTAGGGCCGAACGGCGGAGTGTTGTATGCGCTGGAAGAGGTCGAGGAGAACTTCGAGTGGTTGCAGGAGCGGCTGAAAGAGTTGGGCGACGACTATGTCCTGTTCGACTGTCCCGGTCAGGTGGAGCTGTTTACGCATCATGATAGTCTGAGGAGGGTGTTTTTGAAGCTTGCGAAAGCGGGTTATCGTGTGTGTGTTTCCCGTGTCCCATGTTTGAATGTTTACAACCGTTCTACCCCTTTTGCCCCCTTTTTTTCACCACCTTTTCCTTTGGCTGCTGTTGTCTACGAAGACGCTGGGATTCAGATATGCTAACGTTTTCATTGTCTGTTTTGGGTCTATCTAGCTCGTGGTCGTCAACCTGATTGATTCATACGCATTGACCCTACCGTCACTCTACATCTCGACCCTCCTGCTCTGTCTGCGCAGCATGCTCCAACTCGACCTGACGCACGTCAACGTGCTCACCAAGATCGACAATCTGGCCAAATACCCTCCGTTGCCGTTCAACCTCGACTTCTACACCGAGGTGCAAGACCTGTCGTATCTGCTTCCCAGTCTGGAGGCCGAGTCGCCCATGTTTGGACAGGGCAAGTTCGCCGCCCTGAACGAGGCCATCGTCGGACTCGTGGAGGAGTTTGGGCTGGTCGGGTTCGAGACGCTCGCCGTCGAGGACAAAAAGAGCATGATGAGCCTGCTGCATACCATCGATCGTGCCGGCGGGTATGCGTTTGGAAGCGCCGAGGGCGCCAACGACACCGTCTGGCAGGTTGCTGTTCGGGAAGGCCTGGGGAAGATGGATGTCAGGGACGTCCAGGAGCGGTGGATCGATAGCAGGGAAGAGTATGATGAGTTGGAGCGCAAACAGTGGGAAGAAGAGCAAAAGCGCAGGGAAGCCGAGTGGGAGGCTAATGGGGATCAGGAAGCAGGTGCGGATATGGATATGGATCTGGGGATGGGGATGGACAACGTACCGATGCCCATGGGCAATAGTGGTGTCAAGGTCGTGAGGAGGGGGGACCAGAAGAAGAACCAGCATTCGTCGGATGCAGCGCAATCGTCGCAACCATCACCATCACCACCACCACCACCACCCTCATCGCAACCTTCATAGCATTGGGTTGTTGTGCAGTGCATTAGATTGTGCTGTGACATACTAGTACGACGCTGCAGATGCTGTCGCAGGAAATGGGTGCGTGTACTATGATGGCGGAGTTGGTTGGATTTGGGCGTGGCTTTAGCCCTGGTGTTTGGTCCCAGGGAATGAATGGGATGACTGCAGGAATATACCCTCTCATCGTTCAGATTTCAAGAAGAGTGCTTGATGGCAAATCATCGTTTCTTCATTCCGATAAGTCGTCCATATCATCATCTTCGTCGTCTTGGTCATCGTCGAAAAACTCGATTCCTCGATCGTCATCATTGTTTCGTTCTGGCCCAGTCCTCAAGCCTGTCGCTGTAGCCGTCGTGTTTCTTTCTCGCTGGCCCTTTCCCACCAAGCCATCCAACAATAACGACGTCGCGGCCGCATCACCCACATCCCCGTCATCATTGTCCGAATCAACTGTTCTCATGCCTTGTCGTTTCGCACGCACAATGTCTCGCCGGGCCCGCCGGAGTACTTCCTCTTCACTCTTTCTTATCGTCCCACTGACTCTAACCACCCTCACGACACAGGGAACACTGCTTGTAGTTGTGGTAGCGTTATTATTGTAGTTGTTACTGGAGGTAGCATTCTCCCGACCGCTGCTGTTGCTGTTGATTGCCCCCTTATACGCACCACCTGCACCTTCAGTTTTGCGTCCACCAAGGTTAGATCGAGATCCAGGAATGGCATCCATAAAGGTCAGACTGGCCCAGACGAGTCTGAAATATGCCCGCGGGACACGGAGGATGCAAGTCGACGTGCTCGGGGAGAAATATACGATTTTCAACCCGGCCTGAGTTGCGCCGAGGCCGTGGCCGCCGAAGATTAGGGATATTGTGTTCCGGAGAGTTTGGACGAGGAGTTGCGGTGTCAAGTGTCTCGGACTGGGACGGGAGAAGAGGACGTAAGACGGTAGAGGAGGGCGCGTGGAGGTGGAGGTGGAGGTGGAGCTTGGTGTGCTCGTTACATTGGGATGAGGGTGGGAAGAGTTGATGAGATTGTTTTCTGGAGGATTGGAAGGAGCGTGGGCGAGGGCGTTGGATGTAGGTTGTTTTGAGGTCGTGGTGTCGGGTGCATTGGGGTCTGGGTAGAGAATGTTGAAGAGGAGATAGCGGTGCTTAATGCGGACCATCGTTCGAACCTAGTAGGATATGAGGGAGCTTTGGCCTCTCAAGGACTACGGCGTCACTCGAGGTGTAGTTGTTTGTTCCACACCGGTTGGCATAACAGAGGGAGAGGTGAGAATGGGAGGGAGGCTGATAGTAATGCTGGGGGAGTGGGTGAGTTCACATCATCTCCAGGATGGGGTGACTGGAGGCGCGTGTACAGAGTATATCCTGCGAAGGAATGTTGTCGTGTTTGCGGAGTACGTACAGTATGTAAGTAGTACCTGTAGGTAGTAGTATGAGATGCAAACCTGAAGTTCCAGTTGTTTGGCTTCGCAGCCTTGCGGATCAGCCGTTGAAGGTTCTTTGACGCTTGGCAAGGCTGCGCTTATAATTGTGGTTCAAGTTTCACCCACGACTTGAAGCATGTGCTTCGAACTTGGACACTCATAACCACTTACCTACGATTAGTCCTCTCCTGTTCAGACGAAGTGGACGTCATGAATACTGCAGATGGGACTGCTCTACTACGTACTCCAGAATCAGGTACGCGTCCACAAAACCCCCTACATCTGAAACGAAGAGCCCACAGGCACGCTGCCTCTTTCGGTCGACTCAGGGGCTCGGTTGTCACTTTTGAAACGACCCAGCACTGCATCTCCGCTCATTCAGGGTCAAGCACACCTCTTCCTCTTGCCCGAGGATCAAATTGAGGTACGCAGTGGTCTGCTACCAGGGAGCATGATGTCGGGGTTGCAGGATCTCAAACATCCCTGAGAGATTTGTCCACGCGTCGATCCTGGTTTGTGCAATAAAAAAAGCTGGGGCATAAGTTTACGTTACTCTCTTCTTGGGGATTTGCTTGTGTCGAAAATACACAGCTGAGAAATGGAGGACTGTATGGATCTTCAAGCCGCATTGTGAGACTTCGCAACGGGTAGCCCGTAATAAGAGAATTCAGGGTGTGTCCCTAACTCAACATCTCGGTCAGGATCAGGTCTGTCTCGGTATGAAGCACTCCCCATCTTCTCTTTTCATCTGTCCAGCAAATATCCACATTCGAACGACTAGTGGTCGGTGGGACATGGGACGTGGTCTGTGGCCTCTGATCTGTGGCCACTAACCGTTAAGAGAGTGTTGCGGGTGCTACGTGCACAATGCTCGCGTGAAGGATGCCACCTCTCTGCTCTTTCGATGTTTGATAGCAGAATCCTCAGTCATAGACGACTATGAAACCCAGATCGCGGGTCGGTTCTTTCGATTCCGACGTGTCGTTGCTGGCATTCCCCCTGAGGAGAACTGAGGACACGCGAAACTGGGGCACAAACGTGGCTAGACTTCAGCGCGGAAGAGGCTCCCAAGGGGTATGGTGGTGGTGTCGGGACCAGCCAATGATAATGGGACAGGTGAGAAGCTTTGACGCCGTTGCTTCAAGGGACTGGGAAGAGAGATTTGAGTGGCCGGGTGAGCAGGTGAAATGGAGCCTTGAGTGGTTGACATGGCATTCCACTGAGAAGAAAAGGAAGAATGCTGCAGGGGAAAAGCCACCAGCGAGACTTCAAAAAGATAGCTCGCAGTTTAGTCGACTGTAGACAGGTAGAGAGTGGACTTGTAGTGGAGAGGAATGGGCAGTCCTGAACAGGAGTGGATGGCAGTGAACCACAACACCAGCTGATTGACCAGGAACCGAGAACAGGGCACGCTTTTGGCTGTTGTCCTGGTCCGCCCGTAGTTCCCACTCATGCAATCTCCATCGAGTAGGCGCCCATGATCGCTCCCTAGGGGTCCCTAGGCTCCCTAGGCCCCCAGAGGCTCCAACTCCCACCCGCTACTGTACCTCTGTACCTCTGGCTCTGCACCCTCTCTATACACAGAACACCTCCATCTCTCCCACAACTCTATTTACCCTTTTTCGCCTTCCCCCAACGTCAAAAGATTCCCGCCGAATCGCCTCCCGACCCAAGGGAAAAGTCTTTCCTTTCATCTCTCCATCACACCTGAATGTCGTTCCTTTGACTGCCTTCCTTCCCATCAACTACACTCATTGCTCGACGGTCGATTCGTCGCAAGAAACACTCCTTGTACATTCCTTGAACAACGTGTTTGTGCTGGCTTGTCATCCTTCTCTCACGACAACATCAGCCAAACCTCACTCTACTTCACTATCGATCCTTTCTGCGCGCGGACTGAGTCCTACTTCGACTGATCGATCATACACGACCATTCCTTTATCACCAAGAAAGCCTTCACTTCGATTCGAAAAACACTTGAAACAAACCTCACATTCATTGCCGTGCCACCAGGTCGCCATAAAGAACCTACTACACAAACCTGCACACACGATTTAGATTCAGACGCAGGCAACCAAAACTTGGATTGCCTACTAAATCATCACCTTGTGGCTTTGTGATCACAATCAGTCATTAAAGCCCCCGTTCATTACCATCAACACAAGCTCTCCTCCGTCATGTCTTCCGCTACAATGACCCTCGCCCGAGCCTTCACCAAGCGTACCAAGCGCAGCGTCGAACCCCAGACTCCTCAACGTGGTACAAGTGTCCGATACGCACATGGAACAATCAATCGCAGTCTCATCTCGCTCCCCACAGAGCTGATCTCGACCACCAATGTCCAGGCCTTGACAGCTCCGGACATTCGAAGTGCTTCCTCGTCGTCAGTCGGTTCGACCTCCTCTGCCAATGAGTCTGATTTCTCCACGATCGATCGAAGCTTCCTCAACCGCACCAGTCATGATTCTTCTTCCGTGGACAGCAGTGGCCCTGCAACCCCAGTCACACCTGCGACGGCTGACCTCAAATCATTCTTCGATGCGAAGCCACCAGTATCGGTTTTACCCGAGATCGCTTCGCCGCCTATCATCGACACGCCTGCGATCCCGACACGTGCTCCGTCCCATTCCAAAAAGGCACACGTTGCATTGTCACGGAAGAGGTCAATTCAACGCATGTCTCCACCTCCGTCGAGCCTTACCAAATCTTCCGTCCGAGACAGCGCTGACATCTTCACTTCGACCACCGACCCTAACCATCCTTTTGGTAGGGAACTGGCGCAGGTGAACGAAATTGCGGAGGAGTTTGGTGCTACCGCCAGACTCTTGGATGAAGAGGAGCAGGAGATCACGAGCAAGGGTTTGTGCAAGTTCGGGGTGGAGGATTACCTTGACGAAATCGCTGGGTTGTACGGCGGTATCTTCGAGGGCCAACTCGGCACATTGGCAAAGCCGTGGATCTGAACGACCGATCGTTGAAGAGTCGGTGGCCTGAGCCCTGACTTCTTCACAGATGTCACGACTTTACGATTTTTCGAGATGGTATGGCTTCGGTGTTCCTCTGGCTGCTGGTCGGCGAGTCATGGCGTTTCGTGGTACGAGACAGGGCAACGGGCTTTCCTTTCCCTGCGCCTGGTTCTCTTGTGGAGGAATTTTGTGGCTTTCCTATTTCCGGGACCTCTCCCATGCAAGAACGATTTCTTCTGCTTCTCGACAACCAATACGGCGCGATACTGGCAACGGTTATTCACACAAAATCTTATCCGGCTCACCGGTCCTGCGCATATGCTTCCATGGAGTCCGTGACTTCAATGCAAGACCTGGGCAGCGATCAATCGCAACAATATTGAGTGGTGGTAATCTTCGTCATATCGGTTTGTCAGGGAGGATTCAAGCTAGGACTTTGCAATGGGCAACCTTGAAATGCAGCTGAGATGAGGTGGAAGAAGGATCTGGATCTGGAGTCTCGAGATTTCGGTCCGATTCAACAACGATAGAACTGGCAACTGGGACTATGTGTAGATTCCAAGAAACAGAGTCATTCCCTACTTATACCTATCAGGTGTCTTGCTCCCATGCCTTGTGTTGTTTCGGTAGGACGCGCTGCCGCCGCTGCTTGGATCTCCATTCTTGGACCCAATTGCCTTTCTTGTTCTTTGCGTGTGACAGTGAACAGTGACCCGGTTCTCCCTTGGTATCAGAGCTAGGTACAGTTTACTAAAGCTTCATTCTGCCCCGATGCCACCATTAGGATTGCTTCGAGCATTCCATTGCACCTGGACCCTCTTCGTCTTCCTCGTCTTACGTACATCGCGCTTACTCAAGATGATATAATGGATCTCAATGCCTCATCGGCAAATACTGCAGTGGGTCAGATATTGGAGCGAATCGGTAGTGAACCTTGTCCCATTACTCTCGATCTTCCTTCCGATATACTCCGCCACAGCAGATGCGCAAGGACTTTGGAGGAGATTTTGGTTCTAGAAGCAGTGTGGCTTCTTGACGAATTGCTGTCTGGAGTCGATATATCCAAGTCAGAAGCGCACAATGTGTCGTAACGTGGCGACATCGAACCAGCGGTCCCAGTGTCGTAGACCTTCAGCTGGGATGGTATCTCGTGGGAGTGTACTGTGGCAGTGTGGCACAGCCAGCACAACAAGCGTGGGTTGGCTCTGGTCCATCTTAGAGAATAGCAAAAGCACTGTGTGGGGGCTCGGCAAGCGAGATTTTATGGGGTCTTTTTCAGCTGCAAACAGTCTCGAAAATTGATGCATGTGGTACGTGCACGGCATGTCATCGTGGAGACATTTTTCCTTCCTCTTTTCTTCTATAAGCGCGATATCCTCTGTCCTGCGTCTCTTCTTGGTATCAAAGATCAGTTTGGTGTGTAGGCGTAGCCGGTGAGAGGATGTAGAGAGAGGACAGCACGCGAGGGGTAGACGCTGACGATGAATGGTTGTGTCGGTTTCTATCGCAGAAGGAGAGAACGTTCACTCATCTCATGTGTTCAAATAAACGCGGCGTTTTCCGCAGGGTCTCGGATCAGTGATGATGGATGGGGTCGGTCCCGCGGATTTGCTCACCGTGGCCGTGGGGAGCGCCCGCCGTGTGTGCAGGCTCAGAGTCAGATTCAGGCTCGATGTCCTTCTTGAAGTCGACCGTATGCGAATAGGTACCTATGTGACCTATTTCACAGTTAAACTGGGCATCGCAGTCAATCCCTAGGATGAGGTGGTTGCTGTTATATTTATTCATTGTATCTCGTGTTCGCGGCTCATCCATGCTGGAATGGAAGGGGGGCGATTGGAGCGCAGGTTGGTCGGTATATGCACCCACTACGTAGTAGGGCTGTGATGGCGAAACGACTCAGCTTCGTTGGTGTGGGTTGCTGGAATGTTGCTTCGTAAGGTAGTTCTCGGATCCTCAGGTACAAAATGGGAACTCGCCAATCTGGACAGTGGAAGAAAAATCCCGAGATAAGGTGCTACAGGCTAGTATAGTAGTAGGTCGTCGTCGACTGACTCGACTACTCGTAGTTAGTACGAGGTAGAAATTTGTCCTCAGCCTCAGCTCGACGGGGGTCTTGGCTGAAACTCTGTTCGATGCGGTGCGTGCCAGTGGGAGTGGGAGTGGGAGTGGGAGTCTTTCTTCTTCAACTACTAGCATAGTAAAGGAAATGAATTATCCGCAGGTCAGACCCATCAGGCTGTGCCCTCGCCTGTCATCGACCCCTCCGACGGCTAGGGCGCACCCACAACCTAATCTGCAGGCTGTATGATGAGTGTTCGAGTTTGCAACTTGAGCGAGGTGTTGATAGACTTGGACATACCTGCTGAAGTGCCCATACTGCGGTCTTTTGTACCACTAGGTACTCTGTATATCCTTAGAACACCAGCGAGCGGCTCCCACCTACTACTCATCCGTCTTCCCTATCCTCCTCCTTGTTTACACCTCCGCACGATCGCTGTCACGCTGTCAGCATCCCTGTCTCTTGCGTCTCTTGCGACGGCCTGCTCTTGCTTTCTGGCTTGGCTCAACTGTGGCGCCCCTCACCTCAACGAGGTAAACAACACTCAACAGCAGTGTCTCAATCATTCTGCAAAGGCACATCGGTGCACCTCCAATCATGGAGGTAGTCCATGTCCTCCTCCAGAGTCGCCAGGCTCCCGATACCAATGCGAACGACGACAAGAACGTTGGATCCAACAGAGACAGTGATCCTTCGTTATCTGGCCTCATCTCTACACTCGTACCGACTCTCATCCTCTCCGTCGCATACTTCGCCATCTTCCTGCTTCTGCGGACCAAGTTCCCCAGACAATACGCGCCCAGGACGTACTTGGGTGCGTTGCGCCCACAAGAGCGCACTCCGGCTCCACCAAATTCGCTGCTGGGATGGATTCCGTTCATGAGGAAGGTGTGTATTTGTATTGAATCGCGCGCTGGGCATCTCTGTCCTGACAACGAGACGTTTCTAGTTGCCGGATGAATACGTTCTGCAGCACAATTCCCTCGACGGGTACTTTCTGCTGCGCTACCTGAAAATCTCGGTCGTCATCTGCTTTGTTGGTTGCTGTCTTACCTGGCCTATATTGTTTCCAGTCAATGCGACGGGCCATGGTGGGCAGACGCAACTGAACGTTCTCAGTTTCAGCAACATCGAAGACAAGGACCGTTACTATGCCCACACGTTCGTCGCCTGGATCTTCATTGGCTTCATCTTCTTCCTGGTCACCAGGGAACTGATCTACTACATCAACCTACGACAAGCATACCTCACCTCAACCTTGTACGCTTCACGACTTTCGTCTCGCACCGTTTTGTTTCAGGCCGTCCCGAACGAATATGCGAATGAAGCCAAAATCCGCAGCATGTTTGGCGATGAACTGAAGAACGTGTGGATCGCTTCAGACGCGAAGGAACTATCCGAGAATGTCGATAAGCGATACAAGCTCTGCATCAAACTCGAGGCTGCCGAAACGAAATTGATCAAGCTCGCCAACGATGCTCGCCTAAAATATGTGAAGGGAAAGGAGGCAGACACTGAGGCCCGCCATGTCATTGACCCTGATGAAGATTACGGAAACGAACCCGGATCGGCTGCTGCGCGATGGGTTAGACCTAAGGACCGACCAACCCATCGTTTGAAGTTTCTGGTAGGCCAAAAGGTCGACACCATCAACTGGTGTCGCGAGGAGATTGCAAAGCTCAATCCTCTCATCGATGCCGAACAGAGCAAGTACCGCTCTGGTGAATCGACGCCCAAAAACGCCGTCTTCGTGGAATTCTGGAACCAGACTCAAGCACAGAGCGCATTTCAGATGGTCGCTCATCATCAACCGCTGCACATGTCCCCTCGTGTCGTCGGCGTGAGTCCGGAAGAGGTCGTCTGGTCAAACATGGGAATCACCTGGAGAACTCGCACCATCCGCAACATCGCTTCATTGGCGTTTGTTACCGCCTTGATCATATTCTGGTAAGCCGAATGCTCCCATATAGGGCCTTTCCCGCGTCTGACAATGCTTGAATCTAGGTCGATCCCGGTCGCTGTCGTCGGATCCATCTCCCAAATTTCGTATTTGACCAAAGTCGCTCCCTTTTTGTCCTTCATCAACGACTGTCCCAAAGTCATCTTGGGCGTCATCACCAATCTACTCCCCGTCGTTTTACTGTCGGTCCTGGTATCCATGGTTCCCGTCATCATGAAATTCATGGCCAAAATCGCCGGCAAGCCTACCTTGTCTCTTGTCGAACTCCGCTGCCACGAATCCTTTTTCTGGTTCCAGATCGTTCAAGTCTTCTTGGTCACCACCATGACATCGGCCGCGAGTGCAGCCGTCCCGCAAGTCATTAAGAACCCTGGGTCTGTGACGAGCCTGTTGGCCAAGAACCTTCCTCTCGCGTCGAACTTCTACATCTCCTACTTCATCCTGCAGGGCTTGGTATTTTCCTCGGGCCAACTGCTCCGGATCTCAGGCTTGATCGTATCCAACGCGTTGTCCAGATTACTGGACAAAACCCCTCGAAAGATGTACACCCGCTGGTCCAGCCTGTCATCAGTCGGTTGGGGCACTACTTTTCCCGTCATCGAGTACGTATTCTTTGTCTTTTTTGTTTAACGTTCCTCCTCCTCAACAAGCATTGTGATTGCTGACAGCTGGTCAGGATGATGACGGTTATTTCCATCACATACGCCGCTATTGCTCCTCTCATGCTGGGCTTTGCGACCATTGGTCTCGGTCTCTTTTACTTCGCTTACCGATATAACCTGTTGTTCGTGGACAGTTCTACCATCGACACCAAGGGGCTAGTCTACCCCAAAGCCCTACAACATACCCTGGTCGGATGCTATCTCGCTGTCCTCTGTCTGATTGGGCTCTTCGCCATCCGAGCCGCTCCTGGACCTCTCGTACTCATGATCATCTTTCTGGTTTTCATGATTCTATACCATATCTCCCTGAGTTCCGCCGTGAAGCCACTGCTGCATTATCTCCCGCGATCACTTGACGTCGAGGAGGCTGCACTGCTAGACGGAGAATCTCCAAACATGAGCGCGACGGCCGAACTTGACGGCCACGGCCGCGACCACGACAAGACCTACGAAAAGGACGCCATCAACGAGCTCAGACGAACCAAGGACTCCATGAGCCCGGGTCAAGGCAAGAACAGGCCCGTGTCGAAGTTGAAGAAGTTCTTCCGTCCCGACATATATGCCAGCTTCGGCGTGCTGCGTAAATTGGTGCCCCAGGACTTCGCCGAGATTCGATATTCCCCTGAAGTCGAGAGGGACGCGTACCAGGACCCAGCAGTCAACGCCGCGCCTCCTTTGCTCTGGGTCCCCCGTGACGAGATGGGCGTTTCGAGGCAGGAGTGTCTGCATACCAACAAGGTGACGCCGATGACTGACGAGGGTGCCTATCTCGATGAAAAGGGCAAGATTGTTTGGGACGAGGAGGAGACTGGTGGCCGACCTCCGATATTTGAGGAGAAGATATACTATTGAAAAACGGAGGGTGTTTTAAATTTGGTGGTGTGAAGGATGAGCACCCCGCCAGAAGTTGGAGCAGGCCCCTGACTCTTGACTCTTGACTTTGTAGGTGTGTGTTGGTCTATACGGGCAGACGGTTGTTGTTCTGCTTCCCTCTCCTTCCTGTCTTGTCCTCTGCACTGCACTGAGGGGGATAATTGCCTCTTATGGTAGCAGACGACACGGTGGAGGAGGGAGTTGGCATTGTTCACCATTGTCCAAGGGCCACCGGCGTGAAGAAAAGGTATATACCCCCCTATGGCGTCACAAGATGGCTTCTTCTTCTTATCTGTAATACAAGTTCAGCGTGATGATGGGTTTGTCCTTGCTGTTGTTGTGCAGTAAGTAAGGTAGAATGTCAGAGATCCCTCTTGCAACGAAGAACAACTCGCTTTTGGTCTCATGTCATATTTCAGTTCACTCCTCTCGATATGTTCCCACGACTATATCACATACCTAGGTACGTAGTCTGGACGCGGCGATGCATGTCCTCTCGTTCGTAGAGGGGCCTCATAGCACTCCTTCATTTACAATTGTAAGGATTGTGATGTCGCAGTTGATGAGTAGAGGAATTTAATTTCCATGGTAACCTCTTGAACCTGTAGTTGTCTCCGCAGTTGACAGTTTGACATGGAGATTTGGAGTCTGGCTGGTGGGAATCATACTTCCGATCTGCGAGGCCTAATCCCTGTTGAGTATTCAAGGAGCGTGGATTCGACGTACTAGTATTCTGTATAGCGGATACGGGATACGAGCCACTTCGGCTGAGGTGGGTTTTCGGATATGCTGACGTGCCTGGATCTTCGATTTTACGTCAAATCAATGCGGACCTCTCATGAGGCCTGCAGTCGCTTGTTTGACAGGAACGGCCTGCAACAGCGATGAGGCCATCGGAGGCCGCCGTTGCTGATCTGAGGGTGTGCCGCACTATTGTTTTCGACGACGCCCTCGTTGGTCAGTCATGGCTCCCTCACTGGCCGCCCTGGAACCTAGAACGTTGAGGCAGAATGAAATGTCGATCATCTTGTCGCAACAAATGTCGGTGAGACAGAGCATTCGACCAAACAGGATAGCAGCGACTATGATTCTACCAGTGGTGACCTGGAACATACCCATATTGACCAGCCCAGCGCATGAATACGGCGATCTCGCTTGTCGTACTGCTCCCGGTAGGGTAAGGGAATGCGCGAGACTAGTCGAAAGAAGGACATTCAGGCGAGAATAAGTATGCCAGGTGCTTGGTCGATGGTTATAGGGATGCATGTTGCGTAATGAATGTCTTCGTTCAAAATCTTGCTGAGACTACCTGGGTACTTGAACGAGACAAGCAATCCTGCAGGCTCCTTGAAGCAGGAAGATGTTGGGGTTTGTCATTACTTTACCTGTACTTATGACTGAGCACTGCCTGTATTGTTCAAGACTATTGGCGGCGCTGTTCCTGGCGTGGTCCTGCATGGTTCTATTGTATTTCTTTCCCCAGTCTTGGGAGAACTGCCAGCCAGTGCTGATGGTCTGTAACGACACATGGGATTCGATTCTACAACAATCGTGGGCGAGCAATTTGACTCGTGGGAGGTTGGACAAGTGAATCGGACGAGACTGCATCCTGATACTTGTATCCGGACTTGCTGGGGAGGATGCACCAACGTGCATGAGTGCAATGCAGGAAGGCCCAGAGGGCTGATCCAGGACGGACGGTCGTGACGAGAGCCATGTCAATCGTGAGACAACCATTTTGATGAGGGGTCTTTCGTGACGAGGTGACTGTACCATGGACTACCGTACCACCTGGAACTCGACGAAACACCATCAATGTGATATGAGGTGTAGTTTGTGGTTTGCCATGTAGCCAACATTGCTCGTATCTCAAATCATCGTCTCAATCACAAACATCGTCAACCTTCTTGATTATACAGACTATTTTAGGCCAAGCTGCGTAACGGACCGACCGGAACAGTCGAAGTGTCGAGCGGCGTCTCGATCAAGTCGCAATAGAGGGCCAATAAGAGATTGACAGGTGAGGTTGCACCAAGGATGGTTTGCAGGGAGATGACTTCACGCCGGGTTGAACTTGAAGCGCAAGAGCAGTCGATCCTTGCTGGGGAGGACGAGGAATGCTGTGTGACTCTGCAAGGAATTATGATAAAGCGACTACCAGACTGAGGAAGGTCGAAAAGGAAGGCCTAGGGTAGCCGCATATGGGGGGAAGAATGGGGGGAAGTCGGAAGTAGGGTGAGAGAGGTGATTAGGCGGATGGGCAGCAGCTAGAAAACAGCTGGTATAGATGGAGCAGGGAAGAAGGAAAGTACCGCAGGAAGAGTGGATGGAGGGGAGGGACCGGTAGTAAAGCGCTGTAGTTGGTGGTAGCGGTGATGATCGATCGATACATGGGTACCGTTCCGTGCACACTTCACCCTGCCTCAAGCTCGCCGACAGTAGCCCTTTGGAAGGCGTTCATACTGGTACATACCTAACACAATAGTGTTTGCAGTTGAGGCAGACAACATTACATTCAAACGTACTAGGTAGGTACTTACAGGTAGAGGCGTGTCACTTCTTCACCGCATGGTCAAGTCGCTGGGGTTGTGGGAATGAGTCAATCCGTCGGTTGGAAAATCTCTACTCTGGAGACCCTAAGGAGCCCTCGGGCCATCGACAACTGGCACATCCCGCCTAGTCGTACTCTACTACGTATTTCTCTGCAGTCTAGAGTCTGTAGGGCCGAGAAACCCCAGGGATCCCTGCGACCCCTTAGGCCTAGGGAGCCTAGGGAGCCCCGGTCGACGCCTAACGCCAACTAATTACTAGGTGCCGAGCGCTTCCTTCCCATGAAGTCCCTGTCGGAGGGCATAGGCTAGTCCTATAATTGATATAACTACGTACCGCCTATCTTCCTCCCTACGGACGTACTGTAGTAGTACGTACATCACAGTAGACACTAGACATCAGATACTACGCACATTGTCACGTCGGACAATTTCTGATGCTACGGCGGCATATTTACCTAGGTAGGTAAGGTAGTGATGCTACCACAATATCCATAAGCCCATGAACCTATGGTACCTATAATCACTCGATTGACGGATTGATTGACCAGTTCATTTGCTTGCTCGCTTGATCGCTTGATGCTTGATGCTTGATGCTTGTTGCTTGTGCTTGCATCTGCTGCCTGACACCGCATCGCAGTCTCCTCCACTGCTAGCGAGTCCCTCTCCCTCCACCGCACCCACCACTAGCCACGGCGATTAACAAACTCCTCCCACTCCTCTCATCCTCTCACTTCTCTCCTCGTCAACCGCCGGTCAACCACTGCACTCCCTTTCACTCCGCCTATCATCGCATATCAATATCCTCTGTTCCCTCCATTCTCTTTCACCAGAGCTCCCTGGGCTTGCATACTGGCTTGACTCAATCAGTATCGTCGATCAGCCGTTCAGTGTTCAGCCCGCTTATTCGCGCCTCCCGCTCTTCCGGACGGCCACTTTCGACACCGAAAAGCCTCATACCGCATTGATTTTACCGGCTCTACCTCTCCTTCCGCCGTCTGCTCTTCTCAAGTGCAAGATCAAACTCACAAACGAGGCGGCGAAGAACACTGAAAACGATGCCCTCGTGATCTGCTCAACTGTTCTGTACTCCCAAGACACTTTTGCAGGTGCTGTGGTGCACCTCATGGCTCGAAATATGGATGCTCACTCCAGCTTTGTCTTCCTCCTCGAAAACCTTCCCACTTGGAAGGCTAGCATTCAGTCATTATCCTCACATGCCGACCAGAAACATACCGAGTTTGTAACCGAGTATGCTCGACTGGTTAACCAGATCAAGCCCAAGCGTCGGAGGTCACCTTCCATGACTTCAGTCCATACCACCGATGACAATGATTACCCTGGCCAGCCTGAAGGGGATTCCACTCCAAGCATTGACACTATGCCACCCCCCCTCAGCCGGATCGAAATCAATCCTCTCGAGGCCGGGAACAAATATTTATACGCGCAAGCCAGAAGGAGGCGGAGACCGGGCACCTCAATCCGTTCAGGAGCCTCTGGGCCACAAAAGTTCAGGAATAAAAATCAAGTCGTTGTATATTACGATGCTTTTCTGCAAGAACAACTGGAAACCATGGTGAAGACTATTGGCGTCGGTCGGAACAACCTACGCAAGGGCAAAAATGCCTTAGTAGCTGCTAAAGGATTTTCTCTTCCCGCCTTATCATCTACCACGCGCAACCACCGAGCTTATCCATCACTCGACAGTATCCGAGGTACAACTTCGGTATCCCGCAGTACGCCAGCACTTGTGTCGGGAAAGAAGCCTACTTCACACACCGTCCAACCCCAAGCAGCATCCGATGATGAAACTTCTTTCTTCCTGGTGGACAAGGAGCTGGAGTCGATCCAGTCTCTCTGTGAGACTGCGGCTCACCAATTTCTTCGAGATGGCGATTGCAAGACAGAGCTGGATTCAATTTGTCAGAGGTTTGACGCCGTCCTCGCCCAAGCAACCGCTGTAGCAGAATCGCTCAAGAACAGTCGGCAAGAAAACCAACAGGAGTTGGACGGAGACCGTGAGCACGCAGATAACACTCATAGCTGTGGAGACTCGGTTGGTACACTGTCTACTCAGCCTTCGCTCGATGTCCTTCATACCCCCAAGATTGGTGCAGCCATGGACCGCAGTCACCTCATCATTAGCCACACTTTGGAGGACATGAAGTCGCGTGGAGCATTCTTCAGTGCACCCATGGTATCGGGTGACAATGCGGGAATGATGACTGACAACATCGAAGTGGACGATGCCAGCGACCAGAGCTCTGTTGTCGTCGACATTACGCAGTTTCGAATGACGAATCCGAGGAGGACCAGGGTCTGAACAACGCTCATGTCCCAAGAAAATCGCCACGTCCTCGCCCATCCATTCTTGTGCCTATTAACATTGCATTTTCAGCGTATTTTCGCGGTCCCGGGCATAATTTTGAAGCCTTTTAGCAGGTATTGTTTTCTGGAATTCAGTCAAGAGCGGCATGATGCAAAGGCGCGATCTGGTATGTGACTCTGTGGAAGGGAGGAAGTTGTTTGTGACGACTCGATTCGGCTTTTCAGGGCACGACACTATAACGACGACTGCAATCGTCCCCTGCCTACAAGGGAGAGACGCATGAAGGAGTGTCACCCTGACGATGCGTTTGCTGGATAGCATTGGGCCATGCAAGGCGGGAAAGGGCAACATGTTTTTGCTTTTCCTTGGGACGGCGTCATTTCGTGGCGAGCAACTGATCAAGTGGGCTTTTTTGAAATTGATGCAGAACAGAAGGATCAGATGAGCTCACGGAGCATTACGGCCTTTGGGATGGGAGTTGTGGGATTTCGGCGCCGGTGAGCTGCTGACAGGATAAGGATCCAGGTCTGAGCCTATATTTGCATTTGGATCAGATACAGCTTGAGCAGCTGGCGATGCCGGGCAAATGATTGATAGCTCGCAAGTATCGGACATACTATCTTAGTGTTTAACAGCAAGTTAACTACTCATATCTCATTGCACTTCAAGTGGAAGAGCGACAGAGGGCAAATGTGACACATTCTACAAACCACCTTCGCCCGTAGTCCAGTTGTAAAGTGGTCAGATCTCGGCAGCAGGGGAACAGACATTTACGTAGTAGGTAGTTGGTACCTGAGTATTAGGGGTTCTACCGGACTACTACAGCTGTGGTTTGTGAACATGCCATGTCTATGCCAGCTTCGGATTCGAATTTCCTTTTGAGATTCCATCGGGATATCTCTCTCTTGATGACCAGCTTCAGATGGAAAAGACGGACCCGGGCCTACTCCTACCTCATGTTGATACCACTGTCGCCATGAGATGGAGAAGAAGGAAGTGAGAAAAGAAAGAGGCTGGCTGAGAGGAGTTTTCCACGCCGGCTGTGATCTGGTCAACAGAGCCGGCGTCTGAGCCTCCACACCATGGCTGACAGTTCCCACCTCAGCTGGTGCACTTCCCCATGAACCATCCCCAGAGAGACCAACGGGTCGTCCTCTGCCAGCGCGGTCTGCATTGACTGGGAGCGCTGCGGAAGCAAGGTCGTCTCGTCGTGTAGTGCAATGTTGGGATAGTGCCAGAAAACATGTGGACGTCAGAGAGTGAGCTGACCGGGCCGCCAGTCAATTCACTCGCCAGCCCTCCGGATGCGCATTACACGCTTGACACCCATTGTGGTAGGTTGCTCTGTTCTCGTAGACGGCCAATGCAGCCACATACCCCGTGTCAAGGATGATTGACCATTGGGGCTTTTGCAGCACCATGGCTTGAGAGTGAGAGCAGTAGACACGCCTTAACCTCCGTTACTCCCGACCGCGATGCCAGCAGCAGCATTTGTCGCCTGTTCCCCGGCAGCCTTGACTCTCGCCTCCTGCACCACACCCCAGAACAACTTCTTCTTGACCTCGCTGGCCAGCAGACCGGCGACCTCCTCCGATGAGATCTTGTTGCCACCGCGAACAATCTGCTCGAGTGAACCGTCCCTAACGACCCTGATATTCTGGTCTCCAGCACCGGCCAATTCCTGCGTGCGCCGACCGACGGTGGCATTTGTGCGCTGTTTCTTCGCCGCCTCTTTAATCTTGACGGCATGGTCGGTGATCTGCTTGTTGACGTAGTCGCGGTTCGTAAACAGCGGCGACTGCGAGAGGGTGGATGTCCAGTACTTGTTCCACAGCAGACCAAGCAGATGCGTATCGAGGGTGGATTTGTAATGGGTGACCTCGAGGGCATAGTAGGAATTGGCGTGGGCGCCGAAATCCTCGATCTTGCCAGTCGGGATGGCCTGGAACTCGTCGCTGTCGTCGGTGAACTGCTTGTCCTTGGGCCGTTGGCCTTCTGGATAGGTTCGGAAGGCGCCGATCTCGACCTTGCCGGCGCTGACGGTGCGGTCGGGGTCGATGACCACCGCGACGAACGGGTCGTTAGCCATCTGATGCGTCATTTGCGTGTTGACATCGATCCCGGACAGCCAGCATCCATAGCCCGGATGCGAATGATACCACCCCACCGCGTTCTCCAGTTGCCCGCCTCCTTCGCGCGACGCGATCCCAAAGTTCACCATGTATTCGTCCGCGTCGCTGTGCGCGTTGACCCGTGTTTCCGTGCCTTCCACGGGCAGTCGGAAGGCGTCCGTGATGATCAGAGACCGTCCGGACACGTACCCGGTCATCAGACCCATGATCTCAATGCTGCCGCCGGAGCGGGCGTGTGTGGTCATTTTGAGCAGCGCGAGGGCAGAAATCCGCACGGTCGTGAAGTAGTTGGGGTCTTTCTTCCATGGCGACGAGTCTTGTAGAGCTTTGTATGCGGCCGGGTCGGGCAGGTTGTACAGCGCATTCTGCGTCGGGTCGATCGTGATGATGTCGTTTTCCGCCTCCCAGGTGCGGAGGGCGGAGAGGGTGGACATGGTGAGAGCCGTCTGCAGATGAGATGCAGTAGAAGGAACTACTCAGAGGGTTGTTGAAATATGGCCTAAGTACCTTTCACACGCAGGACGGGCATCGATCGATGTTCGGCTGCCAGTGGTGGTCAATGGCGGTAAGTATCTCAGTATTGGTGACGAATTGAGACATGCAATGAGTAAGTGGCCCAGGCAAGATTCTGCCGGTCGATAACGACTATCAAAGGCGGTGAAGACGACGAGGCTCTGACAGGTTCTCGGACCTTACACCTTGTACCTTGCACGGCGTGGTTGTTGCTCTGCCAACGCCATCAACATCACCACCGCGCACTTCACCTCGATCCTCCAAGCCCACAACTTCAACCTGATTCGACCGAACGCCGCGACCACTTGGTGCCCATATTCTCCATGCTCCTCAACGTGTATTTTTTGAACCTGTCACTCCCATCGAATCTTCCGTTTGAAGGAAACCGAGAGAAGAGTGGCATAATCGTTTCTACAGCTCGGCCGCGAGCCGCAGTCTGCCCTCCATGCCTGCGCCAATGGACGCCAGCTACCTAACCACCCAGGTCACTACGATCATAGGCCAATTGCATTCGATATTCGACGAGATCGGGGTGCCGCGCAATGAACGAGAATCCAGAGAAACAGAGCTGTTCTCTGCTTTGTCTGAGACGCTACATAACCAGCTACGCCTGGTCAACAAGTACGCAGCAGATACGCAACTCGGACGTCGTTCGTGGCCCATGTGTGCTGACTATTTACTGCCAGTGAGAAGAATGAAATGACCGAAGAAGCACACAATATCATCAAGACAATCAAGCAGATGGAAGCATCGCTGGACGATGAAAAGGACAGAGGCTACGACTTGGACACCGACGGGCTGCGCGTGACCTATCCCCTCATTGATTGTTTACGCGACCTCAAAGAGAAATACAATGTCGTTAGCAGACTGCATCGCGAGCGCTTCGAACAAGTCAAGAAACTGGTTCAAGCTCTCGAGTCTTACTCTTCGCATCTCGAGTCGTCCTTTGTCAAGATCCGCCTGCCACCAACTTCCTCCAACAGCTGTCCACCGAACTTCGACCTCTCCCCCTCCTACGTGACGACCCTCGACGAAGAGTTCTCCAGAGTATATGATGAATACAATAGGAGGACGCTGCTTGTTCAACAAATAGCGGAAGAGATCGTGAGACTGTGGTCGGATCTGGGTATCCCTCAAGCCCAGACGGATTCCTTGATTGTGCAACATTACCGCGACTCACCAGAACAGTTGGGTCTCCATCAGGCAGACTTGGACCGCCTTCGAAGCCGTCGCGACAAGTTGTTGGATGAGAAGAAAGGTCGTGAAAAGAGACTGGGTGACTTGAAAAAGAACATCGAGTCTTTATGGGACCGGTTGGGGATCGAGGAACCTGACCGAAAAGTGTTCCTGGCCACCAACCGCGGCTGCGGGTTACGAACCATCAACGAATTCGAAGACGAATTGGCCAGACTAAACGAGCTCAAGAGACAAAATCTTCATTTGTTTGTCGAAGATGCTCGCGTCAGACTTCAAGAGCTCTGGGACGCACTGTACTTTTCCGAGGAGGAGATGCTCGATTTCACCCCGGCCTTCTCTGACGTGTATAGTGACGCTCTACTGTCAGCTCACGAGGCTGAGATTGAACGACTGACCACGCTCAAAGAACAGCGAGCCCCGACTCTGGCGGCCGTGGAAAAGTACAAGTCGTTGATTGCCGACCGCGATGCTTTGGCCGCCTCGGCAAGTGATGCGTCAAGACTACTATTGAAGCCGCAAAAGGGAGAAAAGCGCGATCCTGGAAAACTACTCAGGGAGGAGAAGATGAGGAAGCGGATTGCAAAGGAATTGCCCAAGGTCACAGTGGAGCTGAAGAGGACTCTGCAAAAGTACGAGGATGAATATGGCCGACCATTCTTGGTCCACGGCGAAAGATTCCTCGACGAGATTGAAGAGAAGGAAGTCAAAGCTCCTCCAGCACGATCCAAGACCCCCAACAGCCATCAGCCGAGATCGAAGACCCCGGCACCTGCACAAGCTTCCTCCAAACCAGCTGCCGGCGCATCAAGGACTGGCTCGACAGCTCGACCTCAGAGTGTGATGAGAGGTCCTCCACCACGTTCAACCACAAAGACACCCACCGCCGGGATGGTCAGACATCAACAACCAGCACCCGCATTGTTGTCGACAGCATCTCACTCGCAATCCAAATCACCTTCCAAGATCCCGGCTCGTTTACCTCTAGGCAATCTCAAGCACGGCAGCAATTCTCCTGAACGTCGGGCTGCACAACACTCACAACCAGCTTCAAGGAGCGTACAGCAGCATCAGCCGCATGAGGCCGTCCCGAACTTCTCGCAGAGTGGCAGAACAATGGGCCCTCCTCGAGCACCGCCACCGAAGATGAGAGATCTCTTCGTTCCCCCTGAACCGAGTCCACCTGCCACCATGACCACTTCTTCTTCCCACGCTCAACCTCCACAACCTTCCACCCGACCCACTAGCACCATATCCTCCGGCTCGAACGAGAGCAGTCGCTACATCCGCCCCATAAGTCCCGAAGATGTGTATGACGATCGCGAGAGGATGTCGTACATGTCAACATCGCTGTTGAACCGGGATCGGGACCGCCCACAGCAGCAGCAGCAGCAGCAACAACAATCACAGCACTCTCAACCCGACTCCTACATCCCTGATCAACCTTCTCACTCAATGTCGACTTCAACCTCAATACGCGGCCATAGCCATAGCCACGGCCCCGGCAGCCGTCCTCACCCTTCAGCCCCACCGTCGACCATGTCCGCCACTTCCCGACAAACGTCCAACACTTCATCAAACATGACTAACGGAACTACCGCGAGCGGGAGCGAGAACTGGGAAACCTACTCGGACGGATCGGAGATGGAACCCGAACGAGATGTCCGCGACACGTACTACTCCAAAGTCCACGCCGCCGCAGCCACCACGACGACCGCGACGACGAATGCCCTCGGTATGAGCCATAACCTGAACGGCAAGAGACCCATGACTGCGGGCGGAGGTGTCAGCGGTGCTGGTGGTGCCGATGTCGCGCTGTTGTCAGGCCAGATGGGCCCTCCACCTGCTAAGATCAGAGTGCATGCAAATGGGAACCAGAACCACGGCCACACCGTCCATCTTCATCACGATGCCCATGTCCAAGCCTATGCCCGACAGCCAGACTGCGGTCCTCGCCGCCCTCACCAGAGCCAATCCCATGCGTATCAGCAGTATGAACGGTTCCGAGAAATGTCGGATGAAAACGTCGATACTACGGCGGCGGCCACTGCTGGTGGTATCGCTGCTTCAGGAGTCAGGATCGAGGGCAGTGACGCCGCTTGGAGCACCGAGCTGGAAGAGACCTATTGATGTATCGCCCTCTTTTTTCGTTTCGTTTCTTTTTCCCAGCTTATGTGACTTCTCGGTGGCGCGGTTGACCGGGGTTGCCTGATGAGGCCATTTTGCTGTTGAACATTGTATTTTCTCTTTCTCGTGGAATATGAGTAGGAGCAGGAGTCTGGAGTATGCCCGATGGATATCGGATATCGGATATTGGGGATGGAAATGGAACCACTGGGCAAATGAAGCGTGCTGCTCACCAAGATATTTCTCGCGCTCTTTCTCGCTGAACGATGAACAGTGTCAAAGATACAGTCCAAAATCGTCTGTCCTTCCCTCTGATTCTCGTGGAACACTCTTTGCCCTCTCCCTGTATGTGAATAATCAGGCGTGTGTGTCTGTTGACTGTGGAAGAGGCGCGCCACTGTGGTTTTAGTGTGCTGTGTTCTTCTGTCCAGTTGACCATGTAAACCACAGACTTGAAACTTAGGGGATGTTGTTGAAGATACATGTAATGAATGTTGAGATCGATACTGATGTTCATGTTCATGTTCATGTTCGTAGTATGCTAAGGTGTATGCTAAGGTGTATATAATCGCTATTACACTATCCGGGAATATAATAGTAATTTTCCAAAGCGACGCTTGCCAACACCACCCCCAAAAACAAAAAAGACAACATAACCAGAGAGGAAAGACAAATCCGCCGCCATGCCGCTGGCTTGAAGTCCTATGCAAAAACAGCCCCAGGTAAAGAAAAGGAGTAGAACAAGGCCCAATAACTTCAATGATAGATAGATATCCTGTTTGGTATACCCCAATGGATAGATATCCGATTTCCCGATTTCCCAATTCCCAGGCAATCAAGTCCTATACGTGTACGCTCACTTTTTTCGTGCATGTCCAAGTCCTCTCTGAAAGGGTGCATGTGTCTGTCGTTGATCTCGTTGGGTTCGTTTCATTTCCACATGGGTCGCAGCAGCATAGAGGATATCTCTTGCGTCGAAGTACTAGGGTGGCCCGGTTGTGCCGTGCCAAATATCAACCAAGGGGCCTTAGGCATGTGGCACATTCATATCCAGTCCGTTGCCGAGTGGTTTGTGGAGTATCACGCTGGCAGGTCGATATAGCCATTTTGCGGCAGATGCCGTTCGCCAGGTTCGCGGGTAAAGGTCAAGGTACTGGTCCTGGTGATGCAGATTCGGTGGGCGGCCGATCCTCGCCCCGACCTTGACCTTGTTCTCCTGTCGGCCGTGGTTCGTAGACTTCCTGCCAGTAATGTCTGACCTTGTCGCAGATGCCGTCTTTGCCTTTCCAGCAGCCGAACTGGTGCTCGTATTCACAGGCGGCGCCTTTGATTTCTTCCCAGAATCTCCGCTCGACATCGAACCCAAACACTTCAACGGCGCGCGCCTCGTCCATCCAACATCGGACCCATGTCCCGTTGGTGTCACGGGTCGGGCCGCCAGAGCCTATGACCTGGGACGAGAAGTCACGCATTTGCTCGTCAAAGATGGTGGAAGGGTCGAATTTGGGGAAATTGGCATGGACGAAGAACGGCTTGACTTCACGGTTTTCGATGTCGGAGGTTGGCGTCTCTCCTGCTGCTGCCTTCCTCTCGTCCTCTTTCACTCTCTCGTGTGGAAGGCCGTGAGTTTTGGTGAAGACCAGGTCGGCAACAGGGTCATGCTGGGCCATGGCGCTTCCGAGGTAGTGGCCGGAGGAGTCGACCCGTCCAAGAGCCATGACGCGTTTGTTGACGGCGTAGAAGGGCTCGTTCAGAGCGGTGGCTGCCCACGCGAATGTCTCCTTGTCACCTTGACCGGGCGCTCCCTGGGAGAGCAGGGGATAGTAATATTCCGGGCCATAGTAGTTGTAATAGGCAGCCAGCATCAGAGACGAATGGTGTTTCGACTTGGAAAACATGAGTTCGCCCGACTCGACGGCGGGTCGGATATTGAGAGGTGGAATGGTCTTGATCTTGGCGATCTCGAAATAGTACGGCGATTCGGATGCGTACCAGAAATCCGGCCAGACGATCAGTCCAGTATTGTTGAACGGCTCTTGTTCGAACAGCAGCAGAGGGTCTCGGACAGGGAAAGCGTCCGAGTCCAGGAGAAGAACATCTTCAAAAGAAGAAAAAAGGATAGCCATGATTTTATATTGGAACCGCTCGATTGATACCCCGGTTTCGGCTGCCCGAAATATGTCAGTGAAGACAAGGCATTTGGCGTTCAACGTCGGCAAGACGGTATTGCAGATTTCCTCGTCGTACTCGGACGAGTCGGCCAGAAACACCTCGACTGGTAACAGCGACCAAGTCCTCCGCAGCATGCGTATTGAAATCACCAGGACAGGAAGCTGCTTGTATCCGGCCGTCATGACAATACCTCTGGAGTCCACCTCGTAGGGCATTTTCGGAGGAGTGCTTTTCAGGTCATTGACAAAGTTCGAATGGGCCTCGCGCATGCGTTTGATGTCGGCGTTTTCCATGAACAGTATGTCGGGTCGCTGGTGGTTGTGGGAGGGATCAAAGCCGATATCCAATTGCTGAGGCACCACCGCCTCCGGAGGACGGTCGCAATTAGGGTCATTGTTCAAGATGATCAAGTATAGGTCCCGCCAGAACGAGGCCTGGTTCTTCAGCAGAGGGCTGGTCGGTCGGGAGGGAATGGGAGGGCTGGTCACGGCGGGCTGTTCGTCAGGCGTCGATCGGTTCATACGGGTCTGAAGGAACAAGAGGACGAGGACGAGGCCCAGCAATGATGCAGCAATGACGGATTTTCGCCGGGTCCCTGGTCGAGGGAGGGCTCGAGAGGATCGGAGAAAGCGCATGGTCTCATCGTAAGAGGCCAGCCGGTGGTCATTAGGACGCCATATCGAACGACTGAAAGGACTGCGACGGAGGAAGCAGATGCGAACAGAGCGGACAAGCAAGAAGATGAAATGCTGGGAAGGTGAATGAAACCGAATTGAACAGCCTCACAACAAGCCCACTCCGTGCCTAGGGTACGAATACCATGGTACGTGGTCGACCCGTAGCGGGGGTGAAGCGAAACGCTGGGAGGAAGTGAAAAGAAGACGGCGGTGGATTTGAGTTATGGACCGGTGGAGAGATGGAGAAAAACAGGACGGCACGCTGGGAAGGCAATCGATTCAATCATCAGCTGAATAGTGGTGAATGGTGAACGGGCTGAATGGACCCTGCAGTGGACGAAGAAGAAAGAAGGGGAAGAGGAGGAGGTTGGCGAAGAGCGTCGACAAGGGTGTTGAAGTTCTACTCTGTATTTGATCGATACACATCTCAGCCGCCAGATACTGATAGGCCTTTTAATCAAGGAGCATGTGAAGATTAAGGCTCTTCTTCGTATCAGGATCAAACAGGGTGCCTAATGCCTAGAGTACCAGTACATTGTCGTCTACTGCGCCTCCCTAGCCCTCGTGGTTCATGTTTCAGGCGTGATTCAGAGAACAAACTTGAAGTGACACGCCGGAACAAGATCTCCAGACTGTCAAATGTCAACTAAATATAGAACGAACCTGGAAGGGTCTTAGATAGGGAACAGGAGGGTAAGGAGGCAGTTCTAGGCCTTCAACGCCGGTGGTGGCCACCCAGAGCCACTGGAGAAAGTCTCCAACTGCGGTTATCGGGGTGCTGTCATGCCTAAATGGGCCTAATTTCCAACATCCAAGCATCTCCATGGGAGCTTAACCGTGCTTAAGACACCGCTCCTCCCTCCCTCAAAGCCCGCGAATCTACACCGCTGCCATCCACTACTAAGCACGACACACCTTCCTCTGGCGTGCTCATGGCAGGTCGGTACCTGTATCTAAGATGCCTCTCCAGGCTACGCTGGGACGCTTGCGGGACAGTACTCAACAGTCGACCATCTCGTGGAATATTCTTGTCTGGCGTCGTGACCAAACGAGACCACACAACTAAGCACTGTACAACAAGCTGCCTGCGATGCGGTCTGCGCCTGGAACAAGAGCAGGACGCGAACTAGGACAAGAACAAACACAAATGCATATCTACTATGGGAGTGTGGCAGTTCACAAGACGACAAGAAGGAAATGCCCTGTTTGATACTACCGGTCAAAGTCGAAGTCGAGGTCGTCTATAATCATTAACTACCGAATATTTTTGTTCTGGTCCTGTCACACATTGCCTGCATCCTTGGTGTTTGTTCCAGTCTGAGGTCCGAGGTCCTCCTCGTCACTATCGCTGGCCAGGTCATAGGGCTCCGCGTCCAGGTGCCTCGATCGCTGGCTGGCTTCGAGATCGTCCAGTTCGTTGTCATCGTAGCCTCCGGTTTCCACATCCCGCCCCTTGGGCATGGATCCGTTGGCAACCGGCACGCTGAGATATCCTTGACCGCGGACTCGCCTTCTTCCTCTCCATACCCACCAGCCGAACAAGCCAGCCGCGATCAGCACGACCACCAATGCAGCCTCGCCGCTGCGATAATATGCCTTGAGCTCGGCCTCTCTGACCTTCTGTTTTTCGTCCTCAAGGGCGACCGTGCTGTTGGGATGACCTCCAACACTGGTTTCGCTGCCGGCCTTTTCACCATCGATCCGGCTGTCGGCGGGAGTGCCGCCAATGCTGGCGATATCGACCCCCATGAATCGATCAAGCATGTCTCGGCTTCGTCGTGGCCAGTCGAACGGTACCATGTGGCTGGCATTGTAGAACAAGACGTAGGTGAGGTTCCTCGCTTCTTGGTACAGTCCAGCCGGCTCACCTTCGAACTCCCAATCTCGCTTCGGTGCCCATACGCCCGGAGAAATTTCGAATCCGGTGCCTCCTAGCCATACCATGTTGTGGATGAAGTCTTCGGTTCCCAGGTGATTGCAAATCATATCTTTGGCACCGCTGAACAGCAACACAGGCACCCCAGCCTCGAGTATGCTGGGAAGTAGTTGCACACTGGGTTTGGAGTTTTTGGCTCGGAATGCCGCAGAAACCGCTCCCGAACATTCGGTCCAGCCAGTCCGTTTGTCGGAATTGATGTGCAGGGCGTCCAGGACGTTCTGTTGACGCAGATAAGGTGTCACTGTGTTCAGATCCGGAGGCCAGGCCATGCCACAAGACGGCCAGTTGTCTTGCAGTCGGATGTCGTACATGTTGTAACACTTGCCGTTCTTCTTCGAGACCTCCAAGACCATAGACAACACGGACTCACAGTCCATCACATCCACTTTCTCGGTGCCACCTGGCTTGCTCAGCTCGGCTAGACAGCGGGCGTGCATGGCCTCGACTCGTTGTGCCTCCGGAGTGCCGCCCTGGATAAGATTTTCCTGGTACGCGAATGGGAGGTAGGACTGGTATTGTTCCGATGGCGAGATCCATCCGTTTCCGATCAAGAGCCCTTTGACGTCCCACGTGTGCTTTCCTTGCGCGCTCGCTCTTTTGTTGCGCTCGAGGATGGCGTTCGTGATGTAGGGGATGTGCTGACCCGCGTAGGATTCGCCCGCGAAGTAGATGTCGTCGGCTTCGTACTGGGGGAATAGGGTAAACCACTTTTCCAGGAAGATGATGAATTGATCCGCCATGTCTTGCAGTTCGTGGAGATAACTGTCCGTGTTCACGTAACTGAACCCCGTGCCCACCGGATTGTCTACGAACAACAGGTTGGCAAACTCATCCCACGATCCCTCGTTATATCCGAGTTTTCCCCCCTCCAGGACTCGGTAAGGGCCCATCTCCATCATCGCTCCGTCCATGGAGCTGCAACCTGGGCCTCCATTCAGCCAGATTACTGTCCGCGGCCGGTTAGCAATATGTCGGTTCGCGTAGTGCCAGAAGAACAGATGCCCGTTATGCTCGGGCGTGATCTCAATATGACTGCAAAGTATCAGCAAAGGTGCCTCCTTGCTATTCGAATTCGGCTTACCCAGCATGCATCTTCAATAATGGACCATCGGGCTGCCCGGGAAGCGAATGTACAAAGTAATCGGCTGCTGTCTTTTCTGCACTCGTCGTGGACGCGCCCCATACCAGGGCAGTCAAAGCCCACAGCCATGACCTTGTCAGCCTCATTGTAGCGGGAATGTGTAGGTCGAGTCGACCGGCCGTGGTTGAAAAGGGAGGGCGATGGAAGAGGTGGAGGTTATTCGATTATCGCCGTGCTGACATTTCCGTCGGGCTGTCGAGGGGAGGGTCAGGGGCGGAGAATCAAATGCCAGAAAAGAATACAGCCCGCGAGAGGAGAGAAGGACAAAATAGATACAACGGTCGAGGACAAGGAGGAGAGAAAAGGGTGTCCGTCGACGAGCGCATGGACTGCTTTTGGGGTCTTGAGAGGACAGTTCGAGACGTGTCCCAGTAAGGCGTCTGGATGCCGAGATGCCCAGATACTGGTAGATGCCCAGATGGCCCCTGGACTTTTGGCAGCCGCCAGCTCTGTTAGCGGACACAATTGGACAGCTAGAGGACAGCTATACTACACTGAGAAGGTCTCATGCAGCTGGATACCAGGTAGATTCCGCTCTACTATATCACATACTGTAACTGCATTCACCGAGTAGTAACGTACTACCGGACCGGGTTCGGCAAGCCTCCCTCTTCCCCTGCGCCCTTTTGCCTCCACCTCCGCCTCCGCCTCGTCGACCTCGCTTCACATAGTATTAGTAGTACCATACTATTCCAACATCCCCGGCGTCCTCCCAACCCAGATCGACGCGTGGCGCGCGCTTCAGATCTGACTTCCTCCCAACGTCCATCCACCTTTATGAAACAGCGTCTGCCAGAAATCCATCCTCCCGGTATGCCCAAACAAAGGCGCCTCACATTCTGAGATCGGATTCTTCGAGATCCGGGATTGCTTGCCTCCAAAGTCCCATGCTGATTCTCTCCTGGGACCGCTTGCGTGATATTGGGGCACTGGTGTGGTTATGATATGGAGAAAAGGGGCCGTGCAGGATGACTCTTCGGGTCAGCTATCGGCGAGTCCGACCTCGAGATGAGTCAAAGGTCATTATAAGATGTCCAGGTCATCTAGGGAGTTACGATGAAGGCCCAGCGTGCAATCACTCTCCCAGCACCGGATGGTCCAGTCTGTCCAAGATGTAAGTTCCCTCGAGGCCGCTTCATGATGGTCACCATACCCGGGAAATGTGTCGGGGTGCCCTCCGAAAGCAACGGTCTTCAAGAATGAATTGTCCCAGATGAGTTGAGAGAGAGCCTCCCATCCATCCTCGAATCTGGTGCACCCTCGGTCATTGAATGGAGATCCTATTGTTCTATTCTGCCGCAGCCACGTGTGAATGGTGAGGTGCGGCAGAGCCGCTCAATGGCAGGCTATTCAGCCTCTCAATTCAACACACGGCTCCAATGGACAATACACCTTGGAACCACTGTGAAGTGAGGTTGGTCGTATACCGGAATCTACTTCAGATCTCCCCCAGCTGTTCTCTTCTCTTGTTGCATCTACAGCTTCGTTTCTCAAAATTCCATTCTACGTCCTGCATTCCCTCGTCTGCTCTCTTTCTGCTATTCCGCCGTCCCCAGTCTGCACTGTGAAATCAGCACAATGTCATCCGAGAGACTCAATCCCGCAGGCTCAATGCAGAATCAAAGTGTCATGTCTCTCATTCGTGAGACTGAAGGCGACGTCCAGGCTTGGTGTGCCAATAGGAGCCGTCAAGGTCCTAGAGACTGGGCTGCTGAGGGCATGAAAGACATCATCGATCAGGTCATCACGCCAGAGAATCGTGAGTGGTATTACGAGACGATGGCCAAACTCGACAAGCGCCGTCAACATGGTAAATTAACCACCGTCCTTGGATACGACGCCTGCTAATTCAGCTCAGATCAACAGAGCCTCAGTTGCACCGCTACGAGCTCTGGAACGAGTGGTCGGTCTTTCACAGCTAGTCGTGGTCATTCCAGAAACCCCAGCATTGAAGAGTATCTCAACAAGCCACTTCCTCCTCTGCCGCAGCAACCTTACTTTGAGTACATGTTTGCGGATGCTGGCGTTGAAGAAAAGAAGTCCAAGGATACAGTCACAGCACCTGTCCGGGTTGAAGAGGAGCTTCCACGCAAAGCTTTCACATCCGCGTCGACTTCGTCGGACTCGAGTCTCGGTCTGGACAGTGCTGAACTCGCTCAATTCGCATTTGCGCAGGCGGGTGTGGATATTTTGACCAGTGGTAACTTCTACCCTCGCCCTCTTCAATCGTCACTAACAACAAGATAGAAGCCGACAATCGCAGTGAAGCTCACGTCTCTGCTTGTGACGCCACGGTATACGGGGTACAGCAACCCTCATATCTCCCAGAAGGAGAGCCTATGCAATTTGAATTTACCCAGACTCGAGACCAGCCAAGATACAAAGGCATCATTGAGCCCAAGTCTCAGAAGTCGAAGTCGAAGGTCTCCTTGCGAAAATGTCAACCTTGCAATGCTGCCTCTCAGAGAAACATCACCGCTCCAGCTGTTCAGCCTCTGAGCCCAAATACGGTTCAGAAGTGTATGTTTTGCTCTACTACATGCAGTATTCTCATTCTGACAGTCCCTACCAGACAACAAGCGCGGTGCCCGAGACTCCTTCCTCACCAAATCAACCGTCAATGACAACAGAGATGGTGAGTATCCTTCGTACCCTTATCTTACCTACCCTGTCTAACCACCGCTCGCAGACTATGATGTCAAACTGCTTTCTACCAAGAAGGTCTGCGTCGAGGAGCAGCGCCACAGCCGTAATGTGCGAAGCATGCGAGCTTCGTCCGTCTACAGCAACATTACCGCGTCAAGCTCTTCGTACAGCGTGAACAGCATTGATGGTGATCTTGCTCTCCCCCCTCAGCGCAAACGTCTCACAAACGCCCCCACGGGCTACCCGGGCCAGTTCCCGAGCTACGAATCGAAGTTTCTTCACTGCCGTGGTACGTTTCCTTCATACCGGCTGCTGCTGTACACGTACCATCTATCGGTTTAGAACCCAACATTCTCATCTAACCCTGACCCCGGCTCTCGAACTCTTCAGCTGACTCTACATCTTATCTAGCTTCTGGCATCTCAAGCCCACGATTACACCTCACCTGCGGTGACCCATTACATCCCAACAACCAGTTCACACACACCAACTTCGTGGCCGACCCAACATGGCCGTCCAAGAACTACACGAAAGAAGACCTCGAGCGGTTCCCCATGCGCAATGCCGCCCTGTCCCACGCCTACCGTCTAACCGTCCGCGCTGCCAAGATCCTGACCCGCACCGAGTCTGAAGCAAACCTGCGTCGCGAAGTCCAACGCGAGTGTGCCTCTGCCCGCCTCGAGGGCGTCGCTGTCGGCCAGTACCGCTACTACCAAGGCCATATGAGCATGGAGGAGTACAAGGCCGCCAGAGTCTGTATCTGCTGGGACTCGTGCTGGTGTTCCAAGCTGTGCACCATCTACGGCGATGTCCTGTGCCCTTGCACGGATTGGATCGTGTTGAACAATCACTGACCCTGGTCGGACATGAACGAAGGTCGAGAGTCCGAGACTTGGTTACAGCTACGGCTGATGATGCAAGACAGGCTTAACTCAGTCATTCATGGCTTATGCTTATCACAACGACGATATGGTCCGAAAACAAATCAAAAGGGTAGCATTGCTGACTTTGTGAAACGAAAGTGACCAAAACAAAGGAAAAAAAGGACAGTCAGGGTGGTTTAGAGCTTGCGCATTGCTGATTTGTTCTCTCAACAAATCATACAGGAGAGGAAACGACCAGTGATTCATGGTTGACAGCGAATCTGCTACACCATCAAGGTGGCAGGAAGGGCTGAAGCCGAGATCGAAAAGAGCAGATTCAGTTGCAAATGCAAGTTCAATGTCATGCCTCACTTTTACGTTTGCGCACCTAATCCGCCTTCATCGTGTCTTCCAATTTCCTAGAATATGCGACGAGATCAGCCGGGTAATTTGGTACTTGCAATTGCATGATCGAGTAGTCTCGAATCGCAGGTGGTGGCTTGTGCATTAGGGCCTGTTCGGCACCGGCATTGAAATCGCCATGAGTGAGACCGCGTTTTTGCCAATTAAACTAGTCTGTGCTTGACGCCCAGCTCACGACTACTCGTGTCAGAAAGAAGGGAAGGCATTGCAAACGAAGCTTAGGAAAAAGAGGAAGAGAAACTCATGCTACTGGTTCAGCTCGGCTGTTATGGAATGGGATGGGATGTGATTCGCTCTGCTCTGCTCTGCTTGCACTAGAGATACAAGACCCCGTCCGATGCGTGAATACACCAATACCGCAAGCATCATGACTTCTGGCACCACGTGCATGGGAATTCAACTCGGAATTCCGACGACATAGACGGCAGTCTCCCGACAACACCATCTCGTATGCCAGCACAAGTCGGGTTGCGCGGTCTTGGGGTCTCGTCTCGATCAGTTTCTTGTTTTCTCAGTCACATCCCACAGCGCATTTGTATCTTCAAGCACTCTCCATTGAAGGAGGAGGGTTTTCAGCTAAGCCCGCCACCGAATCCTGCCAGCTCATTTCGTCGAAGTCAGTGTGCTTCGGCTCTCCCTTTCTCCCATGGACTTGCTGCAGTCGATCTTCCTGATAGTGTCACCCAGCAAGTCTTTTACCAGCGTCTCACAGTTGTCGTCCGGTGCGTGTCCAGAGCCAGACTTCCATGGTGTAGGTTGGTTGAACGACTGGTATGGGGTGATGGGATCAGTCCAACAGGCCCCGGAAGAGCGGGAACTTGTTCTGGCCTGCGAACATAACGATTAGTATTGAACAAAAGTTGTTTGCGATGATTGCAGGTCAAGGGAGAGCAGCTTACCAGGACTGACGGGAGTACTCTCAAGGTCACGACCGCGGCCAACCATTGACACGCTGTCTTCAGGACGAATTATGTCAACTTCATCCAGTTCACGCTGAAGCATTTCACCGGCCGAGTCTTGCGACGATGCAGCAGACGGACTCATGCCTCGACTGCCAGCTGTAACGAAGGTGGAGGGAGCACACGACATGATCGGCGAGAGTGGCTGCTGTCGTTTTGCAGGGAACGGAATGAAAGTACCTGGCTGAAGAGATTTTAGGTCGAAATCATCGTTGAGCGGTGCGCGACGCTTTGCAGAGCCAACTCGGGGTCCAAGTCCAGCTCCAACACCAATGCCGTTTCCACTTCCACTGGCACGAGCGGGCGGAGGAGACTTCTCAATGCTCGGCAGAGGTTTATCAGGAGAGTAGATGCTGCATTTAGCTGTCGCCTCGGTCACACTGGTAGCCTGTCGTGCTGCTGCACCGGTAGGCTTCTTGCCAGTGCTCTGGCGCTGTGCCTTTGGGGTGGCAGGATCTTTGGCCGACGCCTTGGTTGGGGTTTGCATGCTCGTCTTGACTCTCTTAGCAGAGCGCTTCACATTCGCGTCTGAATCCATTTCTAGATCATCCTCATGTTCTTCTTCTTTGGCACGAATGTCGTCAAGGGCAAAATCATCCTCACTGTCATCGCCAGAGCCTGGGGCCGAAACGTCATCGCCAAACATTGTGTTGTAGTCAATCTTCCGTCCTCGTGTCTGGCGTTTTGGGACAGTGGGCTCGACATCAGCTTCGTCCTTGACTGCGACATCAGACTCATTGTCTTTCCCTGCAATTGAGGCTGCCGACATGTCTTGACCAGAGACGGCTTTGGCCTTACGCTGGCGCGCGGCAGTGCCCTTGCTCGTAGTGGACTTCTTGGGTGCTGCTTTCGGACTCTGAACAGCACCTGCGCTGGCAGCAATTGAGGTTTCGATCTTTTCCTTGAGTCGGGCATAGCGCTTGGTGGCAGCTCCGACCGTCAATCCTGTCAACGCGGCGAGAGTGCTGTAATCGATCTATGCCAGCTTAGTCAACGCCCACTTCGCGCGGATATGTAGCGATGTTACCTTCGCATTGGTGGATTGCAGGCACTTGTACAGGAGAACATGGTTCTCGTCGATAGTGGTAGGAGCCATAGTGTGTCTGCAGATAGTCCTTGAAAGGAGCGTTGAGAGCGACGTCGAGTTTGTGATGTTCTGTTGAAACGGACAAGTTGAAGTAGAAGAGACAGCCGGGAGTAGGAAGCGCAGATGGTGTCGTGTACCTGGCCTGTGTTTGGAAGAGTACGTGAGATCTGGGTGACACCCCAGTAGCGTCAAGTCAAACTGATACGGATCGGCGCAAACACTTGATGTTTGGCGGGCCAAATACACGGTGGTACTGGTCCAGTAGCTTCCGGACAGGGGAAGGTATCGCAAGGGTTGACGAGTATTCTCATGTCTTCATCTCGACATCATTCATGTGGTCGTGGCTGAGCTTCTTGGTGCCACCTTTGGTTTTCGTGAGGGCTTCCACCAAGACCTCTTTGATCACAGTTTGTGCCCCCCGCGCAGCAGCCACAGCGCTATCCAGCATTTCATCGAAACTGATGCCCGCGTTGGCCCCCTGAGTTGATGAGGAGCCATTGGTCCAGACTTCCACAAGCTCATCGCGTGACGGCAGGTAGCCCACAAGACAACTTGCTAGGATTGCTTCGTGCTCGATAGAGGCGGGGTCCAGAATTCGGAGTGGCTTTTCAGGACCTGCGACGATGGCGCCCACCCCTGCTGCTAACAAGTCCAGACAATCCACCCTCGCGTCTGCAAGTGCTGCCATAGAAACATTAATGCAACCCGCCAGCATATTGACCAAGCCAACTCCCACAATCCGATCCCCGTCGATCTGATCATCCTCGCCTTCCAGCACCGTGACTGCAATATCAATCGCACTTTTCGGCCATCTGTCAGGTATGATGACACCCTTTAGAGCGTTCTCTAGGTGCATCCCAATATCTCTTTCTGTGCTGTCGCGGACATAGCCCTGGCGATTACGGGTCGCGAAAGGAGCAAACTTCACAGACGCAGATAGTTGAAGGTTTGGTGAAAAAGAAGCAGTCCGGGGGAGGGGCTTCGGTCCGTGAACTGAGCAAGACAACTTGATTGTGGAGGAAGTGTTTAGCACAGTCGATCTTGATCTTGGAGGACTCTCAAGTTCGAGGTATGCTGAGCCAGTCGCAGAAGGCACTACCCCAGTTTGCAGAACTGTACCACATCAGTCTAGTCCGCACGTTGGGAGGTTTGCATCATACAGATCTTGCGTAGTTCATTAGGCTTCCTTGATCGGTACTGCGGTGATATCGCGGAGCCAGTAGAGGGCGTAAAGACTGGCGGGCTGGTTGTGCCAGCGGGCCCATTGAGACGACGTCTATCACTCATGACATTGCAGTCGCGTCGCTGTTGGAAATGAGTGAACGTCCAACAAAAATTTGGACTGAGATGAATGAGAAAGTAAGTAAAACGACAAGCCTGCGTTCACAGGCCCGCGTTTAAAGGACTTGGATGTCCATCTAAAAATCATGCCAAGCGGAAGTAAATACAAGGTGAGCTAACTATCTTCGGGGTGAAGTTCACGCCGCCCTATGCTCAGGTTGATGCTAGTTATTCATCTTATACTCCTCCGTAGCATAGGACGAGGCTGAGTTCTCCGTACTGCGAAACATAACTCTGCTTAAGCATGTGCTGAACATCTCACTTCTTGCCGCGTGGTCAATCTTCCCTAACACACGTCGTTCACTAAAGATGTACTTGACGGGATAGCTTGTTCCGGACGACAAGTTTTAATTGAAATGTCACAGCACAGATTACCAACTTTCACTGCATTGCTCGGATGAAACACCATCATCTGGCAGGTAGTCTTCTCTCACGCTTTCATGATCTGGAACATACCATACACCCCCAAACTTTCTTGGTCAAGGCGACCTCAGCGGATAATTCCAGATGGACATGGGGATTGAAATCGTGGCTCCGGCTGCATGACGGACGCATGGAAGATTTGAATAGCAAAACCTTGCTCAAGAAAAGGTAGGCAGACAACCCCGCCGGGAAGGTCTTCCCTTTCCTTTATATGGCCATCCTCTTCTGCTTCTTTACCCGTTGCCTTTGTTCGTGTTATGGAGAATCGCTTGTGGCATCCGTCGAGGTGCGTCCACTCGCTTCTGCTGTTTTTCTCTTTAGCAGCCTTGCCTTATTCATGTCAATATGTTCTGCTGGAAGATTACACTTCTGCCGACGAGGGAGTATCAGTGTCCGATGTATCGCCTGGAACCTGGTCCTCTGGATACACGGAATCGGGGTCACCTGGCAGATTGGCAGCCAGCTTTTCGGCAAGGACTGGTTCTAGCCAACCTGCTTCAGCTGTCACGGATACTCCACCAACCTCACAACCTTGGGTGGCCAGTTATACGGATGCTGCCAACACCGTGGCCATCGTAACAAGTACGACAGTTATCATCAGTGTAGCAGTTATAGCTCTCACCTCATCTCTCTTGGGGTCCTCCGAGTGGTAGAACTCCAGAGCTACAGAGCTACAGAACAGGACTTGCCTTCTCAATAGATCTGATGCAGGCTGAGCAAATGCGCTTCTACTGTGGAAGCAGAGTCGACACGGGCAATACCTACCTCAACCATCCGCCTATCGGTGATAAATGCGACTGATTTTCCGTCCTTTCCCTCTTTCCCTCCCTCCCACATAGGCTGTTTCATGTGTACTACTAGTACGTGACGTATACCGACCGATGTATACAGAGAACCTAGGGTAGGAAAGCAGCCTTTGTACCACTGCGTCCGCCACCACTGTACCATTATCTACTTAGTACTCCTACAAAAGAACGAAAAGGTACCAAATACAGCTGAGGCCTTAGCTGCACCTTCCCCTGGCCAAGCATTGGCCTACGTATACCTAAACCAATCAGGCCGAGGTCTACAGTACTCTGGGGTCTGGGGAAGCGAACGGACATGGGGAAGGTGAGTGAAGCTGAGGGAGTTCAGGTCCGCTGCCAGTACGTAACGCGGGAGTACCTCACATTCCGTCCGAAGAGCCAAGACTGAGCAGCCTGATGTTCCACCCCTCAGGTCGTACAAAAGAACAAGTCGACTTCCAACAAGTCCCTAGAAAATCAATGCCTGAGGGTTGAGGATGAGTGCCCAATCTCAGTTTGGGCTATAAAGCCAGCCCTTGATCCACCCAGATTCAGTGGAAGGTAGGTAGGCAGCGAGACTACTCGCAATCTATTGTCTCCAAGATCATTTACCATCGATCGCGACATGTTGTTTACCTATAGTTTGTTCGAGACTTTCTTCCTCCTCCACCTCCTTATCCGCACAGGCAATACATCCAATACTCTCTTCTTTGGCCTTTCTGAAGTTGACGGTCCCTGTACAGGTGCCAAGGGAGCTCGTGGTGTATGCATACCCACCTCGAAATGTACTCAGGGAGGGGGAAGCTTCGTGTCCGATAAATGCCCAGGCACACCCGAGGATATCAAATGCTGCACCAAGACGGCCTGTGGAACAGACAACAAAGGAAACTGCCGCTTCACGTCCTCCTGCAGCTCTGGCAATACCGAGAACAATAAGTGTCCTGGACCTGACGACTTCAAATGCTGCATGCCAGGCGAGGGAGGCGGATACCCTGCCCCAACGATCCCCAGTACCGGCAGCGGGTGCAAAAAGGTGGCTATTGATGGCGCCAAAGCAATCGTTGATGCATTCCCAGGTAAAATCAAGTCCATCGGGTGTATCAGGAAGTGCGACGATTCTAGTTCGAGCGATCACTGTACTGGGATGGCAACGGATATGATGGTTGCGGACGGCGGGGTGAGTGTGTCCTGTCCCATCCAGATCTTAATCCTTCATCCCAGGAGTATTGCCCTTACTGGGTTGTGTCTAAAAGGCATCCCGCGCATTCGTGAAGCCAGAGAAATGTTCTTGATAACTTGAAGTGGAAAGCAACTGACCCACAGCTTGCTCGGCGTTGTATAGGTCAAGACTACCGCAGGCGAGCCGATTGCTGAATGGGTCATGAACCACGCCAAAGACCACTCCGTCAGCTATGTTATGTGGGGACAGAGGATCTGGAATGTCGGTAGAGACTCTGTTCAGCCTTGGTCGCAGTGGAGGTATCAGTCCTGCACGGTCATCAAGAATTGTGAACATGGTGATCGAGGAGACAATACCGCTAATCATTGGTAAGCTCTGTAATCAGTTCAACCTACTCGACCTGCTAACAAGCCAAAGGGATCACGTCCACGTTAGTTATAAGTAGCCACGTTCGAAGGGGAAAAATGCATCTTGTTTGAGTACGAGGGGCTGCAGCAGAGCCAACATTGGGATACCTCGCTTCGTAATGTATTATCAGACGACTTCGGCATTACCATCAGCTAGCAGAGCGGCTTGTTCCAGAGCCTTCCGCTTGATCATTCGGTATCAGGTAGATCTGGAGGCACCAGAGCAGTATTTGAGGTTGACGAGGTCGCAAGATTGCAGGGAGATGAAGTTAAATTGCACATCACGTGAGATGATGCCAAGACTCGCGATGTCTTGCCGTTGGATAAAATAATCTCAACTTCAGCTGCACGACTGTCAGTTGAGATTTTACATGCTCTGTCGTCCATCCTACAATTCCATCTTGCTACTTCATGAAACACGCGACACGAGCTCAGTAGGATATGCCAACGGTCATTGAGCAGTAGAGCTTCTTTCTGGTACGTATTCCCATGCTCCTTCGCTGCACGATCATGCATCTTTCTCCTATGATGAAAACACACCTACACAAGTTCCGGCGATGCTTCATGAGCCATTTGAACTAACATGCACTACCATCTGACTACACCTCTGCCAAATCCTACTTATCACCTTCTACCACATCTCAGGAGAGGCATGACTGACTTTGGGAAACAGACGTAGAAACGAGGGCTAATGGTTTCGCTCGGGAGGTGCTACTGATGACATGGTAAGCATCCCATCATTTTCTATTCCTCCCAGGCACACATGTTGTTCATATCATACCCACGCGAGACTTTGTATGATGATCAAAGGTTTTTAATTTAACAGTTCTGCTTCTGAATTATATTGAAGAAACCGTTACCAGCTTACCAATGTCTGATTTTGTCTCTCTTACACATGTCGTCCAACTTGGACGACCGATCCATTCAATAGCGTCATCCGCGTTTCGAACGAGATTTTCATGCGTGCTGACATATGTACTCTTCACAGACAGGACAGAAAACTACCCCCTTCCATGACTCCAACAGCAGCAGCAGCAGCGGCGGCGGCGACAGGTACATTGTAATTCTATGAGTAAGTCTCTCCTCGCCCTCAAGGTCACACTGCAAATCGCACCTCCCCAATCTTTATGATGACACCTAGTCTATCCATTCTCCGAGTTCGCTGTCATGGCGACGCCCATCTAACGAAACATATCCCTCTCGTCTTGGGGTTTCGCTTTAGTACCAGACTTCCTCTCTTGTTCATCCACTCTCCCTGATACCGGACCTGCGTTTCTCACCCTTCCCGCCTTCGGGCGGTTAGGCAGAGATGTAGGGATGATTGGTTGTGGAGCTGCCTGGCCGGATTTGAGGGGAATTCTGGGAACTGGCAAACCCCATCAAGGCCAGAGGGGTCGTTTTGTTCTTGCTACCTGACTGAGCGTGCTTGTCATGGCTTCGTTATGGAGCCACGATATGGTGCATCGGTCATGGTAGGGATGGGACTGAGGTATTTCGGCTTATCTGACCTTGCTTCTTCTTCTGCTTCTGCTGTTCACTCTTGTCACCTGCAACGGCTGATATTCACTGTTGACTGGATGAAGTGACTAACGGTGCGAGTAGGCTTGGTCATATGCAGGCATTCGTGCGGCGCCGTTCCTTCGTAACAAATAACAGATTCGATAGATTGATCCAGGGTGGCCTCTGTTCATTCCATGACATACTAGAAGGGTTTCCAATCTGCATATTTACAATCGTGAACTCATGACCCGCTCATTTCTATTCGTCGTCATAAAAGTCGCCAATACCAGTTCCAGTTTCATCTTTTCCCTCGTCTTGTCTCCCGGCCAGGCTATCGAGCTTCATGATCAGTCTGTCTACGCTTCTCGCCTGCCAGGGTACGAACTTGGTCCCGCCCAATCCAAGAGTGCTCGCTTTCTCGATGACAGTGTTCGTGGCCAGGCCACTTCGCTTCTCCTTCTCTATTTCCCGGATGAGCTGCACAAGTTCAAGAAGAGTGGCCTCGATGGCATCTCTAGTACGATCCATCTCCGCCAGAACCTCCTGCTCATCCTGGGCGTGATTCGCGAAAGCGTCCAACACACCTTCATCTTCCTGCAGATCCAGGCTTTCCCACACTGTCTGCAGGCGAGAGAAAAGAGCAATCAAGTGATCGATTCGGCTGAGCAGGCTCTGCAGCGCGCCCGTGAAGTTGTCGTCGGTGAAGAAGAGCGCTTCACTCAGAGCCTGCAAATACAAATGGTGTGCTTCTGCCAGGGCTCGAGGGTCGTTGAGACCGTGACGGCGAGTAGAGTCTGTTATGTTGTCTCCCATATACGACAGGCCGGTGGTTTTACTCAAACCTGCAGATGATGCCGTGCCGGGTCTTGAGGACCTCGTGGACGATGATGATGTTCCTGTATCGTCGCCTTCAATCCATTTTTCGAAACGTGTCCAGCTGCACTGTATCACCTCACCCTGAAGGTATGCTTGCAGCTCGTTGATCATGAACAGCGCTTTGCTAGCACATGTCCAGTGGCGTCTTGTCCTTGCAGTTCTCTCTGCATTGCGCAGTCTTCTCTTCGCAGTACTGGCTTGCCCGGTTCGTGAGAATGATCTCGGCGGAGCGACGGGGGCAGGATAACATCGTCGATGGTATGAAAGCTTCCAGAGTTCGGATAAATGAAGACCAGCTCGACGTATAGAGAGTAAATATGCATTTAAGACTGCATACATCTGAGCATCTTGGGCCGACAGGAAAATATGTAGAGGGGACGACGGCGGAATCGTAATACAGAGACTTGTTGGCGTAGGCAGTAGCGTTGAGATCAACCGCGAGCGATGGGGAGTTTCCGCCGCAGGTCGGAGAGACAACAACCTTTTCGCTAGGCTCCAAATATCGTAATCGAGGTCGTCGTCAGCTTGTAGTGCGGCGAGGTCTGACATGGCTTTGTTGAGAATGCCGTTGAGTTCAACATCCTGCATGGACAGATCATCCAATTTACCTGTCTTTCTTACAGGACGAGCCACAGTTCGGCTCTGGCGGTTGCTGACGCGCTCATCCGCATGCGCCACCAGAGACACTGCAAATTCACCATGGTCAAGAAGCATATAGCGTAGTATGACCTGAAGGAGCTGCATAACCATAGTTCGAGGAAGGATTTGTGAAAGCGCATTTTCGGAGATCGATTGATGTATAGAGCTCAACACATTCTCGAACAGCAGTGGATCGAGAGGATAGCTCAGTGATTGAAGCACTCTAGCATGAATGGGCATCAGAAGCAACGACGGATCCTCGGAAGATTGGAGACTGCCTGTCGCCGATAGATTCTGAGACCTCAATTGATTGAGTGCGCTTCCTGCAGAGAGTAGGGCACGTGCGGCCCCTGGATTGACGAACGGTGGCGTCAGCGCTGGATCGATGGAGAAGGCATTCATTGTCGAAGATGATGTAGGATTCGCAGTTATGCAGAAGTCCTCCACGCCATAAGCCGGCACCTTTCCAGAAAGAATCCACAGCGAAGCTGTCCGCATCCAAGTCCTCTGCGCAACCTCCAAAAGAGCGACAGCCATATCTTCAATGTCTGCATAGCCCGTACGTGTTTCTCTCTCCAGGAAAGCAAGGAGGGCGGCCCCAGAGGCTGCTCGCGTTCTATTACCACGTCTGGAGGCCGGTTCGAGACGTTGTACCACGGACCATAGCCATTCCAATCGTCTCGCCCAAGGTGCGAACTCGGCAACGACTGTGCTCAAAGGAACAATATCGTACGCGCCAACGAATCCCGCATCCTTCTTGAGCATTAAAGCCTCAACCTTCAGAATCTCTTCCATGAATCTGCCTAGGTGTGCATCAATTATCGAAGAACCCACTGCTCTACAAACCATGGAGGGGTTTGTAGCAGACCGAGCAGCTCCATCCCGGATCTTGATATGTAAATCGTGCAGGTGACCCAACGTGTCTAGCATAGCCCGTTCTGGCGGTGAGACATATTGGTTGAAGCTCCGTGCCTCTGCTGCCTCTGCATTGTCGGGTTCTCTTTCTTGGTTCCAGATAGGGGACTGGAGCCCGGATAATGAAAGGAGTATTTCATGCAGCATCTCGTTGACCGGGTCGAGGGAATTACCCGTACGCGGGGCTGAGGATCGTGACGGAGGTCAAAAGAATGTGTGGACTCGTGTGCAGGTTGGCACCAAAGAATCAATCGTCCAAAGAGTTCAAAGCGACACATTGAGAGGACTGCAAGCCCATTGTGGAATTCTCGAGCTGAGTCGCAGTCAACGCGTGCTGGGAAGTGGGCGCGGTGAGTGATCGTGATACGGTGACCTACCTTGTAAGGATGGATGGACAGCCTACGGCAAGTGATTGCTCATGAGCACTATTGACCGTATAACGAGTGGCTGCCACTCTTTGTCTGATCCAAGAACTCTATAAGACGAGACATATTGTGTACATTGGTTTGGCGGCTGGTGGGACATGAGGGCGTCGCAGCAGCAGCAGAGCGTGCTCGGTTCTGCCCGCCAACGTTTGAGAAGGCAAGTCTGCCGAAGCAGTGCCGCCTGCGGTGCCTGCGGTGCCTGCGCTTTATTAATTGTGGTGCTGTATATTGCATCACTCCTCGCCTCTTCCACCGCAAGAGACGTTGTTCTGTAATCTACTACTAAACGTATCTTACTACAGTTGCGTTTCGCGAACCTTCCTGACTAATAGTCAAGTCGCTACCTAGTAGTAGCAAACAACTGCCTGCGCCTTCAAGGAGATTTTAATCAGGCTTACGCTCTGACAACTTTGTTTCTTCTGTCATTCCTTCCAAACCCGCACGTTCACAAACACAGTCGTCCAACCTTTGAGCATCTCCTCTGAAGCAGCCGTTTGCTCTTCGTATCCTTTCCCACCACACTCTGGGTCTTGCTTGAGGCAAGGCCACTGTCATCATTTCACCCCACGCGGACGTTCCAGATACCATAAAGGCCGGTAGTAAGAGAAAGGCTTCTGCTGAGGACCTCTCCCGGCCAGAAAAGAAAATCATGACAGATTCCGTGATGGAGGTCGACAATCCTGGGGCGGCTATTCAGCAGCTCCAGAATGGCGAGATTGATGAATCCCTTTACAGCCGACAGCTATACGTTCTGGGTCATGAGGCAATGAAGCGTATGGGCTCGTCGAATGTCCTTGTGGTTGGTCTTAAAGGCCTGGGTGTCGAGATCGCAAAGAACATTGCCCTGGCCGGCGTGAAGTCATTGACTTTGTTCGATCCTAATCCCGTAGCAATTGCCGACCTGTCTTCTCAGTTCTTTCTGCGCCCTGAAGACGTTGGCAAGCCACGAGCAGAAGTCACTGGACCTCGAGTCGCCGAGTTAAACTCCTACGTCCCCGTCTCGGTCCTCAAATCCCAAACATTGACCGAAGACCTGAGTCAACTGAAACAATTCCAAGCAGTGGTCCTGACGAACACACCTCTGAAGGACCAAGTGGCAATCGCGGACTTCTGTCACCAAAATGGCATCTACCTAACGATCACTGATACCTTCGGCCTTTTCGGCTACCTCTTTAACGACTTCGGAAACAACTTCACCGTTGGCGACGTTACAGGAGAAAACCCCATCAGCGGCATCATCGCCGACATTGACGAGACTGGCCTTGTGTCTGCTTTGGATGAAACACGACATGGACTGGAAGATGGTGACTATGTTGAGTTCGCCGAAGTTCGGGGGATGGAAGGCCTCAATGGCGCTCCGCCTCGCAAGATTACCGTCAAAGGGCCATACTCTTTCTCCATCGGAGATGTCTCAGGGCTGGGCAAATATGAAGGAGGCGGTCTCTTCTCTCAAGTCAAAATGCCCAAAGTCCTACAATTCCAGCCTCTCTCTGAGCAGCTCAAGAAGCCAGAATTCTTGATCTCTGATTTCGCCAAGTTTGATCGACCCGCGCAGCTTCACTTCGGGGTTCAAGCTCTTCACGCATTTGCGGAGGCTCACAAGGGTGCACTTCCAAGACCTCACAATGACGAGGATGCTACAGAAGTACTGGAACTCACGAAGAAGTTGGCCGGAGACAGTGGGGAAGAGGTCGATGTCAGCGACAAGTTGATCACTGAGCTGAGTTATCAAGCGCAGGGTGATATTAGTCCAATGGCAGCATTCTTTGGTGGTCTTGCAGCGCAGGAGGTTTTGAAGGCGGTATCAGGAAAGTTCACACCAGTTGCCCAATGGCTCTATTTCGATTCCCTCGAGTCGTTACCAGCATCTGTGCCTCGTAATGAGGAGCTTTGCAAGCCGACCGGATCCCGATATGATGGGCAGATCGTCGTGTTTGGAAAGGAATTCCAAGAGAAGATCTCAAATATCAAGAACTTCTTGGTGGGTTCTGGTGCCATCGGTTGTGAAATGCTCAAAAACTACGCCATGATTGGCCTGGGCACAGGGCCCAATGGTCACATCACAGTCACGGATAACGACTCGATAGAGAAAAGCAACCTGAATCGGCAATTCTTATTCAGATCCAAGGATGTCGGAAAGCAAAAGAGCGAGGTTGCTGCCGCCGCAGTTCAGGCCATGAATCCCGATCTGAAGGGCAAAATCACCCCCATGACGGATCGCATCGGACCGGACAGCGAAGACATTTTCAACGAAGAGTTCTGGAATGGACTTGATGTCGTCACCAACGCCCTGGACAATGTCGAGGCGCGAACATATGTCGATCGTCGATGTGTCTTCTTCATGAAGCCGCTCTTGGAGAGCGGAACTTTAGGCACCAAGGGAAACACCCAAGTCATCCTTCCACGTCTGACAGAGTCATACTCCAGCTCTCAGGATCCGCCGGAGCAGTCCTTCCCGATGTGTACACTTCGAAGCTTTCCCAACAAAATCGAACATACCATTGCTTGGGCGCGTGATCTCTTCCAGTCCTATTTTGTTGGACCCCCAGAAACGGTCAACTTGTACCTCACTCAACCGGACTACATCAACAGTACTCTACGTCAGCAAGGAAATGAGAAGATGATCTTGGAAACCCTTAGGGATTTCCTGGTAACGGACAAGCCGGCGGATTTCAATGACTGCATTGCTTGGGCGCGCATGCAATTCGAGAAGCAGTATCACAACGCAATTGAGCAGTTGCTGTACAACTTCCCCAAGGACTCCAAGACGTCGAGTGGTGCCGATTTCTGGTCGGGCCCGAAACGTGCTCCGACCCCTCTCAACTTCGATCCTAAGGATCCCACACATATGGGATTCATTGTTGCGGCTGCCCATCTCCATGCATACAATTATGGCATCCAGGCACCTAAGCTTAGTCATGAAGACTATGTGAAGGTGCTTGATAGCATGATCATCCCTGAGTTCCGGCCCGATGCAAATGTAAGGATTCAGGCCGATGAGAATGAACCGGACCCGAACGCAGCAGCCAAGTCAGTCTCCGATGATGAGGACGAGTTGAACAAGATCATCTCCCAACTGCCATCGCCGAAGTCTCTTCCGACTTTCCGTTTGAACGTGGTGGAATTCGAGAAGGACGATGACACCAACCATCACATCGATTTCATTACGGCGGCAAGCAATCTCCGTGCCTTGAATTACAACATCCCTCTCGCCGACCGCCACAAGACCAAGTTCATCGCCGGAAAGATCATTCCTGCCATCGCCACGACCACTGCTCTAGTCACCGGACTGGTCATTCTTGAACTGTACAAGGTCATTGACGGGAAGACCGATCTTGAACAATACAAGAACGGGTTCGTCAACCTGGCCTTGCCATTCTTCGGCTTCAGTGAACCGATTGCGAGTCCCAAGGGCACATACAAGGGCAAAGATGGCGAGGTCACGATCGACAAGCTATGGGATCGATTTGAGATTGATGATGTTACATTGACCGAGTTCCTGAAACACTTCGAAGACCTTGGTTTGACCGTAACCATGGTCAGCTCGGGAGTGAGCTTGTTGTATGCCAGCTTCTATCCGCCAAGCAAGACCAAGGATCGGATGCCTCTCAAGATGAGCAAGCTCCTTGAGACCATCAGTCGCAAGCCCATCCCGGAGCACCAGAAGAATATCATCTTCGAGATCACTGCCGAGGACACGACTGAAGAAGACGTCGAGATCCCCTATGTCATGGTGAAATACAAGAAGTAGATGCATCAGCTTGTACCTGCAAAGGAGGACTCGGCGTGTCTGGCAGGGTTTCATATGGCGCATGGTTAGCAACCATCGGCTGGGGGGGGAATACTCAAAGACAGCATCGGAACTGGTGGACGTCTGGGCCTCTTTTCCATCCTTGTGTATCACAAGACCATCGATAGGCAGATAACCACAGGTAGAGACCCCTATTAGACAAGAACTTCATCCCAAATCTCTTTGACACCCGGGCATGTACCACAGACGTGGATACCTACTACATACCTTCCATAGATATTGTATTCGGGTACGCAACCGCATAGGGAAAGCATCACAGCATCGGTTAGGCTGATTCATCATACTTGTGTGGGATTAGTCATGTGTGAAGGTTTCTCGTTGGTTGGAGTCACGTGGAGAGTCTTCGTCATGATTACATACTAGTACCGAGTTCCTTACGCTGGCGAAACCTCATTTGGCCGTCGCTTCGTCTCCCCCGCAGCGGGTCGGGCGTCATTTGCTCTATAATCAAAGCTGAGCAACATCACCGTGTACTGTACATAGTAGTTCAAAACGTAGCAGCACCATCTGGACTACAACAAGAGAGCTGTCTTGCTCTACTTCATGTCAAATATCCTTGCTCGGGCACGTTTACAAGCATCCCATCTCAAGAGAACTCCTGCTCCTGCCTCATTCTGTTACTCCACCGTTCGCTTTTTCACAATGTCGGTACGTAGTAGCCATGTTCTCTTCCGTCGTCGCCGTGTTGATTCTGAACGACATGAATGTCTATCAGGACAAGAAGCCGAGCATCACCGACTGGGTCAAGCCTGGAGACCCGACTGGAGAGTTCAAGAGACAGCAATCACGATTCCGCGACTTTATATCCAAGGATCCAGACGCCGAATTTCCCGCGGAGAAAGACCGGTATCACTTGTTTGTTTCTTATGCGTGTCCATGGGGTAGGCAGCTTCCTCGGACGTTGATAGGAGACGCATGCTAAACAGCCAACTTTCTCAATTAGCTCACAGAACCCTGATCGTGAGAAGCTTGAAGGGACTAGAAGACATCATTCCCTTCACCAGCGTACATTGGCACATGGGAGAGCAAGGTAGGTCCCGTGCTGGAGGTTGAAGGTCGCGACATTTTTGACGTGGAGCATAGGCTGGCGCTTCGCAACGGCCGACGAACATCTCCCCGGCAAAAACGTCACTCCCAATCCTCTTGATCCCGAGTTCACACACCTACGCGACCTGTACTTTTCCGTGAACAAGGATTACGAAGGACGCTTTACCGTCCCAACGTTGTGGGATAAGAAGAAGAAGACCATTGTCAACAATGAGTCTTCTGAGATCATCCGCATGTTCTATACCGAGTTCGACGACCTGCTACCGGACAAGTTCAAGAACGTTGATCTGTTCCCGAAAGAGCTGCAGGCCAAGATCGAGGAGACGAATGGCTGGACCTACGACGACATCAACAATGGGGTGTACAAGTCAGGGTTTGCCACAACTCAGGAAGCTTATGAGCGTAACGTTATCCAACTGTTCAAGTCGCTCGATCGCGCCGAAGCCGACCTTGCGAAGTCACCCGGACCGTACTATTTTGGCGACAAGATCACTGAGGCCGATATCAGGCTCTTCACGACCATTGTGCGCTTCGATCCGGTCTACGTCCAGCACTTCAAGTGCAACATCAGAGATATCCGTTCAGGGTACCCGCACTTGCACAAGTGGCTGAGGCAATTGTACTGGAACGTCCCGGCCTTTGGTGAATCGACGGAATTCGAGCATATCAAGAAACACTACACCAAGAGTCACAAACCAATCAACCAGTTTGCCATCACGCCGGTCGGGCCGGTGCCAGATATCTTGAAGCCAGATGAGGAGGTTGCTGCTGCACAGCGTTAGGAACGCATCCACGAAAGATGCCGATCTTGGTTTGACTGGCGCTCGTCAGAGCAAGTGCTTCAATATCTTTACAGTCTGAGCATCCGTCGGCTTGTGTCTTGTATCTGCACCTGGGCGTGGCAAGGGGCTAAAAGGGCCCGCCAAACGGATGCCCGGTCTTTAGTAGCCTTACCAATATATGAAGGCTCCTTGTACCGAGTAGTATGTTGGCAGTACATGTATCACTCAGTCATTTGTTGCACAACTATGCCATTCTCTGTTCTCCGCAGATCCGGCCGATGAATCACAACTTGAGTCTGAACGTTGTGATTGTAGGACTCTGCAGCATAGGAGCAGCATACTTACGAGGCTGACAGTTGTGGATGTGTCATTGGCGGGACCCAGACGGATTGGATTGGATTGGATTAGATTAACTGCGGCGTAGATAATTTTTGGTCTTGCTTCTCCGCAATCTCAGCCTGCCTAGAATTTCTACATGGGTCGCCGGCGGAGAGTCTTTCGAACGAGGTGAATCATTCTTTATCCGAATCCACGCCAAACATGAAGCTCGATACGAAAGCCCTCCGATATCTGAATCCCAGCGACTGGCGCACCCTGACCGCGGTTGAGACCGGCAGTCGCAACCATGAAGTCGTCCCTACCCCACTGATTGCGAACCTCTCGAAATCCAGCGTCGGAGATGTTCAGCGCAGTATTTCCTTGCTTGCGAAGGCCAATCTCATCGCGAAGGTGAAGAACGCCAAATACGACGGATACCGACTGACGTACGGCGGATTGGACTACTTGGCTCTGCATTCTCTCCAAAAGGGCAATATCGTCTACAGCGTGGGCAACCAGATCGGGGTCGGGAAAGAAAGCGACATTTTCGTCGTGAGTGATGAGAAAGGCGAACAAAGAGTGCTCAAGATTCATCGCCTCGGCAGAGTCAGTTTCAAAAAGGGGGTGCGCAACAAGCGAGACTATGCCCGGACCAGAACGCAGAAAGAGAGAGGTGCTGGGAGCTGGATGTACATGTCCAGGTTAGCCGCAGTCAAGGAGTACGCTTACTTGCAAGCACTACACGACGTTGGCCTCAGCGTCCCTACACCCCTAGGCCAGAACCGACATCACCTCGTCATGTCACTTGTGGACGGATTTCCTCTCAGACAGATTGACAAGGTCCCTGATGCGGCCGGTCTGTACGCGGAGCTCATGGAGATGCTGCTGCGACTGTGCTCGCTTGGGCTCATCCACGGAGACTTCAACGAGTTCAACATTTTGATCAGGGAAGAGGAGGGGGGAGACGGTGTCAAACTGATCCCGGTGTTGATTGACTTTCCCCAGATGGTTAGTGTCGACCACGCCAATGCAGAGTTCTATTTCAACCGAGATGTGGAGTGTGTCAAGCGGTTCTTCGCCCGACGATTTGGGTTCTCCAGCAATGAGGAAGGACCTTTTTTCAAAGATGCTAGACAGCTGGTCGGCAAGGACGGGGTCAAAAGACTGGATGTGGAGGTCGAGGCTTCGGGCTTCTCCAGAAAGATGGCTAAAGAGCTCGAGGCTTATATGAAAGAGCATGGTGTGGACGGTGACGCCAAAGCCTCCGAAGCGGTCGATGAGGAGACTGCGGATTCCGACAGCCAGAGTCACGAAGAAGAGGACGATGATGATTCTGAACGTGACGACGGGGTCTCCGAACCTGTCACGAGCTGACATGGCATCTGTTTACCAAGCTGCACTCCAAACGCATTCGAGTTTCTCGAAACAATATACTACCAGGACCATTTGCGCAAAAGCCCATCAACGTGATCTGCTCTGTGCGCGGGGCGTCCTGCACATTCCGACCGGAACGATCCCCATTTGAGGCATTCAGGTGTTTACAATGGCTTTAAAGTCTCCAGAGGGTTCATGAGTGAGACTCGATATGCAGACAAAGCCTAGCAACCCCGGACCACATAGCTCATCACGCGCCAGGTGCTATCAGCAACCTTGAGCAGTCTGTGCCACTCACCACATGGAACTTTACGACAGAAGCACCTCTTTGAGACTGGAATGACGTTATGTCAACGATGAATAGACATTTGAGGAGTCGTGGGAATCACAAAGTGATGATGCCCAACAGTGACAAGCAGGACTACCGAACGAAGCAGGCGGTTGAGAGCATCGCCAGCACATATCCACGGCATACCGGCCTACATATGTTCTCGTCATACCTGAGACGAAGTCACTGTCCTGTCGCACAAGGGAAGCATGCCCATACTGCTTAGTATGGTGCATTCAACATTGATCCCTTGAACTCTCGAAACGATAAAGACCAACTTTTGACCAGACCAAATGATTTCAGTTATTGAGGGACAGCCAGTCCTGGGATGCTACCACCAGCTTGCTGCAAGCAAGTGTGATGGTCACCTTTGCCATGCATAGTAAAAGGACACTGGAACTTTGCTCTGATAAAAGACTGAAGACACTGTTAGCGACAGATCAACGCACTTTCAATCATGTTGAACTTCGGCGCAGTGATGGTGTGGCGCATTCTCAGGCCAGAGCCGAGCATGCATGAGAGGCAGGACGGCATAAAGGAGAAGTCTTGCGCCATGACTGAAGAAGGAAGTAGGGTATCTCTAAGAATCCATAGGCTTGAAGTCCAATCCAAGATCCCTTGCAACGAGATGGCACGAGCTGTACCCCTGATCTGTGGAAAGAACTGATACAAAGTAGAAGCCCCCTTCGAGGGCATCCTGAAACACAAGCCCTGCGCCATGACTGCATGAACACTCGGTAAAAGAAAAAAAAGCAAGGCGCGAGGACGGCGACGACTGAAAAGGGATGACTTCACGCTCTGATAGCCACGTTAGCCGGCCACTGTACGTACTGAATACAACATGTGTCCTGCCAGGGGTCACCAAGAACGGCCTTCCTCCGAACGACACCAGCCACTGATTAGGCGGAGTCACAGTCTTCCAAACTGCAGATGGTATAGGATATTCCGGAAGGGAGGCCTCAACCCCCTGCTACTGTCCTGCTACTGTAGGTACACGGCTTTCCGTAGCCTGCTGAAAGGAAGTTTTGGAATGGCTGGAGAGGTGCTAGAGATGTGCTAAATGGACATCCGCAAACCCCGGAAGTCGATTCTGCCAATAGGTGCTGATATAGGCGTAGCAACCCTGCTCACACGGCCCCAATTAGGCTCGCTCAAGCCTTGCAAGCCTATAAACGCCCCCCTGAGGATCCCCTGCTAGGCTGTAGTTACCCCTGGAGCTTCGCCTGCACAGTGTGGCGGCTAACTAGAAATAGAATCGCCAACTGAACGCGACACCGACGCCAATCCTAACATCGAACTCCTGCACATCGCTCACTCGGGTTCTATGGTTTGACTCCTGACAGGGACACCAGCATCCTCGCACCTTGTATACACACACCCCGACAATACATTATTGTCTCCTTCTCCTCAGTCATCAGTCCCCCCTGTACGCAGGTGCGAAGACCGTGTCCTGCCTGCGTCCCCTCAACCTTGCGAGTATTGTCTTGCGCCGCAGTGAGCCATAGTACTATAGTACCTCTCTCTCTGCCTCGCCTACCGATATTGATCACTCGCGAAGGCTGGACACCAGGCAAAAGGGACCGTGCCAGCCCTGGCCCTGTCACCGCCGTCACTCTCGTCCATCACCTTCAATCGAAACGTCTCGGGACAGCCCACAGCCCACGGCGCACCGTACCGACGTCCACTTCTTATTCACTGCTGCTACCACTCCTCTCTCCACCACACCTGTCGAACTCCTCAGATTCCTGGACTTTGGGCGATCGTCCTTCTCGACGCTTTTCACACCTCGATAATATCTGCCGCGTCTCCGCTCGCGATCCAAGCTCCTATTCTCGAAGATACCACGCGTCAATCGACTTCATGTTGGAGGGTCACAATATATCGTGAGGTCCAGTGCCCATTGACACCCGTTGCGCACGGACAGACGTTGTTGAGGTGACCCTTGGACCCAAATAAAATGGAGCATTCGAAGGGGTCCAACATAGTCTCCTCGCCGCCAGGCTCGCCCGACGCAGCCCGGGAGGTACGTGCGCAGAACATGTATTCGGCCCCGTCTCCAGATTCTTCCCAAAGACAACGCCCCCAAAGCATGTTCGGTAGACTTCCACCACGGAGTCAAAGTCGCATGAGCCAGAGTAGCAATCATGTCGGGAGCAGAGCTTCAGACGAAGATGCGAAGATCTCAGTCAAAGTCGGTGAGTCTAAGATCGTGGGATGGTTCGCCGACATATCCTGATGATTGCTAACACGACTGCAGTCGTTCGAGTTCGGCCACCTCTGGGCCCGTCCGACCCCGGATTTGACCTCATTCCACAACGGTTCCAACGGTCAATGGTGCAGGTCAATACGAATACCAGTCTAGCCGTCGATTCACCCCAGGGCCGGAAGATATTTATCTTCGATCGCGTCTTCGGCCAGGATGCGACCCAGCCCGCGGTATGGGAGTACCTCCAAGATGGCGTCGACTCCTTCCTCCAAGGCTACAATGTCTCGATCCTCGCATATGGTCAATCGGGTTCCGGAAAGAGTTATACAATGGGGACATCTGGTCCAACAGAACAATTCGACCCATCTTTGAAAGGTAAGTTCGACCATGCACCGCAAGCAACTTGCTGCTCACCTCAACCAGGCGTCATTCCCAGAGCAGCGCAACATCTGTTCGACCACCTCAATGGTAGCGCCCCTGCTCACGCGAGACACAACTCCGGTCTGAGGTCACCGACCAGATACTCGGTCCCCAGCCTGAACCAAGTGATGCAGAATTCCAAAACCTTCGCCGACCAGGGTTGGGAAATGTCCGTCACGTACGTTGAAATCTACAATGAGCAACCCAGAGACTTGTTGCTGCCCGAGAATGCGCCCTTTACAGAGAGAGCGAATGTTCAAATTCGAGAAGATCCTCGAGGCCGGATCTTTGTCGAAGGCCTCAATTCTGTCCGCATTTCGTCGTTGGATGAACTAATGCGTGTTCTGAACCATGGTTCGGCCATTCGGCAAACGGATGCAACCGCCATCAATGCACGGTCTTCGCGGTCGCATGCCGTCTTCACCATCAATCTCCGTCAGACCAAAGCCCAAGGCTTCAGCCCTTCCAAGGACAAACGAACCCCCTTCACCGCCGATCAAGTGGGTAGTGGAAGCGACTCCCCCATGACTGTCGAGAGCAAACTTCACTTCGTCGATCTGGCTGGAAGCGAAAGACTGAAAAACACAGGTGCCACCGGCGATCGTGCCAGAGAGGGCATTTCCATCAATGCCGGCTTGGCTAGTCTAGGCAAAGTCATTGCTCAATTGTCATCAAGGTCGTCCGGTACCTTCGTGTCGTACAGAGATTCCAAATTGACCCGAATGTTACAAGACTCGCTCGGTGGTAATGCAATCACATATATGATTGCGTGTGTCACACCTGCTGAGTTCCATCTCAGTGAGACTCTCAATACGGTACAATACGCTCAACGCGCTCGAAATATCCAGAGCAAACCCAGAATTCAACAGATTGATGAGAGTGGTGACAAGCAAGCCATAATTGACCGCTTACGAGCTGAGATTGCATTCTTGAGACAGCAGATACGCAGCGCCGAATCGAGCGAACAACGACCGGGCGCAATGTCTGAGAGGCCAGACCGGCCCAATGGACGAGAGAATGAACTGCATAATCAGTTGCTAGACGTGCAGGAGAGCTACAATGCCCTCAGCCAAAGACACGCAAAACTGGTTGCTGAGCTGACCAGAAATACCGAACTCCACGATCAAGTCAACCCGATCTCAGGCGAAACCGCTATAGATCGTCTCAAACGATCCCAGGCCAATCAAGAAATGATCGAACAGGTCGTCATGGAATACGAGAAGACAATCCAAAGCCTTGAGGCGAATCTGTCGAATACGCGATCGTCACTGGCCACGACCGAGAGCAAGCTTCTGGAGCGTGAGACGAAATGCGCGTATATTGAGACGATGAACCAGCAACTGAACTCCCGCGTTCAGAAGCTGATGGATCGAGAATCCAATACAGAACAATATCTTCATGACCTGGAAGCGCGACTGGACGATCAGCATACGGGCGGCGAAAAGAATGATGCCATGATCTCTGATTTGCGCAAGGAGATTGCGAGGATCCGAGAGACCGAAACAAATGCTGAGGATTACATCTGTACGCTTGAAGAACGACTGGCGGAAGCTGACCAGGACATGGAAATCATGCAACGTGAAATCGAGAGGCTTGAACATCTTGTCGAACGCCAGAGGAGTCTCGGCAAACTGGACAATCTACTCTACGAGCTTGACCATATCCAGGATAAAGGTGAAAAGTCGAAGGGATCCAGACCATCCGTCGAAGCAAGTGACGTTACTGAGAATGACGATGAAATGGACCTGAGATCTGCAGAGGAAACCGAACTGCCTGCTCAAGGGGAGGATGAGCTTGCGGAGGAATCGACTGAATCGTCCGAGAAGCCTTCTGCCGAAAGTGACGATGCAGCTCTTCAGCGGTTGGAGACTGCTGTGGCCAAGCAGCAGTCCCTGAACGCCAATCGCAAGGACGACAACCTTCCCAGTCCTGCTCAGTCAAAATTTATGACGGAGAAATTCGAGTCAGTGAGCCAGGAGTTATTCGACCTTCGCCTCGAGCATGAATCGACAGTCAACGAACTAGACCTCATGTCTGCCAAATATCAGGAGGCACTCCGCACCCTCGCCCGGATGCAGGATTCCATTGACGAAGAACGTCAGGGTGCGCCATCCGCTCAGTCAAATAGAGACACAGATTCCAATCAAGAACGGCCTTTTTTAGAGATCGAACTGCAAGAAGAGGAGGATGGACAGGAACAACCCTCATCGCGCTCGCTCTCGTCGGAGTTGTCCTCAGTTGGGGAGTCGTCATCTTCGACCAACACCGACATCACGCCGGTCTCGAAGGAGACTCCGTCCACTGAAGTGGCATCACAGGAGATTCAGCGATTGCAAAATCTTCTTGCAGAACATGAACGCAGCATACACGAGGTCACGGAACAGTATGCTCAATTACAGACTAGTCACAAAGAGACCTTGACGACGGTGGAGCGACTCAAGACTCAGGTCCAACGCTCCAGGCCTGCATCTCCCGGCACTCCTGGCATGCTCAGACGCATGACTTCGCAGACCGGTACTGGGGTTGATCGCGGTCAACGGTCCGTGACATCCTTGAGGACACTTCTTGCAGAAGAGTTTGAATCAAAGCCAGATCAGCTGGAGACGGCGGAAGTCCATCTCGGTGCCGCCGCCACCGAACTTCAGACGCGACTAGACCGCATTCAAGCCCTTGAAGCCGAGGTCAAGAGTGTCAAGAAGGAAATGGAACTGAAATCCACCATCATCTCTGGCTTGACCAGGGAGAGGACCAGTATCAAGGCGGGATCTCCTGTTGACCTTAATATGGTTTCGCAGCTACGAGATCAAATCATTCAGAAAGAGAGAGAGCTGAAGTCTCTGCATGATTCCTACGCCCATCGGGAGCAAGGTCTGCAAGATGAGATCCAACGTTTGTTGTCGGAAAAGACCAATACAACCACCACCACTCACTCAGCTGCGGAAGACGAAGAGAAGATGAAAGCACTGAATGAAGAGCTGACTGAGCTGAAACGGAAGCTTCGATCTTCACAAGAAGCCGCCGAAGCTGCAGAGAAGAAATATAATCGGACAAAGTCAGAGCTCGAGGCAGCCTTAGCCAGTATAGCGACATTGAAAGCCCAACAATCTAGTGGCGAAGGAGAGTCGGCTCCCGACGGCGGCGATGCTCTCAAAGCAATGCAAATCGAGCGGGACAACTATCAACAACTAATCGAAGACCTCAAGCAGGAACTGGAAGAGCAACGTACGGCGAACGCTGATCAATTGGTCAAAAGCTCTGAACTCCGTCAGCTTCACGAGTCGCTCAGCAAAGATTTCGATGCCCAGTCAGGGTTGGTGAAGTCTCAGGAACAAGAAATCTTTGCCTTGAAGGCCGAGTTGACGCAGCTCGAACACAAAGTAAAACAGGCGGAGGCGGCTGTGGAGGTCCACAAGCGCGGCCTCAAGACGCTCCATGAAGCTCATGCCAACGAAATTGAGGAAATGAAGCTTGCCCACAGTGGCCATCTGGCTGGGTACGACGATCAGATTGCCGAGCTGACGGCGAAGCATGAAAAACTCGTGGCTACGTACAGAACCGACCTCGAGCAGGCCTTGTCCACAGTGGACAAGTTGATTTCAGACGTACAAACAACTCTTGGCCATTCCACGAACGCAGATATGCTCGCCAGTCATATACAGGATCTCGTGGATGAAAAGCGCCACATCGCTGAAGCGAATGCTCGGATCACCGCGGCTAACGCCGAACTCGAGCGGCAACTTGAAGGCCGCCAGAGTCTTTCAGAGCTGGAAGAGGAACTCGCGAATGCTAACAGCAAGATTGCCAACTACCAAGAGACCATCCGAAGCCTTGCCAACGAAGTTGGAAATCACGAAGAGACGATCCGGGAGAAAGACAATTCGCTAATGAAGGCCCAGGCCCAAATCGAGGCGGTCGAGGCAGAAAAGGCCAAGAAGCTGATCATGATCGAAGAGCTTGAGCAGCAACTCCAGAGCAGCTTCGATCAGCATCACAACCGAGTGTCTCTGATTCAAGCCCAAGGAAGTCAAGCTTTGATCGAAGCCCAACAACGCATCGCCCTGTTAGAGAGGGATCTAGACCAGCGAAGATCGGTCAACGAAGGAGCATCGGACAATGGATCACGAAGTAACACGATGAAGTCTCAACATCGGCCCCAATCTCCAGCAGTGGAAGGAGGACCACCACGGTCAAACTCCATGACGTCGAACCTGCGCAAGTCGTCCTCGATTGCTTCCCTACCTTCACCGCCTCCAGCCATCCCCTTGCCGCCATTACCCAGCATCACGGGCCTCCAGGTAGCAGGCGCAGCAGTAGGAGCCAACGCGACCAACCCATCCCCTCCGCAGTCGCGACACACCTCGAAAGAAGTGACTCTTCCCGTGACTCCGGTCTCCGGCACGGGCGGTTCGTCCACAAACAACTCGCAGAACTTGCGACGACAATCCGCACTGCTCGAGGAGCAAGAGAACCGGCTCCGCACGATCGAGAAACATCTGCACGCCGAGAAGCAGTTGACCGCCACGCTGGAGGAGGCTCTCGTCGATCTCGAGACCCAATCTAACAAGTTACGCGTGGACGCGGACGCCTGGAAGAAGAAGGCTTGGGCCATGGAGGAAGAACTGTCGGGACTGAAAAAGGAGCGTCGGTCCGCCCGGTTGAGCGTCCAGGCGGTCGAGGAGGAAGTCAAGAAGCGTCGGGAGGCCGAGGCCGCGAGAGCCCAGTTGGAAGAGCGCATGAGGTTGCTGACTGTGGGCAAGGATGGGAAGACGAAGAAACGAAAGGGGGGCAGCTCGTTGAATTGTTTTTAACAAAGAAACGAGACACGGATAAGAGTCTCAAGAGAGTCTCTCGATGATGGCTCGATGGGTTCTTTGGCTTCCTTCCTTATCCTCCAATGCCTGCTTTCTGGCTCTAAGCTTTGGTAATGCAGAACAGGGAAGAAGATGACAATAAATAGAGATGAACATGAGGATGGACATTGTTGTATTTGTATGTTTCAATCTTGGTATCCATGTTGTAGATCTGGTGCCGTGGGAAGATCGAAGGGGACGAGATAGGATAGACGTACACCCTACCTACCTTAGTTTATCTGGGGCTACTAGGACGTAATTCCCTCCAGTCAAGTCCAGGTGGTATTAGAATCACAGCTTGAGAGATAGGAATGGACATTGAAAAACGAACGGACGGAACCGGACGATGTGTCTTGTTTATCAACCAGGTGTTTATTATTCGAAATCTTAGCATCCTCTGTCCGGATCTTCGAGCTCTTCTTCTTCTGGATCTTCAAATGTAAGTACCTAGTCGATCACTAGAACTCGTTAGTCAAATATAGGAGAGGTAGGATTGATTGAGAAGTTGAATGGAGGTCGGCACGAAATCGTTTTCATTCTGGGCCAAATGGCAAACGGCATTGCAATTATTTGCCCACGCCCTAGTAGACTAGACTAGAAGACAGGACGACAGACCGTTCTGCTGCTCCTGCTCCTATCTGCCTGTTCACCCCAGTGGCATGCTCTCTCCTGATCCTAGTCTCCCTTCTCCCTTCTCACATCTTAAATAGCGAGTTGAACGCCAATCCCAATGATCCGCCAATAAATCAACACCGGGGAGAGTGAGAGAGAGAGCATGAAAATGTTGAGGAATCTCTTCTTTCTCCGTGCACGCGCAGGAGGGGGTATCATAACATGTTGAATATCGTCACGACTGAGCCCGCGCTTCCGATGAATTTTTTTTACCCGGCCAAAAAGTTGAACCAACAAACACACACATTCCCCGAAGTTTCTCCTCAACTTGTTTGGATTCATGACCACAACAAGTCTGTACTGTGACAGGCCTTCACAGACCAGATCACACAAGGAGAAAATGAATCGAAAACAAACCAACAGCAAAAAAGGGTTTGAGCAAACATCAGTGCCCGAGTCTGTTGAAACTGGACATCATGACATTTCTCGTAACCTCACGCCGACCCACCATATATTCCGAAGCTCTCTATCCCATTTCTCTTTGGCGTTTGTTCCAGTCAGAAATGGCTTCCGGTCATAATCATGCGGCGATATCAAAATATGTGCGCGGGAGAGATTAAAACTTCAGAGGCTTCGGTTGTTCCCACGGGAAAGTCTGGTCAGTGAAATGACCGTTCTTGGCCGTCCGGCAGTAGATGGGGTTGATCAGGTTGAGTTCCTTGACGATGACACCAGGTCGCAGGTCGAAGTTCTTGTTGATGATTTCGACGAGCTCCCGGCTACTCTTGTTGCTGGTACCGTACGTCTCGACGAACAGCGACAATGGTTCGGCCACGCCAATGGCGTAGGACAATTGGACCAGGCAGCGACGGGCGAGGCCAGCTGCAACGAGAGACTTGGCGATCCATCGAGCGAGGTATGCCGCGGACCGATCGACCTTGCTGTAGTCCTTGCCAGAGAAGGCACCACCACCATGAGCGCCCCAGCCACCGTAGGTGTCGACAATGATCTTACGACCAGTGAGACCAGCGTCACCCTGGGGACCACCGATGATGAAGAGACCAGAGGGTTGAATGTGGTAGACGGTCTTCTCATCAAGGTATTTGGCGGGAATGACCTTCTTGATGATCTTCTCCTTGATTTCTTTCCGCAGCTCCTCGGTGGTGATGGCCTCCGAGTGCTGGGCTGAGACGACGACAGTGTCCACTCTCAGAGGCACCACGGCACCTCCATCGTGAGCGTATTCGACAGTGACCTGGGTCTTGGTGTCCGGTCTCAACCACGGCAGCTCGCCAGAGATACGAGCCTCTTTCATGGCGGCGTTGAGTCGGTGGGCGAGCTGAAGGGTAAGAGGGAAGAGTTCGGGAGTCTCGTCGGTGGCATAGCCGAACATGATACCCTGGTCACCGGCACCAAGCTTTTCCAATGCCTCCTCGTAATGCAGACCTTGGGCGATATCGGGCGACTGCTCTTCAATGGCAACGAGAACGTTGCAGGTCTTGTAATCGAAACCCTTGTCTGAGTGATCATATCCGATGTCCTTGATCGTGTTTCGGATGATTCGCTGATAGTCGAGATGGGCCTTGGTGGTAATTTCACCGAACACCATGATCATACCTACAGCACAATTAGCGGGGCAGGCGATGTCGCCGTCTCAGAGCCCATACCGGTCTTGGTGGCAGTCTCGCAAGCGACTTTGGACAACGGGTCTTCCTTGAGGCAGGCGTCGAGGATGGCATCGGAGACTTGGTCACTAGCAGCTTGGTTAGTGCGAATCGGGTTGTTTGAACAATGACGGGGACTCACGCAATCTTGTCCGGGTGCCCCTCGCCGACAGACTCGGAGGTGAAGAGGAAGGTCTCGCCTCGGGCGAGTCCGTTGACAGCAGCAGGCATCTTGAAAGACTTGTTGGTATGAAGGAGAGGTTTAGGTAGTGAAGGAGAGCAGCGTTCGGTCTGGGACGAGGAACCGGAGAGGATGTGCGGTAGGATTGGAGGAGGGTCTACGGCGTTGAGGTTGATTTGGACCGGAGAAGATATCCACCAGCGCGAGTCTTCGGGGATGGTATCTAGGCAGGGAGGATTCGCAACAGGCTGCAGAGGGAACAACTGCAGAAAGATACAATGAGGCGAGAGGGTGTGTTGACGAAGGAGAGAGTAGAGGGGAAGGTTAGAGTAGTCGAGCAGATAGGTAAAGGTAAGGTAGGTAGGTAGTTTAGCTGGTTGGTTAGAACGAAAAAAAATTCGGGGGGTTGATGAGGAGACAAACTGCGAACGAGCGAGCGAGCGATGTCGTTATCGGACATCGGCAGTGATGAAGAGAATAGTGGTGGGATGCACTTGATGCACTTTTCCCAAGCACCGTGGATGCCCCGAGTCTCTCTCAGAAATGCCCGACACCAACGCACCAACAGTATGCACTCTCTTGTTCTGTACCACCAACCATCATCCATCAATCACCCACCATCCATCAATCACCCACCATCCATCAATCACCCACCATCCTGTCCGCTCGCTCTGCAGTGTGCACAAGGTACATACATGGCCGGATGTTCGTTCGCCTTTGGTCTGAAGGTCTCCAGGCCTGCCGGCAGCCCAAGAGTGCAGCCTGCGCAGTCGGTGTAATGGCCGGTGTCGGTGGTCCCATGCCGGCTACTTTTCATCCATCCTTCTCGTTCCTCAACGCTGCTCGTCCATCATTTCTGGTCTTGACGCACTGCAGGCCACAGTCAACTCTGAACGGAGTGGGCGGAGCTTGACAAGGGACTGCATCTGGTCCTTTTTCCGTCCTCCCAATCGACAGCACCCGTAATGCCGTAACTCAACTTTGCCTTTCCGCGCGGCCTACCTTTATCATCCTAGTACCGATCTGATCTTGCCCTGAAGCTCTGACAGGTTGATCGCGCCATTGATAATCGCCCTGGGACCCTCACGCGAAAAGTCTCCGCCGGGTGCAGAAAGCCCTGTTGCTGGCCACTGGTCAAGGCGGTGGCAGAATTTGTAGAAGCCCCCATGATGGAAGATTTTGTTCTAGAAGGAGAGATCTGGGAAGTGAATAGTCTATGAACACACTGCGGTCACACATATCGTGTACAGGGACTCACGTAAACTGTGGAATCGAGACCATCCTGCACACCCTGAGAAAACTGCTTGTGTGGACGTGAAGCATACTCTGTACACCTCCGCAGGCGTCCAGCAGACTGATGCTTCAAACACACGTCACTTTACACCTCCGTCCTTCAGGCTGTTAAACCTCATCCAGCGACACCCTCCTCTACTATCATCTCAAACCACCTCCCCCTACACCAGGCCATCATGTCCAAATTCGGGTGTCTGATAATGGGCCCCGCGGGCGCGGGCAAAACGACCTTCTGCACAGCCATGATCCAACATCTCCAACATAGCCGACGGTCATGTTTCTACGTCAACCTCGACCCTGCGGCGACGGATTTCGCATACCAGCCCGACCTGGACATCAAAGACCTGATCTCTCTAGAAGACGTGATGGAGGAGATGTCATTGGGCCCCAACGGCGGGTTACTATTCTGCTTCGAGTTCCTCCTACAAAACCTCGATTTCCTCGCCTCCGCCATCGAACCTCTCTCCGACGAATATCTCATCCTATTCGATCTACCGGGCCAGATCGAGCTGTACACCCACGTGCCTCTACTGCCGGAGTTGGTGAAATATCTGTCAAGAATGGGACCGTTGAACATCAACCTTTGCGCCGCATACCTGCTAGAGGCGACCTTTGTGGTCGACAAGGCCAAGTTCTTCGCAGGGACGCTTTCCGCCATGAGCGCTATGATCATGATCGAGCTGCCCCACATCAACATCCTGTCCAAGATGGATCTGGTCAAAGATCAAGTGTCCAAGAAAGAGATGAAGCGGTTCGTCGACCCGGAGGCCACCCTGCTCGACGACGAAGATACTGGTCGAGGTACAGCCGCCGAATACACGGTCGATGTCAGCAACCCACAGGAGGTCGACCAGGTCATGAGTGGTGACTCGTTCAAGCGGCTCAACCGGGCCGTGGCCAGGTTGATCGACGATTTCAGTATGGTTTCCTTCCTGCAGCTGGATGTGAACGATGAGGACAGCGTGGGAGATATTCTGAGCTATATCGACGATGCCATCCAGTTCCATGAGGCGCAAGAACCGAAGGATCCGAGGGAGAGGGAAATGGAGGAGCCAGCTTGGGAAGAGGGTTGAACGACCTTGTCCTCAGGAATTCGGGTCAAGGCACTTCCTGGTCCATCCCTCCATCGGGAACAATGTACAATGTACTCGTGTGGATTGTGTTTCAAGCGTCGGCGTTGGTGGTTCATAATGTCACAATGAATGATCAGATACCCTCAAATGCATGTAAGGTCTCCATTCGCTTCTGATCAGCCTTTTCTTCACGGCATCACTCTTCAATCATTGACATCGTGACCTGGTGCACTTGAAGTGGTTGGAAGCGTAAGGTCATCTTTGCAATCCTGTGGTGCATAATACCCTAGATGGGTGATCATGACATGAAGCGCGGCAGAAGAGAGCAAACGCTGCGATGTCTTCCGAGTGACCTGCAATTCATTTCCCTTTTTTTTTCTCATTTCATTCATGCAATCAGCTATTAGTTGGTGACTGATCTCCCAGCATCATAATCCCATCATAACTGTCATAGAACCCATACAGACACAAAGATGTCGAACCCATTCCACTCGATGGGTGTTGCATATCAGGGGTATCAGTTGTGTTGTCAACGGTGAACACATAACCAAGGGATCGTCAGTATTCCCTTGTGCTCTCTCTCTCTCTCTGTCTCGCTCTGTTTGTGAGTGTGTTCATTCCTCTCTCACGTCCATCCTCCCGCTCTCTTCCTCCCTCCTCGCGGCTGCAAAGGCACCTGCGCCCTACCACCCCCATTGCCATTCCCATTTGCAAAAGACCACGAATTCCCATTCCCGCCTCCACTTCCACGTGCCCCCGACAACCATCCGCCCGTCTTGTTCCCAGTCTGCTTGTCCGCCACAAACCCCCAAACCAAACCGACCGCCCACTCTGCATCGCTCAGCGCCCGCTCCCAGCCGTACCGATTGACATAGACGACCATGTTGGCCAGCAGGAACAGCAAGCCGATCTTGACCAGGAACAGAACCCACGCGACCACGCTGCGTCGGACATAGTCTGCGATGCGGAGCGAGAAGTACGCGACGACCAGGAACGCCGCGAGCGAGACGATGTCGCCGTTCGTCGCGGCCGTCAGGGCCGAGCCGACGCCGGTCGAGGCGAGATTGAGCGTCGATGTGACCAGCGGTGTGAGTTGGGCTGAGACGGCTTGGAGCGGGCTCGGGAGGAGAGGGTGGATGTAGGATTCGTAGAGGTCGGTTAGGCTTGATAGGGTGGAGGAAAGAGGTTGGAGTGATGGAGGCATGGTATTCGGGTTGTGTCGTTGTCGTCTCGGGTCGTCTGGTCTTGTGATGCGTCGTAGTATGTGGGTGACTGAGCGAGTGTGTCTGTCTTGTAAGGACCAGGTAGGCGCGAGTAGGTGGTGACTAGGAGTAGGAGTAGGAGTATGCGCCTGCGCCACCGCTCGCGAGATTGTTTGTGTTTGTGTTTCTGTCTCTGAGAGGGGAGAGCGCAGTTCTGAGGGTGAGTGCGGTCTTGAGTGTGATTTCGAGAGAGGATGAAGTTGAGCGTGTTTGGCCTTAAAGTGAGAGAGGGCGTAACGACAGGCGTGAGCTGCGCGACAGCGAGTGTGAATGTGAAGCGTGACTTCAGACTTTCTAACCCTCTTTTTACTTCTCAGTCGGTCCAGGGCGCGGTGGGAGAAGCAAGGGAATCTTTAGAGGAGTAAAGACCGGTAAGAGAGAGGAGGAAAGACGAGAAGAGAGTGAGAGAGAGGTGAGGTTGTGTTCAGGTGGTTCACAGAAAGTACTTTTTAGAATGTTCGTTGCTTGATGTCAACTTCAAGGTATCCTTTTCCTTTTCTTTGTTCGTGTCTCGGATTCTTGCAGTAGAAATTTGGAGGTTCGTTGACTGCTCATGACACACAGACGTCTATCAACAAATAATCCCCAATTGCAGCGGAGTGAAGTACTACTACTCGGCTACTACGTAGTACCTTACTGCCTTTCCAGTGAATGTTATTGCTGGACGTCTATATGTTGTCCAGTAGTGAGATGTAGGTGGCATGAAGTTGAAGTTCTTGAGGATGATACTAATCATATACTACTCTGCCAGCATACAGTCTCGTCTATTGATTCAAAACACGAAACAAACACTGCTCGCTGACCATGTCCTCCTCGGGGAGAATCCAAGAATCATTCAATATCAGGACAGAATAGCCATTTGTTAGCATGAGTCAAGTGGGTAGGTAGGGGCAAGTGAAGGTCCTTTGGTGTATGTATGTATTTTGAACCACACCAGTTTTACTTCACGGACTTCATTCATCCTAGAGTCTTCTCTTGCTCTTCCTTTGGTGGTATCTATGATCATGGATACCCTGCCTGCCAGCTTAGAGCCCAGATCACAATATCCAAACACGCACATGTCTCCTTCCCTCGTCCCGCCTTCCATCTCCTCAAGGAGAGGATGGGATAAAAGGAAACTGTGACGCTACACCATAGGTCGCATGCTAATCACATGCCTGGCCAGACGTGGAAGAAAGGGGGTTATTCTCCCGAGAACAAATGCCTGCAAATGCTGACCGGGTCCGTTGACAACGAACAATGCCGACTTCAACCCAAACAGAATGCGTCCCCGAAAAATATACACCGGTGCCGTCCCAACCCATGTCACCAAATACACATTCTCTCAAAAATGGGGTATAATAACAAGAAAATGATGGGTTGGTGTCGCAATCCTTTAATCCGGAGTCAATCCCAACGAATAGATGTGGTTGCAATGCTGAAGAAAACGTCGATTAGTAGTCGGAGGGATAACCGGATGCATAGTCTTGGTCGAGGAGAGCCTGCACTTTCTCCCGCTCGGCAGCGATGGCGGCTTCAAGCCTTCGAGTTTGACGGAGCGCTTCGTCTCTGTAGACATCGATACGTTAATATCAACACGGCCATATCGAGCGGGGAGTGTTCTTACCTTTCCGATTCCAGATCAGCCACCCCCATCTGAGCCGAGTTCATTCTTCCAACCACTTCTTCCATTTCTTTTTCCGCCTCAGCCAAGGCCTTTTCCAGATCGGCGACCTTATTCTCCAAGTACTCGGTCTTGAGGGCGTCATGAAGAGCCATGCCTGGCCCAGTGCTGGTTTGGTCGAGCCTGGGGCTTTTTCGGGAGTTGATGAACATGGGGGAGAGCGGCGATCGAGGAGTAGGCGTCAACAATCCCGGGGTTAAAAGCCCGGGCGGTTCCCTGCCAGATCGCGTTCGTAGCAGTTGAACATTATGGCTAGCTCTCAACACTCGAACCTCCTCTTCGTGCTTCATGACTGCGGTTTCGGATTGCATTTGAGCAACAGTGATAACGTCTTCCAGCTTGCGAAGCTTGGTTTCAAGTTCGCTGATCTGTCCCGCCGAAGCTTGCTGGTCCTTTTCGCCCTTCACCACAGCGTCCTCTAGCCGACCTCTCAGGTTGGCATTCGATTGCATTTGTTTGCGGACTTGCGCAGCCAACGTCTCAAACCTCTGCGCAGACCTTTCCAGCTCGGAGGAAACACCTTGGTCGTTCGATGACCCTGCCGATTCTTGATGTCGAGCATGATCTCGTTGTTGCTCTAGTTGATGCAACGCTTGTTCAAGCGTCGATGACAAAACCTCGGGCGCTGTCTCATCACGGGATTGCAATAACGCTTGCAAGCTGGCCGTTTCCTGTTTGCTCCGATCGAGGTCCATCTTCAACCCTGAAAGACCTTTCTCACATTGCCACTTCTGTTCCAAAGCATCGTCTGTCCGCTTCCGTAGTACATTGATCTCCGAGCGTAACTTTCGCACTTCTCGTTCATAGCCCTCCTTCCTGGAACCATGCAGAGAACTCTCGCGGTCGCGGTCGCGGTCGGCTTCGGCAATCTTGAGACGCTTTTCATATTGGCGACGTTGGGCGTCAATCCTCCTCAACAGATACTTCACCGTCGAGTGGAGGGCGTTCCTCTGCTCCATCACATCTTTCATCTGATCGGCGAGAGATTGTTGACTTTCCGGTATCGCGCGCTGGACCGCTGAATTGGACCTCGACAACGAATTTGACCGAGTCCCCTGAGCTCTCGTGGACGACCGGTTCATGTGGACGGTATTGGACCGCTGTAGGCCAGTGCTGCGGCTTGGAAATGGACTAGTTGGTGACTCGATCAGGTCGCCTTCTTCGGCAATTGACTGAAATTGCATGTTCAGTGCTCGAGCACTCTGGAGGGCGGCATTCTCATCCCGAAGACTTTGGATCTCCTGTTGCATTCGCGCCAGGTCGTGTAATGAGTTTTGAGGCTCCATGTGCGCAATCTGGGACCGAAGTTGTGGCACGACCGTGTCGCGGAGGTTGTCCCGTTCGTTACGATGTTGTTCCAATTCGACTCGGAGAGCCGTCAGTAAGTCCTCGAAATTCTCCTTTGTCTGCCTCTCCTCGCTCAAACGTCTCTTCGCGTCGTCCAGCGCCATTTCGAGCTCTTTGGCCTTTGCTCCGATATCAGCGGACAGGTTGTGTTCTCGACGTGAGTGTGACAGCTTCTGCTCCAGGATTTGGATGTGTGACTCCAGTGCCTGCCGGCTTGATCTTTCAGTCTGCCACTTCTGCGACATCTCCACCTTCAACTGTGCTCTGAGTTGGTCTGATTCTCGCCTGATCCTTTGGATCTCTTCCTTGGCAGTGCCTTCGCTGGTGGATGGCCGGATCGAACTCGTGCCTGAATCGGAGAAATAGTCGCTCGTCCGATCTATATCTCTGTTAAGGCTAGGCCCGTCGGTCTGTAACCTTTCCACTAGATCCTCCAAATCCATCTCACGTCTGATTGAATTTGCAAGTTCGGTGCTGATCTCCCGGAGCTCAGCCTCCAGTTGGAGGCACTTGCTGTTTGCATCACTGAGGGACAGACGCCGCATACGCGAGCCGCCATCGAAGTCGACCGAGTCTTCAGAGGCCTGAGAAGGCGGCGTCCTCGAAAGCGAAGCGCCGAACGGGAAGCCCGAGGAGGAACGCGTGGAGGCATGTGGTGAGCCTGCGTACGGTGACGCAAGAGGAGACTTTCGATCAGAGACATCTGTCATCGACGATTCCGCACTGGGGGATGCTGTAGGCTTGCGAGAGAAAAAAGATGTAAACTTGCTGCCGGGTGTTTGAGGTTTCTTCGTATCAACGACCGTCAAGGACTTCGTTGAGGAGTTGGAACTCGTCCGCACAGGCGGCGGTCTTGACCCCGGCTTCAAGCCCATGTCCTCCTCTGCGGTCACGCTTCCCGAGGTCGAAGCATCAGACCTTCTTCTATTGTTTTGGATGCCGTTGGCAGTCGTCGACTCGCCAGTACGCGTGTTTATCAGAGTATTCTCGTTGGTGTTTCCACGGATGGATAGTGAAGGCGTGTCCGGTGCCCTGTATCAGTCAGTTGAATAGTCCAGCCAGCATGACGCGAAGTCCTACTCACGCCTTTGCCGAGGACCAGTTCGAAGAAAGGAGTTCCGTAGTCGAGCCTTGGGTTGGTGAAACATCCGTCGCCTGGAAGGGCTGTTGAAGCGACAGTGTTTCGGGAGACTGAATAACCGGAGCCGCGTTGGAAGGAAGTGGTTTACGACGGACGGGCGAGGCAGACGAGAGGGGTTTCAAGGCAGCAGACAGAGAGGGAAGACGTTGGACAAGAGTTGGATACTCCTTGGAAGCCGGAGGCGGCGGGTTAGACTCGAAGCTGGCAGAAGGTTGTGCATTGTCGTCCATCATGGCCGCGGGAGTCGGGGGCGGCCGGTGGATGCTGACCGACCGCGGACAGATCGAGGAGTGACGCTTTGACGCCCGTCTAGGATAGGGACATGTTTCCAGCGGTCGTCTGGCACGCTGATCAGCCACATGCAAAATGTGGTGAATAGTTCGAGGCCGGTGGAGAGAAGAGTGTCTGAAACTCTTCGGAGTGAATTGAGGGAGTGAGTTAGACGAGAGTAGGAGGTCGTCGCTAAGTTGTTGCAGATCAGATTGAGGTTAGGTTGGTATCTGCGTGTCGAGCTCATTGGGTGCAGCCGCAGATTAATCTCGCCGAACGCATCTGGCGGCTACCGTCTCTTCAGTCTACGAGTGGAGTGTCTGCTAAATCAAGAGGTGGTAGCCAGCCATAGCGAGATTATCACGTTGTAGCTCTTCAAAGTTATCCCAAATCACAAAGCTGAGTTTAGCCATCTTCGCCATGTAGAGAGAGAGTGAGAGAGAGTGGGAGTTCTGCGAGCAGCTCGGTGGAAAACGATTCGACTCGATCGAGACATCTGCTGCCTGCCGGTCCACTGTATCTTGCAGCCTCAGGGGGCTCCTCGGCCGAAGGAGCGCTTTAGGAAGAGTGGCACGATGGTCTAACGGGGGACTAATTGTGATAGAGGCCATTGAGGAACGCGTTCGGTGCGAGAAAGACGCGATTGAGGATCTGAGTGCGTCCGACACAAAGAGACTGACCGGTGTCCCAGCCTCTTTTGACAGCCTTCCTTCTGCTCCCGGATCCATGATGAAACCGTCACGATGTCAATGCAACTGCTGCCATTGTCTTTTGTGGTCTAGATGTCAACATCATTTTGTGCCCAGCAGAGCGTCTGCTTTCTTTGTGGCACAGATTCCTACTACATATTCCAATTGTTGGTGTTCATCTCAGGGCAAGGGCGAGAGGTTGACAATCGCGTTTAGTTTTGTTGGTTGAGGCCCTCGCTGAGTCGTACGGATGTGTGATATTTGGATACACCAGTTCAAATTATGGCATCGGCTGATGGGCAGACAGTAAGCTGTATTGCAAGATAGTACTGCCAGTGTCCTTCACTGCATTGTGTGCATGTAGAAGTTTACAGAGCCGGAACCGTTTGTCGCAGCCAGTGGGAGAGATGCACCGAAAGCGAAGTGGGAGACTAGGGGGCTCTTGGCAGGGGAAGCATCGCGGCTGCCCCTGGCCTAGTGCGTGGTTAATGTAGCGCTAACATGCTAGTTCTTTTTAGTGGATTACTTCGTGCTAAAAGTGTTCTTCTGATCTTTATCGCCCGGGCCTCCACAAAGAGTGCAGGTTAAATACTCCACTGGCATTGTAAGCATGTGCCAGACTCCCTGTAGGGTTGATCTCCATTCTTATTATGTCAGATGCTCTCCTTGCGCTGGAAACGCTCTCTCGTGGAGGAACCGATGGATACCAGTGCCGGCTGAAAGCCAAGATACGAATAGAACCCGTGTCTCTCGTGAACCCTCACAGAGGAGGCCCAACTTCCGCACCCCTTGTGGACTGATCGATGTGTAGTTGCTTACTATTATGCCATTGACACAACATGACTGACCGGGTGTCCCAGCCTCTTTCGACAGCCTTCCTTTCCGAAAACAAACTTGCCCCATCTCTTCATTTGTCAAAGGTATATCGCATCCATTCTCCCACAGCTTTTAAGCTCTCCCATCGCACATTCTCATCCGGGTCTCCCATCAGCTCCAGAAGGCGGGCTTTGAGCCCAAGTTTCTCCAGCGTCGATCGATGCTCCGGCACTTCTTTGACCAGATTACCAACATCATTGCATCCGATCGCCAACACCTGCTTGTCTGCCTCCCAATTCTTAGACAAAATCTCGGCCAACTTCTTAGGAAGCCCGCCTCTCTTATCCTCAACGATTTTTCGCGCATTTTCTCTCCAGAACGTTGGATTGCGGTGCGGGGGCGACCAACGTAGATGGCCGGAATTGACTTCGTCGGCGTATTCATCGAACGTTGTCTGGTTTCTGGTGTATTCGTCCAACATGCTCTTGAGTGCGTCAAGATCTTCCAGCAAATCGGGATCCGTCAGATGTCGGCCAGAGAGATTGCTCAGAAGCGCAGGTAGCCTTGCCGTCGTAGCTGTTGCAATCAACGTATCCTTGTTGGTTGACAGTAGATTTTTCAACGTCGCTACTAGAAGGCGCGTTGTCTTTTCCTTGGGTGACATTCGTAAGAGTTGTGTGTACAGTGGCACAATCTCCTCGTCCCTGAACGCACATTAGCCGGAACTCAGAAATGGGGGAAAGGAGAACACCACTTTTCGAGACCCTCGCCAACCAGTTCGCCCTCGAAACTGAGCTGCCATATCACGAGCAGTACATGATACATCAGCTGCAGGCTAACCGCTCCCCCGAATCTGGTGTCACTGCTCCTAATGCTTGTGGCGCCATTCCACAGTGTAGAATCGTTGTCCTTGGCTGCGCCCACCGCTTTCCTCAAGATGTCAAACAACGGGTCGACAGTGTCGTTTCTCTGATTCCAAAACAGTTCCTTGGACCGCCTCGTTCGGAGCACCTGTGACATGTGTTGAACGCCAATGTCTTGTAAGCCGCTGTCTTGGTTCTTCACGAGCTTGGCAAGATAGGAGTAGAGCTGTGGGAGAGCTTCCTCGTCTCGGGCGGTTGGCTTTGATGATGTCGTCAAAGAGATAGCAATGAGATTGACCAGAAATGTGGCCGAGAGAAGGGGAATCGGGTCTTCCGGATTGCCGGACTGATTGAGAAGGGAGAGGAAGATCTTGTATGGTTCGGGTTGTTCCAGGATAGCAGTGGCCAGAGTCGTTGCATCTGCCAGAAGTAAGTCGCCCTGTATTTGATCACAACCAGGAAAAGTGGCTTTCAAACTCACCATTGATCAAGTCTGTTGCCAACACCATGATATATTGGATGATATCGGTTCGTTTGAAAGCCTTTTCGAGCACGCTTCCACCCTCCGAGCCGCCAATTAGCAGGGTGCTGTAGCTGTTCACATCTTGCTCGATCGTCTGCCTTCTCTGCTCTTTCCTGACCTTGTCAACCGATCGGATCTTCTTGAGTTGGTCTTCGGTAAGGTTTCCAGCCCGGACGGCGCCGTCCCAGGGAATCTGGGTACTTGTCAGATAGCTCGAGACTGGAAAGCATAGTTCAACCTACTGGACGGGCGCGAATATTGTTTTGGAGTGAACTGAGGTAGGCAGGCGGGCTTAGCGACATCGTGGAGACCACTGTAATGCAGATCGAGGCAGAGAGATGACGAGAAGCCTAGGGGTTGCTTGCTAGGTTATTCGGTTGACTCCATGAATTCAGAACGTAGGGACTTGGGATGTGTAGATGGGAAACGATGTCATTGCTCCAGGTTTAATCGTTATCGAAGCTGCACGAAGCTGTGAGGCTAACAACGGGGTGTCTCTTTGACGTGCCTGCGGGAGTGACCGCAGATCGCTGCTGCCCACGCATCTGCTTCCCCGACACCCTGTCCACACTTCAAGTTCACCGCACCATACAGCACAGGGACCACGCGTCAACATTGGACAATCTGCCGCGCAACAGACATTCTTTCTTGCGCCGTAATGTTGTCGTCGTCGAGTATTGGCAAGTCCGTCTCTCGTTCCTAACCCTACGTTGTAGTACGCCAGACGGTATCCATCGCTATCGGTAGCGGTCCCGACCCTTTCCAGAGGGTATTATTTGACACATGCGTCGGAAAAGATGACATCGAAGCCAACATCAAGATGGGGCTTCATACAGCAAGCCGTTGCTTCAGTCGAGTCAAAACTAGACAACATCCTGGCAGAAGAAAATGACCCCCTGAAGAGGAGCACTACTCCGGCGCAATCATCGCGGGACACCGCGTCTTCAAAAAGAAGTATGTATCAGTCGTCGCTCCACCCTCTTTCGTGGCTAACTTGTCCATAGTCTCCTCCGAACTATCACGGAGTAGCAGCAATGCCTCGACCTCCAATGACAGACTTCAAGAACGGCTTGCGCGCGCGATGGCAAAGAAGAATGCCAGCCGCTCAGAAACTCCAGCTATTGTCGTGGACCAGTCACCAACACGGGCTCTAGGAGATCAACCGTCTGTAACAGATTCTGATAACGCTAGGACTAGCGGCGACTCCGGTGTCGAAGGGTCACACACGCTATCGCTGTCGAGGACTTCGGAGGAGGTGCCACTGAGTTCACATACTGAAGAGACAATCTCCGTGGAGGATGACGCAAAGGACCTTGGACCCGATGACTCGATGTCCACTCCTCTTGTGGCGGAGCATCATGTGTCTGCGAGAACTCCTGCCGATGTCACGGGAGAGAGCAAGACAATCGTGGAGAGAGTGTCCCAAGAAGTCCAGAGGAAAAGTGACGATGCTCCTATGCAACTCCAGACCGAAGAGACCAAGAAAGTTGGAGAAGAGACCAGCGTATATCTTGAAAAGATCGATGCTCTCCAGTCAAAAATCCAATACTTGAGCAGAGAAGCGGCTCTCTCGGCCAAGCAAGCTGCCACTTCTGCAGACGCTGGTAGCGTAGAAAAGCAACTTGCTGAGAAGGACGAGAAAATTGCACTGCTTATTGAAGAAGGGACCAAGTTATCAAAATCGGAAATGACATATTTGACTGCTGTCAAGAGACTGAAAGCCCAAATGGCAGCCAAAAGTAAAGAACAGGAAGCGGTGAGACTACGTGCAGAAAAGGCTGAACGCTCTCTGAGGGCAATGGAGGAAAGGGCAAGCAAGGCCGAAGCGGCGGGCAAGCGGGCCGAACAACAGCTCGCCACAAGTCTGAAAGTCGCAAGCGACCTGGAAGCCATAAGAAGGGAGAGAGACGCACTCCATGCAACCTTGGTCGAAATGAAATCACAGCTATCGAAGGCAAATTCACGGGCGGAAGCTGCAGAGACCAAGGCCCAGTCAGATCAATTGGAGAAGGAACGGAAACGGATTGCGGAGTTGGAAGATGATTTGACCAGTTCTAAGGTCGAAAAGGAACTATCCGAGGACAAGTTGCGTAGGGAGATCAAAGAGTTACAGGCCGCCCTGGAGAAGGAAAAAGAACAAGCTCGTATCATGGAAAGCGACATGCTCAGCGAACAAGCGGCGCTAGAGAGCAAGCTGGAAGCGTTCCGTGTCCGAGCAGAAGAGGCTGCTTCCACAGACCATGATCATTTGCAAGCGAAACTGTTGCGCCAAATTGAGACGCTCCAAAGCCAGTATGCTTCGGCGAGTCAAAATTGGCAAGGCATCGAGAGTACTTTGCTGGGCAGAATCACCAACCTTGAGAAGGAAAGAGACGAAGTCGCAGCGAGGGACGCGGACCTGCGAAAGAAACTGCGGGATGCCACTCTCAAATTGAAAAGCGCCGAGAGAGAACTGGAGAGCATGCAGACCGCGTACGCCGACATGGAGAGGAACTTGACAGAGGCGACTGAAGAACTGGAAAAGATGGGTCAAAGAACTCGTCAACTCGAAACAGACCTGACCACTGCTATCAAAGATTTGAAGGAATATAAGACGAACACGGCACGCGAAGTGCAACGCAAGATCGAAGAAGAGAAAGCAAGATGGACCGCAGCTTTGCACATCCAGCGCACCGAGTCTCCTGCAACCTCGATGCGTAAGAGTTCGAGTATGGCGACGGATATTAATCTTTTGCTGAGCCCAGTCCAGTTGGACCGCCCTAGCAGTCGAAGATCTTCCGCAATGCCAGCCATGGACTCGAATACTCCCCCTCGCCAGCAGTCAACTACGTTGTTCAGGGGCCTCAGTAACGGATCCCTTGCTGAGACGCCATCTGTGGTGACCTCAATGGACCAGGACGAATATTTTGCCAATGTCCCACCCACACCTCTATCAGCAAGTCACCACTCTCATCGTGGCGTGAACGACTTGATCTCGGCCTCCACAGTCGGAGCGGGTCCTTCAGTTCAACTGGTCGAACGAATGTCCGCCAATGTTCGTCGACTTGAGAGCGAAAAAGCCGCTTCGAAGGACGAGCTGCTCCGGATTAGCACCCAGCGCGACGAAGCCAGACAAGAGGTGGTAAATCTGATGCGGGAGGTTGAGGAGAAGCGAAAAGTCGAGGCTCGGCTGGACGCCTTGGAGAAGGAATACCAGAGCTTGAATGAACGGCACCAGACCACCCTTGAATTGCTCGGCGAGAAAAGCGAGCAAGTGGAGGAGCTCAAGGCGGACATTCTGGATGTGAAGCAGATGTACCGGCAATTGGCCGACACCATGAAATAATGATATCAACATTTTCGAGGGCATGTTGGGGCGTTTGACGGGTTGGTCGTCTGTAGCATCTAACAATCGATATAAGCTCAGTCGAGCTCGATGCCTTCTCGTTCAGCAGCTTTGACAATGTACGATCGGACTTTGTTGTCGGGTGCACATTCGATAGCGAGTCGGCCATCTCTGTCTTTTTTGTCTATTTCCGCGCCCGCTTTCAGCAGCTCTACCGCCACATGAGCATGTCCTTCGCTAATTGCGTGGTGCAGTGGGGTCATTCCATCCATGTCGGTGGCATTGACAGGGCTTTTGTTCTCAACCAACAACTTCAGGATTGGCACACTGCCAACCGCGGCGGCCCGGTGTATAGGCAGTTGTCCCCGTTTGTCTTTGGTCCTTGCCGAGGCGCCATGTTCCAACAGAATCTTGCAGATCTCAAGGTTACCCTTCGAAACGGCAAAGTGCAGAGCAGTGGCACCGGTGTTGGTGACGATTTTAGGATCAGCCTCTTTCGATAGCAGAAGCTCAACAACGACCTCGCCGCTGTTCTCTTTTAGACTCGAGGCGATCATGAGCGGTGTCCATCCAGAACCGTCCTGTACGTCGGGGTCGAAGGATCGGGTCGATGCGAGGAGTTTGACAATGTCCAAGTGGTTGAAGGCGCACGCCCAATGGATTGCGAGGCGTTCATCTTGGTCCACAACTTTGTCGAGTTTGGGATTCGCCTAGAAAAGCGATCAGCACAAGGTGCGACTCGGCGAGAGTGCTGGAGGTACTCACATTTAGGAGCGACTCGACCACTTGGGCTGGCAATTTCCTGTTAGTGCCCGCACAGAAGAGCGTATAGTGGTGAGCAACTCACTTCTCCCATCCCTCGCCGCTTCATGTATTGCGTATTTGTTCTCTGTCTCTGGCGCAGCCATGTCGATAACCTTGAGTCTTACATGTTTGTATGGTTTCTAGGCGGAGGAGCAAGTCGCGTCCAAAGAACATTTCCCCCGCATAAAACGTCAACCAATCAGCGGCAGGCTTGGCTATTTTGTCGCGTTTACCAACTTGAACTGCCTGCATTTCTGAAAATCGCCATCACGACTGCGCTGCCGCAGCCTCTGAATATCTCCATTTCCTTGGTCGCTCGCTATTTGACGGCCTGCAGCGGAAACATGGCGGCAGCGGCGCAGTCACTGTCCGAGCGGACGAGAGCCATATTCGGCGACGACTTTGACGGACCGAGCGATGTCCAGGGTTTCGAAATTGCTGCTTCGTATAAGCGAAAAGTCGAGTATGAAAGCGTCCGCGAGCTACCCAAAGCCCTAGCCGAAGCGCAGGCGAAGGCCACTGCTGCAAGAGGACCCAAGAGACCTAAGGTGCAGTCTGGAGGGAACCAGATGGCACTGGTGAAGAGTGACGGAAAACCCGACTCTCAATCACAGTCGGCACAAGCCAACAACGGCACGGCCATAGGCAACAGTTTGATCCGGAGACCGAACATGCAACAGCCTCGACCCGACTGGCACGCGCCGTGGAAGCTGATGAGGGTCATTTCTGGGCATCTAGGATGGGTGCGCGCTTTGGCCGTGGAGCCTGGAAATCAGTGGTTTGCATCAGGTGCAGGAGACAGGACAATCAAGATCTGGGATCTGGCGTCAGGACAGCTCCGTCTCACACTTACAGGCCATATCTCTACTGTTCGTGGGTTGGCGGTGTCCCCTCGACATCCATACTTGTTTTCCTGTGGAGAAGACAAGATGGTCAAATGTTGGGATCTGGAGACAAACAAAGTCATCCGTCACTACCACGGACATTTGTCCGGAGTGTACACGCTCGCCCTGCACCCGACGCTCGACGTGCTTGTCACCGGTGGTCGAGATGGCGTCGCTCGTGTCTGGGACATGCGGACCCGGTCCAATATCCACGTCCTCAGTGGACACAAAGGCACCGTCACCGATGTCAAGTGTCAGGAAGCTGATCCGCAAGTCATCTCTTCGAGTCTCGACAGTACTGTGCGATTGTGGGACTTGGCCGCCGGCAAGACAATGGGCGTGCTTACACACCACAAAAAGGGCGTCAGAGCCCTCACCACCCACCCCAAGGAATTCACGTTCGCTTCTGCCTCCGCCGGCTCCATCAAGCAGTGGAAATGCCCTGAAGGAGCGTTTATGCAGAATTTTGACGGCCACAACGCCATCATCAACACTCTCGCCGTAAATGAGGACAACGTCCTCGTCAGTGGGGGTGATAATGGCAGTGTCTGCTTCTGGGACTGGAAGTCAGGTCACCGATTTCAGTCCACGGAATCGCTTGCCCAGCCTGGGTCGCTTGACGCTGAGGCCGGCATCATGAGCAGCACCTTTGACCAGACCGGGCTGCGATTGATCATGGGTGAAGCAGACAAGACCATCAAGATCTGGAGACCTGATCCGGATGCGACGCCCGAAACGCACCCGTTGGACTGGAAGCCCTCGTTGGGAAGAGTCAAGTTTTAGAATCTCGGTCACCGTACGGAATGTTTAGCGATGGCGGACTGTGAACGTACAGATCCTGTGAAATGGTTTCAGCGACGGCGTTCTGGCGCAATAGGAAATAGTGGTGGAAGCGCAGACAACTGTGCAAAACGGAAAAAGGGGCATGCCCGACCAGAACAGGGACACGCTATCTCCATTGCAGCGGACATACATTGTGATTAGAGCATTTCATGATACCCCAAACTTGGTCTCATCAATACTTGACACAGGTCAATACAAATCCCAAATGACTCAACGGTGATTATTCAAAGTGTCCTGAAACAGACATGTCCACAGTTCCAAGAAGGTCTCTCGAACCAGGCTCCGCGAGACCAGTTTCCAAGCTCCAACAAGGTTCCTCCTTCGGCCCGCCACAATCCCAGTGGTTAAAATGGCTTGAAACCGCGATATCCTGCGTCGATGACTTCGCTCAGAACCCTGCGGTACGCCCCCAATCCACCAAAGTAGAACATCACCGTATGCTTCTTGCCAGGGACATTAGCGCCGAAGATCCAGGAATCGGTCTTCTTGAACAGGCTGTTGTCACTGAGTTTCTTGCACAAATCCGTCCACTCATCCTCGGCAGTTTCGAGTGCTTCGACCACTGGACCAGAGTCATCAGATACAGTTGATTCTGCGGCGCCGTTGGTAGCTTGCGCCTTTCCCTTGGAACGCTCCTCTGCTCTGGCAATAGTGTCGGCTATGAACTCAACCTGTGTTTCGAGCGTGGGCGGAATATTCGTGAACGGACTATTTGGACCAGTAATCATGAACAGATTCGAAAAACCTGGCAGACATACGCCCAGATAAGACGTTGGGCCGTCTTTCCTGTCCCAGTGCTCTTTCAGACTCTCACCGTTGCGGCCTTTGATGGCGACACGGGTATAATTGCCATCGACGGCATCAAAACCGGTTGCAAAAATCAGCACGTCGAGATCATACTGGGTCCCATCCGACATGGCTACACCTTTTTCCGAGATACGCTCGATCGGGTTCTCTTTGAGGCTGACGATATCGACATTGGGCCGGTTGAACTGTTCATAGTAGCCAGCATCACACAGTGGTCGTCGGGCATAGAAGTCGTGGGGAGTCAACTTCCTTGCTTTCTCCGGGTCTTTGACGGTCTGGCTGATTTTCTTCCGGACGAACTTGCATGCTTCCTCATTCGCTTGCTCGTTGACCGTTAGGTCACTGAAGGTCCAGAACATGAATCGAAACCCGTTGCCTCGCTGCCATGCCTCTTCGAACTTCTTCTCTCGTTCCTCGGCAGACACGCTCATGGCAGGAGTGGTGGACTCTTCGAACCCAAAAGCCACGGCACTGTTACGGACTTGACTCCATATCTCCTCGTAGCGGCCATTGATCGCGTCGCGGTATTCTTTCGTCACAGGCCCGTCGCCGCTCGGCACACTATACTGTGGAGTGCGCTGGAAGCATATCAACTGGCGGACATCCTTGGCAATGGCGGTGATGACTTGAACACCAGTGGATCCGTTTCCAATGATTCCAACGCGTTTGCCGTTGAAATCGTGCTCGCGTGGCCATTTTCTATGTGCGAGTTGAGTTAGTTGAGTGGGGGAAATGAGAGGCTACGGGGTTGCTAGAAGGCTTTCTTTTACCCTGTATGATACATCTCTCCCTGAAAACTCCCAATGCCAGGAATATTGGGATAGTTGGTCTTCGACAACAGGCCTAGTGCGGTGATCAAGTATCGGGTGGTGAAGGACTCGCCCGTCGAACACTCCACGACCCAGACGTTGTTGGTTTCGTCGTAATGCGCATGCTCGAGCTCAGTATTGAACTGCATGTGCTGGCGCAGGTTATATTGGTCAACCACATGTTCCAGGTACGCCAGCACTTCGGGCTGCTTGAGGTAATGTTCTTTCCAGTGATAGTTGATCAGGTCCTCCTTGTCCCAGCTGTACCGGTAGACTTGAAAGTTGGTGGGCTCAGTATGAATACACAATCACCTCTATTACGACTCCGAAGAGGGCTTACTGTACGATTCCGTGTCAGACATTGCGCCAGGATATCTGTTCCAATACCATGTCCCACCGACATCTCCAGCCGCGTCAATGACTCTTACCGACAGTCCTAACTGGAGAAGTTTGTGAAGCTCATAGATTCCTCCGAACCCTGCGCCCACGACGATGGCGTCGAAATGTGTTTGCTTCATGCTGCTCTTGTCTTTGTCGACAGATTCAACGGTGGTCTAAGGGTGGTTTCGTTGCCAGGACTGAGCGATCGACTTCATGAATGCATAACGTTCTTATGATAGAGTCGTAACATGATGCCGAGGTGGATGGAGTGCATACAAACTGCGGAGAAGCTTTCTATACTTACATTCGTGTCATCCAGTTGGCTGGCTATTGAGGTTCCCCAGTCGTCTCACGTACCCCAGGTTTGAGGATCCCCCGCATCTGGGGAACCGATGACCGGACATCAGGAACGTTTGTCAGCTTCGAAGGCTCGACTAACCCTAGTAGTCGAGAAGAAAACTATCCTTCATCTTGCGGGATTCGTCAAAAGTGACTATGGGTTGGCGTGAAGAGACCCCTAGCTAGCCTTCCAAAGCAGCCGCTGACGGTAGATAGTGCGGCCGACCATAGGTAGGTAGGCGTTGGCCATTGGTCGACCACAGTCCCGTCAGTGTCCTGCGCAAGTAACATGCCTCTATTAGCTTACCATGGCATTTATTATGATCTAGTAACATCAGTATAGCCGCTGCTCTGCTTCACGTTACTTCTGACGTCGCTTCACCTGATTCGCAGGCCAAACAATTCGGTCCTAGTCTTCTGCTATCTTCCATCACTGCGACTCCCGGCTGACGTACACAACCTCATCACCCCACAGAGACAGTTCCTGCGACAAATCGACACCCTGAACCCGTTGGGTCGACTAGAACTCGAGGGTTAGTTAGCTGGAAGGAGGTGTGGTTGGAACTCCAGCTGGACAAGGCTGAGCCCCTTTTCGGCCCCACTGTTTCTCCAGCTTTGCGAACCACAGATGGAAAAACAGAAAATGCCAGTCGGAGAAAAACGCTCGTAAAACTTGTTGTTGTGACCAAGTCCTCTCCTGTGAGCGCTCTTATCTTAAGGCGAGGGATCAGGTGCAATGTTTGGAAAGGGCTGTCTCTACTTTCACTCTACGTGAGATGAGTGAAAACGCAAACTCTGCTTGACCACCTTCTTCCTCGATCACCACCTCCTGGGTCCTGCCTTTTGCGAGTGCTAAAGAACGACTCAAGATTGATACAGATCATCTGGTCTATTTATACAAGACTGTATTCGTTCCTTGATCTTGCAAGAGAGATGAACTGACCAACCACATGTGGCATCAGAGCTGCGTATTCACACCTCATGAAGGCCGACCTGAGATTGTACAGGCTGGACTGCTCAGGTCTGGACACAAACCACAGAGGGAAATCGGCGAGAATGGCTAATCATACCTAAGGACAGGAGGGAGAGCTGGCAGCAGGCTGTTATGGGCTGGCAAATTATGCTCAGGCTTAGTAAGCCTACGTTGAGCTGATTACCTAACGTCCTAGTAAAGCGGCAAGGCCGTATTTGGTGTATCTCAAGCAAGCGCTTCAATCCAAGGTAAAACCTCTGTATGTTCCTTCCCAAAGGAATACAAAGAAACCATCAGCTAGAAAAAGCCACTTTGTCTTGTTCCTCCTTCGCTGCTTGTTCATCCAGTCTCTTCTTGTATGCTGCGTCTTTCGCTTTGCTCTTCTCCTGTTCTTCCCTCCTCTGTCGTTGATATTCGGCCTCCCTTCTACGGGCATCGTCTAACAAGCTCTGTTAGTGGTCACGTCTTGAAGAAACAGATCTAGGGGAATGACAAACCTTTTGACACCGAAAACCCAAAGGGCAAGATTGCTGGTCTGTTGTGCGGCTGCTGGTAGTCTGACAGGTTCAAGACTAGCTCCCGGCTGCTGTCCCTGACGACACAGAACACCGCTCTGTCGTCAAGCGTGATGTCGTCTATCCCTTCGATTCGTAATTCCACTTTCCCCACGAAATCTTCATGGTGACCACAGTGGAGTTGGCCTTCAATGCCCTGGTTGAGTCGAGGGCTCTCACCAAGCTTATCCAAGAACTTCTGGGATATTGTACGACACGGTGCCTGGCCGTCTATGGCCGCTTCCACATCCTCCCATATCATAGTTAGATCGCTGAGCACTCTAACTGGGACTGGGTCTGGATTAGCCATGATGCTGGAGGTACTTCTAGCGACTTTTCGCTCTATTTCGAAATGGAGATGTGACAGAATAAGACGGCTTGAGAGATGGAGTTGAGAATGCCGTCTGCCGCTCAGTCAAGGCGGAGGCTTTCGTGCTTTCCTCAAATATCGTCAAAGACCTCCCAGCACCAGTGCAGACGGGCAATTGGACACCTCCTACAAGTGGGGAGCGAACGATAACCTCTCGAATACCAACATATGAGGCCCGGTCGTGCGAGAAACTCATCCTTGCACGGTTGAAAATACCACATAGCTACCATGGTCGTCGGGCGCTTCACACCGTCCTGCAGCTGGGCAGGCGCCCTGATGCCTGATCAGACTGACTAGGGAAAGAGACAACAAAATGATCCTGACAGCGAGTACTTTCGGATCTATCCAAGGCTATCAGGGCCTTTGGAGGTGGTCCGATATGCGGTTGCATTGTTGCCTGAGGATGTGCTATGCGCAGTCTCAGGACCTAATTCGTTCCGCCTCATATTGTTCGATCTATGCGAAAAGGTCTTGTACAAAAACGGCCGACTACCAGCATCTGGACAGCCGATGCCACGTCACGAAAGGTAACAAATCAAAGTGCCAGACAACCCTCCCTCTCTCCGCTCAGGGGATTTTCCCCTTCACCGGTCAGTCATTTTGTTCCGTGACCTCTGTTGCATTCTGCACACTGCAATCGGATCAGATGCCCAAGATCCTTAGTTAGAGATGAGCTGAGGATTGCCCGGTGTCCAGCGAGGTCTTCAAAGACATCGAATTCCACCTCTCTCATTCCCCTCTCGCAACGCATCCTCATGGGGATCACAATGCTTCCCAAAGACTCGATCTCGTGGTTCCCAGCAACCCTCCGTCGACATTTCTTGCTCTCATCTAGCACCTTGAACCCCAACGAACTGGCCGTGGCCTTAGTGATGACGCTATGCGCATCTGCGCATGTGTCCATACTTGTGGACAGTGAGTCATGCCGACCATCAGGGCGGCCTACGATCACAATCAGGCCTCTGAAGTCGTCCAATTCTCTCTGTCGGAGGATGCACGGACCGGAAGCGGGAGATCGCAGGGGGCAAATAGACGGTATACCCTCGTGATCAAACACATGACAGGCACCGCCATCCAGTCGGGCACCATGATAAGATCCCTGACCAGACGGCCTCAAGTTCAATGCAAGGAAGTTGCTAGCGATCCTCAGGTAGGGTGGAAGAACGCTGCCACTGGCATTACTATATTGCCTTATGCCGATCTCATGGTTGCCAGCGGTGGGAGCCGGAGAGGCTGCGCTGACACCGCCTCGTATGCGAGGTACATAGCGATACAACTGGCGGAACAAGCCTTGCGGCCGCCAAGATGCCCCTTTGCAATCCAAGTTGCCAGTGCCCGCGCAAGTGTACAGAGCTTTACCATCATTCTGCAGGTCGTGGACCTCAACCAGAGCATTTGTTTCCGCTCCACCAGTATACCCAGGCCTGTCTCGCTTTGCAGGCACATGGACATGTTTATCATCACCATCCTTCCTGGCATTAGGATAACCATCTTCGCATGATGGTCGGACCACAATATGAACTGGGCCACCGCTACCAAGCACAGAATCACTGATGGAAACGATGGAAATAGCAGGGTTGGAATGAGGGAGTATGATCTCGATGCGGAGTTCTAGGACCATGATGCCGAAATGAGGCCTGCAGAGCGGATCCGTGGGGTGCGAAGATTGATTGCGTTGAAGACGATCAGTCAATGTGGACGGCTAAACTCAGAAGCTGGAAAGAAATGCTGGTATCTCGAATGCAGTTGCAAGCGCAGATTCAAATGTACAGACCTCGTATCAAACAGCAGCGGCGGAAAAGAAAGGGGTATACTGGAAGGCAAGTCAAGGGAGGAAAACACGTACTATCTGGAGCGAAAGAGGGCGAAGCATGGCTCCGATATTCCAGACTACGGCTGTCGCTGTGGCTGGCCAGGCACGAATCCACGTTGCGAGACTTGCAAGGCGTGGAGCCGCAAGATGAGTCTGATGGCAATCTGAATGAAGAGCGTCGTCGTCCTTGCAACGAGCGTTAGCCCGAAGCCACGCGCAGACTGGCAACACGTCTCACGTACGCCCGCACTGAATCCGAACGGGGAGGAAGTCTTCAGAAGTATGCCAGCCTTGCGGGTGCAGTGCTCACTGACTCTGAGGATTCGTCGCAGATTGGCAAGTGCATGGGTCGACCCTTGAGGCATCCGCTATTCCTGGCAGCGGAGAATCGGCTATCCCATCGCTGATAGACCTACTTCTTTTACCCATGATAAAGTTTGCACAGCACCATGAGGGACACCTTCACTGGGAGATGCCAGACGGGCCGATGGATGTTGATATTCCCCTGCGGTCTTGCATGCACATCCGCGTGTGCCTGCGTTATCCGACAGGGCAGCATGATCGATCCGGCTCGATGGTTGTCAAGCGAGAGCAAGTAAAAAGGGTCACTTCGGCGGGTTTAGAGCTCGAGCTTGGTTTGCTGGCCTGAAAATGGTCCCTGCTAGCTTGATTGGCTAAGCAAGCCTTCCACAGTTCCGCGAGACGACGGCGCCATTAGGCTCTTGAAGGCGATATTGTGTTTGAAAACTCAGGATCAGGACACCAAACGCTCGCAGAGGCGCTATAGCCAATGGCTGGGACAGGTGGCATACCTTCACAGAGTGGTGCTGGACCTGGTTTGCCGATCAGAACCATGGGACTGTGGAAACTCTCTCGTTGCTCTCCCCAGTAGTCCTCGCGTTCTTCCCTTTCCGATGAGAAGTCCTGAAGTGAAAGAGAAGACAAGCAAAGCGTCGACATGAAGTCGAATCATGGTGAGTCTTGTATCGGAACAATGCAAATGGTACACCATCTGCCCGTTCCTGTTGCATCGTTCGGTAATTGAAGGCCGTGCATGCCATCGAGGAGACCCCTTTTTCTTCTGCGATTGTCCCCAGTACCCTCGTACAGGGCGCGGGCGTACAGCCACATTGGTAGAAATCACCCCTGTGACATTGGCCCCCATCTGCTTGGCGCCACATTCGTCCCTCTTCCACACTCACCTAAAGCCCTAGAGATTACGGGTTGCACATTGTTCAGCGAGCACAGTTTCAGAGGGTATGTGATCAACAGCAACGGCAACAGCAACAATAACGGCAGTGCTTGCATGAGACAGACGAAATGAGAATGAGAATGAAATCAAGAAAGAGCTCATGCAGTCTCTCTTACGGAGCTGGCCCCGATTTGGTGTCGGGCCTTTCAGCGGGCAAGTCGACTAGGCCGGTTGGTGGAACGGGGATTATTTTTCCAGGTCGGAGACAAAGAACTCTCGATGGAAAGACGCAAAAAAAAGGGTGAACTGCGTGGCTATACATACGGCCGAGAGCGAGACGAAGAAGAAGACGAAGAAGAAGATGAAGGAGAGTGAGTGAGCGATCGTACAGGTCCCAGTGAGGGAGCTATGTGCCCTTTTTATGTTTTGCATCGGGGACAGGAGGCTCTCAAACACTCTCTCCATCCATTGGCCTGAGTGTGACGGTGACACCACCCTTCTTTTTCTGGCAGGAAATCCATGCATCAATCAGGCTCAAAGGTCAGGGGTCACCACCCACACACTCATACTATTGGGCGCCATTGAGTGCCATTGTATACCCTACGACTTCCAAGGCCGTTCATACTATCAACACGCCGCGGCGAGGGCAAAGAACATCTGTTCGTGATGAAATCTTCTCGCTTCTAAACGAGAGACCGTCGGCAAGATAGTGGCCGTACCCTGCTTGCAGCCATTTAGACTTGATGGACGGCGGCACTCAATCACACTTGACGCTAAGTACTGCTACTGGTCTCGTTCGCTGCATGGCGACCATTCGTGGTTAGGGTGCATGCCAACGCAGAGCCTGCTGCAAACTGGTAAGAGTCAAGACGAGGGAGGGAGGGGGGACGAGAAGAGAGGTTGCATGCCCCGGGCGACCTCCCTCCCTCCCTCCATGCCATCTCATTCTCTTCCCCCTCTCCCTTATCTCTCTTTCTGCTACATTCTTCCTTTCGGTGCAAGAGCCTCTTGCCAGCCCAGCCCAAAAATATCCCACTTGGCTTCATCCTTAGGTGGAAAGGCTCTTTTTCTCTCTAACCCAAACACAAAGCGGCAGGAAGGCTACGATGTCAATGAATGGATACAATGCACTTGCAGGCTATATGGGGACGTATCCAAGCCTGGCGATCTTCCGGAGGTTCCTCATCCTGCACGCCAGAGACCTTCTGGTCATGCAAGGCGAGATAATCAATCTTGAGCACGAACTCTGCATGTCCATCCAGTCGGACCGCGAGGCCAAGGACCCCGTGAAGAACGCGTCCGAATACGACATCTCCGCGTTAAAGGGGCCCCATAAGTCGGAAAGAGCAGCAGAACAATGGAGCCGGACGCTCGAGCTTCGAAAGCTGCTGAAAAATTATGGCAGGTCTACCTCTTTTGCTTCTTTTCGGCTTCTTCTTTCTCTGTGTACCTTTGCCTCTCTTTTCCTTCGATCGAAAGAACCGTTCCTTGACTGACATTTGTCGACCATGTCTTCCCCGTTCAGGCGAGGCACAGCTTCGATTCGCCTCTCTCCAGCGTCTGGCTCCGGTGAAGAAGGCCGATTTGCTCCCCTTACACGAATGTCTGGGAATGCCTTATGGGAGTGGTCGGCACTTTCTCCGGGCTCACGAGTTCGAGACGTGGGACGAGGAACATATACATGATCTGGCTTCGCTGGATGGGAGCAACACGCGGAAAGATGCACTTTCCAAGTTGATCGACAAGCTGCTCAGGCGCGTCTACCATCCAGTCATGGGCCGCAAGTTGCATGATCCGCTGTCGGTCGAGGAGGCATGGGCCAGTCACGGCCAGCCGAGGCCGATTGTTTACTATCCTGACGGCCACGTCTCGGTGGCCATTGACACTTTGAGCACGATTCTGGCTTCGGTGCTGCCGGCTCTCAGTGCATTCGGGCTCTTCTTCATTCAGGACCCTCTGATTAGGATGGTGGCCATTGTGGCTTGCACGGTGCTCTTCTCAACCATTCTGACACTTGTCGCAAGACCTACCAGAGCCGAATGTTTCGCCATCACTTCTGCTTTCGCTGCTGTGCTTGTGGTCTTTCTGGGCTCGAATGGATCTGTCCCGTGAAATCTTCACAGGTGGTGGTACAAGATCGCGTGAGGTTACCTGTGCCTGAAATATAGAAAGGTGATTCAGAGGTTCCGTGGAAGATCAGCATAGTGCGAGAGAGTTGTCAGATACTTTATCATGTGGCAGTCCGTGATCTTTTCGTGCTGGAGAACAGCTCCTCATAGATTGCAGTTTGGCAGGCACCAGTTCGAACCGTCTTAAAGACGACATTGTTTCTTTCAAACCCCCCAGGTCTGCTGTTGTCATGTACCATTCTCTTGGAGGGAGAATTGTCTGCCTCCCGTCGATGCATTGAACCAGTATTTCTTGCGTTCTGGTTGCAGGATGGTCCAGGACCACTGTTCTTTGGAGCAGAGCAAATCCTCTGATTTGCTGAACGCAAGGCCGTATTTGAAGTCGCATAACTTGAGACGTGAATGATGCGCAACCCATAGACAGATATCGATAATCAAGATGAAGCGCAATTAGGGAGCAGCTCCTGAGTCTTTCTTTTGTCTTTTGCGTGAGGTGCGCGCAGAAATCGGGTAAGGAGGTAGGGGTTGGGACGTGGTCTCCATCCTCGGCTGGACATGGTGAGATTCGTTCTAGGCGTCTTGCTACCGGAAATGATGAGCCCGCCATGTGCAACCCATCACGACCAGAGTTACAATTGCCGAAGGGTCGAACCGAAACAGCTGGCGCAACCGTTGCCTCTACCACGGTCCGGCGTCTTCCAGATGTAACTCTACTCTCTAGCAAACACACTAGTTGGACCACCCATCAACCCTCGAAGGAAGATCAAGGCTTAAGTCCGAGGAGAATCAATCACCAGCCTCGACTTGTCGACAATTTCTCGCGAAACTGAAACAAATGAATATGTCAGACTGTGTGTGATAGGGAAACTTGACCTGAAATTTGAATCAACGTTAGGTGCGATCGCTAGTGGTGTGAAGGGCTTCTTATCACCCCTGATGACATGGATCCGTAGTGTTTGACTTCTTCTCCAGAGGACGGAACACGAGCACTTACTGTATGCAATATACACCGCTTACTAGACACCGACGTCGAACGCAGAAGAATCAGGCAGCCTATGTGGCATGTGGCAGACCAGTTGCACGTCATGTGGAATGCAGGTCGAGAATATGTCATATATCTACATTGACCTCCTACCCTGAAGCTGATCCTCCTTTTTTTTCTTTTCTCAACCTGGAGCCTGGAGGCTTTCCTCTGCTGAAGGGGGCATATGTGTCCATACAGTCAATCACTTTCTTCTTTTCTGAGTCACTTCTCAGGGCAATTTCAGTTCTCATCAAATCCAAATGACCATCTATGGTAGGTACAGGGCTACTTTAATTTGCATCATTCTTGGGACCACCAAGCAGCAATTGCTGATGATGCTAGACAATTCGACTTGAGCCATTCACAGGGCATGAAACACCTCTTCTTCTTCTCCCAGAAAAAGTCTACAGCTCGAGGTGGCTAGATACAAGAAATATTCCTTTCTTCTCATCGCTGAACAGCAAAAGATGAAGCAACGGCGCTCGAGATGTTCGAATAATGCCCACCTGCTCACTAGGCTGAATGCAAGGCTCAAGCCATCAGGGACATCGAAGAGCGGCCGCGCCGCGGGGTCTGTTAGCAAGCACTTAAAGACAGACTGTCAATGCCAGAGCGGACAGGGACCCTGGAATTGTCTGTCATGCTGAGATGAATATCCGGTGGCTGAGGCACTGCGAAAGGACGGGTTCGCTGGATTGAATTTTCACTTTTCATAAGGCCAGCACATGCTGCTGCGGCTTCAACAGCGACCACAGTGCCGACACACTTGCCGCTGTTGAAGCCGCAGCAGCTGGAGGCGCATATCTTAACGGGATAGACAGGCTGCGACGTTTATTCCATGGAGTCATAAACCCCCCCTTTTTCTGGTCACTCGGATTCAGTATGAGGCCGCCTCTGGTCAGGTTAGATGCTGTGCTGCGCTGTGTTCTGCTGTGCAAGCCTTCTGGCTTGATCGGATCTCTTCAGCACGAGACACTGTATGCAGGCACTAATGGGTACATGGCCTTGCCGAGAGGACTTTGTCAGTTTACCTGTTTCACTCAGAAAACCCTCCATTCCATTCCAGTGTCAGATTGAAAATTGTATGCGACGAGGCTGAGTTAGAACCCACCGCCGCCCAAAGAGGCAATACGTATCCGCATTTCTGCGTCCGGGGATCCACTCACTCACTATATTCTCGCAACCTTCGCGTTGGCGCCGCGATCAGGCTGAGGACAACCTTAGTCGTTTTTGCGACTGTTTGGGACTGGTTGCGGAATGCCGTCGGCGTTCTTATTTCGACTGCTCACCACCTGCTCGACGACCATAATCCTCCCTGTTCATTGTTCAAGGGGTAGGAGGTAGGTTTCTGTCTGGTCGTGGTTTGTGGGTCGGTTCTCCCAGAAGCCATCACTGTGCGAGACAAGAGTATCAGTATCCTCTCACTGCTGTTTTGTCTAACGCCGGTGCATTCTGCTCTGGATGGAAACAAAAGGAGATAGATGCAGATGGGAGATTGATATCTATCATCTAGGATACTTGACAACCTGATACTCGCAGAAGTTGACGTCACTTGCCAGGGGAGTCAAGCCATTACTAAGATACGTACTTCTTCACACACCACAACGGGGAGAGTCGATCTGATGATGATCAAGAAGGAGAAGGCGTAAACAAGTGAAGCATCCAAACAGAACCTGCAATCACGGCACTTCGGGGTTGTCTTTTTCGCTTCTCGCATACTCGCATTGAATCGGCAATATTGTTCTAGTTCTGTCCACCGTCAAGATCAACCATGCACCTTCGAAGCGAGGATACCGCACGTCACCGCATCTCTGATAGCTGATCCCTTCACATCTGTTCATCGACTACACAAGCCACGACAGGAGGATCATCAGCTACTGACTGACAGGACTGTTTGGGGTACCAGGAACAAACCACAACTTAGGTCAAGCCGTTCCAAGAGGCGACAGAGTATACCAGCAACCACCACGATCACCCAAGCGAGCGAGGGAGCAAGCGAGCCACTGACCCATCTTCAATACCTACCTCCCCCTTAATCAACTTCGCCACTGGACGACCATTGGAAATCTGATCTAGGAGCGACATTACAATTCACGACTGAGTCCCCTCTGGACACGGACTATTCTAGTCTATTTATCCCAATTCACTGTTCAGGAATCAGCTCCCCCATATACATCTTGGTACACTCCAACCATCCTAGTATCCAACCATCGTACCGATAACCTCCAGAGTCAACTCTGAAGAATGCCGCCCAAAACCGCCCTCCTCGTAATCGACATGCAGAACTTCTTCGAATCCATGACCACCGCCGCCCTCCCCAACATCCTCCGCCTGGTCAAGCACTTCCGCCAAACCTCAGCGCCCCTGATCTTCACCCAGCACGGACACACCGAATCCGAACTCACGACCACGCCCTCGCCCAACCAACTCGTCCGGAAATGGGGTCCGGAGGGCTCCATCGCCGCCGGCTCCGAGGATTGGCAGCTCATGGAGCTCCTGCACCGCTTCCTTCCGAAAGGATACACGGCTAAACCCATCCCCCTAGGCCACTCTTTCCCCGAAGCCTCGTCTGAGACTGTCCGAGAATGGCCCAAGGTCGTGCCCAAGAACACGTACGACGCCTTCATCAACACGAATCTCGCCGAGGTGCTGGACGCCGCGAACATCGAACGCGTCGTCGTCTGTGGCGTCATGACTGATTGTTGCGTCGATACCACAGGGCGGAGTGCGTTTAATTGTGGCTATGAGACTTGGTTGGTTCGCGATGCTTCGGGGAGTGCGAATCGCGTGCAGTATGAGGCTGGGTTGAGGGGGTTTGGGTTTGCTTTTGGCGCCATCTTGTCCACGGAGGAGGTGATTTCTCTTCGGGAAGAATGAGAGAAATAAAATCAAAATGGCAATGAGTAAAGGACGGAGAAGGAAAGGAGCATTGTAATATAACCATATAAGTATGTTATATATATATATATATATATATAGGCACGCACACACATATCTCTCTATATATCTCTCTACATACACACACACACACACACACACACACACACACACACATATATATATATATATACATATATGGTAAACTGGCATGGTTATCTATTGATTAATATCGAAAGACATATATGATATCGAGTTCTTCAACGGCGATATGATATGAGAAAAGTTTGTCTTGGTGTTTTTGATTCGAAGAACAGCCGCTTATCATGTCTGGTAGTGTGATAATGAGGTAAACAGATATAAGAAAAGGGAAAAAACAAGGATTGAGCGTATCAGGTATGTAGATTTGTGTTATTATTGGGAGTTTTCGTATTTCAACCCCCATTTTAAGTGGTGAGGATATGTCTTTCGTGTATATAGGCAAATGAAGGATGCCCTCGAGCTGACATTGCCGTTTCGCTCGGCAAACTCTTGACGGAATGACAGCTAGGTAAAAGCAGTCCTGTCTGTCGACCTTATGACCAACAACATGTGGTGTCCCCGGATAAATTTTATGTGCTGTTGTGACACCATTCTGTATATGTATGCATGTATGCTTTTTTGCCTGTCCCTCCTCTTTTCTCTCAGATCAACCCCTTGGTTCGTTGTTTCATGTTCTTGACATCGACGTCCTCCCACAGCATGGTCGAACCCAAGGTGATGGAGTAGAGGCAGGTGGCGGTGATCAGCATCAGCTTTTGAGTCTGGCCGTAGGATTTATCGATGGCGATGCGGGTCGGGCTGCCGGGCGGGTAGCTGGACTGGACGGTCAAGTCGCCGTAGATGCTGGCGAAGTTGGCTTGAGCGCTGGCCGGCAGGTTCTCCTGCAGCTTCTTGGGGAAGATACCGGTCCACATGGCGGCGGCGATGGTCGACCCAACCGAGCTGCCGATGTTGCACACCATGGCCTCGATGGCGAGCACGGCAGGGATGTGCTGGTGGCGCGAGACGGCCATGACCGTCATCTGCTCGCAGATGACCAGGGTACCTCCGCCAAAGGCGATGAAGATCTGTGTCATGACGATATACGAGATCTTGTTGTCCGGTTGGCGGAAATGAATCATGAGGCCAACGCCCAGGATGGTCATAGGCACCCCAAAGCATAGAGCGTACCACTTGAGACGTCCGTTGAAGCGGATGGCCACACCGAGGACCAAGGCCCAGAACGTCGATCCGATCGTGTAGATGTTGCCGATGTATGTGGCCTGCGTGATCGTCTGTCTGAACACCACGATACACAGCGAATAGAAGTAACTGTCCCAGATGTACCAGGCGCAGTAGAGACTGAAGGCCATGGTGTACGTGAAGATGACGGTGCGGTTCTTCAGCAGTGGCCATGGGATGAAAGTCACTGGCGCAAGATACTTCTCGTACAGGGCGAAGGCGATAATCAACAGTCCCCCGAAGATGATGAAGCAGATAATCAAGGGCGAGCGCCACTCGTCCTTCTGGTACGAGTAGATGCTGAAGGAGAGAAGGAAGAGTGCCAGCCCAGCGCTGATGAGTAGAAGGCCAATGACGTCGAACTCGCGGCAGTAGTAGATGAAGGTTTGGAACGGTGTTCCTCGGCTAGGACGCGGTGGAATGAGACCCATCTTGTCCGCCTTTCGTTGGTTGTACATGAAGAGCAGGCAGAGAGGGGTGCAGATGACTGGCAAGATGATGCACCAGATCCCAAACCCCCATCTGAACCCAATGGTCTTCAGGATGCTGTTGGCTGCTGGACCATACGCCCACGTCACAGCTAGCCAGGGCGATGATGCCAGCGCGATCATGAACGACCGGTTTCGCAGTTTCGAGGTATCGGCAATGAAGATGGTCATGGCAAAATCAATCCCATTGTATCCAACGCTGTAGAAGACCTGGGCGGCGCAGTACGTCTCGACGTTGTTGCAGCCAGCCATCATGATGAGACCGAGGGTGATGGAGGCGACCATCACGATCAGCGCTTGTGGCCGACCCCAAATATCCATGATTTTGGCGAAAGGAAGCTTGAAAATACCGGCGATCAAACTCGAGATGATGCTGGTAGTGGCGGTCAAGGAGTGCATTTCGAACGAACTCGTGACGTAGGGAGTCAATGTGCTGACAATACCGGAGGAGAAGGCGAGCATGAATTCAATGATCCAGATACTAAATGATGCGTTAGTTCATTCAGGTATGTGTAGAAGCTCGGTTGAGGTTGCTTGTCTTACAGGACATAAGCGATGATCAAATCGCGTTTGGTCCAAACCTCAGTCACGGCCTCGGCGGCTTGCACACCACGTTGAGCATCAGTGTCAATGGGCTTCTCATTCACATCATCTCCCTGGCTGGAATTATCAGAATCCCCTGGAACGGCAGCTTCCTTGTCGGTGAACTTGTGAGTGGTGAGATCTGCATCTCCATCCCCAGCAGCCGAGCCTGGAGTGTCAACATCGTTGGACTTGCCGCGGTCCAACGCCACGCTGAGTGCCTGAGGAAAACGGAGCCTCATCTTGGAGGTGTATTGAGGAAGAGCAAGTAAGCCAAGCTCTTTAATGCAATGTGCAGCAGGGAAGCAGTCGGGCTGAATGGTTTCAGGGGCCCAAGGCCTTCAAGAGTAGGATCAAGATTATATAGATTGATAAGTGAAAATTTTATCTTATCAAATCTGATATGGATCCATATCACGACCAGATATTTGTCGACCACGAGACGGGATCAGGCGGGCTTGTTTCTTCAGAAGATGTCCCACTTACCTGTCCGATAAAGCACCGATGGCCACGTCGCACAAGGGTCGTCGTGCAATGAGCATGTCGCGATGGGTGCAATAGACAAGGCGCAAGGGTCTAGACTCCACCAAGGTCGAAGTATCAAGCAGTCCGACGTCGCATTCATATCCAGTACGAAGAGTATGGGCGGGCCATCGATCAACAAGGCGATGATCGTCCCGAGCCAGATCTTCCAAGTACTCATACCACGAGGCTCGAGCAAAATCGCGCCAAGCTGTAGCTGCCGTTCCAGCTTGAGGGAAGTCCAGACAAGCCTTTCGAAGCTCTCCTAAGAAAGCAGCCTCCGTGGCCCCTTCGCGGTCACCAAATTGGGGCTGAATCAATCAATCAATCAAGCGTTCCCTAAAGGGCAGGTGTGCTTGGAGCGTGGACCGTGGCAGTAGTCGGCAACGAGAATCGGTCCTTTCCAGTCTGCGTGCCCCGTGTTTGACTAGCAGTTAGGAGGGTTAGTTCAGGGCCAGTTCCCGTCTCCTCATTTATGCTATCAGTTTTGCTATCGCTGCCGTGGATCTCGACATCCATTGCTCCTATTGGCGCCGAGAGTTGCCAGGTCCCAATATCGAAGTGGGTTAACGTGTGATCGTCAGTTCTAGCCTGTACTCGCCAAATACCACACACTCCATGCGATGTGTGCTTGGTACGTAAATAGGCTTGAGCTCGAGCAACTGTAGTCCCTGGAGGGCAGTCTAGAAGAGTCGCCATGATGGATCAGAAGTGATTGATGGCCTCAGTGGCGTTGCGAGGAGTATTGACACCCGCTGCCCGGAGGTCAAGAGCGGCAATTATTGCGCCCGAATTATGCCAAGGATGCCAAGCTTGCGGGAGATGTATGATCACGTGATTTATCAGATCCGCCCGCGGTCACATGATCGCCCCTTTATTTGAGCCTCAGTAGTAAGAAGTGTGTTGAAGGCAGTGGGTAGCAGCATCAAGCACCATACAGAGCATACTGTGTAGTAATGGATAATACACCCCGGCAACTACAGATACTACAAAGAACGGATGATCTGTAGTCCCACACTCTCCACGCCACCGCATGAGTCCGTGGCAGAGTAGAGAATCGGACCGGATCCAGTAACGCGATAGCGAGGGTGGAAACTCCGCGTACACGTGTGTCACTTGACGGAATCCATGCCTTCATCTGATCCTATGAACCCTCGACAGCCTGCGTTCCAGAAAATAACCGCACAAAGGGGACTGAGCGTGAGTTATTTCTCGCGTGTTAGCGTATCCAAGTGATAATCCTCCAACAGCGCATGGCCGTCTCCACCAAGCAGAAGAAAACACACGGCACGAGGGACCTTTGCCGACCATCTCACCAGGAAGCTTGAGGAGCTGGGCAGGTGTTCTTGAGGAGCTGGGCAGGTGTTCTTCGTGGACACATCGACCGGATCGACCGGACGACCGGTCCGCAGCCTTGGTCCAGCCACGCCATGCAAATCCGTATTGCCCTATTGTGATATCGGATGGCAGACGCTCCCCAAAGCCGCCCCTTGCTTGGTCTCCATTATAGAGTGCGAATCCGCTCGGCGATGTTGCCGACCATGTCCACGACCTCTTCGAGCATCGCTGTTTTGAGTCTCCTTGTCTCATACTCCGTCGAATAAGCCTCCAACAGCTCTTCAGCATGATCTTGCAGTAGGTTGATATGTTCTGTTAGGTTCTTGTTTTCATGCTGCAGTGCCTCCTTGTCGGCTTCGAGCGCAACCATGTAGGGCGCCACCGAGTCTGTCATCCAGTTGTACATCGCGAGAGCGTGCTTGAATAGCTGATCTATTGCGGTAGGGTGAGTTGCACCGTCGGCTTCCGTGACCATGATAGGGTCCTCTGAGCTCCCGAGTGCTTCGAGGTCACGGCGCCACTTTTCGAGAGCTGCTTCGTTGAGCCGGACGAAGGACATGTTGTGATGTCGGTGACAGGTTTCAATACTACACACGATGCTCGGTTGATGTTGCTCAGGTTGGCGTTCCGCAGTCTGGCCCTGATCTTCTTCGGGATATTCGTTGTTGTTGCCGATCTCGGCGTCGGTAAATGTGTTATCAGACACATCGGCAAGTTCCTCCTCCAGCGTGAGCGTAGACCCGCTGAAAGAGGTCATATACGAGAGATCTGTATCGTGGGCAGCTTCGAGCTCTTCACCCGAGTATTGTTGAGAAACTGAAGTGGACGACATCGTCGATATGGTATGCGGCCTGGAACGAATGCGGGAATCTAGGTCTGGCTGTCTGTCAGGCAAAATGAGGCGTCTTACCGGCTGCGGTGAAGAGTGTTAAAGAGAAAGGATCGAAGGTTAGGGTTTGCGAGTTCAACACATAGATCGGTTGGCCTGCGGCTGTGTTTCGATATGAGAGACTTGCGCCTTTCAAACTGCCCGCGTGTCACACCAGGTTGCATGGGCTGGGAAGGCTCCCAGATCCTTCAGAGGTGAGGCCAAATCCAGAGATTAATAAAGTATGGCAATGTCTTAAATTAATATAGATCCATCTTCACTCCGGCTGTCGAGTCTCAAGTTCGACTCCGTCTTGACCAGGTTCCGAAACATTTTCATTCCCATCCAGAATCTCATGCTCATTGGTGTAGTCATCAGTGAAGTCTTGCTCTCTGTCCCGACCAGACACTCTGGTCCAACCGTGAGCGCTGGGAGGACTGAGTCTCAGTCTCCCTCGAGAGATGTTATTGATTTTGTCGGCAAGGTAATCACCGATTCGACCGAGGAGATCAATAATTCGTTCATGGTGTGGACTAGGCTCGTCCTGGATGGCGTGAGCGTGAGCGTGTTCTTGTGCTTCAACCTTGAATTGATATTTCAGACAATCTTTGACCGTGACAAGCCCTTCTAGTTGACCATGGTGATCCACGAGAATCACACGTGGTCCCATCTTCTTGAAGATCTCCAAGACTGTCTCCAGTGGTAGGCGAGGATGGACGGTGATGGGAGTCAGATCGACATATGGGCTGATATTCACGGTCTGGATAGCCATAGAATCGAACGAGACGGCCGGGCTGGGAGGAGCCGCCGTGTCAGCCCCATCCTCACGGTCCGCAGCAAATACGCATTTTGCGTCTGTGGCCAACATGCCGCCTTTTTTGGCTTTGTCGATGGCGAACTGAAGCTCGGTTCTACCAATATAGCCCACCAAGATCTTGGAATCAAGATCTTCGACAATCGGAAACCCGGAGAAACCCGTATCTTCAAGTAGCTTTTGCACAGCCCTGACCTCCATTCCTCTCGAGGGAAGCATAGTAACATGGGCGGTCATGACCTGCGACACAGGGACGCCAAAGGTATGTTCTTCCTTGTTGTCCAAGAAAGGAAAGCCATTGAACCAGATCATTCGGTCCGCAATGCCGGCTGAGCTGAACCTGTCGCCCACAGCCTTTGTGACTCCCACCACAATCATGGTGGGGAGAATGTATGTCAAGGCTCCGGTCAACTCAAACATGATGACAGTGACCGAGATCGTCAGGTGCATGATACCACTGAGGGCAGCACCAGCCCCAAGGAAAGCGTAGGTGCCAGGAGTGATGCAGGGGACATCAGGTTGGCAGGCAGAGAAAAACCGTGAATCGGGAAATGTCTCGTATAACCATTGTACAATGATCCCCAATGTGCGTCCAAAAGATGCTCCGATGGCCATGGACGGGACGAAGATGCCTGCCGGCACCTTGCAACCATAGGATATAATGACAAGAAACATGCGAAGGAAAGTGGCGATCAATAAGGACCCGATCAACATAGGTCTGTTTCTTCTTTCGCATAGTCCATCATAATCGTCGTCACCTTCACACTCTCGAAACAGCAGTTCCATCATTTCAGTCATATCGATTCTGAGGAACATATTTGGATAACAAAGGATCGCCGTAGCCCCAGCCAGGATCACAGCCTCTGGAATGGCATACTGTGACAGATACTTCTTCCTAAATGCTTGAGCCATGAGGTTGTATTTTATGACGAATGCGCCATAAAGTCCGCCAAATATGCCGAGGATGATGTAAAAGACGACCTCGAAGAAATGCCAATCCCGATCGTACTTGACCGAGAACATGACGAGTTGCCCGGTTCTGAAAGGATTGATTGTAGCCAGCACTGCGGTTGCTACGAGTGCACAAAAATAACTCCTCCAGAGTGTCTTCAGTGGAAAATGTGTCGCCATTTCTTCGAGCGAGAACAGAACACCGCCAATGGGACTCCCAAATGCCACAGCCACACCGGCTCCTGCTGTTGCCGTCAATATCTCTCGTGTCTTGGAGGCACTCCGTCTGTATTTGTCGAAAAACCGTGAAATGACATTGCCGACGCAGACGGCGTAGTGTACGCTGGGCCCCTCTTTGCCAACAGACAAGCCGGAAGCGATCGCCAGCGGTAGACAGATGGATTTGATGAGGAAAGTCCAGAACCCAAGGAAGCCTTTCATGACAAACCCAGCAATGATGCATTTGATCTCCGAAATGCCAGAGCCGGCAGCATAGGGGGCGTAACTTTTGACCAGATATGCCGAGACGAATGCCAACAGAAGGGCAAAGATGGTGTACAGCAGGTAGTTGGCGACACTGTACGAGGTCCATCTCCTCCACTCGTCGCACCCGTTCTCGGAACCGTAGCAGCAGAAGCCCTCGTTGAGGTACCATGCGGTGGTGCAGTAGCCCATCTTGATATCTGACAACCACTCTGTGATGATGTTCAAGGCTGCAGCATTGACACCGATCACCACGCCTACCAACGTGATCACAATCCAGGCTAGAGCTGCGTCGTAGGACTCCCAGAGCTTGCGACGCCATCCCAACACTCCATCTCTTTCGAAGAATCGTGACTCTTTCCGCCGTGCGCGTCGGCGCATTTGTTCTTGGGCCGCATCTTGCACCCAATCGATTGTGGTGAAGTCCTCGTAGCGTTTTATCTCTGCAATCTCTTCTGTGATGGCCTGTTCCGCAGGCGCAAGCTTAGGCCGGGCCTCGCCATGTTCGAGGCTGGAGAGCGTGGATAGGCGTCTAGATATGCGCCTGGCGGAAAGTGAGGGTCGGCGAGAAGAGCTGGAAACGCGCGAGGTCATAACACCGGCTCATCTATCATGGCGAGACTGTCAAAACTAGAATGTCAAAGAGCGTAGGCAGACTGTGGAATGCTAGTGATTGCGTGGACGTCGCGAGATCATTGCCGTTGGACTCGGTGTCCTCCCGACCCATCACCTTTCCCCATTTGGACATGCCCAGAACGTGACATGAGGACTTTCGACGCGACTCTCGCAGCAAAAACTGTTACATTACAATATCACGCTCACATTGTCGCGCTAAGTGAAGTCATAGACGCCGTTGAACGATTCATGAGTATTGCAGACGCGACAACCGCCCTCCATTCGTCCTGTGACTGAACTGAGTGAGTACACGGCCCCCGATATTGGAAGGGAAACAGCACCCGGCGAAACGACTTCGCTCCTGTTTAAGGGCTGGATCACTGACATACGCCAATTCCGATCAAGTGACAAATACTTGGGATCATTGTACTCTCTCAAAATTGGTTGAAGCTGGGGGTTTCGAAGCATAAGGTCGAAGCACAGCGGCATCATGCCATACAACAACGTCCCAATCGAACCGTCTGAGGAGGCTACAGGGTCATCTGCTCTTCCACGTGAGTTGCGCCTCCTGCCGTTCTCTTCACGACACAATACTGACCAGGGTAAAGTCGCAAGAGTGAAAAAGATCATTGCTATGGATGATGAGATTGGCCAGTGTTCCACCACGGCTGCTTTCGCGATCTCGGTGGCCACGGTAGGTTCGGCCGATTGAACCTCGACACCCAGGATACTGAATGGCGTCTAGGAGATATTCATCCGCTACTTGACCGAACAAGCATACAATGTTGTCAAGTCGGAACGAAAACCTCGGCGGAACATTGCATATAAGGATGTTGGTGCGTTGGTGGACATGGTATGCCACTGGACAAGTTGACCCTATGCTGACTATGGAATCCTCCAGCCACCGCAATCTCTAGAATCGACAACCTGGAGTTTTTGTCGGACACAGTGCCCAAGACAAAGACGTATCGACAGTACAGAGAAGAGAAGGCCCAGGAAGCGGCTGCCCAGGCGGCATCTTCGACAGCAGCCAATGGTGTGAATGGCGACACTGGGACGATTTCGATACAGACCATGATGAAGAACCAACAGCAGAACGGCGTGAATGGCGTGAATGGCGCTTCGCATTCTCCTGGCATAGGACCTGGCGGTTCCATCGCTCATGGGCTGGGTCACCAGCGAAATCACAGCCATCCAGATCCTGTCCGAGATATTGAGATGAGTGGTTGAATGCGGATGCAGTCTCAGATTTTCACAGCACGAAGGAACGATGACTCCAAGGCCATGTAGCTGGAACTACCGGTACTGTATGAAGCGGGTTATTGATTGGACTACAAGATGCAGGGGGGCGTCACGAGAGTTCTATGATCGCAGTGTAAGATAGACGACCTTTCTCATGCACGGGGATCATACTGAATTCCCTGGCGCCATCATCGATTATTGATTATCGAATATCGAATATCGAATATCCGAAAGAATGATGGTCGTGTAGGAGAAGATAGATACCTGCTAAAGATGCAGTGGTGGTTACTCTGTACTGTAATGAAGCTATCCCAGTCAACCTCTCTCCAGCCAATCAGCGTCGATGCAAAAAGAACCTGGTGTCGGTCTTGGCTTTGGACCTTCAATTCGCAGATGAAGTTCGCCAGCGCCTCTCATCACCAAACAACCAAACCCAGTCCCTTGACACAGCTCGAGCTCTGCCATCGCCTCTTCCTAAGCTTCCCACCTCGTCGTCCACGACACCTCTCTACTCCCACTCGGTCAAGTCGTCACAATGCGTCCAGTACCTGCGTCCGCGGGCTCTGCCGTGCGCAGCTGGACCCGACACACTCTTCCTACCTCCGCAACCTCGTCCAGCCGTGTGGCCGCCACAGCTTCAATTCCCACCACCACGAGTTCGCAACAGCGACGGCTGCAGTCCGACCAAATCGCGAGCAAGGGCTCGAGCTACCAAAGCCCATTCACCACCACCAAGGCGAAGAAATATGACACCACCAAGATCCCGAGCTTCAAGCACTACCAGGCCCGCACCCCAGCGGTCACCAACCGAGTGTTTCAATACTTCATGGTCGGCACTATGGGTTTGCTGTCCGCTGCTGGCGCGAAGGCCACTGTTCAGGGTGAGTGCGCCCCAGTCGGAAGACAAGAGCTTGCATGATACCTGCCACAGTTGTTACTGGAGCTTGTATTACAGGAACCCGCCCCAAAAAGGAACCTACATCGCATAAGGGAACGTTCATAAGCTGATGAAATCTTTTTCTTTTGTTTTCCGCAGATTTCCTCGTCAACATGTCTGCGTCTGCCGATGTGTTAGCTCAAGCCAAGGTCGAAGTCGATCTCGCCGCCATCCCGGAAGGCAAGAACGTCATCATTAAATGGCGAGGCAAGCCTGTCTTCATCCGTCACCGAACGGAAGACGAGATCAAGGAGGCCGAATCTGTCGAGTATGTCCCCGTCCTCCTCCCCATTTGCCCTGTTGAACGCGATGAGGCGAAATGGTCTCAACTACTGGGTATTCCCATGGTCGAGCTTGAGATGGCTCGACCTGTGGGAGCGCTCACTATAATCTACCCCTAAGCGCGACGCTCTTCATGTCTTCCACAGCGCTACATCGAACCTCGTACTAATCCGACCGTGTGAATCTTACAGTCTCTCCGTCCTTCGTGACCCCCAACCCGACTCCGACCGTGTCAAGAAGCCCGAATGGCTAGTGATGCTGGGTGTGTGCACACACTTGGGATGCGTCCCCATCGGCGAGGCCGGCGACTACGGCGGCTGGTTCTGCCCCTGCCACGGTTCGCACTACGACATTTCCGGCCGTGTGCGGAGAGGTCCCGCCCCGTTGAACCTGGAAGTTCCGGCCTACGATTTCCCCGAAGAGGACAAGTTGATCATTGGTTAAAGAAGAGCAGCCGAGAAAAGAAGACCGTGACGCGTGCTGGCTTCAATCCGATTTTTTTCAGATGGCCTGGAGGAGAGGAGACGACAAGCATCAGCCTGCCTAAATGTATCTGGAGTTGCGGGACGGCCACATCAGCTGTCAGGAGAGTTACTCCCGGCACTTGTATCTGTACATACTAGAACTGGACAGGGGATGGTGGAGGTGCGATTGGGGACATGGTATGTCTCCGAGGCAGAAGCTGGTGTTGCGGAAGAGGGACGAGGAGAAGAAGCCGAAAAGATGATACAAACGTGACATTTTTAGCAGACAGTTTTGGCCCAAGATTGTTCTTCATATCGCTCATTTTCGGCTTGTAGTTGGCTTTTGACATGCCCATGGCCCTCCAACATCCGAAGCGAGGTGCTTTTTATTTACGCGCTTGACAATTGTAGAGATACAAGGCTTCTTTATGCAAAGTCTGGCTTTTTCTCCTTCTCTCTGATTGCCGAAGCTCATTTCGGCCGCAAGAGAAGAAACAGCAAGCCCATCAGTGCCATGCCGCCCGCGACGCCTTCCATAGCAACGGTGGTCAACTGTCGCTGCGTGACGGTGAGGAGATGCTGGTCGCTGAACAGGGCGCGTAGAGAGTCTTCATACCACGCAAGCGGTGAAGTAGCTGGAACCCAGCGCGACGTGCCTGACGGAGGAGTCTCTGGTGCTTGCGGGACGATTGTGCCCGGTGATTCTTGTTCAGCTTCCTCCGCTGAAATCTCTTCAGCGGCGAGCTGCTCTGCGGCCGCTTCAATGACCGGCTCTGGTGGCACAGCAGTCAATGTCGCGCCTGTGGGTGGACTTGTTGTCGGAGGAATTTCCTCGTCGACCGTGGTGCCAGAGACAGCATCGACGATCTGCTCGACTATCTTATCGGCCACGACGTCAACTTTGCCGTCCGGCGCCATGGCTGCGATGGCGCCCTCGTGGTTCGGTCGGACTGGTTGCACGGCCGTGAGGTCGTCAAATGTCTCCTTCAGGGCAACTTCCACCTTATCTTGGAAGCCCTCGACCAGTCTCTTCCGGCGCCACGGCTCGATTGCAATCTGGAAAACGACGAACAACAGCACGTTGAGGCCCATCAGCCCCCAGGTGCCCCAGGTCGACATCTGGCGGATCTTGTCGCTCCAAATCTGCTCCTCGTGGTATCTGGCAAGAATGGCTTTGGCCAGTTTCGTTGACGCCTCTTCGTACCTGGCTTCTGCGTCCGAGACTTCCTTTGCCGCCACCGCCTCGACCTGCTCGTTCTCGTGATCGGATCGGTACAGGCCGGTGAAACGCTCCAGATCCGAGGGCGACCACGTGTGTTTCCTGTGCAAGAGGTCGTTCACTTCGCGTTGAGTGGTGCTCCGCGTGGCAATGGCCTTGGTATATTTCGCCCGGGCTTCCTTGACTGCTTGTCGACACTCCTGCACCACAGCTTCTTGACGTTCGATTTCGTTCTTGAGCGCTTCAATACCCGAGTACCCCGTAAGGTCGTTCAGGCGTTGAGAGGCCGTGAAGATATGGGTCTGGAAATTGTCCATGAAATGCGTAAATCGGGTCCGCAGGTGCGAATATCGGTTCGAGAAGTCGGAGGGTAGTTTCCATTCTGAAGGAAATCGAGATGAAGGCTGTGACTGCGACTGAGGCTGCGAGTGAGATTGAGACTGAGACTGAGATGGGTTGTGTTCTTGCTGTCCGTCTGTTCTAGGACTTGAAGCATGGACAATTGACGACGACTCCGGAATGGTATGGACGATCGTTTCATGCTGCGAATCCTTGGGTTTCTGTTCGGCCGCCGCCTCTGCCCGCGATCCCAAGCTCTCTTCTATCCGATTTTTGGCTTCTTCCACCTTTTTTTCTATTTCTGTTTTGTTCTCGCTATAACACCGAGCTTGAAAGGCTATTCTGGACCTTTGTGTGGGCCATGGTTGCGAGGAGGGTCGGACCACCGAGGAAAATTGACGCGGACGTGGGAGTGCGTTGCAATTGCAAGCGGGCTTCGTAGCTCGAAATACGGACCACAATGTCTGAGTGAGCCGTATAGGAGCTTGCTGCATTGCGAGCAGCAGTGAGAGAGAGGGTATAGACCGCCAGGTGGGAAGGGTCGAGTCTCCCACAACAACAAGAACAAGAAGTCCAATGCCAGTCCAACCACAACAACCACCTAAACTGTGCTCGAATCGAGATGTCGAACTCGAACTTCTGGGAAAGGCAGCTTCAACGCCGGGTTCAAGTTGCGGGCGTGTGGCATGGGTGTGACTGTGTAGAGAAGGTTCCCCGAGGGAGCTAGAAGAGTTAGTCGGGATGCAGTGTACTGCTAACTTCTAGAGTGTGTAGAGACGGTCAGACAGGAAAAGATGGGGAACTCGGCAGTGAACTGTGTACGTCATTTGTTCGGGTTTCTTCGTCGGGCAGATTCCCGCCAGAAAATATCTGAAAGATGGGGCAGTGACGGTCAATCAATCACCGGCGGTGGGACGCTCTCACGCCGACGACAATCCCCTCCACGACTTTGCTTTGATATATTAAGTACTAGTAGGGGCTGATCACTTGAATATATTTTCAATCCCCTTATTCTTAGACCAGCTGTTGTGACTACTCTCACTTCCTCTCCGAGACTCGAAGGCCAGAAAAGGACATTACCACCACCACCACCACCATGCCTTTCCCCGAGACACTGAACAAGAAGCCGCGGGTGATTTTCTTCACCGACTTCGACGGCACGATCACGCTCCAAGACACCAACGATTTCATCACGGACAACTACGGGATGGGCTACGAGCAGCGGCGCCAACTGTTCCACGCGGTGATCAACCACACCGACACGTTCCGCAACACGTTCCAGAAGATGCTGGACTCGTGGCACATGCCGTTCCCGCGCGTGCTGGAGATCCTGCGCGACAACATCACGCTGGACCCGTACTTCAAGGAGTTCATGGAGTGGGCGCGCGCGCACGACGTGCCCGTCATCGTGCTGAGCAGCGGCATGATCCCCGTGCTCGAGACGCTGCTGAAGCACCTGCTCGGCGAAGAGCTGATGGCCGACATTGAGATCGTCGCCAACGAGACCCAGCTGCGCGCCCCGGGCAACTCGCTCGACGTCGCCGATGGCTGGACCATCAAGTTCCACGACGACTCCGGCTTCGGCCACGACAAGAGCCTGACCATCCGTCCCTATGCCGACGCCATTGCCAAGATGCCCCTCGACGAGCGGCCCACGCTGCTGTACGCCGGTGACGGCGTCAGCGACTTGAGTGCGGCCAGGGAGACGGATCTGCTGTTCGCCCGTGCGGGCCAGGATCTCGTCACGTGGTGCGAGAAGGAAGGCATCCCCTTCACCACGTTCGAGAACTGGAAGACCATCCTCGACGAAACAAAGGATATCTATGAAGGTCGGAAGACGGTCAAGAAACTCGCCGAGGAGGGTCTGAGGCGGTTCCGAACCAATTCCTTCGAGGAGAACTCGCGCCTTCGACCGACTGTGAAATGAGTAGGGATAGATGGGATTCGTGATAGAGAAATGTCTCTAGGATGACGTTTAGGATAGACTTCACTTCGGTATCCCGGACTTCTTCGAGGTATGATGGGTTTGGGCATCAAGCTGCTAGATTTCCCTGGCAAGATTAGGAGCGAATAGATAAGGACCAGAATACCAAAAGCGCTTTCAAGGAGATAAGAGAGCAATAGCGTGTCATGATACTGATAAAATAAGGGCTAGGGCTAAGTTGTACCATTGCCGTCTTCAAAGACAACCACGCCTTTGCTGTGCTCGATAGCAAACTACCTGCTCCAGCTCCCTCAGTCCAGGCCGGCAACGTGCTCAATGCTTCTCATCGATATATTCGCCCAATGCCTTCCTCAGACACTCTTCATCCCTGGGAACCATCCTGACTCTATACCGCTTGGGCACACTGACGAGCTGGCTAGGATCCTCGACGCCTCTGACAGGATGCGTGCTCATAGGTCCACCATCTTCGGCCTCGACATCACGCATCTCAAACGCGGACAACAGCCGCAGATAGATGACGTACAATTCCCGATTCGCCAACAAACTGCCCGCGCACATGCGGTAGCCCAGACCGTACGTGAACAGAGGCGCGTCGGGCGTTTCGAGCCATCGTTCAGGTCGGAAGACTTCTGGGTCGCTCCAGACCTCCGGGTCCATGTTGCACGCCCACGCATTCAAGAAGACGACGCTGCCCGACGGGATTTTGTGTCCGTCATACACGACATCTCTGACCGTGGCGCGCGGTAGTGACAGACGCAGCACTGTGTAGTATCGCAGCAGTTCCCGGACGAGTGCGACAATGTATGGAATGGACTGGTCATCGTCGGCATCGCACAGGATTTGGTCCGGAGGATACTTGGCTCGGATCTCTTTCAGTGCCTTCTCTTGGATCTCCGGGTGTTGTGCCAGCAAGGCCATTGACCATGCGACTAGTGTGGTGAGCGTGTCCAGGCCACCGGACAGCATGGTCAGCGAGATCGATGTGAGTTCTTCGGAGTTGAGTTTGGCTTCTTTGTCCAGGATAACGTTGGCTTGGATGCATGGCTGGTGTGTGCCCTCGGCCATGCGTCGGTCCAGGTCTTCGTTCAGTCGCTTCAGGTACATATCTCGACGGCGTCGCATGTCGCGTGCCTTTGCGCTGCCGACACTGAAGGGGTTGAGCCGCAGGATGGGGATGTAGTCTTGCAGATTGCCCGTCGTGGATCGGAACTTAGACACCTCCTCCTCGACATGCGTAATCTCGCCGAAAAGCTCGTCGTTTTGTGAGGCCATCCGCGTGCCCCAGTTCAGAGTTAAAGCGAGGGATAGGGACAGACGTTGAATCATCGGCATCGGGTCCACGCCCTTTCGGCCTCCTTCACCGTATAGCAGGAATTCGTTCAAGAAGTCTCGTGTTTCGACATCGATGTGTGGGATGTATGTCGCCACGCTGGGCTTGTTCAATGCGCTCGCGGCGCCCTTTCTTCGACGTTTCAAGCTTTCGCTGAAAGGAGAAGTCCCTATCGTCGTCCCGGCTGTGGAGCTGACGACTTTATGGAAGGTGTAGAATTCCGGTCTCGAAGCGAGCGCCTGTGAGTTCGCCCCGAAAATCTCTCGAGCAGATTTGGCGCTGTTCACCACGATGACGGGGACGTTGCCCAGCATGATCTGATACACAGGCCCGAATTTCTTGGACCATAAGCGGTACTGTTCTGCCGCATTGTTCCTGATTTGGTGGATGTTGCCAATCATAGGCAATCCTGATGGACCACTGAAGCCTGGGATACGAACTCGCACTCTCTGTATCTCGGTGAAGATGAGATATAGTACGGCTGAAGCCACAGCAAAGTATGCCAGGACGGTCGCTGGCGCCTCTTGGGCTTGAACAATCAGGTCGGAGAGAAGGTTGTCAATCATGGTGAGTGAGATCTGGAGTAGGCTTGATAGACAACTTGAAGGAGGATTCAAGGTCTTGGACAAGTTGATGGCTGGAAGTCGAGTCATTCCAAGGTGAATATAAGGCCTGTCAACCCCGGAATGTTATGTGAGGGGCCCGCCGCGTTTGTGGGGGAGAGCCGGGGTCCAAGCCCACTTCATCATTCCGTCCCAGATCGTGAGGGCGGAATCACCACCGTCTCTTGAACGACTTGCTAGCGACCGGCTGATTCTCACAGAGAGGTCATTGGATGACCGGGCTGAACAACTCCATAAGAGATGACTCCGTGGTGTCAACAGACTTTAGCCCGTGTTGCACGTCGGTACCTCGAGAGGGACACAATTCCTCGGCAGTTGGCTGGCACAGCCCTCCTCTTCCACCAGCTGCTATATTTGCTTAATCTTTAGAGTCCCATCATCATTTCGCGGAACGGTGGCGAGGACTTCGTTCTTCCAACTTCAGTGAGCAATGTTTCCACAATCAGGTTCTTGAGGAAGGATACAAAAATCCTTGACGCACCCGCCATCACGAACGAATGAACTTGATGACAATATCGGGGAACTCCTCAATGTGTGCATCTGTTTTAGCCATGGAGATTCCACAACCAAATGTTTTACCGTGCGAATCAGTTTGTCTGTGTTGAGAAATGGCGCCAGTCGAGAGAGACCGTATAAAGAGAATAGGCCAATTGGGCCGCCGCCTCATTCGATTTACTCCGGCCTAGGAATTTGTCGTGTGCCCGGTGTTGGTAACGCGCATGGCTCCTGATCATAGACGGCTCTCACAGAATGACTGGTAGCTGGTTGTGGTAAACATATTCGAGAAGGTGCGCATCCTTCGCCTTTAATCATCACAGCAGCGACGATCCTTCGGTCATCTTGCAAATATACGGCTCTTGGGCCTCGCAACTCCGGCAGTTCTGGAGAAAGGTGTATCAACGTAAAGTATCCAGCTACTCACCCTGTAGCCTCCACAGAAAGCAGCCCTCGGAGCACTCATGACCTGGCAACTGTCTGGTCTTCTCCAACATACATGACAGGGTAACGATGCAACCAAGTCTCCTGCTGATCATCGTTGCGGCAGGGACCAACCATAGGAGGGTCCGATGCGGTAACAATCCAGGCATCGGCCATGCATAGGTTTGTGTTGCCAGACTCCAAAAGCATCGAGGAGGACAGAAGTGAACTGGATTGATTTCGTGGTGAGAGTGGGAGCGGGAGCCTGAGTTGACGTTATCTTGTCCTGCCTCTTCCCAATGCGAGCATAAACGATCCAGATGGTGCGGATTCCCGTGGATAGGGTGTTCAGCAGCTTGTCTCATTTGGCCTTTCGACTTTTCCTAGATCCCGGGGTAGCTTTTTTCTCTCCTCCAGAAGTCTGACCATTAGCATTCGCAGTGGTATCGCTTCCTTTCTTCTTGTTCACCTGCTCCGCCTCTTTCTTTGCTAGTGCCCTCTTGACAGCGCCTTGCTTTTCCAGCTGCTCGATTTGTTTTTCGCTGAATTGCCATAGCTGCTTTGCCACGTCTTCATTCTGCACTTCGGGTCGTAGCGGTTTGTACTCCCTGCATTCTTTGATCATTTTCCCTCCAGATCCTCGCCCATACTCTGCGTCCATTGCTGCAAAAAGGAAGCTCTGAGCTCCTTGAACGGGAGATTTCAGGATCAGCCACCAGACAGGCCATGTAAACAGGTAGAAGAAGAGTCCCCAGATCAGTCCGCCAGACAGCCAGCGCCGCGTGCCAGGTGTTCTGCAGTAGCCCGGGTCAATGATGAAGGCCCGAGCATTGTTGGGCTGCTTGTCCGGACGCTGGTATGCATCAAGGTGTTTCTGAAACGCATGTGCGAAAGTCATGACCGCCAACTTGCTTCTAGCAAACGAAGTGCTGCCGGATTTTGTGGCGACGTCGGTGTTCTTCAAGTCCAACTGGCCTCCGATGTAACTACTGCATGTACTGAACAGGATCCTAATGTCCCGATCCGGAGGTTGTGCTCGGATGGCCGGTGAGAGAATACTTAACAAATGGAAAGTGCTCAGGTAATTGATGGCCCATTCAGCTTCCAGACCATCCACCGTTATCTGTCCGGAACCAAAATATGGTGTCATGACATTCGCGCAAAGAATAATCATGTCCAATCTTCTCGGGGGTGCGTTGTCCACCCATCGGGTGGCGAAGAGTCGTATCGAATGTAGGGAAGAGAGGTCGACTTGCTCCGCATATATTAGTTCGTTGTTGGTCAGTGTCCGTACGTCTTCAATATAGTCAACTAGGAAGGGATCCGAAGGTGCATGGTGTGTTAGGAGGATGATTTGGGCTCCTCTCGAGGCCAGCTCCTGTACGACGGCAGCGCCGATGCCTGAGGTTCCTCCCTAGAAGTCTTGGGTCAGACGCACCTGGTAACAGCGGAAAACGACCAACGAGGATAGCTTACTGTCACCATCACCACCTTCCCGTGCATCACCCGTTCCGATCGACATTTTGCTCCCTCGAAGTAGACTTTCAACAAGACGACGAGGCCGATAATTGCAGCTGCCTTGGCCGCAGTCCAGACATACGGACTGTTGTAGAGACCCCGCTCGAAGCCATCTGCCAATAGATTCAGAGGCATTGTCTCAAAGTGCCGGTATAGATAGGCACGTCGTAGACTTGGACTGCGCTGCGAATTCTAAAGATGGGTAGAGCGACACCTGACACCGACACAGACAAAATGTCGTCGTCTCCGCATTGGAGTTTCTATGTAAACTTCGATTCGGTGAAAGAAGTTCCCAGGGACGGAGTAGTATGCCAAGCCATTATAGACGTAGTGACACGGGAGTGCCCGCCACTTACCGTTCTGGGTAGTCTAGGCTCATCTATAATCATGGACTGGTCTTCTCCGCTACAGAACCTAAAGGCGGCAACATGCATTGCCCATTTGGAATCAAAACTGTACCCTGGATGAAGATCTCATCTGGCCAATCACGGCCACAAGGTGCCTGGAAGTCACAACCCAGTGACGCCACTCATCCGCCTACAGTTTATGTCAAAGTTATTTCGCCGTACTGATCCATCGTGTCCCTCTATCTGCTTTTGCAGGTTGGTCTGAGCCCACAGCGCCAGTCCTGGCCATGGCAGACGAAAATGAAGACTATTTCCTGCCCGTAGAAGATCAGCGCGTGTTCGGCGCCGGCATCCGACGCAAAAAGATCACCTTTGTCCCGGCGTCTTCCTCCGACTCTATTATTCAAGAGGGAACCGTGCCGAAACCAAAATCGACATCCAGCTCCGCAGAGCGGTACTTGTCCATCGTCCTTCCGAAGAGCGTCAACGAGAAAGATAATACTGAGGAGCAGGATACACCAGAGTCGGGGGCATATGCGGGAGGGCGGACTGAAGCCGGAGAACAAGGGCACGGCGGACCAGGTTCGTCCGAGGATGTGGCATCAATATGTCCGGTCTGCAAGCTACCTCTGCCATCTCCGAACGACCAGGAAGCGATAGAAGCCCACGAGTCCTCGATAGCACATCAGCTTAGTCTAGAGCACTCCCACCCCCCGTCTCATCTCGACCGGGAACATGTCGGTCTTCGTTATCTGACAACGTATGGATGGGACCCAGACAGCCGGAAAGGACTGGGTGCTAGACAGGAAGGAATAACAATACCGATCAAACCCAAAGAGAAGAAGAATACTGCTGGACTGCGAGAGACCGCCGGAGAAGACGGCGGCAGAATCACGAAGCGCAAAGCCGCAACGAAGAAAGAGGAGAAGGTGGTGCGCCTCAATGCCAAACAAGTTAGGCTGAAGGAAATGGAAATGAAGAAGAAAGCCGAGAGACTACGCAGAACATTCTACGGCCCGAGTCTGGAGCAATACCTGGGACTAAACAGTTGATTCTCAGGGTTGGATTCATTGACTCACGAAGAGCATCATTCCAGCTATCATTCGCTGAACCACCATCATAACCAGATCCTTCTCCCGACGCCACGCTAAACCGCAGAATCAGTACAAGCTAGTGCTTTTTAAACAAGCCAAGGTGTTTCTTCTCCTTTTTCAGTTTTCCCCGGCCATCGCCTCCTGGTGAAGACTGATAAGGGGCCGGGGCTGATTGAGACGGTTTTGTGGCCACAGGCACCGGAGCACCGTTTTCTGGTCTTCCGCCAATGGTCATCTTATGCATGGCCTCGGCCAGTGGCCTTGTCGATCCAGCCGATCGACCGTTCGGTGGCGCCTGGGGTTTTGGCTGTAGGCTTTGTGGAGGAGGCTCCGACATCCATGTGGGAAGCTTTGGCGGCGCTCGATCTATTGGCAGGTCTAGTTGTTTGCGACCCGCGCTCAGGAGGCTCAGCTGTCGCAAAAAGTTCTTTGGAGTGATCATGTGGGTGGTGGCCAGGAATATCTCCTTGCCTGCCGTCTTTGAAACATCATAACAAGCCCGGGCTTCGGCATACGTGGCACCACCAGCGACAAACACAATGATGCGTTGCCGAGGCTTGTTGGATTGAGATCGAGTTTGTGCCCATGTGGGCTTTCCGGCATTGCGCAGAGACGTCTGGGCCGCGTTCATGTGCATGTTGGGATCATTCAAATGCGGCTTGACGGGGGGGAATAGATTGGGATCCAGCGTTCCCTGACATTGCTCCTCAAGCATGTATCTCAGAGCCGGCTCAAATCGTGACAGACTGATTTCCTCGGTACTGGTGTTGTCTCTGAACCGAAGAGGGAATAATGGCGGTGGAGTTGGGGTGCTATCCTTCAGCGGCTTTTCAATCCTTGCACCCAATGTGATCAGATTGTAGATGAGCTCGCCATCCATTGGCGACAGTTGTCCATGGCATCGCAGCTTCTCAACATCACCACGCAGGATGCCGTTCCGGTACAGAATATACATGATCAGTAGTCTGAGACGGTCCTCGTGCACAATGCTGTCATCATCCAGCAGCCTCACGATCTGGTCGGCTGTGTTCTTTGGTCGTCTGTTATCATCATCCAGTCCGGTGGCAAGTGACTGTTCCAGGGACACGACATCCAATAGCTTGCGATCGGCAAAGATTTTGGCACACTTTTCCGCCATGTCGATATGGAGCGAAAACGCTTCTTTGCCTTCCTGGAACTCCGGCAGCCCAGCCAACATATCCTTTATGGTGTTGATACTGGCAGGTTGTCCATCATTATCGGCGAATTGCGGGTTTCTCGCTTGGAACTTCTTGAACTCTTCGCTAAGTTGCACCAAGAGATCCTTCATGTGCATATGACGGTGAACGACCCAGAGATTATCTTTCTCACTGATCTCAACCTCTTTTTCTTCCTGATCCGGATGACCTCTTCGAATGATATTTCTGTAGGTAACTTTGTCTTCGTCATCCCGTATAGGAAGTAGATCCATAGCCATGGCCTGGTATGTGAGTTCGTGAACGAACGGTGACATCAGATCCATTGACCTATCGGTAATCAGGAGGACTGCTCGGGGCCGGTTCGGCTGAGACTGTGGAGGGAAATCATTTCGTTCATCACGAGCGTAGTCGTCCAAGGCCGTCTGAACGAAATTGGCCAGATGATAAGACAGCACATCCGCTGCATGTCTCTGATGTTCTCGAGGTTTGTGATACCTAATCAGCGGATATTCTCCCAATGAAACACATATTGATACGATTTTCTGGGTCAAGGCGTCCAAATGGCTCTTAACCAACGAGTCGCATGCCGGATGGTAGAGGAGATGGAAGCTCCAAGGTTCTCGGAATGTGACCAGATGCGACTCTCGAGGGAAGTACTCGATATTGAGCGTGCGGGACTCAAGGATCAACGCGGCCCGGGATTCTGACCGAAAGATCTCTTCTGCGAGGGAGCGCGGTAGTTGTGAGGTCCATATTAAATGTGCTCGACGGTATCTCCTTCGACTTAAATCGGCTTTCAGGCATTCCACGATATGTGGTAGAGGAGATAGGAGGTAGATGGCGTCGGTATCGGAAAGTGTCTGCCTGCGCTGTTCGATCTGTTCGATATTCGTGATGTTGGCGTTCAAGATGTCATCTTCCCTTGTAACATTGTACACAAGCCTCCTGCTTTGCTCATCCAAGACCAAGACTTTCCAGTCTCGTCCCGCAGTCGCTCGGATCGTGTTGAGGATAATGCCGCGCTGAATGTCGAGTATGGAGGTCGCCATCACGGCGGCTGCGGGAGGCTCAGGTTGTAGAGGAAGCTCACATGCTATTGATGACGGGTGAGCAAGTCACAGTGTCGAGGTGAGAGGTGTACTAGTAGTAGTGTAAGAGTTCACAGAACCAGTCTGCGAATGAGGTGGCAATTTTGCTGAGAGAGTTTGCTTTGCACCAGACTCAGAGGAGTGGCTAGGATCTAGATGTCGGGAGCTTGATGTGGTTGTAGGAGAGTTGCAGTTTTGACACACTTCACAGCTAGACACAACATCATGGATCATGGTGACACTGCTACCGCTACTCCTACGTAGTACTCCGTGTTTTGGAAACCAAGCGCCGAACACCGGTTGCAAGGCTATCAGTATGTCCACAACTTGAATAAACCTCAGATACTGCTGCCACCGCCACTGCTCTGGCCACTGGAGCCTGACAAACCCATAAGAACTAGTAGGCTGCTGTTTACAATCGTCTCAAACGACAGAATTTCTGGAAGTAGCCTTGACGCTTCTGCGATACTTTATGCAAGAGGGTCTGTATTCTATATCTTCCTTCAGGAGCCCGCCTGCGCCACTGCTACTTTCACTCACAGCAGCCTTGAATCCCCTTTCCTTTACAATGTACTAATCTATCTATGATGATGGCAGAACCTCCTTCACATAGGTAGTCGTCACAAGCTGGTGGACGGTGATACTTGCTCCCAACATGTCAAGCCTTCAAGCACATCTTGCCAAGATCATAGCAAGGAATCACAGCCTTGCAAAAGATATTGACAAGTTCGCCCAAACACAGCAGCGTGCGGAGCGGACCAAAGAGCGCGAGAATGAGAAGAGTAATGCTGAAACCGCAGCTTTCCTCGACACAATCTACACCACGATATGTTCGATGAGAGAAAGACGTGGCCATCCGCGAACCACGAACCAGGCCCTCCTGGCAGCCTGGACAAGCTTCTTCGATCCTATTCGCAGCCTCACAGGCATCCCCGACAATGGGAACTTCCTCGCGGCGAGGATGACCCTCTATCTGACCGCCGCTTTCCTTCGCGAGGGCGCGCTTCAGCGCAAATTTCCGGAAACTGCATCGAGTGTACCTCAAGTGGCGAAACTCCACTCCTTTCTGGTGGCTATTGATGAACAGCTACTCAGTTATTTGCGGAACATTTGGAAGTCCAATGGCCCCCGCGAAGAGTTCTTGTGGGTGTTCTCCCCATATCCAGTAAACGATGCAAGTCAAGGCATGGTCACAACGGATGCACACCGCAGCCAGGTTCTAGCAACCGATCCAGCTGTTCTAGCCGCCTGCGGGGGAATCAGTGGACGGAGAATCTGGATGCCAGAACCTGGAAGTACTCCATTATCGGACAAGGACCCAAGCGCTACTCTCTGGTCATACAAGGAGAATTCAGAAGGTCAACGTGAGATGCTGTGGCAACAGTACGGCGACGACGGACCAATCCGTGAAGATTTCTTCTACAGCATCGTTAACGTCGACACTGGTAACGAGGAGTTGCGCACGCGACAAGTTCTGCGGCGCTCAAAGCAGTTTGTGCTCGATGCTCGCCAGGTTGCACAGCCTTACCTTGCCCGAGATCGATATCAACTGGCGAGCCATATTCTGGACGCAAGCCCGCTCGCCATGGAGACGGAAGTTCAAATCCTGAGCTATTTCGACGAGCCTGCCTTCGATCCTTATCTGTCCCACCTGGATCTTGCGGAAGTGTACAGCCCCTTTCCCGCCATCGACAAGACATGTGTCGAATGTACAGAGGGTAAGAACGACGAGAGAGCTCGTTTGACAAAACAGACATGTCCACAGGCCAGCCTGGTCATCTGGAACCTTGCATTGCGAGCCTTTCACACTTTTCATCGAATATCGAAGACCCGTGACTGGTTTCTGTGTCAGGATATCACATGTCAAGGACACCATGCTTCGGCTAACTGGAACGTAGTATACGAAGGTGGTCTAACGGACATGCTCAATACCATTGTGAGCTCTCGATGTGGCCCGACCGCCACTTTACACAGCGTTGGCCTAGGTCCTGTTGATGATTTGTATCTTCCCAGCGAGGAGGCAGATAACAGGCGAAAGGAACTTCTATTCAAATCTTCATCCCCTTTGCACGAGGATGAGCAGGAAGATACAATAATGAAGGGTGGCATCGCAGGCCTCGCCAATGCGATGCTGCATGGCAGGACTCTACTCGGGCGTTGGCAGAACGAAAGGGAGGGTGGAGGAAGTACCCACGGGGACCCAGCATGGTCTCTAGGCCGAACAAAAAGTGACGAGCGAGGTTGTCAGAGGGCGCTGAACGTGTTACATGGACACTGCGAGTTTTGTTAGGAGCTGTTGAATGTGGGCCTACTCTGTACAAGCAGAGGATCTATAGAACATAATTTGTTACAACATGTTGTATAAGCTATAGGGGGTACTGTTAGCTATAAGTCGTGAACGCAACGATGCCGGGAGATGCAAGATCTGATATCCGAGTTCGATGCACGGCTGTGGCGCTGGCGCTGGCGCTGGCGGGCGCATCATTGATTGATTGATCCGCAGTCTAGATCTCTTTCGGACAACTCTCTGATTATATTTCATGAAACTTCTCATTGCTTTGCCCCCACGGCGGCGTATACATATGCAGATTGTTCTATGAGTGACATGAGTGTGCTGCGTCTTTAGATTCGGTGCCTGGTCTTCTTTTACGATTCCAACCTGTTTTTCTCGTTCATCCGCTTCGCCTGCTCACCCAGGGCATGCTCGCCATCTCAACACGACGAGGCCAATGCCTTTTCTGTTCCTTTCGAGCCCTACTTGCGACTTCGACTTCCCCGAACCGACAGCGCTCTTCGAGATACGAGTACTCTAGTTCTGCCCCTTTATGGCGAGAGAAGACAAAGCCACCGCGCCGCCATGCCGAACCTCCACGCAAAGTTAGGTCATCAACAACACCGAACCGAAGACCGGGCTCGCATATCAATCTATCACCCGAAGCCATATCGAACCGGGTGCGCACCAGTCTAGAGAGTCTAAAGAAGCGTCTAGCATCTACAAAAGCCGACAGTGACTCGGAGCTGACGCAGCTGGCCGCGCTTGATCCGGACAGGATATACTGGGACGGTTTCAAGAGCAAAATAGAACAAATCGTGACCGGGTCGAGGGAGAACAGAACGGCAGAAGATGACCGGCTTCTGGCTGAGATTGGCCATACCCAAAATTCAACGGAGTGGCGTGCGGACCTCGAAAGAGTCCTCCATTTCGGATTCATCGATCATGTCTTGCTGAGAAAGGCCGGACAAGATCCCGGAGACAAGTCGGTCAGACCAGATCTGCGCTATCCTACAGAGTGGTATACTGCCGCTCGTCAGATTCAGAGGGATGTCCATCTCCACATCGGCCCGACGAACTCGGGAAAGACGTACAATGCGCTCAAGAGACTCGAGGAGAGTGGTTCCGGGTTCTACGCTGGCCCGCTTCGACTCCTGGCACACGAGGTCTTTTCGAGATTCAAAGCCAAAGGTCTATCCTGCGACTTGGTAACGGGCGACGATGTGAGAATCGATGACAATCCTAATGTCATGTTGTCTGCCTCAACCGTGGAAATGGTTGATGTCACCACGCCTGTTGAGGTGGCGGTCATTGACGAAATACAAATGATGGCTTCTGAGGACCGTGGTTGGGCGTGGACGAGGGCATTCCTCGGTGCGAATGCAAAGGAAGTGCATCTCTGTGGAGAAGCCCGGGTCCTTCCCTTGATCCGTGAATTAACCGCCTCGACCGGCGATAGCCTCCATGTACACGAGTACAAGCGCCTGAATCCGTTAAAGGTGATGTCCAAGAGCCTCGGAGGAAACCTCAAGAACCTGCGAAAGGGCGACTGCATCGTGACTTTTTCGGTCTTCAGCTTGCACGCCATGAAGAAGCAGATCGAGCTCGACACGGGCCGTCGATGCGCCATTGTTTATGGAAGTCTACCACCTGAGACTCGGGCGCAACAAGCCGCTTTATTCAATGATCCTGACAACGATTACGACTTCTTGGTTGCAAGCGATGCGATCGGCATGGGGTTGAATTTGTAAGGACCCGCCGACCTGGGTGCACTGAGACAGACTAACAACGAAACAGGAGTGTGAAACGGATTATCTTCCATGGAGTCTCGAAATACAACGGCTCCTACACGGAGCAGTTGACCGTTCCCCAGATCAAGCAGATCGGTGGCCGTGCTGGAAGATACCGAAGCTCACACCAGGCCATGAACACATCCAACAAGTCCGAGAACGCCACGGAAGTCAACGTAGGCCTTGTCACCACCCTCAACGATGAGGATCTCCCGGTCGTCCGCGATGCCATGGCCGCCGAGGATCCTCCCATCAAATTGGCCGGTCTCCTACCTCCGGGTGATTTCATGGAAGATCTGGCAACCCGACTGCCAGAGGGCATACCCTTCGAATACATTTTGAAGCGCCTTTGTCAGTCAGCCACTATCCATCGTCGTTTCAAACTATGCAACATCCGCGACCAAAGTCGAATTGCCCGCATCATTGAGTCCATTCGAGGGCTGACTACTAATCAGCGAGTCGTGCTGACAGCCGCCCCCGGGTATAGCTCCTCGAATGATGTGACTTTGGTAATGAAAGCCCTCGCGCAAGTCATAGCCGAGCAAAGGCAGGTCACGGTCGTGGATGTTGCGGAAATCAACCTGGAGGTGTTGGAGAAGCCGATATCCGGGGAACGAGAATATCTACAAAGTTTGGAGGATCTTCACAAATCCCTGATCCTGTTCCTGTGGCTGAGTTACCGATTCATTGGGACGTTCAAGGACAGGGATATGGCCATGTACGCCAAAGAGATGGTCGAGGACAGGATCAACACATGCCTGCGCGAATTTTCGGCAAATCCGGAACTACGAAAGCGGGTTCTTTCCTACAAGAAAAGAATGGATTTTCCCAAGATCCCGACCCATGAAGCTGATGCTTCGAATCTCGACTTCCCGGCAAATCAGGATCCAGCCCTGCGGCTGGATTGGACCCGTGGATCGGAGGAAGTTGCATTCGAAGAGGCACAATCTGCGCCGGCAACCGTCCCGGCACATGCATAGGCTTCCGCAGTCTGCTCCCAAGTCGTCAATCAACGTGCAAGAGAGCTGGTTTCCCGATGAAGCACACCAGGACAAGGAATCCATAACAGCATACCGACCACACACGGAAGAGACCAACCAAGGCCTTTCCCATGTCGGCAAGGATTGTATTGTTGCTAGTCAACAGCTTATGTACCCGGATCTTCGACCTGCGTCCGCATGGATGATGGCTCTAGACTTGTTGCAGGAGTGCTCATCTTTGAACCACCACTTTGTCTGCAGCTCCAGCTTCGGAATTTGCGGCGGCCATCTCTCGCGCAAGCTGCTCTTCAGTCTTTTTGTTGCCGTGCAGGATGAGGCGGTTCAAGAAGCTGCCCGGCTTTCCAGTATCATAGCCCTCCTTTTCGGCGTCATCGGCTTCCTTGGTGACATAGTCTATTGTGTCTTCGTCGGCAGAGTCATGTTCATCGAAGTTGGCTATGGAGGGTCATCAGCACGGGCTCCAGTGTCTCTGTACGAGTGCACCGGGAGTGTGTGGACAAAGAAGAGCTGAAGGACCCCGGCGGAGGAACTTGACCCGAACGTGCGTCAGGACCAGCGTCCTTGTACCAACATTGAGTGTAGAAATATCATGACAAAAGAGAACAAAAATGCAATAACGAGCATACCATTTTGATCCTTGTGGCTGAGCCTACGCTTGAGCTTCGCTCTGATGCTTTCCATAGTGGATGTTTAATGATAGTCGAGGAACTCCAGTCCCAGGAAAAGGACGGGCTTGAGAACGCAACGGGACTGATGTGAACGCCTGAGGAAAGAAGACGAAGAGGGAACGCAGGGGGAGCTCAAGGAGGTGTCTAGGTAGCTACAACGAGAGATATACTACTCTATTAGTACGTACAAGGGTATGGAGGGGTGGAGGGCGAAAGGACTCGGGAGGCGTTCCTGCGCCATATTGCAGTTGCAGGTAACTTAGACAGGGCAAGAGCGATTTGCCGCCCGGCTGGACCCTGCCGAGAGATCAACTGTAAAGTTGTAGAGGACTGCTAGTATTGGCCGCTCACTCGCGTCGGCAGCGGGCAATCAGGCTGCCACTGGCGCCGATATTTTGTACGAAGGTCAAAGAAGATGCAAATCCACAAATGCAAGAGCTTCCACTTCGCAGCCTGAATCTCTCGTCTGTTAGCCACCGCCTCCAAGATCCACCCATCGCCACCAGCATCGCCCGCCGCAGATGATTCGCCGGAGGGCATCCTTAGCATAAGGACAACCTAAATCTGGGGAGTCGCCAAAAATCGCATCTCGAGCGAGCCACCACGGTACCACGGTGCCAACTGCTAAATGTCATCGACGAGATCGTTCGACTTCCACCACGACCTACACAGTATCCAATAGGCCCATTCCCGGTCATGGACGACTTCACCTCCCTCGAACTCCTCTCCGTCGTCTCCAAAGTCACCTCCGAACTGCAAAATCATCTGGGAATCAGTGATAAAACCCTCGCCGAATTCGTCATCGACCAACACGAAAAATGTGGTGGGAATCTACCTCAGTTCAAGGAGGCTCTGGCGGCCATGGGCGCGGACTTTCCGAACAGTCTGGTGGAGAGTATCGATCGCCTGATCTTGACGATGCACCCGAAATACAAGAGCCAGAAACAGCAGCCTGCGCCGAAGCAGAAGTCGGACATGGATGAATTGGATGACATCAGTCGCAAGGCCAGAGTATTTAAGGGTTTGGCCGTGCCAGACCGAGAACGACTTTGGGATGACTACGAGGATGATATGGTGGGACAGAAAACTATCGATGAGAGCCGACCACCCGACGTGGGGACGCCCGAAGATGACACTTTTGCTCTGCTTGAAGGTCTTTCGGGGAAACCACAGAATGGCACGAATGGGGCCGACGACAGGAGTAGAAAAAGAAGTCGCAGTCCTGACGCGGGCGATTACGCTAGAGACAGGAGATCGAGGCAGAAACACGGGTCGCGAAGTCCCAGTCCTCGACAGGAGAAGAGGTCACGGCGAGAGCGAGACCAAGACTACGACAGACGAGAGGATGGCTACGGAGATCGACATGATGATCGGAGAAATGGCCACCATCGAAGCAGACGGCGCGACCATGACGATTATGATGATGACTTCAAGAAGCCTCCGCCACGGGATATGGACGAATCTCCTGTGCTCTACAAGGTGTACGATGCTATTATCAACGGAATCAAAGATTTTGGGGCTTTTGCCAACCTTGAAGGGGTTAAGGGAAGTCCTAGCGGCCTGATTCATGTCTCAGCAATCCAAGAGGGCGCGAGAGTCAACCACCCTTCCGACCTTTTGTCACGCGGTCAACGGGTGAAGGTCAAGGTGGTCAAGATGGAAAACAATAAAATCAGTCTCTCGATGAAGGAGGTTGATCAGGTGTCTGGCCAGGACCTGGTTCCGTCCAGAAGAATTGCCTCGGGTGCCAACATGGAACGTCTGAACGGAGTCTCATCATTAGACGATCGCTACGGAAATCTGGGCAGTGGCGTGCCTGTCATTGAAGATGACTACAGTTCGAAACCCGGGAAGAACAAGAAGCGACTGACTTCTCCTGAACGGTGGGAAATAAAGCAACTCATCGCGTCTGGGGCTATCTCCGCCCAAGATTATCCGGACATTGACGAGGAGTATAATGCGACTCTGAATGGAGAGGGCCAGTTCGAAGAAGAGGAGGATATTGACATCGAGGTTAAAGAAGAAGAACCACCTTTCCTTGCCGGTCAAACCAAACAATCTCTCGAACTATCCCCCATCCGAGTCGTCAAAGCCCCTGAAGGTTCGCTGAACAGGGCGGCTCAAGCAGGAACGTCCCTGTCAAAAGAGCGAAGAGAGCTCAAGCAACAGGAGGCAGCCGACAGAGCTGCGGAAGAGGCTTCTAAGGTTGATTTGAATGCCCAATGGCAAGATCCTATGATCAATCCAGAGCAGCGCAAGTTTGCTGCAGACCTGCGACAGGCCCAGCAACAATCTTCTCGAGCAATTGCTGCTGTGCCGGAATGGAAGCGGGCAGTTCAAAACAAGGACCAATCGTTGGGCAGGAGGACAAATATGACCATCAAACAGCAGAGAGAATCGCTCCCAGTGTTCAAATTCCGAAACCAGCTGCTCGAAGCTGTTGCCGCGAATCAGCTGCTTATTGTGGTCGGCGATACAGGCTCTGGAAAGACGACCCAACTTACACAATATCTGGCCGAGGCCGGGTATGCGAACAATGGAATGATCGGCTGCACACAACCTCGACGTGTTGCCGCCATGTCCGTTGCAAAGCGTGTGTCGGAGGAGGTTGGTTGCGAGCTTGGAAAAGAGGTTGGCTACACTATCCGTTTCGAAGACCGAACTTCTCCAGAAACCCGGATCAAATACATGACCGATGGTATGCTCCAAAGAGAAATTCTGCTGGATCCGGACATCAAGAGGTACAGCGTGATTATGTTGGACGAGGCGCACGAGAGAACCATTGCTACCGATGTCCTTTTTGGGTTATTGAAGAAGACCCTCAAGAGACGTCCCGATCTGAAACTTATCGTTACTTCGGCGACGCTTGATGCTGAAAAGTTCTCTGAATACTTCAACCAATGTCCGATCTTTTCTATACCCGGGAGGACATATCCTGTCGAAATTATGTATTCCAGGGAGCCTGAAGAAGATTATCTGGACGCCGCGTTGACTACCGTCATGCAAATCCACCTTACCGAACCACCTGGCGATATCCTTCTATTCTTGACAGGACAGGAGGAGATCGACACCAGTTGCGAGGTTTTGTATGAAAGGATGAAAGCGTTGGGACCTTCGGTGCCTGAATTGCTCATCCTACCTGTCTACTCCGCCCTTCCCAGTGAAATGCAGAGTCGAATATTCGATCCGGCACCCCCTGGGAGTAGGAAGGTTGTTATCGCTACAAATATCGCCGAAACTTCTATTACAATCGATCATATTTACTATGTGATCGATCCTGGATTTGTCAAGCAAAGTGCTTACGATCCTAAGCTCGGGATGGATTCTCTGGTGGTCACCCCAATTTCACAAGCACAAGCCAAACAGCGAGCTGGTCGTGCGGGCAGAACAGGACCCGGCAAGTGCTTTCGTTTGTACACCGAAGCAGCGTATCAGTCGGAAATGCTACCCACTTCTATCCCGGAAATTCAACGTCAGAACTTGTCAAATACCATCCTCATGCTGAAAGCCATGGGAATCAATGACCTCTTGCATTTCGACTTCATGGACCCGCCACCCACGAACACAATGTTGACTGCACTCGAGGAGCTTTACGCTCTTTCAGCCCTCGATGATGAGGGGCTTCTTACTCGACTCGGTCGGAAGATGGCGGATTTCCCCATGGAGCCGGGCTTGTCCAAAGTTCTCATCGCCTCGGTTGAGATGGGCTGTTCCGAAGAGGTGCTCACCATTGTTGCCATGCTGTCGGTCCAAAGTGTGTTCTATCGGCCGAAAGAGAAACAGCAACAAGCCGACCAGAAGAAAAGCAAATTCCACGATCCTCATGGCGACCATTTGACTTTGTTGAACGTCTACAATGCGTGGAAGCAATCCCGATACAGTGACGCCTGGTGCTTTGAGAACTTCATCCAGAAACGGCAAATCTCACGAGCGCGAGATGTGAGACAACAACTGGTCAACATCATGCAGCGGTACAAGCATCCCATCGTGTCCTGTGGCCGCAACACGATAAAAGTCCGCCAAGCACTATGTTCAGGGTTCTTCCGCAACTCGGCCCGGAAAGATCCTCAGGAGGGCTACAAGACGCTTATCGAGGGAACACCAGTTTACATGCATCCCAGCAGCTCATTATTTGGCAAACCGGCCGAATATGTCATTTTCCATACTCTGGTGCTCACGACGAAGGAATATATGCACTGTGCGACCGTGATTGAACCGAAGGTATGTTCTGACTGGCTTTCTCCACTTCAAGCCTAGCGTTTCTTTCTGATGATAACTTTACTGACTGTGCTTTTTGAATAGTGGCTTGTTGAAGCAGCTCCGACGTTCTTCAAGGTCGCTCCCACGGATCGTCTGAGTAAACGCAAAAAGGCCGAGCGGATTCAACCTCTCCACAACAAATTCGCCGGAGAGGATGACTGGAGGTTGAGTGCGCAAAAGAGACAAGGTAGAGGTGGCGGCGGCGGCACCTGGGGTTAAACAGAGAGACCACACACCTGGACACCTGAAGTATCTCGAATTGAGGGCGCTCTCTGTGGGCGTATGAAGAAAGGAGGTTGGACAGCTGGAAAACTGAGACCCTAGTGGCCAGTGATGAAGATGACAATACTATACCATCTCCACCCATTAAACCGTCCCAATGAAAGCACCGGGAGAGAAGGCGATTGTATTAAGGGATCAAAACCAAATAGGGAGATCTCGGAGATAGAGTCCCTTGCTCTGGCTTCGATGTACAGACTCCTTATAAGACTCGCGGACAAGGCTGGTGCGGAGTCAGGGGTTGATAGTAATTGATAGTAATTGTTTCCCCGCACTCAATCTTCAGCCTCGTCAACTTTTTTCGCCGTCAAATCTGTATTTGCGCTGCCACCACCCTCCGGCTTAGTCTCCCATTACACCGGCAGCAATCAGCCCGAGATGCCTCACAAACATAAGCGGAAACGCGAGGATGATGAGTCGAAGTATGTACCTGTCCCGGACCACAATGGTGTTCCTTTTCCTCTGTCAACCCTCTTCCAGACTGCGAACGCATGCTCGGCTTGACTTCGATGGAGACTAACCGATTCACTTGCAACTGCTCAGCTTCGACCTTCCTCCCTCAATCCGTGCCAAACCGCTCACAACGCTCACAAAACAGGAGTCAATCTTCACCTCTGACAAGGAGAAAAAGGAGAAGAAGCAACAAAAGCGGAAACAGAAATCCAAGAATAATGGATACGACGACGACACTCCCAAATCATTCGCCCGCCTCATGGCATATCAGCAAGGCAAGAGGCCGAAGAATGCAGGCCTCGATGACGGCAACTATACGAAGAAGAAGAAAGCCAAAGTGAAGGCCAGCCAGCCAGACGGCGACGGCGACGGCGACACGAAGACAAAAGTCCCTGGGTCGGCCGCCGCCTCAGCCTCGATCCCAACACCAACACCGTCGACAACAACTCCTTCCAACGACCTAAAAATCCTCCCAGGCGAACGCTTATCCGAATTTGCCGCCCGAGTCAACCAATCTCTCCCACTCTCCTCCATCCCGAAACAAACGACCCGAGTCGCCAAGATTCCGGGTCTAGAAAATCTCAAGACACCGCTGACCAAGCACAACAAGCGACTCGCGCGACTCCAAAGTGAATGGCGCGCGACCGAGGCCCGTCTGCGCGCCAAACTCGAAGATGAGAGCGAAGAGCTGGCCGACCAGCGCGAGGAGGACGAAATCGTCTGGCTAGGCGCGGGTATTGACAAGAACGCCGGGTCCAAGAAGAAGAAGAAAGGCAAGAAAGGCAAATATGGCAATGACGATGACGACGTGGATCCTTGGAAACAGCTCGAACGGAAACGGAGTGAGGAGGGGGAGCTGGGAAGACAGCGCAATCTGCAGGACGTGGTGCAGGCGCCGCCGGTGTTGAAAGGCGTCAAGAACATATTTAAGGATAAGGGTGATAAAGAGCTGCCTCAGCCGTTGCGGAGGACGCGGATATGAATGGTTGTCGACTCGATGTAAGAAGCATGTATTTGCCTACAGGGAGCTACAGCAGCGACGGGATTTTGACATGAACACGCATACCTCCTCCGCCGTCTCCCTTTGATGACGGCCAAGACGGTGAGGGTTCCACACGTTGCTGGGATGAATTACTAGGCCTTACTTTCTCTGTTTTATTGAGGCAGAGTATAAAGGTCAAGCGGGGAAGTGGGAAAGGAGCCTTGACTTGGGTTGATATTGACCATACTGTGGCTACAGCCAGTCTGCACGAGACCTGGTCATGACTGTCATGCTTTGACTTACACCCTCATTTGGTATTTGGTGTCCAATTACTGCCCTGGTTGAACGACCGCGGTATATGCCATGCTTGAAGTTCTATCGCTTTCCGGTCGCGTCGCACGGAGCCTTCGGAGAGGAGGACTTGAAACCGTGCCACTTCCATCTCTCCATATATGACCCTTTACTAATAAGTTTGACATTTCGCAGCGATTGTGCCTGGAGTCGCAGCAGACAATAGAAAGCAGCTTGAGAACAGAACGGTCAGTTGGTCACAACCAACAGGAGGCTATATGAGTGAAGTGGTGTTCCTTAAAGTGGCGACACCGGAGAAATGATTCCCCGTTCCGTGAGCCTTCTTTCAACCTCATCGAGCTGCTTCACCTTCATCTTCTTCCCACTCACTCTGTATCTCGATCATCCCCCCAGTTCGGGTTTCTTTGCTGGAGGTGATGCAAATCCCTTACGTTCCAATTATGCCGACCCACACTTTGTCAGCCTGGCACCGCCATGGCGATGAAGCAAACACCAGTCATAGAGGTTACGTTTCTACTCAACGTTCATCCAAGGCTGGCTAAACAATCATCCCGCTTCTTATTGGCTCAATCTTTGTCCCATATCTTCGTCAGAGGGTCGCTATTACAAGCAGAGGCAATGTCAGGACCTGTCGCATGTTACGTAGATACATGCGATGATCCAGACGGCTTTCGCTCGGATGTGACGAAAGGTAGGTGTGCCACACGGATGAAGACAAAGGTCTGTTCCAAATAAAACCATGTTGACTTCCGCCCCGACTCCGTCTGCTCTACTGATTACGGAATACTTGTCTCTCCTTCATCATAATGGCTACTTCGCAACCCAAGGTCTATACTCTCGCGGAGGGCGCGCCTCTCCCTCGAAACGACACCAGTGTACAGGTCCTCACCAAACATGGCGGAGGCCTGGTTCTCCTCCAAGACACCCAGTTGATCGAAACGCTCGCGCATTTCTCCCGCGAACGAATCCCCGAAAGAGTGGTGCATGCCAAAGCAGCCGGGGCCCGAGGCTATTTCCAAGTGACCCACGACATTTCCGACATCACGGACGCCGACTTCCTCAACGGCATTGGCAAGAAGACGGAAGTCCTGACACGAATCTCGACAGTCGGGCCCGAGTCGGGTTCGGCAGACACAGTGCGCGACATCCGCGGGTGGGCGATCAAGTTCAAGACCAACGAAGGCAACAATGACTGGGTGTTCAACAACCACCCGGTCTTCTTCGTGCGCGACCCGATCAAGTTCCCTTCCATGAACCGCTCCCACAAACGACATCCGGCCACCCACTCCACGGATCCCGACATGTTCTGGGACTACCACGTCAACGCCCCCGAGTCGGTCCACGCACTGATGTTTATTATGGGTGACCGAGGCACGCCGGCCTCTCTCCGCCACATCAACGGGTACAGCGGACACACGTACAAATTCACCAAGAAGGACGGGTCATTCCACTATGTCAAGATCCACATCCACGCCGACGGCGGGGTCAAGAACATGCCGCCGGAAGAAGCGACCAAACTGGCCGGCAGCGACCCGGATTATCTGACGATGGACCTGTACAACGCCATCGAAGCGGGCAACTACCCCAGCTACACCGTGTATATCCAAACCATCCATCCCGCTGACGTCGCCAAATGCCCCGTCAACATCTTCGACATCACCAAGACCCTGCCTCACGCACAGTACCCGTTACGGCCGGTCGGCAAGTTGGTGTTCGACAAGAACCCGACCAACTACTTCGCCGAGATCGAGCAGGCCGCCTTCAGCCCGAGCACCATGGTCCCGGGCATCGAAGCCAGCGCCGACCCCATGCTCCAGGCCCGCCTGTTCGCGTACCCGGACGCCGCCCGCTACCGACTTGGCGTGAATTATCAGATGCTACCCACCAATGCCGCCAAGGCTCCCGTCTACATCCCCACCGAGCGGGACGGGTTCATGAACTTCGGCTCCAACTACGGCGCCGACCCCAATTACCTGCACAGCGCCATTCAACCGACGTCATTCCGCGCCCCGCCTGCCGCGTCGGAGTATAAGCCTACGGAGGATGGCTTGAGCGGGCCCGTCGTCTTCACCTACGAAACCACCGACGACGACTTCAAGCAGCCCCGTGCCCTGTGGAACAAGGTTCTTGCCCGCCAGGAGGGTGCGCAGGACCGGTTCGTCGCCAATGTCGCCGGAAACGTTGCCTCTGTCAAGCGGGAGTGGTTGCGCGAAAGGGTTTTTGGTGAGTACATGCATCGTCTTCTCTCGAATTTAGCTTGTCTTAGTTGGCTTGGTCGGAGGGTTATATCTGTATCCTCACTCCAGCAGACCCTTCTCCTCTGTACATCCTTTTACCCGTCTCCGTTGCATTTCGTTCACGAGCTTCAAGATTTCGGAATCCCTATGCTGACGTTGATCTCCAACTTAGAACTCTTCCGCCGCGTCGACAACTCTTTGGGTGACAGGATCGAGGAAGCCGTCAAGGAGATCCTGAAAGCATAATTTCTATACACTCGAGCCCTATAATCTTGATGGACAGAATCACTAGAACTTGGAACTTGCTTAGGATGGACTTGCTTATTTTTCTTCGTGCCTTGTCACGTCTGGTTTTCCAAGAGACGGATGCGTCTTATGGATGCATCGCATCGGATCGTATCCCCTCGGCGTGAAAGTACTCCGGGAATGCCGAACATGGTCCTGCGTCCTGTGGCCAGATTACTATCTAAACTACCACACTACACCATAGAGGATGGTACCATATATTGTTATATACAACAGAGATGATCATAATCACGAGTGATTTGAATCCTATACCAGTGGTTCTGGTCTAGAGCAGCCGGCCCTTCCAATCCAACTCGCAAGTCCTATCCTGGCACGACTACCTTATCTATGGTGTCCATACAAGCCTGTTCAAGCTTTCTCTATCTTTCTTGGCCCCCCCTCCCCTTCTGATCGTGGCCATTAGTAGGATCTAGTAGACTGTAGCTTGTTTTGTCCAAAATAAATCAAGGCCGCTCGATTGATGGACTTGAGTCAGAGATAGGGGTAGGGGTATATCGCCCGTAATATTTCAATCCGACAGGAATATATATTTCTCTCCAGACCCGTTTGGATAAAGTAGCTTGGATATCTTCGCAATTTCTTTTTCTACTTGACGATCAAGGCTGTCTGATATCCTGAAAGTGTAAAGAGGGTATTTGTATTGTATTGTCTTTTTTTGCACCAAGGCTCTTCCGTCTGTCTATTTCTCAGTTTCTTCTCTTTGGCGGACCCGGTCGGGTTTTTCTGTTCCGAGTGGGATTTGTTTCACCGCACCCCAGGATGTCATTGTCACGAGCACCAACATACTACGGCGTAGGTTATGCACATACTTCAGAAAAGGCCCAGACAATGGGAACTGGCCCGTGAAATAGATTGGTCGTCTGCCGCCAAGCTTGTTTCTGGAACGGATGCAAACAGCGGATGGGTGGATGGACACATGACATGGCTGGCATGGCAACCTTTTTCAAAGATGGTTTGGATTCCCACTGCCCTATTCCGAGGCAACTTTGGGGACATATCTTTTGTCGGTCTCCCGTGACATGGATGTTGGATTTGGACCATACATTTGGTCAGACATGTTAAGCGCTGGGAGAATTGTGAGACGGCGCGAGTTCGCGTTCCCATTGCAGCAGTGGACATGGTCGACAGATTCACCGCCAAAAACACAGTCTAGCATTTAGCAGGCGGACCGTCACTCCCGTGGTGACGAATACATGATGCTTGCTTGACGCGTGATCCGTCTGGAATTCCAGACAACGCCGGTCGTCGCTCCACCGTCTCATCGGCAGCAACAAGGTTGAGACTGGAGGTAGATAGAGACCATAAAGACGGCATGGCACAGTTCACGTATTGACTGTTTAGAATGGTCCACTCGGAGCTACCGCTGCTGCTGAGATAGCACATCACGCCCAGACCAATATAGTGTAGAACCTTAGCCCTTCGTGAGCCCGAGCCTGAATTGTCTCCGGTAGTTGTCTTGAGCAATTCTCCTTTCCCTTTTCACGCAATGGTGATGCACCTGGGGCTTCTCTTCCCCGATCAACGGGGCGGCGCGCCGAACGTCATAGCAGTAGGAGCCACATAGCCTTCCCTTCTTCCTGCAGTCGACCCGGCGGGCTTCCTAGCCTGCTCCTCTCGGAACTTGACTTCCTTCTCGTCCTGAGCGACGACACAGCAACAGCAACAACAACCGTTGAGACAGTCACCCGCGATGTTCCCGGCCTCCGTGTTCATGTGGTAGGCTTTGCGCACGCGCGTGTGTTGAATGGCAGCCAGAATGCCATTGACGCCACAGAGAACCCCAAACGCAATACAGGAGCCGTTCACCGCAGTGTAGCCCAGCATGTTGGTGGGGTCTTTCCTGTCGGCCCGCAGACCAAGTCGATACTGGGTCTTCCCGTACACGAGACAAGGGCAGAACAGCGCCGTCATGCACGTCGAGGGCTCGGCGCAGGAACAGAGACCGTGTTGCCATGAACCGCCGCGGATGGCCTGTGGGCTTGGGGTGAATGTTCCCACGGAGAAATGGGATGGATCGCTCGACGGGAGGATGATGGCCATATTGGTGGTGGTGGTGCTCGCGGGGTCGGAGACCTTGGGGGTGGTTGGTGTCAATGGATTCACGTCAGGTTGGATTGGTGTGGTCGGTTCATGGGGTGGGTGCTGAGACTGCGGCTGAGGCTGTTTAACAGGATCTGCTGCGATTGGAGCCTGCCGTTCATGTCTAGACAGTGGTGGTCCATGAGTGGCTGATTGTGTCTGGGCTGGTAGAGGTATTGGGCCTTGTGGTGTGGGAGCTGGTGATGTGGGATAAAGGTCTTGTTGATGTTGATGTTGATGTTCATAGTCGTGAATGTGCTGCTGTTGCTGTTGTTGTACTACCCCCCCGACGTCTCGGCCTTGATACGCATATGCTGCGTAATTGTATCCGCGTGGTTCCATAGCCTCTCCCTCCTGTCCCTCTTGTCCGGGACCTTGCATGGCAGTTGGGATGCTGATGTGTATGGCTCCCCTTGCTGTGTTGTTCGTCCACACTCGATTTTCCTCCTCAGCCGGTGTGTCCACCATCCATGAGAATCGGGGTCCAGTTGGTATTTGAGGCGCCTGCAGTGAGGTGGGAGGCCGCACTCGAGGATATTCGTAGGGCTTCATTCTCGCTTGATCACGGATCACCGGACATGCCCCCAGCTGCTCTGGAGGTGTGTGGATAGTTGCGCAGGATCAGGATCGTAAGCAATGACGTGCCTGTAGTGGTGGCCTGATGAATGTAGTGGTCGTGCTGTGTTCAGGAGTTAAAGTACACTTTTCATGTCATAAAGGGTATAGGGAAGAAAGAAGAAAGAAGAGTATCACTTTGAACGACCGCAACGCAACCATTACCTTGTGACTCTTACCGACTGGGAGCGCCTCCTGCCGGCGTCGATGAGGACTGTTGCGACATACGTAGGACTGTCCACGAGTCTCTGGTGGTCGTCACCAGTGCTTGGAGCCATCACCGTCGACGATTGGGCTGTGGGAAGTCCACCTTGTACACTCGGCGCTTACAAGAAACAGAGTGTGTCAGGCGTGCCAGGCCCTCTGCTGCAGGCCGGGCGCGAATCGCGTGTAACATTGCCCTCATTGCTGAAACAAGCGACGACGACAGTGTTTGCCGCCAGCCAGAGAAGGCGTAGAAGCGCCGATGAGGGAATTGGAGGTGGTGGGAGAAGAGTTGGGAACTAAGAGAGCGGTTGTTGATGGTGGTGGGATGGAAACATTTTGTGGTCCCGCGGCTGTTGTCGAGTCTGTCGTCTTCGTCACTGTGACCGGCGCTTCTCATCACGCGTGCCTAGGTAGATCACTGCAGGACGATGGCCAGCGAGCGTGAATTCGGATGCCGACCTTTGCATTAAATGTATATAATATCCGTCGTCTTTGGTGGTGTAGCCGCATGGGCGGTTAGGGTTGAATGTATAGACACAGACACAGACACAAACACTCCTACCGAACATCTACCGAGCATTTAGGGGACTTCTTCATTCAGTGCATGCTTAGGATATCTTAGGGTTCTTGAAGAACTAATCCTGAAGCATCCAGCCCAGGTATATCTCTCCTCCCTGGCCGCCATAGATCAGGGCTGCCGGGCCTCAAATCGACGGTAGGCAATTCGGCCATGTGCAGCTTCGCACTGCCATAAGGACGCAATTCCACGGGGAATGCTCTCCCCGTGCAGTTCCGTCGTCCCATCAAGGGTGGTTCAGGAGCATATCCGTCTTCCAAGTGCCAGTCGATCTTGCAGGCCAAGGCTGAAATACTGACAGGAGGGGCTTCTTCATTCCAGATCGGATCCGGCAACGACGCAGCATACCGGTTGGGATATTCGTAGAACTTCAGCGTCGAGGAATCAATTGCCACGTTCCACGGCTCTCGAGGGAAGATCTCCCAGTCATTTGCTTCCGGCGGGGCCGAGGTGCCAGGATACCTGGCTGGACGTGAAGGACGGTAGTCTCCCGCGACGGGCAAGGCATACAAGAGAGCACCGTGGTAGATCGAAATAGTATCGTTGGCTCTCGGCTCGATACGCACTCTGGCACCAAACACGACTTCAACCCGCGTTCGTCCCGCGGTGATGATCATGGTGTGCAGGCCGGTGACATGATCTGGCTGGAGAGGATGTTCCTTGCCTGAATCAACCCACAGGCCACTCTGCTCGAGAACTGCCCAGGAGGGCACTCTGAAAGAGAAGCGGAAGCTGGATCCGGCCTTGATCTCGTAGTCGAGGTGGTTGCTGAACGGATAGTTCGTCTCACATCGGATGCGGACCCGGTTGCGCCTCGTCAACGTGGTGTCAACTTGAGAAGGCCCGAGCAAGGCGTGTGCGAGTCCGTCGTCACCCACTTTGACAAACATTGCCGGCACAAACTTGGAATATCCTTGCATGTTGACCGTGCAACATGGGAAATGCGGCTCCGTGCCAAACGTCTGACCCAAAGCCCCGACGTTCCAGAAGGGCGACCTGTCCAATCGGTGGCTGATGGGTTGGTTTGTCTGGGCGAGATATTGGTGAGCCCACCAACGAGGCATGAACATGACAGGCAGGGCATTGTATGCTGCTAGTTCCGACTTGTCGGCAAAGTCGCGGTCGCCGACTGCTTGATAGAGGTAGTTCAAGGAGAAGATGGATTCCACCACGCTGCACAGTTCGGTGCCTCGGACAGGACTGAGTCCTGCTTCGCGTTCATCGCCAATGACGGCCCCCGATGGGGTTCCATGATATTGGAAAGTCCAGTTGACGCCGTTTCTGGTCGTGTTGAGCAGACTGTCGTCGTGGGTAAGTCGTCGCATCACGGCAGGCCATTTCAGCCCCTGGCCTGCATTGACGCCGTGAATGTAGGGAAACAGCTTCTGGGTCACATTGACGGGCACGAGATCCAGGTCTTCTTTGAGGAAGTGGTCTTCGTGGAACCAGTATGACCAGTCATACGCCATCTCATACATGTGTACCATGCAATGCTGGATGATGCGTCCGTTATCCATTGGGTGTTTCTCGTAGAGCCATTGCAAGGCGAGAACCATGTCTGCAGCACGGGATCGGCCCCATTGCTCGTCGAACTCGTCGCCAGGCTTCCAGACGTAGCCTTGGTGGTGGTCGGCTAGCATTTCGTGCATGAGCTTGACAAACCGATGCATCGCTGGTAGAATCACCGTCTGCCCCAGCTCTGGTTCCGCTTCAACCAGTTGCATGAACCCGAGGAACAGAGGATACCGGGCCCAGAAATTGCGACGAGCGAGATCGACCTCTGGGCCCAACCAGCCATCATCGTGCTGATGGTCAATGATCCATTTGGTGACCTGCAGAACGTGGTGCTTGAGCCGTGCATCATCCGTGATCCAGGCCAGTGGAACGAGTGCATTATAAGAATATGGCCATGCTTCGTTCAGTTCTGAGACTCATCAGCCGGGGAAGATGAGTCCGAGTCGACAATCGGCACACTCACCGGAGTACTCTTCGTCTCCTCCAAGCCATGGAGCATCTTTGACAAGTCGGTAGAATTCATGCAAGTGGCCAGGCAGCCCATTAGCCATAAGGTCCATCTGTTGCCGAAGCCATCCCAGTGGCTTGACTGCCCCCAGTGCCAGGGGCTCAAACGTGGAGGAAGCACTGACAAGGATCAGTGGATGTCTCTCAACGTCTGGCTGTTTCGAAGGAGCTCTTACATGTTTTGTTGTAAGAGTCCGGCTCTCTGATCGGCTGTTGAGGGTCATCTTTAGGGCTCCGCACATCCCAAGCCGGTCGTTCCTGAATAGCACTTTGATCAGGTCTCCATGTTGAATCTTCCCCGCGTTGTACGGGACCTGGCAGAACATTCAGTGGCTGCTGGGCACCGCCACCATCAGCACCAACGTGGATGACACCACGTAAGGAGTTCGACCAGACCAGGAAGAAGACCAGACTGAACATGAATGAGCGTGGACCCGACATTGTCCACAAGACCCGAGCATGGGATGAGTCTGTGCCAGCACAGACGATGCTCTAGATGGAGTTGTAATATAGAGAGGTAGAGAACAGGTCAATAATGAGCCTCTCTCTGCGTTTATTATCTATTCAAGTTGGAGAGTTTCCCCAGAATCATACGCCATCGACCATTTCTCAACCGGACAAGATCTGATATGTGACGACGCCACCTACTAAGCCGGCCCGGTCTGCTCATATATGTCTGAGGTACCAGATTACTTGAAGGAGTCACTCTTATGATCACCATTTGGACATCATTATGCTTCCACAGTATTACCCATGTGTGCAGACAGTTTGGGAAGAATTAGGTAAGCTGCCCCTATACCCAGTCAGCCTTGCCAACACGTAAATGGACACTATGTACAGAGTATGCCAGACCCCAGGAGAATCCGGGTCAAGACGGGTTCGCCTCCGAGCTCCAGTGGCCGTCTTCGATGCTGAGGCCAGAGACACTCCATGTTTTATGGCAATAGACAAAGACGATCCCAGGGCCACGCGCATAGGGTTGCTCAACACAAGCGAGATGTCGGAAGAAGCCGCGGAAGCGTTCGTTGGAAAAGATTTTCCACCCAAGTCGGCGACGCAGGTCGACCAACAGGGTCCAGGGAATGCCTCGACAGAGTCGACACAGCAAGATAGTCCACTTCCAGTGTCAATACAGCAGCAGAGTGCTCCTGGTTTCACATTCCTCATTAGCTTCGGCGCTGCCGCAGGACGTTGATGGTTCCGAAAGGCAAGATGGTCCGGAAGGGTCTTCTCAGTAGTGATCCAACAGATCAGGCACGCCGGTGATGTGCTCATAATCCATATCACCGGAGACAGATTATACACCCGCAATAGACGCGTGATGGGTCACGTCCTTGCATCTGAGAGACCTAATAAGGCGCTCCATGTTTCTGCATCATTAAGCACGATAGTAACAAGCCGTTTGATATTGTAAAGGTAGATGTGCCGTCGCACGCTGCTTTGGACGTGTTGACTGGGCTGCTTCAATGTGAAATTAAAGCGGCATCACTTGAATCCCATTTCAGGTAAATCAGGCCAGGCACTGAAGTGATTTCCCTGAATCTCGGCATGTTTGATGTGTTTCAATCTCGAAGCAGATCAGACAAGCACAACGACGTCGAGTAGCACTGCAAGACTTGCAATTACGGGTAGAGACGAAGTCCGGAAACCTCGTCTAGACGGTCAAGAGAGACCTTCGGCGCACTTCCTTTGCACGATGTCGTTCCCTAGCTGAGATACTGAGATTCCTTGTCGCATTGCACTTCCAGTCACTGCCAGTGTCGAGCCATGTCTCTCCTCCGACGGCTCTTCCGAGCTGCGCCCAACCCACCGCCGCGACCGGTACGGACTCCCGTATCCTTTGCGATCCATGTCGGAGCCACGTTCATTGCGATATATTCGTTGTCGGCGTTGATCGCACACAATTGGATCTGGTACACGGTAAGTCGGTCGATATCACATCGGGCCCACCTATACTTTGACTTTGTCCCGCTCATACAGTATTCGTTGCAAAAGGCAAACGCAGGTCCTTCCATGTATCCGACCATAGCGAGCGGACTGTCCTACACCATCTACTCTCGAAGACACAAACGGGGCCGAAATATACAGATTGGCGATGTTATACTTTTTGAAAATCCTATCTTCCTACGAGGAAAGGCATGCAAACGGGTCGTTGGTATGCCGGGCGACTATGTGGTTCGAGACCCTTCACAAAGTCCAACTGTCGGCGGCGCACCTGTGCCTGGTATTACTGAAGACGACGCTGTGCGGGAAGAGCCCGTCATGGTGCAAGTTCCCGAGGGCCATGTGTGGGTTGCGGGCGACAGTCTGTCCTACAGCAGAGACTCCCGGTTCTATGGTCCGGTGCCGATGGCACTGATTGCCGGCAAAGCACTCTACAATGGCGACGGGTGGTTCAATTGGACCTCATTCCGCACACCTCAGCTGACTCCGGTCGAGGAGCCCAGTCAAATCTCCCTAGAGCCTGTGAAGGGCGAAGTACCTCTGGAAGATGCAAGGGCTGGTTGAGTCGAAGAGAAAGCTGGATATCGTCTCATGTGCGCTCGGCATATATGTCCGGGCTGCGCCTGTTTTTGGATACACTCGGATCCGTATTGTACAAGGCTAAATAATGGACACAACCTATCTAAAGCTGGATGGGTTGCGCCTCTTGTAGGGCAACGGCTCGACCTTCTTCCGCTTGAGCTCGACATTGGCTCCCTCGAGGCCGGCTCTTTCCATGACAGCAGCCGTGCTCTCATCCCATCTGGTGCGGAACAGAGACGCGCTGATCGGAGTCAGCAAGTGCCGACTCATGAAACTGCGGAGGGTGAAGCCGTCGCGCTCAACCTTCTGCTTGGCAGGCTCAAAGTCAATGGGGATATTGTCCTTGTGTTGGAGGATGACAATTGACAGTCGGTGGTATGGACTGCCTTTCTGTGCGTGAGGTGGCAGCCACGGCAGGAGGACTTGTGAGCCTGGCGATAGTTTGGAGAGATCGACCAGGGGCTTGGTCGGGGAAATGGTGATATTGGATGCCAGGTAGTGGCATCTCGAGTCAAAACTGTCGGTTTCGACGTTCGGTACATCGGGATCGACCACGGCAATTGTGACCATTTTCTCGCCTCGATCGAATGCTTGTAACGTAAGCTGGCATGGCTTCTCACTGACGTCGGACGGCACAAAGTCGCCGGAACCAACAGCCTTCTTCCCAAATGCAATCTTGACGTCCACGATGGGGTCAACATTGGGTACCACGTCCGGGACAACGTTCATCTGCGTGATTCGTTGCACGAGGACTTTGCGAGGATATTCTCGCCATTTTCGCTCTGCAAGATATCTGTATATGGGTTTGTTCATGTCACCTTTGGAACGTTAGCGGGTGCTCCGTCTTGTCTTGCTATTTCTGACACACCTTTTCCGTCTTCGAACCTCCTCTTTACACTGGGGTCATTGATGTCGGCCAAGATCTTCAATCGTTCAAGCTCAGCCTCCATGCTTGCCAATTTCTTCTGCTTGAACGGCTCTCCGCCGCGAAAAGCGCCTGGATCGGCCTCCCGAACACGAGCTACCCGTGCTCTTTCAGTCTCGATCTTCCTGAGCTTTTCCTCTCGGTCCTCGACGAGGACCTTCCGGGCTTCTTGAAAGCATTGGTAGGGTAATTGCTCGAACGGAATGCGAGGAGACTGTGAAAGGGCCATTCGTCGGCGGCGGGAGCCAATTGGAGGCCTACCGGCTCTTGCGAGTTTGCGCTCCAATCTGGGTTGGTAGACAGTCTCGGGATCGGGGTTTCGATAGAAGGACGGTCTCTCAGCCTGTACTTCCTGACATGTCGAGCTGGCCGACGTGAAAGCACGGATGGCCAATGCCGTCGATGGTTTCTCAATGGCCAGAGACCTTAATGAGTGTAGAAGTAGCGCACTCGGCGCTCTTGAGGGAGCCATGGTGATAACCCTCTACAAGAAACGACCCTGTAGTGGCCTCTGGTCTCTCCTGTAGCCAAAAAGTTTCGAGACTCGAGCTCAGATCTGCGACACCAGAAAGAGCTTGGCGCGGTCAGAGACGCGGTCACGTGACTGAGACATGGCCAATCAAATGATCTTTCGATGTCGCTTGTCTGACAGCAATTAATCATGCTTATTTGGACGACATTTTCAGTCATGCGAAATCCCTTCTCTGACTCGAGGGAGCGAAAGTGGCTGTCTCCTACTACGGACTAGCATCTGCCATTCCCATGTCTCCCGCTGTTGCGCTTTATATCGGACGTTTTGATAGGCGCAGGTCCCTTGACAGGAGTTTGATCACTCAGCAGCGTCGTCAGCACGACCAAGGCCATTGACCTGAAGTCATTCGCTCGCGCGAATTCAAAACTCACCCGCGTCGGAAGAGACTTCGAGCCGTCCAGTATCAACACCGACCACGCTCGCCGAACCGTAGGCGATTCATGAAGACATAAGTATCATGCCGCTTTCCTGCTGAATGGACACCGTCCAGGCGCGCTTCAAGCCCATCCTGGTTTGTAGGAACCCTTTCAATCCCGCCAGTCGCCTTGGACTCTATATTGCGACTGAATCTTATTTCGGTTCTTGACCATGTCTGCGACGCCTGAACAAGAACCCTCTGATGGGTCGACGAACGTCGGGGAGGACTCAACACAACCCATCCACGACCGGAATAACTCCGTTGCGGAAGAGCCAAAGGAGCCCCGACCAGGGCTCTTGAAAAGGGCTGTCGCAAAGATCAACCTAGATCTCCCTACATTTTTGCTGATGCTCAAGTAAGCCGAGTCCACGGGTTGTCTCTCAACGCTAACCGACGCAGAGGAGGAGTACCACCAGCAATTGCTCTTGCATCGTAAGTCAATTGAAATGATTTTAACAACAATGGGCTGAAATTGTCTAGGTACCAGAGTGACGGCTGGGCCAAACAATACTCGACTCTGGGGTATCTGGTCGCCATTATCTCAACTTTATCCATGCCCATCCTCCCTCGGGCGAAGTACGTTCAGGGCTTAACTAACTCTCTTATCGCCATATGTCTTGCAGCGGCGATGGGGCTTCTGGCAATCCAATGCGCCGTGGCTGCCCGTCAGCACGGCCATACGCACAGCGCCTCCACCACCACCGGCTCTTCTGGAAGTACGCAATCCACAGATTATAGTGCAGCAGCCAGTGTCACAGCATGCGTGTGGTTGTTCTTCAATCTGTACATGACGAATACGATTCGAGCACTCCGACCTCAACTTTTCCCTACGTCTATTCAGTACAATATCTTCACTGTTGTTCTTTCCACATACGCCCCGACCTTTCCCAATATGACGGCGGGGATGGATTTTGTGCAAAGATTGCTCAAGGTCTTTTTGACTGGATACGCTCTTGCCGCTGGAGTATCTTTGTTTCTGATACCCATCTCTTCCAGGATGATATCTTACAAGCAAATGGCGGGAATTATGAATCTCATGAAGGACTGCTTGAGTATCCATGCAGCATACCTGCATGGCATTACGCGCCACGAGGAAATGATCGGACGTGTGGACGAGAACGGAACACCGGTTCCCATATGGGACAATCCGGAAGCGACGGTGTCCATGCAACAGGCCGAGGATGCCGCGAAAAAGCTGAAGATGAAACTACAGCAGATGTCGCAATTATTTTCTCGGCTCAAGATCGAGATCAGCTTCGCAAAGAGAGAAGTGGGCTGGGGAAAGCTACAAGCTGGGGACTTCACCAAGATCTGGAATCTATTGCAGGATATCCGTCTTCCTCTTTCCGGACTGTCAACGTTTATTGATATTTTGCAGTCTATCAAACATCATAAAGCGGCGGGAGAAGACGTGATCTCTGATATGGAGACAGTTGAAGCCATCCGTCGTATGGAAGCGGATGAGTGGACCGAGATTATCATCATGTCTCGTGGGCCATTTCACAAAGTCAGACTCGGCCTGGCCGATGGCTTGGCCCATATTGGCTACGTGCTGGAGCTCGTGCCACGACCGAAAGCTGCGAACAAGGATCTGGAGAAAGCGGCCGACGCATCTCCCGCTCCAGGCGACCCCAAGTTCGCAGACTACTTGGAGACCGAGATCAAGTTGTTCGAACAACATCGGCAGGATACCCTGCGCGAGTGGTGTGAGAAGAAGGGGATAGATGTCCCCTCCACGTTTTGGGAAGACCCTTCGGTTCAGTACAACTTCAAAGATTCGGACTCTGTCGACGGCACTGTACGCCACAAGGAGAATCACCAGCAATTATACCTGATTCTCTATCTCCAGTATTTGCTGCACTCTGTTTGCCTCACTATCCTGGACATGGTTCGTTTCGCCGACTCCAAGGTGCAAGATGGAACCATGAAGAAGAACAAACTCATATTGCCTGGATGGAGACGAATCAGGAAGTTGATGCAGAGCTCATTCATGCAAGCCGATTCGACTCAAGAAAGTCCTGATGGAGAAACGAATGGCATCATCGTCGCACTTGGAGCTTCGTTAATGTCCGGAAGGAAGGACCCAGAACATCTCCCTCCCACCACCTGGTATGAACGCGCCAGTGACCACTTGAGGTTGATTCCCAAGTTTTTTGCCTCTCCGCAGTCCGCATTCGGCTTTCGGGCGGCGGTGGGCAGCATTAGTCTGGCAATCATTGGTTATATTCGCCAGACCAGCCACTTCTTCCTTGCCCAGCGTGGCATCTGGGCGGTGATCATGGTCGCCATCTCGATGGGCCCCACAGCCGGAGTTGGCGTGCAAGGCTTTATCGGCAGAATTCTAGGCACGGCTATATCGACGGGAGCAGCGCTTACCATCTGGTACATGTCGGACGAGAAGACCGGGGCCATCATCCCTCTCGCGTACATATATTTCGTGTTCTGCTTCTACTTTGTTCTGAAGAAGCCGAAATATATCATCGCCGCGGTCATCTCTGTGGTGACGGTCATTCTGATCATTGGATACGAGCTCCAAGATCGGAAGGTGGGCACGCAAGTCCTGGAGACCAGCGGGCAGGCATTCTACAACATATATCTGTTGGCTCCATACCGACTGGCGTCGGTGGTTGCCGGCATCTCGGTCGCGTTCATCTGGACCTATTTCCCCTATCCGATCACCACGCACGCGACGCTGCGCAAAGACCTCGGCGTCGCACTGTACATGATGGCCAACTTCCACTCCCTCACGCACTCGACCGTGGAGACGAAACTACGGCACGGCTCTCTGCCCCGCGGCAACGACAAGTCCTGCCCCATGAGGAGGCTGGACAAGGCCCGCCACAAGCTGTACGAGAAGATCATGGTCATGATGAACCGGCTGCGCGAACACTCGGCCTTCACCGTCTACGAGCCCATCTTCGGCGGCAAGTTTCCCAAACAGACGTACGACGAGCTCATCGCCCACATGCAGCGCCTGATCAACTACATGGCCCTGATGTCGTGGTCGTCGCAGGCCTTCAACTCCAGCCCGGACGGCCAGGAGAGCGAATGGCTGCGCGACTTCCGCCGCGCCACCGTCGAGTCGCGCATCACCAGCCACGAACTCACTTCCACCCTGTATCTGCTGTCGGCGAGCATAACCAACATCCAGCCGCTGCCGCCGTACATCCGCGTCCCCGTCCCCATCGACATTGCCGACCAGCTGTCGGCCATCGACCCGGGCATCCTCAGCACCAAGCACATCGACGAACCGTGCTACGCCGCTTTCGCCGTGCTCGAGATCGCCAGCATCCTCGTCATGGAGGAGGTGTCGCACGTCCTGGCCAAAATAAAGGACCTGGTCGGAGAAGTCGACTTTTCCGTCCATCTGATCGGCACCGGCGCGAGCTCGGCTGATAACTCGTATGTGAAGCTGAACAAACCCCGCAAAGGCAAGGCTGAGTAGGGGGGTGACTCTGCATTTGGCTTGGTGTTCAGGAGCATGATTAATGGGAGACTCATTGCGGTCAGCGATTGATTTTGACAGTTACAATCCAGGGATTGGTGCCATGCATGGATATGGAAGGAAGATAAAATCACGATCAGGCCGCATCCTGTCATTTGGAAACCCCTTGTCAGAATGCTCCGACGGTTCTGTTTTCCAGTCTACCGGCATTCGTGGATGCAAATTATAAGATATGTATCAATAACCTGGTCCCTGGGTATCTCGAATAATACAAACAAACAACCTCGGATATAAATAAAAGATCGCCTCAAAAGGAAGACTCGCTCATCTAACCTGACGACATCGCTCCAGTCCGTGATCACTGCTCCGCCGAGCAGGTTGTGACAGACAGAATAGGAATGTCCCACACCCGCGGGCTGGTTCCAACCACAGGCGGCCAGTACCTACGTTGAATAAATACCTCAAGTGTAGAGTGGATGGCTTTCCTCCTCGCCATACTGACAGATCCAGGTCTGTGGCAGAGGCGGATCGATAGTCGATGGCTCCTGTCCTGCCAGTCGCTGTGCATTGGTGACTTGTCATTTTGACATTGTTCTTCGCAACAGCGCCGATGCTGTAACAATCCGTGTCTGTCCGGGCCCTCACTTGAACATGCTGTCAAAGTCCATATCCATGTTCTCCATGTTTTCCATACTCATCATGCCATCGTCGTTTAGATTGAGTGAGTCGTCAAAAGTCATGTCGTTCGAGTTCAGCAAATCATCGAACTCATTCGGTCCCAAAGCTGGGAGGCTGAAATCGGTGATGTTGATCTGCTGTTGGGCGTTGTTGTCGGTCGTCATGCCTCCTCCTCCTATGTCGGTTCCGCCGCCTCCGTTTGCTGTTTGTGTATTAGTAGAGTCGCCCATGTTGAAACTGTTGTCGTCGCCGGCTTGGTTGGCATAGGACTCGAGGCCAGGGAGTAAGGAGTTTAAGGACGAATCGTGGACGTTGAGGTGTTGAGCAGCGCTTTCGGCGTCAAATCCATTGCCGAGGTTGAGGTCGAAATTCATGTCGTTCCCGGCGCCATCCAGATTGTCGCCTGAGGGTTCGCCAAACATGGAGACAAAGTTGAAGTCCTCGTTGCCTGCGCCCGGGGTATCCTGTGGTGTTATTTTGGGCATCTCTTCCGCCGTTGGCTGCGGCATGGCCTTTTCAGGAATCTGCACGCTCTGTGAAGGCTTGTCTTGTTGTCTGGGGGGAGGAGCAGGGGCAGTGGCAGTGGGAGGTTTTGCTTTCTTGACCTCGGTTGTAACAGACGCTTTTGGCTTCTCTCCTGTTTTTGATGCAGCGTTATTGGTACCGTTCGGTACGGCTGTAGCAGCGGGTAAGGGAGGCGGTCGCTGCGACGGCGACTGTGATGGCTGCTGCTTCAGCGCTACTGGTTCCTCAGGTTCGGCCGTCTTGACGCGTTTCGGCGCATTTTCTCTCTCGTTTTCGGGGGCCGCCTTTTCTGGTTCGTCCTTGATTTCCTCGTGTTTCCTTTTCGCGTGCGCGGCGCTTTCTTCTCGTGCCTCGGCCTCGCGACGCGCCTTGTTCAACGCCAACTGGTGCTCCAGGTACCATTTTGCTTCGAGAATCTGGATTTCGCAGTCGTCCAGCGCATCTTGGAATTTCTTTGCCGTCTCAGCCAGGACGGCTTTTGTGGACTGTGCGTAGTTCAGAGGGTCTTTGATGGCATAGGCGATCCGCGTCACTGAACCGTTGAACATGCCTTCCACTGTTTTCACCGGGTCGTAGCGAGGTTTAGACGAGGCCATGACGAGCGCATTCGCGACAAGGTCGAGGGATATCGGAGGGTGGAGGGGCGGACGGAATGCGTCGAAAGTGAGTTCATTCAGACTGAGAAGGGGTTTGTTCCTTCAAAGCTTAAGGAGACCGCAGCTGCTGAAAGCCTGAGAGAAGAATATGGCGTCTGTCGAATGTCGAACGAAGTGTCAAGGTTCGACGTCAACCACCACTGCGGTATAGCGGCATAAAAGGCCGTTTGGTGTACTAGTAAGTGCAGTGGGTCAGTCACAAGTGACGAGTGATGATCAGTGACTGACACTGTTCTCCTCCGAGACGGGCTGACACTGATTAGGTAACCACCGCACTGCAAGCGCCCGGGGCGTATACTACAGGTATTTAACTCCCGGTAGCGTTGAACTCACAGGCACTTAGCAGGCTTAGGAGGCTCATCAGCTTAGGTACTGTACCTTAAATACAGTGACCCGTCACCCTTCAAGCCTTGAAATCCTCCCCGGGCGGCAAGCTCCAAGCCTCATAAGCCGGTGCTAAGCTGAGGATGCCTACCTGGTGCTTTGAGCTATGACACTCCACACAAAGGCTTCATAGCTCCTTACAGGGGCCGGACTGCACTCGGCTCACAATGTAGTGACCTCCAGTGGCATCGAGGCGCCCTAAGCCGGCTGCCGTTGACACGCGCTCTCCCTGGCACCTGCGACACTACCACTGGCACCGGCGCTTCCCATATGACGGGGAACCAGCGGGCACTGGTGCAGGCACCACGCCACTGCCACAGCTGGCTGCGGTGCATCTTATCAAATGATGATCTGCTCACCCACCCTGCACTCCGGGGCACCATCCACAGCACTACACAGCACCTGCAGCTCACTACTGCTCAGCAGCTCGATGCCCACTATCTCAAGCTGCGGCGACTGTAACTACAACTGGGTAAGCTACCTTACCTACCTGTTCTTACCTATTACTACCGACTACTTACAAACCTGCGTTTTCCCTCCTCACTACCGTTTCTTCTTCTTCCTTCTTCTCGCCATCTTTGCTATCAGCGTATCTTCTTCAATTCGTCGCTTTCTTCTTTCTCCATCTCCGTCTATATCGCTTGGAATTCGTGCATTGCAAGTTGGGCGTTGGGAAAGAATTCGAGCGATTCCTCATCTCTCCTTTTCCTACCGTCTCTCAGTTCATCACTCTGTGTGCTGCTCTGCTCTGCTCTGCTCTCCTCTAACCTTCACTGCTGCTCTCGGTTTCAGCTGCTACTCCCACCATCACCGCTGCCGCCTGTCTGACAGCCCCCGAGAGCCATCAAACCTCCCGGCGCGACCTCTTTTGCGACCGACCTTCTTCTGTCTCCCTCCCAACCTCCGAGTCTTGCGTTGTCATCATCTCCTACTTTCTCGACGTTGGGCGCTCCTCTTGCTGGGTTGGCTTGTCATCTTGATAGCGAATTGTCTGGTCTTTCGCAAACAAGAATTCCTTCTTGACGACCCGTCCCTGGGCGTTCTCCCTGCAGTACTACAATACAATACGAGTGCCTACTTGAGCTGCCGCTCTACATACAATACTTTTGTCATCCCGAACCTTCGCCGCGCAATTTGTCTCCTGTCATCCCAGTTGTTGCAAACGTTGCTTTCCTCAGTATGGCGGAAAACATTCCTCCTTCCACGCTGCCGCCGCCGCCTACTTCCTCGGCTGGCATTCCAGGTTACGAAGTTTCTCCCGGTAGCAATGGGCACAATGCTGCGGCCATGGCTCCCCCTCCGTTGCCTCCTGTCGTCATCCCTACGAACAACAATCCAGTCCCCAGTCAAGTCACGCCTGGGGGTGCTTCGGCGGGCGGAGTCGTGCGCAGGGCTGCCCCCGAGCCGAACAAAAGAGCACTTTATGTGGGTGGGTTGGATCCTCGAGTGACAGAAGAGGTCTTGAAGCAAATATTTGAGACGACTGGCCATGTTGTCAGTGTCAAAATCATTCCGGACAAGACTGTAAGTGGTTCGCTTTGATTAACTCGGTGTACGCTAACATGCCAAAGTCGCAGTTCAGTACCAAAGGTCTCAACTACGGATTCGTCGAATACGACGATCCCGGTGCGGCCGAGCGCGCCCTGGCCACTCTTAATGGCCGCCGCGTCCATCAAGCCGAGATCCGTGTCAACTGGGCATATCAGTCCAACTCCAATAATAAAGAAGATACCTCGAATCACTTCCACATCTTCGTCGGCGACCTGAGCAACGAGGTCAATGATGAGGTGCTCCTTCAAGCGTTCTCTGCTTTTGGTTCCGTTTCCGAAGCACGAGTCATGTGGGACATGAAGACCGGCCGATCTCGTGGATACGGGTTTGTGGCGTTCCGTGAACGAGCAGATGCCGAGAAGGCCCTCGCGTCAATGGATGGCGAGTGGCTGGGCAGTCGAGCGATCCGTGTGAATTGGGCAAACCAGAAAGGCCAACCGTCCATCTCTCAGCAACAAGCGATGGCTGCGATGGGTATGAGTCCTACCACACCTTTCGGGCATCATCATTTCCCCACTCAAGGCATCCAGTCCTTCGAGATGGTTGTGAACCAGACTCCCGCCTGGCAGACGACGTGCTATGTCGGCAATCTCACACCTTACACCACCCAAGCAGACCTTGTGCCGTTGTTCCAGAATTTCGGCTACGTAGTAGAAACTCGGTTCCAGTCGGATCGTGGATTTGCCTTCATCAAGATGGATTCGCATGAAAATGCCGCCATGGCAATATGTCAGCTTTCTGGTTACAATGTTAATGGCAGGCCATTGAAATGCTCGGTAAGTGCCCCCTTTGTCGGTACATAAGGGATGATTTCCAACAAAAGCAGTGGGGCAAAGATAGACCCCCAACCGGTCAGTTCGATACGTACTCGCCGCAGACCTCCGTCGGATCGGCGACAACTCCCGGAGGCTACAATCCCGCCTCTCCATACTTTCCACAGTATGGCACTCCTAGTTCGATCACTCCGCAAGGTATATATTCACCGCCACATCATTGAATCGATCTCGGCTAATGAACCTCTAGGCCCCAGTCCTGCTGGCCGCGTCCCATGGGATTCCAACCATATGGCAAGTCCTTACACCCCATCGCCTCAGTCAGCATATGGACAGGTTACACCGTCAGCTGGCGGCTACGCCCGTGGTCAGCCTGCTCCAGGAGGAATGTATCAACAACCTCCGCCATCGTATGGCAATAATTATCCTGGCTATTAAGCCGGATGCGTGTCCCTGTGGAAAGACTGTTCTCGGCGATGATAGTGTGGGTCATGAAATGTACGTTTCGATGGAAACTCAAATTGTTGTGGAATCAGCATGCAGTAATTCGAGCGGGCGTGAAAGGGTATCTGATAGCCTGAGATTGTTGATTAGTAACACCGTGATTCACAGGATACCCTAGGCAGCGTGATGGTTTACTTCGGGCATTGTTTCTGCACCCCAAGGGGATTGTCTCTGCGGTACTATCCACGCCCAAATGCCCTGTGTGGTGTACTTAATGAATTCAAACTTGAAAACAATATCCAGCTGCAGACAAGGCTGAGGCAATGACTCGTGCAGCCTCGTTACTTCTCCATCCATGAGTCAGAATGCCAAGCTTCAATAGTGCCAGTGGTGCACTGCACGCGACTGCGGGCTCAACGCGTTCTGTCAGGCTCGCCTGCGCTTTCACTCTACCTAGTCAGAATCGCGCGATGCAGAAATACAACAAACACATCCGATTGCTCCCTTCTGGTACTGAAGCTGCAATGTGACTTGCTTCTTCCCATTGTCCTCTTTTTCATGCACCGACACCTTCCCTTCCTTATCCTCTGCTCTTCAGTCTGCGCGCCGAGATCTCCAAAGACATTCGTTAATGCTGTCATGTTTGCTCAAGCCCTCCAACGACATCCGGCCTCTGGACATGCGGAGAAGAAGCAGACACCCCTCCAGGTAAACTCTGCTGCCAGCAATATACCCAGGGAGAAACCGCAGCCAGGCTTGAAACGAAAGTTCGATCGCAGCATGAGTACTACAAGCAATTTGGATTATCTCCACGAACAAACGTCCTTTGACGAGAACAGTCCTCCTGGTCCCGCAGAGATTACTTACCCTACCTTACCACCTCATCCACAGAGGGCCTCGCCGCCATCAAGCAGTGCTTTGGTTCCCTGGTCATCATCTCCAGAGTCGCATTATGCACGCCCCGGTGCAAAGACTTTGTCAAACCCTGTGCCATCGCCTGAACCTGGCAGACCAAGCAAGAGACGAATACTTCCCGAGTCCTTCACGTCAGCCCCGCTGGCGACTTCTTCTTTCCGCGATGAGCAGGGTGGGCCCAATTACAAACACGGTGGAGGTAATGCACGCGGACAGTTTGGCCGGTTTGACAAGTATTCTGCGCAGAAGCAGTTTGAGTCGATGAGTAGCCGGGACAAGGCATCTTCGGCCATGTCAGACATGTTGCAAAAATCAACATCTGTCCGTCAGCGACCGACCACCACTACGTCACGGACTGCTTCGGAACGAACTGTCCAGTCGTTCACCAAACCAGCCGACCCACCACACTCAGGCGTGGATAGATTGCCTGAGCCTTTCCTCAGTGATGAACAGAAAACTGTCATGAAGGCGGTCATGGAAGAAGGAAGAAGTGTTTTTTTCACTGGCTCGGCCGGTACGGGCAAGTCTGTGTTAATGAGAGCAATCATCGCCCAGCTTCGACACAAATACCGCAAGGAATTGGATCGCATCGCCATTACAGCATCTACCGGCTTAGCGTCGTGCATCTTGGAAGGACAAACTCTGCATAGCTGGGCAGGGATTGGGTTGGGAAAAGAACCTGCACCGGAACTGGTCAAGAAGATCAAACGGAACCAGAAGTCGAGGCAAAAGTGGCTACGCACCAAGGTCCTTATCATCGATGAAATTTCCATGGTGGACGGCCAACTGTTTGACAAACTTGAACAAGTCGCGCGTACTATTCGGAATAATGGTCGGCCATTTGGGGGCATTCAGTTGGTGGTTACGGGAGATTTCTTCCAACTTCCGCCGGTGCCTGAGAAGAATTCCACCGCGAGGTTCGTCTTTGAGGCGACGACCTGGAACACTTGTATTGGACACACGATCCTATTGACGCATGTCTTTCGGCAGAAGGACGAGGTCTTTGCAAGCATGCTCAATGAAATGCGCCTGGGCAAGATGAGTGCCGCTACGGTGCGGGAGTTCAAGTCTCTTTCCCGGCCTCTCAAATTTCAAGACGAACTTGAGGCGACAGAGTTGTGAGTCTGCCTTGTCCTTGCCATTGTCGTCTGCTAACAATTCCCAGATATCCACGTCGAGAAGAAGTAGAATTCGCCAATCAGAATCGAATGCGCAAGTTGTCGGGCCAGGTCATGACTTATAACGCCGTCGACTCGGGCGTTCAAGACCCGAACGTACGGAAGGCACTCCTCGCCAATTTCATTGCACCAGAGGTGTTGGAGTTGAAGAAAGGCGCACAAGTCATGTTGATCAAAAACATTGACGCCCAACTGGTCAATGGATCACTTGGAATTGTTCAGTCTTTCATGGACGAGGGCACTTTCTTCGCCTACAAAGACGATGAGCCCGCATTCCTACTGGCGCACGAGCCGGACAATGGAGCGGCTGCAGATGAAAAAGTGGCTGCGCGTGAGAAAGTTCAAGCTGCTCGGATGAAAAATGCTGGGACGGGCGTCGGGTCTACCCGACTGTGGCCCATGGTACGATTCAACCTCCCGGATGGTACATCTCGAAGCATGCTCTGCTCACCCGACGAATGGAAGACGGAATCTCAACAAGGGGAGATCCTTGCCAAACGGGTCCAGGTGCCTCTGATTCTGGCTTGGGCCTTGTCTATACACAAAGCTCAAGGTCAGACTTTGAATCGAGTCAAGGTAGATCTTCGAAAGGTGTTTGAGAAAGGACAAGCCTACGTGGCGCTCAGTCGAGCCAGAAGTAAAGAGGGTTTACAGGTTCTCAGGTTTGACGAGCGGAAAGTCATGGTGCATGCGAAGGTCCTACAGTTCTATTCCAAGCTGTCGGGGCACGAGAGTTTGGAGACGAACCACGCCACCACAACCGCGACCACGACCACGACCACGATAGTGAAAGGTATTGCAAAGGGTCAGAGCTATATGGCCACCAAGAAGGAAACCACCAACGGATTGGCTTCGGCGGACGATGACTTCCTGGATGATGACTTTTCGCTGGAAGAGATGCTCGAAGCAGAGTCACAGCTGACCCGAGGAAGTGGCAGTACGGCATAGCGGTGGCTTAGAAGGATGACCGCTCCGAGGGCTGCCAGCTGCTGGAGAGATCATGATCTGGTCATTGTTCTTTGAACATTGTGTAGCGGCTGCAATAAACTGTCCAGTGGCATGAATAGTCAGATACTGCCTATGTAGTAAGTAGTGGCCGTGCAATCAGAGACAGGCTGACAGAATGAAGGGTTAATGCGCTGCCAGTGCTTTGTACTGCTTTGTACTGCCGCTTATTGGTTGGTCGTGAGAGAAAGCGAGAAAGCGAGAAAGCGAGAAAGCGAGAAGTGACGAAAGGGGAAACTGAAGAATCTCAACTTTTGGATTTTCTATCTGTAGGAGAGTTGAACCCTTATAGACAACTCGAACCAAGCCCAATTCTCTCTCAACGTTGTTCTCTATTCACAGTCTTGACTCCCCTTCTCCTTTTTCAGCAGTATGTCGCTATAGAGTTCACATTCTACCCTCCACCATGGCGTCCGAATTCATCGGCTACACCATTCTTGTCACGCTGAAGAGTCCGCCGTGGTGGCCGAACACCCAGGTGCGCGGTGTCGTAGCAAACGTCGCGAACCAGAAGCTATTTCTAACCGATGGTCTGTCTGCTCGAGTTTCACATTGACAGATTGGTATTAACTGTGTGCTAGTTTTACTGCTATGGAATAATCAGCGGCTGGCTACCTATACGCTCGAGTCCTCTTCGATCGCCGACCTAGAAGTCGCACCAACTCAACCAGCGCAGGCCAAAGAGAAGGAATTACCTACACGAGCTGTGACGGGCCAACTTGAGCATCAGCCGATCCCGAGTGTCTCTCAAACGCGGCAAAATGAATCTGCATTCCTTGATCCCGCCATTGTCAGTTACACACAACCACCAGCCGCCCAAGCAGGTGCAGTACCTTCTATGGTCAACCCGCCACAAACCGTTTCTCCGATTATGATAGCCGACGGCGTCATTAGCAGTCCTTCGACACAAGTGCCCAGGGATGGCACCATAGAAAGTAGCTCGGTTTCTAGCATTGTCACTGCCGTGCCTAGCAAGGCGGAAAAGAGAAACCCGTCCGCGAGCGCAACGCTGACCGAGCCTTTCGATGCATTGCGTCTTGGAAAGAGCGTGGCCGGAGTGAGAACAGCAGTCAACCCGGCCAATGAACCGAAGACTCGAGACACGCCATCCCAAACTGGACCAGGTATCATTGACATGAAAGATGTGAACAATGGCCCATTGAAGAACCAAAAGAAGGCCGGAAAGGGCAAGGGATGGCGGCAAACCCCCTTGATCGAAGAGGTTCCCAGACCGAACAAGAAGAAGAATGGCCAGCGCGGTCGTAAAACCATCGAGGACGTCAATGGGTGGGCTACTGAAGATGCTACGGACATCCAAGACCTGGGCGATTTCGACTTCGAATCGAACTTGTCCAAGTTCGACAAGCGACGGGTGTTTGATGATATCCGGCAAGCAGACACCACAGCAGAAGCTGATCGATTGGTGAGTTTCAATCGTAAAGCACGTCCCGGCACGAACGGGGGGCGAAACCTTCATTTCACCGAGAACGTCCTTGACACGCCCGTTGCCAAGGACAAGGACCGGTGGAAGAGCGAGGCCGGCGAGACGGAAGATGAGATCCCTGAGGACCAGTACAGCAGTGGGAAAGGATCCAAACGAGCTGGTTCCCTGCGGCCCCTGCAGTCCAGGAAAGGAAGCGTCATTCCCGGACACCTTGAGCAGAACGGATCACCGCGACCCATGGGTCGAATCCAGACGGCATCACCTCTCAACGGCTCCATCTCCGGTATTCGGGCTTCGTTCAAACTGGCCAACAACAAACCATGCTATTGTCTCTCGCCGCTGCAGATGTTGGAGATTGAACAGTTGTGCACGTCGGAGCTGGGGTTGACGGAAGACATGCTTTCGGAGAATGCCGGGCGCAGCATTGCCGTCGCCGTGCTCAAGGTTCATCCCCATGCCAAAAACGTGGTCATCTTGGTGGGCAATCACAAATCGGGTGCCAGAGCCATCGCGGCCGCACGGCATCTGCGCAACCGTCGATTGAGGGTGACGGTCGTCGTTCTCGGCGGCGAGCGGGAAGATCTCCTACTCGAGGTCATGCGGAAGCAGCTGGGCATCTACCAAAAGGGCCAAGGCTACGTCGATCGATGGGACGAGTATCAAGCCAAGGCATCTGGCGGCGCCCCGGGTCCCGACGTGGTGGTCGATGCCTTGCTGGGGGTCCACGTCACCTTTGAGGAACTGCGGACGGACGACCAGGCGACGGTGCTGGAGATGATCCGATGGGCGAATCGAACGTCCAGCGTCCTCTCCGTCGACGTGCCCACGGGCCTCTCGGCCACTTCGGGCTTGTCGACCGAGGTGGACGGTCAGGCGCTGGTCATGGCCAGCAAACACGTTCTCAGCCTGGGCGCGCCCAAGACCGGGTTACTCCACGCCATGGCCATGGAGGGATTCGAGCCGGCCTGGCAAGTCTGGGTGGCGGACATTGGCATTTCGGCAGCTGCGTGGCAGAAACATGGATCTCGACGGCACCACGGCATGGACTTTGGGAGTGAATGGGTCGTTTCCGTCAAGTTTGTTCTCGGGTCGTAAGGCTGAATATGGGGGAGGGGGGATTCGAATGGCGTTGCATTGCATTGCATTCCGGAAAATGGGAGAATGGATCCCAGGGGCAGTGGGATTTCGTCAAAAAGGGATTCTTCATGGCGGAAAAGGCGATCGTGGTCAGGCCAGGTCTATTGCTTGCATGCTGTTTTTGATCGTTTCGTGCTGCGTTCAAGCGATGACAGAGGGTGGGAGGTAGGGGGGATGGGCACAGGGTACTGGTTTCTTTCTTCTTCGCCGTTTGTATTATTCTTCCTTCTTTTCGTCTTCTAGAGATACGGATCCGCAAGAGACAATGGTCCAAGTCCCACCACAGTCTCGAGATACAGCGTCACGGCAGGTGGGCAGCGAAAGATATGTGTTATTTATCTATCTATCAATCAAGTGATCAATCAATGGATTGATCGTTTGTGTAAAGAAGGAAAACACGAATACTCTCAAGGCATCAACGTTGTTGTTTATCCGGTCTTCTATCTTGTCTTCTGTCTGTTCTCTCAACCATAATAGTAGGAATGCTTGAGACTTGGAGCGATGTTTCTCTTGACCCCCGGCCCCCTTTCAGCAGGGCATCTATCTTGCTACCATCTATCTACCTCTAAGCGTGAGGCCCAGGGCGCTGATTCAAGAAATAAGCAGCGAAGCTTGTCTTGGGTGCCAGTACATAACAGAGGAATAGTTCCCGCTACTAGGACTTCTGTGAGCGGCCGACTGGCTGACGGTTAAGAACAGGGGGCGGGATCACAGATGGGCGATGTCGCTTATATTTGTTGCGAAACGGGTAATTAAGTGCTGATGGAACACAGAATATACCCGGTCCCTAAGGTCCCTGAGGTCAAAGGTCAGGTAGGTCAACATGGTCGTTGGTCGTTCACAATATAATATAATCCATCCCTCGATTCCTCTTCCCTTTCCCTTTCTCTTTCCCTTTTCATTCTTGCTGACCAATGGTGGCTTGTTGATAGCCGTTCAGCCGGGATCGGATCTCTCTCTGTTGAATCTGAAGCTGAAGTCGAAGCTGAACCTGAGGCCGGTTTCGAATCGAATCAAGTCAAATCGATTCAGAAGTCGCGTTGTGTGGGAGGGTCATTCTAGTCATTTGTCAACCACGAAAACATGTCATACAGGGCAGAAAGATATTGAGACTGATTGATACTGATACTGGCACTCGTTCTGGCCCAGGCAGGCTTTGGAAAAAGACCCATACAACGGAGGAGAGTCGGTATCTCGTTGAGATTGAACTATACGAACTAAACACCCGGGATCGGGAGAAGACAAAGACACATAGTGTCCCGTCATCTCGAAGGAGAGGGAATACAATCTCTACCTCTACCTCTACCACTACCTCTACCACTACCTCTACCACTACCTCTACTACTACTATTACCACGACCAAACCATACACTCACTCACTCACCACCTCCATTCCTCAACCCAGCAAACACAAAACACAGACTAAGCTTTCGAATCAACCACAACAATGTCATTCCTCCAAACAACCTTCAAAACAGGCTACATCACCGACCTCATCCTCCCGCCCGTCCCCACAGGCAAAACATCATCCGACGTCTTCCTGGCCGGCCACGCCCTGGCCCTCAGCATGGCTCGATCGCCCGAAACCATGAGCAGACTCAACCCCTTCGTCTACAGCGTACAGACCATGTCCGCTGCGGACCCGCATGCCGTTGATGCCAGGGCGATCGCTGCACGGTTCGATGTTAACGTCGACAATGACAAGCTCGACAACACCCCGTCTTCTGCGACAGCCGACACCGAGTCCGATTCCGAGTCCCAGTTCGTCCATTACGAGATCAAAGACAAGTTGCCCGTCGCGTTGGGATATTCGGCCGACTTGACGTATCATAGTGCGATCCGGCGGACGAAGGAGGGGATCGAGGCGTTGACAGATCCTGGAAGTGGTGTGTTGCTTCATGGGAGGTGGATGGTTAAAGGTGTTGCGCTGGATGGGGACGCGAATAAGGAGAGGACTAATAGGGATGATGGGACTGGGGACGCCAGTGCGAGTGCCGGAGTACTTACTCTCCTCGAAACGAACACCATCTCCTGCAGTGTTTTGGTGGCGTGGTATATCAGGGCAAGTATGGATAAGAGTCATCGCACAGCACATCAACGGTTCAAGGAGTTGTGGACGCAGAGGATGAATGAATTGGGATATCCTCCTGCATGATGATTATGACGATGGGGTATATATCCTCCATCTACTTGATGATGATGATGATGATGATGATGACAACAACACCAATGATATTAATGTGTTCTTGTTGTTCCACAAAGAAACGTTGATCGATCCAACGGACTATGGAGAGTCTCTTCTCTTCTCTTCTTTGCGTTGCAAGCGAGACGCAGGATCGGGATTGAGTTTGTCTGAATATTGCTTGTGCAAATGGGGACCAGGATTGAAGCGAAGCGAAGCTGTTCATTCTTTGCAAATCCCAACAACTCAAGGGTCAAGAAGAAGGATCTTGTACTGCTACGTCAACTCGGATCCTGTTCTGGTGTCTCTTTCGAGATCGCGAACGACGCACGTGGGAATGATTGTGTTTACTCTGAGTTTTCAATGAGTGTTGGAACTTGACTTGGGATTCGCTAATGCAATGCCGCGCGCGCGGGTTGATTTGGACCATGGAGGTCAGAGGACAGACCCTCCGCTTGACGATATCATGATTGTTGAATATGAGGTATGGGACATGGGATATAAACGTCTCCTAGAGCATCTATGGATGGACTTGAGGAATTGGACTGGAGTCGACATGGAGAGGATGGAACGGGAAAACATGGAACCCTCATTCGACCAGGCCGAAAACTGGTGTCGCCGATGGAATGTGATTGTGATTTTGACTACAGAACATGACGTTTGACTTACTCGTATCACTTTGAACTCGAGATGGAAAAGATCGTTATTCACGTGGGGTATCATACATGTATCTGCAAGGCTGAATCCATCAGGGCGGCAACAACGAAACAGTTGGAACGTCTCACCGCATCGAGGAGGCCGTCCGTCACCAACTGTCGAAATTGCCGAATCCTCCACTCTTCGTTTTCTTCCTCACCGGCTCCTCAGGCTCATCGATGAACTCGACGATTTCGTCTTCCTCTTCCGGCGGATGGTTGTTGGCTAGCGCCGCCTTCAGATACTTGCCTACTCCTCCAGTAGAATCACCGCTGTCGACGGTCCCGTCGTCACGGATTCTCTTGCCCGTCCAGGTCGTGCGGTCTTGATCCTGTCGTTGTTCCTTTTGTTTTTCCGTCTTCTCCGTCTCATTCTTTCTCTTCCAGAACTCCTCGAACGGGTCAATAAGAACCACCGCTTCGATGATCTTGATTTCCGTCGTCGGCCGGTCAGTCGAGTCGACCGGGGTGTCCTCCAGTTTCTTCAGCACGGCCATCGAACTGCCGTCGTCAACGACTCTGCCGAAAATCGTGTGTTTGAGGTTCAGATGTGTCGCAGGTCGATATGTGATGAAGAACTGACTGCTGTTCGTGTTCTTGCCTTTATTCGCCATCGAGACGACGCCGCGCGCATCGTGCTTCAGAGGTCCCTCGATCTCGTCTTCAAAAGTCTTGCCCCAAATGCTTGTTCCGCCACGGCCGGTGCCGGTCGGATCGCCGGTCTGAACCATAAAGTTGCGGATGTTCCGGTGGAAAATGATCCCGTTGTAGTAGCCCTTCTGCACGAGCCGGACAAAGTTCCACACGGCTTTGGGTGCGTACTCGGGGTATAGTTCGATGTGGATGTCGCCCACCGATGTCGAGAGTCGTACATAGCCCTTCTCCTTGACGCGGCCACGCTTGAGCAGGTATTCTTCGTCCGACATCAGTGCCAGAGCGCCCGACGTGTGCGGCGTCATCCCCGTCGAGGTGAACGACGCGGCGGCAAGTCCTGTGGTATGTTGTGTGGCGTTGTATGGAATAGGTTTCGAGGTTGTGGCCGTTGACGACTTCTTGACATGGTTGCCGGACTGTGACTTCTCTTTTGCCTGGGCCAACTGAGCGTTCGCGCGTTCAGCCCTCGCCTTTGCAACTGCTTCTTTGGCCTTGATGATCTTGAGTTCCGCAGCACTTCCCAACGAGGCCGAATTGATCGACGCTTCTTCCTTGGGAATGCCCGAATCCTCGCCTTCTCGGAGGTATTTGAACGAGCTGAGATTACGCGATTCAATGTTCTGCGGGTCCTGGAGGGTGATCATGTCCTTCCTGGAGAACTCCTCGTCGGACATCAAATCCCGCCACGTCTTGGGTTTGATGTTCAACCGCTCAATGGTATCGTAGGCAAACACGTTGGCCGAGTCGCCATGTCTGATTGCCACAATGTGTGTGTTATTTGTGAACACCTTGAATGTAACCGGATCGACATATTCTCCGCCGTCATTCCTCGCAAAGTTCAGTTTTATAAGGTCCTGCTGTTTCAGAGGCTTGCCGTTGGTCGGGTTGGTGTCGTGTTTGAGCAGCCACCTGAGGATGTTCTCGTGGTCGAAAATGATCCCCTCGGAAGTGCACACGGGAGTGTTGAACGGTTGTAGACTCAACGCGCAGAAGTTAAATGGCAATCTCTTGAATGCGGCATGGCCGCTGGTGTCGGCGCGGACACCTGCGCCTGCTGACGCCGAGTATGCGTCGGACGAGGCCCATTCGGAGTGTGTGATCTGTGAAGTCAGTATCAGTATGCCGTGGGTGCGGAGTAATGGAAGGATGTGGCCGTACATAGAGCTTATCGGTCCCTATTGAAGCCTGTCAGCAGGCTTAAACGAGCGGAAGGGGGGCCATGCTGACCTTTGCCCATCTTATGCCTCCAGTGGTCTGCGCGAGTGTTGATGTTTCCAAAGAGAAATACTCGGTGCCAGTGAAAGTGATGCGGAGGTCAAGTCGGCATACCTTCTATTTACGGAGGGGAAGGCTATCTTATATCTCAGCCTTGTCTTCCTCCTCTAACTCTAAAAGCATGAAATCTATGCAATCAATCCCTCCTCCAAGTCTCTATCTAGGTATACCCAGGTACTTAAAGTACTCTCTTACTCCTGGAGACGTCCAGGTCTCCCGCTCGTCCAGAGCAGATATCCACACCATACCAACAATGGCCGCCGCATTGGCACCTGCACCTCTCTGCAAGCCACAATGCCGTCTGGGGACCAGACAAATCCACTCCTTAACCATGACGACGTTATACGCCGAATCAGAACCTTCGTCGGCGGCCGCGTCTTCATGAGCCTTGCGCACTTCCGCGAGGAGTTTGTCGTAAGCTTGGACGAGATATGCCTCATCCGCATCCTCGGGCAAGCGCAGCACGAAATGCTTATGGGGGACATTAGCGATGTCGCTGGCAATAGTGACCTCCGACTCCGCCTGGTTGGGGAACAATTCGAACCCGAGCTCCGCCTTGCCCGGGTATTCCCAGAGCTGCATGTGCTTGTGGCCCTGGCTGGAACCGGCCTCGTAGCCGCAGTTGTAGATCATCATGTACGGCCGGGACAGGCTGGCGTGGTGAAGGAGCGCCCATGCCGTGGCCAAGTCGTTACCATCCAGTCCGTCTGATTGCGGGACGAACTGCTTCGTCACTAGCAGTAAACTGGGCCGGTAGACGCAATACTTGTTCAACAGGAGCAGGTGGTTTGGCCCGACTGGGCAAAGCACGAATGCCGGGTCTGGGTTGACGAATGGATTGCGCCCTTTTCCTGTCTTGCGCTCCGGCGCATCGGATGGGATGATTGGTTTGCGGCGTAGATGTGGTACATAACGGATTTCAACCTGTAGAGTTGTACGGCTCGTGTTAGTCTTAGTAATGTCATATTTTGATGAGAGTGTCTGGGAAGGAAGTGAACGTGTTTGGTGTACCTTGAATCCCTGGTCTTCAACAATCTCCGCTGTTGATGGTTCCCAGATCAACTCGCCCTTAGCTACGAGGTCATCGAACCTAGATAATATCAAGGCCTCGAGATCGGAAGGTAGTGCTGATGTTGTTGTTGTTATCGAATTTGGGGTACTGGTGGCTTCAACAGGCTGCCCGTTAGAGACGCTTTCAGAATGACTGTCTCCCATGTTGATAATAGACTGGCAGGCTCGGTGGATGAAGTCAAAGTCTGGCAACACAGAATGATGGAACCGGACTTTATAGGCAAAGTTGGGATTCCGATTGCTTCTGACTGTAGGCAGGGGCGAGGTGTGTAGATTGTCGATCTCTTGAGCCAACGTCGATGTATGTGAGGTTGAAGTAGCCCCTATCTTGTCCCAACTTTCAGCCCACCTTGATGATATGACCACGACGCACTATATGGCAAAACTGAGAAACTACAAGTGAGTTCTCTCCTAGTTTTCTTATGCTACTTGTATCCAAAGATAAGGCCAAGTGTCAGATGGAAAGTCCGAGTCATGACTGATGACTGAAACTTGACAGTTCCCCAATTTCTGGACACAGCCTTGCGACGTTGAGACGAATTATGTACATAATACTTCAGGAACCGTTCTAATGATGGTTTGATTGAGAGAAACAAATGCACGCCATCTAACTAGCAATTGCATATACCATAGCTATGAGCAACATACCCGGAGCGGAAAGCATCACGACATGTCCAGCCTCGGGGAGCCTTCTTCGAGTACAATCAGGAGGCCATAATCCTGCCGGCAGTCACAAAAATCATCCATCTTGGATTGATTTCTCTTCTTGACTGCAGAGACATCTTCTCAAGTATATCTTCCACGCGTCGAGTATGTCGAAACCACATCAATTGTATTACCAGATGGATATTGAGTAAGGGTCCTGCTCTCAGAGAGGAAGACTTCCACAGGCGACATTCGTCCTTGCGAGTGGTTAGGGACAACTCTTCAGCTTGTCCCCAGTCACTTGACCTTCTCGATGTGAATATCAAGAGTATGCATTCTATCAAAACAAGAATCATGTTTGTTCTGGATCGGCAGCCATGCCTCGTCCTCTTTTCGTCCCACAGCACACGCTGGTGCGCGGTAAGCGGTCTTCTGTCGTATATAGAGTTGTCCGCAAGCGCCGGTCGAGCTATTCACGACAATAGCCTTCCTCTAAGGTACAGAGGACGACGGTCCAACCAGGCGGGGTATTGCAGTACTCACATTACCTCTCTGTATAAAGCATCTCGTACCTAGGATCTCTGCCATGACATCCTTCGCCACGAGTTTCCTGGTAGCGGTTGTAGTGCCATTTGAGATGTCAACTCATCTCTGCCAATGCTATAGCTTCAAGGTATTTGATCTAGCTATGCAGTTAGTTGGTTAATACCATTGCAGGCTTTATATGAAAGAGTAAAAGATGGAAAAGATGGTGGCTTCCAGTCAAAAGACAGCCATATCCAAACTGACCAACGCTAGACCCAATCGGGCAATTGGAGCTCTAGATCTTCCGTCTTCCTGCGCTCCGTCGTTTTGTTCGTATCTTTTTATTTTCTGGTCGTTGAAGCATCAAGTTCATCCCCGTCGACGCTGCTGTTCCTGTTTGTCGCCGCATCCGGGGTTCAGTTCCTTTTAATTCTATTCCCCTTCTTCACCTATTGTCTTCTTACGGCGTCACCATGGCTTTCTCTCGCTCCCTCACATCTCTCCTGCGCACTTCGCGGCACATTGCGACGCCTGTGAGAGGTGTTAACCCAGTCAACAGAGTCTTTGGTCACGACAGATTCGGAGCCCGAACGTATGCGGCAGTCTTTGAACGAACCAAACCCCATGTGAATGTCGGTATGTATTTGTTCCACCCATCTTTCCGGTGGTGTTGGTCTAACTTTCTCTTCACAGGTACTATTGGCCACGTCGATCACGGCAAGGTAATATCTTTTCCCGTCGAGATCCTACGTCCCACGCTCACCCATCTAGACTACGCTTACGGCAGCCATCACGAAGAGACAAGCCGAGAAAGGCTTTGCCACCTTCTTGGAATATGGAGCCATTGATAAAGCCCCCGAAGAGCGAAAGAGAGGTATTACCATCGCAACCGCACACATCGAATACCAGACGGAAGCCCGCCATTATGCCCACGTCGACTGCCCCGGTCACGCCGATTATATCAAGAACATGATCACTGGTGCTGCTTTGATGGACGGTGCCGTCATGGTGGTTGCTGCTGGTGATGGACAAATGTAACATTTTCTTTCCTGGTCAAAGCACGAGCGTGGACTAATGGTCAACAGGCCTCAAACTCGTGAGCATCTGCTCCTGGCTCGTCAAGTCGGTGTGCAAAAGATTGTCGTCTTCGTCAACAAGGTCGACACCGTCGAAGACCCGGAAATGTTGGAACTGGTCGAGATGGAAATGCGTGAACTGCTGTCGACCTACGGATTTGAAGGAGAGGAAACCCCGATCATCTTCGGCTCTGCTCTTTGCGCTCTTGAGGGAACCAGACCGGAAATCGGTGTCGAGAAGATTGATGCTCTGTTGGAGGCCATCGACACCTGGATCCCAACTCCGGTCCGCGAAACCGACAAGCCTTTCATGATGTCTGTCGAAGAAGTCTTCTCCATCTCCGGCCGAGGAACCGTCGCCTCGGGACGTGTCTTGCGTGGTGTTCTGAAGAAGGATTCGGAAGTGGAGATCGTCGGTGGCGGCAGCGCCCCGATCAAGACCAAGGTCACCGACATCGAAACCTTCAAGAAGTCCTGCGATGAGTCCAGAGCCGGCGACAACTCAGGCCTTCTCCTCCGTGGTGTCAAGCGAGAGGATGTCAAACGTGGAATGGTTATCGCAGTTCCGGGCGCGGCCAAGGCACACCAAGAAGCGCTGGTTTCCATGTACGTCTTGACCGAAGAAGAAGGTGGACGCAAGTCCGGTTTCACCCAGGCCTACCGACCACAGATCTTCATCCGCACGGCGGATGAGGCGGCGGACCTGGCATGGCCCGAAGGCACCGAAGACACCAGCAAGGTGGTCATGCCGGGTGACAACGTCGAGATGGTTATCAAGACAAACCACCCCATCTGCATGGAACCGGGTGAACGATTCAACCTCCGAGAAGGTGGAAGGACCGTCGCCACCGGCCTGATTACGAGAATCTTGAAATAAGCGTGGGAACGTTGATCGTTGGAACGGATAAAAGTCTGTCTTCTACGCTGATCCCGACCACCGAAGACCTTGTATCACAATGTATGTTAAGCCATTGCTTTTGGTCACTTGTACATCTGTCTCGAAAGTTGAATTGTAGAGGGACGTCAATGCTGGTTATGGGAACAATTTCGGGGGTGTTTGTGAATGAGCTGGCGCAGAATCTCGCATATACCTCTCTACTTCCCAATACCAAAAGTGTGTACAAATGGAAATTGAAATAGACTATAATTCTGCGACTCACATGTCCTCGAGACAAAGTTGCGTCAAGAGACAACAGACATCAAGCATATTGCCAAAGGCGTGGCAGATAACAACGATACCGAGAGGAGCCGGCCTGAACAAAAAGGGGGCTTGAACAAAGAGATAGCAAGGGTCTATGACAGATATCGTTCCGTTTCAATTCAGAATGGTGGAAAGGAATCACAGCAGACGGTATGAAAGCTGAGAGACGAGATATCAAAGTGCAAAGATCCAGGGAATGGACCAGGCCCAGCAACGGAGGCCCCTAGAGGGTATTGTATCTCACATCCTGTTTGCTTTCCGGGCAGCTGGCAACAGTGTCTTGCGGTTCCATGGATTTTGCGAAATGAATGCGGTATATGCATTCTCGTACAGTCGTTGTCTTTGTACAGATAGTAGTACCAGTACCCGCAGCAGTAGCAGCACCAGTGGTTTGTCTGAATGCAATAGTTCACGGACATCGCTCCCTACGAGCCCCTTATGGTCCTGCCACTGATCCCGACAGCTCTTGTTCATTGTTTTCTGTTCTCCATCCCCCATTTCAACCCATCCCAAAACTTGACAACAGAAGAATATGTGATCGAGGACGAGGACAGCTCTGGAATCTGCTTGATTGTATGTCTCATTGAGTTGTCGCAGTTTAACTTGTCGAAGCCAGCACGCCCACAGTCTCAGCCTCGCCGCCCGTTGCAGCTTCCCGCTCCGCCCGCCGTCTCCGCTTCTCAATCAAAAGTTCTTTCCGCTGCTGGAGCATCTTGATCTGTCGCTCCTCCACGCCCTGCATCCAGTATCCGAACGACCCGCCAATTCCCATGAACAGAGGATACACCCATAACGCGCCGCGCTGGAAGAACGGTCTCATTTCAATGCCGAGTTGGACGAATCTAGTAGCGATGCCTGCGCGAGAAGTAAGAATTGGAGTCACTTGTGTCAGCCCTGGTACCAGTTGTTTGGCCAGGAATGTTCAATTGTTCTTTCTCGTGGAAGGATGTACCTACCGAAACCGGCCCAGAAAAGGATCTTGTGAACCATCTTGGAAAAAGTGTAGGTGTAGGCGCGCTCGGCGCGGCGGAGAGGTTCGTGGACAATTCGCGACTTAGTCGACCGGTTCTGGTAGGAGACGAAGGGGGGGGAAAGAGATCTCGAGTGGGAGTGGTCGTGGTTGTAATGGCGTCGGGGGGAGCTTGGAGAGGTTGGTGGTTGTAGGAGATAGGATAGGGATTGACGATTTGGAGAGTTAAGTTGGAACGTTTGGCTGCTTTAGGTACGAAGCAAGCAAGCTTGCGGCGGGCCGGCCTCTCACAGGCGAATGATTCCCAATGGAACCAACGCAGTGCAGTGTACAATAATGCCAAGAATGTATGATTGGGTGCGTGATCTGCCGTATAATGACAAGGCTGTGAGTGGTGATTCACTTCAGCCTCGCGTTGTAAACCACACGCCCTCCCTTCCTCCCTTACCTTGCACTTGTTGTGTTCAACAACATTGAATGATATACGATGCTGCTCCGGCGCCCTCTACTCTAGCGCCCACAAATATACTCACCACCAGAAAAATATCCAAATCCTCTCATTCCAGGTAACAAAAAGTCGGCGAGCGAACGGGAGGAGTCTCCTCATACCTTCCCGGTTGTTGATCAAGGAGATTTCCTCTATCCTCGATCGGAAGGCCCCACCGACCGACCCTAAGTGCATTGAAGACCTAATCTTTTTCGAGGAGGAATCCCACTACCCCGGGTATACCAGCGGGTCGTGTGCTCTGTATGCTACTTAGGTTAAATGCGAGGTAAATTTGCGGGAGTGGAATATATGAACTTCATTTATTTGAGAGAACTGGACTCGTGACCTCGCTGTCATGTGACTGTTGAAGGTGAGGTGCGTGTGAAGTATGACTGAGGATAATGGACTATGAGAAATACATGCGTGCGCGGCATGGTCGTGTTCTATGGGGAGGCTGAATCGCTTACCCCTGAGTGCCTGGACCATACAGGATTGCTTCAACACTTATGACTTATGACGGTTATGGTTTGGTTCTTTTCTGGTTCTTTTCTATCTTAGTATCTATGTTTTAGCCTGCGTAGGTGGAGATTAAATGGTATGACTTGTATATACCTCGAGGTGGACAGGTTCTGGTCCATCCGTGCCGGTATCATGGTCAGTACCCAAAACACTTTTAGGTTACAACGATGCTCGGGACTATAAGAGACGGCATAGACCGGCATCAGGGGCAAGCATTTCCTGTTGACCTGCCGTCCAATGTATGAGCTGCTAGACTGTGAGAGAAGGGGACGTCGGTTCACTGCAGCCATACACAATTCAGTTCACCAGTCGGGAGAGCCTCTCTGTGGCAGAGGCAAGCCGTGGTGACGGGATAGTTGAGCAAAATGGGCTTGCTTCGATCAGGCATTGTCGTTCTGGAAGATGTAGATGGCAGAGGATCTACATGCCTGCCAAAGCAGACCTGACCTGGCTTGAACTGACCCTGCTTGACTGTTGAATCCAATAGCATGAGGTCCGCTCACCGGATGCATTGCCTCTCTACGCCGTTGATCAGGGCTGGGTCACCAAGGAACAGTGCCGAGTGTGCCAGGCTCAAGGGATTGTGGAAGCGTCAGTCTGTCGAGCTGGGCAGGTCAACACGCGTACGAAGTGCGAAAGGCAGAACAGAATTAAGTTCCAGACGTTGAACTTGGTTCATGTATTCACAAACAGGGTCGAGTTACCCCGGGGGTCTCGGTCTCTGTGGTAACATCTCGGAAAGCAGCAAACGCTTGTGGAAGTAAGAGGTCATCTGTGGAATCCAGCAGACTTCTGGGAAGAGGTGAATAGCGATATATTGGTACCTTAAGGTGCCAGCAACCGGGAAGAACTCCCAGGATTGTGACTGCGAGGGTGTGGCATCAAGCCCAAGCTTAGGTATCTACCAGACGTATGTCCTAGTGAAACGGCTGTATATTGTCCCAAACTAGCGTGCCGAGAACAGCTGATACGCCTTTCATTGCAATATAGCGTTGTCTTTCTATCCACGCCGTTGACTTCGCCATCTGTGTGACTCGTTATAGCACGATTGATGCGCGTAGCACGTAGACTTTCAAGGCACTTCCAGCCGGACGTGGGCGTTTGAGTCCACATCTGCGGATATCACCTTTGTGGCATAGGTACTTGGCAGTGCCATCAATGTAGAACATTCTGATGTAGAGTTTCGTAGTATCAGTATAGCAGAGATGTCTGCAGTAAGTACATGTAGGTTGGACGGGTGAATGATGAAGGCTGAAGGCTGAAGGCTGTAAGAAGTCCCCCAATGCCAAGAAATTGCTGACACGTGACTGAATTATCGGCTCCAGGTTTCTTTTTGGCCTTGACAGCGGCAACGCGACCAACTAGCAGGCCGCGTCTGAAGTACAACTCAATTCAACCAGTTTCACTTTATTAACCACCAGTGTGTCCTTGTGTCCTCTTGCTGCGATTTTCGCGCAGAAAGGACTAGGACTTTACAGTCTAATCATCCATGGTCTCTGGCAGCCATGGCTGATTCTGTCATGACCGACTCACCAGCGGCCGATCCCTCAGTTCCATTCTCCCTGCGGCCGCGTTTCAAGATTTCTGACCTCCCACTTGTCAAAGAACAGCGGACAACGATCGATGCCCTTCTTCTCAAATTCAAGAAGCAAGGCGGCTATGACTACCTCCGGAAACAAGTTTGGGCCTCGTTGAACTCCCCAGACGCCAAGGCCGCTCTCACCGCTCAGATCCAAGCCATTGCAGTGGCCGAGATCGAGAAAGATCCGAACCTGCTGAGTCGAGAGCGGGGTAAAGCAGCGACATTGATTCAGGGTGCAGTTGACCGAAGCGATATCTACAAAGATGTGGAGTCCAGGATCGACACCGAGCTTGCAAAGCACTCGGCTCCCATGCTTGATTCAGTACGAGACATTCGCCGCGAAGATGTAGGCGCTGAGGTTGCAGCGGAAGAGGAACAACGTGGTAGCAAGACGGATGATCAATACCGAGCAGAGACTGAAAATCGAGCCGCCGAAAGGGAGCGAAATAGGAGTCGAATGGAGCAATTGCTTCGCGAGACCGCCGAACTAAAAGCAAAGATCAAACAGGAAGAGGAGAGGAAACGCAAGAAGGAAGAGGCCAAGCGTGAGGAGGAAGAGCGCAAGAAGCGTGAGGCTGAGGAGGAGGAACGAAAAGCAGCCCGAGCTAAGCGACGAGAGGAGGAGGAAAAACGTGAAGCTGAGCGAATTAAGGCGCGAGACGAAAGGCATCGAAAACGTGAGGAAGAACGGCGAGAAAGAGAAGCTCGTTACGAAAAGGAACGGGATAAGGAAAGAGACCGCGACCGTGAACGTGATCGGGAGCGTGAACGAGAGCGCGAGAGGGAACGAGAACGAGAACGAGAGCGTGACCGTGACCGTGACAGAGGAAGAAACCGCGATGACGACCGCGGCCGAGAGCGTGAGCGTGAGCGTGAACGCAAGAGAAGCACAGATCGAAAACAGTCTCGGGCAGAGTCTATTTCCTTTAAAGATCTACCGACTGACGAAAAGGATCTGGAAGCCACAGCCCTGGAACTACTTCTGAACGAAAGCAAACAGTTGGCCGAAAAGTCCAAGCACAGGCCGGAGTATGATTTTGAAAGATCAAAAGTACATGATAGCTCTCGAAGATTTGCTGGCTCAGACCGTTACTCTGGCAGGCGGGACAGATCTCGAGAGAGCTACAGACCCAGTCATGACCGCCGAAGCAGGTCTCGCCATCGGAGAGAATCTGTGCACGAAAAGGAGCGGGAGAAGGAGAAGGAAAAGGAACCGAAGAAAGAAAAGGTGGCCACTCCGCGCCCTCGATCCCCGAGTAAGGACCGGGAAGAAGGCGAAGCGCGGAGCCAGAAGGACTCGGCATCACCAGTTCCCGAGAAGGTCACAGCAGCAGCAGCGGCTGCGGCTGCGGCTGCAGCTCGAGACAGAAGGCCTCGATCAGCTTCGCCGCCCAATATCGACCGTTATGTTCCGGGTGGCGGTTTCCATCGTACAGATGAGGAGCGTGACCGCGCCCGAGATCGACGCCGAGCCAGGGATTTGGAGAAGGATGAACCGAGGAGAAAATATGACAGTCATCACCCTGACCGAGGTACCGATCGTGAGCGGGAACCAGATCGGGAGCGAGACCGAGACCGAGACCGAGAACGTGATCGCGACTATGACCGAAAAGATCGTGAGCCAGATCGGGACCGTGATCGAGACAAAGACCGTGACAGAGACCGTGACCGTGACCGTGACCGTGAACGTGAGCGATATCGAGAGCGGGATCGGGATCGGGACCGTGGTCGTGATCGGAGTCGGAGTCGCGACCGTGAGAGAGATCGAAGCAGAGTACGAGGCCGAGACCGTAGCCGAGAACGGGACAGGGATCGCGACAGAAATCGAAGCCGAGATCGAGATCGAGACCGAGACCGAGACCGAAGTCGGGACCGCGACAGAGATCGAGACAGGAGAGATCGCAGCCCTCGACGTCGTGAAGAGCGAAGGGATGAGAGAAAGGACGACCGTCGTGATGATAGGCGAGATGACCGACGGGACGACCGAAGGGACAGTCGCCGGGACAGAGATCGGAGTGATGTGCGTCGAGACCGAGATCCTGTTCCGATCGACCGTTATGTGCCCGGACGATAAATCAACTCAACACCTCAGGGCTCAAGTGGCTGTAAACGCTCGCATGGGCGCTGGTCGAGCCATGATACTCGGCAAAGGCGGCGGTGGCAACGGCAACAGCATTGGCAGATGGTTCTGCTGATTGTGACTTTGCAAACGAGAGTTTGAGATGGTCTTATCCGAGTGTTTGCGGAAATTGAACTCGGCGTTCGATCGGGGTCTAAGATCAGGAGACAGGCCTTGGACGATTGCACGCTCCAACAACAAAACACTGCGCAGGTTGTCGCCTTGTTTCGTCCAGATGGAAATATGGGTGAAGTACAATCTGGGCGAGAAAGACATCCCCAGGATATGATCGTGCTCTGGCAAATCACACAAATCAATATCATCACATCAGTCGTGAACTGAACAACAGGGGAGGTGATCACAGCGCAACAAAACAATATGAGTAGAAGGGTAGGGGTTGCAGAAGATCATAATCACCTTGGGCGATGGCGGCTTGCAATTCTCCACCACAGCAAAGAATGCAGACCTCTTCCCACACTCTGATGGCTCGATCATTCCCATTCTCGGGACGCACGCGAATCAACCAACGTCCACCGTATTGGTTCTCGGCGTCTTCCCACAGCGGTTTCACGCCGGCGCGGAAGATATGGATGCTGTCCTTCTGCCTGATCTCGGTCCAGGGCACGTTGTTGAAAATGCGGTAGAAGGCTCCAATGTCGGCGACGTTCTCGACGAGCGTTCGCAACAAATACTCGGCTGTGTCGTCGGGTTTGGAATGCCACACCGACCACCGGTACTGGAAGGGAAGAGGCCGCAGTTTGGCGATGACCATTCGGTGAAGCGATGATGACCGACGAGGCATAGATGGTCTGGCAACTGTTACGCTAGAAGCCAGCTCAGATGGCACAACCGTGCTACATGTCTTCTCCGCCGAGGACATGCTGACAGGATTGGAGACTTCAATTGCAATGCACAATTCTTTTCTTTCTGTGTCGTTCGAAGAAAGTGGTTTAATCGCAGTGCAGTTGTGTCGCTTTGATCAAGTCTCGTTCCGTATGAAAACCCCCAGATATCTGTCCAAGTGTTCCTTTTTAGATATACGGACAGAAACAAGAGCTGGACAGCTCGGAATAGCTCGGCCTCTTCTCTCCACGTCCTCGCAATCGTGAATTGCCATGTCTCATGCAGTCCAGTCGTCAGATGGCCTCGTATTTACCATCACTGGTGGCGGGTGTGTCTTGCATTCGTCATCTTCAATCTTGATTGCATCCCAATGGTCGAGCGATACCAATAGCCGCCCAAAACATCGTGACGAACATCGACAATGTGAAACGCGAGTTGTGATGTATACCGTATCCAGTAACCCGACCGACTTCGTTCCATTCGACGTGCCAGTTCTACGCGCCCGGGTGGAGACGCAATATCTTAGGTTGGTGAAACTTCAACTTGAAACACGAACCGAACCCAATCCCGTCCCACTGGAATTCTGTATCTGATGACGGACTGGGGGGGTTGTGTAACTGACTGATGATCGACCTATCCTCCCCTCGCATTCGCGTCTTTCAAGGTTGCTGTTGCATAGGAACAGAAACATTTCGGTCTCATCCGTGTCTAAGTGTCTAACATTAACATGTCTCTTCCCGAGTACGTAAGTACCTATCAAGCTTATGTGGACATAGAAGCCTCAGCGTGAAAACCAGGTACGGCCAGAACCCTACAGGTCACGGATTTCTCTACAATGGGACTCGGGGTCATCTGGGGTAGGATTGGATGTGGCTGAAGGTCTTTCTTCATTTCTTGGTTGAATACTATCTGCTGTTCGACTCTATTTATGCTAGCGAAGTATCTTAGATATCTACCTACCTGGGCAGTAAGTAGCAGTAACAACACAGAGAATTCCTTTCCTGTGGACAAGACGTGTTTCGATCGACCACAGTTCGATACCCTCAGTTCGATACCCTCAGTTCGATACCCTCAGTTCGATACCCTCAGTTCGATACCCTCAGTTCGATACCCTCGGTTCCGGTCCGAACCTGGCTGCAAGGTCGACAAGATGCAGGATTGTCCGAAGAAGAAGAAGAAGTCGACATCTGTGGGTAACAACATCCCCAATGCTGCATACTGTAAAGTACCTAACTGGCCGTAGGGGAAGACCGGGGGAGATAAGATAGCGATTAGTCATTAATTAGGTAAGCGGAAACCCAAATCTCACATACTACCAAATATTGCTTCATATTCGAGATGGTCTTCACCATTACTCTGTATTGCTACAACGAGTATCGATATCGACCACTTCTATTCTGTTGCTTATGCCATTAATAACGTCCAATCACTATTCCTCTTATTGCTAGTATCAGCCAGACACGGTTCTGGATAATAAGCACTCTTTATTACACAGACATAGGCGAGGCATGATTACAAGTATTCAACAAAAACACTGCATCATCAACAGGAAACCATGGCTAGCAATGCGGAAGAACCACCAGCGAAGCGGCGGCATGTTTCTAATTCTCAAAGTCGACAGGTTGAAACAGTCGATGACGACCTGAAACTTGGGAGTGCAAGAGACGAGACGAGCAGACATCACAGAAAAGGGAAAGGGAAAGGGAAATGTGAACGGCAGTCGTGGTCTTCAAAGTCCTCGTCTTCGTCTTCGCCTTCTGGGAGGCGCTCACCTCAACGACCACAGTCACTACATGATCTTCCCACGATCACGGCAACAGAGAGCAGTGGTCTGGATCTGGACTCGGATCATGATGCTGATGAAAATGAAAATGAAAATGAAGAGGAAGAGGAAGAAGAACCAACGTCATCTTCAGGGACTGACGAATCCGACACCGACTCGGACTCGGACTTCGATGAAGGGAGCGACGCTACCCTCACCGCCAACCATCTACTAGACATGTTGACCTCCTCCACCACGTCTCGACGACAAGCGCTCAATACTTCTACTTCTGCTTCTGCTTCCTCGTCTTCCAGGGAAAGAGAAGTGGAAGGACAAGAGGATGAGGAAAAAGAAGGGGAAAGACCACCATCAGATCTCAAATCTCGACTCCAGAACTTCCTGCCGCAACTACAAAAAGCCAACAAGGACCTAGAGACCTCATCCGCATCTGACATGACGGTATTGATGGAGCGGAGGATCGACTACGTCCCCGACGACGCCGAGCAATATATTGAAATGAACCTGGGTTTGGGGGTGTTGACTGAACAGAAGCCATCCTTGGTCTCGACAAGAGTTGAAGAGGACGGGGTGGAAATCAGGCTGAAGCGGGACTGGTCGAGTACGGATGATGAGGAAGAACATGGCGGCAATGACGAGGATGATGACGGCGAGTTTCTGTCTGGTGGTCCGAGACTGTCGCTGCCAGGGGAAGACTCTGATACACGGGGATCAAGTCCGGGTCAGGGTCAGGTTCAGGGTCAGGGTCCGGTTGAAGATGTGTTGGCTCGATTGATGGGGGAAAGGGTGCATAAAGGCGGTCGGACGAAGAGGAAAGTTGAGGAGTTGGGATGAATCCTGATGAGACTTGTGACTTTTTCCATTCTCCATTCTACCTTCTCCCTTCTGTTACTCGACTTGACAAGATGACATCATTTTCGCCGACAACTCTCACGATGTAAGTGCGTCTTGACTCGAGGTGTCCTATGCTGAACCGATGCGCAGAGTCCGTGTAGAACGTTGGACGCTGTTCACATGATCCCATTGACTTCTGCGGGGGCTTTGTTGTTTCATGCCCTTCATCACTATCTACAGTTATACGACCACATCCAATGTGACCATGTGACATGTCTTCCAGGCAAACGTGTTTTGTTCTGTTTCTAGGACTTGACTTGAGATTTCTCATCAGCCACCATATTTACCACCATATCTGCCTCCTCGTCATACACCACCACCCCCCGGCGCAGCTACCCCCGTAGCCTCAAAAACCAGTCGATACAGCGCACACCTCTGATCCAAATCCCCGGCAGAAACCAAAGTATTGAGAACCCCTCCCGTGCCCAGATCCGCGACGATCGGCACGCCCGCCCAGCCCGGCCCACCGCTCGGATTCCTCGCGAACGTCGCCCACGATGTCTGCAAATACTGACTCAACGCCCTTTCATCCTCGGTGGCATTGACGCGCGGATACGTGCCCCAGACCAGCGGGATCTCGGAACTATGAAAGACGCCCGCCGTGGGGAACCCAGCCAACTGGATATTGGGAAACGTGGCATTATAGAAATACCGCCACGCCGGAAACCCAGCGGCAATCGAATCATTGGCCACGATGGCCGCGGGACACTGGAACGCAAAGTCCGTGGCGATCGCGGCGACCTGTTGTGATTCCGGCAGCGGGTAGGATGCCAAAATGGCGTTGATTAGTGCCGTTTGCCCAGGGAGGGTGCCGCCCAGGTAGGCTGTGGCGTTGGTGACGCCGATGGTGAAGAGGGTACCTTCGTTGGTGTTGGTGCCCGTGAGAATGGGCACGGGGGCGATGCTGCCGTTGAGCCGGGCGGCTTCCGGGTAGCGCAGATTCGTGACGTTGTCTGAGACCGGCCGGAAGGGGAGGGCGAGGTGTTCGATGGTCGATTTGATGGTCGAGGCGGTCTGGTTGCGGAGACATGTTAGGTTGGATTGAGGGTGTGTGGCGCTGCAGTTGAGCGCGGCGGCTAGGGCGAGCCATGAGGTGGGCGCGTTGGTTGGGTTGATGTAGAATGATGTTTGGCCGGATTCCATGATCGCGGCGCGGAAAGGGGGGTTTATGGGATGAGTGGTGACAAGCATGTCGACACTAGAAACAATAGGAGAAGAGAGAGTTAGGTTTGGTGATCTAACAGAGATATGACAGATGGCTGGGATAGAGTGGGAGGGTGTGTGGTTTGTGCTTTGTGGTGGTTTATACCTTGCTGCCCCGGCACTTTCTCCAAAGATGGTCACTTTCTTGGGATCACCGCCGAAGGATTGTATGTTTCTTTGGATCCAGTCCAGAGCAAGGCCTGTGTAGCATCAGCAATTGCACTCTGGAGTCTGATTTGCTCAGGGTGGGAGAAGTCTGCTGCACTCACGTTGGTCCAACAACCCAAGGTTGCGTTTTGTGAATGGCAACTCAGGAGAATTGGGAAATCCAAAGACTGGAGGGACGAGGAGTTAGCCCGATTACTAGTAGGCAAGGCAGTCGACCACGGTTGTTTATGCTCACCATTTGTGCGGTAGTTAAGCGTGACGATGATGACATCTTGATTTACCGCAAACGAGGTTCCGTCGTAGATAGCCAAAGAATTCGAGCCGTAGTTGAGATTTCCGCCCTGAGAAGAAGCATCAGAGATCTCCTGTCCCAATTTCTAAGATAATCGTAAGTAACTCACATAGATCCATGCCATCACCGTCTTGTTCTTGCCCGGCGTCCCACGGACATAGACATTCAGGTTGAGACAATCTTCGCTCTCCCCAGCTGGCGGCGGAGGAGTGTTGAACCAGCCCATAGTGGCATTCCGCGACGCCTCGGGATAGTTGAACTGCTGAATACACGCCGGGCCATATTTGGTCGCATTGTAGGGGCTCGTCCAGGGAGTCGGCTGGGTGGGCGGTGCAAATCGGATGGGGGAGGCTGCGAAGGGAATCCCTAGGTACTTGTTGACCGTGACAGTCGCTCCAGCTGGTGATGTTGCTACTCCCACCACAACACCAGAGTCGATGGTGACAGTAGGGGTGGGTACCGAGGCTGGAGCAGCGAGTCCATCGTTGATGAGAAAGAAAACTGCAAGCACAAGCTGCAGCAATGGGTTCATGATGGCCTTTTTGCAGCTGGCCCGTCCGAGAAATCGAAAAACCGTCCACGATGGCGGGGTGTCTGCTGGCTTTCAATAGATTTTATGCTTAGCATCAGTCGGTCTCTGCGGGATGCCGACGATCCTCGCATGACCAGGGGAGCCAGTCCCCCGCGCAGTCGTTGCCGAATTCTAGGGACCGATGTATATTCCGTATCTCCATTAGTAGAGCTATCCGATGGGAGAACCACGACAATGATGGTGACGATGACTATCAGGTAGTACAGGGTTACACATCCTTGCAAGGTACTTTCAGCCCCGCTGCGTCGTTGAGTAGCTCTCGATAACTCGCGATGACACCCATGTTAGGTTACCGCCGGTAGAGGTAAGGGTGGTAAGGGTGATCTGGGTGGAGAAGACATTCCATTCGTGGAGAGAACCCCTGCAAAGGCGGAGAAGAGACTCGAATCTGGGGCAAAGCGGAGAGCTTGACGGCGTACGAAGCTCCGTTGTCGGTTCGGTTGTAACCTAGGTAATAATGCATCGTACCAGGACGACGAACGGACGGATAGGCCATGGTGAACCGTAAGATAGGTTTGCAAGGTACATGGGTCGATGGATGATGATGTCTTCAGATCGGCCGGTCGAACCAAATCTGGCCTAATCACCGGCTGGAGTGACCAATGGTGCTCTCTTTGGACCTGAACTGCCTCGGTCCTTGGTCCAGATAAAAGCAACGTGCCTGTCGATGGCAGGTGAGTTGCTGGCTGGCTGGAGGAACGGCAGCAAAGAAATGAACAGCCGTTGCGGTGTCAAGCCGGGTACATTCATGTATATGCCAGTTGACGATGACGAGTTGATGGACACTAAAGGTCACACCTGTAGTGTCTCGGTCGGGAAGAGTTACCAGGCAGGATGAACGATGTCTCATCCAGAGCCTCACTCATTGTCTGGCCTCTCAGCGGTCAGCATCCGCCATAGAGCTGCCCTTCGGCTCAAGAGGTCCTTGAACGGCCCTTGCTCGACAACGCTGCCTTGGTCCAGCACCACCACATGATCGACAAATGCCATCATCTCCTTCGCATGGGTCACGACAACGACTGTCATCTTCTGTTGCGTTCGGGTGACCAACGTCTTGATGCTTGATCGGATGATCTCCGCACTCTCGCCATCGAGAGCACTCGTCGCTTCGTCAAGGATAAGAATCCTGGGATTTCGGACTAAAGCACGCGCTATCACGATGCGTTGTGCCTGTCCACCAGACACTCCCAGGCCTCCGTCTCCGATGATGGTAGCATAGCCTTGAGGCAGCGATTGAATGAATTGATGAATTCCAGCCGATTGTGCAGCAGACTCGATCCGAGAAGCCGATATAAAGAGTGAGTCGGGTGGTAAACCATATATGATGTTCTCACGAACCGTCGTTGGTAGAAGCACAGGAGACTGGGGTACCATCGAGATAAGAGATCGTAGTGTGGTAGGATCCAGACTGCGGATATCTCGGCCAGCCAGTGTCAAGGACGGCGGACCACCTGAGGGATCTGCGGGCGAGAGGAAACCATATCGTCTGTGTTTGGAGGATAGAGGCCAAGGATGAGGGAAGCGATTGTTGATTTGCCTGACCCTGAAACACCCACAATGGCCGTGTATTTCCCGGGAGGTATAGTCAGGTTCAGTCGTCGAGTAAGAGAATGTCAAATTGATGAAATGAATTGGTCCAAACAGAACGGTTGGGTCGTCCTGATTCAGTTTGACCCCAACCACATCTTCATGGGAGACGACTGGCGTTCGCACGAGACGTAGTAGTCGTTTGGCAGTATCATGTGCAGAGCTGATTTCGGGGATATATGTCACCACGGCTGACGCATTGGCAGTACAGAACAGAAGGAGAGAAAAGACAGTCAAGATGGATTTGGCCGGCCATTCTTGATTTTTAGCGAGACGTGCTCCATACCAGAAGATCAATGGTGTGAAAAAGATGATGGCCGAGTCGGAGAGCCCAAAGAAAAGCCCACTGACTACCGCCCGTCGCTTTCCAACTGAGAAGGCCTCTGTGGTCGCATGATGGTACTTTTTGTGAAAGTATGATTCCAGAGTGAGGGCTCGAACGGTCTTGATATCTGCAAAAGTCTCTGCGTAGATATCGCCAATCCGCTCCCAGGCATCGTTCGTTCGGGCTTCCCAGCGTGAAGAGATTGACTCGAAAGACCGAGTGATGAAGTAGAGAAGAGGGGTCACTGCGAGGCTGACCAGCGTCATCTTCCAGCATGTGATGAAGGACCACAGGACTGCCGCCATCATCATCACGGCGACGACCACCAATTGGGCAGCGAAACGTCCAACAAGATCTATCATCTCTTCCGCACTGCGGTCCAAACAAGAGACAAGGATAGCTGTGCTGTTCTGCTCCTCACCGAACCAAGCTTTCGGCTGCCGTAGGACGAGTTCCATTGCGGCCATTCTGAGGTCGTCAACCCATCTTTGGCTTACACAGCCCAAGAGATAATGCATGAGGAATGATGCAATTCCATCAGCAACAGCTACCCCAAGCACCACCATGGAATACATGAGCGCCTTTTCCTGATATCCCGTCGGCAGAGAATAGGTGCCAAAGACTTGGACGAGTGCGTACGAGAATGTTGCTGGCGCTCCAGCATGACAAAGCGTTGCAATGACTCCACAAACAAGCCTGACTCTGTCGGACTGGTTCAGGACTGGCCAGACAGTTGCCAGAATCATCGAGATGGAATAACGTTTCTGCTCTTGTTCAGCTACTGCTGCCAATCTCCTGGTAGTGGCGTCCTTGAAGCTTTCATCTCTGCTGGAGAGTTCCAATATCAACGGAGGCACAGGCAGCGGCTTGCTCTGGTATGCCGGTGTGCGAGGGACCGAGAGAAATGCGGCTGCATGCGCATTGATGTGTCTGTTGGCTGGCACCGGGGGCGCATCGCTGTCGAGGGGTTCAACACGAAGCTGGTCTCCCCCGAACACATACATGGCTTTGGCCCGTGCCAGAGACTGCCGCTTGAGATCTTTCAGTGCAGCTCCTGTGGTGGCCGAGAGCCCTTTCATTAACCTTCGTGTTAACGGACCTGAAGAGATGGTGAACCGTCGAGATGAGGATGTTTCGTCTTCTGTTACGATTTCCATGGCATCGTCAATTGAGTCCCTTCTGGGAAAGCGTACGGTCGAGGAGCTGTCGGCTCCATCTGGTTTAAATGCATTCCGGCGATGTTTGAGCGGCAGATCAGTTCCAGCAGATATGCGGCCAACATCGGTATTCTGCTGAAATTGGTCGGCTCCAGCCTCGGGTCCTTGGTCGACGTTCTCGATTTCGTTCCGACGGCCATTGCGAATAACCCGCCCGTTCTCGATAACATACACCATATCTTGCTCTTGGATCTGACTCAGATCGTGGGTGATTATGATGGTTGTTTGATTTCGCCGCCAACGCCGGATCTCCCCCATAACCGCAATCCTGCTCGTGGCATCGAGCGCACTTGTGGCTTCGTCCAGGATCAAGACCGGCGTGTCCCTCAGCCGTACTCGAGCAATGGCAATGCGTTGTTTCTGCCCGCCAGACAGAGACGAGCCCCCACGACCGACTCTGGTATTTACTCCGTCGGGAAGAGCTTCTATCGTGCTCTGCAGGTTTGCCATCTTCACGCAATTGCTCACTTGCGAGTTAGCCACGAGGTGGTGGTCATGATGCCCTAAGGCTATGTTTCTGAAGATTGTCTCGCTGAACAAAGTGGTCTGCTGTTGTACCAAGCTAATGTTGTTTCTGATCCAGTTTGTCTCGATATCCCGCAAGTCAATGCCGTCAATGGATATCGTTCCACTCTGCGCCTCGTAGAACTTGAGAAGCAGCTGACCAATGGTGCTTTTCCCGGAACCACTCCTACCAACAATAAAGGTTGTTTGGCCAGCTGGAAATGAAAAGGAACAGTCATGAAGCACGAGGTGGTCTGGTCGGACAGGATAAGCAAAAGAAACCTGGAGGAGTTAAAATTGTGGCAGCACAATATTCAGGCAACATACAGCTCGCATCTCAATCGTCCCGTCACAGAACCGTGGCGGCAAGCCGTGAACTTTAGGCTCGGCAGATCGTCCAGTATCAACTTTGTTTAGAACTGCCTGCAGCGTACCGGCAGAGGCATGCGCGCGTTGAAGGACGACGATCTGTGGAAGGATATCCTCGAATGACTTTGTCGCAATCAGGCATGCCCAGAACGTTGTAACCACCTCTCCTGCTGTGGTATGTCCGGAATGAATCTGGGTTCCCCCGTACCAGAATCCTATACACACTCATGAGACACAATCTGGAGAGCAAGGACCTCTGCGTACTTGCCCTGGACGAACATGATGGTGCCAGCAAACCGAGCGAATGCGACCTGGGTCGCGCTGAAGAACGCTTGCTTCAAGGAAGATGCAGCAGCTTCTTGCACCGCTGTGCCATACTGTTGCCCTTCTTGCTTCTGAGTATTGAACAGCTTTACCGTCACGACATTGTCAAGGATGCGAATGGCCACCTTGGTTGCGTGTGTCAATCTTTCGTTGTGTCTCTCCACATGAGTCTGGGCTCGTCCGGAGAGAAGAGCAACACCCAATGCGATGACAGGAACCACAGAAAGTACAACAAGAGTCAACTTCCAGTTGGTATGAAAGGCGAGGCCAAGAGAAGACACAGCCTGGACAAGATTTAGAACCGAGAGACCAAGAGGCTGTGAAACTCCCAGCTGGAGGTCTCGAATCTGTCTGCCTTGATTAGTGGTTGAGGGAAGGGAGCGTGAAGTGTCATACGTTTGCAGCCTCGCCAGCAGTGTCCCCACTCCCATCGTACGCTCGTCATACCAGGCGAGGTCTCGATCTAACAGGGCTTGGAAAAGCTGTTCCCGCACACCTTTTGCTTGCATCTCGCCGAAGACTAGCCATGAGGTGAAAAGTCCACTCTTGAGAACAAATTTACAGAATCCAATGCCTAGCAAAGCGTAGACGCTATCCACAGTTTTGTCCATAAGGATCGGACCATCGATTTGTCCAGATGCGTAATCCGAGAATGCTTGGAAGTATCGACCGAAAACAATAGCCATCGCGGGCTGCAACAATCCCATAGCAACAGAGAGGAACACGGCGAAGGCAAGTATAGGAAGATGCGGCTTTCTGGTGAACAGGAACACCGTTCTCCAATCACTGCGGCCTGCATGGGAGGTCGGTCGGGCTTTGGACGAGTTATCACCATCATCTTGCTTCGGCTGGCTCATATCTTTAGACAGAACGTGCGTACTCGAGGCCGCATGTGAAGAGCGACCAGGATCGTCAGAAAAGCATCAAAGGAAAATTCGAATATTCAATTACCGGGTCGATTTGAACAGAGTTCCCGCTGTTCTCAGTGGTCTGCTTCATTCCCCTATCTTGACTCCCAACCTCGGTGGGCTGGCTCGCCTACCAACCTAAGATTGGACGGTTGCTTCATATTGTTCTTCTGGAATGCGGCCGAATCTCCTTTGACAATGGTGAAACCAGTCCGTGAGTCGCAACTATCCTTGAATCCGTTCTCCACTTCCAAACTCTTCGGGTGTAACTTGTACTTGACATTCTCAAATATCACGTTCCGAGGATCGGGTCGGCCTTCGCTCGGAAGACAAAGATACTCCCCTGGAGCAAAGTACAGTGTCAACATTTTCTGTGACGTGCTTTTTGTAGCGAGGCTCTAACTTGAGCTGCAAGAGCATTATTTGTTGAGTCAGACGATCTTGCCGGCCGTTTTATGACTTGTTGACGGCCTCTTTTTGAGCGTGCTCATAGATCCAGTCGTTGAGACCTGCACGATTCCTCGCAATTTCAATTGCATAGAACTGCATTCGAATGACAAAAATAGTTTCCTTCTCTCCGTACTCAGTTTTCGGACTCTTTCTCAGCATCGTGCCGAAATTGTAGTCCTCAACTTTCTTCTCGCCTTTCTCGTACACCATGGCAAATTTCCGCCACTTTTCCTTGCCTTCTTTGCTCTTCATCTGCTCTTCATCGATCTCCTCAGCCGGGTCGAAGTCTGGAAATTCTCGCTTGAAATGATCGAGAATCTCGTCATCCAGTCTAGTGAGTCGAAGTTTGGATCCCGGCAACTTTTCGAGAATTGACCAGTATATCGACATATGCTGGACCGCTCTTACGGCAAACTGCTTCTCCATGTCCTCAAAGTTGGGAGCATTTTCGGGGTCTATGTAGTTGGTGAGAGACATGATGTCGGATTCTTTATCAAGTCTGGTGGTGATGGAAACACCCAAAGTCCGATCTTGGTAGTGGTATACCGCCTAGTGTTGTTGCTGGTTTGGCACCTGCCCGAGTCTGGGATCCCAAATGTACTCTTGATGTTGTGACTCTGTAAGCCTCTTTGGATATGGATTTGGATTTGGACTCAGATGTTGCCACGCGCTGGTAGTAGGTAATCAAGATGTTGAACATCAAGGTCTTCGTTCGATCTGCTCTGGCCCTGGGAAAAGACGAGATGCTTGGCGGTGGCAGAGATAGTGGCGCTTATGATTGCACTAACTGTTTTAGCAGCTCTGTCAAAGCGGCAACTGTGGCTAATGTAGTTGGTGATCCTCGTCCCCGAATTGAACTGCTCACAATCGCCTCTTTTTCCTCGCTCGCCCTTTGCTCCAAAATACCATTGTGAAAGATGCGCAGCCTGACCGACTATCACAATACCTTAGGGCATCTATCACAGGAGTATTTCTGCAGCTTTCCAGCATGCAATATGCGACCGTTCTCACACCTCCATTGACAGACCATCGGTTACATGGACAGCCGGGCTCCGGCCCACAATAACGTTTCCCCGTATTTTTGTGCGATCTCACTGCCATGTTGTTTTCTTGCAGTAAAAGAGCATGTGAAAAGAGTCTCTGTCACCAGCCCATCATCTGTCACAGTGTCAGCATTTTATTAGTAGTGAACCAATCCTGTGGCTACCAAGACTACTTACCTGACTTGCCCTGATCTTACCTCAGCTTTTTACTGCCACTCACCACACTCACATCTGGTGCCTCCACCTCGCAGCGTTGTCTCCCGTTCTCCGATGATATTGTGCAAACGAAGAAGATTCATTGACATGGATTAAAGTACACATATACGACTAGCCATAGTAATCCGCCGCCTCTGCGCCTCGACATATGCATCTACAATCTCACCTTCCTTCAAGTTAGCAACTAGGCACATCTCGAAACACTGCTGCAGCTTGCACATTGAATCCAGACTCCGCCTCATTCTGCCTCCTGCGCTTCTGTGGCTTCAATTCTCCTCCTCCTTTCCGTCAACTCATACTTGCCCATCATGGAGATGCCTCAGATTGCTCGTCCGATACCCCGACGACCATTCGAACTGACTCCTACTTCAACCGACTCGTCGCATCCTCCATCCCCAGCGACTGAAGCCGTCAATCCGGATGGGCTCGCCAGTCCAAAGCCCGATTCCACACCCGCTCGAACCCGATCGATCCTCAACCTCACCTCTTCGACACTGCTCGGGATATATTCACCTACAGGGTACGATGAGAACCGAGAAGAGTTGTCAACGCCGTGGGGGACTGGAGCGCAAACACCAAACCAAAGGCAGAGCATAGATGACTACAGGCCTCGACAACCTTCGTCGTTGGCATGGCCCCGTGATGCGGACAAGCCACGGCTGAAACCCAAGAGAAAAGGATTCCGCGGCTTCATAATACCTCTACTCCTACAGACAGTCCTCCTGTTCGCATTTGGGATTGCCTATGGCTCCGTCGTCACGCATCTGCACAAGCGGCAGCTTATAACGCCAGTGCCTGTTCCGAACGTTGAACGCGATTCCTTGTACTACCAGCTATCTTGGGGTGTGTTTGGCATCTTGCTGGGCAATGCTCTACCGCTAGTCGACTCCTTGTGGGAGAAAGCTGGTTCTTCTGTCGTGTCTGGGGAGCAGACTACTCAAGCTACACAATTGGGGCCTGAAATAGCTGCTGCAACCGAAGGGCCGACCTCTAGCCCTTCATCTGACAGTGGGTTGGGTCCGATATGGTATTCAGCCGTGAGAAGCATTGGTGTGTTTGTCGGGATCGCCTTTGCAGTGGTAAGTCACCCACCCTCTCGTCGCAGCACCGCCCTATTGACGACTTCACGCAGCGACGGCTCCCCTGGCAATCAACTCTGCAAGTTGCCTTGACGCTGGCTTTAGCTAATCCCGTTCTATGGTACCTGATTGACCGGTCCTTATCGGGCTTTGCTTTTTCAGCCGCCGTCAGTACCATTGGAACAATGGTTCTGTTGCTCGTCGATCCGAGTTTTGTGCCGCTTCCAGCTATCCATCAGCCGACCGCGTCTCAACAGTTTGGTGTATATACGTGGTTGGCTAGCATCCTCTTCTGCACGAGCATCTGTTTTGGGGCTATTGGCAGGCGACTTCAATTGTGAAGGTGATGAGGTAGTCAAGAAAGGCCACTTCAGGTGCTATCGTTGCCAGTAAGTTATAATTCGTTCTGCTATGCCAGGTGTGGTGTGCAATGCTATAGCAATCCAAAACCTTGTGCACGTCCGATTCGGGCTGTCCATAATTTCGTAGGAGCACTGCTGCCGTGTCTGCGCCTTCAACCTCGAGTCGCTGTGGTGCGTTGTATGATTGAGAAGCAGCAATATGATGGCAGATGCATGCCACAAACAGTACTAGTAACTCGCTGTCCGCCCACTCCCTCGCCTCTTTTTCCGCCGACCATATGGGAAGAGGTCCACGCACAGGCTACGGTGGACAGTTGTCAGCGGCAGGATGGACGTCACGAGATCGAACGCAGCAATGCAAATAGGCGTATCCAAACATATGCTCGCAAGTCAGTCCGAGCAGCGGAGGTGGTTTCAGGTTTCACAGCTTGCGAGCCGGGTGTCGCAGAAAGGCCGCACAGCGGTTGCAAGGGTTGAGACAAATCTGGCGCGGGAGCATGTGTATTGACGTTGCCGGTGTTTACAATTCCTGTTTTGTAGACGTTCAGGAATCCAATCTTGGATGCCTTGCATGATCAAATTGAAGCCTGACGAATGCTACCTCTTAACATAATGGCCCAATCCAAGAAGAGCCATAGCGACATGCCCGGGTGCTCGTTGACAGCGCGCAGGATAACAGATGACCTGACCACACTCATCAACACTCAACGCGCAGATGATCAGGCGCGTCATGAGCAACCGCGCTTCGACAAGCTGATTCGTTGTCCCCTGAACATGGGACTCGATTTGATCGTGCGATAGGCGTCGGGAGGGTGTATGCTAGGCGCAGTTGGGTAAAGGCCCGTTCAGGTTTGTGGCCAAATATACCCCGTACTAGGTACTAGGAGCGAGCGTACTATGGGAATCTATGCCAAAAAATTCCGCACCAAAAAACCCTTGGGAGTCTAGGGATTCCTCAGCTTGATCCAGGCGCCTCTGCCAAGGGGGAGTGTTTGGTGTCTGTTCACGCACTGGCAGCCTGAGCGCAGTTTGTGATGATTGTCAACTTTTTTAGACACCCGCCCGCGTCTTAAAACTCCTGACCCATGTCGACGCCCTCCTCTACAACCCTTTTTTTGACCCCTCGGACATGCCTTGCGCTCTATGTCTCCTGACATTCATTTGACGCCTTAATATTCTCTCTCTCAATCATCCGCTCGGGAGCTGGCTCTTGTGCGACCATCACACTGTTGCTGCCCAACTGCTAGTCCACTCCGAGTCTAAACATCAGAGCCCGCCAATATCAGACACGCCCAAAACCAGAGGCACTTAATACGTTCACCACTCACGATCCTCCACGCAATATGGTTTCTTTCCAATGCGAGGTCAGCACCATGCGCGCGACATCTTTGTTTGAGTGGACCGCGAACTGACTGCTCGTCCTATAGGGATGCGGCGATGTTTTGACCAAGAAGAAACTCGACTCGCATCGCAACCATTGTCGGGGCGCCGTCTTTACCTGCATTGACTGCATGACCACATTCCCAGGAACGCAATACAGAACACATACAGTATGTCGATCCGCAAACGCGGGTATATGGAGACCTGCCGTTGCATCTGCAATTGCGCCCGGTTGCGGAACTTTGGGCTGACTTGAGGCCTAGTCATGTATGACAGAAGATCAGAAATACCAGGGCGCTTTATATCGCGAGAAGCCCTCCAAGGCTGCGAAGAGAAAATCGGTCTCGATCGTTGAGCCGGAAGACACCAAGGCCCTCGTTCCACGGAAAGCCTACGTCGAGGACGTTCCAGATACAGATGCTCCACCCCATGCTCCTACGCCGCCTCCTGCTGTGCCCGACTCCAATCGCGACAGTGTTTTTGATTACATGGTCGACGGGAGCGCCCCCGGGACGCCACAGATCAGGTTTTCCAAGAAGGAAAGGGAAGAGATGGCCATGAAACAGACTGCACCATCCATCTTCACTGGCAGCAGGCCATCAAGCCAGCATGGCTATCGAAATGCAGAAGAGAAAGCCAACAGTAAAGAATATGAACAGAATGGTTATACTTGGGGTGCGGAGCCCGTGAAGCCTCGAGGCGCGTTAGACATGAACAATAGTTCATTATCGCTGGAGTTCATGACCCCGGCTGCGAAAGAAACAAAATCGAGGCTCGACAAGACGGCGAGGCCGCAGGTGCATAGCCGAACCAACAGCGGAAGTGAGAAGAAACGGAAACGACCAACGGATGATCATGCACACGAGGGAGATAACCTGCTGGTCGACACCGTCAAGGCGGACACCCCGGGGATCGTCCACTCTGGACTTACGGGCGGCATCAGCCGCATGATGTCGCAAGACGAGGAGTTCCCTTTCCGACAATCTCCAGATACCGAGGATAGACGCCAACTCAATGGAAAAGACCGATCCTCTCGCCGGAGTCACAAACCCGAAGATCCCACGTCGCCTCTGAAGCGTACTCGTCATACCAAAGACGATCCCAACGGTCTGGGCATCTCTATCAAAGGCCACGCGGTCAAGGCGCTGTCTATGGTAGGAGGAGCTTTGCTTCCCGGATCCCAGACCGACAGTCAGCAAAGTCGGACACGGAGGAGAGCGAGCTCTTCCGAGCACGGCCAGAGTGTTGTTGGCGTTCGTGAGGGCGAGAAACGTGAGAGGAAGAAACACAAAGTCCACCGTCATAACGGTACAGCGTCATCCAACGTCCGCCATGAGCACCGGTCGCGTCGCCGTACGTATAGCGACGGCTCCCCTTCTCAAGGTGAAGGCACGACGCGAAAGGTCAAGGCGATCGAGTACCACCAGCAAGGAGAGTCCGGGTCCGAGTCCGACTCCGATCCTGCTCACCGCCATAGCAACGGTGGTGGAAGACGCAAAGGTCCTAATGGGACCATGGTCGTTTTCGGCGCCGAGGAGAAGGCGAAGCGCGCGTGTCGCAGTTTCCTCGCCAATGCGCCGGGGCTGGAGTCTGACAAGGGTTACTCCATTCACAAGATGCTGAAGCGTTGGCACAAGCAGAACGACGTCAGGAGTTCGACACACAAAGCAGAAGAGGAAGAGGAACTGTGGAGGAGTCTGAGGGTGAGGAGGAACGAGCGAGGCGAATATGTTGTCATCTTTTGACCTCATTCAATCCGTTCCCTCCTGCTTCTGCACTGGTGTCAAACATGCACCACGCTCAAGCATCCCAAGTCGACAAGACCCGCCCCCCTCTCTCTATCTCTCTACACATCTGTCTGCCTTCCCTAACAACAATGCTGAGCAGTCGCTTTCGTTGGCGTTGATTTCAATGGTGGTATCCTTGTACTGTGGTTTTTGGCCCGGCGACATCTGTTTGCTGAACATTGTGTTTGATCCTGGCAAGCGAGATTACTCGAGATGACAGAACCTAATGAATGTACATTTATGTGAGGATTGGCTTGGAGTTGGATTGTGATCTTGCAGAACGAGCTGGTATGGGAGGAGGATCAGGAGCGACTCAACTACTGCGGCCACTGGAGTTCTTTTGTACAGGCTTCTGGGGCGTAATGTCAGGGAGCACTCGTAGGATGCTGGTGCGAAGGCTGAGACCGTGGATCTCGTATAGATACTGCCCCTTTATAAAGGAGAGGAATGATACCCACGACAGCTTGAGTTCACCTTTTTACTACGTCCGTCCGATGGATCGAGGCACCGGGGCAGTAAGACGCTTCAATACGAGCAGATCTTGCTTTTGTGCTGACCAGGCAGCCATCCACCTCAACAGTGTTTCTATCACGGTTATATCACAGGTCGGCCTCTATGTGCCGCTGAAGGCTGCATCTCTTGTACTCCCTCTGCATTTTGTCAAGCTAGATCAAATACCTCCAATGTGCACCGACCAGGAGCAAGCCATAAGATATCTTCACCCTGTATGAGGTACACAAGGTAGGCATCAGCCTACTATTAGGTACTTGCCCCCTGGCGTCCTATACTACCGAGTTTCATCAGAACAAAGGTACCAGACACAAAATCGAAGGAGCCTGGCTCCCGGCGGGCCGTGGCAGATCCGAAGCTCCTACTAAGGCTCAGTGTCCGCACCAAATAAGTCCTTCAGCCTGACCGTGCACCCTTGTCTTCTGTCCCCTATCCTTACTACCTACATACCATTCAAGACATCGCCTTTCCCTAAATACGGCGAAGGTAGCCCGAAAAGGGAGTGACGAAGGATATCGGGCGGACTAATAGCCGAGGGGTTTGCGTAAGTGCTCCAGCAGTACTGGATAGTACCTCTGTCAACCTGTCAACAGGTCGACCGCGTCTATGCTATAGATCGAAGTCCTTGCATTGGACGATTCTGTGCAGCGTGTCCCATCGCATCCGGGGCGATTTTCGCGAGGGGACCCTCGTTGGAAGACGTTTATGTCGAGCTGACAGCGCAGTGACAGCAGTCAGGATGCAATGTTCAGGAGGATTCGTCATGGATGTAGCACGTAAAGAGAGGAAGATTCCAGCTCGAAACAGATCAACGAAACTGCAAGCTTGCGATTCCAGTTTAGCCTGACAAGCTGGAAGCCACCGGGGGTGAAAGGATTGCTGTCTGACAAGACTTGTTTCTGGGCCATATGAGGCACACGGTGGTAACGATGGTGGTCCCCTGACCTATATCTTCGCAGTCAGACCAGAATATAACCGTTATTCTACCTGCAATGTATTTTAGTTGTGGGCTAAAGTGCAATCCGTACCTTGGTGCTTAAAGGTACAGTACCTGCAGTGGTAATTTTGCACCAAGCCACTAAACTCGACCGCCTGCACTTCGCCCTTGTCCCCTGTCTTATCCCTGTACGCTCCACGCTCCCTTGCCTGGACGAGCCTTCCAGCCCTTGACGCTCCGGTGCCACTGGCGATAGCGTACCACTCCAGGCACTGACACGAAAGCCAGTCCAGCCAGCCCAGCCCGCCTAACCCGCCTAACCCGCCCAGACGCCTTCGGAATAGTCACAGGTATGCTAGTCGTCGCGCGCCGTAGTCCTTCGCTCCCTTGATTCACCTCAGCTTCACCCTTCACCCTTCACCCTTCGTAAGCTGACCTCTCCCACACTTTCTACCGATTGTTCCCTTCCCACAACCACCTTCACCTCCTCCCAGATATTTGCTATTTCCATCTTCGATCAGAGCAATGTATCTAAGAATCAGATAGCTGCTCCGTTCAGCCTCAACAGCACTGGAGTCGCTCTTGGTGCACCATGGCCAAACCTCCGCTTCGGCCCCCAGGCCGACGTGGAGGATCCAAAACAGTGCTGACCTGGGCTTTCCTCCTGCTGCTCATTGCTGCGGTTCATCCTCAATCTGTTCCTCACCACGAGTCCGTTCAGAGACTGGTGGCCTCCACCCAGAGCATCCGGCCCGATGCGAGTCGACGTCCTCAGGCTGGCCGCAGCCCAGCAGAGATACCTCTCCTCAAAAACGACATCGCCACGGTCAAGTTCAGAAGTACCGATGAAAACCCCGAAAACCATAAACTCCGTGCCTTGGCTCCAGCACACGATAGCAGTAGTGCTGTTAGAGCACCTCTTGTTCAGACGGCCGAGTCCTCGCGACTCTCAGCGCTTCCTTCAGCGCGGCTGCTGCAAGATTGGGAGGTGGAGAATATCATCATATTAGCCACCATTGATGGCACCATACATGCCTGTGACAGGAAGACTGGCAACGAGAGGTGGTCACTGGGAATACCGAATAGTCCTATGATCGAGACCATCCACCACGCCGTGAACCGAAGTGACCAGGACGCTTCCCACTACGAAGACGACTTCATCTTCATCGTGGAACCGAGCAAGGATGGCAATTTGTACATCCAGCATCGAGATCCACGAATCGGTCTACAACGACTGGGCGTCACTGTCAAGTCCCTTGCAGCCGAGACTCCGCAGTTCGTGGATGATCCCCCCCTGGTGACAATTGCTTCTCAAGAGACAACCGCATACGTGGTGGACGCTGCGACAGGAAACATTTTACAACAGTTCGACAAACACAGAGGCTTTTCCACCGACGATGAAGACCGCAGCTGCCGACGCCTCAGTGGGTTTGAGCTCGATGGCCCAGCCTGCGAATCCTTGGGGACATTGAACCTCGGACGCGTCGAATATACCGTCCAGATATCACACAAGATCACAAACCAGCCATTGTGCACCATAAAATTTGCCGAGTGGGTTCCAAATAAGGGAGACAGCGACCTGCAAAGCCAGTATATCGCACCCCTCGACAATTTCCATATCCAGAGCTACTACAACGGCCGAATCATCGGAATTGACAACAACGCGGACGCAGCCAAGGTTCATCGATTCACTCACATGTTGGACACCCCTGTTGCGCGCGTTTTCGATGTTGTCCGTCCTCTGGACAATAGAGACGCATCTCCCAAACTTGTCTTGCTGGCCCGACCGACCGATTCTCCCCTCATGTCAACCCCCCAGATCTGGCGAGATGAAACGCAAAGAGCTGAAAGGGTGTTTGTGAACAAAACCGAATCAGGGGTTTGGTACGCGCTGTCGGAGTTGTCGTACCCAGGTGTCACGAGTGGTGCGGCACCTGCAAGCTCACATTGGAATTATGACAATCATCCACTGAATTTCAAGAGCGACATGGAAGAGATTGTTGGGGTGCACGTTCTATCCACCGAACCAGACAATGCACCATTACGATTGACTATCTCTGGGCCTCCTCCGGCAACCGACTTGGCCGAGGAGGCAGCGAGGGACATCGCAACCATTGGATCCAAAATCGCGCCATCGTTGTCGCCAGTGTTGAACCATCCGCTAATGTCGGTGTTCAACCTGATCGTCATCAGTGTAATATTTCTCTTCGTGGTGGGAATACAAATGAAGCTCCCCTGGATGTTAAAGATGCAACAACATCTTCGCAAGGCTGGCTTCGAAGTCGCTGTTGAGAAGGCCGAGCCTCCTGCGTCTGTCCCAGCTGCTCCTACGCAGACGACCGGTGACCGTGAAATACCGGTTGCCGATGTTGAGCAAGCGAAAGATGAGCCGCAAATCGTCTCACAAGCATTAGAAAACGCCATTGCCACGCCCAGCAGAAGTCGTGCTGAAAGCGTTGCAGTTTCGACATCTAGTCCTGTCAAGAACGTCAAACTAAACAATGGCAACGATGAGAGCTCGGAAGGCGATTCGGAGGACGACAAGGGCAAGCAAGAGTCCAACTTGGGTGAAAATACCGAAGCCGGAGCACAGCCTCGTTTCAGACACGCCAAGCGCGGGAAGCGTGGTGGCCGGAAAAACAAAAAGGGAAAAAAGACCATGGATCCTCAGGCTATGGATGAAAAAGAAGAGCTGGTGGTAGAAGTCCCCACCAAAGATGGCATGTTGCAAGTCGGTCGACTCAGGATTGACACGAGAGAGGATAGGTGTCTGGGCCGGGGGAGCAATGGAACGGCTGTCTTCCCTGGCACGCTTGACGGCAGGGAAGTGGCCGTCAAGCGTCTGATTCGAACCTCGAACAGTTTGGCAGCGAAAGAAATCAAGCATCTCCTGTCAAGCGATGAGAATCCTCACGTCATTCGATACTTTGGTAAAGAGGAGTCGCAGCACTTCACCTACATCGCGCTGGAGCTCTTCACCACCTCTCTCGACCAGTTCATTGAGCGGCCTCTGCAATTCCCTAACCTGGTCAAGTTTCCTGAAGGGTTTGATGTCAAGGACGCTCTACGTCAGATTACCGATGGTGTTCAGCATCTTCACTCACTGAAACTCGTTCACCGGGATATCAAACCGCAGAACGTCCTTGTGAAGGCCGTAAAAAGTAACCGACCTCCTACCGGTTTGCCGAAGCTGCAATTTGTCATCTCCGATTTTGGACTGTGCAAGCCTTTAGAGGAAGGGCCTGAATCAACCTTTGCCCCCACGGCAAATCACACCGCTGCAGGGACGACAGGCTGGAGGGCGCCAGAACTCCTGGTACATTCCAGATCAACCATTACTGCCTCAAACACCACCTCGTCAACATCGAAGTCCACTACCCATTCCAGTAACGGAACAGTGATCGACCGTCCTTCCGGTCGTCGCGCCACCAAAGCCATCGACATCTTCTCCTTGGGCTGTGTCTTTTACTATGTCATGACCCAGGGTCGCCATCCCTTCGATGTCGGCGGTTCCAGTCTGGGCAGAGACTTGAACATCAAAGAAAACAAATTCAGCACCGAGGATCTGCGCCTTCACGACTACCAATATGACGCTGACGACCTTATCATGCAGATGCTCAAACATGACCCCAAGGAGCGTCCCGACACGACGGAGGTCCTGCGTCACCCTTACTTCTGGGATGTGGCGGACAAGTTGGAATTCCTCTGCGATGTGTCGGATTGCTATGAGCGGGAGAAGAACTCGATCAAGAATATCTTCGACGAGAACGCCATCCGCACGCCAGCCGAAAAGGAGGCGCTGGCAGAACTCGCCGCCCTCGAATCGCTCGCGCCCAACGTCATTGGCCCGTCGAGGGACTTTCTTCGAGCCTTGCCTAAGAGCTTCGTCAATGAGATGGGCAAACAGCGCAAATATAGCGGTTCCAAAATGATTGATCTCCTGCGTGTCATCCGGAACAAGAAGAATCATTTCCACGATCTTCCTGACGATGTCAAGGAACAAATGCTCGGCGGAAGTCCTAAGGGATACTATGAGTTCTGGGCGAAGAGGTTTCCTAGCCTGCTCATTAACTGTCATTGTCTCATATTGGAGAGGGATCTCGTTGGACGGTTTCGGATGGAGAGGTATTATGAGTGATCAACCAAATCCCTAGGTTTGGTAGCACACCTAGGCAGGGGCCAGTATCTCAATCAGCCTACGAGCAGTGCTATATCTAGATATTGCCTTCTTCGTCTGTCTGGATTATACAATCACTATACGATTTTGGCAGCATTGATTTGATTCATTTTCATCAGCTAGAGTATGGAATACTGTGCTGTTTGGTCTTCAGGGCCCATACCATGACTTGACCATGGCCGTAGTTTTCGTTCATGACGGTAGAAATCTCTCGTGCCAGATGGAAGGCATTGAGACCATTTTCTCTTTTCGCCTAGTTTTACACACAACACAAGCGTCGCTTTTCACCCGTCTCCCTTTCCCGTCGTTGCGTGCCTTGCCAGTACAACCACCAGATAGATACCTGAATGGCTGATCTAATGTTCGACCAGGAACAGCCAGACGCTCGCGCAAGGACCTCGAAGACAAGCGGCAGGACCGTCCGTTGGACAAGGCTCTCGCTTGCAGAACTAATGATGGGACCAGATGCTGTACACAATCGACCCAAGCCCTTTGAGGTTCTGTTCTAGCAACGCCTGAAGCGCAGTGTCTTGTAGAGGTCGTCGTCGAAACCCCTCATCCCTGATTTCTCCAGCGCCACCATAGTCAGGCACGGTGCACAATGAAAGGGTCGAAATGAAATGGAAGCTGGCTTATGAGGTGTTTGTTCGATGTGATACCCGGCCGCCCTGCGGTGTGGGATGCATTTCGTCTCAGTTGGCACAGATGTCGATGACGGTGCTTTGGTTGCCCCGAACAGCTGAGGAACAGGTTGATACAGCTTTACATGCGCTCCCTTCTCCGCGGGGCAGCACGAATGATGTTGTCGACTCTCAACAAGAGCTCAGCAGCCTCGCTGGCGGAACTGACGACGGCTTTCTTCAGCTTGTAGCTCTCGACGACGCCGAGCTCACGCATATCAGCGATGCCGCCGCCGGGGGTGAGCAAGTCCAGGCCACTGGTTGACATGCCGCGGTAGACCTCGCTGCGCAGTTCAGACACCAACGCGGACGAGTCCAAGCCGGCATTGTCGGCCAGGATGGTGGGGAGCTGTCGAAGAGCAGTGGCGAAAGAGTCAATGGCAATTCGCTTCTTGCCGCCGACCTTCTGGGCCAGCGAGTCGACGGCCTTGGCCATGACCATCTCGGCACAGCCGCCGCCGAGGGTGACGCGCGGGTCCTTGACAGTCTGGGACAGCACGGCCAAGGCGTCGTGCAGAGAGCGTTCGGCCTCGTCGAGCAGCTGTTCGGTGGCGCCGCGGAGGACGATGGTGCACGCCTCGCCCGCGGCCACGCCGGAGAACTTAATCAGCGTGTCCTCGCCGATGATGACCTCCTCGATCAGATCGCAGTGGCCCAGCTTGACTTGGTCCGGATGGTCAAATGTGGAGGCGATCTCGCCGCCGGTCACGAGCGCTAGACGCTCGACGCCGTCGAAGTCGGCATGCTCAATGCTCATGATGCCGGCCTCGGTGAACAGCTGTTCGGGCCAGTTGTAGATGAGCTGACGGTTGATGAAGCAGTTGATGCCGTGGGCCTTGATGCGTTCAACCTTCTGTCTCATCTTCTCGCGCTCGGCCTTTTCCAGCTCCGCCAGCTCCTTGGGCGACCCGACCTTCATGCGCGACGCCCAAATCTTGACTTTGTCCGTGTCCATGGCCGTGTTGGCGACCAGGATCTTCGCATTCTCCAGTCTCTTCGGCTGGTTCACGCCCATGCGTTTGTCCAAGATGAACCCCTCGTCCAAGTAGCTGTCGCTCAGTTTCCCGCCGGCCTTCTTGATGATCTGAATGTGGTTCAGGTCCACCGACCCCTTGAGCCGCAGCACGGCCTCACACGCCAGCTGCGCGAACTTGTCTCGGTCTTGACTGAGGACTTTGGAGGAGAGCGTCGTGCGCGCAATCGCCTGTAGATCCTGCCGGAACGCGCCGGCGTCTTTGCTGTTGTCGACCGCCGCTTTCTCCAGCGCTTGCAGTGCCGCCTGCGATGCTAATCTGTATCCCTCGATGATGGTCTGCGGGTGGATGTGTTTGTTGACCAGCTGTTCGGCTTCTCGGAGCAGTTCGGCCGCCAGAACCGTCACGGACGTCGTGCCGTCTCCGACCTCGTCGTCTTGCACTTTGGAAATGTTCACCAGCACTTTGGCCGCCGCGTTGTCCAGCGCTATACTCTTCAATATCGTCGCCCCGTCGTTCGTCACCATGATCTCGCCCGTGCTGGCGCTCTGCAGGATCTTGTCCATCCCCTTGGGGCCCAGCGTCGATTTGACCAGGTCGCCCACCGCAATGGCACCCACGAACGCTGACAGTCGTGCATTTTCGCCCTTTTCTTCTTGCACGTCGTCCGCGAAAATCTGCGTAGGGTTGTTCGACGCCATCCTTGGGTTGTGAGCCTGGCCGGGTCTGTGTCGTCTGTCCGTTGCTATCGGGTAAAGCTTTGGGGAAAAGGTGGTCAATTAACAGGCCCAAATTTACTTGTACCGCTACTAACAGAGGACACTGCGTAGTACCTTATTACACAAGTAATAATTGTATCGACTGCGGAGGAATCCAGGCGACGCACTCGCATTGCAGTGGGGAGAAGTTGTCTCTTGGCGGCTAAAGCGGCGTTAACATCCTGGCTCCGAACGGGTTGGGCTTCCGCTGCTTTAATTTAACTGCTGCTCCTGCCTGTTTTGATCGTTCGTCCTTTCTACTACCTCAAGCTTGATCTACTCAATATCACAGAGTCAACATACATCTGATGGACATCGGAAACGGCATACAAGTGCCGATATCACTACATCAACATACGCTTGGTGGTCATCGGAAAGAGACACACAAGTCCCGATACTTAAGCAAGCTCTACCCAGAGACGGTAGGCTGAGATATGAATGTTTTTGCCAGGTCACATAAAGAATCACGTCCTCGTTCTGGATGGCTACCTCGCTCTCCACGCATATCACCAAACGAGCCAGAAGGCCGCCAAACAACATGTCTCAGGATTGGACAGCTTGCTACCCTTATTAACCTGCTGGGCAGCTGAGATGCCAACACCTGGCTCATTGCATGCCGATATGGACGGGTTGCTGCCAGTGGTTACCGCCATCAGGCTCCCCGCTCAACGATACCTGTTCTGTTTCGTTTGATTAGTGGCGATGCTCAATGGTGAACATATCGGACGCAATGCATTTGACAAGGGCTGCATATCATGTACAGGTAAAGTGGTCTTCCTCACTAACTCCACAAGGCGAGCTATCGAGCGCCGTAACTGATTGCTAGCTGCCCCTGATATATGCAGCCTGCCTCCCGCTACATGTGCTGGCTATGCTGATCAGGCTGCAGCGCCGCCCGCCCTTAACAGACTGTACAAAGAGAGGAGAGGCATGATACCGGTCACCACTACCTTAGTCTCTATATCAGATACCCTTTTTTCTGCTTTTTTCTTTCTTCTTCTCACTTGATCACTCCATCCATCTGCTTTTTTTTCAGACCATCTTTTTCCATATTCTCCCTTCTATTCCGATTGAACAAGCTACATGGTTACCTACTGAATTGCAAAAAGTCGGTCGTGAACAAGTTTTGATAACCGCCATGGCACCGTGGCGCCGTGGAATGCGCAACCGCGGTTCAAGATTTGAAAGAGGCAACGGTTGGCGCGGAGGAAGGAGAGGAAGGGGGAGACCGTGCTCCAACAACGCAGAACGGTCTTCTAATGGGAATGGCGAGCGACCATCAAGGCCAGAGGACACGTACGAGCAAGAAGAAGCTAGAGCCGACTACATTGCCTGGAAAAGAATTATCAAGACTCCACCTCGACAGCACGATGAGAAGACGGTGGACCGGCTTTGGAATGGTGCTCTTCCGATTTTGAATGGCGGCGAACGAGAGTGGAAGCAGATGCTCCCAAGAGATCTGGTGCATGAAGAATCTTTTGGTCTGGAGCACGTCGGGACCTTACTGGCCATGCGGACAAGTGTAGGAGGTCCCGGTGCATTCGTTCAGCTGATTCGACCCTTTGTCCTGGTTATCACGCACTGGGCATTCTTAGATTGCCTTTCTGTCGACACTTTTGTGGGAGCATTGTACACCTTCATAGGTGGCACGAACGGGACAAGGGCGGTTCCTTTCTTCCAAAATCTCTGCTGGACGCTGGTCAGTGTACATGTCGATAAAATCTTCATGACAGCAGCCTCCACGATTGACACAACACTGGTCGCCGTTTCAACTGCCCTTCGCGAACTTTTGAGGAGGGAGCCCAGAGCGAGATTCAACGATGATCTTCCAACACTGATTGACACGTGGAAAACACCGTGCAGGTGATCACTCGAGCAGGTCAGTCTCAGAGTGCCACAATCGTGCTCAGTCAAATCAACGAGATACGAGCAATGGTGGCTCGTGCAAACGGGTTATTAGTTCCGGAGGAGGAGCAGCTGGAGGCAATATCCAAATTCACAGGTGTATCCAGTTACCCTCGCGCCTTGGTGATGCCTCGAGATCGCCACGACAACAACAAGACAGATATCACCAAGATCAAGGTCTTCCCTACTCGTGACGAAATTCTGAGCGATGAAGCAGATTTCTTGCCGTCTACCGACTTAGACTCACATCATTTTCTTGCCGACCAAGCCGAACGTCATATCGACACCCACTTCCGTCTCCTTCGTCACGACACATTTGGTGAACTGAAGGACGTCCTTGGGGGCGTGATACATGCTGTCGAGAACGACCAGAACCATCCCAGACTTGACTTTGGCGATTTCCGAGCTTACCAGTACCTTGGTGCCAACATCAGCTATATTTCCTTCGACAAGCGCCGAGGCTTGGAGATGCAGTTATCCTTTGCGCAGCCTCCCGCTTTGCGCAAGGAACGCCCCTTAGAACGACGGAAGTGGTGGGAAGCGTCCAAACGGCTTTCCGAGGGCGTCCTCCTCTCCTTCATCTCGGTCAATGAGGTTCAGCATTTGTTCTTCACCGTGAGTGAGAGAATTACAGACACAAGCAAAGCTCATAGTCTCACCCACAAAGACTATCAAGCCACTATTACTGCAAAGTTGGCGAGTCACGATCAGATGAGTGTTGAGGCCGCAACTCGATTGAGCTACAAAAAGGCGAGAGGAGTGCTGATAGAGTTCCCTGGAGTTTTGCCGGCCACCTTCACCCCAATACTTGAGAACTTGCAGGACATGCAGCGGCATAGCCGGTTGCCCTTCCGTCAGTGGATTGTTCCGGATAGGATCAGTGCCATCCAGCAAGTCAAGGATATCAGTATTCCCCCTCCGCTCTACGCGCGGCATCGTGGATTTGCTTTTGCGTTGGAGCCGATCATGAGTCGAGACAAGTTACCTGTTGACAGTATCTCTATTGACCCAGCCACCTCCGCAAACGATCCCACTCTGATCGATACGATGGAAGCTCAAACGGACCTAGATCGCGGCCAGTGTCAGGCTTTGCTTGCAGCACTAACACGAGAATTTGCGTTTATTCAGGGACCACCCGGAACTGGCAAATCCTATCTGGGCGTCCAGTTGATGAAGGTCCTGATGCACTGCAAATAGAAGGCGGATTTAGGACCCGTCGTGGTTGTGTAAGTTCATCTTCTCGCTGACCGATCATCGCTAATGACTAGCAAGCTGCTATACGAACCATGCATTGGACCAATCTCTGGAGCATTTGCACAAGATTGGCATTCGCAAAATCGTCCACATTGGAGGCCAAAGCCAATCCAGGCTGCTGGAAGACCATAACCTTCGGAAGGTTTCTCAAGCAGAACCGAAGACAAGGTCGGAGACATACCTTCTAGCCACGCAATACGAGGCCTTGGACCTCGATACAAAGAGGATTAGAGGATGTCTCGGGAGGTTGCACGGTGTGCGAAAGGATGAGAAGTGGCGAAGCCTACAGTACCATCTTCGGCAAAATTACCCTCATATTCATGCGCAATTTCGCCAGATTGACGAGAAAGGATTTGAGCTTGTCGGCCGTCATCCTTTCGATCTGTGGTTAGCAGCGGGGAAGTCGTCCATTTCATCACAGAGCACGGACGAGATCAAAGTCACGGCAAGCGAGCTTGATCATGTTCTCCAGAAGGCGAAATCAAATGTACACTCGTTGACTCAACAAGAACGAGACAGACTTGTCAGATTGTGGACTCAAGAGGCCCATGATCATGCACTAGCCGAGCTCTACGAAAAGGTCAAGGAGACCGACTCCAACCAACACCAAATAACAAGCATTCACGATGAAGTTGATCGGCGGGTCTTGCAAGAGGCAGAAGTCATCGGCATCACCACGACGGGCTTGGCCAGACGCATTTCCACACTCAAAACGTGTAAGATGCAAGGTCGTTATATGCGAAGAGGCAGGGGAGGTCATGGAGGCTCACATGATATCCGCCCTGCTTCCGACGATTGAGCATTTTATTCAGATCGGTGATCATGAACAATTACGCCCACAAATCAACAATTACAGCCTGTCTCTTGAGAGTAGGGAGGGCGCCTTGTATCAATTGGACCGCAGTCAATTCGAAAGACTTTCAGTTGGCGAGCCTGGAAGACCGAAGATGCCCACTGCTCAGCGGAACGTCCAGCGCCGAATGCGTCCTGAAATTTCGATGTTTATCCGTGAGACCATCTACCCGAAATTGGTTGATCATGCGAGCATCATTGATCTCCCGGATGTTGTGGGAATGCGGAAGAATCTCTTCTGGCTTGATCATGACAACCTTGAGACCGGTCAACACTCCGAGATGCATCATAAGTCACATTCCAATGTCTGGGAGGGGGACATGGTGCATGCCCTGGTTCGCCATATTGTCCGTCAGGGAGAGTATAGCAGCACCGACATCACCGTTTTGACCCCGTACACGGGTCAACTTCAAGCACTTCGTTCCGCATTACGAGCCGACTTCGAGATCGTGCTCAGTGACCGTGACCAAGATGTCCTGGAGAAGGATGGGTTCAACATCGCGGCCGCCAGTACTGGTAGCGAGGGGCATGTTGATCCGTCTGGCCAGAGGAAAGCAACATTGGAGAAGAAGACATTGAGCGATCTGCTTCGGGTAGCAACTGTCGACAACTTCCAGGGCGAAGAAGCCAAAGTTGTCATCGTGTCCCTGGTCCGGAGCAACAAGGAGAAAAAGGTCGGGTTTCTAAGGACCACAAATCGAATCAATGTTCTCCTCAGTCGTGCTCAACATGGCATGTATCTCATTGGCAATGCGGATACTTACTCGAACGTACCTATGTGGCAAAAGGTCATCGATATGCTTCGAGCCTCGGATTCTGTCGGTAACGACTTGGCACTTTGCTGCCCGCGACATAAGGCCACGCCTATCCAAGTGTCAGCGCCGGAAGATTTTCCCAGGCTGAGTCCTGAAGGTGGTTGCCAGTTAGCTTGCCTCTGGCGGCTTCCTGACTGCGGTCACATGTGTCAAGCCCGGTGCCATTCAGAGAGCATGCACAATGTTTTCTCATGTCCACAGCCGTGCCAGCGCCTCCACGAACCATGCAAGCATGCATGCCAAAAACAGACTTGTGGGGAAGATTGTGGGCAGTGTCATATCAAGCTAAAGGACGTTATGCTTCCCTGTGGCCACTTGAAAGACGACGTTCTCTGCTACCAAGCTCAGAATCCTTCGGCCCTCTACTGCAACGTGCCTGTCCCGAAAGTGGTTCCAGGATGCAATCATGTGTTAGAAGTGGCGTGCTCCAAAGACGTAACCTCAGACCATTACAAATGTCCCACTCCTTGCACAACAATCCTTCCTTGTGGCCATCATTGTCCGAGTTCCTGTGGAGAATGCAACACCAAGTCAGAGACTGGGCCGGTTGTTACCCGCCACAAGAAGTGCGACAAGGTGTGCGGGCGGCGGTTTGGAACCTGCAACCATACCTGTGCGAAACAATGTCACGATGGGACGGCTTGCGGCCCATGTGTTTATCCATGTGAGGTCCGATGCCAACATTCCAAATGTATGTCACGCTGCCACGAGGCGTGTGCTCCATGTGTGGAAACATGTACATGGAATTGCGAGCACCAAGGGTCCTGCACCATGCCTTGTTCTGCTCCGTGTAACAGACTACCATGCAATCAACGCTGTTCCAAAGACCTTCCCTGTGGACACCAATGTCCAGGCTCTGCGGCGAGACATGCCCCAAAGACTACTGTCAGCAATGCGGCTTGAAGCAGGATGCTCGAGTTGACCTTCTTGAGATGAAAGCCTATGCCGAAATCGACGTCAACGAAACTCCCATTGTCGTCCTCGGATGCGGCCACTTCTTCACCGCAGAAAGTCTTGATGGCGTGGTAGGAATGCACGATGTCTATGTGACCAACAACTCAGGCCAGTTCTCTGGGCTCGCCGACATTTCGGGTGCTCTAGCCATCAAAATCCCTCAATGTCCAGACTGTCAATGTCCGGTGAGACAATATGTCACACAACGATACAACCGAGTCATAAACAGAGCTGTGATTGACGAGATGTCAAAGCGGTTCTTGGTGAATGGCAAGACGGAATTGGGACGACTGGAAATCCAAGTTGGAAAACTCGAGAAAGAACTCGAGACATCGCGACCAGACATCACACATCCTATCGAATCAGCCACTGAAAAGGCTTTGATAGGACTTGCAAAGAGCAATACTGCCAACCGAATCAAGAGTCGATACGTTACAGCTCTATCATTGAACAGAAAGATCAATTCTTTCCTCCAACAAGTCGCCGACCGCCACCAACCCGCTCATAAGCTCCACGAGGCCACAATCCATGCCAGCCGGGCAAGCAGATCAAAGTCTAACCTTGAGGAGGCACCGGCTTCATTAAGGATCGACCCTGCAGCAATTCCAGTGGAGCGAGACCGGCGCATCACGCTCGGCGGACGAACACTCCAGATCGAAGTTGACTAGATTGCACATTCTGGCCACTGGTATAATTGCTCCAATGGACATCCGGTATGTATGGACTTTTTTTTTACGAAGCGTTCACTTGTCCCCCCCCCTCCCCCTCTCTCCTTACCCTCCATCTCCTTTCTCTGCTTCTTCTTTCTCTCCTTCTTCTTTCTCTCCTTCTTCTTTCTCTCCTTCTTCTTTCTCTCCTTCTTCTTTCTCTCCTTCTTCTTTCTCTCCTTCTCCTTCTCTCCTACATCAATGGTGAAAGGTTTTTGTCGCTTTACGGCGCCCCAATGATATCTCAGCACCATTCTAGCTTCCCCTATTCGTCTTTTCAGTCAGTGTTAATACCAATGTCAATGGTCATGGCTCTTTTTCTTCTTCTTCTCACCACTACCCTAGCTTGACATGCTTTGCTTTGCTTCCCCTACCATCCATCCTTCCTAAGCAACCAGCTCCCTTCTATCAAAATTGGTACAGATGTACAGACTACTAAAACACTGTTCATAATCTAGTTCGCAACCGGCGAATGCGGGATGCCAATGGAACAGGCACGCTGCCCTGAATGCGGAGCTCGTATTGGCGGAGCGCATCATCAAGCCGTCGCTGGAGTCACACGTGCTGTGGACATGGAGCGCTGAGCTGAGGTGGACGACATCAGACAGAGCTGAGCTTCCTCATGGTGGGTTGTCTCTCTAACAAATGTTTGTTGAGGTCGTGGTCCTACTTTTATCGTTTTTCTGTTCGTTCACCGGTGCCGACTACGTACGTAGTATCTCTACAAAGGAGGATGATCAAGGTGGTTGTGTACTATATGGAACACCTATCAGCCAGATAATACTTAGTGCGACTTGGTTCATTGATCGCTAGGTCGACGTCGATGGGTAAAAGATACTAATGGATAGGCAGGCAGGCAGGCAGAGAGGAAGACATGTAGAATGATGGTAGGTGGAGGTAGGTAGGTCACCTAAGATACACCTTATTATATAGCATGTATATCCGCTGTACTATGCATAGTACCTCATACCAGATCGTATGAAATGAAAGGTGGTCACAAACTGCCTGTTAGATACTAAGGTTCTGGTGTACAAGAGTACTCACTTAGGCATAGAGTTACAAGAGTATACATAGGGAAACCAAAAGGACTTGAATTGAAAAGAGCGTGTGCTGTGCAGTGGCCGGTTTGTATTTCAATCTTGGCCTGATTCATGTTCGTCACGACAGTCAACAGTTGTTCATTGAGCTCTTCTCTCCTCTCCTCCCATTATCGCATAACAACAGAAAGAGACATACATCCACACATACATACAGCCAGCCAGCCATTGATCAATCATTCCGCCCCGATTTACTTTTTTGAGGGAAAGCGCCGTCAGCCAAGCCAGTCAATTGAATCGCTTTCATTTCCATTTCCATTTTCGCTTCCGTAAGAGACAAGGGACATTTCCGCCTGCCAAAGCCATTTTTCGTCGAACATTAGAGGTCTTGACGAATCAGCCGTCATTGTTGTTATCGCACAAAGGTATTGCTACCCTGGTCTGTGCAACTGCTTTTGTTCTCAGTTGTGTACTGCGTGTCGTCTGATGAACACCGAATGAAGACACGCCAGCACCTTCTATCCGTAAGAGAAGATATTGTTCCATCCCTGTAGAATGTCGCTTGAAACTCAGGCCAGGCTAACTTCCAGCCGCTCCGAGAATGTAAGAGCACATCGATGCTGGACTATTCAGTTCAAGACGAGTCGAACCGTCCACCCAGCTGGCTTGGCTTAATTCATCCATAATTTCTCATGTCTCCTGCATTTGGAGGACCGTATTCGTAGAGGACGTGCTTCGGAAGAGTTCGATCTGGCGACTTCGCCTGTCGTGCTTAGTTATCCACCCCGATCTTGACATTCTTTTCCTCGGGAGGGATGATCTCCTCTGATTTCTTCCCTTGGAGATTGGGCAGTTCGGTGACTGCCTCTCCAATGATCTGGAGGGCGCGCTTGATCTCGTCCTCGGTAATCACCAAAGGCGGAGCGAGACGAATGATGTTTTCATGGGTAGGTTTGGCCTGTCGACCGTCAGCATTGTCATTTCCATTTTGCTTGTTTCGCACATGAGCGATCCTAAGGGGCTCGACTTACCAGTAAACCTTTCTCCTTCATCAGCATGCACAAATCCCATGCGCTGTGGCCGTTCGTTTTGGACTCGTCAATCACAATGGCATTCAGGAGACCCTTGCCGCGGATAGTCGTGATGAGCGGGGACTCGAGATCACGCAGGCCGTCGCGGAAGAGGTGGCCCAATTTCTCGGCGCGCTCGACCATGTTCTCCTCTTGGACGACCTCGAGGGCGCGGATGGCCACGGCGCAGCCAAGCGGGTTGCCGCCATACGTGGACCCATGCGTACCAGGCTCAACGGTGAGCATGACATCTTTTCGACCCAGGACACACGAGACAGGGTACATGCCTCCGGAGATGGCTTTGCCGAGAAGAACCATGTCCGGTTTGATGCCTGCCCATTCGTGGCAGAGAAGTTTGCCTGTACGGGCAATACCAGTCTGGATTTCGTCGCAGATCAAAAGGACATTGTGCTTGTCGCACAGGGCGCGGATCTCGGACAGGTAGGTATCGCTGGGAACAACAATTCCGGCTTCACCTTGAATTGGCTCAACGAGAAACCCCGCGATCTTGTCACCGTGAGATTCGAAAGCAGTGCGCACTGCTGCTACATCGTTGTAGGGGATGACTTCGCCGGTAGCTGGGGAAATGCTGCCCACACCCGGCAGGTAGGGGCCGTAGTTGTCTCGTGATTCGGCATCCGTGGACATGGAGATGGCAGAGAACTGGACACACTGTCAGAGGTGGTTCAGCCATAGGGATGTGACACTTACTGTGCGGCCGTGGAAGTTTTCCGCGACGCTGAGGACAAGGGCTTCTCCTTGAGGGATCTTCTTCGACTTGTAGCCCCACTTCCGGGCGATCTTGATGGCCGTTTCCACGGCTTCAGCACCCGTGTTCATGGGCATCACCATGTCGAAACCAAAATACTTCGTCACAAACTCTGCAAATCGCGGAAATACGTCGTTGTAGAACGCTCTTGAGCTCAGGGTCAGTGTCGATGCCTGTTCGACCAATGCCTTGACTAGTTCCGGGTGGCAATGGCCCTGATTCACGGCCGAATATGCAGACAGAAAGTCGAGGTATTGTCGACCTTCAGGGTCCCACACCGTGGTTCCGAGGGCTCGAGCAAAAACGACTGGCAAGGGATGATAGTTGTGGGCGGCATATTCATGCTCGGCGTGGATGGCTTCGTCGGACGACGAGGCATGATACCTTGATCGGTTTGCCGCGCCGGCAGGATGAAAAACTGGAGCGGTTGCTTTGAGTTGTGTCCCGGCGCTGTGACCGTTCGACTGTGTGGTCCCATTGACACCATCGCCATTCACCGCCGAAGGAGCCATGTTTGTAGTAGTAGAAGGATAGTGTACGTTTTGGTAAAACGTAGAGCGAGGCGAGTTGGATATTTGGATGTGTCGAGTTGAGGCGACGCTAATTGGCCACCAAATTGGAGTCGAAGTTCGAGTCCAACAGTCTAGTTTGAAGGATTTATGGCTTGTGTACAGATCGTCCGGCGTTCGTAAGAGAATGATAATGGGTCTTGTTTGCTTGCAATGCTGCTGAAGGATTAGAATTAATGAATTCACGACTCTGTGGTCCACATAGAAGTCATGTGCAGAGATTTTCAAGCACGCTCACACAATTGGAGTCTTGTTGCTGCTATTCCCCTAAGTGCAGGTGTATCCGTGTATCCCTAACGGCAGGAGGATGATCGCTAAGAGCAACCTTAAGCGTACCACATCAGGCCCGCATGCGGCATCAGGGGCGAGATCATAAATGGATCGGGATGTTTGCTGGGGGGCGTAACTCTGTAAGGGGGGATTCGCTAGACTCGATGTGTGTGGTCTGTGGCCCTGGAGGCGAAGGGCGGAAGAATGAATGAATGAGTTATGTTATGGGATTGCAGGCCACTGGCTGCGATAGATACAAGGAGGGGCACACTTTACAGAGTTGTTACACCGCAGCGCAGCGCAGGCTGGAGGTGAAGGGGCAGCCCACTCAACGGCAGAGTACCTGGACTTTTAGGTACCCTACCTGTACTACAGAGGATCCCTAGGACAGAACGTGTAGTACGCATAACAGCCCCCGTGCACTCGCCCTTAAGTTAGCCACCTTAGCCCGAGTCTTTACTAAGGTCGAGACCTCCATTACTAACCGCTCCAAACCCTCTCCCACCGTTGGACCGCGCTACATTGGCAGATTCATCTTCAAACTTCTTGTGCGGTTGGTCGCGGGCTCCTGGCTGGTTGTCTCGCAAGTCATACATACCCTTGATCTACTACGTAGTACCACATCCGCTACAAGGCCGCGCCCTCTCCCTAAGCCCTGCCTGCGCCCACACATCTCCAACATTGCAATCCTGTTGCATTGATCTCAATCTCACCGTCATGGCATCTCTCAAAGGCCCTGGTGCTCCTCAGAAGCACGACGGCTCCGACCTACGCATTGCGATCGTCCACGCGCGCTGGAACACCACCATGATCGACGCTCTGGTCAGCGGTGCGAAGAAGACCATGCTGGCTGCGGGCGTGAAGGAAGAGAACATCGTGATCGAGTCTGTACCGGGGTCATATGAGCTCCCCATGGCAGTCCAACGGGTCTACGCCGCATCTCAAATCCAAAGCACAGCCAGCACCGTGGCTGGCGGGATGGGCAGTCTGGCCAGCGGTATCGGTGATTTATTGGGCGGAAGCAACTCCACCACCGACTTGCAAGGAAGCCTCCAGCCTGGCCCTCCTGAGACCGAGAAGAAAGAGTCGCAAGCATCAAGACATGTCTTCGATGCGATTATCGCCATTGGAGTGTTGATCAAGGGAGAAACTATGCATTTCGAGTATATTGCAGATGCGGTCAGCCATGGCCTGATGAGGGTGCAGCTGGACAGCGGAGTCCCTGTGATCTTTGGTCTTCTCACGGTGCTGAATGAGGCTCAAGGCCTGGCGAGAGCAGGTCTGGAAGGTGGCAGCGGCAAAGAAGCCACTGGCCACAACCATGGAGAAGACTGGGGGAATGCCGCCGTGGAACTAGGAGTCAAGCGCAGAGGTTGGAGTCAAGGCAAGATTGCAGGGTCGTGATTTTGTAGGCCAGGCTTCTTCCTATCACCGTTACTCTCAGAAAGATACCGACCAAAAAAGAGTCTAGAGCCTAGGCAAGTTGGGCATTGAACTGTACGTGGCTCGGAATGAAGACAAAATTAGAACCTGTTTTGGAAAGACAGCGCCTCTTTGCCTTTGGAGACCAGGCCTTTGGACCACCTCATACGCCAATAATGCTACAATGCTGTGAAGACAGGTATCAAATCACTCCTGCATGGCATCTCCTTCTTCCTCTTCTTCTTCATCGTCGTCTCCCTCTAGACTCTTCTTGGCGGCCTTTTCGGCTTCCTCCAGCAGTTCTTGTGGAACGTGTTGATGTCGACCTTTCGTTGGGCCGTCCAGCGTCGAGATCCAGGTCATCTCCAGTTCGAATTCCTTGTCTTTGGAATCCTCATGTGCAACGTAGATGATTCTCGCAGCCTCCATAACAGCATCTTTCAGCGTCAGAGAGCAGGTCGGGGAGTCCAGATCCAGCTTTTCTAACTCGGCCTTTGCAGCTTGTCGGCCTTTGCCAGTTGCAGCACCATAGTAACCCTGGTAAGGTTAGTGAGGTTGTCGCCAAAGTTGAATGATTGCACATACCCAGTACAACCCACTAGGTTCAATCATGTAAAGACCGGGACCACCTCTTTTGACGGCTTCGTCCTCCGCTTTCCCTCCTGCGCCAGTGGATGGGCCGAATCCGACTTGTCCGTCCACGCCTAGCTCAGCTTCTGAATCCCATCCACCCAGAATAGCTGTGACTCCAAATGGTCGTACACTCGAATAGAGTGTGTATGCCTGGACATAGCCTCCCATCCTCGAAGCCAGAGCACTGACGGGGATAGGACCTTTGTATGTCTGCCGCCAGCTGCTTGCTTCGTCTCTTGCTCTGCTGATGAGATGACGGCCATCTGGTAACAATCCTGAAGTCACAACACCTGCGTGGCGATCCACCGTTGATATTCTCATGTTGGCGCTGGGCTTTAACAGCTTGGAGGATATGATCTTCTCGCAGGCAAGGACCACGCCGTGCTTCGTCCGGATTCCGATGCTGGTTCCCCCATTTTCTACTGCCTTGACCGCATATTCAACTTGGAAGTTTCGCCCATCAGGTGAGAACACAGAGTTCGAAAGATCGTAGCCTGTTCCTATCGACGTCTGTTTGGAGCCGATTCAGCAGTGCACTTGAGCAGACGAGAAGAGCAACTTACCATTGCAACGAAGGTGAACTGGAGTGATTTAGAAGGCCTGTAGGGGATTTGAGATCAACTAGAAAGGAAGTTCAGGACAACTGCAAGCGCTTCATTCAAGACAGGGCGTGGAAGATGTGTAGACCGTTAAAGCACATCAACTCGTCAACTGCAGGCGTCCAAACCGCGTAACATGGTCGATGGCCTGAAAGAGGTTTAGTCGATTTGGGGTCCTTGGCGCAGTTGAAGCTGAACTTGAAGGTCGAGTCATTCCGTCACTGTCACCATCTCACATCTCATCTGCTGTCCTATCTTTTCTTTCTGTCGACTGATTCTCTATCTCGTCGATTGACTCTTTGTCTTGCCTACGAGCCGTTTTCCAGCTTTGATATTACGCTGATCTCGGTCTTGCTCCTCCAAAAACTACAGGATCTCCCCCTTTCTGATTGTCCCTCCTCCCCCTAGAGCTCACCTCCTTACCGAGCAACAGGCCTCCCCACCCAGTTACCTGATCCGGCCGGACTACAGGCTTTCTGGACTGGATTCTCTGGACCGTTGGTACAACTCTTCCGTTCTGGAACCAGGATCTCTGGCCGTCGGGGCCACTCCGGATCCGGACACGCAGCTGGACATACCTGGAGCTTCTATAGCCTTTGTGTCGTTTAGCTAGATTAATACGAATCTGAAGCCTGAATCTCGGATTTCTGCTTCCTTATCTCTCTGGTTCTCATTGTTGCAAAAGGCTCTCTTATCTGGTGCTATTGTCGAGTTAAAGTCTGAGGTCATGGCGTCCGCCATCCACAGATGCCAGCATTGTGGCTATGAGACGGACCTCTCCAGCAATTTGGCGGTGTTTGAAGACAACCCACACTGCAGACAGGTTTGTTGAATTCCCATCCCGGTTCATGACCTTCTGATTCGCCTCTCTAGTGCGGACTATCGGCCCATGAGAGCGACATCAAGATGCAGGACGACCTCATCAACATGATGGCACGCACCCTCCAACTCGGCCCTTTCCCACACGACCAGCACGACATGTCTACGCCACCAACTCCCCAAGTTCTCCCTGAGCCAGCACCTATTACGTATATCTCGCAACATTATCACCACTCGGCACATCAGGTGCCCGCCAACGACCTTCCTGTGTCTACAATCCTCGAAAACTGCGGGATCAATGCTGCCGCGCTGTTCCCTTCACAGTTGCAGCTGTTTAAAAACGCAGAGCCGGACCAAAGATTGAGGTTGATAGAGTTGTGGCAGATCGCTCCTCCTACGTACGGGAATCAGATGCATCCTGATGACCTAGCAGATTGGCCACAATCGAGCATGGAGAAGGAAGTGGAGGCTGCAAAGTATCGTCTGGAGAGAATTGAACAAGGCAAATTCCAGACCTTTGGCCTACCAGGACACAGCGCTCGCAACAATGCAGAACCGTACATACTGCAAGGCTACAACCCGTTACCAGATGATGGTGGAAAGGAAGTGGCAGTGGAAGATGGGGCCGTCAGGACCGGGGCAGACTACAACCAATCCACTGATCCGGCGTACAAGAGCCGGGAGTGGTGGAAGTTTTCGGAGGAGGCTGAACCGATGGAGCATCAATATGGCATGCTCCAGCAGATGTACGGGTTCTTGGACTACACATCAAGCCGACCAAACGACGGCGATGCAGAAATGTCATGAGGGAAGCACGAAGGCGAAGCAAGGACGGCATAGCATAGAATGGGGATCTCATGGTGATGGTCCTCTTGATCATGGGCGTAGGATATATTATTGTTGCATTGATTGGTCTGTAGACAGAGTATAGCTTTCCTTTTGTTGGACGGGAATGATACATTCACAGCAATCAGACTTCCACCATGTTATTCAGGGCAAATATCTCTCAAAATTCCACAGTCTGATAGCCTCGAGTCGCGCGAAAGTGTCAAGCAACAGTAATAGCCGCGTCTAGATGTGGAGTAGTTGATGAGGTAGTTGATGAGGTAGTTGATGGAGATCCAGATATGCGATCGAGTCCGCCGTCAAAATCACCAACGCTAGTCATTTGTCGGCTCGTTACCCGGATTGGGTTCCAACTATCTGTATGAGGCGAACGAGACCACGAATAACTATAAGTCAACCGGCCATAACATCTCCCAACATTGAAGCACAGGTGCATTGAGATCGCCCTACGACACAGACAGAGGCTAAACTTTGAAACCATGACCTAGAGCTTGACGTGGCCGAGTCTCTTCAACAGACTTCCCTCCGCTCCCACTCGAACCCAATCTCCTGCGTCCGCGCCCGTCCGCCTCCCTTCCTTCGTCGACCGCCTCTCCTGCTTCGGGGCAGCGAACCCCCAGCATGGCTTCCATGAGCAAAAGAACACAGGCGCGTAATGAGCGGGAGTTACACGAGCTGCTTCGTCTGCCCGGAAACTCGCAATGCGCCGACTGTGGTGCGAGCAACCCAGCATGGGCGAGCTGGAATCTAGGCATTTTCCTCTGTATGCGGTGCGCCTCTCTGCACCGCAAACTGGGGACGCATATTTCCAAAGTCAAGTCTCTGAGTATGGATACCTGGACTGCAGAGCAGGTGGAGGTGGGTGCCGTGAATACCTCATCAACAAGACACAAACACTGACAGACAACAGAACATGAAACGCAATGGGAACATCGCCGTGAACAAGGTCTACAACCCCAAGAACAAGAAACCGGATATTCCACTCGATGCTGATGAGGTTGATGCGGCGATGGAGCGGTTCATACGCAAGAAGTATCAAGAAAAGAGTCTCTCGGATGGGAAGCCAGAGCCTCCACAGCGCGACGATGCAGTCCCCCAGACTTACTCGAGACCTGAGGAACGAGAACGAGACCGAGACCGAGAATCACCCCCGCCGCCTCTCCCGCCGAAGAAAGGAAGATTCTTTGGCTTTGGTCTTCGCGCAACCTCGTCCATCTCTAATCTGAAGAAGCACGACAAGAAGAAACTGCCCAGGGAGCCTCGCGTAGACGGCGCATTTCCTATCTCGTCTGATGATTACACTTCGATGTCGAGGATGGCAGATGCCCGCTTCGAGATGACAGATGCAGAGTTGCAGGACCGACTCGATGCCCTGCGAGACATGGGGTTCACGGACACTGAGCGCAACATGGACCTGCTGCGCCGACTGGGCGGCAATGTTGAGAGGACGATTGAGAGATTGGTCCAAGAAGGACCGAGTGATTCGACCAAGTCTTCGGCCGCGAGACGACCAGACCAGCGTGCAAATGGAAACTCCAGGACTGCATCTTCACGCAATCCTGGACCTTCTGCATCATCAGAGCCGTCCTATAACCCGTTCACGCAAATGACCAACCAAGAAACAGTCGGTCTGTCCCTGACCAAACCGCAACAATCTGCAAATCCTCCCGGGCAGGCATACCAAAGCAACAATCCCTTCGGTCCAGTCGCCAACAATCAACCTCAGACTGGGCTTGAACAGTCCTTCCAGTCTATGCAACTGGGGCATCCACTCTTCCCTCACAGCACAGGAGGCTATCCAAGTCAACCGGCTCCTCTACAAGATCCTCGGTCACAGTATTCTATGACACCTCCGGTTCCCTCGACACACTTCCCACAAGGCTATGTTGCTTCGCCGGCGGCGATGCCTATGAACACAAACCCGTTTTTCGAATCCTCAACTGGCGCGCCTCAGCAGTCTACGGGGAACAATCCATTCATGGCGCAAGCCGCGGCCGCTCCGACCCCTTCAGCATCCTCTATTAATCCATTCTTCAGCGCCCAGTCTTTCCAGCCCGCACAAGCAGCGCCGATGCAACAGCAGCGGCAGTTCTCCCTTCCTACTAATTTGAATCCTTTCGGCTTACCGCCGTCGCAAGCATCGTCTCAAACAACACAAAACCCAATGCCTTCACAGTTCCAGCAATATGAGCCAGCGACAAACAACCCTTTCCAGCAGCAGCAGCAGCAGCAGCAGCATCAACAACAACAATCACAACCTCAAAGCCCTCAACACCAACCACCAACCTCAAGTTTCCCCCAGTTTGGGTACGGCCAGCCTCAGACACAACCGCAGTCGCAAATGCAACCTCAACAGCAAATGCCGCAGTTCCAGCAACAGCAACAACAATTTAATCAGCAACCTCAACCCCTAACCGCCCAGCAAACCGGGCGATACGACAAGAACTCGATCCTGGCACTTTACAATTATCCTCAACTAGCGCCGAAACCGTTGGCCTCAATCCCGGAACCAGGACCGGAAGGGGACCTTGCGAGCTCGTCTCACCAACAATCACAACAACAACCGCAGCAGCAGCAATATCATCAACAACAATCGCAACACCCACAGCAGCAATATCAGCAACATCATCAACCACAGCAACAACAACAACCACAGCAGCAATATCAACAACCACAACAGCAACAGCAACTATCTCCCGCACCCTCAGGCAACATCTACAACACCACCCAACCAAACGCAATCTCCCTGACCCCAACCCGCAGCGCCACCATGCCTGCATCGATGTCCATCTCCAACATGCACTCCGCTGGCGGCGGGGGAAGCCGGAACCCCTTTCTCATGAATACGGCCAACACAGCCACAAATTCCAATCTCAATGCCAATCACAACCCTAACAACTTTCCAACTCCAGCTGAATATGGCGGATATGCTGGCGGATATGCCAGTGGTGGTGGAGGTGGGAATACCTTCACTCCGGCTTCTCCGACTAGACCGCAGGGCCAGGGTGGTATGATGGCCAGATATCGTCACGCCAGTGCGGAGAGCGTGAGTATCAGTAATCTGGACAATGGGCGGCATAGTCCTGATGCTTTTGCGAGCTTGAGCGCTCGGTCTATCAGATGAGAAGGTCAAGGCCAAGGTCAAGAGGAAGAGGAAGAGGAAGATGAGATGGACACTAGGGTATTCGGGTTTATGAGGATCATTGATTGTTGGGTCATTGAGTTTGGGTTAGATGTAAGGTATAAGATGTACGATGTGAGAGGTGGAGGCAAGACAGATGTATTTATTCTGTTCATCTGTCTGTCTGTCCGCTGGTCTGCATGTCACCAGTCGACCCAGGCGGGCCCTTTGCGAGTTAAATTGATCCATACTAGTACATGAACATTGGCGTTCGTTTGATGAGACTTTACAGATAACGAAAGAAAGGGGATAGAACCCCTTTTCGAGGTGTGGTGTTGAAGTTCATATATATTCGAGAATGGAGGAACTGTTGATGGACAAACACGATCTCGTTCTTGACTTCCTTCCTGGCAGAGAAATGAGGTTGAGGACCAGATTAGACATTCAGTAAAGGTACCAACTGTACTGTTAGGATAGTGTACCACTTCCACCATCTCAGGTACCTCAAATCAGTCTCCATGCGAGTGCTGCTGGTCCGGCTCGTCTCTGACTTTCCAGAATGGCTTCTCGACGACTCGAGTCACAGAGCTACTCTTTTTCGTTTGTGTGTTTTGCTTTTCTTGCATCTTTTGAGCCTTCTTCTCCGTTCTTTTCAGTTCCTGCTTCTTGATATTGTCCTCATCCTGACTCACACCCCGCTGTGCATGTGGGTCACGAATGGCGTCCTGAAAGGCATCTTGATCCACCAAGACCTTACTACTAGCTCTGTTCCCAGGTTCGACGCCCGTTCTGTCTCCCATATTTTGTTTGGTGTTAGGAGGAGGAGGAGGAGGATCGAGACACCAGACCACAACGTCACCCGTCCTCCGCCAGTCGTCGTGCCAATGACTATTGAAGAAGCGGCGACACTCTCCGTACCCGCTGCCGCGCAGGGCAATGGAGAGTGTCGGTTCCAGCTGGGCGAAGAAGACGAGGTATTCCGGCCAAGGACGCCGTCCTTGGCGTGTGGTCCACCAGATGTCTTCTTGCTCGTGATCTCCACGGTGGTTTTGGTGTTGGTGTTGGTTATGGGAGCGGCCGAGGCCGATAGACGGGGTTTCCGAGTTGAAGAGTACAGCGTGGTTGGAACGTCGGTTTTGGGTGCTAGCGGAGATACCGTTAGAATGGGCTTGAAGACGTGGATGTTTTGACCGGGGCGGGTCTCGTGACATGTGCTTCTTCAGCCATACGCCTGGGTCGGCGTAGAATTGGTCGGCTTCGTCGAGATAGGTTGCTCGCTCGGTCAAGGGGAGGTCCAGGGGCGGGTCGCATGTCAATGCCCAGGCGTGGATTCCTGGGGAATATGATGTTGGTGGGTATTGCAGGTGAGAGCGCCACGGGGTGGAATGGCATGGCATGAGCATGCCGATGGTCATGTTTGTGGGAGAGCCCATTCCGAGTCTAGAACCAGAGCCGGAACTAGAACCGGGTTCCGATTCAATGCCAGCTTCAGCACCCAATCCCACACCCGCCCGAAATGTCGTAGCAGTCACAGGAAGATACGTGGTCTCAAACTCATTCCGTAGATAGTGCGTCAGCTGGATGATGCCCGAATTGTGGATTTGGGTTGTATAATATGATATTGACACGTTGAGACCAACAAGTAGAACCAGCAACACTCTCCTCGCCAGGCGTCGTGATGGTCTGGACTGCTGAGCTGAGGTTCGCGAGCCAAAGAATAAAGACAACGGAAGTCCCGTCACAATATGTAGAGCGGGTAGTAGAGGGTAGATGAAGCGGACCTCTTTATGAGCGATGATAGAAAAACAGGCCGGGACAAGCAGACATATGATAGAGAGTGAGCGTAGCACTGCGTGTCCCGCCGAGGTGACCTCGCTTGTTGAAATATTCGAGTTCAGGCTGCGATAAAGCCCGACCAGGGTGAATGGCAACGCCGTCGTGAGTAGGAGAGGATAGCCTTGGGAGATGTAGTAATGCCAATCATTATTGCCGTAGAATGTTGCCAGCGACTGTACGACGTTGACACGGAGGAAATTCAACGGTGGAAACGCCCATGTATCGTAGAAGATGCGATCGACGATCGCCGAGAGAAGAAGGATCAGCCCTCCACAGAGAATGGTCTCTCTCATGAACAGTGGGCATTCCACCCAGGTAGGTCCAATTGATCTCCATCCTCGTAGAAAGGTCAGCATTGTGAGACTCGCCCATATCAGGATATTAGTAGGGCGTAGGACCGTGGCTACGGCAGCACAAAGCAAGGCACGTCTCAGTCTGGTCACTTCATCCGTCCCGTCGACATCGTCCCGGACACGTATGTTGCGAATGTCGGGTTTGTCCAGGGGTAACTGCCAATGCCATGGCCAGTTGTATAGAGCGACAATGGTCAGAGTCGTTTCCATGGAATTGGAGAACGTCCGTGTAGAGCAGAACCACTGCCACGGACTAATGACTGTGAGACAGAAAGTCGCCAGCGTCGCCGTCGAATTCGCTCCGTAGACACATGATGCAAGCTTCCAGGTGTACAAGTCACCCAGGGCGGCAAAGAAGCCTTGTAGAGCCTTGGGCGAAGCGAGGAGTAGTTCTGCCCGTGCATGAGGTTCGAGCTTGAACAACTCAGCAATTGCCTGGGCGCCACGATAACCGAAGCCAAAGATGGCCGGGTGTATGGCAGACCGTAGATGTCTGTTCCACTCCTGTTTCGCTCAATAAGCTTCCTGGCCGCGCTGTAAAGCATTGTGACTTGTATCGCACCCATGTTATCCACGCCCCGGCATCTTTCCCAAAGGCCAAACGCCATGCAGGCTCCAAGGCCTGGAAGTATTCGTCCGGCTGGAAGAAGGTCTGAACGGTCAGAGTATTCAGGAGTCGAAAGCCGATCAACCACAGGAAGATATTCTGTCGCCCGAGGGAAAGGAAAGGGGATGTTTCTGATTGAGATGGACGTGTTTCCGAAGCATTGAGGTTCGCGATGGTGCTATGCTTCAGCGCTGCGTCGGACTTGGATGGCTCTGTGTCGCCATTGTCGCCCATTGCAATAGCATTGGATCAACCAGACCTGCCCGATGGCGCAGTGTCATGAGGTTCGAGATTGTCCAGTCAACCAGGATGCGTGCTCGTTCATCGTTCAGAGCGCGTTCTACCACATTTGCACAGGATCGTGGAGATGATTTCGTCTCCGGTCTCCAACAATTTCCCCCGCGCAGCCTCGTCACATCCCACAAGGCTATTGCAGTACATTTGATGATAAGAAAGGACAAGGTTCTGAAGAGCCTTAAGACATGCAAGCACTCGTAAACAAATACTGGCTAGCAAAAGAAAGTGGCATTGCTGGTTTACAAACTGAATGGCCCTAATCCACTGTTTTCCCTTTCCCATACAATACAGCTAAAGTCCTGCCTCACGTAGGTATCGTAGCATTCAGTCACTTGCTGGACGCCTGTTTCTCCCAAACTTCCCCGCTTAGCCCATGAATGAATAACACGGCATGATAACTGCCCAGATGATCGTGTCCTTTGCTCGCTTCGTCTATTCGACAGTAACCGATTTGGCCAAGTTACGTGGGAAGTCCACGTTCAAGCCTTCAGCCACAGCAAGCCAGTAGGCGATGAGTTGCAGAGGAATGACGTTCAGCAGACCTTGCAAGCAGTCGACTGTCTTTGGAACCTCGATACGCTCCGTCTTGTCGGGTGGGAATTCGGGATCAGCTTTGTTGCAGATCACAATGGGTCGTCCGCCCCGGGCAATTACTGTAGCCATGTTAGTTTGTCAATCAGAAGGAATCGCGGGAGTACTGACCTTGTTGATACGCGTTCAGTGATTTGGGGAAAATGTCGTCTCGGGTGAGGATCATGATGATGGGCAGATTTTCATCAACCAACGCCAACACACCGTGCTTGAGTTCTCCAGACATGACCGCTTCGCAGTGCAGATACGAGATCTCTTTGATTTTCAACGCACCCTCGAGAGCAGTCGAGTACTGGCTGCCGCGGCCAAGGAGCAACAACGACTTCTGGTTCTGCAAGAATTTGGCACACATTTCCTTGATCGAGTCGTTGAGTTTGAGAATATCCCGAATTTGGTCACTGACTCTCGCCAATCCATCAATGATCTCTGCCCGACGTTGGGACTTGGACGCACGATCCTCACTCAGCGACAGAGCGAACATGATCATGGCGACAAATTGAGAGGTGTACGCTTTGGTCGAGGCAACACCAATCTCCGGTCCAGCATTGATGTGCACACCACAGTGAGTGAGCATGGAGATGGAGGAACCAACCACGTTGACGATACCGACAGTGAGTGCACCACGCTCCAAGCAGTATCGCAGTGCCAGCAGCGAGTCGGCGGTCTCGCCAGATTGTGACACAAACACGCAGGTGTCGTCACGGAAGACAGGTGCCTGTCTGTCCAGGAAGTCCGAGGCCAATTCGACAGCAATCGGAATCTCGGTCAGCTCCTCAAATGCACCCCGGACAGCCATGCACGAATGATAGCTGGTACCGCAGGCGATGAAAATGATTCTTCTGCAGCGTCGAATGGTGCTGATGTACTGCCTCAGGCCTCCCAGGGTGACTGACTTGTTGGTCACGTCCAGACGACCACGCATGGTGTTGACGACGGACTCAGGCTGCTCAAAGATTTCCTTTTGCATGAAATGGTCAAACTTGCCCTTCATGATCTCCTGGAGCTCGAGCTCGATGGTTTGGATTGCACGGACGTTGGAAGTGCCGTCATCCTTGGTCAATCGGTGGATGTTGAGCTGGCCCTCGTGGATGTGAGCAATGTCATCATCCTCCAGGTAGAGAACCTTCTTGGTGTGCTCGACAAGCGCCGATGCATCCGACGAGAGGAAGAATTCTGCTGGCTGCGGCATGCCGTCGTCAGACAAGAATGCTCGTGACTGCGATCGGTGGAGAAGCGACTTGTCAGGGGGAGCCAAGAGGCCGCCAGGAGACAGCAGACCAGCCGCCGACTTCTTCATGGCAACATTGTGGTTGGCCTTCTCCGCCGGCAAGGCGCCACCATCTTCAGAGTACTCAACGTCGACGAAATCCACCTTCATCTTCTTCGCTGTCTTGACTCCCACCACCAAGGGCGAACCTTTGCGTGCAGCAATGACCTCATGGGGATAGTGAACGGATTTCAGGAGCAGACCAAATGCACCCTGCAATTCCTTGATCACTGCCTTTCCGAGAGTGGTGAAATCAATGTCCGGGTGGGAATCGTAGAGGAATTTGGCGAGTTTAGCAATGCACTCGGTATCGGTCTCAGTCTCGAACTTGAAACCCTTTCCCTCGAGCAAGGCCCTAAGTTCTTTGTAGTTTGTGATGATGCCGTTGTGGACAACAGCGAACTCCCATTTGGGATCAGATCTGTGACCAGTCAGCCTCTTGTCCATCACTCCGCTTTGGCATGCAAACTGACCTGTGGGGATGGCAGTTGAGTCGGGAGGGTTGACCGTGGGTGGCCCAACGGGTGTGTGCAATTCCACAATGAGAGTCGAAGACCTTGGTCATGTCCACGTCCGAGCTGTCCACCAACTCGCGTAGTTTGGCCACCTTGCCCACCTCTTTGAACGCAAAGACCTCATTCTTTTTGTCACCATCGACGGCGAGACCGGCGGAGTCGTACCCTCTGTATTCGAGGCGGGAAAGACCTGAGAGGGATAACAGTGAGTTGAGAATCCCGGATCAAACCAAAGTCTTTCACATACCATTGAGCAAGGTTTCAATAATGAACCTGCGGTCCTTCTCCACCAAGTAGTTGATGTAGCCGAAAATGCCACTGGTTCATGTCAGTCAGTAGGGCCCAAGGGAATGCATGGGACAGCCACGAACCACATCTTGAGCGATGCCTAGTAACAACTCAGGAATGAGGCAGTCCGGCTGGAAGTGAAGTGAACGTAGAGCGCACGATTCAAGATTTGAGTCGAACTGTAGAAGTCGGGGGAGGCAAGTGTCGAACAAAGGGCAGCCAGGAAATGGCCGTTCAGGGAAATAAAGAAGGGAGGGATTGGCGGTTCGGTAAGAGGGTATGTAGACAGGTCAGAGCCAGTCCAACGGATGAGGAAGGAAGGAGGATTAGAAGGCAGGAGTCGTCTCAAGCTGCAGTGAGCTGAACGGTCGGTCGTGGTTGACGAACTTGGTGCAGCCTGAGGTTGTTGTATATTATTACGGGCTGAGGTTCCGAGATCTGACACTGCAGTGTTTTGTGGTGCTTTTGAGGCCAGTCTCGGACGCGGTCATCGATCAGCACCCCGTACACAGTCCAGAGTGCGTACACAAAGCGTGAATCGACAAGAGTAATGAACGCAGACTCTAGAGTGCCCCAAGCGCGCGCAGGGTCTCACTAGCCGGACCTAATAGTTAGAATTCCAGGCTTGAGAGGCCGCTATCCACAGAGTCTTAGCCCCCATACGCCACCGCAGCACAGGCCTGCAGCTCCTCCAACGCCCTTCAGCGCCCTTGCACACGAGCCCATAAGCCATTCTCGCCCCCACTAGCACGCTCTGGCCTGCACAGCAACCGCCCGTTGACGAACCTTGGCAGGCACAACACCACAGTCAACGCGATAGTCAGGAAATAGTTTTCTAGAAGACCGAAAATCCTGCCTGCCAGTTTCCAATATAACGTCAATCAGAGAGAGCCGCTCTAGATCCAATGAATGCCCTTTTGATTTTCACGGCGAACGGTGACTAATAACAGAATCTTCTCCTCATTCTCGAACGCATTCGAATCAGGGCTGCCGCCTGGTGAAACACCTCTTGTGCCACAATCGTTGGTCTTGATATTCGGGCCACCGAACAGTGATCAACGCCCACTTGGCGTCCATGACGTTCCTTCCTCATACTGCTGGTCCACCCTCCAGACCGAACTTGACAATACTATCAAAACGGTGGTGGGGACTGAAGCCGGATGGGACGTCGTAGAAAAAGTGCGCCAGTAGTGAAAGGTATCGGTCTCGACAATTATGTATCTACAATGGACAGAGCAACGTCTACGGTGTGCCAGTGCTTCATCGAATTGTCGGTGTATGGATCTCAGCCAAGAATGTCCTGTGGGATCTGACACGACATGCGGTGCAAGTGCTGTGGCTGATGCCAAAAATACCTTCTTGCCGGGAGACGTATGCTTTTGCTCCTCAGCCTCCCCCTGCCAGGATGCCAGTGTCAGCCTGCGATCATTTGCTTCGCGGCCAGCCAACCGCCTCGTTCGCGTTCTGAGACAAAGCTGTCCTAAATTGAAGCCTCGGACAGATCGTTTGCTTCCGGTTTCAGAGGTCGGTCCACTTTCCGTCTTAATAGAGTAAGGTATTTGCGGTTTAGGCCGGAAGGAACCACTGACAGCTGAGAGACGAGAAAGTTCAACCAAGTTGGACGTCTGAACTGACTTGGGAATGGAGAAGCTTGTTAGCACCTACTATGTTCGATGTTCGCCGTTCGCTGCCACAATTGGCTGCTGTACCTTAGATTGTAAGACGATTCGTATTGTAACTATCTGTATACGTCCGTCCGCACTCTATGTTCCACTCGAGGCCTTTACCATATATTGAAAGAGCTCCTGCCGTTTTGGCTCCAACCCGTCAAACATCTTCTTTGCATGGCCCACAGGCACCTGCTCCGAACCGCTGGCCAATCCAGCGTACGCCTGGACTCAATGTAAGCTTCACGTGGCCCTACCGTAGTATCAAGTGCACATACCTCATCCGTGAACTCGGCGAGGGGCATACCCCAGGACCTTCCATTTTTGATGTCCGGTTGATGCTTCTCATCATGGAGCTCAGTCTGGACCGCTGGTGGGAACACCTCCACCACCTTGACATTGGAGCTTTTTAAACTCTCCCGCAGGCAGAGGATAAATTGGTGCAGAGCGGCCTTGGTAGCACAATAGTTGGGGCAACGAAGGATGGGAACAAGTGCTAGCCCGGACGTCACGTAGACGAACGCGCTCTTGCCCTCTTTCTTCTGGAAATAGGGCAGAAATGCCTTGGTCATGGTTAATGGCGAGAGATAGTTGGTCCTGAATTCGAGCTCGAGAACGGCCATGTCGATGGATTCAGGCTCACTGAAATCCGAACGCCTTTGTACGCCAGCATTCAGAACAACGCAGTCGACATCGGGATGGGTGTCGATGATTTTGGTTGCAAACTGAGGGATCGCCTCGAGGTTTGAAACGTCGAACGACACTGCGTCGATCTTATCGCGACCGTACTCCTGCACCAACTTGTCCAGATTCTCCTTTCGCCGGCCGACGGCGATGACAAAAGAGCCATCCTCGACCAGTCTTCTCGTGAGCGCCTCACCGATACCTGCCGAGGTCAGGAAAATCTTGGGAGATAATGTGAAGGAAGCTTACCACTCGTTGCCCCCGTTACCAACACTTTCTTATATGGAAAAGGCATGTTGTCTTATATAATAATACTCAATCAGGCTGGATGGACGAAGTGAGAAACTTGATGGTGTCAAGATTGACTTGAGTCGACTAGGACTCCTCTTAACTGCTGTTGACCTGGGGTGGGTGCGTATATATCACAGTAGGTGTTCGACAACACGGTAGATGGGTGGAAATCTCGGGTCTTTCTAGTCTGTCCTCTACACAACCGTAGATCGTTGTGGTCCTAACTCCGAGTCCTGGAATCCCCGACTCGTCGCGTATCTTTCGTATGACATCACGACAGGAGTTTTGATCGAACTATTCCTGTACGAGTACGACGACCGTCGACAACCACCTGCCGAAACATGTTCGTTATTAGTAATATGTTAGCAATAAAGCACTGCAAGCATGGCCTTTCACCGCCCGACAAATGTAGTCCGGGGCATAAGTGTCCTAAAGAGGAAGATTATGTCTCCGAAGCCGGACTTAGGATTCTTTCCGCGACGAGCCAATCATGTCTGTTCCTGAGCAGACGCACTCGTAGTACGCGATCAGTCATCGTCGCCGGAGGCCATGCACGTCGAGAATGTCGAGCATCAACCTTTTCTTTCAGCGTTCAGCCTGGTTGATGGTAACATCGTCGAGGGAGCAATGCCCCCTACGTGGCAGGCTCTCTTATGAAATTCTTTCCCCAGGGCAGCTTGTATGCCGGACCTTGACCACAACTGGCTCCCAACCTAAGATACTCTCGAATTCCCGTATTGATCCAATCGCCTGCTGGCGTTACATGCGCCAAAGGCACGATACTGGTCACCCAATTCAAGCATCGGCAGTCGACACACTTGCTCGTCTCGATGTTCAACGTGGACATAGAGGCATTTGGGTTCAGTCATCTGGCACTGGATGGTACAGATCTCTCACCCATTTGCTATAGCAGGTCTTTGCAACCCCAAGGTACCCTTCCTCGTAAAGTTGTAATATGAGTTGCATGGCTTGCTATGCGGCGCGTAATATGATCAGTGTAGGGCCCAACAGCCGTGAATGAGACTGGCTGGTAGGTAATCTCTCATCCCACTACTTACAGCCTCGCAACATTCAATGTAACTTGGATGCTGCAGCACCACGGCAGTAAAGGGTCTTCCGATCGCAGCAATCAACACAAAGTACCTAGGTAGGTAAGTTTCTGGTGAGAAGAGCATTGAATTGGCAATAAAACGTCGATTTAGACAATTTGCACGTGATCCCAGGTCACGGGTAGATACTGTCCTGCCAAGGCTGCTAATCGCATCGTGGTTTGGCTTCGCTCTGCAAACGATGCTGTCAAGGCGTTCAGCACGACGACGCAGCTGTGTCCAGATCACCTTTCTATTCTCTAAATTCTTTGCTTCGGCTGGCAGTAGGGCTCAATAGGCCTTGAAGGACGCCTCGAACCCCTTTGACAACAAATATTGTCAAACGTGGTCCCGGTATTGCCAACTGCGCCCTTCCGCAAAACCCCCTTCCTACCGTCCGTTCCACCTCGACGCGTTCAATATCAGACCGCAGCGCAGTTCTACAGCAACCCCAGGGCACTTCATGGTTCGGACGTCCCGATCTATACGAAACTTTACTTAGGAGGACGTACATCGAAGATGAGCGCGTGGTTGGAGTTGTGATACAAGGATATGTCGCGCCCGCCGGGCAGTAAATTCGCTGATTTCTTCCCAAGCGCCCCGAGCGTCATCGCGACAAAATCTTCCAGATCGGCAGACACAGACAAATCTCGACTTCGGGCTGCCGAAGGACGCGTGGAAGATGCGCATGTCAAGGACAACCTTGTCCGCGTTGCACTGAACTCACCAGCAACTAGTCTACCGCACACGTCCGGGAGACAGGACAACCTGGCCAAGTTCACCAACAATTCATTGCTGCAGGAAGAAAGCGACCAATTTGCAGGCGACCTTCTCAATGGTGTCGGCTCGGCCAGCTCGTCAAGCACCGCTTCATCGGTCTTTAGTGCTTCCCTCGCCAACGCCGCCATGCCCGGTCCAAATCATCTTCAGTTCACCACTCTTACTCCCCTCACAAATTCTGACTCGCCACCAAATGGGAAGTTAATGAGTCCCACCGCAGAGTCGGCTTCTCACGTGCAGATGAACGGCAATAATGGTATATCGAATCTCCATCAAGGCTCGATGACGCCCCTTCCCACGCCCCCGGCTCACCGAAGGTTCGCGCGAGACGCCAGCTCACCTGTCAAGGGGACCAAATGCACCTACGATCCGGAATTGGACAAAACAATAAATTCCAAGGATAAAAGGAAAATCAAGGCGCAGTTTGAGGATTTTGGGGTCAAGCCTGAAGACAACTTCCAGCCACCCGATCCGCGACTAGCAGTACCCAATTATACAAAAGGTGTAATAGGCAAAGGCAAGGCGAAGTTCCGACCTGCGCCCTACAATCTGAAGTCGTGGTCCCATGATGTCGCGACTGCGGTTGCACCACCGCCCGCAACTACCGTTGTGGTCACTGGCTTCGACCCCATGGCGCCTCTTTCTCAGATCAACGCGCTGTTTTCTAGCTTTGGTGAGATTGCGGATTTGGACGACAAGACAGATCCGGTCACAGGGCGATTTCTGGGAATATGCACCATTGGATACCAGGATTGCCCATCCTTTCAAGGTGGGGGGCCGATCTCCGCCGTTCTCGCCGCGAAAACAGCATACCTTGAGGGCAAGCGCGGTCAAAGGATAGGCCTGAAGACGGTCCAAGTGGTCATGGATCGAGATGGCTCTGTTGCCGAAAAGCTGGTTGAGAAGGCGATTGCTCTACACCGCAGGGAAAGTGGGTTCACGGGTCAATCGCGGCCAGTACCATCTCCATCTCCGTCAACGCTGGTCGGGACACAATCACCTGGATTCGCGAAATCTACCGGTCCGCCGCCAACAGCGCCAAAAGGTCCGTCAGGAAAGTCGTCCATGCGGCCGCAGACCATGTATCATGCTCCATTCGTGGCGCCGATCAAACAAGAGCGGCCTGTGAAGCCTGTAGTGGCTCCAACTGTGGCTCCTGCGGGACAATCGGTCGTGGAAACCACTCCTATTGCCGGCACATTAAAAGTTCCATATGTCTTCATCGCGCATTGTTATGTGCCTGTTATGAGCACGACCATACCACACTTGAAGAAGAGGATGAGGATGTATGACTGGCGAGAGATCCGTTGTGACGAAACGGGATACTTTATCACCTTCGAACAGTCTCGAAATGGACAGCTGGAGGCAAGGAAAATGTACCACGGCTGTCACATGCAGCCCTTGTTCACTTATGTGATGAATTTGGAACTCCATCTCAATGGAAATCCTAAGGCGGTCGGCACAGCGGAAGCAGCGCCAACGGGGCCCGCGCCGGTTGATTTCGTGTATTCCAAACAGGCCTACCGGCTGAGGAAAGAGCACGACCTCGACCTGGAAGAGGAAAAGAGGCAGCGAGCCAGAGATCTGGATCCTTCCCGGGCCGTCGTCCAGCTCGTCATCCAAGAACTCCGGGATAAGCTGCTGGAAGATGTGAAATCCCGAATCGCCGCGCCGGCCTTATATGACTTCTTAGATCCCAACAACCATGTGGAACGGCGGAGGAGGTTTGGGCTCGACGACCCCGAGGGAGCGCGAGGGGGTGTGCCCACGGACGAAGGCTCTCGCACGCCAGATTCTCGTTTGGGTGTTGGGTGGCTAAATCGACGTCCCCTCGGGAGCAAGAATCTCAACATCCTCTCACTACCCAAGATCGGCAAGAGATCTGGTATGGACAAAGCCATGGTCGGCTTTCGTGACGAGAGGAGAAAGGCGCCTCCTCCGCGACCTTACGTCCGACCATTGTTCCACCAGTTGGCACAATTCCACGATGATGAGGATTCGGATGATGAACACGGGACTTCGATCACCCGTGACACCGAAGACCTGGAAAGCCGCCCAGCCAGTCGGATGAGTATGACTTCGGTATCTGACGATGACGACGAACTCTTACTACGCAAGGCAACCAAACGACGGTTCCAGGCTCGAGAGGCATCAGAGATGGGAGATGGCGTTGTCAAGGACGAGTTCGACACGGCCAAAACGACAGCTGAAGACCTCATTATTTCCAAACTTGAAAGGAATATCTACGAAATGTCACCATCCTCGCGGAAACGCAAGAGGTTGGTCAAGGAACTAGAGGCCCGGAAACGTCAAAAGGCAGATGATGAGCTCTTTGGTGTTGGTCGAGCCGGACTGGACCTCGAGGACTCGGAGGAGGTTAAGATTCAAGACAGCGAAACTCCTTTGGAGGCTACGCCGGACATCGACTCTGATGTGCCGAAGCCGGCGGCGAAGAAAGCCAAGACGAAAAGGAAAACGAAGAAACAGATTCTCGAAGAGCAAGAGGCATTCAGGCAAGCGCAAGCAGAGGCCGAAGCATCTGAAGTGGTGGATAATGTCCTTGAGTTTGCGGAGGAGGAAGAGGCCCTGGCTGAAGCCGCCGAATGGCGACCGGAGGTGGAATGGGGTGTGTCAGCAGAAGAACCTCTACCGACAGTCGAGGACGACGAGGACATCTTACCCGACATGCGAGGATGGCAAGTCAGTCTGTTCGACGACGAAGACATGCAGTTCCTGTCAACTGCCACCAAGGTCAAGATGGCCATGGATATAGGAGACTCCATGGCCTGGGCTTGGAAGCAAGAACAAATCCGCAACCTGAAGCCAGGGTCGCAACACGGTACATTACGAAGCGACCCACCTATAGAGGGGTATTATGTTCCGAACGCGACAGGATCGGCTCGCACAGAGCCCATCCGCAAGATCTTGGAGTCGGAGAAGTCGAAGTATCTGCCTCATCGCATCAAAGTGCAGAAAGCGCGGGAGAGGCGTGAAGCCGAAGCCAAGAAAGATCCGTCGGCGGCCGCCGCTAGCAAGCAAGCGGTGGAACTTCCCAAAGCATCGTCGCGAGGCAAGCGAGCCGATGACAGGCGGACGGTCAAAGATCTGGACCGACAGCGAGAGATGCTTCGAGACATCAACGACGACGCGGATGTTCTGCGCTTCAACCAGCTTCAGAAGCGTAAGAAACCGGTCAAATTCGCCCGGTCCGCCATTCACAACTGGGGCCTATACTCGTTGGAGAGAATCCAGGCCAGTGAAATGATCATCGAGTATGTGGGAGAGAAGATCCGACAGGAGATTGCCGATCTGCGCGAGATCAAATACACCGAGAGTGGCATCGGCAGCAGTTACCTCTTCCGCATTGACGAGGGCACTGTGGTCGATGCCACCAAGAAGGGAGGCATCGCCAGGTTCATCAACCACAGCTGCTCGCCCAATTGCACGGCCAAGATCATCCGAGTTGGCGGGACCAAACGAATCGTCATCTATGCTTTGAGAGACATTGAGAAAGGTAAGCATCTACTTTTTTACATCTCGTCTGGCTAAGAGAAGCACTTGCTAACATGTTGAAATTAAATTATAGACGAGGAGTTGACCTACGACTACAAATTCGAGCGCGAGTTCGACAGCGACGATCGGATTCCTTGTCTCTGCGGCTCGGCCGTCTGCAAGGGCTTCCTCAACTAGGTCAAATCTTGATGGCTGGCTGGCTGGCCGGACGGCCGAGTTCTTCGCCTTCTCTCGTTGGAACCGGTCTGGCACAGCAGATGGATGGGTTGATGGATGGATGTAACTATATGAAAAGGGAGACCAATCGGCAGATCAAGGCAATACCCCCAGCGTCAAAACTCAGGCAGGAGTAGTTTCTGGCTGTCTGTGGCACTGTCTGTGAGTGTGTGGATATGGAGAGGGCCATTCTTTCTTCGCCTTCGTTCAGCGTGTCTAAGAGCACAACAAACAACAACAATGTGATATTCAAAAGAAAGCATTCTTGCTTTGGGCTGTGGCGTTTGTTTTTGGTTCTTGGATTGATTTGTTTCTCTCGCTCCCCCCTATCGTGTTTCTCTCTTGTTTCTTATTCTTCCTGACTTCGGACAGAGTATCCTACAGGCGGTTCAATCGGAAGGCAGGCGGGCGGGCATCAGGAAGATTGACAAACATGGAACAGCATGGCATGGCATGATACGGTCTGGGCCGGGATGGCATGGGATGGCATGGGATGGGGCATCGTGTGGCATGATAAGGCACAACTTGTGTGCTTGTGATCCCTAGTGGAACTTTACAAGGATTTTGCATGACTGGAAAAGGGGGGCGGACTACAGGACCTGAGATCCACGAATTTGATTTGATACAGGTCATCCTAAATCGGAGTGGTGCAGGAAGAAGGGATATGAGTCAACCAAGCACGGTGTGTAGGAGTTGCACAATTGCGCCCTTTTGTTGTTTTGCAAAGGTAAAGGCAAGGGCAAAGGAATAAAAAAGCAGACACGAAAGAAGAAAATAAACACATTTCTTCTATCTCTTAATTGTTCTCCCTTCCTTACAACAAAGTGATAAAGAAGTAAACTTGAAAGCCGAGCGTTGACTCCCTTGGGGATGAGAGATTTGACACTTCGTGAAAGTTCGGAGACCTGCGAGGGCATGATAAGAAGAAGGAATGGCGAGACAACAGGCTCGAGTTGAACGCTGCTGACCGACCCTGGTCCATAAGCCTCGTTTTGCAAAGCAGTGGTAAGTTTCTGAAATGATCATTGTAGGTAGCGAAAGGACCTTGATGATGCCGGTGATGTGTTCTTTCTTGCTCGTGGCATGGACCAGTGAGATCTATTCTTTCTCATTCATAGCCTTGTGGCATACCCTTGTGCAATTTGGAATACCCGTGGATCGTTTTAGAGCAGACAAGACACCCTCAAGTTGATATGCTGAGTTGGATGGGCATATGATTGATTCGATTGACTGATTGATGTCCACCATCGTGGATATATTGAGTGACTTTTGGTCTCTTTGAGCTCTCATTTCTTCGAACTTGTTCGCCCTTTTCACCCTCTTCACCCTCTTCACCCTGTTCTTATCCTTCACCCTCGCTCCCTTCACCCTTTTCTTATCATTGACTTGGCGTCCTTCCAGTCTAGCAGACACCCACTGCATGCCATGGTATTCCCTCAGCCGATACATGCCTTCACAAACGAGTCCCGATCTTGAATCCGACGAATAAGACCATCGTCCACCATTTCCAGGTTGGAGCTTCTCTCAGAGCGGGCTTCGGTCGTTGCCAACGCCATTTGACGACGAGGAGAGAAGAGGAGAAGAGCTTCAGTAATGGTGGCAGACGTTCGAGGTCGACTGTGGATGTATGTCGTCGTCCCTGGACCCTGGACATAAATGAAGAACCTGTAGAACCTGGCGAGGAAACCTGGTCCTTGAGAGAACGAGTTCGTGCTTATTGGTATGATTGTTTGTCGTTGCCGCGTCCCATAGATAGACAGAGGTGGCGACATCGAAGTTAGGCAGTTGAGCGAGATCACACATTTCGAAGCCATGAGATCTTCTCCCTTCTTTTTCATACCGAATCGAAACGGGGACCAAATACACCTCTCCGTGGCCCTTCTGGCTTGATGATACTTAGATTCGGTTGTTGTTGGTGCTGATCGTCCATGGATCTGGATTCCCGACATGCGATCGCTTTTCCTCTCCTTGTCCTTCCTCATTGGCTTCCTTTCTTCTCTTTCTGTTCTGTTCTCTTTCCACTTTGTGGCCCATTCACACCAAATGCGCCGGCAACAAGAAATTCCCCACCCCTTCCTTGATGGGATACTCGAACCCGCAATTCCCACAGACCAGTTTCCCTTCCACCACGCCCGTCTCGAGCAAGAGATTGTGCAGTTTCCTCAACTCTTCATCTTTGATATCGGTTTCTGTTTCTGTTTCTGTTCGGGTTCCCTCCGTCTGCATAACCTCATCATCTTCTTCTGCTTCACCACCAGCCGTGGCTGCGGCATTCTTCTCCTTCTCTTCTTCCATAACATCCACGGGATTCCTCGCCGGTACTAGACTCTGCAATCCCAGTTCCGTGGCTGTCGTGGTCAAGGCGTCCCAGTTGACGCGCGGCAAGACATTGCGGATGAAGAGCGGGTTGTAGTCGATCTCGGTGCGTTCGAGGGTAGCGTCTTTGAAATGTAGGGGAAATGAGAGCGGTGAGGTCTTGCACGTCTTGACCGCGCAGGTGAGGAAGTTCGTTGTGAGGAGTTTCATGGTCGTTTACTGAAATCTGGGGACGGTGTTTGTGTGGGTTTCACCGAGGGAGAGTAGGGTTTGTTTCAGATGGTGGATCGCGGTCCCGCAGTCGTGGTGTGAGTATACTGACTGACTGGCTTGCTGGTGCAATGGTAGGTGGTTGAAGGTACAGTTTGTATAAATAAATAAATTTCTCGAAAGTCGAAATGTTGGAGTTTGGAGTTTTGGGGACATTTCGAGTGGGAGTACCTGATGACTAATCTATTAGTCATCCGTCCGTCGTCTTTCCCCTTGATGGTCAGCCTTGTCGTTGAGAGGTAGAACCAAGGTATCATATTCATGTTCCCACAGAATTGATATATTTGACATTACCAAACATCTAATCAGGTTGAGAATATAGTATGGAATGCAAAGCTATGGACTCTCGGTCTCGAACGGACAGAATGTTTTGCTCTTGGGCGCATCTATAGACATCATAGGGTGTCAAGATACCCCTTTTCGCTGACGCGCGATCAGGCCAAAGGATCCTTTGCTTTGCTTTTCTCAACTTGCTTCCAGCTGACAGGTCTTTATCCGACCCTTAAGATCATTTCTCGCTCCAGGTTTCGAACAATCACTCGCTAGAACATCAATCATATAAGTTATATAGGCTCATCCCTCGGCTCGATCAGAATTTCGTTAACCGCAACATGCTGAGGCTGTTTCAAAGCATAGACAATTGAATTAGCCACGTCTTCCGCATCCAAGACCTGAGCACCAGACGGCTCGCCATATTTCTTGAGCGCTTCAGCGTCCGTAGACATGCCCAGCAGATCAGTAGCGACGTTGCCCGGCTGCACACTAGTGACGCGCAGACCGGTGCCGGCAGTCTCCAGACGCAGACTCTGTAAAGTCGCTTCAACGAAGAACTTGCTGGCAGAGTAGACGCCCAGGCCGGGGAAGACTTTGCGGCCGGCGTCGGACGAGATGGCCACGATATGTCCACTTCCACGCGACAGCATGGACGGCACGGTGGCAGAGAGACAGTTGAGGAGACCCTTGCAGTTGACGTCAACGGTGCGTTCCCACTGGTCGACCTGCACGTTGGCCATCATGGTGAAATACATGACGCCGGCGCAGGACACGAGAATGTCCACGGGGCCCAGCTCGTCGGTTGCGGCACTTAGAAGGGATTCGACTTGTTTCCGGTCCGTCACGTCCGTCTGGCGCACTATCACCTTGCCTTCGCGCACCACCAGGCGACGCTTGACGGCTTCGAGCGCATCGAGACGCCGCGCCGCCAGAGCGACGTGACACCCTTCCCGTGCGAGAGCAGTCGCTACGGCGGCGCCGATGCCTGACGACGCACCCGTCACCACGGCCACGCGGCCGCTCAGCGGGCCTCTGCGGATCGGCTGTGCAGAGCCGCCCGGGGAATGGTGGCGCGAGGGAGGCCGCGGGAGCCAGCCTCGGGCGAACCAATGGCGAGTATAGGTTTCCAGCAGCACACTGTCGACCTTGGGTCGTTCGACGACGGCCCGGAAAGGTCGGGTTGCCGCGTTGTTCAGCACGACAATGCCCCTGAGGAAATCGACTGTCGGCATGCCGCTGCGGAGGATGTCGACTGTGAACGCGCCGTCACCGCCTTTGACGGAACTCCTCTTCTCGTTCCACAAGGCGACCCATTTATCGAAGTCGAGCGGTTTCGTTGGATATCCTAGCTGCTCGAGATCCTCGAAGACCTTGCGACAGTCGACCGGGTCGGGATCGCCAAGGTGGAAAACCACTTGTTTCGCGTGCGTCTGGTTGGCCAGGTGCACGATGGCTTTGCTGACAAAGTCGACCGGCGTCATCTCAGCACGCCAGCCCTCGACATCTGGGGCGTAGCCGAGATGAATTGACTCCACGATCAACGCGGACAGCAGATCCCATGCGTTCGCTGAACCGGTCGTGCTGTGGCCGCTGATGGTGCCTGCTCGGTGGATTTTCACGGGTAATCCACGCCGCCCGGCCTCGAGCACCAGCTGCTCAGCCACCCATTTTGTCTGGCCGTAGCCATCATGTAACTTCTCGGGCACTTCTTCCACGGCAAGCATGGCATCTTCCGGCCAGCCCTCTTGTGATGGTGGCAGCACGCCGTTGGTGGATACGTACTGGACTGTGGCGCCGCCGCGGCCTGCTAGACGCAAGATCTCGCGTGTACCGCCGACATTGGCCCCTCGTAGGGCGGCATAGGGATAGACGAGGTTGACGGTAGCGCCCGCGTGGACGATGACCTGCACACGAGAGGCCAGTTCGTCAAACGCTTCGGGCGTGAGACCCAGCCGTTTCCGGGATAAGTTGCCAGGTAGGATTTCGACCCGCTCCATGATGGAGTCCCGCCATAGTCCCAAGTCCAGTAAATTCCTCCTGATCCTTGCTATGCCGCCTGGTCGGTCTTCTTCTGAGGGGTCACCGAATCTGACGAGGCAGATGATCTGGGCTGAGGTGCTTTCCAATAGGTCGTTGAGTAGAAAGGCCCCTAAGAAGCCAGTCACACCCGTCAGGAGCACGGTGTTGACATCTTTGAGTGCGCATATCGTGGCATTGGATGGACGGATGTCTTCATCCAGGATAGAATCCTTTCGCAACACGGCTGGCAGATCCGCCTGCACTTCTGCGGTGTGACCATCTCTCACGGCACGGACTGTTTCTAGATGGCCGTTGAGAGTGGGAGGGTCGACTAGTCGAGCGAGGGGGATGCGAAAGCCGAAGGTTCTTGACAGTCTGGAGGCCAGATCCGCAAGAGACAGGGAGTGACCACCGAGATCGAAGAAGTTGTGTTCCGGCGTGATTACATCCCGTGACGTCTTCAGGGTCGCCGCCCAAATCTCGGCGATTGCATCAATCGTAATCGGGTCTTGCTCGACTTTGTGGCCGTTGGTGACGACCTTTTTAGGTGTCGGCGGAGGTGGGAGATGCTTGAGATCGACTTTGCCGGACACTTGATGAGTAGGTAGTTCGTCGAGCTCTACCCACAGAGCTGGGATCATGTAGTGGGCTAGATGGGCCGACAATGTCCGTCGTGCCGCTGGACTGTATCCGGAATCATCAATCTCCACAATCGGGCGATCCGGGGAGGAGCTCTCCTTGTCCCGGACAATGTATGCCACTAGTTGCCGCTCGAGGCCTTCCCCATGGGCCACCACAGCGCAGTGCCGGACGGCCAGATGCTTAACAATGGCATTTTCGACTTTGCCAGGTACAACGGAGTAGCCTCGGAGCTTGATCATGCCTGCAACGCGTCCTGTGATCTCGAGAAGTCCTGAAGGCAGCAATCGCGCCAGATCTCCGGTCTTGTACATGCGGGCTCCTGGGGTGGGATCAAATGGATCCGGCGTAAATGCTTTGGCGGTGGTTTCAGGAAGGTTAAGATAGCCACGAGCCAGCATAGAGCCGCCGATGAAGAGCTCTCCATTGGCGCCAGATTCCACTTTTTGCCCACCTTCATCAAGGATGTAGGTATGTTTGAGGTCCATTGGCGGGCCGACAGGACAGTAGACGGACTCGTGTGTCAGCATTTCCGCAATGTCGCCGCATGCAATCTCGTGGGTCTCACAAGCGCTGTAGCAATTGAACAAGCGCACATTGGGTAGTGCCTTCAGAGCTCGACGGGCCAGGTCTGCGGTGACGACCTCGCCGTTGAGCCACAGGGTGCGCAGATCTGAGAGTCGAGACCCCAGGTCTGAGTGACGGGATAGGACCGTGGCAAGAAGCGTGGGTGTCATGAGGGTTTCAGTGATCTGCTTGGCAGAGAGCAAGTCCACGAGTGCGGCCGGGTCATAGCTGGCCTCATCGGAAACGGCATACACCGTGGCTCCTCGTAGGAGCGGACGAATCATTTCCCAGATGAAGAAGACGTTACAGGCCACGCGGTCTCCGGGGTGGACGTCACGCACGCCAAATCGCAGATTGTATGAGAGCACAGGGGCCCTGTGAGGATTGGCTATCCCCTTGGGTTTGCCCGTCGTGCCTGAAGAGTAGGATACAAAGGCCAAACGCTCGAGGTCATCTTCTGCAGGTAGTGGCGGGAGCTCGCTGTCGGCGTGTCCATCCCCATTCACCGTGTCTTCCTGGTTCGAGTCTTCGTCAAGAGTAATCAGTGGTATACCCTCCTTGATCTTGCCGAGCTCGGCCCGATACGTAACGACAACTGCTGGACTGGCATCTTCAATCACGTCGGCCAGTAGCCCTGGCGGATATGCCATCTCGAGCACCAAGAAGGCGCCTCCGGCCCGCAACGCCGCCAGGGAGGCTATCACATAGTCGGCGCTGCGAGGGAGCAACACGCCCACCAGACTGTCTCTTCCAACACCATGGAGCCTTAGTCTTTGCGTGAGAGCATCGACTGAGGCGTCAAGCTCGGCGTATGTGTAACTGGTCTTGTCGTCCTCTAAGGCAACGGCGTCCGGCGTTCTCTGAACTTGGTCCCGAAAGAGGGCAGCCAAGTCTTTGGAGGTGTCGATGATGCCCATGACTTCTTTTTTCACTCTTCAACAAACATGGACTTCTGTATCTTCGATTCTGGTGTCGCTGTATCTCCCCGCGTTGCTTAACGACAAACTTTAGAAGTCGTTCTTCTCTGCGTCAGAGCAATGGCTCTGAGAAGGCAAGAATATATATGTTATGTAGGGGATTTTAATCTCCTGTTCTGACTGTTGCAGTTTTCATAAAACCTAACAGATCTATAGTCTTTCTGGGGGTCGTATGAAGTGAGAAGCGAATCTCGATCGAGTTCCCCAGATCAATGAACACGCTTTGTTTCTGTTGAGGTTTCAATATCGAATTTCTTCGTCATTCTCGACCAATGAAAGGAGAGGATACAACAACGTCATCAGCCACAAAATCAAGTTCTCCACCGTGGCACAGCAGACAGCCACGTGCAATTGATCTGATTCGGCAGCCTTGTAGCAGACCACCGCACGTGACCTGCATCTGCGCTCACAGCCTTGTCCCGCAATCTGCGTCCTGGCCACCGGCTCCTACAGATGGAAGCCAATCCTTGAAGGCGAGGCAGTCGGCTCCAGTTGAATATGACCAGATAGAGAGAAGACTGAAGTCCTTGAAATCTGGTGGATGGGAAATAGTTGAGACCGAACTTGCCAACCAACTACGGCTAAATGCTGACTTTGTAGGTCTACAATAATCTCTGGTAGGAAAATACATCACAAAAAGTCTTTGCCACAGAAATGGCTGAACAAACCACGCCAACACATCTTCAACCAGCAAAAATACAAAAATAAATTCTCCAAAGAGAATAGTCCCTATGGGTTTCGAACCCATGACCTTCTCCGAAATTTCACATTGTAAAGGAGATGTGATACCACTACACCAAAGGACTTGATTTGTGCGACATATCAGAGCATAATTTTGCTATCTTTGGTATAAGTAGCTATCTCCACTGTTGCCGTAATAGGCTAGACATCGTTCATCTCCGGGGGCCGTAGAGTCAAGTTGACCCTCCATAACATGTAAGAAGAATATCAGCCTTCCTGGGTATCAAGTGCCGACGATGATCCGTGGGACATCCGCAAGTTAAGCTGGTATCAAGAACGTCTGTTCGGTGAGGTGCTCTTTGGGGATCCATCATGTGCGCATCGCCTCTGTGTGAATGGATTCGCTGAACGCCAGAACCCCCAAGCGTGATAGACGGCGATACGAGTCAAGATGCGGCAGGTTTGATGGACCACCAAACGACCACATTACTCCTGGCTAAATGTGAAAGTTTCCCAAGGGATGGCGGACCGATTTCAATCTCGAAATTGTGCCGTCCTCCAGCCCTATGTTCTTGCCGACAAGGCTGACATAGTCAGGGGTTGGACATGGACATGGGCAGTTTGCGCCTCATTTCTGTAAAATCGGCGCCGTTGCTGATCAATAACCAAACTTGATTGATACGTTTAGCTTCCAACATCTGCCTAGCTATCTCCGTCTGGCAGTGATGGGTCTGTGGCTGCGCCCTTTGCTGGCGGAAGCGACTTTCCCGGGGTTCTGTTCTTTGAGCTTCCTTCGGAAGTCCCGACAATCAAGAAAAATAACAGGAGATATCGGATATTAGCGAGAGCCACCACCGCATCCTCCTCGCATCCTGCTCCAATATCTCGAAGCTATCTTAAGAAACGCATCAGTCTTGGTATGCAGACTCTTCGTGGGGTCCGGTCGCATCTGCAATGTCGACTCAAAAGCGTGGCGGAACATCCACGTCTGCTCCCGGTGCACAGGAGCCGCACGGCAGCTGGCCTCGCTGGTTCCTCCTTTCCCTGATAACAGCGACCGTCGCTCTGGCTTTGGCGGGTGGAAACACAGTGCTTGACCATGGCGGACCAAGTCGATTCGTGATGTCCTATGTCCCACCATCATTGCTGTCCTTGGAGCAAAGAGTCGACCGCATCTTGTCTCGGACACCGTTGCTGGGTGAGTGTTGTCCAACCTCCACACGCCTTTTGCCGCTATCTGAGAAGGATTGCCTCACACTCTTACCAATATCTTGTTTGCCTCTTGCACACAGGGGGTTGCCATGCTGATATTACAATCTGTAGATGGACATGATGACTTGGCTGAGCAAGTGCGTGCCGAATTCCAGAATCAGATCTATACACCCGAGTTTCGAGCCAAGTTCGAACAAGGGTCGATGCCAGGCCATTTCGATCTCCCCCGTTTGAAGAAGGGCCGGCAGGGTGGCCTGTTCTGGAGCGCGTGGGTTGATTGTCCTGTTGACAAGTACGACTTTTCGAACGAGAATTACGCCCCTGGTGAGCTCTGCCGCTTCTATGTCTTGTATCTTTTCTTCAGGTCTGACTTCTCTTCCTGGTCTCTAGTCGTCATGAAAGGGTTGGCACAGGTTGATGTGATTCATCGACTACAGTCAGCTCACTCAGACATCTTTTCTCCTCCGACATTGGATACCACTGCCGCGGTGGCAGCGTTCCGTCGTCATGGAAAGCTGTTATCGCCGATCGGTGTGGAAGGTCTGCATATGATCGGTCGCAACGCCTCGCTTCTGAGGCTGTATCACTCTCTCGGCGCCCGATATATGACTCTAACCTGGAACTGTCATAACGCTTTTGCCGATGCCGCCCAGGTCACGGTCAACCTCGATGATTCACTTGCATTGGATGCCGCCAGACCGGCCAAGCCGCATTGGGGAGGTTTGAGCCCGCTGGGGAGCAAATTGATGAACGAGATGAATCGTCTAGGGATCATGGTAAGCTAATGAAAAGGACGAGCACTTCCCTATTAGAGCCACACCGTCCTGAAGAAATGCATGTGTATGCTTCTCCATGCTAACTTCCCCTTTTTTCTTTCAAATACAGATCGACCTCTCCCATACACACCCGGTGACCATGCACGACGTCCTGGCTGGCAATCTTACGAAATCATATGCCGGGAGTCGAGCGCCCGTTATCTTCTCCCATTCATCGGCTCACGCTCTGTGTCCGCATCCACGAAATGTTCCCGACAACATCTTACCGCTGGTGAAGCAGACGAACTCGGTGGTTATGGTTACGTTCGTGCCAGAGTTTGTTTCCTGCGTCAATTCTTCAAACCCAGACGTTCTGCCGACCTTTTATCCAGCAAATTCTACTCTCGGGTTTGTGGCAGATCATATCATGTATATCGGCCAGAGGATCGGGTTCGAACACGTGGGCATTGGGAGTGACTTTGATGGAACCCCGGAGACACCCAGAGGTTTGGAGGATGTGAGTAAGTTCCCAGATCTCGTGGCGGAGTTGTTGAACAGGGGCTTGACCGATGATCAAGTTGAGGGGATTGTTGGGGGGAATGTCCTACGTGTTTGGAAGAAGGTTGAGGATGTCAGTCGTGAGTTGCAGGCGAACGGTGAGGTTCCGATGGAGGATGAAATTTAAGGTGCTGGAATATCAGACAATGTCAAACGCTATACATCGGAAGGAGATATGGCATCCGAGGTATGGTGCAAGACGCAACAGGGATTGCCAGGTGCATGTTCCTTGTATGGATATAAGACATGTGTGACCGCAGTTGACAGTTCGAATGGAAGCACATGGCTTCTTTGGGGTCATCCTCCCTTATGCATCTCCCCGTGTAGGCCAGCAGTATCAAAGAGCTTCTTCCCAACAGGGAGGGGGCTGTTCCAATGTGGTCGAAGTTCGTAGGACAAGTCGTTCTGGTCGAGTCTGGATTTTGCAAGTAAGTCGAAGTACGGCCGCCGGCTCTCCTGGTACCTATTTATGGGTGAGAATCAGAAACAACGTTGAGCAACACTGCGCCATCTGGCAATTCTGTCGCTCTCGAAACTCGGAGTATCTGTTGGATCCGGCAAAATCGCACGAGCTTTGCAAACAAAAGAACTGACAGAGACCGCAATTGACATAAAAATCATGACGCCCTTGCTTTTCTGATTTCAATGGTTGGTATTTGTTTCTGGCGCGGCTTCATGCCGGCGGCACATCCTCTAACTCTGGTCTGTGCTTCATGACGCCAGGATATCTGCCCATAAAACCATGCCGTGGGACAGTATGCGCATGTCCTCTTTTTGCTCAATCCGAACCACTAGCAATGTCCACTCGCCTTTCCACCCTGCAATGCTTCGACACAGCTCAACTACCTTAGAATTTCTTGAAAGACTTGACGGCCTTGCCAGTTCGGGGCAGCACACGGAGAACATTGAATCGGACCTAAACAGACTGATCAGCACACTGTCTGGAGCGCAGAAGCCGGCAGTGCTGTGGAAATGTCGGAGAGGGAATATCTTACAGTCTTGCTGAGAGGTCGGCATTGACCAACAGTGACGGTATCACCTTCCTCAACACGGAAAGCAGGGGAAACGTGGGCGGCCAGGTTCGTGTGTCTCTTCTCGTATCTGGCGTACTTGGGGACGAAGTGGAGGTATTCTCGGCGGATGATCAAGGTTCGGTGCATCTTCGTGGAAACGACGGTGCCGGTGAGGATACGGCCTCGAATAGAAACCATGCCGGTGAATGGGCATTTCTTGTCTGTAGAAAAGCAAGTCGCACAGGTTAGACATAGTTCTCATTCCATAACGAACCTTCCAGCATATTTGAAGCAGCGAAAAATGCTTTTCAATTCTCCACGACGGCATTGCTGTTCGAGAAGTGATCCCCAGAGTTCTACTGACCAATGTAGTGTCCTTCAATGGCCGTCTTGGGCGTTCTGAAACCCAGACCGACATCTTTGTACCATCTTCGTCCACCCTTGCCTGCGCTCCTGCTCTTCGCGGCCTTGGATTTGTGGTTGAGGAAGATGTGCGGCTGCTTCTGGTACGCGCGCTCGGACTGGACGGTCAACTCGGTCGCCATGTTTGCGGTGGTTGACAAGCGGTGGGCGAAAGGGGAGTATTTGTCGTCGTCGGCGTGGTCGTGAAACTTCAACTGCGAAATGTGGCCGGGAGGTTTTCCAAAAGTTGAGCCCGCTGTGCGTAGCATTCTTGGCGGGCTGGTGGCACTAGTCTCGAAAGAGGTGGGGGAGGCTGCACACGTGATCTCGAGCTCTTCTCGTGTTTATGCTTTCCCCTTCGGGATTAGTGTGTCACGGTGGACCGCAATGCCAATGGGACTCGCTCGTTTTCCATGGTGGGACGCGGATCTGGTCAGGTCGTTGTTCGCTATAGTAGAATCTATCATTCTTACCATGCAACACTTCTAGACATACAGCAAAACCCAGATCTTGTGGATCTGGTAGCGCATAGCCATGGCTGATTCCGCTACTGATCGCAAGGCTCCCAGGCCAAAGGCGCGCCAGTCAATTGCGCATGTGCCGTCGTCCAAAATCTCGGCCTTGAAAGACAACATCACGACAGATATTGCTGCGCTACAAGCACAGAACAATGTCGCGCAAGTGATGAAAAAGAAGTCGCGTGGCAAGAGTCTTGGGCCAGGTGGCCTTGAGGCGTTGACAGAGTCTACGGGAAACACTACAAAGGTGAGCGCAACATGCATCGTCGCGAAGGGGCTTGTTGTTGTTGTTAACTATCCATAGACCACAGCTCCTTTCCAGATCAAGTCAATCCTCAAACCTACAGTACCTCTTACACCGCCTAAAGCAATTCCCACGTTCGACGAATTGCGCAAGCGAAGCACAGGGAAGGGTCGATCACCGAGCAGAAATGGCGGCGAAGACCTCCTCATTGATTTCTCGACACCAGGACCTAGCACGCAAGATGCAGTTGAAACCTCACTCACTGGCGAGGACAAGATCGCGGATCCTTTCAGTCCAATTAGGCGACGCATGCCTAGTAGATCGGACGCTGGAAGTGCGGATAATCTCGAGCGACAGCAGGAGGAGGAGCTCAAACGACAGGCTGAAAAACAAGCAATATTAGAGCGCAGAGCTGCAAGACGGAAATCGCTGGCAAACAGGAGAGTTTCTTTTGCCCCGGAGGCAACTTTGCATACGTGGAGTGTTATGGAGCTCGCAGAAGACTCTACCACAAGTTCTGCGACCAATTCTACGAGAAGACAATCGTCAATGACAGCAGCTCAGTCCCCGGTCGCCTCAGCGCTGTCCCCAGAGACCGCAGCGGCGCCTTCGACCCCCATCGAAGAACCAGAACACCAAATAGCCGCGGAATCGCCGGCGCATCAGCGGGATCTTCACCAAAAGAAGCGTCGGAGAAGAAGTTCGGGTCTTTCCGAGCCACTGTTGGACGCTTCGCAAGACGAAGTGTTCTCTTCCAGCCCCTCAGGAGACGTTATTGCAAACAGCAGTCCGCTCCGTGTTGAGGAAGGTATTGAGTCTTCTGATGAGTCCGACACCGATGGTGACACTGCCATGAGCTTGGATGATGGCACTGCCCAAACCATCGCCTCTGAAGACTCCGGGTCGAGCACACATTCGAGCCTGGAGGATCGTCTTCGGCAAGCTGCTAGTCAGGCTGGCACGCGCGGGATTGACTACGATGAACAAAGCGATGATCTGTCCATGGAGCTGGCAACAGGAACAGTCACCAACGCATTCCAGCCCTGGGCTCGGAAACGCACTGCAGACCCGGAAGGCAGCGCCGTGTTTGATCAGGAAAATGTCAACCCATTCGAAGTTCCGCGCCAGGCTACCACTCTGCAGCAACCAATATATCCAGATATCCAAGAGGACGAAGACCAGACGGAAGGAATGACTATGGATGTTACGATGGCTGTCGGGCGCATTGTATCGAGACAATCTCCAAGCAAGAAAGGTGGAAAGTCACCAATGTCTCGTCGGAGAAGCAGTGTCCGCCGCCGCCGTTCATCTGCGGGCGAGTCAACATGCGACGAACCCATGGAATTCACCATGGTGCAAGGTGGCATCATCGATGTTGAGGCTGACCGAACGACTGGCAATACGACGAATGTCAGAGCTGATGAAGACATAACTATGGAATTCACCACTGCTGTGGGAGGAGTTTTGGGCAATTCAGCACGCAGAGAATCTGGGTTGTCCGAGCAGACCGACGAGAATGAAAGCATGGATATGACAACTGCTGTGGGAGGTATCCTGGCACCTATCGAAGAGCAGACTGAGCCACAGACTGATGTAGAGGACGAGCAAACAATGGCTATGGAGATGACTCGGGCGGTTGGTACCATTCTCGATCAAACTCCGGCTGGAGCAAAGAGAGCGACCAGAAAATCTGGGGGGGTTGCTATAGTTGAGAACACCGTATCGATGACGCCAAAAGGACAGCCAGCTCAACAAACAACTCCAAAGTCAACGCCAAAGTCGCATCAACATATGACTTCTGTGGCGTCAGAAACAGGTAGCCCTAGCCTTGCTCTGAAACCCCGATTGTCAGGCAGGGCCCAGCGAAGTGCAACGAGGTCTTCGACCACGCCACAATCAAAACCTCAGCGCAGCACACCGGTCAAGTCTACAGACAGAACTCAGCACGGCACGCCATCAAAGCAGATCACACCCCTCCCCGCCCGTGCAGAACCACCCAACAAGACGCCACTCTCGGCCAATGTGACACACCGAACGGCGTCGCCTAAAAAGCTGTTCAAAGCTGAAATCAAGGCTAGAAGTTCACCTGGCTCTGTCAAGCGAGAAGCAAATCTCAAAGCAAATACTTTGTTTTCGAGAGACTCGGAGACTGGCCAACAGACCCCTAGTGTCGTTCTGCAGGCCCCGAAGATCCAGATGATGCGACGAAGATCGAGCGGCATCGGCCTTGACAAGGAGGGGATCGGGTCTCCTCGGGTGTCTGAGATACTCGACCGTCGTGCCAGCATTGGCGAAAGTGTACCACAGTTCAAGCTTGGTAATACTGAGCCGAGACGCTTACGACTGGAAGATCCGAAGGTTCTTGGACATGAAGTGGAGGCTGAACGAGTTGAAGAACATCGGCGTGAAAGTGGTCGTTTCATCATGGAGCAGGAGGCTGATCAGCAGCAGGAAGAGACAGCCACATTGCAACTGAAGGGTATGATCGATGCCATGTCGCCCAAGAAGCCAAAGACCAGCAAACTCAAAGGCAGAAAGAGCCTTGCGGTTGGCGCTGCTAAGGGGCTTCTGGGCAAGAGGCCCGCAGAGCTCGATCTGGACGATGAGGATGAAGCTGACTCAACTCCGAAACGCTTGAAAATGGTCTCCCGAGAAGGCAGCCCGGTCAAGAAGGTTCACCTGCCAAAGCCGCCGAGTAAAGACGAGACTACAGGCAGACTGAAGTTTCTCCATGATGTGGCAAGCACTGAGGGCATAACTCCGACACTTGCAAATGCCTCACCCAAACGAAAAAGTGTCGCACCGAGCCCATCTTCTGTCGGCCGCTACCGTGATGTTGAAATCCATGACGATGCACGACCGACCTCATTCGAAGACAAGATGGACAACGTCGTTGGTGCCATCGATGTTTCGACGGCTCAGATGGAATATGGAGATGATGACAGCGAACAGGATAAGATCTCGCTGCAAGAGTTCTTGAATATGACAAATATTCACTTCATCGAACTCTCGACGACCAAGAGAAGACATACAATGGCGCAGTCAATGCCATCAACAGAACCTCAAGACGGTGGTGACCACAATAGTACCGAAGCGACGTTTGTTGCTGCCGCCACAACATTACCTCTACTGGAATTATATCAACATGCCACGAGAGAATTAAAGTCCTACATCTCTACCGGTCGAAAGATCATTCGAACCATTGAGGCCGAAACGTTGGCTGAACAACCACCACTCTTTCGTGAATATTTGGATGCTCGACCAGATGTGAAGTTGGTGATGGACAACCAATTCCGCAATGGAAAAGCCAATGCTCGCCTTCAAAGCAAAGAAGGATGGTACCAATGGCGAGCCCAGCTTGTGGAAGGTCTTAGAGCTGGTCTCGAGGGTATCAATCAAGGAATGAGCACCGACTTGGCTCTTTTAGACCAGCAGCGGACGACCTTGGATGGAGTGATACCACAATTGCTGCACGAGCAATCGGAACTTGAAAGACAGAAGTTGTCCTTACAACAGAGGCTCGAAGAACTGAACAGTGTTGACCAAGAGGCCTTGAACGACTGTCGCCATCAATTGCGGGCTGCTAATGACTACGGCCTCAAGAGATCTGCTTTGCTGGAGAGTTTGCGGGAGCAAATGAAGGGGAAGGATGAGGCTGTCGCTGCGGCCAAGGAAATGAAGGTCGAGATGCTAGAGCAGATCGCAGAGGCAGACCGCGTGAGAGAAGAGCACAAGGGATGGCCCGCCGCTGACGTCCTGGCGTTCAAGTCGAAGGTCGAGACTATTGAAAAGCAGACGGGCTGGCGGATGCTCGCGGTAGAGGAGGACGCGGATGAACCCAGCGACTGCGGTCCTGCTCTCACCATCGTGTACAAGGATGACCTCCGATTGTTTTTCCACCCACAAGCTTTTCAGTGCAACACTGCCAAAGCTCCTCGACGGAGATCAGGGAGGAAGTCGGCATCAGTCTCTGGTCCGACAGCGCCTATCAGTTTGACATTTGCGCCCACAGATGAAGACGATCTCGAAGAACGACCACCACAGTTATCTACTGAGAAGCGCTTCTTCCTGCAGATGATCAGAAGTCAACTGCATGTCTTCGCAATGATGCCCAAAGGCTCCGTCGCATCCAAAACACTTCTGTCGACTGTCTCTCAGGGTTGGGATGTTGCATGCAAAGTGTCTGAAGAGATACGTCTGCTCAATCTGGTTGGCATTACCACGGCGTCGATCCTAAGCGATGAGAAATTGTCTATCAAGGTGGTGCTGGTTCTACCGGATCAAGGCGGGCGCGTGGACATTGACTTCACCGTCACAGCGACGATTCTCAATGATGGTGCGATGGTAGCTTCCACGAATGTGACTGCCAATGCTGTCTACGGATCAGTATCGGACATTCTGAGCGGTGCCAAGTGTCGGAAAGTCCAGCACGCTCTTGGGAAGGAAGTCGAGAGTCGGACCTTAGGTGAGGGTGCATGTGTCAGCGCCGTTCAAGGCTTTCGGGCGTGGTTCCAGCAACAGCGACAACAAATGCAGATGCAGACCGAGAGGTCGAAAGAGGAGAGGGCCGTCCAGAGCAAGGAAGAGGTCAAAGCTACTACTCAAGCCCCAGCTTCTGTTTCTGTTCCTGCAGTGGCAATTGGCGACGGTGTCGTCGTGTCAAGATATGCTCCAACTTCAGCTTTAGGACCAGTCACGACTTCTTCGTCAGCCCCGAAGCGGTCACCGCTCGCCCCCAAGCGCAGTAATCTGGTACAGAAGAAAGCTCTGCCCATTCCCAAGCAGCGTCTTGAGAAGTTTACCATGCAGACGTCGTCACATCAGCAACACCAACAGCAAGGCGTTTCAGCCGCGGCAGCTGACAAGGAAAACTTCAACCCGGCCCTCCCGATCTTGGCGGCGGGGAAAATGCACGACTCGGAGGAACTGGTCAAGACGAGGCTCGACTGGGCCGATAAAGACGCACAGATGCAGATGCCGATGCATACGCCAATGCAGGTTCCCAAAGCGGCCATCCCACCAGAGATGCAGGAGGTCATGATGCATACTCCGATCAAGCGTGTTGGGGCCTTGAGAAGAAGTCCGATCTGATCATCAGCGTCAAGACCGAGCTGGAGATGAAGGTGTGGGGATATAAAGTCTTAGCAGTGATGACTGTGACTGACTGGACTGCTGAATGAATCAATGAACTGATGACGATGGGAGCTGGGAGCTGGGAGAGAGCTTCCTGGCTTTTTGGATTTTGGTTGGATCTGGAAGAGGCAAGATGTCGATTGTTCAGCCTTGCAGTGGTGTTTGATTGAACCCCTGAGGGATTCGAGAACAAAGACACGCATGCGCATAAGGGTCAGCATGAGCTTGTCAATTTGATCGTGTTCTTCTCTGGCGCGTTAGGACATCCGTTGGCTTTGTGAATTTGAATTCATCTTGGACATTTTTTTCTATACCTCGATAGTCTGTATGTGTTCATCATGAGTGTATTTTGTTTTCAACTCCCTTTGACTTGATGTTTGTTACTTGACCAACCGTTGTCCTGTCTCCTGTTCCAAGATCCTAGGACTAAGTACATGTTTCACTGGAAAGTTCGATAAGCCCGCAAACCAGGAGGCAGTCTCAAGAGGCGGCCCTTGTTCTTGTTCTTGTTCTGTATCTAGGGATAGAGCCAGAAGAGGTTCTTCAAACATGATTGATACATGATACATGATACATGATATATTATTATACAGAGGTATTCAATGCTCTTTTCGGGTCTAGATACCTGATTTTCGGAAGAAACAACGACTCCCGCCTCGTTCTATTCAGCAACCCAAAGCTGCTAGCAAAGACAGGGCAAGGGGGTTTCAGAGCATATATCCTGTGGTACAAACATCCGTATTTCCCACACTATAGGACGAGAAACAGGAAGAACAGCGAGAGCAGTAGCAACAGTAGCAGCAGTAGCAGCAGTAGCAGCAGTAGCAGCAGCAGCAACAGCAGCGTCATAGTATAATAGCGGTAACAGTGTTGGTAATACGTATAACAAGTCCAACTGAGGTCTGTCTTGTCTATCTTCACCATCCACCACCGCCGCCGCCGCCGCCGCCGCCGCCGCCTCCTCTCCCACCGTATCCACCACCACCGCCACCACCACCACCTCCTCCTCCATACCCATTGCTACCACCGCCGCCTCCGCCCCCTTTCCCACCATATCCACCGCTCTCATCGCTGGCAGTGATAGATTTTTTGGCCGTACCGCCGCCACCGGCACTACGTTGGCTCTTCTGCTGGGCGGCCTCATGTTTCCTCAACTCCTCCGGGACACGACTGATACTGCTCTTCATCAGCATCTGTTTGAGGTCATAGAGGACATCGGCATCCTCGTTGCCGAGGAAGGTGATGGCGACACCACTCTTGCCGGCACGACCGGTACGGCCGATACGATGGGTATACGACTCGATGTTGTTGGCCATGTTGAAGTTGACGACGAGCGAGACGTCGGGGACATCGATACCGCGACCGGCCAGATCGGTGGCGACCAGGACGTCGGTCTTGCCGTCGCGCACCGACTGCAGCGCGGCCTCGCGCTGGTCTTGCGTCTTGGAGCCGTGCAGCGTGACGGAGCTGAAGCCCATGGATTTGATGTCGCGCGCCACGGCGTCGCAGTTGCGCTTGATGTTGACGAAGACGATGATGGGCGGGCGGAACTCGCCTGACGCCAGGATCTGTTGCAGCCGCTTCTTGCGTTTGTCTTCGCCCGCGACGAACTCGACGCGCTGCTCGACCGTCTCGACCGCCTCGCCGACGTTGCCGATCGTCACGATCGCAGGGCGCCGCAGGTACTTCCGGGCAATGCGTTCCACGGCGGCCGGCATGGTGGCCGTGTACATCATCGTCTGTCGGTAGCGGTCTTTGCCGCCGATGGGCTGCGACATGGCTCGACCGTCTTCGGCCGCTTCCGTGTCCGGTTTCTCGTTGCCCACGGGGAGGGCGTCGAGGATGTGGTTCACAGGGTCTTCGAACCCGAGGTCGATCATGCGATCTGCTTCATCCATGATCACGTAGCAGCATTGTTCGAGCACAATGATGCGTCGATCAATACAATCCACGAGACGGCCGGGGGTGGCGATGATGATCTCCGCGCCGTTGCGGAGGTTGTATGCCTGCTCTTCGATGGAGTGGCCACCGACGATGGATACCACGGTGAAGCCGAGTGGAGTGGCGAACTTTCGAGCCTCAATCTCGATTTGTTGCGCCAATTCACGCGTCGGGGCGAGGATGATCGAGTAAGGTCCATTGTTTCGGCGTGTCTCGTCTTCGTCCAGACGTGGTAGTTCCGAGATGTAGACGAACAGGGGTAGGAGGAAGGCCGCTGTCTTACCGGATCCAGTCACGGCAACACCAATGAGATCTCGATTCTGGAGGGCGATGGGAATGGCGGCTCTTTGAATCGGCGAAGGGTCCTTGTATCCCACTTGCTCGATGATCTCCAATAACCGCCGTGGCAGTCCCGACTCTTGCCAATTCCGCATCGGGTTGGGGATGCCTCCTCCTTTGGTGCTGATGTTGAAGTCTTCTTTGAAGATTCGCCAATCTCGTTCCCGCATCTGATCCAACCTCTTCTCGCTCCAGTGCTTATCAATCGCCATTCGGTTCGACTCTTCTTTCCTCCTCCGTTCCATCTCGAGGATCTCTTGGGCGCGTGCGGCTCCAGCCTCGCCATCTCTCGACTGTAACGCTTCGGCATATTTCCTCGCAGCATCCTCTGCAAGTTGGTCGTCAAATCCTCCCAGTCGGCCACGGCCGAAGAATGTAGGCTGTGCTCGGTCGTTGTAGATCGGATTGTAGTCCGGAGTCGTGTCTTCTTCAGTGTTCCATTCGAAATTAAATTTCTTTTCTGTCGTCCGCCGTCTCTTCTTAAGTGCGGAAAATGTCGACACATTTGTGTTGGCACCCATATATCTCTGTCGTATCAAATCGGTCTCTACCGTATCTGACGAGCCCTCGTCTGCCTGTCGCTTTTTCGTCTTTGAATCCTGACCGAATGCTATAGGTTTCGGAGGTGCGGGCGGTGTCAGATCAACACCTCTGTTGTGGTCCCTCGACCGCATTGCAGCGGGACCTGTTGGGATGTCTCCGTTGCGTGTAGCTTTCGGCCCATTCGGGATTGAGCGGGCATGCGACCGCTCGGATTCCTTGGAGGTGCCATCAAAGTCATCTCGAAGAATGCCATTTTGAGGCTTTGCGCCTGCGGCCGCCTCGACTTCTTTCGCACGCTTTTCCAACGCCAGACGCTCACGTTCCGCCCTCGACAAGAACTTCGGCTTGCTGGCAGCAAGATCAGCCTCTCGTTTCTTCTTCAATAGTTCTTCCACGCTCAGTGGCGTGGCCTTGGCCGGCTTGCTGGATCCCCAACCTTTCTTCTTGGGTGGTTGAAGAGGTTTCGATCCAGTGACGGGTGGCTCTGCGTCATCGCTCGGCGGTGGCGGTACGCTTTCGGGCGGCGGAGGAGGAACACTGATGTCGGATGGAGGTGGAGGCGGCGCAATGTCTGCAGTTGGCGGTGGTGGAGGAGGGTTGGTTGCCGCGAGAGGCGGAGGCGGAGGGGTCTGTGGTCTTGAGACAGGGTCAACAGGCGGTGCTGGAACGTCAATATCATGATGGCCGTTCACCATTGTAGTCGCCATGATGGCATGTAAGAGGCGCAACAATTGAAGGCGAGCAGGCGATGTTGTGTGGCTGCTGACGACCGAATCCGGAGGCAGTGGAGGCCCGGATACCGTAGGGCGCGCGGAAAGTTATCTCTTTATGAGGATTCCTAGGTTGGTCTTCGAACGATGTCTGACTTGGGATAGAGGCGAGAAGATTCCCGCTGTTGCAATGCAGTGCAGTGGAAGATCAGATCACTAGGCGCCAAGGTTGAAGCCAGCCTCGACTAGTACTTAGTGGTACGACTAACTACGTACTAATACATACTAGTAGCTCGATAAAGGCTCTTATCTTATCGTACAACAGTTAGTGGCCTCTATAAGATAGACGTATGTTCTACTCTGTAGCTATTGAACGACCTGATCCTTCAGAAACATTCCCTCTTACTCGAAATGAACGACGGAGACAATACGGTGTATATACATTTTCTGTTCAAGCACTCTGACGTCTTGAACGGCCTCGTCGCTTTACCACACCTTGCGCTTTCAATGATTTAGCCACATGCCTCTCTTCGAGGTCACCACTCGTCGTTCTGGTTGTTCTGGTCGCGACCGACGTATTGTTGACGGTGGGAGCAGCTGCGATTGTGTTTTCATATCGTCTTGGTCTGAAGCTTTCACGGATTGCGACATGCTCAATCGACGTTCTCTTTCTGTGAATATAAAGCCGCGACGGAGTGGCCGAGCTTGCTTGGTGATTCTAGAGGCCGGAGCTCGAGATGCTCGCTGCCTTGGCTCTGTCATCTCGGAGACCGGAGAAGAGACTTCGGACTGTGCTGTCGAAAGGGTGGTACCAGTGCCTGAACCTTTGAAGACGCGATGCGCGGTGGGACGACGCTGTTGCTTGCGTGGTGTTGCACGGGGAGCGACTCGCCTCTGCTCCGTGCGAGGAGCCATGTCGACGTTGTCCTCCAGCGACAACCGTGCTGACTCTCCACTTGTGACTACTGCTGCAGTTCCTGGTCCGGTGCCCTCGTGATCGCCATTCTCATCTGCAAGGGGGTTTGACATCGACCCTACAGACGCTGATGGTGCTGTGTCCCCTCCAAACAAGTTGAATGTAAAAGCAGGACGTCCGAGTGCAACTTCCGGCAGCGGCGGCGACGGCGACGGGGGAGGAGTGTGTATCGCTTCCAGCGCATCAATCTCGGACGGGGTAAAGTCCATGTTATTTGGCTCCGGAGGCTCTGGTGACGGGGACTCATGTCCCGATTTCCATCCCGGCACGTCTGTCAATGCAGCCGGCTCGTCTTTTTTTGCAGCCTTCGGTGACCATCCAAACCTCGCGTCGTGGGGCATACTGTTAGTCCAACTGTCTTTCCAGTATCCCTGCTCTTTCCACCGAGCTCTGACATTCACCCGCGCCTCTTCATAGCCGGCCAGCCAATTGTGCTTTGGGTCGCGGGGTAGGATCGTATCCTCCACCAAAGCCTCCAGTGCCCACACGAACCAAGGCCGACTTGATCCAGGACTCACGATCATCTACCGCAGCAGTGTCGTGTGGATCTTCAACCCCTGAAGACCGTACCTTGACAGTCTCGCTCCATTGACCTTCCCTCTCGAGGTAAAGTCGAACCGCTCGCTCATCTGGGGATTCTTCCATTCGTTAGGGCCAACTGACCTCTTCTTGCCACCAAAACTGTGGGGAATCGAGATTTCGCTCTAGTCTTATACATCGTGGGCGCCGATCCCACGCCCAGGGGTGCATGCTGTGACCCTCGCTGAACCTTTGACTGTCCGTGAAGCTAGAGCCGCTGGTTGGGATCCCCCATTCGGCCTTCCACACTCCTAGCTTTCCCCATCGTTTCTTGATGCTGTGTCGAATCATGATATGTGCCCGCTGCTCTCCAGCCCGTCCCCGCAGATCGGGTCCACGATAGAGCGGACGGCCATTCGCATCCCTTCGGGTATATATTTCCCAGATGCGGTCCCATTCTTGAGAGACTTCCGCACTGTATCGGTGGCCTGGGTAATAGACGTGAAAAGAATGTGCGATCTTCTGAATCTCGAAATCACGCAATGGCTGTTGGAGGAGTTCGGTGAGATCAATGTCACCTTGGGCCTGGGGGAGTGGGTCAGGAGTCGGCTCTCTCCTAGTGCTGCGGGATGAATCAGGTGGTGGAGATTTCTCGAAACCAACATGTCGAGCCGAATCGAAGTGGTAGACGGTCCGATCTATTGTCGCGGGTGAAGGATGAGTGGAAGAATTCGGTAGAGGCGGTGGAGGGTGGAGGGCACAAGACGAGTCTATTAAAGGGGCGCGTTGGAATTGTCAACATTCACGTCGAGGGGAACGTTGGAATGTAGGAGCCAGGGATTACCATTCCAAGAGGTCAAGTGACATTTGGATCTCGACTGACTTCTTTTTCTTCCAGCTCCACCGCAACAGATCAAATTAGCGTGTTGGCCGCCTGAGACAACAGCACGAATTGCAGCAATAGCTGTTGTCCGTCCGACTTCAGGGGAAGACATGGGGTTCTTCAAGAGTCTCAATCTCGTCGGGGCCTGAGCGAGGAGACTGGCGTGTTCAAAATAAGGCTCATCTCAGACCACCGTCGGATCCAATTTCTCATGTCCTGGCTCCCATCAGAAAATCCCAGCAATCGAGGAGCTTTCGTCCAGAAATCTCTCCACCCTACTCATCTCTCGGGACACTATGTCTTGCCGAATACCTCATACTCACACAATCTTTCACCTTGTTCCGGACGGGAAGTCTCCTGGGCCCGAAGATATGCTTCTTCACCCGGACAATTAGCCATTTGTATCCCTCTGCAAAGCCTCCAAATGGAAGGAGGTAGGCAAGAATGGACTCGAGATCGGCCATCACGTCTGGGCGAGGCCTCGTGGTCTGCTGGTAGTGGATGTTGGAAGGAATGCTGATATTGTGATGTCGGGGTCGAACATCTGCCAAATCCACTTCGCATTCGAGGTCCATCCAGAATCCCGCCAAATAATGCTTCTTGACCGGTCCCGGTCCCGGTCCGGCACAACCGAAATGGCCCCAAGGCTCCAGAGCAGACGGAAAATTCGGTCACGTCGTCCTGGATATGAAAAAAGACGACTGCACAATCACCGTTGGGAGCAAGAAAGGAGATCAGTTTATCTTCCACTTGAGATGGCAGAGGAAGCCGGAAGACACTCTGCAACTGGTAAAGGAACGTTTCACACGCTGGAAGTCCGATTGCAGAATTCTCGCTTTGCACAAACGATTGACCATGAGCCTACTCCTGAAGGCAGCTTTGATTGATACTGTGATCTAATTGATGGTCCACAAGTTACGTGTGAGTCGATCGTCGATTCATGTGTGCAGAGTGGTAGAAGTCCTCGTATCCAGTATCAGTGTGCGGAACCTTGCCTCACCACTTTTGTCTTTTGTGGGGGAATGCGGAGGCAGCTGGCGGAATTGGATCCTCGACCACTACCCCGTTCTCTTTGGTAAAGCCTCGTGTAGTCTCTAAGTAGTGCGAGATAGCCAATCAACAGGCACCGCGACGGTTTCTTCCACACCAGAGAAGATCTGATTCGACCGTGCAGGCCACTCAGACTACATGACACGAAGCGAAGGCTGATCGCCTCTGCACCCCAGAGCGGGGGTTGCTGGAGAAAGCGGAGGTGGGCGGAATTCAGAGCATTCTGGAGGTTATTGACCATAGACCAACAGGTCCAGGGGTCACCATTAATAAACAGACTGCAGCCGCTGGACGATGCTGGGATGAAAAAGAACTGCACCATATCGTGTCTGTCTAGACCCTGAGGCTGCAAGAGTACTACTAACATCCTAATTATCTCTTCCCCGTCCCACCTCACTCTCATCCATCATCCATCGACACCATGGTCTCTCCAACGCAAGCCGTTCTTCGGCGCAAGATGATCGGACACGGCGCGTGGATGATTCTGTCCAGCCTCGTGGGCGGCCTGGGCCTGTGGTGCTTCCTTCTGGGCGGCTTTGAGGTCATTCCCGGACGAGTCGTCCGCTTTGGCCTTCCCGGAAGCGAGGCAGGCTGGGTTCGATGCCACACGGGCCCAGTTGCCAACGGATTCATGGTCATCGTGACCGCCCTGGGCATCCCGTACCTCGACCTTCCCGAATCCAAAGCAGAGTGGCTAGGCTGGATTGTCATGATGGACGGCTGGTCGAACGTCGGCTTTTATTTCTTCGGCAACCTCTCCCCGAACCGCGGACTGGCATTCGGACGGAGCCGGCTCGGGCCATCCAACGTCTTCAGCTTTTTGGCCCTTTTTCCTGCCTATCTCTTTGGTGTTCTTGCCATGGGTGCATTCACCATGCTAGGCTACCACGCTCTCTTCGGCCCTAAGAACAGCAAAGAAGCGAGCTCAAAAGCGATTTGACAAACGTTGTACTTGGAGAGGGACGTGACTAGCCCGCCATAAGGCACGAGCCGGGAGGTTGGAGCGTCGAAAAAATCAATTGGGCCTCGTCATTCGTTTGCACCTGATGACTGGTGAATGGAATGTCGAACTTTTGTCAGATGTGATCTCTAGCGAATAATGTGGGAGTGTGTTGGATGGAAAGACATGTGTTTGAGATGTAACTTCGGTTGGATCTTGCTGGACTTTGGAGCTCTATCTCTGCTTCCCCGGCTAGTCACCGAACGAGATCTCGAACTGGGCGCTGACATGGTGGCTGTCCACTACAGGTGCAGGTACTTGCAATTCAAGAGCATGCGGTTGCTGAGGCGTCGAATCTTACCAATCGCTTTGATTTCTGATACCGTCAGTATAGTATCAGTGCTTAGTCCATATGGCGTTTACTGAATGGCGGTCTTGCAAAATGGGCTCTGGTCATATAATACTCCGCGTTGACAACGCTGATCCACAAAAGGTTGACCCGGAGCAAGAGGAGCCCTGTCGGAATTGCAAAAGTTCGATCAGTGACAAAAAGGCAACTCGTACTACTGCACCCCCAGGCCAATAAGATCGGTTAACAGCTTCTTGCGCGTCGTGCCCAGCATCCTCGATTAGGCTCGTGCCTGTCCGGGCGAACTGCCTACTTGTAGAAGCTGGTTTGATTCGGTGCTCGAATCAGAGACATCGCGCGCCTTGGACAATCACTCACATACCGGCAGCATCTAGGCGCAGACAGGAGCACCGGGGCTGCTCCGTTTAGCACTAGGGTGTAGACGTGCACCTCTGCTCTGTTCAGCACCAGGGTGTAGACCCGCACCGGGGCTGCTCTGTTCAGCACCAGGGTGTAGACGACGCACCCGGCCTTAGCCCCAATCACTGGCACTGGGATCACGTTGTAGACTGAGAAGCGAGGCAGGTATCATGGCGCGCACCTTTGTCCAGAACTCAGCCACACCTGGCAAAAGTCGTTACACGTATTTTCCGTACCATATATTTCACGGATTCACATCACTTGTTCGTTGAAATGACACTTTTCAGCCGAACCTTTCGGTATGTTCTGTGTAATCGGACGGTAACAAGGTTGCAATGCAATCCTTCATTGGAGCAACAGCTGCTGATGCTTAGCCCCCTTTGGATTTTCACAAGAGAGGTTCATCGGGGACAAAAGTCGTTCTGCCATTTGTTGCCCATTGATGAAGGCTATATAATAGCCTGAGCATGTCTTGCTTGGTAAGTTAACTCTTTCTGCAGTCTATACTCCTTCACTCCTGTTCTCTTTACATCAAAACTCGGACAAGGGAACACAAACCTTGCCTCACATCGATCGATATCTTGGACTTTGTTCCCTCGAGCTCCACCGCCGAGTCACTTCGACGGGCCCGCGTTCTCACCCCTTCCATCCCAGGCCATTGTGCAGCAACGTCACTGGTACGGTTCGCGTATCTGTGTATCAGTACCAGAGGACTGCTAGCCTTACCTTGCTCCAGGCAGGACATTCACCCAACCATATTCACCAACAAAACTTCCCTTTGGTTGGTTTGGCTTTGACCCTGTTCAGCCTTGTCTTTCGCCTCTGATTGATCTCGACTCCTGCATCACTCTTGCTCTGTGGCTCCAATCTTTCCACCATCTCAGCCTTGCATCTTCCACTGGCACCAGTCATGGCATTGTCCGACGAAGTCAAGGTGTCAATCGTGTTTGGGGTGTTGATGGCCATCCTGGCCATCGGTGCGCTGTGGCAGATGGCACACTATGCTGCCCGGTCTCTTCGAAGTAAGTGGCCATGAATGAATCTTGTGTCTCCACTTGTCGTGGGATCTGACATGCGTTATGTTAGCTCGGGATCCTCGATCGAACAGTTTCGAGCTTGAAGCTTGAGAAGGATGGAGGTGGTAGCCACCATTTGACTGTCCTGCATTCCGTTTCCTTCATTGGCCAGGGACGCAGACAGAAGGAGTTGTGGTAATACATTTCCTTGGGTACAACTGCGGTCTGCAGTGGTGGAGTCATGTCATGATGCTGTTGGATTAAAGTTTTGGTCAAATTTTGGTTCTGGTTCATGATGGAACAATATTCATGATGCAACAATCTTCGAGGGAACAAGTCTTCAACTTTCCTCGACCAATTCCAGGCGACAGTTATGACAGGTGCTCATTAGCCTGTTGGCCCAAGCAGCTGCCAGAATCAGATATGTTGTGAATTCTGTCCTTTGATTTTTCAGAACAAAGCAGACATTAAGATAAAAACACTAGCTATTAGTAGCCTCCCCTGAGACACAACGCCATCGACATGAAGCCATTTCTGGTCTGGATGGATTTTGCAAACTCCTCATACCCGTAATCATAAATTTGACCAAGATTTCCGGAAGTCCTGTACAAGAACACCGAGTGTGTTTTGAATATCAGATTGTAACGCCCCCTCTCTCACCAGCGCCGAAACCAGGAGATTCTTCATGGCTTCAATCATGCACCATACTCTTTGTCCTGAACGAAGCTTCCCCTGCTTCGGGTGCTCTTGCTTCGTCGACCTTTGAAGAATGACCGGCGAGTAGATGTCGTCGTCGTGTCTCGGCGGGAAGAACCAGCCATGCAGAACAAAACAGTCGAGATCAAGAAACAGGCAAATGCGGCCCATTCGAAACCAAAGGCGTATTTGCCAATGTGCGAGGCCTGCCCGTTCCTGCGGAAGTTGTCACGACCCTTGACGTACGCAGCACTATTGTAGCTGGTTAGCTCGACGATACTGTAACGGGTTCGGCAATTTACTCACGTCATCAGAGAAGCTTGGATTGCCTGGAAAAACATGGCAAGGGCGGTGAAGAACCCGCTCAGATAGCTGCCAAGTCTGGTGCACAGAGCAAGGAGTCCGGTCAATAGACCACAGACGCTGAAGAACAGCGCAATCAACATGAAGGCAAACATGAACCGGGTCATGTAGAAGTAGTAGCCATGGTGACGGACAAATCTCAGCGGCACATTGACGGTAGTGTCGAACTCGCGATGCGACGCAGGATCGAGGGGGAATGCCGGATGGACATCCGAATAGTGTTGATCACCACATACGGTGCGACCATTTTGCACGCCACAGATGTTCCAGTATGACCATCGCGAGACTGGAGGCGCGTTAGGTATGTTGCCAGTGTCTGCCTGGAGAATGTAGAATTTGTTGAGCGGGGATCCTGAAACTGCGCCGGCGAGGAGGATGAAGAACATGAAGAGTACGCCACCGGCGAGGATGATGAGGGAGGCAAGACTGAATACGCTTCCTGGAATGGATTGTTAGAGTCTGCATAAATTGGACTTTGTGTGGTGTTTACTCACGGACTGCCATTATGCGCAGGTTCTGACTGGACAGTAAAAACAAAACCCGGGTAGAGCGCGGATGTGTGGTGAAGGCGTCGAGGTCGGTCCAGCAGCTGAGGAGCTGGGAAGGCGAGCAGTGACGGCGGAGGTGAAACGAAAGTGTCGACGTGTGCAGTAAAGGTGGTGTAGAAAAGAGAAGAAGAGACAGTGCGTGTTCTTGTATTGGGAACTTGAATGGGGAAGCGGTGATGTAGTACGTAGTCTGATGATGGGGGAGTGACGGGACGCTCGTGGCTCCTGTGGCTTCGCCTCTGTCTTGGATGAGGTCACCCCCTGCAACAACCATCCACAGGCACTGCCAGACACTGCCAGACAGTGGATTGTGGGTGGACTGTGGGTGCAACAACGCCCGGGCAGCGCCTAGCAACGCCCTACTTGACAGCGCCGAAGCCACCTGAGATGCGGATCGGACTTGAACCTAACTGACTACTGTTTGAAGCTACTAGCCCTCACTCGCTCGCCCTCTCAGGCTCATGATGTGGAGGGAGAAGAAGCGAGTATGCCAATGAATGGGGTGATTAATGATGCTACGGAGACCCTCAGGACTCAGCTACGTAGGCCCTCTGCATTGTGTTACGCTGTATTGCGTACTAGCACATCGAGTATGGGGAAATCAGCTTCAGCTCTCATCTCAAGCTTCAAGCTTCTCCAGCTGCAGCGCAGGCCACAATAATCTTGTTGTTGTTGACCCTCCATGCTGGACACTGAGCCACCACGTCATCAGTGCCCGAGTTGGAGCCAGTCCCACTTCAAGATGAGTTAGTGGCATCCTGAGCAAGGAAAACAACTGGGTTTAGCCGAACAAAGTTAGTGCCCGTGTTTGTTTGCAAATAGCGCCAACTGTAAAACCCATCACGTGATCTTGACTGGTACCTTTCACGTGACCGGGATTTCCACAGCCTCATTGCCGGTCTCGACGCCTCATCCTTCGCTCACCAACATCCGCACGAGCCTAGTATTACAATGTCCACTTGGGTATACCCCCCTATACCTCCCGATGAGCTCAGAAAGGCAGAGGAAGAGTCTTTGGTAAGGCTGAACAGACTCCATCACCACCCACCTTCCCGTGACTTGACCCAGGGACTGACTGCCAGATAGAAGCTTGAGCTTCAATGGCTTCTCCAAGCCTTGCAACACTCTTTGGTGGCTCTGAAAGAAGGTCTCGAGGAATGTGATGCCCTTCTCGCCCCTAAAGAACCAGGCTCGACCTTGGTTTTGTCCTCTCTACGATCCGAGAATGTCAAGGGCTTTGTCACAAGAATCGGCACAAAGCTTGTCAAAGGAGTGAGTTGCGAGGCAGACAGCCCTCAGACTGTCTTCCCGTGACTTATGGCCTCTAGGATATTCACCTACGACTGACTACGCTACCTCCCAATACTCCTAGAGGTACTACGACATCCACCCCATCAACCCGCCATCTCTTCCACTCGTCTTCTACCTCTTCTGAAATTCTCCTGCCACAATTGTCCACAGTCAAGGCCTTGATCAATGACTCTCTCGATGTCATTGATGTTTCTCGCTGGACTGGCCAGTCCACCGATTCATCCTTTATGACCGGCCAGCTCAAGCTCCTTCATGACCACCTCCGCGAAGCGAAGACTTGTTTGAAAGGTCCTGTTAATGGCACAGATTTGGATTCCATCCCAGGGGCACAATGGTGGCTCCATAGTTCAGACGAAAATATCTTTCAACCTCCACTGGGTGATTATCTTAGTATGCATTTCACCATTCAAGATGCCAACCTCGTTCTCACCGTCCGTACACTTGCTCCGGCCTCTCCAGGTGGCACCCCAAGTACTCCGCTGGACTCGGCCTTCTCGCTTTCGGGGTTCAGTCTACGGTCGAAACTATTGGGTCTCGGTCCACGACCACCAACCCACGATGAAATCGGAGAAGTATTCGAATGGCATGGCAAACAAGATGTCATTGTCCGTGAAAAGGTCCGCGTCGAGAGCAGTGATCCTAGTCTGCTGAGTCTGGCCGCGAAATTGAGTGCTCTTGAGCATGAAGTTGCTCGGTGGCGTCTGAACCTGAGGATTATCCTGACAGGTAATGTCGAAGAGGATTGATTCTTGGGCCGAGGAGAAGTTGAATGCATTCCATTTTCATTGTTGCCATGATACTACTATCACTCATTCTCTACCGATGAATGCATATAACAGCACACCTCTTGTGGATCGCAATCGCTTGTCTGGAATCGCTTCCTAAGCGCACGGAATTGACGGACCAAGGACCGTTGCGCCTGCGGACCCGCATCCCAAACAACAGGTGATCTTCCGCTTTAGGCTGCGAGTTCACGTTCGCCGAGTTGACGACCAGCATATAATGCCTGGATATTCGTCATGTGTCATTGGATCCAGAAACAACCGACCTCATCCAACCATGGGAAGCATATTGCCAGAGATGGCCAACTTTAGACAATGAATTCAGGGACAAAAGATTCAAAACCCGCCCCAGTCGTGGCAGTCGTGCCAGGAGACAAAGCGAACACAATGGCTGTACCAACATTGGGTAAGACAATGTGCTTTGTCCCGAAGCTCCCCCAAAGACCCGAGACATGCTACTATTATGTAACAAACGTTGTCCACGACGAGAAGCACTTCCACGTCAAGTCCGACTTTTGATGCCATATACTCAGCATACAAATATCTACGCACCAGCTACAGCGTACGACGTGCGTAGAGAGCAGCGAATCCCGATCAAATTCCTTGCACACTTAACTACACGCTCATTCATGAGTTCCGAGAAGCCAGGACCAACCACATCGACGGGCAAGGAGGCCTCTGCCCTCGAACTGGATCCTCAAAGTCAACCAGATTTCCGACGGAAGAGGCGATACACGATCGGCAAGTCTCGTCAGTCCGCAGATGACTCTCCAATAGTCGACTACGGGCAGTGTATCAAGCCTGCAGCCGAGTTCAGCGCGCCGGGACCCAGTGTCACCATTACTCGGTCGTCATCTCGGCATCGTCGGAAGTCTGTTACCACTGGATCAATTATAGACACCCAGACAGAAGTTGAGTGCCCTGATACCGGAAAGGCAAACATTTCTGTCACGAGCTTGGGGGAAGCCACCACAAGCACAGCCTCCTCACCCCCGGCGAATACTAGAAGAGGTTCCCGGTCGCGACGGTCAACACGTCGCTATCCTCCAAGCAGTTGGAAGAACAATATGGGAACGGACACTGTTCTCACTCCTCTTCGAGGGGATGGACCCTTGGGGCCCTTGGATGGACAACATTCAGCTACGAGGTCAGCTGATGTACCAGGACATGATGCGCGGCCTGCGGAGAGATCTGCCCTGGGGACCAATGCAAGATCCGTAGATCCTGAACCCAGCCTGAATTCGAGAATGGTACTCAAAAGCCCAACAACAATGGTTTCCTCGTTCGTGGTCAAGACAGCTTCTCAGCCAATTCCAAAGGGTCAATATCCGCACTCTGAAGCCGCAATCCAAGAAGCGCGCAATGACAACATCCCGCATCATCCCACCGCCTCATACTCTGCTCCTGTCCTTATACGGTCTCGTCGACGTCGCCTCAGTGATACATCGTCCTACTCTAAACCCACATCCTCTCCTGAGTTCAGAGGACATGAGCAGCCGTCGCCGTCGCCGTTGTTGTCGGCAGCCCCACAAACAAAAGACCTGCCTCTTCCAGATCCCGAAATCGCTTACGCCCATACCTACCACTTCACAAACTGTCCCCACACATCTCCTCCCATGTCCCGGCCTCTCAACGTTCAGCCCATTCTAGTGCAATACCACGATGACCTCCTCGCGTACCCTCCCTACCACCTACGAGAGTTGCAGGATGAATCAATGGCCCGACCGCCAGACATCTATATCATCGAAGGCTCCTGCAGCCCCTGTGATTCGACATCCCGGAGAGAAGCCGAATCCGCGATCCTCGACACCTACGCCCACAATACAGATGGACTGTCTGACCAATTGAGCCGGTTGAAGCTGGATATTGAATCGACATCCTCGCTCTCCCTCGAATCAGTTTCTACATCAACATCGTCGGGACCCGCCACAAATGGGACTGGGACATCGTCTAGTTCTTGTTCTTCGAAATCGAAGCGATCTATCGGCCTTTCTCCCGGACAGATTCTAGCTATCGCAGACATTGAGAATCAGCTCAACTCGATGGTAAAGCTGCGTGACCGTCAAGTCACATCCGTTTGGAAAGGATTCACGTCGCGCTGGGGTCCCGCGACTTTAGGGATTCATCATGACTCTGACCAGGACAGAGGACGGCGACGGACACGGGACATGAGTTTGAGCTTGAACACAGATTCGAACACAGAGGCAACCACAAAGACAACCACATACACTCCTGAAAACAGCGTGATCTCACACGAAAAAGCACAATCCCGACGTCGCAGTGTGGGCAGGGTCCGAACCTCCACAGTAACCTCAACTACAGCCACCTCCTCAAGAGTCACGACCACAGTCACTACCTCAAACAACAGCAGTCAAACAGTGTCCTCGATGTCGAGCCAGCAGCGAACTGGTCGTGACAGACGCACGAGTACTAGTTCCAGCAATGGGCCTCGGGAGCGCTACTCGGATGGGACTCGCCAGGTCATCCTCTCGTCGTCCGTGGATGGGGTGAAGAGTGATGGCAGGATGGTGGTCGATTGGATCAGACCTGAACTGAGTGCGGCAGGTGGAAGAAAACGGGCATCGAATAACAGTCACAGTCGGAATCGGGGACAGAAGGGAATGTCGATCGCGAAGGAGACACAAAGTTAAGCGCCCGATGCGTTGTTCATGGTGCTCTCTCTATACATATACTTCGCTCTCGGGGATGCAGTGTGTATGGGACGTGATTGTCAGCAAAATATGGGTTCAGAACATGGCAGTATGGTGGAATACGAAGAGAATCTCTGTTCCGGAAGTCAGGAGTATGTCCCAATTTGCACAATTACATTTCCAGTTGACATTCGACACATACATGATATATCCAGATGGTCAGTATAGAGGACATACAGAATGAAGCATGTCTATTTTCCATATCAATGTCTTATTATTCTTAATTGCACGAAGAAGCCTATCTCTATTCTCCCCAACCAATCAGCACAGCAGTGCTTTCCGCATTTATACTTGTGCGAGCCTCGCAGCGATCGTAAGTTTGTTTCATCAATACTCCAATTACCATCACTGCTTCACAACTTTGCTCTCCCCTGCTCGATCCTAGCCCAAGCATCTGCATCCAACGGCTTGAACCGCTCCGCGTCGAGATCAAGATAATACCGTCTCCCGTCTGACTCCGCCTTTTCCACACCAACAGTCGTGGTCTTGGACCAGTCGATGTTCTTGACCACCATCTTAGCATGCTTGAACGTGTCGCCGACGTCGATCAGGCCGTCCCGAACCATCACGAGGCGCGGGACAGCGTAGCGAGGGACACCCTTTGCGCGAAGCTCTCCAAATAGACGGCTCATGAAGGTCTGTTCTTGATCTTCTTTTTGTTCCACTTTCCTCCCATCCACCCATTCCCCGTGGTCAAGCACCACCAACGCAGTCCCCACCTGCCCATCATACTTCCCCAACCGTCTACCCACAACCACCACATCCCTAACACCTGGCAACTCGGAGATGAACCCCCTTACCTCTCCGGCAGAGACGTTCTCCCCCATCCAGCGATATGTGTCACCTATCCGATCCACAAACCTGACCCACCCGCTTGGCTCCTGAACCAACAGATCGCCACTGCGCTGCCACAAATCGCCCTTTGCAAAAGCATCACGGAGGAATTTCTGCTCCGTGGCGGCCTGATTGGCGTGGTAATCCGTATAAGTATCCAAGTTGTGAATCCGCGCGATCGCCTCCCCAGGCTCACCACGGTCTGCAACCACACAAAACCCGGTTTTGGGATCCCGAATGGGCATTTCAGTATCGTAGTCGAATTTGACAATAAACTGATCCTTGTCGAGCACCCGTTTGCGCAGTGTTCCTAGATACCCGACTTTGCCTGCCCCTGGCCTCCCGCGACGATGGGCGTTATCGTACTTGACCAGACCTTCAGTGGAGCGGTAGAATTCACGCACTTCGTCGACGCGAAACCGTTCCTGGAATGCAACCCACACATCCTTCTGAAGGCCGTTGCCACATGCTACTAGGACGTTGTGGTCACGATCGTATAGGGTTGGAGGGGTGGCTAGTAGGAAGCGGCAGAGTTCCCCGACATAGAGGATGCGTGTGGCGCGACTTTCGTGGACTTCTTTCCAGAAGTTGCGTGCTGAGAATCGTCGCCCGATGCAGAAACAGCCGCTGTTGCCGGCGCTGTAACACAGGCCGGTGAAGAAGGTTGTGCCGTGGAAGAGGGGCATGCATGAATAGACGCGGAGTGGTCGGAGATATTTCCGGGGGTTGCTGTCGTCGATCGAGGTTCTGCATGAGACGACGCAAATCATGGCGTTTTTCACTCTGCAGGCTTTGGGTTTGCCCGTTGTGCCGGACGTGTAGATCAGTGCGGCGACCGACGCTAGCGATTTCGGTGGTGTGGGCGGGAGTAAAGACGCTGGTGTTGGGACTGACTGTGACAGTTCTGGGAAGGGGAAGTCTGTGATATAGGTAAAGGTGTTGTTGTTGCTGTTTGATATCGGTGTTGTTGGTCGGAAAGAACCTAGATTCAATCGCACGGTTTTCACCGCGCCGCCTAGTGTTTTTGCCACGGATGCAGCGTGAGGAGCGAGATCAAGCGTGGTCAGAATCAGACTCGATGCCGGCAAACGCACACAATGCAGTAACGTCTCGTCTCGGAGGGCGTTGTTGATCAATGCTGGTGCTGCGCCCAGTCTGGTCAGTGCGTATACGGTGAAGACCATCTCGGGCGAGTTGGTCATGAAAACGGCAACGATGTCTCCATTTTTGACGCCTAGTGAGTGGTGCAGTCCCACAGCTAGCTCGTCGACTTGCTGCTTCATGGCCCGGTAGTTCCAAGTCTGGCCTTCGAACCAGATTGCGTCGGCTGTTGGATCAGCTAGTTCGAGCATTCGATAGAGATGTGGTGATTCATGGCCCAGAGTGGCCACGTATTGGGGAAAGCGTTTGGCGAAGGACGCATCGTGACGGTACTGGGAGATGTCGCGGGACAGGCCAAGGGCGTGGTCGGCATACATCAGGCCCGCTGCCGCTGCCGCGGCCGAGGCTGCGAGCGTGGCCATTCTCGTTGATTTGGAAAGGGGTGGGATGTTGACAGAATGGATAGCTGGTTGTTAGAGGAAGGTGATGTGACAGTGGATTCGACAATTTTGTTGCCCAAGTATCCTTATTCTTGGTCTTCTATCAGATAGACCTCACACAAGATCAGGCTGAGAGTGATTACTGTCATGTAAGACGCTTCGCCACTAGTACTGCATCTTTGGGTAGAGGGATGATCAAAGGGACAAACAAGGTTGCAGGACCAGCAACAGAATGAATAGGAGTGACCAAAGGGTGGACCGAGTTCAAAGATTCCCTTATGTTGTTGACAGTGTTGAACAGGATGGACATGAGATGATATGATATGCAAGAGACTCAATGTTACAACAAGCAATGAACTGCTATGCAACAATGAGCTTTCTGTTAGTGGAGACTTATGCCTCGGTGGTGCAGGCAAAGGCCATATGCCGATGGCAGTCGCCGATGGAGTGATGCCGTAAGATGTCTTTAGCGTCAAACCAGAAGCAGAATAGAGCACGATTGACTCTAGAGTCAGGAGGGTTTGGACATCAAAGGTTAGTCTGGATGTCGGAAGCCAGTCGTTGCAGTTCGGATACGTTCGTTGAGGAGGGGGGACCCTAGGTAAGCATAGGTTGTAGAGGACGTAGGCTTGACCACATATTTTCGTCATATCTGAAAGAATGAGCAACAAGAGAAGTGGATGTTCGACGTTCGACACGGTTAATGTGTTAGACAGTGAGCTTGCTGGCTGCCTATGAGATAATAAGAGTCCTTGAGTGCGAGATATGTACCTAGGTAGGAAGTTGTGTCTAGACAGACAGTACAGTATGCTAAATTTCTGTACCAAGGACCGAAGGAGGTGGTTGTTTAGCGCTGGGGCTCTTCTGGGGTAGAGAGTTGACGGCTGAGGTCTCTCCCCATTCAACGCTGTCGGTCCGGGGTTCTTGGGGTGGAATCAGGGGGATTAGGGGATAGATGCCCCACCAAGTTGGGGGATGATACACAACGGTGTCCTGGAATGAGAGACACGGTTATCCTATCGGGACGGCTGTATTCCTTCCTACCTGAGGTTTGTATTCCGTCCGCTTGGGGAGAAATGCATGAAGCAGACTCCTGATGGTATCTTTTTTGTCAGGATACCACAATGTCCTCATCAGGATGGTATGTCTCTCGAGGTAGATTCATGAGACATCCAGCACGATTTGGAGCGTGGGGTTGGCTCATCTGATCAGCGTCTGTAATGTACCTGTAGGCGTTTTGTCTCTCCCTCCACTGAGGCTGTGATAGAGTACTGGACCTCGATCATCTTGATTACACCTCAGGGACTAGGAGTCAGAGGCTTCTGCAACCCAGGCTGACAATGTGGCATCTACCCCCCGAAGCCATGCCAGTCCCAAAGGCCGGTACCAGTAGGGTAGGGGGTGCCATTCTGAACGATCAAGGGAGGTTACTGGGTGAGTGGATGAGTGGGTGAGTGCGGAATCTCGGTGCCGATGTGAAGAAGGATGATTGCTGAGAAGCGTCGGCAGTTGATTGAGGCAGCTGAAAGCATCGCAGTACTAGTAGTAGTAGTACTAGTAGGAAGGGAGGTTGGTGGCAGACGGCAGATGTGATAGACGCCTGCGGTCTGTTGCCTGCGCCCTATTGCCTGCGCTGACTACTACTACTATGGACTCACGTTTACGTGATGAGCCGAGGCATGAGTATCACCACCACCAATGACCTACTACTATACCACCACTATCTACCTCCCAACTGACCATGAAGATTCCTCGAACGCAGAATGAGATAACATATACTACTCATTTCTCTCTTGTTTGATCCGGGTCTCGATTGAGTATCTCGTCGTCCAACAGGACCATCCCACCACAATGTCAGCCCAACAACGACTCGACGCCATCGCCGGCCACATCAATTCATCCGCCACCACGACCCAATCACCAGGTCTCAAGAAGATCCTAGAGAAGAACCCGGATGATATTGTACGGATAGCATCCAGCCTTCCTTCATTACAGTCCTCATCTAACATCTGTACCAGGTAATAACGTGTGCCACACGAACACCACTCACCAAAGCCCGAAAAGGCGGCCTCAAAGACACGCCGCCGGAGGAACTCCTGATTCACGTCCTCCGTGCCATTAAGGACAAATCCGGAATTGATCCGAACGTAGTCGAGGATGTTTGCGTGGGAAATGTCCTTGCTCCCGCTCCAGGCTTTGGCGCCCGTAGCGCCGTATTGGCAGCAGGCTTCCCAGTCACCACAGCAGCCAGCATAGCAAGCCGATTCTGCTCCTCAGGCTTACTATCAATCCAGACGATCGCCAGCGCCATCGCCATTGGAGCCATTGAAGTGGGCATCGCCGTCGGCTCCGAGAGCATGTCGACTAACCAGGACGTCCCGCCAACCCTGAGCGACGCCATCACCTCACACCCCATCGCCAAGGACAACTTACAGCCCATGGGTTGGACGTCAGAGAATGTGGCGCGAGATTTCCACATCTCACGCGAAGCTCAAGACAGGCTGGCCGAGACCTCCCACAATCGTGCAGAACGGGCCCAGAAGGAAGGCTGGACCGCTGACGAGATCACTCCCGTTACGACTCATTGGATCGATCCCAAGACGAATGAGAAGAAGACCATCACCGTCGATAAAGATGATGGCATCCGACCAGGGACTACCTATGAGGGCCTGTCGAAGATCAGGCCGGCCTTTCCACATTGGGGTGGTGCTACCACCGGTGGCAATGCTTCACAGATTACGGATGGCGCCGCCGCAGTCTTGTTGATGAAGCGGTCTACGGCTGAAAAGCTGGGACAGCCGGTCATTGCGAAGTATGTCAAGAGCACTGTGGTCGGACTGGAGCCGCGGATTATGGGTATTGGGCCGTCGTTGGCGATTCCCAAAGTGTTGGAGTTGACGGGGCTCAGCAAGGAGGATGTGGATCTGTGGGAGATCAATGAAGCATTTGCGTCGATGGTGAGTGAAGAAGCTCAAACTGCCAGTCTTGTTTTCACTCTGATTGCTATCCCGTCCTGATACATGATCCACAACGTTTGATTTGACCCATCACTAACATACCTTGTCTTTAGTACGTCTACTGCGTTGACAAGCTAGGGCTGGATATCAACAAAGTCAATGTCCGTGGAGGAGCCATGTAAGTCGACTCAGCATGTCTATTCTTCTCGTCAACTTCCTGCCTTTTATCCCTCTTGGACTTCCCCAGTCTCTGTTCCGACTGACTCCCCCATTTTCACTCTTCCATGAGCCCTCTCCATGTTTGCTCAGTTGACTAATCATTCCGTTTTGTGTCCGTCCAGAGCAATCGGCCACCCCCTCGGCTGCACAGGTACCCGCCAAGTCGTCACTGTCCTTTCCGAATTACGCCGACAAAAAGCCAAAGTCGCCGTCACCAGTATGTGTGTCGGAACTGGGATGGGTATGGCCGGTGTTTTTGTTTCAGAAGCATAGCCTAGAGCGCAAGGTCTACTAGTATCTTTCGTCATCGTGGACTTCTGGACACCCCATATCCCTCCGATCAGATCAGAGTACTGGGTGGCAGCGATGTGGATATCATTACCACGCTGATGGTCTGCCTTCTCTCTCCCGTGGGAGGACGACCCTGAAGGTATGGATGCAATCACGAATAAAAGACTCAACGCCGACGTTGACATCAACCTCTGAGAGGAATACGGACCACGATATATGGGACCATCGCAACAGTATGAGTTTGTCCCGTCCATATTTCTTCTTATCTGTATCTGGAGATACTGGTGGTACAAGGCATATCTCACATCACATACCACATCACAAGCATGATTATGATCTTTGAATATGAAACATCCTCTCCCTTTAATGATACATTTCACCTATTTGACTGAGTGATACTCCCAATATTGACTACCTTACTATCCCAGAGAATAGAGTCACAAGCATACCAATAGACGACAATACACAGTCCTCTGTACAAGTATAAGGACCAGGTACCTTCATATAAATAGACACTATATACACACACCAACAAGACGAAGATAGGATACTATAGCCTGAATATCCGATCCTCGCACCCTTAAACATGGTCCATGGCCGCCTCATAGCATTATAGCCTCGTAGCTTCGCAGCATCAGCATCCTTCCCAGGCTCATCCTCGTACCCTCCAGCAACCCAGGCGCCCTCCCCGTTCCCATCCCAACCGCACTTTTCATTCACTCTCACTCTCGCCTCACTTCACTTAACCTCGCCTCAGCTTCCCCTCAAGCCCTCTAGCCCCCTACTAACAAACAAAAAATACCCTTTATAACCCAAATTCCCGCATTTTCTTCCAACAAATCCCCAGACTCGAACTCATGGCCCGATTCACCGTTTCCAGACCCGAAAAAGCCTCCATGGCTCAGTGGTACCGGAACCAACGAATCCCTCGTGGCACCATGACCCCGGTCCTGGTCTGGATTTCCCGGCTCAATCTGCAGCCCCCCTTCTCCGGCCTCCGCCGACAGTGGTCTAAAACTTGTCTCTGAGAATCGCTTCCCAAGTGCGAAAACATCTTCAGAAGACTAACACTACTCACAGGAGGCCTTAACAAGGGGGTTCCGGCGGAGAAGGTTGGGGGGTTCATACTAGGCCCGGGGTGGAGGTGAGGATCACCGAGTAGAGAGCCTGGGCGTGCTGTTACCACCGACGAAGACGACAACAGCGAGAAAACTTTGGCGGTCAGATGCCTAAGGTTCACTTCCCTACAACCTCGAAACACGAGTTTCGTCAGGAAAAAGTTTTTTATCGGTGGATATGAAGGGAGGGAGGGAGGGAGGGATGCTGTTCGAGTCTCGGTCTGTTCGAAAGAACCTTTTTTGGTGGAGTTAGAAAAGGATTGGCTGGGCTGTGGTAAGTAGATGCTGTTCGAGTCTCGGTCTGTTCGAAAGAACCTTTTTTGGTGGAGTTAGAAAAGGATTGGCTGGGCTGTGGTAAGTAGATGCTGTTCGAGTCTCGGTCTGGTTAGGTTCACTTTTTGGTCTTTTCGTTTCTGACCATAACAAGATCCGTTGGTGTGTTGAAACTTGAGAGTGAATGCGTGCGTACCAGTATATCACTGACCAGTCACTGGTTCAACTATACCATATGCGGGACATAGGGATTGGTAGTGAATGTTAGTCACTTTCTCTCGCAATCATAGTGTGGTAGAAACGCGGTAGACAGGCTAGGATGGTAGGTAGGTATGTATATCCCCCTTTCTTGAGATAGATTTGGGATTGAGTAGAGTAGAATAGAACAAAATGCATCATCAGCAACAACGACTCTCAAGAGCCTTGTTGTATGATTTCCTTCCTGTAGAGTCCAGAGTCCAGATCAACCTTCAATACCAAGTTCGAAGACACTCTTCAGATCGTAGAGCTCCATTTCAAATGTACAATATTACCTTTTGCTTGACTTCTGATCGGACTTCAGTGGTGAAGAGTAGCCCGACAGGATATACAAGAGAGAAGAGTCGTTCAGGCCCGTTTGTGGCCAGGAGAGGAGACAAGGAAGCTGTAAGCTCACTTCTCCGCCGACTTCGATTCCGGCTCGGCGTAAAATTGCGATTTGTCCATTTGCATCTCGTCGTCGGCGACACCGATCGTGGCGAAGTACTGATGATAGAACAGACTGGTTAGTCACTGCGTTCCAGACATACAGACCATCAACACGATGATGAAGGCTCGCATGCGGCAGCACCCGGACACAATCAAGGTGATGGCCATACAAGCCGTACCACGGAAGCCTCTCTTGTGACAAATAGCCAGCCATATCCTCATGAGAAGTTCAGACTCCAGACCCAACGTATCTTGATATCCTGTTCTTCTCTCCAACGAATTGATTCTTGTGCCAGCAAGGATTCAATAATCACCACCGTACAACAAGACACGATAAAACGAAACGACTGCCAAAAAACAAAAGTGAGCAAGGAAGGACAAGACTTACAGCCATACCCCTCCTATTCGCCTCCGGATCCATCGGTTTCCCAGCCTCGCCCATCTTGGCCAGCAATTTGAAATAGTTGATATAGAACGCCGGCGTGTATGTGTTGAAGAAAACCGCTTCTTCGTCGTACGGGTTGCTGAACGTATGTGGCGACCGCGTCGGGACGGTCACGTAGTCGCCGGCTTTGGCGTCGATCGTTGCACCGTTGAGGGCGTGGAAGCGGACTGTGCCTTTTGTGACGAGGAAGGTTTCGTCGTGCTAGAGAGATGACGGAGGGAGGTTAGCTTGGAGGGAACGTGGATCAGATCTTGGAGCAAGTGAATGATAGGGAGTGGCGAGGTTGTTGAGTGTTGACTTTGATAGAGATGGGTGGAGAGATGGATGTCTTTGATGGGATTGTGTGATTGAAGTGTTGGCATGTAGGGTATGGTATGGAGTGGTGTGGTATGGGCCAATTGGGCGATAATGTGTCACAGTTCAGACTTGATTTCTTGGGTTGGATGTTTCAGTTTCTTGGGGAGCTTACCATTTCATGCCAATGTGGAGGAGGGCTGGTAGGAGATGATGTCAGCCTTTTATATCCTTCAACTTGAGCCTTAGATTTCGGGTGATGTTCAGAGCCATCGATGGGATGGACTGTCCAGACTCGAGCGTGGCATGGGCTCAAACTTCATAGTTCCGACGAGGCTGATATTTAGGAAGATGGTGGTGGGGGTGATGATGGCTGTCTTACCCTGGAGTATGCGGCGGGATTATAAACTCTGCATTGCCGATCCGATTATCTGGTGATAGCAAGTCAGTATGAACCCCCAAGAACGATGTAGATTTTGGTGCTTGATCCAAGATGTGAGAAGCGAGTAAAGACAATGAGGGCTCATGCTCTTGAATGGTCTTGAATGAAGTAGGTCGCACCAACGCCCTCAACCCCAATGAGAGGAATGATGCCAGAATGTCTTTCAGACTGACAGTTCTGGCACACCGTCGCCATTCCACCAGACAGCAACATCGTGACATCCGTATATGATATCCCAGTACGGAGGCCGACAAGATACTTCCATGGCATCTTGAACTATGATTTGTCGAGTGACATGGTATATCTCCAATATAACAATTCCCTTTCACGACAAATTCCTCCAGGGGTCGACTCTCGGGTACGAAAATGCTCGACTCACCTGTTCTTGACCCATCTTCCAGGATGCGGATCGTGATAGTCCCAAGTTTGAACGACTCTCCAGCCGAAGCGGGGACGAAGTTGACAGGGACATTTGGCGTCTCCATGTTTGCGAGTCTGCAAAACAGTAGATGATTCCGTAGAGTTGCTTGATCTCCTGGTCCTGCGAGAGATAAGACGTGTAGCGTGCTTCGGTGTATGTTGTTCCTTATGAAACAAGGTGAGCCGACCAGTTCAATATAGTCCTCTCGCTCGTAATCGTAAGACTATAATAGCTTATAGTGAAATCTCAGAAGGTGGTCAGTATCTCGAATATGTACTATACATATATAGGCACCTGGCTCATTAGGTACATGTACTATGCGTCCGTCTTCCGTCGTCATAACATGCCAGACTCCAATCCACTGTTGATGGTGATCAAGATGGTATCTCCGCACAGTTTGTGGTCCATCCAGAAATGACTGAGTCAGCAACCATGAGCGACGCTTGTAAGGCTGTCACCGAGATGCTTACGGCCGATACCTGGCGGTCTAGACTTGTCAGGACTCTTGTTTCACTCTTGTTTCTTGGACATCCATTAATAATACGAGACCGGTCCCGGGCCAGTTGACGTCCGGGAGAGGAAGAACTTGGTTTCCTGTATCGTCAGGGACCCCTTATCCCCGTCTTTTCACCACTGGTAACGCCGTGCCTTATCTTCATACAGAAGTACAGTACTACTAGTACATGGACAACAGTGGATGCTGTCATCTGTGGGCGTGGCCTTCAGCCTTCAGGATGATTGAGTTAGGTAGCTGAGCGCATCTTCACATGCCTAATGAGTACCCTGGATACCGAGATAGCCGAGGTGACAGAACTACCGTGCCAAAGGCGCTTTGACGACTGACTGAAGAAGTCCCGAGTCGTTTCTTCAGCTGAGGTATCTTGATATATGGTATAGGCCAATTCTATCCGAAGCTGTCTCACCCAGAGGACTTGAACGCTTCGACGTCTTTGTCACCAACCCTCTGTAAAAAGGCTCCTGCGGAAGTTACAACTACCTCGTTTGTCCTTCTCTTCCCAAGCAGAGAGTATCGCATTGTCTTTCCAAGACAGCGCAAGTCGCCGGCAGGATAAGCGTCGACAGCGACATCAGTATCGACACCATACTTCCCCACTCGTCTAAAGTGTAAGTTGCCATTCCTCTTCACAACTAAGACTAGACTTTCCCAATATACTGGTCAAAGATGCCCTTCATCTCCAGCGCGCTCTTCTTGGGATACCGCTCCTGTCCATTTGTGTAGTCGACATAGGTGGCGCCGAAGCGGGTTTCATATCCTTCAGCCCATTCAAAGTTACTAGAGAGGCAAACCAGGTTAGCATGCATGAACCAGTATTCCTCCTCCTCCAACTTCGATATCAACTTCAACTTCGACTGCAATCGTAATTTCAACTTCGACCCCAGGAACACCGCGAAACAAAGAAAGGGCGCAGGAACAGAAACAGGCACAGGAACAGGAACAGGACCAGAAACAAGAATGATAGCCGGACAAAAGGAAAGCACTCACTCCATCAAACTCCAAGCCATATACCCCCGACAATCACATCCGTCCTCCGCCACAGCCTCCGCCATCGCCTGGACGTAGCTGCGGAAATACTCGACGCGAAAGTCATCCTGCAAGATCTCCTCCATGGGCAAGTCATTCTCGCCCTTGATACTGGTCCCGTTCTCCGTGACATAGATCTTCGGCCGACCATAGCGATCACTCAACCATTTGATCAACTTGCGAAACCCGGGCGCATGCGGCCTGAGCCACGGACTCTGCGTCTCCGGTCCGATCGGGTTCCCGTGCTTATCCTCCATCAAGACGTCCACGTTCCCGGAGAAATCGAGCGGATCAGCCGGCCCGTCGCGGTGGCGGATATAATTGGCACAATAGTGGTTCATGCCGTAGAAGTCGTTCGAGCCGACCAGGAGTTTCTTTTCTTCCGGGGTGAATTTCGGCAGCCGGTCGCCGAGCTGCTTGACCATCGAGGCCGGATAGTGGCCGAAATAGATGGGGTCGGCGAGCCAGGCGATGGAAAACTCGGTCTTGCGCTCGCACGCTACGCGGTCCTCCTCGTCTTCTGGGTCCCACGGTTCAGCCCAGTCGCCGTTCAACGTGATGCCTATTTCTCCACCACTCCGGCTTGCATATTCCTCTCTGTACACCTTGACAGCGCTCGCGTGGGCGATCAGGATATTGTGGCCCACGATCCACGGCTCCGTGCTCGCATCGCCTACAGGACTCTTGGTTCGGTCGCTGGTATGTCCTGGAGCGTGCACTCCTAGACTATATCCCAGGATCGCACTGCACCAGGGCTCGTTGAAGGTGATCCAATGCTGCACCCGGTCGCCCAGAGCGTCGAACAGTATCCGCGCATAATTGGTGAAGTCGGCCACGAATTCCTCTTTGTTCAGTAGCCCGCCGTAGCGCTTGTACAGTGCTTCGGGCAGGTCCCAGTGATACAGAGTCACGAGCGGGACGATGTCGGCTTTGAGAAGGTCGTCGACGAGCTTGCTGTAGTATTGGATCCCGGCTTGGTTGATCGGGTCATTCCGTCCTCCTAGGGGGATGATGCGCGACCAGGAGATGGAGAAGCGGTAGGCTTTGGCGCCGGTTTTTCGGAGCAGCTCGATGTCTTGCGCCGTGCGGTGGTACGAGTCGCATGCTGTCAAGCCGGATGTGCCGTCGGCGACCTTGCCGGGGAGCGTGCAGAACGTGTCCCAGATTGACGGGCCGCGGTTGTCCTCCGTGGTGGCCCCTTCGATTTGATATCTTGAGAAGTGTTAGTGGTGAGTAGAGAGCAGACGAGAGAAACGCAATGCTGGATAGGTCTATACTGACGATGCTGTCGCAAACCCCCAAAGGAAATCCGCCGATAGCCCAGCCTTGGGAGCAATGTCTTTCACCATGATGATACCTGACTGTACCTAACGAGTCTGTTGTTGGAGGGAAGTACCAGTGTAGTAGACCTTGTTGTATCTGGCTGGCTGATGAGGGTCTGCTGCTGCTGCTGCTGCTGCTGTTGATGCTTTGTCCCGAGTTGTTCGCTGCTTATATGATAGTAGCCTCTCAAGTAGCCCAGAAGTAATAGTCCAGAAGTCGAATCCTAGTGTACCTGAACAACCAAATGATACCTGATATCTCTGATGTATAAGGTGTCAGGTTGTCACAGCGTTGTCGTTGATGTCACTCTGTCCGTGCGTGTACAATAATCAGGTAGAAGCTGGTTCAGTGGACCACCAGCAGAGTCTTCTCAGCCAGAGTAACGAGCAAATGTATGTGTTGGGAGGAGGAAGCGACTTAAGATCAACAATCTACCTCTTAACTTCAAGTCAGAGCAGAGTATATGGTCCGTATATATACCTTTTCCAGCGAACCCCTAGTAGCAGCAGAAGTCGTAGCTCATACCCCGGAATGACACCTGCAAGAGGACCTTTAATTGCCCGTGGTTTATCCTTTCCAGGCTTCTAGTTGCAATCCACCACAACCCAGACCCTGGCATAGTGGATTGGTTGGAATAGTGAGATAGATGGCCATCTGTCCCGTCAATCACAAAGTCAATACGTACCAAGTAGCGAGCAGTATCCTGGGTATCATCTCTATACCTGAGGCCTGTCGTCTGAGTGCCGAAATTTAGCCTAACTGCCTGTTAATGCTGAGTGATGTCGCATTGTCGATGCCAGGGGTTTCTACGGCTGCTCTTCGGGTTCTGTATCAACTAGATGTGATCTAGACTGCTTAGCAGAGCGGACGCGAGAGGACAAACGAAGACAAGTCACGGCATGGAGAGCGCGCAACCGCATGGGATGAGGCCAGCCACAACGCATATGTTTGTCCGTATGTACGATAGATTCCGAAAAGCATTCGACTACCTCAGGTATCTTCCAAGGAGCTAATAGAAACACCCATGCTTTTCGTCTTGACCGTCCAGCTCCGTGGCCACCTCGGTTGAAGAGGCTTCAGTGTCCAGTGTCCAATATCCAGTGCCCAGGGCCCAGTATCCTTACAATCCTTGACTCCTAACTAGCCTTTACAGATGTTTGACGCTGCCAATTCCATGTTCATTCCACATCGCGCTCGTCACCGGGTTCCTTCATCCGCCAGGTGATGAACGCCGCTATCAGGGTGGCCGCTCCGCCAATCCTCAATGTCCAGCCGACACTGACATCCCCGGGTTCGTTCCTCGGCTTCTGGAGCAACTTGAACACGACGCTGCTGATCAAGGTCGCCAGAATCTGGGGCGCACTAATGGCAACATTGTGTAGTCCCAGAATGACACCCGCTTGATCTTCTTCCTCATATTTCATGTCGTCTTCGCCCAGGTCTCCGTCCCCGTTGATGAGACGCTGTCTCTGTTTCTTGCGTCGGGTTTCGTCGCGCTGGGAGATCTCGGCGGAGATCAAAGCAAAAGGAGCCCAGAGGGTCAGCGACCAGGATATGCCGACCAGGGCCGTCATGATAGTCGCCGCCAGAGGGGTGGTGATGAAAAAGGTGCTAAAGGTACAGAACGAAAACAACAGTTGGGACATCAACCATGCCCGTCGAAGTGTGAATCCGGGGATTTGGAGCCGGGTCATACATTTCTCAGTGGACGTCGGATGTTCTTGGCCCATAGCCCGGCGCACTCGAGATTCTTCAGGCGAGGGCGGAAAGGTAAGCGTGCTCTGCGATCCACTGTAGGCATGCTGGCCCCATGAATAGCTCCGGGGTCTCATGTCGGGTCGAGAAGGAGGCGTGATGGGACGGTCGAAATCCTCCACTTCTTCCACAGGCTGCGCTCGGCAGGTCGGCACAACCAGGAAAGGCAAAATGATGTTGCAGCTGAATGAGATGATCGCATATATTAGAAGTGCAAAGGTCCCGATGCGGGTGGCCTTGCCCCAAAGCTTTTCCACCTCGTCGTCCGAGAGACCTGGGGTGAGGTACGGATCAACATACAGTTGACCGATGTAGGTGGTGATGTAGAAGAGGAAGGGGAACCAGCCGATCCAGTGGAAGAATTGGATTTCGCAAACCTGCCGAATCTCGGGGGGTAGTCGTTTGATGGAGACAAAGACCTGCTTGAAGAACGCCACCAACCCGCCACCATCATCCGCTCTAGAAGGTGGTTCCAGTTGCGGGTTTCGTTCTTTGATCGTGAGTATACTGATGAGCACTGTCGTGCTCAGTGCAATCGATGCAATGACAACGAGTACCTTGAATTGCGTGTTTCCAAAGAAATAGAAGTATCGAGGGAGGTTGAGATATCCAAATACATAGCCGAGGACATTTCCAACCCCCGTCATCCGAGACGCCCACGCATTCGCCGATTCTTGTTGATGAGATGGCGCATTATCGACGATGAACGCGCGGATTGACGCTTGGACTAGATCTGGTCAATATATACTCATCCATTCATAAGCACATGACATACCTGTGTTGATGGAGAAATCTAGACACCACATCATGATGGTGGCCAGGATGATGGTCGCCGTCTGGTAACCGCCACCATACGGCGCATCGACCCCGAGACGGCCAATCACTCGGATGATATCTCGTGCATACGCGAGAATCATGGACGATGCGACCGTTCCCAAAGTGCCAGCGATCATGAATGGTTTCCGCTTTCCCCACGACACGCGACACCGGTCACTCCGGATCCCGACGTACGGCTGCACAAGAGTGCCGGTCAAAGGCCCTGCAAGCCAGACGAAGGCAAGAAGAGCCTTGCTCATTCCGAGCGACAGCAAATAAGGCGATCCATTGGAAAGTTCAACTGACCAGACAATCTGAAGTCCGCCAATAGACAGGGTGAGCAGGATCAGGTACAAGGCGCTTTTGCTCTCCAACGTCGAGTCATCAAGACCGATGATTTCGGAGGGTGGTCCATTACCGTTGAGGTATCGCTCTTCGCGCTCGGATCCCGGGGAAGAAGACTCGTCCTCCTCTTCCTCCACTAGCGGCCGCCCTTCGATGTCGCTGTTGCGCGCCGTGTTGACGGCTCGAATGAGCGGGGAGCGCTCGTCGATCTCTACACTTAGACCGCTACGGGGCATCAGGGGGTGAGGAACCTCTCGGCAACCAACGCGCCTGTTCAGGGGCCAAAGAGACAGAGACCGCTTTCAGCCGTGGTGTAATGGTGACGCAGCCTCGGCAACCTCATTCAGGAGAGTCCGCCGAACGTCGTAGGAAGGATTGGAAGTACGGCCACAACTGTGTGCGGTCGAGGCGAGAGGCAAGGTCGAGGGAGAGCACAGAAGATGCGGACACGAATGAATGTAGGTATACTAGGAGTTAGGTAGTAGTAGAACGAATGGTCAGATGAGATGTGTTGTTGCGAGACTGGCTGACCAGTGCATGTCATGGGGGAAAACAGGATGAAGACTGGCCAGGCTGACTCGATGCTGATTGGCTGGCGGACCACGACCTTGACAACCGCAGGGTGAGGCACAAGGCACAAGGCACAAGGCACCGTCTTGACTGTCTTCCCGTACCATCTTTACCTCGCCTCAGGTCACGAAGCCATCGGTCTGCTGTTGTTGCTCACGTCGAGGTGTCACGTTCAATCGATTTGACGAGACAACTCTCCTGCAACCTCACCCTCCGCCCTACTTGCAGTCGATTTACCGAACGAAGACCTCCACTCCCGCAGCTCTACTTGAGACCACGCCCACGATGAAGCCCATCGTAGGCGCCTTCAACGCATGGATCTGGTCAGCCTACCCATGCACCTTCCTGAATCGCCGCTGATATCTGCATAGCACGGTCGTGTCATGTTTCGCCATTGTCATTCTCTCCGTCATTGGGAGCCTCTTTGCGGTACGACGAGCTCGGTTCCTTGACCTCTCCAAATCTTTATGCAATATAGATGCGCGGCGATTGATGAAATTCATACTAATTGGACTGGCTACAGAGTGATCACCATATGATGATGGGCTTGGAAGATGATCCGCAAGACGGTAGAGCAGTCGCAGCATCGATATTCATCGCAGTGGCCGTCTATGCCGTAAGTGCTTCGGAGCTTTTGATATCTTGTTGGTTCTGACGGCAACAGGGTTTCCTCGTATTCTGCGGTTTTCAGGCGTGGCTTCACGTGCGAGCGAGTCGACGAGGGGCAATATCTCTATAACACTGACTGGAAAAGCGTCCGCAGGAAGAGTGTATATAATTGGGAAGCTGGGCATAAATACGGCGTTGCTGATTGCTTCAGATCAAGGAAGTGTTTATGAAAGCGGATGTCCATTGAAGACCTGGGCTTGACAGGCAGATGCAGAAATGTATAGAACTACCCCTGTCTGTTTCGGATCCCAGGAAGACAACAGACTACTGCTTGCGAAATCAATTGTCCACCTCGCCAGTGAAGAAACATCCCAACCCCAGCGGCACTCAGATGAGATCTTGCTTGACGAACTGGGCATGCAGAGTCTTGCCCAATCTAGCGGGACTCCGTTCCACAACCACTCCGGCCGCCTCCAGTGCCGCGATCTTGGAATCCGCTCCTCCCTTTCCACCGCTGATGATAGCACCGGCATGGCCCATTCGTCGTCCAGGAGGCGCACTGATACCGGCAATGAAGCTGACCACTGGCTTGTTCTTCTTGTTCTCGCTCTTCAAGTATTCGGCTGCTTCTTCCTCGGCACTCCCTCCGATCTCGCCAATCATGATAACGCCTTCGGTTTCGTCATCTTCCATAAACACTTTCAAGCAGTCTATGAAGTTGGTGCCGCTGAACGGGTCACCACCGATTCCCACGACCAACGATTGACCAAGACCGGCTTGCGTAGTCTGGTTCACCGCCTCGTACGTCAGTGTACCCGATCTGGACACGATGCCAACTCGTCCCCTCTTGTGGATAAATCCTGGCATAATTCCAATCTTGCAAACATTGCTGGCGATGATTCCGGGACAGTTGGGGCCCACAAGCCGCGTCTTGCTCTGTGTTTTAAGCATGTTCGTGACTACAGATACGTTAGCATGCAGGAGATGTAGTCAAGGGGCAGGCGGATCATACTTCGAACCATATCATGTTGCGGTATACCCTCAGTGATACACACGACCAGGGGCATTTCTGCTTGAATGGCTTCCTCGATTCCGGCGGCCGCGACTGGGGGAGGGACGAAGATAATCTATCAAGCTCAGTATATCGTTCTTGCAATATTGAGTCGCTTCACCTACGCTCGCGTCGGCTCCTGTAGCTTTCATGCCTTCGCTCACGGTCTTGAAAACGGGCAGTCCCAGATGTGTTGAGCCGGCTTTCTTGGGGTTCGTTCCACCAACCACTTTCGTGCCATAATCGATCGCTTGCTGGGCGTGAAACGTTCCTTGTTTGCCTATAGCAACATCAGCGAGATAGTACAAGCAAGACGAGCGTAAGATATACCTGTGAACCCCTGGAAAAGGACTTTCGTGTCGGCACTGATCTTCAGATTGCCAATGGTAGCTTGATACTGTGTGCTGGAGGAGACTGTCGCGTAACTTCTGCGGGCTTGCCGAAGCACTGAAGATCTGAGAGCCTGCATGGCTGCGATTGTTAAAGAAGCAGCCCGAGGAAATCAGCAGATGCTTAAAAGCTGATGTCGTGGAAGGATGCTCAGGGTTCAGTTCATGGACTGCTATCAAGGGACCTTGCAGTCTGCGGAGCTCGGCTGCTCATGGGTGTCGGATCGGGCGCTTGCGGATTGGAAGCACTGTACTGTGTACTACTGCACAGCGAAGCGCAGCACAATTCGGGCCGCTCGGCCGTACTACTGCGCAGCCCGGTATCTCAAATGATTGGACAGCCTTGCAACCATGATTTCTCGGCCCTAATTGGTTCAACAAAAGCGGCAGTCATCAACAATGGAAAGTTGCAGTTGTGTAGACCGGAGGCTCAATTCAATAATGCCACCTTAAGCAGCATCTGGTTGATGACTTTTATTCAAGCTACTTCTCAGTCTCTAGTCCCCAATTGTATCCAATGACTCTCATTGAGCTATAAGACTTGATGTGAATCGCGGAGTGATAATACAGAGGTCTACATCAACCAAGACTGTCGACGTGCCAAATCCAACATACCAGGCAGAAAGTTAGTATCATTCAACCCTGGCAAGCCAGACGCGCTCAAGGAGTGAGGTATGCCGACCGAGTGTTGATATGAGTATGGAATATCCGTACAGACGCTCCGGTATCTCGCATCCTGCGAACCTAAAACGACAAATGCAACATGGCATCACAACTGATAAGGGCGCTCGCCAGCAAGAGAACTCCCCTGATGGCGCTGCGCGTGCCCCATCTCTTGATCAATTCTTTGACGCTCAGATTCCTCAAGGTCAAGTCCGAGCCACCTTGCTTCTTCTCCACCCTCGAAGCCAGTTCAGCGTTCGTCGAGTCGAGTGAGAGGAATGTGTAGGGCAGGATAGCAAGACTCAGCGCACCGGCGGCCATGAATCGATAGTGCTGCGGCTGGGTATGGGTGAAGTAGGAGTTCAGGAAGTTGGCGCCGGTGGCAATCAGAGCGAGCGGTGGCACGACGGCCTTGCCAATGGTGCCCATGGTCTGCCATTGATTCAGAAGGACCTCCTCATTTGAGTTTTGCACGTAGCCTGGGACGTGCATGAATGAAGTGGCGAGCAGACCACCTGTTTTCTAGGAGTTAATAGAAGGATTGGGCAAAGGGGCAGGTCGGTCAGAACAGACCAGAGGTAACGGCTGAGGCGGTGATGCCCAGCACAAATAGGGTCTTGACCCTGCCGTAGCTATCGAAGGAAGACATGGCAATATCTGGTATAGAGCCCGAAAATATCGAAACGTGGCGGTGGTTCTTTCTTGGGTGTCACGGAGAAACGAAATGAGATCGAGGAGAGGAAGCTTCACAAGATGTCTTACCACTGGCACGCGAAGCGCCTACCTTTTAAGACCACAACAGAGATCATGACCATGCAGCGCAACGGATGCAAACAAGGTACCTGGCCGCCATATCTATGACGAGTTGTCAGGGATACGGTGAGTAAAGACTTTGGTAGAGGAGATGGCTGCGGGCGGCTTCCTCCATCCCCGACGCCGATTAAAGCAGCGTGGAGTTCTATGCCGACTTCGGCTCTCCAATCCCTTTGAAACAGAAACAGACAACAAGCCACCTAAGCGCAGATAGATACAGCATTAAGAGGATGCGTCTGATTGAGGCATAGCCTGTCATGTAAGTGACAATTCTTCCGTGTCGATTGGCAGTTGTCGGCCTCCAATCAATATCGATGAACCGGATTTCTGAAGAGGTTGAAAAGCTGGCAGGTTTTGACAGTTACAGTGTCAACGAGTGCCTTTTCGCTTGGAAGCCTTGGAAACATGATCCTTGACACAGATGCTCAGTACCTCAGCGTAGACATGTACCTTGGATGTTGCGCTTTGTGCGGCAAATTGCTGATACTAGGGCCGGAAGGACAAAGCGACAGCAACGACAAAAGATCTCGTCCGTTGTGCTAGAAGCCTGGAATGATCAACCAGAATCGAGGCGAACAACTGACTCATCACATCTAGGTAGGTCGACAACATATCTGGTTGTTAGCCGAGAGCTCTGTGTGAAAGCAGTGCCGCTGTTGTCCCTGGCGATGATGCTCCGAGCTTGCATATGATTGATGTTCTCTCTCTCCCGTGACTGAGAGCCATTGTGACCATCGACAAGACTATGCAGTACATAGTTCATTTGCTTCCTGGTCTGGCTATGGGACCAACCCGTCCTGCTTCTCGTCAGTCAGAATGCCGCTGTCCTAGCAAGACTCGTGGTAGATGATGGGTGATTTGGCATCGCCTAGACTCGAAAAGGGGCTTGTTGGCGAGACGGTAGGAGATAGAAAGGACTGAACATACAGGCTTTCACCGTGAAAACGTGTTACATGGCCTAAATGGTTAACACAGCTACTGGTGCCAGTGTTTGTTCACAGGCACAACCCCGCTTAGTGATCATGGTGAGGTTGAATTCAGACACATCTGAAGGAAGAAACCAACGCTTACTTCGTCCTGCTGTCATACTCAATTGCTCTCCGTGATTTCTCTTACAGCTCTATCGCACCACGTTCATCTACGCACGAGTACTGAGTTTGTTCCTACACAAAATCCAAGTCCCTCTGGGTTCACATCTTCTCCTTATGAGTCAATCAATGCCGATCCCTGCAATGGGTAATGAGATGGGACGACTTTTCGGTCCTAACTTTGTCCTCGACACCACTCCCACCAGAACACCAGTTTTCCAGGGCTACATCCCAGAGACCGGCCAAATGATGTTCATCAATAGCGGCAACGGGTTTATTGTACCTGGTGTCATCGCAGGAGATTACCCATTGTCCAGAACATGCTCAGTCCTTGCGGCGGGCCTTACCGAGTGCTGCGCACGTGAGGGACGAGGAAAGGTTGGTACGCCTTATCCTATCAGTGTTTTCAGCTACTGACAGTTGAGATCAGATCTTCTGGATTCCCAGACAACACATCACTTCCTGGAAGACTGCGGAGAACTGGCCCAGGGCGTACGACGCACTTCCGGATCTCTACTACGTCGATTACGCGTGGGATGACAAATCAAGAAGAGAATGGTTCGCTCAACATCATCTACAGAGACTCAAGCTCCTTGATGCGCGCAATGGCTCTCTCAATGGCAACGTCCTGAGCATGCCGATCAACCTGAACTATGAAACGGACAACTATGGAACAGTGCGAATCTCCCATGGATCGGCCCCGAACTTCCTGTACTACAACGCCTTTGGCTACATGTACTTGGGCTCTCTGGCCGAAGCTGCAGCAGCTATGACCTACTTCGTGCCACCTGCAACGCCTGGGAGCTCCTACACCCGCCCTTTCTGGCACGGTCCTAAGACAGCCACGCAGACCTTCCAAGTCCGATCTGGCGAGCAAGCTGTTGAGAGACTTCATGCACTCTACATACTCCAGCGACCAGGTCCCGTCCGCCCTTGCATGCCACTCACCGAAGAAGCCATCAGAGCCAAGGATTGGCTCGCTGCGAGAGGCGGTAGGATTGGCAATGAACGAGTTGGAAGACCAGAAGCTGGCAGACAAATGGCTCAACACCCGCAAGGATTGAATCCAGCTGCTGATGCTGGGCCGGAAGTTGGAGATCGTCTTCGACAAGTCCTTGAACAGGCAGCTGGCTGGTATGATCCAATCAAGGCTACTTACACTCGATACAAGATTGCCAACCTTGGAGGTTCGATGGCTGTCACGGTTTTCATCGTCACGGATGGTGGATTTGCAACCATGGGGCGTGACCAAAAACAACTTCTCGTGGAACGGTTGGAGTTAGACCAGGAGTCGGGCGAAAGAAATGCTGCACTGGCGGCTGGTCGTTTAGGATGAGCATGAGACTTTGTCCAAGAGCGGCCCGACCGAAGTGCCAACCATGGCGGCAGTTAGAACTGCAGCAATCAGGAACAACAGGGATGATTCAATTTGAGACTGGATCGTCGTATCAGTCAGTTGTCTCTCAGTGGGAGAGCATACTAAAAGCAGTTTGTCTGACAGAATATTTATTTGCGGTACTCGGGTGAATGCTTCTCACTACTTCCCCGAATTATGCTTAATGGTCCGCCGTATTAGCTGACTAAACAAACGGCAAATGCCAAGCCATTTCATCCTGCACGTGATATCAAATTTCTGGTCTAGATTCGGTCGTGGATTCTTAGACCTGCAACGGCATCTCATTATTGTGGCAATACTGTTGATGATTTCTTCATGTAGGCCTCTGCACTTTTTGTAATTCAATCATGGCGACGGAGACGGTAACTCGGACCAAGGTCAGAGTGGGCAAAAATGAAAAACTCCCGCCCGAAAATGTTCGTTACATGGCCGCCTGTGCCGACATTGCTCGCGCGTTGGTCCAAGAATATGAAGCCAGCCTTGACGATTCAAAACCAAAGAAGGATGTCAACCTCAACCGGCTCCGAGGTGATATTGCCAAGAAACACAGACTCAGCAGCCAACCTCCTTTGACGGCCATTCTGGCCGCCACCCCAGAGCAATACAAGAAACATCTTCTGCCAAAACTCATTGCAAAGCCGGTACGGTCAGCGAGCGGCATTGCCGTCGTGGCGGTCATGTGTAAGCCGCATCGGTGTCCACATATCGCTTTCACGGGGAACGTGTGCACCTACTGTCCCGGCGGCGTCGATTCGGATTTTGAATATTCCACCCAGTCCTACACCGGGTACGAGCCGACCTCGATGCGAGCCATCCGTGCTCGATACGATCCCTTTGAACAGGCTCGTGGGAGAGTCGACCAGATTAAAAGTCTGGGACATAGCGTTGACAAGGTGGAATTCATCATCATGGGTGGCACCTTCATGTCCCTAGATCAAGCCTACCGCGACAACTTCATCGCTCAATTACACAATGCTCTGTCAGGCTACCAGACGGAAAACGTCGACGAAGCGGTTGCCGCCGGAGAAATGTCCAACATCAAGTGCGTCGGGATCACGATCGAGACCCGGCCCGACTTTGGACAAATCGACCACTTGTCCGACATGCTTCGGTATGGATGTACACGACTAGAGCTTGGTGTTCAATCACTGTATGAAGATGTGGCTAGGGATACCAACAGAGGCCACACTGTCGCAGCGGTCGTCGAAGCTTTCAAGTTCTGCAAAGATGCCGGGTTTAAAGTTGTGTCGCATATGATGCCCGATCTACCGAACGTCGGCATGGAACGAGATCTCTACCAATTCCAGGAATACTTTGAAAACCCTGACTTCCGGACGGATGGGCTCAAGATCTATCCTACACTAGTTATTCGCGGCACCGGCGTCTACGAATTATGGCGGACGGGACGGTTTAAGAACTACACTCCAAACGCTCTGGTGGATTTAGTTGCACGGATATTGGCCTTAGTGCCTCCTTGGACGAGAATCTACCGTGTGCAGCGCGATATCCCGATGCCATTGGTCACTTCTGGCGTCGAAAATGGCAATTTGCGAGAGTTGGCACTGTCCAGAATGAAAGACTTTGGCACGACCTGTCGAGACGTGCGAACCCGGGAAGTGGGAATCAATGAAGTGAAAAACAAGATCCGACCGTCTCAAGTGGAGCTTGTCAGGAGAGACTACATGGCCAACGGTGGCTGGGAGACTTTCCTTTCATACGAAGATCCGAAACAGGACATCCTCATCGGCCTGTTGAGACTGCGGAAGTGTACTACCACCCACACCTTCCGACCGGAGCTTACCGGTCAACCTACAAGTATGGTCCGGGAGCTGCATGTTTATGGATTGGCAGTCCCGATCCATGGCCGCGAGAAGAGCAAATTCCAGCATCAAGGCTATGGCACGCTTCTGATGAAGGAAGCCGAGCGCATTGCTCGGGATGAACATGGCAGCGAGAAGCTGAGCGTCATCAGTGGAGTGGGCGTACGAAGTTATTATGCACGTCTTGGTTACAGCCTTGATGGACCATATATGAGCAAGATGCTAATCTTTGACGATGATGAGGCTGAAGATTGAGAATGGAACGAGAGTCGTATCAAAGACCTACGGGACGCACGACTATTAAGACGAAACTACTGGTCGCAAGGCTGTGCAGGGAATCAAGTCCGATGATTGCATACTTTCTGCGAGCCGAAGAAGTCACCAACTGCCGCCGGTCAGACCAGACGGATGGGTATCAGGTGCCCTAAGTCTTTTGGATCACAGCACGAGATCGCCCACAAGCTATCAAGCCTGCCGGGCTTCCCCTCGTTGTCTGTGGCATACTCAGGTTCTTCTCTAGGACTCTGAGGCGGAGAGGCGTGAGTCGCTGCTCTCAGATCACGGACTCAGCCCGCTGCATGTGCACCCACCTTCATTCCGAGTCAGAAATCAATTATGACAACTGCGAGGCCGTGTATGCTATCATGTAGCAGCCAGCCGCCCGGGGGAAAGTGCTTATCGTCCATCGTTATGCTCCCGGGAGGCAGTGAGGAAAGTGCATATGAACTCCCGCCACGAATCTGTCCATTATTGTCGAGGACAAGCCCCAAGGGGTAATTCATTGATACCAGAGGCTTATATCCTTATGCCTGGCTGCATATGGCCTGATATGCAGTACTGTGGCAGATACCCAGGCACCGGGAAGAGAAATAATGGAGATGGAGACAGACGGCAGACGGCGAGACTCCGCGGCCCCACCGTCATAGTAAAGAGAAATGTATGATTGGTGAGCGATAAGCGATAAGGGCATTCGGGCAAATCGCGTCATTGCAAATTTTACGCCTCAATAATTTTTTGCCCCAGTATCAAATTGTCTTTCTCCGAGCAGCGAGTCGCTTGGTTGATCGACGGCTCCTGCTGGATTGCGGCGACTGTATGACTATGTTTGACAATGATACAATGAACATACCGTCCGCGGAGTGAGACTGAGACGATCTTCCATTTCTAGGCCAAGTTATCTCTCTCATATCTCCTATTTTTGACCATCATATTGCTTAGGTAGCCATGGCGTCTGGTTGCTTTAACTGACCTGCCCTCATTTCGCCAACCATTTATTGAACTGTGCAGGGCAAACTATAGACGCAGAAATGATTCCTGCCCTTCTCACGGCGCAAAGCTGCGTCGATCATGTCCACCTCATCCTTGGGACCGGCCCGCTGGCTGCCTCCCGCTGTGCGAAGTCTCTCGAGGTTGGTGCCCGGCCTGTCATTCTCGCTCCCGAAACCGCGGACCTGCATTTCACCCTAGCCAAAGCCGTTGAAGATGGAAGAGTGCGGTGGATACAACGCGACTTTGAAGAGCAGGACCTGAGAACAGCAGGCAGGGAAGAAGTTGACGGATTTGTCGACGCTGTGTTTGTGACATGGCCAGCGAAAGATCCCCGGAGCAGTCACATCTCGAGTCTCTGCAGACGTCTGAGAATACCCGTCAATGTGGTTGACGCTCCCTCGCTTTGCTCATTCACACTGCTCTCCACATATTCCGACGGACCGCTACAAATAGGCATAACCACGTCAGGAAATGGCTGCAAGTTGTCGTCACGGATTCGACGGGAGATCGCATCCAGCTTGCCCCCGAAGTTCGGTCTGGCGGTGGAACGACTGGGATCCATGAGACGGCGTATATGGGAGGAGGATTACAGATTAAATCACCCGAACGGCGCCGAGACTGTTGACGTGGTGGATGGTGAAGACGAGGAGGCCGCGGCGCAGAAACATACCTTCAACTCCTTGGTGAAAGAGGACGACCAGGATCCAGCCACCCTGCGCACTCGTCGCATGAGATGGCTATCGCAGATATGCGAGTATTGGCCCCTCAGTCGACTTGCAGCCATCACCGATGCAGATGTCGCAGCCATTCTCGAAGCTTACCGATCGCCCGCACACACTCCTATACCAACTCCCGGCTCAGGCTCATCCACCGATCTCCTTCCTACACCGGCTCCTCGAAAAGGTACCATCACCCTAGCAGGATCTGGGCCAGGACATCCCTCCTTACTGACGATTGCAACCCATACGGCGATCAAAACCGCGCATTTCATCCTAGCTGATAAGCTCGTTCCTGCGGAGATCCTGGCTCTCATTCCACGAAGGACACCCGTGCATATTGCACGCAAATTCCCCGGAAATGCCGACGCAGCCCAAGAGGAGTTGCTGCAACTTGGTCTAGAAGCCATGGAGCAAGGAAAAGATGTGCTCCGATTGAAACAAGGCGATCCTTATTTGTACGGTCGCGGAGCCGAGGAGGTGACGTTCTTCCGTGACCGAGGGTACGAAGTCAGAGTTATTCCTGGAATCACCAGTGCGCTGTCAGCACCGCTTTTTGCGGAGATTCCTGTCACTCACCGCGCTGTTGCAGATCAAGTGGTCGTCTGTACCGGCACTGGGAGGAAAGGTGCGGCCCCTGAGCCGCCGTCTTACCGGAAGAGCAAGACAGTAGTGTTCTTGATGGCACTGCACAGATTGGAGAGTTTGATCAAGAGCCTGACAGAACAAGTCGATGAGCAAGATCCGACTGTTACGGTGCAGAAACGCGCGTTGTGGCCATCCGGTACGCCTTGCGCGGTCATTGAACGAGCAAGCTGTCCTGACCAGCGCGTGATCCGCTCTACTCTGGAGCATGTCTGTCAGGCAGTGGAGGAGGAAGGGTCTAGGCCTCCAGGACTTCTGGTGGTCGGCCATGCATGCGAAGTGCTGCACAAGCTGGACCAGGGCCAGAGATGGTCTGTCGAAGAGGGCTTTCGGGGTCTCGATGCGATTGGGTCCGAATCCACGCTTTCAGATCTGAATGTTTTGAGGGACGTAGAGATGTGTTCGCCGAAAGATACGCAAGCTCTCAGACCAGATGCGCAGGTATCTACGACGGCGCGATGATGATAGAGAAGTTGCTGATTTTGTACATCATGTTTGAGATACCCAATAGACATTCGCATTTTGTCTCGACGTCTGCTTCTCTGTTTCTCTGGCTTCTTTCCCTGGAACGTGCCGTTAACCACTCTCATCACCAGCGACCGGTATCTGGCAAGTTGCCTCCGTCAAAATTACGAGAGACGTCGGTGTTGCTGGTGATGGTCAAGTGCTTCAGGGGGGACTAGTATAATGATATATATTGATCCTCGCTTACACTGTTCGAGCATGGCCAGCAGCAACAGCAAGAACATATACTGTAGATATTATCTATCTAGTCAGAGATCTTGTGTTCTATTTCTTGTCTTTGAACACATTGTGCGACCACATATCACGGCTCGGGCCTCAGCAAACTCTCTCAGAACGAATAAAATATCAGGGTATCACATTCTCTACAATCTACCCCTATTTTGACGACGCAGCCTCGTCCTCCACCATGTATATATATATATATATATCCCAATGCAATGCACCCGCAAGTCTACACCGACACACTCCAGTGTTATTATCACCTACCTGGTAGATACGGTGCTCACCAGGTGCTCACCGCTCACCTGACATAATACCTGCCTACCAACTGTCGTCAATTTCGCTACAAGACTACTTCAAAATATACAACTCCCCACGACGCTCCCTGATGTCTCTCTCCTCTTCACAACAACGACAATCACCACCACCATCCCTCACAAATATAAACCCCAATTCCGAAAATGAAGCAGCAGGCCAAATCCCCTTTCCCGCAAACACCATCATCCACTCTCCCCCAATAAACCTCTCCCACCCCATCCCAACGAGCAACCTGCCCTCCAAAACAATCCTCATCACCGGCGGCGCATCCGGGTTCGGCGCCACATGTTGCCGCTCCTGGGCATCCCACCACGCGATCGTGATCATCGGCGACATCAACGCCCGCGCAGGCGAAGAGCTAGTTGCCGAGGTTCGCCAGTCCACCGGCAACCAGAATCTCCATTTCATCCAGCTCGACGTGACCAGCTGGACGAGCCAAGTCGAGTTCTTCGACCAGGCCGCCAGGTTGAGTCCGCATGGGGGAATTGACTGTGTGATAGCGAATGCTGGGATTGCGGATGCCGAGGAGAACAGGAAGTTCGAGGAGCCTGAACCGAATCAAATCAAACCTGGGCCGACTAGCATCACTGCCTCCATTACTACTGGTGGTCGTGCGGGTGCTAGTCCTGATGGTAGTCCTGGTGCTAGTCCTCCCACCCTCAAAACAATCGACGTCAACCTCTACGGTGTTCTCTATACGACTCATCTGGCATTACACTATCTCCCGCGCAATCCGGGCAGTCGGCCATGCGACCCGGACACGCACACGGGACCGCGAGATCGTCATCTGCTGCTGGTCTCGTCGATCGCGGGTCTGGCGGGGTTGCCGTCGCAGCCGTTGTATGCGGCGGCCAAACATGCTGTTGTTGGGTTGTTTCGGACGTTGAGGATGACGGCGCCGATGAAGTGTGGCGTGAGAGTCAATATGATCAATCCTTGTAAGTTGTCGAATTGGACAGTCCTTTCGTTTTCGTTCTCTTGTGAGTCGAAGTATAGGGATATGACTATACTCGTTTGTGTCGTTTGGAGGCAGAGAGGATGTCTCTCTGCGTTGGAAAAACATGGATCCTTTCGTCCAGGCAGTCGAAACATCGTCGGCATGAGTCGTCAAGATCAAGTCACACCTGGTTGTTTGGACCTTCTCAAGTTCGGAAGAGAGCATCCACTACTCAATCTCGAACCCCATCACGCCTTTACTTTCAAGACCGGCTACGCCTAGTTCTGTTCTTCGTCCTACATCCAGCGTTCGATACTCTTCATGCTGTTGCTAATATCCTACACCCTTTGGTACTCCTACTGACCCGTTGACACACCCAGACTTCGTCGACACACCCATCCTGGGCCCGCTCGGCGCCCTCCTCCTCGCTGGAGGCGGTATGGCCACGCTCGAGTCTGTGCTCCAGGCCACGACGCGCCTCGTTGCCGACCAAGGCATCATTGGCCGCGCGCTGGTCATCGGTCCCAAGACATCAGCCGAACATGCGCGTGCCGTGGGGCTGGAACCTGATATCGTGGACCAGGCGGTCTGGGACGTCTATGCTCATGACTTTGAACAGTCAGATTTATTCACTCGGCGGGTTATTGGCGTAACGAATCTCATTACCCGGGCTAGAGGGTGGACTGGGCTTGCGAGTGACATCGCGAACAAAGCCTCATATGGGTTCTGGAAGATGCTGGGGTATTAAAAGTTTCATATTCGATTTCGGGACGCATTTGCAAACGGAGCGGAGACTGTTTCTGATGTGCCTGGAAAAGAGGGGAGTGAAGCTTGCATTTCTGAGCGTGTTGCGGGATAGGGAATCGATGGTGGACAACCATCCTTGTCGCGAATTTGCTCTTCAGCCGTGCTTTACAATGGGGATAAGTAAATCGGTCGGGGCTGTACTCTGTATCCTCCATCCAAAGCCTTGTCGTGATACTGCGTATCATGCATAAGAATCCACTGTACATGTCTCTCGGCAAACATACCTCATATAGACTGCGCTATTTCCCAATCTGGAAAGCCACCTGGACCTCCAACAATGCTGCTATACTGCACTGACTCGCAAGGTCGTGGTGTGGATAGTTAAAGGGGACTCAACCTCTCACTTGATCGCCGTTAACAAGACGCTTCTGTTTCAAACACTCTCAGACTTGGACTAGCCACCGACCACTGTGAGCAGAGTGAAAGCACACACGTCAAACATCTCTCTACTCTCACAAAGCAGCATGTGTCGACAGCCTCATTTACCGATCCCAGTCCTTTTATGAATCGATCAATCCTCAGCCAAAGCCATGTCCAAGGCATGATAAGGTCGCGAAAGATTCTGTTTCTGGTCGTTCTGATAGCCATCACCGCTTTCACTACCCTTCTCCTCCGACGACCTCAGGCTTTCGAGGAGTCCGCAGCTTCGCTCTTTTACGGTCACCATGCGCACGAAGAGAACCAACCGCTCCTCCCGGCCAGCTCCCTCTTACACCCAATCCACCAGCTAGTCTCGGAGGCGGAAGGGGATTTCCAGACCGTACGCGCCCGCCAGTCACGATCCCTCAGCGATGCCGTAGCCGAGTACCGCAGGCGGTACAAGCTGCCTCCGCCGCCGCACTTCGACAAATGGTATGCTTTTGCGAAGAAGCGAGGGGTCGAGCTGATCGACGAATATGACACCATATACCATCAGCTACTCCCGTTCTGGGCGCTGGAGCCGGCGCTGATTCGCGAGAGGACAAGAGAAGCCGTTGGATTTGACAATGCGTTGATCGCCGTGACCATTCGAGATGGCAAGGTCGTCACCGTCCAAGGAGGAGGCGACATGTATCAGTGGCACAGGGACGCAACGCCGGTCATGTTGCAGGAGTTTGTCCAGTACCTGCCAGATATGGATCTGGCGTTCAACATCCACGACGAACCTCGAGTCGTCTTGCAGCATGATGACCTCTTACACCACGTGCAGGTTGCAACGGACGAGAACATGCCCAAGGCTTATGGCAGTCAATCACTGAACAACAAGTGGTCTCCGAGACCTGCTGATCTGGGCGAAGGGATACGGATCAAAGAGTACAAGACGACCCGATTCAACAAGTACGCACACCAGCCGACGTGGAGCGAGTCAAGATTGTCCTGTCCACTCGACAGTCCGGCACGGGCCTGTCTGGACGACGCCTGTCCCGACAACACCACAACATACTCGGGCCTTCCGCTGGGTATTGTGCGCAACACGACCGCGTTCTCCGACATCTGCAACTCCCCAAGCATGGAGAGATCCTTTGGCTTCTTCGACCGCCCCAATGCATTTGACGTGACACACCAGCTATTTCCGATTTTCTCACAGTCGAAAATCTCCAGTTTCCAGGACATATTGTACCCATCGCCATGGTATTTCATGGGTCGAGTGAAATACGAAAAGGAGCGGGATATGCCGTGGGAAGAAAAGGCTCCCACCATGTACTGGCGCGGCAGCACGACAGGCGGCTTCTCCCGGGATGGCGGGTGGAGACGCCAACATCGGCAACGCTTCCTGACCAAGATCCAGCCAACGCACACAGCCAAAGTCCTGATACTCGACAACTCCAGCAGCACGGACACCATGTGGACGGAGAGGCAGTTCTCAATGCAGGAGGTCTCGCACTACTTCGACGTCAAATTCACGCACATCGGCCAATGCGACCCGGGCGACTGTGACGCGCAGCGCGAGTACTTTGGCACCGTCGAGCCCGTCAACATGTTCGACGCCTTTGGGTCGAGGTACTTGCTGGACATCGACGGCAATGCCTTTTCCGGCCGATACTATGCCTGGCTGCTGAGCAACAGCCTCGTCTACAAGTTGGCCGTGTTCCGCGAGTGGCATGACGAGTGGCTACGGCCGTGGGTGCATTATGTCCCGCTCAGCTTGATCGGCGACGAGTATGTCGAGGCCGTTCGATACTTTGACCAGGAACAAAGCGGCAAGGTCGAGGGCAAGAGGATCGCCACTCGCGGTCGTGAGTGGGCGCAGAAAGTGCTTCGGAATGAGGACCTGGAAGTCTGGTATTTCAGGTTGTTGCTTGAGTAAGTTTTTGACCGCCCCCTGTCTGTCTCTGTCTTTATCTCTGGTCCTTTCCTGGTGTCTGCTTGCTTGATCTACTATCTTTGTCCCTGTGGTTTAGTCCTGCGCAGAGCAGAGCAGAGCAGTACCTCTCATGGTATTCATATCATATACTGACATGAAATTCTCTCGCGCAGATATGGCCGCCTGATCGACGATAACCGGTATGACATTGGCTTCAGCTTGTAAAAAGAGAGCCTATCCAGTTGCTAGCTATCCAGTGGCGAATCAAATCAAATCATATCATGTTGTCAGAACCTTGTCTAGACCCTCGTTCTTTTTTCTTCTCTTATCTATCTGGAGCGACTGGAACAGGTTGTATACTATTCTGCTCAGCCCCGTATACCCCTTATGTACAATAGTGTCTTACCATCAAGGGAAATCCGAACTTTGAAGCTTGAACACGAAGCACGAATAGTCGAATGTTCTGTCTTGTCTCTATCAAAGATACTACTCTCAGAAAAGGCGCAATCGCAATTGCAATGGCATTTGTTGACCACAACCCGCCCCGGCTCCTGCTATGGGTACTACAGCGACCACAGAGCGGAACCGCTACCACGGTCTTCTTGCCAATAATGCCCGCTCAATCCTCCGGACTCGAGTCGAATAGTCCCCGTCAAGTTCCAAAGAACTGAATAAGGAGAGACCGCCTCCGCGTCGAAGTCTACTTCCTCAACAGACCATGGGAAACGAGGCGGTCCTCCCGTCCTATTCAGCTCCTTGTTAATCCCTCTGTGCCGTGCATCTGACCCGCTAATTGTCTCTGGTGGGTATCTTCATCTCCATTTGTCATGGTCCTTTTCTTTTTTTCATACAGCATTCCTCCCCTATTTCCCCAAATCACACAAGAAGACCAGCCACCCCTTGCGGTCACAACTGGACTATAAGCTTGGACAGCTTCTCGCCCAGGCTGGTCTTCCTGGGCACTCGCACGCGAACGCACTACTGTCCGGTGTCCATTCTCTCCGCCGCCGCGGCCACGTTGCCTCCAGCGGCAACGGTGGCAAAGTATCGAACATCGACATCCTTGTCCCCCTGTAGTTTTTCCAGGTTCGGCATGATCTGGTCGTTGATCAGCTCGGCGCCTAGAGGGCTCGGTTCGACATTTGTATTGCCGGATTCTTCAAGTTGCTGCAGCGTGCCTTCGGCAGGGAGGCGGCGGAGGGTGTCAATGAGAACGGCATATGACTTGGCCACGTTGAATCGAATGTTGGGGATCGGGTCAGACACAAGTCGGTCCATCATGGGGAGGATGCTTTTCTGAATGATGTCGAGAGTGATGACAGGGGCGAGGATCTAGGTTATAGAGGTTAGCCAACGTCCCTTCCACAGCGGGGTTGTCTTGTCTTGTCTAGAACATACCGTAACGGCGAAGCAGGTCGTCATTCTGTAAAGATAATTCTCTTGCTGGCTCATAGCAGTGACTTTTGGAATGATTGCTCGGTTCGCCCATTCCACGCCAAACACTTCCGTGAGTTTCTTCAGGTTCTGAGTGGCGGCCTCTCTGATAGAGAAGACAGTGTCACCTAACCAGCCCATGCAAAGAGAACTCAATTGCTCGTCAAAGAATTTCACGCCCAACTGTCTGGCAAGCAATGGAATATATTCGATGATAGCGAGGCGTACACGCCATTGCTTGTCTTCGGCAAGTTGGACAATGGCGGGAAGAAGTGACTGCGAAAGTAGATCAATGCCAATAACGTTGTTGACCAATTCGAGTTTGGAGATGATGTGTAGTCGCACGTCGGGAAATTCGTCCTTGAGCATTTGCAGGAACATGGGGAGGAGGTGAGAAATCGTCTCTTCCTTGCCCAGGATTGGAGCCAAGCCACTCAGTTGTGTGCCGAGAGCAGCTCGGACATGTTGGGATGGATCAGAGACAAGGTCTTCGATGCTGGTCATGATCTCGTTGAGCAGAGTCTCTCGGTCGAGCAGACTGCAGAAGCCAGGGATCTGACTGGCGATGGCCGTTCTCACCTCCGCCTCACTGTCTTTGAGCAGCTTGACGAATGCCGGAACCAAATCCCTTGTGACGACCTCTTCATTGACAGCTTTGGCGATCTTTTCAAACTTCTCGGCAACCATGTATCTGACCCTCCAGCTCTTATCTTCAAACAAACTCCGCAACGCAGTCAGAAGGACGCCATGGCTCGGTTGTTGTTCTTTCGGAATGACTTCAGCGATGGAGATGAGAACCTCGACGGTAAGCAAACGGACGCTGTCTTGATCATCGCTGGCAAGATGTTGAAACAGGGGAATCATCTCATCAATCACCACTGATACCGGCACGACCTTGATGAACTTGGCCAGGTTGTTTGCAGCTTGTCGTCGGACCATGGGTGTTTCATCGTGAACGAGGTGGCCGAACTGAGTTCGGAGAGTTTGTTGTGCAGAGGGAGAGGCCTTCTTGTAGGGTGTCACATACAGTCCCGTGGCAGAGATCTTCGATGTGAACCAGTCCGCCTTGGAGAGTCGAATCGTAAGGGGGATGAAATATTCCTCCACTTGTCGTTCCGAAAGTTGCTCACAGATCTTGTTGAGTGATTCAACAGCCTAGAAGGTCGAAGTATTAGATTTGTTCTTGTCTTCCCATCCTTTTTTGATTCTCTCATACCTTGTCCCGCACGAGTGGCTCCTCGATGGCTGCAAGATTCTCCAACGGTGCGAGGAGCACATGGCCGTATTCTGGACCGCCGACATATTCGACGAAATTTCCGAGCTCGTCGGCGAGTGCTGTCAAAACTTCATCCTCGTCCTCAACAGAGTCTGGGTAGCACGGTCAGTGCTTGTTCCAATGGTTTTGTAGCAAAAAACTGCGCACCGTCCAAGAATGGTATCAATTCGTCTCTTGTTCGTTCAGGACCCAAGGCTAGTGCGATTGTAGAGAGTCTATGGATGGCGTTGAGCCGGAGGAGGACGTCGTCATGCTGTTTACATGGTCAGTCAAGGATCAAATCCGACCTGCACCGGAGGTCTAGCCGCACCTTGAGTTCGTCGATCAGCACGGCGATGGGGTAAAGCTCATCACCACTATCTTGGCCCTCCATGTTGAAGAACTGGCAAGGAGTGATGTGGGTTTCTCGATCTTCCACCAAGGGCGGGGTTGGTGTTGGTTGGGTTGAGTCGTCGAACCGTGTCGAGGGTGTTTGGTTGGGTGCGAAACTCGTGTCTGTAGAGAAAGGTCTAGTTCAGATCCCAGTACATCTCTGGCTGAAGTGACAAGTCAGTGTTGGGTAGGTTTTGGGGCTGTCAGGAGGTGTGGCTGTTGCCTTGCGGTCGCATGCGGCGCGGTGGACTGTTGGAAAGTTGCAGATGTACTAGTAGCGCGCGAAGGACAGATGGAGCAACTTACGATCGTCAGAGAACGCAGGCTTCGTGGCGTTAGAAGTTGAATTTGGTCAACGAGTTGCCCTGTTTGTATGAGATACAGATGCCGAATGCACAGTGACTTTGATCAAGTGGTTCGTGGGATGGGCGAGGTGGATAATCAGTCAGTCAGTGCATCTGAGCTCCGTCATAATAGTAGGGGCAGTCGACAGTAGCAGTAGCAGTGGTTACGGCCTCACACTTCTGCCCTATTTACAAGTGTGTGGCTTGATGCCTTTGTGTGTGGCGCAGTAAGTTGCAGGCTTATTTTGCGCCACAATGAGGCGTCAACTTCGATTCGATCGTAAATACGTACGTAGGCTGGACATATATCTACCTTAACTAGATTCTACTCTACACGCGAACGCAAAGCGCAATTGCCAGATGCAGTGTGATTCTACAGCAGGAAATCGATTCTTTGAAGAATGATCAAAACAACCTTGTCAAGAGCTGAAATCTCCCATAAGGGCGACGAAGCTGAGCCTCAAGATTTTGTTTGGACCATGGCAGTAGGATACGGGAACTGGTGGAATGATATTGATAGAGCAGACGAGGCCACAGCCTTTGTGCGGCGGCAGAGAGACGCCAACTTGAAGTAAAGACAGCAGTTAGGGACTACAGCCTCGTGAGCATGGGCAGGTGGCTGTAATCTTAAAGCGGCATGATTTGCGACAAGGTCCACGTGACCGTCTAGTCGATTTCACCTCCAGTTTCAATGCTTTGCCGCCAAGACATTCATGAAATGACTCTTTACAACATTTTGATAGCGTGTAAGTTGTCAAGGTCTCGACCAGGATCTACGCCGAGTGGTAAACCGATATTATTTCACAGGACCCGTGAAAGCCTTCTGCGGGGAAAATACGGTGTTAAGCAGGCTGGCCATATCTTGTCGCATCCGTTGCAGCTGTCGTCACAATGCCTACCATCACAGTCGACAAGGCTGCCCTTTTCAAGGCGTTGGGCAAGGATTACACTACGGAGGAGTTTGACGAGCTCTGCTTTGATTTCGGCATAGAGCTTGATGAAGACACTTCACTCAGTGAGCGGCCTGTGATTAACGGCAAGCAAGAACCACCGCAATTGAAAATTGAGATTCCAGCCAATCGATATGACATGTTATGTTTCGAGGGCATTCAACTCATGCTCAATATCTTCAACCACAAAGTGCCCACGCCAAAGTATGTCTTGAAAGCGCCGCCAAAAGGCCAGCTACAAACAATCACAGTCTCCAAGGACACCGCCAGGATACGACCATACGTGTCAGGAGCCGTTCTACGGAACGTCAAGTTCGATGAGTCGAGATATGCCTCCTTCATCGACCTTCAGGACAAGCTGCACCAAAACCTGGCTCGGCAGCGGACGCTTGTCTCCATCGGTACCCACGACTTGGATACGATCAAAGGACCTTTCACCTACGAGGCACTACCGCCGAAAGACATCAAGTTCGTACCTCTCAATCAAACGAAGGAGATGAATGGGGAAGAACTTATGGCGTTCTACGACAAGGACAAACACCTTGGCCGGTATCTGCACATCATTCGCGACTCTCCTGTGTATCCTGTGATATACGACTCCAACCGCAATGTGTGCTCTCTACCGCCAATTATCAATGGAGACTTGAGCAAAATCACGCTCGACACAAAAAATGTTTTCATCGAGGTTACAGCGACCGACAAGACCAAGTTGGATGTCGTTGTCAACATCATGGTCAGCATGTTCTCTCAGTACACGGCGGAAAAGTTCACTATCGAGCCCATCCAAATCATATCGGAGCACAACGGCGAATCGAGACAAGCGCCCGACCTTACACCACGCGCCACACAAGCTGAAGTCGACTACATCAATGCATGCTGCGGTCTTTCCCTTTCAGCTCAGGAGATTTGCGACCTTCTTACCCGCATGTCTTACACCGCCCGACCTTCCAAATCAGACCCCAACTTGATCGACGTGGACGTCCCTCCCACACGAGCAGACGTGCTGCATCAAGCCGACATCATGGAGGACGTGTGCATTGCATATGGCTTCAACAAACTTCCCAGAGCATTCCCCAAAGTTTCCGCCACAATTGCCGCCCCGCTTGCGATCAACAAGCTCTCAGACATTCTTCGACTCGAAGCTGCCATGGCCGGCTGGGCGGAAGTTCTACCGTTGATTCTATGCTCGCACGACGAAAACTTCGCCTGGCTGAATCGCAAGGATGACGGCAAAACCGCCGTCAAACTGGCCAATCCCAAGACGGCGGAGTATCAAGTCGTGAGGACGACACTGCTGCCAGGTCTGCTGAAGACGATCCGTGAGAATAAGCACCACTCAATACCTATAAAGATTTTTGAAGTTAGTGATGTTGCATTCAAGGACGAGTCATTGGAACGCAAATCGCGCAATGAGCGCCACTTTGCGGCCGCATGGTGTGGCAAGACATCGGGCTTCGAGGTGGTCCATGGCCTGTTGGATCGCTTGATGGCCATGTTGAAGGCCGCATTCATCACGCACGAAGAAGGGTTGGAGATCAAGAATGGAAAGCCGCAGGGTATGGAATACTGGATTCAAGAACTCGACGATGCCACCTATCTCCCTGGCCACGGTGCGAGCATTCATGCCAGAATCGCCGGGCAGGACATCGTCATTGGCAGTTTCGGCATCCTGCACCCTACAGTTCTGGAGAAGTTCGAGCTGAAATACCCTGTCAGTGCGCTCGAGTTCAATGCCGAGGTTTTCCTGTGAAATTGACGGGTGGACTACTGCTTTGACCAACACTGCTGGAAGAGAGATTCGAACAAAAGGCAAGATAGCGTAGAAGTCAATAGAACTTGATCAGAGTCAAAAGGTTTATTTCCCTTCTTCACTCGGTCTGAATCTTCTCTTCGTCCACAGCATGCATGTGGGCATTCATGGCATTTTTGATAAGCATCCGCTCCTGCATGTCACCATGCGAAACGTAGAACGGCGCCCGGATCGAGTTTCCTCTCCACCCGTCAGAAAATGTATGCTATGTGAATTCGACAAAACGCCCCGCGTAACACGGCACAGCAAGCACGTCCCAAAGCTTTTCTGCTTTTTACTCCTGAGCATACGTCTCCTCGCCCTCGGCAGGCTGTTCCTCGGCAGCCCTGGCATCTTGCGCTGCCTGTTGAGCGGCCAACGCCTTGGCACCATAATCCTGCGACATGGGCTGCAAGATGGGCTGCTCCTCCTTGGGGTCGATGATGGTGACGCTGTCGGGAAGAGTCTTCTGGGGACCGGCCTTGCCTTCTGGGTCGCTGCCGCGCATGATCTTGACCTTGATACCCAAAACACCCTGTCGCAGCAGGACGTGGCGGGTGGCGTAGTCGATGAAGTCGTTGACCGGCTGGCCGGAGTGGATCATGAAGCCATCCTACAGCATTTCATGTCAGTCCTTGTGTCCCTGGATACTTCCAGACGAGTAGATTGCGCTGGAGAAGAAATCTTACAGTGAACTTCATGCTCTTGGCTCGGGCAGCTCTCAGCTTGCCGCTCACAACGACCTCGCAGCCCTTGGCACCGCTCTCCATAATGAATCTCAGCACACCGTAGCACGCTCTTCGCACGGCCAAACCGTTCAACAGCTTGTATCGGAGGGACTCGCACTGAGCGACGGCGGACAGACCACGGTTCTGGACCTTGGCGGCATACAGGGAAACGCTGTTCTCGGGGAACTTGAATCGCTTCTGGATCAGGGAGGTGAGTTCGCGGATTCGTCGACCCTGCTCGCCCAGCACTTCTTGGGTGTGTGTGGCCCGGATGACTGCACAAGACAAAGTCAGAATTTCTTGATCTCATGGTCTATGGAGAATCTGGCCATACTGATGTCAGTCACGGTGGGAGTAACTCGGACTTCGACTCCAGAGTAGCCCTCCTCGGCCAGCTCGCGCTGGAAGAACTCGTTCAACTCGGCATAGAAGACACCGTCGGCGACGAACTTGCGCTTCTTGGAGATGGCTCCTGGTTGGGTCGTCATGTTGGCGGCTTGGTCGGTGTCGAGGCTGAGAGATTGAAGTGACGGTGCGGTGCGCAAGTTGGGAATTTCAAGTTCGTTCGTGAGTCTTTGGGAGGGGGTGAATTCGTACCGCACACAATTTCGATGATGCCAAGAGATATTTTGCTTCGTGCGCTGCCAGGTGGTATCCCGTAGCACGTGACCTGGCCGGGCGGGTATGTTATCCGAACTCTTGACTCGCAGCCTTGCGCTTCTCTTTTAGGACGAATTCTATTGGGCTGCGACCGTCATTACTGAGCGGAGCTCCATGTACTATACTACTACCTGTTCTGCAGGTTGTCTCCAGGAATAATTCATGTTATAGCTCTTGATCATGGCAAGAATTAGATCCAATGCCTGGTTTCTGCTTACTGTGGACTTATGATCCAACGAATAACGTCCCTGAATCAGTAGTGCCGAGTATAGCGCACATCAAATGCAACTGAGCGACCAGCACTGGCAGCTCTCCAGGAGCTTAATCTTGCGACATAATCGTCCTGAACAGTACGTACTTCCGTTGTTTCACCCTATGTCAATCGCTCAGAGTGATGCACATCTGCTCTCATATCCATCTGGCAGCATATCGCTCAAGAGCTGATAGTTGACACCAAGCTTCTCGCTGCAGCATAGGCTGAGCACTCAGGCCTTGTGAGGATATCTGAGCTTCTGTCGGCCAGTGGACATTCCGAAGCTGATCGTTGTTCCCTCGTCAAACGTCCAGGCTCTGTTAACAAGACAGTTGAAGATTCCAATGATGGAAATGTATCACAAGTTCAGTTGTCCAGTTCTACATTGCTGAACAGTCTGAAGTGTCGTCGTTGCGGAAGGGACTGTGCAGCTTGCCATGTCGTCAGTGTGAGCCAGCAGTCCCATCATGTTCCCCTTTTCCCTTGCTTTTTTGTATATGGCAGTGTTCGTCGTTGTCCATGAGCTGCCCGCTTGCTTAACATGACCTGGTCATGAGCGGTGCTTGTCGTCAATCCCAGAGTCCAGCGCTATGGACTGTGACTGTATTTCTTGCGAATTGCTGCTGTACATTGCTCTGAGAAGTCGATCTGGAAGGTCTCTGATAAACCTGTGCCAGGGGCCGTCATGACTTGTCAGGGCCACCATTCGGGTGCTGGTATGCAAAGAACAGTGTGTGCTCGCACTCTTTGTATCTGATGCAGTGATCGGGGACTCTTAGTGAAAGGGGCAATACTCTCATTGTGACTCCTGCACAAGGTTGATCGGCCTGACAGTGGTGTCTCCTGGAAATCTTGCATCTGGCAGTACAATATCGGGATAATGGGGATCACCTACCTTGGAAGTCAACTCGCTTCATTTCATATTGCATGTTTTCACACTGTTATGGTTCTTTCGGTCAAGGCAATTGAATAGCATCACAGCGTGCGTATGCGAGCCTTGCCGGATCATTCTGCACAGTTCCAAGACCAAGCTGCGGTGATCCTAACACAGCTGGCCGTCACTCGACCTGTCTGTGGTTGCGTTTCATCTCTTGGTCGTTGTGTTGACGCTTCCTGCGTTCTGCACTTGAAATCTCTTCATCTCTGCCAACCCATCTCTCTTCCTCTTCCTCTACCTCTCCCTCTTACCACCTCTACCTCTCCTCTCCTTCATCATTCCTGTCATCGCTTTCCTCTCTATCGATCATCCTTTCGCGTCTCACCAATTCCTCGACTCCAAAATGTCGTGGGGGCCTACCGAAGATCCCACCCCACCAGCACCAACTACCGGTACGTATGCCTCCTTTCTGATCTCGTCAACCCAGTACAATATTCCCCTTCCTGTGCGACTTGTCCACCTCTACTGCGAGCTTCGGACTCGCCTCTTGTTGCTTCTCTAGTTGGCAAGTCCTGGCGTGGAACGTTTCCTGCAGCAGACTTGCCTGCTGGTCGTTGACATCAAAAGAGAAAGCTCTCACCACGAGGAACCTTCATCTTCGTTTCTCAACCCCATCCTTTCACTCCGCACTATCATACTGGGCATTGATCTCTCTTTCTTACAAGAACTTACATGGTGTTAGGTGACATGTCATCCTTCAATACTGCTGCCATGGCCGATGCAATCGCCGAAGCCGCCAATACTACCGGTGCACAGATCGACCAGCGTACCAAGGAACAGCGTCTCGAAGATGCTCAGCGGGCTGGCTGGTGCGCGCCTCAGCCATTCAAGTACGGTCCTGAGGTTCCTGAGCCAGGCGCGAATGGTACGAATGGCGAAGAAGGCGGTACCGCTGAAGATGCTTACAAACCTACTCCCTGGGCACACGATGCGGAGAAGTATGAGTGGCAGGAAGAGTACGGCGAAGTAGGCCCGAGACATGAGGAACTGGAGAAAGAGTTGTTTCGTGGAGAGTACATCAATCGCGCTGGTGACAAGTTCAAGAAGTAAGTCAGTGGTGAAGGCTATGATCCCATACCCGCTGACCGACAAACAGCCTGTCCACCGTCAAGATCATAGTCGAATCTGAAACTCGCGTCGAGCCAATCAAGAGTGTCGGTATACTCTATCCCACCCTCTGTGGCTTCTTGCTTACCACATTTGCAGTTCAAGAGCGCTGGTCTTCATCCTGTCATTGAGGAGAACATTGCGCTTTGTACTTATGAGTACCCAACTCCAATTCAGGCTTACACTATCCCTGCCGTCCTGGAGGGTCATGACATGATCGGTGTTGCGCAGACTGGTTAGTAGTCACAAGGATTCCATCCATGGCACCTCTGACTTTTCAATAGGATCTGGCAAGACTGCTGCTTTCCTCATCCCATGCATCTCCAAGTTGATGGGCAAGGTCAAGAAGCTTGCGGCACCTCGTCCAAACATTGCAGCAGGATTTGATGCTACTCGCGAAGGTGTGCGTGCGGAGCCATTGATCCTCGTTGTTGCCCCAACCCGCGAGCTCTGTTGCCAGATCTTTGATGAAGCACGTCGTCTCTGTTACCGTTCGATGCTACGCCCATGTGTGGCATATGGCGGCGCGCCTCTGAGAGATCAGATGAATCAACTCGCTCGTGGCTGTGACCTCCTCGTCGCTACACCTGGTCGGTTGCTCGATTTCATGGGCCGTCCCAATGTTCTCTCTCTGGCACGCATCAGGTAAGGATATCATGGGTGAATGATGATTCATTATGCTGATTTGCTGCAGATACACCATCATCGACGAAGCTGATGAGATGTTGCATGATGACTGGGAGCAAGAGATGACGAAAATCATGTCTGGTGGTGGTAGGTTACTCCAACCTTCTATAATGTTCATCTGGTTGCTAACCCAACAGATGCAAACACCGACGGCGATCATCGTTACCTTCTTTTCTCTGCCACGTTCCCCAAGCGTCTGCAGAAACTGGCCGCGAAGTTCCTTGCAAATGACCATATCCACGTCAGCATCGGTCGCACTGGCTCTGTCCATATCAACGTCAAGCAGAACGTACGTTGATACCGTCGAAAAATGACTTCAATTAGCTAACAGCAGTCAGATCATGTGGACCGACAAGGATAAGAAGAAGGAAGCTCTCTACGACCTGCTCATCTCAATGCCGCCATCTCGCACCCTTGTCTTCGTTCGATCCAAGAAGACTGCCGACTTTGTTGACGACTACCTCTTCAATATGGGTCTGCCGTCCACCTCCATCCACTCTGATCGTACTCAGTTCGAACGCGAAGATGCACTGTAAGCCAGAAATGCTGGAACCGATGACAAGATGCTGACGATGTTAGGCGAGCTTTCAAGGCTGGAAAGTCTCCAATTCTCGTTGCTACCGGAGTCTCTGGCCGTGGTCTCGATGTCCGTAAGTACATTGGGCTGGTCATCGCTTGACTCTAGCAACTAACGAGGACTCAGGCAACGTGATGCATGTCATCAACTTCGACCTCCCGCAAGCTGAGCATGATGGTCGCAATGAATATGTTCATCGGATCGGTAAGCCATTCATGTCACGGCCTTGACATACCACTGACCGGGGGGCAGGCCGTACCGCACGCATCGGCAATGAAGGCCTCGCCACCTCTTTCTACAACGAGTATGACGAAGCCTTGGGACCTTTCCTCACCAAGGTCCTTCTTGAATGTGGCCAGGAAGTTCCAGACTTCTTGCAGCAGTTCAAGCCCGAAGGTGGTGTCCTCAACTTCGAGGAAGAGGAAGAACCGGATATGGACGATGAACCAGCAGGAAATGAGGCTGAAGGCGACGCCTGGGATGCTGGTGATGAGGGCACTGGTAACGGCGACGCAGACAAGGTCCAAGATTCTGGCGAAGGCAATTTTGCTGCAAATGCCTCGACCGACGCCTGGGGCCCTGGCAACGACACCGCTGTCGCTGCGTCGGCCAACTGGTAGGCATTCGAGATGGATTTGGAAGTCACTGGTCAACCATGCACCGGGTTCGTCAAACGTGCACCACAGTGACTTGCCACCATCAGCGCGTGCCACACTCACAGAGTGCCCTTCGTGCTCTGATTTTAGTTGCCGACCATCATAGGTCTCTTCGACCAGCTCAAGGAAGTACCATGCGGTGCTATGGAAGACGGGTCGAGCCTCGTTGTGGTAGGGTTATGAGAAAGGGGTCGAGATCTCCGGCTCGCCGACTTGACCCCTAGTATGGTTTCTCTTACCGCATACGGCATGCCCTGTCTTCCGGTCAGAGCATCAAGGTCTTTAGCAATCCGAGCGAAACAGAAACGAAATCAGGTAGCTTAATGAAATTCTAAGCTCCACAATCCCGAGGTGCCTTCTAGATACTGCGTTGTAGCACAGACATCCAGATCGCACAAGTTAGCGAGGTCGTCTCTTTGTGCTACTTGAGGCTGCGGCAAACCGCGCGGTGCGTGCCAGATGTAGGGGTCGCTTGAGGACGAAAGGGGAACGTTCATGCGACCAAACACACTACTCAATTTCGGGCCTGGGATGCTAGGTGATCGATGAGGCATCTCCGTTATTCGCTACGGTCACCGAGGCATTGCATTGCGCGGTTACTCATTGGGAGAGATCAGGCCCAGCCTGGGTCATTATCGGCTTTACTGATTGCAGCGTATCATTGACCGGGGGATGGCGGGCCAGGGGAGAGCTGAAGGCCGGTTCCTCAGGCCTGATCTGGTTACAGAATGCACAGGAAAGACTGTACAGATTAAGCTTGACAAGCAATGTAAGGTAGGCATGAAGGACGACTTGAAGATACAGGGTGAGAGTTTGACATGATTCTGTTACTGGGCCGTTGAGATCCATCTTATCGATGAAGGGTTGTGTCTTATCGCCGACCTCGATTATTATTACGATTGTGATTGCAGAAGATAACAGCCAACAGCATCGACCTACCACGGCTGGCAATGGCAGCTAGGGGCTGCTTGGCAGGCTGCTATTCCATTCCAGGCCTAAGGTAAGCCCTAGTCCGCCGAGGGTCCTGAATGAAGGCTGAGATGAACCTGCGATAGAGATACAACTCTCAGGCTGGCAATTAACCGCGATGATGATTTGCCCGACGCCTACTGCTCTGTACAGAGTATCACAGCTACTAGTACACAGTACACACCGCTGCGTCCGCCAGCTGCCGGTCCAATCTGGGCCTCATCGACGCTTACTGACCCCCATCAAGAGAAAATGTTTTCCTCGTGAAATCTCCCCCCACACAGCCAATCATATTGGAGACAGTACGTATATCCGTACGGACAGTGTCCACAGGAGAAGAAGATCGCCGGGGTGATGGCTGCTGTTTCGTCGTCCAAGCGAAATGGCCATCGTCTTCATCGGAGCTTTGCCATGTCCAGCAAAGTGGGTTGAAGGGTGAGAGAGATAGCTGCTCGCGCCACCACCAATACTAACGCCTGAAAACTCAGCTAACATTTCCCACGCAGGACACTAGAAGCTGTGTAGCATCAGACCAACCTTCGATCTCAACTCTATCCACCCTTCTTCCATGGTCCTGCTCCCTGCTGTGCCACTCTTCCCCCTTGTCCGCTTCCTGGATGTGGGTGCCCGCCGTCAAGCCCACTTCGGCTCCCTCCCACCACGCACCGGACAGCCGTGTCACAGTCCATTTAGCAGAAGCAGCCAATCTTCATCCCCGTTGCGATCGAGTCCCCTCCTTTCGGCGGTATCCATCCTGGCTTCTGCCGTTGCAAGATGCGGTCATACCGTGCAAATGTCACCCCAGCTGAGGGTCCCTCGAGGCCCATACCTAAAATCCATGACAAAAGGGCCCAGGGCTGAAAAAGAATTGATTCCTGATCGCAAACCCTGCTGGGGCTATCCTTTAAAGACTGTCCCTGAAACGTCTTGCCTTTTTCCACCTCGTTTGTTCAGCCTCTAAATAGCGAAAGATACCCCGAATCGCTCCATCGCTCACCCGTTTTCACACCCGGTCGAAGTCGCAACAGGCTTCACATGCCGATCCACGAAGTTGACGAGAAGTTGACGTTTTATTGTACCTGCTGCAAACGGGTCGTTCGTTATCGCAAGTGGCGTTGAACCATCGCCTACGCCTCCAGATATATAACCTGCCTTGCCTCGCCCTGCTCCTTCGACTAAGGGCACAACCTGTCCGCGTACGGCACCATGGACACAAACAAAGATTTGACGACCGGTCCCATCAACGAGGGCGACCTGCACCGACGTAGCGTTGGCACCGTAGAAATTCAAGATGCAGCGGGAAGACGGAAGACGGTGACTCTGGATGAACTCAATGCTGCAGACAGAGCCCTTGCCGAACAATTTGGATATAAACCTGTACGCGAAGCCTCGATCACTCATACAGTCCGCAATTTGCTGACAATGTGCAGGTCTTCAAGCGGGAATTCGGCTATCTCTCCACCTTCTCTTTCGCTGTCAGCATTTCGGGTCTGTTTGCCACGACGACAACCACATTCATCTACCCTCTAGAGGCAGGTGGTTCCGCCTCGGCCGTTTGGTGTTGGCTGATATCTGGTGCTGGCTGTATGTGCATCGCATGCTCCGTTGCTGAATTGGTGTCTGCCTATCCGACTTGCGGAGGTCTATACTACACTGTTTCTCGACTGGCACCCAAGCCATGGGTGCCCTCCATCAGCTGGGTGACTGGCTGGATCAATCTTTTGGGCCAAGTCGCCGGTGTTGCCTCATCCGAGTATGGTTCGGCTCAGATTCTGCTGGCCGCCGTTTCCATCGGGCGGGATTTCCAATGGTTCCCTACCACCAACCAGACTGTCGGAGTTATGGCTGCATTGACCGTGCTCAACGGATTCGTCAATTCGCTGTCGACCTACTGGATGGAGAAGATGACCAAGACCTATGTTATCTTCCATTTTGCCGTGCTCATCTCGTGCGCCATTGCTCTTCTGGCCAAGACGGAGCATAAACATGACGCGTCCTATGTCTTCACCCATGTGGAAGGCAATGCAGGTTGGACTCCAGTCGGGTGGTCATTCTTGTTTGGCTTCTTGTCGGTCTCATGGACCATGACCGACTACGATGCCACAGCACACATTACAGAAGAGTATGTGAAGATCATATTCCGATTGAAGTGGAAGGCATACTGACTTGAGCAGGATCAACGAACCCGAGATCAAGGCGCCGTGGGCTATTTTCCTTGCCATGCTTTGCACCTACGTCCTGGGCTGGCTATTCAACATTGTTCTCTGCTTCTGCATGGGAGATCCGCTTGAGATTCTAGCCTCGCCCATCTACCAACCGGTGGCACAAATCTTCTACAATTCGCTCGGCAAGGGGGGTGGGATCTTCTTTACGGTCGCGGCCTTCATCATTTTGCAGTTTGTGTGCTTCACCGCGACGCAAGCTTTGGCACGGACCGTATTCGCCTTCTCTCGAGATCGCCTAGTTCCCTTCTCCAACATCTGGACGAAAATCAACCGATTCACGGGTACGCCGCTGTACGCCGTCTGGATCAGCGTTTTCTGGTGTATTGCCATCAACCTGATCGCCCTCGGGTCCTACATCGCCATCGCTGGTGTGTTCAACGTCTGCGCCATCGCGCTGGATTGGTCGTATATCCTCCCAATCGCCTGCAAGATGGCTTTTGGGAAATTCGTGCCAGGCCCATGGCACATGGGGAAACTCTCAATATGGGTGAACGCGTGGGCGTGTATTTGGACTCTCTTCGTCACCATCATCTTCCTGATGCCGACCATTCGACCGGTGACGGCGGATAATATGAACTACGCCATTGTTTTCTTGGCCTTCATCTTGGTTTGCGCTGGAGTCTACTGGCTTGCCGGCGGCAAGAAGTTCTACACCGGCCCGGTCATCGAGGCGGAAATCCACGAAGACGAATTGGGAAGTTCATCATCTGCCATCGATCAGGAGAAGAGGGATAACGAGCCTCGTCAGCGTGGAGCAGCAGCTGTCGCTTAGTCTCAGGAGGGCACGGCCAGGTGGTGATGGCTTTTGGGCATGATCTCTCGCTTGCTGAATGAACTATGCTTTTTGGAATTCATGGATGATAGCGTTGGATTGCCGGTTGTTGGTGTTGGAATCCTGCTGTAAATGTGCTACTTACAATGCCATCTATGTACACAATATCTGTGGTATCTATTCAGTCTCTCCAACAAGATATTTTCTGTTGTCTGATCAAAGCGTTTAACAGATCTGCTATTGAGACCGTATCTTCATGGATGTTTGGATAGATACAGAGTAGAGTAGGTACAATTCCCTCGATCGTTCGTCGGCACTTCTCGGCAGGACTCTGATGATGCGGCACGGAAAGTATTTCCACTTTGGGCTGTGGATTGTGGATGGGGATGGGGATGGAGGTCTCGACTCTCCTCTGCTCTCGTTACCTGACACGTCGCTGTTTTCCTTCATCTTGCCCCCTTCCAGCTACATCAATATCCATCGATAATCGAAACAAATAGCGTCCACACCTCTGCTTATCTTCGACCAAGCTCAAGGCTTCCTGACGGAGCGTCCGGGGTTGTCGCCGACGGGGAGAAGATCAGGATGAGGCTGGCGGGCTGGCGGACTGGCGGACTGCCGGCCTGGTTGAACGTTTACCACCCACGGTGAGATTTCCCGTTGCTTCACTTCACATTTCTCGTTCCTTCTTCGGCATCAAAGAGCCATTTGGTGACACCTCGTTCCTGTTCCAACGCTTCACGGGCACCGAAACCATCACATTGAAGAGCATCGTTGAAACCATCGCCCCCCAATATTGCCACCGTCTGTTCGAAAAGATGAAACCCCCAGGCTCCATTCTCTGGCGACATGTCACTCGCATCCCCCTCTGTCTTGATGGATGGTTACAAGTCTTGAATATATGATGTGGCGAATCTCTGCATGTGAAGCATGGTAGAGTCATGCATGTTCTTGACTTGCAGATGCATCATGCGTGCATGGAATTGCTTCCCTTGGATACTTTCACAGCCTCGATCCCAGTTCACTGAATCCCCTTTACCGCATCAAAAAGGACCAGTCAGTCATGGGAAATTAGTTCTTCGTTTCAACTTTGAGACGCCATGCTTCAACGCTCGTGGTGAGTCGTGACTCCCTTGAAGGCATCCGTTTCGCAATGTGAAGAATCGTTGCCGGTGAGTCCATGCCTCGTCGGCCAGGAGTATAAAGATCCGTCTCTCCCTCCCCTCTCTGCTGTTTCTTTTTCATCGATCATCCACATCCCAGGCTTGTACTGGCCTGTGGGCTGTGGCCTCAGGGTCTTGGGCAGAGTTTCTTGCTCAAGTCCTGAACCTTTTTATTATATATATATATATATACATGGCAAATCATCACTCTCCATCATACCTTTCCCTGCTTGAAGAAGTTTGCACTTCTTGTTGCATAGCATATCTTGGACGGTTGGACCGTCATCCTGGTGTCAACATTTCAAAACCTCTCCCATCTTCAATCGTCCAGAATACCAACACCTTGCAGCATAGTTGGAACGACTGCGGAGAAAAAGATGCGTTGTGGAGTGATGCCATTCAAGTTGGCTATGACATGTGGTTTGGAGGACGCAGAAAGAGCTACAACATTCGCTACAAGATGATGATACCACTGCATCTGGGAGGTCTCTGCCAGGCTGCAATGCTGCATTCCTCTCCATGTCTTTCTTCAACTGTTCTTCTCCTTTCCCTTCCAGACGAAGAACCTCTCGACAAGGAGATCGCGGCATCTGCAACGGAGTTACATCATGACGATCACCGCCCTAACTTCTGGGCCTTCGTGGCAGCCATTCAAACTCCTCTGGTCAGTGGTCATCATAAAGGCACATGCCTGAAGCCTTTGAAGATCAAGATTTAATTCCTGCAACGTCATCAGAAGGAGAGATCGACCACGACGATGTCGTGTCCGTGCGAAGTGAGTCTGTCGACTCCACGCAGACTGAAGGCCACTGCTTTACTTCCACACGAATTGAGGCCACCGTGACTCCTGCACGTCGAAAGATCCTGGCTTCGAAAACTGGCTGGCTGGCAATATGCCGCAAAGAGAACGACTTTGACTGCGAAGTTGTGGAAGTCCTGTCTGTCAATGGCCTGCCTGATCGACGTCAAACCTGCTTTTCTGCTAGCCGGGATCCCCATGCAACGTCTGAGAGAAATTTCACACTGGCACTCCAGCATCCAGCAAGTCAGACAAGAAACACCTTGTGAGGGATCGACATATGGACTGAACAATCGCTCACGACGTCGGCCACCGCCAGCTACGACATTTGGAGCTTCGTAAAGATCGTTCAGTTTCGACTCGCCAACAGTGGACATAAACAACTGTTGTCCGTCCTTCGCCCAGTATGAGACAGCCTTCATCTAGCAAAAGCATCAGGCTCGGCTGCAGCGGCTATGTCAAGCGAAAGATCAAACCACATCATCAAAGCACGTCGGTCCGTTGTTTTCAGATCTGTGTTGCTACACAGGACTTTTCCGCTCTGGCCTACTTGGCTTGGCTGTCTGTATCTTCAGCAGCATCGTCCCGGTGCTATACGAAGCAATGCTCACATTATGGCGTTTTCGTCGAGGTGCCAAAGCCACCTCTACAGGGCAAAGCTAGCCCGGTTACAAGGAGACAAATCAACTCATTGTGTCATCTTGGACACGAAGAGGATCTGGCCAAGCTTGACTCATTTGACATGACCGACCAAGACGACCCGGCTGCATTCGTCGTGTTGAGAGCCATTTTGAGTTGGCGACTCGCTTGCAGATGAAGGTGTCCCTGGACCACTACCACAACAGTTGTCGAATCATGGCCACAAGCGAAGTAGTAGTGGACAGATACTTTCCCCCCAACAACAGGCATCCGCGCACGGTACACCACCAAAAGGACGCTCGAAGACACAGCGAGATATATACTCTCGCAGAGACAAAGGGATATGTGTCCTTTCGAAGTTAGGTATTGCCACCGAAGTTGTACACATCTACCCGTATTCTATGCGGGAGGAGCTAGAGACGACACGCCAATTCTGGGGAGTCTTACGACATTTTTGGTCTCAAGAGCGTGTTGATTCCTGGTATAACGCGATATTTCCCCACGGAACTGAAGTTTGTAAAAACCTTATTTTCTTCGAAGTGAACGGCCAGGTCATCTCGCCTGGGGATTCGGTTCCCATTTATCGAATCAGTGCATGGACCAACTCCATTCGGCTGTCCACTGTTCGTGGTGTGGAGAAATGTCGACGGCCAACGGAAAGGTCGGATGGTTGTGGACCTTCGGGCATTGAACAAGATCACCGTACCCGATTCCTATCGTATGCCCCTACAGAATCATGTCATCGAACGCGTACGAGGCAAAAGGTTCATCCCAGTTGTTGTCTTGACTGATCACTCAGCAACGAAAGGCATCGTCAATGCCACCAGCTTGGCGACCACAGATTCGACGAGATCGAATCTTCGTCTGGTGCACGCATCACAATACCTGTCTCAGTTTAATCTGGACGTGCACCATATTGCCGGGAAAATGAATGTGTTGCCCGACGCGCTGTCCAGGCTGGAAGCATTGGAGGAGCGCGAAGTGGAAGCCGACGACCAGCTGAACATCATATACTACTGATTGAAGACCAAACCATGTCCAACAGTTGGTAGCGGCGAGGAGTGGAGTTGAAGACGACGCTATTTCCGTATGGGGAGATCTGGGGTGCCTTCGGCCATTTTCTGGAGAGGTGCATAGCCTTTTGCATATTGCAAGCTGTGCAAAACCGACCATATAAGTCCTCTGTGTATGACACTCGTCTCCGAATCAAGCCCTAATGCAGCAACAGTCTGCGTGAAAGCTATCGAGATTCGACTTGTTGGACAGTTGGACAGTTGCTCGCGACCAATGCGAACCACAAGCAGAAGAAGTACTGCATCAAGTGCAGCAAGACAAGTACAGAGAGAATTGAACGTGGCAGATCCAAATGGACAAGAGCTGCAAGGACGAAGTCAGCGTAGCCAGTCAACCGGCTTGGCCTCGACAAGTAAAACAGAATAGATGCTTCGTGTCACTTTCGAGGTCTGAAGCTTTTGATACTGTGTTGGATCACATCTCGGTCACTGACTCACGATGGTGGTTGTGCTGTCGGTGCTACTCCTACCGGCGCGTTTCAATCAGTACTCGGGAGCTTTCGTTACCGGTACGCGGTCTCCACCGAATCCATCCTACGCTATTATCCCTCTTGACTTTCAATGGCATCCAGCTCTCTCAACAATTCGCTTTTCTGCGCCTCGGCCCAAGTTACCTCGACATCGCTGAATCCTGGCCCTGCCTTGGTCGCGAAAATAGAGTTGCTGCTTTTTCAACAGCAGCGTCTGAGATTGAAAGGCTGCTTGGCTCCTGAGCAGACTGACGAATCCGACCATATGCTATGCGGCGGTTCGCGACGCTTCCTATGTCTTCACCCGTGTGGAAAGCTATAGCGAACATCAAGATCGCCAGAACCAAGTTTCTTCGCGAACAACGGGTTGATGAAATAGCGGTACCATCAGCAGGATCACCAGCTATCCGAGCATCCATCAAATTTGGGAAGCCTACCAAGAAAGTAGCGATCCCAGTCTAGGAGACTACAATATGAGGTGGACATCCTCCCCCCACAGAAGCGTGCTCTTCCGTGATGTTGAAAGGGACATCCGCAGAGTCTAGAAGACGTGCAAAAGAATTACGAGTTGGCTTTCACGACATAGTGGACCGAGGTTCAGAAAAGCATCGAAATGGAACGAGATGCGAAAACGACATCAGAAAAAACGGTCTCTGCTATCCTTTTATCAAAACATCAACAGCAACAATAAATGTTCGGCCGAGGCCTCTCCGATCGGGTGTCGACGCAGAAGTTAGTGGTCTTCGAGACATGGCGGTGCACTGTCAACTGTACTGTCTCTGACTACATTCGACAGTCAATTGAGACAACATGCTCTCTCCTATTCTCCTCTACATTGGCTCTTCGGAAACGACGG